TTGTTTTGCTTGGCGTTACGAAAACCAACACCAGCTGTTCACCAGAAAGAATACAAAGCTTAGCCACCGACCAGGTAGTGTGTGAACATGGAAATGTTCGCAATGAAACTCGGGCACTAATTGTCAGCTCAAACTTTGCAGCAGGCTTCTCCTTATTAACAAATTCACGGCATTCCCGAGGCTCGCAAAAGCTGAACGTGTCTTGAACTCCACATGTCGGAAAAACGCCTGCTTGAACGGCGCTAATCGACTACTGGTGTCAACTTAGAAGCAACTTTCTCGAATTCACTTCTGCTATCTCCGGCAATCTATAAAGTATCATGTCTTGGCAAAATGATTGTTTACCTCTCATTAGTAAGACTGCAAAAACCACGTTTCAAAAAATAAATCGGAACGAGATGCTTGGCACTACTCACAAGGCGCTTAAAGCAGTACTCTCCTTACTAATGGTGTCATCTTATCAGTTGATCCTCAGAGGCTTTGACATTCTATTGCCTCGAGAGCTCAACACTTTTGGCGTATATAAAGCGCTGTTTTGCTACGCTTGAGCGATAGTGAATTGCTTGATCTCAACCCCACGACACAAGCACAATGACAATCGGAACACTATACGCCTGGACTAATGCTAGAGGGATGTTGCCTCGTGGTCTCATCGACTGGCTAAAGATCGATATGACTATTGCCAACCCTAGTGACAATGTTGAGGAGTTCAAAAAACTATTCCCGCTAGGCAAAAATCCAGCAATATTGGGCAAAGACGGTTTTGAGCTGACCGAAGTGATGGCGGTTTCGTATTATCTGGTCCACCTGAAGGGTGATCCCGAAGTTGAAAAATCACTTTACGGAAATACACTAGAGGAGCGTTCGCAGGTGATCAGACTCTTCTCATTTGCAAACCAGGAAATAGCCTCTAGTGTTGTGGCAGTTGTGACAGCTGCCAGAACCAATGCCAGTGCCGAACAATACGATGAAAAACTGTCACAGTGTCTCGCCAACTTCGGGCTTATCGAAAAGTGCCTAACCAAGCACGAGTATTTGGTGAATGACCAAATCACAATTGCCGATTTGTTTGCAGCATCACTTTTTGGCACTCTTTTTGGCTTTGCGCTTGGGAAGGATAAGTTTGGTGGCTTCACCAAACTGCAGCAGTGGCTCCCCAAAGTGTTGGAACACCCAACGCTCAAGGGCAGAGTGAATGTGTCAAACTTCAAAGAGCAGACAATTGCGCCTAGCCAGCAGTGAAATGCTAAGAGAACATCTTTAAGCGCTGGTAACATTCAAGTGACAAAAATTGATTAGTATCCATAAAGACTTGCACGTATGAATATAAAACTGTTATTATCTGCTCTCAAGCGTGCATTCCAACATACGCCAGCTCTACGGTTGAGAGAGTTTTTGAATGTTTGAAAGCACCAGGCCTTTATCTTATATCCTAACTTTCGGGAATGTCAGAGCACCGTCCCGAATGAAGTACACGTCTTTAATAGTGGAATATGTTTAAATCATTGTTCAAGCACGATTGAGAGCCATGAACTGGTTCCCGCATGCTTGCAGATATCTCTTGTTTATCCTGACAACAGGGTCCTGTTCGTTGCAGACGACTTTGAGGGAACCAATATATTGTTTTGTTTAATCTCAAGTATCTCATAAGAAGATGAACAGCGAGTAATGAACAGCGAGTCTCTACTCCTAAGACTCCAGTGCTTAATCCCCCAGAAACATCGCCGTCCGTATAGCAGCTAGCAGCTTCAACGATCAAGACTCTGTATCGCGCTATCGTATTTGGGAATTCTGTTTTCAATGTTGCTGTTCATTTTACTCTTCTCGACTGTCTTCAACGTAATGTAATGATTGTCGAGAGACTTTGCACTTGTACTCTGCATGCTTCTCAACGCTTTTCACGGTGCTACCGATGTTGGGACAGGCTGAGGGTTTTTCAATCTTCAGGCTTTGTATAGCTGCCAGTTCGAGCAGTGGAAATTGTAGGCTAATTCTGAGCATGTAGCCCAGCTCACAACCACCGCTTCGATCGTTTCTGGTAGTTTGCAAAGTTTCACCTCCGAAGCATGGTAGGTGTTTACTTTGCATTAGTAAGACGGCAAAAACCTCGTTCCGAAGTGAAGAACATGTAAATTCTCACAAGATGGCTAAAACTGCTTAAGCTGAATGAATTTGGACCGAAATTCTTGTCGCAGTGAAAGCTCTTTCACTTTCCAGCCCTGTGTATATAAAGCGCCGGTATCGTACGCTTGAGCGATAATGAACTGCTTGATCCCAACGCCAAGACATAAGCACAATGACAATTGGAACGCTATACGCCTGGACTAATGGTAGAGGGATGCTGCCTCGCGCTCTCGTCGACTGGCTTGAAATTGATATGACTATCGTCAACCCTGGCGACAATGTTGAGGAGTTCAAGAAACTATTCCCGCTGGGCAAAATGCCGGCTATTTTGAGAAAAAACGGGTTCGAGTTGACAGAAGTGATGGCGATTACCTACTATCTGGTTAATTTGAAGGCCGATGCGGATCTTGAAAAATCCCTTTACGGAAACACACTGGAGGAGCGGTCACAGGTGATACGCATTTTCTCGTTTATGAACCAAGAAATGGCATCCAGCGTCAATTCACTTGTGACGGCTGCTAGAACGAATGCTAGCGTTGAGGAATATAACGAGAAACTGTCCCTGGTCTTGGCCAACTTTGAGTTCATCGAAAAGTGCCTAGCTAAGCAGGAATTTTTGGTGAAAGACCACATCACAATTGCCGACTTGTTTGTAGCATCCGGTTTCGGTACTCTTTTTGGCTTCGCGCTTGGAAAGGACAAGTTTGGTGGATTTACCAAAGTCCAACAGTGGCTCCCCAAAGTTTTAGAACATCCAGCGCTCAAGGGCAGAGTGGATGTCTCGAATTTCATAGAACATACCATTGTCCCCAGTCCACAATGAGGCGTGAAAGTTAGATGTTTGGCCATGCGTGATAGATATTCAAACCATATACGACTTTTGATAATTTTACATAGCGACCTACGTTCAAGTTAAAACCAAAGCAGTTCGCTCTGAAGCGTGGCGGGCAAAGATCTACCAGCTTCGCAGACAATATATTCTAACAAAACGCTTGACAATACAACATGGCTGGGCTTGTCTTCTGATCTAGTTTAAGCATTTCTATAGAAGCTATTACAATTTTCTTTCTTATATATCTCATTAACTTGGTCCTACGAACTAATACCAATGTAATTAAACTGAAGTCGAACCTGAGATGGATGGGATGGGAAACGAAAACCTAGAAATGTTTCTCGTTGAACAATTGTTGACAGACCCAGCAAAGAATACACATGCTTCTTGATTACCGATATTCTTTTTGCATATAACAAATCATACATCATCGCTGAGCAGATCAATGCCAGGGAGTAGAAAGCTGAAGATGATAAGGATGAGGCTCGGATTCAGTTTCTAAGACGTGCAATCTTCAGGGTAGCACTCAATAGGCTCTTACTAAAGCTAATTCTACGCCAAATTGGAGAGGTGTGGCTTACGATTTCAAGCGCGATGACTAATTCTTGGCAACGCTGGTGCATGCCAAGCTTACCAATGCCAAGCTATTTCCAAATGTACTTAAACGCAGGGATGCCCAGTTGCTAGAGGACAAAACTCGGTCAATATGATACATACGCAAGCAAGATAAAAATGGCTTTCGGTTTCAAGGTTCACAACGCTAAACCCAACGAGGATTTGAAATGGTCCAATGCTGCTGCTAACAAGCTTGATTTGAAGGGTTTGAGAGTGGCAGTAATTGGAGGCACAGCAGGCATAGGGCAAAGTTTAGTCCAGCTTTTTAGCAGCAGAGGTGCAGAGGTTGTCGTTGTTGGGAGAACTTTCAGAGACCAGAATCTAAAGAATGTGTCCTTTATCAAGGCAGACCTGGAGCTTATGTCTGAGGCCAAAAGAGTCGCTGAAGAGCTTGCAAAAAAGCCTCTGGATTTGGTGATACTGACAACAGGCATCCTTGCTGCTCCCGAGCGTGAGGAGACTGCAGAAGGACTGGAGCGTGACATTGCAGTGAGTTACTTGAGCAGATTGGTGATTGTCCGCAATCTTTTGCCCCACATTGAAAAGAGTCACAAAAGCCTTATCAAGAAACCAAGAGTCTTTATTTATGGATTCCCCTGTGCTGGGGAAAAGGGAAGCCCCGATGACTTAAACTCTAATGTCGACTACGAGGGGATGAAAACACACATGGCCACAGTGGCAGGTAACGAGGCTCTAGTGCATGACACGGCACGCCGCTTCCCAAACATTGGCGTTTACGGAGTGAATCCAGGACTGATCAAAACTGCCATCCGTAACAACTTTTTGGGTGCCGGTAGTCTGAAATCGTTTTTTGTTGAAAGCGCAATTGGCCTTCTATTTCAAAATACAAAGCAGTATGCCGATAAGAATGTACCAATGATGGTTGCTCCCGAGCTGGATGATCATACTGCAGCCTTTTTCGATAGCTACGGCAAACCCATTCTTTCCGACGGTTTCCCTGAATCGTATGTTGAAAAATACATCGGCAATTCAGAGCAACTGTTGAAGAAAGCGGGCGTTCCATACTACTGAGTTGTTGTGAAGTGGTTGCACTCATGATATAATCACTTTCTATTTACCTGCCTCGGGCACGGATCTCTATTTGCTTCTTTTTACTCGAGATAGAATACTGACATCTATATGTATTAATTTATCAGTAATACGTTATTATCAAAGACCAATTGAGCTTTAACATTAATTCAATGCTTTTTGCCCTGCTTTAAAGCAACAGTTGGGCTGAAGACAGCTTCCCTCCGATCATGTCCGGTTATCGAAACCTGTACAACTGCATTTATGATTTAACAGCAGCTACACACCTGTTATCATCTACTGGTCTAGTCACTTCACGAAGTCTGGCATATATCTAGGCTGCTAGATCCCTAGCTCTTCGACGATCATATTCTTGAAATCTCCTTTCTTGCCCGCGTCATCACTCTAACTCAAGGGTCCGCAAAGCGGATTTGATCTGACCGGCCGACTTTTGCATAAGTTGCGTCTCTTTTTCATCGAGTGAGACCCCGAGGACCTCGTTGGCACCCTGTTTGTTTAGCCTGGTGGGAACACTCAATGCAATCTGCTGCTCTCCGTAGTAATCGCCAACCGTAGAAACCGTGAGAGCAGCTCCTGTGTCGCCCAAAATGGCCTTCACAATACGAAGGATTCCTGCTGCAATCCCGTACGACGTGTATCCCTTACGCTTGATAATGTCGTAAGCGGCGTCTCGAGTCTGCTCGAAAATCCTGTGGAAAGTGGCCTCGTCGTAGTTGTGGTTCTTCTGTTCACAGTAGTCACGTAGTTTGAGTCCATCGATGCTTGTGAGCGACCATACGGGTACTCCTGAATCGCCGTGTTCTCCGACGACACAAGCATCCACGCTGTCGGACGAGATCCCAAAGTGCTCCCCAAGGATATATTTCAGACGTGCGGTGTCAAGCACGGTTCCAGACCCAATGACTCTGCTCAGTGGGAATTTCGATGCCTTATAGCTCACATACGTCAAAACGTCGACTGGGTTCGTGGCTATGAGCAAGATGGTGTCAGGAGCGTACTTGGCCACTTGTGGGATGATTTCCAGCATGATACCGGCATTTTTAGCTGCCAAATCCATTCTTGTCTGGCCATGTTTTTGGTTGATGCCACAGGTGACGACAACGATGGCTGCCCCAGCACAATCCGAGTAATCACCAGCTCTAGATTTCGTTGTAGAAGGTGCAGCATGGTTCAAATCCATACTTTCACCTTCCGCTTTGTCTTTGTTGACGTCAATAAGAACTATTTCGGATACTATGCCACTTAGAAGCAGGGTATAGGCTGTGGCCGACCCCACGCTTCCTACGCCAATTACGACGATTTTGACCGCCTTTTGCTCTCCTGAAGCCATTGGAATGAGAATTGGCAGCTTTGAGTCAATACCACAGAGAGCTGGTAACTTATTTCACTACCAAAGTGATCGTCCTTCTCCTTTAAGGCCAGATGTATTTATATTAGACTAATATCGAATAATGAACTAGCCTGTGGCTACAAGGGTTATGCTCCATATTCGAGGCTCACCCGACCTCTATCTATTCCAAAATAAGTAATGGATTTGCAAGCCGTCATCAACGCTATACACAGCAGACTTTTCGCTCTAACAGTAGACTGGATAAGAATTTACAATTCAACGACTATATAAGAACAACTGCTCGAGGAAAAGAGTGTTTATAGCACATTTTGTATGCCAACTTCTCAAGATTTCGTGTTGTTAGTTCTTCGCTTTTATTTCGCAATACAATGGTGTTGGAACTTCATGTTAATTGAGAATACCATAAAGTGACTTCTCCACGTTAATCACACCAAGATCGTCAAAACAGTAGCTTTATCGCTTTCTCAAAGGTCTGAATGGTTTTGGATAAGTCTCTCTTATGGTTTAGTTTCGCTATCTCGTTGTGGGTTCATTCTAGCTTATCAACTTTTTTAGACCAGTAAGCCATCATCTAATATCGGATCTATCATAGATAGCACAATGGCCTCAGCGCGATGAGCTATCCACTAGCGATAGGCTATACATAAAAGTAGCCTGTATATATGCCATCTCCTCTTTAAACTTTCTAGCAACTGGGATAGTAAGCTCAAAACTCGACCACCCTACACTCTATCTAAACTATGTACATCCCAAAACACACAGAGGTGACTGATTTCTCTAAACAGGCTGAAATTACCAAATGTAACCCACTGGGCATTATCTTTAGCTATGCAGCGCCCAGTAACGGGTTGATGGGTTTCATCAAAGGTAGCGAACCTACCTCTGTTGATAGTGAAATGTGTGCAACCCATGTACCTTTCGTATTGGAACAGCAAGAGGGTGGGAAACGTAAACTGGTGGCACACTTGGCAGCGGAAAACCAGCATATCGGACTCCTCGAAAAAATCCTAAATGCATGGTCGTTTTCCAGGGCGTCAATTCCTACGTCAGTCCCTCCTGGTACCCACTCAAGAAGAAAACTCACAAATTTGTTCCAACGTGGGATTTCGCAACAGTCCACGTCTACGGCACGGCCAGAATAATTCGGGACAAATCTTGGCTGCTAGACATGCTCAACCAGCTCACGGACCAAGAAGAAGGTAAAAGGCCTGATGGAGATGTATTTGAAAGCAAATGGAAAGTTTCTGACGCCCCGGAGAAATACGTCGACAGCCTGCTCACCAGAATTGTTGGTCTAGAAATTGACATTACCGACATTCAGTCTAAATTCAAGCTCCACCAGAATGAAACTGCTGTGAACGTCAATGGGGTATTGGAAGGGTACGAAAAGGAGGTCGGTGGTGCCAAAGGCCAGGAGCTGGCAAAGATCACACGCGACAACTATCCACATCCACTTGGATAAGTAAGAGAACCAAAGATTTCACCAGGTTCATGGTAGTCAACGCAAGCACTTCTTATTTATTATATATTATTACATCGGACGCAATGTCTCTCACCAATACTGCCTTGACTCTGACATTCCCTCCGCATGCATCTTGAGCCCCAACCTTTTATATCTTGGAACTGTAGAACATCCGCTTCAGGTAGTTGTACCACGTCGGACGCATCAGACTCCGGTATTGTGCTTTTGCATCATCATCGACATTCGCATTATCAATGCGCGCTAAAGAACTCGTCTCATTTTCCACTCGCGATAAGGCAACAGGGAAATGAGACCTCCAAAATACATGCACACCACAAACACTTGACACCGCAAGTACGGTCTGCTAGATGAGAGATCTCTCAATCGCAGCCCAATAATCTCAGCAACAATTGACACCGAACCATTCCCAAAAAATGCATAGCCCATACCGGCAGCAAACTTCTGTATGCCGACTACGTCTGAAACAAGCGGGACAACATTGACAGATCCGACTCCCGCGCCAAAACCGAGCAAGATGCAGAATGGCACAATCTCACTGAATCTGGTGATATTGAACCAAAAGGGCAGCAGCAACACAAGGTTGTAGACCATCAACACGATTGTTGCGTTACATCTTCCGCCATATTCCGAAAACCACCCCATAAAAGGTCTTCCGATGGCTTGCGAACCGTTGAAAATAGCCAGCGCTATCGTTGCCTGCTGGGTGCTCAGTCCGATCGAGGAGGCATAGTTCGCCATGGAAAACATGAGAATTACGTATCCTATGGTGGTGAGCGAAGACCATATGGCACAGTAGTGGAGAGGCACGATCTTGAGAACTGATTTGTCAAACGACTTCTTCAGCACTTCTATGGCGCTTTCCTCCTCCGTGTCGGTACTAGACGGCGTGCGCACTTGAACAAAACAGAGTGATATAGAGTTGAGAACGAAAGTGACCACAGCCAACATGCGCATGGCCCACTTGTGGTCACCAGTACGGTTGATCATGGCGTGTATGGCGAAGGAAAAACGAGCCCGCCCAGTCCAACACCTATGTGACCAATTCCGTTGGCCAAAGCTCTTTTCTTCAAAAACCAGCTGGGAATGACGATGGTATTGGACCCGAAAATGATGCCAAACGAAATGCCTAGAAGAACCCCGTAAGTGACATACAAAACGCCCACAGATTTGGCAAACGAGCTGGAAATGAACGCAACCGCCTCTACCACAATTGCGAACGCTAGTGTCGGTTTGTACCCGAATATTTTCATGCACGCTGCCACACACGGCAGTAGAAGCAAAGTGAGTCCTATCACGATACCGCCAATGATTGCAAAATCGGTCGGGGTGGAATTTGGGAAGTAGTCCGACGACAAAAAGTACGACAAAAAGATGCCGAAACAGGTATTGGGTCCCCAGGTTGAGAAGTTCATTGTTGCAACACATGCACAGCAAACCCATCCATAACCACCGTCTGGCGGAGGATCCAAAAACTCGTCTGCAGCGTAAAGCCCATCTTCCGTCTCATAAGCTTCTGTAAGTTCAACTGCATTGGCTTCTTTCTGCTTTTCACTACACTCGTCCAGTATCGGATCCTTCAGTCCAAGGTTCGCCATTAACTCAAAAAGTAGCCAGACGTTTCTTGAAGAAATAACAGCGTTAGCTAGAGATTCTAAAACACTTTGCTTACTTCTTAGAGCTTAATTCAAAGCTAGAATAGACATCATCACTTGTGCTCATCGCTTTTTAAAGCTTTTCGATATTAGAGATGACTGATTAGGCCTCGAGAGATTGAATTTCATGAAAAATTCCACTGGATCGCTAAGACGTGTAAACGTGAGTGTCAGAAAGTCAAAAGCTGATAAAATGTAAATCGAGCCGATGACATCTGTGAGGTCTGGAGCTAGCTCCATTTTGCTCGAATCTGGCTTATGACTTTTGTATTTGATCTGTGGTGTTGTAGACCGGTCCAGGTTTTGGCGATGACAGACAAATATAATGTAATAATTGATTATGAGCGTCTTCGAAGACCTTGGCAGAAGTGTCAGAGCGGCCATCTTGGAAAATGAGCAGCTATATTTGGGATTCAGGACGTCTGTAGAAATGCTCATTTGATATTGTAACGGTTTGTATTTTCTGTTTCGGAAATCATTATCTTTTTAAGCTTTGACACTCCAAGGAAGAGAATTCCTTCACTCGTCTAGGTCGATGACCGGCTTTTGAGAAGGATTCTATTATTGATATTTATGCAACAAGCTTCTAGCTCCTGCCTGCATCGCTGAAATGCAACGAACGAAATAAATAGTACATGTGTTGGAAATGGTACATCCAGCTTGCTCCTTTCATGGATAGATTGCTAGACCTTGAGCACTCGATCCGGCATTGGATCCGACACTGAAAGACTGAGAGACTGTCTTGTTGTTACCGTCGGCCACCGAAACAACCGCAATCTCAGCACCTTGTCCTTGCTTGGCACCTGGAGACAGAGCGTAAACGTAGCTACCTGCTGCAGCCAAGTCAATGTAACCCGTTGCATCGTTGGCGCTGGTAGTGTTGACAACAGACAATATCGAGGCATCCGTTAAGCTCATTTCAACGATGTGATTGACTAGAGGGTCGGTAACAAAAGCGGAGTTGGACACTGGCGAGATAGCGGCCCAGCAGGTAGCCTTTTGGTCGGAAATTACCTGCTTGTGCAAAAGCTGGGCGGAGTCAGTGTTTTCGTCCACAGAAATGATGACAGCACCAAAGCCAGGGTCCGCCACAAAGTATCTGTTCGACTGTCCGATCTGTGTAAACCCGAACATTGCGACAGTGCCATTCAATGGACTCTCGATGCGGGAGGGTGCGACCTTGGCTTCGCCTGTCAACCATGAACCGGTCACAGGGAATACAGCCAAGAATCCGGTTTTGTTCACGGCGGGACCACTCTTGACAGTCACAAGAAGTTTAGTCTCGTCGTCAGAGAACTTTAGTTGTGATACGGTGTCTAGTGGGCCCGCTGGAATTTCAGATTGGTCTAGATCAAAGGGTCTCAAAAAATCTAGCTTACCGATCCCCACAAATGGCGAGTATGGCCCACATGCAACACCAGATCTGGTGCCACTTGTGCCCACACAAACCAGGTTGTTCAAAGCCGACGCCGCCACCGATACTGGGAAGTCTCCGGGAACAGATGCGGGTGAACCTAGCAGTGTGATGTTGGTAGGGTCTTGCTCATCTATGCTGAACAAAGATACGGTGTTATCGCCAGCATTGACGGCAAAAAGACTGTTTCCAACAACGGCAACTGAGCCCTGGCTGCTTAGACCGTCTGGGCTGGCGGTCTGGTTGGTCGCAGCGCTAATTTCGCTGGCACCAGTACCGTTAGTCCACACCTTGAGGCCCTCACTGAGGGTCCCGTTTTCGTTGATTTTAACAGATACGATAGCATTGTCTTTTTCGTTGGTTTGGAAGTACAATGCTTGGCCATTGGAAACCCACTGAGACGCAGATGAAGGAGGAATAAACGCTGGTAGCGCTTCAACGGCTTGGGTCGCGATGGCGCCCAATAAAAGGCCCAGTTCGATGATTCTGAGCATTGGTGTGAGAGTGTTGGTTGGATGATGTTTTTACTGGCAGAATGAAGAAACACAACAAAAATGTCATTGACAAAAAACCACTGCAAGCGTTAAAGTCGTTGTTCTTATACGCCGGGATATGGCTTTGACTCAGTCTATGGCCATTTTCCCGTTAGTAATACAATCAGCGAGCCAAAGTCGGCGGAGCACCTTACTCTTGACATTACCGGTTTACTAAGTCAACTTCATTAACCATCAAGTTCTTCGAAATCTTGATAATTTCGAATTTTCTTGGCAAATGCATCTATATGCAGGCTTGATCGATATCTGCAAAGCCACTGTTCAGGGAAATAGCCCAGAAATCGGGTTAATTGCTCGCGACATGCAAGAAAGCGTTTGGAACTTCCAAGTGTATGGAGCTCGATGACGGCATCGATAAGAGCTAATGGGCGAGCACTATTACAGACTGGTGATTAGTAATTTTTAGGATCGCCGTTGACGAGTTCTTTTTGATGGCAAATGTGATGAAAACTGGCCGCAGTCAACTGTAAACATAGGGGTTCTTAATGAGGAGTTTTTGCCAAGTGTTTACCTCTCGGGTTACACGCCTTCATGCACGATACTGACGCCGCAAAACATGGTTCTACAAATTGGGTTTTCGATTGCGCACGCATTTTGGCCACGAGGATTGAGTTACTGTGGTAAACATTGTGAAATGAGCCGAGTCAATCTGTTCTTGGGCTTATTGTTACTTAGTAATCGTCTTGTTGGCAGACATTGAAGGTTAGAATTCAATTCAAAGCGTTTTGAATTATGGACAGCGGGGACCAGCAATGTGCTAAAAACAGCTATATTCTATGAGATGGGCTCACAAGGAGCAAGAAATTGTTTGTAAAGATGTTTTCCTTACTGTTCATTGTGGAATGAAGGTGACGTTCATCAGTGGTGAAAGAATCATCATGTCTTTGACATATGAATATTGTCTTATCGTCATATTAGTATAAAGTGATCTGAAAAAACAGCGAGCACTTTACACTGTGAAGAGCGCGATGCACAGTGTGGGAGTCTCTGATGAGTGAGTAACTGTTGAGAGCTTCATCCATATCAAAAACCTATCACTTAGAAGCCCCCATGACAAGGCCGCGTTGGCCCAATTTTCATTTCTCTTCCCTCTTTATTTCGATTCTTCATTTCCCACGACATCCACCGGGTTTGACGACGTTGCTGTAGACCTCATAGAGATAGTACAAGTAGCTATCGACGTTTTTGACGGCAAAAGTGGCATTTTTGGAAGCCATTTCGAGGACTTCGTCCATTTCCTCGGCGTACTCACCAATGTACTCGTCCAAGTTCATGGTTGGGACGTGGAACAAACGATGGATCATGTCGATTCCCATATACTTCGATGGAGCAACGGTAGCCATCCCGCCCTTGGAACACATACTGTTGGAAGGCAGCTTGCTTTCGTAAAAGAAATCGCAAATGACGGTTTCCTGGGTGGCATTGAGTCTATGATGACCCGCGTAGTAGTCTGGGTTAGCGGCGCAGAGACCATCGATGTCGTCGCACCGGAAGAGCACATTTTCTTTAGGTACCTCTGCAATGGCCTCCAGGACTCCAACCACAGTGTACAGGTTGCCACTCCCAAACCACCTTTTGTATATCTGGTCTTTGTCTCCATAAGCCATCAGACGGGCTCTTGCAAGAGCTGTGATGTTCATTGTTTCGTTGAATGCGCCCTCCAAGACTTTCAGATGCTCACCACTGCAAGTACTTAGAAAAGTGGGATATTGTGGATGATCCCATCCCGCGGACTCCACGTTAGGCCTTTTAATGACCAAATCGACAGGATGGTTTGTTTCACGGTCCGCTCTTATACCAAAAACCATGGAAATTACGGTCATTGCAATTAGAACAACGGCGACAATCGCACCTATTCCATTTCGAACAAACGATTTGGGAGCAATTTGATCTTTCATCTTGGTTACCAAATGTCCTACCACATTCAGAATGCCATACTCACTGAATTACGCTTCTTATGACAGGCTTCTCTCTCTTATAGGTTTGAACACATACCAAACGTTCTTGAGTAATAACCCTGAAGGTGGTATTAGCGGTATCTTTAAGTTAGGACCCTGGAAGACCCTGCATATTGTCTATAAGGGCATCTGAAAAATGAAAAAAATGCCATTTTTAACGAAAAGCATATGTCTCGGAGGACAGAAAACGACGTACTAGAACACTGCAGGGAAAGCTGATTAGAAGACCTGTTTTGTATTGCACCTATGCGTTCTGCTCTTTCGAACACCTATTTCTTTACATTGGTGCTACTGCCGTTTCCTAGGAAAAATTCCTCGAGCGGGCTAGGCCGCATGAGATGAGAAGGGTCGTATGAAAAGAAAAAAAATGGGAATATCGTCAGCCGCAGAACTTTTGGGCTGTATGGTACTGCAAGGTACAGGATGGGCCCAGGAAATGGAGACAACTGATCAGCAGTGAGCATTTCGTTTTTGAAACCTTGTTTATGGCAAAACCTATCGGGTTTGTCAACATCAAATCAATATCCACCTGCAGTCTTAGTATAGCACGAGATATATGTAAGACTCTTATGTGCTGAAAGTTTTATTTCTTATGTCTGTTGCCTTCTCACACTCAGTAACGGAACAATGAGAAATCATCGAATCCTGACTTGGTTTTGAAAAATCGTTACACCACGATTCTAGAGAACCTAGGCCTCTAGAGATATGTGGACCCTATTTTAACACCCTCATTTCAAACCCTTTGCCAGCTTCAAAATCTCGCTGCTTTCCACCACCTGAACTTTGTCTGTGCGCGAAGAGTCCAGTGCCAGAGCGACACCGACTTTGCCGACCTCATCACCATACACGGGAGTGCTTAACAAACCTTGCAAGCTGGTATCGTAGAAAGCAGCTCCGATTTTGGCAACAGCTGCGTTGAAAAAACCCTTGCCCTTGTGTCTTTGCCCCAACAAAGGTCCAGGACGTAGAATGATGGTTTTGTCGAAGTCGAGCGCTATGATGTCGTTTTCGATCTCTCCCTTCGTCTTCAGATAGAAAAAACGCGAATTGACTTCCGCACCAACCGAGCTGACTAGCACGTATGTCTTGCACCCTTGGCTTTTGGCTTTCTTGGCCAACTCGAGGTTCAAATTGTGGTCCAGCTTGTAGAAGTTTTCCTTGCTGCCGGCTTCGCCTCTGGTGGTGGCAAGACCGGAAAACATGATATTTGCGTTCTCAGGAAGCTGTTCAGCCCATGTTGCAGAGTCTTTAACCACGATACTTTTCACCTTTTCTGTTTTGAACTCTTGCAATTCATGTCTGGTCACAGTGGTGATGGAGGAAAAGGCAGGCTCCGCGACAGCGTATTTGAGAAACGCAGAGCCACACAGGCCTGTTGCACCAAGAATGAGGGCGTTGAAGGACATCGATATGTACCAGCTGATCGAATGGTTGTTTAAAAGGGTTTTGAGAAGGCGATGAGATGAGGGTCTTAAATGTAAGACTGTAATATAAATAAGATAGGGAATTACCGGGTAAAGGAGCGGCACCGATATGGCACGAAATCATAAAACGATCTGACATCAGAACAAGAAATCGTGCGGAGAAAGCTTTTGATGCGGTGAGCTTCTCTGAGAAGTCTCTGAAAGCTGAGAGAGAATGTTCGTTCAATATTATCTGACTGTCTTGACTTAATTCCACCTTGCTCTTAGAATATCTCAGTGCATGACATGCTTAAAACAACTTGAGGCCTAGGTCGCTTAATGCAGCTCGCAATAGACAATTCGAGCATAAACAGAATCAAACAAGTCAAGCATACAGCAAATTTTACAAAATTGTTCGATGAGCAACTGGGCAATCATGCCAGGCAGTTTTTGATAAATGTTTAGAGATGTTCTGGAAGCTCATTTTTCATCAAAAAGTGGGCTTGAGTGGCTACAAACTCCCAAAGTAGATACTTCGATGTTATTTTGATAAGCCAAGATGGGTGCACAGGCTTTTTTGGGTATCTGAGCAACTGAAATCAGTGACAAGACGAGTTCACTCCATTGAATTATTTTTGCTATCACGTGACTTGCACTACGAATTATCGTCAATTGAAATACGTGGGAGTTCTACCTAGATGTTACTAGCACAAGAATCCCGAGCTCTCTAATCTTTGAGGGTTTTTAGTTCTCTTTTTTATAGACCGCACCCAAGAATTGTCGAGCTGATAAATCCAGTTCTCCACGCCTTCAACTGCTGCAGGGCAACAGAAAACAAGACTTTCAACAGAAAACAAAACTTTCAACTGTTGCATTTATCTTGATTCTACCACTATGGGCCTCTCTCCTCCACCAATTCCCCACTTGTACCCTCCATATCGTAGACCCATTTTCTACGCACGTGACTGTTACTTTTTCCACCGCCATTTCAAACTAAATTTCTTCCCTACGTAATGACTGATAAGCACGACTTCCTCTCACCGCTAGGTATATCATGAACTTCCACCAGCAAAGAAAAAAAGTATAGAGCCAAATAATGCAACCGTTCCGATTATACAATAGTGGGGAGCGGGTTACTGCGGCTTGATATCGCGTATTCATAATGAAATCATAGTGCAACCCACAGAAATTCTACCAGAAACACACCCGTGCTGTATGATAACAATTTCAAACTCGATTCTTAGCTCATCAATGCTTCCCTACCATATCAAGACTCCACCAGTAAGATTCTAAATCCAAGGCAGCCAGCCGCCTTGTCGGTTGGCCTTACCGCCAAAACTATCCATTCGCACTTCAGTTTTTGGACAGGTCATTTTTTACACATGTCGCTTTTCTCATTAATTGACCATGGTCAACTAAACTGCCAAATTACGCATAAAGAGAAAGAGGTGTCGCTAAGGTGGAGGTAACTGGAGACGACAAGCTGTAGTAACTGCAATCCGTGCAAATCAGCGTCTTGGCATACAGAACAAACCGTCAAATTACGTGTGATTTGCTGCATCAAGTGCTGGCACTTTGTGCTTCGCCTTTGTCGAGAAGGTGAGAGTCTGTCTTCAAGGCATCAAATTCAATTTCATATGCGTAAATAAAAAATGAGGTGCAGTTGGCAAATTAGCCTTCAACAATGCTAGCAACCGTTAATAGAAAACACAATTGATTTGTCTGTGGCAACGAGATTCTGCACACCCGGTTTTGTCATTTCTGTACGAAAGGCCAATTATTTTTTTCTTTTGGTCTACCTTCTCTGACAGTCAGAAATGACCACTGCAGTAACAAGCGGCTCTTAATTACCAGGGAGATTCACAGGTTGACTTTCCTCCACCAATTGCATCGAGAATTTCTAGGTAAATTACACCCATTATGATCATTTGCACTAACAGAACTCGCAGAGCTAGCAGAACCATGATGTCCGACTAACTGCGGTACGGCGTTGTGTATTAACTATTAACTTTGTGTGGAATGGTGCGGAGCACCCCGGCGTCTAGATTATTTTGTATAAGAGGTGGGAGGATGGTCAATTCATCTGCCCACATTCGATAACTGTGTCGTAAATTGTTGTATAATTATTATTGGGACTCAGCATTCGAAGACCGCGATTCATGGCCGAGCTCAATAAAGTCGGGGCTTTCCCCACAGTTGCCTCTGCTTCTTCAGAGAAAAGCGATGGGAACAACCACGTAGTCGAAGAGTTTACCAGCAAGGGTATCGAAAATGAACCCACGGTGCCTAACAGATTCCAAATCACAAAAACCATCGTTGTGCGAAAATCGGAGCTGATGGCTAAGCAGTACGATGCGTGGTACATGAGATCTCTCTTCTTGTTCACTATATTCATCTGCTCGTTCGCATACGGACTGGACAGTATTATAAGAGACATCTACATGACGTATGCGCTCAACGCATACTCTACGCACTCTCTTCTGTCCACGGTCAATGTGATCAGTATGGTTATTTCTGCCGTTGGTCAAATCTTCTTTGCCCGTCTGTCAGATGTTTTCGGCAGACTGTCCATCTTCATCGTATCCATTGTCCTCTACGTGGTAGGCACTATCATCCAATCCCAGGCATATGACGTTCAAAGATATGCCGCAGGCTCAGTATTCTACAACATCGGATTGATTGGTGCCCTATTTCAAGTGTCATTGATTTTGTCCGATTCGTCCACTCTTAAGTGGAGAATGCTGTATAACTATCTTCCAGCATGGCCTGCCGTTATCACTGTGTGGATCTCAGGTAATGTTGTGCAGGTCGCAAACCCTCAGGAACACTGGTCGTGGGGCATCGCTATGTGGGCGTTTATTTTCCCTGCAAGCTGTATTCCCATGATAGTCTGCATGCTTCACATGCGGTGGAAAGCTGGACAAACCGCAGAATGGAAAGAATTGGACAAAGAGAAGTCGTATTTCCAAACTTATGGATTGTTGAAGATGCTTGTGAAACTTTTCTGGCAGCTGAACATCATAGGTTTGATTTTGCTGAGTGTACTCGTCGGTTGTATCTGTGTTCCATTGACCATTGCTGGTGGTGTATCGACGGAGTGGAAAACAGCCAAGGTGATTGCTCCTTTCGTTCTAGGGTTCGTTCTAATTCCTGTTTTTATCTTTTGGGAGAGCAAAGTCGCTACCGTACCATTGGCTCCATATGGCTTGTTGAAAGATCGCGGTATCTGGGCGCCAATGTGGGCTTATTTCTTGATTGCCTTCATCTATTCAATGGCTGCAGGTTACCTTTATACAATCCTGCTTGTTGCGGCTAATGAGAGCGATCTATCTGCAACCAGAATATCAAGTCTTTACAGTTTTGTCAGCGCCGTTTTCTCACCATTTGTAGGTGTGTTGGTAGCGAGGGTTGCAAGATTGAAGCCCTTCACAATCTTGGGCTGTTCGCTATACTTCGTTACAATGGGTATATTCTACCATTTCAGAGGTGGAGAGGATGCTGGTAAAGGTGTGATTGGCGCCATGGTTGTGTGGGGTATTACCAGCTGTCTCTACGATTATCCAATTAGTGTTGCCATCCAATTGGTAACTTCTCATGAACACCTGGCTGATGTGTCCGCTATCATCGCTACTGTGTTTAGAATTGGTGGTGCAATCGGCGCTGCTGTTTCTGGTGCCATTTGGACTCAAACACTATATCCTCGTCTATTGAAAGAGCTGGGCGATCCTGATATAGCTCAACAAGCTTACGAGTCACCATACGATTTTATCGCAAACTATTCCTGGGGGACTCCTATGAGAGAGGGTGCTGTGGCAGCCTACAGAGTGGTTCAAAGATATGAGGTAATAGTTGGTCTAGTTTTCGTGGCGCCAATGTTTGTGATTACATTCTTTTTGAGGGATCCAGTGCTTGACGATGAATATGGCCAAAAACTGGATGGCGAAGAATACGTTAACAAAAGCGACGATCCAATTACTGATTGGATTGTGGCCCGCGTACCTGGCCTGAGAAAAAGAAATCAGAGACATTGAGTTCAATCTCTTCAATAGAGAAACAAACACTATACATCATGGTGATATTCATAATATAGGTAAATAATAGCAGTTCGAATAAGGTGTCACCGTCCTTCAATGTGATGCTCTTTTTTTCAACGACATAACAAATAATTATAGAGTGTTGTATCAAACCCTTCTTCAGTTTAGATGCGAAGAACATAGGTAAAGATTCCTTCTTTTTCAGACATATTCAGGAGCAGCACAAAAGCATGCAAAACACACTTAGCGGGTCTTGTTTTCTGTATTTGCGTAAACAGTCGGGTAATGTCGAAGGTTTTTGTAGCGACTCTTTACGGTTGATCGCTTCTTTCGAAGACACCACTCGTCCCGCTCTATTCTTAACTTCACTGTCAAAATGCCAACATTCTTGCACGATTTTTCCAGAAGATGGGACCGAAGAACCCTCTTCTAATTGTTCTTAATCTCAAGAGCTACAAAGCAGTCAGGACCTAGGAAGCTCCCCACGCTCGAATATGAATCAACATCCATTTCTCAATTAGCCAAAACTTTCTCAAGTTTGTAAGGTTTATCGTGCTCTGTTCGATCTGGTTCCGTAATTGACAATGTGTCGCCCACCCACTGCTTGCTTGCATAAATCTTCATTGCGCTCTTTAAAACGCAAATGATCTTCCGACTCCAGTCAGGGCTGTAATGCGGTGATTTCTTACACGTCTAGAGCAGCCAGGGAATGGGTTTACTAGCGTGTTTTTAATCAAAGGGCCCTAACTTTAGCACTGCTATAACCACCACGACCTCCCATGCGCACAATGACAGCTTTACGATTGGAAATTCAAAATGCCCTCTAACTCCAGAATTAAAGCTTCTATTTGTTGCCTAGGTCAGCGAAAAAGATGAGATAAGTACCTGTAGCAATGCCCGGGTTGCGAGGCTAAGGAGATGAGCTGGAATTCACATAGAAGGGCAATTGCTTGTTTAATAAGAGGAAATCATTTCCCTTACTGAAGGCGTGGCAAAATAAAGCCTTTTGACAAGATAGATGGCTCATGCCTGAGGCTTCATTTGACTCCGCTGCACCCGCTGACGAAGTTGATGCGAGAGTTTTGACGATTTTCTTGAATACTCAGATGCCCTCAATGGTAGCCTTCGTTCATTTCCAATGCGAATTTCGATGCATGGTGCATCAAATACGCAGAGAGAACGTCATGGCTGGCTTAAACACGGAAAGGAACCCAAAATCTTCGGACCAGGTGTCACTGTAATCTCTGAACACAAGGCTGGTCAGGACAGACGGTGAACCGAAGTTGTCTAGGTAATGGTCTGGCTTGCCTGGATGAGCCCATCTCTTACGTCAGACAAGTGATGAAAGTCCAAAGGTTGATAATTTGATGACAGATGACAACCTGGTAAGAGGTGACAGAAAAAACATCACATAAGAACAATTGAAAAATTAAGGATTATAAAGCCGCGGCAGCTTCTTGACGCGGACAATTATGCGGCAAAAACCATATTTTATATTCCCTGTCGTTGTAAAAAGGTCCTAACGAACACTTGTAATGATCGATACTACAACTGTTTGAAGAGTCACATGACCAGGTGAATTCCAGATGTGTTTTAGGGAGTCTTTGAGAGGGCAGGTAGTGTATTTAAGCTAATTTGGTGTGGTGTTCCGGATAAATCTCAAGCCCCGGGAGTCCATCTTTGGTGATAAATGTTACATTGCTTCTAAACGAGACGGTTTAGTTCCGAAGTTTTGGGTGAGTGACATGAAATTGCAAAGTGATATATTCTATGTTGACGCAGGTCGATCCATCACCATGAGCATTTCAGACAATAATGCTAAGGCACAGAAGCTTCCGAAACTGCATTTTTTTTGGTTCTAGAGACCTGAAATTGTCTTGTGTATGTAATCTGCGCACATTAAGCGGTTGCTGCTATCAAATAACCACTGAACTGCATATTGCTTTGAAATCGAACTCTTTTTTCCAGATTTTTTTTCTTTGGTCAATTCCATCTGCAAGTTTTTTGATTCTGATGGGTTGAGTTACTCCGGCAGCCTTCAAAGTGCAAAGCTTGTGTTGTCGATGACAAGCTGTTTTCTTGGCAATGATTTCATTACTCTCTTACGTAGTAACGTCGAACGACACAGTTTCACTCTCGCATGCAGGTTGGTCCACTTTGAATGCAACAATTCCCTATAGCTATAATGTTATTCATGTATGTATTCAAACCAGCAGAACTAGATGGAGTTTGTCTAGTGAATGAATGCTCAGTGCTATACGCTCTCCGTACTCTACGTACTCTTCGTACTTTGATATCGGAACTTCACCCGAGGTTTAGAAATGAAACAACCCATCAAGTCGGATCTCTGAACATCTCAAACGTATCGGTATCATCGATCAAACGACGTGACCTTGGCCTCTTTTCCTTCTTTTCCTTCTCTTCCTATCTCTAACCTATTCCCAGCTTCCACACGTGCCGTGATCTGGCTCAAACACGCCCTTTTCTTCTGTCACGTGATACCCCTCATCGGGGCTATTTGTTTTACTCATCATCGTCTCTAGCATCTTCTTTCTCAATCAATATATATATATGATATATAATATAATTTAGTCACAATCGATATTCGCCACCCAAGCAAACCGAACCACATCATCGCTCACAGCTTTTCACCACGTTAACGAGACACTAGCCGTACGCGCGATTTATCATATCCACATCGCTAGCTCGTCTTGACTTCACTTGTTTTCGAACGAGGCCCGTACCATTCCTGTAGCTGTCGCTAGAGGTACAATTTAGTCAGCGACAAGAATAAGAAGTTTGCGTCAAAAGAGACGCTAAAAGTGGTTTGAACTGGACCCAAAAGGTGTTTTTGAGAGCCTAAAACTACGTCAAACAAGTTTCTGGGACTGCCTGCAAGTTTTACTTCCTTTTACAGGGCCTGTGGACAAATTAAGTGCTCGGAAACAGCTGGGAGTAAACTGCCAAGAAAGTTCTTCTTTTACCTGAAAAACAAACGAAAGGCCGAAAAAAGGACGACACCTTATTGACTCATTTCTTCCAATATGACTACCGTTAAACGAGTTTTGGACTCCCCGGTGCCCCCGGAAGACCCTGTGAAACGTAGAGGCTCTAAGCCAGGTCGCAAACCACTCGATACAGAGGCCAAAAACAAGCGCACAGCCCAAAACCGGGCTGCTCAACGAGCGTTCCGCGAACGTAAAGAGCAGAAAATGCGTGAGCTGGAGGACAAGGTGCTGCGGCTTGAACGTGTGCAGCAGCAAAGCGAAATGGAATCCGATTTTTTGCGTGGCCAGCTACAGCAGCTCGTCACGGAACTCCAGCAGTATCGGCCCCAACAGGCTTCGGACTCGCATGTGCTCCAGTATCTTGCCAAGTCCGAGCAGCTGCAAAAACGGCACGAACACCTTCGTGGCCGTTCTCACAGTGGCAGCGTCAGTCGCAGTCGCAGCAGAAGCCGCTCTGATGGTAGAAATACTAGTAATACCACGCCTACGGATGCTAGCGAAAATTCGAGTCCGGCGGTCGATGACACCAAGATCAATGAAAACATGAAACGGAAAATGAGCTTTACTTTTGAATACCCCAGAGTTTCCGACGCATCGCCGGTTGAAAGCGCTTCAACAGCGGCATCTTCTGGTTTGCCTCCAAACAAGTCCTTGCCATTTTTGGCTCCAACTCCCAGCAGCTCCTCCGGATCGTTGGATCTCTTTAGCTACAACAACACCAGTGACAATCAAAGTTTACCAAAGTTCACACCTTCCACTAATTCGAACAGTCTGAGTAATGATTTCGACTTCAACTCTCACTTTGATGAGCAGGTGTCGGACTTCTGCTCTCAACTCAATGAAGCATGTGGAACTCGTGAGTGTCCGATGCCTAAGAAAAACAGCCCTTCTTCGCAATCGTCGCCAATCATACAGCGGTTGCAACAATCCCGAATGCCGTCCGTTTCTTCGCGTTCCGGTTCTTCTGTGAAATCTCCTAACACAACACAACAGCTGCCGCAGGCGGCACAGCGACAGCATGTTAAACAAGAACCGGAACAATTGACACTTACAAATTCCTGGGATTCTCCCCAATTTGGGCAAAGCGCTTTCAATTTGGAAGCCGAAGACCCCATCAACAAATGGATGTTTGGAGGTGCAGATTTCTCGAAGATCAGTGGCGTAGTAAAGGAACCGTCGTTTAGTGCGGAATCTTTACCTTTTATCGACACTTCTCTTGCTTTCCCCTCCGACCAACAAGATCATTTGTTCAACCACAATTCTGATGACGTTCTGACGCAGTTCTTCGAAGAAGATCCTACAGTGAATCAATTAACCACCGAGGAAAGTAGTTATGATCCTTTCAGACCAAACTTAGAATCGATAGCCGGGAAGGCTGCTTCGAGCTCAGACATTGCAGGCTCAACTCATTCAGCCTCTGAGTCAAGTGTATCTACTGCGATCACTGTGCCCGATCAACAACTCATAGAGAAGGCTTCTGCTTCCTCTTCAGCGTCAATTGATGGAGGAGCGGATTTAGTCGAAGACGTTGTTCCTTCGCGCGATGGGGAGATGCTCAAATGCTCTGAAGTTTGGGACCGTGTTACTGCACATCCTAAATACTCGGATCTCGACATTGACAGTTTGTGCTTCGAGCTGAGAACGAAGGCTAAGTGCTCTGAAAGGGGAGTTGTGGTCAATACAGATGATGTCCAGAAGGCACTGTCAAGACACATGACTTGACTTAGGAGGATTATCACCGAGAATTCAACTTAGGAATTAAAGAATTAACGGTAACGGCCGCTGGAATGTATTTTCGGAGATTCCTGTGCTAATATCACGATTTCCAGCGGTACCACAGGATGGGTATGCGGTATTATCTAATCTATGACCCAGTGGTTCACGAGAACGGACACGAATACACTATACCCCATGAGTTTTGTCTATAGCAGCGTATTCGTAAAAACAACAAGTAATAAAGGTTTATGAAAGTATAAGTGTTATAGTGGTGATGCTAGTTTGTGTGTGTGTGTGTGTGTGTGTGTGTGTGTGTGTGTATGCAACTTGAAGTGAGCTAACGGAAGTAACGACGCACTTTTTTTTAGGATATGCGACGAGAACCAAACAATCGATGGCCTGGGTTTTCCTCTACTAATTACAGGTAGCTATTCAATACTATATGAGAGACACCAATGATTAAAACAACACGATTTTGTATCTGGCTCGTCCCCAAGCCTGCAATGCGTATTTTCCTGAGGAAAAGGTCAATTTTGGCACACATCGCTGATTATTTGGGATGTTAATCATGCCTAAAATACAACAAGAAACGGTCGATTGCAAGTCGTAAAGTCAAAAGACGGCGAAGAATCCCGGTTGGCAGTGTCATTGTAGTACATAGTGATATGAACCGCCAGCTATAAATTCCAGCTTTGGTTGAGAGCGAAGAAAAGCTGGCATAACACATCTCAACCCAGTACCTTCTGCTTCTAAAATGTCTATGAGTAGTCTGAACCCTCGAACAAAACATATTCCAGAATATCGACAGACATCACCTGTATATTCGACAACCGTAAATAAACTGGAAACGATTATCTTTACAATGACAATTAGACCAATGAGCAAGCCAAAGCACCCTCGAAAAACACCGATTGCAAATTCACATTCTTACCAAGTCTCCTCAAAACCGTTGAACACAGCTCGAATTTCCAAAAGTTTGATTGATCACGTGCATTTCCCCAGATAATTAATTTTTTTTTTCTTGACGTATCCAGAGACAACAAATTTCGATAGTATACCCTGTATATTATAATTGAAATTGCTAGCCCTCAAGACTTGTTTCCACTTCGACAACACACGAAACCAGACTCTCAAGGGCTTTCAGACTACTAGAGAGATTGATCATTGTCGAAAAATACTTCTTTATTTGTCTTCTACAACTCTTTCCATTGCGGTGGCTTTTTTCGCTGGTAAAATAGCCTTAATATTGGCATATTGACTTTGATTTTAGGGACCCTATCCCTTGATACAAAAGACAAGCAAATCTGGAGGAATAGAAAGCTGTAAAGCTGTTAAATAGATTTCAAAGACACTGTTAAAATGGGAAACAATCCTTCGACGGCCAATTTGCCGCAAAACAAACGAACAAGCCAAATTATTACAGAGGAAATTCGAGACCGCCAAGGATCCATCACGTCCCAACTCTTCCCTAGTAGAGGCACGGGGCGACACCCTGAGGCAGTTAAAAAAGTAGGATGGACCAGCCGCGTTCTTCCCGGGTCAAAAAATGCGTCAAGATCCACGTCGTCTGGCCAGCAACATGCTGCAAAGTCGCCGTTCCGCACAAACTATTCCATGGACACGAAACAAGACTCTCCAGCTCCTTTCACCTTAAGAAAAAGCGCATTGGGTAACCCGGCACCTCCGATGTGCACCACAGCTCACGTCAGCGCTGATGAGTCGTCGTCTTCGTCCCTGAGAGATCATCTGGCAGAGCTATCGTTGCAGAATTCAGAAACGCAGCCAACCACCCTCACAACAACATCCAGTGCCACAGGCACGGCCCCTGCTTTTAGAAGCCCGGGACCAGCAACGCCTGTGGTCAAATCAACAAAAACAGACGCTTTACCGGATCATTTATCCAGCACCAACTCCCTGAAGAAACTGCTAGTGGAAGGGAAAATTGGAGATTCTATAAATCCTCCTTCTTCAAATGCAAGTACACCAAGAAGATCGAGTAGATCCAGTTCGGCGTTGTCTGATACATTTATGTCGGACGACGAGGGTGATGACGAAGAATCTCTGTTGCAAGGTGCAAACGACGTACTCATCAACAACTCCATTTTGGAAAATGCTATGAAGCGCAAAAGAAGCACTAACAAGAAAAGTGGCACCATAGGTCCCTCCCTCAGCTCTCATGAGACCCTGCATCATCCTGGCCCTAAAAAGTTGAAGCCCTTGAGCTCAGATCCAGAGCGGACAAAGCTACCGGATTTCAAGGTTATGCATGCTCGTCCCACAGATGAAGAGTCAATTGAAAACGCCATCTCAATGCCTCGACTGGTACAAGACAATTTTGACCGCATTGATTCCTTCGAGAAGGGAACAGCGGAGCATTTTGAAGGGACTTACAGTGGGACGGACATTTCGCAAAAGTTTCCTTCTCCATCGGAGCAAGACTCGACAAATCATGATGAGACTATTGAAACACACGTTTTAGTTAAGTGGAAGGATAACATAGTAGACCCCAAGACGTGTAAAATGTCGATAGTGAGCAGAGACATAATGTCGGTTTTGGGGCCTCACAACAAGTCGAAGAAGATCCCCATGACGTATGACACAAACTCGAAATGCTGGGTCGCTCCAAATTTATTTCTCCCACCAGGCATCTACAAATTTCAGTTTTTGATTAATGGCGAGTTACGGCATTCCGACTTTCTTCCTACCGCCACCGATTCTTTCGGTAATTGTGTAAATTGGTTTGAGGTTGTGTCCGGACATGAGGTGATAGAACCTTCGAAAGATGTCCCATCCATTGCAGATGCTAGGTTTGATGATAACGAGGTTTATGTCCCAAACTCAAGGTCTCCTAGACCGCAAATGAAGTCAGATTCATCATCCTCCGATTACAGGGGTTCCCACCGTCATTTCGAGAAAACAGGCACGCCTTATTCCGATTACACAGGTGTTTGTAGCAGATCTGACTCTTTCAAGCCACAATTGAATCAGAGACACACTAGTAGTCTCGATTTACTTGCTCCTCCGGCGCCTAAAGTACAACAGTACTCTAATGAGATTCCAGAACTATTCAAGACCAACTTTGAAGACGAGCCAGAATTACCAACTTATGAACAGCCGCAGCATCCTACAGCAGACGGTTTGGATCGCCCAAGCTTTCTACATCGGGTACAGGACTGTAATCAGGACCTGCTTTTTGCTGATCTGCAACAAGATGGAAAAATTGACTCTCAAGCAGCAGAGGAAGCTTTTCTTCAACAATATCCTACACCAGATCTTCCGGTCTACCTGGACTCTTCATTTTTAAATGCCGTATTCAGTCGCTTCCAGAAGAAAAACGAATCCAACAGCAGGGTGAATCACATTGTTCCTCACGTCAATCTGAACCATCTTTTGACCAGCAGCATCAGAGACGAAATAATAAGTGTCGGTTGTACAACAAGGTATGAGGGGAAATTTATTACTCAAATTATCTATACGCCCTGCTATTATGGTAACAAGGAAAGTTGACGGTTGGTGGAATTGTTCCCATGCTTAGGAAATGCATATTTTACAGATTACTTAATGCGTGCAGACTTAATCACATTATGAGGCATTTGGGTTCTGCCTTCTTGCGTTTGGCCATCCTTTTGCGCTTGAACTTTGCCACTTTCTGCTTCAAATGCACAGTTTCGTTGTCAAAACTACTGAAAGGTTTGAGAAGGGATGGCATAGTCTTGGCTCTCGCAACTGTGCTCATAGACCCGGTACTGATTGTTTTTGATAGGCCACTCTTGGCTGAAGATTTCGACTGTGTCTTCAAGAGTGCGTCGTTGAAACTAGGCTGATCGCTTCCGCTTGGGGACTCGGTTCTAGACAGTGGTCGTTTATAAGGAGAGTCGTGATGGAATGCCCAATCACCTATGCTCTTGACCGTTCTAATTGAACGATGGGCTGTCGATTTATTGGAATTGGTGCGAGTTGCAGCGTACAGCTGGAAAATTTGCGGGTCCTGTACTCTGTTGTTCTCCTCATTTTCCATCACATCGTCATCATCGTTACCAACAACAAAGTCATTTTTAGACAGTCCACAAAAGGGTGATATTGAAGTGCCAAAACTGGGACCACTCATGCAAGTATCCATTTGCGTCAAGGTGGAGTTCAACGTAGTTTCTAATTTTAGTGTACGCTCTGATAATGCTGACACGGAAGCATTAGGCTTTGGAGACAGGCGCGAAACGTCTGGACGATACTCTTGGGCATCCGCAGCCACGTCATCTTGAATCATGACCAGGGTATAGAATAGGACTTTTGGAAAGAACTTGTTCAGTTCAAGAACATCGTGTAATGCAAGCATTTGTAAATTGTTCATGGAAAATTTGTCGTCATATAAAAGCCAATCATCATTGACATGGGCCACATTAGGATCGTTGTTGGACTGCCTTATGGCTGTGAATAATTGGCGACTCTCCGGTCGCTGTATAAGTATTGATTGCAGGACCAGCCTGAATCGACCAAATTTCTCTGAGATAGACAGAGACGGAAAAATAGAAGTCATTGAGCTCGAATAAGGCGAGCATTCTGAATCGTAGCTCAGCGATCTTAGGGAGTGATCTACACTCGATAATTCCGATAAACTATCTTCATCAGGATTCGAAGATAAATTGCTATCCTCTCGTGTAATCGTGTGAGTTAAGGCCTCGCCATCATAGGATAAACCATCCGCGCTTCGAATCGACGACATGCCTGTCGAGGATGTGTTCCCCGTTTGGGTCCCATTGGAAGCCTTAAAAAGTTCTGACGTTTTCTTTGGAACTCTACTATGGATGCTATGATGCCTGAACTGGAGAACAAGCTCGCTGCCATTGTCGTCTTCGGGACTGCCGAGCCCTGAGTCGGCCGTATCTTCCTCGTAGACAGCTTGGCACTGGCTATCGTCAGGAGTGTTTTCGCAGTCACTGGAATACACAGATTCTGAGTTTTCAACTGTGACGGATCTGACCGACTGGCCAGAAACCTCTTGATTATGATCCGAATCTTCTAAAATGACTGTGGAAGGCTGAGGTGCTCTTTGTGGACTTGGAGGCTCAACAGACGAATCCAATGAATCATACCCAGTTTCTCCGCTAATGATGCTCATCTGATTGTTGGACGACGGTGGTGGAGGTAAGAGTTCATTATGAACGGCTCTGTTTTTGGACCCAAACTCCAAAAACGACTTATCGTTAAAATTGCTGAGATTATCGCTTATAAGGTAGTGGTTTTCGTGATTGTAGCATTGCTCCTGCGTCAATTTGCAAATCTGAATGTACTGTAAGTCGTCTAAATGAAAGTAGTCTCGCAAAAAGTTTTCTAGCAGATTGGTGTTTTCGTGGATAGCATCAGGTATGGACACTAACAGTAGTTTTTTATTGAACGGGAACGTTGCCGACAGAAGTTGTTCGTTTAAGAATCTTTTCAGTAGTGCAACTTTAAGTTCGTTGTTGTTGAGCTCTTCAAAATTCCCGCGTCTCAAATTGCTTAGATACCACGCCCACAAGCCATTATCGTCGTTGCCGAAATAGTCATCGACTTTGATAGAATTTCCAACCATGGCAGCACAGGGATTCCGAACGCAAGCTAAAAACTAGATTGTGCGATCGATTCTTGTCTGTTACTATCAAAAAGCTAAATGGCCGGCAAGCCTAGATAGAATAGAAGTCCCGCGCCAAGTGAAGAGAAAACACCAGATAATCCCCAATAAAAGAAAATCAGAAATTTTGGTGTTTGAAAAGGCGTACTTTCCAAAGTCAGTTTTTGTCCAATTTGAACCTTCAAAGTACAGTATGTCACCGCCAAAATATTGGAAAAGAAAGGCAAAAATCGAGCGTTCAATCTCAAGTCTTATTCCGAGCACTTTGAGGCCCTTGAACGAATCAAATTGTCACTTAAAGTTCCGAAATTCGCAAAACTCGGCAGAATTCCGGCACTATCTCGAATAACAATAAACCTTGAGGAAATATTAAAATGTCAAAACACCACCGACAATTCCACGCTCACCTTCAGTTCACCATCAATTGGGCCAGACTAGGTAATCCTCGAGCTCTCTAAACGTATAAATTTAGGAGCTTGAATGTTGCGTGTTTTTATATCTCATCTGAACCGGATCTCGCATTTTTCACATTGATATATATAGTGTTTGTTGATGTTGATGCTAAGCAGAGTGGATATCGCATAAATACATCGAAAAATGCCTCAGGGTGTTATGGCCGGGTAACCACAAGATGCCAACTGTTAACAGTGACGATTTTTGATACCCTGGCGCGGACCATGTAAAGAGCGCTTAAAGACTCGAGAGATATTATTCTGGTACCGGTGTAAGTGTGGGTATCTAATGGTAGTATTTTGGATATTTAAAATTCGGGTTGAGATGGTTTTATGTATTTTTTTAGTTTTCATTTTATTGGTACCGACTTTCAAGAGCATTTTTAGAGATGGTGGTGTATGAGGGAGCCCATGGTATCAGGTTTCGAGAATTGAGAGTTGTGCGTGTTTGTGGTGAGTTTCTGGCTTTACGGTGGAGGCCGTTTTAACCCAGTCACATTGGATACGTCCGAAAGTTATATTAGAGGAACAAAATATTAAATTTGGCAGAAACAGATGCTTAAAATGCGTAAATGTGCTTCGAAATGCGCATAATTTCCAAAAGACGATACACTTAGGCCGCTATTCCAAAAGTGTTCAGATCACTGTAATTGTAACTGCCTTCTTCCTTTTCTGTCCGCTTCGAAAGCCAGTCGTGGGTTTGATCCATCCAATAGGTAATAAGTATTATGGTTACACTTTATATTAAAAGTTTATGCTAATTCTCGGCCCAGCCCAGAGAATTCTCTGAGGAAATAGGTCCCGAAATTTGTATTTTATGCAGAGCATCCTTGGTATGCCCGTGAGGTCCCATTTCATGAACCGTGGATGACCGCGAGCGGCCGCTTCCATGAAAAATGTTGGCGCCGTGCAAAGTGGAGGCAATCGACTGACGGAAGCTCGCCCGCACTGATTTGTCTTGGCGCGATGCAAAAGCACTCTTAGACCTTTCTTGAACCTTGACCGGAGTTGTCTCGGGAGGCTCCATTGTTGACAGCCGGACTTTTGCTCTCCTTGAATTTCTCTTTTCCTTACGTTCAGCCGAATGTTCTTCGCTAATCATAGCAGTAGACGAGGCGACTCGAGGGTGCGTCAACACTTCGTCGTCTTCGTCGTCTCTTTCGAGACTTATGACAGAGTTTGGTCTAGGAGGTCGTTGTGGGCGCACACTATTAGCCTCTCCGCGAGAATCTTGGTGAGAGTTATCTGGCGCTCGTCCCGCCCATGGCGCGCTTCTAGTGCCTTCCAAAAATCCTGTTTCTGAGTTACCAGAAAAGGCAGAAAGGGAGTGGGTATTACCAAATGACGAAACCCGGCTTGCAGAGTGTATTCTCGGTATGCCACTCACATAGGTATTAGAGCTCGAAGACCCACCCAAAGCCCCTGTGAGACCACTGGCAGTCGATAACCTTCTATACATCACTTCATCCAACTCATCAAAATCACCCACATGTACATCGTTGACTTCATCATCGTCGTCACTAGGCGATGCAGAACTCATGTCAAAATCTTCAACGTCATCTGCATTTTCCATGTAAGCTCCTTCAAAAGAGCTGTTATCAGAACCGTCCTCCATGTGACGTTCTATACCAACGTCATTAGGGTCCATCTCTCCTCCATGTCCTTCACTGTAGAAATATTCCTCAAAATTTTGATCTTCAGTGGAAAGTTGTCCCATCAGATTGGAACTATCATTCGAGAGAACATTGGCTTTGGAATCGCTATTGCTATTGGAAATTGCTTCTTGCGTCCCGGTCGTCAAAGGTGTGGGTGATTGTGCATTCTCTGTGTCTGACAAACCGCCCAAAAACTGATTCAACCTATAAAAGTTTTCGTTATTGTAACTTTCGAAAGTGTCAGTGTTATTTTGGTCCAAAGAAAGTCGTTCAAAATCTAAGACAGACAATTCAACGTTTCCTTCGTCATCAACGTCCAGCTCATCAAACTCTGAAGCCTGATGAGTCTGTGCAATTGACGTTGAGCGCTGTTCCCCGCCAAAACGTGATCCAGATGCCAATTCATCTCCATTGCGCTGGGAGTGTGGGCCGCTTGCATCAGTATTTAGTACCGGAGCATAAGCACCAGCAGGAGTTCCGGCGAAATAGAAGTTGCCGTCCTCATCCGTTTGATAATACAGGCCAGTACTTTTACTGAAAACCATATTGTTACTCATGGGTATTAAATCGTCATCTTCAGAAGCTTCTGAGCTACTGCTGCCGCCAGGCATGTTGTGACTTCCGAGATATTTCTCCAGGTCTCTTGATATACGAGACGGGCGGCGACTAAATGGTGCCATGAAGAAACCCTGTACAGTTCGTTCATCAACATTCCATTCTTTCTCTTTCTGCTCAAAGTGCTGTCTTACTGGAGTCAACCGAAAAAGGCGCGCGAAGAGTGCAAATAAGATTAACACCCAGGTAGCTAGGAAAAACAGAAATATGGGTATCAAAATAATAAGTCTTTTGCCTTTGTTGAAAGTCACATCGAAGAGGTTATAACCATTTAGTGCGCCTGATCCGCTTTTAGTGGCTTTTTTCCCTGAGCCGGTTTTAGCCCCAGTGCCTCCCCCGCCAGTACCCGTTGATGAGCCGGACCCTCCTGAAGAACCACTGGACCCTGGAATGTTTGGGTCAATGAGCCCCGTAAGAGGTATGGTGGGGTCTATCAATAGTGACAATGATTTCAAAGCAGGATCGGGGTTCGCGTATATTCTCGAATTGTTGTTCAAAACCATCTTCTGTAAAACGTTAATAGCATCTGTCGGGAAATAAACAACCGCAATCGAACTGATGTATCGGTCACCAGCGACTATCAACGGCATAATTTCACTTACGGCGACGCCTGAAAAGTTGGCACGGAACGCTCCGGAAAAATTTCCATGCGATCTAGATTCTTTGACAATTATAGTCCCAGAGCCTTGATTTTGATCATCGGATCGTGAACTGATTCTATGCTTCCACTTTTCATTGGTTTTTTTCGAGAGAGCAGTCATATTCAAGTTTTCCAATCGACTGCTTGTAGTAGCGTTTCGATGATGGTCTTGCCAGCTCGTGAAAGGAAACGTTAAAATTCCCGGAAGGAAACTGAATATCTGTGCTGAGGCTAGAGGATTTTCGATTAGAAATGGATAGTTCAGAGCTCTCTTGAAGCCCACAGTGATTTGTGAGTAGTTTTTCGGCTCAAGAACGGGAGCAGTCGGTAAAATGACTTGCGGTAGGGTTGCTGTTGCTTGAGCGTCAAAACTTGACTGATAACTGGCACTCTCATACGGCGGTGCCGTTAGAAGCCCTGTAGGGAGCCAGTTGGATGTCCCGCTATTTATGATGTCCTTGGAGGTGGACGAGGGCTCCGACGACGCATTTAACACCGAGGTATCACTCGTCGAATGCTCCACTCCCGATAATAAGCTCCCGCTAGCCGCGGATGCCGAGGTCTTTGTGAGAAGCTGAGATCCACTAGATGTGACGAAAGCTGAGTCGGGTATTTTCGTATTGCTCGCAGCGGTGCGCGCCGAAGAGACAGAGGACTCGGAGAGAGTTTGCGCGAAAGATGACATACGTCCACTTACTGAGGTCGAAGACACAGAAGTTCCTGTTTCTGCGAAGTGGCTACTCTCACGAGACATTGTCATACCTACCGGCTTTTGGCTGCTTTGAAAGCTAGATCGTTCTGACTGAACATATGTTTTCGAGGTCGCCACGGATGAAGAAGCAGTCTCGAATGAGCGGGTATCAGAGGAAGCGAGCACATCGGGTGTTGTCAAAGATGCACTAGAGCTGGATTTTCGAGTCAACACTCCATAAGAATTTGATTCCCCACTGGACGGTTTCGCAGTTGGGATTGTGAAGTATGTTGCACTTGACAGGTGAGGAAGCGTTGATTCCAAGAAAGAGGTTTCTGATTGGATTGGCAGTGAAGAAAGATAGTTGGGCTTCAGTGACGACCGCCCAGAGCTTTGCGCAGAAGTGACTATACCACCACTTACAAAAGACCCGCCCACAGATGAGGACTTTGTCAAAAAACCAGAATCTGAAATCGAAGCTCCAGATTTAGAAGCAGAAATCGCTAAAGAATTCAGGACGGAAGATGAGATGCCGCTGGGTGGCGCGTTCGTAGTCCCAACGGCTGGTTGTGAATTAGAGAAAATATTGGTCAGACTGCGTGATTGTGTTGCTCGGTATGATGAAACAGAAACACTGGTTTTCAATAAAGGGGAAGACGTGAATTGAGGAGTTGCACTAGCACTATGAGATCCCGTAAAAGCCTCTGAGATTTCATCAGAATGCGATGGCGTTGCAGATATTATGGTTGCTGATGGTGCGTTCAAGGAGGATGCGGAAAGACTCTGAAGTCCTGTTTCATAAGAAGCTTGCTCACTTGTGGCAACGAATGAAACTATTTGATTTGACGGAGATGTGGAGGTGTCGGTAGAAGAAGCGGTGATTCGAGAAGCTCCTCTGCTGGTGACCGATGGCGTCCCTGTGAGGGGTGCTGATTCAAAACTTGATCGTAACGGCGAGGACAAAACGTTGGATGAGAAACTTGGAGAGAGGAAAGTCACTCGTGAAGTATAGCTATTTTGCACATTCGTGCTTGATTGTGTATTAGGTGATAGCACAGATGGAGTTGGAACTGTTGTGGATTTGTCGTCATGGCTGCTCCCCGTTGTTTTAGACAAAACTCCCATACTTCGAGTATCCCCGTCACTTCTGACTGACGAAAGAGTTCGAAAATTATTGGAAGTCATTGTCTGACTGAAAAACATGCTGTGTGCACTTTCTGTGCTTCCGGCCGTTGAACTAGGGTTCGTAGGTACTCGAGTGTTTAGTTGAGGATCAGAATTGGCTGCAGACGGTGAGCTATCACTGGATGTGTCACTGGAGTAGGCGGTATTTGCGATGGACGTTCTCGATTCGTCACTCGCAATAAACGATGGACTGGCCTCAGTCGTGAATGTACGCTCATCAGAAGTCTCTGATGGTTTTTGAGTAAAAGTGGGAGATGATGATGCCGCCATGACGGAAGAAAACGAACCTGTCGTACCTGTCGATGATATTTCTACAGCGGTAGTCGGCTTTGAAGGATAGGCACCTACGGATGATGCCTGTGCCTCTGCAGTGGACGAGGATGAAATTTCGTTGGCGCTGGTGTACGACGGATGAACACCCGAATCCTCAGTTGATGGTGATGTGCTAGTAGCGGACAGCGAAGTCGCAGCAGAGAAGTGATCAGAGCTCGTGAACGTTTCAGTAGCGGCAGTGACAAGCGAATCAAGACTGCCGGCTGAAGACTTATGAAGAGCGCTGAGAGATTCATGGAAAGCGCTGCCGGTTAAATAGGCAAAGCTGGGAGTTCTAGTGGGTGAATCGATACTTGGTTGCGAAACCTCCGAAAAGCCCCTGCTCGTAGATTCTTTCCCAAAAGTTGATGAGCTGATACTGCTGCCAGTGGGAGAGAATTTTTCAGCAGGGGTATCTGACACCCTCACACTGGAAGTATCAGTGCCTGAATTCCCTGCAGCTGAAGACGCTTGAGGACTTCGAGTAAATGATGGGTTTGGACTGGAAAATGTTCCCACGTTGGATGCAGTCTCAGTAGTTGAAATCGCCAGGCTAGTACTGCCTGTTGAGGAGGTTAAGCCACTGCTAGATTTCTGCGCTGCAGAAAGCGAAGCAATGACTTCGCTGATGGGCGTCACATTGTCGGACGCTGTCGACGTGCTCGTAGTTTTGGTGAAAGAGGCGTCGAGGCTGCTCGAACCAAGCGTCTGTGTGTCGGTTGTGGAAGAAGCAGTGGCGTGACTAGTCAACAGAAAGCCTGTCCTAGGTGAGGATGTTTCTTCGACCTCTGATGTCGTTGATGTTCCAGTGTTATCACTGAATCTAGTGGGTGACGATGATGTTTGGCTTGGAGTATTCACAGAGGTAGGTGAATCTGATGGACTCTCGCTCGACGTACTTGTAGAAGTGGACGAGCTGGTGGGCGACGATGAGGTTTGACTTGGAGTGCCCACGGAGGTAAGTGAATCTGATGGACTCTCGCTCGAAGTACTTGTAGAAGTAGATGACGTGGTGGGCGACGATGATGTTTGGCTTGGGGTACTAGCAGAGGCGGGTGAGTCTGATGGACTCTCGCGCGATGTGCTTGTAGAAGTAGATGACGTGGTGGGCGACGATGATGTTTGACTTGGAGTATTCACAGAGGTAGGTGAATCTGATGGACTCTCGCTCGAGGTACCTGTAAAAAGAGACGACGATGTAGTTTCGGAAGATCCGCTTTGTATATCAAAGCCAGATGGCTTGAGCGTTGACCCAGATGGCTTGAGCGTTGACCCTGGGGCAGATTCTGTAGATGTGAGGGCCTGTAATGGCACCGAGCTCGAAATCTTGTCTGCATTGGTCGACTTTTCTTCTGGCGAGGAGCTTTCGGCAAAATTTGAGGGCGCAGAGCTGGAATGTATTGCAAATGAGCTTTGTTGAGTGTTTGAACCTGGGACGATCGTTGACGATTCACTAGAAGTAGAAGTTGGACCCGTTGGGCTCGAAGATTTGCTCCCGGTGTCACCACTGCCAGCAGTAGTGACGGATGCCGCACTCGTCGTAGCAAAAGTTGTAGCCACGAGACTTGAAGTTACGGAGGGCGAGTTTTTTTGATCTGAGCCACCGCTTGAAGAGATCACAATGCTGTTTGGATCAGAATCAACGTAGCTCTCGAAGGAAGATGAAGGAGAAGTGCTCGTCGGGAGATTGGTCGACCCGGTTGGATGTGAATCACTGGAGTCCGTTGACATTGCTAAGCTCTCAGAGCTCACAGTAGCATCGTCCTGAAGTGACAGCCCTCCTGACGAATCTGCTCGCTTGTGAAAGGTGTCTCCTGCCTGCGCAGGAACAACCAGAATCAGGATATACACCAGCAAGCATACCAAATTTCTCGTTTCCACTCTCGTGGTCATGGAAAAGAAGCGCCAATTTCTGGCAGCCGTCCTACTTCGAGTCTCAGTCCAGTGCGATGGCAGAGGGCTGGGCAATGAACGGATATGTAAAATAGCGTGGCGTCGATAGAAGTCGTGCTTTTATTGACTGCCGGTGTCTCGGAAGGTGTGTGGACCTCTCACGCAGTCTCGAAAGATGAAGGCGGTTGGCTTTCTCTTCTTAATCTCAAATCTTGGTATAAATTAAATCCAACCTCACCACACATTCTTTCATCTCATTCCCGCTTGCGTTCTTCCAAAATGGGTAGCTAGTGAAGACGGTAAATTTCTAAAATAGGATGCGGGTCACGTGGTAGTCGAACATACGCTTCTTAATCATGTTTAACGAATTCGGATTAGCCGCCCACCTACTTTTTTGAACACAGTTACAAAAACGGAAGGCGATAGTAAAAGCATTGTACTTTGTTTAGGAAAAATGCATGGTAGAGAGCTTTGCGTTTAAGATGGCCAGATATCTGTGCCCAACACAGTTCGACCCAGCGGCAAGAAGAGTTTCCTTCTCGAAAACTGCTTCAACGTCACCCGAAAAGGGCAGCTTCGACAGTGCACGAACTAACAACATAGCGGAAATCTCATCGAAGACTTTAAAATGTGCTGTGATGAGTGCTGCGCTTCTGATTTGATCTGTTCTTGTGTGTGGAGTCCACATTTTATAGTCCCAAAAAGTGGTGTGTAGTGAATTGAACTGAAAATTTCTGTAGTGGAATTTCAAAAGTCTGAATATGTATATCCTTATATGGTCACAAGAGTGGGTTTGTCACAAAAAAACCGCCAAGTGACGCTCTGTAAAGCGTTGCTTAGCCCATGAATGGTGAAATGTTTAAATAATACAAGTAGTATGGGCCGCGCTATGCGTGGTTATCTCTCGACCCAATCTAAAGAACTCATTTGTGTCAATCTACTCAAAGCTCTAGCGAAGGCAAAACGCTCTTCGTCCAATGTGAAGATATTAGAGTTCAGCACCGATGCTTCTTGCTCGGTATCGACGGGACGTAGCATGTAATCGTTTTGAATGGCCTCTGGCTCGACGAAGAGCTGTTGAAATGGAGCAGCAGATGTAGTTGCAAGTTTTCCTCCATTGTCGTAGACGGCGTCGAGAAAAGTGATGAAACGCCTGACTTCGTCACGAACATGAATTGACAGATAAGGGATATCGGTGACAACGAAGCATTTGAAGGCACTGGAAAGCGCCAAGTAGTCTCCTGCGGCAAGCGGGTTGCCACATAGCTCCTTGAAAGAAAATTGCGCAACTCTTTCTGGGGTACACCGCGGTACATTGAGCTCTCTACCCCAGACTTTGAGCTTGAAGTTGGTGTGGATTTCGTGGGGCTCATTGCCTTGTCCATGGGTCTCTAACTGCGAAAAGTACTCGTACCATTGTTTTACGTGCTGCACTCTTGCAGCTGTACACTCAGCCGACCTATAGGGTACTCCTTTGGGTGGAAAATAGTACACGGAAGAAAGTGGGCGGCTTACTTTGCGGTAGTCAGTTTTGGAGTCCAGTTCGACTACCTGGGTCCTTTGCTTGAGCAGTTCGATGCAAGGAACGAACGATTCTCGTTGAATACCATTGATATACAGGTCGTCTGGTTTCCTATTACTGGTGGCAAAAAGCACTACACCATATTTTTTGGACAGCAGCGCCGTCATGAGCCTTCTCAGGACCATGGCATCTGCCACGTCTGTGACCTGGAACTCGTCAAAACACAGTACCCTCGATTGGCGTGCAATTTCTGTAGCCAGGAAGGGGATCGGATCGATTTCCTTGTGTTTGGCACCTCCTAGAGCGTCAAGGTTGAGCTCGCTAATAAGTTCGTGCGACCGCTTATGCACGTATTGCATGAACTGATGGAAATGCATCCTGCGCTTTGTGAGATGCGGCGGGACGGTTGAATAAAATAGATCCATGAGCATCGTCTTGCCACAACCAACATCTCCATATAGATAGATCCCCTTTGGAATGCCCTCTGTGGAGTATTTAGGCAGCAGCAGCATTTTACCCAAAAAGCTTGCCCTCCAACCAAGTTGACTCAGTGGATTGGGATCTCGTACCTGGGGTGGTTTGTATTCCACAAGCGATTCATAAAGCTTGCTTAGTGATGAAATGACAGATCTCTGCAGCGGGTCGTCATTGAGCCTTCTTGATTTTACTAATTGTTCATATTTTTCTAAAGGTTTGCAATAGTTTGAATTGGACCTTGCAAACGCCAGTCTTGCTAATCCAACTTTGAGAGCTGGATAACCAAGTAAACTTGATCCCACTCGTAACGCTCTCATTGTTATCATGCAACGCTCTTGTCGCGAATTTCACTCACCGTACGCCCTCTGTCGATCCCTTCGCTTTATCTGTTCTAATTCAGTCGAGTGGTTAAATCCTCGAGAAGCTAGATAATTTTGACATTTTTACCGCATATAGCTCCAAGTTCGGCTATCGTAGAAAATCGGCCCAATTGGTAGGCTCAAAAAGCACAACATGAAGCTCAACGGTTCATACTTTGCTCGGCAATTTTGAAGCTCAACTAACGAACTCAGAGCGTTCTTTTCGAGGGTCAACTCAACGTCTTTCTCATATCACACCTTCACTGAGAATATCAATTTGAAGATCGCTTGTAAAGAAAGTACTCGTGGATTTAAAGATTGTATTCGAACTTCAAAGTTTTTACACCGACGCTATATTAAGGAATAGTCTAGTCTAACACATCGATTATATCGAAACTTAGCGTTACCAAGGTGAAAAGTGCAACTTACTTGCCAAAATGGAGGCCTTGAAGGCTCAATTGGAGCGCCTTAGCATAACTCAGGACCTTGTTGATGTTACTGTGGAACTCCAAAGCCTTGCGAAGGGAATGAAGCCCGAAAGCGTTATCAAAGCGCCTTCGTTCGATTTGTTCGAAGGAACACACTCTCTGGAGATCGACAATACTAAACTGGACTCGAGTCTACTACAGCTGACGCAGAAAGAACAGGAATTTGACTGTACCGTTGTGCATGGGAGTTCCGAAGAACAAAAAGCCGAGTTTGTAACAGCCGTTGTGGATCGTATTTGCAGATCTATTGTGCTATGGCTCAATGAGTTCCAAACATTGCCAACGACTTTGCTGAGCTGCCGATACGTGGAATATATAATGCATCGATACACTCAGGATCCGCGGGGCGATCTCAGTACATGTCGGCTACAAACGGGTGATTTGCTGTTTGATCAAGTTCTTGCAAGCTGCGTGATTGGCGCATGCTTCTTCGTTAAGTTCGTGCAGACTCTGTTTAGGGCAGGCGTCGTCTTTGAAGAAGAGGATCTCAATTGCAACACTATGGGCCTAGACATGCTCTCTAGCGTTACTCTCGAAACGGTCCTATCACATCTCGACTCGAGCCAACGACTGCTAAAAAAATCATACCCCAAAAATCAGCAACTCCTTACACTCGTCGAGCTGCTGACGCATTTAGTCGAACTTCACAAGTTTTTGCCGTCAAACGAAGAGTCTTTTGCTGATCCATATTTGGAACCTCTTCATAAGTTAATTGGCTGCGCAGAACAAGCCAAGAGTAGTGAGATGCACAGTCCCGAAGTGTGTGAAGGAGTGTTTTCAGCAGGCATCCAAAAAAGACTGTCTAATCAATTTCCGCCCAGAGCGATTGTGAACCCAAAAGGCAACGAATACGAAGGCTTCGTTGAATTGGCGCAAGACTTGTTGCTTGTACTCTCCGTAGAACAAGCCAAAACCATCACAGAAATCTCCCAGTTTTCTCGCTTCTTCAACCGCAACAAGCAGCGAAACGTTATAGCTCGAGCTTTGTTCCCACTCTACTTGATGAGGGATGACCAGACGGTGTTGGGTCAATATATGTTCAATGACTTCTCTTTACTACATCTGAAGGAATTTTCCCTGTGTAGCACATCCTTGTCTACTGCATTGCAACAAGAGCCTATGGAATCACCACTGAGACAGAAGTTTGAGGATTTCTTACAGGAAATTTCAAGTGTTTTGTTTGAATGGTATCAGACTACATCACAGAATCGCTGTAGATATAGGCAGGGCTACAATCGCCAACTGTTACTGTGGGATTCGTTGCAAGCCCAGATTGAGACTTACGAATTGGAACTGGAGGCACATACCATAAAAGATATGCTTGACGAGGAGAATTCGCTCATGCCCATGACGACTTGGGCATTCTACATGAAATTACGTGCCATGTCCGACTTTGTATTGATGGGATTTGAACTTGACGTTTACAGACCATGGGAGTTTTTTAGCATGTTTTGGTACAGCTACTACTTGAGCCAACACTTGGAGAACAATCTAGCCAGAGTATCGAAATCTCTTGACGCAAAGATCGGGTCAATCATGAGCCTAAATAAGAAGCTCAAGAAATCGAAGGCAGGTGAGAAAAAGGACAGAATACGAGAGGTTTATCGTTCTAGAATGGCAGAAGAAATGCCATTCCTGACGAGTACAAAAAACTTTGTTGCATACAGCATCTTAGATTGCAACGTAACGAAAACACTTTCACTGGTCGGGGCTTGTCAGTTCGCGATATTGAAGTCTTGCGGATTGATTGATAACCAGAATGCAGCTAGCACCACGTTCAGCTCATCGGAACGGGTGCACAAACTCAGATTCAAAACATTCGCTTCAATAGGCGTCCCTGAACTGCCGACCCACGCAATGTTTCAGCAGGCTCTGGAAGATTTTGTTGTCACAACGGGGCCCATGTTTGGCGTCAAGCTGACACAATTTATCAACTATTCGCTTGAAGAGCTCGAAAAGGCAAAGAAGTCTTTGCGAAGCATCATGGAGGATATACAAAGTGAGGGAGACATTGCAGCGGCCACACGGTTGGTGCAAACCGAATCTTTGGATTACTACAATAGTCTTTTCCGTTCTGCCGAGGCTTTGACTATAAATGCACGAACTTTGAAGGCAAAATTGAACAACGCGACGGTAGCTGACTTGGTCAAGAAATACAAGGTAGAGGTATCTCGTCCGAAAGGAGGATGTCCGTACTTTCCCGTGCTGATAATCAAGGAACTGAAGTCGCAATAAACCCTTTCTGGGCTCAGTCATTAGAGCACAATGATGGCTATTGGGAAATTTTTGTCATTAAGCATAGCTCAGGTGTATTCATCAAGCAAACTAGTCGGTACGGGAGCTGCTCACTGAGCAGGGAAGGACAGCAACAGAACGCGGGAGACTTTGCGCGGCAAGTCTTGTCATTCTTGCAGTTCAGATGCAGCAACATACCATGCTGTATCAGCGACTTGTGACTGACAGGCTGCACTTCCAGTACGTACCATCAACAGCCTCTCTCTTAGCCATAATGTCAACATCGAGCGGTGTCACTAATTGCTTGCCTGTCCAACCTCAGAGACAGCTACTCGTATTTCGAGTCGCGACCAGATCTTTTGGTTAGCAAACCAACTAGTCGCCTCTACCTATTACATAATAAAGCATCGGCATCAGTTGTGACTGCTTTTAAAGAATAGTCATCTTCAACGAAGTCCGCTAAGTGCTGTCTTGTTCAAGTTGTAAGCTTCAACGCGGTGAAGTCGGCTGCTAGCTCTAGTGCTACGATGTTCTGACCTCACTTATCTCTCTTCTCAATGTTCCACTTAACCGCGTGTCTATAACGTTACTCAAATCCACCTCTTTGAACACCCATACCTTTTCTCGTCTCGAAATTTTATTTCAGAATTTTTGAATTTTTTTGCGTAGATGAAGTCTCAACCCACGCAAAAAAAGCGACTCATTTTCCAGCTGGCATCCCAGCGAGCTAGGCAGGATCCTGGGGATGCTCCGCCTAGCGCTAGGCAAGGAACTGCCGCTACCTCAGCACCAGGCCTGTCTGGACATCCCTTGTTCTAGGCTCACCCCCCAGTGGGACACCCCTAGCGCGTGGGCAGACCTTCAGGACCTCCTGCGTACTGGCGTGTAGTGACTATTCTGTTCAAGATTACTCTCATACTGGAGATTTTGGAACTTTCCTTTGAGAAGTAGATCCTCTCCACATACCCTCAGTAAAGATCCGCAAGAACACAAGATGCCTCCAAAGTTCGACCCAAATGAAGTTAAATACTTGTACCTAAGAGCCGTTGGTGGTGAAGTTGGTGCTTCCGCTGCTTTGGCTCCTAAGATCGGTCCTTTGGGTTTGTCTCCAAAGAAGGTCGGTGAAGACATCGCCAAGGCCACCAAGGAGTTCAAGGGTATCAAGGTCACCGTGCAATTGAAGATCCAGAACAGACAGGCCGCCGCGTCCGTTGTTCCATCTGCTTCTTCTTTGGTCATCACTGCCTTGAAGGAACCTCCTAGAGACAGAAAGAAGGAGAAGAACGTCAAGCACAGCGGTAACTTGCAATTGGAAGACATCATTGACGTTGCCAAACAGATGAAGGACAAGTCTTTCGGTAAGAACTTGGCCTCCGTCACCAAGGAGATCTTGGGTACTGCCCAGTCCGTCGGCTGCCGTGTCAACTACAAGAACCCACACGACATCATCGACGCCATCAACGCCGGTGAGATTGAAATCCCAGAGAACTAAGCTTCTTTTGGGGGGTCGCAAGACATCAACAGTGGGCATCAAAAGAAAACCTGTTAAAAACACAACAATCACACAAATTTTCTGTATTTTCTAGTCTAGGGTTTTTTTACAATCAAACAAAGAAAGAAAGCTTAATGCGTTTTCCGTACACGCCTGTGAATTGTTAAACTATATTACTTGGGTACCTTTCTTCACGATTGATCCAAGCCTTGACCTTGATTGAAACAGCTGCTTCCAATACTAACCAACTGTCGCGCGTGAGTGTGCCGTATCCTACACATCGCGGTCTTGAACCCCATTCTACGTTTGTCTACACTCTGGATCTTAGCCAGGGTCTGGTGGTTTTGTTCACATGTGGAAAGCTTAGGCAAGTACACGTCCAGACATTACCGCCTGGCCCGACCATTCTTCTGTGCTGAGCTCCAATTTTAATAGCAAACAAAATTGATCGTGTCTACTACTCACCAAGATACATCTCGCAGAGCGTTTGTTCTCTTGAATTCTCGCTCGCAATGATTATATTGGTCCATTTCACTGACACACATCTTCTTAATTGTAGTTCTTGTTTGAGCAAAGTAAAAGCACCACCTGGTGAAGATTTCGGTCTCAAGCGTGTGAGTGCACTCATTATTATTTCCGCCATCAAAATGGATAATATTGGTGTGGTTTTCTATTATCTTCCGTCAATCATTAAAGAACATCTAACCTTGTCACTTCAATTTAACAAGAATAGTGCTACGTATTTGTTGTTTGGTATTCGAATAGTAACCAACAGTTTCCAAAATCTAGTCACCATGCCACTAGTCTAATCGTCTGTTCGCTGTTTCTAGAAATTTCGTGTCGTCGGGCTCCTCTTCCATCACTGACTGTTATCGATATATATCTTTATTACCTATAGGTAACATTATCAGATTGTAAAGGGAGATCAGATTCAACCTTAACATCAAATATTTGAGTCAACAAAAGTGACCAATCAGGCCTGTAGCCACCTTTCGGTTCTGTGTACTTACCAGTATGTCTGCAGACTCCGTAGACCAGGTTTTTGAGAAGGCCATCTCCACTATTCACACACTTTCATCCCTTCAAGGATACAACTCTCTGCCAAGGCCTCCCGCAAGTATACGGACGGAGTTGTATGCTTTATTCAAACAATCAACAGAGGGTGATGTGGAAAATGTTCTGCCGAGACCAGAGGGCGACCTGAGCTCTTCAGAGCTCTCAGTGGCGCGGAGAAAATGGGATGCATGGAAACTGAAATCAGGCTTGAGTCGTACAGAGGCCAAAAAAATGTATATTCAAATGCTTATCTCTACCATGAGGTCATATGCAATGGGAACGCTGGCAGCTCGGGAACTGCTGGCCGATCTGGAATTTCTGTGGTCGCAGGTGGCAGATCAGAAGGGTATAGAAGCGGACGAAAACAATGGTATGATATTGGAGCTGCAGGACGACTTGCAAGACACCAAGTCTCTACGTTTGCGTCGGGAGATTTACGAAACCCTTTTTGCACTGAACGAAAACAAGTCTGGGCTTCCTTACTTCCGTGGAACTGATCAACGCAAAGAGCAACAAGGTTCCGGGCCAAGCTCCAAGCAGTCAAGGCTGCGAAGAATCTTGCGATACATGACCCGTTTGTTCGCGCGTCACATTTGGGTTTTGGTCAAGAAACTGCTGTGGAATGGTGCGCTGACAGTTGCTTTAATCATGGCTGCCAGGAAACTGGGGTTCCTTTCTCCCGTGCGCTTGGACTTGACGTTTGATCCAGACAGAAAGACGCAACCTGGGGAAGGCATCTATTCAAAATCATTGGCGATTTGTCGGAACGGAGCTGGTATAATCTTCAGTTATATCAACCGATACATGGGATTTGGTATAAATCAGATTCACATCAGCGTAACGTAAACCAAAACCAAAAAAAGACCAGGCAAGAACAATTGTCGTCAAGCAACACGACCTCTGGCACACAATTAGGCATTGTTGTAATATGTTGTGATGACAATCGAAAAGTATGCACGTACCATGAAGTATCAATTTGCAACCAAGATTCAGCAATATCAGATGTGAAGCAAAAGGTCGTTCTTCCTGCACATCGCATAGAGGGTTCTCTGCTTTTTATCCCGCCCGAGTTTACTGACGTTCGGTGTTCAACTACTTGATCACTTTTTTTCTATTCTGTCATAGGTCATCGATAATATCTTGAATTTAGGCATTTAAAGCTTGAAGTCATCACTAAAGTGAAAGAACCTGACAACTCCTGTTTTGCTTTGCCGCCTTCAGCATATGTCGAGATACAAATGGAGTGACCTGTTAGACATTAACTCGAAAACCAAAGCTTATGACTCTCCGCTATCATGTATAGCACATATCGACATCAATGCCTTCTTCGCCCAGGTCGAACAGATAAGATGCCACTACAGTGTCGAGGATCCAGTTGTATGTGTGCAATGGAACTCCATAATAGCCGTTTCTTACGCTGCTCGTAAATATGGCATCACTCGAATGGACTCAGTCTTTGACGCCATGAAAAAATGCGAGAATCTGGTTCCGGTTCACACAGCTGTGTTTCGTAAGGGAGAGGATTTTTGGCAGTATCGTGATGATTGCGGATCGTGGTATACCGAAGAAGATAAGAGACTGGGTCCCGAGAACTTCAAGGTTTCATTGGACCCTTATCGCAGGGAAAGCCGCAAAGTGGCAAAAATCTTTCATAAATGGTGCGACCTGGTCGAAAAGGGTAGTGTTGATGAGGTATTCTTAGATATGGGACGCATAGTATTTTCTTCGTTACTTTTGGATGACGAATTTCAAGATTTTGTCGGGATTAGAAACCAATTCAAAAACGGTGAATATGATTTGGACGATTATCTGCCGCCATTACCTAGAAACCTGAATATCGCGTTTAAAGACGGGGAAGACTACAATCCCGAGCAACGCCCTGTTTTCGAAGACTGGGACGATGTCATTTTTTGTCTAGCGTCCATCACTACATTCAAAATTCGCAAAGATATCAGCGATGTCCTGGGTTACACAACTTCGTGTGGTGTTGCGCGAACTAAGACGATGGCCAAACTGGGATCAAATTTCAGAAAACCTGACGCCCAGACAGTTATCCGGAACACAAACATTGCAAGCTTCTTGGACTGTGAAAGCTCGGAGTTAACGTCATTTTGGAGCATGGGTGGGATGATAGGAAAAGAGCTCACAGCTCTTCTGGAGCTGCCGTCTGAACAACCGCTTCGCCATATCAGAGAATGTTGGCCGGTCTCGAGCGACGAATTGACTGCATTTATCAAAGAGAAAATACAACTAAAGACTGATGCAAACGAGAGGTTCTACAATCTGCCATCCGAGAACCTCCAACAGTTAAGCCAAAAAGTTTTTCAATTGGCGCGGGGGGATTTTAGAACACCTCTGAATCCTCGTCCCATGATCAAATCAATGATGTCTAACAAGAATCTACGCGGCGATTCTTGCAAACACTACCAGGACTGCTTGGCCTGGCTCGAAGTCTTTAGTGGTGAACTGACAACTCGAGTCAAAGAATTGGAACAAGAGTATGAACGCATTTTTGTGCCCAAAACCATGACAATTTCTACCAGAACGTCTGACTTTCAGAAACATAGTAGAAGTTCAGGTATCATAACTGCTGGTGTGGCCAAGGCTAAAGACTTTATGGAGCTGGGTACAAAACTTATCAAAGATTTAGACGTCAAGTATGGAAACACTAAGGGTTTTTATCCTTTAACCAACATCAATATGGTGATATCCAATTTTGAGATCCTGGAGACTGGGAAAACAATCGTTGATATGTTTGGGAAACAAGCGCAAGTGACTCGCCGTACTCGCGATGATTTTTTGGAAGCAAAGGATGATGGTCTCGAGCCATTCGGCGAGAGTGTCAAGAAAGAGCTGCGATGTGGACTTTGCAAATTAGACTTTGAAGACGAATCGGCCTTCAAAGAGCACAGCGATTTTCATTTCGCTATGAAACTATCTGAAAACTTAAATGGCGTCAATGAGGATTCGCAAAATCTATCTTATGGCGAGCGGAAATTATTATTTACAAACGGGAAACGGACAATCCCTGCGCCAAAGCAAGGCAGAAGCAAAAAGCGGCAATCGGCCGGGTCGACTGGCAGTATTTATAAATATTTTAACAAATAAGGGCAAGGAACAGGAATTAGTGGGTGGATAATGAAGAACAAAAGAGTAAGCTTACAAATTGCTACAAAAATACAGGTTCGGTTATTATCGGGGGCATTGCTTTAAATAATGCAAACCAAATATCTTGTATGTGATGTGAATGAGCACCGTAAACAACCAAATAGACGTTCTCAACAGTCATCAACAATCAGTACCACTTAAAGTCTAGATGAGTAGTTGTCACTCAAGTCCTTCTTTCAATTAAGGCAATTTGGCCGAGTGGTTAAGGCGTAAGATTAGAAATCTTTTGGGCTCTGCCCGCGCAGGTTCGAATCCTGCAGTTGTCGTTATTTTTTGTAGGCTATTTCTTTTGTTTTTTTATTGAAAACAGCCCTTCGAGCAAGCTATAGCTCCATAGCAAGCTCAGAATCAAGAAGGATCCGAGTTTTAAAAATAAGTGTCATTTAATGCTGTTTTGTTACTATTTAACCTTTTTACAAACTTGAAAGTTCATGCTGAAATTTCGCCTTCGTGATCCGAGCCTTCATCTTTGACGCGCTGCACAAAGGCACGGACCTTTTCAACCACCGCTTCCCGTGATCTATCCAGCAGTAGCACGACCAGCCCATCGCTGCTAATTTCGTACTTTATAAACCCTTCATTGGGAATGCAAATTTCGGCATCGAATTTGTCGAACCATTCATTAAGTTTATCCATATCTTCAATCTCGAAGGGGAGTATCAGCTCATCCACAAATTCGTGTGTAGCTTTAGGAGCGTCGTCCTTCTGCGATTCCTTGTCATCCACCTCCACAACATCTTCCAGCAGGACTAGCATGCGATAAGAACGGTCATCGGACATTTTCTTCAACTCCCTTTGTATTTTGTTCCGATCAAGTCGAATGCCTTTGACAGAGCCAGCGGTCGGGTTTTTCTGAAGACTGGCCTTGGTGTAGGTTAGCAAGCTCATCGCTGTTTGGTTCCTAGAAATTTCATTGTAAAAAACCAATATATCTATCACACACGTGATAGAGATAGGATCTTTTTTAACGGTCTTAGGTTCGATGCCCGAACGGATCATCATTAAGCTTCGTTCTTACACTTCGAGTATCTCGGTAGTTTCTCCTTCCAGCTGTTGCAGATACAGGCTGTGATTCACCAGATTCAAGTACGCATACATGAAATTGCTCAGAGCCACCTGCTGGCGTAGCTCACGTTTGGGATCGCCCAACTTCAAATGGCTGAGACGGTAAATGGCTCTTTCCACATTGATCGGTAGTCTTTGATCTATCATAACGACTGTCGAAGTCGTCAGCGGCGGAAGTGGAAATCCGAAAGAACTGTCGCTGAATACCATGGGCGCGTTGGGGCGAGTGGGTTTGATGACATCTTCGAATGTTAGCCTTCTAGGAGGCAAGGATATTCCCCCGGCAGCCGGCACGGTTATGCTTGAATGTGCGCCATCAACGGTCATTTCAGATACTGCCATCGATGTATCGTTTGCTGTATCGTCCTCGTCTCGTTCGCTAACGTTACGGATAGCAGTGTGATCTGGTTGAGATTGAGACGTTAGTGCAGTGGCGTCGTTTTGAGTAGCATTGAATAAAGTGGCACTGGTGTAAGCATCGCCCTTCTCTTGGTTGTCATCAACGTTATCGTTCTCGGGCTTGGGCTCGACTTCAGATTTTATGAACTCGCTGTTCAGAGCTTTTGTATCCAAAGCTGGCAAGGTTTGATTGTCTGTTTCTGAAGCATCTGTAACCTCCGTTTGCACCGGCTTCATCTTCGAAGTGACATTCACAGAAGGTTGAAGTTTGGTGAGAGGTCTGTTTGCGTCATTTGTAAGGTCCACATGGTGGGCCAGGGATGAAACAGTACCGCCTGTTGAGAGGTCCCAGTCTCTTGCTAATGGTCTGTCATCGTTCTTCGATTTGGCGCCACCATTGGTCAAGTCTGCGGAAGACGACCTTGTTCTCAACCCGTCGGAAGCGCGCCCTCCAAAGCCTTTAGGTGTTTCCAGTACACCAGACGTGCCTTTGTTGCTGATCGATGCTGAGCGGTTTCGTTTGAATAATTGTTTGAATTTCTTCTCGCGACTTGCTTTTTTAGAGGGCGAAGTGCTAGTCGAAGTCCCACTAGGCTCGCGGATGTCGGATTTATCCATGTCGTTACCAATCTTTTGATGCCTGTACCTGGAATGGTTGCCCTTTTCAGGGGCCCAGCCACTGTCCTTGGAGTCGTTGTCCTCAATATTTACAAAATCGTTTGAATGTTTTCTTCCAATTGTTTTGGAGCTTTCTGAATCTTTAGAAGCTTTTTTGCCAAACCAGTTCCACGCTCCTTTCTTGCGAGAAATTGGGCCACGACTAACCTTTGTTTCATCTCTTTTCAGCGTCTCATCTTCACGCTCCAATTTTTCATTTGGGAACACTCTTTGCTCCTTGTATAGCGGTAAATCCTTCGAGTCAGTGTCACCAGCTGGCTTCACTGGCTTCTCTCCCCTTTCGCTTGAGAACCCATGCTGTGATCTAGCGATTCTCTCGGGTGACTGAAAATCAACCGAGCCATCTAAGCTGTTTTGTCTGTAATGATCATATATGTTGTCAAAATCATTGATAGAGTTAGGCGACTGTGGAAGTTTACCGGCCGCTGGGGGTATGGACTTGATCTCGTCATCCTTCAGAACCAGCCCTGTAGCAGATTGGCTAGCATTGTCGCCACTTGGAGTTCGTATTCTGTAGGTATTGAATTTACTGCGTCTTAAAGAAGAGCGTGCAGGAATGGAAAGACCGTTTTTCATAAACATGCTGGAGGCAAACTCGCTATCTTGTGGTTCGTGTGAATCTTTTGAGGTGGTGACTAGCTCTTGCTCACTACTGGAACTCGCCATGCTGAGTGTTCGAGCCAAAGAAACTGCATCGCTATCTGTAAAGCCAGCTCTATTAGAAATTCGCGTCAGTTCTTCGGTAAGATCTCTCAGGGATGCCGATTTCGAAGCTGCTCGATAAGGATTGATCTTTCTTTCTGAGACATCTTTATTCTCTTTGTCATTGCTGACCTCTTGCTGCAACAAATCCTCGAGCTCAGTAAAAGATTTGCGCAGTCCAGACGGCCTTCGCACCAATGTATTGGAACCTGAACGTAATTGAGAGAATGGTGAGATTCCAAGGTTTGAAGGGGACGACGCCAAGCCGTCATCACGTTGAGCCGTACCGTCGGAATCCACCTTCAATGTATGCAGCGTATCTTGGACCAGTTCTAAGAAATTTTCGGGCTTGACACTGGGATGCTGATTGGCAGGCACCCACAAGAGGTTCTGCGTCACAGAGTCATCAGACGGTTTTGACTTATGCGATGTTGTTCCTCTTGAGAGACCCCCTCTGCGTACCCCGCTAAGAGTGCGACCTGTGTGCGAACTTTGGCTTACGGCAATATCACTGGTGCTTTCCAAATACTCAGTATTCGTGACGTCGATACTATCATCGTTGATATAAGAATAATCATCGTCTGTGTCTCCATCGCTACTGCTCAGTGCCTTGTCATTTTCTCCAAAATCTTCTGGCGATTCTATTGTGGACTCCACAGATGATTCGTCACTTCGTGAAGATTGCGATTTCGTGGGACTGATCCGAAACTCCATTTCCGGGTCAATCAACATATCCAGTGATCCAATCGATATTCGCTTCAAGTTCTTGACATTTTGCAGTTCTGAGTCCAGAGATTGAGCCGCGATGAGAACCTCCGATTTCCGTTTTTCAGATCTCGACTGCTGTGTTCGATCCGCATGATTGCCGACTTCCAATCGACTACTTGAGCCGTGCACCTCAATGTTCTCTTTCGAGTCTTTCGGCGACATATCTTGATGCTTGATTGTGGATTGTCTCTCAACTTCTACAAAACTACCACCTGTTGGTCCTTGACCGTTTCTTGATCAAAAAAGACCTGGCAAAAAAGCCCGTGTACAATTTGAACTGTTTGGATTGAGAGGCAATCAGCAACCCAGAGCAATGTTGCGTGGGTTCTGCTTCGCTACTTGACCTTTCGAGTTGATTGTGTTTCGATCAAGTTGCGCATTCTATAATACGCGTATAATTTAATGAATAAGTAGTATGTTAATACAAATATATCGGAAAATTGTCAGAATGTATAAAAGTGATATAGATGTTCTTTGCCGACTGTGGTAGCATAGCTGTAAGGACGTGAAGTAGTGTTTAGACCTCAACGGCATATTTACTGTCCGTTAGCGCGTAGATGTTGTTTTTGAAACCCACAATGCCTAATACTAGAAGTGCAACGTAGGCGTATTTGAATATCGAGCCCAAAAACGAGCGTAATGCGACCTTTTTGTAGTTTTCCTCGAGCCAAACTGCTAGCTCTGAGCCTTGGGGCAAGCCCATGTAGTTTGCAAACGTGTGCAGCGCAACGCACGCCCATAAATTGCGTCCTGATCTCAGAAATACGAAATTGGTGAACGCTCCAAAGATCGTCGTGTATGTGAACTGCAGCGCAACCGTTGCGAGAATCTGAACCGGAGAGTAGAGTCCTATTGAGTGCATTTCCCATCCGTGGTGAACATGAGCAAGGCCGAAAAAAAGTGGGGAAATCCAAAGCACTGTTTTGAATGCTGTTGAATGCGGCTGGGTTAGCAGAATGGAGTTGACCATAAAAGATGTGAAAAACAGCTCTTCACTCAATGGTCCGAAAACGTAGTTTCTAAGACCCCATATGCTGTATACCTCGTTTTTCAAGTCCCGGAAGGGTGAGAACAGATTTTCGCCAGGAACAACCAAATAATATAAGAGATTGTCTAGCAAAGGGCCGCAGTATAGAATAGATGCCAGTTTCAGTACTTGTAAAGTGTCGTGCACATACCCGTTCAAGTCGAAAACAAATCTGGAGAGACTGTCATCGTGATATGCGCCAGGTATAAGGCCCAGGGATAAAGCCGCGTCTTTGAAAGAAATTTGACCAAAGACGGAGATGAACAATGGAACCAAAATCAAGTTCAGGGCCGAGATGCATGTAACACGTCGCAGTCGCGATTTGATTACATTGGGGTCGTCTCTGCGTATCTTGTAAGCTCGTATGTTCCCGAAGGGCATGTGTATTGCCCCAACGTAGGAAAGCGAGACATAAAGAGATATAAAGAAGGCTACAGCCCTCATTTCTGCTGGTCAATTGCCAAACAACTAGTTTCTGTAGCAAGTTTCGAGAGATGTTAGGCGAAGTAACAAGGTGCTTAAGGTGCGATGAGGTGAGTTTATGCAGATATTAAAGAATTCGTGTATAGTGATGAACCTCGAGTCCTAAGAGCTCAGGACAAAATCAATCCTGAGCTATCACAGTGCTTGAGTAAGTATTCAATGCCATCATTTATTCAAGTGTGTCGATTTCCAGTTGTTTTCCGAGCTCTTGGTTCATTGCTTATATGCTAATATCAATGTGTCGCATGTCGTTTTCTATGATTGACCGTACCTTCAAAGCGTAGTGGTTTTAGTTCCTCTCAATGTGGCATTTACCAGTGAAAGGCACACGAAATCGTGCTTTCTGCCTGCGCTAGCCTACTTGTTTAGTTTCAGGCTGGCAGCTCAAGCTGTGACACCAGCAAGGAAATGTCTCTGCGCTCGTTGGAATGTTTTTTCAGCGGGAACGAAGCTGCGTATCCTGCATAAAAAGTTAAAGCTGTGGTGATGGTCAGCAACACTTTCATAGTATCTCAAAAATTAAGAATCTTGAATTCAGGTCTGGCTGGTATCTGGTATCTGAGAGTTTTTTGTAACTTTATCGAATCTCCTGTCGTCCTCATTTCAAAGCAGCGTCACGAAATTAATGAAACTGACACATTTACTGGCTGGGAAAAGAACCGCAATTCATCGGAAAACTACCCAGGTAGACAATGGAAGATGTAAGTTGATAGAAGAAGCCAAACAATGCGCTCACTTTGGGTTTTTCGAAGATATCAGTTGTTTGTTGTGCCATAATTGCCAGTCTTCGAAGATTTTACAATTTTGTCAAATAATGTGTCTTTCATCCTGTACAATTATTTGAACGTTAACAACAGATTGAAAACCAAAATAGGATCTCAAACCAGGACAGCAGGACACCTGCAGGCTAATATATCTCTTAAAGCTTCTTTTTGTAGTGTACCCTCAAAGCAGTAGGTTCGTTGTGGGTTTTTCAAAATCACATGATCCTCTATTACGGTATGTATTAGTTACCCAGTCATCCTTCCAACAATTGGGCGTGTGGTCTAGTGGTATGATTCTCGCTTTGGGCGAAGTTCGAGACTTGACTCGGACTAATAAAACCACAAGCATGCGAGAGGCCCTGGGTTCAATTCCCAGCTCGCCCCATTTATTTTTTGAATTTTTTTGCAGGTCTGCTGGTGCTTCAAACTTAAACCGTATCAGGATGTGCAGAGGACAGAGAGCAAGTGCTCGCGAATGTTTTTGAGCCTTTTAAACCCAAATATGCCGTTTCGTAGTTTTCTGGATGGTGGTAACGACACTTTCGTTCAATGTGACAGCCCTTCTTGAACCTGGATAGAAGTTGTCATGGCCTGTCTCGAGCACGAGCTGTGTTCACTCAGGATGGTGCCTCTCAACTTAGCTCCAACCCTGTGGGCCTCTACACAGGAAGCCTATAACTAGGCGGGCTATAATGGCCCTTTCTTTAGCTTGAAGAAAGACAGCCATCGAATTATCTACCCAATCATCTAGTCGTCAGTATGAAATATAAACCTCTTTTAACTATGAAAAAGTAGGTCGTCTCGAAGATACATAGACCTTTTATTCTCGACCAAAGCAAGGACAACGACCAAAGACCTAGCTGTTTTAGGCCAATTACTGTTTTTCTGGTGCTGAAATCGAGTTGAAATGGCTTTCACTGGGGTTTTGAAGAACTCCATAAAGTTGACGTCTTCGCTGAGAGGGGCACCCTTGCTGGGCTACGCAAGAGCACTACATTCGACTTCAACTCTTGGTGTCAAAGAAGATTTTCCAGAAACGACACATTTTGGTTCCCGGACGGTACCAAAAAGCGAAAAGGAGAAACTGGTAGGAACGGTTTTCTCTAATGTTGCCTCTAAATATGATGTTATGAATGATGTGATGTCCATGGGTGTACATAGGCTATGGAAAGACCATTTTATCAACAAGCTTGATGCTGGAAAAAGACCAAACTCAAAAGAGCCTCTTCATTTTATCGATGTAGCTGGAGGCTCGGGAGATATCGCATTCGGCTTATTGGACCATGCCGAACATAAATTTCACGACAAAGAATCAGACATGCATATTGTGGATATAAACGCTGATATGTTGAAAGAAGGTGAAAAAAGAGCAATGAACCAGGGCAAATATTTCAACGATCCGCGTGTCAAATTTTTGGTTCAAAACGGAGAAACTCTAGATCAAATAGAGTCCAACTCTAAAGACGTCTACACCATTTCTTTCGGTATTAGAAACTTCACGAACATTCAGGCAGGACTCAACACAGCCTTTCGTGTTCTCAAACCAGGTGGAATTTTTTACTGTTTGGAATTTTCCAAGGTCGACAACCCCATCGTCGACACTGTGTATCAACAATGGTCCAAAGTGCTGCCAGTCATGGGTTCGCTAGTTGCCAACGACTACGACTCTTACCAGTACCTGGTGGAGTCAATTCAAAAGTTTCCTGAACCAGAAACCTTCAAAGGAATGATCGAAAAGGCTGGGTTTCAATGTGCAGGTTACGAACCGCTCACATTTGGGGTTTGCGCCATTCACTGGGGTATAAAAACCTGATGATGCACTTGTAAATGGCTTTTGACAATGCATGAACTGTAAGACGTGAGTTAAAACTATACATTTATAAAAGTTGAAATCATAGTTCCAGCCTTCTTATCTGGGCAGGAACATCGAGCGTAGCTACTCCTGATTGGCCCTCAAATTTTATGTTGACACGAATACAATATAGCCTCGAAATCAGACAACTCTCAAAGGTCGGAACAAGGGTCTCCCGGATATCATCAGACAACTTCACATTCACTGTTATGGCCCTATCGTATTCCTGATGGTTGCTTTGAACCCAGTCATTGAAAAGCTGTCTTTTCAACCTTTCGGCGGTCGAGGTGTGGAAACTGCCAGTAGAAGACCCACTGAATGTAGCGCTGAGAAGACTAGAGCTGCTGGCGCTCTTGACCGGTGTCCCCAGGAGATCGTCGTCATCCTTTAGTGTGTGGGACTGCTTCTTGAAAATCTGAGGTAACACTTGAATATCAGTGCGCAAAGTAGCAATGCTCTCTATATCATTGAGCATTTGCTCCGAGAGAAAATCTGAAAATCTCAGTTCTTCATGCACACCCGATCTTCCTGTTTGCTTGAAAAGTTTTTTCAACTCTTCATGATTGTCAAGAAACTTGCGATGAAGATCTTCTGCTTCTTGCTTGAATTGCTTGAATGCACTTTGAACCTGTTCCAGCCTTTCTTTTTTGAGAATAAAATCTGCATCCATTTTAACGGGGATCGAGTTTGTGGATCTTACGGTCATACAAACTAGTTCTGTGGTAACAGAATGAATCTCCGGTGGTTGATGAGACTCAGAATTGTTGGCTTGAATGCACTTCAAATTGATTACCAGTTTTTCGAGGACTTCTTTATCTTTTTCTGGTAAAGAAGACACCAAATTGGTCCAGTTTTCTCTGTTCTGGGCACCTTTGTTTTCCAAAGTATTAGTCTTCCTTAAAAGAGAGGGTTCTGTATATGGTAATCCCGGCTTTGGAATCTCGCTTGAGATCACGATCATCCCAGTTTTTTCACCATTCAAGGTTGGAGAGCTGGAACCAGAGTTTGGAGGCCCACCCAAACCTGCGAAGAAGGTTTTCTTAAGCTTCGTTGAAGACTTGCTCTTGCTCTTTATCCTGTATCTGAACTCAGTTTCAACAGTTTTAGCACTTCTGGATTTTGATATTTTCGAATTGCTCAAAGGAAATGATGAGCATGCCGGATCGATACGGTTATTGGTGTAAAGCTGATCGAGCTTCCGCCTCAAAATCTCTTCAGAATTAATTTCTGTCGGATCTACAGCTGTACCGCTGATGTCTGTATTGTGTAAATCTTCATTTGTTATTTGTTCCCCTGTTTCCAACCGCTTCATCACCTTTTTCAAAGCATCTATTCTTTCCTGGAATAGTCGAGTGATGTCCTGCAGCTGCTTCAAAGGTGACCGTTCACCTGTAAACGGACGACAGAACCCAAATGGTACAAATCTCAAATTGTACTCCCGCTCTTTTAAAATGTTAAGCTTTCTTGTTCGAGCATCCTTCCCAACAACCTTTGTGTCAATAACATAACCGATTGACATCTCGCTCGGCGAAAGATCATCCGTCAAAATGGGAGAGCCTTTCGTACCCATATGACCGTAGCCGAGCATGCTATTAATCTTGATCCCCGCATACTTACCACCGCCCCTCATAGAATCAATACCGATTGTAGGGGGTACGAGGCAATGAGAGAATTGTTGATGCTTACAGGACACATCGAGAAGTTGCGTTGGAAGCTTGAACATAAAATACTTTTTGTATCTTGTGTTTGGTGCTAGAAGCCTATTATTGTTGAGCCCCATGATGCAATTCTCAAAGTCCTTTCCACCAGGAATATAGTTGAGACCATTTGAAACATCAATGTTCGAGTACGACCAGCTCGCACTTAGATCAACCATCCTGAGAAACCGCTTCACTGTTCGCTTCCCGCCTACTCGATCAATGACCGTCGAGTGTCCTTCTAAGGTAACGTAAAACATTTCGAATTTCAGTGGCTGAGGTGATCTGTTCTCGACTGTCACGTATCCATGTATGATGTCGCCAGACGTATACTCTCGTAGTATAGATTCGTCCTCCGCTTTTCTATCGATACCTGCCGGTTCTTTGGTGACGTGAATGCTTACTTCGATTGGTGTACTCAGTTTTGGCAAAGAATAGATTTTGTCGATGTTGATATTATCTGCTTCATCCAGGTCATCCTGGATTGCATCTATAGGACCATGAGTTGTTCCAAGAGCCTCCAAATTGTACATTTGGTCTCCTACGGTACGAGCAGCGGCATAGCTAGTTTCCCCGCCATGTAGAGGTTGCACCGAAGTTTCTGAGGGGTCGCTAAAATGCAGGTCACCGCCGAGGCCATCGAGTGAGGGGGCTTCCGTTTGAACCTCCTGGTACGTTGGTGGGAAATCAACTCGGTCGGGATCGACGTTCCCTTGCGGAATGTGTCGATGCAAGGTGTTGTACAGCTCAAAAGAGGGCAGAACGTCCACCATCACGTTGTTTTCGTGGGAACGAGTCTCCTTGGCTTGAGCGTCCTCAGTTGTTTCTAGCTTTCCATCAGCTTTTTCACGACAGACTATGGTATCGAGGTCGTTTCTGGATAATGCTCGTTGTTTTGAATCATGGGTCAAGTTTTGGGATCTGCCGAACTTCAAAAGGTTTGACGAAGACGCATTTCTGAAAAACACCGATGGCGACTGGGATCGTCCTCTATTCTTCTCCAGTCCTTGCTTCTTATTATCAGATCTTAGCTTTCTATCATGACTCATTGCCGGTGATCTGAAGGCCTTTTATTCTCTGCCAAGAATGCTCCAAAATCAGCTACAAGACCAGCAAAAGCTTTTCAGGACAACTTGATTCGTTCGCCAGGACTGCTGCTTCACACTCTAGCGATGGTCTCAATAGCTTAGTTGGTTAAAAGAAGTTCAACAATGAGCTCTTTTAGTTTAACCTTATAATACATACTTGATGTGAACTTTTCTCTAAGGCCAGTTTCGTGAAACCGGACACCATCGCATCGAACAGTAAACGTCCATGAAAGACACGTTTCGAGTCCCAGCTCTCTGGCCAGTAAGACAGACTTAAGTACTTCTTGCACGAAAGTGTGACTATGGTCCGTTAAGTTGAGAGAAACCGATCTAAAAAAGTGTTGTGTGACCGATCTTTTGACTTAGATTCTGAAATTTTGGAGCTGTGCTGGGCTTCAACGCAGATGCGTTTCAAGGCCAAGGTCGTCAGCAGTATTTTGTTTAAGTCTTGTCGCCGTCTTCAGACTTTTGTTCGTCATTGTAGCTCTTTAGTGTGTCCATTTTAGTTATACATGTAGCTGTTGTGAGCGATCTTTTTAAGCTCACGCAGATTAGTGTAGTCGTTTCTGGTCATACCCCTGCATGAGTCCCACAGAGAATCAAACTCCCGGACGTCTAAGATGAAGTTTCTATCGGTGAACCAAAGATGTTCCTTGGATTTTTTGTGCCTTTCGCGATCGTTTTCCATTCTATGCAGCACTGTATTGCTGTTTACAGCCTCTGTCACTGTACATATGCCTTCAAGACGATACAGCTCTTGCATTGCTGCAGCGTGTCTGGCTCTGTCCACCAGCAGCTGGTAGCAGTTTCTCATCGCCTGTTTGTAGTCGTGCTGATCCGTTTTGATGGCCTGGAGCCACGGCAGTTCCAAGGGAGACGTAATGTCGTCACTCAGAAGCTGTTTGTAAGGTTGTTTAAGAAGTTCTTCGTCAGCAGCGGGGTTCAAAACCTCGCACAGTCGATTTAAATGTATCACAATATCCACGCATACGCTTAGATTCGTCAATGCTTTCCAATCGTTTCCAGGTAATGCAAGGGCCACCATTTCGTCGAGCTGTCCTAAAAGATGGCCATATATGACCTTCCCAGTGTTGTTCAATTGGCCATCAACGTCTCTCATGCATCGAGACCAAAGCATCGAGATCAGTCTACTCCAGTAAATCAGGACGTTCAGTCTATCCAGAGAGTCCATTTTTGCCGCTGAATCGAGCATGCACTGTTGGAAGTCCTCATAGTGGTGTTCGTAATGTCGTAAGTAAAATGCAAGTGGATCGTTTTGCTGCTGGCCTCCGCTAGACAGCGGGGAATTATCTTTTGAGACATTGAGCGTCTTGTGAAGGTTTTTGATGACCTGCAAAAATTGCAGACGAGCTTCAAAAGCGTCCATTATTGTCGAAATTATATATCAGGTTTCGATGGGCGCACTTCAAAAGCTCTTGATGCGTTTGTTCACTAGAACTTCTCTATGCTTAAATACTATATGTCAAATCAAGAACTATTTTTCAATAATCAATAGTATTATACCACCAGATGACAGCGACAGTAGAAAGAAGTTTGAATTGATGGAAAAGTACGGTATCAGGCATTACAACGGATTACAACGGAATTACAACGCTACCTGGAATTGTTTGAGTAATCTTTCAGTAGTTCGTCTAATGTTTCCAATTTCTTGAACCTATTTCTCATGCTAAAATGCTATATATATATGTACACTGTTTATTCACGGTTGATATGGGAATGGGATGCAAACGATGTGATGGAGTCTGGATCTCCTGGTATGCCGAAACGGTCCTGAAAAAGCTTTGGAGAACGTGAGCTGGAAGTACTTGGACGCGACGATTGCTGGGGTACATTGGCGGGAAGAAATGGTGAAAACCCGGGCATGAGTTGTGATGCGTTAGACGAGGTTACCCACGGTTGAAGAGGCATAAACGTGGATGGCATATTGCTTATATTTCCCGAATTGCCGTTGGGAGTGTGAGATCGGTTGAATAGGTCTAGTCCTGGGATGCGGCTGGACTGTCCCATTCCCGCATTTGCACGAACGGTGCCATGTGTGTTGTTATTGCTGCTGAAATTTCCGTTATTAGGGACATTTCCCAGACCAACGCTGTTTGCATTGACAGATTGCGGGATCGACGGGGTCGTGCTGGTGGTGACATGGCCCGATGCAGATCCCAGCGGCGAGTACACTCCCGAAGACGCCATATCTCGCGATCGGAATGCGTCTCTGTTGGCAGGCACCGGCAAGCCCATGTTGACCTGATTGCGTTTTTGGATGTGATTGCTAGGTGATCCTGCAAATGAGGATCCCATGCTTACAGCGGAACCTGGACCTGAACCTGAACCTGAACCTGAATTTGAGCCTGAGCCTGAGCCTGAGCCTGAACTGGACCGTGATCTGTCGTTCCCGCCGTGCATAGCGATCGACGGATTAGAACCCGTAATTGAAGCAGCAGCAACAGCAGCGGCAGCTGCTGCTGCTGTTGCATTAGCCACCGCAGTTTGACCCGCTTCGCTTTGGATCTGAGCCTGCAGAACCGCATTCAAGTCTCGTAGGGGATCGTTTTGTTTGATCACGTGCCCCTTGCTTCCCGGTTTCCTTCCCGACCCAGGTTTCCTGCCCTGAGCCAAAGTTTTACCCTTTCCCGGTTTACGGCCAGAGCCCGGTTTTCTGCCCTGTGCGAGCGTTTTTGCCATTTTAAAAAAGTGTGCGAAAACCTCTTTTCAAATACTGATTGGGTACCCTAGTTGCAACTTGGCGAATTTCGAATCCGGACGTTTGTTTGATCTTTGGAATTCTAGTTGCCGCTGCGCTACTGTTTCAAACTTTTGATCAAGAAGCCAGTTGAGAAACACGCTTGCAATATTCGATTTTTTCGGATTTCCACGAAATGTGCTTATAGCAGAACCAATACTTGAGCTTTTTCTTCGGTTGAAAAAGGTAGTGAAAGGTCGCAATTCACACTCTATGAACAATTCCCAAATAATGTGCGAGGTCTTTCGTCAGGATACTGATTTATCCTTTTTTTCCGATTTCCCTCTTCTTCTCTCTCTCTCTCTCTCTCTCTCTCTCTCTCTATCTCTATGCTGTGTAGTGTGAGTGTAATTGATACCTAATGAGTTCTGAGTTGATGTCCGATGAGCGTCTCTGCAAGTATATGTAAAAAAAAAAACGAGGGAGGAAGGAAAAAAAAAACAAATTTCAAATTCGCAGCGACCGTGCATAATTACTATATTGATCATTGTTGACGAAATAGAGAGAACGTCGTCAGAGGGAACATTCGCGATGGCTGTGTAAGTGAAATTGAAACGCGACACTGTAATGTGCGGCGTGCATTGGGCGACACAGGAGGTTTAAGACCTCCGAATTTAGTGGTAACGGGGAAAATTCCAATCGAGTTTCGACATGCGGAATTTTTTTGATATTAGACAGCTGTGTTGTCTTGGGAGGGGTGACTCTTTGAGCGAGGCAGCTGGAAAATGCCACATGGCAATTTCGGGTTTGATGGTTTAACCCTGGGAGCACTGGTATAAAATGACTGATGAGATCTTGGGAATCTTGTGTGTCACGTGACTCTTATTTAAAAGACCATAAGGCCAACAATGGACGGGGAATTTAAGCAACAATGTGACGACGAGGCTGAAAGTGAGAGAAAAATAATAGCTAAGAACGTCTGATGCGTGTGTTGCGAGCCTTTTTGTCCTGATATGCTCCTTTTACCTTTACAAATTGTTTTTCACATTTTGTCTGGATTTCCACACATTGAGTGAGAGTATACGTCTAAAGTCCTTAAAGGAACGCAGCTGAAAATCTCACAGTATGTCTCCCAGAAATACAAGATAATTCGCAACGAGACGAGATACGTTTGGCATAATCCTTTCGAAAAATACCCATCAGCCCTGGGAGCTACACTCATTAAGTTTACAGATTGTCTCTCTCTTATCACTTTTGTCTTAGTGCGTCGACTAGTGTACGCGACAGAGACGTACACAACGACACAACGACACAATCAACCATATAAATTCAAAACCCCGCGTAACTGTGCACAGTGTCCAGCAGGGCAGCATAATGCTTATAAACACATGAAGAACTTTCCACAAAATTTTGAAACTTTCATTTCTTTCTGTTAAGTAAAACACTTTATTGTCTTAGCAAGCAATATCTCTTGAAATAAATAATCGCACAAAACAAAATGTTCGACACCATTCAGTGCTCTCAAAAACCTTCAAAATGTAACGGAACGTTTGGAAACACTGATATTGACACACCGAAACTATCAATTCCTGTAAACATGTGAACTTGAACACCACATCACCTTCCACGAACGTATATGACTTGCCAAAATCTCATAGTCATATTATTCATAGCTAATCTTTGAACCACCCTAACTACCAAACCAATCGCCATTGTAAACCACTCCACAAGTCTCTCTCAACCACATCTATAGCGCAAATGAGTATCACAATTCATGTGAAATCAGGCCAAAACAAGTGGGAGGTCTCGATCGATCCATCGAGTTCAATTGATGATCTAAAAAAGGCAGTAGCTGAGCTTTCAGAAATACCTGCCGAAAACCAACGTTTGATTTATTCAGGCAAAATCTTGAGAGATGACCAAACCGTTGAATCGTATAAGATACAGGATGGCCATGCGATTCATATGGTCAAGTCTGGGGGCGCCAAGAAGAGCGCAAGTCCTGCTGCCCCCAATAGTTCAGTGGGTTCCGGCAGCGCCACGGGCTCAGCACAACAGCAACAGCAGCAGCAGCAGCAAGCTTCCTCCGGCACGGCGGCGCCATCAACTCTCTCCACGGGCCAAACTGGAGGTTTTAACCCGCTAGCAGATCTTACAAGTGCCCGTTACGCCGGATTTCTGAATTTGCCATCGGCCGATTCATTTGGCCCTGACGGGGGCATGACTAGTGCTCCAAACTCTGACGAAGTGCTCAGGATGCTCGAAAATCCGGTCATGCAGTCCCAAATGAATGAAATGCTCAGCAATCCACAAATGATCGATTTTCTCATTCAGCAAAGTCCGCAATTACAAAGCATGGGTCCGCAAGGAAGACAGCTACTTCAAAGCCCCATGTTTAGACAAATGATGACCAACCCAGAAATGATTAGGCAAAGCATGCAGCTGTCAAACGTGTTTGGAGGTGGGGACCCAGCCGCAGACGCCAACCCTTTCCCAGCCCCAGGTTCCACAGACACGAATACGACTTCAGACCAAACACCATCTGCTCAGCAACAGGGACAGCAGCCTCAAACTCAGGCAGGTCAGTCCAACCCGTTGGCCAATCCATTCGCATCGCTCTTAGGCGGCATGCCGCAGCCTCCTGCAGCGGGCTCCACATCAGGTTCTAATCCACTCGCTAATCCATTCCTGTCTCTACTAGGCGGAGCTGGCAACAATGCTAGTGGCGAAGGTGCTACACCCAATTTTGACCCTGCTCTTCTATCCTCGTTGCTTGGTGGTGGTTTTGGTGCGCCTGCTCAGACTCAACAGGACACGAGACCTCCCGAGGAGCGCTACGAACAGCAGCTCAGACAGCTCAACGACATGGGATTTTTCGAGTTCGATAGAAATGTCGCCGCCCTCAGAAGAAGTGGTGGCTCAGTTCAAGGAGCTCTCGATGCATTGCTTAATGGAGACGTCTAGTTGACTAAACCTTCCCATTTGTAGTACACAGTGATCTTTAATTACATAGTTTCATTTAACATCAACACCAACAGAAAGATACTAAATAATCTACCAAGAGCGCACGCCGTTACATCACCTCCGTGGATCCAATACCTTGGAAGCTGCGCGAAAGAATGACAAAGTCTGAACCAGACTCGTTACTTCAGCTTGGCGAACCTGGTGGCGGTGTTCAACTGAAGCATTTGCCTAACTTGACTGAAGTTTCGAGTGATACTCTAGAAGACCCTTTGAAGAAGATCCTTGAGAAGGCGATAGCAGTCCAACTGAAAGCTATCAACAGCAATGTCTGCGTTTCACAGCTGGCCTTTGAAAATCTGATTCTGCTCGTAGAAGAAGCACTTTCTGGCATGTTGGTTGACTTGCACAAGGTTGCAAACATTCAAAGACGACATTGTATATCGAAAAAAGACTTGCTACTGGTGATAGAAGGGTACAATCTGACATGCGCTGATCTCATGGTTGAATACGAAAGATCTCGTTTTGTGAGGTCCCGGTGTCTGGACAATGTTGAAAAGGTTGGAAAGGATGGTAAAGAAGTTTTGCATAAAGAAAGAAGTGCAGCAACGAAAGAAGAGCTCCTGCGCTCGTCACACCCCGAATTTTTTGATAAAGGCAAAGGAATCTTGAAGCTAGTTCCTCCATCGGTAAAAGAAGCGAAACATGTACCCAAATGGCTGCCCGAATTCCCGCCAGATCACACCTACAGATTCACATCGCTGTACAATAAATCCATAACTGACGAGAGGCAAATGAAAAGAAAGCTAGCAGAGGAGTCAAATTTGTCGGAGAAAGCACTGATCAACTTCTCACGTCTCAGCAACGAAGAGTCTCATCTCAATGTGACAGACACCAATGATCTTTTCCGCAAAAGCCAGGAAGAGACTCAACTGATTTTTAAACAGGTCAAAAAACCGCGCGCTGCAAGTGTTAATAAAGTAGATGACTTGCTAAGGACGCTACCCCAAGACCACTACAATGTAGAAGAATATGCTCGAAATAGGGTCGAGATCACTAGACGACGTGTCAAGGAACATGAAAGGCGTCAATTACAGATTCAAAAAGGGCCGTTCATGAGAGCAACTCAGCTCCTATCTCCTTTCGCGAAACAGCGAGTGAACTGCAAAGTAGCAGAAAAAGATCTACGAGCCCTTTTACACCGGAGCTACATTGGTTTGTTGAAAACAGCACCATTGGTGAGGGAGCAAAGAAAGCGCGAGATAGCAGCAGCAGAACAGAGAAGAATTGAACGAGAAGAACAAGCAAAGAGAGAAAGAGAGGAGCGGAACAAAATGTCAAAAGAATTCGATGAGCTGGACTTGGACAATTTGCACGAAGACCCTTTCTTCGGTGGTTTGGGAAGTAGCGATAGTGAAAACGAGCCTGAAGAACCTGAGAAAGACAAAGAAACACTAGCACAGAATAAAGAGCTGCCTGATGGGGGTGCGCCGCGATCCGAAACTTCATTAGGAGCCCCTTATGGTAAAAATCATCAACCAGACGCTAAACCCCCAAATCTTGGCATAAACATACCGGACGCTGTCAGTGGAGAGCAAATTCCAAAGGACCATAAAAATGGCAGCGACAAAGAGAGCGAGAAGGATGACTTAGCCGTTAACGATAATATCGCAAATTCTTCCTCAGGACCTGACGTGAACGGGAAACAAGAGGGAAGCATATCTTCGCCTACCCAGGATCTCCGTGAAGGTTCCAAGGATGAAGACACCTCCGATGGACATAAAACTACTACCGCGGAAGGCGAAGACACATAGAATGAGCAGAGCGTTAATCCCAGAATAAAACAACATCACGTTCGACACCATTCTTCTAGTCGCATTCATGCCGGCTATTCTAGGACCCAGTTGATACTTATCTTGCGACATACTTCCTAGAAAAGACCAGCATGGCATCGCTATTGCGCTATCCGATGTGGAAACAAAGACCAAGATGATACACATTACTTAGCTGACAGTGACTATCAAACCCAATCTTTGAATTGACTCATAGACAGTTGATTGTGGCCATTTGTGTCTGTGAGTAGTGCAAACCTCCAGAAAGCATCCTCTCATCGAGGTCCGAGAGAGGGTTGGCCCCGACGTATCTGAAGTTTTTCAAACTTCATTGTAGCATTATACTCATCATGTCTTGCATTGAATCGAGGTTGAACCTAGTTTAATCAGCTATTTCAAGAATTTGTTTTAGTCGATGTATAAAATATAATTTTAGTTCCTGCTCTTTTGTGCTCCGTTGCCATTTTCAGAGAAGTGGAGAAAACAAGTGGATCACAATCGCTGGTCTAGTTCAGTAACCGGTCTCGATACCTTAGGGCCTGAGATGATGATACGAATGTATGATTTAGTTGTAATGCTCCTTGATTATTATTATGTAATGGTTTAGCCGCTGAAAGAGTGAAAACACGCTTTAAAGCAGCATATCGTGTTTATGCACTGATTTCAAGTCTATACCTGTTTTGAAGATGAGAGGAAGCAGCAAATGTGCTTTGCTTCACTATTTGGTTTATTTTGTGCACTAAGATCAACCTGAACTTGCTTTTGTGCCGTGATGTAGGAATTAGGACGAGAACCGCCAATTGAGAGACGGCACTGAAGAAACATACCGTCAGTTCAGCTATCAGTGATATCAGAGGAAGAATAGAAGCTGGTCCGTTCTTCGCAAATTGTCGAAGCGCTTGGAGTAACGCATCCTTGCGTTACGGCGGCATCAAATAATCATCGATACTTACTTCTCTGTTTAAAAAGAAGAACAAATCCATTGACTTGTGAATGAAAGGAATACTACTAAATCTCAGGGGCGTCCTATTCCACCCGATGTGACGGTCAAAAGCCATCCTTATTTCGATTATTGTTGCCCTTATTTCGGAAAACTCTTGGCTTTCCGAAACTACTGTACTCAGAAAAGAAAGCTACATTTGGGTTATACAAGGCTTCTTTCCTGCAGCTTTACACGCTTCACCTGGAGCTTTCTGACATATTCGTCCAGAATCAAGGCGAGAATGCTACAGCTCAAAGAAGAGTGTGTTTTATGCGATATTAGACGCTAGATGCTCACTGAATCACCACAACCCATTAAAAAGGGAAGTGAACCTCAAATCAAGTTCCCAGATCGATAAAATCTTATTTTGAACCACCAACCTCTGCTCTTTAGCGTCTACCCGAGCAAAGGGTAATGGGAAACGATTAAACCTCGCCATTTATTATTCCCTAGCCTCTAAAGAAGCCTTTCAAGTTCTGCTGCGATGGAAACTGTTGATTTTTGTACAATTGCGAGCTCAAAATCTACTGGTTTACGCTACTTGTTCATTATCACGACTCGTTTTCATAGCCCACACGATATCAACTTGACCAAACGTTCTGAACTTAGAGGGTTCTAAGACTGAAAAATTAATGAACATTGTTTTTCGCAGACGCATAGCACATCACAGCAAGACAAAGTTCACGAACAAAAACCAAAGAGATCTAGGAATAGGGTCAACACAAAGCGCTTCTTGGGTAGAATGACAACGCCTATAAGTTTGCCTTCTAACCTGCCCTTCCCTGTGACGATCGCGAAATTGTGTGTCTCAACAGGCGATGAGGTCAAGAAAGGCCAGAGACTGTTTGTCTACAAATACTGGGAACTGCAAGATGTGATAACTGCTCCGAATGAGGAAAGCAGCAAGAAGAAAAGGAGGGTGGACTTGGTGGGTACTTTTGACTCGCCGGTCGAGGGCACAATTATGGCACTTAACCTGAGCCTTGGAGATGAGTTCGTTAACAATTCAGCGGTAGTAGCGGAGGTAAGCCAACCTTGTACACACGACGTCACATACGGATCTCTTTGTGTGGTGTGTGGTAAAGCCGTGGAGGAAGACGAGGACCAGAATCTCAACAATACGGGATTTTCCAACAGTAAGCTGACCATGGCGCATAACAACATGAATATCAAGGTTTCGGAGCGCCAGGCGGCGTCGATCGAGAAAAGTACACAAAAACAGCTCCGAGAACTCAAAAAACTAGTTCTAGTAGTAGATCTCGACCAAACAGTGATCCATTGTGGCGTAGACCCCACGATCAAAGAGTGGGCGAACGATCCTTCCAACCCCAACTACGATGCCCTTAAAAACGTTCGATCATTTTCACTTGACGAGGACCCAGTGCTGCCGCCATTTTACATGGGCCCCCGTCCACCCCCCCGCAAATGTCAGTACTACGTGAAACTTAGACCGGGATTACAAGAATTTTTCGAAAAAGTGGCCCCCCACTTCGAACTTCATATTTACACCATGGCTACCAGAGCTTATGCATTGGAAATAGCCAAGATTATAGATCCGGCGGGGGAGCTTTTTGGTGATCGGATCTTGTCGCGCGACGAAAATGGGTCTCTCACTCATAAGTCTCTTGAAAGATTATTTCCTATGGATCAATCTATGGTTGTTATTATCGATGATAGAGGTGATGTCTGGAGCTGGTGCCCGAATTTGATCAAAGTGGTACCCTACGATTTCTTTGTGGGCGTTGGTGATATCAATTCCAACTTCCTCCCGAGGCAGCAAAACTCCATGTTGCATATGGGGAGAAGGCATCGCAAGAAGGCAGAGGAAGAAGAACTTTTGACTGACATTATGGACACGGAAAAAAAATTACAGGAAAAGATTGATCAAGAGGTCAAGAAACAGGAGGAACAATTCAATAAGATAACGGAGGAGAGCCAGACCGATAGGCCCATTTCCAAAGAAGACCTGGCCAAAAAGCTGGAACACAATGCTTCTCTGGAAGTCCAACAACAAAACAGGCCGCTGGCGGAATTACAGAAGCATATGCACAATCAAAAACTTTTAATTGATGACGACGAGGAACTTCCGCATCTATCTGAAATATTATTGAAGGTGCACAGGGCCTACTACGAAGAGTTAGCCAAGGAAGAAGAATTACCCGATATCAAAAAGTTGTTGCCAGCCATGAAGGCAAAAGTCTTACAGGGATGCAACTTTGTGTTTTCAGGCCTCATTCCGTTGGGTACAGACGTGCGGCAGGCAGACATCGCTTTGTGGACAGGTATGTTTGGAGCGATAACTTCGAGTGACGTGGATGAAAATACCACTCATATCATTACCAAGACACCGGGGACATTTAAGGCTCGTCTCGCAAAGGCATTCAACCCAAGCATTAGAGTAGTCCACCCGGACTGGATATTCGAGTGTTTAATTCAATGGCAAAGAACAAGCGTGCAGCCCTACGAATTACTTACCGAACAGGCGGTTACGGATGAAGAGCTTCAGGAGTTTAAAAGTAAGTTGGAAAAGAGAAAGGCCGCCGAACAAAGCGTTCGCGAAAGAGCGAATCAGGCGTCCAATGACGACGTTGCTTTGCTGGCGGGCGACGATATGTGGCTGGATAACGATGATGACGAAATGGACGAGTTTCTCAATGACGAAGAAGGAGATGAAGATGAAGACGAAGACGAAGACAAAAACGAGAACGAGAACGAGAAAGATGAGAAGAGCCCAGACGATAGCCAGGACGTTGCAGTTATTAACTCACCACAATATTCTAGAGAGGCGTCGGTGTCTGAGGGACTGAATGTCCGAAAAAGATCGCTTTCTACCGATGCGGATGCGGATCATAAGCGTCAGCATTACGACTCAACAAAAGAGGATTTGGAGGAGTCCCAAAACAACGAAGAAAATGACGACGACGATTTAGAAGCGGAGCTGTTGCTTGAGCTTGAAGGTTGAATTAGTGCGCAGCGTTGCATCTTTGAAACGTCATTCTTCCCATCTTTCGCGAAGCATTCTTCAGGACCGTCTCTACACCTTTCAGAACCGAGTCTCCATCATCGTGTGTAAAATCTATGCAACCACCCACATCCTCAACTTGAGAACATTCTTGAACCTGTTTTTATTCAATCACTATTGATTTCGGTGACTGCGACGCTTATTTCATCTTCACATGTACTATTAGTATATATACCCTTCAGTAACTTCTTCATCCATAATCTGAAGAAATCTCAACCCAGGCTACATAAAATAACACCAAAATGAGCGCTGGAGCTGTTCAAATACCTCCAGAACTGGAAACCAAGGTTGCGGCTTGGTTCGAGAACGACAAAAATGAACAGACAAGAAGCGAAATCACGAAACTGGTAAACTCACAGAATTGGCATGAATTGCATTCACGATTGGATAAAAGGATCGCATTTGGAACAGCCGGATTGCGTGCCAGAATGGAAGCCGGCTTCAGCAGAATGAACACATTGACGGTTCTTCAGGCGTCTCAGGGATTAGCTAAGTACTTGCAGGACAAGTTCCCAACTAATAAAAGCGTGGTTGTTGGACACGATCACAGATTCCACTCTAAGGAATTCGCACAGGTCACAATTGCTGCTTTTTTACAGCTGGGTTTTACGGTTTACGATCTGTGCTTTGCTGAGAATGACAGTGATCCAGATGTCTTTGTGCACACGCCGCTGGTACCTTTCGCAATTGACCAATTGAATGCTTGTGGCGGTGTCATGATCACAGCCAGTCACAATCCTAAGCTTGACAATGGCTACAAGGTTTACTATGCCAACGGGTGTCAAATTATACCTCCTCATGACCGCCTAATAGCGCAATCAATCGACGACAACCTGAAGCCCTGGAATGATGCGTGGAATTACGAATCGATCAAAGAAAGAGCGATCAAAAGTGGTGTGCTTGTTGATGCAAAGAGAGACATAACCCAGAAGTACGTAGATGCGGTTTCAAAGCGTTTGATTTTTACGGAAATCAGCAAGAACAGCAAAAATGGTCCCTGGTTCTTGTACACACCTATGCATGGTGTTGGATCGGAGGTTTTCGAAAGCATTGTGGAAAAGGCGTGGGGGCTAAGAGCTAATGTGGACTACCTTTGCGTCCCACAACAACAGAGTCCTGATCCTGAGTTTCCAACCGTGAGTTTCCCCAACCCGGAGGAAAAAGGAGCGTTGGATCTGGCGATATCGTTGGCTGAGACGAACGACATATCGTTTGTTCTTGCAAATGACCCCGATGCCGACCGCTTCTCTGCTGCTGTCAAGTATGAAAACGAATGGAGACAGTTATCCGGAAATGAGATTGGTTTCCTCTTCGCACAACAAACATGGGATTCTTACAAGCAAAGAGACGACGAGTTTAAAAGATCGAAGCCACTTGTACTTATCAATTCCACCGTGTCATCGCAGATGATCAAGAAGATGGGCGAGGTGGAAGGGTTTGAATACCGCGATACCTTGACTGGATTCAAGTGGCTCGGAAACCAAGCTCGCGCACTGGAAAAGGAGGGCCTCTACGTTCCCTTTGCGTTCGAAGAAGCCATAGGCTATATGTTTTCTGAAGTTGTGCACGACAAGGATGGCATAAGTGCAGCTATTGTTTTCCTACAGATGATTGCTACTTGGGCAGCGGAAGGCTTATCACCCATAGACATATTGCGTCGCGGATTTGCCCGTTATGGTGCTTTCCAAGAATATAACGGCTACTATATTGTGCCTGACCCCACTGTAACAAATCTCGTTTTCGAGGCCATTCGCGAATCGTATCAGAAGGATGGGCATCAGCATCCTTCGACGCTAGGTGACGATTTCATTGTCGAGAGTTTCACAGATCTGACTATTGGTTATCAGTCCAAAACTCCTGACCATATACCGAGACTGCCTGTGGATGCCTCATCCCAGATGATAACTGTCGTGCTCAGGTCGCGGTCGCATCCCGATGACTACGTAAGGTTCACAACCAGGGGTTCTGGCACCGAGCCCAAACTAAAGGTCTACATTGAGGCCATTTCTGACTCGGAAGAGAAAGCTCGCTTTTTGGCCAAAAAGACGTGGGATACACTAAAAGAACACTGGTTCAAACCGGAGGAGACTGGCATGACTACAAACTTCTAAGATTTGGGCTCAGATTGATTATGATTGTGGGCGAATACTTCAAAAGCTGGCAAAGAAAACCAAACAAAAAAACCAAAAAAACCAAGAATAAAACCAAAATACGTGGACAACAACGATCTAGCCAGAAAGTTTCCTTACGTGTCCAAATTTCAGGATGGCCTCACAAGAATAGGCTTTCGTTGTTCATCAGACAATGGGAGCAAGACTCCATCGTCGTTTTCTCAGAGTGTCGCTAATAACTGAGGTCCGTCGAAAAACTTCTTCAAGAATTATCTGCATAAACGAGTTTTGTTCGGAATTTGCCTCTGACTCATTTCTCGTCGAGTGCTGGTTATCTTACCCTTTGGAAATCTACTGCTAGGAAGACTCATCCTGAATGTTCTTTTCGATGCCTATAGTGTTGTCATAGGTAATGGAAAAAAATTAGTCGTCAAAAAAATGAGCCAACATACTAGAAAAATGGATGCACAGCGAAAGAAGTCTGCGAGCAGTTGAGACGTAAAGAGTTCAGCATTTGCATCGAAAGTGTCTGTCAGAATCATTGGCTTTAAAAAGGACTTATACTTTTGCACCGGTGAAGAAACTTTTTGAAATTTCTCGAGCATCGGCACTGACAGAATCGTCATTTAAAGTGAATTGGCATCAACCGAAGACATCAGGAAAACATTGAAGATGAGTCGTCCATCTATCAAAGAATATTTGAGCAGCAACCCAACTAGAACGCTGGTTCTAGATGGCGGTCAGGGAACAGAACTTGAAAATAGAGGCATCAAGGTTGCCAATCCGGTGTGGTCTACGATTCCATTCATCAATGACACCTTCTGGTCTGATCCTGCCTCAAAAGATCGCCAGATTGTGAAAGAAATGTACGAGGACTTTATGGCAAGTGGGGCGCAGGCTTTGATGACAGTGACCTACCAGGCAAGCTTCAAGTCGGTATCTGAGAACACTGTCATCAAGACGCCAGAAGCATACCTGGAGCTGCTCTCTAGAATCGTTGACTTTTCACGCGGCTGTATCGGCAACGACAAATGGTTGGTGGGCTGTATCGGTCCATGGGGTGCTCACAACTGCACCGAGTTTTCAGGCGAGTACGGACCGGAACCGGAAAAAATCGACTATTTGAAGTATTTCGAGCTGCAGCTATCTGCGTTCAACAAAAACGAAAACTTGGATATGATTGCGTTCGAGACCATCCCCAGCTTTCACGAAATCAAAGCAATTCTTTCATGGGACGAGTCTTTGATCTCCAAACCCTTTTGCATCGGGCTTTCGGTTCACGATAATGGGAAACTGCGCGATGGCACGAGTCTGCGAGAAATCGGTGAGTATATCAAATCCCTAGGTTCAAAGTTGAATCCCAACTTTACTCTGTTGGGTGTGAATTGCGTGAGTTTTGATCATTCCCACAATATGTTGAAAAGCCTACACGAGGTTTTGCCAGAGCTTCCACTCATTGCCTACCCAAATAGCGGTGAAGTATACGATACGGTGCAAAAAGTTTGGACCTCCAAAAAATCGCACGACATGAGTTGGGATTATCTGGTCAAAGAATACATTGAGAACGGAGCCCGCATTATTGGTGGATGCTGCAGGACTACACCAGCGGACATCAAGAAGATCAGTGATGCTGTCAAAAAATACTCAAAATGAAAAGCAAGAAGCGTGTCCGCTTCTGAAAGCTTTGCAAAATGTCAGCATTGTCATGTAATTAGAATCCACATTTAAGTATAGAGCTCTACCTAATTACAAGAATTCTCGTTTGACACCAGCGTTACAAGCCCGATAAAAGATATAGCATACTAGAGAATGAAGCTCCAAAGCTTTCAATGTGTTCATCCGTACCATGCCATTCGCCTTTTACTAAAGGCTAGCCGCAGTTTCTCCATTGATGGCATGAACCCTGTTAAGGTTTTCGAGTCAATTACCTACTCAGCTCTCTATTCAATCATCTTCCCAATAATCTAGTCAGCCACTAAGTATCGTCTTTCACGGAAAGTTTTTTGTTTTCATATTTCAACTAAAATTGGCTAGCCTGGCCCGAACTAAACATCATTGACCATCAAAACTCGACCCACAACAGTTTTTGCTAGCGATTGGATTCCGCACGGAGCTTCAGGATTCAAGTAGAGGGAGATGGCCATTCTTTTTGGGAAAAAAAAGAGCCATTTAGAGCTACCAATGTATGTCGAAAACGACGAGTTTTATGGATTGGTATTCGCGAATGTCATTTGAACAAGTTCATTGAAAGAAGCCTCAGAATTGGAAGCTTTTGGACTCGGAATACAAAGTTTGGAACTTCAAAAACAATATACTAACGATCGTGTCTTTTCTTTGACTTACAGCAGTAAAAATAAACCGAAATTGAGTCCGAAGCGCAAAGGCGATGGCATATTAAATCGGGTCAAAACGAAGCAGCTGTTGAGAAGCAATAGTTCAGTGGTGACTATTGTATTTTTTGTAGTGGGGCTATTTGCCATATGGCGTCTTTTTCAAAAACCTGAGATAAGTTATGGCTCGCCAATGGTATTACAGGAATCAGAGTACTACGACTACGACTTTCTGCCAACTGATAAAGAAATACTGGAAAAATACGATAATGGTTCCGAACACTTTTTGATATCCAACGGTGGCGCAGACGTTCTAACACCGGCCGACAAAGACATTTACGATAAAGAGATAAATATGCTTTATGGGTCGACAGTCCAGAAGTATAATCTCGAAGCGTTCCGGGGCTCTTCTAATGGTGTCAAGAATAAAGAACACGTTTTGTTACTAGTTCCGCTGCGTAATGCAGAAAGAGTTCTACCTCTTATGTTCAAAAATCTCATGAATTTGACATATCCTCACGAACTGATAGATTTGGCCTTCCTTGTGAGTGATTGCTCGGAAGACGATAACACATTGACTGCCTTATTAGATTACTCTCAGAAATTACAAAGCGGGATATTATCTGACGTGTTGGCCGAAGAAGAAGCTGCAGCTGAATCGAAAATGAAGGGCACCCAGGATTTGTTTTTGAAGTACATGCGTCCATCTTACTTGGAAATGGTCAAGCAAGCTTACAGTCCGCCTTTCCATAGTAATTATGACAAACCTTTTCGTTCAGTCCAAATCTTCCAAAAAGATTTCGGTCAAGTCATAGGCCAAGGCTTTTCCGATAGACATGCTGTGAAAGTTCAAGGAATAAGAAGAAAGCTCATGGGCCGCGCTCGTAACTGGTTGACAGCCAATGCTTTGAAGCCGTACCACTCATGGGTCTACTGGAGAGATGCAGACGTGGAGCTTTGCCCAGGTACCGTTATTCAAGATTTGATGTCCATCAATTATGATGTAGCAGTTCCTAATGTATGGCGTCCTTTGCCTGAATTCTTGGATGGGGAACAGGCTTACGACTTGAATTCTTGGCCCGAGTCCCCTGACGCTTTACGTTTAGCCGAAACCCTGGACGAAGATGATGTAATTGTCGAAGGATACGCAGAGTACGCTACGTACAGGGTACACTTGGGTTATATGAGAGATCCAGATGGAAATCCCAAAAATATTTTGGAGCTTGATGGTGTGGGTGGTGTCTCAATTCTGGCAAAAGCACAACTATTCAGAAACGGTGTTCATTTTCCAGCATTCACCTTCGAAAATCATGCAGAAACCGAGGCGTTTGGGAAAATGGCGAAAAAGATGGGGTATAGAGTAGCCGGATTACCAAACTATACCCTGTGGCATATCTATGAACCAAGTGATGATGATTTGAAGCTCATCACCGAGAAGGAGAGAGGAAGCAAAAGGTCTGCAGACAACGCATCTTGAATTTCAATGTAAAGAGACTGACTATCATGCATTCAGGTCAGCAAAATTGAAACCGAACTCTCTGATAAATGCTCAATAGTATTAACATGGTTTATTTGTATATTACATAAATTATACCGTAAAATTGGTGGACGACGATTACGTCTATAATCGGAAAGGAAATTGTTGGCGTACGCAGGACAGCCATTATGCTTCTCGTGTCCCTGCCCAAAAATTTCGAGAACTATTCGAATTGTGTAGAATCGCTCTTGGATTTTGTAGCATACAGAACTTTGCGTTTCGCCCATAGCTCTTCGATTAAGTATGTAGCGCTGATAAGGACAGCTATGGAAGCGAGCCCTATTCCAACATAGAGTGCTGCTCTGTACCCTTCAAGTAATCTTGAGCCATCTTTGTTGATATAGTGCTCAGCAGTGGTCCCTATTCCCAAGCATAACGAGCTTGAATAGCTCACCATCGTACTGACCAGCGAACCTGCCATTCCTTGATACTGTCCTGGTAACTCATCGCTTACAATGATCGATGATGCTGGAAACGATAAGTCCATGCCAAAACTCAAAATGATCATGATTCCCAAAGTCATTTTGAAGTAGCTTTGATTGACCGGAGTGACAGACAGCATTATGCACCCACAGTCGAAAGCGATCATGGATGCTAGCAAAATAACTGCCGGCCCGCAAATATGTAGAGTATAGCCAACTAATAAAGCTGCTACAATTCCCCATATTGCAAACATAAAATATGTCCCACCTGCCCATAGTGGAGTGTAATGTCGGAGGTTTAGAACAAATGACATATAGTAGAAAGTCCAAATACCGAAAGATCCCCATCCAAAAAACAAAGATGCCAAAATCATTAGAAGTCGACGGTTTTTCATAACAGCCCGTGGCAAGAGAGGCTCTGCGGCCAGTTTCGCCTCGAATACAAAAAACCCAGTGAGAAGAATAACAGACACGATCAACAAAACTATGATATATGTTTCGTTCCAACCAGTGATAGGTGCTTGATTCCATACAAAGTTTAGTAAGATAAGCCCCACCACACCCAATCCCGCACCTAACCAGTCCATTTTGAACTTGTGAACATTTGTTGGTATATTATTGGGAATGATCCAAATTGCCACACAAAGATTCAAGGCCGCAGTCAAAGCATATGCGTAAAATGCCCATGCCCAGATTCGAGACTTTTCGCCTATCAATCCAGAGAAAAGGCATCCCATTGTGGCGCCAATCGGAGCACATGAACCTATCAAGCTAAAGATCAGGTTTTTGGCCTTAGTATTCGGGACATAAATGTTGCCAACAGTACCCATAACATTGGGCAAAATAAAAGCGATACCAAGACCTTGAAAAGCCCTTGAAACAATGAAAAAGTTCACGTTGCGAGCGTAAGAGCTTAGGCCACAAATCAATGACCAGATTATGACCACAATATATCCACCTATCAGCGTTTTTTTAAGACCATAAATATCTCCAACCTTCCCACTAACCAGGATAAAAGACCCAGAAACCATCGGAAATGCTGCCATTAGCCATGTTTGCTGAGATGTTCCTGATTCGAGAGAACGAGAGATCACATTGAAAAGCGGATTTGCTTGGGTCGTGGCAGCCTGATTTAACAGCTGCGAAAGCATGCAAAATCCAACGAATACAATTTCTTTGAATCGGCTATCCAGATAAGCCTGATTCTGCAAATTAGGATTCCTCACGGAGACGTCAGCAGCACAATCATGATCTTCATTCTCAGCGATCTGCGATTTCCTCTCTTCCTTCTGAACCAAAGACATTGCTTCTAGCGATAAGCAAGGAAGACCCACCAAGCTTGCTCCACTCAAGAAACAAATATTCAGCGAAAGCGCACAATTGAAGAAGCGTCAATTACTCTTGAAACTTTTGATTCAATGGCCGAATTCTTTACTCCGGTTTCGAACTTTGCCCAATTTAAGGACGAGCACAACACTGAAAGTCAGCTTAAAGGCTGATAAGATGTTTGAATATGCCGTATTCGTGGTATTTCATCAAGATGTCTTTGGCTTGAACATTCAAGATTCCATGCTTAAAGTTTGAATTTCGCTCGAGTACATCAAACAAGTACTGAGATCTCATCTCATCTCAAAACTGTAGGAGCAGTCAGAGAGTTGAGATTCATCTGCTTAGCTGTTTACTTTTATCTTGCAAGACTCAGGTCTAACCTGCTGGCGACCCACCGGTACATCTAATTTCATGCTAAAATGCAAAAAGGATTCAATTCCCGAGATTCACATCGATGCTGTTGAAGATGGAAGAACTGTCTAGAATTTGTATATATGGCAGATGGCCCGCGGAAAAAAAACATTCACTGGGTCTCTTGGGACCGGGTCTTGCGGTAGCGATCATCTCATCGGTTTGGTATGCTTCTCGATTTCCCTTCCCTTTCAAGTTCGGTCTTGGCAAACGTGCTGGTTAATTCTGTTCATATCATGATGTGACATGACACCCATTGAATATACCTTCATTACCTCAAGCACCTTTTCGAGATTTTTACCAGTAACGTGAGGGACACGAGGCTGCTAATTATGTTGTAACGCAGACGATGACATTACGACGGTATGCTGACAGAAATTAGCGTGTTGTTCGGCGTGATTGCGAATTTTCATATGCCATGGGCTCTGCACAACCATTCTCGTCATAGTAGCTTGGGGATTCTCCATCGTCCACTCCAAGGATGTTTGCGGCATACATGAAGGTGGAATGCTGAAGTTGAGCCAGGTACTGGGCCATGACATCCGAGCCAGGAATTGCCTTGGACTTACCACGTTTGGACGATCCTTGAGAATGTGGACGTCTCGAGTTCCGATCTGTTGCAAGGCCCTTTTTGTCGACACCGTCAAAGCCGTTGCCATAAAAATCATCTTGCTTACCGCGCTGGCTGGCAATTTTAAATTGTCGCGTCATGGTCGAAGGCGCCAACGGCGGTACAGCGTCCAGCGATGTGCTCGAAACCATTGGCGGAAACCTCCTGAATGCATGTGGGTGGTCAGTGACCGTTGCATTGACTATGCTCTGGCGACTGTCTCCTTTCTTTGAAAACTGATGTCCTTCGTCATCTAATTGGTTGCCATGATCAGAAGCTTGGCTCGAAACGATGATATCTACATCTGATGAGTCCGAAGATTCACTCTCGTTGTTTTTGAATTGTTCCGCAGGACTGTGAGGCAATGAGATTCCCAGCCCTTCGTCTAATTCGTTATCGTCGCGGCTAAGTCGCAGTAGCTCCTTTTCTTCCAGCTTTTGTTCTTCATCCGAATCTCTGACAGGCTCCTTCTCGTCTGACAAAGAAATGCCAAATGCGTCTGCTTTCAGAATTTTATGTTCATTACCAGCGTCAGCGGGTGAGCCGTTACCATGAGCGCCCTTTTCTTGCTGTTGCCTTAGTCTTATTTTGTAACTCGTTTTCTTGACTTTCTTGTAATGCTTCGAGTTTTTATTAGCCACCAAGTTCTTGTTGATGTTGCCACAACGGTCCTTTCCGTATCCGATAACCAATCCTCGGTATCTATTTTGAAACCTTTCATGAAAGGTCTCCGCGTTTCTGGAGTTATTGACATCTTCGACAAGCTTTATGGCATTGGATATATTCATGAAGTTGATCCAGCAACAATGTCCGTCTGGTAGAAAATTGATTTGCTCTATATCACCAAACACTCTGAAATCCTGTAGTAAAGTTTCCTTTGATGGGAGATGGAATTTTTCTTTCAAGTTTTGGTATTCAGGATCATTTATGAATTTATCCTTGAAAGCATGCTCAGGTAGACTGACGTACACGTTTCTACTAGCACCAACGGTCACCGCTAAAGATATCGATTGAGGTAAGTCCCCCGAATGATGACCCCACCCGACTTTCAAGACATTTCCATGTAAAACAATCGGCTCAATCGAGGAATTGGCAAAGAATTGAACCGCAGCGGCAGCATCAATAAATGTAACAAAACATATCTGTTTGGACGCAATGAATTTTACGCTTTGTAGCAGACCACCACGAACAACATTACAGATATCCTCTGCTTTCGAGCGCTGGTTAATATTTCCGATGTAGACCGTCCTGTTACCAACGCCGCTGCCCATAGCTGATGCAACTTGTGCTGTGGTTGTGAATTGCTGTTGCAGAGTGTGTCCCAGAGGCTTTGCCATATCAACATAGTATGGATAATGTGGAAATGCATGAGATTGCGCTGGTGTATCAGATTGGATGAGAGACACCATGCTACCGCGCGGAGAAGGGTCGAAATCATTTATGAGCATTTCTTGTGGCGCTGGTGACGAGACGTTATCGGAAGAGCCACTTGCGACGGAGTCCAGGTTAAGTGGTTTAGATGCAGCGATATGGGAGGGGTGCTGGTTGTGCTCTACTAAAATCGGGGGGTCATAAAGTTCTGGCAGTATCTTTAGAGTCTTCATGGCCATATTAGAGTGTGCGATTTCAGGGTTAGCAGGAGGAAAATCGTGTGCTGCAGCGCTAGAAGAGCGCGAAGTAATCGAAGATTCGCGCAAATTAATCTGCGAGCCCGAAAGAGAACGTAGCTCAGACTTGCCGGACGTAGAAGTTGTTGTGACGTACTGTACTTTCCTCAAGTCTTGGATGGTGTTTTTGTGTGCCTCGAGGTATTCGATGGTTTCAATAGCCATGGCAATGCTGATAAAACAGACGACGGCGTAGTGAGAGCTCAAATGCCTCGAGATGCGATTGGTGTTCACGAATTCGATGCACTCCGCGATGTAGCGGGGGCCCCGATTTTCGAGAAATGGGAGTTTTTCAAATAAGCTCGTGGGCGATATGTCGGACCCAAATTCCAAAACCACAGATCGGGTTGCGCCCGTGCGGAGTACTTGATTCCGGACTTCCTGGCGTGTTGGGCCCGAATCTGCATCTTGAAGTCGCACAAAATTCAAAGTCAGTTTCTGGGATTTTAGCTGTTTTTTGAATTCCGAAAGTCTTTGCAGTACGCCGTTGTAAAAATCCAAACATGTTTCCTGGGTAAGAAAACTGACCAGGATGGACTGTTTGTCGTTGTCTGAGTCAACGCGGTAGACACTTTCGAGTCTGTCACACTTGTCGAATTTGCTGAGAAAGTCATGGAGATGCAGATCGGGGCTGAGGTTGGAGAACAGCAGCGATGGCGTGCGATACTCGTCGTCTGTCACCGTTGGTGGCAGCACCTCGTAGGCGATTTCGTAAGCGGTCCGGCGTGTTTGCTCGTCCACTAGATGCTGATTTTTGTGCCTCCGGGGCCCACGCTTGTCGTGGGGCACTGGAGGCATACGCAACGGCAGCGCCTGATGGCTGTACGGTACATGGTACCGTCCATTGGGTACCGGATTCGAGTGCGGAGTCGCTATGTACGGCGAGTTTAATAAAAGATGTGATGGAAGCAAGGATGCGCCATAAGTGAGATCAAATGGGGTTTGTGGTGGTTGTTGATGATGATGATGATGATGGTGGTGATGCATTGGTGGCAAATTCCCACTGCTGTATGCGGTTCGCGGAGAAAGCCTGTCCACCGTGTAAAGTGACGACCCGCGTCCTGAGAGCTCTTGTCGTTTGCCATTGGTCTGATTAGCACCGTGATTCACTCCGTTGAGAGCCATTTTGTCACGATATGATACCTGAAAGTCTGGGTGAAGCTTAAATCCTCGTGGATAGCACCTGGCTCACGCTTTTTATCAGAACTGAGGTCCGGAAATCTGATTTGGGCTCTTAATTTTAAATTTTTTGTGTAGTACCTAGTATCCCGTAAAGTGTGTAAAGCGTGTAAACGGTTTAAACAGGACAAAGTACTGTGTGCTATCTTCTGATACCGCAATTGAGTTATCCCACACGTCTTACTTTTTTACAGTTTCTTTCCACTTGTTTTTTCGAGCGGTTTCTCAACGGTTGGATGAGTTTGGTGCACACCTGAAGAAAAAATAAAGTGAGATCGAAACCAATGAAAACCGGCCAGCTTTTCGAGCTTTTTTCAAGTGTGAGAGTGCGCTGCTGATCCCAGAACTGTGCACGCGCTCAACACTTTTGTGGTGTGCGAATTGAGTTGGGTTTGTTGGCGTGTTTTTTCGAACTTTGTATGTGAAATATAAAGAAGAAAAGCTGGGTTGTACATAGGTTTCGTGGTTTTTATTTACTGAATTTAGATCATTTATTATGTATATTAGAGGAAAATGAGAAATGAGGTCGTGTTGTACGGACGGTCTCGAGAAAATAGGACAATGATGGGTGAAATTAGAAAAGTCGGGTTGAGATAGACTTTGATATAGGTGTAGGGTTAACGAAATGGAGAGCTATTGAGGGAATCGAGAGAATCCGACGAAAAAAAAATCAAAAAAAATGCCGTACATAAGCAGCAAGCAGAGTGTCACGTGACCCGAAGCGCTTTTTGGGAACTTGAAAGGAATGCAGTCACCATGGGCTTCGTAATGCCGTTTCTACTGCTACTATGAGTTTATTCTGAGCATCATAACAAAAGGGACTGTTCTAGCTCCAAAAATTGTGGTTGATTACCGATGCTTGTGGATCTGGCGGTTCGATTTGTTCCTAGGAAGTTTTTGGCCTCGAAGTGTCGTTGACTCAGTAAAATTGCGGGAAAATACAAGCATCCGTTGACGGTGAATAAAAAGCGTTGATGTGTACCAGTACTTGTGACGTTATACTCAGAATAGCATATCACTATATACGACACAACTTTCAACAACAAAAGAAGGGTCCTGGAAGGAGAATTGTCTTGGGCCTTAACATTCTAGTATTGATACTAGAGTCCCCCGAGTATTTTTTTTGAGAGCTCCAAATCACATTTTGGATGCATTTTTTTTCGAATCAAAATTAGCAATTTACTATGTGCGTCAGTCAGTACCTTTTAAAATCGACAACGACCCATACTTTTTCCAAGAGCATACTCTTTTCATAGCTTTAGAGTTTCAATGCGTTCTGATCGATAAACTGTCAACCGAATAGGTGACACATTTCGTGCGAAAACGCCCCCGCACTCAAATTTCATATTGAGCCTTACTGTCATCGATGAGGACTGGGAAATTTGATTTTGGAGAAGATCGGAACAGCAGTATAATACAAGATTCTTTCAAGTCTGAAACAATGGCATAATAGTCCACTGGTGGATCAAAAAGCGTCACCGCTATGGTATAAAATTCGCCCGTCTCTCAATGATGACAGTATTAACAAAGTCACGTGACTGCTATCATTTGGTCGCTATTCTGACGGCCTTTTTGAAAAAGAGATGTTTGCATTGGTAAGCCTGAGCTACAGCTTTTAGCCTACAGCGCCCATCAGCCGCTCACAAGGATTCCAAACAATATTCTAGTTTTTACTCTTCGACGCCATGGGAAAGAAGGACTGACTTTCTAAGCTGGCGTTCAGGCCAAATTTACTTCGATCCCCGATGACGATTTCACGGCTGCGGTCCATTCTTGAAACTTTGACGCCTATGTGAATACAACAAATCTCGAAATACTCACTCCAGATGCCTATCAGCATTCATATGTACAAGCATAGGTGAATGTCTGATCTAGTCACGTGATCATTTACCATTTAAAAGATGTGTCAAGCGGGCTTTTTAGCTTCCTTCCTATTATGAGTCCATATCAATTATGGGTTTTATAGTTCTCTGTGCTTATCGAACTAGTCATTTGTAGGTTTTCAACCATCTGGGTTCAACGACAATCTTTCTCTCTCTCATAACTTTCGACGAGTACGAGTACTTCTTCAATCTCAATCACATTTCTATCTTATTTACTGACACCATTGAACTTCGCGCATCCTGTTCAACTATGATCATATCAACAACACGAAGGACCACCGTGCTAAATTTACCGAGTAGTGCTCTCTTGCACTTTGGAATTGTTCTTTAACTCAACTTTCGCTTTCTACAATTAGTTAGAATTCTTATTTGGTAGTTTAATGTCGTAAACTCTCAGCGCAATTACTCAAGCTGCATTATATTAACGTTTTACAGACACCGGCGATCAAATGAGCTGAGATCATTGCAGCTGGAACTATTTGAGGGCTTCTGCCCATTTCAATATCTTTCTCGTCCGTAATCTGTTAATTCACTGTTGGTACATCTCGATAGAGTGACTAGCACTTTACTTACCAAGCAATCGAAACTTTTCTTACACATTTGAAATACCCACCTGAGTACCCTTCCTTCCTTTTTCCTCCTTTTGCTTACAGTTCAGATGGAGCTCAAGAACCTTAATCCTAGCGTAAGCACTAAAAAGTGTCAGTTAGCGGCCGAGAGCTAGAGGTTTCCAAATTGTCATTGATCGTTGACTTGACACTTAAGAAACGCCTTTCTTTTCTCCTTTTCAGCTACGCTACCACAAATTTAAAATCCTGAATTCTGCCATTGGAAAAGGTCCTGGAAACCACCATCACTGTTGTTATTGTCAATGTTATTTTTGTTGTTGTTGTTTTCCTGAGAATACTGCATTTGTTCTCCTGTCGTCCCAGACGTTGCATTCCACCGCCGGCGAGGTCCGCGGTGCGCCCTAGCAGGCATTGTTATTGCAGTATCATCCCCATTATCCTGTTTCGAGTCTCCCATCGACTCGTAATGAGCATCCCCACGAGGGTCTCGCCTGGTCGGAACAGCTGCACTGACAGATGCGAAGGATCCCGGGAAAGACGTGGTGCGTGTATCTTGTCCTTCAGTACCTGTCGGACTCCAAGCCAATAGCGGTGCCAATCCAAGCGATGCGTCGACTGTAAAGCCGGATCCGCGGGCCAACATCGACGCTTGATTCGTTCCGACAGCGGATCCTAATGCTGTTCCAGCGTCATTGCTGTTGCCATGACTATTAATTTTGTTAGTGTTGTTGGGAATATGAGACGCATCCTGACCTCCTGAACCTGCATGAGCACCCAAAAACATAAGATTCAACTGTGAAGACGAAGCACCAGGTACCCGGTAGTAGTCCTTCAAGAAATCGCCGTTACTCGGTACTCTGAAAAGTCCATCGTCGAAGGAAGTTTGCAGCTGACCGCGAGTATCAGTCCCGCCTGGGTGACTGTTGGTCGTTTCGCCATTTCCCACTGTGGCAAGATTCAAGCTTGACATGCCGCTCCCCATATTCGGCACCCCTCCGTCTGCAGTAAAGAATGCGCTCAAATCTGTGTTGCTGAAAGAGCTACTGTTCAAAACTGAGTCAAACTGGAAAGCCTCTGCAATAGCATTCTGAGGATTGCTTCCACCAAAGTGGCTCTTACTGTTGGGACCCGATTCCCTTCCTGCAGGCAGAGGTTTTGCATCCTCTTGGACAGTCGAGAGACTATCATGACGTTCCATTTTCACTTTCTTCTCAAAGGGAGACTCACACTCGGAACTTGCAGGAGTTAATTTCGGTGGATTTCCCTCGTTTTGTACCTCGTGTTTCCGTTTATAGCCGGAATTAGTGCTTGGACGGCCCATTAGCTTGTTGTAGTACTGAAGGCGCTTCCCTAGAAGCTTATCGAGTTTCTCAGGGTTTATTTGCGGCGGCTGTAAGATGACATTGATAGCCATATCTAACAAAATCAAGCTATGCCACGAGAGCGACCCAGGTAATTCCAACCTTTTGGTATCTTCAAGCTCTTTCACCACATCTAGTAGCAAATTCTTACTGATCTGGAACAGTGTACCACCTTTGGTATAATCTAAAGTACCTCTGGCGCTAAGCAGCGCGAACTGGGACTTGATTCTGGGCATATTAATCGCAAGCGGTAGATAGCGACTTCCCAAGGTTGACTGAACGCTCAAAAAAGTATTGATAGCTTGTTGTAAAAGAACGTGCGACGAGGAGCGGTCAGCAGATCCATCAAGATCATCAGTGATCAAAGTATCCTCAGAATCCATCTCACTGTGTGGTCCGGCGGACAAGGGTCTCGCGGCCAGCACCGGTAGATGAACCAAGCATTTTATCATGAAATACAGAATCACAAGAGCCCTCTTATCTCCTTGACCACGTTCCTGAGCCCATTCGTTGGCTATACCGAACTCTTTTACATCCACTGTTCCGTTTACGTCCAGCTGAAACCTAAGCTGTTGCGGCAAACTTCTCATCCAATTATCTAAGGCATTCTCATGAATTAAAGCAACCTGTTGAGCACTAACAGCGGTCATTCCTCGCTTGAAGATTGAGTCTAGAATGTTACCCAGAATTTTCGAAAAACGTAACAACGATAAAGAAAATTCAGAGACCTGCCCTTCGAGTTTGACTGTTTGATCTGATAAGGTGACACCTTCTTTACTATTATCACTCAATGGAAGAGCACATTCAATTTCGTGATCTTTCAACAAACGAGGAACACCCAATTGTAGTGCCGAGAAGACGTCCAAATAGTAAATACCCCAGAAAAGTAATCTCCGATCACCTTGCTCGTTTTTGCTCATGGTTGAGCCCTCGGTACCTAATACCGCGCTTGGGCAACGGTGAAGTCTCAATTGTTGTGCCATGGACACGATTTTACCTCTAAGCTCATAGACTGATGATACATCTCCCGTGTTCAAGAAATAAAACAGCAGCAATGACATAAATTGCAAAATTTTGATGGAGGTTGTTTTGACTGTGAAGTAAGGATTCAATTTAAGTGCTGGAATCGAATTGTTGTAATAACTCATAACGCGGCTCAGTTTATGGGTTGTCTTCAGGTTTTCGGACTTGACTTTGAGCATAATTCCAAACTGACACACCACCATCAAAATACAGCCAAAGATTTTATATGAAATGGATTTGCTGCGGTGGGCAAAAGAGGAGCTTGTGTCAGAGAAAAGTTCCTTGTCATGAATAAGATCGTCCTTGAATTTGAAATAGTAACTGTAGAACTCGTTTTCGTTGAGAACCGGTATTAGTGCGTGACAGCTATCGAAGTATTGCGATATGAGATCTTCAATCTCTGCAAAAGACAAAACATCGGGGTCGCTGCTCGAGCCAAGGTTGAACCTGCAACTTTGCGTAAAAAACCACATCAGATCATCAATTTCCCACAGACTCTTTATCCTTAGTTGTGAAAGACCATCGGTGCTCGGTACTATTACTTGTGAGGGCTCTTTCAAAGACGCCAAGAGCGAAGCTGTGTAGATACATTGCTTTGACGTTAGTCCAAATGCCTGTCCCAGTCGTGCCAGTAGCCTAGGAATGAATAAAATCTCTTCAGTCGAGCGCGGTATGGACAATGCCACAAGACATGCCAGTTGTGACGAATATTCGTGGTTTGCCATACTGGAAAGTGCTCTAACTGCTGGCAATCCCGGTGCCTCATTCTGCTCGAAGGAAATGGTCTGAGGGTCAGCGAGTGTCGTGCTCACAGGTTTCTCGTGAAGATGAGGATGAGATGAGTCGCTGCAGTTGGAAACCTGGCATCTATGGATACCGGCATTGCCCTCTTCGGAGGGCGAAGTCTTGTTGAGAAGATATAGATTTGTGGAGCTAACACGCAGCGACCCGCCATTTGAAGAGCTCAGTTGTTGCAGCAGACGATCATCCTCTGGAGATGAGGTCGTTCCAGGACGAGACTTGGACGAAAACCGTGACACCAAATGCAGTTGTTCATCTTTGAGATCGCACAGTGCCACCAACCGACGGTTTTCTGCCTCTAGCTCCCTCACGCGTTCCTCCAAAGTCTCGGTGTAGCCCTTGGGAAAAGCACGGCGAGAAAGCTTATCGCTAACTTTGCATTCAAAGCCCACTGCTGCGCACTGCGAGCATTGAGGTCGTTTCCCGTCACAACGTGTCTTTTTTGACCTACAGCGGTCACAGGCCTGTGCAACACGGAAGTTAGTGGATGGCGTTACCGAAGATGCAGTTGGAGATACGCTTGGTGCGGCAAAACTGCCATTAGCAATCGAACCTGCTCTAGGTTGTAAGTTGGCTGGCGATTGTGAGATTGATGATGGCTGGCTCAGAAATTGGTTCGACACTCCCATCGGTTGTGAATTCATTGCACGAATGATTCGCGGTTCGAATATATCTTTTTCGGCACCGCCCATCCTGCTTGACAAGCCTTTTTGTTATAGCAAAGCGCTTTATGGACAAAACCACAGCACTAGACTTGAGTTTTGCAAAAACAATCGGAAGTGACTGTTGTGTTCAGTAATTTGAAAGCTTCCAATAGCGTCAAGCCACCTGGGTTGATATATCAATGTCAAAACACCGAGAGGAGAATTTGACAGAACTCTGTGATGGTCAAAAACGTACAGACTTTTAGTTGATTATATTTTCTTGGTAACGGTGAAGATGTAATTATATTATACATATATTAATAAAGTGATGATGACTTTTCGACATTTTGATTAGCGTTCAATCGGCGAAAAACAACGGCGATCTTAGATACAAACAGGAGCTACGACGTGTGACAGGAACAGCTGAGTTTGAGGTTGAATTTCTGCGTTTTTGGGCGTGAAAAAAGCTTAAAAAACGGACTTGTTTTGGGTGAGTAAAGGAAAGAAAAGAAGTTCGCTTTTTCGTGTTGGACCCCCATTTTTTGGCATAGCGTTACTTCACGGAACGCATATAAATTAGGACAAATACCGCGTTGTTTGATATGTGGAAGCTGTAAAAGGCTCATTTTTTGATCCCAAACCGTTGATCATTACCCAAGAAATGCCTTCTTGGACAAAAGCGGCCACTTCATTTTGAGAGTTTGAATGGATAGTGTGTAGCCCAAATAAGAGCTACGGCTGATTATCATGGGCCTCAAACGGTTTCAGTGGCTATTGTAGGAAAAGACAGTTTTTCTCTGGAGTTATGCGAAAACAGCAGAGAAATCAAAAATGAACTCATTCGTCGAGATCCATGTAGTTTCGATTATCATTGCTACTACATTCTAAGAATGATGAGAAAATGAGCCTGTTGGTAGTGTTTAAACACCCTTTGGATTGTAAGAAGACTGTCATTAATATCATCGGGACACTTAAGTACGAAGTGATATGAGAGTAAGCGCATGAGATTCTGAAAAGCTTTAGCAAAGTGCAGAGACATAGAATACAGTTTCGAACTTCGCTAGCCACTCTGAAAATTTAGGTAAGTACGTTCTTACCATTGCAAGAAATCTTGGTAGATTTTCTTTATATATCAAACATTTATAATTTTGATATTGTGGTTTTCCCCAAAATTGAAAAAATTTAACAAAGAAAGATCCAAGATTCCCACTGCTGTTGAAAGTGTTTGAATGATGAAACTATGATTCTGTGAGTGTCATTCTTGCCCGCGTTTCGAGTTGTCACCATTCATTCGAACTAGGCTTCCCCGTTTATATCATGTTTAACGAGCGTGTCATAATATACATGTTATTTACTGTCAACAAGATGCGCGCTAAGGTCTCTAAAGTTCCAATGGGCATCTGATGAATCAAAAAGCTGATCCGTACCACTAAATCTCATGTGGAGGCTGTCCAATCTTTTCAAGTTAGTACTTTTGCTGTTTATAGCGTATCTAGGTAGTTCAGAGCTCATCCAGAAGTCCAACACCGCTGCTTATGAGCGAATGTTCATGGGCGCGAAACCAACTTCAGTCAACTTGATCATAGCACATCCAGATGACGAAGTTATGTTTTTCGCACCCACGCTTATACAGTTAGATGCTCTGCTGGATCAGGAAGTGCCTGTCCGTGTATTTTGCATGACGAATGGAGGTGCAGACGGATTAGGTGCAATTAGGGTTCGTGAACTACAAGAATCTCTACAGCTGTTGATGCACAGGAAACGTCCAAATACCGAGATCCTAGATTTTGCTGATGGAATGCAAGAAAATTGGGATCTCAAAAGCACCACAAAGCATCTCAAGTCTGTAGTGACTGATTCAGCTCCCACTTTCATTACCTTTGATGATCACGGAATTTCAAACCATATTAATCATATCTCCTGCTACAAAACAGTTCAGAATTTGCGAGATTATTACCCTGAAGGTCTTTATTTCCGACTTTCAAGCAAGCAATGGATTCTTCAGAAATATACTGCATTCATTCCTGCCCTTTTGCACGCGCACAGATCCACTCGAGGGATTATATTTGTGAACGATTTCAAGACCTACCTATTGTCTTTTGCGACTATGCTCAACGCACATGTGTCGCAAATGGTTTGGTTTAGATATGGCTGGTGGTTTTTAAGCTACTATGTTTACGCCAATGAATTGCAACGATTCTGACATCTCTGAACATTACCTGACAAACGAATTTCGTAAAAAAAAAGAATATAAAGTTTATTTACCACAGCCTTCCAAGAAGCATATCATCTTCCTCCTCCTCATCAAATGCCTTAATTTTTTGTTGGGCAGCTTCGCTGCGCCTTTGAGTCTTCTGAACATATTTTTGTCTGTGCATCTCGAAATAACTCCTCAAAATGCTTGCCTGATGCTGGTCTAGCGCTCCTTTTTTGATGAATCGCAGTGACTTATGATAGCATCCGGATGCCGCTTGGTTTTTGAGCACGAGCTTGTAATATTTTTGTGTAATTGCCATTAATTCAGTAGAAGCGGTTGACTCCATGTTCCACGGTGACAAGCATTGTTCAATAACTTCGATTGCCCCTCTGTGATTATTTGTGGCTTGCAAGACTGTGAGCCTATCTTTAAGTACCAAAAGATCTGGTCGTACTTTTGTTCCGCGTTTATAATGCCATTCTTTCATTACTTCCCAAGTCCCATTTGACAGTTGGCCACTAGGGTCTATTTTTGCATCCCACATAATTGTACACTGCTTGAACAGGCGTCTCCAGAACGATATGTCGAGTTCCAAATCTGGGTATCTTTCAATAAAAAGGTCCATTAATTTAAGAGCAGGAACAATTTGACCGTTTCGAGCGAAACTTGCTAGAATAGATATAAGAATCTCAGAAGATGGTGTGACAAATGCATCTGTGGCCTTTCTTTCCCTCTGGCTGTTCATTGAGATACCCCAACGTTGATTGATGTATTTTTCTAACGCAGGCAACTGTGCCATAAATCCCAATGAATATACGATGGCGGTTTCCATGGAGTCGTTTATTCTCAGGGACCAGTCACTTGTGGGGTTATCAAGCTGTCCAATGAGTGCAGGAACAAAGTTTCTGTCAAATGCTTTATACTTGGAGCGCGAAGAATAATTATGCACCCCGAGATTTTTTTGCGGCGATGGCCAGTTTTGAGGTAAAGCGCCACAACGCAGTTGTAAGTAATGGATGGTTGTTGAAATGTCGGAAGGAATTTTGTTGTCATTAGAAGCTAAAATGAAGTTGAGAACAATTTGGGCCTTTCGCAATTGGGAATTTCGAATGAAAAAAGCCAAGAATTGGTTCAGGTCGTGCAATTGAAGTGGTGAAAGATGTTTTTCGCTCAGAGTTTGAATGTAGATAGAGTAAAAGTTGAAAACAATTTCCGTTCCGTGACTTCCAGGTGCAACGTGTATCAGCTTTTCAACGAGACGATCTGAAGCTAGTAGACCCTGAATTAGTGTAGACAATTCCATTGGCGTTAATACGTTATCTGAGAATATTTTCTTGCTGTAATTAGATTCTAGTCTTGACTGTAAAGTGAGTTCCATCAACACTTTAACATATTCTCGTGCTTGGATGGAAGCTGACAACCGGCTTGCAGGCGTAGTTATGCGGTCGATATGCTTACCAAAAGGTTGAGGCCGCGAACTTTTAGCCTCATTCCTTACTCTTTTCACTAATATGCTCTGCAGAGTATTCCCTGCACCAGATCTATCACTGCATGAAGAAATACCATTGGTTTGTCCGATAACGGGTTTCAAATCTCCATTAGAGCTACTGGAAGCAAACGCAAGATGGCTGTTCCATCTTCGCAGTACCGGCGTAACAGACAGGCGTCTTCCGGAGAGCATTCCCAGCTTGATTCTTATAGCTTTTCAATGTTACCAGTTCGAGGTAAGCGCTTGGTTTTTAGATTTGTATATAAATTTTGACGTTATAGTCACCAAACACGTCCAAGTACGTGAGACCATTGTCAACAGTAGTGTAAACAGATCGTGATGCTTCGCTATCAACCTCAACACTTCCGTGATTCTACTGATGTGGTCTTCTGTATCAGTTTGTATCAGTAATTTACCGAAGCTTTGTAGACCTTCCCACCAAACAAACCCGGTGCTGTAGTTATAAAGCTCTTTTCATGACATCAAATAGGCATTAACGCTATTTAAAGAGGCTCGCGGTGGATTTATGTTCCTTCCTTCCAATGTGCTTATCATCTTGAACAAATGCTTCTTGATAAGTGTCTTGTCTACGCTACGGGGCTGTTGATCAAGCTTCCAGGTGTCTAGATTGTAATTGCGAGATAGTAGACAGAGTAATACACTGACTGACATATCTTTACCATCACCACAGCATATCAGAATAGGAAGAGCGTTGTTGAGATGTGACTCGACAAGAGGGCAAATATCAGTCAAGAAAGACCGCAGATTTTTAGAGCTTTTCTTGGAGCCGCTAGAAAGCTTAACAATGCTTATAGCAGAATTTGCGCTTGTTTCGGGGTTCGTTGGGTCTCCTTCGAATTCAACTTGTTCGCTAAGAACTAGCACAAAAGAATAAGTGGCAAGTAGTTGATCCTGGAGATCTTTTGTCAGTCTCAATGGCTCCACTATCTGTCCCAAATGCAACTCCGAGGTCAATTTATCACTCTTGGTCAATTTGTGGAGCGTGTTGCTTGCGCTAGCATCTCTCTTTCGGAGTTCAGCTTGGGCAGAAATAAAAGCTCGAAGGTCTTGATCGCTAAGCTCCAAGTTTCCCAGTGTGGCAATATTATCCCAAAGAAATTCGGCGTCAAGCTCATTTGACCACAATTCGTGGTCGTCAGCAGCGCCTTGTACGTACGTGAAGCCATATCTGTTGTCAACGCCGTCCTGGCACTGATAGCTGACCGCACACAGTACTACAGGAATCATTGCCTCTTCTTTAGAACTTTCCCATTTCGCGTTTGTGATCTCCCCCGTGAATGGATCGCTTTGAGAGTGCAACAACGATGAACCGGGATGCACCCAAAGTGGTCGAAGAATGTTTCCACCCAACATTTCTGCAAGATCTGCACCTGAAATGGCGTTGATTTCTTTGAGTTTAGCTACCAGACTTGGAAGTTTTGCCTGGATTTGCGCATATTCTTGTCTAGAAACTGTGCCTGGAGGACAAAACAGTACTTCTTCATCTTTTCTGTTCAGATGCTCTAACATCAAGGTATTGAGAACGGCACACCAAATTGGAACCGTCTTGCTGAGAGCATCAGGCAGTTTTTTCCCACGTCGGGTACTATCCACAATTATTATTCCTTTCTTTCTCGCCAAAGTTGGCAGCAAATGCAGATTCAGACGTCGCACACTAAAGTCCCATTGATTTGTGTGACCATCAGTAGACTTGAAATAGCTTGTTTGGTTGAAAGAGCCTGGCCTGCAGTACCATAGACCACATCTTTCATTGGGTATCACCGGGAAGTCGGGAAAAACCGTCAAAACATGTTCTTCGAGAAACCTGTTGTCGAGTAAGATACTTTGAATTCGATTTCTTATAGCTTTGTTGTCTTTCTTGATTTCCTTGTTGAGAAGGTTGAGCGTCTGCTCATACGTAACACTCATGGCAGGAGCGTCAACTTGTTTGACTGGCCACTGTTTCGACTTGAAGTTGTGGTTTGGTGGTACATGATGAGGCGATGAGCTAAAATGCATCCAGGTAGAAAAATAGTGTGCAACGGAATACTGATTGTAAAAGAACGTTATTTGAAAGATGATGAATTATGAGACCAGTAAGGAACCGATAAAGTAAACTGCTTTTCAATGGACCAATGCTTTGGTACTCATTGTGTTATTTGACTGTTTGGAGGAGGTGAAGAATAACACGTATGAGGTAGATGCCGCTTATTCCTCTTGCAAGTATTGAAGCGCGTTGATCGCTCGACTTGGCCTCAACATGGCAAGTGTCTGCCTTCAAATTTCATGCTCGAGGCAAGCTTGTTCGCAAGCCAAGATATAAGAAAGCAAAGGTTCCAGGTAGGTAAGTGTCACAAATTTATTGGTATTCGTTACGTTTCGATTAGGCGCTCACAATGGAGTTCAAATTTTTATGACAACGAAACCGCGAGTGGTGGCAAAAGTTACAGAAGAATGCAGTCTCTTTTTGGTGTGGTGCAAAAGACCAAAATGCATTGTTGTAATATTATAGAGTGCTCACAAGCGCTGTCTCTGAGTTCGGTTAATTACAAAACAAGAGGCTCGACACGACCAGTCAAAATTTAGAGCGTAATAGGACCTAATCGCTCAATGCTCGAGACTGAGCTGCATACGCACAAGTTTTATAAAAATCGATGAACCTTGCCATGGATTAATTTCTAAAGTTAAGCGTGTGGTGTGAAGAGCTCGTAACTCGAGAACAGCTCAGGAAAAAAGCATAATCATAAGCCGCCTGAGCCATCGAAGTAAACAAATTCCAAGCAAACGCTAAGTCAAGCCAAACTTTTCACTGTAGAGCCTGTCACTTCTGTATACTTACACGTCTAAACCAAACCATGATATCAGAAACTGTCATTGCTGACATGGAAGTCGTAGATAGTGATACTAATGATGGTGTTGCCAAGAAAGCTTAGTTTTTGGAGGAATAATCAGAGCCCACCACATATTTTCTGACGGCTGATTGATTTACTGGATAATACCCTGCACTTTCAAGCTTACTTATCTCTTCAAAAAGACTAAAGTTCCTGAAGTTATTATTGTTACTGAATTCCAATTAATGGACTGTTATATCGCGATACACGGAATGTTGACTTAAACTAGTTAAACCTAAACACATAGAAGTATCTCACAATGAGCTCAAGCAAGTTCCAGTGCCATCGCAAGTGAAACTTAATCATTGATCAGGCTCAATTCAGTCACATATCAAGCTAACACTCACAATCAATTGACTGCTGATCAAAAACTTACAGGCCTTATACATCTCATGGCATTCCTTCAAAACTTGTACGTACTTGATCTATCCCTTCGCATTCAAGAGAGAGTCAAAGGTGCCCAAATTCTCAAATGCGAAAGCAATGGGGGCGTGTAGTCACCACTTGCAGAGTCTGAAGTACCATGTTTACTAACCATTTCTACTTGCCACAGCCATTTAAGTCCCGGTCAAACTATCAGATCCACGCGAGGTTTCAAATGGAATACAGCCAAAACTCCAAACAATGAGCTAGATCAATCTAGTCCGAACTTGCTCGACCATGATAGCCCGTTGTTTTCGACTCCACAAAAAAAAGTGCAAAATGGCAACATTACAGACTTCAATTACACACCTTCTCATCAAAAACAGTACTTGAGTGCGTCACAAGGGACTACGGTGTCTTCACATAAAGACCTGAAAGAAATCGTGGAAACAACATTAGGGTCACAGGGCGTTCTCAACCAGGCCGTGAAACTGCCCAAGGGAGAAAACGTGAACGAATGGGTCTCTGTGCATTGTGTCGATTTCTACAACCAGATTAATATGCTGTATGGAGCAATCACCGAGTTTTGCTCGCCAGATTCGTGTCCTCGCATGATAGCCACGAGCGAATACGAATACCTGTGGTACGTCAAGTCTGGATCACCACCACTCTCCGTTTCTGCGCCCAAATACGTTGAATACCTCATGAAATGGTGTCAAGAACAATTCGATGACGAAACAGTTTTTCCTTCAAAGCCCAGCGTGCCCTTTTCAGCTGCATTTATCGATACTAACGCCAGACCTATTCTTAAAAGGCTCTTCCGCATCTACGCTCATATCTATTGTCACCATTTCAACGAAATGCTCGAGCTTAATTTACAGACTGTGCTGAACACAAGTTTCAGGCATTTTTGCCTCTTCACACAAGAATTTCAGCTGCTGAAAAAACAAGACTACGGACCACTAATTGAGCTAGTTCAAGAACTCAAGGACAGATAAGTCCAAAGAAACAGGTGCAACATCGTCGTCGTGACGGTGATAGGTTATTTACATATGGGTGTTTTTAAGATAGTTTTTAGACGATGAGTGAACAAGACTCGCCAGCGTTATCGGTTTAAGCTCTTCTATTGTAAAGACAGGTATATGATGTACTAAAGGCTTACCGATGGATTGGAATTGAATCCTAGGGCGCATTTATGGATTCCTTATAGTTCATTGTTTAAACTGACAGCACCTACTCAAAGTTATTATTATTATTTATAAACTTCGGATCTCTTCAACACTAAAATCAACTTGAAAAAAAGCTGCTGAGACCTTCAATTGAGGGTCAGTATGCCAACTTTCGAAATAATCAGTACCTTGCTACTAGTGCTAGCAGGTACGCTTTTCTTGCTGAGAGTTTTGAGTGGATTTTTGCCGCATTTTGTTCGAACGCCATCTGTGAAATGGCGGAAGAGAGTCAACGATGCTATTAAAGCTGCAGAAAAGGCTACAAATAAAATTCCAGTTCTTGATTTTGGCTGGAAAACAGGCAGCGTGAGACGGCAAATGATTCTAGCGTCATTGAAACCTTCTGACTACTCTAATAAAACTTATGGTTCTAAAATAGCTGTTGGTACACAAGATCGTCAGAATCGCGAAGAATTCGTGAATCGCATGGTTGCCAGTGAAAGAGCCTATAAAAGAATTATCTATGGATTTTTCCATCCTTATTGTGATGCTGGTGGTGGAGGTGAGAAAGTCTTGTGGAAGGCTGTTGAGACAACGTTGCAAAGAGATCCAGAATGTGTCACAGTAATCTATACGGGTGACTATGAGACGTCAGGCGAGGAAATTCTCTCAAAAGTCAGTGAAAGATTTGGTTACAAAATTCAAGGCTCCAGGGTCGTGTTCATTTTCCTCAAGACAAGACGGTATGTTGACCCCAAGACGTGGCCGAAACTAACTCTTCTTGGACAGGCATTGGGATCGGTAATTCTGGCTGTTGAAGCCTTGTATAAGCTTTCCCCAGATGTATGGTGCGAAACAATGGGATATCCGTTCACTTATCCAATTGCCAAATGGGTCGCCAGGATCCCTGTAATAACTTACACGCACTATCCAATAATATCATCAGACATGCTGGACAAGCTAGTTCACATGCGTGGTTACCATAGCAGCATCAAACTAAGGCTGAAGTCTTTGTACTGGAAGATCTTTCTGTTTTTATACAGAGGCACCGGAACCTATGTGGACATTGCAAGCACAAACTCCACTTGGACGCAAAACCATATCAAAAAAATCTGGCCTGTTAGTGACAGCAGAATCATATATCCACCATGCTCTACGGAGAATCTGGTGTTCAAAGAAGACGGAAGCGGCTGGTCGAGAGAGAACCAGGCGGTTATCATTGCACAGTTCAGACCCGAGAAACGACACAGTCTAATTATCAGTTCGTATGCATCAGCACTTGAAGAACAAGAGCTTGGTAAGAGCGTGAGCCTTCCTAAGCTGGTTTTCATTGGGTCCACCAGAACAGCTGAGGATCGCCAATACGTCGAAGAACTCAAGACATTATGCTTTGAAAAGTACGCTATACCCAAGGACCTCGTGGAATTCAAAACCGATTGTGAATACAACATTATGAAGGACTATTTGCGTAAATCTACTTACGGAATAAATGCCATGTGGAATGAGCATTTCGGAATCTCTGTCGTTGAATATGCTGCCTCGGGTTTGATTCCTCTTGTACATGCATCTGCGGGACCACTTTTGGACATTGTGGTGCCATGGGATAGCAAAATGAATCGACAGGTATCTGATTATAATGATTCAACCAGGACCGGTTTCTTTTTCAAGGATCCTTCCGATCCTGACTTTGCAAAACAAAAGTCTAAGAATTACAAGACTCTCAGAGATATTTTTCTACAAGTAACCACACTGAGTGACGAAGAAAAGCACGTCATATCAAAAAGAACCAAGAAATGTGTCCTCAGTAAGTTTTCAGATGAAACCTTTTCGGTGAAGTGGAATAGAATGCTCGAAGATCTTCCAGAGATCGATTCCAGTCATCAGTAAATTTCAAATACAGAATTATATATTTTGAGATTAAAGAGACGACGATGGTATTAATACAGTAACTCATGGTTCAGAATATTTGCAAAAAGCTTTCAAGCTTTCTTTTTGCAGGATTTGAAAATTTATAGTATTACAACAAACCACATATTAGGTTGCATTGGCAAAATGTTGAAATAGGTCAACTTAATAATGTTTCGAATCCGTAGGACGTGGACCGCGTTCGTGTTCATTTTCGATGTAAATTTCCCCGTCATATGTACGGTTTCTGCTGCCCTGAGACATCCTTGGCTGAGCAATGTTAACATCATGTAGATTGTACTCGGTCTCCGGAATTGAAACAGAGGTATTGGTGTTTGTTTGATTGTCTAAGTTGGGTGTAGGAAAACTGCTCTGTCCTTGCTGTTGCTGTGGAGTAGACAAATGCTGCTTTGGCGGACCCCTGCCATTAGGTCTGGTTGATGAAGCCTTTCTGGAAACTTTGTGATCAGAATTCAAATCCAATCTGGTGGTGACAAATTTAGCCTTTTCAGCTGGATTGGACGTTGAAGTTAACTTTTTGAGATCTTCAAACCACGCCATCATTGATTCGTAGGACTCTGCTCTGAAAACGCAGTTGTGGCCCCGATGAATGATGCCATTTTGTTTGGCATGTAAAATGAACTTGAAGCCAGACGAACCCTTCTTGGAATGCTCAGCAACAGTGCAATCATTCAACGGGAGTGACATGACTGGAACTGTATCTTTTTTCCTATCCGGAGTTTTGAATTCATGCAGGTAACTGGGTGTCAGCACATAGAACCCCTTGGAATATGACTTCAAAAATTTTGAGCGTCTCTCCAGGAACCCGGATTTAATTTCATAAGTTAATGGGTCGTCTTGATGTTTGTAGACAATGTCCCTCATATGACGAATAGGAAGATTGGGTTGTATGAAGTTGGGATCTTTCGAAATAAAATTGTCCCACTCGAAAACTGGCTCCTTGTTGAAAAACCCTGTATCCAGTTTTGATATCAGGACATCAAAGGCAAGTTGAGCACTCTGTCCCATAAGCCGCGCGTAAACAGTGAGGGCATTTTGAATTTCCATCACAACAACCTTTTCGAGTTCTCGTCCGGACCCTTGAAGGTTTTCAAAAGCTTCATGCAAAAGGTTCTCCTCATTCAATTGCTTCCTGATTTGTCTGTCAAGCGCGATTTTGAGCAGATGAGGATCATGTTTAGGAGACCCGTACCTGGCTGCATCTACAGCTTCTTGAAATTGTCTGAGATCATTCTTGGTTTGTTGCAGCTCTTTGCTGCATCCGTTTTTGAAGTCCGAGCTCAGGCCCCTGATCTCCTTGATTTTTATGAGCAGGTCTCCCCTCAAATCTTCCAGCCTAGGAATGACATCGTTTGCCAGCTCCTTAGATGACTTCAAAGCTGAATTTGCCATTTGAGAGTGATATTGAGACAATATATTTGGCAGGTCCTGCACGGAGCCATTTCCGAACGGCAGGAAAAACCTCTGAATGGCCTTTTCCTCTGGTGTGTTAAGTTGCAAATGGTTTTCTGTGGAAAAAAATGGAAAGTTCACTGCATGGGAGAGTCTCAATTGCTGCCTAACGACTTCGTCTTGAATGGATACTGTTTCTGTGATGTAGACTAGAATGGAGCGGATTACAGATCTCCAAGCTGCGAACCTTTGGGCAAGAACTTCCGTGGGGTTGGCCGATGTGGGTAGTAGCACCACAAGCGGCGAGCGTGGATCCTGCTGTTTTGTAGCGGTATGAACCCACTGTTGCGAGATTCGAGAATTGCTAACTCCTGCGCTGGTTCCGCTTGCAAGGGAGGGTGCATGGCTTTTCTGCTGTTGGAACAGGTTTTCCAGAATGTCTGCATTTGTGTGCGCCGCTCGAGGTGCGTCGTGCACTTTTTCCACTGACGAGGCGTTGTCCACAGGATATGGGGCCTGAATCCCGTTGGTGTTTCTATTTTCCGGACTTCTTGCATAAATACTTGGGTCATTCGAAGTCAGGCTTTTCAAGCCCGTTTCTGGTCCTATTGGAGCCGGATTTTCTCCAGAGCTTGACTGACCCGGCTGGAAATACGACCGACGGTCAGCAATCGTCGAGTTCATTGACATTGATCTCATATGAAGCCTGTTTTGTTTGGCTGTTTATGGAAAGACTTGTTCTGGTGATGATTAAATTGTAATTGTTGAAATATATTAGATACCTATATACGAAATCGCGGGTTTCAATATATCGAGGGTAGAGGTACGAGTAGAGAAGTGGATAGAGATACAGCTCGAGAAATTTTAAAGTCTCTCACGATACACGTTAAACCGAGCTCTACTGACATGGAAAACAAGTTTGGTAGCTTAGAAGTATAACTAAAACAGTGTTCGCCAAAGAATGTGCGACAGACGATGCTTCTAAAAAACACGAACGCTTGTTAAACTACGGCAATGCTAAGACGAAACGACAATTTGGCTATCAGCTTGCTTAATATTTATAATGGGTTTTTACGCAGAGGTAATTACGCTGAGGCTAAGTTCCCGTGATCTCGTGCTAAGCTTCAGATCACTTTGAATTTTGTCCAATGTAGATATCTTTGTAGCTAGTGGTGCTTCTTGACGCGAGCGATGGATTGACCGCCAAGTCTTGTATATCTCGCTACATGCGTATGACGACAACATCGTTTTTTGGGATCTTATGCACGACTGATTTCGATGTTGTTTATACAATCCAATATCCATAGATCTCATTTAATAAAATGTAAACAAAACAGCGACAGCGCTGGTCTTTATAGTCCAACAGGACGAATAAGTTGACCTTTTGCGGTAGCTTCTTGAATCCGGTTTGCTTGTTCAATTTGGTAGACGTAGGGATTCGCAGGACTCCCTTTCGGTTACTGCCATTTTATCATTCAATCTCGAGCGTTGCTCAATTGAACGCTTAAAATGAGCACTTCATTGCAGAAATCGCGAAAACGAAGCAGCTTCACTAGCCTCAAAGCCATACTTAGAAGAAGTCCAGATAATCAAGGTAAGGTTGTTGTCAAGAAGCCACCAGCACAGAAGAAAACTGTTTTCTGGCGCCCATGGGAAAAACGGTGTGCAAAGGATGCCTCGAATAGCCGAAAAAGGCCCCAAGCACTCTACAATACAGATATTTCTATTGCTGTTGCTGTTGTGATATGTTTCAGCCTGGCAGTGCTGCTGTTAATTGTGAAAGAGATAGGATTGACTGCCCGCCATTGCGTCAAATGGGACCTGTGGACCGTACTTGCTACTGGGCAGCGCAATTCTGTAGTAGGAGTCATTCAAAGAATGACACACAAGCTCTGGGAAGAGAGACATGCATTTTTTTAGGGGGATGCTTCAACTAGCTCGGGGTTCAAATCTCGTTGTCTGTCAGCATTACCTTACCAATGTCACATAAAGATGTTAGACTGAGAGCTAAGAACCGAATGCTATACGGCCGAAAGCAGGAAGTGCAGGAAAGAGTCAACAAGTGAAGATTTAACGCAAAAGTCGTAGGCTCGGGGAAAACAGTACACTCGCAAAAGACCCTCACCATGCACATTGACTTTTTTTTTTTTCAAAAAAGGCAGGGATCGGACCGGTGTGCGTCAAAAGTGTCTTGTACAACCCGTTTTTGTGAAGCACAAGCAAGGCCGCCTACAATTTACGATAACTTTCAGAGTTTAAACCCGTTTTGATAACGAAAGCTGGCAAAAGCGCTGTCAAGACTACAGGATAGAAATTAGGCCTGAAAATGAAAGAAAGGGCCACGAAACTACACACCGCTAGCAAGGTAGCTTATCTACCTGCTATACACCAGAATCCGAATGGACTGGATCTTAAAACTTGTAGTTGGTACAGGCATCTCATATGGCCAAGATATCTTAATCATTATGTACGCTTCATCGCCAAGAGAAAAGAGTTAATATCGTACAATTTCAATAAAAGTCCCATCAAGAAGACCTCCAATGTTAAAAGACTTGAGAGCATTGCGCCGTTGTTACACGTATTTTTCTCCAACGAAAGGCTTCAGAATGTCATCCTCTTTGTCGGCTACTTTACCAGCGGTTTTGGAGAAAAGGAGACCACAGCAAAGTCCCGAAACTGACTACTCCACCTTATCTAATTACAAAGCCTTCCAGGTTAAACACTCGAGTTTGAACCTAGAAGTTTCGTTTGAAAAACAGATTGTTAGTGGTACAGTGCATTACAACTTGCAAAGTGTAGCTAATGCATCTCAAATCCTGCTTGATACTTCATTTTTGGAAGTTTTCAATGTAAGCATTGATGGCACTGCTGTCGACTTTAAAGTGGAGCCCAGAAAGGAACCGCTGGGATCACGTTTGGTGGTAAGCTCAGCAGATAATACATTGCCCGGCAATTTCGAGCTTTCTTGTAGCTTCGCGACCACTGAAAAATGTACTGCTTTGCAATGGCTTCAAGGTCATCAGACATCTGGTAAACCATACGTGTTTTCACAACTAGAAGCTATCCATGCGCGTTCCTTGTTTCCTTGTTTTGACACACCATCGGTCAAATCCACGTTTACAGCCAACATTACGTCTCCATTGCCAACGGTATTTTCAGGCATCCTGACAACTCAAAAAAAGACGTCTTCAGAACTGGAAACATATCAATTTAAACAAAACATCCCAATTCCAGCTTATCTAATTGGAATTGCTTCTGGAGACCTACAAGCGGCAGACGTCGGGCCCCGCTCAAAAGTTTACACGGAACCGTTTAGGCTTCAAGACGCACAATGGGAGTTTGACGGAGACGTGGAAAAGTTTATACAAGCAGCAGAGAAAATCATCTTTCCTTATGAGTGGGGTACTTACGATATTTTGGTTAATCCTAACTCGTACCCTTACGGTGGCATGGAGTCTCCCAACATGACTTTCGCGACACCTACATTGATTGCCCACGACAAGAGCAACGTTGATGTGATCGCACACGAGCTTGCTCATTCGTGGTCCGGTAATTTGGTTACCAATTGTTCTTGGGACCATTTTTGGCTCAACGAAGGCTGGACGGTCTACTTGGAAAGGAGAATAATGGGTGCCATACATGGCGAACCCGCCAGACATTTTAGTGCGTTGATCGGCTGGAACGATCTTGCCAACTCGATTGATAGCATGAAAAACCCGGAACGTTTCTCCACCCTCGTGCAAAACCTTAAGGACGGCACTGACCCTGACGAAGCGTTCTCTAGTGTACCCTATGAGAAGGGCTCTACATTTTTGCTTTACCTAGAGACGCTTTTGGGTGGGAAACAAGCTTTTGACCCTTTTATCAAACATTATTTCACAAAATATCAACGCCAGTCCTTGGACACCTGGCAATTCCTGGATACTTTGTTCGAATTTTACGCTGACAAGAGAAAGCCTTTGGAAACCGTTGATTGGGAAAGATGGTTCTTTACTCCAGGTCTACCGCCAAAGCCCGAACTCATCACCACTTTGGCCGATAATGTTTTCGCATTAGCCGAAAGATGGATTCTCAAAGCACAGGCCAGTCACAACAAGAAAGACTTTGAAGAATCTTTTGCAGCAGACGATATCAAACAATTCAATTCCAACCAGATTGTTTTGCTGCTTGATACACTTGTCCAGGGTGTTCCTGGAACAAAAGCGCGTCCAACTTTAGCCTTCAACTGGTCCGAAAACCAAACCGCTGCGCATGCCTTGTTGGACATCTACTTTGACCGGACCGTAAAATCGGGCAACGCAGAAGTTGTCTTCCGCACGTTCCGCTTCCAAATCACCGCAAAAATAACCGAGTCTTACGAGAAGCTGGCCCGCTGGCTAGCAACCGTTGGTCGTATGAAGTTTGTGCGTCCAGGCTACCGGTTGCTCAACAGTGTCGACCGGAATCTCGCTGTGAGCACTTTTGAAAAACTGAAAGACATGTACCATCCAATTTGCAGAGCCCTTGTGAAGCAAGACCTAAACCTGTAGAGTCTTTTCTATGCTTGTTATGGAGAGACCTTTCTTACTATCAATGGCGGCCATTCGATTCCTCTCCGGGTCGAGATTAAGCTGATAATCAATAAGGCTTTAAATTTCGCGGTCCATATTATTATCGGTGATGGAAAATGAAAAATTACACACTAAAAACATCTGATCTAAACTTGGAACCATTCTAGACAAAGAACACGTCTCAAGAAACTTATAGACCTGGATAATCACTACTAATCAGAATCGCGTATAGACATAATGAACCAGCTTTCTCAACTTTCGGTATGTTTTGTGTTGTGAATATCTTCAAAGCGCTATTTGACGAGTGCTTATATTTTGGTTTTGTTTACTTCACTTGCATTTAACTAACAATTATACCTTGTTTGATATAAAGAACTTATCGAGATATGCCGATAACTTGACTATGGATCGTATCAAGGCCGAACTACAAGGCATGCAGAGCAAGCTGTCAACATTGCGTCCTGTTCAAGAGTTCTTCAATGTGAAGAAAGTTTCGAAACCCCAGAATTTCGGCGAATTGCAATCACGCGTGTCTTATAACTTAAGACACTTTTCCACAAACTATGCGATGATTGTGGGACTTCTCAGCATTTACACGCTGCTCACAAACCTGCTATTGCTGTTTGTGCTTGTGTTTGTGTTTTTCGGTCTTTACGGGATTAACAAGCTGGAAGGACAAGACCTGGTTACGCCATTTGGAGCTTTCAAGAGCTCTCAGCTCTATACCGGGTTGATGTGTGTTGCTGTGCCATTGGGGTTTTTCGCATCGCCCTTTACCACCTTAATGTGGCTAATTGGTGCGTCTGCGGTCTCTGTATTAGGTCATGCGTCGTTCGTTGAAAAGCCAATTGAAACTGTATTTGAAGAAGAGACTGTTTGAGTCTTGTGCGTTTTAAAATGGAAACTCTACAATTTTGCAGTAAACAAGATATCTATGTAAATTAAGAACACGTCAGGAAGTGTTAGAATTCAGACAGACCATCATAAAAACTCCCGTTGAAATCGCCAAGTGGTGAGTCTCAACGAGAAACTGCAGTAAGTAGGTACTTGCGTGCTACATTCACAGATACGTCTCTGGTCTTGAATGAAAGGTTTCGAGCGTGTGTGTGTCATCTGACATCTCTTCGGTTTTCCAGTTATTTCTCTACTCGGACATCTCCTCGATCTTCCACTCGTCAATTAAATTGACATTAATCAACATCGAAATATCGAACTGTTTAACTCGCGCATCTCATCTAGCATCACCAACCAAACATCAAACGGTTACATCTCGCTTCAACAAACTGCCAACAAGCTTCGCATAAGGTATGGCCAGCCCTGGTGGTCCGTCGAAGCCCAAACACAATGTGATGGTATCGTTATTTGGCACCGAATGCTCGGAATGGCCGTTTTCGGATTCGTCATTGGTACAGGCATTGGCATTCAAAACTCAACAGGAAAAGACCAAACAGCAATATTATAAACTGGAATGTGTCAATCGGTCGATCGAGCTTCTGAAAACTGCGGTGAATGCCCGAATTCCGGGTCCAATGATTGCACAATTGTTCCAGGGATCAGGATCGGGATCAGGATCAGGACTAGGATCAGGAATAGACTACAATAAATCGCAAGAAACAAGCGGAAACCAGGTGCCCACAGCGTTGAGACCGTCTAGAGCGGATTCGGCGCCGCTGAACTATAGTTTCCCACCGGGCAATTACAACGGGGCTAGGGCCTCCGCTAATATACATCGCAGAACCAACTCGCCGGCGAGAATCGGAGCTGCAGCTGTAGCAAGTTTGGCCGAGCATCGGGACTTGAAAGAAGAGGACAAAGACGAGCTGCCGTTGGGTCCTGCCAATCAACATCCTCCACCACCGCCACCACCATCTTACCACATGAATGGTCCGTCACCTTTACAATTTCGATCACACCGTCGGAATTTCTCGGTGCCGCTTGCAAGACCGGCCCATCTTTCACCACAAGAGACTCCTGCTCAATACCCGGCCAGAAGAACCCACAACCCCATGACCTCAGTGATAAATTTTGGTTCTTGGCAAAGTTACGATCCAGCTCCTCCATCTACGATAAGACGGGCAGGCCCTATAAGAAAGCATCGTAAGACGAAATCTGCGAGCGTGACTCCCAATTTTGGCGTGATAGACATGAACGCACCCAATCAGATGCGTTTGCCAGAATTAGGAAAGCCCTCAGACTATTATGTGCCCAAAGAGAAGGGTCATATTGAAGATGAAAACGATTTCGACGACCAGCAAACGTGTAGTGAACACAGTAGTCGCGAAACTACACCAATTCCACAAGTAACGAAGGGTCCCAATTTCGCCAATAATTTACTGAACAGTTAGTTAGAAACACAGTCAAGGACAATTGCCACATTAATACCCCATCTATTATTACACTCTGCTTTTTATTCTTTTTCCTTCAGACATTGGTCTCGGATTTCTCTAGATATTCCTGCTCCGCTAAATATTCCATCTCCTTGATCGTTAGATTTTCCCATTGAAGTTCGCCTGTTTCTTCATTGACACCGCAGATGCAATCAAATTCAATGTCTTCCTTTTTTGTTTGATCTAACTCGCTTTTGAGTGTGATCGCCAAACTTCTGACTATACTTTCGCTTCCTTCACTTATGAACCATGCACACAAATCACTAATCAGAATAGTATTGTACACGTAGTAGACGTCATGGAACCGGAAGACCTCATGGAGATCTAGGAGCGCTTGAATGACCAATCTTTTCCCTCCGCGAAGAATGTAGTATACATAGCTCCAAACCTTCATTGAGAGGTCATAATTTCTATGCAATGGATAGCTCAGACTTCTTCTGATGCCTGTTATGATGATTGCCTTGATCATGGACACTTGTGCCACATCCTCAGGCCGAAGAATCTGCTGATCCAAAAAGGATAGTTGTGGCGCTAGTTTACCAATTGTCCAACCAGACTCAGTGCTATGAGCGCCTTCATTTTCCGTTTGTTCGAAATTGTACGCAAACAGTAATGACAAAACTGTAAAATATTGGCCTTTTACATCGTCAACCAAGTAGCTTTTTTTCGGTAGATGTTCCCGCATTTGCTTTTGTTCGAACTCCGAAAACTCGATGTTCATGACCTGGTCTTTGTCCTCGGCCTGTTTATACCATTTGAGAAACTTTTTGGCCAGTGGTGGTGTTGTTTTTAAAAGTGTTCTGATTCCGTTGATCTCTGCATCCTCTTGATCACCAAACTTCGCCGTCATATACTCAGAGACGTAGTATTCTGGATCGAACTTCAAATTTTCCTTGCGGAGTCTTTCCGCGACCCTGTCCTCGCTTTTGCACTTGTCCGGTTCGTCCAGCTCATTGATATCGTTCCCATTGGCGACGGATACGCCTATGGCTGTATCGTATTTGTTATCAAACCCGTACTTGGGTTTCAAGAGATTGGCAGCATCGAAGACTGTTGTGGAAGTTTGTTCAATTTCCCAGTCAAATTCACTGCCATCATGAACGTCTTTTTCTGCACTTTGTGCTTTTGGATCCGCCGAATCCGAGTTTTCCACCGAAGAAGACGACACTTCCTGTATTAAGGGACCCTTTTGTGTTGTCTCTGCAGACTTTAAATTGTCGGCTCCAATAAGATCGCCATGTCTTGCCAGAAGCTTTGTTTGCAGATCCAAGTCTTCAAAAAACTGGTTTCTATTTTCCTTTGGAACCTGAATCTGAATAGTTTCGTCCTGCGATTTAAACTCTGCTTTGAATCTCTCGTCATCAACCAAACCGTGGGCGAAACGAAGCCTCAGATAGTAAGGCGCCAAGTGAAATATGAAGACTTTATCGTCTATCACCATTTCGACGCTTGAAGCGCTGAATCTTACGCTAGAAATAACAATATTTATATGTAAAAATTCCTCATCCTGAGTAACACTGAACTTAGGTGTTAGCATAGCAAGAAATGGCTAAAATAGCTTGACTTGATGCCTTTTTATATCTCAGTTTTGTATGGTCAACTTTTTAATATTTGATGTATTTATATATAAATGTATATTGAAAACTGAGATGAGATGAGATGAGATGAGATGAGATGACAATAACAGTGAAAAATCTTGACTGGTCGACAAAACAACTGGCAAGCTGGTAAGGTTGTCTGTATAAGCTCTTTAAAATTCCTGGCTAGCTCAAATACGTGAAGGTATGGCGACAATACAGAACGAACCACTCAAAAGGCCCAGAAAACGGTTCGTTGGAACGAAGCACGGCGACAATGTCAGTACAGTAAAGGAAGAGCAGGGAAACGAAATAGTCACGAAACCTAGAGCTAGGACGAATGTAAGACGAGCTGTGAATCAAGTCCCGGATGATATACTACAGGATGCGTCGCTCAACGAAGCCATCAAGCTTCTGCCGTCAAATTACAATTTCGAGATACATAAGACAGTGTGGAATATCAGAAAACATAAGGCAAAAAGAGTCGCACTACAAATGCCAGAGGGCCTTTTGATATACGCATTGGTGGTGAGCGACATTTTGGAGCAGTTTTGCCAGTGCGAAAGCGTGGTAATGGGTGATGTTTCCTATGGAGCATGCTGCATCGACGATTTCACCGCTAGAAGTCTGGATTGTGATTTCATCGTTCACTATGCGCACTCATGCTTGGTGCCAATCGATCTAACCCAGATCAAGGTGCTATACGTCTTTGTGACCATCAACATTGATGAGACCCATCTCATCAAGACTCTGCGGAAAAATTTCGCTAGTGGCTCCAAATTAGCAACGTTTGGTACCATTCAGTTCAATCCTACTATTCACAGTATCAAAGACAAGCTCTTGCAGGGTGAGGATGTGCTATACGTTATACCCCCTCAAATAAAGCCACTATCCAAAGGAGAGGTTTTGGGCTGCACATCTCAGAGATTAGAGAAGGATCAGATCGATGCTATGGTATACATTGGAGATGGAAGATTTCATCTCGAAAGTGCAATGATACACAATCCAGATATACCTGCTTACCGGTATGATCCTTACAGTCGTAAATTTACCCTGGAAAGGTATAACCAGAAACAACTGGTCCAAGTCAGGGCCGAGGCAATCAGCATGGCCAGGAAGGGCAAAACATTCGGACTCATTTTAGGCGCTTTGGGTCGCCAAGGAAACTTGGCCACCGTGAAAAACCTGGAGCAGAAATTGAGAGCCGCAGGGAAGAATGTATGTAGAATCATTCTCAGTGAGATTTTCCCTCAGAAGCTGGCCATGTTCGATGACATTGATGTTTTTGTCCAGGTGGCCTGTCCAAGATTGTCCATTGATTGGGGTTATGCCTTTAACAAGCCACTGCTCACACCTTATGAAGCCAACGTCTTGTTAGAGCAAGATCAAATGTTTAGTGAGGACTATTACCCTATGGACTACTATGAATCAAATGGTTATGGCAGAGGAAAAATTCCAACTCGTTAGTCCTGCATCAAACAGAAAAACATGTATTTTTTCTTCTTTCAGCTCAAACCAATTAGAGTGTTAAATTCTTGCTCCGTGAAGTTTAGAATTGCAGTGACATCGTCTTGCGAGTCAGAATACAGCTGTTGCAATGATTTTCTAAATACCTCATAAAACTTTGACAAGTTTTCCATACAACCAAGTGAAATGCGATCAGCGATTTTGGGTGAAATGATGTTGAAAATGAGGTTTTCCTGAATGTCATTCGAAATTTCTGGTAAGCTGTCATTCAGCTTTTGGTGAACATTCGACCTGATTGTCTCGATATCCATGACGGGGTTATCACGAGCTGGGAAGTACATGTCGTAATCCAACTCGTCCTCCACTGAGTCGACGGGGAAGATCATGTTGTACAGATTACTGTAAAGCGCCAATCCCATTTTTTCCAAAAGCTCCGCGGTTTCCAATGATGTGATATTCTTTACTGCCTGGCTCAGCTGAGTCTCAATACTCCCATAAATATCTTCACAACCTAAAGCTTGGAAGATGCTATTGCGGTATGGTGTTATTCTGGTAAGTACTAAGTCAAGGCAATTAGTCTCTGAAATGAGCATTGATATTTTTTCATTACGGTTTCTCCTTGCAAGAGGGAACCTGACCTGATGATAATCCATCATCTTACCATTTACTAAATGGCCCACGGTTTTCTCAATGAAGCTAGCGTTTACAACACTTTGTGAGTCCCCAATGCTGCCACCTTTTTCAAGCTTTGAAAAGAACTTGCACAAGTGGTTCAGGTAATCCGTCAGCCATTCCGGAGGCAACAGCCCATTTTCGCCTTCTGGCTTTTGCTCAGAAAAGTCCATCATTTTTAAAATCCCGTTAACAATTTCATTGCCCGCGCTTTCTGTCAGAGAATCTAAGTGCTGAATCAACGAGGAGTCTGGGAAAATTCCATATTTTATAAACATCATTTTGTATAGCTTGAGAAGCTCACAGATGTCAAAATTTATTAGCGGGTTGTCTTCGAATCTTATAATCTGTTCCAATCGTATTCTGATAGAGTTTTCTGATGGCTTGAAAGACTCGTTCAATAACTTCACGCCTAATCCATCCAGGAACTCTCCATTTTCTTGTAGTAATGTCTTCGGAGTACCTTGAATATCGATCTCTTGGAACTTGAACATTGACGCCATGAAGTCCGCCTCATCAACTATGAGCGAGTGGACGTTTGCAAGGACATCGCCCAGATAACGTACGGGGTCGTGAGCGGACATTATAATTGGTCTTGAGTCCTTGGAGGAGTCGAAATCGAATTGAGAAAGGAATTCATTGAGTACGCGCTGTGACCTCAACTTGACAATTTTTTTCAATACTTCATTGAAGAGTGGAAGGTCATTCGACAGATAGACCATACTTTTCTGAAAAGTCAGAAGACTATTGTCATCCGAGGCGAATGCGCGCTCTCCAAACGTCTTGGACGTGGTATGCAGATCATGGAAAAAGTTCACCAAATAATTAAAGATACGTTTATTGGCCCTTTCCATCTTGGAGTTCACTTGCGCTAAAAGCGTTTGTCCTGCTGTTGGATTTTCCAAAGAAAGTAGATAAGAAGCAGTTTTTTTTATCGCCATGAGCTTGTTCACTATCTCGAACAAGTCATTGTCAACTGGAGCGCTGATCAGTGTTTCTTCTTCAATTTGTGTAAGGGTGAGCTTGTCGCGTATCACAACAAGCAATTGTTTCTTAAGATTCAGTTCTTCAATGCCCTTGCGCAGCTCAGAGATGGCCTTCAGGTCTAAAGTCGAGTTTGCTGATTTCTGGGAGTCATGTTGCAATATAGAGTTTCCAACTTCTTGCAAAGACTTTACTGGTTCTGAAATCCTCTTCACGCGTCTGACGATTGGTTGAATCTCTTCTATAATAGTTGAATGAGATCGCAGCAGCTCATTCTCCAAATCGCTTCTCAGGGACTTTCTGGCAAGAAACCCGAGATAATCGGCGCGAACAATAGTATCACACTTAAAGTTGAGCCTTTCTCTATTCTCCTCTAGAATTTCAAACGATTTTCGCAGCTGAATGTTCGATAGTGGACCAGAAGAGTAGTTGTCCAGCACACGCGACAATTTTTTGGACAAAAGAAGATCCGCGTCATTTGCAGCATCCTCTCTGCTATTCAAAAGCTGTTTCAGACTATTTCCCCTTGGTAACGTTCCCTTTGAAGGAGTGGGCGATTCTGTACCCGTATACTGGGGAATTTCTGACGCTGAGAGCAGATCGAGAGAGAGCGACGCATACTTCTGCATACGGTCTTGTAAGTTAGCGCTTGTACATGTTTCTCCACCCTGACCTGCCTTCTTTAGGTCTGGTAATTGGAACTTATTCACAAGAGCAGTAGACGACCGTTTGGACTGTATTTTGATCCTGGAAGCCGGTTCTGGAAGCAAGGAATCAGTTGTACTAGCATCTTCCAGTCCGTAGGCCTGGTAATCTAGAAAGTCCATCTTGATTGAGGTATTCGACTCTATAGGCTTTCTGTTGGAGAAAGTGAAGCTTTCTTGTTACCAAAGACCATCCTATCCTAATTATATTATTTGAGCCGCCAAACAAAACATGGAATTTTCACGTGACCTTAAGTTAAAGCTAGAAGTAAGATCCACAACTTTATGGTAATGGTTTTGGAATTTGAGCAGTTCTCCATAATGTCATTCCACGATTTATGTTTTGATCCTTGCAGGACTCTTTAGCTTTTTCTTTGATTTCTATTTTGCCCGGATTTGACACCATTATAAGTAGCCAAACCGTCTTGCAAATGTAAAATCTGTCACTTTTAGCTAGCAAACTACAGATTCTACAAAACAAGGCGCTCTCTCGAGGCCCCTATTAGTGCCGGCTACTCATAACATCTCCTATAGTTCATCGCCTTTGTTTTATTTGATGCCCAAAAGACCTGTAATTGGCACTAACACCTTCATTTTGAATATCTTGAGTGATGTCAACGAGTTCCTGAACAAAAAACACAGCTCTGTTGGGAATCATCCTTTCAAAGACATATTACATATGTTCTAGAGTATGTCACCTGCATAATCATCGAATGTGCATGACTCTCATGGGGCGCGGGGAAATGATCCTTGATAGGCAAAAGAGAAAAATATCACATATAGCTTCAAAAGCTGTTAGTTAAACACCAACAGAGAAATCGTCCTTACCTGAGGGCTGGGATTGGTGCAATTGATGTTGCTGCTGCTCTTTTGAAACTTGGATATTCTGGGGATGGTACATGACCTGCATGCCACCGGGATAAGTGTACTTGTGTCCGTGAGAGTTGTAAAAATGGGCAATGTTACCAAGCGTGGACTGGCCAGTGCGCGTATTTTCCATCGACGGGTGAAGGGCAGTCGCTGGCTGTTTCGGTTGTCTCCTTAATGCCAGAGAAGAGTTGGGGGTGGCCACAAAATTGAACTCCGTGTCATTGATGGCGCCAACACCGTGGAACCTGGCTCCTGTGCTTGAGGAGCTATAACCGGGCGACACAGGAGGACTGAAATAACGGGTGTCGCTGCCAAGTGGTGAAGAAAAGTACTCGGTGTTATTACCAGCATTAGTTTTGTTATTTTTAAAAGTGGCCGAGTTCGGTGGAGAAGGATAATTGCACTCCAAAGAGTCCAGTAAGGGTTTGATTGGCGGTAATGCTTGTAAGTGAGATGGATGCATGGGATTAGGAGAAGTATTGAACCCGGGGCTCCAAGATGACGCTCTGTTTCGGTACATCGGCGACACCGGCACTGCCGGGTTTGTTGTCCGTGGGCTCATATTATTGCGCGAGAGCTTAAGCAGGTTTTGAGATGCATCTAGCAACTCAGCGTCGACACGAGCTTTCTTGAATGAGGAAACCTTCGAAAAGTCCAATTTCTTGGGCCGGTCGCGCGCACGTTTGACAGGAACAGTAGAGACTGTTGACGTGGAACGAGCCTCGTTGGTGCTCTTTTTTGGTGGAAACAATCCAACAAACGTTTCGTACCAGCCTTCGCACTCGCGAGGAAAAGCAGGGCCGAAGATAGGCACCAGCAGATATCTGATTGGAAAGCAGAAGCGAATGCAGAGAGACTTTGCAAGCTCAAATGGTAGCCAAGTGCCCTGAATCTTGATGTAGCCACCGCGGATGCGTTTCATGAGGTCGTGAAATTCAAATTCGCGATTAGGGTGGTAGTTTTCCCGATAGATGCGACAAAGATCCTGCTTTAGTTGCGCGTCGAGATTGTGCCAGTGGATATCAGAATAATGTGGTGATGATGATGCAGAAGCTGTAGCAGCAGCCGCAGCCGCTGTTGCTGATGCTGATGTTGATGTGTTACTTGTGTTGGGCACACTGGTGCGACGGTTCCCACGCTTTGAGGCGGGCTTGCGCCTAGAAAAGTGGGTTTCTGAGTCTATGGGCTGCGGCTGTTCGTACAAACACTTGAAGAGCACGTAGTCGAGTTCGAGTTGGCAGTGAGCTTTGCGATCCAAGCCGTCAGGCGCATCGGGCCCGTCTGGTCGATCCAGCGACACCAAGACATGCATCACGTCCTGGTACAGACGCCAAATGCCCGTGAAAAACACGTACCCCGTGTGATGGTCCCACAAGACACAATTGTTCGGGTTGATTGCACGTGACACGTGTTGGTCCGAATATTGGATCTGTCGCAGCCGAAACTGCTGATTTTTTGTGAGTGAGTTGAGATCGCCATTGGACGAGCCACGGTGTTGGTTTTGGTGTGGTTGCGCTTGATGCTCCTGGTCCACAGGCTGGGGCTGTGTCAGCGTGGCGTGCGAGAGCACGTCTGGAAAGAGGTACTCGGAGCAGTCGAGTCCGGACCGGGTCTGAGACGCTGGTGCGGATAAGGATGTCGATGATGGTGACGATGGCGATACCGACGACGCTGGTGACAGCGTGGCTGCTGCTCCAGACGTCAAAACGTCGTGGAAGCCCTGCACCGCACAGGTGCGGTACCGCGACCGCGTCACGTGTGGCGGCTGTCTTTCATCTGTTGCAAGCCAAGTACGTTGGTAATCGTCGATTGGATTTTCCGTGAGTCGGATTTGATCCAACTTCAAGTCGTGTTCTGGAAACATGTGTGTGGGTGTGTGGGTGTGTGGGTGTTTGGTAAGAGTCCTTTTGTACTCGCGGGCGTTTTTCAAGAGTCCTTTTGTACTCGTGATCCACCTCTCACAATTTTACACCAAACGCGAATGGGAGGGGGAGGTGCTCTCTCTCTCTAACCTTTTCAGCTCGAATTTTGCAATCGCAGAATCACCCCCACTGTGATGTGGATAAGTTGAGATCGTAAAAGATACTCAATGTTACGCTCTGCACTTCTTACTTCCAAAAGTAAGTACGTGTCCGTTTACTTGCGTGGCGTGGCGTGGCGTGGCGTGCGTGCTTATTTCCGTTCCCTCTTTGTCACCAAAGTGGCTGGTTTCCAACGTCCTCTACTCCACCTCAGCGGGTTTTCTCATGTCTTTATATACCCGCTGGAAAGGATCCCGACCTTTTTTTTTTTCCCTGCCCTCCCCCCTCGCAACCTGTCACACACTTTGTTCTGCACTCCGCGCGCATGCAGGTTCCTGTACGTGCTTCATGCATGACAGCAGCATACGACATTCTCTGTGTCGATGAGGGAATGTGGCAAAATGGTTGCCCGGTGAACAGGACCATTTTTATGCAGCCCGAAGCGGAAAGTCCCGATACAATGCCCAGTTGACTGCGCACGCCAAGCCTCACTGTTGCTAGTGGAGGGCGCAGCAGGTTGCCATGGCGCCAGACAGCTTAATCGAGGGTTGTGCATGAGTGTTCTGGGCCCATTGCTGCGGGTTTCAGCGGGTCCTTTGTGCCGGTTGCTACGAGCAACTTCGTCCCTGCTGGGCTGTGCGCACGGCTTGTTGCTATGACTGAGTGGAGTGCAAAGAGCTGTGTGTGGAGAAGATTGATTGGGGTGGGTAGAAAAGAGTTCAAAGGCCCTCGAGGCCCGAGTCAGAAAAGACAGAATTTTAGGGGTGTTTGCGTTTGTGTTTGTATTTGTGTTAAGGTATGTGGGCGTGTGACTCGGGACAAGAGCGTGTGGGGTGTGGGTGTGCAAAGAAGGTTGAATCGTTGAGGGGTGACCTGAGTAGAAACTGACGCTACCCAGACAACGCACACCAATGCTGCAAAAGATAAACCAGATAAGGCCTGTTAGCCTTAGCTCTAGCCTTAGCTCTAGCCTTAGCTCTAGCCTTAGCTCTAGCATTAGCTTAAGTCTTGGCCAGTGTGCTAAAGGTAACGGTAGGTAGCGAAAGGCAACGAAGAACAACCAAAGGCAACGATGGGCAACGAAGGGCAAAAAAATGGGTCAACCAGAAATTTTGTGCGGAGATTTGTAGGAAAACAATGGTTAAAACAATGAAAAAATGGTTGAAAGGGTGGGTGAATTGAGCCCTTTAAGTTTCTGTGTATTCAGGCGATGCGTCGAATGGCGCTTCTGCGCTCCCGTTACCTGTTAATTCTTGAATACTGGCGTCGATATGAGCCAGGTACTTTTGTACGGCGGCGGTCACCCAGGGACCAAGCTCCAAATTGTCCATTATCGTTGGAGTTCTTGGCAATGCTGGGGATGGTTGTCGTAGAGCAAGGGGCACGACGCCGGGCGTGCCGTTGTCGTCTATGGATCGTGTGTAGCTGTATATCCGCAGCATATTCGCTCTAAAAAACGACAAACAAGCGCCTCCATTGTAGAAGAAATAGGGTGATATGGACGGGTCCAGAGCGTGGAAGGCCCGGTTCAATTTCGCGGCGATCGTGTTCCATTTCTCAGAGTCCATGCCGGGATCCTCCGCGACCAGCATCTTCAGCATCAAAAGCTTATGGTTATCCGTCAACAAGGTGCTCCCAACGAAAAGGCAAACTGTCACGGGAAGACCAACAAAGGCAAGCAGGAAGCCCAGCACACCACAGGCAACTTTGTTAGCCCCCAGCAATAACATAAAGATCACCAGTCCGACTCCGGCTATCTCCGCAGCCAGGGCATAGTAAGCTCCTTTCCGCTGGAACAGTTCGTATCTGAAATAACTGGGAAAAATGTCTTGTGGCAGCCGCGGAGTCTGCTCCGCATCTTGCTCGAGCAGTGATGTTTGTGCGTCCTTCATTCTGTATCAAGAATGCAGTGCGATGGTGTGGTGAGGTGAGTCAAGTTGTCAGTAGTTGTCACTAGCTTAATTTACTACACTCCCAAGTGATAATGAAATTGGACAGCACTGTTCACGACTCCTGCGAGTCCGGCTTTTTTGGGCCATGAGTCCGGGTAGCCACTGTGACTCCAGTACCTTTATACGACAAATCACGTGACTTGCAAGAGCTGGCTGTACCGCGTTTGTTTTTGAGAATCACCCAAGTGTACGAATCGAGTAAGAGATCTACATACCGGGTGCAGACTACCATGCACTTTGTTAATATTTAAGCCTCTTTCAAGAACTTCAAAAAACTACATTCATCAACGTCAACTAATATTAAATGTAACCCAATAAATTGCCGGACTCACAGCCGGAATCATATGAAAGTCACTTTATACGCAGGACTTTTAGATTCCGAAAATCACTAAAAACGGAAGTAATGGACTTATGAACAGTCCTGAAATTAAATATTTTGAATGGTACTTCTGAACGAGATTTGAGATAGTCACATGAACCATAACACCCACACACCACATACCGCACACATATCTCACAATCTCTTCTCGATTTTGTTTCAACCGCGCTTTCCCGCCGTTTTTGGACCTTTCACAACGTACTTGTCAAATCCCTCGTTCCTCCACCTACAACGTGTGCCATCACCACACTGACATAACGACAACGACGTCGATGACGACGACTCACGCACCGCACCGCACATGGCAAAATAAGTTTTTCCGAGCCTGCGTCCTTATCACTCCTCATGCATGAGTCATGCATGAATCATGCATACTTCCACGCAGCTCTATGAGTATTGCAAGTTTCTCCGCTTTGCCTGGACTTATCAGTTTTTCCGGCGTTTCCATGACTTCTCCTGCAGGGTGATGTAAGGTCACATATAGTACTCATACTAACTCTTTCTTCAAGCTGTATGATATTAGTTGACGTCAAGCATGGGTAATGCTGATTAGGTGAAAATTACACTCAACGTTAACCATCTTCAACAAAAAAAAGTGCGCTGCCACACAATGACATCAACACAACGTTTAAAGATCAAGTGGCTCGCCAATTCTGCTCGAGGCATATATATATAGCTGGACCAATTTCACTTTCATGGAATCTTCAAATTCAAATCCTGTCATACCCACCAGAGAGCTTAACAAAGCAAGTCAACGCAAGCCTCAATTTCCCAATACATCAGAAATGTCTCCAGCAGCCACCAACATCTTCACTTTGACGCACAACTCCAAGCTTCCCGATCTCTTGGATGCCAACCAGAAATGGTGCCACGACACCACTCAACAACACCCCACTCTATTCCGGGACTTCAACGCCAACGGTCAATCACCCCACACGCTTTTCATCGGATGCTCCGATTCTCGCTACAACGAAAACTGTCTTGGAGTGATCCCTGGTGAGGCATTCACATGGAAAAGCATCGCCAACATCGTCAATGACCAGGATCTAACGTGCCGTGCCACGCTGGAGTTCGCCATTAACGTGCTAAAGGTCAACAAAGTTGTCATTTGCGGCCACACCGATTGCGGCGGGATCAACACCTGTTTGGCCCACAAAAGAGCAGACCTACAAAACGGCTCCTGCAACTATCTATACCAGTACCTGCAAGACCTGGACGACCTGTACCACGAAAACAAGAGCGATCTGCTAGCCTCAACCAAAAGCGTCAAGGTGCAGAGCAGCACGCTTTCGAGGCTCAACGTCCAAAGACAGATCAACAACCTGCTGGCCATCGACACTGTCAAGGAGGCCCTGGCCCGCGCCGAAATCGAAGTCTACGGTCTTCTGTACGACGTTGCCACTGGTCTTGTTGAGCAGGTCTCCGAGAACAAGTAGAAAAAGTGTGTTAGCAGAAGAAGGACTAGAATTAGCTATGGAAAAAAAACGAAATATTCAAAAAATGGATAGAAATGACATGTAGATATAAATGTGTAGGGAATACAAAACCCAGGTACGATTTTATGAAGCTTGTTGTGTCTTGAAAGTCCGTGAGATGGTCTTCGCAGATTCTCGAGGAAACCTTATTTTTACATCTTCCACATCATTTTTTCACAATTCTGACGTGCGGTACAGTCATGCTGTGTAGGTTTCGCAATCCCAAAGCTGCAACGAAACAAAAATCGCGATCTGAGTAATTCACTTCTACCACCACCACCACCACCACCACCGATCAGTACAGGAACTCCCTCATTTTGTTATCCCTCTTCTTCTCACTTGCACACACTGTTGCCAGCTCTTTTATCAATTAATATATCATCATCGCATCCCGATGACTTGGATCTTGGAAAGAGCACCGGTTGAAAAACTAAGTTTATCTATAACTACTCACAGCGACAAATACCACCGTTCATCTGCTGCTTATCCGGATTGTGGAATATAATCCTTATCCACCATGACCTACCCAAATTCTACTTAGAAATCGTCACTTGGTAGATACGATGACGGTATCCGTCAAAACGACGCAGCAATGTTGCGAGGGGGGCAAAAAAGCACAACCCTGACGTCGTGTAAAAATTGTACACCAGTATTTATTGTCTATATATGTATCTGAGTATAAGTGGTTGATAAAGTTGTCGATCTTCTGTTCAAGCTAGATCGAATCTTCCAAGAATAGTGCAATTTAATCATATATTCAGTACTTTGTAGATATAAGTAGATAAACTGCACCGACAAGTAATGATGGGTAAGGAACAAGGCTATCAATCGTTACCGCACGAATCCTGCAAGAAATGGACCAAAAGCATTTTGCTCACTTTTTGTGCCAGTTTCGTGCTCTGGTCTGTATGCGATTCCTCTTCCTGGACAAATAATTGGACAGCAGGTAGTCAATATTTCGGCCCCGGTCTGCCGTTTACAACTCCAACAACTCACAACGTCACAATTGTGGATTTCTACGGTAAACAGCAGACCTCCCCAACAGGAAATCCTGGCTCGTCGTACTACCAGCACCGCATTCAACTCAAACCCTCGATCCCACACACAGTGGCCCGAGAAGACTTCAACGAATGGCTTCGGCAACAATCCAAGATCAGCTTCGAAAGGGTGCTAGCCAACATCGGAGACACCAATCTGAACCAATTGCACACAACAGATCAAGTAGCAGAAGGTGCTGTCATCGCATCACCCTCCAAGCAATCGCCTGACTATTTTTACCACTGGATCAGAGACGGAGCAATAACCGTCAACACAGTGGTTAACAAGGTCTGGGACGACACTCAGGATTCACACTCTGGCCTTAATTATACTCTCGTCGGCACTGTGCTCAAGTACCTGAATAACACATTTGTGCTGCAAAGAACAGATAACCCATCGGGATCTCTGAATCCTGATTTTAAAGGACTAGGGGAGCCTAAATGGTTAGTGAACAGCAAACCATTCACAGGTAACTGGGGTCGACCCCAAAACGATGGACCTCCGCTAAGGGTAATCACCACTTTCAATTTCCTACAGGTTTTGCACGACTTGGATCTCAATATTGAAAAAGCCATCAAACTATACCAAGACGCTACCAACAGCAACCTGCAATTGGTATTCGCCAACGACAAGGACTTGTACGACAAGGTCATCAAGCCGGATCTGGAATTCGTGACAACGAATTGGAAATCAGATAGTTTTGATCTATGGGAGGAGGTCAATGGCCAGCATTTCTTTACCACCTTGACCCAGTTAAAAGCCCTGAAACTGGGATTGAACTACTTGGTCAATGTGCAACCAGACTTTGATGATAAGTCCAGTCCATTCTCGGCAACTCTGCAAAACAATCTCAACGACATACTAAGTTTTCTTCTGGAGGGCGGTGGATTCATCAATGCCAATAAAAACTACATCATTGAAACACCCGGCATCTTGGGAAAAAGATCGGGTCTTGATATTGCAGTTTTGATTGGGTCGATATTGACACATGACGACCGTGGGACGTCCGCGTCGGCCGGCATCGTCCCTTTTGATGTTGAAGACAGTGGCATCTTGAACTCTTTGCATGGGCTTGTCAAGCAGATGGAAATACTGTATCCCGTCAATCACCAAAGAGCGAATGTCAATCTAGGTGTGGCACTCGGGAGATATCCCGAAGACGTCTATGACGGAGTTGGTACCTCTGAAGGCAATCCTTGGTTCTTGGCAACATCGGCTGCAGCTGAAGTTTTTTACAAGGTTATATGGCGTTACTACGCTTTGGAAAAGGACTTGGTGATTCCTATGGACGGATGGAAATCTGAATTTTGGAGTCGCATTTTTGACAAGATCGACTTAACTTCGAAGGACTCTTCTTCCGAATGGCAATTGGTCATACCGTATGGATCACCCGCTTTCAAACAAACTATGGTCTCGCTATTTACTTTGGGAGACTCGTTTTTAGACAAGGTCAGAGAGCATGTGAGCGCAGACGGTGAAATGTCGGAACAGTTGAACAAATATACTGGTTATCTCCAAGGTGCGAGACATCTGACATGGTCTTACGGTGCCTTCTGGAGCTCATGCCGCTGGCGTGCACAGGTGCTCCAGAAGCTCAACAGTGAGGGGGATGTGATATTCTAAAGAGAACTTTTAAAATCTTTCTCACTGTGAGGTTGACAGGGTCTTTTAAAGCCTTCATGTTTCAAATTTTTGGTCTGATTTTGCGTTATTACAGCTCAGGAACTTGCAAGCCTACTTTCGCTGCTGTTCTCTTGACTTTTTCTTCTTGGTCCATTTTCAACCCAGGATTGTATCTTTCAACAAGTTGTTCATATTCTAATTGATTCTTAACGAAGCCTGAAAGGTCACGTAAGTGCTGTAGTCTCTTGGCAAGGGCCGTCTCATTTGTGGAAAGATCTTGGAAAATGATTTGCCTGAGACGGCTGGAATTGTCGTAAAAATGCAAAGTTTTGAGACTATTTGGGTCACTGGATTTGAGCTCTTCAATTTTTTTAGTCAATTCGTGAAGCTCGCGAATGATATCGGGTTTTTTGGTGGTGGCACCATTGGAGGCTTGCTGTCTCACGAGTCCGATCTTCTTGTAAGTTAAGAGTGCGATCTGCTTTTTGTTGTTCTCTTTTATTTGAGTGATTCTGGAACGTTTGCTAGACTTCACCAAAGATCTAATGAGTTGTTTGTAGGTGGGCAGAATTTGACTGGATGACATGGTGGTCTAATTGAGAACTGTTATTTATGGTTTAAGCCTGTGTGTTCTGGTCGATGATGAGAGATGAGCTTAAAGAATCGACGCTTTTTTTCATATATTACACTTTACTATACAGAAAGCTGATGACTATAGGCAGTATAGTAAATCAGCAGCGACAGTAAAAAAAAACACGCAGAAAAGGAGCAGTTTTTTGATGATTAAGAGTCAATTACAGTGAGAAAATTGACTAAATTCGGAGCTATTTGGTTTGTATAAGCTGGAGGTGTAAGCTCGAAGCGTAAGTTTCAAAAAAATATCTCTTGCAGCATGTGCTTTTCGCAGAGATTCCGGGGTCGGATCGAGCTTCTCATATTGTTCGAATTGAGTCTCCGTAATGACAAAATTGTTGAAAAGGCATCTAGATCACAGATTTAGATGCTGCTTTTAGCTTGTGGGGCAAGGATTGGAAATTTACTTTGTTCACCATGCTTAAAATCCATAATACAACGTAGGTGACGCATTCGTGAATAGTGATACGTTTTCGATAATTCTTCTTCAAGGGCTATGTCACGACTAAAAAGAAGGCCTTTTCCGCGCAGATTTATGCAATCAACACAGATTCAGACTATCCCAATCTATACATTTCAATCTGTTTCCATTCTTGGACCCTTTCTTCCCTCAATAATTTTTTTTTTTCAGATTTTTCTAGCAGGGTCAGAATCTAAAGCTCCAAACTCCTCGGAAATCACACAAAATGTCATTAGCCTTCAAAACAACGCAGAACAACAGAACTCAGCTCATGATCACGCTCTCAATTTCTCGATATCGAAATTCGATTTCGTCAAAAAAATCGCACACACTATCTACGAACGCGAGTCGGATCCGAACTTTCCAATTTCCACATCCTACAATTCCTTCCCATGACCTTGTCACTGATCTATATAAGAGCTAGACCAAATTCATCGAAAACAACATCAAAACTTTGAGTTTAAAACATCGGTTTTCGGACATACACAAGACTCACACAGACTACTGGTAGTTTGTTTTCGCTATAACAGCAAAGAAGCACACAAACGGTGTCAATTTTTCGATCGCGTTACTAGGATAAAGTTCGAAGAAGTCCCATATCGTATCGATAATTCAAAAAATTCAGAACCAGAAAATAGGATCAATAATGTTCAAAAACAGCTTTAACGTGTCTAAAAGAAGTCTGGCAAGCGTGGCCGCCGAGCAATTGCTGCCCAAGAAGTACGGGGGTCGCTACACGGTGACTTTGATCCCAGGAGACGGTGTGGGTAAAGAAGTGACAGACTCCGTGGTGTCGATTTTCAAAGCTGAAAACGTACCAGTGGACTGGGAAACCGTGGAGGTGTCCGGCTTGGAGAGCCAGGAAGGTGTGCAAACGGCAGTGGAGTCCCTCAAGAGAAACAAGGTGGGTTTGAAGGGTATCTGGCACACACCCGTGGACCAAACGGGCCACGGATCTCTAAACGTTGCGTTCCGTAAGCAGCTAGACATTTTCGCCAACGTGGCGCTATTCAAGAGCGTTCCCGGTGTGAAAACCCGCCATTCCGGCGTGGACCTTGTGGTGATCAGAGAAAACACCGAAGGTGAGTATTCCGGTCTAGAACACGAGTCCGTGCCAGGTGTTGTCGAATCGCTCAAAATCATGACCAAGGCCAAATCCGAACGTATTGGCCGTTTTGCATTCGACTTTGCCCTCAAGAACAACAGAAAGTCCGTCACTGCGGTCCACAAGGCCAACATTATGAAGCTAGGTGACGGTTTGTTCAGAAACTGCATCAACGAGGTTGGAGCCAAGGAATACCCTGAAGTCGAAGTGAAAAACATCATTGTCGACAACGCCTCCATGCAGGCCGCCGCCAAGCCTCAGCAATTCGATGTTCTTGTCACCCCCAACTTGTACGGTTCTATTCTAGGAAACATCGGTGCTGCTCTTATCGGTGGTCCCGGTCTGGTCCCAGGTGCCAACTTTGGCAGAGAGTACGCTGTCTTCGAACCTGGTTCCAGACACGTTGGTCTAGACATCGAGGGTCAGAACGTCGCCAACCCTACCGCCATGATCTTGTCGTCCGCTTTGCTATTGAGACATCTAGGTCTAAACGCCTACGCTGACCGTATTTCCAAGGCCACTTACGACGTTATTGCTGACGGCAAGTCCACCACCAAGGACATTGGTGGTTCTGCTTCTACCACCGCGTTCACCGAAGCCGTCATTGAAAAATTGAAGGCTCTTTAGTTCAAAGAAAGAATCTTCTATCACATCTTTTCAAACAGTCAAGGAGCACACAACGCAAATTTATTGATGGGCTTTTCAACCGGGAGTACCCTGTATTAAATTTCGACGTTGCAACAGGATAAATAGTAACATATAATTGAAACACTTACCTCCATGTATTCAAAGTTGTTGTCTTGAGATCTGAGTCGAGTTTAGATAGCGACCTTGTCCATCGACTCTGTCACGTGACATCAAAATTCCATAATATATTATATTCAATTATAAGGGCGACTTTAAGATGTCAAAGGAATATGATCTCATCCTTCTTGTCCTTCTCAAACAGCATATCCTGGCCCGTTCCAAATCCTACACATCTAGAGGATCTAGAACGTTTATTCATGTATCTCAATTGAGACAAGCTTGAGCGTGAAAACAACTGACCCTTACCATTATGACGCTTTTGAACGAACCCAATGTCGATTTCCATCTCAAACTCAATGAGCAGTCTTTCCATATACCGAATGAACTTTTGAAAAATAATGTTAAAAAGGTTCAAAAACTGGTGGAACGTGAGAGTATGCGACTAGAAGTGCTTTTCAAGGATCTCAATTCAATCGTGGCAGGCCACGATCCTCACCTGTCCATCAACAAACTCAATGACATTATCAAAGCAGTGGAACTACTGGAACGGAAACTGGACAAAAGAGTGAACATAGAGTGCGAGCTTTTGAAAAGGATCGAATACCGCTTCAATTATTTCAAGGAGCTCGAAGAATTGAAAAAAAATGGCAATCGGGAAGGCCTCATTTCCTGGTACCAGGTCTATACAAACCTGCTCATAGGTGATTACCTGGTAAGAAACAATAACGTTTGTGACCAAGAATTGGCCGGAGGAAGTTCTGGAACGAGTTTGCGACTCAAACGGAAAATTTCGTCACCAACAACATCGCCTCCACCTGTGAATGCAGGTGTCCAATTTCTTCGGTCTCAAGGACTAGAAAAACATCTAGACTGGGATATCTTGGTCACCGCTAACCAGATTTCGAAAAGTTTAGATGCGGGTCATGACCTGACTTTGCTGGTGAACTGGATCAGAGAAAATCAGACTTACTTGACCAAGAGATCGTCTGCGCTGGAGTTCGAAACTCGGCTCCAAGAGTACATTGAACTTGTGAAGATTCGAGACTATCCGGGGGCCATCGGATGCTTCCAAAATCATCTCATAAAATTCATAAACACGAATTTCGACGAGCTGCAACTTGCCTCGGGTCTCCTGGTGTTCATTAAAAGCTTCAAAGAGCAAGGATTGCAACAGAAAGAAGCCCAAAGTGACGCTTCCCACATGAAGACCAAACTCGGGTTTTTTCAATACTTTTTCGGGAAAGTACCGCCAAGAGAATCGGTCTCGGGCAATGCGACGTTCGAAAACAACACCAGGTCCAAATTTTCAGCCAGTGGGGAATTTGTTCGCTACACTCGAGTTCTAAGTGACGAGCGATGGAACGTCTTAAAAAGACTTTTTTTACAAGAATTTTATTCAATGTACGGAATATCCCAACACGATCCGTTGCTGATCTATCTTTCTTTGGGAATATCAACGCTCAAGACTAAAAGCTGTTTACAAGAAAATTACCCACCTGCTAAAGGCGACGAAGAACTACACAATTTTTTCAGCAGTGAGTTGAATCACTCTAAATGCCCAGTATGCAGTCCAGAGTTCGCACCTCTGACCAAAGATTTGCCCTACGCCCACCATATACAATCCAACCTTTTCGAAAATCCTGTCATGCTTCCAAACGGGAACATCTACGATTCGAAGAAGCTGAAGCTGCTGGCGGCCAAGCTTGTTAGCAGGAAGCTTTACAATTTGGAACCCAACCAAGTGGTTGATCCAGTTGATCGAGAGATCTATTATGAAAAGGATTTTGTTACTATGTACCCGACATGAGGCATGCAATTGCAAACGTAATATTAATCTTCATCGCTGTCGGAATCATTTTGCTTCTTTGAGGCCTTTGAATGTTTATCGAAAATCTCAAAAACATACATTCGAGCCTCTCTTTCCGCTGCAGGCTTTGTTGTATCCTGTTCACTATTCGTGCGTCTATGAGAATATTCGGGATAATTCGCCCACTGGAAGTTGCCGGACCGCTCTACCTTCCACCCTGCTGTCCTGGCCAGGATTTTGATCTGCCAGGAATCATAAGGTTCGCCCGTGAATACGGAGAGGTAAACCTTGCCGTACCCTTCACTCGACACTTTGTTTGTTGCAGCATCGTGCTTGATCGTGTATCCCTGAGAATAGTTCAGAGCCGACCCGTTTAACGCAGTCTGATTTACAGCTTTGAAGAACTGCTTGCAACTTTGAAAATAACCCAAAACAAGCTCCTGGTGGTCTCGTATGTTTTTATCTTGGTCCTTGATGCCCTTCCCCGTGTGTGGAAAATTGAACAAAATACCCTCGAGTGGCTTGGTTGCCCATTCAGGACCGGCTATTTTCGACCAGGTGGTTTTTCTGCTGAACTTGAACGACTTTATGAGATTTGTTGCGTCGATTCTAAAGAAGACTTGAACATCATTTTGCTTCAAAAAGTCGTAGTTGTCTTCGAAGCTTTTGGGGTACTTCAGCTTCAGTTCTGTGGGGGAGTTGTCGAAACTCGTCACCAGCAAGTTTTCCGGCTTGACGTAGTTTTGAGACACAATCGATCTGGCAAACGAAAAATCACCTTCACCAACTAGTAAAAGGGTGCTATTTGGACCAAAAGGGATTATTTTGCTAGCTGTTTCCCGTTGCAATTCACGCTGCTCCAAACTTGCTTTTGTTGGTTTGTGTTTGTGAAGAGAATGATCTGCTTTGGATTTAACCTTCTTCTGTGCTTGTTCGTGAATCTGGTGTCGAAGCAGAGCTCCTTTCAAACCCTTGGAACTGGCCTTTCCTTTCAGTTTTCGACCCATTATTTCGAAAGAGATATCTCAGTAGCTAACCAAGATCTCAGTCAAACGAGATCCACCTGTTTATAGTTGGTAAACCAAATGTGAATCTCATCTCATCTCATCTCATCTCATCTCATCTCATCGCATTGATCGCTTATTTTATTAAATGTTATTATGGCATCTTCGTCATTAGTTATGGCTCTACTCGATGAGTTGACCGTTCATCCATTCAAGCAGCTTCTGGAGTCGTTGTAGACATGTTGTAGATCTATCAGCTTTGGTCTGGTTTTCTTTAGAATTGGTTAGTATTTTCCCTGGTCTTTTTTGTCTTAAAAGTCTAAGAACTTCTTTATCAGAGTTGTTTAACATACTGGAAAGACCAATTGTAGATCAGCGGAGTCTTTGAGAATGACTAGGTAAAAGATGACTTGAAATCCCTTGGTAAACCCCTCGTTGATAATAATATCCATTACAATGTCCTTGGGCATGAATTGAGAGTGTTCAAACCATTTTCGGTTCAAAATCTTCGGGAACAATATACATCCTTGCAGGGTACTGACTTGAACGCCTGCACCTCTGAAAACCTGCAACGTCTCAATGGTCGGATCACGAATCAAAAACAGCAGGGCTACAAAGAATGCAGCTTTGATCGCGATTTTCTTGTACGTTGTCAAATTCAGATAGCTATCTGTATAGTGAAAGCATATAATATTAGCTACAGCGAAAACACTCAAATTTATCAAACAGGTGCGATAATAGCGTTCAGTTGTTGCTGTGTATCTTCTATAAGAGCCCTCGTCGTTGCCGCTCGTAGTTACGATGCATGCCATGGGGTAAAATCAGCTTTTTCTGCTTCAAAACTCGTTGTTCGACGTTAGGTTTTAGACATAATAACATATATATACATTTATATATGTACATAATACCACCATCAATTGCTGTTCGGAATGATAAGATTAGAACGGGCTGCGTTTGACTGCTGAAATGAAACCAGTATTGCGTTTTTTTGTCTTTAGAAATCCTACTTAGAGTATTCAATTAGTCTGCCTCTTCTTCGGGCTCCTGTGCCCTCTGCCTTTTCATCTGATCAATTGTCCCCAGGACGACCTCAGTTTTTCTGTAAGCATTCAATTGGTCGCGTCTGAGACCGCCTGAGGTCTTCTTGTTTACGCTTTCCATCTCTTTAACCTTTTGGGTCTGTAAGTCTTCCTCCTTTGCACTCTGCTTCGAAACTTCAATTTCGAGAAGATGCTTCTCGTGGTCCTTCTGGAGATCCTGGAATTTACTGTTGAAGTCTTCTAGTGAGACCAGCTCTTTGCGAATTTCTGTGCAATAATGATCAAAATCTGGTGGCAACTTCGCACGCAGCGCAAGCTCAATCATAACAGGATTCTTCTTCTCCTCGTTGACAAACTTGGCCTTGATCTGACGTCTTGTCCGGTAAGGAAACATCTGGGCTATCAAATTGAAATCCGTCCCCCACATGGAGAGCGCTTTATAGAATCTTAAAAGCTCGTCGACAGTCCAGGGATCGGTATATTGCTGACGCCCATAAGTGGCGGAGTTAAAGAGATTAGCGAAAGGGTTTTCATCCATGCGCAGTTTGTGGGCATGTTCCAGAGTGGCCCTTTTGTGACGATCCACTACAGTAGACTCTTCATCGACTGCGAAAGTACCGTCCTGATTGATGCGAAGCTGAATTGCGTTGTGCCCTCTATCTGGCTCGGGAATCTCGGCGTTCATTATCTCCTCGGCGGCTTTTTTCCGCTCTTGGAGCAGTTTTTCAGCATCTTCCTTATTAAGTTCATTCAATGGCCTGAAATTTTCACGCGCTTTCAACCGCATGGCTCTCCTTTTCAGTCTGTTTTGCTGTTTGGCCTTCAAAGCATCTTGAGCTCTTTGGAAATTGTCTGAAGTTTCCCCGATTGGCAGATTGGGTTTGCACAGGTCTGCAATGGTAAAATTGTCCTCATCCAACAGATATCGAGAAGAATCATTGTCGGCAATATTTTTCGGTATTTCTGCAGCGGTTGCGATTGTGTATTTCTCGTAAAGTCTATCTGTGCGCTGAAAAAGATCCTCAGAACCCTCACTTTTCAGAGCATCTTTCTCAGTCGCTCCCGCATGGTCTTCGGATCCGTTGGGCTGTGACAAGATGCTTATCCGCTGGGCTGACCCCGTTTTGCGAGATATGGACGACCTGGAAGACATGCGTCTTTTCTTAATGGCCTGGAGGGAAGAATCCGATTCAGATATGCTACTTGCTCGTTTTTTCTTGCCCTTAGCCTGTGGTCCACTAATGTTCGACAATCGACGGTTTTTCGCAGATTCTCTTGATAGCCCAGAACCGGAAGCTGGTTCCATAAACCCACTCTTGAAAACTGCGCTGGCACTACTCAAAGAATCCAGCCTGCTGGATCTTCTCCTTTGGTCGATTAAGGCAGAGTTACCAGAACCACTAGTTTCTCCCTCCGGGCCCACAACCTTTTGAGTGCTCTGACTCAAAGGATCCATATCCTCCGTTAGTGTGGTCTGTGTCGATTTGGCAGTCTCTGACAGTCCTGAATTGTCTTTTTCGGGTTCTTTAGAAGTTTCATTATTGCTCGTCACTGGTTCTTTCTCTGGAGCTGCTACAACAGCCCGGCGTTGTTTGATCTTCGGGGCAAAACGTGTCCCGCTCTTGTTGACAACACTACTCATTGTTTTGGAATTAAGGCTGCCACGGTCTTAAGATGTGAGGTTAGATAAGTTAGTGTGTGACACACACTGTTGCTGAAATAGACCGCGATGCTCATCTCAGATAGATGATATTTGTATGATTTTCTCTGAAGTTGACTAAATTGAAAATTGAGCATCTAGTTCATTTATGGCTCGAATCACGTGACTGTCGTGAATTTACGCATAACTATCAAGGTCATTCGCGAATTAGTGTCTGTTGTATCAAACGTCTAGTATGGCTGGAATCTGTGATCTCTGGATGCGGATTTGGTAGATCTTTTGGAGCTCTTTTCTCTCTTTTTTTCGTCACTTTTCCGACTAGTTTTCGTCTCAACAGGATCTGGGGTCTTTTCAGAGGTTTCTGACTCCATATCGCCCATTTCAACCACCGGTAAATCATCTTGGAATACGTCAATAGGATCAGAATATGACCAGAATTCCGAGGGTACGCTCATACCTTCAAAACTGGATTTCCAAACGTTCACGTGACCGTCTTCACCGCAGGAATACAATAATTGTTGATTCGAAGCGGGAACAAGCACGTCTCTGACGACCTCGTCGCCGTGGGCCTGTGGGATGGTCACCGCAGCGTCCAACTGGACCTTTTCGTTTTGAAACGGGATCAACTTGAGCTCGCCACGACCTTGTCCGTCGTCACTTTTCCCGGTCGCAATGAATCCGGGGTAGACGTCGACCACGTAGGAGCAATCCCAAGGTTTTCTGACATCTCCAAATTCTACAGGTTTGGGTTCTCTGGATTCCTCTTGTTTGTCGTTCAGCTCGTGGATTCCAAAGGTCTCCATGTGCGACAATGTGTAGATCCGTTTTGGAGAGCACCACCCGCTCGAGTGGATGGACGCGAAGTTGATTACCTGGTGCAATGCATCTTCTTCGTCATCCTGTGTCAAATCGTAAATGTTAACGTAGCCGTCTGTGGCACCGCTCAGTAGCACGTTGCGATCGCTAGGGTGGAACTTGATTGTCGTGATATCGTCATGGTGGGAGTCCACAAAAGACCGAAACGGTGACCCCCATTTTCTCACGTCGTAGAGTTGCAGCACTGCATCCACTCCGCTCAATTCCGTTCCACAGGCTAAGAATCCATGTCTTGAGTCTAGCGACAGAAACGGAGCGGATTTTTCATTTTTAAGGGTCGCTACCGAATCCCGGCTTCTCAAATCGAACACCTTAACTGCATCCTCCGCTGCGGTGGCCACCAAAGTCGCATTACTGGTGTCGCTATTTATGAGCTTCATGTCATTTATGGGCGTCTCATGTGCTTGAATTTTCTCCAGAACATCGTTACGGTTCCAGTCAATGATCTGTATACACCCGTTGCTTAGTGCTGTCAATAGTCCACGGTTGTAGATGGGCTGCAAACCCAAACACCAATTGTCGGCCCCAAAAGAGATCGTACTTAACTTGGAATATGACATCGGTATGGTTATATGTATATGTATATATATCTAGTCTTTCTGCCCCAATTATTATCCGTTTCTTGCTTGGACGACCAGCTTTTTATAGTTCCAAAAGTACAGCTTGTATCGCAAGCTGGCGTTGAACTCTTAAACGCAGATCAATGGAGCCTTCAAGCGTGCTTTTCGGACTCAAACTTTTGAATTCGATGAGTAGGGTTTACTTTAGTTAATATTTGAAATAATTGACTATTAGATCTATAAAAGCTAATTTCAACAAGAACTATAAAATCGCCAAATTTCGTCTTGATAAAACAGAGAGTTGAATATTAGAGTAGGCCTGTATCTGAGTTTGGATTTGTGATTGAGCATTAGTATTTCCAGCGGTGAAGGCTTTTTTTTACCTTCAAAATCGTGTCCTTATGAGGTTATTAGGTATTGTTTAGCATTACGTCTATAAAATGCATACACGAATGCACGAATGCACGAACCTGTATGTGGTTTGGCATCAAAGCTGTTATGGAAAATTCGTTTCGATATAAACAAAAGTGTTTCGTTCAAGTCTGGCTTGAAGCCCAAGCATGTCGTTATCCAAATTATTCCAGAAAATTTCTAGGAAGAACGAGACGGATCGAAAATAAAACGTTTTCAAACATTCTTAAAATTGAGAATACCAGAAATGTTTGGAATGAACCTCTTTGAAGCCCAAAACTCGGACTTTGACCTTACTTTGATGTTCAACTAAGAAACCTTTTGAATTCGTGTCGTGGGTCACGTGATCCCTTTCACAACTAATAATTGAATGAATAAATGGAATACCTGTATCTCGAACAACGGCCCCTTTCGCAATTCGATATTTCATAGGTCATTGAACTCGTCTTCGCGTTCGTGCTTGCTTGAGTTCTCACCGCAAGAACTGCTTTTGATTCCAAATCGTTTTGGTCCCCAACAGCCCACCTTGAAATCTCGCTTTAGCGTTCCCTAGGACAAAACTGAACTGCCCAAAAATTCTGGAAGTTCCGATCTGAGTGCGCCCAAAACAAAAGACAGAGCTTCATGAAATGAATAATCGGCTTCCCGATATTTATCCCCCGGGGACTGCGCTGACGGTTGGATCTCACAAAGCGCGAATCATCAAGTATCTGGCCAGCGGTGGCTTTGCTCATATCTATTCAGCAGAAATATCACCAGCAGATCCCAATGGCTCAACCAATGTGGCTTGTTTGAAAAGAGTCTTGGTACCCGACAAACCCAGTCTCAATGTACTGCGAGCAGAAGTCGATGCCATGAAACTTCTTCGTGGTAACAAACACGTAGTTTCGTATATCGACTCACACGCCGCAAAATCCGGAGACACAACTGGCTCCTACGAAGTTTTCCTGTTGATGGAGCTTTGTCCAGGCGGCGGACTAATAGATTTCATGAACACAAGACTGCAGAATCGTTTTCAAGAAGCTGAGGTGCTAAAAATCATGAGTGACGTAACTCAAGGCATTGCAGCAATGCATGCGCTTTTGCCTCCTCTAGTCCACAGAGACATCAAAATCGAAAACGTTCTGATCGCTGGAGATGGTACTTTCAAAGTTTGCGACTTTGGTTCTGTGTGCGGTATCATAAGACCCCCCAAAAATGGTCAAGAATTCAACTATGTCCAACACGACATCTTGAAAAACACCACGGCACAGTATCGATCTCCAGAAATGATTGATCTTTACAGAGGCTATCCTATCAATGAGAAATCTGACATTTGGGCTCTAGGTGTCTTTCTCTACAAGCTTTGTTACTACACAACTCCATTCGAAAAAGTTGGCGAAGCCGCCATTTTGCATTCCCGGTTCCAGTTTCCTGCATACCCCCAATACAGTGATAAACTCAAACATCTGATAAGCGTGATGCTGACCGAAAATCCAACAATGAGACCCAATGTCTGTCAAGTTCTCGAAGAAGTCTCTCGCATAAGGAATGTACCTTGTCCTCTTGGCAACTTCTATCTTCTCAGGTCAATGCAACAACACCAAGAGCCAAAATCACGCTCACCTATTCCTGTACATCATATCGGTTCACAACCCAACATCGATATGACGCAAAGCATTACTACGCATCAGCCGGTTGCTGGTTTGAACTCTTGGAAGTCTTTCACCAACGGAGCGACTAATGGTATGTTATATCAGCCCCAAATTAGGTCACAAGGAAGCCATATATTGCAGCCGAGTAGACTTGCTGATCCTTTCATGGCTATCGACAAGTCAAAACTTGTTAATGACAAAAGTGCAAAGCTTCCTGTCGTTGCCACAGCAGGTCATAAGCCCACAATGATCCACGGTAAAACTTCTACGGATGCAAATATTTTGATGTCGAGAAGATCGGCGAGTCCTGCCCTAGGTGGGCGAGGTGATATATCGAAAATTGTCAGTGCTAACCCTACGAGTTTGGAAATGTATTCAACTTATTCTTCCACTCGTACGCAAAATGACAACGGTTTGGGAGTAAGCCCTGATCTTCGAAGCTCCGTCTCAAGGCAGTTGTCATCATCTGATGCTTTGGAGAGCCATCACACCGGAGACAGCATTGGAAAAAGGCTAGGCCATAAGCTCAAAAAGGTGTTTACTGGCGAACGGAGATCGATATCACCTATAAAGTCTAGGCAAAACACGGGAGAAAGCGTCAAGTCGTCCTTTGCCACGCTTCGCCGTGGTATATCCAGAGCAGGCAGTATCAAAGACGATCGAACCAGTAAATGGAATACGAGTGAAATATCTTTAGTAAATGCGTCTAATGGACAAAGGTCGCGCATTTCTTCTTCGGAATCCATAGAAGAAGAACAATTCGCGATTCGCCGATCTCACTCCAGAAGCAGCAGTAGTGCATCGATCATCTCAGATCTCGACCAGTTAGACGACGGCGATATGCCTGCAAAAGACTATTATAGATCACGCTCACCGGTGAAAGTTGGGCATGAGAACGAGTCCCGTTTGTCCATACAAAAGCGGGTCCAGGATCTTCTCAAAAATTCCGAGGATTCCCATGTGCTTAAAACCGCTCATGGCTATGGCGAAATAACTGCCACCGAAGAAACAAAGCTTTCATCGCAGCTTACCAACGAAACTTTACTTCGAAATTTTGGTGACTCCAATGCTTCAACTCCAAAAGTTTTATCGCCCGAAGACAGAAACAGACACTCAAGTGTGGTAGTTACCAGAATTTCACCCGAAAAGAAGAAACCTCCGCTCAAATCAACACATCCCAAGCCGAAAAGACCAGCAAAGCCGCTTCATCTCAGAGCAGACAAATTGTCTCCACAAGGTGCTGCTGCTGATGATAAAGAACAGTGGAATCTTCTCGAGCTTGAAGAGCTTGAAAAAGACTTTAAAACGCGATTTCCGAGTGCTGCATAGAATTTCGCTACGCAAGTCGTAATAATACAGTTTCGTGATACTTACATATCATACAGGTATAGATACGCTAAGTCTAGTCACTGTCGCTCCATTCTTCAAAAGCGTCCAGAATGAAATCTGTCGCCTCATCAAATCTTTCTTCAAAATTTTTATTAAGACCATCAGAGTCGCATCTCAGCACCCGCCCAAACTTCTTTCTAGGCTTTTTACTATCGTTGCCATCACTTCCCCAGCACGCATTCTCATTGCTTGCAAAAACCAAAGAGTTTTTGTAATACCAATCCGCCAGAGTCTCATCCACTAAAGGTATCAAGGGCCTCAAGGGTTTCCGATCAATGAATGAAATAGCACATTTCACAATGTTCCTAGTGTCTCTATGTCCCAGAAGATGAACAGCGCCACTGTAGGCGTCTCCAATTCCAATGAAGGCTACTTTATCGAGCGCTGGAAAGAACTTCAAGTAATTGTCCCAAATAAAGACGAGCAGTTCTTGAGCTGTTGTAACGGCAGAGTAGTTATCTTGCTCCTGTAGAGATTGAGGTATATTAATGTCCATTATCCCATACTTCCTCTCTATGCCCCATTTTATCACATCAACTGTGGTGTCCACGATTATTGAAGTTGAGGGATCGATGTTACCTGTGAGACGGCTGCGTTGAGCCCATATTTCCGGGGTATCATGTACACACACCAAAATTGCGTGTGCATCATAAATGTTAGGAGATAACATGGCTGTGTCCTCTGGCAGCCCCAGGTTAGTTAGTGGCAAAGTGGCAAAGCTATACTCGTTCTTGAGGAGCTGAATTTGCTGCTGACGAATTGCTCTTTGAAGCGGGAAATTTTTGTTGATAATCGTTTCGGTGACCTTTTCTTGGAATGAGCACCCGTCATTTGCATGTGTTCCCTTAAAGCATTTCCAGTACTTTGACTGGATTCTTATAACGGAATCAATAACCTCAAGTGCTTCAGGTCTGGGTTGTTTAACTTCAGGCAGCTCGTCAGGAGGCTCGCCAATCAAGACTTTGGCAACTGCCAATGCACTCTTAGCGATGGAATCCAAGCTATACCCACCTTCGAGCACAACACAAAGATTACCTCTAGCAAGAGATTTGAGCATGTGCGTCATTTGTCCATAACAGCTTGGTGTTACGTGACATTGGCCAATTGTGTCACCATCGGCAGCGTCGAAACCGGACGATATAATTACTAGATCGGGCTGGAATTCACGGCTCATGGGCATGATAACCTGCTCAAATGCCCACATATAGTCGGCATCCCCAAAAGCGCCACAGGGCCACGGTATATTACAGTTGAAACCTTCGCCTTTCCCGTCGCCAACTCTGTCAGAATTACCATGCAATGTTCCCGGGTAGTATTTTCCGAGCTCCTGTCTATGAATGGAAATGTATAGCACTCTATCGTCACCGTAAAAGGTCTTTTGCGTTCCATTTCCGTGATGAACGTCCCAGTCTATGACCAGTATTTTTCGAACACTTTCTGGGTAGCTTTTTAGCATATTTTGAGCAGCGACGGCCACGTTGCTAAACAGACAGAATCCACCTGCCATTTCAGGCTCTGCATGATGTCCCGGAGGCCTCACTACGGCCAATGCATTTTTTACACGTCCCTCCACGACGGCTTTGCAAGCTTCGATTGCACCTCCGCATGACAATTTGGCGCTCATGAACGAGTCGTTATTGAAATACACAGAGTCTCCCTTTTCTGTTTCTTTCATGAGCTGGTCCCTGGTCATTTGCGGCGTTCGTGACAGAAAATCCAAATGCTCTTTGGTGTGCACTTGCAGAATTTCGGACTCTGTTGCCTCGCGCACTGGTATTTTCAACATAAAGTCTCCGATGTTATCGATTCCGCTCAGCGTAGGATCGTACACCAATCCGTTTTCCACCAGAATTTTGTAGACTCTGTAAATACGTCTGGGATCTTCTGGATGTGGGTCGATATATTCGAAATATGATGTGAAGATTTTAGCGTGATAACGCATACGAACATCGTAACACAGTCCTGTTTTCAAGAGCGGGTATCGCAGATCTGGTTTGCAACCGGGAACAATCACCGGCCGCTTGGTGCTCTCGGATTTCTTTAGATCGTCATGATCTTCGACATCATCATTTAAAGTTCTTTTGAGAGCCAGACGGTCCATCGGAGCCGGCTCTTGTTTTACAACGTCGGTCATTGCAGAAAGAGTTACCAGTTCAGAATAAAACTAGAACAGCACAGGCCGTTAAAGTGTTGTTTACCTTTCAATGTCGAGTTTATCAAACGGTAGATTTGGCTTCTCGAATTCGTATCGATCTCATGCGTATATATATAAGATGTCTAATTATTGAAAAACGTCAACTTTGAAGAGACCGAGTAGAGAAATGAGGTGAGGGTTGGGTAGATGCTCGAGGAGAAGATCGGTCAGAGGGCGACTGATTGGGATTTGCCAAAGCTCAAGGGCGTGAATAGAATAGAAGATAATGGGTGGACGTTGTTCGAAGATAGTATTCAGATTCTGGTAGTTTTGAGAAATTAATTCTTCACTTGGTTGTTTTCTGATGTGCTGTGAAAAATCCGCAAATGGCGACGAATTTGAGGTAATTGTTCGAGACTTTGTCTAGAAGGAAATACACGGATCTTGCCATTGAAAATGACTCTGTTGTCGGGTAGGTCAATGGCACTATTTATTCAACAATGGGTAATTTTCATGCAACGATGGGTAATTTTTCACTGTCGTGCTCGTCTTTTTTGATGGAAAACGATGATAAAACCTCTTGAGAAACTTAGAAAGGGAGAAGTTAATAAAAGTAGAGGCAAAACCCCCTTCTTCCACCCCATAGAAGTACCGCAAAATTAATCGCCGACAGTATTGGAACGTTGATCGATATTTATGTTCAATGACACAACCGTTATTTTCCTATCACTTTCTATTTCTCGTGTCTACAAATTAATATAGCTTTTTTTTTCACTATGCGCTCAAGCAGCTCATCGCATGTATCTTAACAAATATCGATCGAAACTCGTTGTTCAACCATCACGGCTCCTGATCAATGAACTTCTATCGCGATGCTACCTATGTGCTTGAATTTGTAGAAAAAACCGAGTCTCAGGGCCGCGTTGCCGGTTCGTTGCAGACTTTGGTTCTCAATTCATGCAAAAAGTTCAAACTCAACACCAATCCCAAACATATTTATGCCGCCGTGCACTCGTGCTGGCTCTACAGAGAGTTTCTCGATACAATCCTGCAACGGTCTAAGATTTTGAAGGAAATTCCAAAAAAGAAGGGCGAGCCCGCTTTCAACAAGACCACCATCAAACTCTTGGTGCATGATCTTTTGTTTTCGAAAAACAAGAGAATACAAATGGGCAAACACCCAATCAAGGAATTTGTTCTGAAGCACAAGACTCGTCTCAATAGTGAGCTGGTGCGGCTGAAACTCAAGTTGAAAGTCACCGATCTGAAGCAACTGTTGAATGACAATAGTTCTGACGTCACACCGGTGAGGTGGATCCGGATCAATCCAATTCGCGCACGTCACAAGGAAAAAGAAGTTTTGGTCGAGCTCTACAAAAAATTCCCCACCAAGGTCGGCTCTTGGACCGAAATTGTGCCGGGAACCATCTACGAGGACGAATTTATACCCAACCTCTTTGGAGTGCATCCAGGCGACAAAATAACTTCGCATGAGCTCTATAAAACGGGCAAAATTATCATACAAGACCGGGCTTCTTGTTTCCCTGCACATATTCTGAATCCACAAAAATCTGACGTTGTCATTGACGCTTGTGCTGCACCCGGTAATAAGACTACCCATGTAGCAGCTCATATTTTCCAAAACGAAGAACCAGGCAGCGTCAAAGTTCATGCATTCGAAAAGGACCCTGAAAGGGCGAAAACTTTGCGCACCATGATCAAGAGCGCCGGTTGCTCGAATGGAATTGAAGTACATGTGGGAGATTTCACGAAGATTGCGAAACCGGCGTCATTTCAAAATGTCACTGGCTTTATCGTTGATCCCAGTTGCTCTGGAAGCGGAACTTTTGGTCGCCAGGCCATCGATCAGCATAACAAAAATAAAGAACAAAGCGCGACGCCAAAAGATGATGAAACGACCGCATTGCCGTTAGAAGAGGAGCCAGAAGACATTGCAGACAAGGATCTCAAAATCAGATTACAGAAGCTGTCCTCGTTCCAATTTGAAATCGTACGCTACGCATTATCATTCCCCAGTGCTAAAAAATTGGTCTACAGTACCTGTTCTGTTCATGCAGAGGAAAACGAGCGAATTGTGATAGACTTATTGCTCGATCCTAAGGTGAAAGAGGCTGGGTGGCGTGTGAGAAAGCGCGCTGGCGTCATACCGACGTGGCCAAGAAGAGGGCTGTATAGCGAATTTGAAGAAGTGTTTCGCGACGAAGAGAAAGCCAAGGAACTAGCAGAGGCTTGTATAAGAGTCTCTCCCAAAGAGGACGGCGGGATCGGATTCTTTGCCGTGTGCTTTGAGCGCGATTGAAGGTTAGGTAGCTACGGGCTCTAAATCAAATGTGCATCTGTCAAGAAACAGACAATAGGTTTACAATGTAAAGTAAGTAATTCTCCCGAATTTACATCTTAGATAGAACATCATCGATCACTTGCTGCGTGGTGGACTTGCCACCCAAGTCTGGGGTCTTGATAGCTTGTTCACGCAAGTTGGCTTCGACGGCATTGTTAATTTCTTGGGCAGCTTCTGGATGACCCATGAACTCTAGCAACAAAGCAGTGGATCTGATTGTGGCGATTGGATTAGAAATTCCCTTACCAGCGATATCTGGAGCAGAACCATGACATGGTTCTCCGACCACGAAGCTGGAGCCGACGTTGGCGCTGGGAACTACGCCAAGTGAACCCACCAAAGCGGCAGCACCATCGGACAGAATGTCACCGTACAAGTTGGGAGCCACCACGACGTCGAAGCACTCGGGTTCTCTGAACATTCTGTAGACCATAGAGTCTACGATCTGCTCATTGTAGTTTACGACGCCGAACTTCTCCTTGTTGGACTCGTAAACCTCTCTGCAGACTTCTCTGAACAAACCGTCACTCTGTGATAGAACATTAGATTTGTGAGTGACGGTCAGAGTAGCTTTTCCATTAGTCTTGTACCGCTGCAAAGCAATCTCCAAAGCGATGTTGGCAATATTCCTGGTAGCAGTCTCAGAAATTCTCTTGATAGCTTCAGCTACTCTGGTACCGGTCTTCTCATCGATGTAGGATCTTTCGGTTTTGATATATAGATCTTCTGTGTTTTCTCTGACGATGATCATATCCACAGGCTTGTCGTTAGTGCCCTCAACAGACTTCACAGGACGAACGTTGGCGTACAGACCGAGCTGTTTTCTGAGGGCCACGATGGGCGAAGAGTAGCCCTCGACTTTATTGGTGGGCGATTGAACCGCACCAAAAAGAGCACCGTTACATTCCTCTTTGAGCACTCTCATGGTCTCATCAGGAAGAGCCTTACCGGTGTCCAAGAACGTCTGCCATCCAGCCTGCAGATTGACAAAGTTGAACTTGAGACCATGTTTGCTGGATAAATTTTCCAGAACTAGCTTTCCAGCTGGGATAACTTCTTTCCCGATACCATCACCTGGAATCAATCCAATGGTGAGCGATTCGGCGGATTTGGAGTAGGCGCGACGGGCCAATTGGCTAAAAGAGGTCCTCAACATTTCAAGATGGCTAAAAGTCTTGGTGGGTGAAGAGCTGAGTCAAAGGTAGTGAACACTGAAACAAGCTACGATTTGGAAAACTAGCAAGAAGAATAGTCGACTAAAATCATCAAATGTGACTACATAAATACGTTTCTGACTTCTGGTCAGCCGACGATGCTCACTGGGTGAGTTATGCCTTCGTCTAGTTTTTCACTTTTCCTATGGAATTTTTGTTAATATATTTCGACTAGATGGCTTGGTAGCGACTAGAAGATTGGATAGAAGATTCAAAGAGAAAGTGTGGAAGGATAGGTTCGGGATATGCGGTGGTGAATGAGGTAGGTTTATTCGGAAGAGAGTTTAAGGCTGTGTTTATTCAAGAGAAGTTGGATTAGTCTGTGTTCTTTTTCATAGTGTTGCCAGCATTTTCGCGAAGAGTGTATGACGGCGACCAGTGCAATAATTAGATGAAAGATAATGACAATTGGACTCGAGACTGTTTTGAATAGATCTGTAATGCTGCTCAGAGTTTGTTGGCTCTATCTAGGGTCTCTCATAGGTCGTGAATGACGCTATTGACGCTTTGCAATGTTATCACTTTGTCTTTGTCTGACAGACGGGTTGTGAAAAATCAAAAGTCCGGGAAATCTTGTAAATGGGATCTTTTCTTGAGCTGTGGAGAGTACGATGGGTGGATAAAGGTTTAAGTCTAGGACTTCGCAGTTTAAAGATTCCACTGTCTGATTTTCATGGTACTAGATTTCAGTATATGACGTTTAGTATTTTTCCCAGAATGCTGGGGCCTGGAATCGGCTTGGAATGTGCATTATTTGTTCTGAATCTTCAAGTAGTCAATCGATAATGGGGACTCAAGAACCCAAGGCCTCTCTACTGAACCTGTTTAAAATGCATCTGTCCGATCACGTGGATGGCGACAGCTTCGCGAAAAAATGATGTGATTCTTACGCCACCCGCTTTTCCATTCATGTCACCTTTTTGACGGATTTCTGTTGTTGTTCGGCATCTCGAAGACCATTCGCTTTCAGCTGGACAAAGAATCGAAACTCACATTTTATCGAATAAAAATTCGAAAATTCGTGATTTTAGATCTTTCAGTGAGTCAACGCAAAAACTATTGCTGAAAATGTCCCAGCACACAAATTCGTCTGCCTCAAATTAAAATATCAAGTAGAGATTGCTCATCAGTTCCTTGCATCTGAGTGTTTATATGGAAGCAGAGCATTGTAGCTTTATTAGATCACTTTATACTATACCGACGCGACTTTCTGAATCAAATCAAAATAGTCAATACTACCGATATAGATGGATTTGCGTTCAGCGACAGCATTAGCGGCATGAGCGGGATCAGTTGACGATCAAGAAGTCTGATTGCATCAATATTTTTCCATTTAACTAAATGTCGAGATTCTGGCATTAATTATTAAAAATCAGATAGAAAAACTAACGGCTAAGGAAAGGTTTGAAATCCCACCCAAACCAGCCAGATTAAATATCTGAAAATCAGATGAAGCTACCACGATACACTAAAACATTTCCAAATGCTCCAGATTGCATTGTTAAAAAGTGAAGAAATTCCAGATCTCGACCTCCGTGCATAGTGATATCGAATTGTAGATCAAAAGAGCTCATCGCAATGGCCTCTCAGAGAAGTAGTCTATAAGAACTCCAAATCCAATGAGTTCGAACTTGAATACCCAGGAGGATGCTTTGCTAGATGACGACTATGTTCTCGTTGATAAGTCTTTGCCCGGTTCCCCTCGTCCAGACGACATCGAGCAGACGGTTGTGATAAGCGACGAAGATGAAGATGAACTTGAAAGCTTAGGCGATGAGCCCTACTACGAAATGGCAGTGCGTGAGATCGCTCGAGGCGATAGCTACACATGTATGATCTGCACTGTTGAGATGGATTATACGTGTCGAATGTACGGTTGCCCGGAATGCTATCGTGTATTTGACTATGATTGTATCCGCGAATGGGCACTCAAATCCACGCAAAAAAGCGCCAACAACACTTGGAAATGCCCCAACTGCTACTTCGAGAGTCGTGAAGTACCTTTGAAAAATAGACACGCCTGCTGGTGTGGCAAAACAGTCCATCCAGACCCGAATCCCTTGGACCCCAATAGTTGCGGACAAACTTGCGATGCCCCGGTTTGCGTACACGGATGCTCCAAAACATGCCATCTTGGACCTCATCCTGTATGTATGCGAATGGTACAAGTTGAGTGTTTGTGTGGGAAACGTAAAAAAGACGTTATTTGTTCGGAAGCCACCGAGTATCAGGGATCTTACCGCTGTCAAAAGCCCTGTGGACTTTTACTACCGTGCGGGAAACATACCTGCCAAAAGGTGTGCCATACGGGATTTTGTGGCGAGTGCCCAGAAACTATCCGTACCGATGTGAAATGCTATTGTGGTACAGCCTCTAAAGATTCCATTTTATGCAAAGACGTCAGGGTCCAAGCCAGATCTCACGATCAGGCCAGACAAGCCTGGATAGGTGTTTTTGCGTGCAAGACTATGCGGACTATCGAGTATGCTTGCGGAAACCATTCATTTACAGAAGCTTGTAAAGCACCTCCGTCGCTTGACAGACGTATTCCCTGTCCCTTTTCACCAAAAAATCTCAAGACCTGTCCCTGCGGTAGAAATCCGCTCAAAGATCTGAGCACTAAGCGCACCAGCTGCACAGACCCCATACCAACTTGTGATTCAAAGTGTGGAAAACTTTTGAAATGTGGAAAGCATACTTGCCCCTTTCAGTGTCACACCGGCGAGTGCATGCAAGAATGCACATGCACCGACAAGAAAGGGTGCTCTTGCAATGCCAGAAACTTTTTGGTTCCTTGCAAATTTGAAGGAAAGCCAAGATGCACTACAAAATGTGAGTCGCTCATGTCTTGTCGACGTCATCGTTGCCCAGAGAGGTGTTGTGAAGGACGAGAACTTGCCCGACAACGAGAGAAAAAAACATTTCTCACACGCGATAAGCTTGATGAATCTCGCGTCGAAGCCCAGCACATTTGTCTCAAGCAATGTAATCTCAAATTAGCATGCGGCCGCCATTTTTGTCCCAGGAAGTGCCACCCTGGAAACTGTCCCCCATGTTTGGAGAGTGATTCCAATGACTTGGCGTGCCCGTGTGGCAAAACAGTGGTTCCTGCTCCTGTTCGCTGTGGCACGAAACTTCCACGGTGCTTCCATCCTTGCATCAAAACCACACGCGGCTTATCGGAATGCGGGCATCCGCCAATGCCTCACTATTGTCACCCGCTAAGTGAATCATGTCCTTCATGCACCGCTCCAGTGCTGAAAAAGTGTAAGTGTGGGAAAAACGAAAAAGTCAGAACATTATGCTTTCAAGACGACGTTTCTTGCGGACGCGTGTGCGGTCAAAAGCTACCAAACTGCCAGCACATTTGCCAAAAAGCCTGCCACGAAGAAGGTCAACACCAGGAAATCTGTAAGCAGGTCTGTGGTGCTGTCAAGCCAATCTGCAGCCATCGATGCAGATATAGATGCCATGCAGGTAGAGCCTGCCCTGATAAACCCTGCACAAGCGATGTACAGATACATTGTCGCTGTGGTCACAGAAGTGCGCACAAGATCTGCGGTGCTTATTCTTCACAACCGTCCGCTGCCGAAGATGTTCTTGAATGCAGTGAGGAATGCGACACAGCTCGCAGACGTGCAGAACTGATGGAAGCCTTTGGTTATAAGGAAGAAGTAGCTCAGGCTTCTCCATGGCTGCATGAGTTACAGAATTTGGCGGAAACTGTACTCACTTTCCAAGAATTGCAGCTGCCCTTTTCAGAAGCAACATTATCCATTTTTGCGAAGCAAAGCAATTGGTGCAGCCAGATCGAAGCAACATTGGTCAAGTTACTGCAAGACAAGGACAGACCAAGCCTGCATTTTAAACCTATGAAACCACCGCAGAGACATTTCGTTCATGAACTTTCTCAGGCTTTCAGCCTATACTGCGAATCGCAAGACCAAGAACCCAAGCGGTCATGCTTCGTGAAAAAAACCGCAGCGTCCAACATACCAGTGCTTTCTTTGACGGAGGCTCATCCGCTATACCAGTCCTTCAAAGCGGCTCAAAAGGAAAGGAAGCTAAAGGAAATCGAAAAATCAACCACAACAAGAATCCTGAATTACAAAGCTGACCAGGAAGAGTCACCCGCGCGCGTGGCAAAAATCAACGGTTTACTGGTGCGTGGAATTTTCACTGGGATTGATGAGAAAACAATCGAGGCCAAGATAAGCCCTGTTTTGAAGCACACTTTACTCAAAGGTTCACGATTCACGAAACTGCCATCTGGTGACGTTCTTTTGTTCACGGAAAACTACGCGCAAGCAAGCCCTAACATTGAGTTCGATATTGAACGGATTCTTGGACATTTGAATGCTTTTGTTCAGGACGAAATACTGGCCGAAAACGTTGTGTCGTGTGAAGTAGCTGAGGTATTACGAACGCAAGGTGTGACATTAGAATCTTCTTCAGATGAGTCGCTCGACAACAGCAACGATAGCTTGGGGATAGTTTAGACTGATTTATAGAGTTTGGTAAGGTATCTGTAGCGTAATGTGTCGTCGAATGCGCCAAATAGTCGTTTCTTGACTTTACTGACATCGGCTTGTTTTCTTTTAAGAAGAAGTGAACTGAGATCATCGGAAATTTGCATACGCCCGCTGGATCTGACTTGGTTTTGTTCCATGGCAGATTTCGTTGATTTCGCTACACAGTTTGCCGATCTAGCACCAGCAAGGCCTATAGAGCACTTGGGTGATACAGATCTTACGTTTGGCGGAAGAATTGACTCACCACTGAAAATTCATGAAGATGGAGGTGAACACGGTTGTGGAGGCAAGATTTGGGCTGCTGGGGAATTGTTATGCGAACATTTGATTGACAATAGTGACTTTACTGGATTTCTCTCGCTGTGTTCTGAAAAGTTGAAAACTGACGGTTCTTGTACCAATATTCTGGAGCTAGGCAGTGGAACAGGCCTAGTGGGAATTTGTGCGGGCCTTTTGGCAAGATCAAATGGCATCGAAGCGAAAATATATACCACAGACATCGAAATGCTGATTGAGCTCATGAATTCAAACATCAAGCTCAACGGGCTGGAAAATATGGTATTTCCAGAGATTTTGATGTGGGGTGAACAATTGGACGAGAAATTCAAAACCGATACTTCAAATAGGATAGATTTGGTACTGGCTGCTGATTGTGTCTATTTGGAAGATGCGTTTCCTCTCCTTGAAAAAACTCTACTTGATCTTACCGAAGGTGACAATCCACCCACTGTCTTGATGTCTTACACCAAGCGACGGAAAGCTAATAAGGTGTTTTTTCGTCGCATAAGAAAGCATTTTAGAGTAGTCACTATCACAGACTTTGAGAGGTATGAGCACTATTCCCGTAAGCGCACGTATTTGTTCCAGCTCATTCGCTTCCAGTAGTTCTGAAAAGTAGTAGAAAAAAAGTGCGTGAGATGATAGAGGACAACAGAATCGTTTTGTATTCTGGAGAATGCTTGGATATACCTATATTTACATGTTAGAAGTTTGATTTTGCCGGGGGGAGGGAGGGAGCCATGAACTCACAATCACAATTGTACCTCTTGAGTTTCTTGGGTTTTCGTCTCCGATTCAGCGTCCGCCGTAGAACTCGACCAGGATTCGGCCGGGTTCGAATTTCGCGCTGACATGAGTTCCGATTGATCGATTGCCTTTTGTTTCCAAACGTCGATAATTTTTTGCTCGCGTTGAACCCCAAATTCGATGGCAGATGGTCCAAATACGCTTCCAAACATCTCTGCTTCTTCCTGAGCAACCTGACTTTGTACCTCCTCTTGTATCCTTAGACGGTAGAATTCGAATCTGGCTTGGTCGTAAGCAGCCAGCAACTCCGGTTGCTCTTTGGTCTTGAGCAAATGCAATGTTCTTTGAACTACGCTTTCTCCGTCCAAGGGCTTGCCCAATTGTTGCAAAGTGTCCCACTGGTAAGTCCGAGTTCCTGTATTTTCCACCAGCATTTTTGGCCTCGACCGTTCCCATGGGTGCTGTTGGTAGAATAATTCGCGCAGCTCGTCTTCTGCGTATTTCAGTTTTGGAGCTTTGTACAGTTTATTGGCTAGACTTTTTTTATCAGCTCGACTAGCTCTTGTTTTATGGATTCCTAACGCAGGGTCGTACACTTCTTCGTGTTCTGGTAACTGTGAGGTTGGCCCTTCAGTAGCGGGATTCACCAGGCGAGGCTCACGAACAAATCTTTTGGACGGTGGGACACGGGCCACAACATCGTACCAAGCTGGAGTTTTCGTCAAAAGACCTGCTTTCAAATAGGAAGAAGTTCGCTCGAGCACATTCACTGCATTCTGTTGGAGCTTCATGTTAAGATGAGCAGCGTCCAGTGCGGCTAGGCGATGCTGTTGAAGAAGTGTTGGTTGAGTTGATCGTTGATCGTAGTCTTCCTTACTAGTATGATGAATTCTGAAATTTTTCAGAAAACGAGTAGAGAAAATTGAAAGTGATTAGAGGAATGGGTAGATGACTGGGTAGATGACTGACCAGATGGTAGAATGTAAGTGGAACTGGTCTTTAACTGTCGGACACAGTGGACAGGTATTGAGGTTGGGATTTCAGTTCTGATCTCGTTGATTACCACGCTGGAAACTCATCATAGATTTGGGCGCTGAATTAGGTTTTTGAAAATGTTGGGATGAAAGAGAAGCTGAATTCTTTGATGATAGTCTGCAATACGAGCATATTTGGACGATTATTGAAGAGTTTCTAGCAGGAACTGGAAAATTCTCGCATTGAGTATGAGCTTGAGAATAAAATTCCGAATTTTCTAAGTAATCGTAAATGTTCACAACATTATTAAAGTTTTTAAAAGTAACTTCAGCAAACGGCCCTCGTAAACTCAAAAAAAACCACTCCAAAAGGCAGAAAACTCAGTTTGTAAAGTTCTGGTACTTCAAAAGAGGTCAAAAACCATGCGATTGCCATGGAATTGCCATGAATAAACTCGCTGACACTTCTAACACGTGACCCATGATGGACCATCATATTTAAATTAGAATAGCTTCATCACTACAGCTCTTCGACAACTTCCAAGGCAAAAGACCCTCCAAGTAATATTGATCTAGGATCCCAGCTTTACATCGGTTGATTCGATATTCTCTACACATTATCGCGATGAGTGCCCTTTTCAATTTCCAGGCGCTTTTACAAGTTCTGCTTTTGCTGGTTTGCTCCTGTACATACATACACTCGCAATGGCCATCTCTATTGGATAGATACAAAGATCACAGCATGTTGGGGGCATTCTGGAAATGCGCCCGTATTGGCGAAAGGGCTAGTCCATACGTAAGTATAGCATGTATAGTCATGGCCGTTAATCAGTTTCAGGCATGATACACAGGTAGATAATGAAAGGAATATGTGTAATTTTGAACCCAGACACTAGGCTTTGAAATTCAATTTACTTACACAGGATTTTATTTGAATTCGTAAGAGTCATTTGGCCCGCGCGTCAGTACAGCTGCTCGCTCTGTTCCCACTATTTTTTCTAAAGCCAAACCGTCCAGCTTGGAGTAGAGACATCTCACTACTGAAATATTCAAATCAGCTACTCCCAAGAAGGCACTCTTCCCTAAAAATCTCACAACCTCTTCAAAAAACTCAGGATTCGAGGGAGGCTTGTAGAAAATCACTGTCTTAACACCCTTAATGTCGTATCTGCGAAAATGATGCAATCTTTCGGTGTACAACAACACCTTGGTTCGTCCCTGCTGAAACAAACTTCTATTAGCGTTCACTTGGCGCGGCTCAGAATATTCATTGATATCGCCAAACAAGATGCTTGTTTTTTCTCGCAGATAATTCCGGACCCGAATAAAATCGGTGTAATCGGGAATGTACAGCAAAATTCCATCTTCGTATCCCGTAGACTTCACAATGTTTGCAACCACAACACTACAGAAAAACTTGAAGCGATAGTCAGGCTCTTCAATTGCACTGTTTCCCGAAGCAAGGTCAAACCTCTGGAAAATCAAACGGGTTCGCATACCTAATTGACCGAGGCTTGATTTTTCTGGACTCACGGTCAAATGATTTTTCCATCTACCAGAGTAGTTCCTACACTTTCCGTTGACGAGCGAATCAGAGAAAGGAGAAGAAAAACGTGTGAAAATCAGCGACTGACGTAGTAGTTTGGCTTGGTCATTGATATACCACATCTTGATTCTGCTGAAATCAGCATCGTGTTGTTGTTGTGGAATCTTGTTGATGTGCTCAAAGATGGACGACAGATGTAAAACATTCTGGAACTCGATGCTATGCAGCTGGTCAATCACCAATAGCTCTATGGACGAGAGAAAATCGTCCTGTCGCTTCTTCTTGTCTGTGTTCTCGATAATGAGTTGTAAACCCAGCGGAGAGCAGATGATGATGTCCGACTGATAAAAGTTACTGTAAAGTTTGATCGCTTTTCTGGTAAATTTAACGCCTAGAACAAAAAAATCGTTGGTGTTACCATTGAAAACATGCTGGAAGGATTTTGCCTTGTACTCAGGTGCAGAGGAGGACTGGTAAAATTGATCGCGGAATTTTCCCTTTTTGTCAACTTGGTCTATGCCGGATTTCTCTATGATTTTGGTGATTATCCGATATGCAGTGTCTCTAGTTGGTACCACAATCAAAACCTTGGGTCTCGTGAAACCTTGATCGAGAAGTTCAAGGTCAGGGTTTTCTTGTAACCGTTGATTGTTTTTCAAAATGCGGTCTCTGGTCTTGTAGATGTGATTCAAAATGTGCAGAGTGTAAAGATCGCGGTATTCGGGTTCCAAGTTGTAATCGTCGTACTCGTATCGCAAGTCTTGATATTGAAAAATTGGGTCAACTATTTTTTTCTGAAGAGGCGTTAGACGTTCATCGTCCGATTCCATCAAATTGTTGTGAATTCTCAATTTTTGCTTGATGAAGTGAGGACGCAACGAATGTGCTAACGAAGGAGCAGATATGCGAGCAGAAGGATCATCAGACAAGACAGGCTTGGAATAGATAAATTCTTCCGAAGCCGAATCGGTGGCCACCTTAGTTGAGCGATAACGTACCTTTTTGGATTTGAAACCTGCATCAAAATCGTCAATGACTTTTTGTGGAACTGAGTTGAAATGATTTTCTAAAGAGTCTGTTTGATTCTCGTCGTCACTGTTGTCTTCATTGTCAATGGCCTCATCTGCCACATCTGCTTCTTCGTCATCGTCCTGTTCGTCCACAAGAGCACTCTCAATAGCAGTTTCTTCAGTTTCTTCATTCTCACTCCCGCTCTCCTCAGCATTTTGCTGGCTATGTGCGGCTTCCGCATCAACAACCTCTTTATGTTGCTTCTTTGTAGTCTTCTTCTCCTTGCCATGTTCGGCCTTCAACAATGTCAAAAGAGCAGCGTAAGCTTCTGTTTGATCAGAGTCGTTCAAGCTTTCCGTACCATCTAAACCTTCTGCTTGCATCACGGGCTGAAGACCGGGCTCGCTCGAAGTAGCGTCCATTGTCTCCTGCGACTTATTTTCATTTTTCCTATGAGGTGCAGCCTTCCTTATAGTTCTCATCTGTTTTCGGCCGCTTTTGGGCGTCTTTTGAAAATGTGGATCATCTTCATGATTCGAGGATCGTTTTAAACCTTTCATACCTCGATATTTGATGTCTGACCTGGTTTACTTGATGGGTTTGACTTTTGGATCTTTTCCATCAAGCATATTTTCATTTAGCATGCGATGAGCTTGATAATCGAGCGTTTACACGTGATCTTCACCATTTGATGTGAATCGAGTAAACTGGTCCAGGTTCAGGTTCGGGTTCAGGTCGAGCCATTCTGGACTGAATATTTTGATTCTGGGCTTTTAGCTCATCTAGTACAGCTTTTGAATTGCAACTTCGTACACTCTACAATATGTTTCAAGCTCAAAATCAATTCTCCAATATTTGAAAACCTGTCCAGGATCCCCCCGCGGAAAGGAGACGATGGTAGATGCATCAAGAAAAACCAATTCTCATCTTTATAAAGTGTCGAGAGCAAGATCAAACAAACGCTGTTTCTGTTGAACTGAAATTTGAAAATTGGTGAAAGAGCGATCAGAGTGCCACTCCAAAATACACATGGGGTGAAAAAAAATGCAAAAGCCAGAGTATCTCTTTGAAAAGGGCGATCATAATGATCAATGTCAAATCGGTCTTTATTGTCGTAAGCGTTGGTGTAAAACCTCATGTCTGATATATCAGTATCAATTCTTAAACCAAGAGAAAAGTGGAACACCCGCACAAATCACACTGAGGTTCGAAGTATGGACACTTTTCAAAAAGCATAAGCTTCCATTGAGTGAACCTAAAATTCAGTGATAGAGCTCGAGGGCAGCAGTGCTGAAATAACTCGTTACGATATGAATATCGAAAAACGCGACAATAAGTTTTTGGACTAGACACATGCTGAACGAATTGCCTGTGTTCCACTAGCTCTCTTCACCAACCAGTTCTGAGACCACAAATTGAGTGGCGATACGTAGAAATCAAATAGACATCCCGCGCGGTTCATTGCAGCTAATATAGAGTTAAAATTACCGTTAGATGTAGGTTTTTCGAGCCACAAACATAAGCACTTGCATCCAGTCGTGATAACACCAGACTTACTCAGCGTAGAACAAACTCTCACACCCAAACGTCAGTGCATTGTTTAAACTGGTTTATCGAAACCTGTTCTGGTACATCGCTGACACTCTTAATTATATATATTTTGGCAACGACGGGATCGTAGATTGTGACTAGTCTAACTAAAAGCATCTTGTTTCTTGAAACTCGTAGTGTAGCGTCATCCAGCATGCTCGTCAGCTATATAAAATCAGTATCAGGTACGATGTCCTTCCAAAATCGTCAATGAGATACTTTTCAGCGCCAAAAAAGCTGCCCAGAAAAATCGTCGAACCCAAATTATTAAAAAATTGAAACCAAAACAAAAGCACCGATAAATGAAACACCAACATTCTATCACATTTATCTACTTTCTAAAAGCTAGCTTTCCTTAACTCACAGTACTTCATGAGTCACCTGAGTCCTCTCAAGCTTGGACTTTCCAAGGTTACATTACGTACATAGTGACTACCTTCATAACACTCCGATGTTGAAGAAATATAAACCAACCTTGATACAACGGTAAACTTATCGAACAAACCTGCATTTATCGCAACAAAGGCATTGACAAAAACACCAGGCCGTTACTGTTAATCAGCTGAGCAGATTTAGTTTGAACTGAACTGACTCTTTAGCTTCCAGTTGGGTGCTTTTCGTTGCAGGTTTCAGCGCTGAAAAACCGGCAAGTAGTGCAGTACGGTTTCACTTGGGATCGTTACCAAAAAAGACACCTATTGAAGTTTGGGTGACGACGGGCGTTTTTACGGCTTTAACAATCAGTCTTTAATCACCACAATGATACCCAATAGCCTTTTACAAGGTGGACGGGTCGTACTGACCACATTTTACCTGCTTCTGATCATCATAACAATCCCCATCTCATTTCAAGTAGGAGGACTGTACTGCGGACTGTCTTTCACGGTCACACTGTTCAACCTGTATTTGGTGACCACAACTCTGAAAATTATGTCTGGGACGCGTGGGATTGCAAAACTGACGTCTGTGGCGTATTACGCTCAACATTTTTTTATCCCATCGCTGCTGTTTCTGTTTCTGCTCGGCTTTTCACACGATGAACTGAAGGAGCAAATCGACGCCAATACAAGACCGGACGAATCCCTCATAAACGTTTTACGCAGATCTCCAAAGAACCAATCTTGGATTTTCTATTATTATTACTACCAGTATGTGGTCAGACCTTGGCAATACATGCTGGTGCGGTCGACGCCGTATTTCACTCTTTTGGAGGGCTTTTTCACCGTTCTAGGAATTCAAGCGGTAGGTGAAACGAACCGCTGGCTTTCCCGCACGCAACATGGTTCCAACTGGTGGGTAATCACAGGGCTCATGACCTCAGGCGGCGTAATCACTGCTTCACTGTATTACCTCTACAGAATTTATGTTACGCCCATTTGGGAGCTGGATGCAAAGACTGCTTCATTACTTGGATTCACATTTTCTATCGTCTGTGGGCTTGGGGTCTTTGGGATCGTCTCAGGACGAGGCTCGACCATAGAATCATCACTTTTCTTCGCATATATCGTTCGCTGCCTGTACGAAATTTCTCCACAATTAGCCACCAGTGCGATGGATGAGATTTTTAGCTTGGTCAAACAAACGTGGCAAAACCAAAACCACACATTCAAGTCTCCCGATAGCCTGGCCTTTTTCCGCGATCGCATCTTGACTAACGGAGAAATGATTTGGGACAGCATTTTGGAAAGAACCACCCACGTCACCGGCAGGTCTGCGTCTGATTCAGCTCTATTGGGCCTGCAGCGCCTCTGGCGTCATCTGAAGCCCGCGTGGAGGTTTCTAAAATACTTCACTTCAAGTGTACCGAGCTCGATTCAGGAATTGTTCATTTTGACTTGGAGTATGGCCAAAGAAGCTATTGCGCCTGCCGTGGTTATGAATTTGTGCTTTCGCATCCTGATTTTCTATTCTGCCACCAGAATAATACCGGCATTGCAGAAAAAGCATAAGCGTCGGTCGCGTCGATTCATGCGTCTGTTGTATTTATACAGCCCTTGCATTGTCATTGCAATGTACACCCATCTAATTTTGCAGTACTCTGGCCAGATGAGTAATGACCTTTGTCTGTGGGGCTGCTTTCCATGGTCTCATGAAGGCAGCACAAAGATTGTGGCCGATTCATGGGGGTTTTGGAATTGGTGCAATATTTTCTGCACCATGGCGATATACGCATCGGAGCTCTGGGACAAAAATTAGTGGTCTACAACCAAACTGCATTCGGTAAGCAGGTCTAGAGGTGTTAATAGTATTATAGAGTTCAAGATATTATCGGTGTTACGAGAAGAAAGAAGGCTCTTCTAGCTAAGAATCTTTTGGAAGTTTTAATGTCATGTCCTTGAAAACGATGATTTGATTTCCGCTTTGCAATAAAAAAAAGAACACAATTCGATTTCCATATCAGACTGTTAAGCAGTTCTCGTCCACGTCCATTTAATGGAACTCAGAGCTTGACTCAATGTTGCATATATTAATCATCCTGTAGAAATCCAAAAGTGCTCTCACAAAGGTGGAATAATCAAAACCAAAAACTCGGTGTGTTCAAGAACATCTCACTAACACTTACCGTGCTCTCCTGAGCGCGATGCAAAGATAAAAAAGAAAGATCAGTTTGGCATATTTGACTATGCGAAAGCCTTCTGAGACGAAATTTATGGGTCCTGGCTTCAAACTGTTGAAAAAATAAAGGAAAGTGGCGGATCCATGAGCCGAGAACAGTAAGCTCCATTGGGTTATCGCGAGGCCTGTAAGGCCATCGCCACAATCGTCATAACTATGGTTTGAAACCCATTGTGGGGTCTCATTACCGAAGACACCTCAAGAACCAAAGGCCTCGAGGGACAGGAGAAATAGAAGAGAGGGAGCCTACCGAAGTCTGCTGCCCGTCCTCTGTTTCTGATGAGTTGATTTAAAGGATTTATAAAAAATTTTTAAATCTCATCGCGTTTTCCGCATACGGTCTGGTGGGAGACTTTCTACCCAAAGCTTGGTGGACAATTAAGTACCTGGAACAGTGTCCATTGTGCAAGCTTCGAACGGTGACGATTCTTCGACCATGGATCCGCAACTACTTTTGAATGGTAAGAAGAAAGATCACTGGGTTTATGGTCTATTGGGAAAATTTCATCGGTTTATATACAAAGAGAATACGTTACCCGGACTATTGACTTTTTCGAGCCTAGAGGGCATTAGCCGTATACAGCGATGAAAAGCCGATAAATTCAAAACTTCACAGCGATTAATAGGTTTCCCCTGCTGTTGGAATCTCATTTCCTTTATGACGGGGAGGCGTTTGTGGGTTGTTTATCAGTATATATCTCGAATCACGGTGTTACTCTGTAGAAAACACTTTCGTGGCCGTAGAGTCAAAATAACTGGTTAATAATATGCGTCACGTGACTTAACGACAGCGCCAGTATTGGTAAAGAAACCGTTATAACCGTGAACAGGAGCAGTGGATACTGCTATAACACACATATTGTAATCGGCCAGAAGTCAGCTTGGTTGTATGATTGACCTATGTACGCTCATTTTCTAAAGAAATAGTCATAAATGGAATAATATCAAGACACTTTAAAATCTGAATCTCAATCCCATCATAAATTTATGCTTGATCTCTGACCTCATCTTATCATCACTTAGGTTTACAAACTCGATACTTCAAGACCTCGGTTATCTCGCACTAATCAAATTTATATGATTTCTGGCTTCCTCAAAACGCATAAAAGAAACAGTTTGTTGACGACTAGTTGATTTCATTCATTGTCCTCTCTTCGCAATAATTTCACATATACAAACCTCAAGAGAAAAACATCCTGCTACTAAAATTAAAAACAAACTAATAGGCACAAATCGAGCTACTCTGCCACATCAGGTCCGCTAACTGTCTATGCTAGCTCAGTTGATAGAAGTCCGAACTCAACACATCACTATGTACGTCCGTGTCTTTCAAACTTTCAAATGTCTTTTAAACCAAAGCTTCGAAAACTATCAAGACATAGCATCACCACAACTTGAAGAAGAAAGAATCTGCATTGTTAACGCTTTCAAAATCTACTTATTAACACTCTCCGACACGCCGTTATAGCCTTGTCTTGTTTATTCTTCGCTATCAGGTGACGTCGGGCGCTGCAAGCTTTATTGGTAATTCTTGCAATTTCTAAGGAAGTTCAAGCACGCTAAAGTCATCTTGGTTCATAACTCTTAGCTCACCCGCTTTATCCAAATATAAGCAAATCGCTGGACTCATGTCCGCTAGCTACTGGGAGTCAACCCAGCGTTTGAAATGGCAGCACACGCGAGAAAGTTTGTCAGCTGAGAGACACCAGCTATGGCTATTAGAGTGCCAATTGTTCCCACAAGGACTGACGGTGACCATGGAAAATACCAAAGGATCGGGCCAGCCGGTTACAAGAACAATTCCTATCACAAATTATGACATGCACTACGACAAGGACTACAATCTGCGGATTTACTGCTACTTTCTGATCATGAAGCTGGGCCGGAGGCTCAATATAAGACAATACGCTCTGGCTACAGCACATGTGTATTTGTCGCGCTTTCTGCTTCGTGCTTCGGTTCGGGAGTGCAACCTGTACCTACTGGTCACCACATGCATCTATCTGGCGTGCAAAGTAGAAGAGTGCCCGCAACACATTCGGTCGCTCGTCAACGAAGCGCGCTCGCTGTGGCCCGAGTTTGTGCCCCCCGATCCCACCAAAGTAACAGAGTTCGAGTTCTATTTGCTCGAAGAGCTGCAGAGCTACTTAGTTGTTCACAACCCGTACCGGTCGATGGAGCAGATCGTCGAGGCGCTGCGACTCGAACCCTACGCGCTGGCGCTTTCTGCAGAGGATCTGCAGAACACTTGGTCGCTGATCAACGACAGCTATATCACAGACGTGCATCTGATATATCCACCGCATGTGATAGCGATGGCCTGTTTTTTCGTCATCATATGTCTACAAAAATCAAACCGGACAAAATACCAAGAAACCTTTAACAAATTCATGGCCGAGTCGCAGGTCGATTTGGCCGAAGTGATGAACACCATACAGGATCTGATTGCGTTGTATGACTGCTGGGATAAATACAACGAACTGTGGATCAAATTCCTGTTGCATTCTCTGTATCTACGCAGAGCTTAACCAAAAAAAATTGATACAGAAAAAGAGAGAAAGAAAACAACACAAGTGCACATTATGGAAAATCGGAGAGAAGGCATTCTGAATTCTATTCTTCTCAACTACGCATCATGTCTTATTCTATTTGTCGAAAACTCAAGCTTTTGCTCGTTGGCTGGCCAGCGTCGCGAGCTTCCACGATTCTCGTGGTGTTCTCGCTACCTACGAGCGTGGTCAAAATTGGCGGTGTTTTCATGTACTGTGAAAATGATGAAAAAAAATAAGCTCATCGATGAGATCTGGCACCACATTCGAGCAGGCGTATCGGTCATCGTGGATCTCTGCGACTCCAGGCAAGCTATCTTTCGTTTTAGTTCGTTGGGGGGCAGGCTTTGGTTTCTAACAAGAAGCTGTTTTGAACTTTCTCAAAAAAAAACCGTCAAAAACAAGCAAGTTGAAGAACTGATAGACGTTTGGAAGATGAACAGTACGGTGAGACAGCGTCAAGTACGTGCTTCAAACGGGTCAAACGACTCGAGCAGCATGAATGCTGAAAAAAAATCCATAAGTGAGAAACGGGGATCAAAAGAATCACAACAAAAGCGTCGCCAGACGAAAAAGGTCGTTTCGAAAGTCGATCGCTACTCGATCATACTATCGTGTACATTCTTTGTTGTACTGTACGCAGTTGGCCTGGTATTCCCGGACTGGGCACGCAAGTTCGTCACTCTGCAGTACAAATATCCAGGAACGATTGACGCTTATGATATCGGGTTTGACGATGCATACGTTGTTGTCACATGCATTGTGGTTCTGGTATTGGTGCGTTCGTTTTTGTTAGAGTTCGTACTGAAACCCATCGCGCTGAACCGCTTCAATGTTCGGTCCCACAAGTCACAGCAGCGTTACGCGGAACAAGGCTGGTCTCTGGTATACTACACGTTTTCTTGGGTGTACGGGTTTTATCTCTACTATAACTCGCCATATTTCCTCAACTGTGATCACATATACCTGGAGTGGCCCCACGACTATCTTTCTGGTACGTTCAAACTATACTATCTACTTCAAATGGCCTCCTGGATGCAACAAATTTTGGTGCTCAATGCGGAGGAGAAACGGAAAGATTACTGGCAAATGTTTGCTCATCATATCATCACCTGTCTGCTTTCAATGGGCTCCTACTATTACTATTTCACTCGCATCGGGCATCTGATTTTGATAATTATGGACGTGGTAGACATTTTGCTGTCCAGTGCCAAAATGCTCAAATATTGTGGGTTCTCCACGGCTTGTGACTACATGTTTGCCGTTTTTCTAGTGTTCTGGGTTCTACTGAGGCATATTGCATACAACTACATTTTTTACCATGCCGGTACGAAAGCTCCAGGACTAATGGCTAACGGTCAGTGCGGAATCTCCGAAACTCAAAAAAGATGTTGGACGCCGTTTATTATCGATGTGTTTCTATGGCTGCTTGGGGGCCTGCAAGTGATTACAATCATATGGATGTTCTTAATCGTGAAGGTGTTGATTAAGATCATCAGAGGTGGCTCTGCTGAGGATGTTCGCAGTGACGAGGATGATACCGATTAATTTTTATGGATTAGCATGACACATGAGTTTAATAAGGCTGATGGAAAACCGAGAATAGGGCAAGACAAGAGCCTGCTTATTTACTCTCTGGAATAACAGCGTGTAAAATTTTCATTTGCATTTATATAAGTACAAAACCGAGACTGAGGTCAAATAAACCAAATCGTCTTTACCGGTGAATTAGCCCTTTCTATCGATAATTCCCATGATTACACTCCGAAAAACAAGGTCACGTACAGGGACAAGCACGTAACTGCGAGTCCAAATACTGTTAGTAGCAGGCTGCAGTGTTTGGTGATCCGATCTGCTTTAGACATCAGTTGACCATGCTTTGCAGCCTCCGCTCCAATTAATTTGTAGCCGAAAAGTCCTGGAAGGGTGAAAGAGATGGAGGTCGAGCCAGTCGCACCAACCAACCCAAGCACGAGCGCGAAAGATGTCACTTTGAGAGCCAACAAATACAGCGAAGTAATCAAAATAGCAGTTGTGATATAGAAGGATTTATCAGAAAAAGGAACGGTGTCTGTAGGCTTTGGAACATTCAGAGCATTTTCCTCCAAATCGTGTGAAGTATCTTGACACGATGTAGCCTGGTAAGAGTTATCGGCACCCAACAATAGCCTATCTTCTTCATCTTCTATGACCATGGTTATTGGGGCCGTTGGGTCATTGTTTTCACCGTCGTCAATCGGTTCTTCCTCAAACTCAACGTAAGTGATGCGAATCCAGTGGACCATGTTGTTTGCTGCAATTCGACAGGGGTAGAAAAGAAGAGGAAATGAAAGTATGACAACCGCACCTAGACACATTTTCCCTATCACGGTCCAGTGCGATTCGGGATTGTAATCTAGCATGATGTTTCCGGACACATTGCTTCCAAAAGTGAGATATCCGCAAACCCCTACACTGAGAAACAAAACACATGAGATTATCATGGATGTGGATACCACTTTATTGATATTGGACAAACTATTGTCCTTTAATTCATTGACGATGCTGAACATATTCATGGATCCAGTGAACGCAAATATCACGATTGTGAATGTGCTGATCATGCCCTTTAGATCGTATACGTCAATCCACGAAACATCACCTCTAATTTGTTTATAATTGTCAGTGAGAAGCGTATTTTCCACAAATGAGCCCAAGATAAGACACACCAGGTATGCGATGGCGAAAAGTCCCAAAACACTAGAGTATTTGAGACTATCGAGTTTTTTGAGAAGCACCAGGGGAACAATGACTACTGCGCTGCCCAAAATCCAGCCGTTGCGCGTACCTCCCAAAATCCCGGGTAAAAGGTCACCCACCAGCACCAAATAGCTCAAGCCCACACCGTAGCACTGCACGAACATAGAAAAGTCGAATAGCAGCGAAAGAGATGGATACGTTATTGAGCAGAGCGTGAAAAACGACGATGTTCTGGGCTCTTTGAGGGCCTTGGAGCATTTGGCAAGCAAAAACAGTCCGAATCCAGATGTGATCGCACCGATGAATACCAAAACAGCACCTACAAGAATGCCATCACTGCGAAACGCGTACGGAACGGCTAGCATTCCTGCACCAACGATGGTTTTCACCAAATTGATAGTCGAGAAGAAGGCAGAGGCATTGGGTTCCATTGAATTGTAATGACCGTTAAAAACCCAGCGGTTTTTCAGTACAAATAGTCCAATAAGAGCTTTGCAAATGCTAAAAAACGCTTCTGAACTGAACGATCAATCTTGATCTGATTGTTAGCTGGTTTTTCGTCAGTTGGATGGACTATTTCATTATCTATTTCTTGATTTGAATATATATATATAATATTTGATATTTGATAATCTATAAAGGTAAATATTTAAATAACCAAATTTCAATAATTGATCAAGATTATAGACAGAAATTCGAATATTTGAAGATTTTAACCTATCTATGTCAAATCCTCTCCTATAACAACACGTTGCTGGCTTTAAAAGCCTCTGATCAGTAGAGGATGAGCAGCGCCGATAGCGTTTATGGCAGACTAGAACACCTGGGCTCTTTAAACCCATTGGACGTGGTACAATTGTTAAAACAAGAAGATGAAGAGCTGGAAGCCAAACTGGGACTAGATAGTGGGATTGTGGACGTACACCGGGTCATGAATGAACATCCAGGACTAAAGAAACGGGTGAGTGCAATTTTGAACAAGTTTTACCCGTGCGAAAAGTCGGATAAAGGACAAAATGAAGATAATGATGATAGACCGTTATTTGCCGAAGAAGACGTGGATGATGTTTATGACGCAGAAGAGCACCGGGAGAAATCGGAAGCCGTGAAGAAAAGGGAAAAGGACGCGGTTTCTGTGAAAGAGGTGATACCGCCCGAAAACTTCAGCCACATAGCAGGAGAAATCTACAGATCGAGTTTTCCGCGACCGGAGAACTTTTCGTTTCTGCAGTCGAGTATCAAGCTGAAATCCATAATGGTGCTTTTCCCCGAAGAGTACCCGCAGGAAAATTTGGATTTTATGTCCAAGGCAGGAATCAGGCTCTTCCAGATCGGCATGAGCGGGAACAAAGAGCCGTTTGTGAATATCCCGTCGAATCTGTTGACAAGTGCACTGGAGATCGCTATCAACCCTGCGAATCACCCGATTCTGATACATTGCAACCGGGGCAAACACCGCACCGGCTGTTTGGTTGGGTGCATCCGACGATTGCAGAAATGGTCCTTGACGATGATTTTCGACGAGTATCGTCGGTTTGCTTTTCCCAAGGCAAGAGCGTTGGACCAGCAATTCATCGAAATGTACGACGACGAAAAGATCAAACAGATAGCGGCCGAAAACAACTGGCTGCCGATCAAATGGTGAACTGCAACTGACAGAAATGACGACAAGAAACGACGATACGTTCATAACAACTACCCAGCTACTTATTTCTTACACTTTAACTTCTACGTAAACCCACCAGACACGAACCTCTTGGTGTAAAGGGCTGTGCTAGTAGCGGCCAATGCTGAAAGAGTCAAGGGCCAGACCCTTCCGTACCTAAGGGCCTTGACTGAACCACGACCACCCACGATCAAGTACAAAGCTGACCACGCTCCCAGGAACCCAGACCCGCTTTCAAGGTCTCCATCGTAGATAATCCAAGATCCCAAAGCTTGTGCCGCGCCAAAAAGCAAACTTGTCTTAGTAGAAGGCCCAACAAACTTGGGACGAGACCACAGCTGGAAAATACCAGATGTACCGGTTTTGGAGGCCACCGGAGATGCCACCGCTGGCGACACCACAGGTGTTGCCAGTAGCATGAGTGAGTTGGCAGCTGCCAGATGAGGTGTAGAACTTAAATCTTTTAAAACGTCCATGGCGTCTTTAAACCCAAAAACAATTTAGAACCTTTGGTTTGACTCAATTTGACCAAAACTTGATCTTCTTGACAATTCTTATACTTCCTCAGAGCTCGTAACTTGCTATTTGGTAGTGAGGTAAAACTAGATAAACTCCGGTGGACCAAAATTATTTTAACAAATATGAACCAATCATACTATACTGAAACTAAACTATACTACACTTATGCGTCCACCAACTGCAGAGACCTGCTCTAAGATCTTTCGCCTCTCAATCTTCTGGCCAATTTGATGTCCTTCTTTTGGATGGTGACACGCTTGGCGTGGATAGCAGCCAAGTTGGTGTCTTCGAAAAGCGAGACCAAGTAGGCTTCGACGGATTCCTGAAGAGCACCGATGGCAGAAGACTGGAATCTCAAGTCGGTCTTGAAATCCTGGGCGATTTCACGCACCAATCTTTGGAAAGGTAGCTTTCTGATCAAAAGTTCAGTGGATTTTTGGAATCTTCTGATTTCTCTTAGGGCAACGGTACCTGGCTTATATCTGTGAGGCTTCTTGACACCACCGGTGGATGGGGCAGATTTTCTGGCGGCCTTGGAGGCTAGTTGTTTTCTTGGGGCTTTACCACCAGTGGATTTTCTTGCGGTTTGCTTTGTTCTGGCCATTTTGGTATGGTGTGTGTATGTGTTTTGGACTGGAGACTGAGAGATAGAAGTAGTGAGAATCTGGGATAAGTACAATACTTCTGCCCTTTATATACAACAAACTAAGGAAACAAACGGATTTCAGTCTCGTATCCTTAGATATTGTTTTCGTGTAGCAATTATTATTTTTTTCTTTTGGCCCTTCTTCTCGCCCCTTACTTTTCGTCGCTCGCAATGCGCTACGACTTCCACCCGTTCGGTAACGCGCTCTATTACTGTGGTTTTGGTGGGCACATTCTGGGCTTTCGCGAATCGGGTAATAAAAGAGATTAGTTTGGTCTTAAGGCGTGAACATTTGGGTCCGGAAGCCGGACATGGTTTTTCGTAGGCAAATTAAAGTATGAAAAAAATGGCGAAATTACTTGATTAGGAATAGTGGACCAGTTTGCTCGCAGTAGTTTCGGACGCTTTGGTGGCGAAGCGGACCAGATTATACGCCGGATGTTTGCAATTCAATTTATTTGCAGTTTTCGCGGAACTCGTACGAGGTGCGCGGAGACGCTCACTATTTCACCATAGTGAGGGGGACACTCGAAATTGCGCTTGATTGGCGCGAAAAAGCGTGGGTTTTGCAGCGTGCTGGGAAATAGCTGACAAAGTATAAAAGAGAGACATAACTCACTTAAAGATAGAGCTATAGAGCCTATTTGTATATTCTTTCTCTTTCTACTCTAACTACAACAACACATAATACAACACATATACAATGTCTGGTAGAGGAAAAGGTGGTAAAGGTCTAGGTAAAGGTGGTGCCAAGCGTCACAGAAAGATTCTGAGAGACAACATCCAAGGTATTACCAAGCCTGCCATCAGAAGACTGGCCAGAAGAGGTGGTGTCAAGCGTATTTCCGGTTTGATCTACGAAGAAGTCAGAGCCGTTCTAAAGTCATTTTTGGAATCGGTCATCAGAGACGCCGTCACTTACACAGAACACGCCAAGAGAAAGACTGTGACATCTTTGGACGTGGTATACGCGTTGAAGAGACAAGGCAGAACCTTGTACGGTTTCGGTGGTTGAAAAAGCTGGATTGTTTTCCAGTGATGGTTGTGTAAGGCTATACTTTGTATTATATATGTTAATGAAAAATATCGTTCAGAAAGAAAGAAGAGTATCATTCAAAGACGGCAATGGGATGTTGGAGGGCGTTTTCGAACTTGGTTTAAAAAGCCATTTCTTTGAACCCTAGACGTTCAAAAACTCTAGACCAAATTCTGGCTCCTAGTTGTTTATTCCCCGTAAACATTAATTTAGATATGTTGTTGCTCTTTAGTGCGTCTTTCACCAGGTCTTACCAATAACGGACAGCACCACGTCGAGGCTTAGCATCATGTTCAGCTCCTGAGTGAGAACCTGGGGATTTCCCTAACTTTTAGCCCCAGAGCCACCGCTTTTCTCCAAAGACGCAAAGTAGTAGTAAGCACACAAATCCGTGCTCAACAAATCCACGTATATAATTTCCAAAACTGCTCTGGAATTCACAAAGCTTCAATCCATGATTCTCATATTTGTCTTCAAAGCTCGTTCAAAACCAAATTTGAGAATTTCCCAAGTAGTTTTATGTGTTTCGGTGTCTGTGAGATCCTTCAGCAAGTACCTATTCTTCCGTCCATGTAAAAAGCTGTTATTCAATGCCCTTGTGAACGCTGATGAATTTCCCCAAAACTTCGTTGTCTTTGGAGTCCGTTATTGAACTTTGAACCATCAAGCGTGTCAAATTGCCATTTTGACTCTGTGCTATCTAATATAAGTCAGAGTGAATCGCTTCACGGTAGGAGTTGTTCACTAGAACTTCACGATGAAGACCCTGAGTCTGTAGTTCCTCTCGCGTCGGCTCATCTCGTAAATTGAATCATTCGTCAAGTTGCGAAAAAGCTTCACGTCCGGTTTGGTCCTCCTTTATCATTTGTTTCGAGAAACCCCAGGGCGCCCGTATAAGGCCCTTTTAATGAAATCGACACGTCTTGCGGTAAGGCTTCAGATCACCGTGTAATATCTCATGTCTTCCTTGCTCCTTTATGTTTTACCTGGAGGTAAGTTGAGTGCGAACTTTGGGAGGTAGTTCCCATCCAAGCTCCCTTAATACACCAGGCCGCATTTTCGTTCCGTTCACGGCAGTAACGAGCTGCATAGAACTCAATCAAATGGTTCGTAATCGAGATCAAGATGTGGGTACTGATACAATTGAATTAAAGTGTTGCTCAGTTTGCCACATGTTATTTAGAACGCCTTCAATCTCGTCATGTCGGGTGAGTTTCGAGAAAGCGGTCTATAAGATATAAGCAGGGGGCCCACATATCCGTCTACGAAAACAGAATCTCAGCCATCGTTGATTTTCGAGTCGCCGGGTCTATTTGTTTTTCAAGATCTGGTCACCCATCTTGATACCAGTCCCCAGATTGCCATGAAAGATAAATAAGCCAGCATCTGTCTTTGAAGCTGCTTGCAAACAAAGCTTTTGGCTCTCATCAGCATATTATAAGAAGCCCGTCACTGACTTGCAATCAACATATTGTAAGGCTTTAATGGTCCCATCGACCTTTAACGCGAAAAAGGTCAACAGTAGATGTTAAATATCGTTTCAATGATAATCGCAAACTTGTCAAACGTTATGCAAGACGAAAGCTCAAGACCTTTGACGCTGTCGATGTGAGTACCGTATATTTCTCAATTCTTGAATGGTGCTGGTGGTTGTCCCGAAAGCGTTCTTATCAGGGCAATATCTTCAGTGACTTCTTCTGGCTTCAGAGACATCAATGGAGGAGCAGCTTTCGTGGAGAGTCTGTTAGTTCCTCTGGTCTTCTTCTTCTCTCTCTCTTTATCACCAAAAAGAAGCACATGAAGCTCAGACGAATCACTCAAGCCTTGTAAGAAGAAAGAGTCTGAGTTTTCACTCGCATAGTTGGGGGGAGCTGACGATTCCTTGGCAGATGCCAGGTCCGGCTCGTCACTCATGGCCCGTGACGTAACGGTAGTGGCCAACCGACGTCTCAATGACCGTCTTTCAGTACCCGTATCTGTGGCACTTTCGTTTGCGGATGCTTCCTTGCCAAATTCGTTCGGTGAGGAGTCCCATGCAGTAGCTGTAGCACTGCGCGTCGTTTTTTGAAACTTGGAGCGCGAATAGTCCATGGAATATGAGTGTGCATTGGCCACGTCCATGAGCAGACGTTCTTCCTGTAGTTTTTTGATCTTGGACTCCAAAGACTCGTACAATTTCTCCTTGCATAGCTTGATGATCTTTTCATGTTCGACCTTTGTCTTCTCTATGTCTTCCTGAAACTCAATGCGCGACCGATCGACACGATATTCCTCAAACAATCGTAGCCGTACCAGCTCTAAGTCTCTTTCTTCTTCCAAGTCTCGTACTTTACGTAAAAACTGGCCATTGTTGCCCTGATGAAGTGTGGTTAAAGTCGTCTGTAGAGTAGTGAGACGATCACGGTAATGTACATCTTTATCAGCCGAAAAGTTTTGTACTATCTTGTTGACACGCGATTCGAAGTTGTGCCGTCTTTTATCTTTTCTAGAGATATCTTCAATGGTGAAGAGTAGTTAGTTAAAGGTTCAGGCTATTCGTCTCTATGAACAACTTTCGCTAAGTTGACACTGAGTAAACGTAAAGAGCCGCTGAAAGATTCTGAAACTCATGAAAACATACTTTCGAACTGGCCTGAACTATTTGCCATCTTTTAAACAAGTCAAAGATGATCTTTTTCAGCGTTTCCGTTCAGATGTGTGCTAAGGATCTGTATACCAAAGTTGTTAGAGTTTATATATTTACAACGAACTTATCAATTGAACACAGTTGATATCAAAAGCTCACACTTAAGATACTGTCATGGCTACCATTGAGCTCCTGGTGACAGATGTGGCCTGTTTAAAACAGATCAAGACCAAACTGGAGCAAGAAAACGCCTTTGTCAAGCCAATTGTGAGCGAAAACGGGTACAAAGTGGTGAAAACAAGATTGATTGAAGAAGACACGCTTGTTCAGGAACTTCTCTCAGCATTCAAACATAAACTAAGCATCAGAGATAGTGTCAGCTGTTTAGAGGCTTCTGACGGGCCCAATGATCGACTTTCTGAATTTGCAAGCGCTTTTTTGAGAAATTCAGGAACTTCATCTGATGAGATCAAATCACTGTTAGAACATCTCCCGCTGCGATACTCGCTCTACAAGCCTTTGGTTCTTTTTAATAATTCTTCAGAGCGCAGTTTTCTGCATAATGCGTGGCAAGAGGCTCTCACTAGACCTGAGAACGCGGAATTTATGCATCAGATGCTACAGGTTTTGTTTCCACATTTCACACATGTAGCCACGAATCAGCCTATTGTAGATTACGACGAGATGCGTCGTCCGTTTCACATATTTTCGCTCGAGGGAGATCTGTTCCGGGGTAAAATCGAGCCCCACGTCCAGGATTCCCCAACTTCCCGCGACTTTGACGCTTCTATTTGGTGCCATGTTGTTCAAAATGGCATCCATCAAGTATGGTCTCCAGTGTTCACCATGTTTAGTCGCGGTAATATCAAGGAAAAAAAAAGGATCTTGGATCCTGCTGCGTACCCAGACGTTGCGGACAACGACGTGGTAGATATGTACGCCGGGATCGGCTACTTCACGCTGAGCTATCTAAAGCGTGGTGCACGCCGCGTATTTTGTTTTGAGCTCAATCCGTGGAGCACAGAGGGTCTCAAGCGCGGCGTAGCCCTCAACAAATTTGCTGGCCAATGCCATGTGTTTCAGGAGTCTAACGAGAATTGTTTGGAGCGACTAAAGCTTTTTCAAGCTGTGCGAGTTCGCCATATTAACTTAGGACTTCTGCCCAGCAGTCGACAAGGGTATCCCTGGGCTCTGCAGATCGCTAAAAAATACGGCTCTACTCCTAAAACCACGCTACACATTCACGAGAATATTCACATCGAAGATATTGCCAGCGGTGTGTTCGTCCGTGACACACTGAGCTTATTGCACGATATTGAACCGGATTTTCATTACACATCGACACATCTCGAGAAAGTCAAAACATTCGCGCCGGACGTGTGGCACTGCGTCTTGGACGTTGATCTTACAAGTATACGCACTATGGGACAGATGACTGATTAGAACCAAGCCGCTCTGCCCCGTTTTAGGTGTAGTATTTGTCGGATACCAAGTCATCTCGATGTGCACCAAAATTTACAAAAAGAGCATCTTTGAAGACGCCAAAAAAAGCTCAATCAGGAATACAGATTTCTAGCGTCAAAGACCAAGGCCTTGTCTTTGTTTATCCATCTCCTTCTTTCTTCAAGAAACTGTCATAGCTCTTGGCCCCGATATTATTAGGTTGGAAATATTGAAAAATACAACCTTCAAACTTAGAAAAGTTACATGTACGGAGCACAAACACATACAATAGCGCTGCTTGCAAGCGCATTAAGAGCACCAAGATGGACTTTGATCAGTTTATGAGCTTCCAGCAAAAACCTGGAGGCGAAACCGACAAGTTCCAGCAGACAACGAGTGATGAAATATCGTATGGAGGCTCAGTTGACAACAGGGCATCTCGTGGCAGAAACTCGCCGTTGAGCGTGAACACAGAGCTCAAAAAGCCTCCCAGACCTGTCCAAGGCACTCCCGGGGAGCTAGAGAATCTTTTTTTCTCACCGGTGAGTGATGAAATACCCGATGGGTACCCTCTAAGCTCAAATATGACAACCCCGACCATAAAAATAGAACAACCCTTCGACGACCATACAAACTTCGAGCTACCACCATCCACCGAAACACACCCTAGCATGGGTAGTGGCTTTGAAGATCCAATCCACAGGCCTTTTCTGGCGTCACAGCAGCAACAGCAGCAGCAGCATCTGCCGTCAGCATATCATATGGACTACGGGCCTTCCACGAGCTATCAAAAGCCATCGGCCTTGCTATCCCCAAATGCCTTTGACGACTCCATTTCCACACATTCGAGCTCTCTGCACTCCGCTCACTCTCCAAGCTCATTCAGTGACCATTTGACTAGTGAATGGTTGCCTCACAACGTGGCACTTTCTCCTGCGTCGTCGAGGCTCACCACAGGTGACGATGAGTTGGACGAAATTTTGAGCGTTAACTCTGCTAATGAACCCTTCTACGACGCTGACTTCGATCCCATCGTGGATAGTCACTCAACACAACAAGTAGAGGCCTTCTCAGGTTCGATAGACGATGTCTTTGGAGATTCTCAACTACAACTGGAACGGGACAGCCCTGCAGCAATAAGATCAGACTTTAGTAACGCTGAGTTTTTGAAGCCGCACATATCCATTGAGGAGTTTAAATCCTTTTCGCCGAATGATCTTCTGCACAATAAAGTCTTGAGCAGTACATCGTCTCCGGTCTCTTTCCATACTGCTCGTCAGAACACTGATTTCCTTTCCGTTCAAACCGACGAAGGAGCAGCGTTCAGTGAGGAGAATTCGGACACTCACACGCTCATGCGACAAGGCCGCAAAATCCGACGTCAATCGATACAAGTTGGTGGTCGATCCACCTCATCAAGACGAAGGTTATCCGTCGATGAAAAAGCGCGTTCCCTGAGCGAAGATAGAGAAAAACTATTGGAGCTGGCAGCATTGAAGCCAAGCAAATCTCAGAACGACTATGCTGATTACAATGGGGACTTTGACCCATCTAACCTGGACGACGACGACCCCATTGAGTCCAGTGAACGCAAGAGAAATCAAAAAAATCTAGCCATATACGCATGCCATGTCTGCGACAAAAAGTTTACCAGGCCTTACAACTTGAAGTCGCATTTACGCACACACACTGACGAAAGACCATTTGTGTGTAGTATTTGTGGCAAGGCTTTTGCACGACAACACGACCGCAAGCGTCACGAAGATTTACACACAGGCAAAAAGAGATACGTGTGTCAGGGAAAGCTGAAAAACGGCTCTCAGTGGGGGTGCGGGAAGAAGTTTGCCAGAAGCGATGCCTTAGGACGACATTTGAAAACCGAAGGTGGGAAGCGGTGCATCGCGCCGTTGTACGAAGAGGTAACTCGGGAAAGAGCTGCAGGGCGAAAAGCTGATTTTGATCTACCCATTGACTTTTGAAAGCAGCGATTTGCTTAATTCACCACATATTCCCCGTCTCTGCTTGTAACATTATAATACTCTGAAAGGTGCAGAAAAACTATAGATGGATTTTTAGTTCAAATAATGCTCTGTGTATGGATCATAGGTCAATAATTCGATGTTTCAAGCGTTCTGGCTGGCTATGCTGGTTTTAGAGTCAATCGCTACGATAATGACAGCTTTTATTTAAACTCATTTGACATTTCACCAAGCTCATCGGGCATTCAGATTGAAAACAACAAGGTTCGAGAAAGCATGGGCTTTGCGGAACCTAATGATGAGCCCCTTGAATCCAGATTACTGGAGTCCAAAGAGTCTTTAGAAGACCTTGATAATATCGAAGTTAAACACCAGCAATTACTACAAAATCAACAAATCAGGTATGCATCGAGCTTATTCTCACAGCATTCTCACACTCCTGTTCAAGTTTCAAATATCATAGTCAACAACTCAGGATGTGTACGCCCTGATGTTTTACAAAAATATGTCGATCAGACGTTGGGCAAAGCTACCAACTTGGAAGAGTTGTGCGAAGAATCTGATGTTTTGAACATGAAGCTCATATCGAATGGATTGGTGGAAAACAGCACACAAACACTCGATAGTAGAGGGATACTGCATTACGATTTGAATGCATCTCATCCCAAATCAAGCTATGCCTCGCCCATAGGTGGACAGAACATACTGTCCGTACTAGATGTGGTCTCTATTCTTGACCTTCAACCACTGAAAAAATTCACGGCAAAGACTGGGACTAATGTCGGAAATGGTGAAGGTGATGGTTATCTTCAGTTCCAGTGGCGCAATGCCTTCAATGGGGGCGAAAAGCTTACATTTGATGCCACCAAAGGTACCAAAACGCACTCGTCTTACCTGATGGACTATTCTCAGCCGTTATCGCCTTTTTGGTCGTGGGATTCTGCTGTATACAAAAACTCAAGGGCTCTAGGGAACTCAGAACTTCTGCTGAGGGGAATCCGTGCCTCTTTAAAGTCGACTTTCGAGAAACATAAGAACGTCAACCACGAGTTCCAATATGAGCACGCCTGGCGAAGCACCATTGCTAATGGGAATCACTCGTCAAACTCTCTCCTGTTAAGCTGTGGAGACGACATCAAAACTGCATTCGGATACTCACTTTTTTGGGATTCTCGCGATCAGCCAGTCTTAGCATCATCTGGAAAATATGTTAAGCTATCCAATGAGTTGGCACTCAGCAGCTTTTGGAAAGTTGGGCTCGAAACTGGCGCAGCTAAAAGCTGGCTCGAGAATGATTTTCTAACAGTCAGTGGGTCTTTGAAGGCTGGGTATATCAACAATTTCCACCCTCGGACTAAGGCCATACATTTGAGTGACAAATTTCATTGCGGTGGTAGTAACGATGTGCGAAGCTTCAACCTTATGGGCTTGGGACCCAAAGATCTCTTTGACTCAATCGGAGGTGACGCTTTTGTGACATACGGGATAAGTGCTTTCAGTCGTCTACCGGTCGCTCGTTGGTCTGAATCAAACTTCAGGTTGCACACATTTTTCAACGGTGGCAGGCTAATTAACTCTAATGGATGTTCAGCAAGATCTTGTCTTCAAGCTCTTGCGCAAGAGCACTCTATGTCGACAGGCTTCGGTCTTGTGTTCGGGCATTCTATTGCCAGATTTGAATTGAACTTCTCAATCCCACTCACGGCACATGCCGGTGACTCGGTTCGCAAAGGGTTCCAATATGGAATAGGGCTTTCGTTTCTATAATATCTAGCGCTATAATTCTGTGGTTAGACTTATTTAAGCATCGGCAATCCGGTTCATTGCCGTGCGACCCAGCCATTATGATGTTTGATTACTTCTGGTATTATGAGCTCTTCGATAACACCCGAACTTTCGTCGAGCTTGATCCATGAACCACTCCTGTTCTGCTCAGAAACAAACACAACCTCTTTGTTTCTAGTTTGTAGTAAGTTCCCTATGACAAGCTGATGGTGGTAGCGATCGAGTGCCTGTGTGGCCTTATTTATCAAGAGCTTCTGATCCGTTTCAAGCTTGAACGAAACAATCATAGCTTCGTCCGCCCATGATGCAACCAGCCTTCTGAGGAATTTTGGAACAGGATCCAGATCGATGACCAATTTCCCGTCTCCTGGACCGTGACGTTTGGTAGATTCGTGAGTTCCAGAATGAGCAGGTTCGCGAGATTGAATTTTGTGCTCCGGTAGTCTTGAATGTGGCACGAAGAAATCGCTGACGGCAGCGGCCAGATAAAATAAGCTTTCGCTACTGTTTAGCAGTTTCCCAACACCTTTCAGAGACCAAAGATACTGATTGACAGTGGTGAAAGGAAGCAGTAATAGTTTCTGCTCCTTATGCATATACTTGTCAAAGAGTCTTTTGCTGTTTAGAAGCTTGTCTTTGTAAGTAGGATTGAGCTCACCGTTTTCGTCGTAATAATCCAGAAAACAGACATCGCTGTTATGCGTGAAGTTCCGATTGAATGGTGTCAAGGAGAACTCTCGATGAAGAAATATCACAGAATAGCCTTGGTACAGAAATTGTTCTGCGCTTGATGCTCCTCTTGTTCCAGCAGAGAAATTGTCGATGAATCTCACCGTATTGTTTTCCAAGGGCACTGTGGTACCACCAGAGGTGACCAAAACTATCCGTTTGCGGCCCTTAGAAAGCTGCAGCTGGATAAAGTCATTGGCTTGTGATACGAGGTCGTTGAGATATGCAGGTTTGGGATTTGTGAGGAAAAACTTCTCCTCGTCTACGTTTTCAGCAGGTGGAAAAGCGTCGACATCAAAGGTTCTGTCAATTGCCCGATCGATCTCGGTGGTAGACGTGTGGATAGGCATTGTTTAACAGCTATTAGAAGCGCTAAAATGGCACAGAAATTTGGGTACTCTTGAAGTCGTGGATTCAATTTGGTGAACTAAAAGTCCGTGTCTCTTGTGGGATTCAATAAGCGTACTTGATGTGTGTACGATATGGCTAAGATGTAGTTACGTGACAGATGATCATTGTCTATGGTAGTGTCGCTGATATTTGAAGAAGCTTCATCTCACAATGACATTGTTGTGGGTCGATGAGCTTGCGATCTTGCTGGTCGAAACTTCTAGTTTGTGCTTTATGCTTTATTTTGTCCTGAAAAGCTAGTTGCGCCGGCAATTGACATTGATATCGACATCGACAATTGAGCTGTGCGTAACAACTGGGATAGCGTTTCCTGCTTGAAATGGCGTGAAAAGAGGGACAACAATCAAGTCTGTTGAATTATTCCGTAAAGCTGTGAGTGATCGTTTCGTCCAAGGCCTTGTTTTTGAAATTATTCTGGTCCATGCACTGTCGTGGGTAGGACGAGACCACACTTGCTTTATGGGGCTGCAAAGATGCGTTCCCCGGGGTACGAAATACTCAGTGCCTTATTTTGGAGAGATCAGCAAAGATCAACTGTTCAGGATGCGGCTATTATAAATAGTGACATGTATTTCCCGGAGATGTCGGATTTGAAAAATGGTTTTGAGAGCCGCAGAGTTCATTGAGTTCGAAAACTATTCCCGGTGACCTTCGTCACCTTTAAGAGCTGCTGGAACTCTACCAATAGTCTTTCATTCCCTGGTATTTATATTTCTAGTCGTAGTATTTCTCTGCTCTCTTTCATGCCCTACAGAAGTGCTCTTTTATATGTCGATTTTGATTATTTTTTGATCCAAACTATATGATAGAGACATCAATTCATAAGGTGTGTGATATACCAACTTGGGATACAGAGTAACTGGTCTTATCTGGGTTAGTTTAGATACCTTTGCTTGAGAAACTCATTGAGGTCTTTCCCATTACAACATGCTGTGCTATAGTTCGTGTTTGATAATTTCGTGACATCTATGCCAGCATATGACCGCTGTACACTTATATGTACTGTAGTATCAATCTGTTTTCTCATAATCCGGTCTCTTGGCCCAGTTGGTTAAGGCACCGTGCTAATAACGCGGGGATCAGCGGTTCGATCCCGCTAGAGACCATTTAATTTTTTTACGTCGGTAATTCATTTTTTTTAACCTTATATATATATACTCATTGATATCAAACCGCAGTCAATCAAGCATCATAGCTAAGACAACGCACACATTCCAAGTAGATAGTCTATTCAGCTTCTCTGCGTGACATTGAAATCACATTGAAATCAAAATAGAGATCCGTGAATCGTTGTTTCTTGATAAAGTCATAATTGCAAATGTGCATCGTATTTAGAATCTAAAAACGACTCGAAATTTTGCTTGGAAAACAGTACCGTTAAAACTCCAAAAACCCTCAACAGCTACATATTCGCATTGGGCGATTACCGCTTGGTTTCTGCTTCAAATTTCGAACAAATCGCGCTCAAATCGATGTATCGTCTATAATGCCCATGTCTGTTATACTCGCGACAGTTAAATATATAGTCACAGAGGCCAGAGAGAAAAAAATACGAAAAATGGCAGAGAGATCTTGTGTTCTTAAGAGATTACCCAAAATCAAGAATAATACCGCGTTCGTGAGTCTCCTTTCTTGCTCCTACTTCAACACTGGGTATATCCACTCAAGAACCATTCATACGCGTGGAATTGAATCGATACGATACGTTCTTCTTTCAAAACGAGTGATTAAGCACACTTGAACTTGACCTCACCCGTTATCAATAACTGGTAAGATCCGCTTCGAAAAAAAACATCGATCCTTTCAGCATTTCCCATCGTCTCTTCGTTGGAGTTATAACCTGATATCCCGATCCGTACCAGTACACTGCAAAAACGCTCTCCTAGCATAAGTTATAAATCCCAATTAATGACGGAAAGCCAAACTCAACAACAAACTGTGCAAACCACAACGGCCGAACCGGTCACTGCCCAAAATGAAGCTTCTCAGCAAACCCTACAGCAGAGTCCGATAGAGAGCTCAGAGCAGCAGTCTGTGTCATCAGAGCTCCAAAATCCTTCTGCTACAAGTTCGGAAACCCAACAACAAACGGAAAACTCGGAAAATAACGAAGCTGCCATCACACCGGCAAATGCCACCAGAGGCGGCAGAGAAACTTCCGACAGAATACTTTATGTCGGAAATCTAGACCTGTCAGTGACCGACGGCATGCTAAGACAGTATTTCCAGGTTGGTGGTCCAATCTCTAATGTGAAAATATTAATGGATAAAAACAACAAATCTGCAAACTACGCCTTTGTCGAGTTCGAAAAGCCCCACGACGCCAGCGTTGCGTTTGAGACTCTAGACGGAAGACAGATCGAGAACAACGTGGTCAAGATCAATTGGGCATTCCAGTCGCAACAAGTTTCATCAGACGACACTTACAACTTGTTTGTCGGGGATCTCAGTGTCGATGTCGATGACGAGACCCTTGCCAACACTTTCAAAAGCTTCCCAAGCTTCATCCAAGCTCATGTAATGTGGGATATGCAAACTGGCAGATCCAGAGGCTACGGATTTGTCTCCTTTGGCGAACAGAGTCAAGCTCAAAAGGCCATGGAGCACAACCAGGGCGCTGTTGTAAACGGAAGGGCCATTCGCGTGAACTGGGCCTCCAAACGTGAGCAAAATATCAACAGTCACAACAGTAATCACAATAGCCACAACAATGGTTACCCACTGAATAGCAGGGGGTTTGGACCTCGTCGTGGCGGTCATCGTGGTGGCAATCAATACAGGGGACCCATGGTTCCAGTTGGCGTCCCAGGTGCTCCTCATGGCGGCCCCATGGGCGCCATGGGGATGCCACCCAACGCGATGCCTCAGCCTCAAGGGCCCGTGATGCTTCCTCAACTACCACCTCAAGCTGTAGAAGCAATGGTTTCCAGTGCTCCAGTCAGAATCACAACCGTGTACATCGGAAATATCTCCCACTTTGCGTCTGAACAAGATTTAATTCCTTTGCTACAGAATTTCGGGTTCATTGTGGACTTCAAGCACTACGCCGATAGAGGTTGCTGTTTTGTAAAATACGGAACCCACGAACAGGCAGCAGTATGCATATTATCTTTGGGTAACTTTCCCTTCCAGGGCAGAAACCTGAGAACTGGTTGGGGCAAAGAAAAGCCCACGTACGTTGCCCAGCCCAGACCTGAGGCAATGGGATACGCTGTTGGACAACCAATGCCTATGGAACAAGAAAGTACTTTCCAGTCCTCAGCGCAACCAATGAGCATAATTCCAGGAGAAGATCAGAACGAGTTTCAGTGATATACATATATTTTCATAAATAAATGTATACATGTGCGATGCATTAGCTGCTTGTATAATAAACCTTCGGTTCAGGTCAAAATGGAATTTTAAGATGTTTAAACTGAAGGTTGGCATGAAAGATATTCCAACTCTAGTCATTACGATATGTGTGTCGTTTTAACATTAAATATTCGAGAATAAGGTTCAAATTTAGGGGAACTACTGGGGGCCGATCTTTTGGTCTTTACTGGCGACGACCTTGTTAAACTACGGCTTTGAGACCACTTATATCTCTTGTGTGATGCAGTAAAAGCGTCTTTTGATAGCATGCTCTGCATAGAATTTTAGATATCTTCTTGCATATAAGTTCATTTCAATTCATTGACACATTTCAAGAACGAACAAAGGTGAACTGAGCCCTTTTATGGAGTGATTGAGCGCTTCCTCACTGTTGGCAAGCACTGTGATGACTGCTCAAGCTGTAAACCAATCATCAGCTTTGCAATCTACGTCTTTCACCTCAGTAGTCACTTATATGTTAGTGGGATGGGCAAAAAGGGCTTGTTATCAAAACGATTTGAAATTGTACGGATAGAGGCTTTTCCGTCACCTTATGGCTGCTAAACTAATTGCGTAGTACTTTCAACCGCGCTGCATGAGCTGGACAATAAAAACTTGTGGATCCTCAGCACGTTCACGAGCTCATGAATTAGCAAGGTTTGCCGAGCACGAAAAGGCGGACTCCAAGTTAAGCAATGAGGTTCTGAGAGAAACTTTGGTTCTTTAAGGCTACACACTGAAAGGACTATTGAAAGAGCCCAACAGACGCTAGGAACATTGAAAGTCGCTGTAAACAACGCTTTCATTAGAGCTTCACACTACAATCTAATAAGGAAATCAAAGCTCATTTTAGCCCTACATGTCCACTTTGGTATTGTCGCAATGCCCGTCAGATATAATTATAGCCTCGGAACTCAAGACGATAGTTTCTGTAATTTTTGAGTTACGGACTGAAAACTACATCTAGGTGGTTTTCAGGGCACTGAACCCCCGCCCAAAGTTAAAAATCCCGGCAAGCCATATTCATTGAGTAATAATTGGCAAAGATAGTTACCAAATTCATGGACTAAAAACTACATCAAGGTGGTCTTCGTTGCACTGAAGACCTAACCACAAGCAAAAAGTGGAAGACTCATACGAGTAGACTTACAGAGTCTCGAAGCCAAATTCAGAATTCATGATAGTATCGTTCTGGCTAACTTTGCACCATTCTAGTACCCAAAAACACCGTTTTTTTTTAAGATTACTCGAGCCTACCGATATTTTTGCAATTGTGACGGGAAAAAATTGACGGGCGTCTCTTGAATAATCTGGGAAGAGCGCAAACACTGTGGAATAGGCAATCAAAGCATTCGAAACAGCAAGACTGGTTATTATTGTCTGGTCCCATCGTTTTAACCGTCTCGATTTTTTGGGAGCACGTGATCTCCGATGCTTTTCGATCGAGATCGTCTCTGCTAATATAATTATGAAAAGCTTGAAAGCATCTAGCATTCGATTCAACAGTCTTAGGAATAAGTCAAGTGTGAGAACGTGGCAGCACTTAGACTGAATACTAAGGATTCAGTTTTATGGACTTTGTGCTGCAAAGGCTGTGTGTACTTTCTGCTAGTTGGCACGCTTTGATTACCAGTTTGAACCAGATCGATCACAAAAAATCCACAGCTCTAGTGCTTATCGCTACTACTGCTCTGCTGCTGTATAAGAATCGGAAACGACTTTGGAAAACAATGGAGTCTTTCGGTATGGCTGGTGGCGACCTGGCGCGTGGGCTTCGAAACGGTTATGGCAATCGCACCTTCAACAGATGGGGTTCGAAAAACTCTGCGCAGGAACAGAAGATGTACGAGCGTGGTGGGTACGTTGGTGGTCTTGTGAATGATGGCAATACATGTTTCATGAACTCGGTTTTGCAGAACTTGGCGTCGTCGAAAGCTTTGCTTCGATTTTTGGACGAAGAAGTGCTCGAGGCTCATCGAGAAGCTGAAGAAACTGCTGCCGGAGAATCGACCACAGATGAACAATCCAAGGAAGATACTGCTACTGTTAAAGAGGCTGTCAAGGCAAAGGGACCGAAAAAGAAAACATATGGTAAACGCAAGAAAAGACAGAGCAGAGTAACAGAAAAGGAGCTCGCAGAGTCAGAAGGAGACGGAGACGCTGTAGATTTAGTCTTCAGTACAACTTTGAAAGAGCTCCTAGACAAGCTCAATGAAAAACATGGTAGAGAGAGACCCTTTTTCAGGACTAACAAACTTCTTAAAACTATGTCCAAGGCTCCCAATAAAAGTTTACTTTTAGGTTACGATCAAGAAGATGCGCAGGAATTTTTCCAGACTATTTTGTCGGAACTTGAAAAAAATGTCAAGTCTCTATATGGCAAACCCACCCCAGCGGACAGTGAACCTGTTCCAGCAACCCGACTTTCAGAAGATGCAGTTGTGGGTCAGCAGCATTTGGGAAATATTGGGACTGTGTATTTGCCCACAGAACAAATTGAGCCCAACTCTGTTTTGGCTCAGGATTCTGAACAATGTTATACACCTTTTAAATTGATGACACCGCTTGATGGTATCACCGCCGAACGTATTGGCTGTCTGCAATGTGGTGAAAATGGTGGTATACGTTACTCTGTCTTCTCAGGCTTGAGTTTGAATTTGCCTAGCGACAACATGGGTACGAGTTTGAAATTGTCCGGGCTGTTGCATGAGTGGTCGAAACCTGAGATCATTGAAGGTGTGGAATGTAATAGATGTGCATTAAGCGCTGTTTTGCAACATCTAGAGGGAACTTTAGCGCAATACCAGGCCGCTGAAACCGTCTCTGAAAAACTTCTTAGCGCCGTAAATTCCAGGGTCCAGCAACTCAGAGAGATCCTGGCCAAACCTGTAGTGGCAGATGATGACTACAAGAAACTGCATACCGAAAATATGGTGCAAAAAACGTCAAAATCGAAACAAATTTTGATTTCAAGGCCTCCGCCTCTTTTGTGTATTCATATCAACAGGTCCGTCTTTGATGTGCGCACTTACATGATAAGGAAAAATAACTCAAGAGTTCTTTTCAAATCTAAGCTCAACCTTGCGCCATGGTGCTGCGATATTGGAGAAATTAATCTGGATGCCCGTCTTCCGATGTCGAAAAAGGACCAACGACAGATGGAGTCGTCTGAAGACGAAGCTGTAGGTGGTGAGTTTTTTGCTCAATTGCACCGCCGTTATGAGGAAGAGTTCGACGACAGCGACGAGGAAGAAGGCACTTATCAACATCAGGATCGTGATGTATCGGATTACGATCCCTTGAAAGGAGAACTAGTAACGTCAAGCGACGAAGAGGAAGAATCAGAGGATGGCGAATATGAAGTGGACAATCTTGGTAACAGCGTTTACAGGCCACGTCAGAAAGCTGCCTCGAGCATAAGTAGTCCAGACGCATACCACGCGGAAAATGCGGGCGAAGTTGCTGGCGATCCAGAATCCAGTGTCGACGAGCATCCAAGTTCTTCTGAAGAGGAAGTGGAGGAGGAAAACTCAGACCGTGAAGTGGACGACAATGAACCTCCTGTTGCTGCTACTGTTGCTGATTCCAATGGTGGTGTTCCTACTGCAACACCACTCACGGCTTCTACGGTGCCGGCGGGCCCACTTACGTATGCACTGCGGTCCGTCATTGTGCACTATGGCTCACACAACTACGGCCACTACATTGCCTTCCGGAAGTTTAGGGGCCTATGGTGGAGAATTTCAGACGAAAGTGTGTATGTTGTGGAAGAAGCAGAGGTTCTGTCCACGCCAGGCGTGTTTATGATGTTCTATGAGTACGACTACAACGAGGACGCCGGCAGGATGAACGACGACCTGCCATGGGAGGATACAGAGGACGAGAACGAGAACGAGAAACACGAGCCTACAGGTTAAAAAAAGCTCCAGTAAACCATATATAAATTGTTTTTGTTCCGGTATAGCTACCAGACAGAATTCCATCTAGGGATTGGAAACCAAGGGACCGGAAACGTGTACGTAAATAGCGTATAAAAGCTGCCTGTATTTTTTTTCTGCCTTAAGGTTGGTAACGAAACCTAGCACGAATCAAAGACACTTGCATTAGCAGATTCCAGGGTTTTACACCAATAACTCGCTATTTTGTTGTTCATGACCTGCTAGTCTTTGGAACCGTAGTTCCTGTTCACGCTGTTCCTGGCGTTGATCCTCCTCTATCAGTTCTGTAAGATCGTAGTCAAAAGTGTTAGGATCGTTATCGATTGCGAAGCCCTGGCGTTTCCGTAGAGTGCTTGAGCGAGACTCAGCGACTGAATTGGGACCATCGTGGTTCAGTTGGATCTTGAAACGGGCACCAGTTTTCGATTTGGAAGACGATGATGATGTCTTGCCAAAGCCTTTTTTCACACCAGATGAGGCCAGCTTGTAGGAAAAAGTTCCTGACACCAATGGGAGCACCAACACGAAGACCAAGACCACGACCAGTACTACCAAGTATGCGTAGAGATCCATGACGATATAGAGTGGTTAATACAGACTGCAACAATGTCCGAATGTATGTATATATGAGGTGTTTTTCGGCTAAGTGCTGTGTGTGGTTGGCGATGATGAAATTTCACCACAGCTGAGCTGGAAATTTGAAGAAACTAAACTTTTCAGTAGAGATGGCTTGCTTGTCGAAGACAAAGAATTCAACGATAAGTGTAGCATTAGCATCGGCGTAGCACTAGAACAACATTCAAAATGCAAGCAGTAAGGAGAGGTTTGGCAACACAGCGTCGTTTCTTGTTGCGAGGACCAGTTATAACGACGATGCAGTGGCGTATGCCACTGCATCGCACGTTAGCGTCCAAATCCAACGATACTTCATCGCCTGGTGTTGCTGCTACAGGTGGACCAGGATCTACAAATGGCCAGGTCGTGCCGGCAGAGGTACTATCGCTCAGCATGGACGTTTACCACACTCGTTCCGATCTGTTTCTCGAGTCTCTTCAGGACCAGCTCGAAATTCTCAGCGATGACCATCCACAGCTTATGCCGGACATTGAGCTTACTCAGGGTGTCATGACCGTTGTGGTACCCTCTGTGGGCACCTACGTTCTGAACAAACAGCCTCCAAACAAGCAGATCTGGCTTTCGTCGCCGGTTTCAGGACCCAACCGGTTCGATCTCTTCCGCGACCGGTGGGTTTCTCTACGCGACGGACAAGATCTTCTACAAGTACTGAATCAAGAACTGAGTCAGGTATTTCCTGAGCCTGTGAATCTGGAACTTGACGAGTGAAACAGATGTGACAATGCTGGGTTCAGATCGTCACAAAACACGAGTTGGTGTTGGGTCCTTCAAAGTTTTGATTTTCATGGCCCCTGTGGCTAATAAGGCAGGGGGATCGAAAATAAAATTGCTGTGCCAAGAAGGGGGGGTGGGAAAAGGCTTTGATCGTGAGGGTATAAATACCGAGCATCAAAAACTACAGACCCGGTAACCATTTCAATGAACAAAAGAATGGGCAAAAACACGTAAACACACGTAAACACACGTAAACCCAAGCTATTACCACACATACACATACCAAAGATGACAGCCAAGACCTTTATTGTGACGCTCAAAGACCATGTTGCCGATCCAGACGTGTCGTCGATCAAGGAGTCGTTCGCGAAACTCGGTGGCGAAATCACCCACGAATTTTCGCTGATCAAGGGCTTCACAGTCAAGGTGCCAGAGATCGGCATTGACAGCATCAAGCAGAAGCACGGTAACAACATCGCCAACATCGAAGAGGACCAGGAAGTGCACACGCAAGCTTGAGGAAGCGAAAAGTAAGGGTTTTTTATATTCATATTTTTCGGGTTGATCTGAGCTCGACGAAACCTTATCTTTTGTGTGTTTTTTCTTCATTTCGCAACATCCCCCACCCCCCTGATGGTTTGCCGTTTGACGAAATCGGGTATCCGATTTCACCTTCCCCGCCTCCTGGTAAGTTTTGAGAAATATCATAAATTGGTCCGTGGAAAGTGCTATCACCACTTTGGTAGCTCTGTACGAATTTTAGGGGACCGGGAGGGTAACCTTAGGGATCGAGCCTGAAACCTCCCCTCCCCTACCCCAACCCCTTACCTCAACCCCGCACTATATAAGAAGACGTGTATTCACTTACTGACACACAACTATTTACCTCATACTCAAACACAGCGTAGCGACAAAATCTGCATCCCCATCGTTGACCAAGTCGAGGATATCAACTCGGGTCTCGTCTCAAGGGTAACAATCCCGGCTTTTAGAACATTCTCACAATTTGAGAGCATTTTTTTTCAGTTCTGTAGTTTGATTTGTTGTGTCACCATTTGCCCACCATGGGATACGTGCAGCGGTCTGGCGATCCGGGTTTCAAGCCCGTCCAAAGTATCTACGAAGGGCGGCTTCGCCAATTCATTGACGATGGTGGCAACTACAAAAAGCTCAATTTGCCCCGTTTCTACGATAAACAACGTATTTCGCTCGACCAGGACCACGTCAAAGTGCAATGGTATCAGGTTGAGTTCAAAAAGGGCTCATCGCCGGTGTCATCTGACAAGAGACCTCCGTGGGATGAGATCGTTCGTCGTGACAAGAATCACGAGCTGGAGTTTCGAGATGTCTGGAAGGGCCAGCCTTTTGGTCCCAGTTGGTCTACAACATGGTTTAAAGTGCAATTGGAAGTGCCTGACAAGTGGCTAGACAGCGAAGAACAGCTGGTGTTCGAATGGGACTGCAACAATGAGGGCATCGTAATCGACCCAGAAACGCTTATACCCAAGACGGCGTTTTCGGGTGGGAATGAGAGAACAGAGTATCTGTTGCCTAAGGGCCAGAAAAAGCATGCGTTCTACATCGAGTGCGGTAACAACGGCATGTTCGGTTGTGGTTTCGGGTCCTCACCACCTGACGACAACCGGTATTTCCATCTCGACAAGGCGGATCTGGTGTGGCCCAATTGGGACGCACGCGCCCTTCGGATCGATTTCTGGATGCTGACGGACGCCGCCCGCGAGCTTCCCGGTGATTCGTGGCAAAAACATAAGGCTCGTCAAATTGGAAACGCCGTCATGGATTTGTTCGACCCAGAAGACTCAAAAAGTGTCAAGAACTGTCTAGAGCTACTTCACAAGGAGTATTTCGATAAGTTTCCGCATAGTTCTGAAGTTTATCAGAATGGGGATACAAGCCTTGTGAACGATGTGTATGCAATGGGCAACTGTCACATTGACACGGCGTGGCTGTGGCCCTTTGCAGAAACACATCGAAAAATTGTACGGTCGTGGACCTCGCAATGCACCTTGATGGACAAATATCCGGAATATCAATTCGTAGCCTCTCAAGCGCAACAGTTCAAGTGGCTTTTGAAAGAACATCGAAATTTTTTCAATGACGTTTTGATCCCTAAGATCCAACAGTCTCAGTTTTTCCCCATTGGTGGATCCTGGGTCGAAAACGATACCAACATCCCATCCGGTGAATCTCTGTGTCGCCAGTTTTTCTTTGGCCAGAGGTTCTTTTTGAAGCATTTCGGTTCGAAATCAGACGTGTTTTGGCTTCCTGACACGTTTGGATATTCTTCGCAAATTCCACAAATCGCAAGGATTTCGGGCATCGACAAGTTTTTGACACAAAAGTTGTCCTGGAACAACATAAATAACTTCCCGCACTCTACTTTCAATTGGGTAGGTATTGATGGGTCTCAACTGTTATCGCATATGCCACCAGGAAACACTTATACAGCACAATCTCATTTTGGGGACGTGTTGCGCACTGCAAAAGGCAACAAAAACTCCGATGTATACGGCTCGGGTCTCATGCTTTATGGTAAAGGTGATGGCGGTGGAGGTCCTACAAGTGAAATGATTGAAAAGATGCGCCGTATAAGATCTATGAGCAATCGCAATGGAAATGTGGTTCCCAAATTGCATGTTGGCTCAACTATTGACGAATTCTATCAGGACATTCTAAAGAAAACAAACAATGGTAAGAAGCTGCCAACATGGGTCGGAGAACTCTATTTTGAGTTTCATAGGGGAACTTACACGACACAGGCACAAGTCAAACGATTGATGAGAACCAGCGAAATTAAAATTCACGACCTTGAATGGCTTGCGACAAAAGCGTCCTTACTCTATCCAGACGATTACAAGTACCCAATCAATAAAATAAACGACTTATGGGAAGACATACTTCTATGCCAGTTTCATGATGTTTTACCTGGTTCCTGTATCGAAATTGTCTACAAATATGAGGCGCGGCCAATGTTGCGGAAGGTGATCGAGAAGACGGACGAGCTTTTGGACCACGTATTGAAAGTCCTGAAGGAAAAGGGCAAAAATTCTGTCGCTGTCGGTACTCTCCAGCCATTCGATGACACCGGCGCTGCTCCCAAATCACCTTCCTCCGTTTTCGTAGAAGAAACTGACAATCATATCAAATTAATCAGCGGAGAGCTGGAAGTTGTTTTAGATAAAGCAAAAGGTGTCATATCTTCAATCAGAGACTCTACGCGGGACACAGAATTTCTGGATTTGGAGAGTGGGCGAAACACGCTGGGCGCCAACCAATTTGTTCTATTTGATGACAAACCTCTCGGCTGGCAGGCCTGGGATACCGAATTGTACTCTACAAATCAATACGATTACATTACGACTTTGGAAAAGCTTCACGTTACTGAGACATCTCGCGAAAAATGCACGGTTGAGGCTGTTTTCAAGGTCAAGGATGACTGCAAGATTGTCACATCAATCACTGTTCGGCAGCAAACGGGAGAGCAAAATGGAGGCCTTATCGAGATCGAAACCACGGTCAACAACTGGGGGCCAACAAACAAATTTCTCAAAGTCGAATTTCCTGTGAACGTCCGCAACGACTATGCTTCGTATGAAACCCAATTTGGCATCACTAAAAGACCCACCCATTACAACACTTCCTGGGATGTTGCCAAGTTCGAAGTGTGTCACCATAAGTTCGCAGACTATTCCGAATTTAGCAAAGGTGTTTCTGTCATAAATGACTGCAAATACGGTTTTTCTACTCACGGCAATCTAATGCGTTTGTCACTACTTCGCGCGCCTAAGGAACCCGATGCCAATGCCGACATCGGAACCCATACTATGAGGTATGCCATTTTCGCACATAAGGGAGCATTATCGCATGAAACCGTCCATAAGGCATTACAATTCAATTATAATCACAGATACGATATTCCAGAAAGTGTTTCTCGCGAGTTTGACGGCGTCATACGGATCAAGGGTGACCCTAATGTGATCTTGAGCAACATCAAGCGTGGAGAAGATGACAAGGAGCTGGCCTCTGAGTACACGATCAAATCCTGGGACCAGAAGTCGCTCATTGTAAGAGTCTATGAATCACTGGGTGGTGAGGCCTCTGCCACGCTGTCAACTAGCCTACCGGTCAAAAGCGTCACCAAGATTGACAACTTGGAACTCGAATCAAAACTGGAGGTAGAGTTCAAGACCGGCAAAATACCTAAAACCAGCGTGCCACAAAATGAAGTTAAAATAAAGCTCAGACCATTCGAAATAAGCACCTACAGGTTTGTCTTTGATTAAAATGGTTTTTTATGACGCTCTCACTATAGGAACTTTTGGAATAATTTATGAAGTATATGATAAGATCGCTATGCTACTTTTTATAACAGTCATCATTGAAATTCAACTTAACCAATAGTACTTGTTCATGGCAGACAAATGGAACTCGCCAGCATTGATACTAAGTCATTCCCAGTTCAGAAACACCAACGATATTTTGAACGACATCTCTTGATTCTTCCTTCCAAGTATCAAGACAATGAGCCTAACAAACTTGCAATAGTGGCATATTCATTGATAGGATTAAGCATTCTGGGCGTTGATACGTCAAAGAAGTACCAGAACAGCAAATCATGGCTTTTGAAGCATCAAAGAAGTATATTGAGCGGTGAATTGTCAGTTTCCGGCTTCATACCTAGCCTTTCGATTGACATTGAAGAATGTCCATCGTTGAGTCTAATGAGTACTTTGTTCGGCCTTTGGGGCCTGATATGTCTTGAGGAAAATGGATCCAATGCGTTTGAAGGATTGGACCTTGAGGGAATACGTCGGTTTGTTTCAAAATGCCAGTGTAAAAACGGTTCTTTCGTTTCGAGCTTCGATACCTTAGCTTTTAACGAAATTTCCCGATCGTCAATTGATCCAACGGATCTCAGATATGCGTACGCTGCTGTAACGATCCTGTATCTCTTAGGGTGTCGCAACTCGGAAGATTTTGATTGCTATATCTCTGTGGAAGACCTTTTGACCTTTATAAAAGGGCAGATGTGTGGAAGTGGATTTGGCCAATACGGTGAAGCCCATGCAGGGCTAACTTCTTGTGCGCTTTCTATCCTAGATTTGTTAGACGATCAATGGAGCATACTGCCGTCCCAATTCCTCGAGCAAACCATAGAGTGGTTGCTACATCGCCAGGTCTCAAGTCAGGGCAGTATGACGTTAATGACTGATAGTAATGAATGCTACGATATCGATGATCACGGTGGGTTTCAGGGCAGGGAAAACAAATTTGCAGATACATGCTATTGCTTCTGGTGCTTAAATTCCTTGAGTATCCTCCAGAAACAAACCAAGTCGAAACTTGATTGTAGCGATGCCCTCGTAGATTACTTATTAGAGACGACACAGAGCAAACTATTGGGAGGTTTTGCCAAGAACAGCGAGAGCGATCCTGATCTTTACCATAGCTGCCTAGGATTGGCAGCTCTTGCTATGAACTCAGAAGAATTTAACGGTACACTGTTTTTGCCAGATAGCCTCTCCCGGCGTATCAAGGTGAAAGAATAGTGGGGAAAATAAAAGTCTATTATAAATTCGTAACGATAGAATAGTAATGATAATGGTGTAGGGTACTGCTATCTTATTTACGAGAACTTTTTGATCAACTCCTCGTAAATGCCCCATGCGATTCCGGCGCTGAGAGCTTTCCGGGCGAGTCTGAGGCTTAAGCCATCAAACAAAGTCTTAGGTCGTTCATGTAGGACAATGGAAGTAAATGTTCGCAGAAAACCAGAGTAATGGGATGGATTGAGCTGCATTCTTGTCTTAATGGTGTCGAATGGTGCGGTCACAGTAGTTGCCAGACTTGCTGAACCAAAAGCGGCGAGACAATTCACAACGGTCGAGGTCTTAGTGGAATACATGCCGTTCTCATCTTTCTTGAGCATTTGGGAGGGCAGAAAACGTGGTAACTGCAGTTTGAACTGCTCGTAAAAAAGAACGTAGAGTCCAGCATAAGGTGCGTCCCTCAGAATAGTAGCATTGCATCCGCTGAAAAACCCACGAATACCTTCCGAGTAGTATATATGTCTTGCAGCCTCACTCATACTTCGATAGTTGTACATTGTAGACTCGAATCTCACCTTCAATATCGTGATGGGCATTGTTGCTACTCCTACCACGGCTCTGGTCACACCGCCAGAAATCAGGTTCTCATACATGGTCAATTGAGGCAAGAAGCTGCTATCTGCATTCTGCTTGTTAGCCCCAAATACTTTTCTCTCCGCAATCGTGGACCTAACCACATTCAAAGTCGAAAGAAATAGGGCACTTCCCACTGACGTTCGAAGAGCCGACGGCACTGTTCCTTTCCACAGCTGAGAAGGAGAGCCAATCACCTTTATCGCATTGGACAGTGATGTATTCTTGTTTTGTTGCAGTCTGGTTTTCAGCAGGTCAAAAGGCTGTAGAATAACGGCAGAAGTCAACCCACCTACAAACCCACCTATAAGATGGGATGTTTTCTTGGGTTTTTCGGACATCGACAGCAAAGCACTATTTGTGCTATCAGTACACTATGTGTACACTATTGGAATCCAGAAGATAGGTCTTATGGCACCCTGTTGTGAGTCTTCCCTTTACATGATGTGTTCTAGACGAAGTCAAGGAATTAACGATGGCTTCCTTTAAAGATCACTTCGTACTATGCAAAAACGCTGCCATTTCCGCTACTGTGAGGTTGGTGATGCCATTCAGTATTTGTTCACTGTTGTCATCCTGAATACTGGCCTGCTTGCATATCGAGACGACAACGTTGCTATCCAGCCATTTCGACTGGAAAAACATGCGTTTACCGTCGATGTCACGAAATATGGTGAAGATTTGGTCTGCGGGACTCCAGGCTTCAAGAGTGCCCATATCGGTTTTGGATAAGTCACAATTGAGTCCCGTTCCAGTGAATTTTGTGTAGGCTTCTTTTAGAGACCAATAATGTGTAAATTTTCGATCTCGCAAAGCACCAGGCGCCATTTGGTTCAAAGTATGGTATTCTTGGCAGGAGAAGATACTTTTGAAAGTGCCTAAATAGTCATCGCCAAAGCCGTGACAGTCACTGACGCAAGCCAGATCTATGCCTACATTTGTAGCGGCATCGATGTACATGGCAGTTCTTCCGTCGCAATTTGACATATTAAATGCCAATCCTGTCATCGCTGCACATGTTGGTTTTCCAAGCGTTGCGATTTCCAGACTCAACGAGTGGAAAGGCAAACCCGTAGTTATTGAGATCCCAAACAGTTGCAAAAGCTGGTTGCATAGCGCTGTTTTCCTCAAGCTGGGATTTTTTCGGTTCAAAATTCGACGTTGAGTCTGTAAAGACAAGAGTCTCAAAAGAGCCTCAAATTGAAAGTCATCGTCCAAAAAAGTGTCACGGCTATCGCACACCAGAATCAAAGGCTCATTACGTCTTTCCTGAACCAGCATTCGGCCTCGAGTCTTGAGCCATTCAGCTTAACAGAAAGACAAGACGCGCTCATTTCATCTCACATGTCTAAGGGCATCTGAAATATCCATTAAATTAAGATCTCAGATCATTGATATCATCTCACATACTCACATCAAAGAACTAAAAGGCTTGAAAAGTGACTCCAAGAGGGCATTCTCAATGTCTCAAACTGAATCTCAAGATCGCAGCGAGCTTTACAAATCTGCAGTAGCTTTTCTGGTCGATACAAGCGTGTCAGATGCGCCTTTAACAAAGAAAATAGAGTTTCTACAAAGCAAAGGGTTAACCCAAGATGAGATTGATAAAGCACTGAAAGAAGCCAAAGAAAGGCCTCGTGAGAGCTCTAGTGAGTCTCCTGGTGTGAAAGTGAAGCCTGAGGAGACTTATGAACGTGCAAATGAACACCACCATCTGCAGTACGAGGCACTGCCTCCACCACTGCCGCAAAGGGACTGGAAAGACTATTTCGTGATGGCCACGGCCAGCGTAGGACTTTGCTACGGTGTATATCAGCTGGCCAAAAGGTACGTGGTCCCAAATCTACTACCGGAGTCTCACTCAAAGCTGGAACAGGACAAAAAACAGATTCTGGAACAATTCGATCGCATGGAGCAGTTGCTCGATACAATCGAGACTGAGCACAATGCGTCAGTGAAAAAAGAAAATGACAAGTTTCAAGAGCTCGATCAGGTAGTTGTCGAGTTGCAAACAGCAGTAGAAAGCTCGACCAGGGCACGTGACAAGCTAGAAGACGACGTCCGGATTATGCGACTTGAGATCGAGGGTATTCAGAAAAACGTCGATACTTTTATCACTGAGAACTCTAGTAACCCTGCTGTTCGCAAACTCAACGAAGAAATCTTATCGCTGAAAACGCTTCTCAAAACGAGTGATTTTATGAAAGTGTCTGAGACTCCTTCAGATCACAACAAATCGCCGCTGCCTGGTGCAGAGGTGATTCCTTCCGCGTCTGAAATCTTAGCCAAGATGAATTTGCCTAAGAGAGGCGAGGTCGCTGATCAGCCTGCCTGGAAGAAAGCTCGCGACGCAGCAGCAAAGACAAACGACAAAAATATACCAGAATGGCAAAAAACAACTGCAGAAAATACATCGGCACCTATTCCCGAGTGGCAGAAAGCAATGCTCAATGCGGAATCTCCGAGCCCAGAAGTCGAATCCTGAATAAGCTCGATTTTTCATGTTCTTGACCAGTAATGTGTTGATGTCTGTTTATACGAAAATATCGCTATTAGTATTTACTTATTTGAATGTCACATCGAAAGTTAGGAAGCGATGAGTCTGAAAGAATCCATATCTATATATCATCGCCGGTGGTTTTGCACTGCAGTGCTGGACATCAACTGATTCAATGGAAGAGAAGCGTGACTCCATCCACGCCTTAGCTCTTAACTGCGCGAAACGACATCTACCTCCTGCTCAATTTGTCAATTTCTACAATGAGCTTGTCAACGAATTGTATGGATCAATTATCAACAGGTCCGAGGACGCCAAGTCTGATATCGATGTGGATGTCTACGAGGAGCTCTCAATTTGCTTGCTGAGAGTTCTGGAATCACAACCCAGCATGCTTCTCTCAGATTACGTCAATGAGGTCTTGTTTGTCAATTACAATACAGAACTAGCGCATAAAATGTTTCCTCAACTTTACACAATTAAAGATCTCTCTGTTTTGGCTGTCCTTCTGTCAAAAGCTAGCGCTTTCTTTCTAGACTTGAATGATAAATTACTCATTGACCAGATATGCGACGATCTGAGTGATCTCATAATACCTTGCATTTTTGCCGTTGATTTTGGTGCACAAAGTAACCAGATAGTTCTGTCTGTTGCCAAGTTTGTGCGGAACATCTCACATATCTCTACTAATCCAATTCTAGTCACAGAGATCAGTACTAAAGACAAAATCGACAATTTCATGTCACAACTTTCCAAGACAAATAAACTTCTTTATCGAAAACTGCACCATGATTTCGAGTCCCTTTTCAAAATTGAGGGTGTCTCGGCTATAAAGAATGAATGTTCACCCAACGGCCTTGCCTCACCATCGGCTGTATCACCAAAATATAAAGGAATTCCATTAGCCAGTACGAGGAGCTCTCTTCACGCCGTAACGACTTCATCAAAATTCCGAAATGGCAAGCTCGTGCGATATTGCAAGAATTTATGGCTGAACAATAAGATTCTCAACTGGTCAACAAATGCCCGAGATTTCGTTTCTGACTATGGTGCAATTGAGGCCAATGTACTAGCCGATGGGTTGACGGGTTCAACAAGCGTCGAGAAAATTATGACCGATTTAATCGAAACCTCCTTCACTTCTTTCGCTCAATTTGTTAGCAACAAGCAATATCACCAGCCGAACTTCAATCTCAATCTTTTGGAGAGGCAGTGGGCGATCTTCATCACCAAACAGCTCCCACTTCATATAATGGAATGCATTCCTAAAGCCCCAGATGCTGTAATTACCGCACTTGAGAATGTCGACCACAAGGTGATAAAGGTTCTCAAGTCATACGCCTCAGACAAAGACGATGCGAAAAGCGGTGGTAGTGATTTGTTCGAGGAAGTTCCCAATAAAAACATGGACATTAGGCATGAATTCCTAAAAAACCTAATTTTGTTGGGCTGTCAACCACCTTCGGTTCTCAATGACTATCTGCGAGAAGACCATGTCGTCGACACAAAGTCGTTACTTTCTAATGACACAGTTGTGATACGAAATACACAAGGTGTGAAAGAAAGCATTAGCGATTTTCCTCGCTTCATAAAAGAAAAAATCAACGAACTAGATGTAGAGTCCATGTTCAGTATTGTTGAAGATCCCATGAACAGCAATGATAGTGACATAGTTCAAGTCCTCCGCAAGTTTGACACATTAGCAGCTACGAAGCAAAGGGAGCTATCAGAAGTGTTCCATGAAGTGTTCTGTGAGTCCGCTAGAAACTTCGACTGTAAGACCGTTTCCAAAATATGTTGTCTGATGTGTTTCAACCTCTCACATTCGTTGACAACCATATTAACGTTCATAGCTCCAGCCCGATTTGTGGCCGTCGCGGCAGAATTTGTTGATGAAACCTGGGACACATATATGAAGCAATCAAACGGGGCCAATGACGACTTTGAGCCCAACACCGAATTTGTTTGCTTCACATACTGTCTGATACTTATCATCAACATCACGAGAGTCTACGGTGTTCCATTTGTTGGTTCTATACCCTCGAATTTCCAGCTTTCATCGAAATCCTTTACTGTTAAGTTTCTCTCTGACTTAGGGACCATAGCGCCTCAGTTGGATTTGTTCTCAATGGAGAATTCAAATGTGACACTGGAGAACTGGGTACGTGATTTGTTCGTGAATGGGAGTTTGTCGGATTCTCTCATAAAATTTGCAGATGCTAAGGATATAACCAAGTTGATTCCTTTTATTTTCAAGCAGAGCATCCTCGGTGTTGAAGTAGGCGCAATACGCGATGTTTCCACCCTTACCGGCGGCTTCGAGTACTTCTTGCAACCTTTTCTAATTGTGGGTCTTATAGGAATAGTCTTTTGGTCAGACTACTATCTAACTGGCCTAAAAAGTAAAAATGGTTCAAAGGAGTTGTTGGATCCAATCTTTGAGATGTTCAGCTCTCTACTCAACCCTTCAACTTTGAATGAAGAAGCACGGCCTTTGCATACGCTTATTTTGAGACTAAATGCTGTTCCGCTGCTGAAGGCTACCAGGGCCTTCCTTAACCAGTCCGCATCAAACTATGGGATATATTCTTCAGATTCCGCGGGCGGTCCTAAGCTGGAGTCACTGATTTCTCACCTGGAACGTACGTGCTCTACTGCCAATCTTTACAACATTGATTCTGGAAGCTTGAGTTCAGAGAATGGCTATCCAAGAAAAGAGCTACCGCTGTCTTCTTTTTCCATAACAGCAGAACATTCAATTAATGGGATTCTGCACAACCAAATCAACTCATTCTGGAACATGCATAGCAGCACGTACTACAACCTTGATTACCTATTTGCGTTTATTGACATTATGACGCCGTTCAGCTTTTTCGAGGCCACACTTTCCTCTCTCCGATCTAAAACCTTCGAATCCACACGCTCGAGCAATCGCTTCAAAAGTACCGATGGTGAAAGTTCAGCACCTTTGGATTATTTCTTCCATTTTCTGGTGACGCACGATTTGAGAAGAGTTTCGGACAAAAACGAACTGCTAAACTACATGACTTCTTCGCAGGAAAGTGGTCCTAGCGTTGGAAAGCCAGTTATTGAACAAAACTCACACACGAAAGTTGAACAGCACTCTGATGAAGATTTCGATATGCTTTTTGGCGAGGATACCAGTGCTCCTGGGAATGAAACTGATGTTGCAATGAACGATGCAAAAACGAACGATAAGGCCGCGTCTAGAGCGTCTTTATTTTTGGGCCCATCGTTCGCTATTGTGCTTTGCGACTTGCTATCAGACAAAGGAGCGCTTTTAAAATTGACTTCCTCCGCTAAAGAAGAATATGAAGAGCTAAAGTTTCTTCATGAAAAGTACGTTGAAATTCTACGGTCAGATGCTGTGTAAAAACTAACAAAATGCTAAATGGCGTGTCTCATTATTGTGTAATTAGAATGATAGACTTTTGACTAACGTGTGCCTGAGTGTCGTTAAGCGGCATTGATTTCTTGAATTTTCTTGTCCTGCGTTTTACCTTCCATAACCACCTGCTGTACGTGCTCTTTCTGTTTGGCCCTGTCGCGCATGCGTTCTTCAATCGTTCCGCGGATCAATAACCTGTACACAGTCACTTGCCTAGTTTGGCCCAGTCTATGAGCTCTATCCATTGCTTGAGAGTCAATGGTAGGATTCCAATCGGAATCATAGAAAATGACAGTATCAGCTGCCGTGAGATTGATACCCAAACCACCAGCTCTTGTGCTGAGCAAGAAAATGAAGATATCAGGCTTGGTCTGCCAATCGTGAACTAGATCTCTACGGTCTTCTAGCTTTGAAGAGCCATCCAAACGAATGTGTTTGTACTGACGATACGTGAGGTACTCTTCCATAAGATCCATCATCTTAGTCATCTGAAAGTAAATCAAAACACGATGGTCGTCCTTTTTGAGATCGATTAGAAGTTCGTCTAGTTTTCTGAGCTTGGTAGAGTCCATGATAAATTTATCCATGGAAGGCATGGATATCTCGGATGTGAAGTTCTTGTTCAAAGTCTGTGGGTAAAGCTCTGAAACTGGAAATTGTGAAATCGGCAGTTTATACTTTGTACGGAGTTCACATTGAATTTCGGGAGGCACAGCGCTCAGCGCTTGGCTCAAAGAGGGATCAAACAGCTCGAGATTTTTCATGAGAGAGAAACGAGACGATCCGCTGACGTCAACGTCGACAGGTGGCGCACTAGCAGTGTGATGATATGCTGGACGCAAAACATTCATGTATTCCCTTTCATAGACGTTTTGTTGAACATCGACCAAACTGGATAGGACTTTGTCAACTGTGCCCTTGCTGAGATCTGACAACGATTGTTGTTGATCCTCGATGGTAAATTTGCGTTGGCTAACCGCCTTGAGTTCATCGCTACCGTAAACTGAATTCAAGCGAGAAGCTGACGCAGGCGCTTTCAGACCCAATGCTCTTTGAACAAGATCTTGGTTGGACAGCTCGTAAAATTTTCCTGAACTTTGCCCGCTTAAAGAAGAAAGTTTGGAGCACATCTCTTCAGAGTTGGATGGATGCAAAATGTTAAGCGTATGATGCAGCAGCTTATTCCTGTTACCAATCGCGTTATCGAACTGTGGAAGTACGAGTTCATTAAAGATGAGACGAGGCACTTTGTAACCAATGCAATTTCTTGACGAGTACTTGACATCAAGAAGGTTACTGTCCCGTGCCAGCGATCCACTTCGGCCAAAGTCAGTAAATGAAAATGGAGAGCTCACATCTTCTCTTTCAAAAAGATCGGGATGGTTGCAGACTTTTCTGAACTGCATTACAGTGTTCACGATATTTTGGTCAGAAATAGCTTCGTCATTGCCAGCTGCATTTTCAATGGCGTCATAGGCTGCCGACATCTGAGACTTCAAGACTTGGTAGAGTTTATGCTGTCTTCTTGTCAGATCACACATAACATCTATCTCAATCTTCTCACCCAACTCAGATTGAACATTTTTCTTAATACGCCGCAACATAAAAGGTTTCAAGATCATATGAAGACGGCGCAGCTGTTGCTGATTCAATTTCGTGTTTGATTGCGCGTGCGACTCGATATCTTTTGAAAACCAGTCGCTGAACTCATCATGCGAGTCGAACAACGACGGCATAATGAAATGAAGCAGGGCCCAAAGTTCTTGCATATTGTTTTGAATAGGTGTACCAGTAAGTAGTAGTCGGTTCCTGCAATGAAAGCTGAGCAGATTTTTCCATCTTGAAGACTGAGATGATTTGATAGCCTGAGCTTCATCCAAAATCATGTATTGCCATTTCATTTTCTGGATGTAGGCAGCGTCCGACACAACCATCTGATAAGATGTGATAAGAACGTGGAAGGGAGCGTCCTTTCCATATCTAAACTGTTTTCTATCCCAAAATCTTCTCAGTATTTTACGATCGTTACCATTACCCCAGTAGGGCAAGATCTTGAATTCCGGGACAAACTTGGATATCTCGTTGACCCAATTATGCAAAGTGGAGGCAGGCGTTACCACAATGAATGGACCCCAAATGTTATGATGCTCTGCCAAATGTGCTAAAACAGAGATGGACTGCACGGTTTTACCTAAACCCATTTCATCTGCTAAGATACCGTTGATTCCTTGATCGTAAAGATTGGCAAGCCAGTTGAGACCCTTCAATTGATATTCTTTCAATGTGCAAGTGAGCAGTTTTGGTTGGTCAATTGTGATGTCACCCAGGGAGGTTGGATTTTGAAAGTTGAGTTCATCGTCTTCATCCGGATTTGCGTCAAACTCTTTGGCCTTAGTTTGGCTGGCGAGAAGAGCACTGGAAGCATTTTGAGCAGCTTTCATCCTCAACATTTCGTCGTCCTCATTATCAAAATCGATGGAATTGAAATCAGTTTTTGAAGCTTCGGTTGTGGAGAGGTCAATGTCAGCTTTGGCACCGGTTTGTGACGAAAGTGAAGCGTCTGCCATGGTTCCTTCGATCTCATCGGTTTTGATCTTACGACCGATAAAGTGCGAGTACAGCTCGGTTTGCGTGATCAAAAAGTTGAGCTTTCTAGCCTGCCTCTTATTCTCACGTTCTTCTTCCTCCTTCTTGGCTTGATCCAAAGCTTCTTTCTCGGCCTTTTTCTTCAGATCTCTTTCATCTCGCTCATTCTTTTTCCAGAAGCTGGACATCTCCCTGACACCTCTACGAGCTCGAGACTGGAAATCTTTGGCCTGACGGAAATTCCGGAGTTGCCATTTGCGAGCTTCTCGACACACCAAAGTGCAAGTTTTCTTAAAATTAACGTTTCTGCTTGTTTGAGCTTGTTGGACCAGCCGTGCCACTTTGGCAGAATCCTTACGAGCCATGTCTTTCCAGATGGTGAAATAGGTGTTGTCGTAGTGTCTTTGGATACCACGGGCTTCTTTGATGGTCATTTTGAGGCCGTATGTAGGCAGGCCATCGATGGAAGCGGGTATGACCACCTCTTCGTTACTTGGGGCTGGTTTGCGCTTCTTGGGAGCCGGTTCCGCGGGGCCCATAGCCTCTTCTTCTTGAGCCCGTTGTTTTTCTGCTATGAGACGCTTGAGCTGTCGTACATGGTACTGCTTGAGCGTGATTTTCACTTCTAGTTTTTCGCTCTGGATGTGTTCGACAATAGTGGAATTGGTGAAACGACGTTTCTTGGCCTTGACGTTCTTGTTTTTGTTGACCATGCGTGCGATTTCGCGACGAATCTTGGTGTGCTCCGAGCTGAGATCCACTTTTTTGCCAGCTTTTTCGTGGGCGTCCAGTTTGTCATCTTCCAGCAGAAAGTCTTCGTCGTTGTCGTCGTCGTCTTCTTCCGGAATGGCGACATCGTTGAGGTCGTCCAGGTCCACGTCTTGGTCGTCTTCATCGTCGTCCTCGATGTCGTCATCTTCATCGTTATCCTCGTCGCGAAGATGGTTTTGATGGTCTGATTCGCCATCGTGGTCGTTGTGGTCGCTGTCAGGGTGGTGGTGGTGGAGGTTTTGTTCGGTGTTCCAAGCACCGCCGTTCCCGTTGTTGGAACGACCATTGGCCTTGGTCTTTGCCTTGCTGTTGGTGCTGCGCGGTTTATGGGTCTCTTTTTTCTCAGGAGCGGAATCCTGGGTTTGTGAATGCTGATGGTGGTGGTCTTTGCCGTTAGCTTGATGCGGTTTTTTCGCTTCTGCTGCAGTTGTTGTTGTGGTGGTGGTGGTGGCTGCTACCGCAGCCGCTTTGGCCCGCTGTTGTTGCTCCTGGGACTTTTCCCGCTCTTTGAGCTCTTGCAACCGTTCTTGTTCTTGCTGGCGACGTTTGCGTTCCCGCAGCTCCCGCTGTTGTCGCACCACTTCGTCTCTGTGTCTGGCGTAGTCTTGGAAGTGATCCCATTCCTGCAATGTGGAGTCCATGTTGGCCAACAGTTTTTCGCACCCGTTTGATCCCAGATCTCTGGATTGGTTGTTCCATTCTGTCACTAGTTCGAATTCCTGGTAGCTCAACATACGCCAATCTTGAGATCTTTGTTCTCGCAGATCTCTTGCGCCTAGGTCTCTGAACTGGGCGTTCATATGTTGCACAAACCGGTTTCGCAGCTCATCACCCATACCACTGCCATTACTGACGTTTCCATTGCTGCTGGTTTTGTTACTATTACTGTTACTGCTGCTATTCTTCGCCTTTGAAGGACCCCCGTCCTTTCTCTGGTCTTCATTCAACAAAGCTGTCAAAGACATTCTCGTCTATCTCTATGACCAGTGACCACTGTGTGGCAAGGTTTTCGATCTTTTCCGATCCACTGGAACACTTTGGTTCCGTTCAATGGTCTCGAATCAACTTGTAGTCTTCCTCCACTACCTAGTTGCAGAAAATTTTCCCTTTTCACGCTATCCCACGCCAGTAAGAGCTGTTACTACTGCAAAAGTTGACTAAGTTGACTGACTTGAGTGTGTCTTGCGTTACCAACCAAACTTTGTCAGGCTAGGTTTGTCGAACTCCTAATTATTATTTTATTTGTGGTCCTGATGTGATCACAACCGTTACGGCAAGCCACGCAACAAAAGTAGCGTGCAAAGGCAGATGAGACAAGCTTAGTGGAAAGACATACACGCTAGGGATGATAAAAAAATTTTATACAAAGAGAGGGGAGACAACTCTTCCGAAATGATGGTGGTAACAGTGGTGGTTAACAGTGGTGGTAACAGTGGTGGTAACAGTGGTGGTCTAATAAAGAGAAAGGAGACGGGGGACATCAGTGAGCGAATAAGATGGGGTGAAATGTGTAGAAACAAGCAAGAAAAGAGAAGAGAAGAGGAGGAGTGAAAAACGATGAGATACAATGAGAATTAAATAAGAGGTGGGAAAAGAGGGCGAGAGAAGGGACTCGTGGTGGGAAAGAAGGTTTGTTGAGAGACTAGGTGAGTGGAAAGTGCCAGTAGGTTTGTAAAGCCATGTGTGTTGTGTCGTGTTGTGTTGTGTTGTCTTGTATTGTCTTGTGTTGTGTTGTCTTGTGTGTCTTCAAAGATAGTAGAAGTGTGATATGGGAAGAGGAATGAATGGCTAAGAGGGTTTGAGTTTATGAAAATTGAAATCGGGAAGAGCTTCGTGCGGAGTGATTGGGAGGTGGAAATCAAATTTGGGTGTTAACAGTAATGAGTAGTAGTGTTTTAGTCTGGGAAGAGTGCCTAAAAGAGGACATTAAACCCACACGCCTGAAGAAGCAGAAATGCCACTTAACGAGATTGTGAGATTGTATCGTTTTGTACGAGTGTGACACCTCTATGAGGCTACAGTATCAGAAAGGGAAATGTCTTTGGGAGAGAGCATGGTATATGGCGACAATCGAAAATGTTCCTATCCAAAATGAGGACACTAGACAAGCACGCCTAAAGATGCAGAAATGCCATTTAACAGGAAAATGTGAAGGTATCGCTTTATACGAGTGTGACACCTCTACGAGGACACTGGATCAGAACGCTCAAAGATGCAGATACCAAATGTTATGCTACGGTCTTAAATAATCGATCCGAAATAGTACAATACTTAGCTATAACTTGTATTATATCGAGTCGGATATAATATAACGTCGGATCCTGATTCAACCGTTACTTCTCTAGTACAGCTCCAATACCGTCTTTCGACGCGTCCGTCGCGTGAGCCTGTAATTAGCCTTTCCATCAAATGTGTCTTAAGTGCTTCTTACGATTCTTCCTGTGGTTCCTTCCACGCCTCCTTTCCCGTTATGAAATCAATGACCGGTCGGGATAGTTTTGAGCAATGAGGTATAAACTTTGGGTAATAGTTTATCATTCCCAAGAATCTTTGAGCTTCTTTTACGGTTTTTGGCGATAAAAACTTGGCTATGACCTCGCATTTACCTTGAATGGGTTCAATGGTATTTGGTCCAATGATGTAGCCAAGAAACTCTACCTTCTTCTGTAAAAATTGACATTTTTTCAGCTTAGCAATAAGCTGTTCTTTCTGAAGCCTTCCTTACACTTCATCTAAGTGTTTCCAATGTTCTTGCCTAGAACGAGAGACTATAAGTATGTCTTCCAGATAGACGCATACAAATTTCAAGTCTCGGAATAAGTCAGCCATATATCTTGCAAATGTACTCGGTGCATTCACTAGACCGAAAGGCATAACAGTGTATTCTTTTTTACCTGTTGGTGTAACAAATGCTGTCTTTTGCTGATCTTCCTTTCTCATTGGAATTTGGTGGTGAGCTCTATGCAAATCAAGCATGGAAGAGATTTGTGCATCATCAATCTTAGTCAATAGTGTTTCAATATGCGGTAAGAGAAATGGATCCTTTACCGTAACTTCATTTAGTCTTCGATAATCGACGCACATTCGATACGTATCATCTTTCATTTTGACCAACACAATAGGTGATCTGCATGGTGCTCTTGAAGGGGTGACGAACCCTTTTTCCAATAGATCCTCAATCAGCTCTTGTACTACACCTTTTATCTTAGGAGTAAACCGATATGATTGCATGCGTGGTAATTTCTCATGCGGCTTGATATCGATTTCGTGCTCAACTAAATTATCTCCTTATCTTTTCTGTGGTAAATCGTTCCTCACAGTACTATGATACTTAGTCTTCAGCCATTCTGGTAATCGTTGGAATGTATCATTGATCTCGCCTTCTTTTGTTTCTTCTATTCTAACTATGAATAGTTCCTTTTCTTCGTCAATCTTTCCTTCAACACGTACTGTTTCAATGAACTCTATCTCGATTGGGTCGGTTTCTCTTAGCTGTTCTGTAAATCCGGTGAGCAGCTTCGGCTGATCTTCTAGTATCGGATCACCTATGATGACTTTGGGAGATATATCTTTGGTGATATATGCTTCGATCTCATTCTGTTCGTTTTGATAAGTGAACTTGACTGTTACAGCATGCTCTGTAATAGACGTTCTTTTGATACTGCCCGCTTGAAACGAAGTGGTGGTGCTCCATATACGTTCAAGTGTAACTTCCTTACGAACTTGGTGTGTATGAATGACGTTGGGGACCCTGTGTCAATTGGTATGTTAGCTTTGATGTGTCATTGAACAGGAGAATGTGAATGTATCGCTTTGTACGGGAATAACACTTTTATAGGCTACGGAATCAGAAAGGGAAATGTCTTTATCTTTGGGAAAGAGCAGGTATATTGCGACAATCGAAAATGTTGTTCGAAAAAAGGTTTCCCATTCAAAATGAGGACACTCGACCCACACGCCTGAAGGTGCAGAAATGTCATTGAACAGGAAAATGTAATGGTATCGCTTTGTACGGTGTGTCCCACTTCAATAGGCTACGGAAACAGAAAGGGAAATGCCTTTATCTTTGGGAAAGAGCATGGAAATTTGCAAAGATCCACAATGTTGTTCGATAAAGGGCTATCTTAAATGACGACACCACACAAGTACGCCCGAAGATGCACAGACCTCATTGAACAAGATTATGAAAAAGTATCGTTCTTGTCGTGGGAACTGCCTTTTATCTCGTCGCGAGTGCTATGTTGTTGGGTCACGTGGACGTCCCCCCTCATCGTGACAGCGTCATAATCATAATCAAGAAAAGAGAGTCAAGTTCAAATCACTCCAGCAAGTTTTGGATCCCCTTCAGTGTCACTTCGAAACCTGTCTTTACCACTTGAGTGCATCCAACTCGAGTTGGTGTACTTGTCCGGTATAAAGTTCTTATTTTCACCAACACACCATAAATCAATTACAGGCAGCAGGCCCTAATTCGCCATTTTCAACATAATCCCGCACAAGTTTCCATCCGCTTCGATCATGGGAGATTTTCAACATCCTTACTGTCTTTTTTACCTTCACCAAACACCAATTTGGTCTTGAAAATTCACGTTATGAACAATTCAATAAACGTCGCAACTAGCAGTTTTTTATCTTCTCCTGTAGGGCGGTTTGGAAGGGCCAGAAAACAAGATACATTCTACTTCCCCCATGGTATGTATCACGTTATAAACCGCCTGCGATTTCCAACCGTTCTAAGCAAACTCTAGAACACTTCAACATTACCTTGAGAGAGCAAAATCTAAGTTTCCTCGTTGAGTTTCTCAACAATGCAATGAGCATAAACGAAGACTTGATTGTAATCGTGTATTCGCTCACTACGGTATACGCATAGCTTGATCCACAACCTCAATTCAACTTTGCACTCAAAGCGACCTGTCTCAGTGCTTAAAGTCAACTTCGCCCAAGATTGTGGTGACGAGTAGATAATTAGCTTGTTTAAAGAATTGTGAATCAGAGTTGTAGATCAGAAGTGGAAATACCAAAAAACATGCTGCTGAACAATTTGTTCAAGAGTTCGTAAGCGCCAAGTTCGAGCACGATGACAATTTTTTGAAGGTTTCATAGCCAACTGTCCAAAACCAATGCCCAGAAGACGATGAGAATGACAGATTCCAAGAAATATACGAAAGAAACAGCGGTCGCGTGACTCAAATCTTATATCTCGAGAGGTACTTTTTACAAGCTGGAAGTCGTATGATTCTCGAATAGAGCTTGCTGTGTGGCCCAATTTGACCAGACTTTCTAATTCATGACAGGTTTAGGCCGAGCTGCTTCGCAATGCGGTACGCAATGCGGTACGCAACTTATCAAATAGTGACAATAAAGCCAAACGTCAAAGCCATCTCGAGAACATCATTCTATACTATTGTGACATCATTCACTTAGCTGCCCTATGCACAGGGCCTGCCAGAGAATGGAACATCTTGCCATCGGTCATCAGTCAGCTTCTATAGCTTCTTTTATGCTAAAAATGGAGCTTGGAAATTTAACCCAACGGTGATCTGGAAGCGTGATTTTTAGCCATCTATAAACGCTTATACTCAACTTGACACTGAGATTCAGTCTCCTGTTTGTCAGGACATGATAATTGCACAGGTCAGTATGTTTTACTCGGGAAAGTGCTTACAGTTTGTAAATGACCGACTAGTCTCTTCGGTTCTGGCAGAAACAGCATACAAATTTCATTTTACATTGCAGTAACTAAATATGGTGCCATCACTGACTTTTGTCAACCTGCAATTGTGTTGCCGCTCGAATTTCTATTGTTTCTGAACTCTCTTGCTGTCGTCGATGGATGATGTACTTGACGCTATACATAAAAAGAGAGTTTAGCCAAGAGCCATTAATATTATATCTATGTATGCAATTTCATGCGAAGCCACGGAAAGATGCGCGTTTATGTAGCTTAGTTTGAACACCGAATTTCCAAGGCGTCTGGGAATGTTGGCACCAGCTAGCGTCACCAACTGTCTTTTTGATGTTTTCGAAAGAACGCGTTTTGACCAGTAGTTTATAACATTTTAAAGATAGCGAACAATAGCTTGAAGCCGTCTATTGCCTTACCAGTCCGAATATTTTACCATGTAGAGGTGCTCTCTGTAGAGAAGAAAGCTCGTTTTACGATCACAGACATCGGTAAAGCATTGGACGACTTTTCCTGGCTAACATCAGTGTCACTTACAATCGTCCTGTCGTTGAATTGGTGCCCACCCGTAAGATGTGATACTAGTAGTGCCAGAACTAGGCTGGAAATAGTTGAGTTACACTGATCAGTGGCAAATCAAAATTTTGGCACCTATGTGAATTTTCACACTTACAACTGCTCTCAAAGTGCTTTGTTCGTTCCAGGTTTGGTTATAGCATCTGAATATCGATCTTCTTATTCACCTTTTATCACTTTACTCTTCACCTATCTCGATCACGTGGATCAGCCGGAAACGCACCAGTATGAGTCTTGCAGCACCAGTTAAAGACCACTGACAATGTAAAGAAGCCTTTGGTCAGCACTCTGATTGACATACCATTTTCTGAGCTTTCTTTGTTCCATTTCAACATCTATGAGCTTTTTTTTTCCTAATGCTAGTTTAAGGACTTCGACAGTGTACCCGAGAAGATCTTAATATCGACATAGGTGCCGTTGGTCCTAAATCCTCACTTTTTCCAGTCTTTTCCAAGGTGTGTGTCTCTTTTACCAATGGTTGAGCTTAATTCCTTGGTATGTTCCTTCAATATCCCGTTACTGAAAGTTGAATTTTCTTGTAAAAACATTAAAAAAGCTCTGCACGAGGTGTTTAAACTTATCTTTGCCGACAAAGCACGATGGCGGCAAAATTCGTGGAGCTTATTCACTACAAATTGTATATTCCTAACAACTAAAAACCATGGAGCGAACAATTGAGCGTCTCAATTTGAAACTTTTTTTTTTCGTGACACTCTTAACTAACTCTATCATCCAACCATCTAAAAATGCATGTAAACTGCCGTAAAGACTTGCTCAATTGTGAGCTTTCTAATCAAGCTAAGGCAATGGCCTCAAGTCAATAAATTAAGAAATCATTTCACGTTATAAAAGCTCAACTATAATATCTGTTTATTTCTATATAAGCTTTTGTTTTGCCTTGCACTCAAGATCTAGAAGTCAATCTTCTAAAAGTTCTCTTCATATTAACGACGTTCTCCTTCATTAGAGATCTTGTAGGCATCGAGAAGATATCGTCGATTTCTTCCAAAGTCTTGTTTTTGGTTTCTGGCATGCATAACAATTGGTATGGAATACCAATGACAATGGCAATACCTCCATAGAAACCTAAAGTCAAACCGGTGTATGTCATAACGTGTTGCATACGCTCAAAGTTGTAAGTGACGGTGAAACTCCAGAGGTACAGCATAGTGGAGCACACGGTCATACCGACAGATCTGGTAGCCAAAGAGAACGATTCCGATGGCAAAACCCATGTCAAAGCAGAATAAGAACCAAATGCCATGTTGTAAAGAATCTGTCCGGTCAAGTAAACACCCTCAGCAGCTTGCAAATTCGTTTCACGGTTAATTTTATATCCAACACCGACTAGTACCAGGCCAACGGCAAATAGAACCAGGTTCATCGACCACACACGTCTTCCGAAACGATCCATCCACAGGATAGCTGGGATGGTACCAATCAGCAAAGCAGCACCACCAACCATAGACATAGCAACCGATCTCTTGTGGCTGAACCCGATTTCGTGCATCAAAGTAGACATGTAGTACATGACCGCATTGATACCTGTCAATTGACCCAGGGAGACCATCATTATGGCGTAAACTAGAGCACGTCTGTTACGAGGAATGCGAACCAAATCGAACCAGTTTTGGAAACGAGATTCACCCTTGCGAAGCTCTTCGTCTTGTTGCGCAGCTTGACGGGATTCGAGAAATTCCACTTTGTTGGAGTCATCGGATGCATCTCTGAGACGTTTCCAAACATTCCAGGCTTCGCCAACACGACCTTTGTGAAGTAGCCAACGTGGAGATTCGGGCAAGAAGAACAAACCAATGAACAGAGCGGTGGAGAAAACCAAAGACGACCCGACCATGAAACGCCAGCCGCCATGGACATCGAAGAAAATGACACCAATGATATATCCGAAAAGTTCCCCGAGAGCAATGTTGAATTGATACATGGACACCAGGTTACCACGAACGTTTGCAGGAACGGATTCGGAAATGTAAATACCAACGCAACCACCTTCGATACCGACACCGACACCGAGAATGAAACGACCTGCGTACATGATGTGGTGGTTGGTGGCTGCTGCGCACAGAATGGCGCCCACTGTGTACCAGACACAGGAGATGATGATGGAGGATTTACGGCCGAACCATTCGTTAAGGGGGGACATCAGGATGGAGCCTGCCATGGCGCCGAGAGGCATCAGACTTGAGATCAACGAGGACTGGTGTTCCGTAAGTTTGAGCATATCGTTCATGCCGAACGAGGCGCCCGAAATGATGGACTGGTCGATTCCTGACAAGATTCCGGCGGCGGACGCAAACGCACCCAGCATGTACACCATGTATTTTTTGTCTTTGAAGTCGACGCCCATATCCAGAGTGCCTATTGTTTGCCATATGGAGCGTTCGCGCTTGAAGGAGTCGCCGAGCTGGTCGAGCTGTTCGATTTCTTGGTCTAGAGCGAGTCTGTCTTCTAGTAGAGCGTGGGTGCGGGGTCCTTCGAGCTCCAAATCGTATTTGGGTTGGCCTGGGTCCTCATAAACGTCTTCCTTGTGAAGCGCAGCCGGTTTGATTTCGTCTTTGGAGACGTTGAAGGAATGCAATTCCAGACTGCCGGAAGGCGTCGAGGAACTCATTGTTGTTGTTGTTGTAGTAGTAGTATTAGTGAAAGGGTCAGAACCAATGACCTTTTTATCTTGGATGTATTACAGTGTAATGAGATGAATTACTGGTGTTTTTGTAATGAAGTGTATGAGAAAGATCTTATCTGGGGAAAAGGTATTATTATTTTGATGGCCTTTTATACTATTTTTTTCCTCGCATTTTGAACATTTTTCGATTTTCTACGTGGGGTGGCTCCTTGGCGGCATTAGGAATCGCCAAGTGGGCCCAGCCCTTAGAAAATGTCGTGATGGTGTGGGGGTTCTGCTTGGCGCGGCTCCTAGAAAACCTCGCGAGAGCGAGGTTTCTCGGAGCAACTCCCGCACCGAGTTGTACGTGTGTTTCTGGGAAGCCACCACTCGATCTCGATCTAGACCCGTGTCGAGGGACCCGCCGCCACCCCGCGGAGAACGTCCCCCGCTTCTCGGCACGCAATAATCCGGGGTCAAAACCCAGAAACTTGCGCAGCAGCCCATATCATGCCCGGAAAAATGGCCGGTGAGCTCACGGAAGTTGTATGTCCGGAATGATCCGGGACAGATGCAGAAGCCGCAAGAGCAGGGTGGGGCAGGAGACACACACCGTAGAGATGTGGAAAAACTGGGAAAAATAAAAAAATCCGGGGTTGCAGCAAGCAAGGGTATGTATTTTTCCGGTGTACAAAGAGGATCCGGCTACCGGCTGCCCTATGACGAAAAAACCGGTTGGGTAGGCGACAGCCGACATAGAAAGGGTTGAGCCTGTAGTAGTATTAGTGGTAGGAGGTGGTTGGAACAGACAATGGGATAAAAGGTTGGGTTGGGAACGGCCAGAAGAAGAAGAGGAAGAACGGTTTAAATCTGGGGTAAACGGGTGGTGGTGTGGTGAAGGGTGGGTGTTTTCAAAACGGTTGATCGGCCGTTGGGAGAGAAAGAGAGGGAGTGGTGAGAGAGAGAGAGAAAGAGAGACGTGTAAAAAAAAAGTATGCGCCGTTGAAAACGATATGGAGTACGAAGTGATGGAAAGAAAAGGAAACGGGTGTCTGGGTGTAGAAAGAGAGTACCTTAACGTACTCGCACGCACGTGACAGTGGTATTCACGTGCTAGCTTGAGAGTCACGAGCTCAAGAGTACCACACCCTTGTACTCGCGGGCACGTGAGTACTCTCCGTATCACGCATCTGCAATTCGTCCGACCCTCGTACTCGAGTACTCAAGAGTACTCTCAAGGACTCTCGTACTCGAGTACCCTCCCCTTCAAAATTTTTTTTTTTTTTCCTCTTTCTGTTGGATTCAGTCCCTCCTCATTCTCAACGACCCTCGCTCATTTCCCGCTCAATCGCGCTCGCTCGCCCGTTTGTCACGCTCTTCCACATAAATTAAAAAATCCATCGATCCTAAACCCATTTAACCCAAGGGACCACAACTTTATCTATAAAAAGGTCAGTTTTTAGAAAACCTAAAAGACGTGAAATCCCCCGGTATAGGAATAACAAAATCGAAACAGAGGCTGTTTCTACCCGCTCGCTTCGTCTCAGGCCATCACATCCCAAACAATAACCGTAACCCGCTCGTTACGAACCGTTGTGTTTATTGTCCAAGTTTTAAGCTCTTTGGGGAACAAAAAACGAGCTTTCTAGCAGGTCTGTAGCGCTCACAAAACGCACAAATCGCCCAAACCGCACAAACCGCACAAACCGCTAGCTTTTGCTCATCTCGCTCGAATCGCTCACAAATAGTGTTATTCACCGTTGAAATGCCAGAACACACCGTTGTGCACGAAGCACAAAACGTGGCGGCCCGCGAGCCTCCACACCATTTCTACAAGTCCCAGCCCCGCGCAGGTCACGTCAAGGACGTCAACCAGTACCTGGAAATGTACAAGCAGTCCATTGAGGACCCAGCCGGGTTTTTCGGACCCATGGCCCGTGAACATCTCCACTGGGACCGTCCCTTCACGCAGGTGCGTGCCGGGTCGCTCCAGCACGGAGACTCGGCCTGGTTTCTCAACGGAGAGCTGAACGCGTCCTACAACTGCGTGGACCGCCACGCGTTTGCCAATCCTTCCAAACCGGCGCTGATCTGCGAGGCCGACGACGAATCCGAAAACCGCGTCATCACCTTTGGCGAGCTTTTGCGCCAGGTCTCCGAAGTGGCAGGCGTGCTAAAGAGCTGGGGCGTGAAAAAGGGCGACACCGTCGCCGTGTATTTGCCCATGATTGCAGAGGCCGTTGTGGCCATGCTGGCCGTGGCCAGACTCGGAGCTATCCACTCTGTCATCTTTGCCGGGTTTTCCGCTGGCTCGTTGAAGGAAAGAGTCGTGGACGCGGGCTGCAAAGTCGTCATTACCTGTGACGAGGGCCGCAGAGGCGGTAAAACCGTCCACACCAAGAAAATCGTCGACGAGGGTTTGGCTGGCGTCGATCTCGTTTCTAAGATCCTCGTGTTCCAAAGAACCGGCTCCGCTGGCATCCCCATGAAGCCCGGCCGTGACTATTGGTGGCACGAAGAAACCGCCAAACACGGCGGTTATCTGCCACCCACCCCTGTCAACTCCGAGGACCCATTGTTCTTATTGTACACTTCCGGTTCCACCGGCTCCCCCAAGGGTGTGGTACACACCACTGCCGGCTACTTGCTAGGCGCTGCATTGACTACCAAATACGTGTTTGACATCCACCCTGAAGACGTGCTTTTCACCGCAGGAGATGTGGGCTGGATCACCGGCCACACGTATGCGCTTTACGGTCCTTTGGCCTTGGGTACCGCTTCCATCATTTTCGAATCCACACCTGCTTATCCAGATTACGGCAGATACTGGAGAATCATTGAGCGTCACAAAGCTACTCACTTCTACGTGGCTCCAACTGCAATGAGACTAATCAAACGTGTTGGTGAAGCAGAAATTGCCAAATACGACACTTCTTCTCTAAGAGTCCTGGGTTCTGTTGGTGAACCAATCTCCCCAGACTTGTGGGAATGGTACCACGAAAAAGTCGGTAACAAAAATTGTGTCATTTGCGACACCATGTGGCAAACCGAATCCGGTTCTCATTTGATCGCCCCATTGGCTGGTGCCGTTCACACCAAACCTGGCTCTGCAACCGTCCCATTTTTCGGTATCAACGCTTGTTTGATCGATCCGGTCTCTGGCGAGGAGCTCAAGGGTAACGATGTGGAAGGTGTGTTGGCCGTCAAGGACTCGTGGCCATCAATGGCCAGATCTGTGTGGAACAACCATTCCCGTTACATCGAGACCTACCTCAAGCCCTACCCTGGCTACTACTTCACCGGTGACGGTGCCGGAAGAGACCACGACGGCTACTACTGGATCAGAGGCAGAGTCGACGATGTCGTCAACGTTTCCGGCCACAGACTTTCCACCGCAGAGATCGAGGCCGCTTTGGTCGAGCACGACGGTGTTTCCGAGTCTGCTGTGGTTGGAATTACCGATGAGTTGACTGGTCAAGCCGTCATTGCCTTTGTGTCTTTGAAAGATGGATATTTACAGGAAAACGCCTCTGCCGGAGACGCAGCCCACATCACGCCTGAGAACCTACGTCGCGAATTGATCCTACAGGTGAGAGGCGAGATCGGCCCATTTGCGTCGCCCAAGTCCGTTGTGGTGGTTAACGATTTGCCCAAGACTAGATCCGGTAAGATCATGAGAAGAGTGTTGAGAAAAGTTGCCTCTAACGAAGCAGATCAACTAGGCGATATGTCTACTTTGGCCAACGCCGATTGCGTTCCATCCATCATTTCCGCCGTTGAGAACCAGTTCTTGGCCCAGAAGAAGAAATAGGCTTTGAAGCGAATTCCCATTGCCCAATCTTCTTTCTTCTACCTATCTATCTATCTCAGTCAGGACGATAAACGCCTATAAATTCATACATATAATCAAAACACAGATTTAATGGTTCGAGCTAGCATTGTTTGCCCCGCTGTTGCTGTCTCAAAAATCGCTTCACCACAGTCTTTTTCATTAAACGTTAGGCCTTTCTCAAAGCCTTTCCCGAACCTCTCATAGATAAACTCTTTTAGTTCATGTATGCTGTGTTATCGCTGATAATAAGTTGGTCAAAGTTTCTGAACTTATCCTTTAAAAGAACAATTGTGGAAAATACATTTAAGAACAAGCCAAATACAAACGTCAAAGTAAGTATCATTTTCGAGACTTTTCCGTCATGAAAGGCTGCGCAACCAACGGATCATGACCTCAAAACAATCTACAGCAATTTTTTTGGAAAGAAACCGATACCTGGAAGGCTTATTTTGACTCCAAAGCTACTCGCTTTTTGATTCCATTATGTACGTCAGTTTTCCAAGCTAAAGTGCTTTGAATAATCAGAACCCATGGTTGTTTGACTTCAGCTATTTTTTGATCCTGTGTTGACTAACTGTATTCTTGAGAAAGTTACTTGTGAGATAGAAACTTTCGCTTTTTTGAAGATACTAGTGAGTTGACTTTTGAGTTCTTGCGTCACCTATCTTCTTAATTGCAGTCAAAAAGTCTTATGTGCTGAACTAGTCGAATATTTTTCAATCTTTTTTCTGGACCAAGCAAGCCCTTTTGACCCCGTCCTCACAATGAGCATCGGACTTGGGGTGGCTATATACGCTGCCGTGAAGCCAGTTTTGAAAATTTATGTGATTCTGCTTGTGGGCTTTTTGCTGGCCAAATACAACCTTGCCACGGTGGAAACCTCTAGAGGAGTGTCGAACATGGTGGTCAACGCAATCTTGCCGTGTCTGACCTTCAACAAGATCGTGGGCAGCATTTCAGCCAAAGATATCAAAGAAGTGGGCGTTTTGGTGCTCACAGCAGTGGTGATGTTTGTCACCGGCGGTGCGTGTGCATATCTTACGAAATGGATGACCAAGTCACCCAAACAGTGGTTCTGGGGATTGCTGTTTGCAGGAATATTCCCAAATATCTCCGATTTGCCCATTGCGTATGTGCAGAGTATGAGCAACGGAACGGTTTTCACCGCATCGCAGGTGGATCGCGGGGTGGCATATTGCTGCATTTTCCTGTGCACTCAAAGCTTCATGCTGATGAATTTTGGGATGTTCAGACTGGTAGGGCTAGATTTCAGAGAACCTGAAAAGGATGTCGAACAAGGCCTGGATAACGAAAGCTCAGATCAGGAGACCAAGCCGGAACAAAAAAATACAGATTTGGCCACAAGCTCCAGCTGTCGCAGCTGGGATGCTCACTCTATGCATTCAGAACAAGACGCACGTCGTGACAGCAGCGACTTTCCAAAGGCTTATCCAAGCTCAGAAATGACGGAAAAAAAAGATAGCAAGGACGTCCATCACGAAGCCACGAACGATGGAAGCGCCCATTCCATTGGTATTGTTTCCAATGCAATCAGCAGTTTGAATTCGGGATCTGATTTCACCTATGATGATGGCGATGGTGTTAACAATGAGGGCGATGAAGATAAAATCAATGATCACAATACCGACGGTGACAATATCAGAAATAACAGCTTTATCAACGGTTCACGGCGTCGGCACTCCAACAATTCACAGTTTAGACGTCAGGTCGAAGCTCCTGTCCCTATATCCACTCCTTTGTACAAGACAGGCTCTGTGAAATCGGTGTTTAGCTCTGGTTCAGCTGGCTCCCGCAGCAGGACAAGTGGAAGAAGAAGACGTTCATCGCAGACCATACAGGGCGTTATCAACGAGTACAGTGCTGCCAGCCGAATCAAAAGTGGTGAAATGGATCTTAACAGACCCTTGTCGCTAACGCAAGAAGTCGGTGAAGACAATGCCTTTCTTGACGCAGAAAGTGACGGCGAAGAAGCCGCAGACGATGCCCAATTTCAGCGTTCTCCAACCCACTTATCAAAAATCGACACTGCACACCACTCACAACGGTCCAGACGTACATCTATCAGCTCCAGGGTCGAAAAGAGCTCGAAATTTAACAAGTTTGTGCAGAAATACAAGATCGGATGGCTGGTCTACATTGCGATCAATTTCTGCCGTCCTGCATCGCTTGGAGCACTTTTGGGAATCATCTGCTCCATGATCCCTTGGGTCAAAGCTCTATTCGTTCACACATATGTGCCCATGCATCAGGCGCCAGATGGCCAGCCCGTACTGAACTTTTTAATGGATTTCACCGGATACATTGGAAACGCGTGCGTACCGATGGGGCTACTATTGCTTGGAGGTACCTTGGCTCGACTAGAGGTCCAAAGCCTACCGCCCGGGTTTTGGAAGACCACCGTGGTGTTTACGATTTTCCGGTTGGTCGTTCTACCCATCATTGGCATAGCATGGGCTAATAAACTGTATGACATCAATTGGCTGGACAGCGACATAGCCAAGTTCGTTGTGATTCTCACTTGGGCCATGCCAAGCGCTACAGCTCAAGTTTACTTCACCGCATTCTACACTCCTTTGGAGGGAAGCCATGTCCAAATGGATTGTTTGTCGATTCTTTTTCTGAGCCAGTACGGAGTCTTATTTATCACACTGTCGGTGGTTGTAAGTTACGCTTTGAAGGCCGATCTCAAAGTTTGATCGACTAATTGATGCAAATCCAGTGTACAGTCAAATCATTATAATGCTAAATATCAATTGTATATCATTCTTCGAAATGTCTTGTTCTTTTATACAAATTCTACCAAGTAGTCTTACACTCCTATAACATAAAGAAAGATCAAGTACAAGATCAAAGATGGAAAATGCTCAGCTTCTTACCAATCTTGCTAGATTTACGGCTCAGCGAGCATTGCCTTTATCAAGCACTTGGCCAGTGCACAGGAGAAGTGCAGTGCTGGTCTTACTATTTGTTGGAAGGTTTGGTGAACTAAGAGTGTTGCTCACCAAGAGATGTAGAAACCTGAGAAGCTTCTCGGGACATGTATCGCTGCCTGGTGGTAAAGCCGATTTTCCAGAAGAATCGCCTATGATGGTGGCAAGAAGGGAGGCCGAAGAAGAAATAGGGCTTCCTAGGAAAGAAGAGGTGCTACTTAGAGATTTCAACATGAAGATGGAAACGATGACTACCAAGTTCCCACATTTCCTGTCACGAACCTTCTTGAGTGTAAAACCCATCGTATCGTTTCTTTACAATGCTGGAACACCTTTGGACAGTCGTTACAAGCAGCCATTGGACGGTTCCCAATTCTTCGGTAAACTCAACCCTGGCGAGACAACATCACTGTTTTCCGTCCCATTAGCGGACTTCACTGCTTGCAGGCATACTCAAGCCAACTTCCACCCGGAATATGTGTACAGGAAGCTGTATAGAGCCAAATGGGGTGGTTTGACATGGATAATCCAGCATTACTTCTACCCTAATGAGAACATCAAGGACACCAAATGGCTCAACGACATCATTGACACTAGTTCTGGTGACGAAGAAGCCGAAGGTATACCGTGCAAGGACGTTTGGGGTTTAACGGCCAAAATACTACAAGAAATGAGCGACGTTGCGCATGGAGATTACGGTGCACTTAAGACCACGGGCCACGAAGAGCTGATCTACGCACTTCACGAGTTTGGTGGCCAGCTACAGGAGCGCCAACGCTCCCAGTGGGAAACGGCCATGATCAGTAGCCAGCGCGGGGTAAACTACAGCGATGTTCTTCCAAAAGAACATCTAGAAGATCTCTCAGTCTTGGAGTTTTGAATTTACGACACTAAAAAGTGAATCCCCGCAAGCTAGCACTCGGCTAACTTGTTTGTAGGAGACACGCAAAGTAGAAATAGGCTTGCAGATGTAGTGAGTCACCTATCCCATGGTAATTGTTTAACAAAGCATTGTTTTTGGTAGAAACGATATTAGATGTTACAAAACACAGCTTTACCTAAAAAGAGTGTAGGTAGAAGACGTGCGCATGCGTGTATTTGTCGTTGTGCTAGACCGGACAATTCCAGTTTCAAAGACGTCTCGTCAAAACGGTCTGGAGGGGAGGAGCTGCAAGGGAGCTTAGGCCAAAGAAGGGAAGTTCTTGGCGTTGACAGCAGGCTTCTGCTCACCTTGAGGCTTGGTGGTCTTTGGCTTGCCACCACGTCTTGGGCCAGAACCTCTGTTGTTGTCAACCTTTCTTGGCTTGGTGGAGGCAGAGGTGTCGGCGAAGTTAACGTCAAAGTCAACGTACTGCTTGGACTTGAATTGCTTGGACTTCAAGTTCTTGACCTTGGTTGGTTCAGCGTACACTTCTTCCTTCTTGACCAACAACTCGGCGTCTTCCAATTGGTCGACGGTCTTCTTGGAGACTGGGCTCTTGTTTAGACCTTGGTTGTTGGTTTCCTCCAAGTAGTCTTGCAAAGACTTCTTGTTGGAAACTGGGGCGTCCTCGTTGGCCTTGTCAGCTTCGATTTCAGCCTGGGCGTCCACTTCAGCGGCAGCCTCTTCGGTAACCTCGTTTTTGTTGTCACCCCAGCCTTGTCTGACTCTCTTGTCAGTGTCGACCTTACCGGTTCTGTTTTGACGGTCGGAAGATCTTCTGGCAGCGTGGGTGCTTCTCTTGGAGTTGGTGGTGTCTGCAGGAGCGCCTCTAGATCTGTTGTTCTTTCTGCCGCCGTTCTTGTCTTTGAAAGCAGCTTCGTTGCCGGTTGGCTTTGGTCTGTTCTTGTTGGCTCTGGATGGGTCAGCAGATGGAGGAGGCACATCGGCCTTCTTGGACGACGTGGTCTTCTTGACAAGCTCCTTTGGAGGTAGCGGAGCCGCCGCGGAGGGGTCCTCGATGTCGTTGCCTAGCAAATCGAATGGGTTCTGCGAGAACGAGAGCGTTCGTGTTAGTATGGAACGGTGTTGAAAGTGGAAAATTGGGACATGACGGAAGGCGCAGTAGACGAGGTGCAAAGGCAAGACTCGCAAGCTGGCCTAGCCCAATGCTGAAGACTGGTTGTGGCCCATGTTGTCCTCAATTGCAGTATCTCGAAAACACTGTTATCCAAGACAATCGTGGCACCGGGCTAAAACGTCCCAAAAGAATCCAAGGAAAAGAGCACAGATTGGATACGTACAGACATAATCTATTGATTCCTGATCAATAAGCTCAACTCAAGCGTAGATGAACCAGAACTTCCTAAATCTAACTAAGACTAGACCTTTGAAAGGGTTTCTAGATGCGCTAGTTTTTCCCAAAGGTTTGGCATGGGTGGGTTTTCCAGTGGTGAAAAATTGTTGCTCAGGGGGAGCTGCCTGTGGCTCCTGCTAAAAAAGTTGCGTCATGGGGTGCGCAAACTTCAGGCTGCCTGCGCAAATCGTGGTCTTTAGGGGACACTAATATATTTTCCAGACGTCTAAAATATGATGAATTACTGCTGCCTTGAGGGTTCGAACACGGGAACCACCCTCCAAAAATTGAGATGAAAATTTCAGAAGAAGAAAATGACACTGTTGTCACGGCGTCCAAACTGGAAACCTATGGCAGGAAGCACATTCGGGAAACATCTGGAACTGGAAACAAATGAGAAACAAATGGAAACATCGCAATCGACGGCATACGTATAAGATGATGTAAACGATACAACTCTGGATTTGGATATAATCAAGTAAAAATAAAACAAGAAGAACATAGTAGTTAGAGTAGCTGATATCTGTTAAAGCTGAGAAAGAAATTGGTCTAGCTGACTATAGCTTGTTTTTCTTTTTTGTGTTTGTTGTTCTCTTCTTCGTATAACATTATTAACGGACTTCATTATCTGTTAAAGCACGTGACTCTTTATATTAGACACCACTCTCTCCCCCCCATGTATCAGCTTTATGAGTAACATGAGTGTAAGTAATATCTGAGATTAATTTCAACAACGGTCAGACAACTTCGACTGCAACAACTATTGCCCAAAACGACATCGAGAAAGGTGTTTTAGACGCTGGGAAAGCACTTCCTAACGTAGAAAAATACGTTTGAATAACCTGAAGCTTTTTTCCGGGTCTCAATCGCTGCATTTTTGACATATTTCTTGAAATGACAGCAGGAGACGACAAAATTGACCTTTGTCCCAACAATGGTGGCATTGCTGGCGTGAAACATGAGAAAGAAGCGGGTATCGCAGCAGCAACCAATGTTCACAGTGTGACGAACAACCTACAAGTATCGCCAGCGAAAGTCTCGGAGCTTTTGCTGTCTGAAGGACCGCTGGCCATTCGATTTATCACGAAAGCGCTCTGCAAGCAAATGCCGGGTTTTGCGGAGCTATCGGCGTCCAAACAGAGGAGACTCATCATGGCGGCACTTGAAATGGGCGACAGAGCAAGCTGTGTGGTATTCACCAAGATCGGCTGGGGCCATTGGTCGGCCACAAAGGTCGAAGATCCGGCCGATTTCGAAAAAGAACGCGAAGCCACTAATATTGCCAATAGTAAAATCAAAGATATGGTGTCCCAAGAACGCCGCAAAAGCAGTTCCGTCTCTCAGACGAAAAAACCAATCGCAGCAGGGTTCAAACGTGAGCTGGAAATGCCTGGTGGCAGTCGAGCGGCTGTGTTTCTGGACGAAAATGCACTTGCGTCCGATGACGAGGATTACGACGGCAATGTGGGCGATTTGGGTGGCAATCGCGACGAAATAGATGAAGACAACGACTTTCATGATAATGGCTACGATTTTTTCAAAAAACGCAAATCCAGCGTGGTGGTGTACGCGGAAAACTCACCCCCGGGCGAGCCGGACCATGACGCCGCTGCAATACACGGGTCTGCAAACCCAAGACCCTCACTCAAGAGTCATCGTCGCTCCTCGTCGAAAATACGGTCGCCATCGGTAAGCAAGCGCAGCTCTTTCCGAGGATCCAATGCTAGTCTTGAAGCCATCACGAGGCGGCTTTCATCGCCCGCTACCGTAATTGAAAAGCAATCTACAAAGACAGCAACAGGGCCCTCAGGGCCTGCAACTACCAAAGACCCAGAGACCCGCGGAAGAGAGCCACGGTTGTCGTTTTCCAAAGAATCCAGTTTGCGCTCCACACTACTTTCGCATGCAAACCTTAGATCAAGTCCCCTCCAGCGCGCAATCGATTCCAGTCAGAATAAGGATCTGTCGTACTACCGTCTGAATAGCCCGTCTTCAGGAATCAATGCGTTAGCCAGCTCGAATGGCGAAGACGACAGTGCTGCGATTGAAGAAGACGAGGATCTTGACCGTTTCGACGACACGGACGAAGAAGACTGGAAACATATCGGAGCCGAGTCATTGAGAAATAGTCGTGCCCCGTCACAGATACGATCACCGCCACAAGTAACATCGCCACACTCGCTAGCTGTCAACCGGCCTGCTTTGGAACGCCAGCCATCTCATTTGTCGCTAAGCCCACCCGTGCTGCTGGACGGCTCGGAATCAATACCCAAAACTCAATCCTCGGCTAGTTCAAACAGGCAAGAGCCTCAGGCAGAGACCCAAGACGCTGCATTTCTACTGATGAGTTTGAAGTCGTGAAGAATATTGAAGAAACGAAAGAAACGAAAAAAAAATAAGAGATTCATATAGGAAAAAACAATGATAGCTGTTGTGCCATGAGGAAGACCAGTAGATGTGGATATGATACGGTTATGAATGGCAAGTCTACCCTGGAGTAGTACAATTTGGAAAGCTTCGGCACGTGACGAAGATTCAACCCCGAGGTAACTCTACACGAAACAGGGCTCATGACTGATTATCTCAGCCAATTTATCTTCAATTTCCCTGGGGTGGGTGGATGGCATGGAAACTTAAATGGAAAAAAACATCCGGTTACTATTGGGCTTTTCAAGAGTCCCCCCTTTAACGAACAGACATACCATTTTGAAAACCATTAAAACAGCTTTTTTGAACATCAAAGAGCGATTTACACTAACTTTGGTTCCCACCATTGAAATTTTCGAGTTTTTTTGATCAAGGTGGGTTGTTCTCAACATTGGTCTGTTAAATTTTGTTAAGGTTACTGATCTAGGGAGGAAATACATCCCTTGATACTTCAAGAGAAGGAGTTTAGGGCGTCGGTTGAGGAACTGCTGTGCGGGCGGCGCGAAAGTCTGGCTTTGATACTTTTGTCGTCGCAAAATTTCGAGAAAGCGGGTCTTAATTCCCACAATTTACCCTTTTTTTGATTTGAACTGTGGTCATCTTTGGAATACGAAAACGACCTTGCAACAACAAGTTTTGGCTCTTTTCCATCCAAGGAACTTGCGCTTCAATAGAGAGGCGTTTGAACAGGCTTCAGGGGTTTTCAGTATACATAGTGTTCTTATTGTAAGGTCACTGTCATTCTGAGCCCGACAGGTACAAATATTATCTCAATTAAAGCCAAGTCATGACCATACAAGAAGAGCTTGAAAGTACTGGTCTTTCGGACGACAACCGCTGGGGTTCCAGTAAAGTTTTCCAAAACTATTTGATGCCATCTTTGAAATTGTACGATACTCGCGTTTCCATCAACCACTGGCAGCTAAGAGATTGTGTCAAGCACTCGACCAGTAATCCAGGTAAAATTTATTACATTTACGACCATTCTATTCGTGTTCTCGACACAGCGGTCAGTAATTCCGGGACCAGACTTCGAACCCAGAAGGTATCCATTCGCAACCGGAAAAGAAGGAGTTCTTCGCCCAAGCGACCTTCCAAGGAGCAACTGCAATCGCCGTCACGTAAACTCGTCGAGTTCGATTTCAAGTCTCGCTGTTTTCAGGAAAGAAACGGGCTTCTTATTTCTGGTGGTTTGATGGGACCTGAGGACAACGGCAATTGGGGCCAGTTTTTCCGTAATACGTCTTCAACATCAAGCAGGGCTACTGGTCAGACTACTGGGAATTCAGGGGTCGAGCCCATTAGAATCGGAAGCACTTCAGTGCTTTCTGACCACAATACCTACAGTAATTGTGAGACTTGGAAAGGTCTTCTGTCTCTGTACAATGAGGAAAGTGGAACGAGCTTGACATATCGATTAGGTCAATACATCAACAATTGCGTTCTCTTACATCCAAGAACTACTCAACAGTACGATCTTTTTGCATGTAATAACGATGCACATTTGTACCAGTGCGATGTGAGCAATAGAGGCATCGAACTGACGAGAAGATACTCCGATCTCAAGTTTTCGCTTAATAACGCTGCTTTATCTCATGACGGCAAGACTCTGATTACGTCTGGGGACTCCAGCAAATTTGCGATCTATCATCAGAACGAATTAAGTGGATTCTTTTCACTGAGATACGATTCTCAGCCCCAGTGGGGTAGCTCTTTTATCAGAATCAAACGCATTCCGCGCTATGCAATGCCCGACAGGTCTGGATTCGTGGACAACATATATGAAGTTCCTGGAGGAGATCACGGATTTTATACAAGCTTTAGTGAAAACGACATGCTTTTCGCAACGGTTTTTCAAAACGGAACCTGTTGGGTCTATGATGCGAGAAAGATGGAATCTCCAGTTGCTGAGATCAATTCAACACGCAAGTACACTCAAAATGGCGCATTCCGGGTTTGTAAATTCAGTGAGGGGATGGATGACTTGCTCTTTGTCTCTGAACATCACGGACGTGTGCATGTAGTCGATACTCGCAATTTCATGAATCATCAGGTCATCATGATACCAGAGAGTACTATTGCCCCGAAAGGAGACAGGGAACCACTTTTGCCTTCTCGTCGAAGCTCTTTGCCTGCGCAATTGAATGATCCGCATACCACATTTGCTTCAAACATACCTGTCAAGGAACTGCAGCCGCAATTAGTTCCGTATCCGAAAGCAATGAATTGCGCTAGCAATGGCTCAGATGTTGGTAGCGCGAATGAGGCGATTCCAGAACCTGAAAATACTGGACGCCGAAGTAGGAGGTCATCTTCTTTCAGAGTTAGGAGATTTTCGACCTCTTCTAATACTCCCCATGTGTCTTTGGAATCGATTGATCCGTCAATTCTAGAGTCGCGATATTCAGCTCAAAATTATCGAGCGGTTGATAATTACAACTACGTTGGGGAGAATATACGGGCTGGGGCGAACAATGGCATTACGGGCACTACAACTGCTGTTCAAAGTGATGACGTTTTTCTCGAAAATGACGTCGAGGTGGTGGACGCATACAGCGACGCCAGTGATCCGTTATTTCATACGCTAACGTCGCGATCCCGTCCTAATGCAAGTAGAGCCTCACCCACGGCGCTTCAATACTCACGCGGAAGCGACTTATCTGCTAATTCCCATGACGAGAATAATATCTCGGGAATCGATTGGATGGAGGATGAAGATGGCAGCTCTCTAGTCATCGGTACAGACTATGGCATAATCAAATGGAAGATCAATTCTTGGGCTCGCAGGTCGTTCCCAAGCTACGACTTCTGTTAACACTATTTCACACAATTATTTGTTTTTTAGGTCAGGTACAGAGCAAATAGCATTTATTCAAAAGTTATATCAATCAACGACATCAGAAGTACTGAAGTCCGCGTTAACCTCATTATTGTGCTCTAAAACGCTACCCTGGTCACTCTCCTCGGCCGAAGGATGGTCGCGATATTGTGCTTGCAATTCTCTAAATTCGCTTTCATCTTCCAATAAGGCATTTACTCCGATGATTCCTCCCTCGTTAAATATTTCCAAAATGGCTTCCGCTTCTTCAACTGGCATCTCGGCAAAAACTTCGTTAATTTTGTCCAGACTTTGGGTCTTGATCGCATTTTGCATTGTTAAAGGTAATTTTTCGAATGCAGCTATCCTCTTCATTTCCTCAGGATCCTTTGATCCAAAGTGCGGTAGATTGACCTGAAGCTCTGTGGACTCATCTAGAGATTTCAGCTGGATGGTCTCTACACCCTCTTGTGACTCTTCTTCTTGCATGACTTTGACACGATTTTTGATGTGCTCAAACTTCACTTGCACAGAGTCCAGAAATCCTTTTTTACCCTGGTCACTTGCTTTGTTAAAGAACACTCTTTGGAAAAATAGCTTTATTACACCGATCAGTTCTTCAGCCTGCAAATGAGGAATTTTTTTCATATCGTACATTTCCCTGACGTAGCCCAGAAGTTCTGACTGGTGGATTACTTGATAAGTCTTGTCACTTCTGCCTTCCATCTGATATTCGAACGCTGACATCATCAAAGCGTCTTTCTGTTGCTCTGATATGATCTGTAAGTTATTAAGTAGAAACTGCTCTGATTTTTTGACATCTTTGACCGATATATTCCCGAATTCGATAGTTTCTGGCGCAAGCTTCATAACGTCGTCTTCGTAGTTAACAAATTCGAGACGTGGAGGAGGAAGTGAGACTTCTGTACTCTTGCCTGCAGGCAAGTATTTGCTCGCTTCCTCGTCCTTTTCCGATTTTTTGTTGATGAACCCTTTATCAAAACCGGTATGAATATCATCAGAAGATATGAGCGATGTTCTTTCCTTGTATAGCTGTTTCAATTTCTCCTGGGCCTGTTGGCTCACTGCATCGATCTTCTTACGGTGTTCCAAGATCATCTCGCGAATAACGGCTCCGTTTTTGGGGTCTTTGTTAGCCCTCTTGGCGTTGGTTTCCAATTGGTCGAACAAATCCTCCACCATCTCGTTGTAGGGTGGCATATCGGGATCGACATTGTCACCTTCACCACGTTCATTTTTGTCGAAATTGGCATTCAGAAACTTTTGTATAGTATCTCTGTTCAACAGATCTTGATCATTCAATTGTCTCAACATCTTGTCGACCCTCTGATTGAGTCTGGAGTTCATCTCAAGTTGGAACTCCAGGTTCTTGATATCCTGGTTCCTCTTAGCTCTTTCTTCATGGATACTTTGCTGCTTCCACCTAATGAATGACCTTTTATCGACATTAGGATGAACTTCGATGTCAGAGTCATCAGAAAGTTGTATCTTGTCCCACTTAGAGTAGTCAATAGGCATTTTGAATCAATTGAGGCAAATAATAGGTGTAAATCGGTGGTGTTTGGTGATCTTAAAGGTGGAAACTTTGAAAGGAATCAGCATGCAACTTCAATTCCAATATAATCACCATAACATAAGTCATTATTTACGCCTACCGCATTACAGGTAAAGAATCAACCGATTGCTGATCTAGCCATGGAATCCTTTCTTCAGATTTGGGAAGGCCGGGAAATCCATAGTGATCTCTTTGCCAACTTTGTCAGCTGCTCCGTGTTGTCTATGTTTTTCAATCGACAAATGTTATTTCAGCTTCTGATCAATCAACGTTGAGATGGTGTGTTCAGCTGAAAACAGCTTTTAGACGGAAGCCATTAGCGAACCTGATAACTTTAAAATAAGACCAATTGAAGCATCTTGACGGGCTCCCAGACCCTCGCGCTTAGCTCGTGCCAAATTAATTCGTGCCATCTCGCATAAAGGTCGATTTTACCTCAGTAACGATTACCGACCGTTCCAAGGACGAAACTCTCTAACAGCCTTGCTAGCGATAAAAATCTGGTCTCGCGACGTTTAGCCCGTATTCCGAAACAGCGCTGCTGAGATCATTTACGGTCAAAACCACTTTGTTGGCTTTTGTTTTCTCATTTTGCTGCTGCTGCTGCTGAGTGAGCTGTCCTGGTTGTTGCTGGCCCAAAATTAGCTGTCTGGCTCTGGCCTGGCCGTTGTTGGAGTTATGCACTGTAATGGCAGATCTAATGCGGGAGTATTCATAGGCATCCGTGGCAATGTCACTAACAAATTTCTGCGTGGCCAACGCCAGAAGTCTTTTCACTCTCACATCCGCACAATCAAATCCGTTTTTCATAAGGTAGTAATCGATAACTGCATCTGGAATAATTGGCGGATTGTCCTCCATCATGTCAAGTATTTCATTCAAAGTTTTATCCTTTCGAGTGAATTCCGGGATCTCGAATAGGTTACCAGCCCCGTTTTCTAACTTCGGTTCTTGCTCGGCCTCATCATCGTCATTGCCAGGGAATAGCGCTGCATTGTCTATTGGTGCTTCTTCATTGTCATCAAACTCGTTCATTTCCTCATCGACATTCAGTTCGTCGCCCATCGGATCTTGCTCCGTCATTCTGTGATTTATATGAGACGTCGCCACGTAAGAAGCAGTGCAGTGGAACGATGCTAACGGATGCTTACCACTGATCGCTAGTGCTGGTCAAACTTTCAAATCATATGCTGTTAGTTTGATAAATTGAACTTAGTTTTGAAAGTATCACATTGTACGTTGAAGGTTTTCGTGAACCGCCTTGGTTCTCCCATTTTGGTCACTGCAAAGGAACTCCCGTCTTGACTTTGTATAATATTCAACTCTGCTTTCATATGCGCCATGCTTCACGCTCTGTTTCATTTATTTCCAGTGGTTCATCAATACTGTTTATCCTGATGTCACTGCAAAAACAACACTTCGTGGATAACAATTTGTCGAGCTCCTCGAGGCCAACGGTTTCCTTGACTCGATTTTTCATTGCAGCACGTTGGAATGCTTCAATCTTGTTACGGAGTGCGTAGTCGGACGAATTCAAAATTTCTTTCATCAAACAGTCTGTATGGAATGAATGTCCACAGGGAAAGACGTAAAACTTGCGTGTTTGAAGGACTTTGCAGCACACGCCACAAGATGCACCGGGTTTCAGAGTCTGGTAGCGTGTTTTGAGGAGTTCGATATCCTCCACAATTTCCTTCTTAATTTTAATTGATTCTTTGATCCCCTGGGTAACCTGGGTCATAGCCGAACTATGCTCTTCCAAATTTCGAATGAGCTCGTCCTTCACATTAGCGATTGTTGTGATTTCGTCAAATAGCGGCAATAGATCTTTCATCGTCAGCGTGTCATTGGAATCTCGCAAAATAGACTTGATTGTGCTTTTGATATCAGTTTGATCGTGCATCATGGACTTTGCAATCGTCAACCACAACTTACGCCGCAGACGAAAATTGGCGTCCATTTCCAGGCTTGCAACGACCAACTTTGCATCCTCTAGTAACCCTTTCTTTACCGCAAGGTTCACTGCCTCTTCAAATTGCTTTAGCTGAGAAAACAAGTACACGGAAACTCTATTTTTCGAAAACTTGTTACTCAATCGTAAAACAAAATCGCTGTCAAACCGCCCCATGTTATGTTCAATAAATGCTATTATGTCGTCCTCAGTATTTTTGGCATTATGAGATGCAACCATCATGTACAATGCTGCGTTGTAAACTACCGGGTCGAGCGAATGTTGGTATTCAAGCTTTTTGAAACACCACATAAGGTATTTTAATGCGTAGTTTGTGTTGGTATGCAAGGAGCTCATTTGTGGTCCTAACTTTTGATATCTCGCATAATAGGTGAGTAGTGGATTCACAAGCTCCGATGGGTTTATTGATGGAATCTGCATCCATGCGTTCACGGTTGCATCAGGTGAGTTTATGATCAAGGTCGTGGCATATTTGTATATGCATTGAAGATCTTGCGTTGTAATGAGAACCTTCAAGGACTCGTACCAATTTTTCGATCTTATCCAGAAAGATAGCACATATTTGAAATCATTGATAAGTCTTGCAAACGCCAAAACCTCTAATTTTCGATTTTGATGGGACATTATTTGGTAGATTGTTTGTTTGTCAAGGATTGAGACATTGTTTTCAAGGAAACTAGTAAAGTCAGATCTTAACTCGTTTTTCTCGACGTTCAAAGGTTCCAAATTTTGAACATTCTGTTCTGATGATATCAAATCATCGATCGCGTTCAACATTTGTACAAAGTTCCATACTATCCAGTTGGTAAGAAGAATGAGCTGAACTTCATTGTTTGATTTTGCTTTTGCATTTTCCAACTTTGTGAGGAGATAGGTCTGCAGTGATTTCATTGCTGTCGGGTCTTTCATGAATTTCAAAGCAACTTCCCCCGTGCCAATGCTTGTACACCTGCCGTAACTTTCCGCAGCCTCATTTAAGTGGCCTTGTGCAAAAAGATGATCCGCCTTACGAAGGTGTAACTGATTTCTCTCCTCAATGTTCAAATTATCAAGTTGTAAAGCCTCGTCAAAGCGTCCCTGGTTGGAAAAAACTCTCCAAATGCCTTCTGCTTCATCCTGTACAATGATTTCGTAGATGTTGCTGACCGAAAGACACCAAAAGGTGGGCGGATTTTGAGAATAATCTGCGGTCAGCTCTAAGATCTTTTCAGGCCCATTGGTCCAAATAGTCTTTTGTCCAACCACTGAGTTGTTGAGTCTATTGACGATGGTAATCTCGTTTCCTCTCAGAATTAGTACGTGATATTTGGTCAAGAAAATGTCTCTGATCTTGTGCGTCGAAGCGGGTAGTTCAGCAGCCAGCAAAACAGTAGCACTGCTCAAAACATCAGTCTTCCTTGCAACACTTCCGAAAATAACGCCCGGACCACCGATCCAGGCGAATGTGTCGTTGAAAAGGGTCGATCTCGTTCCTGCCGCGGTATCCATTTGCTCGAACTCTTCTATTTCAGGTACACTACCCCCAGCGAAGGTCTTTGTGGGTCCATCAGCTTTGCTCCAAAACCAGATTTTGTCTTTGCTGCTCAAAAATGCACCTTTTTCCTCTGAGTAGATAATCCCATCTATTGATGCCTTGGACCTGAACACCCTTGAAGTTGTGTTTTCATGCTCGAGATCGACCCAATGAACACTTCCCTCTTTGGTGCCACACAAGATGTGTGTTTCATCCACCCAGGCAACCGCTAGGATATCAGTGCTCTTCTTCGAGAGTTTTCTCAAATGTACTATACCATCTGAGCTGTTTGCTGCTAAACTCGCTCGTGAAAGACTGTAGTATTTGGCAAAGTTAGTTTTCAAAAATAGCATCGAGGCCTTAGAATTCATCCAAACTTTCAGAACTTTCTCCTGAGGTGCTGCCAGCAGCGGGAAACGAAATTTCGCAACTTTGGAAGGTGTGGCTAGGTCTATAACGAACAAGTATCCTGTTTTCAGTGCAAAACACATTACATTCTGCTCAACACAGAGTGAAGCAATGTTATTGTCAATCTCCGGAATGAATTGTAGCTGGACATGTTCCACTATCGCTTTCATTCCACCAGGTGTGCTTGTTTCTTGAACTTCTTGTAGTTTCGAAGTTCTTATGATCTAAGGCTTAACTTCTAAGATGGTAATTAGATGTAATATATGGATTATACTAGTTACAATATTTTGACATGGCATCGAAAAATCACCTCGAAAGCCCATTCTTACAGAGGTCCACCGCTGGCAAGACGATTGTTTTCGGAATTCTGAAACGATGAGTGTGAGCGGAATACCCATTAAACTTTTGACAGAATCCCAGGGACATATAGTATCGCTGGAGCTAACCACTGGTGAGCTTTATCGTGGTAAACTGGTTGATAGCGAGGACAACATGAATGCACAGCTGCGAGACGTTACGGCAACTGCCAGAGACGGTAGCGTGACAAGAATGGACCACGTATTTGTTCGTGGCTCTAATATACGCTTTTTCGTGCTTCCCGATATCTTAAAAAATGCTCCCATGTTTAAGCAGGGCCCTGTTTCCAAACCTCCGCCTCCGATCAGGGGTCCCAAAAGGAGATAAATAGTAGCACCGACTACGTCAAATACGTGCACGGCACAAATACTGTATAGTAAGACAAGAACTGATGATTTTTTGGAAGCTTCGCGGTGACAGCCTTTTCCAAGTTGTAATAGAATATACTGTTCATGCTACAAGCTTTAGCGATGCATTACTTTCCATTACTAGAGAAGTCTCGACACACTTGGATACAAGGGCGATGACAGATACTTGAATGTTTCGCTTTAAGGTTTGCGACTGGAAGTCAAAGCTCAGGTCATCGATATTGTTCCATAGTCCAGATAGACGATTTTGATAGGAACTTTTAATTGATGCATTTCACTCAGGGCTACGATTAATTGGCAGAAAGGAAATATCGTGATACGTTTAGCATGGTGAACGCTAGTGTAGTGCCCTTGAAGTATCTGTTCTCCTCCAGAAGTCACATATCTGCTAATGCCTTAAATCTTTTTTTGACTACAGCTACAGGAATTTTTGGAACGACTAGATAGTACCGATTTTGTTCTCAGTAAACAGCCTCTAGCCTCCCATAATCTCCTAAAAGTACTGAATCAAACTGTATGCTTTGGGATCTTCTACAATTCTAAGTACTCTGTTAAGAAGAGATGAGATACGATGCTTGATTTCGTTGCTTATGCTATTAGCGCAGAACTGGTATAATGATACATGTCTCTCCTGTCATGAGATCATGAAGAAACTTGGTATATATTGCGGCACATTTTCAAACTGTTCAAGCATTGCATTACCTAGAGTTTCGCTGATCTGATGGCTAAACAGCCTCTGGCTGAGCTTAATAGGCCTTCATTCAATAATGATTATAAGCTTCCGTCAACTACGATAATAAGCCAGGCAACATCACTATATACGCGACAATTATCAAGATCTCATTTTGAACATGACTACCCACCACCTTTGCATTTACGTTGATCAGCCTTTGACCTTGCCACGACGTTCATATAGGCTAGAAGGAGTCTTGCTCTGTATATTTCTGCTCAAAAGGATGAGCCATGTTTTTTTCAGTCATCAAAAACGTGTAAAACACTCTGAGTCTTTCAGAGTGTAGGACAGAGCAGTGACGGGCACCAGAAGAAAGCTGAGTCCTACAGCTCATGTCTGTAACATGCCGGCTTGCCTAACTAGATCATCACTTAGCAACGCACATTAAATCCAGCAACAACTGAGATCACGTGATCGATTTATTTACCTTTCCCTGACATCAGGTCTTCATTAACCTTACATATTCCAAGTCCACAGCGTTCACTTTTGAAAGCTCCGTTCATACAGCTACCCGAAAGCTTTTGTAGCCATGGTGAACCAGCCTTTTTCCGTTTCAGATCAGGATCTGTGCGATGTGTATCAATTGAAACATCTCGACCCTCAAACTTCCTGGTTAGAAGATTCCAGCGTCGTTTACACTCTGCGAGAACCACAGGCTCTGGAGTCTGTGGACTCATCGTATGCTGTATTGAATGAGCTACTTCGACAAGAACACGAGCATAGCGCAGGAAGGAATAGTGCTATCGAAACGGCAGATCTCCAGGACCCTTTGAACCCAAAATTACGATTAGACGATCTTCTGAAAAGCTCACAAATTCCTCCAGCAGAGCGCTACCGGTACTACATCAACTCTAAAAAGTTCAATTCCAAACTTTATTTACGAGGGTTGCACGCTCAAGATAGTTTCAATGACCTGAGCTCATCTTTGGACCTTCTGGATCGCTCATTGCAGTCACAAAGTAACGATCTCAAGGCCTTGGTCCAGAATAACTTCTCAAAATACGTAAGATCCAAAAACAACTTGGATAGGATTTATGACCAATTTCAGCGGTTTTCATTGGAAGATGATCAAGAGTTGGGAACGGGCAAATTAGGGCTGGCAGTCGACGATACGGTCCAAGAAGTAGCCCTAAAAGTTAAGCCCATTCTTGATACAAGTTCCAAGCTGCAAAATATTCAAGCAACAATAGCATTTGTCCAAGAGAACAAGAAGCTGTTTGATATACCGAAAAAACTTAAGCAATGCCTACTAGATCGAAACTTTCCACAATTAATGATTCACTATCAAGAGGCTCGTTCAAATTATCAAGAACTTTCAGCCAATGGCCATAAATCGCCTGTTTTAGTGAAGGTCTGGGAGCAAATCGAATTTACAATGAACAGTTATCGGAACGTTATGTGGGAGTCGCTTATGAATCTACAATATGGCGAAACGAATGATAGGCTCCTACCACTTGTGTCAAAGCTTCTTGATTTAGATTCTAGCGAAAGTCCGATTTTAGAATGGATCAACAAGAAACTAACGAATTTTGAGTTCAAGCTTAAGGATCTCATCTCGAAGATGTTCACTGCCATCGTTGCCGCGCAACAGAAAGTTGTCAAGACCGTGTCAGACGAAAGCGAAGATCTTAGCTACTATCTTTCCATCGAGCGTTTTGTCGACCCAGCTTTAGCTGAGGTCGCTCAATTGCCCCCAGCAGCAAAATTAGCGCAAGCAAATATGACATTATGCGATTCTGTCGTTATTATCGAGATGTGGCTTCTAATCAAAAAGTACGCCAGTCTGCTGAGCTCCGAGTCTGATTCATTCGTCGAGTTTTGGGAACACGTCGAGAAGTTTATGGATGGCACCTATCGCACATCTTTACTCAATGACAAAAAGAAGGATGACATTTTAGGCACTTACTTTGAAAGTCATGGTAGTTACAAAAACTTCCTTATCTTCAAAGACAGTGATGTACAGGTTATCAGAAAGAGGGGAGAAGACTGTGTCAACATACTGTGCAACGGCCTTGGCAGGCTTTTCAATTCATCCCAGGCATCACTTTTTGGTGAGAACCAAAATGTCAAAGAAACAGGAGAACCTAGCGACTATGGTTTTATTCCCCCCAAAGCCAATTGCCTGGGCTGTTTAAGGTATCTGCCTCAAATCGTTGACCCCATATTCAAATTCACAACAGAAATTGCACAGTTGAGCATATCATCTAATTGTATTGACACTTTGAGAAAGACCGACTCTCTCATTCTCAATAGAACTGTTGCTGCTATATCAGCCACTAGATTAAGAGATCTTTCTGCGTTTCATACTTTTGAAGAAGAGCCCATGTACCGGACTTTTGATGCCCAGGATTACGGAATAACACGCTTCCCCGAGATTATTCATATGTTTCAAGTGTTGAGCATTTCCACCATCAGGAACATTCTGTTTTCCTATGAAAAGCTTCCGGTCTTCAACGGAATATACGTCGTTTCACACCCCTCGCGTCAACTGCTTTCCGGGATAGAAGTGCAGCAAATAGTGTCAATGGAGGCGGTTTTGGAGTCGGTGCTAAAAGACGCCGCCAAAGAAAAGGAAAACCCAAGGACGTCGAAAACTATTCTCACTTTGACAAATCTGCAGTACATGCGGGAACAAATATTCCCCAAAATTCTCCAGTACTTTGATGAAAGCTTTGAAACTCAGCTGGGCAAGAAGAACCTCGAAATATTCACTTTGCTGTCAAAAATGGAGTCGTCGATTTTTGGAAACTACTTATCGGACTTGAAAGTCAGCATTCGAGATATTTTGGAAAAACGGTTTTACGAAATTAACTGGGCAACTTACAGCTCCAATTCATTTCGCGTGAGTGACTACATGATAGAGACTTTGATGGATTTAGTGAGTATTCATAGTGAGTGTTTCCGCATAGGTCCCCAGTTGATAGGTCGCATACTCAAGGAGTCTCAAATTTTCATTTCCAAGTATTTGTTTGAGGCCCTCAAGCGATACATAGGAAACCTTTCCTCAGATGCACTTCTGCAAATTGTGATCGACGTGCAGTTTCTTCTAAGAATGCTTGGCACGCTACTTGAGAAGGAAACCGAGGTGACTTTACTCGCCTGTCTTCACAATTGCTTTCAAAATGACAATAGCAGGCTGCAGAGGTGTATCGATGAAACTGAGCCCATCGTTTCCGCCAACTTAACGAAAACAAGTGCACAGTTTGCAGCTTTCAAGTGATACAGTGATTAGTGGTTGTATAATTCAAACAGACTCGGTGAATATGATCCTAATGTCATAAATGCAACAGCGTAGCTGTACTTAACGAGCCTTAACACTCCAAACTTAATCTTCGGCTAAATTCCCACATCACGCACCTTCAAGACCAGGCTCGTTGGACGCGTAAACATCATCATTACCAATTGAGCAAAACTCTTCCACGTCTCTTCTAATCTGTGCGTTTTCGGTCTTTAGCTTCCTGTGAAGACTCAAAATTTCATCTTGAAGACCTAAAATCTCGCTCAACAACTCCTTTAGCGGCGAAACGGTCTTTGCTTGTGAGTCAAATAGCGGAACTCGATCAAGTTTTGTTTGAAGCGGGCTCGAGAGCTGCGAGCTTGAATCAGCCATGAGTTTCTTCCGGAAGCTTCGCAAGATAAGTCAAGAAAGGTGATGATGAGTGGTGTCTAAAGTGAATTGAACTAAAGATTACCTAGAAGATACGTTTATAATGATGCTGTCTGCTTAGGAAAGGCTCAGTTGATCTTCAACGATGAGTTCGTTGAGGCCTTGAGCTTTCGTAGCCTTCATCAATTCTCAGCACGCTTCCTCAGGGATCCAACGTTGTACAGAGGGAAAATGTCTTCGGCTTCCGTGTTTGCCAATGGGTTTTCCACGAGGTTGTCAATAATGTAATTGTGAAAGCTTATGTTTCTCTTCCCGTCCACAGAGAACTCAGAACCATCCCAAGTGATATACGCAGCGAGTTGCTCGTCCTCTGCTTCACTGTGGTCAAGTGTAACCATTAGCGTGTTAGCCGAAAGCGCGCTGGATAGTGATACTATGTTGAGCGACATTTCGATTGTCTGCACGAGAGTCAAGTTACCAACCAATGGATCAACTTTGCAAATGAATAATGCTTTGGTTTGCTCGACAAAAAATGCCACGTAGGGAAGGTTCGAAAATGTCACCAGCTTTGACACAGCGTACTCAACAATGGAATTGGACTCGTCTTGGAACTTGCTGGGTGCCAGCTGAGCATCTCCTAGGTAAGGTTCTAACAGTTCACCAATCTCTAGTTTATCCATCAGCTCGCCTGTTTGCCAATTCCACGCACTTACAAAAGTGTCACCGCCAGCGCTGAAAAGAAGATTATTCGCCCATTCTGGGACGCACAATGTGGAAATGAATTGTTTAGAGCCAAAAAGCCATTTGTCGATAATGTAAGTTTGAGGATAGCGCGTTATTCTAATGTGTTCGTCCCTGTCGGCGGTAACAAGCAGTTGTTTCCCCTCTGCGTCCTTGACAATTGCCACAGCTGTGAGTAGCGAAACGTGGCCCAGAATTGGCTCCAGACCACCGTTGGAAGGGTCGATGACTTCTGTGCTGTGAGCATCAACAGCGTATACGTCTCCAAACTTGTCTGCAACAAGCACATCTTTGTCGTCAGCAGAAGTAGTGAGCGCATTAGGTCTTTTCGGTAGTGGTTGGCGTTTTCTGAGTGCTAAACAGTTATCCTTTTCATAGTCAAGTTCAAAAATGACAAGAGCTTTGTCAGAGTCTGCACAGGCGAAAAGAAGTTTCTCATCCGTTGATAACGCCAGGTTGCGAATATGGTTATACACACGGGGAGCTCCAGCTCCGGGAACTGGCACTTTTGCTTCTTTGGGTTTGCTGGAGGTTTTGTCACTTTTTTCGGCTGACGCTGCTGCATCTTCGTTGTCAAGTTTACGTCTTTTGGCTTCGTTTTCGGCTATTTGACGTTGCTGCTCTTCCGAAACCGTTTTTTTGATAGTCAATGTCTTATCCTGATCGTCTTGCCATTGACCTATGGCCAGAAACTCGCTCATCGTTGAGTCCCAACGAAATACCTGGATCATGTTCTTTATGATGCAAAACACGACCGAGCCGTCACGGCTCATGGCGGTGGACTGGATTGGGTGCAGCATCCTTATTGGATCAAAGAGCCTAGTGGAACCCTAGCGGAAACAACAGTGTCGAATTGAGCTTTTCGAGATGTTTGTTTTCAGAATTCAAGCTCATCTCATCGCCTAACTTTCTTCAATTTAGCTCTTATAAGCACCAGTAATGTCAGAAAATTTTAGATCGCCGAAGACGAGTGACGACAGCGAAGTAGATGTCGAGTTAAGAGCCATTTTCGAAGACCTTGAGCTTTCTCTTCACTTGAACAATCCAACCAGCTTTGACTGAAGCTTTTCTTTCAAGCTGCCTTTGTTTTTTGAATGTTTTTCGAATTGCTTTGTTGGTCCGATAATGTGGCACCAGTTTCTCAGTAGAAATGATTTTATCAATTGCTCTGACTTGGAAGGGCCACTGAGAAATATGCTGTGATTTAGTGCCACTGCGGGCATCGAGTTCTTGAAGAATTTGTTTGTTCCAAAATTGTTGTGGTCCCATTTAATACACTGACGCTGTGATTCTTGAAGACGATATTTTGGACGGAGAAGTAAAATTCAATTCTCCTTTCGACTGTTTTTCCTGTCTTCAAGAAAAGGAGAAGAGCTTCTGATAGAACGTTCGTTGCGGTTTTCAATGGCCAAAATACAGCACATTTATTTGGTCTTGCCCATTGAGCTAGAGTTGCTAAATCAAAAGGACTTCCCCGCTTCGATAAACAAAGCTTTAAAAGAGGAATTGTGGGGTCAAATCTCACTCGTCCGCAGTTCAAGCTTGGATGTCCAAACTACTTGGAAAACCGAGACTCATTTCAAGATGGCGCCAGTTGCCACTTTCAACAACTAGGAAACACAAAATTTGAATTTCAGCAAGCCAATAATCACCACAACTAGCTGAAAAAAGTTAAGGCCGTATTTCAACCACTTGAAAGCCAATACTATGAGCTTACCTTGGATGACAGTGTTCGTCACTTTTTTCCTACTTCACTTCCAGTCTTCACTGACGCTGAAATTTTTCAGCATCTCCGGAGAAAAATATACCTCGCATGCTTCTCGAGATGAGTTCAACAGGCGCGATGAGCTGACATCTGGTCGAGGAAATAAGCCGTCAAGTGAATTGTGGAAGACTGTAACATGACTCGTGAACAGATCGAGTACATTAAAGATGGATGGTTTCGTGAAATCCACGAAACAAGCTTTCCAGGACAGGGATTGGAGCTCAAAGTTGAGAAGATATTGTATCATTCGAAAAGTGAATTCCAAGACATTTTGGTATTTCAAAGTGCCAGTTACGGCAATGTTTTGGTTCTGGATGGAATCATACAGGCCACAGAACGGGACGAATTTGCGTATCAAGAGATGATATCGCACATTCCTCTTTATGCACATAAAAATCCGAAAAACATCTTGGTAGTTGGCGGCGGTGATGGCGGTGTGCTTCGGGAGGTTGTCAAACACGAGTGTGTCGATACTGTGACTTTGGTGGAGATAGACGAATCGGTAATAAAACTAGCCAAAAGATACCTTCCAGGAATGGCATGTGCATTTGACAACGAAAAGGTCAATGTAAAATTGCAGGACGGGTTCCAATATCTCCGAGACATGGCACAGACCGAGCAGCGATACGACGTTATCATCACTGACTCTTCAGATCCGGAGGGTCCCGCAGGCGCGTTTTTCCAAAAGGACTATTTTCAGCTTCTGCACAGTGTGCTAAATGAAAACGGTATCGTGATAGCTCAGGCCTCAGAAAACATGTGGCTAAACCTGGACTATATTTGCGATCTTGTAGCGAGTGCAAACTCTGTTTTTGCACAGGTCGACTACTGTTATACTACGGTCCCCACATACACGTCAGGCCAGCTGGGTCTGATAGTTTGTGCCAAAAATGGCACCACAGACTTGAAGCACGCAATTCGTCAGCCATCCAAAAAAGAGCAGTCTCAGATGCGTTACTACAACGCACTGATGCACTCAGCATCATTTGTGTTGCCCACCTGGGCTCACCGCCAAGTTCATAGATCACGTAACCCATAGATCAATACCGAATTATTCGAATGTATCTATCCAAAGATGGCATCCATAGCACTCGATTTCTTCTTCTTTTTGCTCTTCTTGTTTTTGGTCTTTTTCTCAACGTCCGGCGTTCGCACCGAATGGTCTGGTGGCATTAGCGATATATGCTCTGGTTGTTCCGTATGTGATACCTGTTCTTGAATTTCGATCTCTTCGCCTAGTTCCTCGTCCGCCATTAATCCCATTTGAGTGCTGGAAATTTTCGGTGGTATCGCAGCAGAAGTTTTTTTGAGCAGTCCGGCGGATTCGAAGTCTGGTTTGTAATTCTCGAAAATGTCATTGTAGAGTGCGTTGATCTTAGCCAGTATTCCAATAAGCACTACTCCCAATGTGACAAATTGACCTAGTCCAACCACACCGTTGAAACTATAGTACATACGAGGCAATTGACGTTTTCGCAGTTTTTCTAGTAGACTCCACAGCATGATCGCTTGAGGCTTTTTCAACTTGTCCTTCTGAATCAGTGTCAGCACCTGTCCAGCACTTCGCTTCAGTTCGTTGAAATGTCTCCACCAAATAGCCATTCTATGCTGGTTCTTGTTTCTATGATAGATCAAAATTATATACCGAAGCTCCTGATGAAGCTGGTGAACTAAATTGAGGTCTTTAGAAACCATTTTCACAGGTTTTTAAGTTTTTGTCTTACGGGTGGTGCTGTAGGCGATGAGATGAGCTTTAAATTAAACTAATAAACATAAGTTCTTAAACATATCTCACTTCTGTCAACAAAAAAACCTAACAGAAAACAGCGTCAAAAGCTTTCTTTTCAGGTCAATAGGTGTTTCATCCTTCAAAGACTTTGGATCTTCTTACTATTCTGTCGCTAAACGTCGTCCTGAGATGAATTGAGGGGGTTCTTTCGAGCCATAAAGATTTCTGTTAGTGTTTATGTTTGGGCTGTCGCTGTCGTTGTAGCCAGCTATTCTTTTTGTGATCCTACTCGTTTTTGCACCATTGTATCATTCGGAAAACTATAAAAGAGAGACCTTTTTCCAGGAAGTACGTTTAACATCTTCCCACTTCTGTTTTAGATCTACCATAAATCTGCTCGATCCAGGCGATTATCATAACCAAAGAATAATATCCAAAACCAAAAAAAATAAGCTACCTCAGCTATTACACTTAGTATGTCATACCGGAGACCTCCTATGCCTTTGCCTGAGGAATTTGAGTCTTTGCATATCAGCAACATAACACCACATGCATCGCACGAATTGCCCGACTTGATGGGTCCTTCAGTGCCCGCCAGACGACCACCCGCTCTACCACCTAGATCCCTGGGACTTACAACTAACTCAGATCCTCTTTGTCCTTCCAGACTAATTACAAGTGAAATGTCAGCTTCAACTCAAGCCGACAACATCTTCCAAACACCTATCTCCACCGATGCTCCTCTCGGGACCTTTTCGAAGGTCTCACATCCAGTTCCATTACCCGCTAATACGGCTACCAACGGCAAGGCTACTGAAACTAATAAGTTTTACGGTAACATGCTAATCGGCGATCAGACGAACCCTGCATGGACTCATCCTTATTCGTTTTATTGGTCGAAGGATGCCTACCTTGGTATGGCTGTGTCATACGTCAGCGCTTCTCAACGAGTCTTTGGCGGTGGCAACCCACCTGAATACTTTTTCGGTCCCGCCGGCATAAGATCTTTTGTGTACGGCGCGGTTGATTTTTCATCTGCTAACCAGATGTCGTTGGGCTTCACGAACTTGACGCATTTGCAAGCTCACGTCAAAGTGACGAAAAATCAAAACCAGTTTATCCTGGTTCCGCTTGTTCAAGGTATGGGCTTTGCCACAGCAGTGTACTACAACATGATTCCAAAGCTTTTTTCGCCAATAGGTTACAAAAGCGTTGTTGGTGTAACGTCACCTCGTTCTGGAATCCAAAAGTACAAGATCGTATTAGAGAACAACGTCACTTGGTCTCTTTACGTTACTGTTCCCTCAGGCCAATCCCTTGCCTTGGCGTTGGCCAACGGAAATCAAATTGTGGGCAACAAAAGTGTTAACGGGTGTATATTCCAGCTTGTGCCTGACACCAACAATGCCATTGATGCAGCTGCCGGCTGCTATCCAAATAGTGGGACTTTATCTGGCTCTGTGTCTGGCACCACTGGCCAGTACACCATATCATATGGCTTAAGTGGCTCGAGCAACGGCGGAAAGACCTTGATGTATGCATGTCCTCACCATGTTTCGTCTTTTACATCAGCTATGGCAAGCAGAAGAATCAATTCAAATCTTGATTCTGTGACGATGGGCAGAATGACTGGTTATTTGACCAATAGTTTTGAGTTGCAAGTCAATGTCCCATCGCAGGTCGGTTTCGATCCATTCTCCACCATATCGGGTAAGTCTGGTCCCAATTATTCTGCCGACGTTTTGAACGCTATCAGAGCTGCTGCACAATCCGAAGCAAACGGAAATGTGGTCAATGAGTCCAACGTTGACTCGATGTACTTTGGTGGCAAAGTCCTTGCAAAGTATGCTTGGACACTTTACAGCTGTCAGTACGTTCTAAAAGACTCAAACTTAGTACATACCCTTTTGGCAAACTTGAAATCTGCGTTTTCAAGATTCACAAACAATTCGCAGATCTTGCCACTACGGTACGATACTACATGGGGTGGAATCATTTCATCTGGTAGCTCTTCTCAAGATTTCGGGAACTCCTACTACAATGACCACCACTTCCACTATGGATACCATGTCATTGCGGCTGCCATAGTTGCCAAAGTTGACCGCGACAATGGGGGTAACTGGCTGAGTCAGAATAGGTCGTGGGTAGAAAACCTGTTGAGAGATTATTCGAACACAAACTCTGCAGACCAATACTTCCCCGTTTTCAGATCTTTTGACTGGTTTGCAGGCCACTCTTGGGCAAAAGGTCTTTTCCCCAGCGGAGACGGTAAAGATGAGGAGTCCAGCTCTGAGGATGTCAACGCCGCCTACGCCGTCAAGCTGTGGGGTAATGTCACTGGAAATCGGAACTTGGAAAATATTGGTAACCTCGAACTTGGTATTATGCAAGGTTCCCTAAACAGCTATTTTCTGTACCTCGACAACAATACTGTTCAACCTGCTCAGTTCATTCCCAACAAAGTTAGCGGGATTCTGTTTGAGAACAAGATTGACCATACCACCTATTTTGGAACTGAGATACAATACATTCAGATGATCCACGCCATTCCCATTACGCCGATATCGAGTTTTATACGCTCACCCACGTTTGTTCAACAAGAATGGAACGAAAAACTTGCCAATATTGTGAACAACGTACAGGACGGTTGGAGAGGTATCCTTATGCTGAACTTGGCTTTATCAGACCCTCGTTCCTCTTATTCTTTCTTTGCAAGCTCTTCCTTTTCTAATAACTATTTGGATAACGGACAAAGTAAGACTTGGTCATTGACTTATTCAGGTGCCTTCATATGAATATCTCGACTGACCATTTGAATCAAATCAAGGATGCCGCTGAACATTGCTGTATATAGATCTGTGTAAGCCGTTGTAGTTTTATCGAGCTTTCCGATTTATTTTCGCTGTCATCTGTCGCTGGCACTACTACTTATTATTTCAACCTGACGAGAATTGATCATCAAAATGTTGACAGAACATAACAAGGCAAAGAGAAAAGATATCTAGACTCAAAACAGCTTAAAAAGAGTGCCAAAAAAGCCAAAAGTTGAAGTTAAAGCCCACTAAACCTAAAATGTTACTCAACTTTACCTTTTACATCTTTTCTACCAAGACTTTCGTATATGATGATCTTTGAAATAAGACGTTTATTTAACTTTAAACTAACGGGCCAAACTTTGTTCAACCTTTAAAGATTTCCACAATGACACCATTGTAGCCGGGTCTGGGAGCCAATGTCAGACCTTATTGAACTACAACGGAACTGTATGTGAATCGTCACCAAGAATTGCATTTTGAGACTTCAAGATAGAGCTCGATCAGAACTAACTCTCTCCAGATCTTTTATCGTTCATCAATGAAATTCAAACGGAACATAATTTGAAATTCCTCATCATCGATGACACTGTTGATGCCTTGCTTGATACTCTTTTCGCTGACAGGAGTACACTGCTCCGTGTAGTGACAGCTGTCGACAAAATCAACTCGTCTAAAAGGAAAGGTCAACCGTCTGTGGAAGCGATATATTTACTTGAGCCCACGAAATTCAACATCAATTGTATGGATGCAGATTTCAGCAATAGACCGGCCAAATACAAGAGAGCTCATGTCAGATTTTTGCCGGGGTTCAACGATCATCTGGTGCGGTTTTACGATTCAAAAAGATATCTCCCTCAGTACATCGGCACCTTGGCAGAAGTGCAGTGCTCTTTTCTGCCCAAAGAATCAATATTTTTCCAGACAATGGGCATTGATCAGTCACTTCAAGTGTTTTATAATAATGCTTGCACGGACCTGGTAGAGAGGAGCATTACGAAGACGGTAAATGCACTGTTAAATCTTTGCATCATCACGGGTGAATACCCAACAGTGCGCTATTCACAACCATCTTCAGAGACTTTTGCTAGTAGTCCCTCCACAATGCTTGCCAAAAAGCTAGCTTTCGAGTTTCAAGAGGCAATTGACGACTATGCCAGAAAGGACGAAAGTTTTCCTCCGCCTTCACCAAGGCCTCGTGCTGTACTTGTCATAACCGAGCGTTCTCTTGACCCCTTCTCTCTTTTCTTACACGATTTTTCATATCAAGCGATGGCATACGACTTGGTGCCTGAGGTTGACACGAAAACAGACGTCTTCCATTACTTTGCAGAGAATGAAAAGGGCGAGAAAGAAGAGAAGTTTGCAAAGCTACGCGATCTTGACGACCCCGACTGGGTGGAGTTGAGACACCAACACATTATGGATGCCACAGAATATCTCAATGCTAAGGTCAATGAGCTTATTGCTAAAAATCCCTTGTTGGTCGATCGTGCCAATGTCAAGACTACAACAGACCTACTCAGCGTTGTGGCTCATCTAAAAGACTTTGATGAGGACAGAAGACGTATTACATTGCATAGAACATTGATTGATCAGTGCCTAAAGGTAAATGAGGAACGAAGGCTAGCAGAGCTTGCTGATTTCGAACAAGCTATGGCCGGTTTAGGACTGGATGCAGAAGGTCACAAGTTTAAAGCGCCCGCTGAAGCTCTTCTCGAAAACCTATTGAGTAAAACTGCAAACATAACTGACAAAATTCGGTATATTCTCATTTATGCTCTCTACCGAGGAGGACTGATTGCGGAAGACTTTATCAAGCTTTTATCTTTCATAGGCATCTCATCTGGCCACTCATTTTACAAGCATTTTATGACACTCTTCGTTAACTTCCAGTATCTGGGTTTCAAGCTGGTAAAGGAAAAAGCGGCGGATAAACCCTTCAAGAAAGAATGGTTTCACGAAACCATTCTCAACGACCCTAATACTTACAACACATCTCGTTTCGTGAACGTGGTGAGTAACAATCTGTCAAAGGTAATTACAAACCAACTCCTATTAAGTGAGCAGGCCTTTCCTTACGTGAAAGACAAACCTATCGAAGCTCTGGAAGAGGATACGGTCGATGATGGTACGTACAGCTATTCGTCAACTTCCCTGAGAAACCCTCGGCATAAGGCCTCATGGACTCGGAAAAACTCTCAAAATAGAGCGCCAAGACAGAGGTTCTTCTATTATAGCATCGGTGGATTGACTCACGCCGAACTGAGATCCGCCTACCTTCAATCTCAGTTGAAAAACAAAGACATTTACATTGGTAGCGATGCCATTTTATCGCCTCTTGACGTGATGCAAAGCATCGAAAAGCTGAGTGAACCAAGGGAATATCTCAATTTGAGCTTTGACCGCAAGGAGAACGAAACTGCTCCCAGCTTTCTGTTTGATAGAGCAATTGCACCACCAGTTGCTGCCCAGCATCTCCATAAAAGCTCGAATCAGCGATCCACTGCGGATGCACAGCCTGTGATGCCCGCACCACCTCCACAGGAGAAAAAACGCTCGAAACTTTCAAAGTTTCTGAGATCAAAGTAACCATATCGAATGAGAAGATAGTTCCTGTAGCCATTGATTCGTAGTCGTGCTTTCGTATCATATCGGTACACTGGTTGTGCAAGTTATGTAGTTAAAGACTGTGTTTTCGCGCTATGTGCTCCATTTTGCGTAAAGCTTTGGGAACCTTTCCTCGACTTTCCTGCTGTGGAGGAGATGATGCTCGTGGATTGCGCGGTGATAGAGTGCCCGATCTGGTTTTCTTGATTCCACTGGTAGATGTCTTTTTGGGAAGAGAAGGAAATTGTTGGAAAGGAAGTGACGATTGCGTAGAATTGAAGGCCCATTGATTTTGACTAAGAGGCACAACGTTATTTCCTTCACCGATTATCCCATTATGGTGATTGTAAATAGATGCTTGTGAATTCAGATTTTCCAAAGTTTCTGGATGGTCTGAGAATTGGTTCGTAACTTGCGGATATCTGTGATGGTGCTCATGATCGCCACGTTTGGGAACAATGGGACCCCAATTATCATCTTGATCTGTCAAATGCCTTTTTCTGGTGTTTCCAATAGCTGATTCTGACTCACTCAGCATTGTTTTCACTAATTCTGTGTTCTTGCGAGCACTGCTTACCAGCCTGTTTTCTTTGCGAAGGTGGCTGACTATGTTGCTACTCCTGTCGTTGTTCAGCTCGTTGGATATCAAATGATCCATCGTCGTGTCCTGACGTTCGGGACTTTCGTCCTTTTCGTCCTTTTCGCCCTCAATGTCTTGATCTGCTTCCAGCACATCTGTTATTTCACTTTCTGCCTTGTAAGCAACACCGGCTGTCTTTAATTCATCATAATCCATGCTGATTGCCTCCAAATACCGTTCACTCACCAGATCGATTCTCCCTTTAGCGAAAGCACTTTCGTCATGTAGATAATCTTTAGCTGCTTTCTTGATTCGTCTTTCGATGACTAGCCTCTTCAAGCTCAGATCCTCTTTATCCAGGTTGTCAACTATCTCATCTCGAAACTTAAGAAGCTTGTCAGCTTCTGAGTTCCAAGTACTTTGATCTAGTTCTGAGCTCATTGCCATGTCGAAATGCTTTTGACAAGATCTTGGATACTCTTAAGTTTGGAAACTTTGACCTTTGACTATAAAAGCTGTTACTAGCAGCGAGCACTTGACTTTATTCAATGTAGAAGGTACATGTACTAGTCTATAAATCGTGAGAAGTAGGAGTATTCTTCGAATCGGGTCCAAGAATATGAGTTCTAACGAACTGATACTACTAGACGGCGATGGTGGGAAAGTGTCATTAGGATATATTTCAATGGTTCCCGAGACAGTGCTGAGATTTCAGGCGAGTTGTTTAATTTGTGCATTTGCTTCATGGAAACCATTGGCTTTGCACTGTCAATTGGAATCCAGCGAGTCTCTCTTTTCCCTCGTAGTCGTAGACTCTCTCAACTGGATAAAGTTCAATTCCAGACAGACCTTTACCGATAGAAAGGATAGACCTGGGTGAGTAGAATAAGGTGGTCTGAGATTGCGGATACGCGCTCACGATTCTCTCGAAGTCCTCTTGCGAATCCACACATCCTGAGATGTATCGCCTTGCACTGCTTGGATTTTTCACATTGAGCTCGTAGGACGTTGAAATGCTGCGGAGAAGAGCATCATTGTCTATGGTGTCTACTTTACCTTGACAAATGTCCGAGTCTGAGTCGTCTTGGTCGTCACCCATTGCATATGAATCGTGGCAGGCAATCCCACCCCATTCGCATTTGGCCTGCTTCGGAAGCTCAGTCACTTGCACTATGATCAAAGTTTGAGGATCTTCTGTAGTCTTGTCAAACCAAGCCTCTGAGATATTCGCCATTTCCTTGCAATACAGCGACCATACTCTCGCAACAATGGGCACCATTCCGCTCTCGGAAACGTAGCAAACTGCACTTATTTGCCTTTCGGCACCGATGGTTCTTTTCAGCGTATCGAAATGGCGCAAAGCAAGAACCGCCTGTGAAAGATTTTCTTCTAGCTTGGGACCCAGCGATCGCGCCATCTCCATTGTGGCAGGTACCAATGCTATTTGCCCACTGATAAAGCACACCCGATTGAGATCTTCTTTTTTCCAAATCGCTTGCGAATAAGGTCCTATGTTGCATGGAGCCCAGTAGGAACGTCCCTGTACGTGCAAGCCATCTTTACTTTGGTTCAAAGCCATACCATTGTGTTTTTCAATTGCAGCTTCTGTGTCAATCACCACTGAAAGCTGAAGAGTTCTGTCTTTACCGATGAGCTCACTACCAACACATGCCCTTGACGGTGGCAGTGGACCATTGTCTCGTACCCGGAAGAACTCATTGTAGAGTAAGTTCACAGCTGAAAAATCTGTCATTTGCTCCAAAAGAAGAGACGAGGACATGATTTGACTTGCAAACAGTCCATTTTCCTTCAAAATTTCTCTCAGCTGTTTGAGAACATCCTGCGTTTTAGATTCCACCGTTTCTCCAGCTTGTGGAGTTAAATTTGACACAAATAGTAGATGCCCAATTCTGTTGACGGAGGTTTGTGGTGAGTGAGATGAGATCGATTGTGGTGTAGACTTCAATTCTGGCCTTTCTAAAACACCAACGCTTTCCGCCAACTCTAACCAGCGAGCTTCTAACACAGGAGGAATTGGCAGGTCTGAAAGTAAGTCCTCTGTCGTCTTCAGGCATTCGCGCTTCACAAACTTCACCCCCATTCTGGCGCTATATACGCCGTCGGAATTTTCAGTGCCCTCAATGCTCAAAAGATGCGGTTCCAGATATCCATACCTGAAGAAGGGAGCGTCAAATACCATAGTCTCGAACTCTCCTCCTTCGCCGCAGATATGCACTTCAAACCTTTCATTCAGTCTTTGCAGTAGAGGGAAGACTTGTGGTAGAGATTTTCCAAGAGATGATCCATCAAGCCCAATAGCGGCGGTTTTGATCAATCTGGCATCCATTTTGGGATAGGCATTTTCGTCGTGCTGTTTGGACATTAGGCACATTTCACTCATCAATTCTTTCTGATCCCGCTGCCACAGGTAGCTCAAAGAAATGAGACCCAAACGGGAGCATACATCTTCCACTCTGGTTCTTTGATATGATGATAAAATTGCGCCAGCATTGACAGCTTCAAGACCAGGTATCTGTCTTTTGGCGATGACCAACAGTTCTAGTAGATCTTCGATTTCATCAGCATCCGTAGGGTAGTAGTTTAAAGAGACATTTCTCGATGTTTCTGGCTGTATAGCTCGACGTATCAATGGAAGTTGAGTGCATTGTTGGTACCATTTCACAAGATCATGTCCCACTGTTTGGAACATGAAGCTATTCAACTCTTGTTGGTCTTCATCACAGGGATATAGGTTACCCAAAGCCACAAGTTCATGACCTTGTTTGATGCTGTGAAGAATACTGTAGCAGGAGTCCTTGCCTCCCGAAACCAGCGCGATGAACTTCATGCGATTGTTGTCTTGCTCGGATTATTTGATGATGAGTTCTAATTATTACTGAGATGCTTAAAAGACTCTCGAGAATATCGCTTGTAGATCAACTAAGTCAGTGAAAGAAATCAATGCGTAGTTTTCTAATCCTTGTTTATCTTATTCTTGAGTAGTCTATATTCGTTACTGTACATATATCGTATGCTGATCCGGGCTCTTTCGAGCCAGTTTTCGATGTTTCGTTTGTTTGTTGAAATCAGATAGAATTGAGAGAGCTGTGTGCAGTGCTTGACTTTCAAGGCCATCAACCTCATAGATCTTAACTCGAATGATGGGTCATCCTGAATACTGCTGTTTACAGGTCTCGCATCTTCTTTCAAAATGAACATCTTTTAAAGTCGTGCTCCAAAAGCTCAGGTCTCAAGCAGTTTTTGGTTTGCCCAAAAGCGACTGCCATAGAGTTTTCGCCACAGCAATAACTAGAGGGAACCCGTTGTCTGCTCTCACCGCGTCACCATTTTCCTGGAGTCTTCTCAGTAGGTAGTCCTTGGTTTCCGCAGGAGGACCCCAAGGAACATACTTGATCAAGTTCTTAGCCTTATGGTTGACAATCAGGTCGTTAGTGACATTGTCTGACATACCGAGCAATTGACCCAACACTACGTTGGCCTTGCCAATTTTACCGTCTTGTCCGTTGAGAATGTGAGTTGCAAGCTTCTGTGACTTGTAGTTGTGAGAAGCGACCACAAGGTGGCCATAAGTTGAGTCTTGGCCCTTGGCTAACAGATCGTTGATAACATTGGACATGATGGTGTTGAAATTTTTGTCGGTACCGGCTTGGTCAGGGAAAATGATAGAAGCACGGTCTGGCTCAGAGTGGATGTACGCGCCACGAACGATTTTCAAACCTAGTTTGTAACCTTCCTTTTCGGCAAGCGCATAGTCTTTTTGGAGATCAGCACCGGAATCTTGCAAGTACAATTGCCACGTTCCTACACAGGACACCATGCTGGAGGACTTGGGGTTGAACTTCTGGAAGAGGATGCGTTGCAGTTCGTAAACACCGCTTTTCTGCAATGCGTACTTCTCAGCGTCGATGACAGAGACGAAAAATGGCGTTTTGCGTTCTGGATACTGCTTGGCAAGCTGCTGGTTCAAATTGAACACCTCTTGGGTGATCTTGGTACAGTTATTGATAAGCGAGTTGCGTTGTTCTTGCCATTCTGGGTCGTTGAAGTTCAATAACGTCTGGTATGGGTTGGAGACAAGAGCCGAAGGCTTCAAAGCGATGTATCCCGGTGGGATACTGTTGACATCCGAAGCTTTGGCTAGCTGCTCAACCAAATGGGGCTTGAGGATCTCGTGGATCGATCCAATGGTCTCGGACACAATATGGTTGATATCGATGTTTTTGGTGCCTTCTGCGTCCTCGATAGTCAACGACAGCATCATGTTGTTGATGCCTCTGTCCTGAAGTCTTTTACCTGTTTCCCACACCTCTTGGAAATTGTCACCGCCGCAATACAACGACGAAACTAGCAGTTTCATGGCCCAGATCGGCACAAATGGGAATATCTTCAACACCAGGTTTAACATGGGCTTACTGATAGTTGCAAATCCAATGACACCAAGCGAAATAAGCTCTTTTACCGAGAGCTGGCTGAGATGTGCACTATTGGAAGGCGTCACAGCTTCAATCTCGGCCAAAAACGGACTGGCTGGTGCTGCGTCTGCCGATTTTTTGTTCATTGATGTATTTGCCATGTATCTCATCGCAGGAGCGGGCTTTACACCCAAGAAGCGGCCACTTCTGGTAACTCCTCTAATCAAATGTTTGGTGTTCAGCATATTTTCAAAACGTCTACAAATAGGTAGTCTTCAAACCTCTGTCAAACTAGTGCTGATACTACAATGACTGATTGGTGTTCCAACTACTCTTATGATGTTGACTTTATTTCAAGAAGGAAAGTTCTAAAATCTACCGGTAAAACCGCTGTTTATATACATTTCACCAACCCCACAAGAACTTGAAGATAGATAAACAGGTTTACGGGTTTTATCGCACAAATGTGGTCTTACATCGCTCGCCATGGTAAGTGAACTGGGTTTATCATTGAAGAACTGGTATCGGTATCTGAGGCAGCAGATGAGCCAATAATTAAAAGATCGGAAACCCAGGTCCGGGTCACGTGATAGAGAGATGACGGAGCTCGTTTTGCAAGTTTAATCGGATTTTAGGGCAATGATTGGAACCGGTGAGGTGCTATTTCTTTGGAAACAACAGTCGCTAGTTGGAAAGAGACTTTTGTCATAATTCCAGTGTTTGTTTTCGCGCTGAAACTCCGAATTTTTTGAATATTTTTTCGAATAACATAAGTTTCTGAATTTGAAGCAAAAAAACGGGATATTCAAACCATTATATACCCCTTTGAAAGGCTTTTTTTTAATGGCTTGACACTTCGCTATGCAAGGTTCGGTCCGCTTTCATGCGTAAAGAATCGTTAGTTCATGGATTCCATAAAACTCGATCGCACTATACGGGTATGTCGCTAGCGCTCGGAAATCGAAGTCCGAGGTAGCAGTGGTGTCAGCGACAGTAAAAGAACAACCAGCTTTATTCCTCTGTACTTGTCATTGTTACTTCATGCATTGTGTTTATCTACAGGCTCATTATGCGTTATGTTTATCTACAGGTTGAACCATAAAGTCCGCCACTCGGGAGATTAGTTGTCCAAACTCTTGGCGAGTGATTTCTCCGCCATCAGGCTTGACGAAATCCACTTGTTTAAACCGGCCCCCGCGAGACCCACCGTTGATGTCCGAAAACTGCACCAGGTATTCGTCGTCAAGTCTCAATTTCAAAATGCGATGATATCTGACATTCACGTATTCGAAAACAACGGGCTCAGGTGCGTCACGGTCTTTGAAATGCAGGTTGAATGTCAGCTGCTTGGGTACCGACAGCTTTTCGCCCTCTTGGAACGTGAGACGAGCCCGCAGGAGAAATTCTTTCAACCCAGGTTGCTCTTCGAGCCAGCTGTGCGGAGCTTCGTCATACGGTCTGGTCACTTCTACAGTGCGATCCATTGTAACTTTCATATCATGCGATAAATGGGGCGTCTCCAAAAGCAGATTTCTCTCCTCAGTGTGCAAGAGGCACCGTAACGAACTGTTAATAGCTTTATCGTTGTCGTCGAGCTCGAACCACAGTTCCAATGGCGGAATGTTTCGAGCATGCACCGAGCTGTCGATCTTGGGGATTAGCTTCATTTGAACGTAATACTCGTGTTGATCAACAGTGTATAATTCGTCCTGTGTGGCCAAACCATCGTAAAGTGGTAGCTGCATCAGCTTTGGAACAATTCCACCCACTTTCGACTGGAAAATAGTGGATGTTTGTGATTCGTTGGTCAAAATATGGCCCAAAGTAACGCTCCACGTTTTTACCCCCGGAGTGGCCGCAGCATCTTTCAACTCTGGGACACCATTGGTCGTCGTTCTTTCAGTCATATCTTTGAACAGCTCGTCTATTTTGTTTTCGGTGAGCACCGAGGAGCCCAAAGCACTCTCCACAATCGGAGATAATCCTTTCTTGATGAGTTTCTGTAGGCGAAACCAATCGCTTTTTCTTCGTATCCAATCCAATCCGTCGATCTCTGTGAACGGGAAAGCCATGTAGTGAGAGCGGTCCTGCTCGCCGACAAACTTCACAGTCTCCGACACTTGCGGATTATAGTCCAATGCCCATAAAAGTAGGTTTTTCGCACGTCTTATGCGCTTGGTACCGAAACTTGTGATAGCGTAAGTACTAGGATTTTCGTCGGGCAACTCTTCGAAAAATGTTGCACTCTCTTTCTGCACAAGGCTTACGAGTGCGCTTGGAGAAATTACTTCTTTGCTTGAATAGCTGTGATCTTGTATCAAATCGTCTACAGATATGATTTCGCGCTGCACATTATCGAGAATTTTCCGCAACGAGACTTCAACGTACTTGACCAGCGCTTTAGTGGCCCGAACAATGATCTTGTTTTCACCTAGAGCCACTGCCACGGTCGCTCCAAGACGCGCGAAATTTTGAAGAATCTTACCATTGTTGGTCAACAGCAACAGATAGATATCTCTCGTTTGTACGTCGACGATCCGCTCCACTATGAGGTCCTCACTCTCACTTTTTGACTCGCTGATTTGGCACCGCCAAAGTTGATTGAGTACAATCGAGATGATTGCCTTCTTGGTCGTAGACTTCGCCATGGACAATTGATGATATTGCTTTGCGTATTCTTTCAGCTGAGGGAGCGTGTATGCAACTTCCAGCAGCGATTTCAGCTGTTTGTAGCGTTTTTCGGACATGACTTGTGAGTTGGATCCCGGCTTCAGGTCGTGGATCGATTTAATGACCTGTTCTTTGGGCACATTATTTTTGAAAACCAGCAGTTTCAAACGCTGGGATTCGATTTCCTGCAGCACGTCCGCCGGCGACGCATCTGAAGATCCCGAATTCCTCCGCTGCAGCCTACTTTCATCGAATTCCACGCCTTGTAGCGCGCTGAGACGTTCTCGAGATCTTGAGCCCTCTGTGCGTTGGAAATATGCAGGAGTTTTTTTACGTTTTCTCACAAGACCCGCTTCCCGGGGTCCCAGAATTACAATCTGTGCTTTTTGCGGTTTCAACTTCTTACCTCTGGTGCTAATCACATTTGCAGTCGCTGTAGTGGCTTCCCTCTGGTACATGAGCTTGGAAGTTGTCAAAAGTCGTCTTGAACAGCATATTGGCGTACTACATCGGAAACCAGATTTCGCTGTCCCAAACGAAAAAAGGCGCATAATCAGCAGCAGTGTTCCAATAAACTTTTGGAAGGATTCTTATGAGTCTTGATGGTGTGTTAAAGTTTTGATTCTTACCGCTTTAACATGTCAAATTTCAAGCGATGAGCTTTAAATTTTTTCACCATGTGATCAACAAATTAGCGTCTAGAAAATCAATAAGTATAAGAAGCTCAAGATCTAAGCACCTTTTGATCAAAGAACAACACTATTTGGTGTTAATGTTTTGGATGAAAACTATGGAGATGGGCGGCTAAATATGGCCTTAAAGACGTCAATTGAATCACAAAATGTAGTGGCAGATTATTTTCTCGTTTTCAACAACGAAATACGACGTTTTTTGGATCCTTTATGGTGCAAATCGCAGCTTTCTAGCTCATATGTGCACGTAAACAGTAAGGTTAAATGGTTGAGTATGGGTGTTACTGAGCGTGAAAGCGCGGATTTCAGTGATGTGGAGAATAATGACGATGAGGAGGAGGAGGAGGAGGAGGAATTTGGGAAAGTGGAAGGCAATTACCAAGGAGTTTTTTGGAGTTGTGAAGAGAAAGAGGTGTTTTTCCATTACTTGTCGCGCGCTTCGATTCATGGACTCGAGAATTGGGCTCATTTTCTGCCGCGCAAGTCTAAATTCGAGATCATGGCTTACTACGAAGTGCTTAGAAGGAATTTGGAAGAGCTAAAGGGTCTCAATAGTAAGCGTCATGGTGGCATTTTGACAAAAATGGAATTTCCTATAGCATACGAGATGGATGAGTTTTTTGTCGCGCTGGAGGAAGACGTCGGCCAACAGGTAGACAAAGAGTTACAACAAGAACAACAGCGGGCGGCGGAAGAGAATGCTGGCTCTGATTTACCTGACCAGCTCATCGATCTGGAAAACTGGTCCAAGCGTTGGAACCCCATATATTCAAAGACAGGCGTGGAAGAGCTTCAACCTGCACCGAAAACAGCTCTTCCCTTCTCTTCTGAATCTCTGCTTTTCCTGGAAAAATGCGTCGAGCTTCAACTGCGCAGGATCTTACTTTACACCGTTTTACCTAATCTAGATCGAAAGCACGTTCCTAGGAGCAACTTGTTGAAAGACAAGCCATTCCGTCACTCAAAGCACCCAGAAGAACCAGACGAACTCGTAGTGACAGGTGAGTTTCAATCAGCTTTCCCGCACGTTGTTTCAGAGGAGGATGTTTGGAAAGGACTGGCCACGATGCGACAAGAAGGTTTGGCAGCTCCCAGTCTGGCAGAAAGCGTACTCACCACATTGAGAAAGTTCAAATTAAAGCATAAAGAGGGGCGAATTTTCAAGACTCATCGAACAGCCATGGGTGTGGTACCTCGAATTTTGGCGCACGCTGAAGCTGTTCACGATTTAGAAAACTCAAGGAAAGAACAAAAGCTAAAAGAAGAACCGCACCCCGAAATATTCGCCCATATTCATCAGAAGCTTTTCCAGTTAAACAGCAAAAGGAAGGACGAACAAAGCTTTATTCCTGAAGACAAATTCGACCAAATCAATAACCCTCTCGAGCAAAAGCTCTGTGATTTAGAATTATTCAAGCTAGAACAGCATGATATTCATCTTTCAAAGCAATACCAACACGCACTTCTTGTTTTTATGCAAGGGAAGAACAAGCCCACGCAACCATTAGCGCTGAATGTTTGTGATGATCGTTTGGATGAAGCAACCATTCCGGAAGCGATCCAACACGAATTTCAATACGAGTGATTTCATCTTGGCGTGGACGACGAAGAGGATAGATGAATGCAAGGCAAGTCCATTCGATTTTAACGTGTTGTAAGCCCTGGAAAAGTCATCGTCATTTGATTGTGCGTAAGTACAGCTAGTCTTCTAAGGTGTACGTAACGACACATGTAAAGATAAACGCAAGCATCCTTGAAGCACCTATCAAAACCTTCTGTTCGCCTTGATAGAAATGAAAAACCTTATTATTGTACTCTGATCGACTGAGTACGCTGGTCCTAGCCTGCTGAGAACCAGCTATTTGATGTGGCAAGAGACACGCTGCCATACTATCTGACGTATTTGCGCATAAAGTCATGATGAAAACTACTTCGAGTCATATCGTTGGTGTAGTTAAGCTTGGAGTCATCACTGGACTGTTTAGACGGTCTTTCGGATTTTTGCCGACCGAAAACAGTTTGTGAACGCCAGCTTTTGCGACCAGTTGGATTGTTTTCAACAGCATGAATTTCAGGGTTTTCGTCTTGTCGCTCACGGTCCTCTTTCAGTTTTTTCACCATTCTTTCCTGTCGTATTTTATGCAGCTCTTCAAGAAGAGCTTCCTGATCTTCTTCTTCTTCTTCCTCTTCCTCTTCCTCTTCCTCTTCCTCTTCCTCTTCTTCTTCCTGGTCTTCTTCTTCCTGGTCTTCTTCTTCCTGGTCTTCTTCTTCTGTTTCTGGCCTCTGGCCTTCATCATCCAACCCATCATCAAATTTCTTCGAAGATTCAGCGATTTTTGAATTTTCTTCCTCTCCCGTCTTAGCTCTTTCATCTTCAGGCTGTCCCATCGCACTTTTCCCAAGCTTCTTGGATCCTAACACCTCATCGTCATTCTCGAGCTTGCGTTTTCTATACTTCAGCTTCGTATGTCCCGGAAGCAACCTGGCATGCTGAATACTGGTCGGAACGTAACTTCCCTTTGCACCGTTGCGAGCCTCAAGTTGTGGTCTATGTGAGGTGGTCATATCTTGGAAGACTAGCTGGCGATGAGCTGGATGTTCATCAAGATCTTGTCGAATTTCCGTTATATATTGATCAATTGGAAATTGTAGCCATCTTCGTGAATAGTGATCTTTAGGGATTTTTGGGCCATTATAAACTTATTGTTTGCAAACCATTGACTAATTATACTCAATCTTTTCCTACGGACCTGAGTACTTCAGAAATGTAATTGTTTTGATGTCTTTACTGTTTGTTCTTCGAGGTTTTGAGATCACTGGCCCACTTGCTCAAAAACCCAAAATTCAACCCGAAACCAAATTTAAATTTAGCGAATCATCATGTACGTGAAGAGGTTGATAATTTTCAGCTTAAAATACCCATTACATCTACCATTCAACTATCGAGACCATTGACTTAACCAACCAAGAAACTCTTTTGGGTATTCTCTGAGACCACATTAGCTTAATCTTATTAAGAGCGCTGGAAAATTCTGGCTATACCGCTTCTTTCTAGGGAATTTTTGGATAATTTTTGACCTGTCCAACACCAATAGTTTGTGAAGTAGTCAGCCCCCCAGACATGGATCGCGGTAGCGAGAAAAGTAATGGTCTGATCGATGCTGAGGATGCTGGAATAGTTTCCATAAAAGATTTCGCGTACGATAAGTCGGACGCTCTTCACTACGGATATTATGGCGATCACTATGAAGAAGATACAGATGAAGATCCGGACCATCAAGTACAAGGCAGTGATGAATCTTCCGGTGAACTAGACCACAACACCAAATCATTTGAATCTCAGAAAATTGGGTCACAATTGCGAGATCCTTCTACCCTTCGTGGCAAAAAAGATGCACATGATGACATTGGTGATGCTGAAAACGAGTTCGAAGATGTCATGACAAAACGACAAAGCATTGTTCTGCCCTCTAATCAGATAGTCAACAGCGAAGCAATTGCGCTTTATGACTTTGCCCCCGAAAACGATAATGAACTAGAGTTGCACGAAGGAGACATACTATTCATAGGCTACAGACATGGTCAAGGATGGCTAGTGGCTGAAAACGAAGAACGCACGCGTACGGGTCTGGTACCTGAAGAATACGTAACTTTGATAGAAACGCCGGAAAACGCCACTGATAATGACTCCTACACAACTGAGGAAAATGATGATGCCAATAACAACCACAATCACAATCACAAGCACAACTACAACGACGACGACGATGCTGATGATGATGATGACGATGATGATGATGACAAGGATGGGAAACCGCGCCCCTTCTATCTGACCCACATGATTGCACAGTCCATGGCATCCCCTGCTGTCAATGATGAACCGGATCAAGAATGGGAAGACATCGATGATGTCGAATCATCACTGAAGGAGAATCTGAGGCTATCCGATTCGTGACATGACCAGAGGTCAGTCATTAGTGGGTCAAAAGGCTTTTTCAGCGATAAAGAATGGAAACGCTCTCTCAAGTGTTAATTTAAAGTTTGTATATTACCAATGAAACAGCATGTGCATTTCGTCATACATCGCTCTGATAATCTCTTTTGCGTAGCTAACACTACTCCCATTCAATTCATTGTAGTATTTACTTACTATGCTTACAACCACTAATTATGCTGTACGGTCGAGTTCGTTGAGTTCTAACTCCTCTTCGTCACCAACGTCTTCGCCCTTTTTGTAGCGAATAACGTCCTTGATATCTGCAAATCCTCCCAATTCGGAAACGACTTCTGTGGCGCCATTGACCAACTCCTTCTTAATCTCGTCGTTTTGGTCATTATTTTCAGCCAGTTTGACCATGTACGTCAACAAAATTCGAGCTTCCCAGCCATGTTCTTTGATCAAATCATTCGCATCCACAAAAGGCAGCTCTTGGAAATGCTGGTTGAATTCGAAAACATTTCCTGGGTTAACTTCCACTTGAGGATTTTGAATCTTGAAAAGCTCCAATTTGCAAATAAGATAATGCGTGAAGGCCTCCAAATACAGGCCTTCGAGGTTGTCCTCGTCTATGTCTCTGATGGCCGCCTCCATCTCCAGGGCCATGTCATATAATCCCAGCTCAATGCACATTTTAGCGAGATTCAGCAACGGCTGTAGCATATTCGCAAATTCTGCATGAATATTACTGGTACTTTGCTGCTCTTCATTATCAAATGCCGCTTTTTTGGCCTGGAAGAAATGCCACGAACGCCCGAACGCTTCTGCAGCTTCCGGGAATCGTTGCTGGGATATTCTCATGGAGCCGAGTGCAGCCCACGTCTCTGCTGATTGTTCTTCGGAAACTTCCATTGCTTTGTTGACAAGTTCTTCGCATTGTTCTTCTGCGCCCGGCTCCATGCACAGATCGGTCATCCAGATTTCTACCATCGACAACAGCCCTGCCACCACTTTTTCGGCCTGTTCCTGCTGCAAAAACTCCCCAGCTTGTCTTGATAAGTTTTCTATGCCCTGTGTAATCAAACCAAGCCCATCGCTGCCTCCTGCAATTTGGCCCAATGTGAAAAACTTGTCCGAACCACCTATCTGACCCTGCGGATCCAGCTCGCAGACTCTAACCAGCAACGGGTAGGCTTTTTCTAGCTCACCTTTCTCGAGATACGTTTCCACAAAGGCCTGGTGCAGCTCGATGTGCGATGAGTTCGCGCCCTTCAAAGACTTCCGGAACGGCTTAAGAACCCGCAAAGCCGCGTCAGCATTATTCTGTGAAACAAACTGTTTGGCCTGCTTTATAGCATCGTCTAGTGGTGCGCTCATTGGGTCTATTTCAGTGATATTTCGCTGGTTTGGTTAGGTTTAGTTCTTAGCTCATCGCTGGATTTTGATTTCATTGAAGCTCATCGAGGCCATCCTGAAAAAAGTGATTGAAAAAAAGGAACAGAGTAGAAAATGATCAAAAAGTCACATGACTGAATGAGAACGTGATCTGTGTCGTTAATTGTGACAGCGTCTTCTGGGTCACCTGATCAGTCTCTTCAAAAGAGCCATGACACCATTTTCTTGATCCGTTCTCTCCAGGATCCAGTATACTCCCGATGCTCTATCCAACGCATTCGATCCATCTCGCGACGTCCTGTGTCCAAATCCAATTGATCGAGTCTTTGGATTTTAGAGCTTTTAAGCAGTTTATAGCCAACGTATGTAACACCGAAGAATAGTAGCCCGCCGTAAGACGAGAAGAACATCTTGGTGCTCCAAAACCCATGCAAAAAGTTGACAAAACCCATCAGCAGTACAATCACCACGGATCCAAAAAGTCCGTAACATGCAGTGAAAGGTTGGAAGGGCGACCGGTATGGGTACGACGGATCTGCACGAGAAATAATGTCCGGTCGTTTCTTCAATGCGTAGTAGAAGCGTAAGAACGAAACGTTGAGTCCCAGCCATATAATCGAGATGGTAGCTCCTGAAATGTTGGCCAGTACCTGAAATATCTCCAATGACCGCGAGTTCAAAGCCAGGTATGCCAAAGTACCAAACAGACCGGAACAAAGCACAGCAGCATAAGGCACACCGCGACGAGAACAGCGCCTAAAGCTAGTAGGGGCCTTTTCCTGTGTTGCCATGGCATAAAGCGTTCTGCTAGATGCATAAAGTGAAGAAAACGCAGAGGACACACCAAAAATGACCAGAAACGCATTGAAAATGGACGAAAAGGTACACAGTCCAAAACTTTTCAAAGCCAATACCCAGGGACTCTGGCTGCCATTGCTGTAATCACTGCTCACCAATTCCTTTTTGCCCGAGCACCGTTGAGAGATTTGCCAAGATGTGTTGAACTCAGAAACCAAACTTTTATCAGGCATTTCAGTCGCAGATGTGTAGTAACGTAAAAGACCCGAATCGCCACTGTATATGTTCAGGCTGATAACAAAAATAGAGATCAGGTAAAGGGCAAGAATTGTAACAAATGTTCGCTTGGTCGCGGAGGGCAAAGACCGTCTAGGGTTCATGGCTTCGCCGCATGCGACGAAACCCACTTCAACTCCACTGTAGGAGAAAGAAGATATTGTAAGCACCACCAGCACCGAAAGTAGCCGCCCCTTTGCATCACCAATTCCATTAAGACTACCAGTACCCAAGTCTCGAAGGTCAAATGTCGGTCGGAATAAACCGAACGTTAAATTGCCTTGTGATTTCGATGCATCCCAATATCTGAACCCCACTCGTGGATGTGTCTGATGTCCTGCACCAGCGTTCAAGATCGCCATCACAAAAATCATCATGGAGGTCACCAATATCTTGAAGAACGTGAATCCATATGTGATTTCACTCATAAGTCGAGCGTCAAGTAAGTTTACTGCAATGGCTATGCTCAGGAATAAAGTTATGAATCCCACCATAGCGCCTGATGTTAATGGAGTACTCTTGTAGTAACTCAGCATGTAATTGCTGGCTACAATTTGGTTTGCAAAAGTGAGCGCATAGGTGAGCCAATAAATCCAGCCGAGTGCAAATCCAAAGGCGTCCTCCACGAATCTGGATGCTAAGCCAGAAACACCAGAGGAGGTTGGAATTAATGTTGCCAATTCTGTAAAAGAAAGCATCGTGGCCAGCACGATACTTCCACAAAGACAAAAGCCAATGATTGAGCCGAATGGTCCGCCTATAGATAGTGCTTTGCCAGAATTCAAGAAAAGCCCCACCCCCATAGTCGCACCAATGGCTAGGGCCTGTAAATGCCGCCTCTCAAGTTTTCTTTGCAATGAATAGTTATTTTCGGAATTGTTCCAAGCGGAAACGATCTTGCTCCACCAGCTTGTAGAGGATCTCGATTCTGAGCTGTTAGTTGAAGTCGGAAGCGATCTGCTGAACTCTGGAAATCGTAAGCTCGGCTGCTTGTCAATTCCACCAATGTCGTTGTGTTCTAGATCAATAACTTGCGTGTCATTAGACTGTACTCTGAAAGGTCGCGATCTATAAGCCGTTTTCGCAGGTTTCGACGGAGACAACAGAAAATTAGCCATTTCCTGACCTTTCCTTATGATGCCGAAATCTGAACCACTACTTTCTTCGCCGGCTGTAAACTTGGCGCTCAAAATATCTGAGCTTAGAACTTCTAACGGTTCCTGCAGGTTACGTTGCAACAGAATGTCATCCATCTTTCTTCTCAACGCATACTCCCGCTGAACCTTTCTATTATATGTTTTAAAATCTTCAACTTCATCGCTGCCTAGCACTTCTGCTCCCAAGTTCCCGGTTTTCTTGGCGAATAGCTCACTCAGATAGAAGTTGTGTTCCTTGGCTTGGTCTCTATAGTCTAGAGAATCATGTTTGTCGAATTCAGAGAGCAGTTCTCGCAGAAACTGTTTGTCGAGACTTTCAGCACTTTCGAATCCATGGACCCCTGGGCTCTTTTCTTCGTTATAACCTAGGGCACTAGAGTTGTCCGATTGTTGTGTGCTCTGCCTGCGCTCAAGAGCAGGAAAGAGCCCTAAAAGGCCGCTTCGATCGCTCATAGCATTCACCAACTTCTTCAATAGCACTGGAACTATTCAGACGGGAGGCTTTTGGTCATCTACAGCGTGCTTGTTCGGTAGAATCAAGAGCTCAGGTTCTTTTGAAGTTGCATTATAGAGCTTAGTTCATGAACATATCTATAGCTTACTTCAAAAACAAAGATTAAAATTAAGTTAAAAACCCAAATAGTTTATATGTCAACTCTATATCATGCAATTAATGTCTCTTACTTGCCCAAAGTGCGTTGGAAAGCAGTCTTCACCTTTTGTTTCTTCTTGGGCGCTTCAAATGTGACGGCAGCAGCATCGACCGCTTCTTCCTCGTCGTCTTCATGTCTGGGAGCAGAGGCGCGGCCGAACGCAGTAAGCCTCCGAGCACGCTCGATGGCGGTCTCTGATTCATCGTCACTTTGACCGTTATTATCAGAGGATTCCGCATCGGAGCCTTGATCGTCGTCAGTGTCGTAATCGTCTGCTTGGTCCGAACCTTCAGTTTCGTCACTATCACAATCGTAATTGTCCTCGTCGGTTTCTTGATCCTCCTCCTCGTCCTCAGATGGGTCGTCAATAGCACCGGAAGTTGGTACAGGAGTTAGACGACGTCCCTTGATTTTGGCAGCTGGCTCTAAATTTTGATTTTTTGATGCTTGTGTGCTCGATTGTGAATTGGCGGTTTTGGAAAGACCCACAGCAGAAAGGGCCTTAGCCATTACACTACCTGTCCTTGTTCTGTTGCTGCTGCTTCTGCTCCGTTGACCGTCGAGCTCGTGAGGATTGATTTTATATCTTCGAAGAACATCACCGTCGTCGTTTTCAATAATCAACTGGTCGTCAATCTTATAGGCAAAATATCTCGTATTAGATTTCTCGTCTATCAGAGTTTGCCTTCTCATTCTTGGCGGTGTAACAGCCCGCTTCAAAGCCTCCATTTTAGAAGAGCCTTGACTTAAAGTGCGTTGCGGAGATGACGCAGCACCCTCTTCTTCGTCTCTGGGCTTTCTATTCAGTTCCGCCTGATCGATAATTTCACCTTGACTATTCTCGACAATGATTTTATTGCCTTCAGCATATGCAACAGCACCCTCTTCTTCTTCCGCTTTTTGTTCCATTTCTCTTCTTAGCTTCTCGAAATCTCTAGAGTAGCTATCAACAGAAGCGGTTCGCGATGATCTTTCAAGTTTTTCTTCATCAAAATTTGAAGAAGAGCTGGTAACGCCTTCTGGTAATGGAACATTGTCCTCGGGAAAGCTTGATTCTTGTTTCGTGTGTTGCATACGATTTAGGTCGTCTTCGATATGCTCAGCTTCAGCGTCAGGGCGCTGGCCAGAAATCGCATCTAACCTGCTTATGGCCTGAGACGCTTCAGCGGGATTCAATACGTCGATAGAGTCCAGAGTATCGTCGGGATCGTCATCTTCGTCAATGTTAGAATCTTCGTAAGGCACACTGTCATGCGGACGAAGTTGAGAGCTCAAAGCAAAAGCAGCAGCCTGAGCTTCTTTTTCACGTTGTAGCCTTTCATTTCCAGCAGAGTCGGGACTTTCAGATCCACCTGCGGTAGGATCGCCTCTCGATTTCAATTTTTTGAGCCTATTCCTTAAGCTTCTGCGCTTTCTCTTCATTCCGCCAACAGGTTTTGCGGGCACTCCGCTCGTTTCAACAGCTGTCTCTTGGCGGCTGAGACTATCAGGCGGCGCTTTGGTATCTATCCTCTGTAAAGAAAAGGAACGCCCAGACTTATCAAGAGTAGGTAGTCTTTGCATCCAAGAAGCGCCCTTACCATTCGTTGTTTGCACTGTGAAGGACCTGGTCAGAGTAATCGTGTTCAAGTGACGGCCCAGTGTGATGACAGCAACCGATGACCCATGGACAATGATGGATACAATAATGAAAAAACAAGTAATGGGCCAAATAATGGCGATCAATCGCCAAAATTTGGTTCCTTCCTCGGGAATATGTCTGAGAGGTGTTTCCTCGCCAGTAGCATAGCTTTCGAGTTCAGAACGCGCCAGGATAGCTGCGAAAATTGCACCTACACCAATCGGTCCAAAGTGACCAACAAAAACTGCTTCTCTCCAGGATTTGATATCTGGAATCATGGTTTTGAAGATAAGCACGGCAGGTATCCGACGCAATGTGATAACCACAATTCCCAGGATAACAAGTCTCCAGGCATCCAAACCGAGTTTGGCATCGTTGAATTGTTGCCAAGGAATGATAGCTCCAAAATAAACGAAATACGCCAAATTCAATAATAAGTCAATAATGGTGGAAATTTCACTTTCTTTCGTCTTGGTGGAAAACCAACCGTCCCAGGAAAATGCAGTTCCTGCGGCAAACGAAACTAGAAGGTCGTCTGCCCCAAGGAGAGACCCAAAGCCTGCACACATGAAGGCTAAACAAACATAAAACGCCAAAAACGATTCTCGATCAATCAGCTTGCGACTTTCTGCAAACTTGATGGCACTTCTACCAGCGTAGCCTATCACCGCACCCAGTATGCACCCAAATACGCACTCGTATAGAACGGTTTTGCAGATCCAGTCTTTAACGATCTCACCGCCATGACCCGAGTGTACAAGCAAGTTTAGTGACAGAAAAATGAAGGGAAATGCCATACCGTCATTGCAACCACTTTCGGCGGATAGCAGGTTTCTCAAATGCCCCGGAACACGCTGTGCAAACTTACCCGAAACCACAGACTGCGCTAAAATGGGGTCTGTTGCCGTAATGCACGACGCCACGAGTAGCGCCTCTGGAAAGTTCAAGTTGGGGATAACAATCCACACAAACAGCGCAATAATCAGCCATCCGGCGGTCATCACAGGCAACAGTAACATCGTTACGGACGCCCAGTGTTTCAGCATATATTTTTTGGGAAGTTCAACGGCGACCGCAAAAATTTGCAAACACAGCACGATCCGCGTAATTTCGAGCGTAATCGAGTCTGAGTTACCCCATGTCAATGGGTTGAACCAGTTCAGACAGTGTGGGCCTACAATAAGCCCGAAAATCACTGCCACGGTCGACTCACCGATGTAAAGTTTCTCCTTCGCAAACAGCGATACCAGCATGAAAATTGCTGAGAAGATACCCACACACGCATACGCCACATGTGCACTGGTGACCTGTTCCAATAAGAGGGTAAGAAGTTAGTATCAGAGTTTCTGACATTCATAGCAACTTGTGCCAGCGAAGACACAAAATGCATTTTTCTCAACAACCAGAAGCCCTGGGCTTCCCGCGTCTTGACCACCGTCATACATACTTCCAGCTGATCCCACACGGCCATTTCTCAAAGTGCCAGCTACTTTAGACCTTTTTCGAGCTGATCTTGAAAGCTACTTATACCTTTCTCAGAATCGATTTGTCTCTTGAAGTGATGAGTTTTGAAGATTATCATAGCCAGGCTCATTTGCTTTATTTTGCCCCGGGCAACAAAAATATATTGGGTCACGTGAGATAGGACCCTTGATAAGCACGTGATCAACGTCAGATCTGGGTGTGTGGGTGTAAAGGACAATTTAACGTTTACGATAAATGGCATAGTGACAGTGCTGGCGATGACAGCGACAGTAAAGACATGAATGAAGCAAGATGTTGCAATGTCTTTGTCCTTTGACCAGTAATCAGTTTCTATAATTTATTGTCGATTTAAACTCTTTTTGACGGATGCCACCAGGTCTCGCAATTCCAAGACACTGGTATTGGTGTCTTGTAGATCAGTTGATGACGGTGGAGCCATTTTTAGAGTTGGCGTAGCGAATGGGGAATCGAAAGTGACGTTCGAAATCCCGCTTGTGTTCGCGATGGGCATGGAAATAGAAGGAGTTACCGCAGTCGCGCCTTCTGGCTGCGTTCTCGAAGGAACTGGGGATGCAAAATTAGACGTGGTGTTCTCGTGTCGAGGCCTTTCCGCTCTGATTTTAGCTGCCAAGTGTGAGGGCTCGGAGGAAAGGACAGACGAAGTAGAAGACGTCGACGAAGTGCGCTTGAAAAACGGCCGGACAGCCAATGGTGTCTTGAATCGATTCCGATGGCGATCGGACAGCAGCACAGCCAGCTTTCTGTGACGCGATCGTGGAGATGCGGCTACATGAGACTGCAAATGCGCATATGTGTTGTTGCGGTCTCTCTCTTGCTGGTATCGATGGATTTCTTTCTCTAGGGCCTTCGAAAGCTTAGAGTCAATCTCCCGAGCGGTTCGATAGTTCCCCGGGGTTGAAGAGCTTGCCTGCAAGCTCCTGCTGCGCAATAATAGATTATACCTGCCCCGCTCGGTTAGTTCGAGACAAGAAGACCCTGCGATCTTAGCCAAGCTGTCTTCCAAAATTTGATGGGGGCTATCACCTGCCAGCTTCACAATCTGTACATCCTTCAGTGCAGCCGCGAAAGTCTCGGATATTTTGTCAATTTTTAGCAGTTTCGCAATCTGCTTATCAGAAAGTGGGTTTTCGGTGGACTCCCAATACAGAATCTCAATCGAGAGCGTGTAATTGGTGTGGAGTGCAGCGGCATGTGTAAGCTCAATAAGCTTTTCGCCATCCTGCTTCAATTTTACCTCCAGGTCGAAAATATCATTCTCTGTCACCCCGCTATTGAACACAAGTAACTGCAGATTCTCAAATTCTCTGCTCGAGGCGTCTGCACTCAAAGCACTCACAGTGAGATCCACAATGCTATTGTTAGATCGTAGCATCGTTTTGCGGCGTTTTTCTAAACCAAATTTCGCCAACAACCATCTTGATGATATGCTATCCCAATTTCTTGCGAAAATCGATACTTCCACCAAAATAGGCTTCCGTAGGATACTTTCGTGCTCAGTGCACATCTCTTTGAGATTGCCTTCTATGACGCTCAGATACAGAGATTTAAAATCGATAGGCTTCCAGATGGCGTTGTTCTCATGTACTGGTGTTTTGAATTGGCTCACCTGGTTGGCCACAGGTGTATGAATCACTTGATTATGAATGGAAAGTGAAGGCGAGAATGACAGAGTTGAAGTCGGCGTTGCATCAACGCGATGCCTTTTGCTCAATGGAACACCAAGACATCTGCTGACCTGGAGTAGTTCTTCGCGTCTCTTTCTTTCCAATTTTCTCTGCTCGCACCTCTTATTTCGAATGCCCTCCCAAATTTTCATCGCTTGCTTCAAAGAGGTCCTACTGTGAAATTGCTCCGCTCTAGCTTCAAGCGTCGTAAGATATATTTTCTCATGCAAAAACGCATGGAAAAGATCTTCGGCAAGAACTCGAATGATCCTTTTTTTTTTGGAACTTGAGGCCAGGGACTTATTCACAATCGCCGAGACCTCGTCACGCACAACGTTTTGAATCAGACTTTCTGCGACCAATCTTGATGCTTCCAACTGTGATCCAACACGGTTTTCGTTCCGTCGTCTTTCCCCGTTCGTTAGGCCAACATTATTTTGCTGGGGTTTCAGTTGCGGAAATGTTGTTACCTCTCTTGCTCCCTCCACTAGTTGCATATTACCACTTTGTCGCGGCGTATTTTCGTTATTGATCTGGTTATTATCAATACCAAATAATACCTTTTGATTATCATTTACCTCGGAACTTTTGGAACTTTGTAATTTTTCTTTTGGTGCCTCTACATTGTGGGCTAAAGTAAAAGGATTCGTTGAAGTCTTGTTTGGACCTGTTGAAATATCAGTCCTATCATTTTTAGGTTCTGCTTGAAAAGCAAACTGTGCAGTCTTGACAGCAGCAGGCCATTCAACCTTCGATTTTAATGGATCTTCTGAACGAGTAAAAGTTGCCTCCGGGAATTGGTTGTCCGGAGTTTGATTATCGTTCGAAACATGTGTACTATGCAGTGGGATGGTATCCAAGTTGCGCGTTCCGCAGTTAATCAAATCTTTTGCATTGGACCTGGCTAATTTTTCATCCACTACCTTAAGATAGCTCTGCTTGAGTGGAGTTGCCTCTGAGATTACGTGCGAGTGGTGAGATAATGAAGTCAGTTTGACGCCCTCTGCGTCCACTTCGATCGAGTAATGATCGCAGAATTTCAATAGCTCATCAATGTTGTTAAACATTAGCTCTGATTCCAGGAACTCCAATGGAAAAGGTTTGTGCTTTTTGTTGATTGAATGAGAAAGAGACTTGACAGCATAAAATCGAATCTCATTAAGGTGAACTTCTAAGAAAGAAGCCATCAAGAACGGAACATGATCTGACTTTATTAGCTCGAAAAATCTCTTGTATAAATTGAGTCCGTTTTCGGTTTTGACATGACCCCGTTCTGAGAATGTCGAGTTGGAGAGAATTCTGCGAAAACATAATGCAATTTGAACCAGTCTGTCATCAAAGACCGATTGTGGCAGAGACTGTGCCATCTTATCGTATTCCGGATCCCTTATTCTACTCAACAAGGAATAAGCGCGGAATTCAGCTTCATTGGGACATTGGCCGTCACTAGCGCGAACCTCATCGTAAATTTCGGATAGCGTGATAAGAGCCTTGTGCAATTGTTCTAATTCTTGTTGTCGACTATATTCAACTTCACTCGTTGCCATAACATGTAATATGAGCAAGTGTATGCGAACAATTCTTTCATTACAGTCTACTGCTTCAGGACCGCTGTAATTTTGATACGTGAAATCTTGCCGGATGGAACGCATACGATCCCAAAGAAACCCTTCGCAATCGGGCAGCTTTCCCACAATATTATCCACGATGTAGTCCAAAGTAGTGATGAGAACTTTTGGAGGTCTTACATCTGAGGGAAGAGGTGGGGCTGCAGCGGCAGCTGGTCTTGCAAAGACTTTGAGTGCTTTCAACCTGGAAATTGCCTTGGAATTTTCATCTTCTCTTTCGTATCGCACCACATTGTTTTCCACACTTCTTCGTGCCCGCTCAAATATGGGGCACATATCCTGACAGGTACCTTGGAAAATAATCGCGTCGTTCAAGTCTTTGGCCGAATCAGCGCGATCCACAAGCTTTTTGTCTTCCATGACGCGCCTTTCAGTCTCTCGCATCTTTTTGAACGTTTCCCATAGTTCAGTGGTGTCGGAAACTCTCTTTTCAATAGCTAGCATTTTTTGTTGGTTCTCATAGTCCCACGGGTCCTGAACAAACGGGCGCGGCTTGAGACTGGCTTTCTGTTCGATCAGATACTTTGGAGTCTCCCGGGGCTTATGTAAAACTCTTTTGAATCCAAGCTCCTCAGGAGCCGGAAGCATAAAAGCTTTAGACGTATTTTGTATTGAGTCTCTCTTGAACAGTGCTGACTGCTGCTGCTGCTGCTGCTGCTGCTGTGAAACAGATAGCCATGGCCTATGTAACGGTCCGTCTGAACGCGTCTGCTCCAATTTTATCGTGTTTCCTTCATGAAATGTTCTTTTTCCAACTTGCGGTGGTCGTTGTTGGCTTTTGTCGCGTCTCTTTGTCCTTGAAGAACGGGAGAAGCCCTTTTCACCATTGGATTTGCCGTTGCCGAAAAACTGGAAACTCGACGATGGGCCCGTTGCTCCGACTGCAAAGCTCATTGAATGAAATGAGCTTGCAAAAGTTCAATGTGGCAATCCTGGCTTGAAGTCTATCAACTTGAAAGGATTTGAATCATCAGGGCCTTTGGCCGTCCATCTTCATCAACAATATCATTAAATATAAGCATGCTTCTATACGGCCATCGACGATTTGACACCTCTGTATTGAAAGGGCCGTTCGAACCCTCGCGAGCGCACTATTAATCGTGTGAGGATGACTCTTCTTGTGCTGCGTCTGCTAAGTGCTCTCTCTTACACAGGATTATTTGTCTGATGTGCGGGATCTCAGGATCCAGACACTTTGTGGTCTTCCAAATGTCTTTCTCTTTCAATCCTTCAGCTTGATGTAGTAAAGGCCAAACCTCGTGGATTCTATCTCGGGGTCAGTGATAGCGTAGACCTGTAGTTCGAACTCCAGAATGGCACATTCAAGAAAGCTTTGGATTATTTCTTGGTCTCGTAGTTGTATGCCAATGAGTGCAGAAGCAACATGGCCCATTGTATTGTAAGCTCTTAGGAGTCCCTGCAAAGAGCGTAGAAACGGATCTATAAGATACTCGTTGTAGACCACATCCAAGGACAGAATAGTCACAATAGCTGTTCTGTGTGGTTTGAGCAGCGGATGCAGCTTTGCAGGTCTGGGATCCAGTTTTTCCCAATCAAGTGGGAGAACGTCCATCTGGGTCCTGAGCGGGGTTTTGCGGTGCAGCTCGAACCCCAGAGTAGACGATTCCATGCCCCGGAGTCTCAGTTCGTCTATGTTCGCTGCCACGTTGTGCTTGAGTCGATCCAAAAGCGCTTTTTGTTCCGTGTATACGTATTTGTCGACGTAATTAGCCAAGGCTATTCCCGAGATGCCACCTACCCCACATCCTAGCTCGACAATCTGCCTCAATGGCTGTTCCTCGGCCTCTAATGCAAAATCGCTAAAAATTGCAGGAATGGTACACGTTTTTGAACCAGTCTCTGCTTCGCACTCGATTGACCCACCATTGGTGAAAATCTGGCCTGTCTCGGAATATAAAAGCCACTGCAAGAAAAACGGGGTTGTAGACCACACCACATAGCCTGTTGTAGAATTGTTGTTATCCTGTGAAGAGTTCAGGGACGACAGAGATTGAGAAATCTCAAAACTGAACCGCTCTTTTCTCGGACAATGTGCCCCATCTTTTGGGCCGATTTCGAGATCCACTGAAGCAGCCGACCTTGATACTATGCCAAGATCTTGGCTCAGCTTTTCGGCGTTTTTCTGCAAATTAGTGTATCTCTCGAATACATGCTCGAAAGCTGAATACTCATCTAAAAGCACTAGCCTGCCAGCCTTCATCGGTATGGCTGAGTACCTTGGGATAGAATAGTTGAAGTCTAGAATATAGTTATGTCAATTCCCGGCTTCATCTTCATCAGTTTGATGCGCTGAGGTTGTATTTTGAAGTAGATATGGTGAATAATTATTACAGTTGTTACTACGACTCAGTAAGGTTGCATTAACTACATTAAAAACTTCAAAACAGTACATGTATACGTACATACGCTTCAGATGTAGTTCTTGGCGAGCAAAATCTCGGCAATCAAGATACCAGCACCGGCGGCACCAATAACGGTGTTGTGGGACAACACAACCATCTTGAAGTCCAGCACAGGGTCTTCTCTGACTCTGCCGACACTGACACCGTAGCCACTGTCACGGTTTCTGTCCAATCTTGGCTGAGGTCTATCGTTCTGTTCCAAGACGTGGACGGTCTGTTTTGGAGCAGAGTGGCAACCCAGTTTAGCAGCAACACAGACGTAGTCGCTCATCGACTTTTTCAACTGCTCGAGCGATGGTGGAGGCTGATTCTTGAACTTGAATGAGATGCATTCGGTGTGTCCGTCGGAAACTGCAACTCTGTTGCATTGAGCAGAGACTCTCATTTCTTCGTCGGGCAAGTTCACCACGGTGCTGTTGTCTTTGGATAGGGAGCCCAAAATTTTTCTGGTTTCCCACTCCATCTTGTCCTCTTCGCCGCCAATGTAAGGCACGATGTTGTCCAGAACGTCGATACCGGAAACACCTGGGGAGAAACCGGCACCGGAAATGGCTTGCAATGTAGTGGCAGTCAAAAGCTCGATGGGACCAAAGCTGTCGACCAAGGGCTTGAGTGGGGCGAGAAGACCGGCCGTGGAACAATTGGATATGCACACGATGAATCCTGGTCTACCGGCGCCCGCCTTTTTCGCGGCGTCGAGCTTTTGGCCCACTAGGTCCAAATGCTCAGGGTTGACGATAGGCACGACTAGAGGAACGTCCACTTCACGACGGTAGTTTTTGGCGTTCGAAACCACAGCTAGGCCGGCTTCTTTGAACTCCTTCTCGATGGATCCGGCATAATCGGCGTCCAGTCCGGAGAAAACCACTGCACAGTCTTTGAAAGCCTCTGCCTTACATTCCGTCACGATGATGTTTTTGGCAAATTCCGGTAGTAGCTCCGTTTGTTTCCAGTTAACAGCATCCGCGTATTTCTTACCAGCAGATCTGGGCGACGCTCCTAGCACTTTAAGCTCGAAATCGGGATGGTCTGCCAGCAGCAGGATGAATCTTTGTCCAACGGAACCAGTGGCACCCAAGACACCAACGATTTTTTTAGCACACATGTTGGGAATTGAAGAACTAGTAGCGGATGTGAATAAGAATTACCAATTCTACTAGTTAGATCTAGAACTAATGTTGTATATTGATCACAGGTCTATCTATCAGTAGTAGTGTGTATAGAGCCTTTTGATGAAATTTTGTCAAAAGTATTTGACGATATTTTGTACGGACTCAAGTAAACAGTCATACACACTGTAAAATGAAAAAATGGTCGATAACGAGCACTAACAGTTGAAGCTACGAGGTAGCGTAGCCGTTAGCTGTGTTTCACGTCGATGATGGGCAGTAAATGAGGGTGTATGCAGTGAGGCTTTCATTGAAAACCAGATATGTAGTTATAAAAGCTGTAGCGTAGCGTCCAGATTTGGTTAGTGTACCACTTGAGAAGGAGGGAGAAAGGGCTATTGAGTGTCCAGCACGGCGGGCGGCAGCCCTTTGAAATCGCGTTCTATTCTGCGGAGTTGTGCGACGGCGCCGGTTGCATCTGCGTCGCCGTCAGTCTCGCGCTCTTGGATGAACTGGGCTAAAAACTGTAGAATCTCGTCTTCGGAGACGTGTTGGCGTTGACCGGCGTGCATCACGACGGGGCGATCTAGGGTGTTGTGGGGTGGTCTTCTGCTTCTCATGAGAGTGGTGGTTGGTGATGTGCGCGGTCAAAGAGGGCGAACGCTTGAGATTGAGATGAGATGAGATGAGATGGGTGAGAAATTAACACACTTGGGAAAGAATCTGGCTCGTGTCACGTGATCTGGAAGGCGGTGATCGACAAAATTGATAGGGAGTGCTTGTTGGCAAAGTAGCACAGGAAGCCATTGAGTCGGGAACAGAGAGTGGAAGGGCTCTGACTTTACGTAGTTGAAGGTAGGGAAGGTAGGAAGAGCGAGTAAGAAGAAAACCCTGGTCGTACGAAAGCACCGATCGTGCGACGTGCGCTTCGTGATTCGTACAAAACTACTTGTACCAAAGCTTTCGGCCGACCTCTCTGACAACCTCCTGTGACGCTGCTAAAGGTGTTTTCTGCGCAATTCACCAGTATTGATACCCATATATCTACCGACTTTGCTGGGTCAGTTCTTTTTTATGTTTTCTACCATTTTCGACTCTTTTAGGGCTTTAGATGGTGTCAGCAGCACTGGGGACGAATCAGGGTTGAGTAGCTTTTTTTAACCACATGTCCAGGGTCTTAGCTAATTTACAAGAATCAATCACTATAAACGTAGTCATCGCTTGGAGTCACAACAGAAACCGCCACTGACCAAGAATTGGAGCATTTGAAGTTTCATTGACTCGAAGAAAATGCAACACTATCTTTCCCTTGGATTAGAGCTCGTAGTCAATACCCTTTTCTTCACTGAATTTGCCTTCTAACATCTCTACGTCACGTGCAAGATGAGCTCGGATCAGTATCTTCACTTGTCCACTCTATGGGAAAGCTTTCAACGATTGATATATTCGAACATAGTTAAGAAAGAGCTCTCAATCTGTCAATCCTCATTGTGTCTGGAATGCGAAAGCAGATGAAAACAAGGTTTTCGTAAAGAACATGGCCTCGTTGAACGGTGGAGAGAGAGTCATTAGGTGATCGTCAGATCTGCTTTTATCAAAGCATTTTGAACGACTGGACTGGACCACTGCTTTCGAAAAATTCGTCTCCAGTCCTGGTTGTCACACAGGTTGTCACTTCTTTCAATGACGATAGTGTAGTATGATTACCAAGATATACCCAGGAGCCTATAAAACGTACTCATTTCTCGTACAAGAGTACCAAGTCGGCGACACACGCGTACATAGTGACTTAAACACAATCCACCTCTTATTTCCCATCTCTCATCACCACTTTCACCCCAATAAAGACCTAGCAAGGATCTCTACACTCCAGCGTCCTCAGACCTTGATAAAACCTTTCTTCTTTCCCTCAAAGTCCACTCATCACTCCACACGGCTCATCTCGGACCCCCAGGTCCCAAAAACAACTCTCTCTCATAGTGCCAACGACCATCCTAATCTTTTGCGACCGCCGGTAGCGGTCCAAGCTAATTTTCCAAATTCAAGCATGACCTCTCTTCTTCACAGGCTCCGGCTCTTTTCCTCCGTAAAAAAAATCCAAACCCAAAAAAGAAAAAAGAGAGATTGAGATAGACCAGACCTAGAGTTTGTTTTTTTTTCCGCTCTTTTTCTGTACATCCTGCATCCACACTGACATCATCATCTTCTCATAATTATGTCGTCGTTGTAGTTGCTGCTGTGATTTCTCTCGGCTCGCCTCGCAAGGCAAAAAAATAGTCTGGCCTGGCATCTCTCTCTGTATAGACTGTGGATAGCTAGCTTCTCTCTATGATAGTGGAATCTCGAGCTGTTCAAGGCACTATAATTTTGCCGTGCGTGAAATTCTGAGTGTGAAAAAAAATGAGTGGTCACCATGCACGGAGACTCAAATCTTTTCACAGCTCATCTCATCGCATCATCAAAGTTCATCAAAACCTTTAAGAAACTACAACATGAGTCAACACAACACAAAAGCGTTTTGCAAATATATATATCTGTGTAGAAAGTTCTAACGTCGCGGGTAGCTAGCCGTAGTTTTAGTTGTTTTCAAATAGTGTGTGTTTGCGAAGTTTTTCAAATTTTGGTTGCGCGGCGAAAAGACTAGACAAGAAGCTACAGGGAACCAATAATAATGTCTATCTACGAATCCACAGTCCCTACAACTTCTGCGTTCAACACCGCAAACTACAGTCCACAGCTCGTCAAAGGCGTGGACTCGGTGCTGGTGATCGGATCGGGTGGTCTTTCCATCGGACAAGCCGGTGAATTCGACTATTCCGGATCGCAGGCCATCAAGGCCCTCAAAGAAGCCAACAAACGCACAATCCTGATTAACCCAAACATCGCCACCAACCAGACCTCGCACTCGCTGGCGGACGAAATCTACTATCTGCCGGTCACACCTGAGTACATCACCTACATCATCGAGCGTGAAAGACCAGATGCCATCTTGCTGACTTTCGGTGGCCAGACCGGTCTCAACTGCGGTGTAGCTCTCGACAAGATGGGCATTCTCGAAAAATACAACATCAAGGTGCTAGGTACACCCATCAAGACTCTGGAAACCTCCGAGGACAGAGACCTTTTCGCACAAGCGTTGAAGGAAATCAACATCCCCACCGCCGAGTCGTTTGCGTGCGAAACCATCGACGACGCGCTAATCGCCGCCGAAAGGGTCAACTACCCGGTCATTGTCAGATCAGCCTACGCCCTAGGAGGTTTGGGATCTGGTTTCGCCAACAATGAGGCCGAAATGAAGCAACTAGCAGCTCAAGCTCTATCGCTATCTCCACAAATTTTGGTCGAAAAATCCCTAAAGGGCTGGAAAGAAGTGGAATACGAAGTGGTCCGTGACAGAGTTGGTAACTGTATCACGGTCTGCAACATGGAAAACTTCGACCCATTGGGAGTGCACACCGGTGATTCTATTGTGTTTGCACCCTCTCAAACCCTATCCGATGAAGAGTTCCATATGTTGAGAACTGCTGCCATCAAGATCATCAGACACCTGGGTGTTATCGGTGAGTGTAACGTTCAGTACGCTTTGCAACCAGATGGTTTGGACTACAGAGTTATCGAGGTCAACGCCCGTCTATCGCGTTCGTCTGCTTTGGCTTCTAAGGCTACAGGCTACCCTCTAGCCTACACTGCTGCTAAGATCGCCTTAGGATACACTTTGCCAGAACTACCAAATCCTGTCACCAAGACCACTGTGGCCAACTTCGAGCCATCTTTGGACTACATCGTGGCTAAGATTCCTCGTTGGGATTTGGCCAAGTTCCAGCACGTCAACCGTAATGTGGGTTCTGCCATGAAGTCCGTGGGTGAAGTGATGGCTATCGGGAGAAACTTTGAAGAGGCTTTCCAAAAAGCCATCAGACAAATCGACCCTTCGTTCTTGGGTTTCCAGGGTTCTGACGAATTCGGTGACGACCTAGATGAAGTTCTTGCCAACCCAACTGATAGAAGATGGTTGGCCATTGGACAAGCTTTGATCTACGAGGGCTACTCTGTTGAGAAAGTTCACGAATTGTCTAAGGTTGATGCTTGGTTCTTGCACAAATGCATGAACATGGTAGAAATGTACAAAGAGTTGGATGCTGTTAATTCATTAGAGGCCTTGGACAAGGACCTGTTGACCAGAGCTAAGAAGATGGGTTTCTCCGACAAGCAGATTGCCATTTCGATCAACAAAAACAACGGAAGTAATGTCCATGAGCTCGATGTCAGAAAGCACAGAAAGTCTTTCGGTATCACCCCATTCGTGAAGAAGATTGACACTTTGGCTGCAGAATTCCCTGCCAACACCAACTATCTATACACCACTTACAACGCCACCAAGAACGACGTTGAATTCAACGACAAGGGTATGTTGGTTTTGGGGTCCGGTGTTTACCGTATTGGCTCCTCCGTCGAATTCGACTGGTGTGCTGTCAACACAGCCAGAGCCTTAAGAGAGTCTGGTAAGAAGACAGTGATGATCAACTACAACCCAGAAACTGTGTCTACCGATTTCGATGAAGTAGACAGACTATACTTCGAAGAACTATCCTTTGAAAGAGTCATGGATATCTATGACTTGGAGAACTCTGAGGGCTGTATCATTTCTGTTGGTGGACAACTGCCTCAAAACATTGCTTTGAAGCTACAAGACAACGGCGCCAAGATTTTGGGTACCGACCCTGTCGATATCGACAGAGCTGAGAACAGACACAAATTTTCTTCGATTCTTGACAGCATCGGTGTCGATCAGCCAGAATGGAGCGAACTGTCTTCCGTCGTCGAAGCTGAAGAATTCTCCAACCGTGTTGGATACCCAGTTTTGATTCGTCCTTCCTACGTTTTGTCTGGTGCCGCTATGAGTGTTGTGAATTCCGAAGATGAACTACTAACGAAATTGACCAACGCCTCTGACGTTTCTCCAGACCATCCCGTGGTGATTTCCAAGTTCATTGAAGGTGCACAAGAGATTGATGTCGACGCTGTGGCTTACAAGGGTGAAGTCTTGGTGCACGCTATCTCAGAGCATGTCGAGAACGCTGGTGTGCATTCCGGTGACGCCACTTTGATCTTGCCACCTCAATCTTTGAGCCAGGAAATTAAGGACAGACTCTACGACATTGCCAAGAAGGTTGCTAAGGCCTGGAAGATTACAGGTCCTTACAACATGCAAATTATCAAGGATGACAGAAACGAAGGTACAACTCTAAAGGTTATTGAATGTAACATCAGAGCCTCTAGATCGTTCCCATTCGTGTCTAAGGTGCTGGGTTGCAACTTCATCGACGCAGCTGTCAAGGCTTTCATTGGAGAAGATGTACCCAAGCCAGTGAACCTAATGGACGAAAAGTACCCATATGTCGCTACCAAGGTGCCACAATTCTCTTTCACACGTTTGGCCGGTGCAGACCCATTCTTGGGCGTTGAAATGGCCTCGACTGGTGAAGTTGCCTCTTTTGGTAAAGACGCGTTGGAGAGTTACTGGACCGCCATGCAGAGTACCATGAACTTCCATGTTCCTCTGCCACCTAGCGGTGTGTTGTTTGGTGGTGACTTGAGCAAGAACCAGCTAGGAGAAGTGGCTGCCGTCGTGGCGGGTTTGGGCTTCAAGATCTACGTTACCAACGAGGCTACCAAGGAGTACTTGCAAAAATTCGTTCACAGTGGCTGCGACGTGATGATTATCGAGTTCCCAAAGAACGACAAGCGTAAGTTGCGTGAGCTATTCCAGCTGTACGACATCAAGGCTGTGTTCAACTTGGCTGCCAAGAGAGCCGAGTCTTTGGAGGATGTTGACTACGTGATGAGAAGAAATGCCATTGACTTCGCACTTCCTCTATTCAACGAGCCCCAGACCGCTTTGCTGTTCGCCAAAGCCCTCGCCCAAAAGGTTGGCGAGAAACTCAAGGTGCTCGAGTCCTCCGATGTGCTTGTGCCTCCTGAAGTGCAAACGTGGCACGAATGGATCGGCCAGAGACCCATGTAAGGTCTGCGTTGCGTCGGTCGGTCTTTGACTCCGAAATGTTGATATGTAATTATAAGAGAGGATAGATATTCGAGCCTATTTAAGGGCCTCTTGACTACACGTTAGAGGTCTGTTTAGAATTGGTAATGTACATGCCGGGATGGCATTGGGTTTAGGATCGTGTTGTTTATGTGTGTGTGTTGTGTACTATACCTTAGGATACAGGCTCGTGCATAATGCCACAATTTTTTTCATAAGAGCGACCAGTCATAACTCGGACTACTTACAACGATGAACACACCATTGTTCCAGTTTTCAAAGTCATCTTGGCTGCATTTCACCCCACATTAATCGAGCTGGTGTCTAGTTTCCCGATTAGTGTCGTTTTGACTTACAATCTTGTAAAACCCGCCTGTACTCACATGTTTTGGCAAGCCCAGATTCAACTTTTGTCCAAGGCCGGTCGTCCCGGAGAAAATTCCTTGTTTTTCCGCTTTTTCTGTTCATAATTTTCCGAACCCTGTGATGGAAAAATTAATTCAACCGGAAAAAATCGCCAGTTGTCCCTAGAAACACTGTCGTTGAGTTCTTGGAGGGTCTTTGAAGTTTGGCTCAAACCGCAGTAAAAAATGCCCTACAGGCGGTTGCCACGACCACCGCCGTAACATAACGGGAAAAAAATGTGGGGAGGTATTGTCTAGTTGCTATGCGAAAGCATACTTTGTGGGGAAACAAGTCGGTAGAAGCCCAAGATTTGGAGGTAAAATCCAAAACTAGAATTAGGCCAGAATCGAGAAAAATTCATGTATAAAAGAAGATGCTTGAATCTGGTTCTCTTGGAATGAGTTTGTGGTTCAATTATATTTTGAATCTCTTTTCTTTCTTTCAATCTTCATCAAGCAATCAAATCCAATAATTGCAGGTTTTCCGGAACATCTATTTTTCCGGCTGACGCATAGAAAAACAAACAATCGACTAATCGCAGGGTTCCATACATATCCCTTCTAGAAACCCAAAAAAAAAAAGCTCAAACAATGGGTATTCTTCAAACGGTCTTCAAGGCCGACGACGAGATCCAGGGCTCGAAGTTTCGGGCCATTTTCGTCGGGCTATTCGTCGCCTTTGGCGGTATCCTCTTCGGATACGACACTGGTACGATTTCCGGTGTGCTGGCGATGGGATACGTGAAAGAACACTTTACGTCCTCGGGCCATTTTTCAGCAAACCAAACGTCTTTGATAACGGCTATTCTTTCTGCTGGTACTTTCTGTGGTGCAATGCTTGCTCCCTTAGCTTCGGATAATTTGGGCCGCAGATACGGGCTCATCGTTTCGTGTATTATTTTCACAATTGGTGTGGTGCTCCAAGTAGCAGCTTCTGGTCAAACGCTATTGATTGTCGGAAGAGTCATTGCAGGCGCTGGTGTTGGTGTTTTATCCGCTATCGTGCCATTGTACCAAGCAGAGGCTTCTCCCAAATGGATCAGAGGTGCTGTCACGTCTTGCTACCAGTGGGCTATCACGATCGGATTGCTACTCGCAGCGTGTGTGAACCAAGGCACTCACGCAAGAAACGACTCTGGCTCTTACAGAATTCCCATCGCAATCCAGTTTTTATGGGCTATTATCTTGTTCGTTGGTATGATCATTTTGCCCGAATCGCCCAGATTCTACATCATGAAGGGCAAAGTCGCTGAAGCCAGAACCGCGTTGTCTAAACTAAGGGGCTTACCAGAGCATCACGAATACGTGGAAGCGGAACTTGAAGAAATCGTCGCTAACTACAATTACGAGAGTTCCTTTGGTTCTACTTCGCTCCTCGACTGCTTTAAGACCGCAAACCACCAATTGAAACGTATTCTCACCGGGATTGCCATCCAAGCGCTTCAACAACTCACAGGTATCAACTTCATTTTCTACTACGGTACCCAGTTTTTCCAAAATTCGGGTATCAAAAACCCATTCATTATTCAGTTGATCATGAATGTTGTCAACGTTGTTATGACCGTCCCTGGTATTGCCTTGGTGGAAATCAGTGGTAGAAGAAATCTTCTACTTTATGGTGCCGTGGGAATGTGTGTGAGTGAACTTATTGTTGCAGCTGTTGGCACCGCCCTTCCAGATAGCTTTTCTGCCAACAAGACATTAATCGCTTTCTCCTGCACCTTTATTGCGTCTTTTGCAGCTACCTGGGGCCCTCTTGCCTGGGTTGTCGTTGGTGAAATCTTTCCATTGAGAGTCAGAGCCAAATCAGTTGCCGTTTGTGCTGCCTCAAATTGGCTATTCAATTTTGCAATTGCATATGCTACCCCATATTTGGTGGACAGCGACCATGCAAACCTACAGTCCAAAGTTTTCTTCATCTGGGGCGGTTGCACATTCCTGTGCTTCTTGTTCGTATACTTTTTCATCTACGAGACCAAGGGTCTCACGCTAGAACAGATTGACGAATTGTTCGAGACTTGCCCAAGTGCTCGTCACTCCAAGAACTTTGTTCCTTCTGAAGGATTTGCTGCTCATATTGACAACTCCACTCCTGACGTGGACAAGGCAATGGTTGTCACTCTCGAAAAAGTTTAGAAAAGACGAGCTGGTCTCTTTTTCTAAGATGAAGATCCAATTGTATATATGTATAAATGCCAAAGGGTCAATATTGATGCTATCATGAATGTAATTGTTGATTTCGAAGTGGTATATTCTTTCGCAAGCAGTGTCTTTCTTGACAACAGTCAAGATAAAATGAATTTTTGAAACTATGGGAAATCAAGTAGTAACGATTGGTCCAGGCAATGAACTCACCAGCAAAGCCTTGAGCCGTCCCCTGCCATTGAGACCGGAAAAACAAATTAAATAAAGACTAGAAGTATTCTTCGAACAACGTTGGTCTCTTTCTCGAAAACTAATAGATGACAACTAGTTGTGAATTACATAGCAATGATTAATTGAGCGTTGCCGTGAAAACAACATTATTTTCGACATACAAGCGGCGATACTTCGACAGTGTGACAGTGACCAGAGAGCCTTTTACTTGTGTGAATTTCAAAACGGTAATCAACGAAGTTTAAATCTGTAACTTTATTATAACATGTCATTAGATTGCCGTGAAAATTGCTGAACTAAAAGATCAACTAACGTGTGAGGCTTGAATGGTGGTAGAATATCTTGATGCTCCACAAAGTGATATGAAGCAAGTGTTAGGAGTGCTCCGCTCGTGAAAGCATAAACAAATGCGTGATTGCTTAACGCCCAAAACAAAGATCATTTTGGTTCATATTCTTCCGTGTATCACGTGACACACCAGAAGCTTGCATTTTCTTGTTTTGCACGATCAAGGCTGAGCCCTGCCATTTGCACTTTTCAACTGGTGTATCTTAAGAGGGTCTAGGTATTCTTCACCTCCTGTAATTGTAAGCGCCGTCTTTCAAACACACAAATTGGTTATGACAACATGTACAGCCCGAGACACTGGCCTTGAACAAAAACTCCTGGTTCTGGACTTACCATAGAAGAAAGAAGCAGCTAAAATGGCAACAGATAAGTCCGCTCATGCTGTCTTTTTGATAGTAAATCGTACAATCACTACATACGAATATGTCATCTTTCTTCTTCATAAATTTTACCTTACATCTGCGATACAACTCTTCCTGCCGCCCACCACTTTTTGAAAGCACCAAACGCTGCGAAAAATAGCACGGATAGACAGCTGCAGCTCCAGTAGATGGACGAAAGCGACCCTTTCGAATGGCAGCTGGACAACGCCACTGAGCGTGAAAGCCAATCTCAATTGTGGAACCAGGCCATATACGAACGCAGTGCTCAGGCAGAGCCTTTACCGGAACTCGAGCCCTTGAAGTCTGAAGTCAATGTGACGAAACGCGAGTGGTGCCAACCCCAAGCTTGCAGCACTGTAGCTAGTGATGCCTGCCCTAAAAGACCAAGATCTGAGTAGCATGGTCAAAGGACAATTTCGTTGAGATCGGTATAAAAGCCGTTTTCAGGCTAATGACGCAAAAGAAAGAAAGAAAGAAAGAAAACGGTCAACAGTACCCTATTTGCTTGCTTCTACCTCAACTTTACTCGTTGAGGACCGTGCAAGCGTCCAAATAGTATGCAAAAATGCCGCCATTCAACAACCCAAAATACCTGGTCTAGCCGCCGATACCACATGACTGCCACAAAAACGGAAACCACATGATTTTCACACCAAATTCACATGACCATAAAGGTCCACTGGTTTACCCGGCTCTCGAGGATTTATAATAGGGGAGTCCCGAATTTTTTTGTTATTTTTTCACCTATTGCCCAAAAACATACAGAAAAAAGTTTTGGTGAAATTTTGAACAATGACGAAAGGTACTTGCCAATAAAGACTATCCCAAAAAAAAAAAAAAAAAAACAGATATAATCCTAGCACCAATTTGGTTTCGCGCACATCCCGGTGTGTTTCCCACTACCTACGTTCAAAAACTTTGAATTTTTGAGTAGAAACGCTGTAGGACAAAACTAGCACTCAAGTGTTACATTTGAGATAGTTCGCTTTGCGCAATTGGCTACGTTCTAGACAAACCTCTTTTTCCGGAAAACTGGGGCAAAAAGAAAGAGCTCCACAGGGTTTTAGTGGTTGGTAGATTAAGTTGGTTCGTTCGTTTAGCAGGGCTACAGAGAACCCGAAAAATCATTTCAAGTGTCAAACGCCGGCGCACACACACACCCAAACAAGAATCAAGATTCTTTTCACTGAGTATCTTGCACTCGACAATTATATCCTTTTTTCTTAATTTGGATTAGTCGTCAAAAAAGGGAGCATCAGTGGCTATTTCGACGAAGAAGCAGAAAGAAAACTATCTACACTGTAGTGGAACCGTTTCTGTCGCTTTTTGGAAACCGTAGAGAAAGAAGTCAGACCTCAAGGGTTTTTGCTTGAATACTCGGACCTTCGTTGTTTTCAATCTTTGGAAGCGTTAGGTGTCTTTATTTTATTTGCTGAGCATCACGCGTCGTTTGAACTACAGGTACTCTCGCCATCGTTTACGCTTCACATTTGCAATTCTAGCACCAACTACAAGCAATGGGTGGCTGCATATCAAAATCAGAGGAGGACCAGGAGCAGAGCACCAGGGGAAATGGGTCAAGAATGCGTTCAGCCAGGGAAAACAGGGGTTCCAATGGTGTACCTGAAAAGGATCCAATAGAGTCTGGTGATACCAATAACGGGGTACCAGCTGCTGGTCAGAAAAAAGGTTCCAATTCGGGCGCCTCGGGTAAGCAAATTCCAAATCACAACAAAAGCATAGCGGCGCCCCCGGCCGCTGGCAAACGACAGCAGTCTGTGGTTTCGACCAATAGTGCACAATCCACTGGACCCTCGTTGGGATCGCTTTCGAAATCTGGTGGCGGATCTACGGATTCTAGCAAGGCTCTCAAAGTTCTTCTTTTGGGATCCGGTGAGTCCGGTAAATCCACCGTTCTCCAGCAACTAAAAATCATTCATCAAAACGGGTTTTCCCCAGAGGAACTGGCGGAATACCGCCCTTTTATTTACGACAATATTGTGGAAACAGGCAAAGACCTGATTAACGCCCGCGTTCGTTTCGAGGTGCCCCTGGAGGCTGACTCGGGACTCCAGGAAGAAGACCTACAAGAGGTGGTCAACTACAACACCCCGGGATCCCAGCTGGCTGAGTTTCCAACCCGATTGACCGACATACTGGCCAAAGTATGGTCTCTACCTTCCACTCAGGATCTAATCACCGGTGAACGAAGATCGTCGTTCTACCTTATGGATTCAGCACGTTATTTTATGGAAGACTTGCAAAGGATATCTGAACCCACGTATAGACCTACCGTTAGAGACGTACTACTGTCTCGAAAAAAGACGTCGGGGATTTTCGACACAATTGTTGAGATGGACACAAATCTTAAGCTGCACATATATGACGTGGGCGGTCAAAGAAGCGAACGTAAAAAATGGATTCATTGTTTTGACAATGTCACTTTGATTATTTTTTGCGTATCCCTATCTGAATACGATCAAACTCTTTTGGAAGACAAGTCTCAAAACAGACTTGAAGAATCGCTGATCCTGTTCGATTCCGTGGTCAACAGCAGATGGTTTGCCAGAGCGTCCGTCGTTTTGTTCTTGAATAAGATTGATGTTTTCGCCGAAAAAGTTCAGCATGTGCCCTTAGAAAACTATTTCTCAGATTATGCTGGTGGGAAGGATATAAATAAGGCTGCCAAATACATCTTATGGAGATTCGTGCAACTTAACCGCGCCCACCTTAACATCTATCCACATGTTACTCAGGCAACTGATACGTCCAACATCAAACTAGTCTTTGCTGCCATCAAAGAAACTATTTTGGAGAACAGCTTGAAAGACTCGGGTGTATTGTAAAGACGACAAGAGATGCCAAGGCAACTATAAAGCACAAGACGACAGCTGTACGAGACCGAGTCCTGCTCATACCTTAATGACAATTTCAATTTCCATGGACTGGTTCCATCGTAGTTTCTCGAATAATAACTAACAAGACTTTAATTTCAACACCAATGTTTCTCTCGAAAAGAGAGTGAAACCGAAATACATTGATTCCATCGTGATTCAACATCACGAAAGCGTTTCCGTCTAATCTCGCATTTAGAAGTAATGTTATATTTTATACCGGCAGATGCATGCGAAACAAAGTGTACTTAAAATCTATCGCAGGTGTTGATGAGCAGAAAGTAAGCGCGGTGCTCATACATATGAAGCCATTTTTCCAAAGGTCCCAAAAACCAGTGGCCCTGTCCCCTTCCAGCAGCGCCCATGGGCGAACATGCTTCTGAATTTTGTAATGGCGCTGCGGTCATGGACGGGCCATGATACTCAAGATCTTCTAGAGTTTGAGGAAGCTGTTGTTGGTTTATAAAAATTTCCAGGCCAGCTGGACCGTAGAATGGCGGAACCATGGTGATGTAATCTCCATCGTGAACGACTCTGAAGTATCCCTTTCGAAACATGACTTTACCTTCGTCCAATGACCACTTGTGAATGCGCTCCGTTTCAAACAGTTCATCAACCCAGGCCCTCAACTTGTTGTTAAAAATATTGGGTGAGGCATACGTTAGCACAAGTGGATCATGGCCTCTCAAACGAAGTTCAATACCGGCCAAGCTTGCCACGGCAGCTCCCAGTGAGTGACCGGTTACAACGAGGCTGTAATCGGGGTATGTGTCGAAAATAGCTTCTATTCTCTCGAAGAACTGGGAGCTCAGTGTTTTCAGAAAAACATTGAAGCCTCTGTGAACAAGACAACCTGTACAATCCGAAACGCGACCAGACTCGACCCACTCCTTATAGAATTCTTTGGAGACTGGCTCGTATGGTGTAGGGTATACTGCGAAATCACTGAGCCAATCTTGATTCGTGGAAGAACCTCTGAATGACAGCACCACAACATGCTTTTCATGATCCACTGCCAGAAAGCCGGTCCCAAGCTCATCACTCTCCGCTAATAGTACCAGTTCTACAACTGTTTTTCCTGCAGTCGGGTTGGTGGACTCATCGGAACAAAATTTCAGTCTTTCGGGGCATGCGCCGTCCAAGAGTGTGGATCCAACAAGAAGCTCATTTGATCCAATGCAATAGGTCAACGCACACATTTTGCTGAAATAAACAAGCCGTTCGTACAGTTCCTGAGTTATTTGCACATCTTCGTAATTCTGCGATTTTGGCCGCGACACTGTGATTGTGTCAGCATAAAAAGTGGCATTTTCGTCGCTTAGCTCAATGTCGCTAAAACTCAGGAGCTCTGTAGGGTTTTCAGAACTATTCATGTTGGCCTCGACATTCGTTACCTTCCATGTAAAGAAGAACAAGCTCAAGATGAGTTTTGGGACAAATTTCATCGGCAGCAAGGATTTTTCACAGTCGTCTCAAAGCTGAGTTATCCGCTATTCGGAACTCGCAAAAAGTGTGGGGTCGAAAGTGGTGCACTGCCATACCGGAAGAGGAACGTTTTTAGTATTCTTTTATAGTTTTCCATAAAGTTTCTCTCTGGCGTGAAACATACTGACGCTGCCACGACAATTTGCCAAAAAAACTTCAATTTCAGGTTCAAAGGCCACGCACTCCTGTTTAGAGCCCTATGGAAGCTATCTGATTGCGCTGCTTGTACTGGCTGTAACTTCAATGATAACACTTACAAGAGTTGCGAGCCCCCACCAAGAACAGAACATTATCCCGACATAGCGAGAATATCGTGTCACCCACTTCGAAACCACGTCTGCGCCTGAAAACACCACCAATAGCACGACATTCTGTACCAGAATGAATGCTGAAGAAATAATGAACTTGTAGTCTGGGGCATGGCTCTGTATAGACACTGACCGGAACAACCATATTTTCGTGGAATCCATACCGTTGCCATTAGCATTCATCGACATCGAGATGAAGCCACTCAAGCCTACACCGATGAGAATATTGAGTAGAATGCCACCGAGACATGCGCTCAGCGCAATGAAAAAATACCTGGACGCTAGTTGTACTTGTTCGTCCCGCGACTGCGAACCCATCTTGAGATGCAACTTGCACATTGCGACGTTTGACACAAGGTCGCTGACAGAGTTGCCCCATGAGAAAATGGTTAGGCCCAGTACGCCTTCAGAGATGTTGGTGAGATGCTGGTAAGTCACCATCACCTCCACTAGTGCGTTGGCGAAAACTGCTATCCACAGCACGCAATTAATGATCCCCAGGCTATTGAGCACCGTTACGAAATACTGTTCCAGGACCCCGAGCTTATAAGCTGCCCTGCTGTCATGCAGTTCGGTATCATGTAGCGAAAATCGGTTAACCTGGGCCACTTGCCAGCGAAACATAATTGTTGATGAGAGCAGCCCAGTAGTGACCAAACCACATACCAGGATTGACCACCAAGGTATCTGAGAATCGACCAAAACGCCCACAAGTAGGAGTGTGCACGCAGGAACACACACAGAGTGTGCCAGCAGTAGTGCTAGAGTTTTTGGCTCGAGAATGGTCCTGTTAGCAGAGACGGTACTTCTTCGCAGCAGAACATCAAATTGTGGACAGGTCAACCGTAGGTTCACCGTTAAGGGCACCATTGCAATGGCCAGGACTTTGGAATACATCGGTAGTGCACGGAAGTTAAGAAGTTGTGGTGCAAATAAGAATAGCGCTCCTTCGCGTAATCGTAAAAGTCTTGACCGCAACGTATCGCTGTATGCAATGGGAGAAACATCGTTGTCATCATAGTAGGCGTCATTTGCTGGAGCCATGTCCTCATTATCCCGGTAGCGTTCGAATGTGGATGGTGACGAGTGAGCCACTACAGTGTTGAGATCAGCATTTTTCGCAAGATGTGGTGAACCGTTTGGAGGCTCACTCAAGGATCTTGGAGCCACATACTGGGCATCGGAATGATGAGCTTCCAGCGTTTGTAGTGTTATAGCGTCGAGATCGTCAGTCAATGGTCCCTTAGGTTGCTGCATCGCTGCGTACAGCGCCGTGTAATCCAGAGCGCTCAGAACACTGAATTTTAGCGTTGATGGTTCCAACTCGTTGTTACTGCCGGATACTGGAGCCTGAGCTGAGAGCTCTAACGACAACTCATTGCTGTCACTGCAGCCCCAGGTTTTTGACGCAATATAGCCCGAGTATAGTCCTAGCATAGCCAAACAGTTCAGTAGTGTCACTTCGTTGCGGAAACTAACGTAGAGCATCATTGCAGCAGCAGCAAGCACAAATGCCAGATCGTGTCGCAAGTGTAGAGCGTGGTTGGGCTCAAGCTGAGTTCCCAATGGGCTCATGACTATGAACAATGCACCTTGTACAACGCATAGGATAAACCCACAAGAGCCCAAAACTTCGCCCACGGAGAGTGCTGGAGCGTTGGAAGACGTCCAGCTCATGAAGTTGGTGATCAAGTCTGGTGAAGAGTTGCACCAGGCCAAAAGCACTGCTGCAAGCACACCGCGAGAACGGGTAGCTGTTGAAGACTGGGCTCCAGTTATCGTCGAAACCGTGGGGCATAGATAGTCCGACGCACACACTCCAAGAAGAATAAAGCAGAATACAACATACGCTAGACTCAGCACCACGAACTGGACGTCGAGCGATGAGCTTGCAAACAACTTGGTCGGGTGAAGCAGGACTGATATCATGGGAAAGCGAAAGCGATGAACAGTGGCCTGCACCACAGCTATATGGAGGGTGTCAAGAGTAAAAGTGTAGATGAATGGGTAAAGAAAGGAGAACAAAATAGTGCTTGTAGGAAGTTGTTAACAGTAAGAGAGTGAGTGGTTACAACTCTATTTCTTGATATAAAAAGGCAATAGATATACAAGATCAACAAGTTCAAGCTTGGCCGTACTGTAGCTTTTCGGATGGGTACGAAGCACCGATTTGCTGGATAGACAAAGCAGCGAGCCACTGGCCCACGTCAACAGCACGGTCGAGATCGTTTCCTTGGGCAAGGGCAGCGATGAAACCGGCAGCAAAGGCGTCACCGGCACCGTTGGTGTCGACGATCTTTTCGTTGGCCAATGGCTTGACAGCACGGGTGTGGACGCCCTGTGGGGTCACAACAACGGTGGGTTCAAGACCATGGGTGAAGATGACGGTGCGGTTGGAGCTGTCGCCCACGATGTGCTTGGCAATAGCAGTCAAGTCGTCAGATTTGGCTTCCACGCCAAACGCTTCACAGTAAGAGGCAGCCTCGGATTCGTTGGCAATCACATACGTGGTGTATGGTAAAACCTGTTCTAGCGCAGACTTGAAGAATTGCGGAATGAAAGGCGCACTCAAGTTCAGCACGAAGGGCTTGCCCGCGGCCTGCGCGTGCTGGCCTAGCTTGACGATCGCTTCTGGAGACACGGTGAGATGGAATCCACCAACGTAGAACAGCTTAGCTGCCTCCACAACGTCCCAGTGGCGATCCAAATGGTCAGGAGTGAAATGGTTGGCTGCACCCAAGTCAGTGACCAACGAGCGGTTGTGGCCCGTGATCAAAGCCGCACACTTACCGGTGCCGATTTTGGGCTGTTGTTGGTAGTAGGAAGCCACGCCAGCTGCGTCGTTTTCGGCTTGCAATTGAGCGGAGAACTTGTCGTTGCCCACACTGCCGAAATACGCAACCTGGTTCTTGCCCAGCACGTACGCTGCACCACGAGCTGTGTTTTGAGCTGCACCACCGGCAATGAACTTGACGTCTGGGTGTTGCACCAGTTCGTCGAAGATTGCCATGCGTGGTTCTTCGGTTGACGCATCTAGAAGCACGGCATCGTTGGGTTTAAGAGCGTAACGAGCCAAATATTCGTCTTCTACAGTGGCCTGGATGTCCAAAAGTGGGTTTCCAAGACACACGATTGGGAAGTTGGGAGTGGTAGTTGAGGACATTATAGAACAACGAGGCAAGAAGAGGTGGTTTGTTTCGAGAAGCCTGATTCAAAAAAAAACCAAGAGTCTCGTGGGAACTGTGTTAAGTTGCTGTTGTTCAACTTCTGCTGCTTCTTCTTCTTCTTCAAATGCCAAAATTTTGCATCGGTCGACGACGACGAACGATTGAACGCAGGTTCTCGTCATTCACATGGCAAAACCAGAGAATGGAAATTTCACGTGAGTGTGAGAAACTGAGCTGGCTACCTGGTCGTTTAGTTCAGTTTTGTCCGGTCATTTTGGTGCTTTTGAAGCTCAACTTTTCCTTTCAAAGCTGTTTCTTTGGAAAGTTTGACTTGTTGGATGTTGAGCTGTCAAATGGAGTTCAAAAGACTTAAAATGAGTCGCAAAAAGACGTGAAAAGTGGGTATATATAGGTTACGAGATGCTACGGATTGAATTCTGGTGTTAGAATTGCTGTAAATAGAGGTTTTGAGACCTCTTTCTGGTAAAATTGTTGGTTTGGTTGAGATAGTTTTTCAAAGATCTAAGTTTCTCGACTTTAATATATATATTAGACATTATATATAATTTGAATATCTTGAAAAAAGATCAGGAACTTTGACATCCAAAGTCGGTAGAAATCTAGCACCAAAGAGTCGCTAGAAGACTTTTTTCGAGGCTTTCAGGACGATAATCGACTGTGGAACGCAATTGCAGGCGATTTGCGCGAAAAAACGAAGAATATCGGTGGACGTTTGGTTGAAAAACGATCGAAAAAACGAGCATTAACGTCCTTAACTTTTAAAGAGCTATGATCGATCCATTTTTGGCGATTTCGCCTTTCAAAAATAGCGAAAACTTGCTGCTGAGACACTCTTTGGAGGCAGTGGCCTCTTTTCTGGTGTATTTGCTAATCGTGGAACGGCGTCTGGCTCCAGCGATCAATAAACGGGTCTTCAAAAAACATTACACGCAGGGCATCGATAGTAACACGCGGCTAAATTATGATATCCACACGGTTTCCATGGTTCAATGCGTGATCAGCTTGGCCCTCACGGCGCCCATTCTGTTGCAACCGCTCAACACCAGCGTTGCCACGTTCCAGGACCCCTTCAATTCCATGGTCGCGGCCCTGACCTGCGGGTATTTCATGTGGGATCTTTACGTGTGCTTGAAATACTACTCGCTGTTTGGAGCCGGCTTCTTGGGCCACGCGGTGGCTTCGCTGTACGTTTTCGTGGTGTCGTTGCGTCCATTTTGCCAGTCGTGGATCGGGAAATTTTTGATTTTTGAAGCTTCCACGCCATTTGTGAACATCAACTGGTACGTCAGTCAGCTGGCAAGGTCTTCACCCGCTGGAACCGCGCCTGCAGTTCCGCTGTGGTTCAATGCCCTTAATGGAGCTTTGTTGATCTTGACGTTTTTCCTCGTGCGTATTGTATGGGGGTTCTCCGCTGTGATAATACTGGTGCGTCAACTATGGAAGGAGCGTGCTTTGTTGCCTGTATGGCTTCCCATCACGGTGATGCCGTTGAACATTGCGCTAAATTGTTTGAATTTGGTGTGGTTGAACAAGATGGTCCGTATTGCTAAAAAAATGGCTGCACGGAGTCGCAAGAAGGTTTAAACTCGTGGTTGTTTAACAATGCACCGTTTGGAGGGTAGGTTTTGATGACTTTGATAATGCCTATTCGAGATTACGGGCACTAAGATCAAGATCGTCAATTCGATAAGGGCATATCTTGTACATTTCCAAACCGCGAAAAGACCACTCAGCCAAAAAAAAAAGTCAGTGGGGTTTTGGACCTGCCTGGGCTATACAAAATGCTGTATCTCAACCATGTGCACCGCGTCCTTCGATAAACTTGTCATCTTTTTGCGAAAAAGTCCGATCGGGCTCCCATAAACGCTAAAGAACCCAGAATCACTGGATAAACATCATAAAAGACAATGGGGATGGAAAGTCTCTTTGTCAAAGTATTCCAGCCTGGTACATGGCTTTTCTGGGACATTCTAAAGCTACTTTCATGCTCTCACCTCGCATCCTCCGTACACAGCGACCGTTGGCTTCTACAATACATATATAAACCTTTACCCACACACATATACCCATCTCTACCAACTACAAACCCTGCCAACAAGACCACAACGACGCCTTCAGAATGTCATTTGTGGACCACTTACAAGGTCTCCTCGACAATCCCAACATCCCATGGAAGTCGGTGATTACTGCCTTCACTTTGGGCCAATTTGCGTTCGAAACGTATTTGAACTATCGCCAGTACCGCACTTTGGGCAAGAAGACTCTTCCTAAGACTTTAGAGGCTGAGATCGATGCAGAGACCGTGCGCAAGGCGAATGAGTACTCGCGTTCCAAGATGAAGTTCAGTATCTTGTCAAGCACTTTCAGCTTGGTGGAAAATTTGGCCGTGATCAAGTACGATCTGTTTCCTCGTGTGTGGCATTTGGGCGTTGCGATTGCTCGCAAACTTCCCTTCCAAGTGCTTACGTCGTCTACCATCGCTCAAAGTCTGGTTTTCTTCACTGTGTTATCAAATCTGTCTACTATTGTGCAATTGCCCTTTTCTTACTACGAACACTTTGTTCTAGAGGAGAAGCACGGTTTCAACAAACTGAGTGTGAAATTGTGGATCTCAGACAAGATCAAGGGCTCTCTCTTGGGTGCAGCATTGGGTATGCCGCTAACGTACGGGTTTCTCAAGATTTTCGAAACTTTCCAGACCAATTTCCTTGTATACATCTGTGGATTCGTGCTTGTGGTCCAAATACTGGCCATGACTTTGGTACCTGTGCTCATTATGCCCTTGTTTAACAAATTCACACCTTTGGAAGACGGGGAACTCAAGGAATCGATCGAGGCTCTTGCACGTCGCGTCAACTTCCCATTGGACAAGATTTTTGTCGTGGATGGTTCCAAACGGTCTTCCCATTCCAACGCTTATTTCACGGGACTGCCCTTCACCAGCAAGCGCATTGTGCTCTACGATACGCTTGTGAAGGATTCTTCTGTGGATGAGATCACCGCGGTGCTAGCCCACGAAATCGGGCATTGGCAGAAAAACCACATTTTGCGTATGCTTGCCTTCAGTGAGGTCCACATCGCTTTCTTGTTTTCTCTGTTCACCGCAGCATACCAAAACAAGTCTCTATACGCGGCATTCGGCTTCTACCTGGGTCAGGGAGCTCCCGCCAACGCCGCAACCGTTATTACTCCACAATTGCCTGTATTGATCGGCTTCATGCTGTTCAACGATCTTTTGCAGCCTTTGGAATGCGGCTTGAATTTCGGCATAAACTTGATGTCCAGACTACACGAGTACCAAGCTGATGCCTACGCCAAGAACCTAGGCTACACAAAGGATCTGTGTCGTGCCCTGATCAACTTGCAAGTCAAGAATTTATCAACCATGAATGTCGACCCATTGTTTTCGAGCTACCACTATTCACATCCCACTCTTCCTGAGCGTCTAGAGGCTCTCGACTACATCAGCGAACGCAAGGCCGAGTGATCCTCGCGTCAAACATTGAATATGCTTGCTATAACGCGTCACAGCATTTTTTTTCTTTCAATGACGCCGTGAAATCATTCTTTCGGCACTTTACATAGTCCAATTTGAGCCCAAATTTCGAGCAAAGTTGCAGACTGTATGTCTCTGTATATACCATCTATTCAAGACTACTTGGAACGTCAGAATCACTTGCAATCGTGAGTTCTTGTCAATTCGTTATTTACGTGTTTATTTCGCGTCTGGTATTTCTTAAATCTCGAAATTCTATGTACAGTTTTAATAACTCTATGAACTGTTAAAAAATACAAACTTCGAAGAAAAACAGTCGATCCCGATCTCTACAAAGATTTGACCGTTCGGTGAGTTCCATTATAGATTAAGAGCAGTGGTTTAGATGCAAGGTTCGATTTACAGCTCGCCATTCCCAGCACTGAATCCGCGAGTGAGGTATAAAACTGCTTTGGAAAGAGCAGGCTTTGATGTTTACCACAACCATTCCCATCCCGAAAGAGAGCCTGGTAGGCCCTACTTAGAAGGGAGGCACGTCAGCGAAGGTGGTAGGCGTTCTTTGGGGGCTCATTCCGAGCCGCGTTTGGTCCATACGCAACAAAATAACGGGAACAGGGCTGTGAGTGCAAGAGAGCCGCAACAGATCCCATATGGCTGGAAAACACCAGATTTGCCCCGGGAGCATTTTTCAAGTCCCCAATTACATATTCCAGCAAGAGTTGAGTCTCCAGGCCGCGAATCGGCGTTACAGTCGCGTCGTGCTGAAGCCGATAAAAGATCAACCGGGAACAATCAACTTGATCAGGATCCAGGATTCTCCACCAACAGAAGCGTCAGATCCCGAGCATCAGGACATTCTGCCACTAGAAACCAACGGGACTCTTCTGTTTTTGATTTTGAGAATAAAAGGACATCTGTCGACCCCGTAGAGAAAAGCTTTTTGCAATTGACTCAGACATCAAATGAAAGCGACAGATCTTCACAAGAACGAGGCTTCACACCCTATGAAGTGGATTCAACTACTTCTGCGGGTGTTAGCGATGACGAATTTAAGGATGCCCAAAGCCACCACGCGTCGGCTGATGAAGTACCAGGCATGGCGAAATGGCGCTCCATTATGCGTTATAGTGAAGCCACACATGAACAGTTGCATCCTGAAGTTCCAGGAGACTACGACTTGAACGCTACTCCAGATTCAAAACGAGTGTCTGAATCCAGTATAAGCTTTACGCCAGTCGCTGAATTGCATGTTAGGCTCTCAACTCAGGACCCACCGAGCTCACTCCCCGTGATCAACATAACAAACGAAGATCGGAAAGACACATTGTTGTCTCACTCTGAAGGGAATGACATTGACAGTCCTGATGAGCGCTCACTGAAATCACTGAACTTAGAACCAGAGCTTCCGTTGGCCTCGCTTGTTCAACAACATCAACAACAACGACAACCGAGGTCTACTGAAAAGGAAGCTGAACCTATGAAAGAAGAAATAGAGGATGAGTTAGAGGAAGCTGGTGAAGACTTTGATCCCTCATCGACTCTTAAAAGCTCCTTGCAGGTCGAAAAACTACTAGCCCAATTAGATGACACTTCAACCAATCGTAATCTCGCTGTAGGCGGTCCACGTCCTGACCTTGCTAGTCGTTTCAAAAAATCCAGTGCATACCTCTCTGGCTTCGTTCCGGCCCCAACGAGTGTCGACATTGACGATGCATTGCAACCCAATCCCATTCTGCAACAAGAAGTTCTTAGAGCAGAATCCTCAGTTGACAATGCTCCAGATTTCAAATCGCAAACCATACATGTTCGAACCGAACCTGCTGTTTCACGCGACAGAATCGATTCTCCACCCGACTCCGATGGGTCGCCGATGTTTTTCAAGTTTCGAAAAGATCTGGGTCCCCATCGACATACCTCTAGCGATGGCGAAGCTGTAGATGGTTACGCTGACGCCTTGAGACCATCAGAAAGACTCAAGCTGTCCCTACAGACACCTATCTCTCTCAAACAGCTTGATGGGATCGCAACAAAGAGAGAAGTAACTGGACCTGGATCTAAAGATAAGCCAGATACCAATGCCTCCGAGAGCGAAAATGAAGTATCTAAACAATCTCCCAAGTTCCCACCAGGTCAGGGTCCTTGCCGAGCATGCGGCTTGGAAGTGACCTCGAAAAGTATCTTTTCAAAGAAAGAAAACGAACTATCTGGACAGTGGCATCGCCCATGCTTTCGCTGCATCAAGTGCGACGTCAAATTCTCTAAACATGTTCCATGCTATATTTTGGACGACGAGCCGTATTGCCAATTGCATTATCACACTGCGAACAACAGCATTTGTCAGATCTGCTACAATTTCATTGAGGGCGAGTGTCTAGAAAACGATAGAGATGAACGCTTTCACGTAGAATGCTTAAGATGTTTCAAGTGTCGGGAATTTATTCACGAGGATTACTACCTGTTCAACAACGAGCTACCGCTGTGTCACAACCACGACATCGAGGCTCTCAAACTTGAAGTACTGAGCGAGTTCGGAGATACTACTACAATCTCCAAGAGAAGAACGCGAATCGTGAATTTCAGCGGAGAGAATTGACTTGGAATAGAACAATAGTCATGGCCAAATGAGAGGTGAAAACCTTGGAGCCCGCGCATCCGTTTATGGTCTACGATGAAACCTTTCCATTCATCACTAGGTCTTCTCTTTTTTGCCATACCTGTTGTTTTTCTCTTCTGCTCTCACACCATCATCCCAAAACTCGTGAAAGTTTATGGACGTAAATCACCAAAGTAAATTGACCAAGCTACTGGTATCATCTGATGTTAGTTGGACATCCTCCTATCGTCATATTCTCGTTGTCCCATCCGAGCTATTCCTGTTCTTATTTCAAGAGCCCGAAAGACGCAATTTGCGTCCTTTTTTTCCGCTGAAAAGCCTCAAATGAAGTTCTACTTTCTCTGTTCACGTTGGTGTTAACCAGAGTATTCTCTTTCATGAAGTTTTGCTTCTTATTCGAGTTCTTTCCCTCTGTCATTTTGGCCACTATTTTGTTTAAGATCGCGAAAGGGACTAGTTGCGAAATTTTCAAACTTTCGAAATAAAAACAGGGAGCCAGCATAACAAACCAAACAAACTCAACCAAAACGGCCAACAGAGAGGCGATTTCGCATAAAACAGTCGCACGCAAAAAGTAGAGGACGTCAAGATTTGTAAAATATCTTTTCATCTGGTTAAAAAGGACCATTTTGAACATATTTTTGACTGGTATCGTTACAAAACAACAAGGACTGGTTCACTCTCATCAAAACCTTTTCGATTAGCTGATAGACCAAGAGAGGGTACTGGAACTGATTGCGCGAACAGAACTACAAAGATAATGAAGGATACACTAGGGCTAGAAAGAACCCCTAAACGTGAAAGTTCAAAAAGGCTGTCTTTTGGACAAGAAAATGAAGAAAGTCCGAAGTCGCCCCAAACTCCGTCACCACCTACAAATTATAACCGCAGTGGTGGCCACTCCAATAGAAGAACATCTGTGTCGCATGGGTTTCTGGCGTCACCTTTACCAGGGAGCACAGCAACGGCGAGGCCATCGTATAAAACGGATTTCGTGGTTCCAGAATCGCCGGGCGTGAAAACGCGGCTTTTGCCTCCAACAACGCCCAAATCGAGAAACCAAGAGGTTTTCTTGTCTCCTTCGCCCAAACTCAAATCGCCAGGTATTCAAAAGGACACGGAAAGGCCCATTCGCGAGCTCTCCAACAATCTGAAAACCAGGCTCAACTATGCATTTGTCAAGCTTCAAAACGGTTGGACCGACAAAACACTGCCTCAACTGGAGTCTGTGGTAAGCGATGCACCTACCAAGACTTTTGAAGTGCCTAAGCTGGGCACCACAGCGTACAGCAATCGATTTTTGGAAGAAGAAGACTCAGGAAACAACTCCGCCCATGCTGCCTTGATGAACGCGTTGGGGAGCCCGAGGAAGAAACAAAGGTCAGGCTCGTCTTCTTCAAGTGGTCTGGTCACAAGTCCTAGAAGAGGACAACGGCCACCTCCTATCATCACGGAACCCGCTGTTGAAGACTCTGAAAAGAAGTCTAAAGACGCGCCCTCGGAAGTCGAGGCCATTGAAACTCTCATGTCTTTATCCTCTCCTAAAAAGGCCTCTAAACATTCAAGCCAAGACTTCACGCTCCCGCCTCCACCGATACCAGCTTCGCGAAATCAACAGCCGGCTTCGCAGCAGGATCCTACCATCGTGGGCATGTCATCACGATCATCCTCCTCGGGGGCGTCCATACCCAACACGTTGGCCGAACCTTTCATTTTAAAAGGAAACAGTGGTGCCAACACACAGGTCCTGCTTGACGTCGAGACTGACGTTGAAGAAAGTAACGGGGATTGACTCAACACCACCAGGGCTTTGGGTATACGGGGAACATTTAATCTAATATATATATATCGGTTTATATATGAGTTGTTGTAACATTATAATCCACATTCTACCATGATCCGAAGTGAACTAGTTGATTTGAGTCATCTTCAAGATTTGAGTCCTGGATCTCTTGTTTGACAGCTGACAGATAAAGGGCTCAGAATAAGAGTAAATCTCACACCTCAAATGAGAATATCGTAGTACCTTCACCTCTACTAGTCTTATCTACTGATCTTTAACGATCAGCGAGATGGTTCAAGCTAGTGTCTACAGAAAGAGGACTTGCACCGTTGATGCTGTTTTCCCCAGAAGCTCCAAATCGTCGACTTTAGATCCAGTAAGAGACGTTTTGAAAGTTGTTTACGACGTGTATGAGTCTCAGTGGATAGACACTGGATATCCTTTGGTCAACTACGTCCTTTTACATGGCAGTGGGATGAGTCGCAAAGTATGGGAGTACTACGTCGACAAACTAACTTTACCAGACAACAAGAATGGCTGTAAAATAGGTAAGATAATCCTCATCGATCAAGTAAACCACGGTGACTCCGCGGTACTTAATGCCAATTTGTTAGGTACCATTTACGACTGGAGTGACGGTGCAAGAGATGTGTGTAAAGTCTGCATGGAGGAGTTTTACAATTTATCTCGGAAAAGTGACGTTTTCAATGTGGTTATAGGACATTCGATGGGTGGGTTTCAAGCATTGAGTTGTGGTGTGCTGTTCCCTGGTCTTTTCGATTTTGTTCAGTGCATCGAGCCTGTGGTATGGATGAAGCGGATTCGAAATGCTAAAGATGACAATATCAGCACCATCTCACCCAGTTTCTACCAGGCCTTGACTCGATCCATGACCGATGAGTTTGCCAGTGAGAACGACTTTAACAAGTTCTTTGACCAGTCCAGCCTGTATGCCAACAGTACACCTGCGATCAGAAAGCTCATTCGAGAATTTGAGCTAATAGAAGAGCCGGATAGCCATTACAGAACCAAAACGAGTGCTAAGCAACATATGCTGACGTACCTCACTTTGAATCCAACTGCTACATGGCTGATGAGTTCTTTACCGTTTTTGACCTCGCCAGTTCTTTGTATTTATGGGAACAAGTCCAAATGGTGTCCTCCAGAAAATAGGAACTACTTGCGAAGCCATATTCAGCATTATCAGGAAGTTGAAGTTGACGGAGGACATTTGATCAACATCGAAGCTCCTGATCCCTTGATTGCTAGGATAAACATGGAGGTTGAAGGCCGAATTGTGAATTTGACTCCAAAGGTGGAACTGGACGACACTGGTCGGAGCAACAAGTTTGAAAGCGACTACAAAAGTCTTTTGAAACAACGTATTTTGAAAGGTACACCGAAACTTTGAAAAATACAGATGTTTTTTGACCTATTGGTGGGCTTTGGAGCCATTATTTATTATACAAAACTGCAAATCCTGGGGAGGAGTTTATAGTTTGGAATATGCATTGAATGTTGAGCGCAGCTGTTAGTGGCAGCAGGTCCATCAGATGAGCGAAAATGCTAATCGGTGAATTTGTAAGAACCCGTGCTCAAGTTGATACTACCTCCCCTGTAGGATCCTCTTTTCATTTTGTTCTTGTTCTTGGTAAAGTCCTTACCTCTAACTCTTCCCAGTTTCTCGTTTGCCATCTCACCCCAAGTACCCGCTGCGCCTTTGTACGTGTTGTCGGTCAGAGCACCGTTTTCAAAACTGATTTTAGATCTCTCAATTCTTGAAAAGTGCTTGCGTTGGCCAGGTTGCAATTCATCGATACCCGCTGAAATGTGACCAGGGTTGTGCGCAGGGGTCTCTGGAGACGCTGTCTTGGAAGAAGAGCTTGATTGCCCGGGTTTCTCACTGGAGACGCTGGGGGATGGTTCGTCATCAGAGGACTCACTGTCCGAAGACGAAGAGCTCGAGGATGAAGACGAGCTTGAAGACGAGCTAGACGATGAAGATTCGTCTTCAGAACTTTCACTTTCAGAGGAGCTTGACGAGCCCGAGGAGCTGTCGGAGGATGAGCTCGTCGAATCGCTGTCTGAAGAGCTGTCTGAAGAGCTAGATGAGCTCGACGAATCACTGTCTGAGGAGCTAGATGAGCTCGACGAATCACTGTCTGAGGAGCTAGATGAGCTCGACGAATCACTGTCTGAGGAGCTAGATGAGCTCGACGAATCACTGTCTGAGGAGCTAGATGAGCTCGACGAATCACTGTCTGAGGAGCTAGATGAGCTCGACGAATCACTGTCTGAGGAGCTAGATGAACTTGAGGAGCTGTCAGAGGATGAGCTCGACGAGTCACTGTCCGATGAGCTAGAATCACTGTCTGAAGAGCTAGATGAGCTTGAACCACTGTCTGAGGAGCTAGATGAAGAGCTAGATGAGCTCGAATCACTGTCTGAGGAGCTAGACGATGATGATGACGATGACGATGATGATGACGAAGAAGAATCCGATGCGTCGTCCGAAGAGGAAGAGCTTGACGAAGAACTTGACGACGAACTTGACGAAGAACTCGACGACGAACTTGACGAAGAACTCGACGACGAACTTGACGAAGAACTTGCCGATTTCGTCCCCGTTTTCTGCCTTTTCACATCCTTCTTCCCCTTAGCCGATTTCCGTCTCTTTTGTGACTTTTTCTCGTCTTCACTCTCGCTTTCACTCCCACTTGTGCTCAGCTCTATCTTTTTCGTTTTCCCCACTTTTTTCACCTTTTCTGAAAGCGTTGGAGGCTCGTTCTTCGAGCTTTTTGGCTCATTTTGTTTGCTCAATTTCTTGGAACCCATCTCGAAGAGATTAATCTGTCCACAAACTGCTATCTTGCTGGCGATCGCGCTTGAAGCTTGTTAAAATGCTGATGCGATGAGTTGGTTAAACTTTTGACTTGAAAAAAGTTTTTCGAGGTTTTGATGTTCGTCCGTAGTGATATTTGATAATTAGTGATTTAATATGTAGATTTATATATATTAAAGTTGTATAAACGTATTTCAAGTCTAAAACTACCTTCAAAAACAAGATTGAAATGGCATAAAAGCTGAGTTCTGAGCATCTCAAATAGCTCATTCTTTGGTGTCAAAGTGGTATATTTGCCGCTGCACAGAAGAGGACTCTTTCGTAGCTTTTTTCTCCCGGTTTTTGGGCGAAATTTGTACCAATTTTGGTGGATTTTCAAGCACAATGAGTGGTGAACACCAATATCAAACCAGAAGCAAAGGCTCAACGGTGGGAGGCAGGGACCTGGACTTCTCGGACGACTCGGTGGCTACTGACAACTCGGACTACGGTAATGAATTCGTGGATGACGAAGATGAGGCGGAATATGGAGTCAGTCAAAGTGGGAAATCGAGAGCAGGCAGTCGCAAATCTGCTGCAGGGGGAAAGAAAAATGGGACGAAAAACAGTGCGAAAAGCGGCAGTGGCGCTAAGGTGTCTGCTACTAACGAAACACTCAACAAATTGGCCGCCAAGGACCAAAACTTTCTGCATGGACTGCAGCACGACGCTCCAGCGGATTTCGTGCCCGATGTGGTGTCAGGGCTTTTCAGGTCTTCAGACTTCAGCTACTTGAAACTGAAACCCGACCATGCATCTAGACCGCTATGGATTTCTCCAAGCGACGCCCGTGTCATTTTGGAGAGCTTTTCGCCATTGGCTGAACAAGCCCAGGATTTTCTGGTAACAATCGCCGAGCCCATCAGTAGACCATCACACATCCACGAGTACAAAATCACGGCTTATTCGCTGTACGCGGCGGTTTCTGTGGGTTTGGAAACTGACGATATCATCGCCGTTTTGGATAGGCTGTCAAAAGTACCTGTGGCAGATTCAATTACAAATTTCATCAAAAGTGCCACTGTTTCATACGGTAAAGTCAAACTTGTCATTAAGCATAACCGTTATTTTGTGGAGACTTCGCAAGCTGACATTTTGCAGATGTTGCTAAAGGACCCGGTGATCGGCTCTTTGAGAATCGATTCTGAGGCTTCTGCCTCTTCTGCGGCCTTGCAAAGTCAAACCATTAAAGAGAATAGCGCAGAAGCACAGCAAAAGACTGCAAAAATTGATCCCAACGACGTGGAAGCCGTTTTTTCGTCAGTCGTGGGCGAAATTCAATTGGATGACGACAATGAAGATATCGATGCCGTTCACGCCTTCGAGATTGCAAATGAATCTGTGGAAATTGTGAAAAAAAGATGTCAGGAAATTGACTATCCCGTATTGGAAGAGTACGACTTCAGAAACGATCATAGAAACCCAGATTTGGATATTGATCTCAAACCTTCTACTCAAATTAGACCTTATCAAGAGAAGTCTTTGAGTAAAATGTTTGGTAACGGTCGTGCCAGAAGTGGGATCATCGTTTTGCCCTGTGGTGCGGGTAAAACGCTAGTCGGTATTACAGCTGCTTGCACCATCAAAAAGTCAGTCATTGTACTTTGTACCTCATCAGTGTCGGTAATGCAATGGCGGCAACAATTCTTGCAGTGGTGTACACTACAGCCCGAAAATGTGGCAGTTTTCACTTCGGACAATAAAGAAATGTTTCAAACAGAGTCGGGTTTGGTGGTATCCACTTATTCCATGGTTGCGAATACTCGTAATAGGTCTCACGACTCGCAGAAAGTCATGGACTTTCTCACGGGCAGAGAATGGGGGTTCATTATTTTAGATGAGGTGCATGTTGTTCCAGCAGCCATGTTTAGAAGAGTTGTCACCACAATTGCTGCACATGCAAAATTGGGTCTGACAGCGACATTGGTTCGAGAAGATGACAAGATTAGCGATCTGAATTTTTTGATTGGCCCCAAGTTATACGAAGCTAACTGGATGGAACTTTCCCAGAAGGGTCACATTGCAAATGTTCAATGCGCTGAAGTCTGGTGTCCCATGACGGCAGAGTTTTATCAAGAGTATCTGAGAGAAAGCGCAAGAAAAAGGATGCTTTTATACATCATGAATCCGACTAAATTTCAGGCTTGTCAGTTTTTGATACAGTATCATGAGAAGAGAGGCGACAAAATCATCGTTTTCTCTGACAATGTTTACGCTTTGCAGGAATATGCATTGAAGTTAGGCAAACCGTTCATTTACGGCTCGACCCCGCAGCAGGAGCGGATGAACATTTTGCAAAATTTCCAGTTCAACGACCAGATCAACACTATATTCTTATCGAAAGTCGGGGATACTTCAATCGACTTACCAGAAGCTACGTGTCTCATTCAGATATCCTCTCATTACGGTTCTCGTCGTCAAGAAGCTCAACGACTGGGTAGAATTTTGAGAGCTAAGAGACGTAACGACGAAGGTTTCAATGCCTTTTTCTATTCCCTAGTGTCTAAGGATACTCAAGAAATGTATTACTCCACTAAGAGGCAAGCATTCTTGGTCGATCAAGGATATGCCTTCAAGGTCATCACACATTTGCACGGTATGGAGACGCTCCCAAATTTGGCTTACTCAACCGCACGCGAGCGGAGAGAATTATTGCAAGAGGTTTTGCTGAAAAACGAAGAAGCAGCGGGAATTGAAATCGGTGATGACGCCGATAACAGTGTCGGACGCGGTGGCCCAGGGAACAAAAAAGCTAAATCAAAAGCTGTTAGAGGGGAAGGCTCACTATCTGGATTGGCCGGTGGTGAAGACATGGCATACTTGGAATATTCTTCAAACAAAAATAAAGACCTAAGGGATCATCACCCTCTGATACGCAAAATGTACTATAGAAATATGAAGAAATAGAGTATACAGGTTTTATACGGAAGGGCTTACGACTAGATTATCAGTTAGGCGGCAAGTATTCTATTTGCTGTTAATGTGATATTATTTATTATTACAACATTTTCCTGTTCCTTATTCCGATTGTACTTCGCGAAGCTTTTCAGCTGCGAGAAGTTCTAAACTCTCAACTGACGACTGGACATTAATCTTGAAAGTACTGACAAAGTCAATGACATTAATGACTTTAGCATACAGATTGTTCTTCTCCCGATTCAAAGACAGTTTTAATTCTTCGTACCGAAGTTTTGTATTCTCAACGTCTTGCTCTGCTTGTACTACCTTCTGATGAGAAGAATATTTTGCGTTTTGGAGTTTTCTTTCCATTTTTTCAATCTCAATGCGCTGTGACAAAAGTCTGCCATGGCTCTCCTGCTTGAATCCATCAAACCGAGCTTTAGCCAAGGAAAGCTCTTGTTCTAGTGATTCGAGCTCCTTAGTCTTTTCATTGATTTCCAGACGAATTGTTTCCAGCTGGGCCTCATGTGATGAATTCTCTTGCGATGAGTTCTGAATTCTGCTTTGTATTGTTTCGTTCAGCTGCAAAAGAACGGGCATAATCGTCTCACGTAAGCTTGATCCCACTAGATTTTCGAATTGTGAATCATCTTGTGAGAGATCGTACTTTTCTAAGTAATTAGGCGGAAGCGAGAATTTCTGTTGTATATCGCTGGTGTCATGACCCACATTTGAACGGGCCATCGCGAGGCTATCTGTTGCTACTCCGTATTGTTCGCTCACGTCCACCAACGTTTTATACGCACCTTCGGCGTCTCGTCTTTGAGTCTTCAAAGAGCTTACCGCCTGATCAATTTGGCTGGATATCGTGTCCAAAGCTTTTGTCAACCTTTCGCGCTCCCCATTATATTTGTCGATTTCAGCAATTTCCATGCTCTTACCCTTGATTAATTCACGTAAATGAGCGATATCTCTCTCGGTCTTCTTCAACTCTTCTGCTTTTGAGTGCTTTGCTGCTTCCATCTTTTCCAATTTGCGCGGCCATTCTTGACTCTTGTGCTGCATTGCATTAACGTAATTCTGAAATTTTGTCAGATCGCTTTGCAAAGCATTGAATTTGTCCTTCGCGACTTTCATCTCTTTGCCCTTTTCGACCAAGTCGTGATATCGCACGGACAGATGACTGTTGGACATGGCTATATTGCTGATATCGGTCTCAATGACCTGGGTGAACTTTTCGAATCCCACAACTAGTTCCTTCATGTACGTGGTGTAGTCGTCGTCCAAATTCAAAAAGCTCTTGTAAGACTGGACTATGTAGTCGATGAAGAGCCGCTCCACTATGAGTTCGTATTTTTCTTGTTTGTCTTCCTGCTCGTCTACCGTACCGATAGGCTGTCGTAGAACTGTGAGGTCTTGTGTGTTCTGGCTGACAAGAGACAAATCCACCTTTTGAAGGTACGCATCTAACCTTTTGTTAGTGTTCACCAGCCAATGCAACATCCCCAAGAATTTGGGCCAGCTCGATCCCCCAACTGCGGATATTTGAGACTTGTTTATGGTCTCCAAGTAAGGATACTGGATGGTTTTCAGAATCGCATATACGTCATACACGAGAGATTTGGTGAAACTATAGCCTGGATCCATTCTTTGATACAGCCATCGAAACAAGAAAACGAAATCCTTCTGAGTGGGCTGTCGTAGAGCTTTGAGGGATATGGGATGATTGGCCTGCACATCGTACTTCTGGGCCTGCAGATAGTCGAATATTTCCTGTTGGATTAAGCTCTGGAAGTTTTTGTCCCTCAAAGGTCGTGGATCCTTGTTGTTAGTGTTTGTGGCATTGGTAACACCGCTATTAATGGCATTATTGGGTAATAGAGACGTTCGCTGCGAAGACCGCAGACTTTTCCGAGAATCTAGCAGCAAACTTTTCCTCGAGTCTGTGTATGGTCTTCTAGTGTTTTCTGGTCTTGTTTTTGCCAGACTTTTATTGATCAGATCTGTTAGTCCAGGGCCACCAACTGCTGACGCTGTACTATTTCGTCTTCGGCCGGAAATTGGAGCTGGAATCTGCGAAGAGAAGCGCTGGGGGTCCAAATTATCGAGTATACCTCTAGATTCGCTTGAGAATCGCGTGTGGGACCCTTCCATGGGGTGCTAATGGCCCAGTATGTACTTGCTTGTTGATGTTGTGATATTTTGATGAAATCAAAACAATATTTAAATATTGATATATTATATATGAATTCAATGACATCGCCGATAAACGTTTTGGGACAATGTTTGACGGTTTGACGAGCCAAGATGGGTTTTGAAAACTCGAGTCAATGATTCTAAAGGTTTTGGTAATAGTGGGCTTTCTTAAGAGTGTTTTGACGACTTTTTTGCTTGATTTTTGCATCTTAGAGCATTCGATTCTTGTGAGGACGAGAATCGATAATCAGGAAATACCATGGGCATTGATCGAAATGTTTTGTCACAGAGAGCTGTTAAATGCAGTGTGGACTCTGGACTTGAATTCTGAATGTATGATAAACTGGAGCTGTTTTAAAGAAATCAACCAAATGTTTTTACTGGTAGGGACATAACGCACACACCAATTTGGACACGATACACAATGATATTTGTATGGTATCTGACAGGATACTGAACTAAGCGCTCTGCTTCACAATAACAAGATCAGGCAATCTCCTTGTTCCATCCTTGGTGAACGCTGGACTACAAAACGCAGCAAAATCTCGAATTTTTCAATTTCTCGAGGTAAGAATGGCCAACATGCACTTGTTCAAACTGCTACACCAGACAAGATCAATGAGGATGGTGCGTAATGCTCAAACGTCCTCATCGATACGATTTATCTTCTTCCCACACGCACCGCCAACGGTTGAAAAAGCTCACCACATGACCTGTTAGCTGCTCATCGGCCATGTTGAATTTGACATCAAATATAATAGCGAATAAGACTAACTGATCTACGAAGATCAAAAAGCTCGCTCGACAAACACTTCAAACGTCGCCTTAAAATGAAGGTGCTACACTCTGTGGATGAGGTGGTTCAGTGGAGAACCGCCAATGTTGATAGACGGGTTCAATCCAGCGGGTTTGTGCCAACAATGGGATGCTTGCATGAAGGTCATTTGACGCTTATACGAGCATCCAAGCAAGAAAACGATTTCACAATTGCAAGCATATTCGTGAATCCATCGCAGTTTGCACCCACAGAAGACTTGGATAAGTATCCCAGGACGTTGCAGAATGATCTGGCGCTGTTGGAAGCCGAAGGAGTCGATATGTGCTTTGTTCCAGGCGTGAAAGAGTTGTACCCTCAGGGTATTCCTTTGAATGTCGAAGAGCAGCGTGGCCCATTTGTAAGCGTGTTGGGAGTTAGCGAGCAATTGGAGGGTCGCACCAGGCCCAATTTTTTCCGCGGTGTTGCTACCGTGGTCACCAAGCTGTTGAATGTAGTATTCCCTACTCGCGCCTATTTTGGACAAAAAGACTTCCAGCAGTTCACGGTGCTGAAAGTCATGACGGAGGAACTTTTTGTAAACACGCAGCTCAAGATGATGCCCATTGTTCGAGATTCTGAAGGTTTGGCTCTGAGCAGCAGAAACAGATACTTGTGTGCAGAATCGCGTCACATTTCAAGAGCAATCTATCAGGGTCTGGACGCGGCCGCTTCTGTCATCAAGAGCTTGCCGGATGGTGGCCATGTCTCACGCGAGAAGCTTTTGAACAGAGTTCGTGAGATATGGCAGCCTTATGTGACTTCTGGCGACTTCAAAGTGGACTACATTTCCGTTGCACATGCTGGCTCGTTGCAAGAGCTGGAGGAAGTGTCCAGAGCTGTAGATGTTGTTGTGAGCTGTGCGGTCTATGTGACCGACAAAGAGGTCAAGACAACAACGGTGAGATTGATAGACAACGTGGTTTTGGCCGCCGCATAAGAAGAAGAAGTTTAGGTGAACCAGGATGGTGTTGAAGAGTCAACGGGATGAGACGACTAGGCCTCTGCCGTTGGGTGTTTTTCTTTTTTTTTTTTTTTTTGGCATATCGATATGTACATAGTAAGACATTCTTGAGTTGAATAGAGAGGAGACGGGGTGGGGGAAGTAAGCATCATGTCAATGGTTGGTGGAGGATATGAGGTCGGGATTCATGATGAAATTGGATTTATGTGTCTTCGTCAATTATCCTGACATTGGGAGTAAGATAGCTTAAAGAGAGTCTAACCAAGTGGCAAATTTGATAATGAGGAGCTTCCGAGAAGCAGAGATAGTCATTTGAAGCACGGAAACAGGTTCGTAAGGGGTTGCCAGTTCTTGACGTTCCTGAGCTTTTATGTGTCACTGTCACCCATGCACAATGTGTAGCTCGTGAACAGTGACAATGATCACATGGAAAGCCCATTTTCAGAGGTCCGGCACTATCTAGACTGACCAGTCAGCTCGAAAACCAGCGAGGATAGACTGAGTGTGTTTATTTGTACACTGCAGGTATTATTTCATCACTATATGCGTCGTCATGCCTGTTACTACCCGTTGGTAAACGGATCCCAATTGGGTTAGCACTATTCACGAAAAAGGCGTTTCCGTCCATAGTGATCTGAAATCCTCGTAAACGTCACAATTGCGTCTGAATGTGCGAACTTTTAGCTTTAGCCACGAAATGATTAGTTTGACAGTTTGAACCGCGCTCCCTCTCCCCCCCTTCCGAACCAAGTGTCTTTCGTGTCTTGAATGTATCGTACTCCCAATTTCTTTCAAAACCATTCCCTTACCCGGACAGGAGGGCAAGTACCTGTGAGTGGTACTCGTGCCGTACACAGTCATATCCTTACGTGCCGTAGATTGCGATTGCAATCTTGCTTATCTATCAAAGGTCACGAGATACGGTCACGTTATACGGCAATACTACGATACCAGAGAGATTGTTCCATTTCCCACAGACAGGGCTCGAAAAGCTTAAGATGCCAAGCCAACAACGCACTGTTGTTTGCTACGCCCTTCGTTCTATGCCCTTCGTGATATGCCCCCTCGTGCCAGGTTAAAAAAATATTTTTTGGTCTTCGATTGTCTTTAAAACTCGGGTCTTGTTAGCGGACCAATCTACGTCGATCAATTTAACCGGAGAGTTGTAATAGAGCTGCGGCGTAAAAACGGTGGGAGAAAGGAAGAGGAGGAGGCAACAACACACACACACACACATAGACATTCTCTCTGCCTCTCTCATCTGGTAAAGTAGTGCTAAATAAAGTATCAATCACCTTTTCATCTCGTCACGTGACCATCCTCTTGCCCCCACTATTATCTACCAAAAACACACTATCAATGTAACTTCTCCGACAATGACGCAAACCATCGTATACCCACCGAATCAAGCTACAAAATGGCTCGAGCAATACCCTCTCCGTCTCTTTCTGCTCCAGATATCAATCAATAGATAAGATATTCCTATCCCATTCTCACTCTCCACGAGCTATCATTCATCGGTCACGTGGCCCTAATCTCTTAAGCGATTTTTCGAGCCCTCTGCTGTTCCTACTAGAAGATAACGATCATCAATAGATCTAAGATTCTTACGCTACCAGCAAGACTCATCTAAGCATGTCTGGAAGGACCAAGCGTGCCGCTATTCTGGCGTTTAGATAACGTATCCCACTGGCGCGCGCGCGACACGGTTCTTAAGCGTTCTTTCTGTATCAGTAACCAGGACGATCTTTTCTCTTAGCATGGGAAACCTTGAAAGCTCTTCGATGTATAAGTAGTAGTAGTCACCACAGTGGAAAAGTGCAAAACTCGGGAGTGGTCGAAACCTGAAAGGATCCAAGAGACTAACAGCCTTCTTGGTTACTTCTCAAGTGTGTCCACTCTCAGGTTCACAAACCATGTCTACCACAAGTAGTGCCAAGAACACAATCAAATTGAACCATTCTCGAGTTGCAGAGGTGGAAGAAGGCGACATACAGGAACTAAGTGCCATCGTATCGTCGCATGGCGTTCCCATCCGGTACGTGGACGCCAAAAGCGCCACGTCGGACCAGCAGGTGCTGGCAGAACTGGGATACAAAGAAGAGCTTAAACGTGAGTTTTCGCCGCTGCAGATCTTCGGTGTAGCGTTTTCCATCATGGGCTTGCTGCCGTCAATCGCCTCAACGCTGGACGGGGGCCTCACGGCTGGCCCCGTGGGGCTCAATTGGGGGTGGTTCGTCGCAGGGATCTTGATTCTGTCCATCGGTGTGGCCCTCGCAGAGCTATCGTCGTCGATCCCCACTGCAGGCGCAGTCTATGTGTCGTGCTACCAGTGGGCTCCTGCACGGGTCCGTAAATGCATCTCGTACTCCGTCGGGTTTCTCGACACCCTGGCTTTGAGTGCCTCGGTGTGCTCCATCGTGTACGGTCTTGCACAGCAGATTCTGTCCGCGGTCGTGGTGACAAACCCGGATTTCGACGTTACCAACCCAATCAGCTACGGTGTTTTCGCCGCGTGCATCATAGTCATGTCCCTGGTGACTTCAATGACCTCCAAGTTCACGTCCAAACTGCAAACAATTTCGATCGTGGCCAACTGCTTCGTCATCGCCTTGTTGTTCATCGTGCTGCCAATCGGCGTGAAACGGTCCGCTAAGCTCGACTACAGCTTCAACGACGCCAAGTTCATCTTCGGCAAAGTCGAAAATCTCAGCACCTGGAACACCGGGTGGAACTGGTGCATTGCCGGTATGATGCCTGCGATCTGGACCATTGGAGCTTACGATTCGTGTTTGCACATGGCAGAAGAAGCGCGCGATGCACCCAGATCCGTCCCAATCGGGATTGTGGGCTCCATTTCCGTGTGCTGGATTCTCGGATGGCTCGTCTGCATCGTTCTTTTGGCATGTATGGATTCTGACATCAACAACGTCGTCAACTCTGCATACGGTCAAGGTATCACGCAAATCTTCTACGATGCCCTGGGAAAAAGATGGACGCTAGGATTTTTAGCACTTCTCATCATTTGCCAATTCCTAATGGGCGCTTCGACCGTTGTTGCCAACTCCAGACAGTTCTGGGCTTTTGCCCGTGATGACGCTATCCCAATGAGTGGATTTTTCAAGAAAGTCGACAAAAGAACATCAGTGCCCATCAACGCTGTTTGGGGATCCAGTGGACTTGCCTTGGCCTTGGGATGCTTGTGTTTTGCAGGAGATACCGCCGCTGACGCCCTATTCAGTTTGTCCGTGGCAGGCATGTACATGGCTCTAATCTTCCCAATTACGTTGCGTCTCACATATGGTAAAAACGATTTTACACCTGGTCCATTCTACTTGGGCGATTTTTGGTCTCCACTCGTGAACTGGTTTGCCGTCCTCTCCCAAGCGTTCATCATCATTATGATGATGTTCCCTTCCGACAAGGGCGTCGCACCGGATTCTATGAACTACACTGTCGTCATTGGTCCTGGATTCTGGGCCATCAGTCTGATCTACTATTTCTTATGGCAGCGGAAATTCTATAAGGGACCAAAATCGAATCTGACGGACGAAGAGTTCCGCGAGTGCGTAGGAGAGGACGTTATCGATGCCATAATGTCGCAGAACTACGAGACTTTGAAGAATCGCATGGTCTAGAAATTTGAGATTTTAAAAACAGGAGGAAATAAGACTAATAGTATGGATCAAGGATAATTCAGAACAGAACGAACAGCCGCCCGGGCCCGGTACGTTACTTGAATCGGTGATGATTATGGACCGGGTTGTTTTGATGCGCTTCTGATGCCAAGCTTAATTCAGCGTCAGTCTAGTCAAAAGTGATAAAGCGCGACAGCCTAGAACGACAGATTCTGTTCTACTATTCTTCGATTAGCATAAAGATAAGATACGTTAAATACAACGACAATACAAACACGGATTAATACACGCATATAACTGGGCCATTCGTCTATACCGTAAAGCACAAGTTTCACGAGTTTTATCGGCATGCAATTGCATTCTAGTCCATTCGACGACATTATAGTTCAAAGTGATCTCATCGGAAACCGCACTCAAAAGCAGCAAAATATTTTGAACCAGCTGCATTGATATTCGACACACACGCTGGCTAACGCTGACTTGCACTTGTTATCACATCTGATTCTCTGACTTGAAATTCTGCAATTTTTAACTACTCTTTTTAAACTTTCATGCAAAAAGTATGGAAATCTGGACAAAAAGATCAAAACTCAATACAAAAAAGCAGAGACCATTGCTCTTGAGAGCTCATTGTTTATCCAGGTCTTCTATAGTCGCGATAGACATCGCCGATGCTTCATAATCTTGAAATCAAACTACTTGGATTTTACTGACATCCAGTCACGTGGCACTTCGATGTGCTTTCCCCCCGATGTCCTAAGGGATGCAAATCAGGAAGCTAGGTCTCTGAAAGACAGAACTACATAAAGATTCGTAGTAATAGGCCCTAAAAGTAATCGAGAGGACCATTTTATATCTTTTGAGAGGTTTCAGGCATAGCACAGGTGCTGCTATTTCACACAGCGCGAAACCCGGAGTTTTTTCCAGCATTTTAAGGCTACAAAGAGAGAAAACCATCCATCTCTGTCGCTTTTGAGCTTTCACGCTGTACTAAAGCGTAAAACCCACTTTCAATTTTATCGGATAGTTGTTGGAGTGTATCTTTAAAGCATCGAATTGGGGAGCGTTGAGTCTAGGTTAGTGGCATCTTTGTCTACTGGAACATTAGACGTGTTTCATACCGCTTTCCAGTAGCTTTTTTGTTGACGTGCTTACAGGCATCAAAACTCTTGGTCGGTTCATAGCTAGGCTGTTTGATATAAGAAGCCAGGCTTGACAAACAGCTAAGCGTTCGATTACATTCATTCCCCTCAACATGAGTCAATATGCAACACCACCCAGGGAACAGCTTTCCAGAGACCGAGCAGACTATTCGTCGCTCCAAGCATCCACGGCACTGCCCTCTGCGTCCTTGAACCAACGAAACAGTATTTTGGACCCGCATCTTTCGGTATTGCAGCTTCTGGAACGCGCTGAGCAGCATACACCAGCTTCTCAAGCCGAGATTGCTAAATTCAAGAGACCAGATTTCATACGATCTCCGTCACCTCCCAAAAAATGTGCTTCGGAAGCAATGCATCGCAGTATCTCCGACTCCTGGCAGTCCATCAGACGCACCGATTACTCTATCCTCAATGTTCTCAATGATTGCACCTCTGCCGAACAGCAAAGAAATACCCAGCAACAGCAACAGCAACAGCAACAGGCACAACAACAGGCGCAACAACAGGAACAGCAACAGCAGCAACATCAGCTAGCGGGTGTTCTTTCTTCGTCTGATACCTCTGAGGACGAACCAGACCATTTTTTGTCCCCATCGCCAAACCAGTACAGCTTCAGTGGCGCTGCAAATGCTATATTTTCTGATCCACCACACGCTCTGGATCCTCCCACATTAGCTGCGTACCGTGAATCGGGACTCAACTTTGCAAATGCAGGTGCTCAAAGTCTTAGTGGCCACGATCACATCAAGGACAACGATATCGACAATGAAACGGTGACTTTGAGTCTCATGAACTCGTCGAATTCCTTTGTTATGCCCAAGTTGTCAGTTGTAAAACCACCCCAAAAGTTCTGCATTCTAATCGTTGGCAAGCCTGCTCAACGATTTTACCGCGATATTCCTCGGTCGTACCGTAAATTATTTGATTTCTGTGACGCCAACAGCCTCGACTCTCGCGAATTGAATCAGTACAGTGCCGTTATGATCATATTCACCGAACCCAAAAACGAAACGACGCTTCTTGAAAAAGTAGCTTCTCAAAACATCAACATTATTGCTGTATGCCAGCGTGGACAGCAGCAGCAGATATCGGGACTCCTTAGCGGTTATTCTCGCTCATATGATCTTCGCTTGATCTACCACTTGACAGTAATGTCTGACCATCAAGATGTTCATCGTTTGCTTCGTTACCTGCACAGTTTGAGCTCCGATGCGGACTCTGGCTATGAAACTGAGGTGGGCTCTCGCAAGATTCGAAAGCGGCGCAGATCACAGAAAAGAAAATCCAGTAATTTCAATGTCAACCGATGGATAATGTGGAGCATATCGTTGACTGTTGGTGTTGGGATCGGATACTCCATTTCGTGCGTTTTGTCATCCACAATATCATTCCGAGACGGCACCCTCTCCCTGGCCTCCGCAAGTGATGCTTCTGGCCTGGAAGACGTCTCGGTCGCATCCCATGAGCATACTTTTGAGAATTACGTTCGCCAGCTGGTTCTGGCGTGCAAAAGGGCCGTTAAGCAGCTCAATGTATCTGTGAAGCAGTATATGAACGGCCATTCTCTGCTTGTTCTCTGGATGCAACGAATGGGCAAAGAGTGGATGTCTGAAGATCCTGATTCTTCTTTACCGGGAGTCGCAGCGCTAGACCTGGTTTTAATGTGAGTTGAAATGACGGCTTCAAAAGAAGAACAAGAATAAAAGAGACAATTCTTGTTAGCGTATGCGCTATGAGAAGTTGAGCAAGCCCAAATCACCGATTTACGCGGCTAGCCTAAGCGGTCAACTAATTCAATGGGAAGCTATCCCGTCATGTTCATAAAAAGAGCATTAAAACATCAAAAGTCCTGCTTTGAAGTTGCGCAGGAGCCACCAAGCCTCTTCAATTCAAACACCGGCCGTCTTATACAATGCTTGAGATGTTTAGCACGTCACTGGAGGTGTTAAACTCGACTCTTCCGGCAGATGTCTTCAAGCTGTCTTAGGAAGTGATGTGTTATGTAGTGAAATTCAATTTAGTTAAAGTTCATGTCATCTGGGTCAACATATATTTCAAAGTTTACAACACAAAAAACGGAAAAAGAAGCACAATAGCGTTGCATCAAGCGGTTAAAGCGTTGCGAACATGCTCTCGAATCAGAGAGCTGGTCTCATGGCTTTTCTGCGAAAAAAAACGCAACCGCCATTCACAGTGAGCATTCGAGCGCAACTAACCGCACTGGTGTGTTTAGTGGCCATACTGTCGTTGATCATACTTGCAGTAATCACAGGAGTGTATTTTACATCTACCTATAAATCTTTAAGAGCTGATCGACTTCAAGTGGCGTCACAACTGAAATCCTCGCAGATCGACCAGAATATCAACTTTTTGTACTACCAAAGCTACTGGATGGCATCAAGAGATATTTTACAGGATGCGTTGACAGAATATTTAGCCGGCAATACCAGCGAGGAAAACTGGTACGATGCATCAACGTCACTAGACAAATTTCTGAGCTCTTCCAATCTGTTCAGTGCAGCTCGTGTTTACGACTCGAGCTTCAAGGACGTGTTGAATGCTACTAATAACGGAACAGGAAACCTTATACCTGAGGAAGTGCTCGCAAGGCTTTTTCCACTCTCTACAAACGAGCCACTGCCGTCTTCACTGCAAGGCACTGGGTATCTGAGTGATCCTGTGCTAAATGGCACAGACACGTATTTGATGTCGATGTCTTTGCCGATCTTAGCAAATCCATCTATTATCTTGTCACAAGACATGATTTACGGTTATTTGACAGTAGTGATGTCAGCAGACGACTTGAAGTCCGTATACAATAGCACTGCCGCATTAGACGACGCGGCCGTGGTGATCGTTTCCACGGTCTATAATAATAGTGATTTGGCTGGATTCCACTTGGTCTTTCCTCCCTATGGCTTGGATTCAGAAGTCACTGACTTTCTTTTCCCATTCGAGTCAGCGTCTTTTCTGAAAGATGCGCTACTAGAAAACAAGAACGGTTCCATCAAAAGCGGGAAGTTCCTCACTAACAAAAATGTGGCCATTGGATACTCATCGTGTGGATTTGAAATCGGGTCGTGGGCCGCTTTGATAGTGCAGCCGGAAAGCGTGTTTCTCTCCCCATCAACGAAGCTCACCAAAATCATTGCTGGTACCGTGATTGGGATCGCTGTGGTTATGTGTCTGATAACATTTCCTCTATCGCACTGGGCTGTGCAACCCATTGTACGACTTCAAAAGGCAACAGAAGTTATAACAGCTGGAAGAGGCTTGAGGTCCGATGGTAGCACTTTGTACAGTCATAAACGTACCAGCACAGCGGAATCTTTCAACTCGCTTTTCAGGTCGGGTTCAATCCGCCGTTCAGGCTCGGTAGTCCGCTCCATTGGTTTTCAACCAGATCATGATGGAATTGGTGCCGCGGCTGGAATATATCCCGGAAAGAATGCTCCAGGAGATTTAGAGAAGACTCCCGAGGGTCCGGCACCCACAGAGCTACGAAATGTTCGATCAGCGGCGAGCGGATCTATTCTCAGTGATTCGCGCTTCACTGGAGCAGACCAGTTCAACACTTCCCACTTGGTAGAAGTTAGAGTTCCGGTCTACAAACGGTACTTTTCTGATGAGCTATCTGAACTAACCGAGACGTTCAACGCAATGACAGACGAACTTGACCGCCATTATGCTCTTCTCGAAGATAGAGTTAGAGCGCGTACGCGTCAATTGGAAGCAGCTAAGATAGAGGCAGAAAAAGCTAACGAAGCTAAAACAGTTTTCATTGCCAACATATCACACGAACTGCGGACTCCTTTGAACGGAATTTTAGGTATGACGGCTATCGCCATGGCGGAAGAAGAACTGCCGAAGGTTAAGAGCAGTCTGAAGCTTATTTTCCGATCGGGAGAACTGCTTTTGCATATTATGACGGAACTCTTGACCTTTTCTAAAAATGTTTTGAAGAGAACCAAGCTTGAAGAAAGGGATTTCACAATTCATGATCTCGCCTTGCAAGTGGAATCTATCTTTGGGAAATTGGCAAAAGATCAACACGTCAAACTGACTATTTCAATTGTGCCCAATGTACTGAGAACCATGATGTTGTGGGGAGACTCTAACAGAATTGTACAGATTATCATGAATTTGGTCTCTAATGCACTAAAGTTTACTCCTGTTGATGGTAAAGTTGACGTGAAATTCACACTGATAGGCGAATACGATGAGGAAAGAAGCAAGGCTGACAATTACAAGCACGTTTACGTCTTGCCAGTTAGCGGGAAGGCAGACGATGATGATAATAACAAAGTCCGCGAAAATATCGCCAACACATCGGTTGCAAGTGACAGCTGGCCATCCTCTCCATCTTCTCGCGACATGCACGAAGTCAAGAAGGATGAGCACTCCAGCGAGGACGGAAATTCAATTAGAGATAAGGAGGGCGATTCTGCGGCGGTCGAAGAGGATGATTGCGAGAATGCAGACGAAGATGATACCAAGTCGATAGAAACAGAATCTAGTAGCGGATCTTATGATGGCGCTCGTTTTCAATCACAACTCTTCAAGGACAATAACGCCGACAATGGCGATGACTACAAAGATGTTCGAGAGTTGAAAGAGCCTAAAAAGTGGACCATCTCGATGGAAGTCACTGATACCGGACCCGGCATTGAGACCTCGCTGCAAGAAAGCGTCTTCGAACCCTTTGTGCAGGGTGATCAGACATTATCTAGACAATACGGGGGTACTGGACTAGGGCTGTCTATTTGCAGACAATTAGCAACCATGATGCATGGTACGATGGTGTTGCAATCCAAAGTAGGGGTTGGAAGTAAGTTCACTTTCTCTGTACCCTTGACACAGATTAAAGAAATATCTTTTGAAGGCGTCAAGGATCCGTTTGAAGACGAATTCAATCCAAAAAGTAAGAAAAATCGCAAGGTGAAGTTCAAGGTTGGCAAACCCAAAGAACAAGAAGCACCAGGAACATCTTCGTCCACCAATGACAGTTCTTTAAAAACCTCGAACATTTCTGAGAGCGAAACAAGCGTGGGGAGCGTACGTGTTGACCGGCCCTTTTTACAAAGTACAGGTACAGCCTTATCGTCCAACACAGTCCCACTAGCGGCGAAAACTAATGAATGCAAAATTTTAGTTGCGGAGGATAACAACGTGAACCAGGAGGTGATTAGGCGTATGCTCAACCTGGAAGGTTTGAATGATGTGGATCTAGCATGCGATGGACAAGATGCGATTGAGAAGGTGCAGGCTCAAAATGAAGCCGGCAGACATTACGATTTAATATTCATGGATGTTCAGATGCCCCGTGTGGACGGACTCTCAGCTACGAGAAAGATACGCGGGGATCTCAATTACAATCATCCTATAGTTGCATTAACAGCATACGCAGACGATAAGAATATCGAAGAATGCTTGGAAGCAGGTATGAACGGCTTCTTGTCAAAACCTATCAAAAGACCAAAAATCAAGTCGATTTTGCAAGAGTATTGCCCGCAACATAGTCAAAAGGATAAAGGGAACTGAGCGATACAAACCGGTTTGAAACGCAAGTAACGAACAAATAAGAAATCTAATACTATATAGAAATAAAGAATTCCTGCATCAAAGGTTGGTCTATGTCGAAAACTTGAACCCTGTGTGTTGACTGAAACCGAAGAGTTTTTTTATTACGTACTTAGGTGAAATACAAGGCGTAAAGATGTAGCTGAGGTATGCAATTGGCAAACCAGCGCACGTATGTAAGAAAGAATGATAGTTGGGGGCGAAACCGACTATTTCAACTTCTTCTTAGGACGCAATTGGTTGGTGTGGCCACACTTTCTCTTTCTGCAGTTGGTAGCTCTTGGAGGCAATCTGGCGTAACACTTACGGCACACAGACTTGTCGCAGTTGAATTTGGAGGCCAAAGCCTTCAAGGAAGGCTCGATGATACCACCTCTCAATCTCAAGACCAAGTGCAAAGTGGATTCCTTCTGGATGTTGTAGTCGGACAAGGTTCTGCCGTCTTCAAGCTGCTTACCAGCGAAAATCAATCTCTGCTGGTCAGGAGGAATACCCTCCTTGTCTTGAATCTTGGACTTGACATTGTCAATGGTGTCCGAAGATTCAACTTCCAAAGTGATGGTCTTACCAGTCAAGGTCTTGACAAAACTGTACGCAAAATGTTGTTAGTAACGGAGGATACGAGATACGAGATGAGTGGAAAAACAGAATCCAGCGGGTAAAGACTGGTAGTCAAAAGTTGATTCATGGTTGAAATTCTTCAGCCCCGTAATTCGTGCCAGCAGATAGGCGTCTTGTCACGCAGCCTTTGCTCCTGTGGGGTGGTTTCTTGTATTAGAGATTACCACTGTTGTTACCAAAAGGCTTCACACAGACCAGCAGCATTAATCTCGTCTGGATTTTCGCCATGGCGCTTCGCAAATGACTTTCTTCTACCCGACGGACCGCATTTCTTTCATGAGTTTGATTCCACTGGTTCTAATGGCTATTGCACATACATTTGCATCTTTGAGTCTTGATCTGCTTCTGGTGTCAAAGATGTGAAATGTTCCAAATGGTACGTCTCTTGATAGACACTTGATAATATTGACAGGATTCGGAGCGTTACCGTGGGTTGGAAACAGTCCAGGCAGAGAGCCTGGAAACCGCTAGGCAGACACCAAGAAGGAAGTTAGGCTGGGCTGGGCTGGGCAGACAGGAGCTAGGCAGAGACTGCTGAAACATTGGGCGAAACACTGTACGGGGCGGCCTGCCTAGCCATGGGACTAACGCTCTCGAGAGAGTTACAGCGGTGGTGCGGTATTGCCGTCGATGGTGGGGACGCAACTGTCATTAAACTGACTGGTACCGACGCGATATAGATTTTTTTCGTCTAGCGAAAAAGTTGTATTTTCTATGGTGTATGGGTGTTCAAACAGTCCAATCCAAACTTAAGGAACGTTGTTACCCGGCTAAGTCCCGATGTGATATCACGTGAATACAGGTTTGGGAGAGTACTCGTGGGTACTCAAAGGGCTTCCAAAAGTTCCCGTAAATTAATAGCAGGTCAAAAGACATCTAGTAAGAGCCAACACAACCACAGTATCAGCCCAAAACAACACAAACTAACAAGCAACGGCCCGCTTAAGAAGTCTGTGTGGCGCGATACGAAAACCATTCCAATTGTTACGCACAACTGGTCGAAACCAGCGAGTCGCGCGCCCTTCTGTGTATCGTTTCGTGCGAGTTTGAAATTAGCAGATCTGTGAGCTGGCTTGCACCTTTTGACAATGACCTCTGCCTTCGAAGAGCCGCAATTAAGTCTGGATGATACAGCAGAATTTCTCGGGGTTGCTTCCGGGTCTTTGAACGGCATCGACCACTCCGTGACTGCTGCCATTGCCGCCAAAGCCCAAGAGTTCCGGCAATTGCAGGCGCAGACTTTGGAATCCAGCGTGGTAATAGACGAGCTGAAATCTGCATCGGGTCAAAAACTGGAGGTCAGCAACGCGAGAGCTCTAGAGCTCGAACAGCAAGTGCAGAAGCTACGTACGGAATTTGTTGTTTTGGAAGAAGCTCGATGCAAGCTCGAAATGCAGTTTCAAGCTGCCGAGACTAGTCTTGAAACATCTCAGCTACAAAACCAGTCCCTCGTGGAACAAAAACAGATGCTTGAGAGTACCAAGAATGACCTTGGTAAACTTTTGAATGAAAAAATCCAGGATAATATGACGCTGCAGCGCGAAACTGACCATCTACTAAAAGAGGCCCACGAGCTTCGAGATAAAAACCTGGAGCTTGAGAAGTTCTTGCGCGAAGCCAAGTCTCGAGAACTGAGCGACAGAGGTGAGCTGCAGCAATTGGCGCAAGAATTGCGGCTTTCACAGTCTAACAATTCATGGCTCGAGTCCCAGCTTGCAGAAGTGACCGCCAATTTCAACAAATATAGGCAAAAGTCGCAACACGAAACTTCACAACTACTGGAAAAGACAGAGGCCAATACAAGTGAACTACATAGCACCCGTCAAACCATCGGCATGTTGCGGGAACAGAACACAAGTTTAACCGAACAACTTGACGCTAGACTTGGCGAGATCAAAAGATTGACCGATACTTCCAACAGTGACAGAGCTGACTTCACGCGCGAGATGGCATTGAAGCAACATCTCACTGATTTACTGGAGGGCCAGGTCAAATCCTTGAAGGACGAGCTAGGGCGTAAAGGACCGGCTGGACAGCTCCAATCAGACACATCGACTTTGATCGACGAGTTATCTCAATGCAGGACTCAGCTGGCAGAGAAGGAAGTGGAAATCGAGAAGCTACAAAATACAGTTCAGGAACTACTTGATCATAATGGTAAAGCCGAGGAGGTCAACGGCGGTAACCAAAGCCCAACTTTATCTGCAAACAAAAGCGTCTCCATTCCTAAGTTATATGGCGACATCTCTGTACTCAAGAAGCAGTTGATTCACGAAAAGCGTCAAAAAGAACATCTACAAAATCAAGTGGAAGGTTTTGTATTAGAGCTTGAGAATAAAATTCCTATGCTCAGCTCCTTCAAAGATCGCAACGAAATGCTCGAAAAAGAACTAATTGAAACCAGTTACATGTTGGAATCAGTTTCGCGTGACAGAAGTGAATTTATCGATGATATCCGTAGAAATGATGTTCGGGTGAGAGATTACGAAGCTCAGATATCTGAATTGACGAAGCAGCGTACAGATCTGGCACGCCAAATTCAGTTCTTACTCATCCAGGCGTCGGTGAAAGGCGATTCCAAGGGCCCTCTCACAGATGAGGAAACTGCATTCGTTCAAAAGATATTGAATTCTGAGAAACAGCCCACAAATCATGACACTCAAGCGGTTATATCGCAGCGACTAGTTGTTTTTCAAGATATTGTGGAGCTCCAAACAAAGAACTCTGAGCTCTTGGTTACTGTTAGAGGTCTGGCTGATAAATTGGAAAGGGAAGAACGGGACGCCAATGGTAGGGAAGACGTTGTCGATAAAGAAGTAATCAGCGATGCAAAAGAAGCAATTACAAGGCTCCAAGAGCATGTACAAGACCTGGAATTGAAGATTGAAATAATATCTAAGGAACGGGACGCCTTGAGAACAATCAGGCTAAACGCCGGTCCTCGTGACGGGTCATCAAACAATCACGCGTCAGACGCGAGTAATGCCAAGAAGCTAGAGCAAATGGAGGAGCAGCTGCAGATAGCTAGGCGGGAAGCAGAAACCAACTTGAAGATTTTGAACACACAGGTAAACGACCTGCTTAAAACGAGAGCGGATCTGCTGTTGGAAGTTGAAAGAGAAAGGTCCTCGAGGACGCTGGCTGACGAGAGGCTCAGGCTGGCAAATGAAACTTTGAAGCTTGCTAAGCGTGAAAGCAAAGAAGTAGCATCAAAATGCGACAAACTCCAAGATACTTTGATCAGACAAGATGCAAGGACGCAGGAAACGGTCACCGATATCATCGATTGCAAATCACATATTGCGCGCTTGAGCTCAGAATTGAAAAATTCAATTGCCAATTCTGAACTTCTGCGTGCATCGCACGAAAAGGACCGAAGAACCATTGAACAGCTCACTTCAGAAAAAAGCGAGCTTTCTGTACTTGTCGCTCAGTTGCAAACTTTACAAAAAGAACGAGAAGCTTTGATACATGGCACGGAATCTTCTTTCGAAGGTAAAATTGAAATATTGAATCAGGAGATCAGGCAGCTTCGGTCTCAGTTGGTTTCCAAAGCACAGGATCTCGAGGCTTTTGTTTCAGCTACCGACTCTAAGTCTCAGTGGTATCAAAATAAGATTGATTCATTGAACGAGTCTTTGAGTGAGACGACTGCGAAACTCAATTTGCAGATGGACGCTTTGCACCATCTGAAAGCTCAGAGTGCCTCATCAGAGCCAAGTGCTCAGGTACCAAGTACTTTGCAATCATATGACAATCAAACAGGAAACGAACAAACTCCAAGTTTGAGGATTGAAATCGGAAAATTAAAACTACATTTACAAGAAGCTTACTCGCAGGTCGACGAGTACAAATCGATGAACGCCTCCACCGAAGAGTGTCTTTCCAGCGTCACCGAGGCATATGAGCAACTAAAGTCGGATCATTCTCGCGAAAGTGCCAATGCGAAGGAACAGGAAAAAGTTTTGAAAGAAGAGATTTCAACCTTGACAACTAGTCTGTCTAGTCTTGCCTCTAAACTCAAAGATGAAAGAGAGCAGCTCACTTCGAAGAATGATGATATCACTAATCGTATGAGTGCCTTCAAAGAAAGCCAGCAATCAATCGATACACTAAAAGAACATTATCAAAAGCAGTTAGATCAGCTAACCTTTGATTTGAAGGAACAAAGTGCGCTCACCAGTCAAACTCATAAAAAATACGAGGAAGAGCTGCAAAGACATGCAGATGCTTCAAGGGTCATGAATCGCTTTAGAGAAGAATCTGAAACTATCAAACATCAACTGCAAACAGCGATCACCGCGCATAAAGATCTGCAGAAGACCTTGGAGAGCAGGGAAGAGGAGTGGGTTACAAAGAAGAGAGACCTAGAATCTCAGCTTGATGCTGCCAACCATCGTATTGAGGATCTTCTGACTCAAAACAGACTCTTGTTCAACCAAGTAGAATTCAAGTTCTCAGAGCAGAGTTCGGGCACTTATACTGAAAATAATGATAGCCAAAGCCGAGACTTGATTTTGAGCTTGAGAAGAGAATGTGACATCTGTCGGGCCAAACTTGAAGTTGTGGATGGGGAGAGAAAAAAGCTGCAACGGAAATTACGAATATCTGAAAGCGAGCTTCTCACAGCAAAAGAAGAATTGAACAGCTACGAATCTACTGCAGCTCGTCAATCTATAATGACCGAGGAGCACGAAAAAGTTCTAGAAGAGTTGAATCAGCTCAATTTATTGCGAGAAAGCAATATAACCTTGAGAAGCAATTTGCAGACGAAGTCTGAGCAAAATAGTGAACTCGAAAAGAAGGTAGAAGAACTTCAAGCGTCGATCGGGCCGACTGAAAATGAGCTTTCTTCCTTGAAGCACTCCATAGCTGCCAAGGATAAACAAATCGAGTTAGCCTCTGAAGAGGTCGACCGGTGGAAGACAAGAACTCAAGATATTCTGCACACTTACGAACGAGTGGATCCCGAGGAACATCGGAAGCTAATTGAAGAGCTGACACAGGCCAAAGCTGAGCTAGCTTCGAAAATTGAACTGAACACAGAAATAGAAGCCCGATTCCAAAGGTTGAAGAAGCAAGCCCGTGAGAGACTCGATGCCGCAAAGACTTTACAGACTACTTTAACTGCTGATCTTAATGCACAAAGAAGCGAAAAACAAGAACTCGAGACCGCTTTAAAAAGAGAGAGAGAAGATATCGAAAAATTAAACGAGAAGATTGCTAATCTTGAATCAAATGAAAGCAATGAGCGCCCATCAGAGAGTGAACTTGAGAGTTTAGTTCAAAAATTGACGGCTGCCGAGGCCAAAGTGGAAGAATTGCAGAAAATATCTTCCGAAAGCTCAGATGTCAGCAAACTCCACTCTGAACACACACAACTGAAGCAAAGGATCAGCGAATTAGAGTCTTTGCTTGAAAACTCCCGAATTGAACTAGCACAGCTCAAAGACGTGAAGGCCTCCACTGAGGATCACTCTGCTGAAATTGAAAAGACTAGGAAAGAATTGACCATCCAGAGTGAGAAATTCATTTTAGAAAAGGAAGCTGAGATCAGAAGTAAGTTTGAAGAGATGCATGCAGAGCAGCAAAGACTTTTCGAGGGAAAAATTCAAGAAGCTTCGAATCAACAGGTTCCCGACATAGGTGCTTTGCGGAAAGAATGGGAGGCGGAGCACGAACAGGAAACGCAAAAGAGAATCGACGAGGCCAATGAATTGTTAAGAAAACGTATTCGTTTGCCCACGGAAGAAAGAATAAACAAGATTATAGAAAGCCGGAAAACAGATTTGGAGCGCGAATTCGAAAAAAGAGTCCAGGATCGAGCATTGGAGATTTCAGCGCAAAGCCGGAATGACCAAGGAATTGATTCAGCCCAGGTGTCGGAAAGACATCAACAAGAGCTCGACATAATGAAAGCGACACTGAAGAAGCAGATGGATGAAGAAATGGCGCAATTGAAACAGAAGGCCTTCAACGAGGGTCAACAGAAGGCCAGTATGAAGTCTACGCTGCTCGAACGGAAAATTGCGAAACTAGAGGCTCAATTGAAGTCGGCAGGCGTGGGAACAGCAGTATCCAGCGCTCCAAGCAGCGCAGCAGATGGAGATGTTTCTCAAATAGAAAAGCCGGCTCGCATCACAGAGATTTCTCCTGCCGCAAAGGGGTCTACAGAAGCTTTGAAAACCGAAAGCGAGCGGTCTCTAGTTCCGATTCAAACTGCACCACTAGTCATGTCTCCGACAAATGAGCACCAAGACGCAAAAGCCGCTGTAGGTTCTACGGTACCCAATGAACCACCGGTGTTGTTGCAAAGCGCCGAAGGATTAAAACTAGATGACTCTGGGGTAGTTTCCCCTCAAAGTCCGTCCAAGAGGCCAAGTGAGGATCACCAGCTGGAGGGCGGTCCTGAATCAAAGAAAAATAAACCTGAAGGGGAGTCCTGAGGAGATCTGTCAGCCGTATGCTCACAGTTGTAATTTTAATACAAGTTCTGTAAAAAGCATGTTATTATTGTACATTATGATTCTGATCCTGTCAAATAAATAAGGTGATGCCATGTTAGCGATTCGAGCATCGTGCTAGCCCCAAACTGCCATTTGGCACCACCGTCGGCTTGATATACCTGGTGTGGTTCTTATATATAATTTGACGTTATATAGGACTCAAGAATGCCAAAAAATTGGGTTTCTCCTGCTTCTTATACAATTACTGTCACAACTCAAAGTTCATAGAAAACCTGACATTTTGGGTTTGAGACTTCGGGAAGCTATATTTTCAAACTGAGTTATGATTTCAGCGTACACTATAAAGAAACCGATGGTAGGTGAACTTTGCTGGGCCTCGTTCCCGTTCTTTATCGCAGCCGCAGCCGCCAGCCTTGAAGTAAGATTAAGATATCCCAAACTATGGTTGAAGTAAATCGCTCTTCAAATACAGTGTTCGAAGTGAGAAAGACCCTCGAAGTATTGAACTACAACTAGGGGCTGTCCAGGATGCAACGAGTTGTTTTCTGTTGACTTTCCTACTTTTCCTGTCGCCTATTGATCAAAAGAAATGCATAAACACAAGGCTGTACATTCTAAGTTTTGAGTTTACTGACAGACTACCCTGATTATTAGCAGCAGGCGTACAATGTCACCCTTTTCCCATGCTCTTTTGACCCATTGGATGAACGAGTTTGAAGAGCTTCAAAATTGGAACGGAAACTACAAATGATACGGAAACTTCAAGGGCATAGAATACAGCACTGGCTTTTCCAGAGCGATGGTTATCGATAACAGTCGTGCCAGTGAAATATGCACACCTGCCTCCCCAGAATCTCAGCCAGACAACAAGAATACGCCAACATTGATATTTCGACTCCTACAAAATTCCTGTTTTCTCACAAAACTCCAACAGAGAACACTCAGAGTATCCAAGAGAATCTTATTCTCGACTACGTCACGGAAGGAAAGATGTCAGTTCAGTTCAAGACGACACCAAAGATGGAAAAACCGAAAATCCAAAGAACACAAGAGTCTCAAAAAATATGAATACCATGTTCATCATCATCATCATCATCATCATAAAGCACATCAAGAATTTCCATTTCTCGGCATGAGATAATGCCAACTCAGTGATCTCAACTGACTGAACGAATGGCTTTGACAGCTTTTTATGGCTTGATGTGTGGTAAACCTAGCACGTGACTATTTCAATCAAAGGCCAGCTCTGCGAGATTAGAGCACTTATCATAATGGGCATCGCATCTCTCGAGGAACACGAACCATTCGTTGTCACAGCGTAATTGACCAAACAATGGCAGGAGCTACAGAGGATCCTCGAGAGATCAGGAGTTTCGATCCTAATGAGGTGGTGACTTCTGATGAGGAAGAAGACTCGAAAAGTATGTTTAAAAAGGTGGAAGCATCGAACACCGGCTTCGAGAGATCTAGTATGCGATCAGTTTGTTAACAAAGGCGGAAAGTTCACTGTCAATTGGAAGAATTGGAAAAACAAAGAAAGGATCTCCAGGAACGTTTGCGACTCAAGGCACAACAACGTAAGAGCTTGAGTCAGCTTGTCAGAACAAAAGTGGAAATTCCTGCTTCCCCGCAAAAAAAACGGGCTCTGCCCGCAGTGGGTGGGACTAGCCTCAAACGGACTGAAGCAGAAAGCAGCTTCAACAAGTTTGATCTTGGTGCCACCGGTGACGTGCCTGTTGAAGCCCCGCACGCTGGAAATACCACGTCATATTTCGCAGACAATTTTGCCAACGTGCGCAAAGCAGAGGAACAGAAAGTCCGACATAAAAGCGATCTATTGAACTGTCGTATTCACACTTTTGCCGGTGTAAAGGACTCTAGACGACGTGAACCAATACTAGTTGATGAGAGAGAAAATCACACTGGGTGCTGGATTGTGCGTCGCTACGTGCCCGCCAATGAGCTGGAAGAAACTTTCAGCAACATCAAGGTTCTCAGGCTACCGAAACTTTTCAGTAAAGTGCGTCCTCCAAAATTCAGTGAGCCAGATTATGCCAATTGGGTGGCTACCGGAATAATCAGCGCCAAGTCTGTGCCAAAGCTGACATCCGCATCGAAGCCTGCAAAATACTTCAAATTCACACTTACAGACTTTCAGCATAACCTGGACGTTTATGTGTTTGGCAACAAGAACGTCGAGAAATACTATAATCTTAGAGTTGGAGATGTCATTGCCATCTTGAATCCTGATGTTTTACCGTGGAGACCCACGCAGGTTTCGAATGACGAGTTCTCGGGAAGTGTTGTCAAATCCTTCAATCTATCCATCCGACACAACTACGATTGTATACTGGAGATAGGAACAAGCAAACATCTTGGATTTTGCCAAATCCCCAACAGGACCACGGGCAAGCCATGTGGTGCACCGATCAATAAGTCCAGTGTCGACAGATGCGAGTATCATCAAGACGTGAGGTTTCGACAAGTCAATGCTCAGAGAGTAGAGCTCAATGGGAGCACACCGCTTCGATCTCCGACCAAAAACGGAAAACGGCAAGCTCTTTACGGCAATTCTTCCACTAAAAAAAAGTTCGAGCTTCTACCTGACAAACACGGCGGGCAGGCCCAAGATCGTGAGACGCAAAACACCTTGTACTTCAGTAATCCCAATTATGCTCGTGCTTTTTTTGATGATTCTTACCAAAATCCTGACTTGCTGAACAACTTGGAAAGTAAGCGCCGAAAGTTACGCGACAGTGAGAAAGATAAAGCGATTTTAGCTCAAATCGATAAAGCCGTGGGCAAGGGAGATACAGAGTTATTCCAGAACAAAGAAAAAAGCGAACAAATAAGAATGCAAAAGGCGACCGAGCAGGCCTTGACTAGTGGTTTAATGAAGGGCATTGGTTTCGATCCCACCAAGGGAAAAATGAAGGACGTGCTGATTCACAGTCGTCAGGGCAGCAGCAACCTCAAGTCGCCGCAAGTTCAAGAGATTATGAAATTGAAGAAAACACATGTAGATCTGACCCCATCCAAAGAGGACCAAAAGAAAAGGCTACTCAGAAGGGAAAGAATTTGGAAGGAACATTTCCAAAAATCCGAGAAGCTCAAAAATCAGGATTCATTAGACCAGAGTCTCATCGATAGTGATAGTGAGATAGAAATTATTTGATGCACTTTACTTGGGTGTCAAGACTTTCAAATCAAAAGCCGAATACTCTTTGAGGAACTCAATTTTAACTGTCCCGTCAAACTCCTTTCCTTTAACCTGCAAATCACGCATGTTAAGGAGATGACCATCGCAACAGATCTCAGTTTTGGTATTGGGGTCCGTTTCGGACAGTTCTTCGAAAGAAACCTCGAAATCATCATTAAACGGCTCATAGACGACGCCATCCACAGAGATGTCTTCTCGAGGCTTATTATAGTAACCTCTCATTATTTTTTCGATAAGCTTGGTCTTATCGAAGGCCGCGATGTAGCCCAGGAGGTGAAGTTCGGACTTCAGCGGATCAGATGACGGAGAGGGCATGTACGTCTTTTCCAGAAAGGGTGTGTTGATTAGAGTAAAGTACGCAAAGTGTTGAGTGGGCAACTTTGATGGTAACTGTAGAGGATAATCAAGCTCATAAGTTTGCAATATCTCCTGGGCAGCGATTCTGAATTTCTCCACTCCTATATTGTCAAAGCGTTTTTCTTTGCACAGATGGAGCAAGTTAGCATGGAAACCAATCGAAAAGATAATAAAGAAGACCACTTCATGGGCGTTAGGAAATTTGGCCTTGTAAAGAGGAAACGGCTGAGGGCTCAACTTATTTTGCAAAAAGTCTCCAAACCCAGCAACGGGATTTTTGATACCCAGAGAAGTGGCCCAGGCATTTGCGGTGCCAAAAGGAAGTGGTAAAAACCACAAACTAGAGGATTTTTTATCCTCTTTCCCAATGGCATGGTTCGAGTTCAGGCCATTTATAAATTCAGAGATGGTGGTATCACCGGAGATGAAAATGATTATTGTAATTGGGGAAGACGCCTTCAAAGTTTTTGCAAATTCAGTCACTGAATTCGAACTCTCTGTGCGAATGACGCGTGCCGAGACCTTGAGCTCCTCGAATACAGGCTTGATTACATTAGTATAGAAATCGTTTTCAGGGCTACGACCAAGGCCAGATTTTACGGAATCCAACACCACTACTTCAGCGTCGGACCACAGCAAGTCTTGGCGGAGAGTGTCGGCTCCATCATTCTCATTTGTTTCCACCTCGAGTTTGAAAGACAGGTAATGGTCATCCTCATTTTCCGCTTGAACTTTGAAGTGCTGTTTTCCCACTTTGACAAGTGGAATAGTACTTTGTTGAGTCATCCAGGTAATGATACGAGGCAAATGTAGGGATCTGGTTGGAAAGAAGGTGTTGCAGGCTTGAGCCAGACGTTGTTCTTGTTTGAAGTGCTCTCGCCATTGCCATTGCTCGAAGCAATTGATCAATTAAGGGCAAATCTCGATGTGTACTTGTCATGTGAACGCGAGTCAGACAATGGATAATGATAGAAGAGGCGATAGTGATCTGAACGCGTCACGGGACTTTTACTCTGCTGCTTCTACTCTGAGCATGATGGTATCAGTTGAGGACAGTCTCCAAGTGCCTTGAGACAAGAAAGAGCTTTCATTATTGGGTTAAGAATGGAAATTCAATCAGACATAAAAAGCTGGATTGACAGAAATTTTCGGTTCTTTTGACGATTTGTACTCACCGATTTTCCTGGTGTCAAGATCTTTCTTTCTCGAAAATGTGTCCAGGGTGCAAAAAATGTCTCAAATTGAAGACTCAACTTCTGAATCTCGGAGCACTACTCTGGGGTGAGCGGTATGTGGCCACAAATTGACAATGATAGAGGTCCTATCGACCTGGCGTCGGTGCTCTGGTACAAATGTCACTTTTGACGTATCAAGCGGTAATTGGTGTAATTATCATAATCGTGGTACATCGGATTCAGTCTAAGAAGACTTGAGAATTGTTCTTTGGCAAGACACCGCGAATCAATCCGGATTTTCTAGAATGAAAGGTACTCGCGAGAACCAACTGCTCTATGCTCTGTAAGTCGAGGGTTTTTTTTCGAAATTTTGGGACCCCACCAAAACACTAACAATAATTTAATTTAGACATCTCGAAGTGCCCTTTGAGTCCGCCAAACAGGCGCAAATCGCGACAAAGGTCTTGAGTCCAGACCCCATTTTGAAGCCGCAGGATTTCCATGTTCGATACTCCAGTAAGGACTCCCTTTTGTGTCTCGATTTTGAAGGCCTCGACGATCGAGTACTCAGAGTTGGCGTAAGCAGCGTTATCGAAAGTGTCAAAACCATTCTGGAGACAATCGACGAGTTCGAGTAGTGACTGGTTAATCAAGCAAGGCATTGGAAATCGTCCGAATCTAGACGCCTATCTAAAGCGAGTTTTTGCATCACATTTGTCCAGCTGAACCGACTCTTTTTTTTCGCCGCACTACCCAAAGGTCATTCTACCGTGCCTCATGAAGCTCTTTCCAATGCTATCTAGGCGAGCGGCGATCCGGAAATCAGGCTTTTGGGCGACTTTGGTCGTGATAGTCGCAAACATTCATTTTATCCTTCTGTCAGTCTCACAGTGTCCATGACGGACAACGGCAGAGTGTGGTATCGCCACCCGTGTCCTTGGAAACTCAATACAGTCCACCGATCCTAATTCTACCCTGGGCATAGCCCCGAGCTGCCATCTTTATGAAAGACCCATCGTCGAAATGGTCACCTTGTACTAATCTGTCATTGGCAAACGACTCTTAACCAAAACAAAATCTGGAAAGACAAACGGAGCAAAACGAACAACATTCAATAAATATTATACCAGAGTATCCTGTGGTTATCCAAACCATCGAACCCAAATCAACGAGCATAAATCTTTGCTTTGAATCCCATGCCTTATACTAAATGCCTTTTTCAACAACGTACATGGTGATATTTGATTAAAGCGTGGCAAATTTTAATAGAATAGTGAAGGGGGTACGGGTATCAAACATCTCTCTAAAAAGGATCTAGAGTCCAAAGCTTTAAACCGTTCGCCACCTGGAAGTCTTACTTTGAGTCTCCGTCACGGCTACACGCAGCTTACAGAGTTTTGTCGGGACCGATTTTCGTGGGTGATTTGTTCAGGTTGAAGGAGGTTTAAGCAGTATAACAAAATCATGGATTTTGTTCAAGACATGAATATCGAGCACTCGGGGCTGTCTCACGAGAATATTCAGCTAGAGCAATCATATCCCGTTCAGCAGAAACGACATCTTTCTTATGGAATTGACGTGGGGGATCCAGGGACTGCAAAACGTCGTGCAGCGCGGAAAGCCCACTTTAAATCAAGAACGCCAGGCTTAGGCGCTGGAAGCCTTAGAATGGCTTCAACATCACCTGCGGCGCACCAACCAATGCCGTTGCTCTCGGGAGTATCGTCTTATCGCGAATCCTCGCCTTCCTATCTCCCAACAACATCGAGCGCCAATTTGGATCAGGCAGCAGCAGTAAATGACAATGGCAGTGTTGCATTGCCGGAGTCTTGTAGGAACTCCAGCAGTACTAGCAGCATGGCAAATGCAAGGTCGTCGAAAAGTTATCGGCAGCATCATGTAAGGTCCGGCAGCATACAGGACGCTTCAGACGCTGCGTTTGACCAAAAACCTAGCACGTTTACCCGTGGTGGTGATAACTATCACGAATCACAGCATTCTGACTATAAAACTAACACTCCGGGTGATAATCCTGGAAAAACTAATAATCCCAGCAACGACAATAGCAGCAACAATAGCAGCAGCGATAAAAAGCATAACGACGAAAACAATGAAAACAGCAGTAGCCAAAGCAACAATAATAATAACAATAACCCTAACGATAACTCTCAACCAGTTGCTCAAACTTCGAGCCAAACGAGTCAGGCACTCGTGCAGAAGTTGCAAGACATTTATCGCAGCATCGTGAAACAAGAAGTTGAACTTCAAGAGCGATGCTCGCAACTCACATTTTCTCAAACAACGGACCTGAAAAACTTATGGGCGATTTACAAAGTGAACGCGGAACTCATCAATAACTACGTTGCGTTCATAACTACCGCGCTACTCCCAAGCCAGCCAGAGCGCGATTCACTAATAGGTCAAGAAATTGTGAACATATACCGCATTGAACGTCGATTATGGGTTAACGGAACAATCACCTTCCTCGACGTTTTGAAGAATTTCTCCAATTTTATGGACCCAGAAGTATGCTGTCAGTTCATAACTCATGTGTTCAACTCCATCTCCAACATGCTTTATGACATGCCTCCAAAGCACGCAATTCCTTGGCTTGAAAGACTAGGAGATCTTTCGAGAATGGCTATCGCTCTGTATCCCACAGGGGTCATCGACTGGAAGCTGAGTGCTGAGCATTGGTATAATCAAGCTCTTGCATGCATCTATGGACACGGTAAGCTATACTATCATATGTCTACGGTCCAGCAAAACACTTTGGAGGCTTTCGTCAATCTAGGCAAAAGCGTCTTCTGTCGTGACACTTTCATTCCTTCGCAGCAATATATGCAGCTTGTCATCGACAACATTTATCAAAGAGCTTTTGCCGAAAGAAATGTTGGTAATCAGCGAAACTCTCTGATGGTAGACTACCTTAAGCATAGCGAAGTTATGCTTCTGTCAAGCTTCCTCGAAAGCCCCGAACTACAAAAGGTCGTGCTGACTTTTTTTCAGCACAAATTTGGCCTTTCCTCTGGCTCCAAGGACTTCTTCAGTCATCGTGACTTGTTTCTGCAGGACGGAGAACGCATAAAGTACTTCTTCAGACATGCTCCGCTTTTTGCCGAATCACACATTCTACAACTAGTAGGCTTTGGGGATCCAAAAAATCCTTTTGCGCTTCTTTTCGAACTACCGAAGTTTTTGAAAGAGAGAAAAGAACGCAAAGAAAGAAGAAAATCGAAAGGCTCCAACGCTGTAGATCCGCCTAATATGAACAACCCTCAAGAATATCTGGACACGGTGGACTCGCCTAAAATCGCTTATGAGTTTCCAGAAAACATTGAGATTTGGAAACTATCATTAGATCACATTAATCTGACCTCGATGCGGTGTAGCACTATTCTACTAAGAAATTTTTTGCACGGTCCATTGGTTGTCGGTGCCGCGCATCTTTTACCATGGGCATATTTTCTGTTGTCTCTAGCAGTGAGAATCGAAGCTCTGCCGACTGAGGAGCTGAGGAAATTCTGGTCATTTTTGGTAAGACTTGTGATACCATGGGAAAGCATTATCAATTTTTTGAACATGCTTATCGCATTTGCACTCGACAATGTTTCCAAAACGTCGCCAATCGACACTTTGTGTGAGCAGTATGACAGTGTGGATGTCAAGGCTCTAGTCGAGCATTTCAGCAGAAATGAAGACTTGCCTGAAGTATGGAAATGCTGGGGTACGTTATGGTTTGATGTTCTTTCGAAGAAGTCTGATGTTGGCAATGAAAGTTTTCAAAATGCGGGGATTAAGGATTCTTCATTTTTGGATGGGCCTGCTGATGGCATAGGGTTTGATCAAGAAGATGAAACCGGCGAAAAATTCTGGAAACGTACTTGCCGTTTAATTTTCATTTTTAAGGGATTAGCTGAGAACTACGATGTAGGACTTGCTCTATCAACAGTTCCTGTTCCTTCGAGACGTCCTTTAATAGTGGGACACCCCTTACAAAACTTCTCCTTCAAGTTCAAACGAAATGAGACTTACTCAGAAAACCTTGCATATTTAGCAGAAGTCCTCTCATACTTTGAGGACATCAGCCCGAAAAATTTGTCATTTGAAGCAACTCCGGGTCTCAGCATGCTTGAAGGCGAGAGTATTTTTGATTTCCCAGGCTACAGACAACTTCACCCAGATTATACATGTTTCAATAAGGCCGGTGGACTCATTACGTGCTCTTTGTACACATCAGGAAATCTGGAGAAGGGAGCAATTCAGGGAGGAGATGATTTCAATACAGTGAGGTACAACGGGCAGGACGGTTTCACTAATTCTAACGAGCCACAAACGAACGAGCTCGATAAGCTAGAAAGAGAATGGCTCGACACGTGTATGGACCCCGAGTTTATTGAGCAGACCTTGATAAACAAGTTTCCCTATGGGGACTTATCTTGCTATTGTGATAGTGGAGTCTCCTATTTTGTGCTCGACGCTACATCCTGGTTGCGCCATTTCGCTCATGTTCACAAGCTGGCAACCAACGGCCTTCTTCGCTTTGCGATATGTCTGACGACGTTTCAGGAGCTTCGTTTTCTCAGGAAGTCAAAAGACGAGAGCGTCGTGGAAGCTGCTACTCGAGCCGTCATAACGGTTAGACAATTGTACAGTGAGAAGAAGCTGCTCCCATTACGCTTCACTGGCAACGTTGCCACACATTTGGAGGAACATTTAGAGTTTGAAGAACAAATCACCTGGCGCTCCCACGTCGACGAATTTGTCATTGAGGCAGTTTACAAAGCTCAAAACAAATTCCAGAATCTCAACAAGGAATCCAAAGAGACACATCAGAATCACATCGCTACAACTGAGGACGAACCATTTCATTTCGTAGTCTTGGTCAGTGATGACACCAATATGCGGCTCAAAGCCCATTCTCAGAAAATAAGAACTTTTAGCAGCAGGTTTATGTTTGCAGTGTGCAACCAATTCGGACTAGCGCGACATGCATGCACAAACTGACCGTAACAGCATCGGCAGAGATCATTTGTACTCGATTGAAGTGGTACCAAGAGTCAGTTTTGCATAATATATCTGACAAACTCTGACCTTTTCTCTGTCATCATCATTATTGCATTATTTTTAAAACGATTACATAGAAAGTTAGCAAACCTATGGAATCATTAATCGCCAAACAATTGCTCAAGCCAGTTGAGTATTTACTAGCAGATTCCGCTAATCTTATAACACCTGCCACTCAAAATACCATTTGAGACCCGAATATAGTGTTAAGCTTGATTGAGAGCTTAACAGCAGTTTGAAGGCTCCTCGTCGTTGTGCAACGTTAGAAACGGTATGGCTATGCAGTATGAGCGCATTCGACTCAGTAGAGTCTTCTGTGATGACCATGAGTTCTGTGGGCGACAGAAGCTTTGTTTTCTTTGCGCTGATGAAAATGTCAAACTGGACAGGCTTTGATCTATGTCTTTGGAGTCTCAAATTTGTCTCAAAAGCATTGACGCTCTTCATGATCTTATTGACCAGGTTTCCAGTACCTTGAAATGACGATTGTGTCTTTCGGCGGGGTCTAATGCGGTGTTCGGATTTCGCGAATTGTAAAGAGCGATTTGAGCTTAAAAGACCAGCCATCGGTTTCAAAGCATTATCTGGACGCTTTTGACGTTGTGTGACTATCAATTTGGAGATTGAGCTCCGTGAAATCGCTGCTGTGTCTTTAGAAACGCTTCGCTGTTGTGTTTTTTGAGTTTGGACCAAATGAGACAGGTTTATGGGTTTTTGAGCGAGCGGTTTTCGCCGAGAACGCTCTAGACTTGTTATATTGGTGAAAACACTAGAAACATGGTCTCTGTGGTGTTGATCACCACTCATAGCGCGCTCAAGACTTCGGTGATGGCGTGTTCTTCGAGTTATTTTCGAAATCGTCATTTTAACTAACTGACATTAGAGACATAAAGAGATATTGTGTCACTAAATACGTACTCACTAACTACACGAGATCTTAAGGCTTCATAGACAGCTGAAGCTGAATATTTCAAGGACAGCATCAAATTTTGGCAGATTTTGTTAGTGGTTTTTGACTTTCTCAACTGCTTCTGTCTACGTTGGTCATTTCCGACATTTGGTCCTATTGGTGGTGACATATTGGTGAAAAGTGATATGGGTACTACATGGTTTAAACATGGTATTTGGATGAAAACCGTGAGATTCATGCTTGGAAGTAGTGAAACTTAACTTTGGATATGGAGGACGATTGGCTATTTTGGTCGATAGATTCTTGATTGTTTTGAAGAAATTGGTAAGGTTGGTGTTTTTAATGTTTTGGAAACATAAGGTGACATTAAGTGTGTCATATTAATTGTTCACTAACGTTGAATAGTCAGGCGAACAAAAACAGTCAAGGACGACGTAACACCAGATAACTGATATTTTATTAAGTCCGACAAGCAAATTTATTATTTGAATCAAAGGAAAAGATCAGATACGTCAAAAGGTTAGTTCATTGCGCTTAAAGAATTACGCATGTGATACTTTCCAAAACAATATATTTGTACGTATGTATGGAAGGTGCGCGTCTAAAAATCATCTTCTGATCAAGCTTGAAAATGACTCGAACGCAAATGAAGTGCTTCTTACCTGGATCAGAAACTCTCTGATGGATTATGGCTTTCAATGGAAAATGGACAGGCACGTGACACGTGTCAGCGACAGAATAGATCAAAGCTGATAATGCTGTCAGAACAAGAAGACACTCATCGGAGTATGCTCCAATCCGAACTCCGATACGGCATGAAATTCTTTACTCTTTATTTATTGAATTGGTGAAGTATCGAATTTCTTGAGTTCATCTTAAAAAATGTTCTTTGAATTTCATTGGTGTCACTGCTAATCGATGGCTTAGTGGCTACTCTTTGGGACTAAAACATTTGATTCGAAACCTGCGTGGGTTTGGATTTTTTTCAGTCATTTTCCTTCATTTTGTGAAGCTAAGTTCGTGGTAAGTTCAAAAGATCCGGGGAATTCCCACTCCGAGCCATCCGTAAGACCATTCATGATGTCTTGCCCTTCAACTTCAGAAAAGAGATCTTGACATCCAATTGAAGCAAAAAGGCCAAAAACCTAGGTACGCCACTAGCCTCATCTTCTTTTTGTCGCATTCAAACTTTATTTGCCAAGTTTTATTTTCTTCGCACGTTGTTCAAATGTACACTGTGTTATACATCATCATAGTGCAACCTCTACACACTCGATGCTCTACAAAAATCACCACATTTTACAGCTTAATATTTTAATTATCGTACATACATATCGGATACAGTGGGCTGTAAATGGTGGAATGTGCTATCCCACTTTGTTAAATCTCTGTTATTATATATTTCACAATTTAGTTCTTGCCAACAGTTTCCCATTCTTGATCCTCGTCACCAGCTACCGACAATTCAGCGGTGGATTTGGTCACGTCTTCGACGGACGTGTCTTTTTCAGAGGCCTTTGGAGCGGATGTTGCTTCTGTTTGTTCTTCTTCTTCTTCATCATCATCCTCTGTTGAAAGAACATCGTATGCCGACTTTTGAATCTTTGGACCTTCCTGAGCCTTGTTAGTCGTAGTGTTCTTAGCAGTTGGCTTAGCACCGGTTTGTCTCGAGTTCGAACGCGATTGACCGAAGTTGGAGCCGCGAGCTCCGTCCCAGTTCAATTCTGGTTCAGGTCTGGATTTTCTTTCGGTTCTGGCAGGTCTCTCATGGAAGGCTGTGCCTCTGGCAGAACCCCAGTCTAGATCGGGTTCTTCTCTTCTTGGCTTTCTGTCTTTTGGCAGTTGGTAACCGGAGCCTCTGGCAGAACCCCAGTCCAAGTTTGGTTCTTCAGCTCTAGGCTTCCTTTCACTAGAGGCTTGGAAACCAGAACCTCTGGCAACACCCCAGTCGAGGTTCACTTCTTCTCTTGGTCTTCTCTCGCTGGACGCTTGGAATCCAGAGCCTCTAGCAACACCCCAGTCCAAGTTTGGTTCTTCTGCTCTTGGTCTTCTGTCAGTGGAGCCTTGGAAACCAGAGCCTCTGGCACTGCTCCAGTCGATATCAACTTCTTCTCTTCTGGAAGAGCCTTGGAAGGCGGAGCCTCTAGCGGCACCCCAGTCCATGTCGTCGAAACCTCTGTCACCACCTCTGAAACCACCTTTGTTAGGGGCAGCAACGGAAACATAAACGGTACGCTCGTTCAATTTGGTAGCATTGAATTTTAGAGCAGCCTCTAAAGCCTCACGGTCGCAAAGGGTTACAAATGCAAACCCTTTTAGTCTTGAAGGTTCGTTGTAGTCCTTGGGCGCTGCCAAGTCTTCCACAGCACCTGGGCGGTTCAAACCGTCTTCCACCCACGCCTTGATACCTTCCTCAGATACATCCCACGGCAAATTGTTGATCACAGCTCTGTAGGGTGGGTAATTGGGGATATCGTATTGCACTCTGTCCGTTTTCTCATTTCCCAACGCTGGATCCAAACGTGATCCCTTACCGCCACCGAAACCACCACCAAACGAATCCAAGCCTGGTTTGGCTCCCATTCTTGTCGATTGAGTAGGAATGTTGATCTTTTCCAAATCAACTTCTTCTTCAGCCCACGATTCACCAAAGGACTCGTCGTTCAAGAACGAGTTAAGGTCCATCTTAACGCTTTTCTTAGGAGGTGCCATTTTGCCGTGTGGAATTTTAGACTCTATATTCTCTTATGCCGAAAAAACGTACCTTTCAAGAGGTATTCTTACTTGATTGTCAACTTCAACAATGATGTGAGTTCATCGAGCTAGCTCATCTCAAGATGTCATTTTTCAATAATTAAAATTTTTTCACTATTAGCGATGAGCCAAGGTGTTGATGATAATATTTGAAAGAGTATATAAGGCAGGTTGAACACTGACACTGGAAATATCCTGAAGCATGAGTTGAAAATAGAGATTGCATAAATTTCAATAGAGTTTCACAAATGCGGGCTTTCTAGTGGTACTAAATACTAGAGGTGAAAAATCTTGAAGCGAGCGGGAAAATTAACAGCTTGGTTTTGAGAAACTGGATTTTTTCAGACCAGATAGTTGTGATATTTGTGCGTTTTAATGGCTTGAAGAAGAGAAATTGCAGATATGGCTATACCTGCCACTTGAACTTTCTGAAAAAAGGCGATTCAGTTGTGATTTTAATCAGCGTCAGCGTTCTTTTAGATGTCTTTAATAAAGAGAAAGAATTTGAGAGGCGGAAAAAAAAACCGCTGAGATTTCAAAGAATTTTGGATAGAATACGTACTTGTTTGTTCCTATAGAGATTGATATTCTGTTAGGTCCTATTTTTTTTCACCTTTGTCGTGCGTTGAGTATCGAGAAACACTAGCTCCGTAGCCCAATTGGCATTTGGAATAGCTTCCAAATTGCTTAAAATTATTCTGAATATGAAGGAACCACGAGAAAGCTATATAAATTAAGCTTCGGATGATGGTATTGAATCCAGAAAGATTACTATCCCGCCAACGACAATCCAAATTCCCAACTTACAAGAAAACCAAACAAAGAATTAGCTGATCAATTTGAAAAGGTCTAATATCAAGAGGCATATATCATCTTCCAATGCGACACTGGGTCTTTTCCGAATCCTATCACTTTTTATCCAGTTGACCTTTACAGCAGTGATTCTGGTCACGTGAGCACCGTGGAAAATAACGCTCTTCTTACGCATATCCATGGTGACGAGTGAAAGAACTACAGTTGAGATATGTGTGACCCATAATCGTGTCATTGAAGGCCTTCCTTAAGCCCATGAGAATGCTTTGATATCTGTCCAAAATAGCCATCTACGGCATCGTTAATAACACATTTTTGCCTCGCGATATAGCGGTAGATGGTCCCTTTTTTTATGAAGTTCTCAAAGCCATCAGAAAAATTAAGATCTCGAGAGGGCAATGGTCGGAATTATTTCTAACCCTAACCTGCCGCGTTGTTTTACAAAATGTACATGTTCCTCACCAAAACAATGTCTGGCTCCCAATGGAGTCCGGCAAACCCAAATGTTTAACAATATTTACCCACACCAGTATGGGTGTAAATGTGCATTCCATCGAGTACGTCGTCTCAGACAGAGTGTGTTGTCAGTTCGTTACCACCTTGTCTGCCATGACAGTAAAAGAAGATTATATCACATCACACGAACACCGGTCATTCACTTGCGTGTATTTTTTCTTTGGCTATTTCGGTTCTTGCAAGCACTTTTTGGTACTCATGTTAAACTTCTTATTACGCTAATATCATACGTGTGATGGACTTAACCTTGAAGGCTCTGGTAGTCGTAAACCACTCATCAAAATTTTATTTGTGTGCTATCGACGACAGCGACGCATTCGTACATAATGATACAAACAACTAGTGTACAGCGTTTTTCGATTACGGTTTTTCCCCTGCCTCTATACCGGGCCAATGTCTCATCGACTTCAAAGCGTGCTCCTTCCAAAACTATGAGATCCATCAGGTTTCGTCTGAAGTACGGGCAAAATTTGAAAACATGTACTTCTTTCATGAATAATTCTCAAATTCCGTTCTGCCTGTATTAATACAAGGTCAAGTTTAAGCCATACAGAAGATGTGCTGATTGCTCGTCCGCCCGTTCTTCTCATCACCAAGGATTGGATCCTAGGCCTGAAGGAATTGTATAGCTAAAAGATCGTCACTCTCGTCTACAGTGACAAAAATTCACTCAATCAGAAATTATAGGCCCTTCAGTAGAGCAACCTTGAATTGACGAATACAACTTTCAAGCACAAATCGAGACCAAGAGCCAGCCAAGCTTGCAAGTATCCAAATCCATTGGTACTTCAATAATAGCTTGCTAATGATTACATCGGTATTTGCCTTTGGTGCGTCTTGTTGGGAAAATGATCTTGCCAAGCCGGTTTGGTTAATAATCAGAGTGCTCTTGGCATGGACCGCATTTCAGTGGGTTATATTCAAGCTTCTGGGAGTATCCGTTGGGATAATAGATCCCTTTAGATTGAGGCTTAGATCGCTCAAAATACAAAACTGGCTCAAGATTAAGTTCGTATACTACTCTCTTTGGAACCATGGAGTAGTCGTCCACGGCTTGCAACTGGACCTGCCGAGAAAGAAATCGGTGAAAGAAGCCACCAAAAGTACACAGGAGAGTCCGAAAAACTATTTCAGCATTCCACGATGGGCCCAATGGCTCGTGATACATATTTTGAACCTGTTTCGGCGGTACAATTTTGTGTTAGAGAAAACAGAGCTCAACGGCGTGTTGATCGATAGCATAACAGTGCGACTTGAGGGCAAGGGCTCCCAAATATATGTCTCCATGCTGATGAAGGATGCTGCATTTGGCGAGGTAGCATCTTGTGCGGGAGCTGTGATAGATCTTACAGGTGAGCTCAATTTTCAAAGACCTCTGCTGCCTCTTGAAGATCTCACAGTGGATCTCAAAGTAAGAGGACTGTCTTTGGCCTACGATGGACTACTTACTCTCCTGGAAACACGCAAGTCGGACGGTGATGACCAGCTTGGAAGCGGGTCAGCTAACGATCGCGAAGGGAAAAGGTCATCATCGCCCTCCGACGCTGACGGGCTGGACCCCAGCGACGATCCTACTGGGTGCATAGAGCACATCAAGTCTCAACTTCTAAAAGCCAGTGACTTTGTCGCAATGCTGAAAAAATTCAACGTCACCGCAGAAAATGTAGTAATCAGGGATATTCCGCTTTCCAGACACCCAGAGCTCATCGACACGGCCCGTCTGCTGACCTTTGAGGTATCTGCATCCAATCTGTCCTTCGCTTTGGCACGACTCACCGAAAAGTCCCCCGGGTTCAAGTTGACATTCCAAGCGGACGAACTTCCATTAAACGTGAAGTTCACCATGTCATCCATCGCATTCATTTTACACCAAAGATTAGAAACCGAGAAGGATGCCGTAAGGGTTTATCATTTTTGCGAGATTCCTAGCGCGGCTATTTATGGGGATACTAACATTCTCTCATTGAGGTCCATTGAGGAGCACTACGACGAGCCCGTTGAGACAGTTCTCAAATTGGTAGGCCACATTTCGTCTCCAGTAGTAGACTTTGAAATTGGTGAGTTCTCTCTTCTGAAATCATTTAAAGACAATATGAAAGTCTTCCAATCCTTGCTGAATGATACTGCTGATGTGGGGCCAAGCTGCGCAAAAACGATAGAAAACAAGGAAGCCGTTTTCACTTATTTCCAGCATATACTTCCACAATTGGAGTCCAAAATAACGATTGAAGACCCTCTAGTCCTAGTGAGTGACGGGTGCGAACTCTTGGTTCATAAGTGTTCGATATTATCGCTCCAGACAAAATCCGATAAATATGCACTGGGCGGAAATGACGGAAAAAAGGAGATGTTTTACAAGCTGAGGAATACGATCGAGATCATGGATCATAGTTTCACCTATCACAACAAGGTGAGGCATCTCGAACACAGGATAGTCACTATTAACAGCATATCGATATCGAACTTTGCTGAGCTAGTGCCTAGTATTCGGGCAAACTTTAATGCTAGCGTTGACGTCTGCGAAATAGATCTTTCAGAACCATCGACATTGCTCACCCTCAATAACATCTACAGGAAGGCGAATTGCAAAATGTTGTTAGTTGAGGAAAATCACTTCGATCAACTTTATGAGAGATTTGAAGAGTATTTAGAGGCGAGGAAGCAGGAAAGCACGTCCCAGAATACCTTCGTTATCGATAGTGAGTCGTGTCCTAAAGCCCAACTTTTTCAAAAACTGCCGTCTCCATTCGATGGCGCTCGTGTCAATATACGGGGGTTTAGGATAACTGTTGGAGCTCGGTCTGTGTTCATGCCGAGTGACATGACCCGAAATCTAGAGCATCAAAGCCCGGAGGATCTTGTCAATGGAGAGTTGAGAAAAATGTCGCACAGTATTGAGAGAGTGCAAATGTCGTTGGGAAGTTTTAATGACCAGACTTGTGGAAGGGAAGATGACAGCTCTTCCGATGGGTCCACTTTGGTGAACTCGGTAAAGGCATTTTCTTACGACGAGTTTGGCCTCGATGATAGCGCTTCGGAACTTTCGAGCGGTAGAGAATTTACTTGGCTTCTCCGCTGCTCGGTATCGGAGATGGTGACTACCTTATTTTCCGAGAGAAGGACTGATCGTCAAACTCTTAACGCTAAGACTGTGTTCAAATTACCAGAACTTAGTATAATGACATATCCTGACACGCCAACTCCTGACAAAGGAGAAACTGGAGAGGGCAGAATAATCTTTTCGGTCAATCTGGGTAGCTCTGAAATGATGGTCTCGCTGATGACAGTTTTTCTTGTTCTTTCGGCTGCACATACTTTCAAAGAAACTTTTACTGTGGATGTTAACAGGCACAAAAGAGAATCCAAGGCGAAACGGCATCTTTCAACGCAGTTCTTGGAAAAGGGACAGAGATCTTTCTTTAAACGATTGATGAAAAAAGAAGTTTTGGAATTGTTTCGGTTCGAGTGCAATGTAAGTTATCTGAGCATGGTATTGATTTTACCCAATGGCGTGAAAACGAGAATGGAGGTCTTTCGAAGTGGTTTTGTGTGCACTAATGTTACCAGTTTAAGCGTGCATGGGCACTTTTTCCGTTTGTGTGTCGAGTCGCCACAGGTAACCAATTATTGGGTGAGAATGGTCACCATTGTTGACTTCAACATGGAAGGTGGCTTAAAGGATATCGTGAATCAAATAAATGACCCATCCATCGGCCATGATAATCCAGCCATTACGCTTTCTAATGAGATGTGGAGCTTTACGATTCCCCACGGCTTTGAAATGTATCAAATTTTTGATAATATCTCCACCACAGCCAAGAGCATCAAGCAAATGGTGCATGCCTTGAAAACGTCGAGCGATGAATGCGTGATATACCCCCACATCTCAAACCCTATCAGAATTCCTGTTGTTAACCTAAGATCTAAAAGATGGATTTTCAGCGTGGAGGATGACGCATTTGAATCTCAGCTTTCCATGATATTTCAGGTTGGCCTGAAAGAACAGAGAGCTAGACTTGAAAAGTATGCTCTCTTCGAAGAGGCAGCCGCCAAAGAACTGACTACAGAGCAGAAGGGAATGAAAAGAGCAGAGAGCACTTATTTCAATACAAACAAAAAGTGCTTTCATTTAGGGTACTTTAGCAGACTTCACAAGTCAAGAAGAAACAGCTCGCCCGAATTGGCTCACTCACAATCCAAGGGTGATTTTCATCAGCATGAAAAGCCTGATTTCTACAAGTACGCCGAAAATGCGGAGTCCTGGGCACATAAATATCAAAAGCTTCAAGAGAACGTCTCTACATCATGGATTCGTAGGATACAAGCTTTCAAGGTAAAGGAGCGAATTGAATTTCAGAAAAATTTCGAATTTCTTTGGGGTAGAGTGGACCCCGAAATTTTCCCGCCTGGTATCAACAAGCGCATAGTGGCCTTTGTGGCTTCTCCTCCCTTGATGAATACGATAATCGAGGATATCAATGTTACTATTTCTCAGCCATCATTTGGCATTGATTACTTACCAGACTTCATTCATGGCGTCGGCAAGGGAATTCCCAAAGACACCGAGTACTCAATTCTTTTCCCTATGCACTTGAACGCAGAATTCCGAGAGACTCGTTGCCATTTACGTGACTATCCTCTGCCTTTTGTTTATCTTCCTGATTTGACTCCAAGGCAGCGAGAAGCTGGTAGCGATGTTTCAATTAGGTTGCACGGTGACGTTATTATATCCGAAGATATGATAAGATCTGATGAGGAGCTGAGGACGTTATTCGTTCCCCTCGTGCCATCTGCGACTTTAGAGAATGACGACAAATATTATTCCTTGCTCGTGCCGAGAACTTTAACTGCCATCAAAACTTACGCCAAGGCCGAACTCGAGCTGAATTCTGACGAGACCACTCTTGTGACTTGGAATGGCTCTTATTCCCCTGCTATACAGCAAGCAATGCAGTGCTTCGATAACTTTTCGAAACCGCCAATAGATCCTTCTCCCAAGCTTGGTTTCTGGGATAAGATCAGGGAGATTTTTCACGCAAGAATTTCGGTCAAGTGGAAAAATGGTCAACTTAATGTTGCATTAAAAGGAGCCAAAAGTCCTTATATGGTAGGCGGCGAAGCCGCTGGATTCATAGTCGGCTTGAAAGGCGGCATCAAAGTTGGATGTAACGTGACGGACGATGCTAAGAAGTTTTTAACTCTAGGCTCTGATGAAGTCTTCTTTGCAATTCCAAACTTCTTCTCGAAGCCACTTTTGGCGTGGTCAAGAAGCAGTAAAAACACCTTATTCTTTCCAAGTCACGAAAACACAAACTTACAGCACTATGCGTTTTTCTACAATCTAGTTGAATTGCCGGATGTCAAGACTTCAGATCGCGACATTCGCGCAATGCGAAAAGGCTATTTTGAAAAAACAGCAATCAGATTGACTGGTGGGATAACACTAAATGTTGGTATGGTTTTTGAAAGGCGAATGCCCGGATCTGAGAAAAGGACTCTTCAATCCAACTCGCACTGGGACGCACGTCTATGCAATCCAGTGTTCATTGATAATCTCGACGCACATGATTCCTTTAGTGGGTTTCGGAGTGACTTTATACATCTCTCGTTTACTCTTTTATCGAGCAGTCCAAAGGCCTACAATACTCTTCAACTCACAGCAGGAGCTTTCAGAATCTTTTTCAGCTGGTGGCACAGCTTTTCTGGTAATTTACCAGTCCGCCGTGGACCCTTGTTTGGAATGAGTAATATGAGTCCAAAGTTCGGAGTTCATCTTTTCACCATCTCCTATCATGCCGACATCGCACCATTATTTATTAGCCACATTCACACACTGCTCGATCCAGACACCAGATTGAAGGCAGATAAGAATCAATCTATCAAATTTGTGGGGCTCAAGGCAAAGACCGAACATTTCGTGATGGATCTACATCAAAGAAAAGAGGTTCTTCACGAGTTCAAACAGGAGTTAAACATCACGAAGAGAGTGTCTAAACTTATGTTCCACGAGGGTAATGTTTCCAATTACGACATCGATGTGAGAACAGTACAGGCTGAATTTAAGAATCCCGGATTCGTGGGCCAGAAGCCGGAACCAAAGTTTGACATTTTCGATGACGATATGTCTTGGTTTGATAGCTCTGATTTTGACGAGGTGTTCTCGGATAGAATGGAGGATAAAATCCCTAATTTACAAATGCATTCCCTGGTGTATTCACCAAAGTTCGTTTACAGAAAGCATGCAACCTACGGGGACAAATATCAAGTAGATCCTGAAACGTGCCAAAAGATTGAGCCGTTCAACAATGCTGACTACCATGAGTGTTCTCTCAGAACTATGGTACAATCTCCACAAGAACTTGTCAAGAATCGACTCAAAGCGCTCATAAAAAAAAGGGACCAAGTTCAACAAAGCATCGAGAGGTCGTTACAGTCAAAAGGCCGTCATGGCATGTCTGTTCTGGAGAAAAAAAGAAAAAAGATCGAAGGTGCTGTCGAACAGGTCGAGCAGCTTCTTCACAATTTCCAGGAGTACGAGAAGTATGATAAACAAAGTGGCGAACAAAATGAGAAATTAACACCGGAGGAATCCAGTGCGAACCCAGGATTCTCACCAGATTTTGGATGGCTCACTCGTGGCTCTCTTGAAAATTCTTTCGAGCATCGATTTTTCATATTCTCAATGTTTTTGAAGTGGAACGATTCTGTAAGGGGTGCAGTTTATAGCTATGTTCACCTACTGGATTTCAATAGGGAACTGTCCTTCATCGCCAACCACAAGGCACTTCGAAAGGTCAACGAGGTTATTCGAGAACTGTCGGACTTTGAGACCGAAAAGCGGCGCTCGGTTGAAGAGAGAAGCCAAGCGGAATCTGTTAAAAACATGCAAAACGAGACCATCAAAAGTGTGGATGCCGAAGAAGATATCCTCTCTGTGTTTGAGAAAGGACTGAGGAGTCTGGATGCTGACTTCGATTTCATCACGCATGACAACCATGTTGTACAGTTTATTGCTCCTCAAATTCAATTAACTACGTCGAGGAAGCCAGAAGTTTGCACCATGATCACAGCCCCAAGTATAAAGCTAAAAACCATTGGTTTTGATGCAAATGCTACGCAAAACGAGTACAATACAGACATGTTCATGAATCGGTATAGTCTGGTCATGTTGAAAGCTAACGTTTTTGTTTTCCACAAAGACAGCTTTGATTATGATCATGACATATTCTTCAGTGAAGACGGATATGATCAAGCAGGGGAGAGAAATTGGCAGCCATGGCTAGGATTAGAGCTTTGCTTCGATTCGTCTTCGTTGGGCAAGGACGCGATAATAAGAGATCTATCGACGATTTTCAGATTTGATCGGGTGTTCTCCTTCGCCAACGTCGCCGGGATCAAGGAACCCAATTTCAAAAACAAAATAATATGTCAACTGCCGCGCACTATCATTTCTTCGAATTCGAGACAATATCTTGCACTCTACGACGTGATTGCGCACCTGCTGGTATACATAGAGCCGAAGAGTGCCCATCTGCGAAAAGAAGTAGAGAAGCTTCTATTGAGCTACGACACGACAAAGCTGGTCCAACTGAGGGGTGTGATCACAGACTTACAACAGACTGTTGTCGCCCTCAACCGCTTGGAAAAGGAACTAGCTTTCAGGAGGCATATTCTTGATTCTGATGGAATTGATGACCTAAAATCCATACGGAGAAACAAATATGAATCTCTCATGAGCCTCTACATTTTGATGGAGGTGCTCAACGCAGGAACCCAGGAACATGCTGCAGAAGATCAAAAGATGATATGGGATTTGGAGGCTAAAGAAGTTATAGTGCACCTGCTGCACGATGATGGTACTCCCTTCTTAGACTTGGCGTTGGCACGTTCGTTCTTCAGACGCGTGCAATCATCTTATGGATATAACAACAACAGGATTGTTATAGGCGTTGCTCAAATATTCAATTTGGATAGGGACGTCTTATTCCACAATCTATTAAGTCCTTCAGATATGAGAGGAGCAAAGAGCGAAACGGGGAGTGGCAGGGACCCACTCATGGAAATAGAATGGGAAATAGAAAAACCTGTTGGGGGCATGAAGGTGATCAGAAATGCCATCGCTTCATTCCAGAGCTTGGAAATCAATGTGGAACAAGAAACTTTGACAAAATTACTTCAGTGGGCGTTCCCCGCCGAAATGGAAGAGTACATTCAAGCGGAAAATAAATCCGGCTCTGCAGCTAGCGAAACAGATGAGGATGGCGCAAGTACCTATTCGGAACCTGTCAGTGAAACCATTGACAGCATCGGGAACGAAAGGCAATTAGCTCAAAATGGTCCTCAGGAAGTTGATGAAATGTTCAAGAGATCGTCAGACTATATGGTGGTGGACAACATGGTTGTCAATTCCTTCAAGCTGATTATAAGTTATCGGGGGAGTGGAGCTAAAAGGCTCATTAACGTCACTGATTTCGGTTTTCTTTTCCCTCGTTTGACGTTGCATAACCGGACCTTGAAGACGGTGGAACTGGTGATGGTGATCAAGCAAGTGCTGTTGAAGGCCTTATTGAAGCATGCTGGAAAGTTTTTGGGCAACAAATTGAAAAGACATTCTCTACACATTGAAGCTGCCAAATCACCTTTACGGCAACTCTCCACTTATCAGTCCTACACAAAAGTTGAGGACCTGACATACGAGAAGGGCAGCGAGGAGTTGAACCATACCAAAGCTCGACAACATCATGGTCTTGGGGATCCACGAAAGAGTAGCAGCAAAGCTTTTCAAGGGCGCACACAACACTCAAATACGACACACCACGAAGAACAGCAAGTGCATCAAGAACGTGGCCACAGGAGCCAAGACGGATCGGTTCGGGATCTACAACACGAAACTGACTCCACGAGATCTGTTGAATCTGGCTCTAGGACTGGTGCAGATAATCCAGCACCAGGTAGCAAAGGCAACCCATGCGGTGACACCAAATTGGGACAAGACGAAGAGAAAAAAGGGTTTGAAACATCAAGCGCCCACGATATTAAGTCAAATTCCTCAGATGAATCGCAGTACCAATCGAGCTTGTCAAAATAGTCGACTTTGTCGTTGACATGAAAGCACAACTCATCTTTACGCAACATACATGTGACCAAATGGTGAGCTTAAATTGAACATCAAATTGACTATATTCAAATCCAAACCCAACCGACAGTGATTGTACATAAACATTTAATCGAAGTGTTCCAGCCTCTTGGCAAATGTCTGATGGCATTTGATGGATTCACCGCTTTTGAGGATTTATCAATTGAGGCAATTGACAATGATTGGTGGTTTGATCTATCCGATCAGCGCGAGGCAAAATCTAAAAGTGACGAAAGGCGATGGTTCAAAGAGAAACTAACAATACCTTGCCAAGTACCCATCTGTTGTAGAATTGTAAGAGCTGTTCGCGACATACACAAGTTTTCGGACTTCTCAAAGGTGCAGGACTCTCGAGCAAAGAGCTTTGCACCTTTAGATTCACTTCAGGACGAGTTGGGAAAAGCATTGACAAATGGACCAGCGCAAAACGATCCAGAAACGCTTGACGACTCAGATTTGGAACTTTTGGCGGGCGAGGATTATTTCACGCAAGAAGAGCCTGACGAAAAGGTAATTGAACCAAGCTCTGCGCCCATTGTAAGCGCAACATTTATTGCGAGTCGAAATGCACTAAAAACCACTTTTAAGGACAAAGTATTCCAATGCCCTTTCGATATAATCGACTGCAAAATTAGATACAGCAGCTTGAATAGCCCAGAGGATACTGCCATCATTTTATCATCTGAAGGCATAATATATTCCGTAGCTTTCGATGCTGAATTAAATCCTATCGTTTTGCAATGGTGGAAATTGAACAAAATCGATGGTGTACCCCGTGAAATTTGTATGCTGTCACCATCCAGCCAGTTTGTTGTGACTACAGACACAACGTTAAAATTCTTCAAGTTCACCAACGCGTACCATTTTGAACTTGTGAGTAATGTGAACATTACGAATACAACAATTTCTGCTACTGCTTTTCTCAACAGCGGTGAACGAGAAAATCATTTTATGCTGTTCACAGCACTTTCACGTTGCAAAGAAATCATCTTGTGCTTGACTCAATGGGGAAGCTCCGACGAAAAATGTAAAGAAGTACACACGTTGACCTTACTAGATAGCGAGCCAGTTTCAAGCATAATTCCTCTTGACGATTCGCGCTGCCTAGCTGTTACTGAAAAAGATATCAAGCTTGTTAACGCTAACCAAATACTTTCCGGAGAGCCGACTTTCATGTCGTTTAAACGATCCATGTTTGGCAGCAGCGTTACCAAATGTTTTGATGATCCCATTTTACTCTCCAAGATAAAAAGTGTCAAGGAAGGATATCAAAATGCAGCTCACTGCACGGTGATCGCTACTTCAAATGGCGCCCTTTGCTGTTGCTTGAGTGAGGAAGAAGGATCGATATCATTTATGGCATTGACTAGAGTAAAAGGTCTTGATAATGCGTTTTTGCTCGATAACAGCTCCACTACTGCGGAATTTTACACTGTTATGATCTCCGCCTATGGCCAACTTACTGAAACTTGCCTTGATCTGCGGAATACAGATGAGCTGGACAAAGACTACAAGATTAGCTCCTCCCAAAATATCGAGGGCAAAAGAATACTCAGCGCAGGACATGCACCCGCAGAATCGATAGTTTATATTCCAGGTTCGCGAACCCAACTTGAAAAGCAGGACCTGCCGTGTTTGCTGTCACAGGCTTCTCTGACTCTTTTATCTCCCAACAGAGCTGTGCAAAATTGTTCAACGTTGCTTTCCGTCAGGTCATTCAAAGCCGTCTCAACCTTGAATGTGATAAACTGCTTGGATTTGCCTGAAAAGTGGCAACAGCAATTACTAGGAGATACAACAGCAGATGCACCGCAATTTTTGATCTTAAATGAAACACGTACCGGGAAATCAAGCTTGCTACTTATCGAATGGGCCGCTGATTATAGTACACATAAACTAACTGAATTGGATGACTTAATGAGGGATGAGTCTAACGATACCGTCGCAATCCATTTCACAGATCGTAATTTTGTTCAGGTTACTACTCGAGGCCTGAGCGTCGACAGCCTCGGGGGCAATGACTGGTTCTCATATCAGTCCAGCTTTGTTGTGAGCGGAGCCTTGTGCGATGGAAAGAAAATAATTATGTGGAACTCTGACTGCGGAAATGTGCTGTATATTGAAGACGTGGATGACACCCGATCTGAATACTATGAGGAGTTTAAAGTCCCTTTAGAAGACGAACATTCAAAGATAACAGCAGTAATGTTCACTAGAGAGATGAATGGGCAAGAATCAATTCTTGTTGTGAGCGGCGCAACTGTACATCAGGCTTTTTTGAATGATCTCAACACCCCACAGGGTGGGCTTCGACGGGTAAGCGAGGTCCAGGTGCACTATGGTAGCGCATTTCAAAAGGAATTTGTCCTAAGTGACCTTAATGGTGGGATTTATCGGGGAGTGATCGGCGAGACAATGCCAAACAAGCTGAGCTTAGACAAGTTGAGTGTGAATTTGGAGTTTGGATTCCCCTGGGAGGTACGATTCGTGAGCGCGGATGAATGTATCTTATTTTCTCCGCGTACGATCTATTCATTAAGTTTGACAGATTCGAGTTTTGCCGAGATCTTGGTTGGATCTCACAAAAAACACGCTACAATAATTGACGTCAAGGTGAGCGGAGCGCTACTATTTATTCTGTTTTCGGACAGGTTAGAGGTGGTTTTCCGAAGCTCCCTCACCCACACGCGTTTGCACCAACCAGTAAAAAATGCCAGGATAAAACAAAAGAGGTTTCTGTATATAAACCGCATCAACCGAATGCTGATCGTCAATTGGTCACGAAGGACGCTTGAGTCGGTGAAACTGGAAAATGGAAGAATTATGTTGCTAGACTCTCGGTGTCTTGAATCTTTTTCAACAATTAGCGAGACTGTCGAATTGAAAGCCAACACCGGTCCTATCAATATCCTTATCGCTGGAAGTACTGACACGGGCAGCTGCCTGCTCAAGCTGGTACAGGTCGTGCCGCTACCAGGGAAGCTTATTACACGAGAAGTCAGCAGTTTCCATTTTGACGGTCCCATTCCAGGAAACGTCCACATTGTCACCGTGAGTGAGGACTCATTCTGGGTATTCTATGGCGAACATTTTCAGATGTTTTCACTAGATCGCAACATGCTATGTCCCATTGGCTTGGTGGAACGGTCCGAGGAAAAACTCGTATCAATGGATGCCAAAGCTGATATTGTTGTGGCACTGAATTGTAGCGGTAACTTCAAGGTCAAATCAAGACAAGTTGATGGATCCTGGATTACCACGGATGTGTTGCGTCGGTCTTCGAGCAATTTGAAATACCACAAAGTTCTCGTCATGAGCCGTGGTTTCGTGGTCATAATAGGTGAGCGTCACGATGATTCTGCTGCGTGTGCCGTTTTAACATTTTTCGCCCCATGCGGTGACGACGTGGTATATTTCAATGATATCTGGTTTGCCGATCCCATAAAAGACGTGAAGTATTCGCCTCAGAATGATGAGCTTTGTGTCCTTTTCGAGAACGGCAATTTGACCTTACTGGCTGGTCAACGCGAGTATCACAGAGTTTCTCACGTCGTCGGACAAAGAACGCGGATCGATCAGGGTTTGGACGTTCAAGGCCAAACCGGCTGCTGGGATATAACGTCCCACAAGCTGATACCTTCACAATCATGAGCGTTTTTCACACAAGCTACCCTCCATTCGTTACTGCAAATTTTGTCGAGATCAAAACCTCTGGTCCTCAAGCTTTATCAAAAAATGAAGTTGACTAAAAGATGCACAGGGCACCTAAAACCTATGATAAGCCATAAAAACCTGCATGCCATTGGCTTGATAGTACCCAATTTCTCCCTTCTACGTCCAAGACCTTTTGTCGCTTTAGCGTCAAGCTTTTCCGCCAAATCCTGGATCATTTGTGCTTCAGTCACTGCCTCAAACTCTAAATTCAACAGACTCTTTCGGCACCATTTTAGATACTCTTACCAACTCATGCCTCGTCTACATCCGACCTGGAAAGGACCTTAACCTTCCATCTTTCGTCGCTTTCGTCGCGGTCACCAGTCATATGATCGTGAACCCTGGCTCAATAATAGTAAAATAATACATAATAACATCATCTAGACTGCTTGGACATGCGATGAGCCAACGATTCCGACAAGATCATGAAAAGGCTAGTGACCTTTCCAGGCCAGGGAAGCCCAGTATTGGGCCATGTCTTAAATAAGTATTTAGCACAGCGTAGTCAAATTTTTAGCTTCAATAGGAGTGGAGGACTAACAGATTTGGGAACTCTGGTAGCGCAGATTGAACAAAAGCCTGCAGATCCAGCATCAATTGCAGCCTGTTCGTTTTTGTTGTATCGTGCGTTTACGGAGAACAAGCAGAACCTCAAGAAGGACACTTCTTCTGGAGAGACGGTCTTTTTAGGTCATTCTTTGGGCGAGCTGTCGTGTTTAGGCGCTGGAAACGAGCTCTTCACCTTGCATCAAAGCATGCAAATTGCCACTTATCGTAACAAACTCATGCTGCAAGCAGCAGGTGCCTTGGAGTACGGTATGTGGGCGATTTCGGTCCCCAGAGCGCGCGATTTGGTAGGCGAAATTCGCAATTGCATCCCAATTGAAAGTAGTCTGGCACTTGCAAACGTCAACACTGCCCAGCAGTGTGTAGTCACTGGTGAAGAAAAGGACTTTGAGCTTTGGGAGCCATCGTTGCGCCACGCAATTAGCGGTCGCTGCAAAATAACACGGCTGGGGAATCCTTATGGGATACCATTTCACAATGAACGCGTTTTAGCACCCATTGATGAACCGTTGCTTGAGTATATGTGGCAAATCCTGAAGAGTCAAGGCCTGGGAAGTCAAAAATTGCTCAACCATGAGGTGATTTCCAATTATACCGGTAAACGTGTGCGATCTGTGTCAGAGGCGCTTGAAAGCTTTGCGAAAAGTAGTTGCAACGTCGTGGAATTTGTCAAATGCTGCGAGAAGGTGAACCAGCTCAATATCACAGAGGCCGTGCACATTGGACCTGGAACTCACATCGCTAAACTGGTGGCTAGAAACTGCCACATCCCCGAAACCCAGACCTGGGACGAGTACATGGGTAAAACGTAACGGGCTTTAAACATGAAAAGCGTGGCCTTCAAGTCACCGTGGGATAAAATTGCCCACTATGCATACAGGAATATTGTAGCGATCTCTTCGGATCGTGAAACTAAAACAACACGGCGTGGGAGCTTCTAAATGACCCGGTTTGCATAAGTCACAATGCGTCAAAATAGCCTTTTGATTCTTGTCAAATGCTATGGATCCGTATTTTTCCCAAAACGAAACAGTACTGTCCTCTGTCATAACCTCGTATATCGCCAGTTTCCCATCACGCAAATCATCCACTTTGCACCCTACCAGCGACGCAAACTCCTTGTTACCGCGATAAATCTCACCGGTCCTTCTCCATAAACACGCTGGCATACTCATAGATGTGAAGACTCGATCATATGAAAGCAGCATCCGCTCGAAGCTTTCCTCCACCAGGATCAGGTCCACGTCTTTCAGAGATCGCGCAATTGCCCTAAATTCGGGTCTGATTATCGATAATGGTTTCAAGATACGTTGCTTGCAGGTTGGATTCATATGCTTATCCATGTACGTCTGCAAACGAGCGTAGCCTCGCGCATAGTTATATGGACGCAAAAGACCCGCCTGCAACTTGGCATTGATCACCGATTTGAGTCTATCTTCCGGCGTCATTTCTTGAGAAGGGTCTGCTGCAGTGAAAAAGAAGTTTTCCTTCAGCGTAGGCTGGTCAGACGACGCTGATTGTTCCTGCACGGGTTCTTTAGATGGCCGCTCAATTTGAGGCCAGGCGCTTGAAGAATCTGCATCCAATGACAGTGGCTCCTCGAGCATGTGGAGAAACTCACTGAGCGATGAAAACTCCGATCCTACGTGTTCAGATGCAAACGTTGGCTGTCTAGCCAAGATTCCACCTACGGCACCAACGGAGCTGTTACCACTGGGATTTGAAGGCCGATTACTGATTTTCTCGAGCTCTAGTTCTTCCTCAGCCACGCCACGCGGTAGCTCGTCGCAGCACAGATGTGCGATGTTTCTTCGAATGCATCGAGTGCATGGTCTTTGCTCATCGCATATCATATGCGATCGTCTGCAGTAAACGCATGCCCGGGCGACTTTTTTGCGTTTTACAAGAGCTGGATCATCACTCATTGTGAAACTGGCAAATAACTATAATGCTGGCCCTTATTGGTGATCTTTGGTGGCCTCAGGCCTCAATATTGGATGCGATGGATGTGTGTTCACTGTGGGTAGTGTTGATGCGATGAGCTTATGAGTATGGCGAGTACAAGCCAATTGAACATCATGAATACATCCACGAGTACACCATGAGTACATTGAGGTTTGAAGACGAGACTTGTGAAGACAGAATCAGCCCGAAAACGCTTAAGAGCTAGTAGAAATGGGAAAACTGGAGCTGTAAATTGATTGTTTTGGTGCTCACTGGTTTGAAGGTTTTTTTAACGCGCTGACTCGTTGCAAGTTTGTCCGTATTAACGAAGCCTCATGAACTTAATTTCGATCGGGCTGAGGAATATCTCTCGAAAGTTGAGTTACCGTTAAAAGCTCAAGAATGCTTCTTCGATACCGTGGAATGCTCACAATAGTTCACGGTTAGATCACTGTCGAAAGAAACAAAAACCCAAATGATCACGTGACCGAGTACTCGTGTGCTGAAAAAGTACTCGAGTATCGAATTAAAGATTCAATCAGTCCATCATTCCATCATCATCATCAACATCGATCTTAACCGAACTCAAAGGCTTCCTGTCCTTCCTATAACGCCATCACATTACTAGCTATGCTACACAGGATACTGTTTCGAGCTGCTACAAGGAGTCTGAGAAACTCGAGACAATATGCGACTCCTAATCGATTAGATCTTTCAAAGCTCACACAACGAGAGATTCAACAGCTCCGTACGATGAAACTTCAGCAGGACAGAAGTTTTAAAGATCGTACTGCGGCTTACTATTTTACCAGCATCGCAGTGGTGTTTTTAGGTCTGGCGTATGCAGCTGTTCCGCTTTATAGAGCCATTTGTGCTCGGACCGGATGGGGTGGGATACCCATCACAGATAAACGTAAATTCACAGACGACAAATTGATTCCTGTAGAAAGCGAGAAAAGAATAAGAGTCTCGTTCACCAGTGAAGTGTCCCAAATTCTGCCCTGGAAATTCACACCGGAGCAACGAGAGGTTCGAGTGCTTCCGGGAGAAACGGCTTTGGCCTTCTACAAAGCCAAAAACACCAGCGATAAAGACATCATTGGAATGGCCACATACAGCATCACACCAGGCGATGCATCCCCCTATTTCAATAAGATCCAATGTTTCTGCTTCGAAGAACAGAGACTAGCGGCAGGCGAAGAAATCGATATGCCAGTGTTTTTCTTTATCGATCCCGATTTCGCCAGCGATCCGCGAATGCGGAACATCGATGACATCGTATTGCATTACACATTTTTCCGAGCTCACTATGCCAATGGCGGTGCCGTGAGCGAAAGTGCAACCCCAGAAGTGATGGATGCCAGAAACCAGGCTCAGGCTCAGGCTCAGACTTAGACTTAGACTCAGATTCAGTCTCAGACTCAATCTCAGACTCAGTCTCATTAAGTATCCGATTCGAAATTTGTAAATAACTAATCTGTACTTTATTCTCAAAACGAAACCAATGCATATGGCTCTTTCTCGGAAAACAAAAGGCACGGATCTGTAGTGTGTTGCTCATCGCTATGTCTTAAATTCGTTAAGCGTAATGGATGGACTCGCAGGTGTGGACATCACACTTTCCGAGCTTTGGCCTGTATTGCTTGTATTGAGGGAAAGACGAGACTGGTGTAGTAGCTTAGTTTCCTTTTGTTTACTATTTCCCTCCTCATGGTGTTCAGGTTTGGGTAAGGGTTCTTGATAGTAGTGGATTTTACCGTCTTCTGGGAATTTCATTGCCGTGGGGGAAAGTGTGCCGATTCTTTCAGGAGAAAGCGAAGATGAGGCACTGGTGGTATTCTGAGTTTCTAAAGACAACTGTGGTTTTTTGAAAGTTTGGAAATCCACTTCATCGGTCGCACTAGTATCGTGAGATCTGGAACGAGGTCTGGTGAGCAACGATTCGGTCAGGAAGACCTTTATCGGTTTTTTAGATTCCAACTGTTCCACCAAAAAGTGGTAAACCGGTAGAGTGGCCTGCTCTTCGTCGAAAATAAGCACTACACGATTCAAAAAGGCCAACGGAGTATAGTACTGACAACGAGATTTCAATTCGGGGAATTTCTGTTCGAAAAGCTGTTTTTGCAGTTTCTGCGGCCATCCGTCTGCGAATTCATGATGTGGGACATCAGTGATCAAAATTTGGGTCTTAGGTACCGATGTTTCTGTCATTCTCAGCTCAAAAATTGATGTTGTAAGTGTTAAGCTTTCTTACAGGTTTCGTAAAGCTGCGATTGAATCAATGCGACCTCTGGTTGCTCAAATGATAAAATCAATTGCTTGTCAGGTTTTTAAAGCAGAGAGGCTGGTGTTTGGATCAGGTAAAGATGGGCTTAGTTCTTGTAGTTTTCGTTTTAAAGGTTTAATATCATATATTAAGCCCTTTCAGAATTTAAGACATAGTTAACCGTTATGATACTGGCAAGACAAACTGGCAAGACAAAAAGAGAAGTACAATAGAGGCGTTTGAAACGTTTCAACAGTTTCAGAAATAGTACAAAATCATGGATGAATTGTTGTTGTTGTTTGGAAAAAATCTGTGATATCATTGCCGGCCAAACTGCGGCTAAAAATATTCGATAAATTTTGAGAATGGAGAGCAGAAGGTCGCAGAATAATTTCACAGTATGACTCTCCAAATTGTAATTCGTCATTTTCTCATGCTCAGAAGATATAATGGGGCTATCTGTGTAGCTGTGTCAGTTGCTTTGAATTTATTTTCCTTCACTGATCAATATTGTCATTGTTGGTAGACAAGCATTTCATAATTTGTATTCTCAAATTATGAAAGAAAAGCTGACTACTAGAGGCTGGAGCTCTCTGGGCATGCTGTGTCGATTCGTGGTACTAAATTTGAGGCTTAGAAAAATCTCGCCCACACATTTTAAGACTGTATTTTTTTTCTTAGGGTTTTTGTTGGTGGCGCGACGGCATAAAGCCATGTAGTAGCTGGCATAAGTGTTGGAAAGGGGTGATGGATAAACGAGCCTGGATTGAGGCCAATCTGTGTGAGAAAAGTGTTATTTTGCCCTGGGTGCCACTAAAGTACAAAGTGATAAGGATTCGAAAGCCACGTTGCTGACTCGTCTCGTGGTATTGATTGAAGCTGGCTGGATGGTCAGTTTCGGCAACATAGATGTGTGAGACCAAGCCTCCGGTAGGCAATTGCGACAGCCGTTCCGTACCTTTCGGAAAATTTCGGAATTCATGTGTTACTAACGTCAAAGTGACCACATACGTGACCCAGAGAATGTGTCAGAATTGGTTTGTAATGACAATGAAGATCACTTGTTCTTGTCACTCCATTCTGCGGTTTTACACAGCACGAGGGACAGATCCGTAGACCCAGGAATAAGATTCGTATTGCATCCTCCAGCAACGGAAGATACATGAGAAAATGCGTGGGTCGTGTGTTTTTAGCTCAAAAACATTCCAGAGAGAGGAAAAAACACAAACGAACAAATGTACAAACCGTCTTTCAGTGTTTCTAAGACAGCAGGAAATCTCTCCTGGTAACCATAGCTTCGTGTTCCTGATAGATTCAGAATTTGGCAACTATCCAAAAATTCCATCACGTGATCCAGATATCACTTGATTACGAATCTGACGTTGATGATGGAAGGCAAGAACGTGGATTAGGACATAAACTGACAAGCTCTGATATAACCGCATTTATCTTTTTACTCATTTTTCACTCATTTTCACTCATTTTGAAGCTATACCAATAGCATTCGTTATTTTCTTATTAGTATTCACAGTCGTCGCGAAAATGAGCTTCAGCCGAAACCCCAATGTTTTCGTGGAGTTCGTTTTGTCTTATAATATTCTATTATTGAATTAACCATGGACTCAAATATCCATAATCCAAGAACACCAGCAAAAAAGCCATTAACAAAGAAACCTAATCGCTTGTTCACACCACTCTCTTTCATTCCATCTTAAACTCGAATCTTAGATATAATACCTCTTGACATCAAATTTCCAGTAGTTCACTTATGACTGCTTTCTCAAAACAACACCCACACACCAAAGAAATTTAATTAAATTTTTATAAAAAAAGAAAAAAGAAAAACTGAAAAAAGATCATCTTATACGCCGAAAATTGTCTTCACGTGACGACGCAAAATCTGGCTGAAAAAAAAAGTTTCAGATCGTGTAACGACACACGCCGACAGAGTCCCATCGCCAACGGAACCTGGGCTCTCACTCTTTTCTTGCATATAAACAACCAGGTCATCGCTTCTCATCGCCTTCTATTGACTCTTTTCCACAAACCAACGATCAAGCACCATGAGTTTCCTCAAAGACGTCAAGAGTTCCGCCTACCACGCCCGTTTCCAGACTCCCTTCAGAAGAAGAAGAGAAGGTAAGACTGACTACTACCAGCGTAAGCGTCTAGTGGCTCAGCACAAGGCCAAGTACAGCTCTCCTAAGTACAGACTTGTGGTTCGTTTCACCAACAAGGACATCATCTGCCAGATTGTGTCCTCGACCATCACTGGTGACATTGTGTTGGCTGCTGCCTACTCTCACGAACTACCTCGTTACGGTATCACCCATGGTCTAACCAACTGGTCCGCTGCTTACGCCACCGGTTTGTTGATCGCCAGAAGAGTGCTACAAAAGCTTGGCCTAGACGAGACCTACCCAGGTGTCGAAGAGGTTGAAGGTGAGTACCAATTGACCGAGGCTGTTGAAGACGGTCCTCGTCCATTCAAGGTCTTCCTAGACATCGGTTTGCAGAGAACCACCACTGGTGCTCGTGTCTTCGGTGCTTTGAAGGGTGCCTCTGACGGTGGCTTGTACGTTCCTCACTCCGAGAGCAGATTCCCAGGTTGGGACTTTGAATCCGAGGAGGTTGACGCTGACATGCTAAGAACCTACATCTTCGGTGGTCACGTTTCTCAATACATGGAGGAATTGGCTGACGACGATGAAGAACGTTTCAGAGAATTGTTCAAGGGTTACTTGGCCGATGACATCGACGCTGACAGCGTTGAGGACATCTACATGGAAGCCCACGAGAAAATCCGTGAGGACCCATCTTTCAAGCCAACTGAGAAGAAGTTCACCAAGGAACAATACGCTGCCGAGTCCAAGAAGTACAGACAAGTCAAGTTGACCAAGGAACAGAGAAAGGAACGTGTTGCTGCCAAGATCGCCGCTTTGGCCCAGTAAGTGCTCTAGCTGCTCTTGTTGCACGACATTCGTTTTGGATGCTCTTTTTTTTTTGGATTTAGATAACTGCAAGTATATTTTTAAATGAAAATGAAGTGCTCCTTGTGAACATGAACTCTGGGAAGCGTCAGTTCTCTAGTTCCGAAGAGCCTTGCGTCCTGTTAAAAGAATGCCTTTTTTGAACAATAAACACATCACTATATACGAATGTGTCATTTCTGATTATCCAGCCATACTACTCCAGAAAGAAAGCAGTTGAATTTGCAAATGTTGCTTTACGTTGAGACCGTTTCCACTCCCAAATTCAATTCACATCTTCCCGGACTTCATATTTCCAAATCAAAGTCTTCCTATTTTTCAAAACGTAGATCACAATTTCCCACTCTAACACCGGTGTCAATTAATTTAAACAATTTCAAAAATCGGACAGCATTTAAACAACTATTTCCTCTATCCACAACAAACAAGTTGGTTCGACCACCACCATCATCAGCTTGATATTCTTGTATCGAGGACTGGAAACCAGGTATATTTACATCAAATCTTTAGTCGCGGGAGTCTCTCGTCATTAAGCAACTTTTATCGGGCGCCAGCTTTATAATTACATATGTCAGTATAACGTATCTACCAGAACGAAAGAACCACTGAAAAAAGAGGTCTTAGGCCTCAAATTCCCAATACGAGGTGAGCGTGAACGTACCTCAAAAAACATTGAAGTGGAAACTGTGATTGCCCGAACCTCAATGACGCTTCTAGCTATTTCACGTGGTTTTCTGCTCCCACCATTTCCTTATTCAAACTTCAATGGTAATGGCATGCCTACCACCTGTTACCATCGCTATGGCCACATACAAAAAGCGGCACCCGTCGCTGTATTTACTGAAGGCCGATTCAAGTGCTCAGCTCATGCCGGACCAGGACTTCGAGCTGCAACCTCAAAGCGCAGGTTCGCAACCTATGGACGATATAACCGAAGATGAAGAAAATCAGCCAGCGCTGCGATTTCCAAGCTCCAAATCAGCTCGTAAACGGCTATTAATACTGGCATTTGCGATTGTATTGTCGTGGCTACTGGTCGGGTTTTCTGTGTGGCGATTGCAAAGTGCCCGGTCTCTGCTTCTGGATAAACAACACAATCTTCATGAAAAACTCCCCAATGACAGATCTTTCAATATGACGAATGTTTTGAATGGAGACTTTTCCTATCGCGACGTGCCCTTCGCTTTCATAAAATCGGGCGCTTTGTTCCAAGCTCAGGAGAACGACGGTGGACTTTATTTGACCATCGACGACAGAAATGGGATCCCCAAGTATGTGGCAGGAAAACTTGCCGATAGGAAATTTTACCGAGATCTCGGTCGTAGAACTTTCGGCTTCAAGAAGGATCAGTACGAGGTTTCCAGTTTCGTTGTCACCCATCGCCTCGACTTCGCAATAATGTCGTCGAACATGGAAAAGGAGTACCGCCACTCTTCAAAGGCATACTATTGGCTCAAGGACATCGCCAAAAGCATTATTACGCCAATCACACCATTCCCAGATAATACTGAGTTGCAAAAGCTTTCGTATGCCGGCCTTTCGCCTTCCGGAAATTTCGTATATTTCGTGCATGAGAGTAACCTGTACATTCAAAATGTGCTTACCAAAACGGTGAGACAACTGAGCTCTGACGGCTCAGATCAGATTTTCAATGGAAAAACAGACTGGGTTTACGAAGAGGAAGTACTTGCCACGGACTGCGCTGTATGGTGGGCTCACGATGACTCGAAACTGGTCTGGGCACGTTTTGATGACTCCAAAGTCTTAAAAGAAACTCTACCCAAATATATCAACGAAGAAGCATACGATGGAGTCAAGTCCATTAATTATCCCAAACCAGGGACCCCCAATCCAATGTTTACCCTTTTCTCCTACGATGTGATGACAGGAGCACTACATGCAATCACACAACCAGATGAAAGTCGAATTCTGTACCATGCACAGTGGCTGAATTCCACTATTTTCTTGTTCAAAGATTCGGACCGCAACTCTGAAGTCATGTCTGTGAAAGTGCATAATCTGGATACCAACATGGTATCTAAAGTGCGAGAGATTGATACCAAAACTTTTGGAGGTTGGGTCGAAAAAGGCCATAACGTTCAGCTCATCCCGAGCAAAGCGTCAGAGAACAGACACGACATAGGATATGTTGATATCGAAGTTGATGATCAAGGATTTCCTCACTTATACTACTTTACTGATGTTTTTTCTGGCGCAGGTCGCCAACTGACATCGGGGTCTTGGGAAGTGACTGGGAAGGGAGTTGCGGGATATGATTACGACGCTGATGTTATCTTTTTCCATGCGAATCTGCAAAATAGGTTTTCGCAGCACCTGTACTCTGTAAGCATAAACGAAAACGATACCGAAGGCATTCAAACCTTGCAAGATCCTAGTGAAAAGGACGCTTTTTACGAGTTCGAATTGAGTCCAAGTTGCAACTTCGGATTGAAGCGTTACCGCGGTCCGATGAGACCCATGACTGATGCTGGGGATCGCATTTTGCTGCTTATGAACGATCAGTCCAGGGCCATAATTCAACTTACAAACAACTCAGAGATGCTTGCAGCCATGGATAGGTTTGATATGCCCATCAAAAACCACAAGACATCCACATTAGATGATGGCACTGTAATTGATTACATGGAGTCAATTCCCGCGGAGATGAGCTCCTTGAAAAAGCATCCTTTGTTGGTGCATGTCTACGGTGGACCGGGATCCCACACCGTTGACACAAGTTTTACCATATCTCTAGAGGAAAGCTTGGCTTCTAGTGAGGAGGCAATCGTGCTCAAAATAGAGCCAAGAGGTACAGGAGGACGTGGTTGGAAATACAGAAGCTGGGCGAAACATAATTTGGGTTTCTGGGAAGCAAGGGACGTGCTTAGTACTGTAAAAAAATACATGGATACACACGCTGATCTCATAGATCCTGAGCGTGTTGCCATATGGGGCTGGTCATATGGCGGTTTCGTCACTTTGAAGACGCTAGAACTGGATGGCGGGGACACTTTCAAGTACGGCGTGGCTGTTGCTCCGGTAACAGACTGGAAATTCTACAACTCGATATACACAGAACGGTATATGGGATCATATGAGGACAACCAGGAAAGCTATGATGATAATGCAATGGTAAAAGACGTTGCAAATATTGCGAAAGTTCAAAGAGTTCTCTTAATGCATGGAAGTGCTGACGATAATGTGCATCTCAAAAACACAATGAATCTACTGGACAAATTGAATCTCGTCAATGCAAACAACTACGACTTCAACTTGTTCCCAGATTCAGATCATTCGATCGTATTTCACAACGCAGGAACAGTAATTTACGAAAAGCTGTTCTCCTGGATCAAAGCTGCTTTTGCAGGTCAGTTTGAAAATCCGACAAATTTCTGAATGAACTCTTCATTAATGCATCGCGCTTATGGCTTGCACTATAGTTATCAAGCCTGAAGACCAAAATATTGTATTATTTAATAGATCAAGTTTTGCGTTTTTTTGCAGGCGCTTTTTTGGTCGCAGGCGCTGCCCTCTTCTTGGTAGCCTTGGGTTTGCCCTGTTTGATAAGTTTGTCCTTCTTAAAATCATTATCTTCTTTAGCGTTTTCATCATCATCAGCTGGGGGTACTTCATCGTCTGCATCCACAACGTCCTCAAAGTCAGGCGCCTCCTTCGACCTACCACCGACAGCTATCGTCGAACCCGTCTTGTAGATTGCGACAGGGTGAACCATCGCATTATACTTTCTGGTGAATCCACTTTTAACTGCAGTTGGGATTTTCTTAATCTGAGCCTCAGTCTTATCATTGCCGATTAGGAATTCCATTATAGAGTCCCAATCCTCTTTAGATAAGTAGTAATCGTCCATGATTTGAATCACGTCCGGTATCGCGTCGCTTCCATTTGCCAGTAAAGGATCTAGCATTCTACGCTTCAACGTCGGCATGTAATCCATTCTCAAACCTAATTTATCAGTAGATGTGCTCAACCTTGTATGATACTGCAACTCTTGCAACAACCGGTAGTACTTACCAGACTTGGAATTTTGACCCAGCCAAGATGTAAAGTTTATCCTACCAGCCATCTGACCTGCCACCTTAGATGCTGGGAGAACTGCAGACATGATGGCATGAAAGGGTAGCAGACTCCACAGTTGTTCACTGCTTCGTATCTTTCTTTCGACCAAATCGCCTTGCGAAATACTTTCAGCAGCGTCTGCGACGGCTGCCAAGTGTGTTTGTCCAGCTTTGAGCCCAGATGGTCTTGTCTGCAAGTAATTTTCTTGTATCATTAAAGGCGTAAAGTCGAAATCGTCGAAATACAGTTCCATTTTTTTGTACAGTGGAAACGTTCGCGAGCCAATGTCTGAAAATATGCGACCATCAAATAATTTGTGCGTTATGTCAAACGGTTTCAAAGCAATGTTCTTCTCCCAGGCCTGCGCGATGGCTTGAACGTTGTCATGTCCAATTTTCTTTGTAGTGGTGGATATGGTAGATAGCAAGTTTATTACTTGCCTAATATCTCCTCGAGTGGCCTCCACAAGTTTTTCTATGGTGTTGGGATCTAACTGGAACTTTTCTCTCACGGCAATGGTCATTAGACGGGCTTTGATGCTATTGACATCGGGCCTTCTGAACTGTATATCAAGACAAACTCTGTCAAAAGGTCTCATCTTCGGCGAGTTTCTCTCATTGCAGATCAAGATCATGGGCATAGAGGTCTTGCGACAGAAAAGCGCCATTTGCCCTACACCTCCTCGATCACCCCCGCTCATACCATCTACCTCGTCCATAATAATAACGAAGTTTTTCTGGTTAAGATCACCACCATGGCGAGATTTCAATGTTCCGACGATGGATGTATTATCCAAAGCATTCTTAACACCTGCATTCAACAACGATTTTGAACGTACGTCTGACGCATTTCTCTCCAAAACGTCGAAGCCCAGCTCCTTGGCAACCAAATGTGCAGCAGTGGTTTTCCCTATACCAGGGGGACCGTACAGCATCGCTGCCCTGAAAACACCGGAACCGTCTCTTCCAGGCTGTTTGAAGTCATTTTTTTTGCAAGAAGCCCAGTTGCTTAACCAGTTCCTCAATTTGCTAACGCTGGTTTTGTTCCCGCAAATGTGATTAATAGATGTGGGTGCATATTTTACCGTCCAAAGTTTGTCTTCTTCTCTTGTTATGGGCTTGAGATTTGGAGCAGCGACTCCCTGGTCTTTTTGACGTTTTATGAGTTTTTCTCTTTGCTCCTTCTCGCGCTTTTCCATTTCTTCGGCTTCTTTCTGAGCATCCTGTTCCTGTTGTTTTAGCTTTTGACGGGCCTTTTCAGCAGCGGAGTTGTCTCCACCTTCTTCCGGCATACCAGAAATAAGCTGCTTGAACCCATCTTCATCAATGGCCTTTATGTGCAGGTCCTTGATTTTCTCAAGCTTTTTGGGACCAGCCTCTTCTCCAAGAACCACCAAAGAAGTCTTACTGGAGATGGACTTCGTGACTCTGGCACCATAGCGTTTTGCAATTGCTTCGGCATTGCCGCGTTCCAAAGTGGGCAATTGTCCCGTGAAAACGATGGTGAGTCCCAAAAGACAGTTTGGAGCCCCCTCAGGGAAATCCACGTCTCCTGTCATTTCTGAAGCCCCGTTTTGATTATTACCTCTGAAATCGAACTTTACATTTTCCTTCACATGAACAGCATCCAAGTCAACCGATGGGATCTTGGCCAAAAGTTCCTCGAGTGACAAAGGGCCGATGCTCTCCTTTTTAGCGATTTTGGGCTTTTTCTGCGGTGATGATGCATTACTTGATTGCCCGCCTTTCTTCGTTGTTTTCGCAGTTTTGGCCGCTGGAGCATTTTGTTTGAGTACAGGGTCCTCATCTAGAATAGTCAGTGATTCGTCATGTTTGGAAAAACTACTGTCTTGCTTATCGAAATCATTAAAGTCGTCATCGGAGTCTAAGTTGATCGTGTCACTCACTTTGTTTTCCGCTGACTGCGACCCAGAACGAGCGGTTGGAGCGACTTTTTTTTGGCCCGGTCGTTCCTTCGACGCTCCTTTCTTGAAAAAAGTGTCAATGTTGACCATTGAGGACTTCAAAGGTTGCTTTCTTTGGCGATTTGTTGTTATTCTCTTGACTCGATCTTGGTTGACCAGAGATGCTCATGGGCTATTTGAATAATTATTCAAAATAAAACCAAATCGTTGTATACGGAAACCCATCGTCAACATCTAGTACGTGAAGCTTCCTGGAGGGGATGTGTACTTGCTGTCTTGGATTGAACTCCTAGTTGTAGTGAGAGTTTAGCCAGAAAGACTCCGTGTTTGTCAAGAGAGAATTCTGTTTCTTTGAGTTTCAGATTCCAATGTTGTACACATTTGTAGACGCATTGTCTCCAGTGAAGAAAAAAGAGATTTGCCATAGTGAATGCCGACTCTAGTGTGTCAAAACTAGTGCAGAATGACTCTAGTCTAGCTCTGGTAGTCTCACTATATCATTGCATGGACTTTCATCGTCAACTCAATCTTGCATTGTGATTGGAAAAATGTTTGTTTCTGAATGGCTGACAACAAAGATCGGCTGAACTCGTCAAAAAATCTGTTGGGAATTCGTAGACCAAATGAGTGTCACTCCCTAAGTAAACTTAGCCTCATGTCATTATTCTCCATCATGAACTCAGCTCATCTAGTGAAGCACAAATTACCGGGTTGAGAGGACGCAGAGAGAACGCAGAGATACCCAATTTTAAGTCGAGAGTTTCATGAAAAGTATGGTGGTAGATTCAAGGCCACTGGAGGTTTCATTTGATTTCTGTGTAGGTATGTTTGAAGCCTTTCTTGACTTTCTTTATAGTGTGACGCTGTAGTTAAATTGGAAACTGGTAGTTGTAGAATTGAAAGTCACATCAACAACATGAACTATCATCGAATCTAGCCTAAGGATCAGCGTATTTGCCAATTCAAACCATGGCTAAGGGCAAGAAAAAGGCCAGCAAAACTGCTGTCACGGTAAATAAGCCTTCGGAGCCCAATTCCACCAAAAATGAGCCTATTACAGACTCCAACTCATTAAAAACAGACCAGAATGCTAACGTCAAAGACACATCTGAAACTGCATCTGAACCTGCATCTCAACCTGCATCTGAACCTGCATCTGCCCCTCTAGATAAAGGAGATAACAAAGAATTGAACGAGGAGATTGTTCGACTGCAAGCTGAAATTGCCGAGTTAAAGCTCAAAGCTCAAGTGCAGCCAGAAGCCCAAAATGAAGACCAAGATTTGAGCGCCAAGTTAGCACAGGTTCAAGAGGAAAGAGACCATTTCGAACATCAGTACGACTCACTGTTGGACCGCTTGTCTTCAATGAAGGCAGTTTTCAGCAAAATGCGAGAGTCACAGGAAGAGCTGCAATCTTGTCAGGACCAGCTAAGAGAGTACGAATCACAAAACCTCAGTTTGAAGGATAAACTGGACTCAACCCAGCGACAAAATGAAGAGCTTCGCAATTTGACAGGGACTTTGAACCAAGAACTCTCCGGGCTTGATGAAGAAAACGAAAAATTGACCAGCAAGTGCTCCGAAATCGAGAGCACGAACGAGGCCTTAAAAGATGACATAAAACGATTGATAAAAGAGCATGAAAGGAAGCAGGCACACTCAAATGATAAAGTACAGGAGCTAGAACTCGTCTTGAGTAACTTCAAGCAGGACGCAGGCTCAACCAAAGATGAACTCGAGGACGCTATCCAGCGCTTGCAAAAGGCGGAGCTGGCGAAAGCAAAATTCGAGAAAGAACTCACCAGCTTGAAAGCTCAACTTGAAGAAGAACAAGCAGAAAACCTCAGGAAAAACGCTACTAATGATACCTTGATCGAGGAGCTTACCAACAAGCTGGAAGGCACAGAGCTGTCACTAGCGGAGACACGGGAAAAACTAGAGAACTCCAGGTCTCAGGTCGACGCTATGACGGTCGATGTCTCGCAAAAGGAAGCCTTGCAGCAGGAATGCAAAGAGAAGGCGCTACAGATTGGGAAACTGCGTCACGAAGCAATTATACTGAATGAACATCTTACAAAAGCTTTGGCGATGCTGAAGAAAAGTAATGACTCAGAGAACGTCGATAAAGAGCTCATCTCAAATCTTTTGATCTCATTTGTCTCAATCCCTCGTGCAGATCCGAAGAAATTCGAGGTCTTGGAGCTCATCTCCAGTTTTCTGAACTGGGACGACGACAAAAAACAACAGGCGGGCCTAATACTATCTGCCAATGGCATTAGGTCCACGAACAATGGCTCAAAAACTCAAAACTTTGTTTCTTTATGGACTGAGTTTCTCGAGAAAGAAAGCGAAAAATAATTGCAAAGCGCCATTGAACGAGAATGTCAGGAGCAAACTAACTAAGATAAAGATACTGAAGTTGTGATGACAATTAAAAAAATGCTAGAGAAGGGCTGCAAGAAAGCTGGGGTTGATAAAAACCTGCAGATCTCATCGTGGATCCATCGGTTTAATAAATCACGTGACCATAATTTTCCAAACCTCGAATTATAGGTCTAGTTGATGTTGACTTCGAACTAGTGATGTTGCACGAGCTTTCAAAGTTCAAGAATAATCTCTAGAATGTTCAAGAGTGCTACATTAGCCAGGAGTTCGAGTTCACTGCTTCTTCACCCATCCAAGAAAGTTGTTGCGAGATGGGTGAATTCTCAGGCTTACGAAGACTCTATCAAAATGTTGAAAACCGATCTGAAAAAAGCCATGCTGGCGAAAGATGACTTCAAAAAAACCACCATTCGTGGTCTTCTTTCCGGAATCAAGAACAAAGAAATTGACAGTAAGGGAAAGTCGCTCGATGAGTTCACGCTCCACGAGCTATATTCCAAGCTCATTGCTCAGAGAGCCGAGTCCATTAAGCAATTCGAGCAGAACAATAGACCAGAACTGATCGAACGAGAGAAAAAAGAGACAGAGCTCATTCAAGGGTATCTTGGCCAATTGCCAGTTGCGTCGAGAGCCGAGGTTGACTCTCATGTCATGGAGTTGCTACAAAAACTTCGCAAAACCGAGCCTGCATTACAATTGAAAGACGTTTTCGGCAAGATCGACTGGAAAACTGTACCAAATGAATGGAAAGCTTCTGCATCGCATATTCGTGCGAGCATTGCCACCCAATACAAGAGGGTCTTCTAGATTTTCTCGGATCTGAACTTTGTTTCCACCTTCCCGCGTTGATTCTCCTGTAAATATGCACATGGCATCAACGAACAAGACGAAAACCAAAAAAGTTTCAAGAAAAAACCGCTCTGTGACATTGAGAACTACAGACCTTAATACAGAAGTCTGTTTTTTCATAATTCAGATGATTGTGAGTACTTATTGAAGTCAAACTTACCGACAAAGGCTAAAAGCGCAAAACAAAATTCTTAAACCCAAGACATTGGGATGGATGAGAAATTGAGACAGTGGTTGAAATAGGTTGGTTCACAGTTAAAGAAGTATCTTTCGGTAGAATAGACGTTTTCAAGAAATCATCCGTCACTATATACGAACTCATCTTATAAGGCTAGTACTAATTCAAAGAGTTTATATCAATGACAGTTAAACTTACACCGATTGCATCCCCATAAGCTCAAGATAGCTGTCTTCACAATGGTGGCTGTATGTTAATAGATCCAAAGTGTTACGGGCGCTTTGAAATGCAATTTTTCCCAACTGTTTTACTAACCTGGAAGGCTGAAAATAGTCGGTAAAACGCACTGTAAGAATAAAGACCCAGCAAGCTATTCTGCCAGATGTTCCGCCGCCAGTGGAGAATTTTCCCATGCGGAAATGGAGTATCGAGATTTTCCTATTAGATGAGCAAGGCAATGAAGTACCGGCCACCATTTTCGACAAAGTTGTTTACCATCTACATCCCACATTTCCTAATCCAACCCGAACCTTTACAGAAACGCCGTTCAAAATCGAGGAACAAGGATGGGGTGGGTTTGAACTTCTCATCAGTGGCCACCTGCTGGAAAAAGGTGGAGAAAGAAAACTCACGCACGATCTGCATTTCATGAAAGATGTTTACGAGGCCGACCACGTCATTCAAGTGCCCATCAATAAACCAATACTGAAGGCAGAATTAATGAAAAGTGGGCCAGTAGACGAAGCCGCCGTTTCTGCAGCTGGAACTCCAGTTTCCAGCGTTGCAGGTGGTGGAGAGAAACGTAAAGCAGCGGCAGCTTCAAGCACTGAATCCAAGAGCAAAAAGGCCAAAACCGGGAGTGGAAGCGCATTGAAGGGCAATGTAGACTTGGAAAAGCTGGCATTTGGTCTCACAAAGCTGAATGAAGACGATCTGGTCGGTGTTGTGCAGATGGTCACAGACAACAGAACTTCAGAGATGAACATTACCAATAACATAGAAGAAGGTGAGTTTATTATCGACCTTTACAGCTTGCCCGAGGGCCTCTTAAAGAGTTTGTGGGAATACGTCAAGAAAAATACCGAGTGAGCTAAAGACTCCTCTCCATCCTGTTCTTTTCGAGCTGAAGTGCAGGATTTTGTAGACTTACAATAGATCAATCCAAAAAGCTAGTTAGATCTCTCCCGGGGTGGTGGCCAAGTAAGCAAAATTTATACAGAACTAGAAGATGCGGATCCCGATATACACTGCACACCCGATAACTAAGACTCTTGACGGTTTGTGCTGGCATTGGTGGTCAGAACTTGGTATAAATCTGAACTCACTAGAAAAGCGATGACTGCATAGTATACGAAATGCTGTTTCTTGAATCTCGAAAGCGTTCTTGTAGAGCTTTTGAAGCCTGGCTGAAAGCGATTCCAAGAGTTAACTTGTTGCTGTTTGTCATGGCATTAGTATGTTCGATAGAATGGCGTGGTTTCTTAGCCTTGTATTAACCTTTTCTTCTGCTAACTTACTCTTAGCCTTATGTTGAGCGAATATTACGCATCAAGACCAGACAGTCGATCGTTGGAGGGCGGAAGCTATCTGCTGAATTGCCAACGAGAAAATGGCAGGTAGATCTATGGATCCTGGGACCCAACGGTGAGGAAATACCGGCAAACATTTTTGAAAAATGTACATACCGATTGCATCCTACTTTTCCACAACCGATACTGACCATGACAGAACCGCCATTTGCATTGAAACAGCGTGGATGGGGTGAATTTTCATACCCTATTCAATGTTTCTTTCTAAACGGAGGCGGTGAGGTCGAGATTTTGCACGATCTTTCATTCCAAGAAAGCAGCTACTACAGTGATATTAGGATCAAGGTACCGACTCACATACCCGCTCTTCGCGAAGCTTTGAGCTTGAGTGGACCAGTCCCATCCGTTGTTGAAGCTACCAGTGTAGATTCAGATGCGATGTCCGATTTGGACAATTGCATAAAAAAGCTGGTAGCAGGCAATGAAGAACTAGTTACTGATGTGGTAAACCTGATATTGCACCATCCTAGTGTCTCCAGACAATTGGAAAAAGTCGGTGTTGCAGACCAGTTTGTGTTCGGTCTGCACCAGCTTCCGGATTTCTTGTTGAAAGAAGTATCACAATTCATTGATAAACGTCGTTAGTGGCCAAAGCGTAACCCACAATATGTCCCTACACCGTTTTACATGTTACATGAACTCAGGCGACCAAAGCTTCAAAGTTGCATCCCAGGAACCAGTACAAACGGCTAGCCCATCTGGACTGGTTTTGACACCGGAAATTCTGCTCGAGTGGCCCTCAAGCTTCCCAACTATCTCTGCTTTTAGAGTGTCCCATACAACGCATCCGTAGTCCGTATAACAGGCGTGCATCAATCGACCTGATCCGCTGAAATCCAGCGAAACAAGACCTTGGTTGTTGAGATACGTTGAATTGGAACTCTGGGCAGCTCGGCTGAAAGAAGCGTTGGTGGTGGGTGAAACCGCGTAATCCATCGATACGGGTCCGTTTTGCTGAGTTGGAGAGTTGACCTGTTGATGCAGACCTTGACTCAAGGAATATTTTGCCACTAAGCAATCGCTTCGCAAGTCAAACATGCGAGCAACGCCATCGTCGGCACCCGTGACAATGGCTTCTCCATTGTTGAAGAATTTCATGGTACTGACGTCGCTATCACTCACAAAAAAGCTTTGCACAGCACTTCGCGACCTGGTATCCCATATGTAAGCGTATCCGTCCGACCCACCGCTTGCAAAGATGCTGCCTTCGCGGTTTGAAACTCCCGGCGGAAGAGCCAACGCTAGAACATCACCCAGATGGTCGGAAAACTCTGTAATTCTCTTGGCCTTAGGAATGTCCCACAGTGCACAGGTCATATCCCCACTGGCCGTTATTACACTGTTGCTATCCAAGAATTCGACCTGAGAGACGTAACAGGTGTGTCCCTTGAATATTGATACAATCTGTTGCTGAACCCGATTTTCTTGCGAAACCCGGTAGATTGTGCAGTTGTTCGTCAATCCAGCACTGGCAACAAGATTCCCGGTTGGGCTCATTGCACAGGTCAGAACCCACTGTGAGTCCAAGGGTATTGCATTTTTTTTGAATCCGGAATACGCATCCCATATGATCATGAAGCCGTCCTGGCTTGCGCTGAGGATACTGCGTGAATCTAGAGACCATGCAAAATCGGATATCTTGTTATTGTGGCCGTTGAGCGTCAGGTGAGTAGCTAGATTCACACCTCCGTTTTGGAGCGATCGTGTTCCCTTAGACATTTGTACTAGATCTGCGTCCCTTACCTTGGTTTTAACACGATCGATAAGCCCGTAAAGCTGCTTTGTGTCACTCCTGGCCAGCGTTATTTGTTCTTGAATCACACTTTCAATGTTGGTAGCCTGTGAAGACGAATTCTTGCCATAAGGCGACATTTCGTAGCCATGCCAGTCCTCTACCACCATGCTGATTCTGTCTGGCAACCGATCTCTGAAACAGGCTTGAAAAATGTTTACAGGTCGGTATTGAGAGCTGGTAAAACTCCTCTGTTGAAAGTTTGGTTGAGCCCTAGAAACAGTATTCTGAACTAGTCATTGGCAACCAACTTAGCAACAGCTCTATAGCATCGGCAACATCCCCTTCTTGGTTGGCTCGCTATCCGTTAGCCGTGATGGACCAAAACCTCAAAACTATAAATCGACATCTCATGCGGAGACTGCTTTCTCTGCTGCAATGACGATCACAATAGCTTCCCTCGTTAAATGTCAGTTTACCTTTGTAGTGACACTCGTGTGGATGCCTGTACCCGTGAGCTTTCACCATCGACCTGGCCCTACGATGCTGAGCGTGAAGGCCAGCACATATTGTGTTTGGGTCTTGATTCATCAAGGTTGTTATCATTCTTCAATCACTTTTGTTCTACCGTTTTACTTTCTTGTTGCTAGACTCGGACTTTTGTAGCTTCTTCTTCTTCTTCACCAATTCTCTTTGATTTATCCATCTGTTTGCAGTACGCTAACTGTTGCAACGTGTCGGAGTTCTTTCTCACTGTGTGGACTCACAGAGCTGTCGCTTTTAAAGGAAGCTGACGACGGTCTGACAACACGTTTTCTGAATCTTGACCTAGATCTTTCATCTCTCTCCAGATCGCCAGTGACTTTCATCAGATAATCAGGAACTGGTTGACCACCTTTCAGGAAATACATTTTCCAATTGCGGGCTTTGTCCTTGAGTTGTACTTGGGTTCGTCTCTTCAACGCTTCGGAGAGGCTACCACCGGCTCCGTGTAGCTCCAGTATCTTTGACCACGCCGGGCCATTTGTCTTTAAGGCATCTACAAGTGCAGCTTCCTCTTCTTTGGTCCATAGTCTTTTTTGTTTATGCCTCGTGTCCGCTTTTCTCTCTCTGGTTAGCAGCGGAGGAGTTCTGCTTCTAGAAGAGCAGCTCATAGGACTTCCCGTAGACTCCGGCAAGGTTTTCGAAGCACATTGGCGTGAAGTTGTAGTTCCAGTGTTTGCAGTCGCCTCATTTGCGCCAGACTCAGAGTCGTCCTGGTAATCAAGGTTATCATTGTTTCTTCTTCCCCACACCAGCAACGAAAGATTCCGCTGAACGTAGAAGAAAATCTCTTTGAAGAAATCCATCCAGTCATATTCGCGAGCCAAATCGTTGAGAGATGCATGTGTGGCTAGTTTCTCTCTTCTATGCGAGCATCTTGTCATAAAGTCCTCCTCCGAAGGACTTAGCCGGTTGGTCCGTAACCGCTTTTTCGCTAGCAAAAACGTTTTCATATCCGAAGGGAAGATCTGATCAAGAGTCTCTTGTTTTATGCGAGCTAGCTCCTCAGCGGTGCATTCCTTCCAGGGCTCCATGGCGGAGATGTATGCCTGAGTCTTCAGATTTAGATACAAGACCGCCTGCGGCTTCAAAAGTCTGCCCAGCGAGGTTGCAAGAACCCGATCAACCTCAGATGGCAGCTCTTTGCCTTCTGGGGCGAAAATCTCGATGAAGTTGTCATCCAAGAACGAGAACCCATTTTGCAATCTGCCCATAATTGAAAGCAGATACGTGGCGACGTTAGCCTTCCGAATGGCGGCCAAAATTAAGCTTTCTCTTGATTTCAAAACGTAGGGACACTCTTCGTCCGCAAGCCACAAGCCAGGCGCCACGTCACTTACACGCAGCAGAGGCTGCTCAGTGTACACTTTTTTCACTTGCACGAACAGCTTAGAAAGAGTTTCGAAAACCTCGGCTTCATTAACATCCAAATTATCAGGATTCGTCAAATGCATCAATGTCTCCATACTACTAGTCTTGAGTAGCTTCAAGAGCTGGGTGGAAACATTTTCTAGCAGAGCGATGGAGTCGATGTTCAATTGCGTCCTGGACGGCAGCTCCGTGAGTGAACGACAAGCTTTTTTCTCGCCCATAATTTGGTCCTCAAACCCATCTGTTGAAATAGCTTCTGACATTGTAGTTCTCTTCACAGACCTTTGATCAAGCTTTATGTCTAGTCCGTCTCTGCTCTTCAGAATTGAAGATTTTAGCCCTAAGTTAGGGCAAGAATCTTTAATTAATATCAAATTTCTCGATTAGCTTTCTAAGAGGAAGGTGAGAGTTTCGCACAGGCGAGAACGCGTAGGTAGCTCCAGCATATCCTGGATTATTTTGAATATCTCTGCTTGTTCGGGAGCTCTTTTTATCTATTAGAAAGAAGGGACTCTCTTTAGCTACCTTTTCCCGAAACGAAGCCGACAGTAATTGAGTGTGGAAGTTGGCATTGAACGCAAGCAGAGCGATGGGTTATTCGATACCTCAAGTACCTTCAAGTGTCGAGATAGCCTAACTTTGAGTCAGATTCCCAGCTTTCATGAGACAAGCGGTTTCTTAAACGAAGTACGCAAGTCGATTGGAAAGATTATGAATGAGCGTGAACTTTTAGCGCACTCTGGAATCAAGCACAACCCGACTTAAGAACCATTGCAACCAACCAGTGGCGCTTAATTACACACCTATATAAGAATACAAAATGTCGGATATGGTATTCTGCGCGCAAACCGCAGGAACAAGACGCCAAGATAACTCTATGAGGTCCAGTCAAGACAAGAATACCTATCCGAGCTAGAAATCACCCGACTAAAAGGATGCCGTGCACATCTTCGAGTTTTTGGCTTTTGTCGGGATCGGGCTTCGAACACGGATTTCAAATCTAGGCGACCGCTACTTTGCGGGCGGCAGGCTTTACGGGCTTGGCAACAGACTTAGCAGGAGGTCTTGAAGTCGTTTTTTTGGCCTGCATTGGAGCTTTTTTGCCAACTTTATGAGCAGGAGCCGACTTGGAAGAAGCAGAGCTTCTTCTTCTTTCCTTGACTTTGGAATTTTCCTCTTCCTTTGGCTTCTTCGACACAGACTCCCTTCTGCGTTTCGGAGGCTCTGTTTCGATGGTCTTAGAAGTAGTCCGGCTCTTAGCATCAGCTGTTGTTTCAGATTTGGGATGAACGGGTTTCTTGACCACTTTCAGGGGTCCAGAGGGCCCTTTTGGCTGCGAAAATTCACCAGATTCGATCCCGCGTCTTACTGCCAGATTGAAGTGATTTTCAAACCCCTCGCCCAATGAATATTTCCCTGAAATGTGCTTTTTCAAAGCCTGACGACTGGATCCGTTACGATCGCCCAAAGACGCAATGCCTTCGATGATCATCTCTGAATGCAATTTGGGTTAGTATTAAAGTTCTAATATTTCGGTTTTTCCTTGGAACACGGCTTCTCAGACCACCAACGTACCTTTGTAAGTTGGGAGCGGGCTCTTGGATTTCCCCACAGGTTTGGTAACCTTATTGTTTGCAGTTTTCACGGGAGCCTTTTTAGGTTCTTTTGATTTCATCTTTTCAGCAGATGAGTTTTTACTGGTTTTTGCAGCTTTGTTGGTCACTCTAGTGGGCATCTTGAGCTCTTTGATCCTTCGCTTCCTGATTGTTTTGTTGTTTTGTTGATGGCGATGTCAATGTCAGATAAATTTGTTTTTCGGGGTCCCCCCTTGACTACTTATACTTGATCTGATTGATAGCTAGGATTTGGCATTTGGCGTCCGATACCCAATTGAGAGGATAAAAACAACAAATCGAAGGAATACAGAGGTGCTTGAATTTGGATTCTGCGATTTTCAATTCGAAGTTTTATAATCACCGAAAACAAAAGCTGATTTTCGATAAGAAGGCTGTTGTTGATGTAACGTCAGGAAAATAATTCGAAGTCAAGAGCAATTGTATAGTTTCGTAGTTTTCGATAAAAAGTGTCGTTACGATAGGTTTTTTTGAGAAGGCATAATATTTCCCGGTAAATTCAGATCATTTGACTCTCACTGTGATGCCCAGACGTCAATCTGAATAAGTTACGCGTCGTCAATATAAATTCCACGATTTAACAAAATATTTGACATTAAAAAATCGGTATCGACCATCAAAATGAGGAAAGTATGCAGCAAAAACACAAGCTGGATTAATCGCTTGAAAGCTTGGTTGGGAAACTGAAACGGTGGGTTTCTGATTCACACTCAAGACACTTTCGACACATTCGTACGAAGAGACACACTTTATGACAAGTCATTTAGCGGTTTGAAAGGATCAATCAAGATGAGCTCAAGATTAAGAATCCTTTGTTCACCAGTAAGGAAGCCTACTTTGAACCCATAGCGATCCGTTCTTCTCTCAAGCTATAGCAATGATGCTGCGAGCATCAGAGAAAGCTGTTCCAACTTCTCGGGTTTTTTTTAGGGCTTTTTTGCTACGGAGTTTCCATAATGGACCTCTCAGAAGGGTTCATCCCGCATCATATTACCACTCATTTGTGAGACCTTCGACGCCAGTTCATATCTCAAGAGAACTAATCCAGCACCTCACACATCGCAGATTTGCATCATTTTTCCCCAAGCTTCTCGCCAGAACCGTAAAGATACCCGCCTATATTGGCGGAGGAGCTGCTGCCGTGAGCTCTTATGTTGCATACAAAGTCGAGGAAGCGACCAATTTCTCTCACGAGAAGCTCTCACAGCTTAAAGACTTTGCCCAAAACATGAAAAATAGGCTAGGCGACGCTTTTGGCGGCCAGGGTGGTTCTGACGGCGAAGGAGGTGACGCTGGTGATCGAGATGCTGTAGCAGCAGCAGCACTTCTGGCATCTGTGGGCAAAGGAGACCCCAGTGCAGAAGCTAAAGAAGAAGAAGAAGAAGACGATGACGAAGAAGAAGGCGACGATAACACCGAAAACGATATTTTGAACCTGACCAAACAGATGATCGAAATACGGGCTATCCTCAACAAGGTAGACTCATCCTCAGCCAATCTGACGCTACCGTCTATTGTAGTGGTGGGCTCACAATCGTCCGGAAAATCGTCCGTTCTTGAATCGATCGTTGGAAAAGAATTCCTGCCCAAAGGTTCCAATATGGTCACCAGAAGACCCATTGAACTGACGTTGGTCAACACTGCCGGATTAAACGAGACTACAGCAGATTTTCCTTCTCTCCGCGCCTACAATATCAAAGATTTCAACGAAGTCAAGCGGATCCTGATGGAACAAAATATGGCCGTGCCCTCTTCGGAAGCCGTGTCTGCCGACCCCATTCAGCTGACCATCAAATCGTCCCGTGTTCCGGACTTGTCTTTGGTTGATCTACCTGGATACATTCAAGTGGAAGCTGCAGATCAACCACTAGAGCTGAAGAATAAGATTCGTCAATTATGTGACACATACCTGGCAGAACCAAATATCATACTGGCAATTTCCGCTGCTGACGTTGATTTGGCAAACAGTAGTGCATTGCGGGCTAGTAAAGTTGCAGATCCAAAGGGAACGAGAACCATAGGTGTCATCACAAAGCTGGATTTGGTGGATCCCGCTCGAGCTCGCGAAATCCTTAACAGTAAAAAATATCCACTCAAAATGGGCTACGTTGGTGTCATTACAAGGGCTCCGAATACAACGGCCAAATTCTTTGATACTGGTTCAAAACAAGGGTTATTTGCTCGAAAAGATCCAAAAGAAACAGCGGTCGAACAAACACGTTCGTTTGAACGAGGTTACTTCAAGCAGAACAAAAACGCTTTTGCCAACTGTCAAGTTTCAACCAAAAGGCTCAGAGAAAAGCTCATCAGCATTTTGGAAATATCCATGTCCGAGGCTCTAGAACCTACTTCCCGATTGATTCACCAAGAACTAGATGACACATCATACCTTTTCAAAGTGGAGTTTAATGATCGACAACTCACTCCCAAATCGTACCTCCTGAGTAACGTAGACGTTTTGAAACTGTCGATAAAGGAACTACAGGAAAAGTTCAATAGATACGAACTAAAGTCCATTCTGAAAGCCGATCTAGATCAGCGTGTGCTCGATCTTCTTGCAACGCGGTATTGGAAAGACGACAATTTACAGGAACTGACCGCCAAGAAAACCGAAAAGGATGAATCCTCGGCATTATACTGGCACAAAAAATTAGAGCTGTCTTCCGGAAGTCTCACCAAAATAGGTGTGGGAAGAATATCTACATCTTTGGTCACTAACGCAATATTGAAGGAGCTCGAAAACGTACTTGATTTGACACAGCTCAAAAATCACGACTTGATCAAGGAACTGGTAAACAATACAGCGGTGAACGTATTGAATACAAAATACTACTCCACCGCTGATCAAGTTGAGAACTGCATTAAACCATTCAAGTATGAAATAGATCTGGAGGAGCGTGACTGGGCAGTGGCGCATGAACACACGACAAAACTGATGAGGGAGGAGATTAGACAATGCACTGACAGATTACAGGCCATAAAAAGTATGGTTGGCGGCCGTAAACTGTCACAGGTTATGACTTATTTGAAACAGGATGCTGGACACCAGGAAACGCTAGGCTTTTCCGCGCTGCTGCTAGAGCGTGGTAGAGAAGCTGAATTTTTGGAGAAAAGATCTCACCTGCTAAATTTCAGGCTGAAGCTTCTCAAGAACAAATGCCACTCCACTGCTGACAAGGACTTGTGTCCGGAAGTTTTTTTGAACGCTGTCAGCGACAAGCTGACTTCGACTGCCGTTTTATTTTTGAATGTTGAACTGCTCAGCGATTTCTTTTACAATTTTCCGATCGAACTGGATAGAAAGCTATCGGGGCTGTCTGACGAACAAGTAGAGCTATTTGCCAAAGAGGATCCGCGTATTGCCCGTCATATCGATCTGCAAAAGCGGAAGGATCTTTTGGAGCTTGCTCTCGAGCGCATTGACTCCATTCTGATGTACAAACGAAGCTACAAAAATTCCAAGTCTTGAGGTGCTCATTATAACGTGATGGATCGTCCAATTCTACCTACAACTTCTTGTAAATACGAAAAACGGCGAAAATAGAATCGAAGATTTCGTGCAATGTTGATGTTGAGACGAGAATTCCTCAGTTTTCAGTCAAGCCCTGCAACACTGACCTGAAGATGGTGACAGACATTGGCATTTCCAGCACTGATCTATTCATTTCTCTTTTTTCCCTTTATTTTCGTTTTACATGGTTACTATACACATTTTGGCGTCTGCTACTTGACTAGTTCAATGATTGAGTTGACGCAGACGCCGGAGATCTTTTCTCACACAGGTGTGCCGCCCTAATCGCGTTTTTCGAGCGGGTTGTATCTCAAGAACTTCTCGATCAGATCCACATGTGTTAGAATCATACGTCTGCAGCAGTATCTCTTCAGTCCGAGTCTGGAAAGCGCAGTTCCCTCATCCAGCTCGTCTTCTTGCAACATGTTCAAATAAGCTTCCCATTTGTCGCCAACAACCTTCCCGCAGGAAAAACATCTCACTGGCACAATCATCGCCCTCGATACTGTCCACGTTCAACAACAGATATCTCCAGGGTACTTCAGGAGCGTTGGTTTCTGCCTTCACAAATCAAAAGTTCAAGCTCATCTCACTCATTGAAAGTTTTTTGATATTCCAAAGATGTCTAAATTTTTGTTTAGTACAGAGTGATATGGGCATTTGGAATATTTTGAAAAATTTTTGGATATTGCATGCGATGAGCTAGAGAAGTTGAGCTTTCTGAAGACTTTCAAGGCGAGGAAAGAAGGCACTGGGGCCTTGGAATAGTGTTGATATACTTGTAACAAAGATGTTACAGTCAGTACACCATGAAAAATACAAACTAGGCCTTGTTTCCGGTGGAAAAGTTGTGTTTCCACGGGCAAGCAACAGATCGTGCAGTTCAAAGACTGTAACGCTGCTAACACACGACCAGAGCGGGATAATTGTGCCATTTAACAACCAGCTGAAAATATACTCTTTGGAAACCCGTCAGTGTGCAAAGACGCTGAAATATGCGAACAACAAGCAGCTGGCAGATACATTTCTCGGCGCAAGATCGGCTCATGTGAGCCATCTAGCGCTGGGGGACGTTACAAAACAAACCGAGAGTAGTGCAGAAAGTGAAGAGCATGAGATCAGTGTATTTTCAAGTCTGGGAACCGTGATAGTGGTCAATTACAAAGGACGTCTTGCAGAAGAAGCAAAGGTGGTGGAATTAGGAAACGATTTTGCACAAGATGAGAGTGTCATAAAGGTGTTTCAATCGAACCAAGGAGGTGCTTTGAGGGTGCTGACTTCAGAGCAGGAATCATCCGCAGCTTTCACATACAAACTTTACGAGTATAATTGCCTAGAACAAAAGCTGGCCGAGCGTCAGAAAGTCGAGCATGTCTTGCTCACTGCATGGTCTTCAAACGGCCAATACCTGTGTGCACTGAAGAAAGATCAAAACAGCAAAAAGGAGCTGCATCTTTGGTCGGTTTTTTCGGATAATCTAGAGGAAATCCAAAAGTTTCCGCTACCCACAACGTCCAACTCACCCACAGCGTCGCCAAATTCTCACTTTGTGACGGTCATGGCTCTGGACAACGACTGCTCGCAACTGGCTGTGGGTTTTGCCTCGGGGGTGATTAACGTGATCAACCTTCAAGATCGCTCGTCTCGCCTGCTGAAATGGCACGTCGATTCCGTTCTTTCCTTGTGCTTTACTTCAGATGGATCATACCTACTCTCCGGTGGCTGGGAAAAAGTGTTGAGTTTTTGGCAACTATCCACAAATTTGCAGCAATTTCTGCCCCGATTGAGTGGCGTTGTAGTGGACTGCGACATTGTCACCGAAAAGTATTACAGTTTGGGTCTGCAAATCACCGAAAATCAAACGAGCACCGACTATCAGCTGCTGATATTGAATACAACAGATCTAAATTCGAGAGTATCTGTAAGTGGCCCTCTTTGTGTCTTTCAAACAGCTCTAAAGGACGTGGTTTTCCCAATGTCTGCCGTTTCCTCCAAGTCGTCTACGTCATCCACGGATTTGGGCAAATTACCCAAGAAACAGCAACGGAAGCTGAAGCGTAAAAGACAGGACTACAGCTCCATTCTGGAAATCCAACCCAATACTAAGCATTTGTACTTCCCTCATATTTCGGCGATTCAAGGATACGATTTCTACAAGAACGAACAAGTTTCATATCAGTATCTGTCGTCTGGCGTCAACAATGCTATGGGTAAGGTAAGGGCTGAATTGAACCTGAAAGAACCATGTATCTCCAATGTTAAGTTCACCAAGGATGGGAACTGGATGATCTCTTACGAGGTCGAGTTTTCTCCTGACAATCTGCTATCATCAAATGACGTGCAGCATGTTCTTAAGTTTTGGAGATGGTCTGAAACCGGCGACTGGGTTTTGGAAACGAAGGTGCTTGGCCCTCATGGCGCAAATGCGCCTGTCACAAGCATATTGGTCGCACCCAGGTCTATTGACGGCTCACATGGATGTTTGACCGCGGACAACAACGGTGGTATCAAGTACTGGTCTTATAGCGAGAGCGCGTCGAATTGGCAATTATCGAAATTCGCCCCACCAAACAACAATCATTTCAGTAATTCTGTCGAACTGGCTTGGTCTTTCGATGGAAGTCTGATATTTCATGCATTTGACGACAAAGTCACCGTTTTGGACTTCAACAGCTTCGAAAAGTTCAAAAAGTTTTCGGAGGACGCATTTAACGAGTTCACTATGGATTCTTCAGTTCAATCGATAATGCTAGTGAACGATTCTAATCTAATAGTTGCTACTCAAACAACTTTGAACTCGGTCAATCTACTTCTCGGGCAGGTCGAAGCAACATTCGACCTTTTCCCATATGTCAACGGAGTCTACAAAAATGGTCATCTGGCAAGACTGATGAGCTGTGACGAAAACAATGGCCGTGTAGCGTTGGTTGTCAATCAACAGAACAAGGACTCAGGCAAATCAGCCGCTTCGGATCATAGTTCTCGGGTTTTTGTTTTCAACGCTGATCTAACTCAGAAGCTCGGCTCCTTTCAACACAATGAATACATTTCGTGTATTAGGTGGAACCATGACACGGACTTTATATTTCTGGACATCAAAAATAGACTCGGAGTCGTTAGTACAACCACAAGTGCAGAAATGTTCGAAGAGGTGGATAAAGATGCAGTCATGGATCTTCTGGACCCAACCAGATTCGAAGTCGAGTTGAAAAAATTGAGCAGCGGCAACAAGAACGTCGCAAATGGCAATGGTGGCCACGAAGCTGAAGAGGAAGAGGAAGAGGAGGCCAATCTTGATTTCATCAACGGCGAAAAGTCACAGAAGCTTCTCAATATGAACAGCTTCACCAGCATGTTCGAGAATTTGGGAAATGTGCAAATGGACACCCTTTTTGATAGAGTATTGAAAGTGATTTCATAGAGTAGACATTTAACTGTTCATAGATATCGTACAACATCCTTCTCGACAGACTTGACGGCCTGGAGTTTGACCAGAAGTTGGTTGTTATCTGTAGCGGTAAGGTCAACGAAAGCACAGTACGAAGTGATATGGAAATTGATACCAGAAAGAAAACCAACCTGCACTATCTTAAAGATGTTCATCAAGATTGACCTCTAAAAGAGCAGTTTGTGTCTCCATCATCCCACCATCACCATGTCTGTGCCTATTATCGGGTCCTTGCTTGACACGGACATGTACAAGTTGACTATGCATGCTGCTGTGGTGCTAAACTTTCCAGATGTAGAGACGGTATACAAGTACACGAATAGATCGCCACAAATGACATTCAACAAGGAAGCTGTGGCATGGCTTCGACGTGAAATTGATAGTTTGAGCGAATTGAGGTTCACGGACGACGAGATCAGCTATTTGAGGCAGTCAATCCCATTTTTACCCGAGGCCTATTTAGAATATCTTTGCAGCGGACAAGTCTCATTGCGTCCCAATGAGCAAATTGAATTATCCACTGAGCCAGCCGACGGTGGGGACAAGTTTCATTTGAAGCTGCAGGTTCGTGGTTTATGGAAAGATACGATCCTTTACGAAATTCCACTTCTGGCACTTATTTCGGAAGCTTATTTCAGATTTGTCGATACCGATTGGAATTACGACAACCAAGTGGAAAATGCCTACCAAAAGGCTCTCAAGCTTATCGATAATGGTATCAACTTCAGTGAGTTTGGTAGCAGACGAAGAAGATCGAGAGTAACGCAAGACCTGGTTATGAGTGGGATCATGGAAGCGGTCGGAAAAAGTGGCCAAAATGGTAGTGCTTGTTTTGCCGGGACTTCCAATGTTTTTTTTGCCAAGAAATATGGCGTCAAGCCGATCGGTACCGTTGCTCACGAATGGATGATGGGCATAGCGTCCTTGACCATGGATTTTGTCAATGCCAACAAAGACGCAATGGACTACTGGGTGAACACTTTTGGAGGCGCAAATGCCGGTCTTGCTTTGACGGACACATTCGGCACAGACAACTTTTTGAGATCGCTAAAGCCTCCATATTCTGATTACTATGTTGGTGTCCGTCAAGACTCTGGCGATCCAGAAGAGTACACCAAGAAAATTGCGCATCACTACACGGAGGTGCTGAAATACCCACCTTTTTCGAAGATTATCTGTTACTCAGACTCTTTAAATCCTGAAAAGGCGATTGAATACGCCGCCATGGCCCACAAGTATGGTCTCAAGGCCACTTTTGGGATCGGTACCAATTTCACTAACGATTTCAATAGTGTCAAGAACCCATCTCAGAAAAGTGAGCCACTGAACATCGTTATCAAACTATTGGAAGTCAACGGAAACCCTGCAATCAAGATCTCAGATAACCTGGGCAAGAACATGGGAGACCCGGAGACCGTTCGGAAAGTGAAGAAACAACTTGGATACACAGAACGTGCGTGGGCAGGCGACAACGAGGCTCACAGGTGGACCTCCTGATAGATGTAACAGGTCTCACAAACAGCATTTAACTTGAATGCCCAGCTCACGTTAGAGTTCAGTGGCTAGCCGGCATTGGGCGTCCACCGACACTCCACCGTCTGCTGTGATACATCAAATTTTAATGGTAGGGGACCAGTTCAATACCAGATGGTCTGAGTTGTTGTTCAGACTTTGATATGTAAGATAGCCAATTGAAGTTGAGTTTTGATTTCAAGTGAGTCTTTCCACTCAGCTTATACCACAACACTATCAATTGTAGTTTGATCTGGGTTTTTCCGGTCCTTCAAGCTACAATTTACTATGTCAGTTGAAGCTCGCAGCCTAGATGAATTGGGTTTGGTCCAAGTTTTAGAACAAGCTAGCGATGCAAGACATGCTGGATCACAAGTTCAACGAGCTGCAGAATTGCAGCTGAAGACTTGGGAATCTCAAAAAGGTTTCCATTTTTTGTTGCAATCGATCTATCTCGATCTATCGTGTCCTCTGAACATTCGATGGCTAGCGATTATCCAGTTCAAGAACGGCGTTGAAAAGTATTGGCGTTCCACTAGGGTGAATGCAATTGCCAAAGATGAAAAGGAATCGATCAGAAACCGCGTTTTTGATCTTATCGACGAAAATAATAATCAACTTTGCATACAAAATGCTCAAGCCACGGCTCGCATCGCACGCTTGGACTTCCCGGTCGACTGGCCAAATCTTTTTGAACAGCTTGAACGGTTATTTGGAAACGATGTCATTTGGCAAGACAATGTCAAGGTTTACAATCTTCTGCTGATCACCAATCAAGTCGTTAAGATCATGGCCACTGCAAGAATAGGAAGGTGTAGGCCTGCAATGCAAAGCAAAACTCCTTTGATTTTCCCACTTATAGTCCGTTCGTATCTCAAGGCGTTTAACGAATGGACAACGTCGGGAAATGTTGATGAAGACAGCCTTGCACAGGTCCAGGTTTCTTACCTTGCGTTGAAAGTGCTAAGACGTTTGATCGCTGAAGGCTACGAGTCGCCTCATAGAAATGAACCCGTCCGTGAATTTTTGCAAATATCAATTGCACACTTCGAACTTCTTATATCCCATTACGACAACTACAGGAAATTCGATCTTTTCGAAAAGTACGTGCGATGCTACGGCAAGCTTTACTACAATATTATGTGCGCATCTCCCTCGAACTTCATCCTCTTGCCCTGCTCTTTACAGATTTTAATGACTTTCACTAAACTACTGATGGATAGGGCATCTGATGTGTATAATGAGAATGCAGATCTGAATGGCGACTTTTGGGAGCAAATAGCGATCCGCGGATTTCTACTTTTGAAGAAGCTCATCAACTTCATCCATAAAAAGGGTGCTGTAACTATCAGGGCGAAAAATGACAAGGCTGAAGTTGATGCAGCTATTAGACGAATCTCGACGGATTTTTTGAACGAGCAGCTGGTTCAACGCTGGGTGGATCTTTTGATGGGATGGTATATCAAATTAAGGCTTTCCGAACTCGAGAGCTGGTCTATCGATCCCGAGGAATGGATGAACGAGCAGCTGGCGACGAGTTACGAGCATCAAATAAGACCTTGTGCCGAAAACTTTTTTCAAGATCTGATAGGCACGTTCTCTGAGGTACTAGTTCCTTATTTGCTCAATAAGATACAGACCGACGTGGCAAGTTTGGGCTATGGAATGAAAGATCTTTTGAGTAAGGATAGCATTTTTGCAAGCTTTCAACTAAGCGCCACCTCCATAAGCGACTCCGTTGACTTCGATCGCCTCTTGGTAGACGTTTTCATTCCAGAGGCAACAAACACTAAAGTATCCCAAGATTCTTCCAAAATTCTGAAGAGAAGAGTTGCTCTAGTTATCAATGAGTGGTGCACTGTTAAATGTTCGGAAGAAAGTAAGCAATTGTGCTACAAACTGTTACTTCAACTAATAAATGAAGAAAATGACAGAGTCATCCAGTTGACTGCTGTTCAGACTTTAAGGACAATGGTGGACGACTGGAATTTTGACAAGAGATCTTTCCAGCCCTACTTGGAAGATACTGTTTCTCTTCTATTGAAACGGCTCTTGCCTTCCGTGTCTTTGACTGAGACTCGTTTGTATGTTTTGAATACACTAAGTGATGTCATCATTCAGACAAAGCCTCTGATCAGTACGGCTCAGTTGGTAGAGATACTACAGGTCGTCCCAGCTCTATGGGATATTTCGATAAAGGAGCCCAGTGAATCTATTTTGACTAATGCTCTTTTAAGACTTCTACGCCATTGCGTAGATTCTTTAGGTCAAAACTCTCCTGCTACTTGGGAAACAGCGCTGCCCATTACGCAAGCTGCTTGTGACCCCAGCTCTCCACACTACTCGCTGCTATACGAGGATGGATTCGAACTGTGGCAAAGCCTTCTACAAAACTGCCCATCAGAAGTAGAAGCAGAGAGAGTGTTTTCGCCATTAATACCACTCTTACACGGTGCTATACAAAATCAAACCGAGATATTGCCTACTCTTTTAGAGATTGTCAGGAGCTATTCTCTGCTTTTCGATCCTGAACATTTCCGACAATTCGAATTCCTGTCTTTTGCTATTTCATACCTTTCCAAGTATTTGTTGAAACTCCGGGATGATTCATTCGATCTGCTCTTGTCAATTCTTGATATTGTTGTACTTGCTACAAAACAAGAAAACACCAACTCCTTACTGGACTATCTATTAGGTACTCGTGTGTTTGACGCAATCTTCGACGCTTTATTCAAGGAGGAGCAGATATCGAGTTTTCAGGCTGGGCAGCTGCTTCAAGTTATTGCCAGGGTCGCTTTTGTCAACCCACAGTCCATCCTACAAATTCTTGAAGCATATTACTACCAGCTTCCTAACTCCTCGGAGAATTCGTACCTCTCTTTGGACCAAAGAAGGGTTATCAACAGGGATATGTCATTTGAAGACGTCGTGAGCAAGTTCATGAATATATGGATTCTTTGTTTCAAAGACTTCTATGATCCTAAGGTAAAAAAGATTCACACACTCGGCGTTTCATCCATGTTGCGCTCCTCAGCGCTGCCAATATTGGCGGACTTTCCAAGTATTGCATCTATCTGGGTTGAGTTTTTGGAGGAAATCAATGAAACTGCTGGAGGAGACTGTGAAAAGTTTCATTTAAAAGAAAGTGTCTCAGCTACTGAAGACAGCGAAGGAGAATATCCTCCTACGTGCGAACAACTGCGCGTTGCTCAGCTCACAAGAGAAAGAGACCCTGCTCACAATGTGAGTCTTAAAGAGAACATCACTCAGATCGTGCAGTTTTTAGAGGCAAAGCTCGGACCCCAATTCCAGGAGCTTCTTGCGTCTGTGGATGCCGCTACTCTTGAAAATCTAAACTTATTTCTATCTTTGCCTTCGCAAAAATAATGAGCTCTGTATTGTACCCTGTGAGAATGTGCATTATATCACCAGCAGCAGCGCATGCGACATGACCTCCCCCATTAAAATAAAACATCCCATTCAATTCTGCCTAGTGTACTCAATGAACACGTTTCAAATTGCCCGTCATCTTGCGCAACTCAAAGTATTTCAGTATAGCTTCGTAACACGTAATATACTGTGTTAAGTTTTGAACCATGGATATTCTTTGCTTCCTCAGCTCGTTCACAATAATGAATATAAGATCGTGGGGCGTATTCCAGACATCAATTCTATTAGAGCAATCAGTTGGATGTTCCATCACATTGAATAGGTAATCCAATGTGATGAATACACCAGTTCTGCCGCATCCTGCTGAGCAATGAACCAATAAAGGCGAACTAACGCTGGAGGTCATCGAGCCTAATGTGCTCAATTTCTCTGAAGGCCATTCCTTTGTTTTCATAATGTTGTCGTACATTTCTCCCTTTCTGATATCTTCAACAAAGGCTTTCGGACTATTGAGGAGAAGATTTTTTATTCGATGAAGCTTCAAAACATCGCCCAATACAATACCACAGGAATCAAGCCACCGTGTGTATTGAAGTTGACAAACTGTATGAACTGCCCCCAAGGTCTTCCCATTTTGCTTCCCTTTGGCCTCATTATTTTTGTCGGATTCAGCATTACGGGGATGATTCTTTTCATTGGTACCGAAGGCAAGCCGCCTCACTTCGATTACGCGCAATATACAGCCCTTGACACCACAAACATTTTCGTAAGTATCGCTGACACTCACATCGAATTTTTCGAGAGCGTTGGAATTCCAGTATATGTCCCACTTACGCATGCTTAGTTCATCATCCGAATTCAATGATAAAATGACTTTAACACCGTGGCTTACCACAACCTTCCAAAAATCATCTAACGTAGAAGGCAGAGGAGCTTGTGTGGCAATGTAGTTGAAGTCCGGGTTGATTTGCGGGATCTTTAAATAATTGGCATTAAAATAATCATTGAATTGATCATTTTCCGAGGTGGGTTTTGTATATCGCTTGTTGTCAAAAGACGTGGATGCAGAATGCAAAGGAGGTCTTCCATTAACAGATTCCTGGTCAGTTAATTGATTAGAGGTCCTTTCGGATTTGGTGTACTCTTGGGAAAAGTAAGAATTGCGTCTTTTGCGCATGGCCTTGTTAGAAAGCGGTGGACTTGACATAGGGGTCACAAAAGATGATGATGTAGCGCTTTTTTGCTCGGGCCATATCGGAGAAGGTTCTAGTTTGACCCGCGAATGCTCGTATGGTAGAATATTGGAGTATCTGTTCTTGGTATAAGATTGTATTCCGCGCGTGAGCAAATAGTTATCCATTGGTGTTTCTGCGATTTCTTCGTCGTCATCGTCATGCTTTTCAATTTCATTGCCATTTGCAGTTTTAGTATCACTCGAGGTGTGATCCTGTGCCTTAAGCTTCTCGCCGGCTTTGATTTTCATTAGTTTCGTTAGTATTTCTTGGTTCTCCCCATCATGCAGCTCTTCATTGATATCCATTTTTAACTTTATGTCTTCTGCTTGATGATATCCGTCATTATCTGAGTCGTAATCATGTCTATTGGGTTTATAATCCTTTTGCATCTGACAGAAAGAGTATAGTTTTGTTGGCTTTGGTCTTGCAGAGATCTCACTTGCAGGCGCAGGTTTGGCTCCCAATTCCCCACCGATCCCATTTCCCGTACCATTTGAATCTTGTTTTGAAGACTGCAAGCAGCGTTCCAGTCTCTTTACTTCAAGTTTTTCGAGGCACTCGAAGGAGTTCAAAATTGTCAAAAGGTTCTTATCACCACTATCAGAAAACCTTTTCAGCCAAGCGGGTAAAATTTCGTCCTGTGGTTCTATCAAGTCAGGCATGTGGAAGTTGAAGTATTTCTTGAGGCTGTCCGGGGAATATTGAATGGAGTCTTTTTTGAAAGATTGTATGAACATATGGTTTGAGTTATCAATGCGAGCATCACGGTTTGGAATCGTGATTTTTAGATTCATGTTTTGCTTATTGAGGCCCTTTTTGGGTGCGCCGTTTTTGACGGTTGAAGAAGACCTGGTATTGGAGGAATGAGATGGCCTAACAACGGGCACTTGCTGAAAACTAGGGTATTTTTGCTGCAGGCTAGTTTTACCACCTTGCAGAAAAAAAAGCTGTATTTTGGAGGACTTACTTTGTTCCTTCATTTTTGATAAATGGGGTACTACCTTGTTCAAAATATTGGCCGTTTTGGTGGAGCAGTTTTGCAAAGTACTTCCCTCATCGTAAAACACAAAAACGGAGCGCGATTCAACCTCTGCTGATAGCAGTTCCTGGGTACCGTGGTCCAAAGTTTGAGCTAGCTGAGAAAACTGGAAATTTGGCCGTCGCACCAGGGTGGAAGGAAATTTGAGATGAACTCGCGTGTAGTTGGGCAGCGGCAGCTGAATGCCACATTGTGAAAGATCGAAGAAAAGAGGCGATTCCAAACTGCGGGTTTCTGCTATTGAGTTGCAGGCTTGTAGCTGGGGTAGCCGATGCGGCTCTGAAGTTAAATCCACGACTCCTGTACTATTTGTAGGACAGCCGTGTTCAGGAGACGAAAGTCCCACTTGCGTAGTTGTGCCTTTTCTATGCATTAGTTGTTAAGGGAGTGGGCTTTGACAATGTAAAATACCGTGATACAAAACTCACGACACACCACAAATCCACAATGCAGCGAGCAATTCCGTATAAATGATGATGATGACGATGGCGGCAATTATAAAAGCGAAAAAAGGCTGTTTTAGACTTTCTCACTTTTTGAGCACTTATTCTTCCTTCCAGGGGTGTCTATCGAGTTCAAAAGACACAAATGCTTTAACTTTCTGTAAAGATGCAAGTCACGTAGAGAGTTCGGATCTTTATAGCCGGTAAAGTCTTAATTCAACTAGCTGACCTTTTCTGTTGCGTTTTGCAAGGGTTATCTCTAACTCTGCCTCCAGAAGGCGTATTTTGAAGCAGAAAAAAGCGTAGCGTTGCTTCTCGAGTGTGACGGCTATCTAACTTAGTGCGAGAAGCTGTAATGTGGATTCATAAACGAAATTGGTCGGTCCAAAAGGTGGTGTTGAGAACCTTGAGTGACTTAAAGTTGGTTAACTTTGCCAAAAATTGAGGGACGTGATTTACGAATATATTGCAAAGGTTGATCTTCTATTTTAGATGTTCTAGACCTTTAATAAAAATAGTGGAATATAGAAGGGTCATTTTGGACGGATATGTCTTCGGCTGTAGGCGAAGAACAGAGAGGGACAGAGAGAAAATGTGGGAGAAAGGTAGAGGGCAGTTGGTGGGAGGGAGGGCTATTGACGTTTACTTGGCTAATTGTAGTCGGCGCTTTTTTTTGGACTCTCAAAACGGCCTTCTCAATATGTTCTTCGTTTCTTAAGGAAAACGTTTTTAGCTCAAGGACCTCAGAAATTTATGAACATTAGCTCATATCGAAAGTCGGGTGTCAGATTAACGGGATCGCTATTCATCATTCAGTTCCACTCTTGTCAGCGCTTCTTTACGCGCGATGACAGCGACCTGTGTCTTTATCATCAATATCCGGGAAACTGTCGCTGTCATTTTGACGTGCACGTGATCTTTAGGCTAGAAATTCAAAACCTCCCAAAAAACAATAACAAAACAAAAACGACAAGCCAGACCTTTTTGCAGAACCGTTGTTAAAGATCTAACTTCTGTCCTTAATTTTCTCACCCTTTTAGAACTCCACTCCCACTCTTTTATCTTAATGATACCTCTCATCGCCCATGGATCACGTGACTGATATTCAAGAGCGTAACTTATATTCTTTCCTATAAGCCATGAACACGACAGCTAAAACCAGTTCACAGGATAAACCGCCAGTCTTTTGTGGTTCCCTTCCCAATCAAAAACAATTCATCCTAGAATTTCTTGCACAGTTTTTCTGTCGTTTTTAACATCCTTCCTTTAACAAAACCTGAAAAACCATCCATCTTCTCTCATATGCTCCAAAATCATCAAAAAATATACTCCTGTGCTCAGAAAAAATCGACAAATCTCATCGCGTTACTTTCAGAATCACCAAATCCGTTTTTGGAACCTCTTTATCTCTTGAACTTTTCATTTTCTCTATTTTATACACTGTCAACCTCGAATTGGCGTGTTGACTATATTAGACGCGAAAATACATCAAGCCGTCAAGTTTATCACAAACAACTGAAAACTACAGCTTCTGATCCACAGATCACCTCAATTCTCCTTATACAATTCGACCTCGAGCCACCCATTCTATACGCCATCGATCAGGTTTCTATGAGTCGGCCAACAGGGAAAGGTTTCTTCAGCGACCTAGAATCGGACGATACGCTTCGAAATATTAGACGAGAATACCTGGCATCTAAGAAAAACCTCCAAGAGCTGCTTGTTACTAGTCCCACAGCGATGCGAACAAGACAAATGCATATTCCTACGCCCTCCACGGATTATTCACGCAAAAATGCACAATTGAACAATGACGATCACTTAAGGTTGCAACTGCGAGAAGGGCTCAAATCAGATCCTGAAATTCCTACTCGAGCAACCCCATCGGGTCACAAAACTTTCCAAAAAAACATGGAACGCAAACCATACGATGATATAGATAGCCTGCGATCCATACTGTACGATCAACAACGTCAAATTGACCAACTACAACGGAAGTTCGAAAGTCAAGGCGCACGAAACGCTGCGTTACACGATCGAGTCTACTATTTGGAGCGTACGGTGGCCAAACTAGAAGCAGAACTCGAGACTCAATCAACCGTCCGTGACTCGTATGAACCACTGGATCGTTCCTTCCGTGCTAAGAATCTCTCATCTTTGGAATTCCAGGACCGTGACAATACAGGAGCCCTACTAAATCCGCGCACCACGGATTCGGTAACAAAAAGACAAATATCCAACTACGAAGATAGTACCACAAAGCTTATACAACTGGCCCAGGGGTCGAATTCGTGGTCAAGTTGATTGTAACAACGCTTTCAAAGCTTTTTTAGAAAAGAAGTTCTTTTTCTTTTTCGGTTTGGTGTGTATTTACGTTCCAGCCGTTGGTGTCTGCTAGCAGGTGCGATATGAACGACTGTCGTGGACACCTTTTGGAGTTGTGTATTTAGTGAGTTTTAACAAATTTTAGTTTGAAAGGGTACTTCGAATCTTCAGAACGACCAGCGTAGACTAGAGACTGTTGACGTCTTCTTGGATATTCATCAGCATGCCAACCAAAACTACCAGACAATCCCAGGTACCCCTTCTGGTCATCGTATTCGAATTGTGCTGCATTACCCACGCCCTTGTTGCAAGCTAACGCGCCATCGTGACGGTCATCAGGCCCACAATATCCAGTTCTGGACTTGAGATAGTAGTTTCCAAAGGGCGCCTCGATAAGATCGAAATTGGCTGGTGTGCCAGAGGACATCCAATGTCCGTTCCTGATTATCATACCAGGGAATCCACTGATGCGAATAACACCTCTGGTGCCACGATTTCCATGTCCGGGGTTCCCAGGTCTCCGCCCGTTCCCAGGCCTATAACCTTTAGGATAGAACATTATACCATCTGGTGGACAGTTTGAAGTGGCACCCAGGGCGTCAATTGCTCTGAAATCTTCACTCAACAAGCTTCCCTTCAGCAAATGGTAATACCAGATTTCATTTAGGCCTCTGCTGCGGTCGCATTTGAAGAACACTTTTTTGTCTTGGAATGTAGAGCTCAATGCTTGGCTGATTTGGTCGCGGGTATAACTTTTGGTTGTTGAGGGGACGATTCCATGTTTTTCAAGCGCCTTGAAAGTATCCAAACTTTTATACAGCTTCATAGCGATCCTGTAGTAGTCGTAGACCGTTTTTTTGTTGTAGTCCTCCACGTTTTTGGAGCCACTGGAGCCATCCCACCTAGCGTAGCATTCGGGCCTTAGAGTCTTGATACAGGTGGCATGTTTGTTGAATTCGTGGATCCACAAAGACTCATCGTCTCCGGTGTTACTTTTCCAAAACTTGTCCATGTTGTCCAGCAGGTCTTTACCCCGGATTTCCAGTCCGTCCCGGTTGAACTGCTCAGATTGCAACAAGTGGTATACATCATCTATCTGTCTGGAGTTGTCACAAAATTGTTGATAACCACCATCGCAGTTGTCTGGCCACAGCCCATGGTTCGTGAATGAGGTATTCGGACCCAGATGTTTTTCAAGGTCGTCGTTCCAGGGACCAGAATCCATGCCTCGCGGTGGAGTGTAGTCCCAAAACTGGGTTTGCAGCATTATACCACCGGGGTATTCAAAACAACAGGTATCGACAATAGCTGTATGGTTAGAACACGTTAATGGCAAGTCCGAAGGACATGATGCCGATGAACTTGAGTCACCTAACAGCGACCCGAACAGATCTAGCGATGAAAGACTGCTAAAGGGCAGTAATTCTAAAGGTATTCTCATGAAGTATTGGTGATGATCAAAAGGTTTGGTAGCTTTAAAACAAGGAAACTGAAGTGTACTTGGAAAGGATTAGCTGGAGCACTGGCTTTTATAAGCTGTGAAGACCAAACTCCACGTGAAGTTGATTGATGAGATGATTAAGGACTCACTTGCTGGAGATAAGAAGGCTTGTTTTGCCCATGGTAACCATTATATTAGCAACGACCTCGAAACGGAAATCAATAGAGGGGTCTCGCCAGTTAAGCTTATTTTGATTAAAACAGCTTGTTTTGTTGATGAAGAAGAACCTAGTTTAGTAGAACTTGATGTTTACAGATAATGTTGGAGATGATTAAACTACAAAACCTTGAAAATCAGAATGCTTTTGGTGATGGTGAGTATTGTCAAGTGGTGGGACTCGTCTGATAAGTTTTGTAAATTTCGAGCTTAAATCGCTGAGTTTCGGTACCTCTAGCTTAAAACTACCTTGAGGATACTATCTAGAAACCCTTTAGTCTATCGGTTTCTCTCAATGTCAACACTAAAAACTCTCCTCACCATAAACTAGAAATCATATTCTTTTGCAGCTTCATCATGAGCACTAGGTAGCTCTATTTACAAGACATTTCGTTATACACTTACAAGTTCGTGCTTCTCTTACCCACTTCCCTTACCCAGAACAACTTTCGCAATTGTCCGCTGCTTTATCCATTGTACAGGTAATTGGCGTAGAATCGTGAATTCCAAATTTATCGCTTCGACCCGCAAAGCTTTCCCCGGTGTTGCTTGTATCCTGTGACTGTTCCAGCAAGTCCGGACCGGGAGTTCCAAACTCTAATTTGGAGTCGCACATCTCAGGATAGTGGGCTCCAATGGTTACCTTTTCCGTTTCCACACCTTCTCTAATTTCAACTGCTCCTTTCAAGGTGGTCTCATCGCTAAGAGAGAATTTGATTGCTCCTGACGCTGCCTGAGTACGCAAATAATACATTCCAGTCTTAAGGCCCTTTTTCCATGCGTAAAAGTGCATGCTCGTGAGCTTGCCCATTGTGGGCTCTTTCAAATAGAGATTTAAACTTTGCGACTGATCAATAAAGGGCGCACGGTCAGCAGATAAATCTATCAGAGCTCGCTGTGGCAATTCCCAAACCGTCCGGTACAAATCTTTCATTTCCTGAGGAACACCCTCTATATTCTGAATCGAACCCTCATCGGCAATGATTCGGTTTTTCAGCTTCTCATCCCACACTCCAAGATGACGGAAATCCTCAACCATAAATTTATTGATGATGGTGAACTCGCCACTGAGCACTCTCCTATTATAGATATTTGAAGTGAGCGGCTCGAAAGACTCCACGAACCCTAAAATTTGAGAAGTCGAAGCGGTGGGCATTGGACCTATTAAAAGGGAATTTCTTATGCCATATTTTCTAACTTGACCTTTCAAGTACTCCCAATCAGTGTACAAAAAGTCATACTTTTCCTCATTCAGACCCCACATATCAAATTGGAAAAGCCCATGCGACACGGGCGATCCTTCAAAGCTTGGATAAGAACCATTCTCTCTTGAAAGGTCAATCGACATTTCAATGGCAGCGTGATACATCGTTTCGAAAATCTGCCGATTCAAAATGCGAGCAGTTTGTGAGTCATATGGTAAACGCATCATGTAAAAAACGTCAGCCAATCCTTGAACCCCAATAGCGAGAGGCCGGTTTTTCTTGTTGCTGTATTCAGCATCATTGACAGGATAATCACAGACATCAATCACTGAGTCCAGATTTTTAGTTACAACTTGGACCACATCGTGAAGCTTTTTGAAGTCAAAAACTATTGTACTGCCTTTCTTGCTGACGAAAGAAGGCAGCGCCACAGATGCCAAGTTGCACACAGCCGTTTCCGTTGGCGAGCTATACTGAATGATTTCGCAGCACAAATTCGAAGATTTGATTGTACCGAGATTTTTTTGGTTAGACTTCTCATTACAAGAGTCTTTGTAAAGCATAAACGGACCACCAGTCTCAACTTGACTCTGTAAAATTTCGCTCCACAGCTTCTGAGCTTTTATAACTTTTCTAGGCTTCAAAGTGACCTCATAGCTTTCGTAGAGCCTTTCGAATTCATCGCCATAGCAGTCCTGTAACCCAGGAACCTCGTCTGGTGAAAATAAAGACCAGGAACCGTTTTCCTGGACACGTTTCATGAAGATATCTGGAATCCATAATGCGCAAAAAAGATCGCGAGCCCTTAACTCCTCTTTACCATGATTTTTGCGAAGCTGTAAAAAGTCAAAAACGTCCGAATGCCATGGCTCTAAATATATGCAAAAAGCGCCTGGGCGTTTGTTTCCTCCCTGATCAACATATCTCGCAGTGTTGTTGAAGACTCTCAACATTGGTACAAGACCATTCGAAGTTCCATTGGAACCCGATATATACGCACCTGTTCCTCTTATGTTCGATACATGGATGCCAACTCCTCCAGCGCCCTTTGAGATCATGGCAGTCTTATGGAGCGTACGATAAATTCCATCAATTGAATCTTCCATCATGCCTACTAAAAAACACGACGACAAGTATTGGTTTACTGTACCCGCGTTGAAAAGTGTTGGTGAGGCATGAATGAAGTATTTGCGTGACATCAAATCGTATGTCTCCAGAACACCCTTTAAATCACCCTGAGGACCTCGAATGGCCAAAGCTACTCTCATAAACAAAAACTGAGGCGTTTCGTGGACCTCTTCATTATCGTGCTTAATCAAATACGATTTGGACAATGTCTTCCAGCCAAAATATGAAAAGTCAAAGTCTCTTTCAGGTACAATAGCCTTATTGAGCACATCTTGGTGCTTCAATGCAAGTTCATAAAAACTGTCAGAAATCACTTTCTTAGAAGTTGCTTGCTTGGTACCAACTTTAGGCCTTTTGGCAGCTGGTGGCCCGCTCTCTGGCGATCTGAATTCCCTAATAGCGGTCAAATTATCTGTGAATGTGACGCTTCCCATGCGTTTGTGAAGATTGAAGACTTCCCATCGTGCCGCAAGCCTTCCAAAATCAGGATGCGTTGTTGTCATTGCTACCAATATTTCCCCTGTGAACTGCACAAATTCCGAGCGTCGTACGCTAGGCGGGAGACTTGACAATATCTTGGCCACTATAGCGTCAAAGTCTGTTGACTCTGGTAATAAAAGTCCTCTTGAAAGCTGTCTAAGGGAAGCAACTAACTTGTCACCATCGAGCGCTTCAGGACATCTCGATCGTTCGTCAAGTAACGTCTTTGCAGTCATCTGTAAAACCCGGCAAAAACCTTCACCGGCTAGTCAAAGCAACGTTGATTGAAAAGGGATGGTAGTTGATGAAAGCCTCGTCGTGGTTGTCTTTTGGTAAATTCTTGGCTATAAAGGCTTGCTTTAAAGGTCCATGATGACATTGGTATAAGAACTCATATTCCACGACACCTTGAAGAACAGATCGACACAATGTTCGAGTTGGCAGCCTATGATGGTGTTTTCCGCCAATACCAGTCTTATTCGTGGATTCCTAGCTTTGTAGTGAACTGTGTGCTTCATTTTCGACTAATTGGCCGGTCTTCGTTTATACTGAAGAAAAGGCTAGCAGCCATTTTGCATTAGTTAAGAGGAACTTACAAGCCGTAGTCCATTCTGGTCCCGGCTTGTTGCCGTAAAGTTTAATAGCCATGCCATTGATTTTGTCGCCATGCATGGTGTAGGGCAGCTCTATCTCCTCGGAGTCTCCCTGTCGCTCAACTGACAGATGCGTGGTAATTTGAGCTATCACATCCATGATGGAGACCATGGCTCGGTCAAAGCTGGTCTCTTTGTGGAAAAACTTACCCAATTTAAAACCACCATTACTAAAGGCTTCGCAGCTGTTCCATTCTTGAGTGGTTGGGTCAAATTGCTCTACTCGAGAATACGATCCCATAGGCCGCAGGATGTATCCTGCAGGCTTGAACTTTAGACGAGCGCACATAGTGGCTAAAAGCAGGATCAATTGGCCAAATGCTGCGTTAGTTTCCTGCCATGGCACTGGAGTCTCGTCTAGTCCTCCCAATCGAAGTCCGTTTATGGTGCCGAAGGGGCCATCGTGGGATATCCGGAACGTTTCGTTGAAAATATTGGTCTTTCGCAGTCTGTCAAGATTATTCAATGTGTATTCATACTGATTTTTCAGTGATTGTAACTCTTTGGAGAACTGCAATTTCTCCAGATCTTGACTATTCCTGTACATCAAATCTTGCGCTTCGCGCTCCCTTTTCAGAGCTAGTTCTTGCTCCAGCTTTTCAATATGAGCGTCAAGCTCGGCCTCTGTGTCTTCCAGTTTCTTCAATTTTTGTAGTAGTCGTTCGTCCTCCTTCTCTGCAGCCTTACGTTCGTCTTCAAACGAGGTTTTGCCATCTGAATGAGCGGTATCCTGATCCAGTTCTCGCTGTCGATTAAGCCTTGCTAGGAACTCAGAGTACGTATCTCTTTCTTTCAGAGCATCCTCGTATTCATTCTTGAGTTTCTGAATAAGAAGGTCGCAACAATCCTGACACACAGGGTATTCAATATTAGTTTTGGACGATAAAATGTTGAATATGTTTGTCAATGTGCTTATTCTCGAGCTTAATGTCTTCGAAGTAAGGTCGTCCTCGTCTTCATCTCCTGAGTCCCCATCCAGTCTAGTGGTTTGAAGTGTGCTGAAATCCCCACTTAAAAAGACGTAGGACTCAAGATTGTTCATAACCGATGGTTGGAAATTGATGTCACTTACTTTCCTTACACTATTAAGCCTTTTCAGGCGAGCAGCTGGTATTTGCACAGTTGGCAATATCGGTTGAGTAGATGCACTCACCAAATGATTTCTTTGTGCCAGGCTCAGATCCATCAGGGAGCTATCCAGTTCCAAAGGAATTTGACAATTTTGACATTTCAACACCTCTGAACTGCCCATCGTTGCGTGTTGTTACTTACTTGTAAGCTTTCTTTAAGGTCTTGTAAGGTTTTCTTGATTATTCAAGGTAATGTAAAGAAGTGTCAAAAGTTTAACGTCAGAAATCATTATTTATACAGGCTATATTTTGAAGCTGTTAGCTTCTGGCAATCCTGACTGCTCCCGAGGCTAGTCGAGTCTTATTAAACTGCGTTTAGATCTATATCCATGTAAGTAGAAATCAGCGTGTATATTGTTGTGTTGATATCCATGAGAAACGTATATTCAGAAACCTTGAAATCTGGAAGAAGCCATGGAGAAGTGTCACTTTATTCCCTGGTATGCAAGTGGCACACGCTGCATTTCTTTTGAGTTATTCCGTTGTTGAGATCAGGCTCAGAATTGTAATCACCGGTGTACCAAAAAAGTAGTATCTGAAGTCACATCGCCATTTGTCGAAAAAGCGATGTGAGATCGATTGTCGTATCAACAGGGGCCAGTAGCAGATTACCAGTTGTAATGCCAGTATAGATTTGGAGGTTCAGATTGGAGATGAGCCACAACTTGTTCAGGATCCTTGTCGTGGAAGCGTCTGCCCATGATATCATTTTTGGTCCGCTCTAGGTACATGTCTTGCAATCGAGACAACGTGGCGCTGTCCTCAAATCCGAGCGGATAGGTCGAACTAAACACAGGGCGTCTTTGTGGGAAGGAAGACCTTTTGCCTCGCGACTCAAGATGCGTCTCGTATCCAACTTCAATCAGGCGTTCAAGAGGCTCACGAATGCAGACATCAATTCCCCTGGGTACCCAAATTTCGTAAAGACCTTTGAACTCGTACTTTCCTGTTGATTTCAGTTGAAAATGGCCAATGTCCTTGAGCACCACCTCTATCGTGCCCTGGAACGGTGGTAATATATGTCTAACAAAGTTCTCCTTCGAGGTAAAAGGCTTTGTGATACCGACGTACTGCTTAGCAGCACCAACTTCAGAGCCAAGTTCACGAGAAGCCACCGATAAGGCCTTTTCAACGTTGTGATATTGCTTTTCGTTGCCTGGAATAAAGTTGACAACTTGGTTTATCGTGCCCGCAGGCGGAACGAGATAAAATAAGCCACTCACCGTGTAGCAGCGACCATTTACACTACCCTTGAGCGAGGCATATGATTGTTTGACCAATTTTGATTTTGAGAAAAGGTGCGTTTTCCGAATCCTTTCCAAAACTTTGGGTTCAATGATGGTGTCCAAAGATAGGTTTTGAGGATCAGAGCTGAACCCTGGCAGATCGTTTACGGTCTTTTCGCTTATGGAATATGCTTGCAGATTGCGAGTCATGTTCGGTAGATGTGATACCCCAGCGCCATGTTGATCACCAGTCAAGCTGTCGGCGCCAGCGCTATCGCCTTTGTGACCGCCGTACCGGCTTAAAAGTGCATTTATGAGAGTAGATTTCCCGGAATTCGGACTGCCAAGCAGATACGAGTTACGACGAAGCACGGAAAACACGCTTTGAATATTCCATTTTTGAGTCGCTGAAAAGGCCACGACTTTGGTTGCCGATTGCGCCAGTTTGGTTCGCAAAAAGTCTGCGAAGAAAATGGGTGCTTTACGCTGCAGAAAACCTTTATCTGGGGTGATTAAATCGCCCTTGGACAGCAGCAAGGTGGGCATAGTGCTGGCGTCTTTTCTAGTGAACAAGTGGCGATCAAAATGGAACGGAAATTGCGCCAGGGGCACCACATGGAAAACGTCAGCGTCTCTTGGCACAAATTGGCCAATGTCCTGGGCGGAAAATCGCCGAAACCCATCGGAATCGTACTTGTTGTGATTTAAAGCATCACTGCAACGTTTGCAGACCAGAGGAGCCGCCGTTTTGCTCTCCTGCTCCTGCTCTTGCTGTGACTGCAGACCCGGAATAGCCTGGCTGAAAAGCAGGTATTTCAGTTCTTTTAAGTCGTGGCGATGAGCCGATTGTGCAGATCGCAGCGACGATTTGGGCGCCGTATAATAACCGATTTTCTCCGGGTTTCGACTCTGCAAGTGTATCCCGCATGCATTACACGATTTGAACCGTCTGATGACCCCAAACCCATTTCTTACCGTTTTTTCTCCAAACCTCCGATACATATCGACTTGGATGTGTAGTTTAGTCTGACTATAACGACAGGAAGAAAACGCTAATTAAGAGGAGGGCTTTTAGTCCAGTTTTTTCAGCTTTCAAAAACCAAAAACCGCTTCAACTATCTTTACGTACAAACAAGCACTACGCTGAGCTTTACAAGCTATCATAGTTCACCTCTTTCTGGGTTTAGTAAGTGTTTTAGTTCTCAGTTTTCTTGGTCTTCGACCTCGTCCTTTTTATATGTTCACTGATTTTCGATATTTTTCAATATTTATTATAGTGATATTCAACCGCTAAGCTAAAGCCTAAAAAATTTTTCAGATTGGAAAAAGTGAAAAAGTCGATGCGATGAGATGCGATGAGCTCAAGTTTAAGCTCGATCAGAAGCATAAACCAAAGGGTTCTACCCACGAATTAGACACAAATAAGCCATGGGTAAAGTATCTAAGGCCACGAAGAAGTTCCAGACCAAACATTTGAAGCATACCTTGGATCACAGGAAGAAACAGAAGCAACATGCTGAAAAAACCAAGGGCCGCAGAGGTAACAAGACAGCAGAGGAAAAAGAGAATGCAGCTCTGTCAAAGCAGGACCAACAGTTGCTAAAGTCATCCAAGGAAGAAGTGTTCAAGGACATGAGCGTGGAGGACTTTTTCGCCGGAGGATTCGAAGTTCCCAAGGCAAGCAAGGCCAAACCGGCCAAACAGCAAAAGGAAGAAGATGTGTCTTCAAGCGAAGACGAAGAGGGCATGGTGGAAAACATGGCTAGTTTGGCGGAAAAGGACCCGGAATTCTACAAGTACTTGCAGGAAAATGACAAGGCGTTGCTAAACTTCCAGGGCACGAACCCGCTGGACGGTATAAGCGATGGTGACGAAGACGGAGACGAAGAGGAAGAACAGGCACAAGGAGAGGACGACGAAGAGGAAAAAGAAGAAGCGGACGCTGCGGGAAAAAACAAAGACTCTTCGCAGACCGTTGAAGTAGACCTCAAACTGGTGAGAAAATGGAAAAAAGAGCTTTCGGCCACGACGCTCAACGTCAAGCTCGTCAGAAACATTGTTTCGGCCTTCAAGGCCGCAGTCAACGCCAACAAGGAAGAGCTGGTCGACAGCTACAAGTTTGCTGTCATTAACGGCAAGGCTTTCCAAGAGCTGATGTTTGTCGCGTTGCAGGACATGCCAGCTGCAATTGTCAAAGCGTACCCTTACAAAATCGTCAGAGGCTCTAGAACGCTACCGAACAACGGCAGCGTGACCAAGGTCGCCGCTGCGTTTAAGTCGCATGCTGGGTCCATGCTCACCATGCTTCAAGACATCACAAACACGGAATCGGCCGTGCTGGTATTGCACTCTCTAAATCAAATTTTGCCATACTTTCTGTCCCATAGAAGAATCATCAAGGAGATCATCAAAGTCATCGTCGAGCTAGGAGCCACGACGCGCGATCTGGAAACCCAGGTTGCAGCTTTTGCATTTTTGAACAACGCTTCGAGAGAATTCAAAAAATCGCTGCTTGATACTGTTTTAAAGACTACCTACTCGTCTTTCATCAAAAGTTGCCGCAAGACCAACATTCGTACCATGCCGTTGATCAACTTCCAGAAGAACTCTTCTGCAGAGTTGTTTGGTATCGACGAGGTTCTCGGATACCAAGTCGGATTCGAGTATGTCAGACAGCTAGCCGTGCACTTGAGAAACAGTATAACTGCCTCCACTAAGAAATCTGCCAAGACCAACCCGGCAGACGCTTATAAAATCGTCTACAACTGGCAGTTCTGTCACTCGCTTGACTTTTGGTCGAGAGTGCTCTGTGCTCAATGCAACCCTGAGAAGGAAAACGGCAAAGAATCGTACTTGAGACAGTTGATCTACCCGTTGGTACAAGTGACCATTGGTGTGATCAGACTGATCCCAACTGCTCAATTTTTCCCGCTTAGATTCTACTTGATCAAATCTCTGATCAGACTCTCGCAAAACACCGGCGTGTTTATTCCAATCTACCCGCTTCTTGGTGAGATTCTTTCGTCGACCGCATTTTCCAAGGCGCCTAAGAAGAAGTCCACGTTGCCAGCGTTTGATTTTGACCACAACATCAAGTGCAACCAGGGCTATTTGGGAACGAAAGTGTACCAGGATGGTTTGGGAGAGCAGTTTGTCGAGCTGGTTTGCGAATACTTTGTTTTATACTGTAAGAGCGTTTCGTTCCCAGAGCTGACGACTCCTGCTTACATTGGTCTGCGTCGTTACGTCAAGGCCTCCAAGAACAGCAAGTTTAACAAGCAAGTCAGCAACGTTCTTGAGAAAATCAGACAAAACTCTGAATATATTCTAAACAAGAGGTCGGAAATCGATTTTGGCCCCACCAACAGAGGCGAGGTCGAACGTTTCCTCAACGATGTTCCTTGGAACAAAACCCCATTGGGATCTTACGTTCAAGTACAACGTGAAGTTAAGGAAGAGAAGGTCAAGATACTGAGAGAAAGTTTGGAGGAAGAGGATGAACAGGAAGCGAGACGCCAACCCGTATCCGACGGAGAAGACGATGATGTCGAAATGTCTGACGAATAGAATCTGATTCGTGTACCTCGATTTTTCAGTGACCCTCTCTAAGGATAAGTTGAATAGATATGTATATGCTATTTACACGGAAGGGACTTATCAAATGTATATTACTAAAACAGCTACATCTGACCCACACACCTGGATTGAAACTGATTGAATTCTTTGCCTACCCGGTGCTTTTATCGACCAAGACAAAGGACGCGTCGGACCGCTCTCTGAGATTTTGACTATAAAAAAGCTGGCGGCTAAAATCATTCTTAGTCTTTTACTTACAACAAGCTTTTCTCAAAAACACGAAATGGCATCCTTCGTGAGCCAGTCAAAGGTTGAGACAAAGAAGTTTAGAAGCCCATCAACCTCCTCTAGAAGCTACGTAAGTATAAGTAATGGTTTAGATAGTAAACGCAGTAAAGTTCTGGCCGAAGAGAGACAGAAGGCCGACAAAATACGCCGGTTGAAGAAGGATAACTGTGCTTTGGAAAGTGCTATCAAGATTCTTGCAAGCTATTCCAGAGAACAAGAAATAGAGTGTTTGATCGACAAGTGGCGATCCATATGCCAGGCAGGAATGTCGTATTTGCTAAACTCAACGTTACTCAAAATAAACAAGATGGGCGGCTATGAAGAGCTGGTACGGAAAGAAGTCGAGGCCGAAAAACGTAAGCTTGAGTACCAGCTCAGTGGTCAACTAGAATACGAAATAGATGATGTAATTGAGTCCGAAGACTTCAAAAAGATGTCAGTATTGGACCAAGAAGAATTGAAACGACAACTGTACGAAAGAAAAGAGGAGGCGGATAAAGCTCAACAGGCACAGATGGAGAAGCTGGATGCTAGAGTTGAAGAAAGTTCTGGTAAAGAATTCACAATGCAGAATCTTGCTCGCCGTCTCAAAGTCAATTATGAAATGATTTTCGAAAGCTAGACTTTCACTGAGTTTTAAACTAACTTCAATTCAATCGTCGTCCGAAAAATGCAGTATGACTTCCCATAGCTATGTACAATATGTTACGGTTTGCATTCGACGAAATAGCGTGTGCTTCATGCGCACTCCCTATTCCTCGAAAACGTCTTCGAGTTTCAAACGTGGGGCGATATTCATCGACAAAAGTTCCTGGAACAATAGCTTGGCGGCGTAAGGAATAGTCATTTTGATGATGTGCTCAGCACTTTTGCAGGTAGTACACCATCCGCTGTAGCCCATCAGACCACACTGGGTGCAGACATCAACTTCAAACGCGTCCGAACTAATCATCAGTCTTTCTAGAAGCAGTTGGGACGCACCATATGCAATAACACAATCCCTTTCCATTTCACCCAATCTAAGACCACCATCCCTAGATCTACCTTCAGTGGGTTGACGAGTGAGAACAGCCCTTGGACCTCGGGCTCTTGCGTGCATTTTATCCAACACCATGTGTTTTAGCTTCTGATAATAGATGGGACCAAAGAAAATATACGCTTGCAGACACTCACCTGTGATACCAGAGTACAGCATATCTTTTCCTGAGTAGTTGAAACCATTTTGTACTAAAATTCCCGTCATATCCTCAAGCTTGGAACCACCAAAACAGGTACCGTATTCTAGTGTACCATTAAGAACTCCAGCTTTACCTGATACCAACTCTTTCATTTTGCCGACAGTCATACGAGAAGGGAAACCGTGAGGGTTCATGATAATGTCCGGCACCACACCCTGATCATTGAAAGGCAGATCTTCTTGGTTGACGATGATACCACAAACACCTTTCTGACCGTGCCTGGAAGAAAACTTGTCACCCAATTCTGGTCTTCTGTTCTGTCGTAGAAGAACTTTTATCAAAGCTTGATCGTTTTCGGAGACAGACATCATCACCTGGTCAATATGAGATGGTTCTGGGGCTCTGTACACTACTGGTGTTTCTCTATATTGAGCCTGTGTTTGAGTTAATACACTGTCGGAGGCGTTCGTGGGCACGGATTTATTGACATAAATTTGACCACTCTCTACCTTCATGCCCACCTCACCGAGCCCGTCGGGACCCAGAGCTTTATGCTGCCAAATGGGCTCACCATTTTCATCAACTCTCATACCACCAACCATGTCTTGTGTGTGATTTGGGTATCTCTTTAGCACGGTGGTGAGTTTTCTTCTGGTTTCACACCGACCATAGCCTCTATCAATTGATGCCTTGTTGAGAACCAACGCATCTTCGATATCATAACCGGAGTAAGACATGACGGCAACAGTGGCATTTTGGCCGGCAGGTATTTTGTCATAGTCGATGAGTTCAATGGTTTTAGTTTTCACCATGGGCTGTTGTGGATATGTCATGAGGTACAATAGTGTATCAATTCTCTTGAACTGATTGTAGGCAATTGCTCCAATAGCTTGCTTACCCATAGCACATTGATAAGTATTACGAGGCGATTGATTATGGTGGGGATATGGAATCAAACCAGCGACGGCACCCAAAACGGTAAAGGGTTCAATTTCCAAATGAGTTATTCTGGGTTCGATATCCTTTTCATATAGTGCAATGAAGGAATCGTTCTCCTCGTTCACATCGAGATACTCAACTAGCCCCAGCTTGAGGAAATCATCAAATTGAAGCTTACCGTCCAGTAGTTTTCTCAAATGCTCTGCTTCAACACGCGACTTCCCATCGGAGACAATTATCAACGGACGACACACTCTGCCACCATCTGTAGCAATATGCACAGCTTTTTGATGGGAGTTAGTGTAAATGGAAACAAAATCTGATAGCTTTCCTGCTCTTCTCAAGTTTCTAAAGCGAGAAACGAACTTCGTTGGAAAGCGTATAACACCAACAATGGTACCGTTTAAGTAAACGCAGTAGTTGAGATGCAGGGTATCACTGTCAACAACAGTGATATCTTCTACACCCAATAAATAGCATAGCTTTTTGATAGGCTCCTCTTCGTCATCTGTTGTGATGTGTGTCATGAGTGCAAGGTTTTTAACCAAACCACAGGCCTCACCTTCTGGAGTATCTGAAGTGCACAGCATACCAAATTGAGACGGTTGTAAAGCTCTTGGTCCTGATACCTTACGAGACTTCTCAAATTGCGATGAAATTCTTGTCATCATTCCGAGCGCAGAGATGTAAGACAGTCTACTGAGAACATGAGTGACACCAGCTCTTTCCATTTTGAATCTTTTCAGAGACCAGTTACCCGTGGAGATGGCTCTATTCAAACCGGTTGTGATGTTATTGGAATGGACGTTGATAGAGAGAAGAGCATCATACTCCATGGCCCTGTTTGGCTTTTTGAGAACTTTGTCGATGTTTGCCTTGAAATCGTTATTGAATTTCTTGAACAGATCCTCAAAAAGAAGAGACATTAGCTGTCCTGCGAGTTCCAATCTCTTGTTACCGACGTAATCTCTATCGTCAATCATTTTGGGATTATGCATTGCCATTACTACTCTTCTCGTCATGACTGCAACATACAGAGCTTTTTCTCTGAAATCTAAGGCCTCGACCGTTAAATGAGCAATCACAGTAGTTGCGATGGCCTCGATACCCTCTTGCAAGGTTGTGAGCTTTTGACGTCTGACAGTCTTGACTTTTGAGCCGATGTACTCAAGCGCCTGTTGCTGTGTGTAGATTTTCATTTTCGCAACCTCTTCCAAATTGATCGCGAAGATATCTTGATAACTGCTGTCGTTACCACAGACGAGTTGCATGATTTCAAGATCTGAAACGATACCACAAGCTTTGAGTACAAGAACAATAGGCACTTCTTCGGCAATGGAATTGTGCTTCAGATAGATCTTATCATTTTTGGTGATGACATAGGTCTTCGATTTTCTCTCATGTGTGGACGATGTCACAGAAGCCTGTACAATTCCCTTCTTTTCATCCGCTTCTACAATGATACGATTCTTAGACAGTTGTTCTTGGACCAGAATCACCTTTTCGGTACCGTTGACGATAAAGTACCCACCGGGGTCAAGCGGACACTCGTTTATCCTGGCCATTTGACTTTCAGATGCACCGTTGAGAATACACTTGTTTGAACGTAGCATGATGGGCATTTTACCGATTTCCACGTCTCTATGCATGATGATGTTTCTGCCTCTGGTGTATTCGATGTCCACGTATACAGGAGCCGAATACGTCATATCTCTAAGTCTACACTCATGTGGAGGAACAAGGTAGTCTTTAGTTGACGAGCTTGACTTTTGGCCCACTCTGATATCCACGTACTTGAGGTAGAATTCCGGGTCTACGTCACTGAGAACCAGTTCATTTGCCTTGATGATCTTTTTCAGATCAACGTCCACAAAATAGTTGAAGGAGTCTAAATGCTGTTTGACCAGACCTTTAACTTTCAGAAAAGCCGGCAAAAGGTTCCATTTGTCTTCTGCAGTGTTGATCTCATCGGTAAGTTTCTTGCCTTTGTAAACCGGTTTGAGAAGAGATTCGAAAGCGGAATCTTTCTCTAAAGCTGCCTGTGGCATAGCCGTTGCCGCTGCAGACATCCTCACCAAGTGATGTGTAGCGATATAGAGCTTTGGAGATGGCAAGTTCTTGAATTTTTGTATGTGATGAGCTCAAATTCTATGTCATCACACTCATCTCGAAAATTTTTTAAGATCAAGAACTAACAGCTACGAAAAAGCCGAAGAACAAGGGCGAGTAGACCAACTTTAAAGGTTTTGAATGCGATTGAATAGATGATCTGGCTTGTCTGCTGTTAATTCTCAACAATACGCGTTTAATGGTACCATATTTCCCTGGTTTTCCTCAGTTTTACACATACTAGTTGAGATCACCGGGTTGGCAGCGCAGCGGAGTAGAAGTTGTCTTGGGGAAGTCGTGTGAACCCTATTAGGAAGACTTGGGGCATTTATGGAAAGAGAAATGCATGATTTTTTCAGATCATCAGTGGTGCTTTTCTGAGGCTTTTCGCAAATTTTTGGAAAAAGCGTTGGATGTCGTTGTAGTTAGTAGTGTTCTTGGCTCGATTGTTTCGCGTAGATCTCTAGTTGCCGTTGTCAACTTTTCACAGCTGATTGCTGTTGCTTGACTAGTAGCCGGTTCATTCTGTTCGCCAACTTCTGCACAATTGAACACAACGGTGTAACAAGGTTTCCTTATTGCAAGGCCAAGAACTAATGGAACTTAGAGAATCTCGAATTAAGAGTTCTGAAAACCAAATTAAGAGCTTCGAAGTTGAGCTCAAATATGAAAAGCTAGACGCTGTAGTATTTCGGTTCTAATGGGCTTTTGAAAACCGATGAAGGGGTAATTAGTTCCATGGCAAGGTATCAAGCACCGCTGCTAATATAAGTGTCTATAGCTTCAAATGCATACGGTGATAAGTCCTTGAGAGCCCAACACACAATTTACAACAGCATTGTAGTGCCAAAATCGGTCTTCAATCTGCATAACTTAAGTTGCTGGTCATATTCGATCCCGAAACCCTTGATGATTGATGCTGTTTCTCGAGCGAGCGCTTAGAATTTAATTTAACTTATTACACAGCTCACAATCTTTAATGGAAAACTCCGATGGCATGGAAAAAACACCATGTTATCGAACCAATTGCACTGTCGAGAGGAGGTTTCAAATTTTAAAAGCTTATTGATGGTACTGCGTGCAAGAAAACTGGGAGAAAACGGACTTTTGATGCGTTTTTTGATGCGTTTTTAGGTAGGGTCTTTGCAAGGGCGGAACAATTTTGATCCTGTCCCGCAAACGAAATAGTGGACCACAAGGGTAGCAATGATATTCTTACCGCGTTGCATTTGTTTGTGTGCCAGTAACGACGATGATATTGGACAATGAATAGTGAATTGTCCAAAAGGCGATATTTTTGGTATTACTAAAGTTCATTTGTCAAACACGATTGTATTGAGATGCAAATGCTCATATTCTATCAACACATGTGGTCTCAGGCTGCAGGTGCTTGTTTCTTAATGATGATGGCAGCTTTGAGCTACAGGGGCTCATTTGCCCGGAATTGTTCAAAAGGTGTTTCGGGAAGGAATTTCACCAAACGCTTTTGTTTCTATGTTCGACGAAAGGTAACGTACATCACTTCCTGTCAATTTCAAGGCTACACAGGGACCAGCCGGGACCAAATGGTCCTCATTTCACCATGAAACCCGAATCGGGCCTCTTTGAAACCAAGATCTCAAGTGTCCTAGTTAGATTGCTTTGCCTTTCATTTGCTCGAGAACTGTCCCCACTAGCCAATCCACGTCACCAAATTCTTACTACCAGTCAAAATGACCATTACACAGCTAGTTGACGCTTTTTTTGACAAGCTCATCGCTCTCAAGACCCGTCACGTGTGGAAGTTTTTCCAGCTGCCATCTAATTTGGCTTCATCTACCCAGCCGTAATGACATTTGGTGAAAGATACTTTGATGGATCAAGACCACGATCATCCCATTGACACTGACAACTTTGGCTTGTCAACCCTCTAATGTCTAGTGCTCCTTTCAGAGCAACTGTCAACGAGTATCTTGAGGATTTGCCACCTCAAGTTCAGTCCCGGCTTTACACATCGCCTGCAACATGTTTGGCAATCTACAGACTGCTGCCTAAGTTGGCCAAGTTTTTCATCATGTCCATGGTCTTCAACGAAAACGATGTTTCATTGCGGGATCTTGATAGATGGGTCCAAAGCAGCGGGAAATTTCAGCTCAACGAAGCAATCAAATCCATGAAATCTCTACATCTGTTGATAGAGGGTCAGTCTGGACAGCCTTTCATGATCAATCTCAACTCTATATTCCGATCCAGTTTTCGTAATGCTCTCACGGGTGGAGAAGTCAATAACTCGTTCGGAAATGTGATAGAGGATGAACATGAAATTGTACAGCCAGAAATGCTCGATCAATATGCGGCAAACAAATGGGAATCGATTCTGCATTTTATGGTAGGCACACCACTCACGCAAACGCCTTCCAGAAATGTGCTTTCCTTACTGCAGCACAGCAAGCTCATGGAAGAAAATAACACTGGAGAATTACAGATCACCAATGAGGGGTTCCAGTTTTTGCTGCAGGACGCAAATGCCCAAATCTGGACTCTTTTATTGCAGTACCTCCGGCTTGCAGAAACTTTGCAAATGGACCCCGTGGACGTGCTGAATTTCATCTTCATGTTAGGAGCACTCGAACTGGGTAAGGCCTATAGTGATTCGCATTTGAGTGATACTCAAAAAATCATGTTGCAGGACATGCGTGACTATGGTCTGGTATTTCAAAAGGCTTCCAGTACCTCTAAGTTCTATCCTACGCGACTCGCTGCTATGCTGACGTCCGATAGTATAGGTATCCGATCTGCCTCTAGCGCGATGAATAGTGTTTTGAGCCAAGGTACAACCAGCAGTTCGAAGGCAGATGACACCGCCGCTGCGGCCGACGACAGAGAACAAGATGCATCCCAAATTGGGACAACGGCAAGGAATATACCAGATGGAGCGGTCATCCTTGAAACTAACTTCAAAATATACTCATATTCGAACTCACCCCTGCAGATCGCGATTCTAGGCTTATTTGTGCATCTCAAGGCAAGGTTTACCAACATGGTTACCGGCCAAATTACAAGAGACTCTATTAGGAGAGCGCTTCTCAATGGTATTACTGCGGACCAAATCATCGCATACATGGAGACACATGCGCATCCACAAATGAGAAGACTTGCAGAACAGACCCTAGATAAGAAGTTGGAACTCGACCCCAATTGCAAAGAAGGTCTACAAGTGCTTCCGCCAACTGTGGTGGATCAAATCAAGCTGTGGCAACTTGAGCTCGACCGTATTATCAATTACGACGGTTACCTTTTCACCGATTTTGACAACAGTCAGGAATACAGCTTGCTGTGTGATTATTCCAGCGACATAGGAGTACTACTATGGAAAGATGACAAGAAGAAAAGGTTTTTCGTATCTCAGGAAGGTAACGCACAAGTGATAGATTATGCTAAGAGGAAGCTAAAAAAGAAATAGAAATAATGATATATGTGGAATCAGATGTGCATGTTCAATTGATTCAGCTAGTCAGCTTGTGGAAGTTGTGTTCAGATTGTTCACGAATAAGTCAAAAAACAAACAAAAAACAAAATCAGCCTGCGCTCAGGTTCGAACTAAGGACCAACAGATTTGCAATCTGCTGCGCTACCACTGCGCCACACAGGCGGATTTATGAACAGAGCACAACTTTGAGTCTACATGAATCAACTTTATGATCAGAGTATTTTTGTATGGTCCACCGAATGTCTCATCTCTTATGGCATCCTCAGGTGCGCTGGCTTAACCACTGCTCTCTCTTCTAGCACCATACCGGGTGTTCATTTCAGGGCTAACGTTTTACATTGATTTGACTTCAAAGTATCGCCTTGATCTATTTAATGTTATATCAATTAAATGTCAACTACTATACAACTGTACCATCTACAATTCCCCGTCCTTCTCTTCCTTCATACAACAAAAAAAGTATCAAACCACTATTCAGGCAGATCAGTATCACAACCGACCGGCAGATTTGACAAAATCAAACAAGAATTTCGATGCAAATATTAGCGAGAATTGCAAATAGTATTAACCAGTAGAATTGAAAAGCATCGAAACGCAGGTTTGAAACAGGATATGAAAAAGAGTTTGGATCATAATACAAATCGATCGATGAGCGAGCGCTTCAATGCTCAACATTGAAGGCAGCGAGATGAACCATGCAAAAAAATTCCATATCTGGAGACCACAAACTTTTTAAATCACTTGGAAAAGCCCCCAAAGCTTGTGTGGACTCGCGGTTTGTTTATCATGGCAAACAAACTTCGTAATGTACAATTGTATAATATCCCTGTTGAGTGGAAAATGCAACAAAAACAAAAAAACCGGAATATAACGACTCCGGTGGAACACCAAATAGTCAGGATAAAACATTAAAACATGTGAATCATTTGGGTGAAAAAAAGGTAGTGCCGTAGGAGAATAAAAAAAATTTAATGCCTTTAAAACTTGACTGCACCTTTCAAGTTTTAAAACTTGGTGAGATTACCACCAGGAGTTACTAGCGGAAGAGTTGCCGCCATTGTTACCCCAAGAGTTGCCGTTGCCGGAACCACCCCAGGATGAACCCCACGAGGAGCCGCCTCTAGCGCCACCTGCGGAACTGCCGCCTCTGCTTCCTCCATATGAGGAGCCACCAGGAGCTCCACCCATACGACGGGCATCTCTGGTGGCGCTGGAACGGTTGCTGGAGAATCCACCACCTCTACCGCCTCTGGAACCATAGTTTTCTCTACCGAGCTGTTCCAAAAAGCTTGGGACTTCTTGTTTGGCTTCAGTCAGCAATTCGATCATTTCTTTGGCGACGTTCTTGTTACCTCTGTTGAAGAAAGCAGTGGCAACACCGGTGTTACCAGCACGACCAGTTCTACCAATTCTGTGAACGTAGTCATCAATATCATTTGGTAGATCGTAGTTGATAACGTGGGTAACGTTTGGAATATCCAAACCTCTGGCAGCAACGGCTGTGGCAACCAATAGACTGGCTCTTCCAGATCTGAAAGCGGCCAGAGCACGCTCACGTTCGATTTGAGAACGGTCACCGTGAATGGCAGTGGCTCTCAAATCTTGCATGATCAAGAAATCGGTCAAAGCATCGGCCATTCTCTTGGTTTCGACGAAGATCAAAGTCAATCCGTCGTCAGAGGCAGCTAGAAGATCCAGCAACGCAGATTTCTTGTCCATGTCTTCGACGTAAAGAACATGTTGAGTAATGTTTTCGGAAGTAGAACCAACTCTACCGACAGACAAAAAGACGTAGTCCTCCAAGAAATCACGGGCCAAATGCTGGATGTCCGTTGGGAAAGTGGCGGAAAACATGAGTGTTTGTCTGTTTGAAGCAGAAGGCATGTCACAGCCATCGACGATGTGTCTGATTTGAGGTTCGAAACCCATATCCAACATTCTGTCGGCTTCGTCAAGAACCAGGTATTTGATGTTGCATAGAGAAATTCTACCACGCTCAAGCAAGTCAGATAGACGACCTGGAGTGGCCACAAGCAAGTCGCAACCACGGTTCAATTCCTTGATCTGACTTCCAATGTCGGCACCACCGTAGACGACACATGGTCTAACCCACGAACGGTAAGTGAATTTCTTGGCTTCATCATAAATTTGAGTAGCCAATTCTCTAGTTGGGGCCAAGACCACAGCAGTTGGAAAGGCTTTCTTGATATAAGTGTTGGCCATTTGTTCTGGAACAGCGGCTGGACCGTTGGCAAAGGACTCGGAAAGCACGGGGAACAAAAACCCACCGGTCTTACCGGAACCGGTCTGGGCACAAGCCATCAAATCACGCTTGGCAGCAATGATAGGAACCGAGTACTTTTGCACAGGGGTGGGTTTAGTGAAACGAGCCTTAACGATGTTTTCCAAAAGCAAAGAGTCTAGTGGAGGCGAAGTGAACTCTGTGATAGGCTCTGGAACGTCGTTACCGGAAGCTTCGACAGGAATATCGTCGTAGTGGTCAAAGTTGATACCGGAGGACTGGAAGTTGGAGTCTTCAGCGGTTCCGAAAAGTTGTAGTTCCAAGCCTTCGTCAACGGCAGCTGGAACGTGTTTTCCACCAACCCAGCGACCGACACCACGGGAAGCACCTCTGCCGCGGTCGTTACCGCCGCCGAAACCACCGCTTCTGCCGCCAAAGAACGAGCCGCCGTTTCTACCGTTGCCCTGGCCTCTTCCGCCGCTGAAATAAGAGTGGGATCCACCCTCTCTGTCGTTGTTGGCGAAGCTGGCTCCTCCACGACCGCCGCCTCTTTTCCCACGCATGTGTGGCGGTACGTAAGAGCTCTTGTTACCGTTGGAATCGTTAACGCTCAGATTTTCCATCTTGTTAGCTAGATCAGACATCTTGAAAAGTTAAAATAACCTAGATGTTTTTTAAATTATTGTAGATGACCTATTACAAATAATATGTGGTGGTTTGTTAGCAGTGTTAGAGGTCTTCCGATCCAAATCTTGATCTCTTTATATACTCGAAAAAATGAAAAAGAAAAAATTTTATTTTTCTTTAAAAACTTAAAAAAAAAAAATAAGTTCTTTTTCCCGGGTTTCGTGGAGAGTGATTAGTGAAACTGGGGGGCGGGTAACTGAGTGTGCGAGAAGTCCGTCATCAAGGGAAACAAGAAGAGGAAGACGAGGAGATAAAGAGAGAGCGTAGTGAAGTAGAATATGTCTTGTTAATTTTGTAGTGGGACGGAACAGAGTTTTCAGTCCCGGGGAAACCACTCAAGAAAAAAAATTTTATTTGTTTTTATTGTTTATCTATTCATCGCTAAATATGAAAACTGTCGCTGTCATTAAGTCACGTGGGTTTTTACTTGTCGCTAAAAAATTCTGTCATTTTTTCGATCTCCTAAATACACTTCTCTCTCTCTCTCTCTTACTCTACTTCTCCCTCCATTTGTGTTCTACTTTTGGCCCAGATCACATTTTTGAATCGCATGCCGTCCGCCTGGTTTTTGGGGTTCATTCTTCCTTCAATGCTAACAGGAAAGTGACTGGTAAATTGAATGTTTTGACACATCACTTTGTACGCATGTGTCGCTGTCCATCGCAGAGCGTTATACCGGCATGCATTCAATAGCGTGGGGGGGGGGGGGGGGTTGGAAAAAATAGCGTGCTTTTACTTCTCATGTCTCTAGTTTGTTGCTGTGAAAGTGGCCTACTTTCGATATTCAAAGGTATTGATTGCTGAATCCCCGGCCTATGCCGTGAGAAAGACAAAATGGCTATCAGACTCAATAAACAAACAAAAAGTCAAAATTGTAATCTGGAGTATACCAGCATGAACATAAGATTCGAAATCAACAGCATAAAAGGCGCTACTAATCCTTGCACTTGTAGTCTTCAAATATTTAATTGATTAATTAAAGAGGTCACGTGACTCGATTACAATACTAAACTGTCGCAACTTTCAAAACTCAAGAAACTACTCCCCCTATATTACCACTCTGCCTGCAAATTCATTCAATTCCTCGAACCTCTAGAGGAAGTCTGCTGCAATCAAACGGCTATGCAGGCTGATTTACTAAACTAAAGTATTTCAGCCACTCTAAATAATTCGTATACCATGACCGCCTTTTCTCCCAAGATCTAAAAATTTTGAAACTATGGTAAGCGTCAACTAGACACAATCACCAAGGTTCACAGCCGTTAGAGGAAAGCTCATAATGTCTTCGAATCTGTCGCATCTGCTGCGCAATTCGCGAATTGCCCAGGTCCCCAAAGCTGGTACTACGCTAGCTTCAAGCTCGCCCAAATACGCCCCTACACACCAGATTATTGAAACACGACCTTCCACGTTGTACCGTCAAGAATGGGGTCTGAAAAGTTCATTGCCCTCGAAAACCAAAACCAAGTATATTGTCTTTAACGACCTGGATACTTTGGAGCGTCTTACGACTTTTGAGGCCACTGGTGGATCCCAATGGAATCGTATTAGATTTCAAGAATTGGGAGTGGCACCCAAATACAATCCCGGCAAGGCAAATCCACTTTTTGAAGCTACTGTTGTTTCCGGAAACCAACTTGTGCCATTAAGCTCCTTGCTGAATGTCGATGCGTCCACGCCCAAGGCTGAAGTACAAAGAAAAGTTTCTCAGATGAAAAATCTCCGTGGAGCCTTCAAGCAATGGCTCTTGAAAAACGACCCAGAAGCACTTCAAAATAAGTCTTTCTCCGTCAAGGATATGACTGGAAGTGCTTTGGAGTTTCTGAACGAGACCACCGACCACGGAGTCAATTTGGATTCGAGTTCACTCCGCAAAACTGTGGGGACTGGTGGCCTGACGTATAACTTGCATGGAAGGCTAAGAAACTCCCCCAACGGAGTCATCCAGAAGACTATTGTTCCTGGTAGATTTTTGAACGCCGAAGGAAACGACAGACTTGCCGCCATCGGTGGGTTCGTTGCAAATGCCGGCTCTTCTTCTGTTTCAACATCACAAATGGATTACCGAATGGGTGATTTTGTTCGTCAAGTTCAAGTACCGTTCGCCGTTAGCCACGCTGCCGTACAGGATAATGGCAAAGTCGTGCTTAGGGCATCTGCTGTGGGAGGCATAAGCTCAAGGGCCAAGATACAAATGAACAGCAGGGGTTACCAGCAAAGACCACCCAGAAGAACTCCATCTCGCAGTGTTACTGCCGAGGAATCCACAAGGCATGCGGAGGAACTACTGAACATCTTGACCAATTTTGACAACGGCAAAAACAAAAAATTGAAATAAACCTCAGGCACTATATATACATCTGTGGGCGCCATCCAGCATTTAAAGGAAACAAACAATGTACTTTATAAATATCACCTCTGTAAATAAACGATTTTTAAGAACAAAAAATGTGCACGATGCAGTTCACATAAGCACACCTTTGGTGGAAGGCACGTCGTTTGTCCCATTGCTCGACAAGCATTCTCTAATGGCCACAGCAAGAGCCTTAAAGGCGCTCTCGCTGCGATGATGGTCGTTAAATCCTCTCAAACAATCCACATGCAAAGTAATTCTAGCAGCCTCGGCAAAACTCTCTAGAAAATGAGGAATCATCTCGGCGGACAAATCGCCGATTTTTTCTCTTTTTAGACCCAAGTCGATAACTGCGTAAGGTCTGTTTGACAAATCCACCACTGCTCTTGAGAGTGCCTCGTCCAAAGGTGCGAAGCCGGTTCCGAACCTTTTGACACCCCTCACGGCACCCACAGCCTCTTTGAAAGCCTGACCCAGAGCAATACCGCAATCTTCTGTTGTATGGTGGTCATCAATGTGCAAATCGCCTATGCATTCGACTATTAGCGACCAGCCCGAATGTTTGGCAAGCGCATGAATCATATGGTCTAGAAAGCCTACACCTGTTTGGACATCAATAACTTGTGAACTGGTGGCTTGAGATGCTACATCTTCGGCTTTTTTGGCTCCCAGTATCGATTTTTCAATCTCAACATGACCACCGTTCAAAGACAAAGCGATTTGTATTTTGGTCTCGTTCGTGATTCTAGAAACAAAGCTGCGACGCTCTGGTCTAGTTTGGTTGATAACCTGGCTCATAACTGGTTCTAAATGTGATGCTTTTCACGCTAAAGTGATGAGTTTCTGGTGAAGTTAAGTTGAGAAACTGGAAATTTTCTAGATCTTTAAATATATCATCTAATTTAAAGCGAGACAGCTCATCGCATCGAAAACTGAACAAACTATAGAGTTTTCAACCCACCGAGAGGTATATAAACTGTTGCTAAAATGTTTCAATTGAGTGCACGACTTGCATCTAGACGATATGCCTCCCGAACGGTGAAATCGGCGGTAAAAATACCTAACGAAGTTCATCACAGTGCTAAACCAACTAATGTCGACAAAAATCTACCAAGAGAGCGTCGAATTAAAGCTTGGGAGAAGGCAGGAGAAGAGAAAGACTCTTGGTTTAGAAGGAAATATGCCCATATCCATGCCAGAGAATCCAAAAGAGACGCTGCACAACGCTCTCACGAAAAAAGCAAAGCAGAAACTCGTTCGCAGTCTCAAGGTCACCGCGCCAAATTCGGCAATCGCACTCCCGTCACTGGTCTAAGGCCAAACCCTCTGATGGAATACTTGTATGGGACTAATAGCGTGGTTTCAGCGCTGCGAGCAAACAAAAGAGACTATTTTTCGAGAATTCTATACCACGGCGTGTTGCCTCTGGAAGTGCAGCAGTTGGCCAAAAACGCAGACATTGCATTAGAAATTACCGACAAACATCGTCTCAATCTTTTGACAAACTATGCGGTCCACAATAACCTTGTTCTTGAAACCAAGGCGCTGCAACTTCCGGAAATCAAGGCATTGGGACCCAGCAGTCTGGAGACTCAGTCATTCGCTTACCAAGAGCTTTTTTTCGACCAACCTCAAGAACGGCATCAGGAATTTATTGCCAAAGAGGGCAAGAAGTTTCCCTTGGGTGTGTACCTCGATGAAGTTGTGGACCCACACAACATGGGGGCCATAATCAGAACAGCATATTTTTTGGGCGCGGATTTCATGGTACTTTCTCGTAGAAACTGTGCACCATTGTCACCTGCGGTATCGAAAACCAGCAGCGGTGCCACCGAGCTTTTGCCCATCTTTACTGTTGATAAGCCTTTGGATTTCGTCACGAAGTCGCAGACTGAGGGCGGCTGGACTTTTGTCGCAAGTGGCACTACAAAGAACAATAAGTTTACTGACAATAAGAAGTTGACTGCTAACGATCTGCGCGGAATGTTGCAGGAGTTTCCAGTGGTTTTGGTTGTTGGCAACGAGGGAGTTGGCGTGCGCACCACCCTGGAAATGAGAAGCGACTTTTTGGTGGAAATTCCTCAAGGTCGTGAACTGCTTGGAACTTCTTCTGTGGACTCGCTGAACGTGAGTGTTGCAACGGCGATTCTTTTGAACAATATTTTGGGTTGAGATCGGGGAAGTGTAAATAGTCAGGTTATAAAAAAGGACAAAACTTTTATTTAGTTCTTGCGCGATACACATTCTATAAATGATCCTCTAGCTTTCGCAGAGAGAAATTGCATCCGCAGCCCAGACTGGGTATCTCTGAATTGCAGACGCACTCGAACCGCGTGGAAGCTTTTTTCTAATTCTCACAGCATTCTGTGAATTTGGGTATCGTTTTCGACACCAGACAAGTCGTTGAGCTGATCCCACCATTGGAATAAATAACTTTCGCAAATGAGCTTGAACCAAGGTGTAAATTTGTGGGTTGGATCCTGGAACAAAGCTTTGAGTTCATCAGCCGTGACCCACTTAATATCACGCACTTCGTTTGGACTTGGGTTGACGGTCAACGATTGGTTTGGTTGCAATTTGCAGAAGAAAATGTAATCAATTTCATGTTCACCCCATGGGCCGTTGCTTGGCGCTTTGTAGTGTATTCTGTTCAGGAAATGGAATTTGGTCTTTTGGCTGGTTTCATCGGAGGGTATACCCAGCTCGTGTTCTAGTTTACGAATAGCAGCAGTTTCAGCACCGTCCACTTTAGCCTCTAAAGAGCCCTCTAGCCCCAGTTCGTCGTCCACGCATAGAGGATGCGAGCAACATGTGTTAGTCCACAGATCTGGGAAAGTAATTTTTTCGGACGCACGCTGCTGCAACAGAAGTTTCCCGTCGCTATTGAACAAGAAGACTGAAAAGGCACGGTGAAGCAGACCTTGGTCGATGTTGCTCATGAGATGGCACAGTTTTTTGGTGCCTGCACCGACTGCGGTGTCATCCCAGTCCAAAACAATGCAGTTTTCGTTCATGAGACGGATTTGTTCTTCGTCATGTCCGTCGAACACTAGGTCACCTTTTTCGCTCCCACTGCTCTCGCTGGAGGCCGTATTTGGTCGTTTTTGAAGCGGGATGACTTCTGGAAACGCTGTCAAAATATCCTGGGCGTCTAGGCCTTTCACCAAAGTAGCGTATTCGCTCATTATCGGTTATAATGTATGGCTTAACAGTTGAAGCTGTGCTCTCTTTGGTTAGCAGAGATATTATTCAACGGGTCTTGAATAGAAAGATTGTTAATTTAGCTGGTTAAAATTATATTATGTCAAGAAAGTTTCCGGTCATGTGATACTTGAGTATAGAAGGTGAAAAACGACACTTTCGTTAATAGTGATTGATGTTTGATGACAGTTTTCCTTTCCTTTGAATAGAATGAGCTTCTGAGAGGTTTGGGCGTGAAGAAGAGAGTATGTTACTTGTTGAGAACTCCAGGTTTTCCAAAACTTATGTGTATCGGATGGATCTAACTCTACGATCTAGCGTCAAATTTATGACAAAGTGATCAGAAACACGTGATACATGACAGCGACAGATCTGATAAAGAAAAAGCTTCAAGCGCCCATGATGCAACGGGCAACGGATGGGATCATTCTCAATAAGACAGCTGTCATACCACGACACTTCAGAGATTTTATCGGAGTCTCACAACGAGTTTAAACACCAGTTGGGTTTTGAAACTTTCTTTTATCTTTTTTTAGCGGACATTGTTTTGTATGCTAGCAAATCAGAAAAGGCGGCTTCCAAACTACTGCTCTAGAAACATCTTGCAGGTGGCTCAGCTTTTGAGACTGTGAATCGTCATTTTCCAGAAGCTAGAAGATCGATTTGGGCAGCGTTTGTTCCAAAATTCTCGGAATTCTAAACGCACGTTAGTAGAAATGGTGAGTCAGAGCTGTAACAGTATGAAATACCACATAGTAGACTTGGTAACAAGTGCAAGGCACTCAATAGAAATGGTAGTTTTACATCTTCTGGAGATCATGTGACCAACGTCATTGATCAAATGAATGACTGTGTATAGGGTGACAATGCAGTAAGCATCTTTAGGAAGAGGAAGAAACCTTGATACCTGTAAATTGATGGGATTTGTAAGGCAGAGGTCTTTCTGGCGTATGTAAATACTTTACCTTTCAGGGTGTATATGACTAGCTTTCTGAAGATAGAACTTTGAGAGCACGAGCGTAAAGATGTTACGGAATTAAATGACAGTGTTTGGAAAAAGCTGTAAAATTAATCACAATTGAACTTCAAAGTCCGGAAGATAGACTGTTAAGAATTTTACACAGAGAAGGTGTTTTGAACAGGATAACCTCCACGGTAAGTTTGAAACAGGCGATTTTAGTTGATACACGGGAGAAAGCGCTGACACGTGTCACGTGGTTTTCGAACACTCTATTATAAAGCTGACGTCGTATGGTGTGAGAATTTGAGAACGGGAATAAAAACATCACTGTGAACACAGTATGGCAGGGAATGCTGGACACGATTAGCGTCATAGCAAAAGGGCACTCACACTAACACAGAGAAGATAAAGATAAAAATTGTTGTCATTGTAGTTGTAACTCAGCATGTGTCACGTGACAATATCAACCAATCGACGATAGCTCAAGTTTGTTCATTTTTTTCATGGAAAAGAGCCTTGAATCTGAGTAGCTCGTCACAACAACCTTCTTTAATGGGACCCCCCATATGCCTCAATCATTTCCAGTGTCCATTACTGATCTCTGTCACGTGACATTTCCGAAAAAATCGCAGCTCACAATTCCCTTTCATGGTAAATAAAACAAACCCCATAAGTTCCCTGGTCTTTCACTCTCTCTACTATACAATCGTATTCCAAATTCACAACTCAACCGCAAAATTCAAGCCACTAACCTCATTTTTACTGCACACCTGCCATCTGGCTCTTACATCACGTGCTCAAAAAATAGCGGTCATCTGATCTTTCTTTCCTCTCCGATTCATTACCCGGCAGAAACGGTCATTTCTCAACACGTCAGTTAGATCTATGTATATATATGACCAAGCCTTTAAAATGGAAATTCAAAATTCAAAACTCGAATCACCACCTTTCTGTCCGGTTCTTCAAGCCATTGACAACGAAAAAGAACGTTCAGCAAGCATCTAGAAAGCCACAATGTCGAGCGACGGGCCTGTCAAGAGATCCAACAACATCAAAAGACCCGATGTGGGCGCCAGAGACAAAAAACTGGACGTTTTGAAGACGCAATTGAAGAAGATCGACACGGAGGTGCAAGCGATCAGAAAGCAGATTGACCAGCAACAAGTGGGTGGAAGTGCTGTGGATCAGAAGCAGGGGCTCCAAAACGAATTGCGCAGCATCATCAAGACGCAAAGCGATCTCAAATCGCGCAGACAAGCGATCCACGACCAGATCAAGAACCTGGACAACGAAATGAAACGCAAAAAGGCGCAAATTGCGACCAGAACGGGCGGAAAGGCGCAATACCAGTCCACGGAAGACATCGCTGCCCGCAAACGCACCATCGACGCCGATATTTCGTCAGGGGAGCTCTCCCTTGTGGAGGAAAAAATGATGGTCAAAGAACTGCAGTCTTTGAACAAGCTGCAGCGTGACCTGCAGGCAATTGAGCCCGTGCGTAAGTCCATGGACAATGACAGAGCCGCCATCGCCGCGTTGAAGCAGGAACTCAACGAATTGAACCCCAAGGAAGTTTCCAACAAGTTCGAGGCCACACAATCGAAGCTCAACGAGATCCAATCCAAGAACCAAACCGTTTACGACAAGCGTCAGGCCTTGTTCACCAAGCGTTCCGCTCTGTACAAGAAGCGTGACGAAGTCTACTCACAGATTACCCAGATTCGCGCGGACTTTGACAACGAGTTCAAATCGTTCAAGCAGAAACTCGACAAAGAACGTTTGAAGCGTGAAGAAGACCAGAAACTGTCTAAGCTACTCGAGGAAAAAGACGCGGCGGCGGGCAAGCTCCAGGAGAAATTGCTTCACGCTCGTCTCCCAGCGTTCACTTACGAAATCGGTGCCATTGAAAACGTGTTGTGCGTCTTGGACCCCACCTACGTCAAGCCTGCTAAGCATACACTTGAAGTTCCAGCCGATTCATCCGCCAACGTTCAGCCAGCGGCTAGAAAGGTCGAAGCTGACGATCTAGAGCCTATCGTCAAAGAAGAAAAAGTGGACTTCTTCAGCGGTGGTGGCAGTAAGTCCAAGAAAAACAAGAAGAAGCAAAGCTCCTCCACTTCCACTTCTTCAAATGGCAAGTTCTCGTTGGAGCCAACTTTGATTGCTACTTTGGCCGAATTGGATGTCACAGTTCCATTGAACAAAGAAGAAGTTCCAAAGGCCATTGATCAACTAAAGGTCAAACACGATGACTTCATTTCCAGACAAGAAGCTCAAACCGAAAAGAATATCAAGGAGGCTGAAGCTCAATTGGAGAAACTCAACTTGGATTTTGACAAAAAGGAAAAAGCTGTCAAGGCCGAACTAGAGCAAAAGAGAGCTAAAGAACAAGAGGAATCTAAGGAAGACGAAGAATGATTTGATAAACAAAAGTCACAAAATTTTGTTACTATCTTGTGTCTTGTATATACTAGCATCCCAAGTGTTTATTACTTTCCAAAAAAAAAGAAAAATCTAAGTGTCTGTCAACGATCGACTACTCAGAGCAGCAACTGTAAGTTTACGTCAATAGGATGCGAACTAGAAAGTTGAGGTTTCTGGCTGTATTTACCGCTCAACTCGGCTCTCATATTCTGCAATAAACTGAGGAAAGTTTGTTGCGGCTGCATGCTCAGCACTTTGACAAAAGCGTGAGACATAGCACCTGTGGCCTGACCGTTTTCCACCGCATCAGCAGATGTTTGGTTGTCTTTAGAACCACTAATCATGATGATATCAGCAGGTGAGAACTTGTTTTGTATAACATAGTCTCGGTTCGAGTTTCCTGTAGCCTTCCTGGTTGCGCTTTTAAACATTGAGCCCAATGAACGCATCATGTTACCAGTATTTCCTGTAGCGTAAGCCATGGCCGCTTGCAGTCCATCTTGCCCCACGTCTTTCCACAAATTGGGTTCCTTGACAACTCCCTTAGTGGAGTACGTGTAGGGGAGGTCCAAAACGGTTCCTGAATGGCACGAGTCGAAGAGGGCGGTAAGTCTAACACCTGGAGGTAAAGGTCTGACCATGATGTCGTGCATTTCGTCATCCGTTATGTGTCCCTGCGACTGAAAGTCAACAGGGTAGATAACGTCATCCATCCCATCTTCTTCATCGCCGTCCAAGTCCTTGGTTTGACCACCGTGACCGGAATAATGAATGAAGAGTGCATCGTTGGGTTGTGCCCCATTGACTAGCCATTGCATGGCGCGCAGAATGTTTTGCTTGAGAGGTACTCCTGCCATGTTTTGCTGGTCATCGGTGAGCACGACAATGTCTTCGGGACGGTAGCCGTACCGGGATGTCAAAAAGTTGTGCATATTGTGAACATCGTTGATGCATCCACGAAGTTCGTTTTGGGAGCCGAAGTAGTTAATTCCGATTAGTAGAGCTTTACGTTTCCCGTTACACTGCGAGTACTGGTAAGAAAACTCGTTGTTGGACCCACTACCTGCGACCTGGGCCTGTTGCGGTGGAGCCATCATGTTTTGGGGCTGCTGGTACTGACTAGGCCCATTCACAAAGCTAGGTTGCGCATGATTGGCCTGAACATCGCTTCGATTCTGCTGGTTGGGTGGAGGAGGTTGTGAAGGTCTCTGGTACCCCTGGCCGCCGAAAGAGCCACCGTCCTGCATATTTGGAGGTGGTGCTCCCGGTCTATTGTACTCCTGGTACTGTTGCTGGCCTCCGAACCCCGGTGGTGGGCCGTTAGGTCTCGAAGGCCGGTTTTGGTTTTGTTGTTCTTGATTGGCGTACGTGTGTCGTCCAGCGCCGGGAAACATGGCTATAGATTTTCAATAGGCGCGGTGTATGAAGGGATGACGGTTTCCCGAGCTCCGAACAGCAGTTGGTGATGTGGTCTGGTGGTTGAGAGTTCAAGTTAACTTGGTTGAGGCGTAGAATATATACCCTGTTCAATTAGAGAAGTGAATATTTTTCGTCGGACGGTACAATTCGGTGCATTTCGGTGCATTTGTGTCACGTGCTTAAATGGGTTTCTATCTAAGGTTTTTAACGCTTAAAAAGACCTTGAAAAGACCCATAACATGAACAAAAGGCAGATCACATCGGATTCTATGCTATTTGACGATCATTTTGATACCTATCTTGCTTGGTATTCGGTTTCCTTTTTTTGTGTGTGTTTTTAGCCGCCGATACGGTTTTTAATATAAATACAAATGATATTTCTATAACTTGACATAACCATGAAACAAAACACCGTCAAGAAAGGTAACAGTATGGAAATTACGTGACGCTCAAGGAATAAGATTCTATCGGCTGAAAAGCAGGTTGCCGATTTCATTAGAATCGCTGTTTTTGACGTTTTTAGTTGATGCGGCACACGAAATTGGTGTATGAACAATTCAGTTATCTCTCAATTGGCTTACAACAGTGGAGAAGGAAAACATTAAAAGAAAAGTTTTAGGAGGAATACAATGTTGAACGGCTCGCCAGAGTGCTTTAGCGTAATGAATATGAGAAACGCCCAGTGCAAACCTGAGATGGTGACTCGATTTATTGAAGGTCAAGTTCAAAAAATGTCTGGCGAGCTTTACTGGAAAAGAACCGCCAAAAAGACTCAACAAAGAAGGATATGCTACCACAATTCATCGAGACACTTTCCCAGGCCATCAATCCAAATGAGGACTCGTTCTTGTCGTCTCCTCTTGCCGTGACTCGCTAGCCAGTTCTCGAATTGTCACTATAGACGAGGTGGCTTCTCTAAATCTGGACTTTTTGTTTTGTTTTGATCTGATTTGTTTTCACCACCAGGAGAATTAAACTACAACCTTGAAAAGGTCAAAAGTATAAAATAAACATCGAAAAGACCTAGAAAATCGAGCCTATTCGAACGATATTCTTGTTTGGTGTCGGAGCAACAACGTTGTCCCTTTTTCTCTGATTAAAACCATTCCGTTCTGAGCATTTTACGGCCAAAATCAAATAAACTGCCGGGCTTTTTCACAGCAAGTGATTTTGAAGGAGAAATGTCTGAAACATCGGAAGATCCGCTTCATAAATTCGAGGCTCAGTTTCAGAGCTTTGTGAAGAACAATCCTAATGTGGCCTCAGCAGCCCACGGTGCCTCACAAATTCCGGAATCGGCTAAAGCAGTGGTGGTTTTGTCGCCATTATCCTTGCAACACCAATTCCCCCGGCATTGGGTATCCAAATCGTACCGCAAAACCATCGTGGAGCGACCAGAACGGCTGCTGGCATGCTCGATGGGTGTCGCAGCAGCCATTACCATGTATCCAGCCCTGTTCACGCTAAAATCATCGCATACCCGGCAAACCTCGTTACTGGCAGACCATGTCCTTAAAGTGCACGGCAGAGACTGGCCTGAAGAGCTGCTGCGATTATGCCGAAACTCCCAAAAGGCCCTGGACCGGGGCGAAGTAGAAGTTCCTGAATCCTGGAATGTGGGTGATATATATTTGTCGCGTCAAACCATCGGGGCACTTCAGGGTTCTATTGGAGCGCTTGAAGTTGGCGTCGACTCCATTTTTCAGGGTCGATCGGTAGAAGAAACCAGCAACCGTGCATTTGTCGCTCTAAGGCCCCCAGGACATCACTCTCATGCCACAACCCCATCGGGCTTTTGTTTGTTGAACAACGCACACATCGCAATCGAATATGCAGCAGATACGTACGGAGTCACTCACGCTGTTGTGCTAGACTTTGATTTGCACCATGGGGATGGTACACAGGACATTTGTTGGAAAAGAGCAGGATTCAAGCCGGATGAGGGCGCTGAGGCGGGTGCTGAGTATAATGAGTTCGGTAAGAAATTTGCAGAATACCCCAAAGTCGGCTATTTTTCGCTTCACGACATTAACTCATTCCCATCGGAGCTTGGATACGCGACCAAGGAAAACATAAGGAACGCTTCGACGTGTATCATGGATGCACACGACGTGAACATCTGGAATGTTCACTTGCAGCGTTTTGATTCTGATGAGGCCTTTACCAAGTTATACCAAACCAAATACAGAACAATTTTTGCTAAAGCCGACGAATATTTCAGAACGGCAAAGCACACTATGAAGGCTTTGGGCAAGCCTTTCAAAGGTTTGGTTGTTGTGAGCGCGGGGTTTGATGCTTCGGAGTTTGAACAAGCTTCAATGCAAAGACATGGCGTAAACGTGCCAACTTTCTTTTACAATATGTTTACCAAAGATGCGCTAAAGCTCGCCCAAATGCATACACACGGTAAAGTGCTGTCTATTTTGGAAGGCGGTTATTCGGACGGGGCCATTGCGTCTGGGGTTTTTTCGCATTTGATTGGACTCCAAAATCAAAATTGGATTAACGAATGGGGCTCTTCGCAAGTAATCAAGGAGATTGTGCGCGGTTGCAAACCGGCATGGAAACCGTACAAGAGCAAGCGATCCCGGGATGTTATTCGCATTTGGGCGGAAGAAGTGATTAAATTAGGTCGCTCGATGATTCCTGAATTTGAAGAAATTTTGTTCCAGGCAGAAGTGGTCGATACCAATCTGGATTCTGGGAAACGGATGACCAGATCAAGAAAGACAACAATTCCAGCGGCGCATCCAGCCACCGTAATAGAGACGCCTGTCTCACTGCCCCGCAGTGAGACGCCAACGCCAGACGACAAACGGTATATCAGTAAACAGCAGGTCGCAACCGTTCCGGAAGCGACACATGCGAAGAACGTGCCGTTCGTGCAGCAAGAGTTGGGCAGCGACGAGGACGAAGACGAAGACGACGATTACGAGTACGACGAGGAACTCAACAAGACGTTCAATCGCACAGTGGAGGATATCACGATCGACGATATCTCGCGGCATCTGGAGAGTTTGGACATCGAGCAACCAGCGCCGCCGCCGTCGTCGTCGAGCAGCTCTTCCCAAAGTGGTGGATCGCGTCCGCATACAAGATCCTCTGCAGCCCGCCACGATGAAGCGACGGCAACATCGTCGTCGTCTGGTTCTTCTGGCTCGACCCACGATGCACGGCGGCCGGTATCGTCGTCCAGTGCAAACAGCTACAAGATCCCCTCTGGTTCAACCACGCGGCATCTGCGCAACAGTCGTACTTCGCGCTTGATGAACTTTGACGACAGCGACATATCGATGGTCTCGCACATCTCCACGGCCAAGGGCCACACCACACGCAGCGGAAACACCAAGTGGTGAGCTAAGCTGCAAACCAACCTACAAAATCCAAAATCCAAAGAGGGTCAAAGAGGGTCAAAAAGCCAAAGACAATGATAATAAAGTCAGTCATCTGGCGAAAAATCTGCTGTATGTGTGTGTCAAGCCAGCAATATCCCCGCACTGCTCTTGACACCGCTCTTTTGTCATTATCAGCCCAAACTTTAAGCAGAATGGCCTCAATATTTTGTTTTTTGGCCCTATCTTCTCTCAAACGCATAGAATCACCTTCTATTGCATTGTCCAGCACTATTGACGCATTAATCTAATCAATCAGCCTTAAAGCCGCACACGTGACGGAGTTTATTCTAGAAACCAGAATTTCCAAAATTTCAAAGAAAAAGAAACACAAATTTTCGCCATATATAAGGGACCGTTTCTACACTGGTTGGATGGATGTCTTTCTACTCCTGTTTTGACACTTTTATTCTTCAAATTCTCCCAATACCGATAATTTTATCGAAACACACACACACACACACACACACACACACACACTTTTCACCACTCAGAAGAAAAAATGCTTTCAGAACTAGCAAACTACGGCTGTGAAAACAACTGTCAATGCAGCAAAGACCAGTGCACCTGTCCCAAGGGCCAGTGCAGCTCATGCAGCTCGTGCAGCTCCAAGAAGGCGTGTTCCACGGCTTGTGGCTGCGGTGCCCAGTGCAAGTGCGGTTCCAAGGAGGAATGCAAGTGTGACAAGTGCTAAGCTATCACGCTCATCTACATGATGTTCTACATGATGTACGGTTTACGAAATTTCAAGCATTAAGTTTTAGTAGTTGTTACTTATTTGTCCATCCAGGAGGTCTGTTTATTCCTAAGAATCTATTACAATAGTCATTTAATCGGTGTTTTTGTCTGTCTACTATATCCTGCGGTACTCGCGGAACGATAGTTTTGTTTTGTACTCTTCGTATGACAGGATATATGTTTATCGAAAAATTTCGTGTCAAACGACTAGAATATTAGAGCTTTTTCAGAACAAATAGTTAAACTCTAGTTTTTGCTGAACAAAAGTTCTAGTAGTGACGTTAGTTGAATCGCAAAACAGATAGTCCCGATTGTTTTGTTTTCTGGCCATTTGCTTTCCTTTGTTGCCCTCTACTTCTCTGACGTTTCTTTAATTATTTTTTTTTTCAAATCGCTGTGTAGCAGTACTAAGTAAGCTCTTTCTTCTTTGCACATCTTACTTCATCAGTGCAAAAAAACGTTTTTGACGCTATTGCAAACCCTTTCAGAATCGCAAAGCCGGTGGTGAAACCCTAACGCTATCGATTAAACTCTATATAAACCAACGAAACAATCTCGTTATGGAAACTTATCTATCCTATCTTGTTCCTTTGTAAAACTCCCACTAAGCAAGCCACACAGACTACGCTACAAACCAACAAACAAACAAACAACACATCTCAAAAAATGGGTAAAGCAGCCAGTAACACTTCTCACGCCATCCAAGCCGGTAACAAAGCCATCATTGTTTCTCCATGGCAACACAAAGTCATCGAGGTGACTCCATTGAACAAGTTTGGCGGACAATGCAGCTTCAACGGGATCATGAACGGTGAAGTGTCGTTGAACGACCGCTACTTGCACCAGGTGGCTATTGTCGAGAATGGCGAGTTTGTCGGCTTGAGAGACGAATAAGCAAGCGACACGATAAACTTAGCTACGAGACCATTAACGATATTCTAATGACGTCCATATATATATATATATAAATTACTCTAATAGTGCTAATGAACAATCATTTTTAGTTGAAATTCATTCAGAAACGGTAAGTTTGAGAAGGAAAGATAGAAGTAAGGGTGGCCAGGGTCCGGTCAATGTACAAGAAGAGGTTCCATTGAGTGAAGGTAACGTTTGGGTTTCAAATGGGTGGAAATAGCGACAACAAGATTCATTAAGGTCTCGTCAGTTTAGAATTGGGCTGAGATTGAAAATCGAATTAAGGGTCCATTTACCACACGTGATATCCACATGAGTCGTTTTTCACGACAATTTTCGATGACACATTTGAGTCACGTGACAGGCGTTCTTCTTACGTAATATACATTTGACTCTGCATATATTACACGTGTTTCTTGACTCGGCATGTCCGTCCGTCTTGATTTTAATTTTTCTGACTCCGTCCGTTTATACAAAACATGTCACTATTCACGACACTGGCTTTCTCTCTCTCAAATCAAAATCTCATCGCGGTCTTCAACCACATTCACTAACCGAACGACCAGTATAAAACTGGAACCTTTTCGCAGCTTTAGACTTCGAACTTCTTCAACAATAGCATATTCTGGGGCCTTCTCTCACACCCTACACTTCTCCAGAGTTTTCCACCCATTTTCGCGGTCGAAAACGGTTCGAATAAGCTCATCTCTACATCTTTCTGGATTCTCCATTTCTCCCGTTTACACACTCACACACACACACACTACAATGCTCTTTACAAGAAGATGCTGGACTCATCTTTCCAAAAGAGCCATTTCCGGTACTAAAACCGCTACCGCTTCTCCATCGCAGCCAAAAAGACGCAGATCAACCACATTTTCCGATACCCTCAACAAAGGCCCATCTTTCGAAGATTTCGTCAACGGAAAAGCCGCCCAAGTGGTTTTGGATCCTCTACAACAGGCAAGGAATAATTTGGAAGAAGCTAAACGGTTGCCCAAATGGCTGAAAGTGCCAATTCCAAAAGGTTCAAGTTTCCATAAACTAAAGAAAGATGTGAGAGAACTGAAATTAAGCACAGTGTGCGAAGAAGCAAAATGTCCCAACATCGGTGAATGTTGGGGAGGAGCGGATAAATCCAAGGCCACGGCAACTATCATGCTTCTGGGTGACACCTGCACCCGTGGCTGCAGGTTCTGCTCCGTCAAGACCAACCGGACACCTAGCAAACCGGATCCTATGGAACCTGAGAATACCGCTGAAGCTGTATCGCGCTGGGGTTTGGGATACGTGGTGCTCACTACAGTCGATAGAGACGATCTTCCGGATGGTGGATCGCATCATTTGGCAGAAACAGTCCAAAAAATAAAACAGAAATCTCCAAATACTCTAGTTGAAACCCTATCAGGAGACTTTAGAGGCGATCTCGACATGGTCAAGGTCATGGCGCAAAGCGGGCTAGATGTCTACGCGCACAATTTGGAAACCGTTAAAGAATTGACCCCACACGTGAGAGATAGAAGAGCCACGTACGCGCAGTCGTTAAGCGTTCTCAATCATGCCAAGAAAAGTGTCCCTACTCTCATCACCAAGACTTCTCTAATGCTTGGGTTGGGCGAAACTGACGAACAAGTATTGCAAACACTGAAGGATCTACGTGCTATCGGTTGTGATATCGTAACATTTGGTCAATACATGAGACCAACCAAAAGACACATGAAAGTTGTGGAATATGTCAATCCAGAGAAATTTGAGTATTGGAAGAACAAAGCCCTAGAGCTTGGCTTCCTTTACTGTGCATCGGGACCTTTGGTGAGGTCGTCATACAAAGCTGGCGAAGCTTTCATCGAGAATGTTTTGAGGAAAAAAACCACCAACTAATCGAAGCATCACGTATCGACTACGTGGAAGACATGCTCGGCCTATTTGCGCTTTAAGCGCACGGATAAAGTTCATAACACATTATAGTAGACAGAGAGCCTATTTATCACTAACTAATATTACATGTGAGGTATACTGAGTGTCAGTTGCTCTCTCAAAGAATCGCTAACAGGCTCTTCATTCTCAAAAATACAACCGAAATCAACCACAAATGGTTGAATCACATTTACCGGTATGTTTAAAGTGGGCGAAAATACAATGCACAAGTTTCGCAAGTTCATCTTGTTGATGGATGATTTTTGATTGATTTTCACCAGCAGTTCGAACAAAACATACATCAAAGACAGATTTTCGAATGGCATTTCATCCAAGTTCACCAATTGGCGGAATTTCAGTGCTACTTGACTTGCGTTCTTTTCGCTGTCTATGACATTTTTGAAAGCGATAAACATGTCATCACCGAAAATCGAATGAGGCATCTGCCGCAGATAAAGCTTGAGCAATCCAGTCACGGTATTAACATCAACAAGTCCGGTGCTATAAGAGTTTTTTTGTATTTCTTCTGTCACAACATTTTCGTTAAAGCTACAGAGATCGACATCATATTCTTTGTCGAACTGTTCTTGTAACGACTTGATGAGCACAGTTGAGCCGCTTATTCGGAAAATGCCTTCTTCCTCCAAGCCACGGTTGCGGTAAAGGTATTCTAGGCATCGATACACCAAGCTGGGTATTTTGAACCTGCCCTGGTATAGTTGAGAACTCAACGATAAGCAATGATCCAGATCTGACCCAAAAACTTTGTCTGTTGATACCACATTGGCCAAATTCATAGACTGCAGCGTTTTCGCAATTGAAAGCTCATCCAGTCCGGGCACTGGTTGTGCTTGATTACCTTCCGCGGTAAGGTCAGAATCGGGCATCTGAGAGACATTGACCTTCTTGAAAGGGAAAAAACTTCGCATTCGACTTCTTTTAGACTCTTTATCATCTTCTGTGGGTATTGTGTCCGCATTAAAAGCAGCTGGAGTTTTTACGGCAGGCTGAAGATTCGCCATGGGGCCAATATAGCTAGGGGTTGAATCACTGACAGCATCTCCAAGAGATGTATGATCAAGCATGCTTGAGCTTTCCGATTTCGCGTAAGTAGAAGTATTGGACATAACTGAGGACTCGACGAATTCGGTAAGAGTTGAGATCCACGATTCTCTTTCTTTCGGACTTTCACAACAAAAATAGTACTTGGTCCCGCTCGAGAGGCCGCTCTTCTTGGGCACAATGACAATAAACCCATTCTTAGTACCATATCTATCGTCTGGCAAGTTAGCCTGGAGTTCAATCACCGCATAGTTTAGTTTGATGTTCTCAGTAACTTGACCGTGATCAAGAAGCGACAAAGTACCATTATTCAAGACACCATAAGTGAGACGCCACGTATTGGGAGTTCCCAACGCCTTACTTTTACGCATAAGCAAAACACCTTCTTTCGTATACCCACCAATAAAAGAGCTTATGACGGTGTCGGTACTTATGAATTTCGCCATCTTTAGCGCTATCAGTGGGGAGAGGTTTGTAGAATTGTAAAGACAGCTGAAATAATCATTGAGCTTGTCCCTCCTGTAATCTACTTTAACTGGAGAACACGAGTCGAAGAACTGCTTTTCGGGTAGTGGCGGGAGCATTATTGTGTCCATATGACATTTGAGGTAGACATCTAACTCATAGACGCGATCTATGGTTTTCGCAAATCTAAAAATTTCCTTCGCGGACTTTTTGTCAATGACACTGAACAGTATAGAGTTGTCATCATGGAATCTCTCTTGATCGCGATACAGAGTACTCAAGATCTCGATTCTGATACCATTAAGCTCGTTCGGCTGTAAAAACAATGGTATGTCTGAGACTATGCTTCGAGCATCAGCAGCGGACGGAGTTGACGTGACTTGAGCTATCTGATCAGTACCAAAAGTTCCTTCGTTCTCTGTACGCGGATGACTTTTAGTACTAAAAGACCTTGGAGATTGTTGATCTTCTGTAGAGAAACTGTATGAACCTGTCGAAGAGGCCATGGTACTGATGAGAGGCCGTTCCTCATTCGCGGGATTTTGCAGCTTTGTGGAGCTCATTAACGATTGGCCTGAAACTGGTGACGCCACCGGCTTTTTCAAAGCCACCGGTGAGCCCAGGGCTCGCGATCCATCTTGCTGAATGGCAAGTCCCCTTTGAGGAGACGAAGGACCCTGACTCTCAAAAGTAGAATCCAACATATCAGCAAAGTTATTGAGGTTGCGTTTCGAAGAAGGAGAGAACTCGCCGGGATTGCCCTCCGTTGCAAGAAGATTTGGGACTGGGCTCTTTGGATATGCTTTGCGTGCCGAATTGTCCGTCAAATTATGATGGCTGCTACTGTTTGACACCTGCCTCAATGGAGAAGTGAAAGATTCATGTATGGAGGCGGCAGCACCTTTGGTGTTTTGGCGTGAAGAGCCGCTCTTGTCCGACATATTGATGGTCGATTCGTCCTCTTTTGCGGCAAAATTTTTGTTACTTTTAGAAGGCGATATTCTGGATGTTGTGTAAGCGACTGAAGTAGCAGGACTGGCTGCTGCGAAATTTGAATATGAGGAGCTAGATCTTCGGATGCGATCAAGTTCACTTGGTGACAGAACGTGTTCGTTATCCTCGTGTTGTCGAAGAATTGGTGTGCTGTCATTATGAGGACCAGTCCTTTTCAGACCGACATCTGCGGGGGAAAGAAGGTTCCGAAACCTCAGATCTGGAATCGTAGGGTCACTGACGGAATTGAGACTCAAGTTTTTGGCATTCCGCTTTCTGTCGGCAGATCGTGGTGGTAAAGCCGGTTGTGAATCTTTTTTAGCTGCCGCCCCATCTTCAATCCCTCTTTCTTCAACAACCAATTGCTGCCTAACGGTTTCCAACTGTGCGCTGCGATCTGATTTCAGCATCTCGACGAATTTTTTTAAACTTACCATCTCGGTCTCGTATTCCTGTAGTTGCAGTCTCAATTTAACATTCTCTTTGAGAAGCTCATCGTAACTGAGCTCACCAGGACCTTCTAAGCTGCCCGAAGGTATTGAAGCGCTATTTTCCCTTTCAAACTTTGGCAGTTTTTCGTCTCGTTCAGAGACGTGATTGTCGTACTTGGACAAAAGCTCCAAAGTAGCAGATGAGCTTGATACATTTCCTTCAAGCCCCATTTCAATTCAGCTTCCTACTTCTTTACCACCCTTCTGCGAGCTTTTATCCACCTTCGCGATAGTTTTATAATGATGCGATTCTTAGTCTAATTCGAGCACCAAAAGCTCAAACAGTGGCCAAATAACTCCCGGATTGTACCCAAACAGTTTGTGGACTTTTGAGTTTCGCAATAGGGCCACGCAAGGCTGCTTTAAAGCTGTGTGTTCTATCTCTTTTCTTGTTTCACTCGTTGAAGTTTCTTGAAGGAACAACTAAGATATATCATATATAAACCTGATAAATATCGTGAATTTAAACGCGAAATCAAAAGATGGTATATAAAGTGATGACGCTTGCAATATTCTTGTGTTCATACGTTCAGCATTTCGGCAAGACGTTTCTTGTCTTCTCTCTCTGTTTTGAGCGTATTATTGAGTCTAGTGAGTTCATCGCGTAGACTGGTATTTTCCACATTAAGCCTTTCCATCTTGTCTTGATACTTGGTTTCGTAGCCCTTCTTGAGCATTTTCACTTTCTGCTCGTGCTTGGAGGAGTATTGGATGTAAAGGTCCTCTGCAAGAAGCTGTAGTCGTTTGCTTGTGTCTACATCCTTTTCGCGAAGCTGCTGTTGTAATTTTTCGATCTGAAGTCGCAGCTCACCACTTGCAGCTGTATCTGCTGCGGCGTCTGCTGCGTCGTGTGCTGAATCATGCCTTGCTTGATTTGCGATATCATTATTTAGCTGGCTTTGTACTTCGTTCCGTTTGGTTTCCAGCCGCGTAATTTGCTCGGAGCTTACACGCAGCGATTCCTGTAACGATGTCATTTGCTGGTGTAGCTGTTCAAGCTCCACCAGATGCTCAGATTCCAAGTTTCCGTTCCGGAACTGAAAGCTTTCTAGCTCCACGGCCAATCGGTTATTTTCCGTGCACTTGTTGTCGAACTTGTGTTTCCATTCTTCAACAGCTGCATCTCGGATCTTGACGAATTCTTCTAGATGGGCTTTAGTCTGTAGTAATTCATCATTATCGTGCTGCAATTCTTCCAACTCAGCAGAACGTATGGCTATCTGATCGGTAACGCTTTCAAGCTGCCTCTTGCTCTGCGTCAGCGCTTCTTCCAAATCCTGCCGATGTTGTTCAAGTTCTTTCTCGCGTTCGCGATATTGACTTATTTGATCGTTTGCCACCTTGATCTCTCTTTCCAATGCGCCTATCTTATTTTCGCCTTCACCAAGCGCCTTTTCAACGTCATTCTTACTTTCAAGCGCTTTTTCAAACCAGTTCAGCTGGCTCACAAGGTTTGTCACACGAGCCTCAAGTTCTGTTGTCGACTGCCGTTTGGTATCAATTGTGTTTTGCAGGTCTCTATACGCAGCGTCCTTGTCACGGATCTCATCTTCGAAGTTCTCGATTTCTTTCTTCAGCGCTCGAGCCTCAAGATCATATTGGGCTGTGGAGTTTTTCAAAGTCGTCACCTCTATCTCTTGATGGTCTTTTTCGGCTCGAAGCTGGTCTCTTTCCCCTTGCAAGTTTTCCACTCTTAACTGCAGTTTTTTTTCAAGCTCGAAACGCACGTCCAGTTGTTTTTTCAAACTGTCGTTGTCTTGAACCTGGACTTGAAACTTTTCCTGTAGTATTTGCGAATTCTGGTGCAGCATCTTGATTTCATTGCGCAATTCCGATAGTTTTGTTTTCAATTTAGAGACCCGCTCTTCGAGCTTGTTCTTGTCGCTCGACACCCTCTCGAATTCTTCGGCCCGGCTTTCCCATTTCGCTACTCTTGCTGCCTGTGAAGCTTTAAGTACTTCATGGTCGCTCCAAAGAGCCGAAAATGCAAGATTTTGTGCATCTAGTCTTTCGTCCAGCTCTTTTATTTTCTCGAGATAGCTTATCATCCCTTTGCGATACTCCTCGCTCTGTTGGTGTTTTCCCTGTAAAAGATGCTCATATTTGTCGAGCTCTTGACGAAATCGAGTTTGTAGTGCTAGTATTACACCATCTTCTGAGCTTTCAACATGGCTTTTCAGCGGTGTCAAACTGTCTAGATTCGGAAGACCTGTACCGTGGTCTTGATGGTGGTGTTTATGATCAACTGGTGTGAGCGGATGTCTTTCTGGCGAAAGGCATTCTGGCGAAAAGCGTTTTGCGGATGACAAAAGATTTCGAAACAAGGAGGTCTGATTTCCGTTCTCGTGTTCCGTTAAATCGCTATTTGAGATGTTCTTAACTGCAGTAGAGATCATACCAGACAGTATTTCTTCAACGTCATCGACCTTGTTACCAGGGGACTCGGCGTCACGGTCCATCATTTCTATAGGCGCCGGCGAAGAGTCGAGACTTTCGGCAGAATTTTCCTTTCTTGCCACTCTCTGTTTCTTACGGGCTGATTCCGTCTCTTCGTCCCCATTTTCCTCGTCCCGCTTTGAATCGTTCTTGGCATCATCACGAATGATATCCCGGTGTTTGAGCGGTGCATTTCTGTTGATGTAGGGAACAGAACCGAACTTTCGTGTATCTGGATGCGCTTGTTTTAATGGAGTACTGAAGCTCTCTGCTTGAGCCCTGTCCATCGCGCTGGAGCGGCTGTCTTTTCACTGATCAAACGCGTCATGTTTATATGGGAGACACGTAAAGATTCACGATTATCGAGTTTTAATTAACCTAGTTAATGGTGAAGTTGAAGAGAAGGTGACGAGTAAGACGCCTTCAAAGGCCCTGTGGCGATCGAACTTGAAACAATACTGCACAGGGATTTTGACCTGTTTTCAAGACTGTAGAGGTTTTTTTTCAGAGTCGAAAACCACCAGAAATCACTTATTTTGACGATCAAGAAGTTCATGGAGCTGGATCTTCTTAGAGCAGCAAGGTTTCTGCCATTTGTAAACACGTTCCATTTCTGCTAGTCAAAGCTTGTATTTATAAGTAGAACTGTACTCTTTTCGGGTTTTCCGTAAGGTCTTGTTGCGATTTACGTGAACAGATCCACTTAAGCAAATAGGAAGCTAGCAGTTCCAACAGGTCCACTTAACCTTTACTCTGTCTACAACTTCCAGTGACGTTTGGAAACGTCCTGGTGCCTTGATGGAGCAGACACTGATCTAAAGCTCACCGAATTTGCAACTACAGTAGCGAAATCGCCGCGTATCGTGATAACTCAAGATTGAAGTGGTTAAATCTCGGAATTCCAAGATGACTAGACCTCCACATTCATCTCTCAGGTGTTGAATAGTCTACGGTGTGCTTTACATTATCTACAGATCTTTGACGGAATGGCGGAATCGCTCGCACGACCAAATAGAACATTGTTCAAGAGTACACTACCCCACAGCACATTTATATAACGATAATTACATGAAAATGCTCGCTGCAACGAGGGCATTTACGTTGAGCCCATTAAAATAGTTCATATCGTCTTCCTAAGCTCTGATTCTCATAAAATGACCTGTTTTTCGCTTGGCTCTCAAGTTTTTCTCATAAGTGAACATTACAGCGTGAAAAATTTGGAACTCATCTCAAGTTCTTTCCATTTATATAGTCCAGCTCCAGAAAGCACAGTCATCGCCACGATATCACAACACCATGTCCAACCTGGAAGGAGCAAGAGCTTATGAGACGATTGTGGAGAGTGTGATCAATGAGGTGAGGGAAGACTTCGAAAGTGCGGGCATCGACGAACAAACGCTGCAAGATTTGAGACTGGTATGGCAAAATAAACTTTCGGACAGCCGTGTAGCCAAGTTCATGTGGGACCCAGAGGACGAAAACTCAACGTTGAATTCACAACTGCATAATTCACACATAGCGCCTAGTTTGATGGAGCCGCACGGTCTGACAATGCCAGATTTCGCATCTCCAGGGAACGATAAAACCAGCCCAGACTCCCAGCAACAACAGCAGCAACAGCAGCAACCGCAGCAACAGCAGCAGCAACAGCAGGAACAGTCGGAACAGCAGTCTCAGCAAGACCAGCAAACCAAACAGGAAGATGACGACTCGAAAGAAGAGATCGAACTTACAATCGGCGACCCTGACGGTCAGATCGCAGAGCAACTGAAATTGCAAGCCAAACAGGCCAAAAAAAGTGCGCTGCTGGAAACCGATGAAATCAATTCGGATCTGGATGACTCAGAAGACGACTACCTCAATTCCTCCGGTGACGATGACGGCCAAGACGAAAACATTGTGTTGTGTCTATATGAAAAAGTGCTTAGAGTAAAGAACAAATGGAAGTGCAACTTGAAAGATGGGCTGGCGACCATCAACTTCAAGGACTACGCCTTCCAAAAGGCTCAGGGCGAGACGGAGTGGTAAAAACTTAATAAAGGGACTCAACTCGGAAAAATGGACTGCCGTTTCCTTTAGAGAACAACAACGTCAAAGTAGTGTAAATATAATAGAAAAACGAAGTCATGAAACGCACCAGTCCCGCGAAGAAGGCTGGACAGTTTCCAACTGAGCGAGAAGTCGCGGGGAAATGAAAGCATATAAATTCAAACACGTTACATCGCACCGATTATATTAGGTAGCTGTCATTCATCGATTCCCGCCAATCATACCTAAACTATGAATCAAAGCTTCTGAGCTATGCAAATTTGAGAGAAAGCCTTAGCGCTCGCTAATCTTCTCTTTGGAGTATTTAAAACAGATCCAGCGCGGCCTTGAACCTGAGTACTCCCTCATTCTACGGGATACACTCCGTTGCCATTTTTTAGAAGCACATCCTCTATGTTACGCAAGGTCACAGCTGTTTGCGCTGTAATCATCTCTGAAATGGCACTACCTATGTGCGGCAATAGCGTCACGTCCCAGCGCTCGAAAAAGCCAGAAGCCACCTTGCAACCTTCATTCCTATAAACATCGAGGCCTGCGCTCCCCACTTTTCCCGACTCTAGACCACTTAATAAGGCATCTTCATCGATGCACGAACCGCGACCCACGTTTACTATTCTCACACCGTCTTTGCAAAGACTTAGTGTTTCGTGGTTGAGTAGGTTCTCTGTTGAAGCACCACCTGGAAGCGCCATTACAATGAGATCTGCACCCTGCCACGTTCTTGGATCCTTCAAGGACTCTCGGTATTCCGCTGGATAGCCCAATGTGTCAAAAGAAACAGGGCCAGACCGCTTATAATAGCAAATGTTCATGTCCAGCCCGCCGTACAGTTTTTTGCCAATGGCCTGACCAATGTATCCGAATCCTAGAATCAATGCAGTCTTTCCTGCAGGTGAATTGACACTTTTCCCCGCAATTGTGAACTTGGCGGATCCCAAGTTTTCGCTATCCAGAGGTTCAGGAAACGAGTATGACGCTGTCTCATGAAGAGCTGGAGCTTTTGACTTGCAGATACCATGTTTGGTACCACCGACGTATTTAAAGCACTGTGAACATTGGCCCTGGTGGATGAAGCGGAAACAGTGTTCGAAGAAAGAGGTCATCCTAAAACAGCTCAATGTTAAATGTAACGCAATTTCAGCTACGCTATTGGCGGCTTTTGGTCCAATGTTGCACACTGTGATGTTTTTCTCGTTTTTGAGTTTTGAAACGTCCAGGAAATCCGTTCCCACCCATGGTACCACGATCAACTTCAAAGTCTCGGGGAAGTCATCGAAAAAGGATGTGGGGCTATCCCAAAAAGCGCAAAATTCATCCGTAACCCATAAGCAAGCAAAATCAGAGTTTTTTAGGAATTTCTTGAAGTCATCTTTCGTAGTGATCTTGTATTCGACAAAATCTATGTCATGCTTCAAACGGGCCCAATCTTCGAGCTCTTTCGAAAGATCCACGTAGGATTTGTAGGGTATCAGCACTTTGGGCTTATTCATATTTAACAGTTCAATGGTGAGAGCAGGAAGCCTTGAGCCGTGAGAACCAAAGTTGCTTGTAATTCTCGTTCTGCAATGTTTTGAACCTAATGTCAACTACTGGCATATAAACATAAATTACATTAAAACAGTCGACTTCTCCGATGATGAACTGAAGCAACTGATGAGATCAGAAAAAGGAGCTCTTATATCTGTATAAGACTATGCAAATTAGGTAGTACTAGACAATTCTTTCTTGGCATTCCCCCACAGCTTGGCGAAACCTGTGAGACCGGACACCAATGATAATGCAGCGTAAGTGCCAGGCGGCGTCTTGAGGTTAAAAACATCCGTTGTATCTGCTAAAAAGTCAAATGTCAGCCTCACAAGATCGAGAATGACAGTTTTACGTTGACTCTCAAGTTCTTGAATCCGTTCAAGAGTAGAAGAGTTACCGGTGCCAGAGGCATGCAAATCTTGTAGCAGCTGTTGTTTTATGGGCGACGCAGCTCTATCGTGCAGTCTCGTGGAAAGCTCGAGAGCACGTTTTTTGACTTGAAGTTGGATCTCGAGCTCGAGCTGCGCGCGGTTCAAATCTTGTAGAGAGACCCAATTTTTCTTGAGTCCCAGCATGATATCGTAATACCAAGATAGAGCCTCGTGTTTGGATACCCACCGAAACAACGCTGCATGGTTCCAGACCTTGAATTTGTGGAGCAGTGCTAGTTCGTCCATAATACCGTAGTAGAGATCAATAAAATCGGCTAATGAACTTTCGTTGACCCAATTTTTGTTTATTACGGCCACGGCTATACTGCTTGTCGATATTGTAGACTGTGAAGAGCTAAGTTGCTTGGCTGTTGCGATTTGTTGCACGGTAGACCCAAGTTTTTGGCCCATGGATGCAACGCGGAATGGCGTGCCACCAAACCTCAGAATTTGGCGGAAAAGACTGAGACTTGTGCTTATTAGCGATGCACGAGACTCGAAGTTTTGCAAACAAGCGACCGTAAGGATCTTGATGATTGTTATTGGGTGCTTGAGTGCCAGACGCAGGTTCAACTGGGAAAGCACTTTTGAGTAGTGCCGAAGCACTTGAGGGTCCCATCTGGTGATTGTGGTGCGGCTTCGCCCTACAAACAGTTTCAGCAGGTCCAGCACGTACTTCAAAATCTTGGCTAGCTTGTCTTTCCCACTCAAAGTTTCAAAAATGGCCCTCAGAATATCGATATTTCTCAATGTCACTACTGCATCTCTACCCTTGGAAACCTGCGGTGTCACATCTGGGGCTTGCTGCGAGAGCTGCTTCTCATTACCAGTAATAACCTGTACAGGTACGGGATTGTACCCTTCGCTATCGCTGTCGTGATCATCATCGCTGTAGACATGGGCATCTTTTTCCCTGAGTGTGATCGGCAAGTTGTCCTGTAACATGTTGAACTCGTCTACCAGTCTTTGAGACGTGTAAAACCCGGAGTACCCCGAGGAATCCATGAATGTTGAGGCTTTAGGATGACTAGACAAGTAGTTGCAACAGATTTTTGAAACTTCTGGGTAGGTCAACGGGAGGTGTTTGGTCCATCGTGCATGCTCTAGCTTTCCCGAAGGAAAAGTTGATTAAGGCGAGGATCTTGAAATTAGTCAATTTCATATGTTGAAAATGGGAAAAAAAATATAGCGCCGCTCGGTTTCGATCCGAGGACATCAGGGTTATGAGCCCTGCGCGCTTCCACTGCGCCACGGCGCTAATAGAATCGATGAATGTTTGAGAAGGCAGATGTGGTGTAGAGGGGAGTGAGGGGCATGTGACAAAGAGAAGGCCACAATGAGAAATGGATTTCAGAACAAGATCGAACAATAGGAGTATTAAGACAGTAGTTACAAAAACAGTTGCGGAACTTACAGGACTTGTAATGATACACCAGTTGTGGGTTCACACAGAAACCAAAAGAATAATCTACGTCGATAACGACATTTAAGGTCACGTGCCCATTCAAAAACTCGAGAATTCTAGGCTTGGCATAAGAGCAGATGTTCTGATTTGAGTGGGTGGGTGATCAAAATGAAAGACTACGTTTTGAGTGTCATGCATGGATCACTTTTTATTAACTGATCTGGGTATGTTTGAGCACATCAAGACGCGATGGCTCTCAACAACCACTGCGGTGTGTTAAACTTGACAATTGTAAGATATTTACAAAAATGGTAGTAATCCTCAACCTTTCCAACGCTATATTATTTGATATACAATTCCCGATGTATAAGACGTCTCTTATAAACAAACATAATATTCATCATCTAGCCCATATATACCTGTAGGTTCTCTCATTCCATATTGTAACAATATACACACCTCTATGCTGCTCCCAGCATGAAAAAACATCTGATCCCACATCATCTTGACTTTTCATGACACACACACCACGATCTCGGCGTTAACAACCATCACCATTTGTCCCGTTTCCGCGCGCTTTTATGTCTCGTGATGTCCGGATCCGGTGTTTTCTCCATTGGACCATTTTACAGCCAATCGCAACGGCTTAAAATCTCCGATCTCGGACTTGTTCTTTGTGGTCACACAAAATGGCCCCGCCCAGCCGTGGTCACGCCCATGCACGGTCAGCGACCGCCAAAAACGCTCCAGGTATATATAAGGCAGCCACTCGAAGGATTGGAGTAAGGAAAGTGGGGAAAAAAAAGAGGTTTTTAGGGGAGCAAGGTTACCCGCACACCAGACTAAAAGTCACAACACCGAAGACCCAAAACCGAAAACAAGAAAGCGGGGGAAATCGAGAGCGAGAGAGCCATAGGGAAAAAAAAATACTCGAGAAAAGCAGACTTAACCGAGACTCACAAAAATCTCGTTGTTTTTATCCATTTCAGTTCCTGTTCTTTCTTCTTCTTCTGTTGTTGTTTCCGTTTTAAAGCCAATAGAGAGATATCATAGCCGAGTTAGCTAAGTTATACCATACTACCAGTATTGCTTTCGCACCGCTACTAATCCAATAATAGGGATTGAAGACGTCGCTTAGGGAAAGAGACGACGAATTGAGAAAACAAGAAAGAAAAAAAAGTACTCTCAAAAAGTACTCACGCTTACGTAATCAGAAAGATTCGTACAAAGTGTTTTCGTGAAAAGTGAGCAAATTTTACGAGAAGATTCATCGGCGGCTAAAAACGTGAATGGACACATAAAACCGTAGCACAAAGCACAAAGCACAAAGCACAATAAACATACACAAAAGCTTTATACCGAAATGTCGTCGCTTCTCAAACAACGTGTGCGGTTCGCACCGTATTTGGACCGCGTCCAATCCGCAAAAGAACTCATACCACTATTCCAGACCGGCCAGAGTCTTGGCTGGTCAGGCTTCACAGGTGTGGGGGCGCCCAAAGTCGTGCCGCAAGCACTCGCAGACCACGTCGAACGCAACCAGCTGCAGGGCAAGCTGCGGTTTGACCTTTTCGTGGGAGCTAGCGCGGGCCCTGAAGAGTCCCGCTGGGCAGAACTCGACATGATCGCCCGTCGGTCGCCCCACCAGGTCGGCAAGCCCATCGCCTCTGCCATCAACCAGGGCCGCATCCAGTTCTTCGACAAGCATCTGTCCATGTTTCCTCAGGACCTCACCTACGGTTTCTATTCCCGCAACAAGCCAATGGGGTCGCCCATTTTGGACTACGCCATCATCGAGGCCACGGCCATCAAGGAGGATGGCTCTATCGTCCCGGGGCCCTCCGTAGGCGCATCTCCTGAATTCGTTTCTGTTGCCGACAAAGTCATTGTCGAGGTAAACACCGCAACTCACTCGTTCGAAGGCATTCACGACATCGATATGCCCATCAATCCTCCACATAGACCGCCATACCCTTACCTTTCAGTTGATCACCGGTGTGGCGTCGATTCTATTCCCGTCGACCCTTCCAAAGTGGTGGCCATCGTTGAGTCCAATCAACGTGACAAGGTACCTCCCAACCACCCAGCAGATGAAACCTCGAGAGCCATTGCATCTCATTTGATCGAATTTTTGGAACATGAAGTTGCGTTTGGTCGTCTACCCAAAAACTTGCATCCTTTGCAATCCGGCATTGGCAACATTGCCAACGCAGTCATCGAAGGACTTTCGTCTGCATCCTTCCAGAACTTGACTGTCTGGACAGAAGTTCTTCAAGATTCGTTCTTGGATCTTTTCGAAAACGGTTCTTTGGACTATGCCACTGCCACCAGTATTCGTCTCACCGAGCCAGGGTTTGAAAGATTTTTCAAGAACTGGGACGAATTCTCACAAAAGCTATGCCTAAGATCTCAAGTTGTTTCTAACAACCCAGAAATGATCCGTAGACTTGGCGTAATCGCCATGAACACACCCGTGGAGGTCGATATCTACGCGCATGCAAATTCGACCAACGTTTCTGGATCACGCATGCTGAATGGGTTGGGCGGTTCTGCCGATTTTCTCAGAAACGCAAAGCTATCAATCATGCACACCCCCTCCGCTAGACCATCCAAGATCGATCCAACCGGAATCTCCACCATTGTGCCTATGGCATCCCACGTTGATCAAACGGAGCACGATTTGGATGTAGTTGTCACAGATCAAGGTTTGGCAGATCTCAGAGGTTTGTCACCAACTGAAAGAGCTCGGGAAATAATTAACCACTGCGCTCATCCTGAGTATCAGCCCATTCTGATGGACTATCTGGAAAAGTCCGAATTTTATGCTCGCAAGAACAAATGCATGCACGAGCCCCACATGTTGAAGAATGCTCACAAATTCCACATAAATTTGGCTGAGAAAGGTACCATGAAAGTTGAGTCTTGGAATTGATTTTTGAGATGATCCAAAGAGATCTAAAGAGATCCACACTGTACATGTATCATCGCATCAATTACATTACGTACGTAACGAATATCACGATATTTATTATTCATTTCCTGTCGAAACCGTATTGTTGCCAGATTTCAGTTCAAAAAGTAACAGCCTTTCTTCAAATAAAACTAAAAAGTACTAAAAATATGGTCTCTAGCGGGATCGAACCGCTGATCCCCGCGTTATTAGCACGGTGCCTTAACCAACTGGGCCAAGAGACCAGATCTTGAAAGAATGGTTAAGACATAACAGTATTACTCAATAATCTGAATCGGATGCCTACAGCAGTAGACAGGGTTTATGACATACATTCATCGATCTGGATCAAATCTGTATTGTTCTGATCACCGGAATAGACTGTTTTCGAGATCTTTTCAAATTTATCGAATTTGTAGTCATTATTAGGTTTACCATATTCTCTCTCTCGAGGTCAGCTGATCTGAGTAAAATTAATGGTAATATACCTTACCTACGTATAGTTATTGCACTATTACAGGTCAATCGGTATCCAAAAGCCTCAGCAACATCAAACCACAACATGTCCTATCCTCAAGTGGCTGCTTTCGATCTGGATTATACAGTTTGGCCATGCTTTTGTGATACACATCTTAGTCCACCTTTCAAGCCTTTGACAAGTAAAAACGGCGAAGTCCGCACACTTATCGACTCTTGCGGATATGAAGTATCGTTTTACAAAGACGTACCTCGAATTTTGGCCGATCTGAAGAACCATGATGTTAAGATTGTCTCTGCTTCAAGAACTTGGGCCCCAGAGATCGCCCGCGATCTCCTGAGGGGCTTCAAGGTAGAGTACGACGGCCAGATCGTGCCGTTGATCACCCTGTTCGACTCGTTGCAATGGGGTGAGAAGAGTAAGGTCATACACATCCGTGATGGGATCAAAGACATTTTTGGCAAAAAGGCCGACATCAAAGACTACAAGGCATGTCTTTTCGATGACGAAACAAGAAACCGGGACGTGGAAAAATACGGCGTCAAATACGTATACGTGCGTGATCCTGAAAGCGGTACCACCTGGGAACTGTATCAGAAGTACCTTAACAGCAACTAATCTGTCGCTCCTACGTACATAGCATAAAACTATAGAGTGCTCTTTTCTGTAGCCAGATGTGTACCTCCAAGCTTGACATGTGGGTTTAGCAAGCTGGTATAGCTCTCTGTAACATCTGTCTTTCAACAAATAAGCCTTGTTGGCGCAATCGGTAGCGCGTATGACTCTTAATCATAAGGTTAGGGGTTCGAGCCCCCTACAGGGCTTATTATCAATATTTTTGCCAGTCGTTGCAATTAAAAATTTTTGCTCGTCATGTTGGGATTTCTACCTCCATGCGAGCAGTCTTGAAGCAGGCAGCTTCCACATATAGACTTATTCACCATGAGCCTTGTCTCTCATTATCTCAACGTGTGGTATCGTTTCTTCCGTTGTAGTCTATCATAGAGGTCATATGCCTTGCGTAGTGATTATATCCCTAAACATTTCCGCTTGGAGATTAAAATAGGGCGTGTGGTCTAGTGGTATGATTCTCGCTTTGGGCGAAATCAAGATGACTTGATTCTAAACGCATACATGTGAGAGGCCCTGGGTTCAATTCCCAGCTCGCCCCTGTTTTCAATTTTTTGTAAAATTGAAAAAAAGGTGCCCAAAGCGAGGAAATATTCATGTTCTTATAGAACTAGAGGTCTATCATCTGTTCTGATTGAAGTCAATGCTAAAAGCACGTAACTGTTTCTTTCAAGTTTTACTCGAAACCTGCTTGCTATAAGCTCTTCTTATGGTTTCTCACCATCAAATTTATATCATGTGCTCAACGCTCTACGTTTTGCTAAAAAAAAATGCCATTTCCTAGAATCGAACCAGGGTTTCATCGGCCACAACGATGTGTACTAACCACTATACTAAAATGGCAAAGAAGTTAAAGACTTAAGAAAAAGGTTTGTGTAGTCCCGGGAGCAGAAGCATGTGCGTTTATAGAGTCAGTGCTAGTTCTTATACGCCCGCTAACCATGAAGTCTACTAAATATCAAGTCGAAATCATCTGCAACATGCTTGTAAAGGACAATGATTCCCACATTTTCTGGCAATTTTACGCATCATCTCTGTGCATCATCTCTGTGTAACTTGTTGGCTGTATCGAAGACGTGAAGGTTTGTCAATTCTGTCCATTTGAAGGAAACGGATATGACTTGTTCATAGAGCACTATTGATCGAGCATATTTGTTGGTCACAATTGAAATTTCAGAAAGCCTCTCTTCTGGATCGAACAACGCATATTAGGTCTTCCAAATGCAATCACCACAACTTTAGGTAGTTACAACATTGAGAAAAACATGTTCGTAGTTCATGTTGGCGATCATACGGGCTTAATAGGAATGCTGAGTACATTGTCGTGAATAAGAAACACTATTACTCCGAAACTGAGTGCTCCACCCCACTCAATCTCATTAATATATGAAAAAGACGACTGAGTAGCCGATTTCACTTTCTTCTGTTGAGCTGTCGCACTGATAAGGCCATTTGCGCCCTCTGATATGAGAATTTGATCACATCTTTTGAATAGACATTCATTGTAGGAAATGGGAACTATCGAAACGACGGTGACTGAACAAAAAAATCACTGATTCATGTAAAACAATCACACTAAGAAGACAAAGAATGCCCATCGCTTCTCGGTTTAAAAAAGCGGCACGCACGAATTCCGTAATACAATGAGGGACAGCACGCTGATGGCTCAACAGCTTGTGGACAATTAGTAGTAACTTAAAAACTTGAGGACGTGACGTTAAGTCACCAGTGTATGCATTCATAACAAATACACATTCAAGAAACGGGCGTGTGGTCTAGTGGTATGATTCTCGCTTTGGGCGAGGTTCGAGACTTAACTCGGACTACAATAACCACAAGCATGCGAGAGGCCCTGGGTTCAATTCCCAGCTCGCCCCATTCTTTTTTGCAAAACTTTTTTACTTGGGGTCTACCGACGTAGTTCTTAGCGGGAGACTCTCTCATCATAGTCTTGCACAACATTTTTTTCCTTTCAGCTCGAGTGGTAGATAGAGAGGCCCTTCAAACTTACTGCCATACTCGACGAAGCTATCCTCATCGAAAGTGTTCACCTTAAAACTGTGGTTTGATTCTCAGCAAATTAAATTCTATTGCTTATATATATGTATTACTATACAGAACGTCATTAGATGGTTAGGTTTGTTTCATTGAGTTCGTTGAGTTTAGTCAACTTCTTCAACAGTTGGACCGTCAGCTTCTGGGGCTGGAGCAGATCCACCTGGGAAACCGCCTGGGGCGGCGCCGGCACCTGGGGCACCGCCTTGCTGGTACAACTTGGTCATAATTGGGTTAGAAACTTCTTGCAATTCCTTCAATTGGTCGTTGTATTCGTCAGCGGTGGCGGTAGTGTTGCTGTCCAACCAGGCGATAACTTCTTCACACTTCTTGTTCAAAGTTTCCTTGTCGGCTTCCTCTAGCTTGTCACCAGCTTCAGAGACGCTGTTCTTCAAAGAGAAGGCCATGGATTCCAATTGGTTCTTGGCACCGATTCTGGCAGCTTCCTTTTCATCTTCCTCCTTGAACTTTTCAGCCTCGGAGACCATTCTTTCAATGTCCTCCTTGGACAATCTACCCTTGTCGTTGTTAATGGTGATCTTCTCAGACTTACCAGTACCCTTTTCGACGGCAGAGACGTTCAAGATACCGTTAGCATCGACATCGAAGGTAACTTCGATTTGTGGAACACCTCTTGGGGCTGGTGGGATACCGCTTAGGTCGAACTTACCCAACAAGTTGTTGTCCTTCGTCTTGGCTCTTTCACCTTCGAAGACTTGAATCAACACACCTGGCTGGTTGTCAGCGTAGGTAGAGAAAGTCTCGGACTTCTTGGTTGGGATAGTGGAGTTTCTTGGGATCAACTTGGTCATGACACCACCAGCGGTCTCAATACCCAAGGACAATGGAGCAACATCCAACAACAATAGATCTTGAGTCTTGGAAGATTGGTCACCGGTCAAGATAGCGGCCTGGACGGCAGCACCGTAGGCAACAGCCTCATCAGGGTTGATAGATCTGTTTGGCTCCTTACCGTTGAAGTAGTCAGAAACCAATTTCTGGACCTTTGGAATTCTGGTGGAACCACCGACCAAGACGATTTCGTGGACTTGAGACTTGTCCAACTTAGCATCTCTCAAAACCTTCTCGACAGGGTCGATAGTGGATCTGAACAAGTCAGCACACAATTCTTCGAATCTGGCTCTGGTGATGGAAGTGTACAAGTCGATACCCTCGAACAAGGAGTCGATTTCGATCGAAGTTTGAGCAGAAGAAGACAAAGTTCTCTTGGCTCTTTCGCAAGCAGTTCTCAATCTTCTCAAGGCTCTTTGGTTGGTAGTCAAGTCCTTCTTGTTCTTACGCTTGAATTCCTGGACAAAGTGGTTGACCAATCTGTTGTCGAAATCTTCACCACCCAAGTGAGTGTCACCGGCGGTAGCCTTGACTTCGAAAATACCGTCTTCGATGGACAATAGCGACACATCGAAAGTACCACCACCAAGATCGAAGATCAAAACGTTCTTTTCACCTTCGTCCTTCTTGTCCAAACCGTAGGCAATAGCGGCGGCGGTAGGTTCGTTGATGATACGTAGAACGTTCAAACCGGCAATGGTACCGGCATCCTTGGTGGCCTGTCTCTGAGAGTCGTTGAAGTAGGCAGGCACGGTCACGACGGCGTCGTTGACCTTGCAGCCCAAGTAGCTTTCAGAAGTTTCCTTCATCTTGGTCAAAATCATAGAGGAGATTTCTTCTGGGGTGAAGACCTTGGTCTCGCCCTTGAATTCAACCTGGATTTGAGGCTTGCCACCAACGTCCACGACCTTGAATGGGAAGTGCTTGGCGTCACCTTGCACTTCAGCGTCGTTGAAGTTTCTACCGATCAAACGCTTGGCGTCGAAAACGGTGTTGGCTGGGTTCATGGCGGCCTGGTTCTTGGCGGCATCACCAATCAATCTTTCAGTGTCAGTGAAGGCCACGAAAGAAGGGGTGGTTCTGTTACCTTGGTCGTTGGCCAAAATTTCCACACGGTCGTTGGAAAAGTGTGCCACACACGAGTAAGTGGTACCCAAATCAATACCAACTGCCTTAGACATTGTGATGTTTATTTTGTAGTTGTAGGAACTGTTTTTTGACTATTAGGAATTCTATAATGCAACTCGACTGAAGTGATTGAATTACGATTATTATATGATAATCTTGTTAGTCCAATTACCTTGTATCAATGAGCTATTCCAATAAAGCTTTCCTTGTGTGTTTGAAAATAAGTAAAGGATAGAAGTTAAACTCGATTACAATTATCCGTCGAAATCGCTCTCTTTATATACTTGCTCGAGCTGCATTTTTGCCCGATCTCGATAATGGGCGTTTAGCCGCATTTCTAAGTTCTGGGAATTTCTCGAAAGTTCTATGGTGAAATTCGAGAAATCTATAGATGTTGCTGGAACAGAATTGGAAAAAGGGATCATTTTCTCGAGCATGCATATCACGTGGTCTTTTTTTTGCTAGTATAGGGCAAAAAAAAGAAAGGCCGAGAAATATGTTGTGATGAAGATGGTTGTAATGGGATTCGACGAGCGTGGTGAACAACGTTGGCTAGTTGTATTGAAAATAAGAGGACGCTTGTAGTGTTATATGTAACTAGAAGAAAAGAGAGGAGAAGAGAAAAAAAATACATATCGCTATGAACGGTAAGTGTTGCAAAATAAGTAGTCACGTGACTGGTTCTTGCGTTTTTTGGATCACTCACTATATACGGAAGCATCAAACAGTATGATTCGCACATATGCCATACATTGTAGTTCTGCTCAATCACCCGTCTCTATGTCCATCGCCATCTCCTCTTTTCCCGTCTTTTCTCTGTAGTCATGTATTAGAGTAGTCTAACCAAGCTAGCGAAAAAAAAAAAACCGTGTACAAAATCTATACTGACGCACACTAAGCTGCAAGCTGGGCTACATAGTAACGACTATCGGCCGTAAATCGTAGGTCATTTGCCGTTTTTCGTGCGAGCCCTACATGGACTTGGCTGGGGTCCCCGACAGGTTGTAGTTTCGTAGCTGACGCACATTGTTCTTGAAATGCACATATGCGTTCTTGATCGCCACGGGCACGCCTGGGTGGCTCAGCAACCCGTCCAGACGCACCTCCCATCTCTTGACACCGCTGCGGGTGTATGGCGACGTCTCGTACCGGATCTTGATGAAAAGACAGTAAACAACGGCCACGATCCACGATCTCGGGTACCACAGCAATGCACGCACCAACACAACCGCCACGCACACCAGTTCGCTGAAACTCGACCACACCATCGAGCGGTCGTTGTTCTGGCGAATAAAATTGTCGATCAAAACAGTCAATCTAGAGTCCGGTCCAATCTCAAACACCTGAGGCAAAAGCACAGATTTCAAGTAGGTGAGAAAGTGGAAAAATGAGAAAACCACGTATGGGATCATCGTCACAGACAATCTGGGTGTCAAGAACCACATCACAGCAATAGCCACGTACAGAGAGTTATCGTCGCGCAGCAAAAGCTGTGTAATGGTAGGGGCCGGTCCTGAACCTGTTGCAGATTGTGCCCGGTGTTTAAAATGCTGTTGGTAAACAATGATGCCGAACGACTCAATCACCCCTAAGTATAGCACCCGGTACAGCGTGTTGTGTAGGCTCGAAGCTCCGCCCCGGAAAGTCAGCAAATACAGTAAAGCGCATGTTAAGACAACAAGGTGGCCTCCAAACCACGCAAACTGCGAAGTTTGTGCAATGTTGATAAGCCTGGACACCTGGAAATGCCGTGGAACACCTTGAGTAGCTGCCATTGGAAAGTTAAAGTCCCTAGAATTCTAGGATTGTCGATGATCTTGTAGGTCTCGAATGCCCTTTTCCTAAGGATGACGATGATGATAATCAAAAAAATTGATTTAACGGTATATGGCCAAATAGGTAGTCGTGTGGGGTGATTTTTATGAGTTTCTCTCCAGTTCTTCTCATTTCTTTTGTTTCTTGAGCGTGGAGTCCAGATCCTGATTAGACTGCGACTTTGGTTTCCTTTTCTTTACCATTGATGTGAGGTCGTTTATGGAAGCAGGTTTATCCACACTAGTTTTACCACAGATGAGTGCTTCTTTTAATTGGGCCACACTTGCCTTATTGAGGGCGTCAAGCGCTTGTTGCGAGGTCTTGAGCTCTTTGAGTTTCAATTTCAGCTCTTCTAGTAGACCCTCTTCATCCTTCTCCGCTTTTCCGGCTTGAATTCGCGCTTGTAGTAGCTGGATGGCTTTTTCCAGCTGTTCCTGCGACTGAGCATCTTGAGTGGGGTCAAGCTCGAGTGCCAAAAATAATTTGTAGTGCGACTCAATTATCAATCTATGGGTAGGGTCTTTGTCGCCATAAGCTTGTTTGCGGAGCTCCAAACATCTTGTGAGGTCCTGTGTGGCCTGAGTAAAGTTTTCCGTTTCCAGTGAGATCTCCCCGAGGATGCTATAGGTCTCACACAACTTCTCCAGTATCTCCTGGTCTTGTGGCTGCGTTTTCTCGTAGATCGAACGCGCTAATTCCAGCATTTCCCATGCGTTTTCGAAATCTGAAGCCTGCTCTTCTTGTGGCTCTTCTTCTTCCCCGTGGTCATCTCCGTCTTTTTCTTCTTCTTCTTCTTCTTCCTCGTCTTCTTGTGGGGCTTCATCGCCATTGTTGTCACCCTCGGGCACTTCTCCCTCCGCTACTACATCACTGAATTGGTACAACTGTTTATTTTCACCGCTTTTTTCTTCCTCATCGGATCCAGCATCATCATCACCTTGCGCTCCATCTTGTTCCCCTTCGTCACCACCAAACACCTCAGATTGGCTCAAAGCTAATTGATAAAGCGACTTTCCATACAGAAACAGATAATCTGCACTACTCTCGCCCGTCAATGCGTCATGCATCGCGTTGACCTCCGAATACAGATTCGTCGATCTTTCGTAGTCCTTGGCCGCATAAAATTTCGCCGCCTCACTCAAGAGGTTCCTGATATCTTCTCTTCCCGACATACTCGACCTGTATCCGATTCAACTATTTTCGGTAAAAGCAGCTTCAATTAGTGCTACAAGTCGTTTTTGTTTCCAGCCGGTCAAAGAGCTCATCTCATGAACATTATGATATTATCATCATTTTCATATAGAGCTTAGAGAAATGCCTTATACTTCCTGAAAAACTGACGCTCAAACCCTTTCGTTTATGATGATGTTTTGGAATTGGGCCAATTTTGAAATTCTCGAAGAGATCAACACGAATTCACCACTCTTTGTTAAGAACACTAAGAGTCGACAAGTGAGCAAAAATGCAAGCAGAAACGTCGGTAGAAGACTTTGGAACTACGCCTCTAGCTGGGACCGCAAATGGAGCGGCGAATGGAGGCGTGAAGCTGGAAAACTCGCCCACAATTGAGGAAACACACGCGCTTGCAGACGGATCAGACGGCAAAGCCACGGCCGAATTGGAGGACGAAGTTGCATCGGAACAGGAATCCAATTTGCAACACAAGGGCCAGCAGCTGCCTAAACAAACGGGGATCAAGGTTTTGCATCACAGGGTCAGCGGATACGTCGGGTTTGCGAATTTGCCCAAACAATGGCATAGAAAATCGATCAGACGCGGGTTCAGTCTGAACTTGCTGTGTGTGGGCCAAAAGGGACTGGGAAAATCAACCCTAATCAATACCCTCTTCAACAAGCCCCTTTACGACCTGTCAGCAGCTGCTACGGCAGATCTGGCTGCTTTGAAGCTCGGAAACGCAGGCGACAATTTGGCCGGCGGAGATACCGATTCTGACCAGCAGCAACTGGATACGCAACATGATGAATCAGGCAAGGGTCGTGAAACTACCGGGCCAGAGGTCAAGATTGAGACCCACACGACCAAAATCGAGGAAAATGGTGTCACATTGACACTCAACGTGATCGACGCACCCGGTTTTGGTGACGCGATCAACAATACAGATGCGTGGGTACCAATTGTGCGTGAGATTGATAACCGCTTCGACCAGTATTTGGATGCTGAAAACAGAGTCGACCGTAACTCTATCGAAGACAATCGTGTTCACGCGTGTCTGTATTTCATAGAGCCTACAAATCATTCTCTCAAGGCTCTTGATCTCGAGTTCTGCAAAGCTGTTCACCAGAAATGTAACCTCATTCCAGTCATCGCCAAATCGGACATTTTAACAGATGAAGAGATTGAAGAATTCAAAGCAACCATCCGTGGCCAGCTTGAAGACGAGGGAATCGAATTGTTTGAGCCACCACAATACTTGCTAGACGATAAAGAGACTGCCGCACGCTCATTGCAGCTCCATTCCCAGATGCCATACGCCATCGTCGGTTCGACAACTGAAGTTTCCACTGCTGACGGCAGGAAAGTGAGGGGCCGTGCCTACCCATGGGGTGTCATTGAAGTCGATAATGCTGCGCATTCCGACTTTGTACATCTGCGCGATCTACTAGTCAAAGTGTATCTGATGGAACTGCGTCAAAAAACAGAAAATGTGCTCTACGAGAGATACCGGTCTGAAAAATTGAGTTTTTTGAACATCAAGCAAGACAACTCTGTCTTCAAGGAATACGACCCCGAGCTCAAGCAGAAAGAAGAGAAGCAGCTACATGAAGCCAAGCTAGCAAAACTTGAGGCTGAAATGAAGGCGGTGTTTCAACAGAAAGTCAATGAAAAGGAGAAAAAGCTGCAAAAGTCTGAGGCTGAACTCTTCAACAGACACAAGGAGATGAAGGACAAGCTCACCAAGCAGCTCAAGGCATTAGAGGACAAGAAACATCAGTTGGAGATGTCCCTAGCTAATCAGTCTGCCAACTCTCCAGTACAAACCAAGAAGAAAGGATTTCTTCGTTGAGAAATGAACCACACTACGTAAGACCTGTCATCTGGTCGTTTGTAGAAATACAACCTTTATTCAGTACCATTTCCTCATTCTGAGCCCTTGCTCCTCTTCATGCCTCGAGCTACAGGCGTTTCACACTTTGTTCATGTGATGTGTGGATCTTTTCTTATAAGGGCTCTTTTACTTTTAACTATAAAGGTCATCTTAAGAGTCTGAAGTCAGCGATAATATCGCAGATCCTTATAAAGAACCAGAGAGATTCAGATGCTCTTGATCCATACATAGCTTGACAAAAGATGTCATGGAATTAAGTTTTTATTTGAACAACCTGCACTGCGAGAGTTGCGAGCAGATTATTCGCCAAGTCGTTTCTCGTCGTTTTGACTGGAAGAATGAATCTATCGATAGCGCTAGAAACAGAAATGACTATGTGAGCTACAATGAGTTTTCGAAGGGCTCAAAACTCAATCCTTTTAAGTCTCAGAAGCTGGGCCATGTGCGGTCTTTTTCGTGTGACGTGAAAACCGGACTGGTACTGATAGTTCTTATGGAAAATGGCGTCAAGAAGGACGTTGTAAGTACAGATAAGTCCTCTTTCGTAAGTGACATTCCAAATGTAATCAAGAGAGATTTCGAGCTTGCGGGATTCGAAGTACGTGAAATCCGGGTAGAGTCAAACGATACCGTATCGGAAACCTCACTCAGTGTTGGTTCACCATCGCTGTGTCATCGGGGCATTCTACCGAAACTTGGAAATTTACCACTGGCCAAGTTCAGAAGAAGGAGAAAACATACAAGATACTGTAAAGAGTGCTATTCTTTGGCGCGGAAAAGTGACAATGGGAAAATAGAGTTCAGCACCACGACGAACAGTGACGGTTTAACTCAGTATAGGGCCATTTTCGCCATTGGTGGCATGACATGTGGTAACTGTGCTGGAATTGTTGAATCAGCGATTAACAAAGTTTTGGTAACACAAGATTCTGAAGCTAAGGTTTCGGTCAATCCGGTCGACAATACTGCCACTGTGGTGACCAAAAGTAAACAACTGGTTCAAGTTATCATCGATAGCGTAGCTGAAGCTGGCTATACTGCTCAGCTGCTTGAAATTCTGCCTCTCGCCAGTGAGCGACGATTCAAGTATTCTGCAGCCATTGATGGTATCACTTGCGCTGCTTGTGCATCGGCCATCACATGCACTACCGAACAGTTACCTTACGTGGAAGAAGTAGCAGTAAATGTCCTTTCAAAGTCTGCTACTTTCATAATAAGCTCAATTGAGAGTAGCGTGCTACGAGAGCTTCGAGAAACTGTTGAAGACTGTGGCTTTGGTTTTCAGCCGCTCGGTGATCCAGAGAGCGTCGAGCATGCTTTTGCAAGAAGATTGACCAGAAGCGTTAATTTGAGAATCGATGGAATGTTCTGTACGCAATGCCCGGCGAGCGTGAATGCTTTACTGTCCGATTTTGACAACGCAGATGTATTCATTGAAAAGCCTCTGTCCCTAGAATCTCCTACCGTCAAATTCAAGTATACACCGGATGTCGATAACGGCGTCACGATAAGGAGCATTATAGCCAAAATCTTGGAAAAACTCTCTAGTGGCAACGATTCAAACATTAGGGTGACTATTGTCAAAGAAAGGACATTCGAGGAGCAGTTGGGAGCACTGGCTATGCGCGAGACATACAAGATAGCAATCAGGTTACTTGCTTCTTTGATTTTCGCGATACCCACTTTTGTTTTCGGAGTGCTTGGGCCATCGCTCCTTTCAAAGCACAATAAGTTCAGAATGTGGTTGGAGGAGCCCATTTTGGCTGGCAATACATCGAGAATGACTTGGGTGCTGTTCTTTTTGAGCACACCAGTCTACTTTTTTGTAGACGACGTTTTCCATAGAAAGGCTATTATGGAAGTAAGAGCACTCTGGAAACATAAAGAGGATTGGAAAAGGCGAATATTTAAGTTTGGAAGCATGAATCTTTTGGTTTCTTTAGGCACTACAGTTGCATACTTTGCCAGTATTGCAATGCTCGTGATTTCTTCTACGGATGCTCAAACAAGAAGCAGAGCGGGCTATACTACGACTTATTTTGATGCTGTGGTGTTCCTCACATTTTTCCTTATTGTGGGAAGATTGCTCGAGACGTACTCAAAAAATAGAACTGCTCAAGCTGTAAACGATCTCAATCTGCTGAAGCAGCACGAGGCGACTTTGGTCGATCGCCAAGACGAGGGAAGATACGTTGGCGATAGGATAGTCGACATTCAGTATCTTGAGCTTGGAGATTACATCAGAATTTCACCAGGTGAATCACCAACGATGGACTGTATTGTCGCTCAAGGAGCAACAAGTTTCGATGAAAGCGCTCTCACTGGCGAATCGATACCTATAGAGCACAAACCGGGTGAGCAGATATTTGCTGGAACCGTTAATGTTGGAGCCGAAGCAATCATTGGTAGACTTTGTGCTTCGGATGGAGAATCTCTGCTCAACCAAATTGTCAGTTCAGTACGCGATGGACAGCTGAAAAAGGCGCCTGTTGAGAAACTTGCAGACTCTTTGACGGCCTTCTTTGTCCCAGTTATCGTTTCCATTGCTATAATTACGTGGGTTATATGGGTTTCCTTAGGGTTTAGTGGCCAATTGCCTGGGAGCTACCTTGATGTTAATGTAGGTGGTTGGACTGTTTGGTCCTTGGAGTTTGCCATAGCAGTGTTCGTCATTGCTTGTCCCTGCGGTATAGGACTGGCAGCACCTACAGCCTTATTTGTGGGCGGTGGGCTTGCTGCTAAGAATGGAATATTGGCAAGAGGTGGAGGGGCTGCATTCCAGGAAGGCTCTAGAGTTTCTGTGGTTTGTTTTGATAAAACTGGGACGCTGACCGTCGGAGGCGCTCCAAAAGTTACGAATTATTCTATCCATAGCAATCCGTCCATGAAAAAGGTAGCTATTCAGGCTGCAAAAGATCTAGAGCTTGTATCGAAGCACCCTATTGCAGTAGGCGTCAAAAGCTTCCTTGACCAAGAATTTGGAGACTCAATTGGACATGGAATGATACTTTCGGTTGAAGAGATTGCAGGGAGAGGGCTCAAGGGAGACTTTGTTCGCGAGAAGGATGCTCTTTTGGGTTCGGGAGAATTGGTATCACCTGAAAGTGCAATTCTTGGTAACGAAACCTTTATGGCGGAGAACAATTGCCATTTGAGTTCTTCTCAGATAAAAATGTTGGCAGATTGGAAAGCTGAAGGGAAAAGTGTTATTGTTGTGGCCATAAAATCCATTTCTTTCTTCAAAAGCAATGCCTTCTTTCCCGTAATGCTTTTAGCGGTGAGAGATCAAATCAGACCAGAAGCCAAGGGCGTGATCAAGGAGCTGCAGAAAGAGGGTATCGAATGCTGGATGATTTCTGGAGACAACAAAATGACGGCGGCGGCCATTGCCAAGGAACTGGGGATCGACAATGTTGTAGCGGAGGTTCTTCCCGAAGAAAAGGCGAAGAAAGTTTCGTGGATTAAAGAGACCCATCTCGTGCGCAAAAAGTCGCCCGTGGTAGCCTTTGTTGGGGATGGAATCAACGATGGACCCGCATTAGCTGCTGCAGATGTGGGGATTGCTCTAGCGAGCGGAAGTGACCTTGCCATGAGCGCCTGTGACTTTGCATTGCTTTCAGGCACCCACACTCTGTGTTCACTCTTGACCTTGTTGCAGCTGTCTCGAAAAGTCTTTCAAAGGGTAAGGTTCAATTTTGCATGGGCCCTAGTCTACAACATGATCGGAATACCAATTGCAGCAGGCGTCATTTATCCTTACAACAACACGAGACTATCGCCCGTGTGGGCGAGTGCTGCGATGGCTGCCTCTTCGGTCAGTGTTGTAATGAGCAGCTTGGCATTGCGGATGTATAGGCCGTCGTCAGTTTTAAAAGATGAGAACCAGAAATTGATCTTTGACCGTTTCGTTCCCATCGCAGAGAAGTTCCCATAACAAACATCAGCGTCTGAGATAGTAATTAAATAACAATTTGATGTTTTGATTTCATGGGCGGACATTGGGTGGAGGTACTGGTTGCACAACCTATTAAAGTTCCAAATCAATCTTGAGATTCAAACAAATCAAGAAAGGTCCAGATCAGGTTTTAGTGAGTGTCAAATTGATGAAGAACTGTTGCGAGTTGAAAGGTGAAAGGTTCCTCGCGGTCTACTTTTGCTAGACGCCGAATTGAGTCGTCCTTCTTATATGTCATCGGACAGATGTTAGTGGTATATTGTCCAGTAGCTTTTTCCTAATCAATAACAGCGGATTTAGCTCAGTTGGGAGAGCGCCAGACTGAAGTCAACTTCGGTCACTAAGAAATCTGGAGGTCCTGTGTTCGATCCACAGAATTCGCAATATTTTTTGATATTTTTACAACTCGAAGAATACATGATAGAAGTCTCTAGTCCTATGGAACTACTCCGCCAAGACCGCTACTGAAACTGATTGTTTTCTGGACACTCGAGACTTTAGTAGTCCCATTAGCAAGCATCTTCGTTAGTCTACAGTGCGTGCTCTTGTAAAAAATGAGCCAGTGCTCTTAGGCTGGGTACAGATTGGATTAGAAAGTCCCAAACTTCAAATCATGGGCGTGTGGTCTAGAGGTATGATTTCCGCTTAGGGTGCGGGAGGTCCCGGGTTCGAGTCCCGGCTCGCCCCATGTTATTTTTTCCCATTTTTTCCGAAAAGAAGTGCCTAGATATTTTACCACTCATGGATCGCGAGGGGGAAGTGTAGATTCAATGCAGTTCAAGATGAGTCCTATATTTTTAGGAATGTCTCGTCTTCTATTGATTCCTCATCACGACGTGTGTCTCGAAAGCAGTATATAGATATTAGGTCTAAAAGTGATCACGTGACTCAACATAATTACACGGTTTTAAAAGCAACAATGGCACCTTCAAGTTCGATTGTGAAACTTATAGCTTCAATTCGTATTTTTTAATCAAGTTCTTTCGGATTCGTGTCCAGATAAGAGCTCAGTCCCATTGCAACCACTCCACTCCACTGATTTTCTCCTACAAATCACCAATCACGAAGTGTCTTTTTTTTTCATAGCTCGAGACTTTACGCGTCATGAAGTCATTGGTCACCAACCTGGCTAAGAACGTCTTTGTTGATGTGATGTTTACATCGCAACAGACACCAACACAGGAACGATCACAGGGGTATATATACAATCAAACCAACTGCGTGCAATTCTCTTGAGCCCTTAAACCTTTATCGGACCGTTGCTTTGGTGCTCATAGCTTAGTTTTCAGCGCAAGATTATGGCTACAAATAAGACAGACCTGAGCGCCGAACAGAGAAGGCTGGTCCACCTGTATTATCGTGAATTGCGAGATTTTTCCACGGTTACAGGTGGCAAACTAGATCGATCGAGCTCTGCTCGAGCACAAAAGGCCAGATCGAAACTGCTAAAGCTTTATTCATCTCAGTTTTTTGAGCTCAGCACGGATGTGCACGATGAGCTCCAACGGCGTATAGACGAAAACCAGACGCAGCCTGACCACTTGTTACCAAAGGATAACTTTCATGTCAAAAGAAACCAGGCTCGCCAAAAATTGGCCAATTTGTCGGAGTCCCGCTTTAATGACTTGGTTGACGATATATTATACGAGATTCAAAGACGGGACTATCACAAACTTCCAGAGCCTCAAACCCCAATTTCACCCAAGGTTTCACCACTTAAAGACTCTTTCAGATCAGAAGAAGGAGAGGAAGACGATCCCAATGTCTCCTCTCAATCTGTAGTGCATACTGACCCCCGTAATTCAGATTCTCGCGGCTCAGCATTGGTGACCGACAACGACCAAAATGTGGATAATTCAACGCCCAAAAAGTCGTCCTTCCAGAATGACAGTACAACTTCCTCTAGCATAGTACCAAGCACCTCCATTCAACAGTCTCAAGTGATCCCCAAAAAAGCTTCAATCGAGTGGAGCTCTGATGAAGAGGAGGACCACCAGGACGCTGAGAAACAAAACAGGTCGCCACTAAAGCCAATTCACCCTGGCTCTTCTGAAGACAAGGATGGTCGTCGCTTGTCGGAGGGACACGAGCTAGAGCACTACTCAGGCAGCCATAACAACATTACAGACTTTGCGAGCAGATCGCAGCTTCTGCAAGACTCCGATAAATCTGATTTTGAGAGTGATTTACAGAGCTCTCCGCATTTTGGGGCTGGCAAAAGTCAGAGACCATTTCATGCCCCTTCGGGTTCGAGTCAGATGAGCTCACCAGAGCACACGAAAGGACAGCCAGGCGAAGACATATCTTTAGAGGAAACGGAGGGCCTAAGTCTAATGAAAAGAAGTTCACAATTACATTCAACTCACTCAAACGATAGCGAAGCTAACGAAGAAAGATCAAGAGATTCCGGAAATCTTTCTGGAGCCGTAGCCAGGGACACAATGGAGCACAGTGAAGTAGGAACTCCAAAGAGCAAGCAAGACCTTTCTCCAACCTTCGATTCACCGCCTAAAGGCTCACACCTCAAATTCGCCTCCGAGCCGAATTCCAGCAATGGCTTTAAAGAACCAATTTCATGGGAGAACGATGAAGACCGCCCAAATACCATTGCATCTGCAACATCGAATAACTCACCCTTCAATACCCGTGAGCGCTCAGAATCGGGTCATGGTTCAAGGGGGCTTCAAGCCCAACCAAAGCACTTGGGCTCGATAAAAAGGATTTCTTTGGAAAACGAAAATTCTCAAAGAGAGATTCGGGTACTTATCGCAGAAGGGACGAAAATGGACGAGAAGATCACCAAGCTGGAAAAGGATAATGCACAACTTTCGGCGGCTAAAAAGAATTTGGAAAATGAGTTGCATTTGCAAGAAAATCAAAGCTCGGCATTGGAGGAACAGTTAGACGGGCTCACCAAGAAGTTGAGGGACGCTAAGAGGGAACTTGAAGAGCTCAAAACGGTGCAAATTTCAGAAAACCACCAAAACAGCAGATCGACTGACAGAACTCACCATCAAGAGTTCCTGAACATGACAAATCAGGTCAACAACCTTTCAATTGAGAACGAAAAGCTCAAACAAGATCTCGCGGAGATGGAATTCAAGCTAAAAAAGAACAACTGCGAAGATAAATCTTCAAATGCAAAAGGCAATGCGACATCTAAAGAGCTCTCAAATGGGACGAACAGGTCAGAGGCTCTTGAAAAGATTCAAAGCCTACCGAGAAAGTTTCTGTCTCCCGAGGGTTTGATTCCTCCAGACCTTCTCACATCGTTCAATTCTAAGATCGAAAACATGTTCAGTCTTGTCAACGGCGATCGGCAAGATGCAGATTTTGGGCATCAGCTTTTCGATGTTTTGTCTCACATTGTGACCAGTGTACAAAAGTTGCTCGAGATTGTTGATAGTCGTGGTAGTCAGGAGCACATTTTGATTCTGAAAGGTGCACTTTCGCATGCTATCACATCAGTTCGTTTCTTTGCTTCCTATCATGAGATACTTCCTCTTGTGACGGTCAACAGTGCAGTATCTGATGTTGCTTTTGCTCTCTGCCAGATAGTTGAATCAGTAAAGGTCGCTAGTAAGCAAGGTGAGAATTTATCATCTGAGAAAAGCCAATACCATATTCCACAAACTCCCAACGCACAAAATTGGCCGGTGTTTCAGGACACCAAGTTTCAGGATCCCCGGGAGACATTTCAAGGACTATCAAACAATCCGGGGAATATGTCTCCGGTTAAGCCACTAAAAATTACACAGAAAGTGGTGCAAAACTCACCGCCCTCAAAAGGTCGACACACGAGCAGAAAACCTTCAAGCACATTATTTGGCTCTATCGTGAACCCCAGCCCAACTGCTAACAACTCGCCCGAGTCCGTGCAGTTTCCTAAGATTCGGTCTGGATCACCAGCCAGAAAACAAGAGGGAATGAGTTCTCCAATAGCGGTTGAAAAAACGCACCAAAGCCAGAAGCCCTCGGCCGTTACTCCAGCGCCTGCTCGTGAGATAGATGCCGTATTACCCCCAACATCGCCTTCCCATATCGTCTCCAGTCAGGGAAAACAAGTGATAAACTCTGATGTACCCATGAAGGATCTCGAAAATAGTTCATCAACAAGTATGGCAACGAACTTGGAGAGATTTGATGGAAAGAATGCTGAAAAACTTCAAGCTGCAGTGGAAAAAGTTCATGAAGCTTCTTCCGACGAGGAGTCAACCGATGGGCAGGAGCGGAATAACGATGATAGTAATTTAACGAGTGATGACGATCTAACATATCAACTCAAACAAAATCTGCTGAAGAACCAAAAGCCGAAGGAGGCTCTGGATAATGGAAAGACAATCACGGGAGACAATCAATCAAAGGTCAGTCCACAACCTCCCAACCTTATGGGACAGGACGCCAAAGGCTTAGAGGTACCCGCGAAGAGCGGTAAAGGTCGCGAAGTGATCACTTCTTCCCATTCCACCAATAAGCTTTCATTTGTGCCCAATGCAGAAAACACCTCCACGACGGACTCTTCAAACCAGGGAAAACAAATCGAAATCAAGAAGACGGACGCCAAACATAGTATTGCAGACGACCGTCAAATAGCAGAAGGGACACAACCCTCAAAGCCTCAATTTTTTTCCGCGAAAGGGCCAGTAGGAGACGATAACAAACAAGAACATGGTGTGGCTAACTATTTTTCAAAGCAGAACTCGGTGGCCTCAACTCGCGCTTCTCAGCAAAATTTTGCCCAGCAAACTCCCGCTAAACAGGACACGGATATGCCGAAAGAGACGAGCCCGAGGGAGAGCCCAAAGATGAACCTTAACGAAAGCCCAAAGATAAGCGTGAAAGAGAGCTCAAACACGAACTTGAGGGAGAGCCCAAAGATGAACCTCAACGAGAGCCCAAAGATGAATCTCAACGAGAGCCCAAAGATGAACCTCAACGAGAGCCCAAAGATAAGCGTGAAGGAGAGCTCAAGCACGAAAGTCAAGGAGAACCAAAACACAAATGTGAAGGAGAACCAAAACACGAATGTGAAGGAGAGCCCAAACACGAATGTGAAGGAGAGCCCAAACACGAATGTGAAGGAGAGCCTAAACACGAATGTGAAGGAGAGCCTAAACACGAACGTGAAGGAGAGCCCAAGTATGAATCAGAGGGAGAGTCTAAAAGTAAACCTGAAGGAGAGCTTAAACACGAACTCGAACGAGAGGTCAGAGACGAACTTGAACGGGAGTCCAAAGACGTTCGCTGCAAGATCTTCATTCACGGACGATAGACATGAACTAAAGAGAGAGTTCACACCGCTCGACAACGAGCACACTAAAATCAAACTAGAAGATCGCGATGACTGGAACACAACAGAATCAAGATCCAGAGATCCCAAGGCTGCTAGTTCAATGAGTGCCGAGGAAGTTAACGGGGGTGGCAGAGATTCTGTAGACGAAGGAGACTTTGACATTGATGCTTTCGACATTGAGAATCCCGATAACACTTTATCAGAACTGTTGCTGTATTTGGAGCATCGCACTATCGAAGTGATCAGCACAATTCAATCGTTGTTAACATCAATTAAACAACCACAGGCGCTAAAAGGTGAACTTTGCAAAGATTCGTCGGCTATAAACCAAGTGATAGCGCAGATGGTGGAAGCTACCAATGTTTCTATGGCACAGTCCCGTAATGCCGCGTTGAAAGAGCATGGAAATTGGGTCGTTCAGAGTTTGAAGGACTGTAAGAGGAGAATGACATCGTTGTGCCATTTGAATGAGGATGGAACAATCAGCTTTGATGAAGGTGATGACGAATACGCAAGTAAGCATTTCAAGCAGCGCTTAGCGGGCATAGCGTTTGACGTGGCCAAATGCACTAAAGAACTCGTCAAGACGGTTGAAGAAGCCAGTCTTAAGGAAGAGATAGAGTATCTTAACTCACAGCTAAAACGCTGATAAACGAATCCAGAAGGATACATATAGAATTGACTTAGTAGTACTTGTAACATAAATGAATCGATACAATTTGACTCAGAATTACCTTCAAAAAGACAGACGAGTCAGTGCACGAAACCTTGCCAATCGTGCGGAGTTGCAGAGACCAGAAATGACGAAGCTTGCATAAGGGACTTATTAAAAACTTCGCTATGTACAGGATTGTAGTTTTAAGCCCTTATTGAGTCTCATTTCGTTTTTCGTAATGCAAATAACCCTCCCCGTCTATCATCATCACTATCTCGTCATAGTGGGATGAGATTGATGAACATACACCTCTTACATGCTATGAGGGATGATATGGGCTTCATACGTCGTAGCTGGACGCGACGCGCACAAGCGATGCTTCTTTAGAGGAGTCCAAAAACTCCTTTTGTATGTACTCACTGGTTTTCTCAGGTCCATTCGTTAGCAACATGCCTCCTACTAATGCATTCAGAACACTGGCGTAAACTGCGGACTCGCCATTATAAGCCGCAGTCTGAAGTGGGTCTCTTTTCTTCCAGAATACGTATGAGTCTAATTGTCTTTTCCGGATCAATTCTGCAGTTGTATTCTTAGAAATAAGTGATTTTGAGCCCTGGGAACCCAAGTTCGTGAAGTTTAAACCGTTGATTGATTTTTGAGTCTTTTCAGCTGACACGGGTGATAATGGAGCCGGGAGTTTCAACGAGAACACCGACGCCAGATACTTGAGGTAGTGAGCACCCAACAATGCCAGTTTCTCATTGTAAGGCTTGCCTCCGTGTGCAAACGACTTGTGTGTTAGACATTGCAGAATGACGTCGTCAGAAAGTGTCACACCGTGATTCTGAAGATTCAAACGCGACCGAATGGTATCGTGGTAGCTTGTAGGTTCGATTTCTGTATATAAAAGTCCGCTGGGAAGCCTCAAATACTCACTGGGGTCTCTCTTCAGCCCACGGACTCGACTTCCGCTGTGTAAATACGTTACACTTCTACGACCTATACAGGTCCTCAAATAGCCCAAATTGGAGCCTAAAAACTGCATTTTTTCACCCTTAATTGCGCAATCTCCAATATACAGCTACCCACCACGTTAACGATCTGCAAACCCGTTTCAGAATGCCTTTATTTGACGATTGAACGTTCTGTTTCCACTATGGTTTTTGGATATTTTTCACTTTTCTCTTAAAGACTTTGGAAAATTTTGTAGATTTTGGAAATTGGCCCTTTGCGCATCATGTACGAGTTCATAAAAAATTCGATGCCCATATAAATACAAGAAGAGCGATGAGATGAGATGAGATGAGCTACCAGCGAGGTTGGAAAGACTCTACAAAACAAGAAGCGGTTGGCATTAAGACGATCAAACCATCTTTGAATCATTTGAAAGAGGCTGTGATAGGATTTCTTGCTTGATTCACCAGTTTCCAGTGCTTTCTCAGACACTTTTTTAGGCTCAAACAAGCTTCTAATGGACATCTTTCAGGTTTTAACCAGAGGTGCTAGCGTGAAGAAAAATGGACGTTCTGGCGGTCCCGCAGACTTCAGTAAGGCCCCAGTAGATCAGAATCGGGTGGCACAGGCCGGAAGCACGAAAAAACCAGACTCGGAACGTCAACTGACGAAAGAACTGGATTTTTTCCGCAACAAGAGAATCGTGCACAAGGTTGAAGCCGATGGCGAGCGGGAAACGAATAGTGAGGGTCCAGTGATACGGGGGGAGGTATCGGATGTACAGCCCGGCTTTGAGACGGGTTCTGTCAAGATATCCAATGCACAGGAGGCTGCCGAGCTCAGAAAAACGTACATGGGCAAGGTCTCTGGTGAAGACGTACCGCTGCCGATTGGCTCATTTGAAGACTTGGTAACACGCTTCAAGTTTGACAAGCGCCTGATAGCGAACCTTTTGGAGGCTCATTTTACAGAACCCACTCCCATCCAGTGTGAAGGTATACCAATAGCATTAGACGGAAGAGACATCTTGGCTTGCGCCCCAACGGGGTCTGGTAAGACCTTGTCATTTGTTCTGCCGCTGCTGCAACAAGTGATTGCGTCTCGCAAGACAGAGGGCCTCAAGGGCTTGATCATCTCGCCAACAAAAGAGCTGGCAAACCAGATTTTCTTGGAATGCACGAAGCTCAGTAACAAGATTTTCTTGGACAAGAAAAGGCCACTTTCGGTTGCCTTGCTCAGCAAATCCCTCAGTGCCAAACTGAAAAACAAAATAGTGAGCGACAAAAAGTACGACATCATAATATCCACCCCACTACGTCTGATAGACGTTGTCAAGCAAGAAGCACTGGACCTTTCTTCTGTTAAGCACATCATCTTTGATGAAGCGGACAAACTTTTCGATCAGACATTCGTGGAACAAGCCGATAGCATTTTAGCATCCTGTCGCGATCCGCAGCTTCGGAAAAGTATGGTTTCTGCCACGATGCCTTCTGGTCTGGAACAAATCGCCCACAGTATTATGCTGGATCCTGTGAGAATCATAATTGGCCATAAGGAGGCAGCCAACTCGAACATCGAGCAAAAGCTGGTATTTTGTGGAAACGAAGAGGGTAAACTGGTCGCAATAAGACAAATGATTCAAGAAGGAGGGTTCAAGCCTCCGGTTATAATCTTTTTAGAGTCTATCACCAGAGCCAAGGCGCTATTCCACGAACTGCTATACGATAATCTCAACGTTGATGTCATCCACGCCGAAAGAACGCAAATTCAAAGAGACAAGATCATCAACAGATTCAGGACCGGTGAGATATGGTGCCTAATTTGTACCGATGTGTTGGCCAGAGGTGTGGATTTCAAAGGTGTCAACTTGGTTATTAATTATGATGTTCCCAGAACGGCCCAAGCCTACGTGCATCGAATTGGTAGAACGGGTAGAAATGGACGCGACGGTACAGCAGTCACTTTCTACACCAAGCAAGACAACTTGGCGGTGAAACCTATCATCAACGTTATGAAGCAAAGCGGACTTGAAGTTGCAGAATGGATGGACAAGTTCTCCAAGATGACAAAAAAAGAGAAGGAAGCATTGAAGAAGGGCAAGTCCTCTGTTGATAGACAGCAAATCAGCACAGTACCCAAATTGATGAAACAAAAGCGGCGTCAGCGCGAGGAGATGGTCGAAGCGTCGAAAAGACGTAAGGCATCGGAAGTTCAAGGTGAAAACCACCTCTGAGAGCTGTCCCCGATTAATATAATATGTGTCGTGAGCGTCTGACGCGTTGTATAGAGTATAGAGTATAGATTGTTTTTGGCAAAATAGAAGTGGAAATAAATCTCACGGGGAATCCATTCCCGAGGAGATTTCGGTCTTGACACAGTTTGCACACACTATGCAGATTGGAACCAAAAATATTCTAGAATATATTATTATGCAGTGATAAAGAAGATCAAAAATAAAGGGAAGATCGGGCCCTTACATCTTTATCTCTGATGCAGGCAGAGAAGGTAGAAGTGGCGTGCGTTTTGGGACACTGTCTTTGTTTTCCTTTTCCGGTTCTTGTTTTGGTTAGGTTTCGTCAAGTTCAGTGGTGAGCAGCGTAGTTGGTGTATCCAACCACTTTTCTTCTGCCGATGACCTCACCCAGCGAGTAGAGACCGGCCAATTGAACACCGTACGCACCGTATTTGATCAAATCGTCTTTTTGGACATTTTTGAACAAGCTCAAGGACTGTTTGGGCTTCAAAGCCATACTCACGGCCTGCTTGTATAGGCTTGTGTAGACACTCTGGAACTCACCGACAGATGGAGGTTGTAGCTTTTCCTTTAGATAAACCTGCTTTGACAGTTCTCCCACAACTTTAGAGTAGTAAATCGATTTTGTAGCGTAAGCCTGGGCCTTGGACACAACGCCGTTGGCGGCATTTTGAATTCTTGCTAGCATTTTCTAAAGAGGATCGGATGTAAAGTCCTTAGGTTCACAAACGCTGCGTCAACAATATTGAAGATCCAAACCGAGTCCGAAAGCGATACAGGATGGGTTAAGGTTTATGGACTGGACTATCTTCAAATCTATAAATTTGTTAAAAATTTTAAAGTGGGCGATATTTTCGTCCAATCATGACAGAGAGTTCATATACCACGTGGAAAACATGTGATTGTTGATCACATGACCAAAAAGTTCGGCGGCTAAGCTTTGAAAACGGTTGAATAACTGAGAATCCAAGAAGGTTGTGTTTTATTCGTATTATCATTTTGTGTAGGATGAGTGTTGAATCTGAAAAGATTTATTTCGAGACTTTTCCAGCTTTTTTCCCCACCAGAATCCCAACATATCAACGGCGCTGGAGTCTGACTCTCACCAAATTTCCCAGATTGCATGATCGTCAAATGTAGACCATGATTTTCAAGTCCCGCAACTGAGAGTCACCATATTTTCTGTTCGTTGTTCACTCCGGCGCACGTTTGTTGTTAAAAACCTCTATTCACATTATATCTTTACACTTATTACTGAGGAATGGATAACATTAGATGGCCAGATTATCTCCCGGACGTAGCTAATGCGTTCACAACGAATTGCACCCGTCGCTAGCATATCTCAGATTCTCCCATTGAGACGAATCGACCTTCTTACACCTTCACCTAATACCACAACTTTGTCCTCCTGCTGTAGCCGCACTAACGCGTCCGAAATGTCCAGAGCTTCGACCTTATCCTGGGACTGTTCGTTCACACAGCGTACCAACTCGTTGTAAGATATAGTATTGTTGGGACGTTCCGTCAAAATTGATACCATCTCGCGCGCCAGGTCTTCCTGCATCTTACGTTGCACAACGGACTTTCCGGTCTGAACAAGATTCATATCAATTTTCCCGGTCTTTGGATCCGTGGCATAGTCCTTTATAGCTGACTTGATCAGCCTCACTGCCTCTTGAACGTCCTGAAGCTCTACAAGTTGCGATAACCGCATCTTGGCATGTGCCTCAGCCAATCTGATCATACTTTCCAATTGTCTCGTTGTTGCGGTGATACGCTTTTCGTCGGTCCTCGAATCATCGCCCATTTTCCGCATTGTAACATAGGCCCTTACTAGCTCCGTTTTCGCCTCTTCCGCAATCACTGGTGCATACTTTTGTTTGGCATAATTGAGGTACATGGTCAAAAACTCAACGGGAAAAACATCATCTTTGTTTTCATGACTTGGAGCATCCTCCAGGTAAAGGTTTGTCAAGTGCTTTGCCAGCTCTCTATCGGTTGCCTCGTCGACCTTGTCCAAAACCAAATAAACAAGATCGAATCTTGAGAGTAGTGGCGGTGGTAAGTCAATATTCTCCGTGACTGGCAAATTAGGATTGTAACGAGAAGAGATCGGGTTGGCACTAGCTAAAATCGACGTACGTGCATTGAGCGTCGTTATGATACCAGCTTTCGCTATCGAGATTGTCTGTTGCTCCATAACTTCGTGCAAGACTGATCTGGTAGAATCGCTCATCTTATCAAATTCATCAATACAACAAATACCCCCATCCGATAATACCAGAGCTCCACTTTCTAGCACCAATTGCTTTGTGTCGACATCCCTGGTGATGTAAGCAGTCAAACCGACCGCCGAAGACCCTTTCCCCGAAGTGTAGATACCACGAGGAGCTATTTTGTGAACATATTGCAAAAGCTGGGACTTAGCTGTCGAGGGATCACCGCATAATAGGACATTGATATCACCTCTATACCTCCCACCCTTGGTGAAAGTCTTGTTAGTACCTCCGAATAATTGCAGTAGAATACCTTTTTTAACGTCATCCAGTTCGTATATGCTTGGTGCAATGGAACGAGCCAAGACCTCATAAAGATCATCCCTAGTGGCCACTGCGTGAATGCGACGGATCTGTTCATCTGTAATCTGCGGTACTTCCCTCAAATCAGAGTTGTTGAGCTCATTTTGTAAGAGCTCTTGTTCCACAGTGGACGTGTCCGCGCCCATTCTATCACGAGTAACTTTTTTGACATGTAGAACGTCGAGATAAGTTTTGTACAAGGATTTCAATGCACGCTGCCTTGAGTTTGCCCTAATCGGAATAGAACGAAATATACCTGTGACCTCCACTCTGTCACCTGCACGGCAGGAATCCACCAATTCGTCATAAACACACAGAGATACCGAATGAGGAGTTTGCCCATCCGGCACCGTGTCAGGCGTTTCTTGTAACTTGATCACCTGCTTGTCGGCAAAAGAGCAACGGTTGTGAACGAGAGACATAGAGTTTGGTTGGTTACACGCCACACGGGGACACCTGGCAGGCTCTTGAATCACTCCTCGATCGATTTCAACGACGACTGTGTGATCACAAATGTTGCACTTGAAAAATGCCACTTTCATATCTGGGATGATGGGTGTAGACCTGAGAACCAAGCCCTTTACGCTGATTAGTTTGTCAATGTCGTTGGGATTGAGTTCCCGCATACCCTTCCTACTTTCAATATTGAATGGTCGAACTTTGTAAAACCTGGATTCTACTTCGTCCAGACTCGAGTCCAAGTTATTGTCGACCACTATAGAGACCATGCAATCTTTGATTGTTTGATCCATGATGGATACAATTTCCTGGGGATAGCTCAACAACTGGTAATAGAGCTTTTCGGTAGGCTTGAAACTTAGCAAGTTTCTGGCGTCAAGGTTCAAATTGAGAGACCCCATTTCTCGCATTTGGTTCAGACGCTTGACATAGTACAATTCCTCATCCTCTATATCGTCGATAAAATCCTCGTTTTCGTCCAGCGTTTTACGGAATTTATACTTGAAAGACATCAGGAAATTACGGAAATTCGTGGCGCATTCCTGTATACTCACGTTGGTCCCCCAAATGATACGTAGCGGCTCTGAAGCTTCAGAAGCTGGATCTGAGGACGATGAGTCCTGTGCTAGATGGGAATCCAGATCCACCATCCTACGTGGTGATGAAAGATCCGATGCATGTAAATCGCTTCTTCGTTGCGAAGAGCGCTGAGTGTGACGGCCTGACAGCGAAGATGAGAGCATATCAATCTCGCTCGAGGGGTCTGTGAAGCGGCCAGAGCTGGGTCCCCCACGCCTTTGAGATCCTCTCTGAGATCCAAAAGTATCAGAGGATACCCCCAGACGGCCTGCATTTACGCCAGGGTTGCGAAAAGGTGACGAACCCACCGTTTGCTGTCTTTGCTGGCTTTCGTATGTGTCCGGTTGCGACGATGAAGACGGATTGTAAAACAGCGGCGGGGATGATCCACCAAAAGACGAGGGTGGCGCCGCCATTGGTGATGACCCAGCATCCCTTACTGGCGAACTGCGATTATCGGACATCTTGGAGACCGTTTTTCTCAACGTTTCTTGACCAAGTCAGAGTTCCACCAGGTTATGTATGATATTTTGTATGGTAATTTCAGATCTGCCATAAATTACCAAAGGCGGGTAACACATGAATTTATTGTCGTCCTCGAGCGACGACAGCTTAATGGAAGATAAACCACCATAGCCCTTTATAGTGAAATGCAACAGAAGACTCCATTTATCAAGATATAGCGTTTCTTGTCCATGATTATTGTTTTTTCAAAGATTCCCACAAACTGGAATCTTTTACCAGCCATTTTCGCGAGCTTCCTGCCTTTACGGATGGCCTAGTTGTGTGCTCTTTGATAGTGTCCCGAATGGCAGCCTTAGTATGGTCTAGAAGCTGCTTTTGAATGATTTCTGTGAGTGTTCCAAGAGAGTAGGTGCTTTCGTGAACCTCTGAAAAAATTTTGAGAAGCGCCTGTGGCTCGGAGATGATTGATTTCGGTTTCTTCGCAGGGACGGGCGAGTTTTGGTTTGAGGATTCAGGGCTGTGCTGAATGCTGGGGAGTTGAGACATTGGGGATTGACCTCCAGTTTGCCCATTTGCATCAAGCGGCCTCTTTTTGGTGGCTCCCGCGGCCGTGTGAGGCGAATTGTACACATTAATTGGGAAGGGCTCTTCTGGAATAAGATGCTGGACGCTGACAAGTTGAAAGTAACGCTGATCCTCGGAATCCATGTGGATCTTCTGAGAACGCATCTTGACTATTGGTATTAAGGGACCCAGAAATTTCTTACCGTCTTTCGGAAGCTGCGAGCTTTCACGATCTAGAAACCCGTCGAATTCGTCTTCTGTACCATCGTCCAACTCCTCATCTTCATCTTCGTCGTCCCCGTCCTCCAAATCTTCTACATCGCCGCCTTCTTCCTCCTCTTCGTTGACCCAGTCCCAGTCAGAATCGTAGTCGTAATTGATACCGGTGTTTTCAAAAGCGAAGGGATTGTCGCGAGGTAGCTTTAGAAAATTAGAAAACGTTCCGACGTATGGCGGTCTTACGTTTTCGTAAAACTTTATAAACCTCTGTGGGATTTGTCGCAGTCTTTCATCTAATTCTTGATTGCTCTTGGATTTACTTGTCATCAATTGGACCAGCTCTACGGCAGTGTTTTCGGTACATTTGGGTCTCAAAGGCGTTTGAGATAAAAGCCATGCCCTATTCTCATCTGGTGTGCTCTCGAGCTTCAATTGGGCGTCTATTGCAGACACAGACGACAGCAATGACTCTGGAGAAAGCGCGAAATTTGGTCCCATTACGAAACCATCTTTGACGTAAAATGGCAAAAAGCATTTTTCGTAATCACTCTTCGTGTCTACAATGCTTTTCAAAGAGCTGGATTTCTTGAAAAAGCTACCGATCTTGGTCTGATTCTTACCAATCATCTCCTCTTTCTGCCGCTTGTCTTCTTCGCGTTTCGTTTTCTCCTCCAATTTCTTGCGCTTTTCTTCCTCTTTGCGTTGTTCGCGCTCCTGTTTCTCTTGCTCTCTTTTCAACTCTCGACTACGTTTCTCCTCTATTTTCTTCAATTCCCGCTCTTTCCTCTCAAGCTCTTTCCGCTGTTTGTCCTCCTGTTTCTTATTCTCCCTTTCCAGTTTTTCTAGCTCGCGCTTTAGCTCACGATCGCGCTTGTCCTGTTCTTTCTTGCGTATTTTCTCGAGTTTTTCTTGTTCTTTCTGATGCTGGCGCACAGCTCTGACCTCTTCCTCGCTGCCCTTCGTCTGCTGAGCTTCCGAATGCTCCTTCTGAGAAATTTCACCATTCTCTTCACTCACTAGCCCAGACTGCGGCACCACCGATGGACCCATTTCCTGCTGAACGATAACCTGCTGTGCGTCGGTATGAGCTAGATTCGTCGTCGGAGAAGCCTGTTTGGAACTCGTATCATCATGACGCGTAGCAATTGAAGTTGTTTCGGTCATTTCAGTTAGGCATCAATGCCATTAGCGTGCTAATCAGACTGATCGTATGCCCAGATCGCTTCTCGAGAATACTTCTTGTAGTTCATCTTTAATTTATCGTACTTTTTCGCACGTTACACACATCTTTCAAATACAATAACGATACCATGAGCATAACATGGCAACTGGGGCACTGTGTGCCCTTTATAATGCGCATGGATAAGATGATGTAGGAAGATTAGAATTCAGGCTATCCGCCAGCGTTTTCGCAGCTTCGAAACGTCAACTTTTGAGTAAGTACTTTACATAGATGCAAATGACACTTTTCTGGGAGACGAAAACGCTGAAGTAACGGCGAAAGGAACAGGGTAAACCCGGACTTCGATGAGGAGTTTCCAAACCGACAATGTGTGATAATTGCACTTAAAATGAGCCCTTTTCTTCATTGTTGTTTGCTATCTTTTCAGAGGATTACAGTCATTTGTCGATTCATCCTGATCCAATGTATCGCCTGAGAACTCGGTGAAATAGGCTTGTAAAGGGTCAGAATCCCCTTCTGCCTCACCATCGTCTTTGAATGTGATAGCAAGAGGTGTCCTCTGTAGAATCTCATCCCTTTTGATGTTGAACGCCAAACGGCGGCTAGGGGTCTGCTTTGAAAGCATGCTGTCATCGTATCCAATTGGAATGAACTCCCAATGGTTTTGCTCTGAGCGGGCCTCTTTCTCTGACTTGCGGCCTCCTTGTACATGATGAAGTCTCCCGTGAATGTCTGCCTTTCTATGCGATCGCACTGGCAAATTTGATAGCGACAACGACGGCGATGACGATGACGAAGTCTTTGGCGGTAAATAGCTCACTTTCGGGGGCTCGCTCATGTCTGACCCAGTACGGCTACATCCTCTGGAAAGCTTAGGCAGAGGCGGCATAGACGGGACAACATCAAGTTGACTTTTGATGATTTTATTGACCGCAGGTGTATTTATCGTGGGCTCCCGTTTTGACATCCGACCACTTTTGCTAGACTGCTCTGATTTCGAGTATCCGCCGTGTTGACGCGCCCTTTCATTTTCAGGAGCCAGGATATCTAACATCGCGTCGAGCAGTTCCGCTTTCAACTTAGTACCACTTTCCTTCCCAACTAGGCCATGATGTTCCGGATCTGACAGTGCGGAAAATAAATATTCAAGTTGGCGAGATACACGTTTGTTTTCGAGTTCTCGGTTCAGCAACGCCACGCATTGTTGTTGCAAATGGTTTATGCCGTCTAAGAGGTGGATCATAAGCTGAACCCTCAATTCTTTATCTGCCGAGGTATGTGCCTTGAAAGCCTCGAGCTTCCCCTGCAGACACTTGGCATCTTCGCGGAAAACTTCACTATGCTGGAAAGTATCAAGGGTTTTATGCAGAAACGGTATCACAGAATTTTTGAAGAACTTCCCATTACGGCGAATGTGCGTCATCGACGAATCGGGACGCGAGGTAATGTCCTGTTCTGAGTTCATGGGCTCCCCTCTGTAAGGCGAGCCAGAGAAGTGCGTAACGATGTCGTAGTCGGAGACTGAAAGCCGTTCTGATTTAGAAGGGGATTCATTTTCGTCACTGACCTCCGCGGCGTAGTTCAAAAGTGGTTTTTCAGAACCTGTGGCGATTTCTCGATAAGAAGGAAGTTCGGCTGCGCTTTTCTCAGCATTTTTCAGCTGCTTCATAAGCTGGTTAACCTCCTGCTGCTGCTGTATCAATTCCATCTTGAGATGATAATTTTCGTTTTTCAGAACAGCCAGATGGGAGTGCACATCGACAAAGACACCTGAGGATGGTGATTCTTTGTCACTTTTCAAAGTTTTCTGCTCTTGCGGCTGCAATCTCCTTGTGCGGTGTCTGTGGTTTGGATTAATCTGTCGCAGCGAGACCTGCTGCATGCCCGCGGAGATGCCTCTGAAATCGCGATCTACATCGCCCGCGAAACTCATAATGGTTCCAACTGTGCCCTCTGGACACCTTTACCAGCTGTAAGCCAGTTCTGCAAGCTTACTTTGTGAGAAATAAAATTCTGTCATTATTTTACTGACACAAAGCTGACGCTTGTGATCATCACCACCTGTCGTTGTGATAGCCTAAAGCACAGTCACATTTGATGAAAACAGTGGGATGACACAGCTCAGGCAAACGTTTGTTTGCAACGTGGACATTACGGTCAAGACCTGGTATCAAGAAGAAACTAGCCAAGTGTCAGTATCAAGATTTTATCAATTTCAAAAGCTACTGGATAGGAGACTTCTAAAGCATGCTCGGGATGTCCTGCCAGATTTCTGGTTATTCAAAGCTACTCACCAGCAATTAGAAGACTACTGTTGACACTTTCACAGAAAAGAGCTGGAGTGATGGTTACGTGACCTATGACACTTTTTCAAAGTTCATTAATCTGTATTGATCTATGACTATGGCTTTAAACTTAAGATGCGCATTGCTTGATCTACAACACAGAACGCGTCTCTAGCAGCTATGGTGAAGCTGAGATGTCCTTTCACAGAGTGCAATTGTGCCATCGTTGATCTAGACGAGAGTCGTTACGCATCGGTGAGTCCCGAAATATGCAAAGAGCTGAAGCTAATGCTTCCCTCGAGCGAAGCGACATCAGACGGACTTTTCTCAGTTTTCGAGGACATATGGGATTTTGATAACATTGGCGTTTCCCGTGCTGTTCCTGACGGCTTGGTGAATGTCCCTGCTGCAACGACTACCGATAATCTACGTTTCAAGTTCCGCAACAAGACGTACCAGCTGCACAAGTTACAAAAATACCTGATATGTGCCGATTGCGACCGCGGCCCGCTCGGTGTGACTTACGAGGTGAAAGACACCAGCAACGGCGGTGAAATAACTGTTCTAAACATGCTCAGTCTCGCCAGTGTCAAACAGCTGGAAAACTGAAAATGGAAAGTCACGAAATCGGCCGAAATTACTCCAGCATATTATGAGTGAACTAACAAGACGGAAACAAAAACAGCTAGGTTCCCACGAACTCTTGTGAAAGACTCATCAAGACCTTCATACACTGGAAATACCATTTTTTGAGCTCGGCCGATGATCTCGCACATGACTACTCGCTTGCATTCGTCATCCAAGACGAATCCTCTAATTTTCCAGCAGCAGAGAGAGCAGTTTCTAAAAAATTTTCGAAAGTAGTCTAAGCTCATCGCCATCCAAGAACAGGATAAGAAAGCTTCAAGATATACAGAAGTTGAACTGGAGAAAGCTAAGTTACTTTCCTAAGCTTACTATTCTTCAATCAGAACCCACACTAATCGAGGTTTCCATTTATTTCGAACTTCGCGCGTGCATTTTGAGTTTGGAAGCTACCAATTTGAACGATTCTCTCTTTACTACAGAAACTTCAAAAATACCAAGAAAATGGCTACTAGAACGCAGTTTGAGAACTCCAACGAGGTGGGTGTCTTCTCGAAACTAACAAATTCTTATTGTTTGGTCACCGTTGGTGGATCCGAGAACTTTTACTCTGCCTTCGAAGCTGAGCTGGGCGATGCGATCCCTATCGTGCACACCACCATTGCAGGGTGCCGTATAGTGGGCAGAATGTGTGCAGGTAACCGTAGAGGTCTGCTGGTGCCCACACAGACCACCGACCAGGAACTACATCATCTCAGAAACAGTTTGCCAGACAGCGTAAAGATCCAGAGGGTGGAAGAGCGCTTGTCGGCTTTGGGAAACGTGATCTGCTGTAACGACTACGTGGCCCTTGTGCATCCCGATATCGACCGTGAGACCGAGGAGCTGATTGCCGATGTATTGGGCGTGGAAGTTTTCCGTCAAACCATCTCTGGTAACGTGCTAGTGGGCTCCTACTGTGCGCTCAGCAACCAGGGCGGTCTGGTGCACCCACAGACGACCGTGCAGGACCAGGAAGAATTGTCGTCTTTGCTGCAAGTGCCACTAGTGGCCGGTACCGTGAACCGCGGTTCTTCCGTGGTGGGTGCGGGTATGGTGGTGAACGACTACCTGGCCGTGGCCGGTCTGGACACCACTGCTCCAGAACTCAGCGTTATCGAGAGCATTTTCCGTCTGCAGGACGCCCAGCCAGACTCGATCTCGGGCAACTTGCGTGACACTTTGATCGAAACCTACTCTTGAGGAGAGAACTGCATATTAGGGTTAGGACGGGACAAGACACGGGGAGACTGGTGATGTGTATCGTTTGTAGCATAGCGTAAGGTAATTAGGCAATAGAGAAAAGCTTTGAGAGAAGAAAAGAGATGGGGGAAAAGAGACAAACACGTGAACAGCAGTCACGTGTTTATCACGAGGTGTAACTGACGTGTGAAACGACTTCATGGAGGGATGTTCACGTGATTTATCTGGAAGTGACACAGCCGTGGGAAACGACCCCCAAGGTGAATTATCGCCATTATTCACAACTGTTTGAAAGATCTCTATTTGATTCAGTTCGAATGCTGGGATTAGCAGGATTCGATACCATGTCAGGGATTTTCGACTATAAAATAAGCCTCGATTTTCCAAACGGTTTTTCGTTCCTCCTTCATCCTCTTGAAAAGATAAAAAAGAAAAGAAAGAAAAACAAAACGGGCTGATTTTGGAAAAAGCTGTCCACCCCGCCACTACTCAATACGTAAGACAATACCACCTCTTCTTCTTCTCCTTTTGTTTAACCAATTCCACCCATATCCGTATACAACGACAACTTACACTATCGCAGACATGATCAGCGGGTCGCAATTTTGTACGAAATACCAAAAGTACCGATCACTATGTACTAAATAGACCCGTTGGGTATGAACCGTATACAGTGAATTAACCCAAAGATACCCATCGTATACAGTGATGATACTTTGAAGAACTCAGCACACTGTACGAACATGTTTGTGGCTGCTCTTTTATATGACCACTAATGATGTTTTTCGACTCCAAAACTTGAAAATGGCTATGGTGTCCTAGGTAATAGTAGACGGAAACCCAAGGCTGACTCACTCGTACATAACTACAATACCCAGCTCAACTCATCACACGAGACGACGGGTGGGTTTAATTCATATTTGGTGGGTAGAGCCAAAACCCGGTAGAAGATTAAACCTACCCGGTGTACTCAGTGATCATGTATGCACTATCGACCGTTCATATTGATATACAAGATAGTTTTTCATAGTCTCGAAGGCCTACAGATCTACAGATCTACATATCTACATACATACATACATACAGAAATACCCATCATCAGTATCTTATCTTGAATTCGCTGCATTGCTCGGATCTGAAGTCCAAGTCCTTGCTACAACGGTGTATAATGCAGACGATCCCCTATTCCTCATTCTTGTCTACTTCACACACACATCCTCTACGGTACATACACTAGTTCTTGTTAATCAAATCCATGGGAATGGACTTTAACGGGACAAACGGGACAGCCCTAGTGAACGGTTGTATTAGCCCTAGGAAATCATGCCAATGCATAGTAGCGCAATGAATCGTTCACCAGGGCTCTAGGAACCATTTTTTCTCCGCGCCATCATTCGCTTCATCTGTGAGTTTTCCTCTCATTTCTTCATGCGTTCCATTCCAGCAAGACCTAGACACACACAGAACACACAGGACGCACAAGCTTTGGAAAACCGTTCTTCCAAACAGGACCGTAACCAATCAAGCCCAGAAGCCCATAATATCGTCGTCAATGGGCTGTTGATGCCCATAGGAAAAAAAAATTGCCAGAGGCGAAAAAAAAACAAGCGGAAAAGATGCTTCCGTCGTGCATCTACGTCTGAGTTTTCTGCATATGGCATATGGCTGAAACCCGTCCTTGGCCTGATACGACGACGATCCCATCACCCGTCCCTGGCTGGCGAGCCCTTTCGAGAAACGGGTCGATCGTCGTCAGCCTAGACGGTACCGGTACCGGTAGCTACTGCAGTAGGTACGGCGAAAGCTAGTGCATCAAAACCTGCCAAGAATTATTCGCAAGAGAAAGCCTGAAAGCAGGACGAAATCTGCGGTTCTACGCACGAATGTACCTGGCAGAGATCGTTGGGATGGCAGACGATTACGACCACCACCGCTGTGTTCCATACATATGGGAATTTTTTGAATGGTGAGGACGACGCCCGAGAGCTCGGGATCGACCGCGCTGACCACTTACTTACGTGTATATTTATAGACGTACGTGTTTATGTATGTATGTATATGCTGGAGACAGATACAATATATACGTATATGCAACATTGGACTGTGCATACAGATACAGATATTAGATACTTGTATATATATATACTTGTAAATATCAGTATTTAAAAGATCAGAGAGAGAGAAAGAGAATTGAATCCGGGAGGATCGACAGCGATCCCCTATCGACAGAGATCCCACACCAATCGCAACACACATTGCAATTGTATGCACAGGTAGGTTTTGTTCGCGAGTGTGGGCCACCTAGCTGTGGAAAATAAGTTTACAATATAGTGAGCGTCTTTCACGGGCATATATTTTACGTACATTATAGCAGACACGAGCGAGACGGTCAAGTCTAGGACACAACACAGCAGCCAAGGTAGCAGCAGCAGTAACAACACTAACAACATCATCGACATCGGCATCAACAGCAGCAACAGCAACAGCAACAACAACAGCATCAACAACAACAACAAAAGAGTCCGGGACTACCCAGCAGCGAATGAATGGATGTGTGTGAAGGAACATGACGTTCGAGCCCCGGGCGCACGTTCGCTGTCAGAAATCCTTCGTGATACCAAAAAGCCCGAGATAAGGCCGTTGCGGCACATTTTGAGCACTAGCAGCAGCACTACTGGTGGTGGTGGTGGTGGCATTGCAACAGGACCAGTGGTGGTGGCCTCGGTGCCATTTTTCACCCATTACCAGGATCAAACGGGCCCTGACACCAAGAAACAGAGAACCTCGACCGTAACGCCTATGACACCTATCACACCCGTCGTGCATGGTGACGATCGCTTCGGGTTCTCGAGCAGCAGCAGCACCCGTGCACCACCACAGCCCCATACTCACGTGCGACAGCATCACGTGCCGGCGGTGAGAAAACCTTCACCGTTATCGTCACCACAACTGCAACAGTTGCAAATCCATCATAACCATTCGCCACTACCGCGGGCGCCCAGTGCAACGTGTCACGAATGCCGTGTTTGTGGGAAAGCGTTTTCCCGGCCCAGTGCTCTTACCACGCATGCACTGATCCACACGGGCCATCAACCCTACGTGTGCGATGTGCAATCATGCGGCAAACGGTTCAATGTCAAGAGCAACTTGATTCGACATAAGAAGATCCATGGCAAAACCGAGGGTGCAGGGATGTAGCGGGTGTCTGGGTGGACCTGACCGACCGATGAGGTCAGGTGACGTGGCACAAATACGCCATCGTAATTTTATTTGTTTTTTTTGATTTTTGTTTTTTGGTATGATTTTGATATATTTTTTTCTTTACCACACAGGGTGTGGGAACTAAGAGTGAAAAAAAAAGATAGTAGTAATGTTAGTAGATGATTTATTTTTCCTTCGAGACCAACCACACCATTCATTTGGTGTGTTTAGCCATCATTTCTGTGGTAATTCTGCGGCATTTCTGTGGTAATTCTGCGGCATTTCTGTGGTAATTCAATAAGGTTTTCTCGAGTGTGTGATTCTCTTAATTGTTGTTGCGTCCTTCAAACGCTTTTTGGCTTTTGGGCTTTTTCTCCGCGTAGATCTTTTGCCGATCGTCTCTACTCATCTTCTGTTATGCATCACAGCGATCGGCAATTTACCGTAGCGTAGCATACATAAATTTCCCGTTGAAGCGTTCCTAACTGCACCGTGTGACGGTAGATTTAAAAACGTAAAAGCAGTTTTTACACCGCAGGAAGGGAAGGGAGGGGAGAAGAGACGAGTGGAAAAGTACGGAGTACGTGAGACAAGACGAGTTTGGTATCGGGCTAGTCCGAAAAACTGTGGAACCAACCATTGCAAGAGGTGGTGATTCTATCTTGATTCTATCTTGATTCTATATCAATAGACACGAATGGTTGAAAAAAAATCCGTAAGATGTGCTAATTCCAAATGTTAGAAAAACTGTGTTGGACCGACCAAATTGATCAGTAGGAAGTTGGAAAAGCGCCCAAATGTAAGAAATCCGATACCTGCTTGAATGTTAGTGTTGTTTTTGGGGATAATTGAATGTTAGATGGCTGGGAGTTAAAGGTCACGTGATCTGGTGATAATTAATTAGGAATATGATTGGGTTTCTGTGGTGATCTAACGACACAGTTCAAAAAAAATAAACATTATTGGTTGAAAAGGCTCGAAGAAGCGTAAAGCTAATCATCCAGCCCTTCCATTTCCCCTCCAAATGATACTCAAATTACTTATACTCCACTGCTCTACGGTTTTCTTCTTTTCTTTTCAAAAAGGCAACACTAAATAGTTTTAGTCACGTGATTACCATTTCCCCGGTCTTCAGATTTACTGGTGTCAAGACAGATCTTTTGCTCAGGTTTCCTGGAGCTCATTAGAAAGTTTTAAAATCATTTGTAGGGGCCCAAACAGTCAAGTTTGGGTCAACGCCAAATACTTCACCAAGCATTCACCTTCAAAAACCTTAAAATCCCAATGAAAGCAGGAGTTACCCAAACATTAAAATTTATGAACTCCTCAAAAAAACTCAACATTTAACACGCACATTCCAAACACCTGGTAAAAACATACCTTTCAACTCCACTTCACCACAACACCTTTTCCATTCCTCACTAGCATTAGCTACTTCAGTCTCTCTCCCGCTGATTTGGAACACTCCTATTATAATTCAAAAACGTATCTACTTTCAACAACAAGAGAGTTTGGCCGAGTGGTTAAGGCGTCAGATTTAGGCTTAACTTCATAATAAGTCAGATTCTCTGATATCTTCGGATGCGCGGGTTCGAATCCCGTAGCTCTCATTTTCTTTTTGGGCCGATAATTGAATTTTTTAAAATATTGATCAGCATCTCTTACCAAATAAAATGGAAAATCAAGCATTATCTCACCGCATAGATCCCTGTCAATGCACTGGATTTGTCGTGTCTTGTACTGATAGGTATTTACCAGTGGTGTGCTAGTCTGTACTGAATTTACGGGGTTTTACGCAGCTCTTTTTTTGACCCGACGACGCTGATGAGCACATTAGAAGTCGACCATTGGCGTAAATTTCTGTTCAGTGAGTCTAGCACGGCTTTTTGGGCCGGAGGTGTAGCAGGGGCAGTGTCACGAACGGTGGTTTCACCTTTTGAAAGAGTCAAGATCTTACTGCAGGTGCAGAGTTCCACTCAGGCATACAATCAGGGCATTTTCGGTGCAGTCAAACAGATCCATAAAGAAGAAGGTATACCCGGGCTACTGCGTGGAAATGGCCTCAATTGCGTTCGGATCTTTCCCTACAGTGCAGTGCAGTTTGTGGTGTACGAATTCTGCAAGCGTCAATGGTTCAAATTCAGAGAGCCGCAAGACGGTCCTCTACAGCTATACGGATGGCAAAGGTTGACCAGCGGCGCGGCGTGTGGCTTCTGCAGCGTGCTGGCAACATACCCACTGGATTTGGTACGCACTCGTCTGTCAATCCAGACTGCCAACTTGGCGAAGATAAAGCACAGTCAAACGCAACTCAACGCCGGCTCCTCCACGTCTGCGGCGACCGCCAAGACCACGGGTTCTCGACCACCGGGCGTGTGGAAACTTCTGACCACCACTTACAAGCATGAAGGCGGAGTAGCTGGTCTTTACCGTGGATTCTGGCCCACCAGCATTGGAGTGGTGCCATACGTGAGTTTGAACTTCACCGTGTATGAGCAGCTCCGCGAATTGATCCCTGCCGGTGTCGATCCAACGTGGGCCACCTTTTATAAGTTGTCGATTGGTGCCGTCAGCGGGGGTGTTGCCCAGACCGTAACTTATCCGTTCGACCTTTTGAGAAGACGTTTCCAAGTTCTAGCTATGAACCAAAACGCATTGGGATATCGTTACACAGGGATTTTCGACGCCCTCCGAACAATAGGACGTACCGAAGGCTTTAAAGGTTACTACAAAGGATTGACCGCCAATCTATTCAAGGTTATTCCCTCTACAGCGGTCAGTTGGGTTGTCTACGAGGCTATCCGCGAGATAATGACAGATGTGTAAAATCGTCTCTCGAATGAGTGTAATAGTAGATAAATGATAGAGAAGGCATAGAATACAAGTTGTTTAGGGTTTGGCAAGTAAAGAAGCTGGTTCAAGTTGGTTGATTCATGGTCTTCTAGCCTGGGTTATCCATAAACCAATGATATTCTGACAAAATTCAAAAGCTTTAACACTTTGCACGAAGCCGATGTAATTACTGATGAAAAATGTTAAATTAGACCAGTTTCCTTGAAAGGAAGATCTAATCGAGCAGTTCGCATCTAGACAGACCTAAAAGATCACTGAAAATATCAAGTTGAACATAAAATGAGAGCCTCCAAGCTACTACTAAACGCAACCGTATGTGGCCTTTTTTCAGCTCCGAAATCGAGCTAAATTGAGTGATTCTAGGCGTCCTTTTTACAAATTAACATATACTAACTGCATCTGAAAATATAGCAAAAACAAAAACCTGGCATCGGAATCCCCGTTGAGTTGACTCCATTGTTCTTGGCTATGGGTGTTGCCCTCTGCTCCGCCACCTGGTTCACCTACAAGAAGTTTAGATTTGACACCAGTTTGAGAGTCGGAAGAACCAACCCAGACAGATCTGGTCTACAGCAGGTCTTGGATGAGACCAAGGAATAGAGGTTTTAACTATCAATTATTTAACAACAGTAACGTGCGAAGTATGTCCCTTTTTTATCCCATCCGTTACCACACCAAATTTTATCGCGCTGACGTGATAGTGCACATCAGCAATCAGGAGAAATAGTGGCTTGCTTCAAGCTCCCGTTGAGTAAACAGTCCTTAATACATATTCTGTCATTTCAATAAATCCGTTTGGCGCGAGCGACCAAACCGCTACGCTCACATAGCAGTAAAATCGATCATAAGCCTTTTTTAAAGGAAAGCCTCATAAGCATTAAAACGCTTCCAAGCGTGTAAGATCCCAAACTTGTCTATTTACCTGTCAATGATTATTTGGTTTCCGAAGATATGAATATATTTATTTTGTGCCGTCCGTTTGTTAATCTGAAGTAGAGGACTCTCCAGCGTTGACTATGATTTTATTTTTATCTTTCATCTCATAAGCGCTGTTGTCAGTTCTGCCCAGATCATTCTCCTTGGAAAAAGCTTCTCTGGCTTTGCCGGTAAATCCTGTTTCTTCATAAGAAGCTGTGCGACCTTCTAAAGTCGCCAAATTTTCCTGTTGGATCTCTATGTCATCCATCAAGTCTTCGTCCAGCTGTTGTGGGATAATCAGATTCAAAATAATACCAACAATCCCGGCTGCTGCGAAACCCGACTCCATGATAAGTATAATAGCATTAAGAAGCCCTCGCAAAGCTTCGTTGTTCCCATTATAGTGAAAGAAGGTCTCAAACCAATTTGGAACTAGAATGGCTCCAAACCCGAATAGCAGGGTACCTGTCAGCACAAATCTATCGCGTCTCGTAAACGGTATGGTGGATATGATCTTTAGACCTGAGACGGCAACACTTGTGAATAGAAATGTGGTCATGCCACCGAGCACTGGTTTGGGAATTGACACCAGCGCGGCACCAAACTTTGCAAATATGCCCATCAATAAAAGAAAGAAACAGCACCAGTAACCGACTTGCCTATTTGCACATTTTGTCAAAGAAATAACACCATTGTTTTGTGCGAAAGTGGACATGGGAGGCAGGGTGAACAAAGCCGAGAGCACGCCGCTAAAGCCATCACTCAATACAGCTCCTTGAATTCTGGATTCGTAGATTTCACCCTCGACTTCCATACGAGAAACATCACAGGTTGCAGTAACATCACCAATGCACTCTTGTGCCAAGACGATATACATGACCAGCATCGGCAGAACAATGGGGCCGTAAACTTTTAGCGGAAATGTGTGGACCCATAGGAAAGTGGCGGCAGGGGCACTGTTTATGGACGTAGGGTCGAAATAGCCACAGGCCGCAGCCACTATACAGCCCACAATCAGCCCAACAATCACTGCACAAGACCTCATAATGGGCGATCCCCATTTTTCGCAACAAACAATGGTCGAAAATACCAAAAACCCGAGACCGACGAATCTGGCACTCCCCCATTCTCCTGCCATAGGGGCACCTTCCGAGGGACAGATAGACCCGACACATCCAGAGCCCCCAACCCAATCATTGAACCCACTCTGGATCAAACTGACTGCTATACACAGCACAACTGGCCCAGTGACAATCTTAGGGAAGAGTTTATGCAAAATCTTGGGAGGAGTGAAAGACATGGCCATTTCCAATAAGGCACAACAGGCTGCTGTACCCAAAAGCGCACCGTAACCCTCATAGCATGGTCCGGGCTTACCGTCCTCGCCCATGGGACAGAATCCAGACTTATACATAACTGGGAAGCCCTTTTCGACAATTGTGATTGTTGCAAAAGAGGTGCCAACCACAGAAAGAAGACCTGAACCGATGAAGTAAGGCGTCTTGGGGATACGGAACCGAGTGATTTGGATGCAAGACATAATTGCCGACACGATAAGTGATGCTGATACCAAGTATTGTTGTATTTCCACAGGAAAGTTGGCGACCGAGGCAATGATGATTGGAGGAGTTATAACACCAGCCAGCATTGCCAACGAATGCTGGAGACCTAACAGCAGCCCTAACAGTATTGGCATTTCGGAGTACACCGAAAAGAAAGGCTGATCCCGCTCGACGGGCTCGATGCCTCTTTTCCGGTCTATCCAATTTCTGAATGGAAATGAGGGTGTAAACAAAAACGCATAGTCATAATCACCCAAAATTCCTTCTTTGGTGGTCAGTTTGTGGATGAACTTCCGGCCACCGAGTTTTGCTCGAGCCGTCCAACTGGCACCCGCTGTTGCAGTGTGTGAAATGCGGTCAGATTCCAGAGTATCCATCTTCTCAATTTCGAATGTCTGAAGAATTGAACAATTGAGAAATGCTGATCTTCTTTAGCTTGCCGCTCTTCCTCTTTCAAATCGAACGATAAGCTCCCAAGTTCTTGTCACTTTTCGGTTATCTGATAACGGCCACGGCAATGACCCAATATTTTGGATGTATTCGACGTCAAGAAACAAAATGTGCGAGTACGTCGCTACTGGAGTTTGATCAGTTGTTTCTTGTCGAGCAACAATTATTCTCGGACACTTGTGATTGAAAAGACTTGGCTCGGTGATCCTGAACTTTGTTTTGCCCGTTTGTTGTCGTCGTCCTTATATAGCCCACAAGAATAAGGTTTATAATCATTGTCACCACCATCGAAAAAGATAAGGAAAAAGCCTATTCAGAGCATATGCATACGTTCACCTCACGATAGCATTGCCAGCTTGACTTTGTAGACGGTAGAAGGAGATTGGCGAATATCGGCGTTGGGCATGCGTCTTAATTCGATCAATTTGGTAGTATCGAGCATTCAGATTAAGACCCCGGATTTGTCCGGTGATGGAAAATTTGTTATCTAATACTACTGCAGGCAGCAGTCCGAAGACATCGAAACTTGGAAGAATCAGGGATTCGTCCTAAGACGGTCTCTAATCCTTCAGCAGGAAAGCTTTTTTCATATTTTCTTCAGGTTGCAGTAAAAATCCGTCACATCATCGATTTCGTCAAGCTGTTCCATGAACTTGACAAGTTTAGCCTGAGTTTCTTCGCTGGATGCCTCCACCATCATGTCGTTTTTAGCCACGTAGCCAATGTTGACATCGTGCACGTAGAACCCGCTTTCTTTCAAGCTAGAAGCTACTTGGTTGGTCTGCGTTGGATCGAAACTCACTTCGTAGACCGTGGATCCGTAGTCTGGTTTCAATGACTCGTAGCATGGCTCTTCACGCGGGACTTCTTCCAGATCTTCAACTGTCTCCAACTCCAGCACTTTCTCCATCACAGAGTCGAAATCCACCAAATTCGCAGGAGGCTGCACCAAAATGCTGCCTTTACGATCGAAAAAATACAGCGTTGGCGTCATGCTGCCGCCTACTTTGGAGAAAGTGCTTCTAACCAACCCAATGGTTCGGTTCTTGTTGTCTGTTAGCGCCTCCACGACAAAAGCAACCCCACCGGGCCCCATTCCCTCGTAAGTACATGTTTCGGAACGTGCTCCATCTTTGCCGGTAGCACCGGAACCCTTTCGAATCGCATTTTCCACCACCCGTTTCGTGACATTGTTCTTGTTTGCCAACTCGATTGCCGCTGCCAGACGCACATTCAAAGACGGGTCTGTTGACCCGCCGCCCAGTTTCACCGCCAATGCTATCTGATTGGCAAATTTGTTGAAAAGCTTGTTCCGTTCAGCATCATTCTTGGCTTTGTCGTGTTTAATCGTCGACCATTTGTTGTGACCGGAGCGAACTGCGCTGTACGTTGAGAAAGTGTGAGCTCGAACAGCTGGCAAACGAACCGTTGAGAACCGCCACATCTATAAACTGCTATGAAAGTAAGTTACCAACAAACAACGCTATTTACAAGTACTGAAAGAACTATTTGGTACCGAAACCCAATGGTTTATGTTCGAGTCAATGTAGCTTGGTATGACGATTAACTCTGTCAGTTTACTGAGATTATTATTGAGATCTTCTAATAGCGTATACAGAAATTTTGAGTTGGTAGAAACTTGAATAAAAAAGTCAAATAAAACAAAGAAAAAAGACCCTACGATTGAGCGCACAATGTGTCAAACATTCTCGAAACTCATAGGGATTGGTGGATGGACTTCCATCGAGCAAGATTCGAATTTATATGTAAAGTATCTATATCACTAAACACGAAGAATGAGTATATTAGTTTATGGGTACGATATCAAGTGAAGTTCAGTCCGGTTCTAACACTTTTACAACACGATCACCAACAAACGGTTGCAAACCATTGATGTCCGAGAAACGTTCTTTGATCGCTGTAATTGGCGATGAAGATACCTGCACAGGCATGTTGCTGGCAGGGGTGGGCCAGATCTCACCCTCCAGCCAGGAAAAGAACTTCTTCATGTACCAAGAGGGGAAGACTACCAGGGAAGAAATTTTGAAGGCATTCGAAGACTTCACGGAGGAAAGAGACGACATTGCGATCTTGCTCATCAACCAGCATGTGGCAGAGAAGATCAGAGGCCAGGTGGACAGTTTCACGGCTGCTTTTCCTGCGGTTTTGGAGATCCCATCTAAGGAACATCCATACAACCCGGAGAAGGACTCTATTTTGAAAAGAGTGCGCAGGCTCTTCGGCGAATAAGCGCAGGCAGCTAATGAAAGATATTTACATAGAGAACCGTAGAGAATAGTTATACAGAGCGCAACAACATACGCAAACAAGAAAATGAAAACGAAATGAAAAAAAAAGGACTATATCATTGCGACGTCTCTCGAAAGAGTAGGTCTGTATATATGCTGAAGTTGGGCATCAGACGACTAATCAGACGACTGAGTTATTATGCCATGTACAGATTACTTCTTGCCCTTCTTCTTGTTCTTTTTGTTCTTCTTCTTCTTGCCGGTTGTTTGCGCCCCGTTTGTGGCGTTGAGCGCTGGTTCTGGCGTACTTTCAGCTTCACCGTCCTCCCCGTTTATTTCATGTTCCAGCTCTGCCGATGGTTCCGAAATTTCGTTCGGACCTGAAGGATGACTTACATCTGCGACCACAGCTTCAGGTATACTTTCCTCCACCTCAGATTTGGCATTTGCTTCGATTTCATCGCCGTGTAGTTTTTCCCGCTGATTGGGTATCTCTATTGGGGCTGTGTTGTCGACCAATCCGGAAGCGTCTGCAACAGCGCTGTTCTCAGCAGCTACAGCTTCCGTTGAAGCTTCAGCTTCAGTTACTGTCTTATCTTGAGTGTCAATTTGTTCAGATGGTTGTGTCGGCTCTGTTGCTTGAGTGATATCGAAGGGCTTCTCTTTAACACCACTGTCATTGCCGACCTCTTCATCGACGCCCATGTTTATCTCTTCTGAGGCAATAGCGACCTGTGAACCAGGTTCCCCGAAATGCGGCGATAGTTCATCTCCTTTAACAATTGGTTCCTCGCTTTCGTCATTTAGCACAACATTTTCTCCAGTGACCTCCAGATTGCCCATGTCATCGGTGGTTTCGTCTTCTTTCTTACTCGCGACTTCACTGTTGTTCTCCGTCTTAGTTTCGATCTCACCACCATTTACGGTCTTGGTATTTTCATTTTCGGTACCTGACCTGAACTCATCGTTTTTCTGGTCTTGGTTTTCTTCAGCGTCCTTATCGTTGTTGTCATCATCGTTCTGGCCATCGTCATTCTCCTTCACCTCATTAAGTTCTGCACCCTTCTCGCCAATATTCTCCAACGTTTGTTCAGAGGCCAGAACGTCTTTCACTTGGTCATTTGCCTGCTCAATCTCCGCTCTTTCTTGCTGACTTTCTTGCTGACTTTCTTCTGCGCCTAACTCGGACGGCCGCTGTTCCGAATTAGAGTCAGCAGTTTCTTGTACGCTTCCACTCTCTTGAGGTTGGGATGGAACAGGTGCTAAAGCACCCGTAACACTTTTGAGCGAAGCCGTGGATATCGCTGCGGAATCCGCAGAGATCTCCGTTTGAGGCACCTCGCTGTCTGGACCACGAGTTGATGTTGAAGGCTTTCCAGGTTGAAGGTTTTCAGGGACCTCAGAGGGTAGCTTTGTGAATTTATAGCCTTCGATGTTAATTGGATCGGCATCTAGGTAAAAACCGCGGACACCAACGATTCTCCGCTCCAATTCGCAAGCTCTTACCCATTCGGGTCTTACAATCGGTATGTTGCTTTGTTGAGCCTTTTTCAACTCTGAATCGTCACCATCTTTTTCATTAGAAATGAAATGAGTGGTGTCCAAAGTAACGCGCGATTGCATGGGTTTGGCACCAATATTCTTCAAACTGGCCTCGATGTGAGCTGCAGTGACATTTTGTACAGCATCGAGAGAGCCCAAACAAGCCGTTATACCGGACATGTCGGTCATTTTGTGCGTGTGAAGAACGATTTTGTCTGACCACAGATCACCCGAAGTAGTGCTCAGTTTGAGCTGGAAACTGTATTCGCTGTCTACTGAAAGCCCCGAGAATTTTGTAGCCGTTGTTTTATACGGGTTAGGTATCAACAAGGACCGCACACCGTCTTTATACAGCACCAATGATTTCAATTGAGCAGATCCCAGCTCTAACGGATCCCATCCGAGAACTCCACTTGTTTGTGTGACATTTATGCTTTTCAGCACTGGCTTTTGAGGTCTGTGAGTACCATATTTCTCCATAATCTCGTCTTGTAATGATTCGAATCGCTCAAGCTCCTGTTGCTGCAATTCTTGGTCTTCAGAAACTTGAATTTTGACAATAGTTCCTGCCTTGATGTTGTCCGGTAGCAGCATTGTTGGAAACTCAATAACATGGTGATTCTTGGTGGTTAAAAGCGCTAAGGACGCATCCAGACGACCTACTGTAAGCCATTCCTCGACTTGCGTAGCTGGATTGGGATTCATCTTCGGTCAATGGTCACTGTAGCTCGACAATGCCTCAAATCTGATCAAAACCTACCTCCTTTCTATATAGGATTATAATTTAGTGTACTGTATCGTCTTGAATCAATCATTCGTATTCAGTGACAAGCCGATCGCTGTCACATGGGGCAGAATGGAGGAACTACGAGTAACGGCGAAGGGCTGATTATGTTGTGGACCAATGACTGTATACCCTCGATATTGCCATTAGTGTAGCTATTATAACGATCTTGTTCAATCTTTATACATTTTTACGATACCAAGTTGTAGATGAAAAAACGATTAAAATAACAAAAAAGTCTAAATAATTTACAAGGCATTATGGTTTATGAGCAGTCTCATTGGCAACTCGTTGACTCTAGGCCACTCAAAGCTCGGCCAATGATTTGGTCAAGGCATCGATGAAAATATCAGCATGCTTTTCTTCGAAGGTCAAGGTGGGTCTCAATCTGACCGATAGCTCGGCGCAGCCACCGACGTTGCAACCTTTGAGCTTCAAGCTCTTGAGTAGAGCGTCTCTTTCAGCACCAGTAGGTAAGTCCCAGGCAATAAAAGTACCCCTGGACTCTCCTCTTAGTCTGTATAGCTTTTGTGGGTATTGAACACGCAATGCGTCCAATTTCTTGAAAAGATAGTCTCCAACACGAGAGCACTGCTCCAAAAGCTTCTTGTCCTGGACTTCCTGAGCGATGGCACCTGCAATGATCATACGAGCCGGCTCTCCACACCAGGTGTTGAACTGTCTGTATGGCTTGTTTGGCACGAACAATGGGTCGTGGAAAAAGTAGCCCGCACTTTGGAATTTTTTAGAGAAGGTGACAAGATCAACCGGAGGCTGGATGTCGGCCCATTCGTGGCACCAGGCCTTACCAGTCGCACCAACACCGGTTTGAACTTCGTCGATGATGTACACAACCCCGAGCTTCGAAGTGAGATCTCTCAAAGACTGCAAGAAATACTTGGAGGCGTGATTGTCACCACCTTCTGACTGGATGGGCTCGATGATCAAAGCCGCGACTGGGATAGACCAGGACTTGATTAGATCTTCGACGATCTTCAAACAACGGTCGTCTTCGGCACGGTTGGAAGCTTCGTTCTTGTCCAATGGGTATTCGTAATGAGGGTATTCTGCATGAGGCCATTCGAAAGCTGGGAAATCAAGCTTGTGAATAGGCTTCGAGCACGTGACGGAACCAGAAGCAAATAATCTGCCATGGAAAGCCTTTTTGAAGGACAGGACGGCCAAGTGTGGGGAGCCAGGCTGTGCGTTCTTCATGACAGACTGGTTTTCCTCTGTGGAGAACTCCTTGTCATAGCCTCTTTCCTTGGCACGGTAGTACATGAAAGCAGCCTTGAAAGCTAGTTCGTTGGCGTCTGCACCCGACAGACCTGACCACACCTTGTCCTGGCCCTTAGGGGCAAACTTTAGGATCTTCTTCAGGATAGGCTCAAGGTCACGAGAAGGGAAGTTTCCCAGAGCTGGGCGGTCCACAAGAGCACGGATCATTTCCGGCGATTTCGCAGCTTCGACTAGCTTGGGGTTGTTGTAACCGAGCGCGATAGATGCGATCTGGGCGTACAGGTCGAGATACGTGTTTCCGTCGGCGTCCACAATGTAGTTACCAACCGATTTTTCGTAGTCGGCCATGAAGTAAGCTGGTCTGGCATCGAACACCTTTCCTAGGGCCTCTAGCTCCTTCACGGATTCCGGTCCTGGTATAGCAGATGTCTTGACGACTGGCGCAGTTGGTTCGTTTGGATAGTATTGGGAAGCAGCAGACATTGCGTTTCTTCTTGTTTTTGTTCGTTAGGGCCCTTTTGCTCTAAAGGCGATGTATTTATGAAAGACCTGAGAGATTCTTCGTAAGGGAGAAGAACAGAGATTCAAGTTTGGTCGGAAAGCTTGAATTTTGGTACAGTTCTGAGTTTTGGTAATTGTGCTTGTAGGACCAACACAATGCTCTGTTCTTATATTCCAGGTCTCAGGCCCACTGCATCTTATCTTTTCTGCTAGAGGGCGCGCGAGCCATCCCGCGCGGAAACTCTTGACTCAGTCGGAACTTTGACCTAATCTTCTCTAATAGGTTAATCAGGAGCACATGATATGAGGGAAGCGGGAAGCGAGCTTAGCTATTCGTGAAAAAGAATCAAATGTACCCGCAAACTGCAGTCACGTGGTAAACTCGATCACTTGATCATTTGATAGCCCTTTAAGAAGGTCTGGGTTTTAGCTGAGGAAATGCTTGTAGTGACACTTAGTGAGACTTGGTAAGACTTAGTGACGCCATTACATGCATTTTGTGGGAATTTTCGTCAAAAAATGTTTAAGGGCAAACTTCCGCCTCATTCCAGGACTCGAAACCTGTTTCTGGGTGGATATTGCGGTGAAATTTCCATCTTTCACCACCACGTCCGTCCTTCAAATTCAAAAAGTCCACCTCCTCGATGCACAGACAAATGACACCAAAGTTGTCAAAACCGGTGTCCTCCTTGGCCCCATCCACGCCACGTTGGATCTTGTCGAGCTGTTGGCTGGTCGCAGACGTCACTGGAGTGCCCGGATCGGGTTTACGGAATTGGGCTTTCGTAGAACGTGACAGCTCGCGCCATTGGCGACGCAACTCCAGTTCCCACTCTTTATCGAGCGGTGGAGCATAGTCTTGCGGTCCTAAGACATGGCTCGTTACTCCCAGACCACCTGAACTGCGTGTAGAGCTGCGGGACAACGTAGCGTGCTGCGGTTCGTGGCCAGCACTTATGTCCCCAGCAGAATTTGCTTCTGGCTCGGAATCTGTGCTGGACCCCCCGCCGCTATTCTTGTCAACCTGCTCGTCTTGGTAAAGTATTTGGGCACCTCCATAAATGCTGGGCGATAAAATCGGGTAATCGATAAACCCAGAGTTCTGCTGGTTGTACTTGGCAGAAATGGGTGGTGCCTGCTGGTGTGATACGACAAAACACTTCCCGCTAAAACGGTACTGCTCCCATGTGCTGGGAAAGTAGAAACACGCCTCGAACGGCGCTGTGTCCGAGTTAGCAGCAAGAATCTCCTTGACCTTGTCTCCACGCAAATCCGTCGTGAACGTTAACACGTTGCTGCGTTTATCGTGGAACAGGAAATCCCTGAAGATCACGGTTCTGCATTTGGGTTTGTTGGTCAAAGGATCAACGGTAGCAAAATAGAACGGAGTGAACGATTGCGAATGATTCTTCAGCGATTGCGTGAATTGAGGCACCCATGGTGCCATCTGATGAATCATCGGTGCTGTGGAAAGCCTTCGTAATAGTAGCGTTGTGGTTTAAGATCTTGGTTCTGTCGTTCTCTCTCAAACACTCACCTTATGTAGAAGGTGAGTAGATTTGAAATTTTTGGACCCAGGAAGCCCAGCGATGAGACTGGTCACGTGCCTCTAGAACTCGACGTGTCTTTTCACAGAGAGAGGTGTGTGCTCTATACGGTGTTCCCAATCGGTTTTCCTCAAAGTTCTTCTTATGTGCCCTACTCAAAGGGACCAGAGCGCTAGCGAATAGGCGTTCCGGCAGGCACAGAATGAACCATGATCGAGACTGTTTTTTCGCCGTTGCTAACGCATAAGGGAGTTGTTTGGCCCGTTTTAGGGTCCTTGTAGACCACTTCGCCGGTTGTTCCAACACTGAGTCTGTTGCTGAGCTCTAGCCATTCGTTGGGCTTGATTTTCCGCGTTGGAGGCTCAGTTTGCACGGTATCCTTCAAAAATACCTGCTTTCCGATCAATCGACGATCAAAAACCGACGGCACGCATGTCCGCACTACCTTGCCATTATCCACATCACCGTCACCACACAGTACCATAGCCTCGCTAATTTCACCTCGCAACTTGCATTTTTTCATGTTGTCAATAACTAGTAGTAATTGGCCTTGCAGCTCGTCAGCGGTTATGTATGGTCTCAGACCGCTACAAACCTGCTTGAAAACAGGTTCTCCACCATCGACATCGATGTCCGGAGACAATTGGATCTTGGAAATGTACATTTTATCGGAGTTTGGGTGATTTCGCACCTGCGATGCCCATCCGATTTTCAGGCTTGCCGTAGAGAATGAAACATCAATATTCGCTGAAGTTGAGTAAGATTTGTAGATTGAGTTGGAAAAGAACAGTCTTGGGTTGAAAGCACGCATAATAAAATGCTAATTTCGTGGTAAAGAAACTAGCTGATGTTAATGTTATCTCGCTATTCCACTGTTCTTATACATTCAAGTTCCTGATATATCGGATCTATACAATATTGTCAGTAAAGTAATATAATTAATTAGCTTGAAAAATAACCTTTAATCAGTCAAGAAACAGTGAACGGTTAGCATCTCGACAGAACTCCAAACAAACATCGAAAATGCGGGACTACAAGCTGGTTGTTTTGGGTGCTGGTGGTGTAGGCAAATCATGTTTAACAGTGCAGTTTGTACAGGGAGTATACCTGGATACTTATGATCCCACAATAGAAGACTCATATCGCAAATCGATGGAGATTGACAAGAAGGTTTTCGATCTTGAAATTCTCGACACAGCCGGCGTGGCCCAGTTCACAGCGATGCGTGAACTTTATATCAAGTCTGGGCTTGGGTTCCTATTGGTTTATTCGGTAACGGATAGACAGTCACTGGAAGAATTGATAGAGCTACGAGAGCAGGTACTGCGCATAAAGGACTCGACAAAAGTTCCCATGGTATTAGTGGGTAACAAAGCGGATTTAGAAGACGAGAGGGTGATCTCTGTAGAAGAAGGCGTGGAAATGAGCAGCAAGTGGGGGAAAGTGCCCTTCTATGAGACGAGCGCGCTACAAAGGAGCAACGTGGACGAAGTATTCGTTGATGTCGTCAGACAAATCATTCGTAATGAGATGGAGGTGCAAAACGCAGGCCCCGGCTCCGCAGGTCGTATGTCGCGCCGCGAAACAGGCCTTACATCGACTTCGGGACCCCACAGTCCTCTTGGGCTACAACAGGGTCACCAGGGACCGCTTTCCAGAGGCAATACGGCCGACTTGTCCTCTAACGCGAGGACTTTACCACAGGCAAAGGCCAAAAAACTTGATCTTAAGCGCAAGAAGAAAAAAGATTGCGTGATCCTTTAGCGTAAAACCCTCTTCAAGATGCAATGTGTAATATATATATGTATGTACAGCTGGCCAGCACGATATTGAATTTTCTGTAAGCTGGGGGTGCATACCTAAAAGACAAAACAAATGCTCAGACATCATCACCAGAAACCTGCTGTTGTGAGGTTTTCTTCCTCGTAGCTTCGTCGCCCTTCCATGATCCCTCAAACATATGCTTGACGAACGCCATCTTATCGTCGTCCATCTTGGCGTTCATCTGGTTAACACCTGGTGAAAAGCTGGTAATGGGTAAAATCATCACGTCATCAATCATCACCGGCTCTTCAATCAAAGTGAAAAACTCTTTGACAAAAGTGGCGCTTGACTCGAGGCCCTGAGTGATTTTCCGGTAAAACTGTTGAGTTTTAGAGCCGCCCTGATGATCCGCCCCCAAATTGTTGTTGATAATGGATATGTCGGTATTAGTCTGCACCAGATTGTTGATGTAGTCGAAAATGGCATCTGTGAAAATGCCGGGCCCTGTCCAGTTCATGGTATCAGTTCCATCAACATTTTTCGATGTTTTTTTCTGTTGCGCTGGAAAGTTATCGTCATTTCTTCTTTTATCGCGACAATTCACCAAGTAGTCACTTTTATGATCTTCATCCAGTATGAAAGCTGGTGCCTGGACATTGCTGTTGATATTCGTGCTTGCAAGTGTGGTTGCGGTGATGTTGATGATGAGTTCTCTCAAAAGAGGATGGCCCGGTTTGGATTGAATTGTCCATTGGCAAAATTGAATTCTACGCGCATACCACTCATTCCAATCAAATCTGTCTGGGTCGGCCTCTATTCCGGCCACGAAACCCGGTTCTGGAGCCGAGACAATGCTTTCTGGTTGCACTCCTCTATATTGAATAGGCAACCGCGCATGAGGCTTCTCATCCAAGGCTACCGATGGCCACGAATCCAGTGGCTTCAATGGGTACGTGTCCATGTCCGAGTAGATACCACCGCGTGCGTACAGTATTAGGTATCTGAAAAAGTCCGCTTTGAGAATTGGAAGTGGAAGGGAATCGAACGCCTGAATAACCTGTGGAACTGCACCGTACAGGTTTTGTAGCAGTGACGACATATGGCTATCTGGGACCAAGGCGTATTCGCCGAATTGTTGCTCCGCTACTGCTTCGCTCCAGAGACCGCTAAATCTGCGAAATTCTGGCGACATTTTGGGTGAGTCCAATGCTGTTCGCCAAGTCTGCCACACCCTTTGCGGCATCGGTTGCGATGCATCATACGGAAACTGGAGCGTTAGCTGTGATCTCAAACTCGCAACTGATTGCTGTCGCAGGTTTTCTGATTGGAACTGTTTTAGGTTGATATCTTTGGTGTTAGAGGTGATCGGAAGCCGCGTTTTGAACCCTTTATAGAAATTGTTCTTCATTTTCCAGCTACCGATCTGAGCTGACACCAGTACATACAGAAACACAGCACATGCTATCACTACTTTCCCGCGCTTGGTCAACTTAGCCATGGCTTCCTTTCCTTGCCAGACTTCTGAATCTGAAGTTGAGGTTTGTTCTGTTCAACTTGAATATACTTTAATTTTATTCAATAATTTAATATTAGTTCATTTGAGCATGTAAAACCTAAAAGAACCTTTTCGCATACTGAAAACGGTGGAAATCAATCACCTCACACAGTACATTTAAGAAGCTGTGATAATGAGCTTGTTCCGAAAGGCTTTTCAATTCGAAGTGACAGTCCAGATTCTTGGCCAACAAAACTTTTTTACCGGGCTTTGTTACTATATTTCGCTTTTCTCGCTTGAGGCTACGTACGGATGATGAATCAATCGCGAAATCACGAAAAACCAGAAAGAATTTTTGGGCATACAAAGTGTTTGAGGAAAAAAAAAGGGAAGACCGTTACGAAGGCTGCTGTATAGTTCCAGACCCGTCGTATTGCTGATGTGTTGGAAGAGTCCGGTCATCTGAGCTGCTTTCTTTGATGATGCACAATTCTGGAACCTAAACCACACAGTAGTTAAGGCTGCTGGCCGGTTCATTTTAGAGCTACATCGTTCTGCACGAGTTCCTGTTTAAGGTTGCTCATAGACTTGTCGTCTGAGGCTATGGCACGAGTGTAGTTCTTGAGTATCGTGGTTCGGTAGCCCAACTGGGCTGCTGAAATGGCAGTGCTTTTCACACAGTAGTCGAGGGCAAGTCCCACAACAAATACGTCGTTGACGCCATGCTTCTGCAATAGGGCGTCAAGACTTGTGTGGTGATCGTTCCAGATGTCGTTAAATGCAGAGTAGTACTCGCGATCGCTTAGAAACCCTTTTTGCACCACATGGTGGTCGCATTGAAGAGTGTCGAACGCCTGAGCTAGCTTAGGAGCCAGTTGGGAGCCCCACGAGTCCTGTACGCAATGTACGGGCCATAATGTGGCCGCTTGCGTCTTGCTTGGATTCGAGGGCGAGGCGTAGTCAAATGGACTGAAATCCGGTAGATCGTGGTTGCGGGCAAACGACACATGATTCTCGGGATGCCAGTCCTGTGTGGCGACAACAACGCACCATCTTTCGTCGCGCATCAAATCCACAATGGGAGATACGACTTCATCGCCCGCAGACACCGCCAAAGAACCCTTTGGAGGCAGAAAATCGTGCTGCACGTCGACGATAATCAATGCCTTGCCCATCACGAAAGGTTTTGTTCTAGTTGTAAAAACTGATTTTTGCCCAGTAGCTCAGGAAAAGCTAAAGGTTGATGCTGGTGATCTCAGTCTTGATATGCTAATGCAACAATTACGGCCGTTGCGTTGATATGTCTGCTTCTTTTATCAGTTCCTCAGTTTTAAGGGTACCTATAGTATGAGTTTCCCCTTGGGACGAAGCAGAAATTCTTGTCGGTTGGGGACCTTTCCGTGAGAAAGCTGGGTACTGAACTGGAAGTGGTATGTGCTGTATAACTCAAGCAAAAGTAACGACAATTCACTTGAATATAGCGACCAAAGAAAACCGCGGAAGCTCTTTCTTTTATGTGCAAATCGATCAAACTGGGCACTTCTGCAGTCCTGAAAAAAAAGACCCTTGCAACACGAATGAATATGGATTTGGACAACTTTCCAGTGCGGACAAAACACAACTCTGAATGTAGTTCATCCAGGGCGGTAGTACCATGTTAAGTCGCCAGTGAATGAGCTGATCATCGTTCAAAATTGACTATGTCGATGCCTATGAACGATGGATCTGACGAACATGGATGAGAGAGATCACATGATGGGCTGGCGACTTTGTAGTGTCAATGATAGATAAAACGGAGATGAAGCGTTATTGGTATGTAGTTTCCATCCTGAAGAGATAGCTTTCGTGTCTCTCTTGTATGTACAGTCAATTCATTTGCTCGAAAGATACATACTCCCTAGTTTTGGTTTCTTAGGTGGATAAAACTGTAGAAGTGCGTTTCAAGTTGATTACCTCGGTAGAAGACCTTGTTTGATGGCGCGAAAATATTCGTCAGACGTCAGAAAACATACAGTAGATATCAAAACACTTCCGAGTTCCATGTTTTGCACTATCATCCCTTGGTATCGCTGTTTTCTCAATTTAGATGGATGATACTTCCCTTTTAAATTTTACAAATCCAGTGGAAGAACGCGTTTTCAAGATCGACTGAAACGCCTAAGCAATTCTCCAAGACCAATAACTAAAAGGCGGTATTCAAACGCACCATAATTACTGCTGCTCTTTTCTTAGATGTGAGGACTTTTTGACCCTCAAGGCTATAAACTGACGCGACTCACGTACATGTGACCAAACGCGTTCCTCAAATTCATTAGGTTTCTGAGGCACTATAAAAAAGTATCTCCCCCCTCAATGATGTGTCACTTTCTCAAACAACAAATAATGGCCTCCTTGTTTCATATAAAAACACTGCGAGATCAGATAAAGTCTGAAGCCTGTAAGTAAACTAGTAGTATATAATAAGGACTGTCTGTGTACATAGCTTGAGACATATCGAACATATAGGACATTTGTATAGCACTGAAAGCGGTTTGTTCTAGCAATTAGCCGCCGAGATGGAAGCTACGCCAAAAAACGCGGAACCTGGCTCGTTAGTCCCGACCTTCGAAGAACTCAAAAATGATGTTCTAAAGTTGAGTTTAATTCGAGTCAGAAGGGGCGACGAATGGGAAGAAACCGAACGTTTTGCCAATGCAGTTTTGAACCTGAAAAGCGATCAGAACATCACGGTTGACGTGGCCGGCGATGTGGACCCACTAATTGCCTTGCTTGAGCTGCTTGCGAGAGAGCCAAAGAACAGGGACGTATGTGCGGACTTGCTAGCCGCTGTGTTCGCTGGATTTGCCATCCACAAAGATCTGACATCGGTGGCCAATCGATTTGCACGTTCGGTGACTGATAATCACACTTTGGGATCGCTTTTGCGTGAAATTTGCGGTACCGTCAACTTGACACCGGACTACAAGCCTGGTGTGTATTCTGTCGTCGCAAAATTGGCATTGTTTGGACAGCTCAGCGTTTCACTACTTCGAGCCTTGAGACTGACACTCGGCTCAGTCCTCAGAACGCTGTGGGTGCCTTTATGGACATATGAAGCGTTGCCAGATCTGTACAGTAGTGTTTTAAGCCAGAGCCTGCTACTTGCAACTACCCAGGAACACAAACTGGACTTTCTCATTGCTTCAAGAGGACACAATGTGCTGCAATGGCACGAGCTAAAAGATCGCAATACCACAGCAATCAATTTTTTTTTGTACAGAGTAGCACGCCGTGTTATCCAGTGCCGCAACCATGTCTCAGAGTCCTTTGCTAATTTTCTTCGTGATTTCCTATCACAGACCATCGACAATGATTGTTTCAAGAAGCTTGATGAGAGTACTGCTTTCAACCTATCTGTCTTCATGGAAATTGTGGACCACCCGGACCTCAACTTTTTAGAGGAGCCTCATTTGATTGCCGTCTTGAATTCGGCACTGCGTCACACCCGCAATCTTTGCGAAAATGGACACATACAGACTTTGCATATGGAACTGGGTACGATGGGTAGCACTCAAAGTCTTTTCGGGCTCACAAACATTTTGCAGTATATCCTAGCGCGGTTCCTTGTTGATACGGGAAATCTTATGTTCAATGCTACTCATCTCGACTCCGACAAAAGCAATTGGGCAATGAGATCATCGCCTTACGAGCTTCCCGAATTTTTCGACCAGGTTGTTCCTGACATACCGCCAATTGCTAGAGCAGGATTTGGGTTACAGGAAAAAAACCCAAAATTCCCGATTCAAACAAGCGAGTACTCTATTACCGTACTTTTGATGCTGGAATGTTTGAACCATGTTATGCTCATCAACAAAAATTTGCTGATCTTTTACGGAGTAAATGATCTTGATCTGTCCCTTGAAGTCAAGGACGCGAGCCAGGATAAGGATAACGATGAATCACAAGTTGTGGAAACAAAGTCCAAAAGTGAGATATCAGAGCTGTATTTTGTCGCAATAACTTCTGTTTTGCTGCTGTGTCGGCAATTTCAGGACGAGGTTTTTTTCGGAACCCTCATAGATGAGCAAGAGGCCTATGTGCAAAGCAGAATAATGACGCTAAATGCTTTAAAATGCTTCGAAGCTCTGGTTTCCACATTAGAAGGGGCGTCGTTGTATCAGTTCATCAAATTTTCAAGTCGTATTTCATTGATTGATTTGAGCATGCATGCGGTGTCTATGCAAATTTTGAGTCATGTTTCATTCCAGTCTCGTCTCAGCGCGCTACAAGGCCCCACGCTTACCAACAAGCTTATCCGAGATGCACTTTACAGTCAGATCATATTGTGGAATGACGGAACAGACACTTATAGCCGCTTTTTGACGGATGTCTTCAGTATTGAAGCGCCGCCTGTGACATTTGTGAGCCTTGATGCTTCAGAATTTCTGGGTATTATGTTTCCACAAGACAACACGCAGACCGCACTTACGGAACCATCCCCACAATTCGTTAGAACAAGCGATAGCTCGGAGTTCAGAAAAGGCTATCAATACACAAAATTTAATGCTCACGCAAATTCATTTGTCCCATCCAGCAGGTCTCAATACAATAGAGCAGAAGTGAACAGTGCTTTGCAACAGATCGAACGTCATCACTCAAGCTCGAGGTCTGCGGAGGGAGTAAAGCCGCCCAATTCGTCCATCGAAGGCCTGGATCTACGTCCATCATTTCCGACTGGAAGGCAGCAAGCAACAATTACAAAAGAGCTCGGTGCAACGTTTAGTGGTTCCGCTTCGATACCGTTGAATAACGGGACCTCTTGGAGTCCCAACTGCTTTTCACAGGGCCCTCTCTCGTCTCCAGATACTGGATCCGCTGTAAGTACGGGTAAAAACTACATTTTAGGGGGTCACAACCGCGCCGCTAACAACAGCAGAGCACAGTCAGTGCATGTAGATCGATTCAACTACTTGCAACAATAGTTGGAAGGTCCACACAAGTGCTCAGGCTTCCTTTTAGGCTGTTGTGTGATTCCTGTCACTTGAATGTCAATTTTCATGCGGAGTGAGGTCGTTGAAAAACTTAATTTCGAAAAATTTTGAAAGCTCATCTCATCTCATCTGCTCATCTCGGCGCATCTTGGATATTGACATTGTGGTCCACACGTCCATAGGAGAATTGAAAAGAGCTGCAAATGGTTCTCAAATCGACGTCGGCAAGTGATAACTCTGTATATCAAGTTTCTGGTACTAATGTATCACGGTCACTACCTGATTGGATCGCGAAGAAGAGAAAGCGCTCACTCAAGAATGACTTAGAGTTTCAAAATCGTGTGGAGTTGGTACAAGATTTTGAGTTCAGCGAGGCCTCCAACAAAATTAAGTGCACACCAGATGGTCAATATGCTATGGCTACCGGTACGTACAAACCACAGATTCATTTGTATGACTTCGCAAATCTATCACTTAAGTTTGAAAGACATACGGACGCTGAGAACGTTGACTTCTTGATCCTTTCTGATGACTGGACAAAAAGTGTTCATCTACAAAACGATAGAAGTATTCAATTCCAAAACAAAGGTGGTCTTCATTATACGACGAGAATACCCAAATTTGGACGGAGTTTGGCATATAACAAAGTTAATTGCGACCTTTACGTGGGTGCCAGTGGGGATGAGCTCTACAGACTTAATCTTGAGCAGGGTAGATTTTTGAACCCTCTCAAACTCGATACAGAAGGTGTGAATCATGTATCTGTGAATGAGACGAATGGACTGCTAGCAGTGGGAGTGGAAGATAACGTGGTGGAGTTCTGGGACTCCCGTTCTCGCTCCAGGGCAGCAAAGCTGATTTTGGAGAACAGCTTTGACAACTCTCCCTTTCAGGTAACAGCAACCAGCTTCAGAAGTGATGGTCTAAATTTTGCGTGCGGGACTTCTACCGGTTACTCTTACTTATACGATTTGCGGACCTCGCAACCCACCATTGTCAAAGATCAAGGCTATGGTTTTGATATTAAGAAAATTATATGGCTAGAGAACACAGGAGCCGAAGGTGGCAGCGATAATATTCTCACTTGTGACAAGAGAATTGCCAAAATATGGAATAGAAATGATGGAAAGGCTTATGCTTCAATGGAACCAAGTGTGGATATCAATGACATAGAACACATTCCTGGCACCGGTATGTTTTTCACCGCGAACGAAGGAATTGCGATGAACACTTACTACATCCCAAATCTAGGACCTGCTCCACAATGGTGCTCCTTTTTGGATTCTATCACAGAAGAGTTGGAGGAAAAACCAAGCGACTCTGTCTACTCCAACTATAGATTCATCACAAGAGATGACGTCAAGAAACTGGGCCTGGCTCACTTGGTGGGCTCGAAGGTTTTGAGGGCATACATGCATGGTTATTTTATCAACAACGAACTCTACGATAAGGTTGCGCTTATCGCAAATCCCAATTCCTACAGAGACGAAAGAGAAAGAGAGATCAGACGGCGTATCGAGAAAGAAAGGGAGTCCCGCATTCGCACATCCGGGGCTGTCAAAAAGCCCAAGGTCAAGTTCAACAAAGACTTGGCGGACAAATTGTCGCAAAAGCGTGGTGACAAGGAAGCTGGCGACGTTCTTACTGACGATCGTTTCAAGGAAATGTTCGAGGATGAAGATTTCCAAGTGGACGAACAAGATTATGACTACAAACAGCTAAATCCTGTCAAATCCGCCAAAGAAACGGACGAAGGAGCGGCGAAGCGTATCAGAGCACTTACAGCTGCGGAGGAGTCCGACGAAGAAAGAATTGCCAGGCGGGAAGGTCGCGGCCAGTATTCTGACTCTGAAGAAGAGGACGATAATAGCGATGACAACGATAGTGATAGCGATAGCAAGAGTGGCTCTCAAGAGATGAGTGAATCAGAAAAGAAGTTGCTAGCCAAAAAGGTTGCCGCTGCTCAGCGCCGTAAACGGGAGCGCGAAACTGACGCTCAATTCAAGAATCAAATGAGCGTTGGAATGGTCAACAACGACGCACAAGGTGAAGCATTCGATACGAAGGTACAGGAAATGCGCCAGAAAGAACACCAACGCGATAGAAACACAGCTGGTGTTCGTCGCAACCACCAGGGAGAGGCAGAATTCAGCTACGTGCCCACCAAGCGCTCATCTACACATCAAAAGAATAAAAAGAGCATCGCGGTCGGTAGCGATGAAGAAACTCAAGAGAGAGACAGCGGTAGATCTAGGGCACGCTCACAGGGCAGAAGGGCCGGTAAGAATGCATTCAGGGGCATGTAACTTTGCTTAAATTCAATAGTTTTGGAGAGTTTGATTTTCATTGCAGTGCTCTGTTTGACGTAGATTCACACTCATTCCATACGACAACGTTATAAGCGTATTCAAGATAATTATAGCGAAACTACATCTTTCACATCCGAACAGTTACTTTTCTGCAAAATACAAGAACCTTGTTCCTTTCAAGAGGTTTCTGAAATAGTCCACGATTAATTCAGCAAGATGGGAATCAAGAAGTTCTTTAAGATCAAGCCTCCCGAGGAGGATACTCCGGAAATGAACCGCGAACAACTCAACGAACTTGGTATCCCTACGAAGAATGTGAGAAGAACAAAGAAGGAGAAATTTGCAGCATATGGGCACTTCGCAAAGGATAAAGCTGAAGACCGGTTTTATGCACCTCCAGGCTATGAAAACAGTGCCAAAAACAATGCGGATTTGGACGATTTAAATAAGTCCGAAATGGACACCGAAAACAAAGCCGATCCTTATTTGAAGGCACCGGATAAGAGCAGTTTCGACCCGTATGCCAGAAATAACGTTCAGGATCGTCGCCAGGAACAGAATCCTTATTCAACCTCAGGCCCTGCAGGTTACGCCTCAAATAATCCCTATGAAAAATCGTCCAGTGATCCATATGCTCGTACGACATCTACTTCCAACCCTTATGAACAGCAGCGGTCTACTTCCAATCCTTACGGACAGCAGCAGTCGGATTTCAACTCATATGGCCAACAACGGTCGAACGTCAACCCTTACGGGCAGCATCAATCGGAGAACAATCGTTCTGGGAGCCAACAGCCACCCTCGCGTACGAATATCCCACCCGGGCAAGGACGTTCTGCCAATCCTTACGCCTCCCTTGGCGATGATCCATACAGCTCGTCAAGCAGAAGTAATAGTTACAGCACAGCATCACGCCAGTCTCCGGTGTCCAGCTCTAGGGTGCCGCAATATGGGAACCCTCAATCTGAGAGTAGAACGGCTACGATCTCTAGCCCGCAAGGTCCACAAGGGAAGTCTCGGATAGCTACAGCGGGTGCTACAGATGCATCATTTGATTTCGAAAACCCATCAAAAAGCGACAACAACGACGAAATCGACTTGAATGCAACCTTGCAAGATGAGGAAGAAGATTTCAACAGCCCCATGAATGTTGGATATGAAAATGATGTTTATCAGCGGCAACAGCTCCAACAGCAAACTACCCCGCAACAGGATTATTTGCAGGATACTTCAAATGACCGTGGGTTTCAAACATTCGAGGACATTCAAAGGGAAAATGAACAAAGGCAACAGCAAGAAGAAGATGAGGCGGTCGACGAGATCAAGCAGCAGATCAGGTTTACAAAGCAGAGCTCTGTGGCCTCCACTAGGAATACGCTCAAGATGGCACAAGAGGCAGAAATGGCAGGGACCAACACTCTTGGGATGCTAGGTCATCAAAGTGAGAAATTAAACGCTGTTGAAAGAAATCTAGATTTGATGAGGATGCAAAATAGAGTTGCAGATGATAAAGTGGCTGAATTGAAAAAGCTGAACCGCAATATTTTGGCTGTTCACATGAGTAATCCTTTCAATTCTAAGCGTCGTCTGCGAGAAGCAGAGGAACGTATAAGAACGCAAAGAATAGAGGACAAACTCATTCAAAAACAAACAAATGGACGTCTCATGCAATCGACAAACCGCATTGAAAGTGCAATGAACGCTTCAGGACAGGATCCACATGACAGTGTCAAACAGCGTTACCAAAATCAAGCAATTTTAGAGAGGTCCAAAAGGTATCAATTTGAGAATGACGCTGAAGATGATGAGATGGAACTCGAGATTGACAAGAACCTCGACAAGGTGGGCCAAATCAGTGGACGTCTGAAGAGGCTTGCAATTGCTAGTGGAGACGAAATTGATGCGCAGCAAAACCGGATTGCCAACATTGAAGAAGACACCGATAATATGGATATTAAGATCCATTTGAACACCACGCGGTTGACTCAAATTCGGTAGACACAATGGGTGATGCCTGGGCAGTGCCCGGCCTAGCGGGCAACATAACAAGGATATTATCTTTAAACTTATTTACCTTCTTTTTGAGTTTTTCATATTTTTTCTTGGATGCAAAAGAAAGCGCTGCTACAAAGGCTGAATGGCTTCAACGGCACACTGTTGTTGCCAAAGCCCTTGAGGGCTTCCAGGCTCATATACATATATTCATAACTATATATATAAAAGTGTTCCGAATACTTCTCAACGTGTTGAAGCAATGCTTGGGGTATTGGTTGGTCGTGATTTTTTTTGGGTTTTTGTCATGATAATTCGTTAAGTGAGCAAATGTCGCTTCTTTAGACGGAAACGATGTTATACCGTGATGCTAGCGGGGGGAATAATGCGGGATAGGGGGAATAATGCAAATGTGTGGGAAGTTAGGACCGTGGGGGCGAGAGCTAAACGTCTTGGGCGTTGAGCCACAAACGATAGTTATTCTCTGCAGTGTGGTCCAATGACGGTTCTGAAGCGAGCGAAAAGTAGCCGTCCAAAGCGACTTCCTTTTGGTGAGCCGATCTGGGTGTGCTAACGGTGGTTGGAACCGTGGCCATGTAGTCCAAATCTGAAAGTTCTTCGTCTTCAGAGTCGCAATTGGCTTCGAGATCCAGAGGACAGAGCTGTGGAGTGGCCACGAGTTCTTCCACGGCGCTTTTGCGCCGTTTCGAGCTCAAATCGTGCTGACAGCACGATGCAGAACAGTAGAGTCTGCTGGTGGTGTCTTGGATCAATGTTTCACAAACGACACAGTAGTCGTTGAATGCAGACATGATGGTACGAGGGAAGGAAAGAAAAGAAAAAAGGGTGATTGATGCCAGAAAGGTTGGAATGCGGGATTGTTAAGTCAGAAACTTGACTGACTAGTTGCTAGTTCTGCTACCAGTTGTCCGATATTCATGCGATTTTTGTGTGTGTATATTCTGACCTCTTCCCACTGTCGTTGATCTCTTGCTGTACCGTTATTCGTCTCCTTTATATATCTATCCGGATTTCTTTCTTGTCTGAAGCGATGCGTGTTGAATCAACTTTTATAGATGCTCGATGCTTTTCTGGGTATTTATATGAACTTCACCGTCTATTTTTGAAAAATTCAATTCTGCCCAACAACCGTGCAAATACCTATGCGATTGATGCAAAGTGAATCGATTTCAATGGGGCCCAAAACTAATCTTTTAAACGTTCACGGCGCTTGATCCGTTCGTACAATTCCTGGTCAGCTTTTCAACGGGACAAGGGCTAATTTTATATGATTTTTCAAATTTCAAATATAGCAGTAACCTAAGTGATTTTTCAAATATTTTCCATCTGGGTCGGTGAATGTAGTAGTAGAAACTTTAAGACAAGACGACGGGCCAAGCGAGAAATATAAAAAACTGAGAGAAACAAGCCTCAAATTCGTGCGTATTCTTCGCGTTTGTCGAGAAAAAACACTTTTGATGTGGTGTATATTCTAGTAAATTTTCTAGTAACTAATTCTAGTAATTCTATTCCGTGGTGTCTTGACTGCAATTATTTCTGATTGATTCTTTTTTTTTCACCTTGTGAAACGGCAGTAATGTTGGGTGTTGTGAATTCTCGTCAATACTTGCTAGCAACGTGTGTTCCACATCTAGGTCTCTGGTCAGGATTATTTTCCTGTAACAACAGGGGCTGCTGGCCTACAAGGTCCAAGAGGGTGGAATTCACAAGAAACAATTCGAAACTATAGCTGCCAGCAGCTAGCTAGCTACCTATTACACGGGTAAAAATCAAAAAAAATTTAGGTGGAAAATGTTGGCCCGGACAACAACGGGCACCTCATCTCAATCTCAGCTCATCGCATCGGCATCGGCATCGGCATCGCAACAAGAGCGGAAAAACTGAAAAAAAAAACTGGCCTCACTTTGAGAGGAACATTTTGATCTTGATCTGGCTAAGGATAGGATTGTAGATCGTGAGTTTTTTTTCAGAAACAGGTGAGAAGAGGTGAGTTAGACAAGGCGCGTTCAGAGAAGAGAATAATTCCGATTTGTGAAACGAGCTTACGTGGGAAGGGGCGGAGAGGTAGAAATGATGAGAAAAATAAGGTCGAATTTTGAATTAAAAGTGTCAAAATGAGACAGGGCCGGAGAATTTGAAATTGAGCTCTAGAAGGACAAAAAAATGAAAAATGAAAAAAAAAGTGCCATAAAGAACAGGGGCTGATTTGTAGTAGATTTCTAAACAGTTTTCAAGACCAAGAAGTGAACACGTTTTCTCTCATTAATCTCTTCTTGGTCTTGGGCTAGAACGATTGATGAAGTATTCATTTGTGGGCTTCAAGACTCGTAGACCTTTCCACGATTCTGGAACTTGATGAAAAAGAATAATTTGGAATTTAAAGAGCCAAACCCATGTTTGATCTGGGGGATCGCCAAAACAGTTTCCAGAACAAACGGAAACGAGAACGAAGACGAAAACGGAAACGAAAAAAGGGGTAGAGAGAGCGCCCCCCGCCCCCCCAACTCTTTGACGAATACGGTACGGACTTCTGCTAAACGATGAGCTTCTTTTGAACATGACGCGAAAAACAAAAATGATATTTCTACATCATTTCTCACGGCATTGACATCGCCGTTGCTGTACTCGCCAGCTGAGTACAAAGTGATCTTAGCATTTTAGACAAGTCTCTCTCTCTCTTACATCGATGAAGATTCTATCAATTACTATTACAAATTTGTTAAAAACTCGATTACTTGTACTCATCCAGTGGGAAACTGTAAATGCAAACTCCTAATAGGAGGCAGATCTGATACTGGTTCTTCCCCCGCACGACGGCCGTTTTCTGCTGCGCCCTTCAAATCTAAACTGATTTTGGCATTCGAAGGACTCGGTATTCGAGGAGGGGTCCCCAGCGGTGTGTACTTGGCTGACGTTGCAGAAGAATGCGCGGCAGATGGCGTAGAAACGTAATGGTCCAAATATTGGCCCGAGTGTGTCTTTTGAACGTTTTGTAGTTTTTGGTCTAGCTCTCTGCTGAAATCGGTTGTCGACGTCTTGGATGACAGCATGCCCGCGATGCCTGGAGGCTGCTGCAAATGATGCAAATTTGTGAAGGAGCCTGCACTCGAAAGTAAGTTTGTGCGACTGTGGCTGCGGCTCATGGTTGGAGTGGTAGTTCTCGACTTTTTGCGGGCCCTGCCCAGTTCCTCGTCGTCGAGTTCGTCGTCACCATCATCGGCCGTGATCAAGTTGGAAATGCTAGTTAGTGAGCTCGAGGAACCGTGCGCAGGAAATGCACCGAGAGTGCTTCTTGCTCGAGGTATCTGTGTGGTGTGCCCGTCTTGGGATACAAACCCTGGCTTTACGATCTCGGGGCTTGGAAGATTGAGATTTCGTTCGGGGCTTCCAACTGGCGCCAACGGGGTCATCTTTTGTAATGACGAAAGTACATTCAGTTTGAGACGTGACGGTACCGGTTTGAAAGGCAAGCTCTCTGGTTGGTGTAGATTGACAGCTGATGAATAGTAAGCTTGGCCCCCTACAGGAGTTTGTCCCGGAGGCGAGCTTCGGGCCTGAGAAGGATCCCACGATTTCAAGGATGGAAGAGAGCGCACGGTGTGAAGTGCACCTGGCCCTTCCTGAGGGTTTTTGTTGTCTGTCGCGGGCAAACTGCCAAGAGCTGCGTTGACAAGAAGACCCATACTTTGCTCCTCAGACGAGCTTGCCGCGTTGTTGACGTCCGAGGTTTCGTCGTCATCTGCGTCACCTAGCTGGAAAGTCGTCGACCCCCTTGGTTTGCGTTCTCTCCCGGCACTGTTGGCCGCTCCAAGGTCTGTACTATTGCTGATTCCGCTCGCAACATCCGTTTTCTTTTTGCGTCCTCTTTTGCCCTTGGGATGTGGGTTCGTGTGTATACGTTTGTGTCTTGTGAGTTCGTCACTTCGGCTAAACCGTTTGGTACACCCAGGGAAATCGCAAACGTGCGGTTTTTCTCCTGTATGTGTTCGAACGTGTCTTGTCTGGTGCTCCAAACGGTGAAATGCCCGCGAGCATATCGGACAGATATAGGGCCGCGGCGAATCGGGACCCGAGTTGGGCGACTTTCGCTTTTTCTTGGCCTCTGCGTCGTCCATTTGCATGGCTAACTTTCAGCCCGAAGACGTCTTAGAGATGGGGTTGTTGGTTTTCTGCAGATCTTTTGATAATTGGGAATTTTGAATGAATCTTGTAGATTCAAATTAAATTGGGCCAGAGCCCGGGAAAGCTGAGAAATCCGTGCGGGGTGAGCCGGGGAAACATCACAAGAACGACCACAATAGACAAAGAAAAAAATAAGGAAGCACGTGAAAACTCTCTGTATAACTGTATACGAACCGACCCTCTCATGGGTGTGTGGGCGTTAGGGGTGACTGGGTTTTGTTTTATCACTATGATCGCCCAAAGTCGTCAAAGAAAAAGCGTCCAGGGTAGAACAAACAAAATCTTCATCCTTTTACCCAATATCTGCAAATCAACACAGGGGTTTTCTGAAAGGTAGCGGCTAGCGGTATGTCGCACGGGGAGCTTTTCATACCAACTTTTAAACCATGGTTGGCGCAGCTGCTCGGATTTCAGATGAACGATGAGGTTGGATGAACCCCAAGGAGTCATTGTTTGTTCTTGTGGGCCCTTTCAAGTGCCCTTTTATGCTGTTTCCGTAGAGATCTTTTTTCCCTTAGAGCCTTAGATCCGAGGCTCTTTCTGCAAGGTTTATGCGGGATCTCCAATATATGCACATTATATGCACATTTGATGCATAGTGACATACCATATGCATAAATTGCGCTGGTATACATGCCGATACCATGGCTACTGTCACATTTTAGTTGCAATATTGCACCTTTTGGTCTTCTCACCCCAAATTTCTCATGCGGCATGTCATCAAAAATGCAGAAAATACCCTTGTTCTTAGAAGCAGTCGCACTGCATTATGTACAGCGCCGTATGCAGCTCTGCATTCCTTGTGCATATTGTGCATATTGAACCTCGGCCAACGTCAGTAAAATGCTATACCGTTTTTTAGTTTACGCGTTCCCACATAAGCTCGGTAAGATCAAGCCGCTCATAAGCGCGCTTAGAGGCCAATTAAAACGCCATTTGAGGCAGGAAGGGAGCGAGGGGGAAAAAAGTATTTAAATGATGGATAATTCGTCGTTTTTGGATGAAGAGATTTGAGCTTCTCCTGTATAATTTTTGAAAGCACTACAAAAATAGGTATCCAACTCTTTTGAATCATAACTCGTGTGAGCTTTAAAGAGCGTACAAGTTAACAGAGCAAAAACGCCTGGTGAGCAGCCTCATTAAAATAAAAAAACGTCTATCCATTTATACGTGTAGACCTGCTATTCGATCGATAGATTCTCTCCACTATCACCATTCGTTCATACCCCTCCCTTGTGGTCAAAATAGAACAGAACAGAAAAAAGTTACAAAATTCAGAGAAACCAACTAGCCGCCAAAGCTTTGGTATCATTCTGTACGACACGAGAAGCGCTTATATCGGTTTTTTTATTCTAGCATCAGATGCCCTCGCATTTGATTTCATGGGTCTTAGTCCCACTACTAGCACACGGAGTGCTGGCCCAATTTGCTACCGATGCCACAGACTACATTCCGGACTTCATCTCAGAAGTATGTTTTTTAAAAGCGCTTAATTTTCCCTACATTAGAACGGCTCACTAACCAACTAGCAGACAAACCCCGATTTTCCAGGAGGTGCGGTGATCACAACCGAAGCAAGTCTTGCAGGAACGCAAGTCATTGTCCCAACCACCACTTTCAACGCCGGAGGTGGTGCCACAACGGCGATAACTACCCCAAACGTAGCTACCACCACCGCCCCCGTTGATACCATCGGCTTCACGCCAGTCACAACGGCCATAACCACTTTAGACGTAGCTACCGATACTGCCCCCATTGATACCGTCGGCTTCACCCCAATTACAACGGCAAGCAGTTTGGCTGGAACCGCGGTTATAGTGACCACCGAGCCAAATGGTGTCATTTCTACGGTTTCACAGATTTCTACCGTCAACGCCGGCGAACCAGCCACACAAGTCACGTCCAATGCCCCGCCTGCTACTCAGACTCCAACGACATTCGAGACTACACCAGCACAACCAGCACAAGAAACAAGTGTTACGACTTCCCCGCAAATCGCAGTGACATCAACCCCCTCGTTTCAAGCTTCCACCCCTCCGCAAAGTCCGGAGTCAGCAGAGACCACCACACTTTCATCGCAGAGCCCAGAGACAAGCATCACTACCGCGCAAACCGTCACCACAGCAAGTCCTTCAACAGAGCCCACTACTTTGACTACGACAGCTTCACAAATATCACAAACAAGTCCGCATACCAATATTCCAAGCTCTGGAGCTCCTATCGCTGGCACGTCCCAAAGGCCCTCCTCTTCGCATGCGGTCTCTTCCTTACCCCAATTGCCATCTTTCTCCACGTCGTCCATCCCAGGCCAAGAATCTGTACCTACGACTCTCACTAGTACCGTTACGAGCACTATAGTGGTTCCTGTTAGCACTTTGATCGGGACTGAGTTGTATACCTCCACGATAGTCATAACTTTGAGCAACTCGCCTGTCTTGACCACGGAGACTATAGTTGAATCAACTACATCAGTCGCGCTAACCACTATTACCACTCAATTTCTAACGACGCCAACTACACTAAAATGTTCAACTGTTGTAACGTCGTCACCAGTTGTGCAAACTGAAGGTTCGGTAATTTATTCTACATTCAGCTCACCAACCACCACGGTAGCCAACAGTCAACAGGTCGTTACTGAGAGTGTCACGAAATCTACTGTCTACACAGTCTCGATCCCAACAATTGTCACTACCTCATCTTCAGTAGTTGTGACCTCTTACTCAACGATCTCGGGTATCACAGAAATATTATCACCCATTGTGACCACATCTGCTGTTACGCTTACAACGAGTGCTGCTGTTACCTCTGTAGCGCTTGTGACTAATGGAGTCACTACTTCGACCGTTTACACGTCTACTTTAACTGCCGCTGTTACGAGTGCACCGGTCCCTACTGACGGAATTCAGCTACCAAGTACGTCATCCATCTACACAACCTACGTTGTGACGCTGCCCGACTCTACATACACATTGACACATTTAGGCAACGTCGAAACAACCTTCCAAGCCACTCTGCCAACTACAATCACGAGCGAATTCCTAACAACGCTTACAAACGTCCAGTTGGCAACGTCAACCATCACCCCAAGTGTCTTGTATTCTAATTCCAGTTCACCCCAAACTTTGGTGGTTTACGAGGCAGTTACACTTGTCACTCTGGACACCACAACATACAGCTCTGATGTTACTGCAGTGACTACATCCACCTACCAAACAACGTCTCTCGAGACTGTGACGGTAACGGGTCAGCAGGTAACCCACGTGGCGCCTATTTCCCCAGATATTTTGACGCTAAACAAACGCTGCCCTGACTGCGATGTGTTGCCTAAGACTGTTTACCAGACTGTCATATATGAAGACATTATTTCTTGTACGGCGTCCACAAGTATCAATATTGTTCATGCACCAACTACAGCAGTGAGTTACGACGTCAAGACCAGTTACTCAACATTGACAACTGGCTATGTGTTACAGCACGAGACTGAATACACAACCGTAATCACCTACACGACGTCAGCATACGCTACATCAGTGGCGACAAGTGCTAGTACATACACGTCCACCAGGACCCTGACCGAGGGCACGTCGGCGATTCTTTACAGTTATGAGATCGTTCCTGTGTCTACCAGCTACGTGACGGCAACCTCATACGTTCCATCAACGCAAAGCTATGGATGCAACCCTGTACCCGGAACGGCATACACTGCAAGTTTTTCTGTCCATTACAGCGAGAGTGTGATTCCTGGTACTACTTCCACTTATGCGGCATCCTCCGTCCCCATAAGATCCACATCCTATTTGACAACCAGCGGATCCCATGCAGTGTCTACCGCTTATTCAAGTACCAGCATTGTCTCGTCATACACCAGTGTTTCAGTGCCACCTGTCCCTGGCGTTTCAATACAATACTCCAATAGTGCCCCCGCAGCTTTGATCACACTTTCCTTTTACCAAGGAATGCTCTTTACCGCATTAATCCTTGTTATGAGCTCGTCGATCCTAATTTGAAGAAAAAGAGCGGGCGTTGGTTTCCTAAGAAAGTACAACTTCAGTTGCATAGCTACACGCAATTGTGTTCATTCTCATATTCAAAATTTTCCATACCCGTTTTCGCAGCGTTTCGCCGCGGGACCAGTCAGCGAAAAGATCTACCTCGAAGAGGCAGGGGGTTCGAGTCCCAATTATTGATCTCAGCTTTAGTTCTCTTATTACCTTGGTGCCACTGAATAGTAGCCACACCGTTTAAGTTCATATACTATCTAGTTAAACAGTTGATACACCATCAAAGGCTGTGCCCTTTCTTGGAGTGCAATAGCAACCAGCAGGGATAAACACAAATAGCATAGGCCCTTCAACTTATTTCAATTGTGCGGCTTAGCTTCATGATGTCCGACAGCGTTGCTGTTCTTTTTCTATTGATCATTGAAGGTCTAATAATTCTATAAAAGCTCGGCGGCTAATATATTTCTTTCCCACTAATAACCACTTTTGAAGAGAAGCTTGAGAAGTCGAAACACACACCATGTCAAATAAGAAAAGTGGTCAGGCCAAAGGAAAGGAAGGTATGGAGATTCGGAGAAGTTTGCTGACCTTGCAAGATGGTTTGGTATCGTCTTTACAGAGTTCAAAAGCACTAACCCTAAAACATCTTCGAAACAGCTGAAAATATTGTGGAAGCGTATCTCGTAGAGCAATACCGTCCATATGCGGCCAATGATATTGTACAAAATCTCAACAAGAGCGTTGCGAAAACTAGCGTTATTAAAGCTTTGGAGACTCTGGTGAAAGAAAATCGCATTACCTGCAAAATGTTCGGAAAGATTGCAATATATGTGTGCAATGAGCAAGAGCTTGAGCATCATGATGATTTAAGCTTTGAAGAGGTTTCTTTTGAAGCCTTGATGGAGCTAAGAGAAGAGCTTATTCGAGTTGAGAAAGATCGAAACGAAGTGGCAACACAATTGCAAAGCACGATGAAAACGCCTTCGAACGCTGAAATAGGGATCGCCATTGATGCTACGAGAAAAGAAGTTGCTGAGATACAACAGCGTTTGAAAGGCCTTGAATTGCAGTGGAGACCAGAAGATGAAAAAACTATTAGGCTGATCAAGGAATATGAGCAAAAAATCGATAAGCAGATCAACGCAAGGAAGAAGATGTGGGCCTCTGCTCTTTTACTGGTCAAGGAAGCATTGGCAATCAAAAATCTAGACGAATTCCTCGTATGTTCTTTCCATCTTGGAGTTTTCGGATCGATGATCAACTTTACTAACAAGTCAAAACATTGAAAAAAGGAGGAACTGGGGGTTGAGAAAGTGGACTGAGGTCGTCAGAGTTTTTCAACATAAAGGCAATCTTAAGACCCGGGCCCATTAGGAAAAGCCATAGCACTTGCTTCTCAGCCCACTTCCCTGCTTGGTGTCAGCATCTTTACATCTTTTCATGATTTTGTCTGTTCCATCCCCTTAGTTTGCCAACCGCGCTACCCCGAACGAAATGAACCGAGAGATTACAAGATCTGGTTTCTGTCGGGCATGCGCGATGCCTGATATTTTCTCTGCATTTTATCGCATAACTCAAATCGTGAAGAGAGATATCTTGCTTGTCGCGATCACCCTTGGATTATCGCCAAACGGGCAAGCCCGTTCGTTATCTTGATTTAGGAAAGCTCAAATGAGGAAGAATATGAATTGAGAGTTGGAAGAAGTACTTAAAGGACCATCTACTGCAGTTTTGAACGCAGCTTTGATCGATGTGATAATTTTAGACTCCAGCAATAAGCAACAAAGCTGACCAAATCTAAGGAAACCCCCAACTAATGTCCTACTCTTATCTAGCCAATTCCACCTATGGAAAGGACAACGTCAAGTTCTTGAAGGTCAAAAAAGACAAGCAGAACAAAAAATTCCATGAGGTGATGGAGGCCACTGTGTGTGTGTTGCTAAAAGGTGACTTCGACGTTTCGTACACCGAGGCTGACAATGCGCCAATTGTTCCTACTGACACGGTGAAAAATACCATTTTGATACTGGCGAAGAAATTCGATACTTTTCCTCTCGAAAAGTTTGCTGCCAGACTGGCTTTGCACTTCACATCCAAATATGAGCATGTTTCTGGATTGACTATCAAGATCACACAGGATCGTTGGGCCAAATACGACGTTGACGGTAAAACCTCTCAGCACTCTTTTGTACATCAGGGCCCCGAGAAAAAGATCGTGTTTTTGGATTATGACAAGAAGAACGGCCCTAGCAACTACGCTTTGTCTACCTCCATCAAGGACCTCACTGTCCTGAAGTCCACAAATTCGATGTTTTACGGATACAACGTGTGTGACTACACGACACTGAAACCAACAAATGATCGCGTCTTATCAACAGACATCTTTGCGACGTTAGACTGGTGTCCAAAAAAACTTGGCTGCTTGAATAGCGTTGTGTCGGGCGCGAAGGACTCTATTTTCAATAACGCTTATGTCAACGCACGCGATATCACTCTTGATATTTTTGCTAAGGAAAACTCACCATCTGTGCAGGCCACGATGTTCAACATGGCAACTGCCATTTTAAAAGATGTTCCTCAATGTGCCTACGTTTCTTACGAATTGCCCAACAAACACTACTTTTTGTTTGATTTGAAATGGTTCGAAGGACTTGAAAACGACAACGAACTCTTCTACCCTTCACCACATCCTAACGGTTTGATCAAATGTAAGGTTGGCCGCAATCAAGCCAAACTATAAGCTGTTAGGCCCGTTTGCTGGAATGGGAGCTGGTTTTCTAAACAGTCTATTATATATAAAATTATATACAGGGGTGTGGTGCGCACTGTCAGGCTGTACACCACGATATGCTTGCCATAGAAAAATACATACACAAATTATAAGAAACGGTTTTGGTTCTTTTGAGTTCTGTATCAGCTCACATCATTCCTTCGAACCATTTTCTGCTCTTTTTCTGGTCCTGCTTGGGAATATTTTTACCGCTAACAAAATCTTTAGGATCACCAGTCTTGTACTTGATTTTGGCGCCTTCGCCGGTGGTTTTAAAGCCTTTGTTGAAGCGGTTCAAATTGAACCCCCATTTCTGCAGGATCTTTACCGTGGCTGGTGTAATGGCTGCTGTAACCGGTAGTCTGAATACGATTAAGCTTTTGTGTATTCCATATGCGATCAAAGCTTCTGTTAAAAGAGAGCTTTCTTTAATTCTTGTCCATAGTGTGGTCTGGTCCTGTTCACCAAGTTCTTTCTTGCGCGCCTTTTCAGCAATCTGTGCTCTAACTTCTTGAATCAATTCCTGTTCGTCACGACCATATCCAACGGTCTGTTTGGCCTTGTTGATGTATACTTTGATGGTTTCTTCACCCAAGGAATGCACTGCGAAGAAGCAAATGGGGAAATCAATTGCAGAAAGGCCCAAATAAACTGCTAGAGCTGAGTATCCGTAGGTTTGCATAAGCTTCTTTAACGAAGGCTTTTCCTTCGTTTTGACAGCTGTTGCATTGAAACGCAGCGCTGTTCTTCTGAAAGACTGTCTGAAAAATGCCCTGTGGAGCGTCGAAGCTCTGGCATTTCTTAAAGTGCTGTTAAACATGCTGCGACAAGGTTTATGAGCTTTAGTTGTGTTGAAGGTGCGAATAAGGTTATTTGATTAACTTATATCGAACTTGGAATTTCAATAAACGCTAGTGACACGCAAATACTCGAAGCTTGCTCGAAGAAGAGAGAGCTATCGACACAATTAGAGCCTTATTTCATATTTGTCGAGAGTTTTCATGAAATAGTACTACACGTCAGACCAGAAAAGTCAATAGGACTGTCGAAATCTTCGTGGTAAGTAGAAACCGTGTAGCTCGAGAAGAAGTTGCCCACCGAAACTTCGAAAGCAATGATTTTTCCTCTAGAAATAACGGACAGCCAGCTGAGTGGAATCTCAGGCTTGAACCACTAGCGTTTGTGGTTTATAAGTGGTCGTAAAACCAAGGCTGTTGTTATGTTGTGGACTGTTCAATTACTCTCTTAGCTATAGTATTTAATACAGATTAGTGTCGTTGGGAGTATTTGGCACATAAAAACACCGATTCGTCCATGAAACCTTTGGATAATTGAGAGGACACACTTCAAAGTCATCAAGACGACGACAAGAGCATACCAAGGAGCATCGACGTATTCATCGAATCTTTCGCTTGGCAGGTCTAGTCATTAGTATATAGTGATGGTTGGGTTGACATCTGTCGCTGTCCGTGTGCTTGGATTGCAATCGCTGACATAGGTGACAGAGCGGTAGAAATGATACACTCCGATCGCAGGTGTGCCTCGGGCCAATATCGAAGCGGTAGATGAGCTATAAGGTGTGCTTTCCAAAGTACCACCTGTACTGACCGTGTCGCAAGATACAATTGTGTCGCTACTTACCGCTGCTTCCACCAGTATAGCTGCTCCGTGAAGCAATTCGAGTAGAGTGAGAATGCCGATCCCCAGTTTCATGGTTGTCAGTTTGTTTAATGCGCTGCAAACCGTAAAGAAAACTGATTGTTTGCATTTTGTTTCGACAAGAACCTCCGCCTCGACATGATTTTATATAATTTTCCAGCGACTACTTGTGGTTCATTTTGCCAGCTACCGGCCCTGATTCAACAACGCTAACCCTCTGTGCTTGTCTTTTCATCGGGCATCGAATTTTTAAGATGTTCAAGCTCATCATTAAGAGTGCCAAATCGGGCAAAGCTACAGAATTTGAGTATACTAATGGATCAAGTTGTGGTTCGCGCACATCAGAACTATTCACCGTGTTTGATGAAATGATATATCCAGATTCGGCCACGCAATGAAGTTTTGGAAACTGACAACCACCGACACCTCGCTTTTTAATGTAACTGATGTTTGAGATTACAAGTACACAGGAGAAAAAACTTAGAGAGTGTAACTACTTAGTGGTACTGGTGAAGTTAGAATTGCATTTTTCGTACAAGATTCCTAACTTCTCTTAACGAGAAGTGGCAGCGACCTTCTGGAAAGAACCCTTGGCCTGTTGCTTGGAGACCTTAGAGCCCTGAGCACCGGCAGACTTGGCCTTCTCAGCCTTTCTCTTTTCCTTGTCAGCCTTCTTCTTTTCCTTGTCGGCCTGCTTCTTGTCTTCTCTCTGGGCCTTTCTGACCTCAGTCTTCAAGGATCTTCTCTCCTTGATGAATTCCAAAGAAGCACCAACGATAGCTCTTTGGGACTTGACGGTCTTTCTGGATCTCTTCTTGGCGACTTCTTCAGTGATACCCTTCTTGTGGTGTCTTCTGTAAAGAACAGTCCATGCGATTCTTCTTGGGTTCTTTCTCTGCTTGAACAAAGAAGAGCTCTTGGAGTTTTGGAATCTGAAGATCTTGGAGTCACCACGGACAAACAAGGTACCTCTGCCTGGGTAGATCTTAGCACCGGAAAAGGAGTCAATTTCAACCTTCATTTTCAAGCTGCAGGACAGTAACGTTAGTAAAAAAGATCTGGTGCGAAAATGCAGTCCGAGAGGGTTTTCCTAAAAAAGGTTCAGGATGAGCTTTGTTACGAAGGAAGGCCCGGCTTTCTGCACGACACAGCGTATCCACTGGTAAGGTTAACAAATTGGCCACACAGTCGACTCGTTTTGTTAGCCTGCCAAACATGTACGCTTGCTCCACTTGAACCATGAAGTCCAAAACAAAAACTCTGTATCACCACGATCGACAATAAACTAGCGTCGCAACGCTGGATTTAGAAACCTCTTCTAAAACCCTCTCTCAGAGCCCTCTCTTTCTGTGGTTCTTCATCTCCTAGGGCACCTTATTCACATACTTTTCAGCTGGTTTTCCGCTCTTACTGCTGAACTGACGTCAAAGTTGCCAAATTCCAAGTCTATTGAATAATCTAAGATGTTAGCACCTAGCAGCTACACCACAACAGCATGCTGGAACCGAATGCTAGGCAGAGGGCAAACAGGACCTACAGTCAGAGCCTCTGGAGTACAGGGAGCTAGGCGGAGCTAGGCGGAGAGAGAATACGAGCCTAGGCTGGCTCCTCCCCGGGCCGTAGGCTCATTCTCCTGTTGGACTCCTTCTGGACTGCTGCTTGGCTTTCTCGTCTACTGAGAGCATCCAAGCGTTCCAATATTTTTCACCTGAAAATTTCAAAAATGTGTTAAATTTTTATTCCACTACGTGGTGTTTGGGTTTGTGTGTCTCAGATAAGACAGTACCAGTTGAATATAGCAGTCACAACCCAGTGTCTGGTATCGATTTTAGCTGGCATCGGGACCGACCCACGCAAACGTCGCAGCTGAACCTGAAGTTTGACAAACCTGCTTAGTGGCCAGGCATTGGTGAAAAATTATAGATGACTTCGGGCCATCTGGTTTAGATAGTAGTTTTTGAAAGTTCTCTTATAGAACCTCAGCTAAGACCGGAGTGTTTGCATAGCATCAATAGAAATACACAGAGATGGTCAGTATAACTTAGATTTTTGGGCTTGCTCCCAGCTCGCCCATCGACAATATGGCTTTGTTACTAACAGCATACCCCATCTTTACAGGCCCCAGTTAAATCTCAAGAATCTATCAACCAGAAGTTGGCCTTGGTCATCAAGTCTGGTAAGTACACCCTTGGTTACAAGTCGACTGTCAAGTCCTTGAGACAGGGCAAGTCCAAGTTGATCATCGTCGCTTCCAACACCCCAGTGTTGAGAAAGTCCGAGTTGGAATACTACGCCATGTTGTCCAAGACCAAGGTGTACTACTTCCAGGGTGGCAACAACGAGTTGGGTACCGCTGTCGGTAAGCTTTTCAGAGTCGGTGTCGTCTCCATTTTGGACGCCGGTGACTCCGACATCTTGACCACCTTGGCTTAAGCCAGGTGTACAGCACAAAACGCGCTAGTATAGCTCCTTGTATAAATAATTCAAAAAGCTTCTACTCGTTTAATAGGTCATCTGAGGGCGTTTTTCCATGTCATCGCCATGCATGTCATGATATTCATTCATTTATTTATATATGTACACTGTAAAACTCGTTTTCAAGGCTGCTTTCCGCTGCTTTCAGATTTTTTTTCTGGTCGTCAGGCAAACCCAGGTTCTTCCACTCGTCTCGTTCCATTAGCTGGTGCTCCATACGGCAATTCAGATACTCTTTAGCTAAAAGCCTGCAATTGGGCGCATTTTCGCCTCTCACAAGCTTGATGCATTGTAGATATTCCTGCATTTGCTTAGTGCAATCACCATCATGATCCAGCGGAAAAGATCCACGTTCTGGAGGTGTAGGCGATAAAGCCTTCAATGTGTTACCTGGATTGGCAGACATGAGTGCGGTGCGTATTGATAAGGGCAGTTGCACTGATTTCTACTGTAAAATCCCGCCAGGACATCGCTTGATTCTCATTCTACATTAAACTCATCCATCTCGACCGCTACCGTACTGTATCATGACGTACGTACGAGTGTGTTATAGACTGTTGGTATGACAGAGCCCATGAAATCCATGGACCACAATTCATTGTTTCGTATATACCACGACTAGTTCATGGTCTCAATCTCTTGGGGTCTCTTGGGAATAGCGACGCTCTTCTGATGTTCTTCAAGTCCAAGAAAAACATCACAACACGTTCTAGACCAATACCACCACCAGCATGAGGAGGACAGCCATAGGTGAAAGCGTCCACGTAGTCTTTGAGACCAGGGTCTTCGGGAGACAAACCGTGGTGTCCCATTCTCTCTTTCAAAAACTCAGGGTCGTGCACACGCTGAGCACCAGACAGAATTTCCTCACCTCTCATGAAGAAATCGTAAGAGTTGGAGTAGCGGGCATCCGTGGCGTCTGGCATGGTGTAGAAGGGACGAATCTCGAGAGGGAATTTGTCCAAAATGTAGAAATCGGTGTCGTATTTTTCTCTCACTAGCGCACCCAAATGTTTCTCGTTCTCGGTAGACAAATCCTCCAAATCGGAGATCTCCTTACCAGCGGCTCTTAGCATTGCAATACCGTCTTTGTATGCGAGACGAACCATCTTTCCATCTTTAGGTAGTTTGAACTCCTCAACTGGGTACTGCTTACGGACCAAGGCAATTTCCTTGGCGTAACGGACTTTGAGCTCCGTGAAAATGAAAACGAACAAGTCAGATAAAACGTCGATAACTTCGTCGTAGTGCTCTTCAAAGGCCATTTCCAGATCCAAACCAGTGAACTCGGTCATATGACGATGAGTGTTGGAGTTTTCAGCTCTGAAGACTGGTGCAACTTCGAAAACACGTTCGAAATCGGCAGCGATCAATTCCTGCTTGTAGAATTGAGGACTTTGCGCCAAATAGGACTTACCCTTGAAGTAAGTCACCTCAAATACATTGGCACCACCTTCGGATGGGGCACCTAGCAGCTTGGGAGTGTGAATCTCCACGAAATTCTTCTTCAACAAAAACTCTCTGAACAATTCGCACACACCAGACTGGATTTTGAAAATTGCCTGGTTGGTTGCAGTTCTAAGATCGATCACACGAGCGTCCAATCTGGTGTCCAAGTTGACGACAGGAAGACCTGCAGCTTCAGCTTCGGCGTCCGAACGAGATGCGTCTTCGATCAAGATAGGAAGCTGTTGTGGGGTTTCAGATATGGTGTGAATCTGGGTAATGTGGATTTCCAAGTTCTGGACAGTGGCGGACTTGATTGGTTCCTGTACGGACTTGACAACACCCTTGACCACAACAATGCTTTCAGGGTTCACAGAACCGGCCCACTTAACCATCTGTTTGGAAACCGTGCCCTCTGCGTTGGACTTAACTAGCGCTTGAATCAATTGCGACTGCTGTCTCAAAGTCAAGAAAACCAATGTGGCACCCTGCTGTCTGGAATTGTGCACACGGGCTCTGAGCGTCACCTCTTTGCCATCGTCAGCTTCAGTGAGGTCTTCAAGCTTGATTCTGGCAACACCGGACTTGGTCGTAGACTGGATCAAGGGCAAACGTCCGTAGTTTTCCTTGGCAGTGTCACTTGCGGCCGCTTCACGCTCACGGGCTTCTTTTTCCTCCGCTAGCTGCTTGGCTTTCTCCTCCTTTTTCTTCTGTTTTTCCTGTTCTTTCTGTAGCTTCTTCAAAGCTTTCTTCGAGAGTGGTTGACCATCTTCGCCCAAAACGACTTGTTCTGAGCTTTCTTCCTGTGTAGTGAGGTTCTTCACTTGTTCGGTGGCCTTTTCAACAGACTCTTTGACCGTTTCCATGGCTTTACCAAGCTGTTCAGACATTGTGAGAATGATTTGCTGGAGGTCGACAATGGTGTGTAGTTGAATGAGTAAAGTTAACTTGTTCGAGCTTTAAGAGTGGCATCTTGAGATGAAATTGTTAAATTTTTAGTGCTATGACGCACTTCACGTGATCAACGATGCTACAGGTCAAAGTTGAAGGAATTGCACCGAAATTCCGAGTTTTGACGATTTGTTGAGATGTGTGCTGCTTTTGAGTCAAGATTTGTAGGATTGATAATGCTGAATGATTGATTTTTGATTTTTGGTTTAGTTTACTTTAGTTTACTTTGGTTTACTTTAGTTTTTACGGTGTTGAATATATAGCTGAAGAGGTTTCCGGGCGCATTGGTTGTGTATGATGCTGTGACGGATTGGACAGTAAAATGGATTTGGGTGATTTCCGGATATAAAGATTGTTATATGAGAGGAAGTCTTGAGCTCAGTGGGAGGTTGTCTCTATACTTTGAAAAATGAATGTCCCCTGGTGTTTTTGAAACGGCTGCTGAATGTTCAAGAAACACTATAAAACATAATTTGTAAATTACTTGAGATCATTAGAAGAGTAAGAAAAAAAATGTCTGGAGAAGACAGCATTGAAGACCTATATAAGTAAGGGCCAAGACCCAGTAAAAGGCCTCAACGTCAAGACAAAGCGGAATCTTGATGTACTATTTGATGACGCATGTATCGGCGACGGACTCGTACATAGCTATATGGATGAAGTGGCTCTCATAATTACAATTTACAGGAAGTTTGGTTCTTTCAAAAACGCTTGCTGTCCTAAATTGTTTATTCTCTCCCTTTAGCAATGCGCTCAGTGTGAATGAATGAATCCAGAAGAGACCAGCGAAACAGCGGTGCTGCTTTCTCGCGACCACTACACTTATTCCACCATCTTGGTCACGTGATTTAAACCAACCAAAAGTTATAAAAACATTCGGTTTGTTTGCCCTTTCTAACCACCTTCTCCTTCTCATGCTCCATTCTGCGACATGTCATTGTCAGCCAGCTTATTTTCGCAACTCGGCGTCTCTTATCTCATTGAAAGTATCTCTTATTCTTCACCTTCTCAACGGTTTTCAATCTGTCGTTGAATCAATATTCTGTCGTTCATCGCACTGTCACCCACCAAGTTAACATAAAAATCCATACAAAACATGAAGATTCGACCAAAGATGCGATTAGCACAGGAAGAGCACCAATAATTGCGATCTTTCCCCATATGTCAACGTCAGCTGCTATATCAAAAGCGTTATCAATTCCTTCATCATTTCGACGACACAACTCTCTCATTTCAATAGAAAAATGGAAGAAATTGATAGAGATGAAAAGGAGGATCAAACAATTTGTTGCAGAACTTTGATACGCTCAAATCGCGCCTGTCGGTAGGCTCCATTACTTGATGTTAATGCTTTTGAGAGTTTTTATACCATATATCAGCTCGTTTATAATGACAGGGGTTTTTCAGTATAATAAAATTATTCAACTCAAATGAATACATATACACTTTGAATAAGAACACCACTTCCAACAAGCAGTGGCAAAAGCCAACGATTGTGTCCGCTGGAGACTCAAGTAAACGATTTGAAGCAGGATTGGACATCGGTTCAATCCTATCAAGAATCATGAGTTTGCCGCGCACGATGTCGGACGAACACGAGCTATCTAATAGACTCAGTGGGAAGACCAACGGGGGAAACATCGAGGCAAGCGATAACGGGGCCGACGATGGAGGCATTGCAAATCCTAGTGTTAAGCTTGGAAGCAGGGCAGCAAGTTTCAGTGGAAGCACGGGTGGCAGTGGAAGTGGAAACGTGAGTACAAAACCAGTTGATGTTGTGGTTGCTAGCCACGACTATCTACCGAGCAGAAAATCTCAGCTGCGATTGAATGCTGGAGACGTTGTTTATGTAATGAGTAAACACGAGTCCGGCTGGTGGGACGGTGTCACCATCTCCAACAGGCCTACGCTGCGGTGCGTGCGTGGTTGGTTCCCACACAACTTCACTAGAACCTGTCGTGATCGTAGGCTTACACTTCCAGGCAGAAACGGTAGTCAACGACAAACAAATCGGTCCAGTGGGAGCAGCAGGCGTGGCAGCGTTGCAACGTCGTTAAATGTTTCACAACAAAACCGTAGTCAGGCCCATGAGAAAGGTGAAAGCAGGTCTTTTATCCAGAGCAAAAACCACGCTTCAGCGACGATGAGTGAACCTGCTCTGTCGCAGGTTATATCACATTCGCCTTCTCCGCCACCGCATCTGAAACCAGATTACAAGCTAGACATGCGTACTAGTGATCCGGAAAATGGGGCTGCCAGAAGAATGAGTATGTCGTCAACAGCTCCTGGAGGCTCAGGCGCCAGTTCCCTGGACTTTAGCTCGAGATCTAAGTCGCCGTCACGGACCCAAGCAGCAGGCCCGCCATCGGTTACCGTCAATTCCAGCTCAGGTTCCAACCGTTCGTCGATATCCCGGCAGCCACAACAACAGATAGACCCACTTCAAAGGCTCACTGGTTTCGAAGACGATCGCAGGAGGCGTTCCCAGGTCGGACCTGATAAAATGACTTTGTTGGGCCCTGAAGAGGTCGAGATGATTTTCAACAATGTCAACGACAACTCTCCTCCATTGTGGACTCCTGTGGCTACTACGGAGGGAAAGGTTGTTTATTACAATCGCGATTACGATATTTATTGCAGCTCATTGCCATTCTTGCAGCATCCAGAGCTTAGCATAAAAAGCATCTTTTCGGACCACGACTGGTATGTGGACCTCAGTGAAAGATCTATCAAGCAAGGCAGGAAAGTGATAGATCAATCAAGAAGAAATAGTCTCGATTATGGCCAGAAGGCTCAAATTCAAAGCACAGAATTTAGACAGCCGATTCATCCTCGGAGCTCGTCTAATTTTACTCGTTCTTCTCAAAGTCGCAGGCCAAGCGTGGAAGAAAAGAGCAGGAATTATCTCGCTGCGACCTTCTCGCCTGAAAACAGTGCTGGCGCTGGCAGTGGGAAAAGAAAGTCCAATGTTGCTTCCAAAAAAAATGAGGCGTTATCATCTCAAGCTGAAGCCGACATTGTGAATGAGCAAGATCATAACGCAACTGGTGATAATGAGAAAGACATCAATAAAAACAACAATGACAACAACAATAGCAAATTTCACAATAACATCAGCAACAATAACAACAACAATAACAACATAGAGGCCAACCCAGACTGGTGGCAAAAAAGTGCTTCTGCTACCCTGTGGTCGAAGGATGGGCTGTTCTTTCATCATAGGTCTGACATTCGCTCGTGGGCGGAGCTCCGTGACACTACCCTATTTTTTGCCCGCAAAGCTTACGCCTGTTTCTTCAGCAATGACTATAGTGGATACAATCGCAGTTTTGAAATGACCTCTAAGTACATGATCTACCACCACAATGCGTGCAGGCTTTTGAAAAGCGAGCTGACAAGAAATAATTCCAAAAAGGAGGTAAAGCGGCTATTGAAAAGAATGTTGGAATCAGCTTCTGCTATCAGCATTAGCGGTAGTTTGTTTTTCTGCTCTCCCCAAAGACACGATATCTCGTTTTCGAGTACGCTGGACGATTCTCACAAACCAAGTGTTGCAAGTGTGGGTACTGCTGTGCATGATCAACTTCGGGTGTCAGTTTCGACGCTCAACTCACTACGACAGGGTAGCGAACCAAGAGTGAGTCTTGGAAGCGAAAGTTTGTCCTTTGCGGATGAATCGTTACGACCTGACTCAGAAAGAAAAGCTGATGGTGGCAAAAGATTAGGGTCAAATGTGAGTGCCTATACGATTCAAGCACATAGCACTGCTATTGACGAGAATTCTAACATATCCATTCAGACCATGTTTCGATCAATTGATGCTGAATTCAGCCAGTTCATGAAATGCATTAGGGATCTTAATGCCATCATGGTTTCTAGTTGTCCCGATGGCTTACTTCCTCAACTGCTTGCTCGGTTTTTCCGCGATTGCTTTAGTGGGGGAGCTTGGACCAGCACTTTTCAGGACGATCCAGCAGACACGAGTGCTAAAAACTCTTTTGTGGCTAAAAACTCTTTTGTGGCTTTTGGACCTATGCAAGATTCATTTACGAGGACCAACAATGGTCTCGGGAGCGTCAGTAGCAAGGCAAACACAATGGAAAGTTCTCTCTTATCAAAAGGCTCGCTAGACGGAGACAAAAATATGTTGCAGCGAGAACCTGCAAAGTACAAACCATTGAGGAAAAGTAAATTTCCTCTATCAGAAGAATCCCTGGGCTACATCAAGAAAAAAATTGACTATTTCACATCGGTATCGCTTCAAACATACGAAGTGTTACTGGAACAAAAATCTACAAGGAAAAGAAATCTTGAGATCAGCGCTGCATGCCATCGAGAGCTAAGCCAATGCGTTGGTATCATCGACTTATTTGAAAATTTGGATTTGAGGTTTTTTTTAAACATGAAAAACCTTGGCTTTAAAGCAGACTTAGATGAGGACAGTGAGGAGTTACGGCAGCACGTAATGATCGCATGTGGGTCCATTCTTATGGAATTTTTTAGCGTAAAGCAAGCGCTTTATGATGTGACGGTGAAAAAACTAATGGATATCCAAGGGCTCACCCTAGAGGACCCTTTTGTATTTTGTTCAATGGCGGATGATCAACTTTTTGCTAGCGGAGAAGCACAAGTGAAAGAGGAAGGTAATGTCTTGAAACATGAAAAGCTTGCTGAAGCATATTACGCGAAGTTTGTATCAGAGGATGTTGAACTAAACAATCTCGGTTTCTTAGATGCTGACGCCGAACTCAAAGCAACTCAGGCTGCATTCTTAGGAGTTCTGGACTCTGCATATCAAGTCGTCGAGCAACTTATTCAGGAGCGCGAAAACGTGCTTAACTACGCCGCTCGAGTGATGAAATACGATCTCATAGGCGAATTGATGAGGGGCGAGCAAGACAACATTTACGCAGATGCCGAGGGAAATTTGGCGGACTCGGAGATCGAACATGTCGGCCCTAGAGACTTTGATAAAAGTCTCACAATGGACATTCCGTGGTACTTGGATTCAGAATATGAATACTCACTGATTTATGACAGTCAAGGTTCTATAAAGGGAGGTAGTAAGGCCGCCCTATTGGAGCACTTGACGAGTCACCTCACTATCGATGCTTCCTTCAACATAGCCATGCTTCTCTCTTTCAGAAGCATATTTTCGACATCGGAATTTCTTCATGCGCTGGTGGAAAGATACCACTTATACCCACCAGAAGGATTGAGTTTCGAAGAGTACAGCGCGTGGATCGACAAGAAGTCAAGCCTCGTGAAAACTCGGGTTATCAATATAATGAAGACGCTTTTTTCTCACTACTGGACTCCTGCGTACTACGAACCCGGGATTGACGACTTAGTTAGTTTCGCCCAATTGGCAACTGCTCAAAATATTAGCGGTGCACCGGCGTTGCTAACAGAGCTAAAAAACCGCTTATCTCTAAAAGGGAACTTAAAGAATTTTGTGCCTGAGGTCATCAAGTTTGATGAGAGCGGGCATAATTACGGAGGGAATGCTTTGAATCCAAAGACACCTACCACGGCATCGGTAGAGCTTGGTGCTGGCTATGGTTTTAGAATGAGAAAGCTGAAGCTGTTGGATATCGATCCTCAGACTTTTGCGAAACAGTTGACCACCAAGGAACATTTTCTGTATTCAAAAATCACACCATTTGGATGTCTTGATCGAATATGGCGCAAGAGGTACTGCAAGTTCGGTGGCTCTGAAGACATTTCCAATTTCATTTCCGTTGCAAACACTCTGACAAATTTTGTGTCTTTTTCTATTGTCAAACAGACAAACATCAAGAAAAGAGCCAAGATCATTCAGCACTTCATCCACATTGCTGAGCAGACTTACGAGCTCAACAATTTTTCATCCATGACGGCAATTATCTCGGCTTTGTATTCATCGCCTATTTTCCGCTTGAAAAAGTCTTGGGATCTTGTACCTCAGAACACCAAAAAGGCGTTAGAAAACTTAAACACACTCATGGATCCCGCCAAAAACTTTTACACGTATAGGAATTGGCTCAAAAACATCAAAGATGTTCCATGCGTTCCATTTTTTGGGGTCTACTTATCTGATCTAACGTTTGTCGCAGAAGGAAATCCTGATTATCTGCATCGGTCGATGGATACCATCAACTTCAGCAAGCGGACACGCATAGTCGGTATTCTCAAGGATATCGCCAGCTACCAAAATATCCGTTACAAATTCAAACGGTACGACGATGTCCAGGCGTTCATCGAGGAATCGTTAAAAAACCTGCCCAACATCGAGAAGCAATATGAACAATCTTTGCGGATCGAGCCTCGTGTTGAGGTCTCAGCTGGTCTGAGCGGTGCGAGTGCGATTTCCAAGAGTAGCGTCGGAAAAAAGCTCGAGAAAAGGCCCCGTTTCATCAAAAATCGGAAAAGGCCCGTTAAATAGCATACAGTAAGTATGGCAAGTTAAGTTGATACCTCTCAGACATCGGTGCAATTGATGGGATTCGCTCCCGATTCTGTCCAGGACTTGTGCCTCGCTGCTTGGCACTGTTCCGTCGCTAGCGGTAGATCAAATCCGGGTAAAGTCAGGTTTCCTTGCATTGTGAGAACCTTGATAGATATAATTACAACATTGTTGTTAAATCTACAACTAAAGTTAAATAAAGCAGACTAAACTAAACCTTCAACTTTGAATAACTACTTTGGAAGTCGTTGAGTTGACGGATTTTGCTGTGTTTATGCAATGTTTAAACAGCTATCGCAGCTTGGCAAAAATTTCACAGATGAGCTAGCGAAAGGCTTGACAGATGAGTTGAATGAAGGTCAAGAACAATTCGACAAAAACAGTGATTTGCCGGTGGAAGTCCAAGCTAAGCTGAGGAAGTTTGAGAAATACGAGCAGAAATACCCACTGCTCCTTAATGCGTACAAATCTGAGAAAGCAAAGCTGGAAAAAGCGGCGATTTTGCAGAAAATCATATCTGAAAACACTCCGGTATCCTCGTTGGACGATGTTGATTCGCTCACAAGCTTCTTCCAGAACACAAATTTAAAGATAGAAATGCTCAATGATGAGGTGAAACGGCTCACTACTGAAAACAATGGGAAAAGAGACGAAATTGAAGCGTTGAACGCTCAAATAAGTGCATCTCCAGGTTCAGATAACGCAGAAATACCAGCCAAGGAAATCGACTCACTTCGAAAGGAAGTTGAAGCGAAAGAGAAAGAACTTGAGAAGGTCACGGCAGATTTAGCATCATCGACAAAAACTGCTGAGGAGTCAGTGCACATAAAGACGGAACTGGACAACGCTAGAGAAAAGCTGACTGAAAGCGAACGGAGCTTACAATGCAAAGAGGCAGCCCACAATGAGCTCAAGTCAGAGTTGGATAAAACTAGGCTTCTGCTCGAACAAAAAACGGCAGAACTTGATCAAGCTTTATCCAAATCCGATCTGAATCGCTCTTCCGATAATGGAGTCTCGAAGAACACCACCAAAGCAAAGAACAAGAAGCGGAAAGGCAAAAACAGTGCCTCCAAGACTGAGCAGCAACAGGAATTGAAAAGTGACGAGATCGCGAAAGAAACTTCTGCTGAAAAAGCACAATTGACCGATCTACAACAGCAGCTTGAAGCTCTACAGACCAAATTCGACAACCTATTCAGCGAACATAACACCTCAACAGAAGAGCTACAGAGGCTGAAAGAGACTTCTCTTGACATGGAAACCTTGCGCAATGAGAAAGAAGACTACTACAAAAAGTTGCAAAATACAAAAGAGCAACTGAAATTCAAACTCGAGGAATTGGATAGTAATAAAGAAATTCTGAAGAGTGTGGGTAATGAGCTAGTTGCCGCTAAAGATCAACTTAAAGAGGTTGGAAGCCAAGACAAGGCCGAAGTAGATGCCTTAAAGTCGGAACTAGAATCCATTCGACTTGGACATTCGGAGAATATCAAATCTTATGAAACGAAACAGAACGAGCTTAAACATAGAATAAGCTCATTGGAGGCTGAGCAGTCGAAGGTCGCTGAGGAAACTAAAAAACTGAGGTCTGCTCTTGATCTTTCCAAGAAGGAGTACGAGGAAATGTCGTCAAAATTCAAAAGAAGTGAAGATACAGCTGTAAAACTTAGACGAGAGAACGAGGGTCTTACAGAGGGTATGAGAGAAGTACCTGCCCTCAAGAAATCTGAGAGTAGTCTCAAGTCGTCTGTTGTTCAAAAAGAGAAGACAATTGTTTATCTCGAACAGCAAGTAAAGGAGTACAGTGCAAAAGAAGCGCAGACAAATAAGCTGTTGCGAGAGTCAAAGGCCGAAAGCACCAGACTTTCTGCAAAAGTGGACCAACTAACGAGACTTAACGAGGAAATGACTAACGAGGTGAAAAAGAGTGAGCAGTCAATGGAAAAGTTCATAAAGAATAACGGAAGCCTGAGCGAGAAACTTGAAGTTTTGAATGAGAAGTACGAAACGTTGAAGGATGTCAAGAGCGTGTCGCATGAACAGGTCGGAGTGATCAGAAGACAATGCGATGAACTCAACATCAAATTGAAGGAAGCTAATAAGCGTATCGGATTCCTAGAAAATGAACTAGAAGAGTCTGTTTTTGCTCTACAGGAGAAGACCAAGGAGCTTGCAAGTATGCGCCGCGTTTTGGCAGAGGGGCAAACGACTGAAGAAATTCAAGTTCAAAGGCTTGAAAATAGTCTCACCTCTGCCTTAGAAGATAAGGAGAAATTGGAGAGCGATTTTGCATTACAGTCTACCATGCTTAAGCAAAGAGCACAGGAGTTGAAGCAGGCGAATGAATCACTGAAGCTGCAATATGAAGAGCTTCAGTCGAAAAGAAGAAATTACGAAACTGAAATTGAACAACTCAGATCTTCAAGAGAGGAGGTACAAAAGGCAAGCAGCGAGGGGTCCGGAAAAGCACACGAATTGGAGCGTGCTTTGCTCGAAATGCGTGATGTTTTGTCAAGCTCAGAGAAAAAGGTCCGTGAACTAGAGGTCGCGAACGGCAATTTCAAGGAACTGAACAGTGACTTAACACAGAAACTTGATAGAATATCGAAAAACTACAAACAAATTTCCAATCAACTTGCTGCTGCTAAAGAGAGAAGCCCCTCCGGAAGACCGAGCCGATCCAATTCGGTTTTATCTGTCCCTGATCAAAATTCGAATGGTCTTTCTCGTCGCCCGTCCCACTCAGAAGACCAAGGGAAACAATCGCAATCTGATATCAACGATAAAATCGCTTACATAAAAAATGTGCTGCTGGGTTTCCTGGAACACAAGGAACAAAGGGAAATGCTTCTGCCCGTGGTAGCAACATTACTACAACTGGACAGTAGCGATGAAAAGAGACTGTTAGTGTCTATACGGTGAAATATGTGTCTCTCTTTCACTCTTGGAGGTGTTCACGGCGGGTTCATTCCCTGTTTCAGGTGCCCTTTCAACACGAAAAGGTGGAATCATATCATAAAGTCGTGAGTGGAGAATGGCGAGAACAGTTCTCATAAGAATGGCGATCTTAAAAGATACAAAAGCTTGCGCATTATCTCTTTTAAAAGCACATATTGACGTTATCCGATCATAGCTGACTAGTAGACTGGTCAGCAGCCGTGCTCGCAGAAGATGTACCGGTCGTTTCTTCATACATGTAACAAAAAAAAAACCAAGCAGATGAATGTTGCCCGTTGTACGCTTTCGACTATTGATTGCAACTACGGAAGACTACATCATTTTATCGCTATTGGAAAGTCATCCACTCTATAGGTCAGAACTTCATGGGAGCTAAACATTGAGAGAAAATGCGTCATTCTTCGGCCTAACTCGCCTTTGCCTTAGAGGGAAATGTCTTTATATAATCGATCCCTTCAACGCATTCTGCAACTGTCAACTGATTATCACCCAGAATCTTGTCAATGTTGATTCCAACTTGAACGGTCCTGAAGCTGCCATCGTGTTCGAGAATGAGTCCCGTTCCGCGTCTCTTCCAGTCCTGAACTTCCCTGTAAATATCTTCTTCTGTTCTTGCTGTTTGATCTTCGACTAATAGTTGCCAATCGAAGGAATCGTGGTCCCACAAAACAGCCTGCAAACCAAACATCCTGGATATGGCCCGAACCCTATTGTCAATGGCACCGTAAGGAGGTCTGAACCACTTGGGCAGATGGTTACCTGTTGCATTCATTGCCCAAATCGACCACTGGAGTTGAGCAATGATCTGTTCATTCGTCAAACTGGGCATAAATGGGTGAGACCAAGTGTGGGTACCCACGAGATGCCCATGGTCGAGAATTTTCTGGTACATATCTGGGAAATTGACAATATTGATACCCAGGTTGAAAAAAGTGGTCTTGTGCTCCAAACTGTTCAAAAGCCTCTCAGTGGCCAAAGACGGACCGTCGTCAAAGGTCTGGGAGATTTTGCGACATGTGAAGACGTCGTCGGGAGCCAAACAGCGATCGCAGTCGAAAGAGCACGATTCGCGGGGGTTGACCCCACATACACCCTGTTCGTAGCGCTTGTAGTCTGGAATTTCACTAAAATTGATGAAATCCATGGGAATATAGGGCGGATTGACCCCGGGCCATTCGTGTAGGCCCGTGAAGTCAGCAAGCCATTGTGGGAATGGTGTTTGCTTACGACCCGCTCGCACCGATACAAACCCACCAACGGGTTGGCCTACGGGTTGACCCACCGATTGAGGTACGGTTGAATCGTTGAGACTGTTTCCGGAGTAAGCGAGGGCTAGCTCCAAAGCATTTAGTGCTTGCAGAGGCAAAAAAATTGAGTATTTCATGATATCTGGCTGACGGGAGAAAAGAGGATGAGGCAGAAGAGCAAGACAAAAGGAACTGTAACAGATAAGAAGAGAGAAAAGTAGCGGCTTTTATATCAACATGCCACCGGGGTTGTATCTGTCTGGAGCTGCTAGCATCACAAACACTTATTCTGACGCTGACGTTTTCTTCTTGAAGATAATCTGACACTCTCAAGCCACTGGCGTCTTAGAAGGTGTCGCGTGCTAGACGCACAGAGTGATTAGCTGCTAGTGGTCCATAAAAGAAAAAGGATGTGCACGTGAAAACCACGCGACACTAAAGTACTCACGGGTCCCATGATTATGTCAGCCACGTATCGGTCTTTTCTTTCTTTTCTTTTTCTTTTCCCGTCCTCGTCTAAAAGTATCGGGATCAATGGACCTCTTTACCCAAAAAGGTAACAATCAGTCCATTACCCCGGACTTCAATTGCGAATTCCGAGTACAGCCACAGAGTACTCATACCCTTCCTCCATTGGTGAATCTCTTGACTCACAGTCGATGCCGAGCTTTCCACCGAGCTTTCCACCGAGCTCTCCACCGAGCTCTCGACATCGTTGCAATGGAGCTGAATTTGTCCGAGTAATTTATATGCATTTTGGCAGATCAGCGACAGATATAAAAGACGGACTTTTGAAGAGCTATCTGGGCGATTCGACACTACCGGAATAGCTGCTTAAAGTTCACCAAACTGTCTTATTACTGACAATTGTTTGTATCCCAAATTGATAAAATCTCAAAAAACCAAAATGTCCACCAAATCTCTGTCAAATTTCGCTGTCACCATCTCAAACTCGGGTTTTGCCAAAATTCTGAGAAAACAGTCGATTCCAGCAACCGCTTGGAAATCCACAGTACTCACGAGCCGTCAAAAGGAGACTGCAACATATCCACACGGCAAAGAAACAAGACCTTCCGTTATCATTAGCTCTGACAATGAAGAAATCGAAACCGTGGGCGATCACGTGCGCGTATGAGATGAGCACGATAATGATGATGATGATGATGTTGAAGAAGTTGGGTGTGTGTGTGTGTGTGTGTGTGTGTGTTTGGGAAGCCCACTAACGGTAAGTAGGGTATAGTTAGTAACAATTGATATGTTTTTTCTTCTTAAGACGCAATCCGATCGTATCGGAGTCCTTGTAAGTACCCGCCACGCATCGCTGATGCGACCTGGGATTGGAAAATGGACGGGTTCGTGCGAAGTGCCTCTGCGGCCGTCTTGTTCAAGGGATCAGTAGCGTTGGGTTCAAGTAGAAGCATAAGAAGCCCAATGATGATGCTTTGAACGTCCAGAACGGGCGACCAGTCTTCCCGCAAGATATTCAAGCATACGTTTCCCTGGAGATCGATGTTCGGGTGGTAAACAACGGGGATCAAGGTCACTTTGGGAGGTTCTATCGGGTATGTATCCTTGAAAACAGCCTGAAATTTGAAAGTGCCGTCTTTGTAGTAGCCCTCGTCTGGTGTAACCTGGATATACAGTCGATGATCGCTTTCCAGCGCAGTTGCGTCGATTTTCACATTGGGCGGAAGATCCAGAGCTGCAAGGTCTTTGCGCAGTCTAAGCTGGGATGCGCTGGTCTCTCGGGACTGAGGGCTGCTGTTGCCAGAGATACTTGTTGCCGAGTTTGCCAGATCCTCTTGTTTTTTTTCTGCAATTGCCGGAGTTTCAGCTGCAGGTTTGAAGCGTTAGTAACAATGTTCTTGGCAGCTCATCACACACACACGCACATACCATCGGTCAGAGGTCACAATATGCAATTGCACACGGCAATGTGAATTTGAATTCGGGTGTTTCAATGGATCCTGGGAAACGAGATAGCTCTTGGATACCGGGTTTCAGTTCGGTTTTGGTGAAACAATACGATTCTGATGGTTAATAATTTGTTTCAATATACATAAAGCTCTAATTACGTATATAAAGAGGGACTGAAAGGACTTAGGACAAGAGCGATTTAATAGACGAGAGCTAGACTGCAGGTACAGAAAAAGGATGTTGTTAGATCCAGATACGTGATGTGCTTCAAAAAGGGCTAGTTGAGTGTTTAGAAAGGTCTTGACACAAAGAGCCGTACAAAATGATCTCCCCAATTTACCAAAACTTCCATTTAATGAATTTGAGAGCAAGGTAAGAGAAAAAAAATTGATGAGGTGCTTCTCTTGGAAACGTTCCCATTTTTGTGATGTACGATGAGATTAGCCACTCCACTTGTTCAATCGTTATTTAAACAAAAAAACTGATTATATTCGATATCATCTGGCACGAAACACTCAACTACATGGCACGTGACTATGCGTCGCTTTCCTCATCTCATCTCATTTCTTTTCTTTTCTCTTTTCTCTTTTTCGAGGTTTTAGCCCTAGCTTGCAAGCCCTAAATGCTACAGCTATCTATCTTCTTATCTCATCAGGTCCTCCAAAGGAAAGACAACCAAAGAATAAGCGAATCCAGAGCACTGTGCTTGCCAGTCACGTTTGAAAGCGCAGTGCCCTGCAATTAGAGCCATCTACTCCATTCACAACTGATCGATGACAACGCTCTCACTCGTTCATGCTTCATAGCCTTCTCTACTGTTCACAACTGATCGCTAACGCTCTCAGTTGTTCTCGTTTCCTCGACTGCCCTGTCGCTTCTCGCTGTACGCTGCCCTTTTCCATTCTCTTCGACTTTTCCGCAAAATGACCAAACGGCATCAAGCTCTCAGAATTTTTCACATTTTTTTCAACCACGTCAACTGACTGAGTCACCATTCCCATCGATATTTTGAGTCAGGCAGATGGGCTCTTTGTCGAAATTTGCGTTGACGAAGATATAAAAACGGCATTGGGAATAAACTTTGTTTTTTCGAGTTTTGTCCCCCTAAGTACAGGTGATAACGAGCTCGTCAGTTTACTGTAGGGTCTACTATACGTTTTCTTTACCCCAGAGTGATTCTGTATACTTTGGCTTGAAAACATCAACTACGTTTGAAAAAAATACTAGTACAACAAGATGCGTCACTTAGTGTCAATCAAAGATCTATCCAACGAGGAGTTTTCTGTTCTTGTAGACAGAGCCGAACACTACAAAAAAGTTTTCAAGGCCGGAAACTTGACTGAGACTCAGAAAAACCATGTCAAATTGCTTGGTAAGACGGTGGCATTAGTGTTTTCGAAAAGATCCACCAGGACCAGAATCTCAACGGAGGGCGCTGCTGCGTTCTTCGGGGCCCAGCCTATGTTCCTAGGTAAAGAGGATATCCAGTTAGGTGTCAACGAAAGCTTTCACGACACCACTAAAGTCATATCGTCCATGGTATCATGTATATTTGCGCGTGTGAACAAACATTCTGAAATTCAGCAGCTGGCAGAGCACTCGCAAGTTCCAATCATAAACTCGCTTTGCGACAAGTTTCACCCTCTGCAGGCAGTATGTGACGTTTTGACCATCAAGGAGCATCTCGACTACACCAAAAACAAACTGAAGATCGCCTGGATCGGTGACGCCAACAACGTCATCAACGACATGGCCATAGCATGTTTGAAGATGGGCATGGACGTCTGCATCTCTACGCCGCCCGGCATCGAAATGGATCCCGAAATCATAAATGCAGGCCTGGAAGTATCCAAGGGAAACGGCACCAAACTCGAATGCACTCACAACTCAGAAGAGGCTGCCACGAACGCCGATGTTCTGGTCACTGACACATTCATTTCCATGGGTGAGGAATACGCCAAAGTGGCCAAACTCAAACAGTTCAAAGGTTTCCAAATCAACTCTGAGCTATCTTCTCTCGCAAAGCCCAACTACAAATTCATGCACTGTCTCCCAAGACACCACGAAGAAGTCACAGACGATATATTCTACGGTGACCACTCTATAGTTTTCCAGGAGGCCGAGAACAGACTTTATGCTGCTATGGCGGTCATTGACGTGTTCGTGATTAACAAGGGCGACTTCAGCGCTGGACCCGATTCAGTTCTGAATTGAACATTTTGCTTCGACGAGTTTGATGAAGAAGTTCACATAGGTAGCCTGCATACAATTTATAGATTTATCCACAGTTCGGCGTCCATGCTTTGCGTATCTCCCAAATCCAAACAGTTGAGTCCGTCTGAGAAACAACCCTCTTTTAATCCGTGCTTGTCAGATAACATTTGGCAAAGAGTGTTTGAATAAAAGGGCTTCACACCTGGTTGGAGAAGAGCAAGTGTTATGTGAGCATAATCGTTTGCACAACCTAAATGAGGAACTGTCGTACCCGAGTCGCCGTCCAAAACGCACTCTTCCGCGACCTCGATCAAGGCCGTAACTATTTTGTCGTCCCAAAGAAGTTTCTTCACTTTGAACTTGACCTTGTCTTTCGTCTTAATTACTGTTCTTTTTGTAGGTGGCAGCTCCGACTTCACCAAGTCTTTCGAATAGCGCTTATTATATTCACACCACAAGTCGTGCTGCTTTTTGCTGCCCTTTTTACCACTGATATGACTCAAAGTAGCATGTAGTTCTGGAAGTACAAAATCCTTTAAGCTTTTTCGAAGAGGAGAGGTGTCCATAAAGTCTTGACGTTCAAAACAACGCTCACAGATGAACTTCACAAATGCACCTGGGTCCGGAAGTTGAGCAGCAAAGTAGATTGGCTTGAACTTCAAGCTATCCTTACCAGCTTTGTTTCCTCCTCCAACCACTTTAGTTATTTTGGGCTCGTAATAGAGACTCTTCTTGAATGCTGATTGTATCAATTCCGTTCCCGGTATTTCGGGAATTAGAATTGGGTACTTTTCGTGCAGTACCGTCAGGATTTTACGAACATTGAGAAGAGACGAATCTGTCTCACGTACATTCAAGGTAATGATATCATCAAACATGCTATCTGGAGACCGATCTGCGATGACTGGTTGGTATCTTTTCAAAAAGCCTTTCATTATTCCCAAAACCTTTTTCTCTCCATCTGTAGCGACTTTTATGCTTTGATGCCGGTCTCCCCGAGCTAGCACTCTCTGGATTGTGAGCTGAGTGGTTGCTTCCATATCCTCGTAGGGATAGAAAGACAATGCGATGATTTTCACGTTACTGTCATACGGCATGTATTTTTCCTTGAGATCGGCATACCATTCGAATAGTTGCTTCCGCTCTCTAAATTGATGATTGTTTCTGTCAACAATTACAGCTTTCACTTTTTCCTGGCTCAAAAGTTCCAGAGACTTTTTCATCAGTAGAGATTTGTCTCTTCCAGTTATATCATCGTTTTGAACATGTCCCCACGATTCGGGATATAGATTGCTCAAAGTCAAGGCGGTTGTCGTCTTCCCGCAGCCAATAGTTGCTACCGGAATTAGCAAAAACTTGGTCTTCTCATCAACCAACTGGTAGTTGATAGCATTCTGCTCTTCCAGATATTTGACCTTCTCGCTATTCAAAATTTCGACGCCCGACAGCCCATAATCGAGCAAAAACATTTTACGCAATTTGATAATGCCAAAGTCTTTCATGTAGTTGTCGCGAAGGCTCGGATCTGCATCAAGAAGCGGTATGACGAAGTCCAAATACTTGTTAGTGATGAAACGGTGCTTTTTGAAACCAAAAACTCGTGAATTAGTTTCGATATATCTCTTCGTTGCCTCTCTCCATTGGCGGTACATTAAGTAGGGCTCTTCGAATTTGTACTTGAAAAAATAGTCCCTTTCATCGGTCGTTTTGCATCTTATCACAAACCCTTCAATTTCTTTACCATGAAATGTTCCTGCCGCTGCACACTGCTCCAAGAACTTACGAAGACTTGAAAAGTCGTGGTGTGTGAAGTGCTCGATCTTGTTGAAACCATATCTATCAGCAAATTTGGTGACCTCTCGGATTGGCAAAGTTTTGAAAACACGCTGGTTTTGATTAATTCCGTGTAGGTAAAGACCAGCTGCGTCCTTTGTATATTCAAGAATGTGCTCCTCGAAGCTGTCGTCGCAATATTCAGCCACAGCGGTGACGTTCATTTGGTAGAGCTCTCGACCTAGAATTTTGGGATCAATGTCCCGCGATTTGAGCTGCCTCAGTAGAAATTTTTCACCTGCAATCGAGTGATTTCGATCCGTGTCATCTCTATCGCCAGTGGAGTGTTTCGAACAAATGACTAAAGTTCCGTCTTCCAGACCAGAAATGAAAATAATGCAGCCGTTTTCCTTCACCGTGACTTCATATGGACCAACAGTGTTGGAACTTAGCCATTGCGCTGAGGTGGAAGCCACTTCGTCAATGTTAAAGAACTTATCATATCCTCTGACTACAATTCTTGGTGTATCTCGATCTTCCAAAATAAAAAGCCCCCTTGCATTTATCGGGAGCTTGATGTTATTCTTACCATAATCCCATTCATTGAACTTCCAACTGGATACTTGTCGATCAGAGTTTGAGATCTGGCAGATCGTTTTGTAGGCTCTTCCTCTTTTCGGCAGCTCAGCAGCTGCCTCGAGTTCTTGCACCAGCTTTTTACAGTCTTCTTGATCCGTAGTTGCCATACCAAGGCTCTCGTGGGCTCGATGACGAGGATACACTGATGTCTTGTTACGTTTAAACTGGTTTTACTGATGATGATGATGTTGATGATGATGTACTAGTAATTTAAATTTCAATACCCAACTTGAAGAACAACCTGGCGTGAAAAGAATCCGCAATTGACAAGCTTCTGGGCCTGGAATCGGTACAATCGACCAACAGTGCTTTGCAATTGCCGTGAAACCTCATCAGACTGCTTTTCCGGACAGTTTTTGGGCTACTGAAGCACTAGATATCAAGCCAAAAGATCGATTCAATATGTCTATGGCAAGATACGATGTGGACGGTGCAGATGTGTTGATTCTGAAAGACAAACTGGACAAAGTGTCCCGTATTTCCCAGAAAATCAACGTGTCTTTGAAAGGCATCAGTAAGACAACTGCACAGTCCAATGAGCTTTTCACACCTATCATGGAGTCTAATTTGAGACTTGGAACATTGCAGAAAAATATCGAGAGCAGTTTGGATGCTATTTCCTCGATCAAGGATCTGGCTAATGATGCTTCCAAGCATGAGCTCGTTCTGACTCAGAAGATCGAGAAAGTTGGCTTGAGACAATTTATAAAGGCAATCTGGAAGCTACGAAATATACAGGATAGCATGGACTTTAAAAAACAGAGCTCACCAGACTCCCAAGAATTTCAAGGCGTTCGGACCCATTTGTCCAAAGTTGTAGACTCCAGTGAGACCGAATTGCGCACTTATTTCGGTTTTATTTTGCGCAAGATTGAACCCTTCGACCCTCAGATCATGTTAAACAAAAAAATACCTTTTCCATACTATGGAGATGAAGATATTAGTGAACTCAGCAATATAGTTGCTTATTTTGGTACCCAAAATTCTCTGTCTTTGACGCCTGTGGTCACAAGCAATCGCTCTCAATTGATTCTCAAAAGCTTGGCATTCCTCGAGCCCTTCTCTAAAGAAATCACGAGTAATCCCAACGTTCCTTACCGAAAGGGAAGCAGTGGATTTCTCAATTATAATGAGGCTCTGCTTGGGTTCATTGCCAACGAGTCCAACTTCACTGAAGATCTTTATGCCAAAAGCCCTGAAACTAGAAACGAAGTTCTCAGAGAAATATTGTTACCAGTGATTGAAAAGTACGTTAAACTTGTAAAGATCAACATTGATTTGGTCAAAAAAAATCTCTCGAATGTTGGTCTCTTTACGTTTGAACTTGCCGAGTGTGTCACGAATGTTCTGAAGCTTCTCAAGAGCACTCGCCTGGCTGACTACCCTGCTCTAGCTCATTGCCATAAGGAAACAACTTCCATTTTGCATTCATTATTCAGGGATTTGATGAGTTACATTGATGGAAAGGCTTCACAACTCTCTCAGTTACCTAGTGACAACGGTGTGATAGAACCAACGATAGATGTAATGTCCCGCTTGCGTAAGTTCAGCGAATATAAGCAAGGATGCTTAAACAGTATATGTGGGATGAGACGAAATGAATGGCTGCCTAAAAACTTCAGTGAGAAGGAATATACGCTTCAAGAGCGCCGCGTCATAGATCAGCCGAATGATCTACTGTCCTGTTTTTTCAGCGACTGCATCGACTGTCTGGTAGTATCGCTGGATAGACGTGCTCAACAGATTCTTATGCCCAATCAAGAACCTGATATTGCAAATCCTAACAGTGCTCGCAATATTCATAAGCAGCGAATTGGGTTTTTCCTCATTACCAACATCACACTTATAGAACAAATTGTATTGAGGTCGGAGCTCACCTCGATACTAGGCGAGCAAGGGAATGTTCGCCTAGAGAAACTGAAAAAACGATACGTCGGGTACTTCATCTCTGACTGGAGGAGTCTGACGTCAAATCTACTTGATGCCGTCTTCGTCGATAGCTCTGGCAAAGTGTCGTCTAAGGACAAAGACCAAATCAAAGAGAAATTCAAAAAATTCAATGACGGCTTCGAGGAATTAGTGTCAAGCTTCAAGCATTTCAAAATATCCGACCCTACAATGAGAAAGCTTCTAAAAAGCGAGGTAAACTCCTTGGTATTGCCGCTTTACGAGAGGTTTCACGGGCGTTATAAAGATTCTTTCAAAAACCCTAGAAAGCACATCAAGTACACACCAACGGAGCTGGCTTCTGTTCTCAACTCAATAGATAGGTAAGCTAATTTTGATAAGTTTTATGTTTAATGGAACATGCTTTCGAAAGACACCAATTCGTGAACTCTTATAACTTTATTTATCAGACTACGTAAGAGGAAGGTCACTATTTCTATTCTTACCGGAGCTGCTCATTGTGGAAGTCCCTGGACTCGTATCAGATCCGTTACTGAAAGACGTGCTGGCTATTTCCTGCATTTGTTTTTTGGTTGATTTCAACTTCCCTGATCCAGCAGGAATTTTGAATGCAGACCGAAAGTCTTCTAAAACGTTATTTCCTTCAACAAATCCCAGATTATACTCTCGGGACGTATCTGGCGAGCCAGGCGCGTCATTTTGAAGTGGGTGCCAGCTATTCGAATTTCTATCATACAAAGCCGTGATATCCACTGACGCTTCAGTTGATGTGTCCTCCAATCCAGCGACCGATTCCTTAGACTGCAATAAAGTGTCCACAGTCTGATTCGTTTGATAATTGAGCAACGGGGCCATGTTGTTTGAGGTTCCTTCCTGAGAAACGTAATCCCTAGCGGTGTCCACAGAGGACCTGGGGGATGCTGCAACCGACGATGACTGACTCCTGGATTGATTGATGTCTTCATTTTTTTGAGATGGACTGAATATATTACTCATGTCGTTGAAAGACTCGCTAGTGTTTTTCACTGTAGAAGGCAGAGCATCTTGAATACTGCCTCGCCTACTAGCACCTAAGGCCAAACTTAGAGGTTTCAGCTTTGGAGATTGTGCTTTCCACACTGCATTGGGGAGTTCAGGAGATCCTGGAGGGACACCACTGAATGAAAAAGATGAAGCAATGTCACCATCTAGGTTTTCAGAGCGTTTACTTTGGCCGTGGTTTGGATTCACGTCTTCCCGTTTATGCCCATCGGCTCCAGTGAAAGTGAAAGTTGGCTTTACTGCTTTCGGGCGACGATTTTTGTTTGCTTTCAAGGATTCTTCATAGGTTGGAGGATCCGTAGGAGCGTCAGGATGTGGGTCTTTATGACTAAACTGAGGGGGGCGGGGCAGATTTGCGTCGAAAGCGGGTGGCTCGAAACTGGGAGTTCGAAGCATATGAATCGGCCTACTAATAGGAGACGCTATTGGTGATAGTGGAATGGCCTGAGGAGAGAGCAGTTCTGGCTTCAAGTTCCCAGGTTGATACACATTGGATTTTAACTCTGGAGAGTTGAGAAGGAAGTCGTCGACTGTTTTCTGATGTTCATCGCTCTTCTTTTGATGAAGGCTGAAACCAGAGCTTGCATGTCGGACGGGAGTAAGTGAACGTGGTGAAAAAGTCCCGCGTTCTTCAAGGGGTTGAACATCTGGGGATAGTATTGGTGAGCTCAACACCTCCTTTGGAAAATAAAGATTCGAAACGTGGTAAACATTTACATTGAGGTCACCGAATTTGGAGCAATCGGTGCCAGGGATGAGAGTGTGTGTGTCGTAACTGGGAAGTAAAGTGTTGGCGTGAGAACACAATCTGTTCAGAACGTGAATGGGCGAATCTATGCTGATCTCATAGTGTTTGCGCTTACCTTCAACTAAACGAGATAGCCGCAAGCAGATTTTAATCCAATGATTAGCCTTAATGTTTTGATAAGATGTATCGGGATGAATCTTTTGCTGTGCATTAAGTCTCTCAGGAATAAAGACCTGGTATTCGAACTCGCGTGAAACTAGGTCCCCATATTCATCTAGTAGCAGGTTTCCAAGATTCTTCGCCTTTGCTGCGCTGGCCCCCGCTGGTAAATTTTCAAACGGTGGTGCTTTATGTTCAGCAAGCAAAAACTTTTTGGTAGGCTCCAGGCGATGAACCTTTTTGTTTTTGCAGTAATATTCCATTGTTTCCGTCAAATAGATTCTTACTCTATGAAGCGTAACTTTATCAATAGGTGTGATGTTGAAAGCAATCGGTAGAAATGCGTCGAGTACAATGTCCTTTGACGCGATTACAATATCGTAGTGGAGCTGATCTTCCCAATCTCGAGAAATGGCTATGGGTTCTGTTTCTTCAACAGACGAATCGGAGGGAGCTCTGATGACTTCAAGAGGCATCCTGGCGTGAATGTTGGACTTGAAGGCTCCCGTTCGTTCAATCGACGCCATGAGTGTATATTCCACGGAGCCAAACGAGGCCATTATACTTTCAGGGCATGAAAGCGGTATGGTCTGTTCAAAGCCGTATATGTACTCACCTGGCTGGAAAATGAAGGGCTCGTTGCCTGAAGAGGAAGACTTGGAGAAAAGGGAGCCGCTGTCACTGTTAGTGGTTTGAGTGCCTCCTAGCAGGTCAGAGAGAGCGTTTGTGCTTGAACGCGCTCGCTGCCGGTTGCCGTGGCCATCGGGAGATGTGACTTTGCGCAGCATTCCGGTGATGGGCAAGAAATTGGAGCCCTGCGTCTTGGGAGAACCGGGTGAAGCGGCGGAATTAAGGTTGATAAAACTCACACTATCGCTTTTTTTCTTTAGCGGCCTATACACGGAGGCCCAACTGCCCTTCAACAAATGATCCGGGTCTGTTGAGCCACTGTTGACAACGTGGTTGTTTTCGAGTTGGAAGAAGGGCCACGTATGGTTCACGATATCCAGGGACTCCAGAAACTCTTGTCTTTTGGGCGGAATACCTTCTGGCCACTCTGTTTTCGAGGTGCCTTTGAACGTGAGGTCTATGGATTTGATTTTGCTGGGTTTGAGCACTCTGACGATCAGAGAGCCCCGCAGCAGACCCGGGGGTCTCTCTTCCCATTGGTGTGCTTCAAAGCCTTGCAGGAACACCGCTGGCTCTGCCAGCTGGATGTAAACCTGGATGGAAGTTGTCTGCGTCAACGGATGAGCGTTTTCCGGGATCTCCAGGTCTTTTTCCGCTGGGAAAACCGGTGAATTGACTGGTTCCAAGTCCGCACCCATCCTCGTTGTTTTTTTCGTAGTTTGTTAGATCGCTTTTGGAGATAGTAGAAGTGGTAGTGGTGGTGGTGGTGGTGGTGGTGGTTGTGATCTTGCTTCCTCTTTCAAGTTCCGATTCCTTCCTTTCTCCTCTAGAAAGACACACACAACAGGCCTGTTGGTTAGTTTGAATTCCTAAGTTTTGCAGTGCCAGCTACGGTACGATGCGATGCAAAGCGTAGCCTTCGCGGTTGATACTAGACCCAGAGAATAAAAAATAAACCCGACTGAAAAAGGGATGTGTTAGTGCTCAAAACAGCGTGTGGAAAGCTTCGAAAAACAGCAGATAATCTACAAGAAGCTAACGAATCAACCTATCGTTCAAGTCCACGGTATTTAAAAGCTTTTCGGAGCTGTAAGTTCGGTAGTAGAAGCGAGGGAAGTCTAGCCAAGAAACATATTCTGGCTGGGTTTAGTTGGACTCATCCATTTTAATAATACTGAGAGAGAGACCGATCGACGAAAAAAATGAGTCATGTGATTGTCCATGATGACAGTAGTGAATGTAACGTGGACGAGCGAGAATGAGCAATTGACGGTGTTCGTGAGGTGATTTGGTCAATTTTTCGCCTTCTCTTTCTGGCTCGTTCAGCCTGGTGCAAGATCATCAACGCTCCAGCGATTCAAAAACTTCTTTCAACTTCTCCAGATGCTCGTTTTCACCATAGCTGACGCTGTGCAACAATTCATTGACTTTAATAAGATCGTAGTAGTTTTCGTAAATCGTGTTTTTGATAGTGTTGTTCATTGCGGCTTTCTTGCTTGAAAGGTCGTTGTGTGCATGAACCAGCTCTGAAAGTCGAGCTTCTCCAACCGTAGGCAGGCTTATCTCCTGGCATGTAGTTTCCCCAGTGGCAATGCTACTTATATCAGCTTCAGGCCCATCTTTTGTTTCTGTATCAATTGTTTCCACGGCTTCTGGAACATCTGTTTTGCGAGATGCGTTAGATGCCTCTTCAAGTTTGTAAAAATCATGCAATTGCTTTCGTCCCTCCTTATCCAGCTTGATCCTCAACGGACGTTTGTGCGTAATCTGTTCGGCCATGCTACCAGTGCTCTTGAAAAGATGCTGAGTTGGTGTGTGTTCAGCTTAGCTTGTTGTACTTATAGTCAGTTAGTTCATTTTCGGTTTCTCTCTGTTAATATTAAGATAGACTTCTATCTCATCTATTAAGAGACTAACTCATTGAAAGAAGTTCGAGAGCTGAAATTTATAAAAAGCCTCCCAAGCCAGAGGTTAAGACGTTCAAGGATCCCAGAAAGCTCAAATAAGGTGTTCAGAGACACAAGGCGTGAAATTTCGGGCTCAAAAACCTATTTCTGGTTGACATTACTCTCATTCTCGTTCCCTGGAAACTAGTTTTGCTCAATTGCGTTCGATACCAGACCCTGTCGATAAGCTCGAGGATAGTCACCAGTTTGAGCACTTTATAAGCGGCCTTTGCTCGGCACTTAACAATTTATGCCGTTCAATTGGAACCGTAGACGGCAGGCCGTGGCAGCCAAAAGCTCACAATCTGCAGCTGATGACCATTTGTCGAATGATGCTTCTCTAAAAGCAGCCCAGGCGATTTTCAGGAAAAACGAGACGTCAAAATCGAGTGCCAGCAAAGTAGCCACTCGTCCCACGCCGCAGCCGCGCAGGAGAATCACAATCTCGTCTCAGAAACCACAGGTCAGGCCAAAGCAACCGGTATCGGTCCAAAGAGTCAAGCCGGCAGCCCAGAACCCTCAATCAGCAGCAGCTGCAGCTGCTGCAAAGGCCCAAAAGAGTAATCTCACAGTAGAGCCTCGTATCAAACCGTCAAAATCCAGCAAATTCGGCCACTTGTGGAACCCTTCCTCCTCGAAAGACTCTAAACAACACATCCCAGTTTCTCCGCCGTCAACAACAGATTCGCCCGTTTTAGATGCAAACCAAAGAAACTCCAAAGGCCAGGACGACGACTTTGTAGAAATCATTGCAAAATTACAAGCTACAAGAGAAAACAATCCGTCTAGTAAACCTAGCAGGCCGGACAAGTCAGGAAGCAGTTCGCCAAGGAACTATCTATCCACAGGTAGCACTACGTCTCTCAACACAAGCTGTGAAGACGTTGCTCGACTGCACCATCAAACGCATAGCAATGGTCCTCCTCTTTTGTCTCAACAAGATCCTCACCTGGGTAGTCGAGCAAGTGGGTTCAACTCAAGCGACAACCTTTCCCCAAACACGCCGTGCGAAAACCTCGCCTTTTTGAATCCCAGAGCGAACTCCAGTAGGACAATCACCATAAGACGTCCAACGTCTAGAAACCAGACCAGAGAGGACGTTAGTGACAGCGTCTCAATTTCTTCTGCACCATCATCTGCATATTCTGGTGTTCCCACAGTGGCTGCTGAGCTGCCGAGTGACCAAAATCTATCTGAGTTCAGCGTTTCTCCGCGGGCAGGTCCCTATCGGCATGAGTTGGCGCGGTCATCGATTGACCAGACCAGTTCAACCGCTGATCTATACTCGGAACGCACATCGGTAGACGGATGGGGTAAAGGCCCCCAAAACGTCAAGTATCACGGAACGTTACCAGATTTAATACCAAATCATACTCGCGATAAGAAGAAGGGCCGACTGAGCTCCATTTTCGGTCGAAAACCCAAGGGCTCCGATGTGAGTGCTAGTAACCCGAATGATAGTTTTGCGAACAAAAATAGCCAGCCCACACGTCTGAAGACTACGATGAGGACGACAAGCAATGATTACGAGGAACCCGAAGTGGAGGAAAGTAGCGACGAATATGAAAGCAGCTCAGAAAATGAGGACCCACTAGCTACGACCAAGAAAAAGAAACCTAAGAAACGCCGGGTGCGTATTCGGAAACATATACAAAAGGCATCGGGTCACAATCATTCACACAGGCGCGCGTTCAATGAGGACAAGCCTTGGAAGAGTCATATCGACATCGGGTTCGTTACACAGGCCGAGCGGAAACGTTACGAGGGTATCTGGCTAACAAATCGCAACTGTTACTTGGAGCTTCTTCCATGGTGGCACGAGCCTGAGGCCGAAGCTGCTAAGGCGGTCGCGGACGATGAAGGTCTGATGTTGAATTTAGTCGTGTTGGCCATATGGAGCAGAAGCAACCTGCCGCGGGATAAGCTGGCTGCGATATACGACATGGTGGACACGAGAAACGACGGGACTCTGGACAGGAAATCTTTTCTTGTTGGCATGTGGCTCGTTGATCAAAGTTTGTACGGCCGGAAACTGCCGTCTAGGATCTTGCCTCGAGTGTGGGAAAGCGTTGATAAATATGTGATAAATGTGCCCAACGAGGCCCAATTGGGACTAAATCATGAAAATAAGCAGAAACAAGTGAAACAAGAGCTGAAGCAATTGAAGAAGGAGCTCAAGCGTACTCAGACATGACCGACAACTATGATAGACTGAATTACAACAGATTGCGCGGGATAATTTTTTTGGTCAAGGTCAGACCTTCCCAGAAAGCCAAAATGAAGAACAGAAAGAACACTGAAAACAAGAAGAGCAGGAACAAGAAGAGCAGGAACAAGAAGGGCCAAGTGTTAACAGTAAACGGTGTCCAATTCCGAGTTTTACGTGTCAAATAGGACATATCACGTGCCGTACCGGAGTTTGGACTCGGTGACGGCGCGACACGAGTACACGATTCTGATTACGTCATCTTGCTTATCTAAATTCTCGAGAGCTCGTGCAACTCACGTGCTTCTGCCAAGACCTCAATTTTAGTGATATAATTTCAATAATATTTAGATCAGGGCTGATTGATCTAACGGATCTAAGTGAGATCGTCACACTAACACAACTTCACGTTCAGGTTTTCAGCTACCATGTACAGAGTGCTGGGAGCTCTTACGGGCTCTAAGAGCTCAACAACTTTGGACAACGAAGAAAAAAGCCAAAAAATCCTCAAACAGGCGCACGATTTTGAGCTGGCTTTGCAAGCGATGGATTATGTCTTGGACGATCATCCCCAGAGAGGTATGGAGTTGTTGAAGGACGATCAGAATAGCGAAAGCGAAGACAACGATCGCAGCGTTCGTGTGCTGGCCCGGGGGGTGGTAGAGTTTCTGGAGGCCACCTTAGGGTTTGAACCAAATGCTATGAAAAAAGCCGCAACCACATTGGCTGAAGCGCAGCAGCTGTCACAGAAAAGAAGACAGTACTTCCAAAAATTGAACCTCAAAACAAGCTCTCTGTATCCGCCGGGTACTGAATATGCTGTAACTTTCACGGAAGCTTGTCTGCTGCACGCACTGTTGATGCTTTTCAGCGAAAGCATGGTAGAAAGTGCCAAGGCACTGTTCAAGCTGAGAAAGGCGTACCACATGCTACAAGAGGTTTTGAACGACATTAAAGCCGCCAAAGACAAAAACAAAAAGTCTCTCTACAAACAGGAAGCCAACGAATCTTTCGCATCTTTTGCCACGGCAGATACAACCACGTTCAAATCGGTCGATATCCCCTACCAGCTAACACCACAAGAACAACAAGACCGAGAACTCATGCAACTGGCTGAAGACGTGTACAAAATGCGCAAAAGAAGGCTCAACGGAGCTCATATCGGCAACTCCCCAGCTGCTGACAGACTAAGAACGGATTTGGGTCTTCAGTCGCTTAAAAATCTTTCGAAGCAAAAGGATGCGAAAAACTCTACAAAACCTTCCGACGAAGAAGTAGAGGAAGATCAGGCGACCATTGATGAGTTCATTCACTCTGGCGTCAATCTGTGTTTCGGCATTTTGCAAGTGGTTTTATCGCTCATTCCTCCTGCAATTGGCGCTGTTCTTTCAATCGTGGGATTCCACGGCTCAAAAGAGGATGGGCTACGCATGATTTGGCGCTCGACCAAAGACCGTAACATTCATGGCGACATTGGTCTTCTTTCGCTGCTATTCTACTACGATGGCCCGTTCCAGTTTACTGACGTGGATTTTGATGTTCCTGCTGCTAGCGACAACGGTGCAGATGAAAAATCCGGTGAACTGACCACTGCAACACTGCTTCACCCCGGTAAGTTGCTAGAGCACTCTCTCCTCCGGGCAAGAGCTGTTTTTCCAAACAGCGCTTTGTGGCTTTTACAAGAGGCTCGAATGCTCTCGTCTCAGGGAAGACCCCAGGACGCTGTGGATTTGATCGATTCCATTGATGTTAATGAAATAGAGATGAGACAGGTCAAAGCTTTGATTGTCTTCGACCGCGCCATGATCCTCGTTCATCTTCATGAATTCGAAAGGGCAGCCAAGGAACTACTCTCACTTTTGAACATAAGTGAATGGTCGCCTGCTCTGTACACATACTTTGCGGGATGTTGTTACCTGGAAAAGTATAGAATGTGCGAATTGAAGCTATTAGACGATTCTCGGAAGGACTATTACAAGGAGCGCGCGGCCAGCCTGATCTTTTCAGCGCCAGAATTGGCGGGTAAGAAAAAGTTTATGGCCAAAATAACGCCGCTGGAAAGATTCATGCTACGGAAAGTTGGCCAGTTCAAAAAAAGCCAAGCTGCTTTGAATGTGTTCGATCCTCTTGACGCTATTGGCGTCTCTCCTGTGCACGAATTAATGTATTTTTACAACGGCTACAACCGTATGACCGAAAAGGAGCTGGTACTGTCGCACAAATTATTGACCGAATACACCAACCCAATGCTAGAAACTAAAGATCCAGACCAGGAGCTGATCAGAAACCTGCTCACTTCTCTCACTCTACGCAGATTAGGCAAAGTTGAAGAAGGATGTGCACTTTTGGACAATAACGTCCTACCAGCAATAGTGTCTTTTGAAGTCCCGGACAAAGTCAAACTGATCAAGAAAACAGAGGATCCGTGGGCGTACCCAACGGCCCTTTACGAGCGTGCTCTTTTCACCTGGAAGCTCAAGAGGCTCGATGGCATGGACGAATGCAAAACTTGGTTGGCAAGAGCCCAAAATTACGCCGATGACTACGAACTGAGTACACGTATTGGAATGATGATCAAAGCCGCTCTTGATAGGGTTGGTGCTTGATCTCTATGGTCGAGCTAGGCATCCAGTTCCGTCCTCATCGCCTTTACAAACTATACATCACGACAGACGAGGTCATGAAACTTGAAAGAGTCCAATATATAAGAATATTGGAAGGATTCCCTTCAAAACAACACCTTCTTCAACCAACATGACTAGCAAGAACTCACGAAGCTCTGGGACTGGTACTCTAGATGGGCTACACAGATAGGTTTGGAGCAGTCACCGACGAAGACGATGACGAGTCGTTAGATTTAGATTTCGAGAGCGACTCAGACGTAATTGACGACCTGGACAATCAGAGCATCTCACCAGACCGTTCCTCTGATGTTGACAACTCAAGCGTTACTTCTAGCTCGGGAAATGATGAGTTTCAGAGTTCGTATTTGGATTTTGATCCCAAAACGGACAAATTCAACTCTAGCTCAGCAGAGAGCACATATGACAGTGATGGCGTACCGAAATTGCAGTATAATTGTCTCACTACTGATCAAATATATGAACTAATGGTTGCCAGACTAGAACGAATACAGCCGATCTTTCAGCTATCCCATGGAGACATCATAGTGATGCTTCAGAAATACGCCTGGAGCGAAGAAAGGTTGCTGGAAGACTGGACAGAGGATCAAGAAAATGTGCTTATTACGTGCGGATTGAAAGTTGAAAAGGAGTCTGATGGACTTCGAGGCATCCAAACTCACTCTGATTTTTTGTGTCACATATGCTGCGAGTCGAATAAGCAAAAAACATTCCGATTGGAGTGCGGTCATGAATACTGTGTGGAGTGCTATGAACATTACATCAAGGACAAGGTACCTGAGGGCAAAATAATAACGTGCATGAGCTGTCCACTGGCCTTGAAGAACTCTGACATAGACGACATTCTTGGTGACAGTTCGAGTCTCACGTTAATGAAATCTTCCATCAAGGGTTTTATTCAAAAACACAGTAAGAATTACAAATGGTGTCCGTTTGTCGATTGCAACTGCATTATCCAGGTAAGCAATATATCGTCGCTTGCAGAATTCCCACGTTTACACCTTTCCCCTTATGTGGTGTGCGAAAATAAGCATCGGTTTTGTTTCAAATGTGGGCTAGAAGTGCATTCGCCTGGTGATTGCCATGTAGCAGAGCAATGGGTGAAATTGGCACAATTGGAGTGCGCAAATCTCAACTGGGTTCTCAAGAATACTAAAGAATGCCCGAAATGTGGTGTAAATATTGAAAAAAATGGGGGTTGTAACCATATGACGTGTCAAAGCTGTAGTTATCAATTTTGCTGGATTTGCGAGCAATGCTGGACGGGTCATGGTGGGGGATTTTACGAGTGTACTCATTTCAAGAAAGACGATAAACAAGGATCCGCGGACTCTAAAAACTCATTGAGAAAGTACACATTCTACTATAAACTGTTCAGTGAACATGAAAATTCCGTGAAGTTGGATTGGACTTTGGGCTTGACCGTTGAGCAGAAAGTGAAAGTGCTTCAAGAAAACATGGGCATTTCTTGGATCGAGACCCAGTTTCTATCAGAAAGTATCAGAGCCCTTCTTGACGGACGAACTATCCTGAAGTGGTCTTTTCCAGTGGTCTTTTACGCGGATCCGTCTCATAACCTGACGAAGATCTTCGTCGATAATCAAGCTTTATTGGTAAGCGCGGTTGAAGAATTGTCCAAGCTTTTACAGATCAAAGAGCCTCAAGAGATCATTGACAAAAAACTGGAGTTTTACAACAAGGCAAGGTTCGTGCAAAGCCGAGGTAAAGCATTAGCTGGTTGTGGGCGAGATCTTTTGTGCAAAGGAATTTGCGTACCGTTTAAGTGAGGAGTTCATAGGGTTAAGACTATCACAGGAGTTACTACAGGCTAGGTAGGTTAAAAAATTGTTTAATTTGATATGATACATATAATCGTTTCTTCATCTGAATCTGTCCTTCAGTAACCTATCGGTACCAACCTCCTCATATTCTTGCTTTCCAACCCACAGCTGATGGAAAGTTCCAAGACTTGACAGAATGCTTCCTCCCAACCATGCTCTTGTCTGCCTTTCCTTGGAGTGACCTGAGGTGAGTATGCGAAATTTTAGTGCCGGCAGTTTCTTGTTGAGCTCCGCAACTAATCTGTCAGTTATGCCTGGTATTGAGGAACAACCGCCGGTTATAACGAGGTTATGGGCTAGTGTCGCTCTTAAATCCACATCCGTAGCCATAATCGCGGTAGCGACTAGATCACTGAGACCCGCCAATATACTTTCAGGCTCAGATGAGTTATCCAGTGGCCTTTTGCCGTTTTCGTTTGTTTCTGTAGCAGGATCTCCAGGTTTGGCACCATCGGCAGCAGCCGCAGGTGTCGAATCGGTTGTACTTTCTCTTTCCTTGTTGCCAACATTTGGTTTGGCCCTCTTCATTGGTATATAATCGTTGTGCCACGTTTCGACTATGCCGTTTGACCTAGGCCAATCGTTGGGCATAAGGGTTTCCGAAGGGTTGAATAGTTGTTCTGCAAACGAAAATCTCGTTCTGCTGTCGAAAATAATGTTTTCACCCCAGGGAGCCTCTATAGATCTTTTAGACATGGAGTCTAGCTCGGTCTCGAACTTGGGTGAATCGGAAGGTGCTACTTGCAGCATAGTTTCTTTACACTCTTGAAAGAAACCTCTGCTATTGTCGAAGTTATCAACAGATGGGTCAACCTTAAAGTCAAAAATTTTGGCCTTGAATTCGGGTCTTCGCTGTGCAACTCTGAATCGAGGTATGATTTCACGAGGTTTTAAGTGCTCTTCTATCAAAGCATTGAGAAATTTGCCCGCTAAGAAATTTCTTGTAGAGCTTTTGGAGAGAGTCATTCCATCTATTACGGGACACACACTGGATACGTCGTGTCCAATGTCGACAACCAGACAAGTTGGTCTCCCCATCGCAAACGAAACACAGGTTGCAGTTGGGGCAATATAGCAGGCCTCGAAATCCATACCCTCCAGGAGCACTTCCAAGGACTTCTTGCGGTTGGTGTCTGAGTTCCAAATCGCCTCTGTTAGAAATGCAGGCACTCCTTGGAGCGATCCGAACTTTAACTGATCTGCCACAGCCCATGTCCATTGTTCTTGAGCCGCATCCCAATCCACTACACATCCATTTTCCAAAATCGGCTTGATTTCAAAATCAGGCCGCGGCAAAGTCATGAACTGATCGTTGAAAGACTTGTGATCCTTTTTAGAGCCATCGGTGTACAGTCCATAGCTTGAAGGAATGTTGAGTTGTGGATTGTCCATGCCAGAATAGCCGATGTTGGTGCTGTAGGACCCCGGGTCAATCACGACCGCAGATATCTCATCACCACCGTAAACTTGTAATGCTGGATTAGACATACAGACAGGGCTAGTTGAACCTAGAGCTGGGCGTTTGAAGGCTCCAACGAACTGACACGAAGTAGTTAAAGTTGTTGTAGTGTGCTTTGAATATTTAAGATATTCTAAATATTCTTAAAAAGGCCTTCGTTTTTGATGATGTACAGGAACTTGACCTGATAGTCTAATATATGGGAATATTCATGGTTGGTGACAGTAAAGATCGGTCTCTAAATGTCCTTTAGTGTTTTCTTCCGTATTGAAGATGGGCGTGGATGTTTTGATGGAGAAAGTCTTTTGATGAAAATGCTTGAGAGAAGAGAAATGGGTATTTTTTCAACATTTCAATTTCCAAGATTATTTCACAGACTTCTGACTTCACAGTCAAGGACATCAACTAGAGTTTCAATTTCCAGTTTTCTTCTGGCGTCTTGGATCCACTCGTCACATAGTACGCGCGGCCAGCCCTTCAATGCGACGACATCTTCCACGGCTTCGTCGAGCTTGGAAAGTGTGAGATTCGAACTAACACGGGCCAGTATGCTGTCCATGTCATGCTCCGAAGAGACGCCTCTCTTCTGGAACAAAAAGAAGCTGAAAAATTTGGCAGCGGTATGTCCCAAGATACCAGCATTAGGGGGCAGCAGTGAGGCCGTTTCGAGGTCCTTTTGTAACAGATTCCATCTGTTGACAAGTTGCTCATTTGACAAAATTTGCTGTTTTGAAGCCAAGGCCTCCAGCTGTGGAATCACCACATCCAATAGTTGGGGACCTGCCGTCTTGCAGCACTTAGAAGGCTTCCCTGGCAAAACGTCCCATAGTGTCTTGAGTCTTTGCAATTCGGAATCGAGCTTCAAACTTTGCTCGGACCCAGATTGCAACTTTTCCTTCACTAGCGTAATCAACAATGTCAATTGGCTCACAGCCTCGCTTCTCATCACGAGAGTGTCGACTTGGTCGATTGCATCTGTGAGGCCGCCAACAGAGGTGTTCAGTTGTTCCAATTTGGCAAGTCTGCCTTGCCTTTCTTTGTCCAATTTTTCGGACAAGATTTTGTTGAACTCTTCAACCTGTTTGATGGACAGAAGAGCGACCTCGTTGGCCTGCTTGGCCAAAAGGGCCTGCTCGTTGGCTTGTAGGGCTGTAGAGAGCTCTTCTGAAGACCTCATTTCCAGTTGGGCTTTGAAGGCATTGAATTCGTTCAAAAATTGTTGCGTTATTTCGACTTCGCGAGTTTTCAATCTGAGTTCGAATTGGTGATTTAGCTGTTCTGAAGCCTCACCGTAGTGCTTGGCCAAACCCTCGGAAAGATCTGTTTGGAAATCACGCTCAAGATCTTGCAATGCGTTGTTTAGCTTGGAGTACGCATCGGCCACTGCGTTGTAAGTCGCCTCGGGTAAAATCAGCGATTGCTCGTTGATGCTGTTGATTTGTGCGTTGACGGCGCTTGTTAACTCTTCAAACTTGGGATTCGAGGCATTGTTACTGGAAAGCAGCGGTAGTCTCAACTTCATTAGTGATTGGTCTTCTATTTTGACTTCTGCAGAGGCTGGCAATGCGGCAACCGTGTCGGTAGTCAACGTGGAGTCGGCACCACGGGCCGGAATGAGGTCTGTCTTGGTTCCCAATTCACCGAATTTCTGTTTCAGATCGTCCAATGACATCCGAGAGGCCTGGAAGGACTCGTCTCTGTAAGATTCGTACATTTCGACCAATGCCTCGGCCAACGGAACATTATCGCAGAACAACTCACCGAACTGGTCATTTGAGACCGACAAGGCCACTCCACCTGCATAAAACGCTGTGACAGCCAATCCTGCACGTACAACAAAGCGTCCTAGCCAATTAGGTTTTTTGGCAGGCTCGCCTTGAAAAGTGGCCATTTTGCGTGAAATTGGGCTCAAACGAACCGTTTTCACAAGCCGAGCACTGCTGGCACCATTCCGTACTCTCAGCATTGCTTCAGAAGGGTTTACAGGTTGACAATTGGCTTGGAATAGCGCTGCTTATGGATCTTGGATCTTGATATTTCAGTTTCCCGATGCTCGAAACGTATCTACAATATTTATCTGAAGGCCGAAATTTTGCAATTTAGAGTTTTCGTTGTAAGTGACTAGATTCTTAGTTTCGTCGATGGTGATGTCTCTGTAATTTTCAACGACAGGAAAAGACAGCGAATGAATTTGAAGTTCTTAGGTTTCTAGTCGGTGGAACGATTTAATTTTACGGGTTTTTGATTGATCCAATTTAGCGAATTTCAGTGATCTTAGTTTGACTTCAAGATGTCCAAGACAATTCCCCAAAAAAAGGAAAAAATATCTCAGAGTTTTGGACCTTATTTTTTTTTTACAAGGTGAGAAACGCAAATTCAAATTGACAGATCACACAAAACTCGGTGATTATGCAGTCTTGAATTCTTTGTGCATTGCAGATCTTTGAAATGAGCCCTTCTGCCTTTAGCAGCTGCCCAATTACAGCGAGTATATATTCTTGAAAATATATCGATACGAGATCACTTTGTACTAATCTGACGCTCCTATCGTCAAAAATTCGACTGTTTGAGTTTCAACGACGATCACAACAGCTGCTTCCCACATAAAAAGAGAAAAACCACACATATTGTAGCCTCATTATGACGAATTGAGAAAGATTCTTCATTTTTCCTGGAATACTTGATACTGCGACTCATGATCACTCTATACGTATATGGCTCGCTGTCCAAGCTATGGGTAATAATCAATATATAACATTATCATCTACTTATCTTGTTTTAAAAGAACTTACATACATGTATTCCACACACACACTCTCTCGTGTCCTGCTACCCCACGTTTCTTATTTGCTCGTTCTTCACTTCCTTCACCCCCGGAAACGCCCGCCCTCTTGCCCACCTCGATCTCCAGGTAATTCCCCGTAAACCCTTCGTAAATGCATCAATTAGGCTGTCGCCTTCACGACTGGGACTGGGGTTCTCCCACTACTTGCTTCCAGAGTTTATCGCCTTAACGCCTTGCCAACCGTAAAATCCTCTGTCTCTTGGACCAAAACAGCGATGTCGAGCGCGAAAATTTTCTTTGCAGCATATCCCAGCCCATTCTTTGCAGCTCCAACCATAGCAACGAGTGTCCCACCAGAAGTCAGCCGTACGTCTGATTCACTCACAAATCGCCCAGCAACTGCCGAAGAAATCAGGCTTGGGCTAGAATTCGAGGTACTATCTGAAAAGGGTGCTTTTGTTGTACTAGCAGTAGCAGTGGAAGTAACTGTAGTGAACCAATATAGTATACCTACTTTACACCGAAAATGTACATTCGATGCAGATTTGAGCGCATATCTACACGCTACTGATCAAAATGACTATTCTGCTCGGACAACTCGGGTAAAACTCATTACACACTTTCTTTCTACGTTTGGCTGGGCTGTATAAGCTCGACTGGGGCTGACAACACTGATAAACCTGTGAAAACTGTACATACAGAAAGATAGAAAGAGGGATAGAGAAAGAGAGAGTGTGTGTGTGTGCGTTTCTAAAGGCGATTTGATTGTAGTTTAGGGCAAAAGGCTTCTAAAAACCCCGGCGAGGCATTCATTTTTGACTGCGTAAAGCTACAGATTCTCGCCCAGAGAAAAGGTACAGATTTCTGCCAGAGAAAGGGTACCCATTAGTTTATATATTGACAAGTGTTGACTCGAAAGACGGTCTTGTATTGTAAAAACTGCGAGATCTAAGAGTCAGCCATCTTCAACATGGACTCTTTCATCGCTAATATAGAGACCAGTCAAGGCTTGCTGGAAAATAGCCTTAAGCTGAAAGAGCAGTCGAGACAAACACAGGTTTTTGAGTTTGAATCTGTGCGTAAACTGAGTAAATTGGTTCACCAGCTGCAATGCCAGTCATACAACTCGCAATTGCATTGCGTAACGGTAAGTTTGGCCAACATACTACTGAAAAACGCTGAATTTCGCATTCAGACACTGCAAGAGGATCTGGAGTTTGTGCAAGACGTACAGAGAAGACTGCTCCAGGACTCGCAGCTATCGAGCTTCCAAAGAGATTGGGAAATCCCATTATGGCGTGTGCTGTTTTTACTCACCCACGGTGCTGGGAATTTGGCCAACACCACCACCACCATTATTTTCGACAGACAACTTGCGCCTGTCAAGTTTGCGCATCTTGTGGGCCTTTTAGACACAGAAGAGGCCTACAGTAACGATTTGTCGACTGTTCTTGAAGAGTTCGGCAAGTTCTGGTACGCTTTGAGCTACAACTACGGGGTCCAAACCAACACTTACAGCCGAGTGTTTTGGAGCACTTTGAAGCAACTGAACCATGCGCTTCGTAGAGACCAAGGCCAACGGCTGATCCAATATTCAGGAGCCTTGCTACAGTTGTGCTCGCTTCTGCTTCTGGCACCGGAAAACCCAAAAATGCTTGCCAGTTTCGATATGGTGCTAAACCTGGTTCTCATCCTAAAACGCAATATCTTTCTATGGCAACAAGAAACTACGCAGCAGCTGTACTCACCACTCTCAGACTACAGAATACCGCAAATTTTGCATGTCTTGCACGTCTACCTGCTCAGATCGCCCATCAAGGTTCGCGAACGCATAGAGCCTTGCATCACCGGCCTGCCAGATGCGCCCGTGAATCTCAAAGCCCAAATCCTTGAGCTGTACAAGTCGCCGATTTCTGGGTCAGACACTCGCGAAATTATAGATCTAATCCTCCAGACCTTGAACTTGCAGCTGTGTTCGGCATCGACAGAAGGTGTTGACGATATTCTTCAGTGCGTGCGGCCAGCAGTACCCACGAAATTGAGCGATTCTACAGACACTATCATTGGAACGGAAGCCAAGTTAAAGTCTCAGATATGGCAAGAGCAGAATCTGTCGTCTACGTCAGTGAATACGGCTTGCACCAGTCATTCCGCCGAATCCAACGATTCGTGGACCGAAGAGGAGCGCGTTGAAGAAGCAGAACGAATCATGGCTGCCATACGAAGACTTGATCAGCTGGGTGTAATAACTACAAACGTCTCAAGTTGATCGTTGGCATTGAAGAGCTATACGAGCCTGATTGCATGTGTTTAAATTATTTGATGGCATTCTCCAGCTGATGGCAGCCCCAGTTTGCGTGCCTGAAAAGCATTCTGTGAGCTCCTCGAGAAAGCTGGGCGCAGAATAAGCTCACAAAGTATGGGGAATCAACCACCTCTTGCGATTAATCTCAGCAAAACCTCGATTTTTGCGCCAGTATCGCCCGGGGCATCCAAAATGCTGACAACAACAAACTTTGGCTCTAATGTTCGCCCGCATATTGTGAACTACTAATGCTCGCCAGGTTATGTTCTTAGCTAGTCGCAACGACAGGCTTTTTCCGGTTTGCAATCCTAATTTACTGACACTTACAAGAATTGGCGAAACAGCCATCGAAACACCAAGGGAGAAAGCATTGGTGGAACTTAAGACACAGTCCTTTCTGTTCGACGATATTTTCATCTTCAGGATTGTCAGTCTAGTGTCATACCAACCTGCTCCGACCGTTCGATAACGAGCGACGGAAAACTCCATCTAGAGGACATTGAAAATACCAGGTCCATCGCAAAAAAAAACCATTAACAAGGCGATATCCTAGTGGCGTCTCGACGGTATCCCAGCGGTATCCCAGCGGTATCACAGTGGTATTCCAACGATTGAATCCAGTTGGAAGCTTGTATATACGCGCGCACTACGTACAAAGTGACGACACGATAATAATAATAATAATAGCCCATAAGCATTTTAGGCGTAGCTACGAGCTTGTTCGGCCACCGTGACACCTTACACCAGCTATTTTCGATTTAATCTTATTTGCTAACAAATCTCGTCATTTCTGTCAGATTTTCAACAGATTCGCTGTGTCGTGTCGTCACCTCAATCCGTGTACTCGTGGTATCAGAACTTATATAGTGAAAAAAAGTACTCGTCCTCGCCAACAGTGAATATCAAGAAACTATGTGCTTTCCCTGAATTCTCACTTCAGGACAAAACCACTCGTCTTTATACCAATAAAGCTTCAACTTCAGCCCTGGCGGCTCTCACAACACTCTCAAAGCTATATCCTTCAATGTTACAATTTAAACTGGTTCTTTTGGGCGACTCGTCCGTGGGCAAATCATCGATCGTTCATCGGTTTGTCAAAGACTCTTTCGATGAGTTTCGAGAGAGCACGATCGGAGCAGCGTTTCTGTCACAGACGTTGAAGCTGGAGAAACATGAGGATGTGACGATTAAGTTTGAAATCTGGGACACAGCTGGCCAAGAACGATACAAGTCTTTGGCTCCAATGTACTATCGAAATGCCAATGCAGCATTGGTGGTTTATGATGTGACACAACCTGGCTCTCTGGTAAAAGCACAAAGTTGGGTTGAGGAATTAAAGCACAAGGTTGGAGACCAAGATCTCGTCATATGCCTTGTGGGCAATAAGCTCGATTTGTGCGAAGACAACGATACAAGCCGTGAGGTGGCTGTGGAAGACGCTCAGATATACGCAAAGGAACAAAAACTGTTGTTCCACGAGGTTAGTGCCAAAACAGGCGCGGGTGTGGCCCAAATATTCCAAGAAATCGGCGAAAAAGTTTACGAACGCAAAACTGCCGAGTCTGCTGCGTCCACAGCTGATAATTCCCGTAAAACCTTGAATGTGGAACTTCAGAGGCCCTCCACAAACGACAGCACCTCTTGTTGTGTCTAGAAGCATCACAAAAAGAGGAAAAATGCAAGAGAAAAAAATTCGAGCGTATGCTGAGCTTACTGATTTTGTTCAGGCATTCTACATCCCAAGGCTTCAGCTTTACCATTACACCAATTGCTTGCAGCTCTTTCAACGTGTTTGCAGCCCTGAAGCTGGGCAAAAATGATGTTAGATTGGACTCTATTCAAACAGGTCAGCTCAATATTGCTCTACCATGATATCAACGGCCAGCAAATCTAAATACCTTCAGCTGTCATTACTTGGGAATCAGTCTTTTTTATAGTAAAGAGTAACTAACATAACGATGAAAACTTTTATAAAATGCAAAAATCAGTTCTTCAACTTCTTGGTGATCAAATCAGCAGCCTTAGTGACACCAGCTTCGGTACCTCTGATGAAAATGACGTCTGGAACCTTGTCACCCTTCTTAGGCACATTGATCAAGGTCTCGGTGGCCTCTCTGATTTTCTTGATGTTGGAACCCATCGAACCCACAACTTTTCTGAAGTGTTGAGATTTTTTAGACCATAAATAGCCAACAACACAAGCCTTTGGAGCAAGCTCAATACGGGCTTTAATCAAGTCAGTAACCTTGGCCAAAACTTCTTCTTTCTTTGGTTGAACCTCGCTTGCCTGCTCCTCTGGTGTTAGGATATCAGAAAGATCAACAGGTTCGTAAGATAGTCTCCATGGAATAGAACCTTGAGCCTCGTTTAGCTCGATAGGCCTTTGTTCCTGGGTAAATTTCAATGTCTCCTCGTCGGAGCCCGTGACACGTTCCACAGGAATAGAGAGATCAGAGCGGGCCAACTTGCTGGCCTTGCTGTTGGCATTGCCAAACTTAACGTTGACAGAAAAGTCTGATCTCAACTTTTGAACAAAAGCTCCTCTCTCGGAGACAAATTCGTGGTAAGAAGCAGGAACTTCAATCTCAGTATCCCAGTTATCTCTGATGATCTCGGAATAAATCTTCTTTTCGCATGCTTCAATGCTTTTAGGAAGACCAGAAATCTCCACCTTGCGGTCCTTGTCGCCAATATCAGGAAGCGATAGTCTTACGTGGAACTCGGACTCCAGTTGACGGCGCACAGAGCCTCCGGGGCCGATCAATGCACCGATTCTCTCGGATGGAACATTCAACTCTTTCGAAACCGAATTTTCTCTTTCCTCAACAATTGCCTGAATTTCCTTCACAAGCGCTTTCACGAATGCCTTAGGGCCCTGTATCACAATTTTCTTCTCTTCAGATTTAGCATCAGGAATGTCCACAGACTTGGTTCTGATTTCGTCACCACCAGCCTTGGAAATCAATTCTTTTAGAACGCGGCCACCACTGCCAACAATGTCCTTAATATAGTCAGGGTTGACTTCAAAAGATGTACTCTCAATGTCAGAAGCTTCTTTAACGATAGCCTGGACCCTTTCGGTGGCAGCCTTGATGGCCTGTCTAGAACCGGTGATTTCGAGTTCCACTTCACCAGTAGATGTAGCTTTTGGATCGGTGGTCTTTTGAAGGAAGTCCAATTCCACACCAAAATCAGCTCTGATGTCATTGATCATGTCACCGCCCTTACCAATAACGCGAGCAACGTGTTCGGTTGGAACTTTGATGATCGATGTGTGCCCGTTTTCAATTTCAAAATCCAACAGGGCTTTGAGTTCCTCGTAGGCTTTGGCGACCCCGCGCGAAGGACCATTGATAGTGACACCCTTGGCCTCGTTTTCGTTGGGGAAATGTATAAACACATTGTATTTGGTTTGGAGACGTGTGCGATAAGCCCCTTGCGAGCCAATCAACTTGCCACGGTATTTTGGCAGGACATTCAGCTCTTTAGTGATAACATCAGCCCACTTCTTGGATTCTGACACCAGATAGACTTTGGCATGTTCTGCTGCGTATTTCAAACCAACAACGGTTACCTCGGTGACGTTGTCACTCGAGTCGGCAGCCACGTCGATGTTGCACTGGTACTTCTCTCTAATAGCGTTCAAGTTGGAGCCTTTCGATCCAATCAGTCTTGGAACAGCATTCGTAGAGACACCAAACTTAATTTCATATTTCTCGTCCTCGTCGCTTAGAATGGACTCGATCGCATTGACGGTGGCAGTTACAGCCTTTGTATCACCTCTGACAGTAAGACGGTCGGCTGTTGGGCGATGCAATTTGAACTGAGCATGTCCGCTTTGTAACGCAATTTCTTCTTCGATCAACCCGCGAGTAAAAGTCCCTTGGCCCAAGTATTGTTCCTGTTTAGGGTAAGAAATATCGATAATTTCTTGAGATAGGTTTTCCTGTTTTCTGCGCAATGGATCAAGACTAGAACTGACTTCTTTGAGTGTCTGTTGTAGCTCTTCGTCAGAAGGTCTGAACTCTTCGTCCGAGGTCTTTGCGATAATAATGACTCTATCATCATTGGCATAGAAGTCACCAAACTGAACAAATCCAGCCTTCTTCTCCTCCTGTGTGAGCAGATGCTTGATGTCCTTACTGAACAGCTCAAAGTCCACGTCGTCTATGGTCAAGATCTGCGAGGTAGGAAGCTCATTAACAAGGTTGATAATTTCTTTACGAACAACCTTTAGCTCTTCAGCATCCTCAATAGTCGAGGAGGTTCTGATCAGGACTGCTTCCGCATTCTCCAGCTCTTGTGGGGAAGGCAATGCAATGCGCACGTTGGAATGCTCGTTCTTAATAGACTCCAAAAGATTGTACTTTGCAAAGTAAAGAGCAATGTTCTTGGCGTGTTGCAAGTCTTTGCCGTGTGCCTTTGAGATCTCCAAAGCCTCCACCTTGTATCTCTTGGAATTCTCTCTAGCAAAAGTTACAGCCTCGTCTAGCTTCGATGCAGCACCTACAAAAGCAACTTCCTCATCTGCTCCTTCAGGAAGGTTGACAATAACGTTAAATTTGTCCTTGATCAGATCAGTGTTGATCAAGAATTGAAACTTATTTGGAATGTTCACCTTGAGAGTTCTGATTTGAGAGCTTAATTCCGACAAATACTGCAAAACGGATGCTTTTGCAGCCTGAACATCATCCCGCAAGCCGGAAAGCTTAATTTTACCTTCTTGTTGGTCGATCGATGATTCGACATTTTTGTCGATGAAGTCGATGTTAACAAAGGGCGTCAAGTTTTTGTCTGCAATGTTGATTTTGATTGTGGCACTCTTGGTGTCCTCTTTGACAATGGCAAGGATCTTTTCTTGAGCGATTCTGACCGATTCTAGATCACCATGAATTGTGACGTCTACTAAAGAGTCATCAAGATCCTCATCGTAAGAACCCTCGTTGACTTCTTTTCCGATATCGATTCTAACCTCCAATGGCTCAGAAATAGAGCGAATGTTCTTACCACCGGCTCCGATGATCACGGATCTTGTTTTGGATGGAACCTGTAGGGTGGCGGTAACGGGCTTGGTCAATTTCTTGACAATTTCCCTTCTTGCAGCTTTGACATTTTCAGGCTTACCAAAGATCAAAAAAGTACGACTTTGTTTGGACAGAGTGGACTCGACAGAAACGCTATGGGTTTGCTTGACTTTCTGAACGATCTTGGAGAAATCTGGTTTAGCGATTGCAATTTGCGATTGCAGATCAAGCGAAAACGCTTCCTGGATAGTTTGCGAGCGAGCCGGTTTGGCCTGCAATGTTGCTGGAGTGGTGGAGCGCGATTGAGGAGCAGAAGTGAAAGCAGACGACGGATTGGAGGCACCAGACTTCATGTTGGGACCCCACGAAACTTTACTGGAAGCGGCCAAAAACGCGCCAGAGCCAAGAGTTGGGAAGTCCTTCTTAGTTGGTAGCGGTTTTGGCGCAACGGGAGCTTCAGTGGCAGCTTCAGCATCGTTGGCCTCGGAAATGGCCTCTCCCGATGTGGGGGGTGTTTCTAAAACGGGTTCTGCGTCCACGATCGAACTGTTAGACTCGGATTCGGGATAAGACATGATTGAAGTGCAACAGGTTACCAAAAAGCCAGAAATAAACGAAAGAGAGGTGGAACAACTGAAAATAAAATTTCAAAGAAAAAACAGCACTTTATAAGCTATTTTTCGATCCAGAAAAAGACCAATTGGTACAATCAAATGAAACTTGTTCTTTGGTATTGGCAGAGTTTCGATCTAAAGAACTGTTAGGTTCCGTAATTGAGTGAATTGATCCTCTGATTTTGTTGTTTGGAATAGTCAAAGTTCAACAACTTTGTCTTGTCTTTTTTGACTTTTCGAGCTTTAATAATAATATTCCTGCTGAAATATTTACTTTACCACCACCACCACAACACCGGTCTGAATCAATGGTTTTCTTGGGTTTGAACTGGAAAATTTTCGAGCGTCACAAGTAACCCACTTAGGCCTACGTGTCCTGGAATCGTTCCAATTCAAACGGTTGTGAACGGCCATCACATGATGGGACGAAGTCAAATGTAGTTAGTGTGTAGCGCCTGCCGGTGAGCCTCTTGATTTCCGGTCGATTCAACGTCGCTTTTCAGCTTATTTCACCACCACCAGGTGTGTTCTTGACGTTTCTGGATAATTGCTGAAATGTAGGTTTTTAGAAATGACTTTTGAGCACATTCAGTTGATACTGATCGGCTACATTTCCTGGTGGATCGTAGTTGCAAATGGTGTATTGACCGTAGAATTCCCCACAATCGACGTATGCACATCCCAATTGAGTGGTGGCTTTCCACACAAGCTGGGTGAAATGACCGGTTTTCTCTGAAAATCCGGGCTTTTTGAAGTTATAGAGCTTTATTTCGTTGTACCAGGCTGCCACGGCAGCCGATGTGTTGTATCCCAGGGCCAGGTTTTCGCCATAGGGCGAATTTGAGTGGATCAGCGTGCCGTTGCAGTTGTACTCGTTTGCGTAGCTCGCAGCGACGTTTTGAAGCGTCGTAGACCATTGCAATTCCGGAACGTTGTGTAGTCTGCGATAGGCGTTGTGTTCTTGTAGGATTTGCGAAGCGAATTGTGACGAAGAAGACGAAGAAGAAGAAGAAGAAGAAGAAGAAGAAGAAGAAGTGGAAGCACTGCCACTGCCACTGCCACTGCTAGTTGACGAAAGGGTTTCTTTCACGACAGAGCTGGAAGTGGAAGACTCTGGATGTATCGTCCGAGAACGAAATACAGTGGTTCGCAGCGTAGTCCAAGAGAATGCAGCCAACGAAGTACTGGTGCTCGCCCTTGTAGCAACAAGCGTTGTTGTTGGTAGTGTTATTTGCCCTGGAACACTATCTATCAACGAAATCGCTACACCTATTACTTGACTAGACAACACTAAACAAATATAAACATACAGCCACATTCAAACAGGCCAGCATTTCTCCTGAACACTGTGCCGGGCATCTCAATCGATTGTGGGAGCATAGTAGCTCGCCTTTTTATACATGAAAGAAGGACAAGACTACAGTGTTTTTGGTAAAAGCTGATAAAACAATTTGACTTAGCGTTTCACAACATATAAAACTAAAACCTATCGTACATTTGAGAACTGAAACCGGGTATTTTTAAAGATCGAGACGCTGGACAATCATAACAGCGCTCTAAAACCATTTTGATGCATAAATTTCTTGTAGTTGATAGAGTTCCTTGAAGAGATTCGCTACGGCAACTTATTCCTAGCAAAAGCCATCAGCAGCTTCTTATTTGGTAGGCTCAACGTTTTGAGCAAACTCACCGATAAAGTTACCTGCGTCTTTGTAGGAGCAGATGACGTAGTCGCCAGCGCTTCCACCACATTTCTTGATACCGCAACCAACTTGGCTAGTAGACTTCCACACCACCTGGGTGAAGTGACCAGTAGATTCGGAATAGCCTGGGTTGGAAAAGTCGTAGGACTTAATCTCGTCGTACCAGGCTTCAATAGAACCCTCGGGAGAGTAACCGCAAGCCAAGTTCTCACCGTAAGGACCGCCGGAATGAGTCAAAGATCCAGAGCAGTCGTATTTGTCGGCATAGTTTTGAGCGTAAGTAGCTAGCTCATCGGACCAAGATAGGCTTGAGGTATCCTTGTGCAAAGATCTCTTCGAGTTGTGAGCGTCCAAAACGGTGGAAGCGAACCCGGATGGAGCAGACGACGACGAATCGGACGAAGACGAAGAAGAAGGAGAAGCGGTGGCAGACGAAGAGGTGCTGGATGGCTTCAAAGTGGTAACGGCAGACGACGAAGTCACAGCAGCGCTAGTAGAGACTGGGTCGATGCTTTGAGCAGCCTTTTGCACTGCAACTGTAGCGGTAGCAGCAGAGGAAGAGGAAGAGGAAGAGGAAGAAGTGGAAACAGGTGCCGCGGCAGAGCTCGAGGAACTGGATGATGAGGACACGATCTCAGAGGACGAGCTGGTCTCATAAACGCTGGAGGAATCTTCCGCAGCTGAAGAGGAGTAAGAAGAGGAGAAGGCGGAAGACGATGATGATGCAGCAACGTAGCTGGAAGTCTGGGTTGGGACAAACTTGGAGGTGTAGACAATGGTCGAAACTCTAACGTTGTCCGATGGGGCTGCAGACGACTCAACAGAGGATGATGCTAGAGTCTGGACCGAGGATGTAGCACTGGAGCTTGGAGAGGGTGCCTCTTCGAGCTCGGTGGTCCAGGAAGTGAAAACAGACCCATTTTCGGTGTAGAGACTACCCTTGACGACTGCGGTGGCCTGGCTGTGGACGTGCTGTGTCACGGTGGCTCCTGCAGGGGCAGCAAGAGCGACAGGAGCAGCGGAGATGGAAACTAGAGCGATCTGAGACAGTTTCATTTCAACTAAAAGGAAAGTGGGATAAAAGTTTTGGATTTGGGTGGGTTTTAAAGGAATGACTAGAAACAAAAACCTGTTTCGGGGGTGGGTTTGGGGGGTGTAAGGAACGTGGGGGAGTTTGTGGGAGTTTGCAGTAAAGACTGTTTCGACTGGGGTTTTCTCTACTATCGAAATGGTTGCTTCTACACGTCTCAACCTGCTTTCTTATATACTTTTACCACTACTGTTTAACTACTACCATGGCTGGGTGTCATCCTATCGCGAAAGTTGTAAAGACTAACTAAACAGTTTGACTGCGAAAATGTGCAGCTAATGGGGGCCTCAGATCGCTTGATTCGGGCTCGAACCGAGTATCGTGGCTGTCTCTGGCTGGTTTCATCAATTTTTTGCCAGATCTGGTAGATCATCCTCGAGAATAAGCTCAGACTTTCTCTAAGCAGAAACCGACAACGGAAACGCGAAAAACAAAGACCATGGCTTGAACTGCGGAGACAACTGTTCAGTGTGTCAGAGTCTTGCGTGTAGTATGCAGAATTATCACTAGAATGAAGTCTATCACGTCTGGCTACATTTGCACGCCAGCCTTTTGACGAATGAGGCAAAGAAAGAGATGTGGAAAAGATGCATAAAATGAACGGCATCGGACGTTCTCTGAGGCGAGATTCTGGAATCAGAAGATGTCAAGAAATTATCGGCGCTTCTTGTGTGTTGATGGAAAGCATATTTACCGTGCAATCCGTTTGGCAGGTGAGAATGACGATTTAGATAGAGAGAGTGTGTGAAGCCTAGATGCAAATCCTATGGGCTCGAACAATACAAGACGACAAGACGTTTGATCCACGAATGTAGGATTTTCGATAAGCGCGGCAAACCGTTACGCTACGTTACAGGTGCGGAATCTGGAGTTGTTCTGGCTCTTGATTCCAAGTATGTGTGTGTGTGTAAGTGTGTGAGTCTATTGTCTGGCTTCAAATCTTGCATTCTGTCTTATTGTAGAAAATAGACCGATCGTCAAGTACGGCCAATATGAATTTCAAAATTTCACGGTCAAATCCGGCGCCATGTCGTCGTGTGTGACTGGAGTTTCGAGGAGAGAAACAGGTAGAGGAAAGACTAGATGTTGCTGATGGTTTCCGTGCAAAAGCACCAAATAATGAGCGTCAGCTTCATGGCAAAGTGATGTTTTCAAAGGTCACGTGACACGTGACAGCGTCAGTATAAGTAAACGGTATAGACGATATGGGATAACGAATAATGCCATTAAGATACCATTACACCACTACAAAAGCAAACTGCTCGTCTCCTCCCATGGTGAGACGATTCTCTTGAAAATGGATGCAATGGCATAAACAAACTAACCCATTTCAATACCAATTTTCAGACGCTTAAAACGGTATAAATGATTCACACATCTATTGGCTATACACTAGAAGATGTAGTTTGCTCGTTTCTGGTTATCGTATCGTGAACAATCTGCCTCAGTATCACACCTTGTAGCCACCAGTCTCGTCGGTGGGCGCAAATTTGGATCTCGCCCGGATCGCCGCACCATACTTGTAAAATACAAAAGGTATAGGCATCAACACCAAGCCTACACCGCCAATTAGTGATCCAGCACCACCCACCCCCAGTGTGTCAAACATGTACTGCGTGAAAAGCGGCGACGCAGCCGCAGTTGCAGACCTCAACACCGTGTTTGCTGCAACTGCAGACGCTGCAAATATCAAGTACGAGTCTATGATGTAGTTGATGAATGTGACAAAAATGAGCAAAATCGAAGTAGCAAGAAACGTTCCCGCTACTGTAGGCACAGCCCAATGTACCGAATTGTACTCTGCGGTCCACGCAAACCAAAAAATAGTCACAACAAACATAACGCCGCCAGCCATTGCGCCCTCAAGTCTATCTTCTGGAACCGGTTTTCGACGAGCAAATTTTCTTTGCTGAAGCCGGCTATGAATGTAAAGCGCCAGTCCACCAATACATGCTCCAATTACCGCTCCGATAAGAGGTAACTCGCCAACTCCGGCGTTCCAGCCACGTTTTTGCTGAAATACAATCGGATAGATTGCAAACAGCATGTAAAGCATGGTGTAAACAATGGAGTAGTAAATGGCCACGAAAAAACTAATCGGATCAATGAGAAGTCTCCAGGGCCGTGTCAGGGCCACTTTGAAAATTCGTGTCAAGGAACGATCTGACGCTTCTACTGGAGCATACACATGTTCGTTTCCGGGTATTTTCCGCAGACGCCTGGCTTTGTTACGCAAGACCATCATTGGCAATGTTTCTGGAAGTGTCATAAGAAGACACTCAGTGATTCCGGCCATCCATAAAAGCACGTAAAACGTCCATCGCCAATTTTTTGTTACTTGCAAAAACCCGCTTACTACAGGTCCCAATGCAGGGCCCACAAACGTCATAGTTGCGAACAAAATCATAGCATTCCCACGCTCTTTAGGCCCCCAGATGTCTGCTAAAATTCCAGGTGCGTTCGTTAACGCTGCACTAGCGGCTGTTCCCGCGAGAAAGCGGCCGACAATCAAACCTGCAAAATTGGGAGTAAAGGCACACAGGAAGCCAAACGCGAGATACAATGTGAAGGATATATAAAAAATCAGACGACGACCATAGAATTCTGAAAGCGGTGCCCAAAATAGTGGACCTGCACAATATCCCAGCAGGAACAGAGTTGTGACGAGACCAGCAGCTTCAGCCGACACGTGCAACTCATCGCTGACGCCCTGAAAAGACCCGGAGGGCGCAGACGACGAAAATGTAGCGTTCATGACCAACGAAATGGCGACAGCTGTGATGTAGCATTTGCGTGCGAAAGAATAGTTTTTAGGATTCTCAGGATCGTCAGAAGCAAATTCTAGTAGTCCTTCTTTGTTAAAGACTAAGCTCTCCTCAATTTGTTTTTCTCGAGACGGCGACACTGTGAAAACTCGTTGGAACCAGTCCATATTAGTGAATAATCCTTAGTGATTGGACGTGTGTAAAATAGCCAGAACGCAACAAGTGGTAGTATTTGCATCATTTCTGATGAAAAACACAAATAAAAGCTCTTTTATTTCTTTATATTCCTGTCTTTTAAGTATCCAGACACTGACTGGCATTTTTACTCATCAAGAGGTCTCGATTTTTAGCAACCAGGATGAACATTAGGACTTTGCCATTTTAGTAGTAGTAGTATTATCATTAGCAGCAGCCGTACTGGTCGTCATTGGTCTTACCAGAAACGGTGCTGAGTTTCTGGTTCTTGTTGAATTGTCGATGACATGGATGCTAGAGCCTTTATCAGTTGGAACGAAGCTTGCTTGGCATTTTATACTTGTACAGGAACTAATTACCCTTTTAGGAATATTAGTCACGTGCATTGATTGCTTTCGGGAAATTTGGCTCCGTGTAAAGTTACTAGACTTAGCAACGCCGTGGAGAGGTATATATATTTCCCTTTATGGTAATAGCCTGTCCGTTTTCGGCTCGAGACTATACATGACGTACGGCGTGCGTGCCTAGCTGATCAATTAGAGATGTGAGCTAAGCTTGACTAAGATATCTTAGCTCAGGCGATCATTACAAATCGTTGCTCGGAGATGCTGGGAGTTAAATCTCTTAGTCTCGCTTGAAACTATAAAATAGCGACCCACTTCATTTCGGAACATGGTCAATTGGACGTTACTCTGGTTTATCTCTTCACTTTGAACATCTCAAATCTATCCAATTGAACATGACATCTTCACTGATCAAATTGGGCTTCACTGAAGCCACCCAAAAACGGCGCTCAATCCGTGCTCTTGAACCAAAAAGCACAGTCCCTGATAGCACGATCGTTAAATTGGCAGAAGCTGCCATTCTTACAGTCCCCTCGGCCTTCGACAGCCAAACTGCACGTTTGACTGTTGTTTTTGGAGACGACCACAAGAAACTTTGGTCAATCACCGCGGATGCCTTGCTGGCCAAAATCGGGGAAGAAAGATGGTTAGGTGGGACCAAAGACCGCATTGCCAACTTTGCCAATGCTTACGGCACCATTTTGTTTTGGGACGACCACACGTCTGCTTCGGCAATGAACCAAAACGCCCCCGATATCTACAAGAACAAGACAGAAGAATGGGTGCACCAGAGCAACGGTATGCACCAGTACTATTTGTGGACTGCGCTCGAAGCGTTGGGATTGGGAGTCAACTTGCAGCACTACAACCCGTTGATCGATGCACAGGTGCAGAAAACGTGGAATGTGCCTTTGACCTGGGAGCTGAAAGCGCAAATGGTGTTTGGCACACCCAAGGAGGGCCCGGCTCTACCGGCAAAGGTGCAAAAACTCCCAGTCGAGGAACGACTACAGGTTTTCGGAGCTAAGATCTAAATTCAATTTTGAGAGGGAATGCAAAGGAGAATTTTGAAGCTCATCGGCAGGACAGTATTTTAGAAAGCTATGATATAGAATTTATACTGATAAATGAATCTGTAGCAATGGGTTTTCGCAAATTTATCTGGCCTGCTGACAAGGCCTTAACGTCTTGAAAGTAGCGTGCGATGTACTCATGAAATATGAATGTGACTTTGTCAAGTTTAAAAATACAGGATACAGCGCTGTGGGAAACCGAAAATAAAGAAACTAAGGTGTTAAAAGCCGGCCAGCGAAAAACGATCTTCAAGTATCAATACGAATAATCATTGATAATTCTGCCATTATATAAGCCCAGTTCAAAGCTTGCGGAGTCTACGAGGGCTTAATGACCGTCCTCTGCCACTGCCGTAGTAAGTGATAGCTACAGCCATGAACTTTGTATCACGTGATCCAAACATCAGATCCGTATATTTTGAGAGTGGCCAAAATTACAGTCACCGCAGGGCCCCCAAGTAAGCGTGTTATGACCCCAGATACCACATCTATATGTTTTACTCAATCTGCATCATCCGACTATACTTATTCTCTTGCTTTCTACAAAATCATTTTTCTTTTCCCGTAAACTAGCATAATGACACTAATAAAATTAATATAATATCTTAAGCACTGACATAACTCTCTCTTCTACCTACCACTTTAATGTTCATGAAACAACAACTCCACAATGAATTGAATTTGTTAACATTTCTTGTCTTGAAAGCAGGGGAACTGATACTAAGTCACGAAAACGATTAGAGGCGTTTTGCTTACACCTCAAAGTTGCCCTTTTTTTGATAGTTTTATCATCCTTTTCTATTACGCCTCAGAGTTTCGAAGATAACTCTGGACTACTGAACTGATCCTTATTCAGGCGCTAAAAAGCTTTGAGGATTACCGAAAGACGTAATAAAGATTGACGTGTTTTCAGACCTTTCTTCGGCCAAAATTGGTGTTCGGACAGGTATTCTACAAAGTGATCCTGGCCAAATAACCTTGCATTTGAAAGCTCCCGAAGCTCTCTTAACGAAAGTTGCATTCAAGTTTCGTCTCTGTGCCGCCATCAGAGAGCAGACAGACTTGATTTAGACCTCTTTCGTTGATTGCTCACCTAATAGGAGCGTGGCATCAATGTTCCACAAATTTTCCGCCACGCCAGCTCCCAAAGTGCGTAACCGCATTAATAACAATAAAAACGACAAGAAGGGCGGAAACAGCAAGGTCAACAGCGCGCTTTTAATCGGGCAACCCGTAGGGCCATTTCCCAAGCGATAGATGCCAATTGCTAGCAACTAAGTGCGACAAACAAATGCCATGTTCACAATCTTCCGAGACCAACACAAACTGTACCATTTCGTCCTCAGCACGTCATGAAATCTCACTGCCAACTGCCATCAGCAGCGGTTTTTCAGACTACGCAACAACTGATGTCGCGTCAATAACATCTGCCAATCCTTCACCTCCGAGGAGCATTAGTCAAGAAATTGCAGGAGTTACAAGGATGGCACCCAACAAAGTACCTAAGAACCATTCAGATTTTGAATCACACGTGGAAGGTTTCTTTGCCAGCGGGCAGCCAGGTTCTGACATCCATGCGATTAACCAAGCGCCCATTTTGAGTTCCTTCCCACAGCTCCCGCACCCAAAATTGCCCTCGGAACAGTGGACAATTGCGTCAAATTCACTGTCGATCAGTGAACAAAAACAATATCTTCAATTGTTCTGGAATTATTGTCACTCGCTTTTGCAGATCATGAGCAAAGGGGAATTCGATGAGCTCGGTAAGCTGGTATTATCGACTACCGACGATGACTATTCCGTTCAGCATGCTCTGATCGATGCCATGATCGCATTGGGTCTGCAACACAGCCATACAACAGAACTCTCCGGACGTATTTTGGGACTTTCGCCACTATCGTCAGAAGAAATGCTTTGGCCGGGTTTTGGGTACTTCAGTCGCAGTTGTGAGCGCATGCGGGCGAGTACCGAAGTGACCATCAATGCTCTTCGATGTCACGTTCTCTTGGCCTTATATCTCATGAAGGGCAACGCTTTCCACGATGCATACAACCTTTTTGGAATTACTGTGCGTAAAGCGTATATTGCCAAATTTCATCGAATACCGTCTAGTCATTTAGCTGAGGCCGAAAGAACTGCACGCGTGCAACTATGGTGGGTGCTTTTCTCGCTAGACCTCTGCTGCTCTCTGCAACTTGACATGCCCGCTGCATGCCAAAAAAATCTCGTCAAATGCTCCTTACCTAGTGAAGATGCACTAATTCGCTACCATGGCCGCCATAACAGTGCAAATTCATATACCATCCATCTTGCCAATCTTTGTGTGATTATAGCCGATATTGGTGACGGCGGTTCGACCGCGGATCTTGTTGACGACGGAGACGACGATAATAGTCGCTCTTCCAAGCATCTTGAAGACCATGCTCTTCTTCTGTCTTCCGCTCTAAAAAAGCTCGAACTCTGGCGCAATGGGTTACCGGAGGAACTGCGTTGGCATCCGGATGGAAGCTACGTAGATACGGCTGGTTCTTCTGGTTTCGAATACAGCGAGCATTCACACGTGTCAGTTCGGCGTCAGGCGATTCTGTTAGAGCTCCAATACCACAACACATATTTGTTGCTGCAGCGTCCCTTCATCCGTCTTCGCAATATTGCATCGAATGATTCTCATGCCATTGAGTCTCACATAAGCAGCTCTCTTCAGCATGCAACTAAGATTGTTAACACTATCTACACAGTGTGTTCCACGTCGGATCTTTTGTATGGATGGTCAGAAATTCTACAACCTCTTTGGAACGCTGCATTGACAATAATGGCCTACATCTATGCGAACTCGTTGAGTACAGTGGTACCAGAGGCCCTTGACTCGCTTTCGCGCGCTCAAAAACTTTTCGAGCTGCTTTCGTCCACGAGCTCCACTGCAGCATCCGCCAAAGAAACAATCGGATCGCTTGTTAGTAACTTGCAAGCTATGATGGCTGATGTCTCCAGTGTAGTTGCTCCTGTCGATGCGATGAGCTGGGACCTTTTTGCGTCGCTGATGGACAATGGGAAGAAATCTTCTGAGGACATTGAAAATTTCGGAAACCGACAGTGAACGAGAGTTTAATTTACCAAAGAGGGCTAATGCGGCATTGGGGTTTTTGCGAAACGATTGAAGGGAATTGGGTGTCAAACGTGGCGATTTATTAATCTGGACTGCGGCAATGATGAACAAAATATTTTTTGACAAGTTGACCCGTACTGACCGTTCCTAGTGAATTTTCAGAGACGGGGTGGACGCTGAGATATCTTCAGTCAGCAGCAGCACTTCACTCTTGCTTAATGAATCAACTCAGTACGCAAATTACCCAGTTATTCGTGCAACATCGGGATGGTTAGTTACCTGCTTCGAATTGAAGTAAGAGAAAAGACTAGTCAATGGAGCTACAAAACTTATCAAGCTTAAGCATGTTATAGTGTCGGGACGATGGTAAATAGTTGGTGTAAGAAAAACTGTCGCCATCTGTGTGATCTTGTAGTCGTCGACTAAATTAATGACTAGTACACACTTGTAACCTGAACAGCAAGGGCAACTTCCCTTCACATACCTTTACCGTACTACACGAAAAACGACCAGTGATCCAAAAGACCAGTGTCGACTGGAAATCTCCACGTACTGCCAAAATCCTATGAATGCTGTACATTACAATCGTTTCTTGATCACATATCTATGCTTACAGTATATATTCTTGCCGCTTGCTGCACTAACATCGAAATGGGCGTGTGGCGTAGTTGGTAGCGCGCTCCCTTAGCATGGGAGAGGTCATCGGTTCGACTCCGGTCTCGTCCATAATTTTTTTGAATTATTGAAATTGTCAATTTAGAAATTGGAAATACATCATTGCGACCCTACCAACCTGTACGTACTGGGGCTTTCCGACACAAGGGAACACTTATTGCGTGGAGATCGATGTGTGTTGATGTATGAATGAGCTTCATTTCCATAGAATCTACCCTGAGAGCCAGATTCAGGGACTCTTTCGCTGATTAAAGATCATCTGTTTGTAACTTTTAAGGTTTTCTTCCACCACTCTACCGATTCCCAAGCGCTTTTTCGATTAATCTCCAAAACCAATCAAGGGAGCCTCTAGTGTAGGGAATTCAACTGGTTGATCTCTATGTAACACAATAGAATCAATTCATCAAAATCTGTCCAAAACTGTCCAAAACTGTCCAAAAGTGTCCAAAAGTGTCCAAACTTCTCTAAATCTTTCAAATTCAAGCATTCAAAAAACATTGAATATCTCCAGCTGACTTTAACCACACAAGAAAAGCGTGCGGGGCTCTTGCAAGGAGTCCTGTACTAGAAAGCATTTTACTGACGCTCGGAGTCTCTTTCATCACCATCCACGAAATCTCGAATTAAAGCTGTCTCGGAGATGTAAAATAAAGGAATACTACGTGTCAAACTAACAAACGTTACCAATCAAAGGCGATACAACGACCGCGAGCTCTTTGAGGTCTTGAGTTGTTCAGTTTTTAATTCTTCACGAGGTCCAGTTTTGTTACCATACAGCTTCTTTTTCCTTTCCCGGATTAAGTGTCAATGCAAGAGGATATTTTTGTTCCTAATGGCGAAGACACATGTGTAAGACTGACACTTGTGAGTACGTTTCAGGAAATATCTCAAGTTTGCAAATATGTCAGCTCGATCCAGGATACATTTTCTGTGGAGCTAGAAAGCTGTGAAACTATTACGCAGAATCTGAAGATGAGCTGTGTGTCGCATGGAGCAAACTGCAAAAATTGTCCATTGTTAATCCTGGAATATGACCAAAACTCCCGAAATTATGCTTTGTGGAAATCCTCGGGCGGTGAATGGGCGCTTGGGACTACGCTGGCTCGTTTTCTGGCTCCGCACTCCACATGTAGGTCAAAAATGAAGCTAAACTTGGCAAAATTGGAATCGTATTTCGAAACTTGTCAAATTTCCGCCAAGCACGACCGAAAGTTTTTGATCGAAACATTACAGAAGCTGAACATTGATTGGCAAGAGGTCCCGTTTGATTTCCAAGTTTTCCAAGAAGAATTGACCCAATCGATCGAGTCCCAAATTCATGAAAAATCGCCACAATCCCAAGAATCCCAAGAACCCCAAGAATCCCAAAAATGTCAAAAATCCAAAGAATCTCAAAAACCGCAAAACTATATCGAGCTGGTCTCTCCCTTACAATACAAAAGTCTTATCACTATGGCAGTGCTCAAAACCCAAGTCCGGACCAGCCAAAGAAGACTCGAGACAGATCTGCATGCATACGATAAGCGCATGCGAGCTCTTGAAGGCGAAGAAATTGATTTTAAATCGACGAAGGAACCGCAGGCCCGTGACAGTCGAGAAGCATCGATTTTTTCTGATACTACCCTCAACTCTGGCTCGCCTATTGACGACGAATATGCCATATCTTCACGGCAGCTCATGACTAATTTCAATGAGCACTTTAAAGGCATAGCAGAAAGCTTTGAAACGTTTGACGTGCAGAAAAGCGCTCCGCGTACTGTCCGTAAGTGGAAAGTCGGCAAACCTGTCAAGAACAGCAAGTCCGATTCCAAAGGGCTGAGAGCATGAATTGTGGGTATTTGCAAAAGAAACGCGCGACCCGCTCGACGCGCGATACTGGCTTGTTGTCGTCGACCCCTGATAAATTTGATGCCTTTGAAAAGTTTCGCATACCCATAGTTACAAATATTGTTACATCTAAAATTTACATAGCTTCTCTAAAGGCCTCGAGAGCCCTTTCTCTGCTTTCCTTGAGATCGACAATAGGCTGGGAGTAACCGTTGGCAGTTTGTGCATTAGAAATACCTTCTCTGAGAATCTTTGCGTTGTCCACGTCTTTCAACTCAGGAATCCATTGTTTGACAAAGTCTCCTTTGGGATCGTATTTTTCACATTGAAGCTTCATGTTGAAGATACGAAAGTAAGGTTGACAGTCAACGCCAGTGCTTGATGAGAACCCCCATCCGCCAGAATTGGAAGCCAAGTCCGCGTCAATCAAGTGCTTGCGGAACCACCGTTCTCCCCAACGCCAGTCCACCAAAAGGTTCTTGGACAAGAACGATGCAGCAATCATGCGACAACGATTGCTGATGTATCCGGTGTGTAGGAGCTTGCGCATAACAGCGTCCACTATAGGCAACCCAGTTTCGCCCAAACACCATTTACGGAACTTTTCTTCGTCGTTTTCCCACTTGATGTCCATGGTCTCGAATTTGAAAGCCAAATCCATGGAGACGTAGGGCCAGTTGCACATAATGTGCTTGTAGAAATCTCTCCATGCGACTTCTTTGGCGAAATTCTCAACCGAATTGTTTTGCTTGATGTCCCTGCGCATTAGACTATTCCCATTATCGTGGTAGCAGTAGTTGACCACTGCACGGGTGCTGATGACGCCACTGGTGATGTAGCAGCTGAGACGCGAAGTACTGTTGAGTGCCAGAATGTCCTTGTTCTCATTGTACGATTGGGCCTTTTTGCTGTTGAAGAACTCTTTGAGCACTTCATGGGCCTTTTTCTCCGTTGCTTCTGGTACGTCCAGAGGCAGGTTTGGCAAATACGCGAGAAACTCGTCGGGCAGTTTGTAATTGTAAGACTCGGGCTCGTCAAGCTCTGCGTTCAATGAGTCCTTCGTGTCGAAGCTGAACGTTTCCACTGCATCCTTTTGGGATTCTTGGTGCGTTTTGAGATACTCGACCCATTTCTTGTACCAGGGGGTGAAAACCGTGTACTGGGTGCCCTTACCCGAGGTGAGTGCGCCGGGAATCACGGTGCACTGGTCGTGGTAGACCTGGAAGTGGAAACGGGAGTCGTTGAGTCCCAGGATATTAACGTCTCTGTAAAGTTCGTCAGTCTCGTACTGGGCGTTGGCTGTCACGAAGACTGCGTCGTTGGTGTTGCGTGCCAGTCCAACACACTCGTTTTTGAGCCATTTGGCGAACTGCAACGACCGAGAAAGTAAAGGGTCCTTTGCTTCGAAGACTCGAACCACCAGTGCCACGTTCAGTTTCCGCAGTTCTTCTTTCAGACTGTTGACTGCGTCCAACGCAAACTGCAGTTTCCAGCCACAATCTAGATGGGCCCTGAAGTCGTGTTCGTTGATGCTGTAGAGAGCCACCAGCCGGGCATTCTTGTTTTTGGATTTCTTGCGCTGTTCTTCCAGCTGTTTCACTGCGTTGTAGAGACCTACGTTATCGCTGAGTCTAAGGTCCGACCTGAACCAATGCACCACGGTATCGAAGCTAGTTTTGGAGTCTAGTTTCTGCGATTTTTCGATACCTTGGTTCAACAAGTCGATAGGTTTGGGTCTCTTGCCGGTGTTGAACACATTGGCTCTTTTCCAAGTTATAGGATTGGGATAGTACCTTGGGTCTGGATTGTAGTATTCCTCAAAGTTCTCTGAGAGTTTGAGTTTTTTGGTCAAACTTGGTGGTGGTGACAGCGTGCGTTTGGGTGGCATTGTACAATTTCTAGATGATGACCTAGCAGTGAGTTTCGACTGAGGTCAAGTTTCTTGAAACTTCTTGGATTTGGAACCTTTTTGAACCTTTTTAAAGCTTTTAAGACCTTTTAAGATCTTTTTGTTAAGCCGTTGATGGGTGATAGCAATAGCAAGATGATGATGATGATGATGATGATGATGTATCAAAGCAAGCTTGAACGTAACAACGGAAACTTGCGCAACCCGGTGTTGCCAGAGGTGTCAAAGTTGTTAATCTTTGAGTCAAATGTGAAGACTAAAAGTGATGAACTTGAAGAACTAAATTCTAAAGATGAATTGGTGATATATAGTCAGAAGAGATGAATTAAGGTAAACTAAAGTAAACTAAAGGGAAACTAAAGGTAAAGTAAGGTAAACCAAAGGTAAAGACAAGAAAGAACATCATCAATTGTAGTTGATCAAAGTTGAAACATGAGTCTTGTTGAATATATAGATTAGGAAGTAGAATGGCAATTGAATTGTATCGTTTTGTAGTGATTCTTGCACCAGAAAGGAAAGGAAAGGAAAGAAAGAAAATGCCTTTTTAGATCAAAAACTCCCCATTGATCACAGAAACGCATTGTCCGCCAACGTGATAGCTAACTTCACCTTGAGCATGCAAGATTTTGGCAGAAATCTTGCCCTGGCGACCTAGACGTCCGCCCTGGCTGATTTCAAACTCAAAACTCGAAGTGAACTCTTCGAGCTCTTGCAGGTACCTGGCTAAGGCCAAGGACCCGCTGCCACACACGGGGTCTTCCACGACCCCCTGGGTTGATGCAAAAGCACGCATTTCGTACTTATCGACGTCTGCGTACTTCCCAGCTACAATAAGGCCCGTGGCGCCGCTGTGTTGAGCAATGGTGTCACTCAGCTTGGCAGAATCCACCTCCATTTCGTAGCAGGCCTGGGCATTCTCCACTAGACCCACCACCCAGCGTGGACCCACTTCCAGGAGACACGGCCTGGTGGAAAAGGACCCAGTGAGACAATTGTCGTATTTTTGGGCAAGGTCGCTTGAAACCGGCCGAATCTCCGTCTGGGCTCCTTTGAAAGAAATGAAATTATCCTGAACGCTCAACTCCACCATCCCGATACCACACTGCTGGTAGATTTTCTCAACGCCGCTGAGTCTTCCTGTGAATTCGAGGTAGGCATGGCACGTCCCCAGCGTGGGATGGCCTGCAAATGGGAGCTCTGCCGAAGGCGTAAAGATCCTGACCTTGTAGTCGCATCTTTCGTCCGTGGGCTTGAACAGGAACGTTGTTTCCGAAAGATTGGTCCAATTTGCAATGCTCTGCAATGTGGATTGCTCAATCGTGCGTTCTTCCAGATCCCAACAGTTCACCACGGCCACCGGGTTTCCCTTGTAGGGACAAGAAGTAAAGACGTCGATTTGTTTGAATGGAACCGTTCTAGACATTGCGGGCTAGAAAGAGGGTAGTTTCTTGGGCCTTTGGCTTGCAAGTGCAAGAGACTCATGAACATTTCGGAGCCTTCTTTTAAATACAAGAGATGAGCTACTGATGAGTCATGATATTCCAACTAGCGCACCAGAGTAAGAAGCTCGATAGAAACAGCTTGATGAGACCAGATTCGGTGTCTGACTGGGAAATACTGGAGTTAGTCTTCGAGTTTAAGAGTCTCTTCAACATCCAAAATTCATTGGTTCTTCATGTTAACGGCATGTATGAATATATATCTATGCCAAACCCTCATTTGGAGCCCATTTTTCGTTCTATCTGACTCATATGATAGCCCATCAAAGCCCATTAGTGAGTAACCCACCGTCAAACGGCCGATCGAACTACACACTATCGCTTTTATCTCGACGTCACACTATCGGATCTGCAGTACAAAGAGAGCTTTAAAACCAGCTTTCGAACACCTCAAGAACCCCAGTGTCCTCCCAGAACTCGGCACACCTGAAAGACACCAAAACCAGGCCCTCTACCACTGCCTTTTTAAAAATTCTACGCTGTCACATATTTTGACACTTTCACATACTACTTACACTCCATAAACCCTCTCACTAGGCGTAAAAGCGCTCTGAAAAAAGGCCAGTATACCCAATCGAAGCTGCACTACGACTAAACCATATACAAAGCTAAAACAGAGTTTCTAATTACCTAAATCCTCTTCTTATTCTTCTTCTTTATATACTCATCGTTTTTAAACATCATCTCATCTCATCAAAATTTTGATTAAAGTCACTTTTAAGTTTGAAAAGTTTCCATCTATCAAAGGTGTCAACAACTTTTCATCCAAAAACCGCCTCAGATCGCGTTACTGTCAGTTCCAGGAGGCATGTACAAGCTTCAAGTGGTACTTGTACCACCCAGTGCAGCCAATGGGGGTTTCCAGTACCCATTTCACGCTGCTGCTAATGAAAACTCGCAACTTCTTCCGTCAAGCATCGGTGCGAACGGATCGGCGATCTTGACCGGGAATCGACCGGAATTGCCAAATTCTGGTGGCTCGAACGCCAATTTGTTCATGTCGAGCTTCATGTCAAGCCATATCCCAGTGCAGAAACTGAAACGGTTTCTACTTTTCACTCAACCAAACAACTCACTTTTGACACTGGCGGAAGAAATCGTGGCAAAATGTGACAAAATATACCCACATTTGGCCGAACCAGTCGAGCTGTTGAGTTTGCAAGATTCCAATGAATGCGATCTAGACCCGGATTTCTTGGTGAAAGACGTTTTCAACGTAGATAACGTTGTTCGAGCCGTGCTCAGTCGTGACATTGAAGTGGCGGACGATCAGGTCCAAACCTTGTATTCGGTCAAACGGCGTCGACTCAATTCCAACGTCGGAAGCAGACCGTCCCTTACGAGCAACGGATCTTCCAACTCCCAGCCAAATGTACTTCATATTGCGAAAAAAAGACCACATATTTTGCGCAACTCTGGTGCCATGCGTGTCTCTACACCCTTGGCCAATCAAATCTATCCTCCAGCTTCCAGAACGCAACTGAACTCTGACTATGAAGACGACGATGTTGCCGATCGCTCTATTTTGCCCCCACCCCAGCCACAGTCGCAACCCATTCGCATCAGTTCTGCAGTTGATAGCGCAAAGAAGGTCAATTTTAGTGAAAACACCATATCGAGATCCGAGGCCGTTGATCCAGACAAGTCCAGACAACACCGTTTGCCTTCAGGCACACCTAAGCGCGAGGTTCCAAAGAAAGCCAGAACTCCCAACAGAACAAACCCACAGGACCAGATGCTATTAGTCGATCAAGCAGAGCTCGACGGCTCTGCAACGCCAATCAATACCAATAAAAGGATAACATCAGGAATGCTGCGCATTCCAGAGCCCAAAATTTCTGAGGTTGAAAAGGAGCTAAAGCAAGGCCCGGAAAGCCCATCTGCAATCTTGCCGGCCCGTCCAGATCGTATACCGATGAAAAAACATGACGCACCTTCCTCGGATGATGAGGAATTGAGCCAATCGTCTTCAGAAGATGATCAAATTGTTGTTGGCAAGCGCAAGGAAGAAGCTCTCGAACCTGTTACCAAACCCTCTGCATCTCGTCAAACTTCAATCGCTGACAACAACGGTTCACCTATCAAAGATGCTGCTAGAAGCCGCAATGTTAACTTGGCAAAAATTCCTTCCTCAAATAGAAGGATTACTCGCAAGTCTTCTCTCGAGAATAAGGTAGAGTCACTCATTCGCAATTCTGATAATGTAAAAGAAGCCAGTGGGAGAAAACCAGAGGAGAAAAGAGACGATCCCTTGACTGCTGCTAGGAAAGTGTCGTTTTCCGACGACGATGAAGCGGATGGTCAGCGATCAGGTCAAGACCCCAATGACACTGTGCGAGTGAATCATGCAGAGCCTGGGAACAGCAGCTTCCAGAAATCAGAGTTGTTGTCCATGCTGAAGGGTAACAAATTCGATATCCCTTCTGATTTCAGCAAAAGGTCCCTGAAGCTTAAAGGTGGCTATTTTGACCAAGCCGCAGAAAACACAAAAACCTCTTCAAAGGACATTATAAATCAGAGGTTGCAAAGGTCGGCTGCAGTAAAAGCTGCAGAGCTCTTATCTTCGGGGAAATCCAGAAACCAGCAGCCTAGCTCAGAAAGCGAAGATGATTCTAGCGACATTGAGACCGATCAAAGTGACCGAAGAGTCACTGTCCTTGAAAATCGAGCATTAAGAAAGTTAAACATACATCCTCTCAAAGAGCAAGTGATAGGCAAGAGCTCCCAGTCTCCGCAAGAGGGTGAACCGGACATAGGTAAGGCCACCGCCAATATTGTTGATAAAGGATCCAGCAAGAATACACTTTCAAGTATTCCCGCTGCGGGTGCCGATGCAAATGACAAGACACTAGTCTTGAACGGGAAACCATCAAAAACCAAAGGTAGTAAAGAAAGCTCTGATCAACAGGATTTGAAAGATAAAAGGGGCGTTATACAACCCCATGAGTCAACTACTTCGCTGTCATCATCCACCTCTCCTTCCCAAACGACCAGTGAATCTGATGTCAATAGCAAGGCTGCTACCAAGTCAGCAAAGGCAGTTTCTGCTGATGAAATACCTCCCAAAATAAACAAAGAAAATAAGAAGAGCTCTTTGAGTTCGGCCAACCGTCAGGCCAAATCCTTTCAGAGCCCTGAATTTGTTGAGGATTCCGATAACGACTCTACTAATGTTTCGTCTGCAGCTGGCGCCGAAGACACGAAGCAGAAGTCTGCTACTAAACCACCTCCACCTTCAGTTTTGAAACGAAAGGAAGAAGCCGAAAAGAAGCGGAAGGAAAGAGAGATCATGAAGAAAGCACGGGAGGAAGAGAGTGCTAGGAAAAAAGCCGAGAAAGAAGACAAAAGAAGGGAAAGAGACGAAGCCGCTGCCAGAAAGAAGGCTGAACGTGAGATCAAGAAAAAATTAAAGCAAGAGGAAGCTGCTAAAAAACGGGGAACTGTCAATGCTTCTAAGAAGTCTAAGGATCACAAAAACGTAGTTGGTTCTGCGCCACCAGAATCAGCGACGAAGAACACCAAATCCAATGAACTGAATGGCGAAAAGGACGAAAGGATGGCTGGTAGGACCGGTATTCATGAAGAAGGTGCTTCCGAGTCAAGCAAAGTAAGTGAGGATCAAGAAAAAAGCAGCGAGAAAGGACACGCCAACAACGCAGCGTCCGTCTCTCTCGAACCTAAAGATCTATCTCAATATTTCAATACGGGAGAGAAGCAGAAAGAAGCTCAAAAGGAGGCTTCGGAATTGGCTTCGACCGATGACAAAACACCCAAGCTTCAACAATTGAAATCTCAGTTCATTTCAGGAGGTCCTGCTCAACAGAAAGACGGTCAAGAGAAAAACAAAAGTCCTGCTCAGAAGGGCTCTGCTCTTTCTGAAAGCTCCGATGAAGAATTACCCGATGATGAAAGTACTTCAGACGAAAATGAATCATCAGGATCTTCGTCAGATGATGCTTCAGCAGTGAGTAGAAAATCTAGAAGAGGAATTGTTGATACACCAAAAGGTGCCATCATTTCTATTCCTAAAAATGTCAAGCACAATGACATCTCTGACTTAGAACACGCGCCCCAATCTACGCAACAGATTCCTGGAAACGAAACTACTCCTCGCAGCGGCACTAAGGTTCCAGTCACCAGATTGATGGACATGTCATCCCCCATAGCCAATGGAAAGAGCCCATCTACCGTACCTAATACTTCTAAACCGCAAGCGAAGCCAAGCAGGTCTTTGAGCTCGTTGTCTGACCTAGTTTCTCGTGGAGTTCCAGAAGTCAAAGAAAAATCAGTAAAGGAGCGTTTCCCATCGCAGGCCCCATCTCGTAAAGATGATTCTGGCGATGATCTAAGTCAGGATGACTCTGATAAAAGCGATAGTGAGGAGACCAGCGACAGCAGTGACGATTCTTCCGATGATGACGACAGCTCCAACTTTATCAGCGCCAAATCTGCGAGTAAAGCCTTGGGACGACAAAAGAACTCGGGCAGCGGGTTTGCTTCGCTGGTCAAGGACTCGCGAAAAAGATAATTGTACTATAACCACTTCTACTTAACCCTCTAATCAACATATAAGCATTGCGATAGCTATTACACTCGATATATATAAAACCAGTTTTATTGTGTGCAAAATTACATTATAGGTCGCCCATCTTGCTTCTCCTTTTGATAAACTTCATCGCATCTTGCTGCGTAACCTCCTGTATCTCAGATATCTTGTTGTCAAACTTTACTCTGTAGAATGAGTTTGCAAGCTGTAGCATGTCTGTTCTAAAGGTTGTGCAAATAAATTGGGCATGAACAGAAAGCTCTTTTATAACGCTAGCGACTGATGTCCTGTATTGCTTGTCCAAAGCCGCGTCGATCTCATCAAATAAATAAAATGGGGCGGGGTCAACGACTTGAATAGCCAGGATCAAGGCTATAGCGCAAACCGTCTTCTGCCCTCCTGACAACTGCTCCACATATAGTTGCTCATTGTTTTTTGAGTTGAAAGAAACAGAGATTGAAACACCGGTATATACCGTGCTGATAGGAAGTTCCTCCGAAGTGCTCAAAGTACTGTTCTCATTTGCGCTTCGATGAATAATCAGTTTTCCTGTCCCGTTCGGTACTAGTTTTTCGAAAATGGTGCTGAAATTATGAGAGACCTTTTTAAAAGTGACGTCAACAGCCTCTACCTTTTGTTTCTTTAGAGACTCGATCAATTTTTCGATAGATTGCCTAGACTCTGTTAGTTCTTGTGCTCTGCTCTCCATCTCTTGCCGCTTCTCATTAAATTTTCGAAAGTTCTCGATGGCGCGACGATTAATGTTGCTCATCTTCGCTATTTTGTCATTTACCGCATTCAATTGCCGGAGAGTGTCTTCACTTGGCAAGTTTTGAAATTTTTCCAAGGAGTCTTCTGAAAGCAAGCCTAGTTCGCTGATTTTTTGCTGAACTTCGTCACGTCGACTTACAAGACTACTCTTTTTCACAACAGATTTCTCTGCTGTTTTCTGGAAGCCGTCGAGCTTTTTCAAAAGAACTCGTTGCTGTGCATTCGCTTTTTCTTGTATCCTCTCATTGTCCGCTCTTTCGTCATTAAGCTTTACAATTTCCTCTAGAAGAGTAGCGATGGAGGTTGATAGCTGTTGCTCTCTCGAATTCAAACTCTCCAGTTTCTTCTCGAAGACGTGTACCTCGTCATCCCGAGCGAATTGGTTGGCCTTTTCGGCAGACGATATTCTGTCCGCGAGCTCTCTCTTCTGCGCATAAAGTTTGAGCTTCAATTCCGCTTTGAGCAACTCTATTCTCGTGGTTATGTCGTCGAGCGCCTCTCTTGTAGCACTCAGTGGATCTGCTAGGCTTTTCATTTGCCGAGCCAGCGATTGCAAAGTCTCCTCCTCTTCCGGTGACAAATTTTTTTCGAAGGGCTTCTGCAGGTCCTGTCGGAAGCGCGTGAGCTTGTCTTCCGCCAATTCAATTGAAGCCTTACTGTTATCAATTTTCACAACTACATTGTCCAGAAGCTCTTTCTTAAAAGCAACCTCCGCGGAGCGCTGGTTGAGCTTGACCTTCATTAACTCGATGTTAGTGAGTATGGCTTCCTTTTTGACAGACTGATTCTTCAGAGCGCTGTTTAATTGATCTATCTCAACATCAGCGCTAGCAATATGTTCTTTCACATTCTGAAGACCTTTAGAAGTTTCAGCTAGTTGAAGTTTGACGGTTTTTATGTCTTTGAGAGCATCAATTTTCATCTTGTTTCGATAGTCTCGATAGCCACCTGTGATCAGACCTTTGTTATTGGCGCGGTCTCCATCGAGAGTTACTGCATCAAGATTGTAGTCTCTGGCCAACTTGGTCGTGGCCGCAAGATCGCGGACGACCAATGTCCTTCCATATATGTGTTTGACTGCAGGTTCAAACCTTTTATCGTATTTGATCTTCCCAATCAAAGGTGTACACTCCACCACGGACGCATCAGGGTAAGAATTAACTGCGCTTGTTGTCAGCCTGTTGAGTGGCATGAACGTCACCCTGCCCGCTTTCGTACGATGGAGCTCTTGCATTAAAATACTAGCAGTTTCGTCAGTGTCAACCACGACGTGCAGTAGCGAATTGCCGCCAACAGCCTCAGCACAAACTTTGTACTTTTCGTTGACCTTAATCAATTCCCCTAAAGGTCCGTAGACAGAATCATTGGGGAGTTTGAGACGTTCCGTGATTTCTTTAACTGCAGAGAGTCCATTTGCCAAACCGCGGTCCATGGTTTCTGATAAAGACCTCTCGGCTCTTCTTACAGCATCTCCAAGAGCTTCTGAAACTGTTTGTAGCTTTTGCTCGGATCTCCACAACTCTTTACGCGCGTCGATTTTCTCAAGGTATTGCCGCTTCGTTTCGATGTTCTGTGTTGCAAGATCTTCGAGTTCTGCGATTACGCCAGGGCCTCGCACATGGTCGTGCAGCTCTGTGATCTCTTCTTCAATTTTTACGTGTTCGGCTTCGAGCTGTTCCTTTTCTTCGATAAGTGTCGAAAGCTGAGACCGGGTTTCTGTGAGTTGTATATCGAGGGATTTAAGCTCTTCCTTAAGCCACTCATCCCGCTCTTGTCTGTTATCGAATCGAGCGTATATACCTCTTTTCGAGGTAATATCCCTCTGTCTTCTATTCAGATCTGACATCTCATTCTCGTATTTTTTAGCTTCATCACGAAGTTGATCATGTCTAGGTTTCAAACGATCCAGCTGTGAGTGAGCCTTCGAGATTTCTTCTTCCACTATTTTCATGTTCCTAGCGTTGTTTTCAGTTTGTCCACGATGAGATTCGATTTGTCGCTTAATCTCTTCGAAGCGTACTTCCAGATCCGCTTTCTTTTTCGATACCTCTGACAGACGCGACTTTTCTTGCGGCAAATCGGTGCCTTCTTTGACTTTGAGCTCAGCGTCAATAGTTTCCACATTTTTGGTGACGTTGGCGATAAGACTCTCGCGTTTGGACAGCTCTTGAATGAAATCTTCCGAGGACTGCACAATTTGATTATATTCGTCTTCAAGATTTTCGATTTCGCTCGTTACTTCATTCAACTCTCGATCGTAAAGAACAAATTGGAATATGCGTTTATCACGTTCAAGCTCTTGATATTTTTCCAGCTCTTGACGCTCTTCATCTAATTCTTCCAGTCTTGTTCTTAATTCATCTAGTTCCGCATCGATCTTGGCGCGATCTCTATTTGTAGCCTCCATTTTTTTGGTTGATTCTCTCAGTTTGATCTCAAAAGACTTGGCACCAACTACCTCTTCCAGTAGCGCCAGGCGTTCTTTGTCCTTGGCGTTAGTCACTGCCACAATGCGACCCTGTGGAACTATATTATATGGGTTGGACGAAGAGAAACCGACACTTTCGAACATTCGCGTGATATCACTCTTATGACAGGTTTTTCCGTTTACCGAGTACTCATCCTTTTTCAAACCGATAGTTCTTCTGACGCGAACTAGCTTTTCCTCCGTGATCGGTATGCCTGTTGTCACCATCATTTGGCCATTTGGATCGTGGAAAACAATCTCAACGTATGCACTCATTACTGAGCCTGTTCCTTGGTGAATGAGACCCTGTCTTTCTTCTCTTCTCAAGTTGCTGAAATCATCGCTCAGCACAAATCTCACGGCGGCAAAGAAGTTCGATTTGCCGGACCCATTGCCACCTATCACAACATTGAAATGCGGCGAAAGATCTTCTACTACAGTAGTATTTTTGTATGTTTTGAATCCTTGGATCACAACGCTTTTGATGTACATTGGCACTTGGCTTGTGGTTCGAGCTGGAACTTGACAGGACGAAGTTAGAACGCGTTTCAGTTTTTAATTTATTAAACTTGACGCGTAATAATTTTGTCACTTTATACCGAACTGACAACGTATCCGGCGTGTGGTTGAACAAATGGTGAGACGGTCTTGAAGTGAATTTGAGATTCCGTGAGAGTTGAAGAGATGCAAATTTTAGTAATTCATCATCTCCTAAATGCTACATACTCTTCAAGATTTTTCTACATTGTTTTTCTTCTGGGAAATTAGATGTGTCGACACTTCATTTTTGTTTCGTTTTTTATCAACAAGCAGTAATGCAGTGCTAAAAAACAGCTTCAAGCTTCAAGCTTCTATATTTTTCTGGATCTGGCTTTGATCAACGTCGGATTCACAATTTTCTTAGAAGAGAGAAGGAAACTGTGGCCATAGTCAATATATTCCACGTAAGTAGAAACAAAATCAAATTTTATAGCTTTGATATTGAATAATTGATATTTCAGTTTCTCTTCCGGATTCTGAATTGAAAGGGATTGGTCACCCAACAAACCTGGTTGGAAAAAGCGGCGGCGTCAGTTTTTCGATAGTCAGATCACTTTATACATCTCTGTCATCAAAATTGGCGAATCCTTCCGTCAGCTACTGCACTTCAGCACAGGGTCTGCCTTTCTTCAGGAGTCTCTTCGTAGTGCCGTCAGTATAGCTTTTTGGTCCACTAGACATTTAAGCCTGCGAAACAAGTTTTGTTTGGAAATGTGAATTATGTATTTTAGAAGAAATAGTTAACATTGGTAAAAGCACTACAGTCCATAACTCTCATTGACAAACAATAGATCTGAACTAAACAGTAAAGATAATTCCGTTCTCAAATCTTAAGCTTATTCCAATATTCAAATCTTCATGTATATAGTCCAAGCAATTTATCAAGTGATCCTCGTATTGACGTGCCAAGTCATTTTTCTGAGACGTCAGCACGTTGAGTAGATGAAGTTCCTGAAAGCATTGGAACGGGCAAACAACGCGATACACAGCCGAAGGGCGAATCCAATAATTGGAAAGATTAGAACCGCTTCAGCAGTGGGAATGTTCTCGCTTTTTTCCGTCAATTAAACCCAAAAAAAAATAATGGTTGCTAAGAGATTCGAACTCTTGCATCTTACGATACCTGAGGATTCCACTGTGTTACAGTGTTAAGAAGCGTGCTTCTTGAATCAGGCGCCTTAGACCGCTCGGCCAAACAACCGTTATTGAGAAATACTGGAAAACACAAATGATCTATGGCTTAGTGAGTACCACATGATGCTATTAATAGAGCTTGATGACAATACAGCAGATAAGGTCAACGATTATATCACAGATTTCACTTACTTCGAAACTTAGCCTGTTGCTGTTCGTTGTAAATCTTTACTCACTTACTGCTTATTGATTACTTGATTTAGGTTTGTATATAGTGTTCCAAAAAGTATGCCAGTAGTTTCTGTCCCTGTAGTCCTTTGAGTCTTGTGATGCAGCTGCGCAGACTTTTGTCAGGATAGGAATGATGCAACGGTAATTGCCGAACTGCCAAAGGTTTGCCACTGTTCCAGTTTACGGGCAGCGTCTCATGGCAATGATATTTCGAGCAAGTCACTGTATTAGCAAGCAGCTAAATACTCAACACATGTTGTGGGAATTCTCAGGAAATTTTGTGATAGAAATAGCGATGGAAACGCACAGTCGAATGAACATTCTTTCTACTGAGATTCTTGGGCCCATTTCAATACGCCCATGGCAGCACTTACACCGAATATACTAATCGGTAGCGATAGTACCACGTAACCCCAAAACAACACACCGGCCATTTCGCTTTCGAAAAATTCGTTGAGCTGTGTAATTTGGGTTAGTTGAATGGCAGGTGGCGAGATTGTCAAGATGAAGCCACACACCAGGAAGATAGGGTCATCCAGAATGCTCACCTTAATGTATTTCACGGCTACAGCGATGATAGGCAGCATAACCATCGACGGAAGGATCATACGGCCGACAATGGAACCAAAAACCATCTTTTTGTAGTTACGCGTCATCTGTGGAGTGTCTTGGGATGGATATAGGTTCGATCCCAGAACCACCAAAATCAATGGAATAGAGATGCCTCCAAGCTGAGTTATGGCGTCGGATAGGGTATTGTTGACAAAACCATCCTTGCTGAAAAATTCATGCTGGATAGGGTGGATGGTGGCCACCAAAACACTAAAGACCATGGACCACAGAGGAGGGTTCATGGCAGCAGCCACTTTATTGAACATTTGAGAAGCTTTAGAACGGAATTTCAGCAAAGAGCTGGAAGTGCGGTTCGAAAACGTACTGTTGCCCTCTGCATCCTCATCTCTGACCGAAAGATCGGGCACTTCCAACTGCTCAGACACACTGACAGTTGCGGGAGTACCCCGATCGCCACTCCATCTCATCAAGGTGTTGTAACCATACGACCAGCGGAGCACGTGCCCGATCTGTTGAAAGATCAATAGGTACAGGATACCTCTACTGGCCACATTATCGGAGTTGTCGTTGGCGATTTCGTCCCACAATAGACCCGGCAGCGTATAAGCCAGCGAGACGGTCAAGGAGACAGGAAGCGAGTTGCTGTTCCCAAAAATTGAGTTGGCCACCACAAAATTTGTTTCGTCGTGGTCCAGTTTGAGCAACCGGCTCATTAATTTGCCAGATCCGAATGATACGCCTGTGGTGAGTGCGTAGAAGACTGGGATCACTCCAATCTCCAAAATCTTGGCCACAGATAAACTGCGTGCTAGTTTGCTAAAAATCAAACATGGTGTGAAAAGGTCCACATTTAGCTTAGAGATCACTTTCTGGCCCTGTTTAGGTAGCAGCCCCGTGTACGCACACCAGAACCCGGAAAATGCGACGATAACCACTTGCAGCACCGACTCAAACGTCAAATACGCAATGTTGCCGAAAGATACACTTGACGGTCCGTCCATTAGTCGGTTTTAAACAACCAGTCTCAGACGAGAAAACTGCTTTTCGGAAAAGAAAGAGGAGTAAGAGTTCCTTAAAAAAAAGCGACAATCTCTTGTGTACCTTGTTCAAACAGCGGGAAATTTCACACAAAAGAACTGTAGCACTGTCAAAAACTGCAAAGAGAGTTCCTGCCTTTTTATACTCTGATCAAGGCTTCTTGATCAAAGTGGCTTTGGGTGTTATCTTAGAAATGTATATTGTGCAATTTACAGTAATCCAATTTAAGGAATTTCATGTGTAAAGTGATTGAGTGGGTCATATAAAAATTACAGTCCAAACGGGTTGCAAAACGGGTTTCAAAACGGGTTGCACATTATGGTCGGGTAAGCTTTCTCCTTGTGATCCGTTTGGAACCCGTTTCGTCAATGAGTACATATCCGAAAGGACCCGCTCAATTGAAAATAAAATTCAAGAACCCGGAAAAAACCCGAATACGTCTAAAGTGATAAACTAGTCTTTTAAATTGGTTTTCGAAAATGAAAACCGTGTATCACATGACCTTCGATCTACAGAAGAGATATTAAAGATACCTGTAAGCATAGAGGACAGCATGGAATAGTCGCAGTAAGAAACGTACTTCTATGGAGCTTATCAAGGCCATAAGAACACGTTTCATCAAATTGCCATAATCGGTTTTATACCAGGATAAACTGGCGTTTTTTTTAGCCTCATCTTTAGATCTCTAGGTGTGCTCTTTGATATAGTAAAGCAGGCCAAATAGGATCTGCGAAAAACTCAAAACAAAAATGTTGTTTGGCTTGCAGTGGCAGTGGAAGTTGCTGATACTGCTGTGGACAAGCGTGGCCACTGCGGAAAGCGGATGTGATTTGACCGGAATTTCAAAACGCAGCGAAACATTGCGATATGAGGAAGCTGCGCTTCCAGAGTACTCACAGCTCATCGCACAGCTCGACAAGCATTGCAAGGGCCAGGAAGCACAGCAGCTGCGAATACAGCTGCTGTACAAGAGCGGGCTCATTCAGGTGTCAAGCGGGAACGAGTTGGCCGCTGTAGGGACGTTCGAAACCGTCCAAGAATCCGCAAAGAGCACATCCTCCCCGTTTGCGTCTCTCGCTCATACCCGATTACAAGAAATATATCGAAAATTTGGGTTTTGGCACGCTCTAGAGGATCTCACGGTGTCCCAGCATTACGACACCCTCAAAAAAAGTGTGTTAGCGCACTTAGAACACGATAAACCGGTGCCTGTGGCATTGCGTGAAGAGTTTCAAAATCTGGCACCATTTGCTCTAGAGTCGCTAATATTGGCCAACGATGCTCTTTACATTGATCTGTCGCAATCTCTTAGTATCAATGCAGGCCAATCGATCTTTGAGAACTACAAAACCGTTTTGAGTAAGCACAAGAAATCCATCAGTGTTTCTGATAAGCTAAAGATTCACCATGCAATCGCGGTCTTGCAATTGTTCGTGCTGGCCACGCCTCCTACTGCACTGATGAACTGTTTAGCGCTCGATATGGAGTATAAACCATGCCGGGATCTTTCGAAAATCTCCAGCCGAATCAACAAAGTCAGCCCCTCTCTGACGGCCCTGACTCATCCAGACCAATTTCTGTCACTCCACGGATTTGATTGGAATAGATTACAAGAATTCTACGTTGCTAAAAGTGTCAAACCAATCAGCTCTGGCGATCCAATACAGGGTTCAACCAACCTGGATCGTTTGCAAGCGTTGGAAAAAAAGCTTTTGCAGAATTTACTGCATCACAGGCCACTTTCGTCAATTTCCAGACACTGGAATATAAATGACTCGGCCGTATCCGCATTCTCTGTCATAAGAGATCTTGCACTGTGTGAGACGTACGATCAATCCTCTAAACCCAAGGTTGCCGAAACTTTTTGCAAAAGAGCGGCTCAAGCCAAGCTTTCTCCGGAGATATCAACAGCCATAAACGCTTTTTCACAGAAGTTGCAAGATGTAGATAAGGCCAAAGAGACCCTTAATAGCGTTTGGCTAGATACTCCCTCACTTGCCCTGCACGCGATCAGAAATTGCGTGAGCTTTCTGGCTTCCAAAGACAAAATCCGCAATAGTATGGCGACAGGTTCAATTTGGGCCCTGCTTGAAACATTTGCAAAAGATCATGGTTGGGAAGGATCTCAAAACGAGGCAATTGCCAAATTGAATCGCATCATCAAGATTGCTAGCGCCAAGAAGAGAAAAGAGGGCCAAGAGAGATTCCAAAAACAGCAACACCAGCAGCGGCAACAACAACAACAGTTTTTCAGGCATCAACAAAACTCTTCCCCGCCTCCTGCTAATGATCTTTCCATAAAAAATCTTTACAAAGTTTTGGGACTTTCGAAGGAGGCTTCGAGTAAAGATATTCGTAAGGCTTACCTGGCCATGACTAGAAAGTTTCATCCAGATAAACAGGGACAGATGTCAGATAAAGAGAAACAGGAAAACGAGGAAAAGATGTCTAAAATTAATGAGGCTTACGAGATTTTGGGCGACGAGGTGAAACGTAAAGATTACGACAATCAAAGAGCAGATTCCGGTCCCCAAAGACAGCAGTCCCCCTTTGGAGCAAGAAACGGTGGTTTTCCGTTCGGTGCTAACAGTTTTAAGATGAACTTTGGTCAGTTTTAATGATAAGATTACTGTATCATAAAATTATATGAAGATACTATTCATTTTTAGTCTTCAACTTGTGCTTTTGGAGGAGGTCACAGAGTCACTGAACGGTTTTGATAAAAAGTGTCACTTTAAGCAATTAGCGCACCGCCCTTGTAAGCATACTTAGGCTGGCCTTCTGCACTTGTGAAAATCTGGGTCGCATTAGTTTCTCTCTCTGGGAAGTCTTTTAACGAATCGGCAAAGTGGGCCACAGAGTAGGCGATAAGCTGGGTGTTGGTTAAGAACGCGTCCCAGTTCAAGTTGCTTACATCGTCACAAAGCTCGTGGTAGCACTTGTCCAACACTTTGCCGTTGTCGGTGTTGATACCCTCGGCACCAGCAGCGATACCACCGCCCGGAATCCCATTCTCGATAAAGCCAACGTAGTCCGATCTTCCATCGAATGGAATTAGAGTGTAGTTATGGCCATGCTCGGTGTAATAGTCGATGTACAAGTTTTTGAGTTCTTCGGACCCTCTTGGGTTCACAGAATTGCTCGCATTGTAAATTTGGTACTGGAAATTAGGTGATGCCATCATGTCGTAATCCATAAACAGTCTAATTTTCAAGTTTTCCTCTTCAGACAAATGCTTCACATAGTAGTTGGACCCAACTAATCCCTCTTCTTCGGCAGACCAGAAAGCAAAGCGAACTTTGTTGTTGATTTTGTAGTTTGACAAGTGTTTAGCCACGGTAAGAAGGGAAATGGTTCCAGAACCATCATCGTTGATACCTGGTCCGGCAGCAACAGAATCACTGTGGGCACCAAGGGCAACAATGTTTTCCGGGTCACCGTGCTTGGTGTCCACGATAATGTTTTTAGTTTTAATCTCTTTGACAAACGAGTCCATGCCAAAATATAGCGAAAACTCTGGGTCAAGAGTGATACCCAAGATGAGCTCCTGTCCCACGGCAAAAGAGACACCGATCGTGGACACTGTGTGCTTGGTTGGCTTTTCTAATGAGCCACTCACACCCTTGGTGGATTTAGGGTCGTTATCGTAGATAACAGCAGCTTTGAAACCATGCTTGCCGGCAAGATCACTTTTTTTGCCAAAAGGACATTCGCCCCTTTCGATAAGGGCGATGGATCCCTTGCTGATGTCCAAAGCTTCAAAATCCGCGTCAGAACATCCCAAGTTTGGAATTTCGACCAATTTCCCAATAAAGGGTTTCACAGGGGGAGACAAGCTAAAGGCCTGAGAAGTGGGCACTTTGCCACCGGTGGTGTAATTCAAATCATAGTGCAACACCTTGCCATTGAGAGCCTTGAGAGTTTGCGTTGAAACCTCGTAATAATCTCTCATATCGTCAAACTGGCGCAGAATGTAGTTGATGGTGTTCCAGTGGCCTGCTGAACCAATGACACGAGTTGGGTTCCCATAGGATTTGTTGGACGTGCCAGCAATCTGGTACAAGTCCCAAGCGGTCGAGTTCAATTCAGAGAGCTCAATGTCATCAGGAAAACTTTGAGGGTCAACTTGGTGTTTGAGGAAATAAGGTTTATGAGGCCAGAAAGATTCACGGTCAATCTCAGGCGTCGAGGGAAGCTGGAAAGCGTCCAAAAATGTTTGTGGTAAAACGAATGCTTGCGCACAACCTAGGGTTGCTGCAATGAGCGCACAAGATCTCATTCTCAGTCGATTTTGTTTGCGTTTTGCGTTGTAAAGTTGAGTTCTGAGATGAAAGTGTTATTGTAAGTTCACTATTGTTAGTATTAGGAGTTGGTGGTTAGGGCTTCAAGGGGTGTTGTGATTAGGGCTCCGACGACACACAATTAGAAAGTGACAAGGAAAGTGTCAAGATTAAAGTCCTAGCCAGCTGGGACCACTTCACTTATCGTTAGTTCGGTGTCCTGTGTATACGATGAGCTCAAAAAAATAATGGTTTCATCGAATTTTTGAACTCAATGATTTTTTAATGCTCCGATACCGGGAATCGAACCCGGGTCTCCACGGTGAGAGCGTGATGTGATAGCCCCTACACTATATCGGAAATTGTTGAAGAAATGAAGAAATGGAAGCGATATACCGCTAAAGTGACACCACGCCACGCCAGGCTTGGAGTGGTTTGTATCACCCAACTAATTTGGGAACTTTAAGTGTCAGGGACTTGGATGGCGAGCAAGACGAGGTTTTGGATAGAAGCTCCTTTGGCATAGTAATTGCCTTCTGCTTTATTAAGATCGAATAGATTTGATTATATAGTATATAATAATATAGTATAATGTAATAATATAGTATAATATTTCGTGGTGATGCAAAGACACTGGGGACAGAAATTGGGGCCCACATGATGCTCTCTTCTTCTTCCCAATTTTTCAGACTCAAAAGCAGGTGTGTTTTTTGCCCGGCCGGTCACGTCCCGAGCCTGTTGCTTCTGTCACGACGCGATTCCACTTTACTTTTGCGATTCCATTTGTCGTCAAACAGGTATTCAGTGTCCTCGTCCATTGCAGGGTCGATGTAGTTCACCACCACACAAGTTTTTGTACGGCGATTGTCAACGTTCACGCCACCCGGGGTAGTACGGCTTGCAAGCGACATTTTGCGGATGTTTTCCACCCGGTGCGCCAGCCGCTGCGATTTGGAGTTTATTGCAGGGGTCACCACTGCTGCTGTTGCTGCTGCTGCCTGTGAAAGCGCCCGATTTTTTGTGTTGGCGGTCCAATGGCGGGCCATTTCCCACGCAGAAACGTCCACTTCTGTTGGGTCTTCTTCTGCCAGCGGCAAACGACTTGCCACCATTATATCCTGGTTTTCTCCACCGCCATTACTCAGGGATTCCAATCCGCTCACAAATACGTATCCCGAGTCCAAATCGCTTATTTTTTTTTGCGCCTCTACTTCTCTTTGCGATGGCTGTTTGCCCCTTCCAAACAATTTCCTCAAGAAGGACATTATTATTTGGTAGTTTTCTGTATTGGTGTTATGGATGCACTCAGCTTCGCTGTTTCGCTGTTCCGCTGTTTCCTTGCTTCGCTGCTTCGCTGTTTTGCTCCTTGTGCGTTTTAAAGAGCTTAACGCCTAACGTTAAGGCTAGTTTCTGTCAAAGTTGTGTTCGAGAAGTAACTTCAACCTTTGTAAACACTCTCGGTATTTATACTTGTTTCGGTTTCGTGTTCTCATAATAAGGGGTTGAAATCCATCATCTGGGGCTTTCATGAAAATTGACTCAACGGGGTAGTTAAGTAACGCGTGGGAAACGCGTGTGTGCGGTTGTTTGTAATGCGGGTTTCGGTGTTGACAATACCGATAAAATGGGAGATTGGGTAGAAATTAGGGGATGAGGAAGGGGGGAGGGAGTAAAGACACCTGTGAATGGTCACATGATATTCACGAGATACAGCTAAAGCACGTGAATGTCACACCAAATACACGTGAACAGAGTAATCACATGATATTCACGAGATTCAACCAAAGCACGTGGATGTCACACCAAATGCACGCGAGCAGAGTAGTCACATGAAAATCACGGGATCTATTCAAGGCCATGTGAATATCACGCCATAGTCACGGGAAGCCCTTAGATCACGTGAACCACCATCCATTTCGACACCTTCTTGCCCTTTCACCACCACCACCTACTCTTCCTCCTCTTGATCCTCCGAAATACTGCTGTGAACCTCCTTCAGTTTATTCATGATCCCCAGCACAAACGGACGCAACTCGTTTATCTCCAAAAGACTCAGATTGTCTAATTGCAAATGCGACTCGTTCAGATGTTTCAGACCTTGTCCGATCTTGCTCAAGCGAATCTCACGCAGATCCTGTACTTTCCCGCGCAGCAAGTGCACCGGGTCGTGCAGATCGTCTGCTGCTTTCGAAAACAGCAATTGAGCCACCACCAGCCAATTCCACGGCAGTTCACTAAACCTGCCCTGGTTTTTCAGCTCGTAATCGATATATTTCTGTAGCTGCGATAATCGCAGCCAACTGGGCGCCACAATGCTACACTTGCCCTGCTGTTTGAGCAACAGAGCTATCCACAACGCCACTTCTGTCGTCTGGATCGCCACCAAGTTGTTCAAAGGCTCATCTTTCGCCGTCAGTAGCTTCCAGCGGGTCTGACCCGCGGATTTCCCGCGCTGGCTACCTCGCACAGGTTGTTTAGTGGTGAATCGTGGGAAGATCTTTATGGGCTCATTTTCCACTATAAACTGGATTTCTTCGGGCGAAAAAGTCTCCTGAAGTTTCCAAGGTAGCGACATCAACCAACGTGCGACTATTGATCGTCTCAAAACCGACCAAATTCCTTGTTTTTATACCACCAAACCAATCTTGATGGTCGTCTTTAAATTTCAGTAACCTCATCGCCATGTTAAATATCCAATTTATTAGTCACTAGGCTAAAATCCAACCTAACTCATTCAAGAAATAACCAAAGAAATCGCCTCAAGAACACACTTGCTTGTCCTACAAGGGCCGGTTCCCTTCAATTGCATGTTTTGTCTCAATAGCTATCGATTTGGCTTCAAAAGATGCTACCAAAAAATCGGTTACTACCAACCAAACCGTCTTAACAAAGAATTGATATTATCTGTACTGAAATCTACAGCTACCAAGAGAGAAGCTCAAAATTATTTAAGAAAATATGCGGACAAATCGTCTTCTAACCATTGTTTGCTGATGATTCGCGATCTGGTGGATCAGAAACCTGCAAAACTGGATCGCTTTGCCATTAGCATAAGGCAATTGCAAGTGCTAGGAATGAGACCTCTGTTCTTATTATATCCAAATGGAAATGTGGAAAAACAAACCGAACTGCTTGATACTTGCCTGAAAAATAACTCTATGCAATCTTTGATTCTGCCCGAGGCCCTGACACGCACTAGTGACGGAACCTATAAGTCTACGGTGGAATTTGATAAGCTTGGCGACTTGATTCCCATTATTAAACCTCGAGTTTTCGACGAGAAATCCTGCACTTTTGATACCGCTTTGGACTTCGTCAATCTCACCGATGAGTTTGCACAACATGTGGATTGCCATATCGATAAATTGGTTCTTTTGAGTAATCTCGGTGGTATTACTTCCGGTGAGCGTCACGATAATGCACATGTATTCATAAACCTGTCACAAGAGTTCGATTCTCTATCTCACTCTTTGAATCAAAACCTGGCAGCATTGCGTTCACAGGCGCGTAAAGAGGCGGAATTTTCTACCGACATTTTGACTCCACTCCAAGTCATTCAACAACGACAGCGCAGCATAACACTTCAACAAACGCATTTAGACAACCTTGAGATCATGAATCGCGTACTTTCAAGACTACCTATCTCATCCACGGGCTTGATCACCGATCTAGATGCAGCATCAAACCAAGACAAGAACAATCCGCTTCTCTACAATGTCTTGACAGATCGCTCGCTAATTTCTTCGTCTCTACCGCGCTTCAAAAAAGAGCAGCTTCCTGATTCCGCCTGGTACGAACTACCGACAAACGACGACGCGACTGAGGACCTGAAAGATGCTGCATTGGTGACAACCGTTGTCAAAAAAGGTGTGAATATTAAAGTATTCGATTACAGGACACTTGACGAAAACAACTCCATAGGAATGTTTGGACCACAAAGCACAAACGAATTAGATGCGTCCATTCCCAGAGTCAATCTTATCAAACTAAAGCACATCATCGACTCCAGTTTTGGCCGCAAGCTAGACCTCGACCATTACCTCAAGCGCATCAACGGCAAAATTGCTTCAATAATAGTCATCGGGGAGTATGAAGGCGTTGCAATAATAACATATGAAGGCCCCAATAATGAGAGTTTTCCTTACCTCGACAAATTTGCCGTTTTGCCGCACCTAAAGGGCTCTTTGGGTATCTCGGATATCATTTTCAACCTTATGTTCCAAAGGTTTCCGCAAGAGCTTGTTTGGAGAAGTCGAAAAGATAACGTCGTTAATAAATGGTATTTCCAGCGCAGCATAGGCGTACTCGATCTTGCAATAGACTTAGGAGACGGTAACGCGAAACCCAGTATTTTCAAGCTGTTTTTTAATGGCAACAATCGTGATGCTCATTTCGATAACCCACAGCGCTTACAGATTTATTCCACGTACACCAGGGACATCGAACCTAGTTGGGAGACCTGAGGCGATAATACGTACGATCAGTCTAACCTGCTTGCAAGGACAAGTCCTGCAGCTAAAGCTCGTTCTGATCATTTTAATGCAAATATTTATAGTTACATATTTAAAGGAGAGTTGCACTTGCGACCAGTGCACGTATCCTTGCTTATATCATTATTTCGATATTGTGCGTGAAGTGTCCAGACGATTAATTGTCTAGTGAAAGGTCAAATGCGATGGCTCAAAACATTTAAGCATTACAGGATCATATCTCTTTGGAACTTAGAATGAGATAGCATCATAAGAGGAACATGGACGAATATCCAGTGAACTAGTAAAGTTGAAGCGCAAGGAAGACCAATACTGGTGTTGCTCTCAGAAAGCATCGTCTTCTTGTCATTTTCCCGGCTATACTTTGAGAGCACTTTGACATCGAGAGCCTGAAGGTTGTATCGAAAACCAACCGGGGAGCTCCGCTACTAGATCTTTACCAACTCACCCGCGAAAGATTTGAGTACATGGCAGGCTTGTGGCCATTATCCATTGATAAATTGCCATTCCCTCTCTAAGCAATTCCGGCGATAAAACCTACGGGCATTTGGGACATTGTGCTTGTAACAAGTATCAGGCTCTTGGTCATACCAGATGTCAGTCAGTCCAATCCGCTCCTTATAGAAATCAGTATCATCCAAACGCACACCGTTCCAATGAGCTTTGTAAAACCCTTCGTAACCGCTGGTCAATACACTGTCCCTTACTAACTCGCACATGTCGGCGCTTGTTAGCAAGTAGATACTCGCTGCGACGCTATATTCTTCAATGATAGGTTCCATGGTGTAAGAACAATTGAGAAGAACCGAACTGCTTGACAGCAGAACTTTCAACCCCATCCGATGCATGCTCATGAAAGGATTTCCGGTGTAAGTTCTAGTGGAAGGAGTTGTAACGTCTCGATCCGTTATTGGTATTCTTCCTGCCTCAGAATGGCCATGCTCCAAAAGAAGAGAAACTGAAGATAAGGGCGAAACAACAACCGGTATCTGGAACAGGTAGTATAAATATAAGATCGTAGGGGACACACGCCACAAGGACTCCGCTTGAAGTAGCCCTCCCTCACAAAGCATAAAATTGCAGATCAGTGACTCAAACTGTTCCGTTATACTCAAATCCTTACGGAATTGCGAAACACGACTTGCCGTGATCGGACAGTAGTTTCGCAGCGCTATGGTGTTCCTGCCTCTGCTCTTCCTCTTTTCATTAAGGACTTTCAGGTATTGGTAAATGTAAAACATGTAGTAAGCAACAGGTGGATTATCCCCACTTCCAGACCAGTCTGAAGGAGAGGTATGCTGCGGCTGAAGAAATGACTTCCATACATAATCGTCAGTTTCGCTGACAACTAGATCAAAGCAACACACCGTAGACAAGATGAATTGTAGTTCCACGCTTTTAGAACCTTCCAACTCCAGCAGAGGACGAAAAATGTGGTCCAAATAGTCTTGAAAGTTTTGTACACGGTTAGCGGAATATAGCTTAGTGAAACACCTGTTTAGTCGTATATTCCACCGAATATTGTAAGATACAAGCTTCCACCTCGTTACCCACTCACTGAACTTCGTCCACCATGAACCATCAAATTGAAAGTCAACTGAAAGCTGCGCCACTTGGTACTTGCTTTTCTCAAACGATTGAATCACGTATTTAACAACCATTTCTGCGAAATACTCACCGTCGATATAGTTATCAAATTCCAAAAATGTTCGAGCTATGGCCACGTATTTTGGATTTTGGGGGTTTTTGAAGTCTGTACGGACGAGATGATCGCTTGAGAGATACACGGAACGATACCAGTCCAAAAACAAATCATCAACTGCTTTGAGGCCAATTGACTCGTCATCAGATCCTTGACAGAATATCTGCCGCAAAGTAAGTTGTGTACCTTCAGAATTGACGTAAACGATCCTGTTAGGTTCAATATTAAGTTTCTCCCAAATGAAGTCGTTGAGCTGCCTTTGAGAGATGCACCCACTGAGAAGATAATTCTGATCAACTTTTCGGATATTGTAAAAGTCGCGATGTGGAACCAGCCTGCTTTCTCGAATCTCAGAACGTCCTTGGAGCTGCTGGAAAAGCTCGTATCTGTGCAATAGATACTCGGTTCTTTTCACGGCCTGTGCATCCATTTTCTCAGACGTGACAATGTTCAAGCACTGCTCGAAATCCTGACCAAATTGGAAAATGGATGGGATCCGTGCTACGACTGCAGCATAATCGGTTGCCATAGCCTGTGGAAGCCCACGCTCATTGTAAAATTTCTCCAGCTCCTTTGCGAAATGCGAAAGCTTGATGAATTGCCCTGTGTAGTGGAGTTGGACTCTTTTTTCATTCTGGAAATTGTCACCGTCTGCTCTTGTGTAGAAATACCCTTGCATACTTGCACTGTCCGCTTCATCATACAGCCGTTGGTCACTTTCGAATTTCCAAAACTTCGGAAGCGGCTTTGGATACAGAAACCAATTTTTTGCATCATTCTTCATGTTTGATTTGGCATCCTGTGCGCTTTCCCGTATATACTTCACACGCAAATCTTGTATGAAGCCAAATCCCGCTTTTCCTTCGCTGTTAACCTTTGTACACTGAACTAATGCCCCAGACTCGTCCAAGGCTTCCACATCATTGAGGATCTCATCTTCTTCGAAATACATGGGGTGGCCTTCAGAGATTTGTTTATCGAAAGATGTGGTGAGCGCAACCATATCAGTGTTGTCTAACGAGTGAGCTACAGTTCCGCTCGGCGAGCGAAATTTTCTGGCACCGGTAGGTTCGTCATCGACATCAAAAAGCAGAGATGGCCGTCTTTTGTTTTCGAAAGTGGCCGTCATGAATATATATGCTATTACACTTCACCATGAATAGCGTGCCCCTAATCTTTGTGAAGACTTTGCCGCTTCTTTTGTCAAAATACTCCAGGAAGAGCCGTTGGAAGCTGTACCAGTGATAGCTAGCAAGAATTGACACCGAATGGCTATAAGCAGTAGCCAAAGCGATCCTGTCAATCCTTTTGAATTTTCGAAGTGTCCTATTGCGCGGTGAATTGCGACTTTTTCACTCGGACCATAGCAGTCTTGGAAAAAATGACTGACTATATAAAGCTGTCATCGACGACACGAAAACATTGGCAAGCGATGGTGACGGATTTGGGTTTGAGGAACACCAGTCGGTGTCGTGTTTGACTCTTGAGCTTGGAAAGATAAATTGAAACAGGGCTCTTGTACTTGATAAGACAGTTTCGCGCTTGATGATTGTCGAGGATGTCATCAATGTAGTTGGCTACAAAAAAGACCGTTATTTCACCTTTAATAACCTGACAATCAGTACCGAAGTAGTCTTCCCATTAGTCAGAGGCGATATTGATCATTTATGGCTTATTTTGCGGCATCACAGTGTAGTAGAAACCAAGCCAGAATCAAGAATTTCATAAGAGGCACTTGAAAAAGTGACAATTATTCTTGGATTCGTTTGATCTTGAACAGATTGAAAGCCAGCAGGTTACAATGTCACACAAGGTACTGCACGATGCTGTGCATTTTCCGGAATATGTCGCTTAGTATTGCTCGTGAGCAAGGAAACGCGAATACTCAATTTGCTATTTTCCGCAGGAGATGTGAGGTTCCAATCCCTGCATCAGTTTGAATTCCTCTTGCCAAGAAAAAAAGGTGCCGTTGAACAATCAAAATGACGTCTGCAACTCACATCAATATGAAATCTTGGACTACTCAGCATACGTGTGAAGAATCATCCTTCAATCCCTGTTATGCCGGAATTCCTGACGTAAATCAAACTTGATCACAGATTCTTCTACGGACTCGATACGCCGATGACCGCAGTTCTGGTATTCTTGATGTTTTTACCCGAATGCTCTCTCGGATCAGAAGACTCTCGATTCATTATTTCAACAATGCTTGGTGGAGTGAGTATACATATCTTGTTCGAAACAAAATTTCGTGTCCTCATATGCTGCGAGATGGTCTAAAGAGTGACAATTCTTTGACCCAAGCTTTACTCTTTTCATGGCCTGTTCACCTCTTACTCCATAAGCTAGTCTTCTTCTTTATGAAGGATCTCCACAAATCCTGATCGCGGAAGAAGCATATCGGATGGGCTTCTGCCTCTAGTAACCCGTTCTAGTGTGCCCCCGAGCACTTTTGTATACGGATGTGCTAAAATATGAGGTGGGATAAGTCATTCCTCAGTCAAACAGCCAAAAAATTCTGTAACTCTTGATTGAAGGAGCCCCAAGAACCCGTCTGTCCCAAATTAACCTTTTTTCAAGTACAGCTGAAGCGTGTACAGCTCAAGCATCTAGCGATGCCCTATACATGTATTTAGTATCGGTTGTGGGGGTTCACAGTCTAAGTACCTCACTCATGAGCACTAGTCTCATACTTATACTCAGCACTCGTCAGGAAATCCTGGGAGAGTCTTTCAGCGCCTCAAAAGTCCGAAATAGAGCTAAAGCGGGAAATACAGGATGTCAGAAATAACAAACAGAATTCCAAGTTAATCATGATTAGATTAGCATTGCCCTGTCACAAACCTGATGTTACGCCGGCGATTCAAGAGCTATAAAATTGAACTTCAATTAGCGCTTGAGTGGGTTTAATTAGATAAAATGAAGACGGGCTTGATTTTAGATAAACTATGACACACAATAGTGTTAAAACGCCTTTTTGGAAAAGAGTAGTCCTCAAATAAGCGATAAAACCTATTATATCAAAAAGAATTGAAAAAGATTGCAATACTTGTTTGATACGCACATATGGTTTTCTGATTGACCTCTGTCGCATACCAGGTGTCCCTTAGAGACAGGTCGTCATGGCCTCCTTTCAAGCCTCTTTGTTGCAAGAAGTGAGATTCTATTTCATAGAGAACGTCCTACTTCTCAGGCAGACTCGCTCAAGAGGGCTACTGTATGTAAACCCTACGAATTTCTCTAAAAGGTATTCCTACAACATAGCGATTCATCTGGTCTTCTACTTGTAGATATAATATTAATATCTCGTATTCCCTGACTTGAAAAAATGTTATAACCACAATCTGTAACAGATTATTCTCATAACAAGCTTGTATGGCGCAGTGGTAGCGCAGCAGATTGCAAATCTGTTGGTCCTTAGTTCGAACCTGAGTGCAAGCTTGCTTATTAATTTTTTGTTAATGTAATTTAAATCAGACGGTAGGTTGAGTTGATGTAGTCAGCCAGATGAATCAGGAACTCCGAGCACTGGAGACCGCCGGGGACGTAGTTGGCGTGGCTTACACTTAAAGCTTCGACCAACCGTGTAATATAACGTTTTCCAATTGAATGTTGCTTAGTTTTTGCTCGAGAGAGCTTCATCTACAGTTAGCAGCTTAGTTTAACACTGGTGAAACATCTGCTGTCATCTGGTATCGTCTTAGCCATAACGCCAATGACAGCGTTATAATCTACCTCAGAAGTACAGGGCATTTCAATTTGCCAGATTTGTTGATGGTCACAACAAGACTGGAATCGAATCATTGTTACGAAAACTGACATAACCGCGTATTCCCGTAAATACATTTTGAAGGCCAAAGAGCGTTGCTTTAATGTAAGCATCCAAATAAAGCTGCTGTAACAGATTTCATGCATAAATTGAATGTCCCAGTCAAGCTTATGATGTCTATTCCATCGCAAGGGGTTTTTTCACCATAGTGACACTCTATGTCTAAAAAAGAACTAAATTTCCATTAGTCGAGTTTCTCACAAAAAGCATCGCGGCAAAACGTTTTGGACCAGGGTTCTCCAATATTTGCCTCCATGGCATGGAAGTGAATCAAATTCTCTCCATTCTACAGCGAAGTTAAGAGTTTTTTGATACAGAAAAAGGTTACTACAAGATTAACAGCTTGGTACTGATCAAAGAACACTGTTCCGAATGGCTTCTGTGACACCGTGAAAGAAGTCATATTTTTTTACCTTTCGGAGCATCGCGTTCGAAGCATTGTAATAAATGCAGGCTTTCTCCCATTGCGGTTGTCCGACACACACCGTTCACTGAGAATATAGCTTACCAATGCCAATTATGGCATAAAGTTGTCAATCCTCTCAGTCACTTCAAAGAACAGTTTGATCATACTGATCATACTTATCCCAGGACACCCGAATTTGGAATTGAACTTATCTGTACATCTGACGGCCGATCCAGATCAGATCATGACGGGACCCGAGTCAATTTAATCGCAAATTCCCAAATTCTATCGAGCTAGCTAGAATGCAGTCATCATAAAGAACCGGAACCGTAACCTCGAGCTTCCCTTATCTTGAAAGAAGGTCCTTCGATTCTTGTAATGAGAGGATCTTTCGGTGTTCTTAGCATGTTGAAGTTTCTGTATTTATATGGTGAGAAACTGACATCTTGATAAACTTGATTGACAAAATTGAGAAAACTATTCAAAGAACAACAGTTTAAGCTCAAGCTACAATAAAGCCACCAATGATGCTTTCAAAGGTTTCGGCACGTCATTTCAAAAGCGTTGCGCTGGCCAAAAGGCTATATGCCACCAGTCAAGCAAGCGCAAACCAGATTTTGGTGTCCAAACGTGTGCAAGACGTGGATCCGGAAATGCACGACATTTTGACTAAAGAACGTCACAGACAGAAGCATTCGGTAACGCTGATTCCAAGTGAGAACTTCACATCCAAGTCCGTTATGGACCTGCTTGGCTCAGAGATGCAAAACAAGTATTCGGAGGGCTATCCATCAGAGCGTTATTACGGTGGAAACCAATTCATTGACCAGGCCGAGTCTTTGTGCCAAAAAAGAGCGCTTGAGCTTTACGGTCTGGACCCTGCTAAATGGGGGGTCAATGTGCAGCCTTTGAGTGGCGCGCCTGCCAACTTGTACGCTTACTCTGCGGTCATGGACGTCAATGATCGTTTGATGGGTTTGGACTTGCCTCATGGCGGTCATTTGTCTCACGGGTACCAATTGGCCAGTGGAACCAAGATTTCTTACATTTCCAAATATTTTCAGACCATGCCTTACCATGTTAATGTACAAACAGGTCACATCGACTACGATACGTTGTCGCAGACTTCGAAATTGTTCAGACCAAAAGTGATCGTGGCAGGAACCTCTGCATACGCCAGACTCATCGACTACAAACGCTTCAGAGAGATTTCTGATGCATGTGGTGCCTACTTGTTGAGCGACATGGCCCACATCTCTGGTCTTGTGGCGGCCGGTGTTATCCCTTCTCCTTTTGAATATTCTGACATCGTAACAACTACTACCCATAAGTCTTTGAGAGGTCCTAGAGGAGCTATGATTTTCTACAGAAAAGGTGTTCGTAAGGTTACTAAAAAGGGCAAGGAAGTGTTGTATGATCTTGACAAAAAGATCAATTTCTCGGTTTTTCCTGGCCACCAAGGTGGTCCTCACAACCACACCATATCTGCTCTAGCCGTTGCGCTAAAGCAGGCGGCCTCTCCTGAATTCAAAGACTATCAAAAAGCTATTGTGGAAAACGCCAAAATTTTTGGCGATGCTCTCCTCAAGCGTGGCTTTCAATTGGTTTCCGGCGGTACTGACAACCATTTGATTTTGATCGACCTGTCTAACATCGGCACTGACGGTGCACGGCTAGAGACTATTCTGGAAAAGATAAACATTGCCGCCAACAAAAACACAGTCCCAGGTGACAAATCCGCTCTGTTCCCCTCAGGTCTGAGATTGGGTACTCCCGCAATGACCACAAGAGGCTTCGGTACTGAGGAATTCGAAAAAGTGGCCGAATATATCGATCGTGCGACAAAAATGGCGATCGGTTTGCAATCCCAGGAACCCGCAGATGCTAAGGATGCCAGAAGCAAGCTAGCCAACTTCAAAAAACTCTGCGAGGAAAGCGATGATGTTAAAGCTTTGGCAGAAGAAGTTTCTCAATGGGTTGGAACATACCCTGTTCCCGGTGAACTCTGATTCCTTCGGAGTGTTCTTCTAGAGCTGTGGGAGGCCAATGTAGATATCTAAGAGGTTGATCTTGAATGTAGCTTTTAATAGCATCCACAACTTGAACTTTCGCTTTGTCGGGTATCCAAGTCCACGGTTGCTGCTGTGGAAGGATCCGAAGAAATGAATTTTGACGCTGGCACACCTTTAGCCACAGACTCAAACAGTTCTGTGACTCCAAAACCTGTTTTAGCGCTAACTGGAACCCAATCAATAGACGAAGAAGACGGCGGTGTATCCAATAAGTCTATTTTATTGCCAACTAGCTTTATTAGAATGGGGTTAGATTCGTCGCGGTCGTGCATATATGTATTTAGCTCTTCGATCCATGATCCGGCCTTAGCTCGCGTGGACTCTTCCGCGACATCAAATACTACGATTGCTACATCGGTTTTGCGGTAATACATGGGTGCCAAAGATCGATACCGCTCCTGACCTGCCGTGTCCCATATTTCGAATTTTACCTGCCATTTGTCGTTGGAGTCATCTTCCCACGTCACAGTCTTAGTTGTAAAAGCAGCTCCGATGGTAGCATTGTTCCTGCGAAAGGTTCCTGTAGTGTAGCGTGTGATCAAGGCTGATTTACCCACTGAAGATTCGCCCAACAGAACCAATTTTACCTCAGCCGTATATACACGTTTGTCAGTAGTCATTACTGGCCTGTGTACTGGGTTCTGAATTGAAAGCGTTCCCGAAAAGCTGATATTACGGCCGCTTGTAGTTCGTTCTACACAGGATGTTGATGTTGATTCAAAGGCATAAGCCAAGCTACTTCGACTTGTTCCGTGTTTGGCTGAAGTCAAGTTGAGCTAACGGTGTCAGGGTCTAACTTGAATAATATCTAGCAATTTAATGATTTTGGTCACGTGATACACTCTCTGCAACAGTCATACTTAAATACTGAACATTGTTAGACCACAAATTGTTAAAGTGAAGTCTTACGTGTGAAAAATGGGCCCGATGCCTTCTAATGAGTCTTCACTAGAAATGGTGAATACAAAATAACCCTTTTTCTCATCTAAAAAGTTACAGCACCAGTGTCGTATAGTGTGATTATTAAAAAGCGACATTATAGTTTTATAGTGATTAAGACTTGATGGGCAACACCGTCTTGTAGCGAAAGACACAACACTCAGTCATCAATTCCAATACCAAGAGAGTATCGTCTGGACCGTATCAGAAATTTAATTGTATTGCGAGGCGAAATTGATTATCCAACTTAGCTTTTCCATCCGTTTCTTCAAATATGGCAAGATTTCGAAATTATTGACATCACATATAGATCTAATTTGAATGCAGATAAAGTTGAGGCGCTGGCCATAGTTTCTTTCGTGGAGCTACCAGTTAACGTCTCAGATGCTTTTGTTCAAGTAGGACAGAGTTTTATGTCATACCCCGACTGAATTTGGAAAGCATTCTAGAATAGAATTTACTTGGAAACTCTTGACTAGATTCTTTGAAAGAAACCTACAACAAAAAAATAAGGTATGAATTGGGAAAAATGTGCCAGCAGCATTGTGCAATTCAATTGAATGAGTTAAAGTGGTAAGGGTGCTCAACTTCAATAATCTAAATGAAATTTCCTTAATGCAACGGCTGGAACGGTTGGCTACAATTTCGATGCTACCCACTTCAACAATCAATCTCCGATACTGTGAGTTGCTAGACGTTTCCTCAAGCGATCGCTGCTGATCGCTGCTGACGCTCTCAGTATCTATGCCCATTCTCATCATCGACGAATATTCGAACGCGTGACGAGATGATCTCTAATTAATAGCGACAAATCAAAATTCATTTTAACGCGTGAGATGACATCAAATGAATTGAAACAGAAACAACCAAAACAAGTCGCGGCTGACTTACAATGCACCCATAAGTCATGGATCAGAGTCCCGGGAACTTGAATAAAAATGGCAGAGCACTAGACGTGCTCGAAAAGCATCTCTCCCAGCAAAACAAACGCCCAAAAACCAATAATTATGGCGCGTTATCTTCCATGTGGAAGACGATATCAGAATCTTCAAGGGTCGCAACTTCTCCCCAAAAGATACAAAGGCAATCCAGAACTACTTCTCCATCCAGAAGACTCGAAAACGCGGTGTCTTTAAGCCCCACAGCACCTTTGGAGCCCAAACAAACTAAAAAAATGCGATCCTCACCGCTGAGAAAATGTGTCGCGTTTTCTGACAACATCGAGTCATCTCCACCTCCTGAAGCTGTAAATTCCAGTCCGCGCATATCTTCTCAGACCCGTCCATCTAAATCCATCCTCAAAATAACCGATTCACCTGTCAAAAAAGTTAGTCCCCGTCGTAATAGAATAAGGCACGGACGACCTGCTAGTGAGCACTTGGAGCTAGGCAACAGCGAAAGCGGAAGGTGTGGTCCGCTGAATATCGAATTTTGGGTATGTGGCGAGGTTCACAGTCTTCAGGATACCAATAGCGTATCCGAATTTAAGGGTCTACTAACTGGAGGCCTTTATTTCATGTCTAGTACAATGCCGGCCGCTCATAGTCGGCTCTTCGAGCTCTACGCCACTTTAAACAACATCATGCCAGTTTACGTATATCACACGCATTCTGAAGTCAAAGATAAGAAAATTTCGATTGTGATCAACAACATCGATCTTATTTTATCAACGTGCACGCCTCATTTGATAGAGCATCAGTCGGCCCTTCTCAAAACTCAGAAGAAAGATCCGTTTGTATCCAGAACCTATGTGCAAATCATCCGTTTTCTAAGCTTCATTTTCTCGAATTTCAGAATAGTAAAGGCCTGCGAAAATAATCCACGTTTCCAGTCCTCTTTTCAGAGGGTTGTTGAGTGCTGCATCGTCACAATGGGTCACTTGTACTCGAATAAAGTCATGATCACAGCTCAACTCGCATTTCTCCGTGACGAGCAAGCTGGCTTGCTCGATAAATGTGCTTTGGATGTATCTTCGATAATCGAGGCTTTAACTAAAATGAAAAAGATAGAAAGCTCAAACCTAATATGCGAAAAGCTTCTTTTACTGAAACAGTTTGTTACGAGGTACACAAATGTTATGTTTGAGACAGTTGACATATGGCTTCCCGCAGAGGTTCTTCCACGACTACTCCCCAATCAGCAATTTTATTCCTCGAAAATTGCAAGCATATGTGTATCAATTCTTCTCGATGTTCTTAAGAAGTCTTTGACAGACTGCACAAATCTCAGAGTACATGCAGCACTCAAGAAGCCTATCCAATCTTTGGAAATTCCTCTAGATCTCGAGTATGAAGACTCTCGGAAGAGTAGCTCAATGGACTCAAATTCGACTGTTTCTCAACTGCTGTTGAAAAGTGTCGAACATTTTCTTACCGAAAAAGCAGAACATAAATTGGCATTTGATCTTTGGCTCTCGGTGGTCGGACTTCTTTTCAATTCAAGTTCCGGACTGGATAAGCTATGCTCGGATCCTATCAACGAGTGGTTACTGCTCAATCTGAAATATCAAAACGCAGGCGTCGAGAGTGTTTCAGGTTCGGCACTACGCGCCTGGAGAATAGTGACGTACGTGGTATGCACGAAGAGTGTGCCTTCTACAAAAAATGTCCGTCAGATCGAAATCCTACTAATGCCATTCAGTTCGGCTCGACTGGGCAACAGAACCGATGAAAATGATTTTCTTTTTGTCCTGCGAGGAATTCTTTATCTAGCCTTGTGCGATCACAGGCCTGACGTCTTTGCTCACAATTTTAGAAATATTGTAAAACCAATACTTCTGAGAGAACCAGGGTCTCATCTTTCGAAAATCAGTTCTTATGTCTTATTCATGCTGAACCTTCTATGCCAGCCCACAAGAATCGAGAAGGCCAATCAAAAAGACTTCAATCCGCTAAAAGTCATTGCATCCACTGGGGTTGAGAGAGAAGACTTTCTTCAGTTTTCTTCTCAAACATATGATTTTCATTGGCAGATGCTTTTCAAGACAGCGCTCAGATTACAAGCATTGGCGGATGCTAGTGATGTCGAGAGTTCATTTCAATTACTTGCTGTATTGGTCAGAAACACGCCAAAGTCATTTATTTGCAAAGAAGTGATAGATCTATGTCTCAACTCATTATCAGATGCATTGGAATGCTCCCATGTAGATGTCCGGAGTTGCATTGTTCAGGCTTTGAGTTACAGCATGATAGCATTTAAAGGCAGCTTGTGGACAACATTCGAAAGTAGTCTTCGTCTCAAAAAGATCATTGCGTCCCTGGTACAGGATAGTAATTCAAGTTTTTTGGAGATTCTAAAAGCCGTTGTGGAGTTGACGGCAGGACTAGTGCCAGATCTGGAAATCTACGATTATTTTTTGAGTTACGATGACAGGTCTGTCACATCTTACATTTCAAACTCTGTCTGTTCCAAAATTCGCTCTTCTGAGATGTCGAACAGTACATTTGCCGCGCTACTAAATATTGCGGAGAATATCTCTAGTGAAGAGTTGGCGGAAAGCGTATTGGGCATCTGCAATAAAGTAAGGCGAGACTTGGGTCGCGAAGAACATCAAATTATGATAGCTTGTGATTTGCCTACTCTATCCAAGTACTTACGACTTCGTCTCAGCTTGCAAACAAGCACAGTCGATCCAACTTTTGTGAAAGAGTTCGTGGTAGTTTTGAAAACTCACAATCAATTGAGGTTTGAACTCCACAGAATACTTGACCATAAACATTATACCAGCTTGGTATTGCAAGCAATGATAATTGAAAGTTGCGAAAACAAGGCGGGTGGTCGCCTAGATGCGTGGACACCTGTATTCAAAAGCTATCCCTTTAAGGAGTTGGCTGGTGCGTTAAGACATTTCGATGAACTAAGTTTTGATTTGAAATTGTGCTTCATTTTGCGCGCTTTGGAAAGAGATGTAGTTCAAGACATGAGTCTCTCTTCTCAATTTGGGGAAAAGTATTTGAGTTTGTCTTTCGATCAGCAAACTCGATCGCCTGAAGTACAAGCACTTGAATATCAGGTTCTGAAGAAATGCTATGATACCCAAAACTTCTTGCTTTTAAATGAAGGCATTAAAAAGCTGATGATATCAGGCTCGATTCTTCCTGTTACCCAATTCTGGAACGACAGCCCCGGAAAGGACACGAGGGTTATAGATGCCGAGGCGCTAGTCCTCATCATCAGTGGTATTGGAAACGAGATCCATTTAGACTATTCCATTTTCAAGGATCGTTTGAACGATGGTTCTTGTGAATTTGCTTTAGATGTTATCGAAGCAGCTTTGAGACACCAAAAACACCAGGTTTTGATCGAACTCAAAGAAGATTTTGCAGCGTTTTTGCTCAATTGCTCCCGAGAACTCAAAAACAACGAATTACGAGCTAAAGAGGCTCTCAGAAAGGCGTCCACATTGCTTCTTGTCCCAGACAACAAGGCTTTAGAACCTGCCTTGCAAAAGCTTCTTCTATCCTTACCTGCAAGGAAAGGGTCATTGGCGTACGAGCAACTGGCCACTGTCTGCTCCAATTTCCATCATAAAATAAGTGGGCTAGAGAAAATCCGGGAACTCATAAATGCTGGCGCCCCCGACCTTACTCTAAACATCGGTGGAAAATTAGCCCCAATATCAAAGGGCCCACGAATATACCACTTCAAGGCTGTGCCCAAAAAATCTCCTAGTCCTGAGCCCGTAAAAGCTTTGAACAGGAACCATGTTAAAAACGGAGAGCATTCCGGGGCTCATGCCAGGCCTATAAACTTAAACGGCTTCGATAAAAAAATAGGTGACGGTTCCTTCCACCATGGTTTTGATTCAAGTGTGCCAAACATGAAAGCGCAGCTGGCACACTCAAATTCCAAATCTGCGAGGCCCACAGATTCCACCAAAAGCGGTTCTTTTCCCGAAAAAACAAAAGCAGAAAACAAAAATCTAAATCTCTCTTCAAGTCCACACTTGGTCAATAAAACAGAAGTCTTTTCGGCTGTTGAGAATTCGAAGTTTTACGAAAACAGTTTCAACGAAATCAAAGCTAGCATGAAGGAGGAACTCGAATGTTCGGTTGAAAACACGGGCGCTTCAAGTACTTCAAAAAGTGATTCAAAAGTCCCTAAACAGGGTTCTAAAAAAGTGCTCGATGATGACGTCGTCGATAATTTAAGCAAGATGAAACATCGGGGTGCTTTCAAGTTACCGATCGTCAAATTGGGTGCTCTCAAAGAAATCAAATCATGGCCCAAAGCGTCAGTAAAAAATCCCCCAGAGTCCTCGACTTCCCGGAGAGAAAGGGCTGCCGCATCAGATAGTACTTTGAGCGCGGTTTCGATCGCCCGTGAAGCGGCCGATAATGAGATAGACAAATTCGCCTTTTCAAATGGCGTGTCACCTCAAGATAAGCATACAAAGATTATACTTCAAATTGTCAAACAGTTCGGAAAGGAAGAATTCAGTCAGTTGACTCAAACGCAGAAATTGTTTCTAAAAGATGCAATGGTGAAGTTTATTGCCAATCAAGGTTCTGGTTCTTCGAACGAGTCGAAGGACAAGTAGTCAACACTGCTCCAGCGAGTCTAGGGACAGAAACTTCTTCAAATTCGATTCCGATGAGAATGAAAGCCATTTTAGGGTCTGTGAATGATGTCACGGCAAAGAAAGCTGATTGAACGGAAAAGTCTTCTCCATTCTAGCGGATCGCCCTTTCTCCTGCTGAAATAAAGTAATATAATGCCACTGTCAAGTAAGGAAAGCGTAATATTACCTGTTAGGGCCCACCCTTTTCGATCTGAAGTTTTTATCTGAACTGGGAGAGGGAAGATCTCTTTGTAGTCAATAGTCTCAGTCAATTTGTGAAAAGATTTGGTTAGTCGCGAGCTGACTGGAATCTTCAATTCCTTAAGTGCGTACTCTAAGGTATCCAAAATAGTATCAACGTCGTTAGCGGAAAGAAACTTAGTCATTTTTGAGGCATTCAGCAGAGAGCTGCTGTCTTCGCTGCAGTTGTAGAGCCGCTGACTGTCGATATCGTGCTGTAAATTAGAATTCCAGTCAATGTTATCGCCTTCGTCAGCTTTATGGGACAAATCAAATTGACTGGCAGCGAATTTTTCCACGTTTGTACAATCTTGTTGAAGAGTCGCACCGTGAGAACCTGTGGGTTGAGTTGAAGTATATAAAGCCCTTTCGTAGAATTGGTGGTTGTTTTGGGTTAGATCTTCCTCGTTAACGGAGTCGTGAAGTCTACTCATTAGCTTTGCGGAAAGCGATTGAGGATCTTTGCATAAACCTGACTCGTCAGCAAAAGCCACGGGATTGGAATACCAAGTATGCAGTTTTAATTGGTCTAAGGTGTATCTTTCTGTCGGCTCTGGTTGCAGTATTTTACGCAGCAAATTCAATTCAGTCAAATCAAGCTTTGCCCACCGTCCACTGACTAGTTTCCCACTATTCACCCAAAACTCTTTGAATTGGTGATCATCTTCGCAAGGTATATTCCAAGGTGTCTCTCCAACTAGCAGGACAAACAGCAAGATGCCACAAGACCATATGTCTGTTAGATCAGCATGGTATCCGCGGGAGTACACTATTTCAGGTGCCATGTATGGTAAAGTGCCACGTCTATCTGAACAAACCCTTTTAGAACCATCTTTTCGCCTGAATCGAGACGCCAAGCCGAAATCCGCTAGCTTCAGATTACCATTTTTGTCTAACAGAACATTTTCTGGCTTTACATCGCGGTGAGCTATGCCACAGTCCTGATGCAGATAATCCAAGGCATTGATCATTTGCTTGAAGTAAAATCGTGCAATTTCGGAGTCCACACCTACATCAGGTTCAATTTTATCAAAAAGATCTCCGCCACTGGCCATCTCCATTACAATCCATAGAAAATCATGGGTCAGATTGCAATCGATAACTTTGAGAACATTCGGGTGTCCACTGCATTTCGATTGTAAGATAACTTCTTGAGTGACATCTTTTTCACTCAGTCCGTGCTTCGCACACGTTGGCAAATGTACAAACTTGACTGCAACAACAGTCTTGGGATCCGATTCTAAACATGCTGTCTTGACACTTTTTTCAACGTTTATAGCAGTTAGTAAGTAACATTCACCTCGATACACGGGCTTACAGAAAACTTGAACTTACAATGCGAATGAGCCCTGTCCCACTGTTGTGCCCAGTTTCAAATGCTTGATGCGTGGTAATGGTGATCTTTGGGAGAAATTGATGGACATGGGGTTCTATTCTGGAGGTGTTAGCTAGATGGTCAAAATAGCGATGTCTTGAAAATGTATTAATGATGAAAAATGGTGACATAAAAAGTGTTTGAAGATTTGATAAGAGGGAAGAGATCAAAGATTTCTTTGAAGTTAGACGGTGATAGATGCGTGAATGGCGTTTTTTAATGTGGTTTTGTAGCCTCTCGAGCTTCAAGAAAACAGCGGTTTTTCATCAAGTTTGTATATCATCAAAAAATTCCAGAATATTGATGTTTTGAGGGTCAATCTGGTTGCTAAAAAATTAGCGCTAAAGCTTCAACAAATAAACATTAAGCTGATCAGGCATGAAACGGAATCCACAACATTTGAGATACTTGTCAAATACCTTCTGTTAAATACTGACGTCAAATTTGTCACTATGTGATGGGATCACGTGACAAGACGACAGCGTCACACATAATAAAATGATCAGCGTGAACCAATACAGGCCTGGCTTCCTAGTTTCCATGAAGTGGTTTGAAAATGAGTGGTGCCGACCATTCAAAATCTGCTTCACTGATACAAGCCAAGAACGTGCTCGATGTACAAAATGTTGTCCACTTTATTAAATAAAAGAGCATACCGGAATCAGTCCCAAACAAAAAAGATGATGTTCCTGTTTTTTCAAGGCGGCACGATAGAGTAATAGTAGTATGTCATGTAGTCACAGATTTCCGGTGCAATACCACCGTTCCATTGTAAACCTCAAAATACTCAAATAGAGTCCTTCCATGAGTATATAAACTTCTACTGTATTTTCTCTATATCACTTTATACTTAATTGGCATTTTCCAGCGACAGACAATTCAAGTCTTGATGTTTGCCAAAATGATCAAATCCGCCGAGCGATCATCCCGGTGTATCTCTTCAAAATAATGGAGCTTCAAGCACATTACGGGATTCCATAAACATCTGCTTTTTCCCAAAATCTAGGAATTTTTATAACTTTAGTCTCTGAAATCACTGAGACATTAAGACTATTCGGACGAAAAACCCCGAAACAGAGCTCTGAAATTAAAGCAAAATACGCGTGCGAGCAATTCAATCAATGTTGTCAATCTTGAACTGTCTTTCGACTAGTAACGAATCTTTCAGTATCCTAGCTTCGTACTAAGGTATCGACAATTCTACAATAAAGCGATAATTCACTTCAAAACACCTATCTTTGACCTCTCAGGTCAAACAACTAGCAATGTCAGAGCTTGGATTGACCTTCGAGAGCTCTGTGAACCACGCTGTCGAAAAGTCCCTGAAGGAAAATAAGGCCCTGGTGGTCTATTGCACTCCTGGCGATGATGTGTGGCTGAAAAACTGGTTCACTAAATCTTTGGGTGACACCATCAAAAATAAATGTATAGCGCTTAAACTGCTTCCTGAGGCTCCTGATTTCCCATTTTTCAAACAGATTTGCCCTCAGGTTACATTTCCAAGTATCTCTTGTATCGTGGAAGGCCAAATAGCCGCAGTTTTGACGGATGACAACGCTGCAAATAATCGAAGAACGCTGCTAAAATGCTTGAAATTAGAACCATTGGCATCGGTGTTCGAAGAAACCAATGGCGGAAACAATCATGTGGAACTTGATGCTATCAACTCTCAAGATCAAGCGGCTTTGAGAGCTGCGCAATTATACCAGGACACTATTAGGAAACAACGAATGATTGACAGAGAGGAACGGGAAAGAATCATTCAGTTGGTGAAAGCAGACCGCGAAGAGTTCCAAGCAAAAAGACGAAGAAGTGTGGAGCCTTGTCAGGTTGACCCACCCGCAAGCAGTCTGGATAACATCCATGATAATATCAAAAACCCCGAGCAATTGCTGGCTAAGAATTGTACTCTTCAAATCAGGTTGCTCAACGGCCATTCCATCACGCATCAATTTGACTCATCGAACAATCTAGATATGGTAAGAAAATGGGTGGATTCTAATAGAAATGATGGTGACGCTCCGTACGTTTTTTTGAGAGGAATACCGCGTGAAGTGTTCCTTGAATCAGACGAATTGAAGACGCTTGCCGCATTACAGCTAACGCCAAGGTCTGCACTGATTTTGAAAGCTGTTGAAAGCCACACCAACCACACTCGAGTGGTTGACGCTCAAGGGCCCGGGCTCTTGGGCAAAATTTATAATTCTATCTCGGGCTGGTGGAGCCCCGAAAACCGCGACCATGCTGAGAGCAGTACTCGACCCAGCTCTAAGGCCAGCACGTCCCAAATTGAAGATTCTGCTTCCTTGTCGTCCTCCAGGTACGTCTCTCCAGCCAATTCCCCTCGCATTAAACATCAATTAGGACGGAATCCATCCGAACTCAGCCTCCCGTCAAGGCCAGTGTCTCCCAACGTTTTTCAATTTGTGAATACTGATGATGGGAAGGATGATGATGTGCATCGCAAGACTTTCAACGGAAATAGTGTTAAGCTTGAGGATAAGAAGGACGGAAATGGTGAGGATATTAACTAGGATTATTTATTACTTATATCAAAAGAGGCTGTTTTTCATGTGCGTGCTCTTTGCTTTCAGTCGGAGACTGTGAATGCTCAGCCAACGTCGCCTTGTCGTTTTTTTCGGCCTCCTGGGGTGGCTCGTGTGAGGAAAGCTCCAAACTCGATAGTTTTTGGAGAACCTGCTCCTCCAACTTCATTTCCGCATCCATTTTCTGCAGCTCTTCTTCTATTTCCTCGTCAGACCCATCATCCATCTCTGCTTCGAAAACCCTGTCAATATCTTCGCCTTTAAGCTTCTCAGTATTGATATCTTCGACCAGCTTTTCAAGGTCGTTTAAGCTCCCCAATTGCGAGGAAAGACTCGTCAAAACGTCTCTAGACTGTTCAAAAACATGCTTCAATTGCACTCTGTCAATTGCAGCCTCAATGTCCAGTAGTAGTATTTCAACGTTGTTCAGATTTTGAAATGCCAAGTTAAGGTTTTTCTCCAAGAGCTTCTGGATCTGCAGACGCGTTCTCAGGAGCGCTTTAGGTTTTTGGCTTTTGATATCTACACGCAGTTGCTGTTTGGAATCTTTGATTCTGTCTTCGAGATGCGAGGTTTGGGTTTTCAAGTTGACTTGGGCTTCTTTCACAGATGCAATCTTCTGGTCGTCGATATTTATGCTCGAAGACTCGAATTTTGCAGTTATACCGCTGACTTCGAATCCTCGCACTTTAACTGTTGTGGAATCTGTTACTATGATACCCTTGTAGTGGTCCATATACGTGAGCATGGTCTCAAACGCTGCCCAATCTTTCAAATGGTCTGCGAAACCCACTTTTTGGCAAAAACTCGTCTTAGTGAAGATCAGATCTGAATATCTCACGGCTTTTTTACAGATCCGCTCCAACACCGCAAGATGCAATGGGTCATACTTTTTCTTGATAGTCGGTAGTACCGCGTATTGTCCACGTCGCAAATAAGAATGGCCCTTCGTACTTGATATTCTAGTTTTTCCAGCGTGCTGAGAATTGGGCAGCAGAGTGTTCAAAGTCCAACCCAGAACCGTAGAGACAATACTTTCTTTGACTCTTGATTTGAACTTTTCTAATGGGACCAAAGATCCTTCTGCAATCATAAAGTCCAACACGACATCGAGGCTTCTTGGCTGTCCCGCCTGCGGATCACTCAGTTCTTCAAGTAGTTCAGGCCCAGTTTTGACTATAACTTCATCTTCCAGCACTTCTTCAAGAAGAACTTGCCTCCAATTTCTGATGTTAGCTTCATATCCTTCTGGATTCAACTCTTTAAGGTTCCGAAAGTCGGAGTAAAGAGACGAAATTCTCGAGCTGGATAACAGCTTGCTCCTCATTCCAAATAGTTATGGCTACGTGACACTCCTAGGTTCATGGGCTCGAGAAACTTCTCTTAAAAAGATGGCAGATGCGATTTTGACCACATTTGATGAATATATATAAGAACTTATTGAACTTTTGACCTTAACTTTCACCTTACATTGACAAACGACTAGAAGATGGACATTTCCAACCGGATTTCAGGTATTCAGGCGTTGATAGACCGCTTGAATGCAAGTCTTACTTTGAGGAACATCGATGAAGTCAATAGCGAGTTAAAGAGGGCCCAGATTGAGCTTGGAAACTCATCTCTTGTAGATGTTGTAGGAATTTCCGAATTTTTGACGGAAAGTAAAGAAGTTTTGATGATGCAAGAACGGCTGCCGCATCTGGATTATGATTTGCTGATCGACGTTGTTGGCAGAATGATATCATTGATGCCTTTTGATCAGTTGATGGGACAATTTTCGCCACAAGATTTGAGTTTAAGCATCGAGAGTGGCATTCCTGCACTTGCTAAACTTGCATGCAAGGTTTTACAGCGGTCGGAGCCTAAGGGACTCTTTGCGGGATTGGGTCTCTTGGATTTGATCCTGTTCTTGCTCTTTGACCCTACAACAGACACAGGAACTGTAACAGAAATTGAAAATGTGTTCAAGGCACTGAGTTGTGACAGTTTGGTGCGCAGACGAATTTTGAGTCACAATGGCAAGTTTTTGATTGGTGTCAAAACGGAACTTGATCCTGTTTTATTGGCAAGATTGGTGGATCTGCTGAGTTCAATGACTCCCTTTGTCGACTGCAGTGAACTCAACGAAAAGTTGTTTCTGTTCAGTGAGCAGGAGATCATCAAAAGCATTGACATTGACATATTTTTGTTCATTTCTATTACCAACTACTATACGGATCTGTTGTACTCTTGTGGACCAAAGCTACAATACGACCGCTCTTGTGCTTGGCTTGTAGCACATGTCTTAGACGTGGCGATACCGGTCTACGGGAAACTGTACGCCAATGCAGAAGACGATTCAATTGTGCGTCTATATGCAGAGCGCTATATCTTCCGTCTTTTTGCACAAATATCCATGCTTGATGACCAAAAACATTTCAAGCGGCTCGACCAACAATATCTGAAGCTTACGGACTCAAACCCCGATTTCCCGGAATTTCGAAAATTCATCAACCCGTTCTACCTAATATCTGAAAAGAAAAACCCAGTTCTTGACCATCTTCGAGTTGATCCGTCCCACTTGGCAGAACTCAGAAACTTAATATCCAACGAGTGCTCTTTTGATGAAATAAAAAAGGTCTTGGTGCCAGATCGAATCTTGAGTTTGCCCTATTACGAACGAATGATTTTGTTGGAAAAACTCACCAGCTATGAATACTCAAGTCTGTTCCTCGTCAACAACCTTTCAAAAGTCATGTCAGATCTGTTGGATGACAAAGATGGAAGCATCACAGAAACTGAAATAGTGGAACTAAGAAGGAAGATTTTTGAAAATCTACTGAACCTGAGTGACGAGTCACTAAATGTTTGGAAAACTCCAGTATTGAATTCATATCGAGCCATTATAACGGGGGCTAGGAATGCCGGAGGGGCTGCGCAGGTAGCAGACATTTATATATAGTTTTTACTGACATGCTAATGAATTCATATATGTAAGCACTACAAGTACAACGAACCTGCTGATACGATGTCTCTATGAATCAAGGTTAGAGCAGATTCCATCTTCTCTTTAAGAGTAGCATTACCAATGGTATTAGCCACATCTGCTAGCTCCTTGATCAATTCCTCCAGACGCTTAAACATTCTTATCAGAGAACCTTCGTAAACATCTGTCATTTTGCAAATTTGAGTGAACGTGGCACCTTTGCACCATTCGTAGACAACCTCCATTAGTTCATGCCTAAAGCTTTCCACGTAGTCCTTCTCAACAATCTCAATCTTGGAATCTTTAACGATCTTTGCGATCTTGGCAGCAACCTCTCTCATGTTTTTCAAAGGTTCGGCGAGCTCGGGCTTTAATCTTGGCGATTCTTTACAGCGCTCCTGGAAAGCAAAACAGGACAATAATGCAGCTGCTTGTTCCGGCGTTAGTTCATTGAAATTACCATTAAATATAAGCTCTGTCAAGAGCAGCTCATCACCACTTGATATTTCACATGCGACCCTTCCTTTGAGTTCAATTACGTCGCTCTGAGTTGAGAAGCCAAGACGACGCAACACCCTCTTGCGACGACGCAAATCATCCAGTTGAATTACTGCTTGCGCTTCACTTATTTGTTTTGTTAGTTTCTTGACCTCGTTGATCAAGTCGGATTTCTCGCTATACTTGCGATACATGTCGTCTAGCTTGACGGATCCCGCGAGTGGATTCGATTCTTGTTTTGACTTCAGGACTGCACTTTTTTGAAGTAGCTTTTTGAAATCATCGTCTTCGATCTTCATATTCTTGATAGGATCAATAAGTGGAACAGCATCGGGAAATCTGCGCTTGACTTCTTTCAGAGATTTCCCTACAACATCTCGTTGGCCGCTTGCACGAATGTCACTTGGCATGTAAAGTCTCAGATTTCCCACGCTCTTGATGGAGCTTAAGGTGATTGGCAAAATTGCAGAAATAGATTTCTCGCCGGCATTGGCTGGTCTAATTCCTTCGGGAAACGATGGGTTGAAGGGCTTGATCAGATTCACCGGAGCGTCGGCGTACATTGAGTTGACAATGACATTTACGATGTAGGATTCATGATCCGTATACGTAGCCATAGGATCACGCTTGTTTGTTCTTTTGGCAAAATCAACCACCGCACCCCATCCGTAATTCACCTTACCTTCAATCTCCACCTCTATTAGTCGACCGGGTTGTAGAAAGCTCAAAACATTGGCGGGATGCGTTATTATATGGCAAATGTCTTCCGCATAATCGTTCAAAGTCTTTTGAATTTCGTGATAGTCCTTGATATTCTGCTCGTCCTCGATAACGATTTGGTCTGCTTTTTTGGTCAATTCGATGAGTTTCTTTTCCATGATGGGCACAGAGGTAACGTTCTGAAATTGGAAGAACGAGTGCTCCAACATGAATTCTGGTGATATACCCTCAACTCTCATGAGGTTCAAAATCATGTTGTATCCCAAATGGAAAGCGGAGTCGAGCCTATCAGCTTGACCTTTGACCATTCCTTTGGCAACTTGTGGTTCCATTTTCTCGTCGATCATCATAATGACTATACCACGGTCATCTAAACCACGACGTCCTGCACGTCCAGACATTTGAATATATTCACCACCAGAGACCCAACGGAATTGTTTACCATCCCACTTCCTCACACTAGTGAACACAACAGTTTTAGCAGGCATATTCAGTCCAATGGAGAAAGTCTCAGTAGCAAATAAAACCTTTAGGAAACCTTCTTGGAAGAGAATTTCAATAACTTCCTTCAAAATCGGCAAAAGCCCGGAGTGGTGAATACCAATCCCTCTCCTCAAAAGTGGAAGAATATGCTTGATCTGTGGCAGATCACGATCAATTTCTGGTAGTAAATCAATAGCATTACTGAAAATTTTCGTCAAAGCATCTTTTTCCTCCTCGGTATTGAAGTCTAACTTAGACATTTTCAAGGCGAGCTCCTCGCAGTCTCTTTTGCTGAAAGAAAAGACAATGACTGGGTTGTACTTTTTCTTCCATATCATTCTGACAATCTTGTAAATGTCACCTTTGGAGTCGGATTTTGGCGATCCACCTTTGAAAGTTTGGCCCTTCTTTCCTCTCGAGTTAATAGAATCCGAACTGTCACCTATCTGGTTGCTTATGGATGCCATGGCTTTTTGAAAGTTCTCTTCTCTGAATGTGCTTTTCTCATCTACAACCAAGTGGATACCATCACCATGCGCAGGGAAAAGATAGTGTTGGAGTGGAGTGGGCCGGAAGTCTGTGTAAACAATATGGCATGGTTGGGAATGAATTTTGCAAATCCACTCTGCGAATTCCATGGCGTTGGGTATTGTGGCGGAAAGGAAAACATATCTAACCTTATCTGGTAAAAGAATTATAGTTTCTTCCCATACAACACCACGCTCTTTATCTCTCATGTAGTGCACTTCGTCAAAGACCACCCATGCGACCTCTCTCATCACTTCACTGCCTCTGTATAGCATGCTTCTCAGAATTTCAGTTGTCATTACTAAACATCCTGCGTCCGGATTGATTGTTATATCACCCGTCATGAGACCAACGTCTCCAAAATCGGCAAGTAGTTCTCTATACTTTTGGTTAGAAAGAGCCTTGATAGGAGATGTGTAGATGACTCTTTGTTTTTCACGCATAGACTGCGCTATGGCATATTCGGCAACTACAGTTTTACCTGCAGAAGTGTGAGCCGACACCAAAACGGACTCTCCTCTATCGATACAGGATATAGCAGTATCCTGGAAGGGATCTAAAGTAAATGGATACGTTCTGGCTTCGTTGCTGCGTTTGTGCTCACCAATGGGGAGGTAATTATAGTTCGGCGGTAAAGCAACTTGATGTCTTACCTGATGCGAAAGCTTCACTTTTCCGTCTTCTTCGAGATTGGAAACGTCTCCAGCCCCAAGTCCATTGGATGCATTAACCTCACGAGATGCTTCTTGCTCGAAGGAGTCTGCAACAACAGGAACAACATCAGACTTTTTCTTCTTATCCAATAGCTTCTTACCACCCTTGGTCCGTTTATTAACCTCCTGAGCTACATCACCATTATCTTCAGGGTCTGTTCTAGCAGTTTCATTGCTTTCACTGTCCAAAGGACGTTTCTTCGAGTCGGTATCGGCCGACTTTGATTCCTGGACACTAGAATTAGTTTCAGCCACGTCCGCTACCTCTTCTGGAAGGGCGAGATCGGTATTCTTTTCGTCAAAGACATCGAAAAGGTCGTCTTGATCCATACCGAACAGTTGCGAGGATTCAAAAGACTAGATTTCGTGCTATTGAATGTCTTTAGCTACTCATGTACAGCTCATCGTCTTTTGATAGTTACCTGCAGAGACAGCTTTAGTACTAAAAATTTTCGAGATGCCTATTATCACTTTCTTCCAAACCGACGTTTTTTGGATATTCTTTCTCCTGGGGCTGTCCTTGACTAAATTTATGAATAATAGTTCAAATACTTATCTATTCCTTAAGAACAGGTCTGGACAGCTTACTGAGAGGATCATCGCTGTTGCTGGCATACCGTGAAAACGATGTTACCACCTTTATGCAACGTTATATAGTATTCATTGCTCAACCTCAACAAATGTAGCTTATAGTCAGCTAAGCTGAATTGACTCCTAAAGCTTTTTTTTTCACTGTTGATAGCCTGAAGACGATAAAAATTCTAGACTCGCCAGAATGTTTCTGGAAATTGTCATTATCGAGATGCCGAGTCGCATTTAGTGGTCTAGTGTAAGCACTCCGTAAGCTTTGTGATGTTTTTCTGAGAAATAAAAACTGAATGAATGGACAAGCAAAACTTGAGCCGCCTTTTGGCTAGTAAACATCGGTAGAAGAGCTGTCAGTAGCTATCGCTATGTTTGAACCAGCCGTGTTGTTAGACTGCACCGCATTTAGAAGCAATGTAAATTACTTCCTCTCTAGTATAGCACAGTATCTTTCGAGAGTATAAAAGGTAAGCTCTGATGAGGGAAAATTTAGTGAGCTCTGGCGGGAGAGTAATTCGAAGCTATTGGTTTGGCATATCTGCTGTAAGCGGTAAGATCTCAGCTCGTCACTTTCTGACCATAGGGTCGCTGTCATCAGTCACGTGATCAGGTCCAGGCTTGCCCAGCACGTTTTTTTGTCGGTTTAGCTGTCTAGCATAGGCATGAAGCTTTCGAGGTAGCAGAATACTTGCATTTTTATCCCAAGTGGAGCTATGACGACTAGAGAAAAGCCCCTAATTTGCTGGCTTTTTGTTTCATACCGATTTAAAGATCACTATGTACTGCAATGGCGGGGAATCCTATAAATTACCTTGAAAATCCCTAAACCTTTAGAAGAGCGCTTGTTCACGTAGAAACATCACATTTACACTCCGCTTGGGGTCATGAATACACCCGAATATAATTCAAATAGCTAATAATGAGTCCGGTTCAGCTAGGTGAAGCCTCTTTCAGGAAAACGGTGGCTTCCCCGCTACAAGCTATGCAGTAACAGCGGAACGCTTTGAACTAAGCGCGCACCAAAATACCCAATTCGTCGTACCGGGGAAATACACTTTATCAAACATGCTCGATACCTAGTGGTCTCGAATACCGAATTCGTTAGGCCCTCCCCCATCAAGCCCAAACCACCTCTCTCGACTTGCCAACCTTTTTTTTTTTTTGGAAATCTGGAGTTCGCCCAATGTTGTTGTACTAGCTTTTAGACCTATGTTACAGCGCTTCAAAGCAGACCCGTCATCTTTACCTGCCAGCATCAAGTTGCTTTGTATGCATGTTAACCTGTTTGTTGGTAAAACAAACAACAAAAACAATGCCTTTGCCAATGCAGCTCCGACAAAGACTCTTCAACTAAGCAACGTCCAATGTTTACAAAACATGGTTGAAGCTAAACAATAGAAAACAAAGCAATACAGCAGACTTTGCCGCTTGCCCCGCCCTCCTCAAAGCTGGTGTTGGCAGGGTCTATCGTGCCACCCAGCGCTGCCTTAATATCACTATGAACGTAATGTTGGGAATTCGAATGGCTGGGCCTAAGTTCATGAAAACTGCTGTGAACATTTCATGACACGCACAGCAGCCTCTTCATCCGCCTGGAAAAAATGACGAGTTCAGCATTCTGCAGGTTCTGCTGTATTTGCCGTATTTGTTTTTTTTTCTAGTCAACACATTTTGTTTTCATGCTTTTGGTGTTTGCAAGGGAACCCGGTTTTCGTGGTTGAAACCAACCTTATTGAACACATGAGATTCGCGCAGAACTGTTTGTTTTGCCCGAGCTGGCCAGCAAACACTTTCAAGGACAGCCCAAACGATGCCCAATGCGTCGTGGCCCGCTATGCTTAATGTTCTGGTCTCCAAGTTTTGACAAGAGAGGTTCAGGATATATAAAAGGGCGATCCGCAGACCTGTGTTTGAAAACCATCATCTAGCTGCTTACTGTTTCATCATAATCCAAAACACTAATAGTCGCTGAATTTTGTGAAAGGCCACCGATTCTGTGACAACAATCTTCACTCACTTGCACACATCGAAAACATCTAGTTGTTTCCCTCCAATGCTCATTCTAGTCACAGCTCTAATCTTGAAGCTGTCGCTCGTCCTCGGTTTCGAAGCCAGTTCCAAATCAAACGTTGCCGTTTATTGGGGTCAGGCCTCAGCTGGCTCCCAAGAATCTCTAGCATCAAACTGTCAATCCCCAGACGTGGACATCGTGCTGCTTTCCTTTCTATATTCCTTCCCCACCAGCATCGACCTGGACTTTAGCAGTGCTTGCTCTTCTTCTTTTGGTGACGGGCTATTGCACTGCGACCAAATCGCTCAAGACATCAAGACTTGCCAGAGTCAAGGCAAAAAGGTTCTTCTTTCCATGGGCGGTGCAATTGGCTCCTACGGATTCACCAGCGATTCCCAGGCCGAGGATTTCGCCACCACACTGTGGGACACTTTTGCCGGTGGCTCTGCCTCCGAAAGACCATTCAACGATGCCGTTGTCGACGGCTTCGATTTTGATATTGAAAATCAAAACCCTACGGGCTATGCAGCTTTGGCTAAGAAGCTGAGAGAACATTTCAACTCCGCCTCTCGTGACTACTACTTGTCTGCTGCCCCTCAATGTTTCTACCCTGATGCATCTGTTGGTGACCTTTTGAACAACGCAGAAATTGATTTCGCCTTTATTCAATTTTACAATAACTATTGCAACGTCGACTCTCATTTCAACTGGGACACTTGGACTCAGTTTGCGGCAGGTGCACCAAACCCAAATATCAAATTGTACTTGGGTTTACCGGGGTCTTCGTCTGCTGCTGGCTCGGGTTATCTCTCTGACTTGAACCTGGTTCAATCTACTGTCAACAAGATCAGCGGCAGTGCTAACTTTGGTGGTATCATGTTGTGGGACGCCTCTCAGAGCTTCACTAATAAGGTTGACGGTGATACTTACGCCGCCCAAATGAAAAAGATCTTGGGTTCCGTGAGCTCTGAAAGTACTCCAAATACTTTTTCTCAAACCCCCTCCTCCACATCTTCGAGCGCCTCCTCTACAGTGGCGTCTTCGACTTTCTTCGCAAAATCGTCCGCAGCTACTTCACGCTTTGTTACTTCTGCATCTTCAGCAACCGACTTGTCTTCCGCCACTGTTGCTCCTTCATCCACGTCACAATTCTTTGCCAAGTCTGCTAAAAGCTCTCTTTTTGTTGCCTCTACATCATCATCACCCGATGTGACTTTTACGTCGGAAGCTTCGACTACTTTATCTCCTCAGTCAAGCTCCATGGCTTCTTCCGCTCCAGTTTCCCACGCTCATACCCAGGCGCTTACATCAAGCGTCCCAGTTGTCATTTACAGCACCTCCACTGCGTCTCAAAGTGCTTCTGCTGCGTCTCTCCAGACCACCAGCCTTGAAACTTCTGCAACTAGCTCATCAGCAGAATCTCAACCATCAAACACAATGACTGCTTCCGCCACCTCAGCCGCAAGCTCGTCCGAGACATCTTTCACCCTTTCATCTACCTCGCAACAAAGCAGGACTGTCTTGGCGCCTACTAGCATTCCAACATTCGCACCAAGCACCACTTCTTCGCCAACTGCTACTGGCTCAAATACGTGGGCTCACACCAGAGCAATTGAATTGAATGCACAATATGCTGCTGGCCAGCTTAACGGAAAGTCATCCTGCTCTGATGGCGAGATCGCTTGCTCAGCTGATGGCCACATCACGATTTGCGATCATGGGCTTTGGGTCTATACTGAATGTGCTGCCGGAACGACTTGTTTTGCTTACGATTATGAAGATGCCGTCTACAGCAGCTGCAACTTTGCAAATGTCAAGAGCAGCTTTGTTTGAAACATCATCCTAATGATCATTTAACTCCCATTGCATTGAGTGACACCTCAGCCAACAGCCAGCATGAAACATCCGTCAGGGACATTTAAAGAACTGTATTATATAGACTAATAAATTTATGAAAGCATAATTAAGCTTTATGCGTTAAATAGTACGAGTATACCCGCGATCTCACCTCGCTGGTTTCCTCGTCTTCCTCGAACATGGGCTTCCAATTGACCATGTCGATCTTGGTTGGAACGAGGTCGAATTCTTTTGCGGTCTCAAAAAATTGAAGATCGCTTTCAAGAAGCCAGGGTCTGTGAGGCGAAAACACTACCAGGGCTTTTCCGTTTGATGCTAAGAGGTCCTTGGTCGTTTGTAGAAGTTTCAGATGCTCTGTGTGGTTAAAGACGAGATCGCTAAGGATAATGAAATCGAATTTGGATTGTTTTGAGGGTAAATGTTGAGTAATTGGATCGTAGCTATTTCCCCATATGTATCCCTCAACCACCACAGCTCGTGTAGCAGGGTCAAAATCGGGTTGGCCTTCGTAAAGCGCATGGTTTACATTGTGCTGGATATTTTGGATCAAATCCACGTCAGGATAGTCCGTAGAAACACATTTTTTCACACCAATGAGACCTGCAATCACTGACGGCAGTGCTGCAGCCGCACCTAGCTCCAGGACGTACTTGTCGAGTACAAGCTCAGGATGCTTGTCGAGATATTGGGCTGTGTAGATACCTGCATTCCAAAGCAAGTGTCCCCAAAGAGGCGATGAGCCCACTAGCCGTAGTTTGACGCTCTTGGACTTGTTTTGAGAGTTTTCTGGGATATTGGTTCTTTCATAGTCGGCAAAATGCGCTTCTGGAGCTGGTTTGTAGTAGCCTTCTGGCTCTGCAAAGAGATCGGACTCTATGAAGGATTCGGTGTCGGACATGAGCCAAAAAAAAGCTTTGCGTGTATCTTTTATCAACGGGATCAGTTTGAGCTTTTGGAAAGCTGGAGAGCGGTCCCAGATGCTTTGAACTAGTTCTGTCAGAGAGCTCATCGAGACATCTCATCGCGCGATTCTCTCATATTGACAAAATCTTGTGAGAAACGGTATCACCATGGACGAGCCACAGATGCACGTGATAAATCTCAGAGACGTGGGACGATATGTTTTAGATATCAATTCCATATCATACATATGACAATGATCTATACACCGTTGTAGCAGACCCCTCCTCATGATTATCGTTTTCCAAGTATTAATTGACGTTGAGATTTGGACCTTTTAAATATTCTGATTTTCGAATTTTTGACAATTCATGGTATTAAAATACATTTCTCAAACTCAAAATTATCATCATAATAATGCCATTTCAATGCCACAGACACAGCGTACGTGCTCACTCCTGATCTTTACTCTTCATCTATATCACTATTCACGGTCCACCATTCACTTTATCAATTTCCTGATACTTTCTCTCTCTGGTTTCCAGTTCACACTGTCACTACCCAAGAGTAGCCATATTTGAACTCTAAAAGTCCAGTAAGTATTCCAAAACTCATCCCCGTACTTCTTTTCCAAACCCACAATATCCTCCCCCATCGAAAAGCTACTCAATTCCACTTAAATTGGCTTTTAAACTGTCAGTAAAGTCCGAATATACATAATCCATAAATCAGCATCGACAACTCTGGCTTTGCATCCCCATTGGCTGGATAGAAGCCCTCTAATTCCAAAATCACTGCTGTATTACTCCCGTTTTCCCGAGCCGTCCGGAATCTTACATTTCACGTTTCTTCTCCAAAGGGTGTGTGACTTTAGATACATGTCATTCTGAATTCTAAGGTATATAAAGGGAACAACTTAAGCTAGCTTGTAAACCAAGAACATAAGAAGCTCGAGAATCTATATCACGAAACAGTTCAAAGTCTGTGGAAAGTAGAAGCTGCGACTTGCCAACAGCATAGCGTTTCTAGTGTTTTCATTGTTTATAGTGGTATAGTGGTATAGTGTGTGTTATTGTTGTGTAAGGTATCTAAATAGAGTCAGTCTTCAGCATGTCGGATCTTAATAAGATGGAAAGTCGAAAGATCGAGTATCGCGTGGATGGGGAGTTTTTCATTATCACATTTGTGGACCCCAAAGCACTCAATTCGCTCTCTGGTACAGATTATCTATATCTGGCCCGTGTACTGCAGATAGCCGACTCAATGGAATCAGTGAGCTTCACTTTGCTACAAAGCACTGGCCGTTTTTTCTCTGCTGGAGCCGATATTTCGCACATAGCGCAAGTGCAAACCGCTGCAAACCAGGAACCCGGTGGAATGCTTGGGAAATGGCTTGCGGAATTTGCCAGTCGAAATGTCTTCGTGACTCACGTCTTCGCAACGCATTCCAAAGTATTGGTATGCTGTCTGAACGGACCGGCCGTCGGACTCACCGCAGCGCTCGTAATGCTTTGCGATATCGTTTACAGCATGAACGACAACGTCTACCTCATGTTCCCGTTCGCAAACCTGGCGCTGGTGACAGAAGGTGCTCTTTCCGTGACGTTGCCTCTTAAGCTCGGCTACAACGCGGCACACGAAATCCTGATGTTTGCCAAGCCCGTTACTTTCCAGCAACTTATCGACAAAGTGATTGTCCGCAACTACATGCTTTCAGACGCCGATACCTTCAATACGAAAGTGCTTTCCGATCTACGCGAAAAAACGGAGGGACTTCACCACGACAGCTTCATTAATATGAAAGAACTGCTCAAGAGACCGCTTTTGTCGGAACTTAAGCGTGCCAACATCGACGAAGTGGCCGATGCTATGAAATACTGGGTCCAAAGTCTCCCACAGCAGCGGTTCCAGGAAATAGGATCGAAAAAACGCAAACACAAGTTTTGAGCAGGCTGCAGCAAGCCATTTCTTAGAAACATATATCGGTAAAATTTATGTTTTTGATTCCTGTTTCTCCATTTTCACTCGCGAAGCAGGCTGTGGTCACTATTGCCACCACCCATATTGCCCTTATCCTCGTATTCCTCTTCATCTTCCTCTTCCCGCTCGATAGTGTGGAGAACCACTTCTGCGGGCTTGTAGTTCTCTGAGCTTATTCGTTTCGATATGCTGACCCCACTCATGATGAAGAATACCAAACCCAAGACCGCAAACAGACCGCTCCGCGTTGTTTGCCATCTTAGATTCTCAATGTCTGATTTCGTATCGCCAATAATACGAGTTCCGATTTTGTTGTTGCAGTCTTTAAGCTGGAGATGGATGTTCCGATGCAGCAAGGTATTTTCGATCTTGCGGTCATTGAAGTCGACCTTCGAGTCTTTCTTCAGTAAGTTTATGGTCAGCTCGTTAAGTTCATCGTGCAGGAGATGAAGACTCCGGTTTAGCTGCAGCAGCTTAAGATTTTGTTCGCTGAGCGCAGACTCTCGAGAAATCTGAATTGTATAACGTAATTCTGACTCTGCAGCGTCGAAAAGGTGTGATTGGGTCTCCAGCTCTGTCTTGCGCAGAAATCTATCGTTGTAAGTATCAAAAAACTCGGTATTCAAGGTTTGAAGAAGCAATTCTATGGCTAGTGAACTCTGCTTGGGAGTAAAGCCACTTCGCAGAAGCTTTTCGTAACATCTCAAAGTGTCGATTTGGTTTTCAGCCGACGTGGATGGAAATCCGTTTCCCTCCGATACCAATTGTTGAGGAAGGTCGCCAATAAGATTATCAGCAAGCGTTTCTTGTAGTTTTGGACCAGAATTCGTTTTGTCTTCTTTCAACGTACCTAAAGTTCTGATGCGTAAATGTGTTCGTTGTAGAGCTAAAGGTAAGTTCCAAGCATGCTTCGCATACCGGGAAAGACGGTACATAAGGCCAAAAGCAGCAAATAAGTACTAGTGCTCTTACCAATGGCGGATTCAACTAGTTTTCTGTTCAACGACCGAGATGTTCTTGAGCTGTAAATCAATTGATGATATACATATGTATATATATATAAGTATATAAGAGCGATTGGAACAATCATAGACTACACCAACCAGGCTTTTTGACATGTAAGAATGCCTTGGGACTTCTTAGTACTGGGGTGAGTGAGAATTTGAATCTGATCCGCTTGGGGTAGCGCTTTTTATGCAGATTTTAGCATGAATTCTGATATTTTGACCTACAGCGACTACCGGAAAATCTAATATTGGTGTACTTTACGGTATATAGAGCTACTATTTGAACTAGCCTTCAATCTTGAGTGTAAACAGGGCATTTTGAGGTTGCTGGAATCGTGGAAATCTTGTAGTTGTGTGTCCTTGAACCGCCGCATGACATTCTTTTTTGAAATCTTGAGAATGCTCCGATGTGCATCTATGTGAATGCTGCAGCTCGAAGGAACAGGTTGAAGTTAGTTCACTGGGATTTTGGTGCTCTGAAGATTGAGAATCATAATGACTGTAGCTTTGTACATATGATCACAACGCAACGGATTTGACATTAGGATTGACTCCCAACTGCGAGCGTATGCGAAGCACAAAGACATTGCGTAAAGCTTCTTTGTGAATGCGGATTGAGCCGCACGATTTGTTACCGCTTGGTTTCCAAGTCAAAAGTAAACTTCACCCGCTGTTTGGGATTGGACGGCGAAAATGCCGTGGCATCGCTATCCGAATCATGCAGAACCTGTTCAACAAACGTCACTTTGGGCTCACTCCTCGATACCAATATTACAATTTGGGAGCGTGTTCCATAATACTTGCCGCATGGCAAAGTGGCTCCCACATTTTCGTTGGATCCAGCCGAAAGAGGCGGAACGAAGATGGTTTTAGTCGTCAGTTGCTTCTTAGGAATGCCAGAACTTTCATCACACTCGCAGTTGGAAGCCAATTTGAGACACTGTTCAACAATTTGGTCCTCTGTAGCAGTCGTAGAGTTTTCAACAAGCTGATGCAGCAGCGTTTCCGCCGTATGAATTTTGAGCCATTTGTCAGGAGAGCCCACAAAATCATTAGACATCACAAAAACCCGGTTTTCGCTAGTCAGAACTGGCAGACTCAGACCGAACGAGTCCATGGCCGTATATTTTCCTTCTTTACAATCGCCCACGAACAAGTTCAAGTCACCATTTCGCACATCTGAGAACTTGTGTGCGAATTTGTCGAAGGTGTCCCACTCGTTGAAAGGACTGCGGTCTTGTAGAAACCGCATTGGCACGCTTCCTCTGGAAAAGGCCGGATTAGCTTTAAATCCTGCCTGACGGGGCCGATTGTGTCGAAGATTCAAGACAACTGCGACTTTACCGTCCTTATTCACTCCACACCACGTACCACCTTTACTTTTGCCCTCGCTGTCCAAAGCTAGATCGATAGGGCACAGTACGAACCCATCTTTGTTAAAACAAGTGTGCTGAGTCTTCCTTTCGTAGAATTCGTCCCTATTGGATATCAGTATCAAGGAATACTGAGGATGAGCTGAGGTTGCCAGTAAAATGCACATTGAGAATCAAGAAAACAGCGAGAGATAGATATAACAGGGTTGGAACCGGGTCCTTTTTAATCTTGGACCTTGTAGTCCTTGTCGCTGGTGTAATATTGTATAGTTAAATGGAAATTAGAGCTATACTTAAAAACCCATTTGTTAATCTCATTCATACTACAATGACGCTACGAATCCTGAAGTTAGCACCAGTAGCGCACCGCGGACTGCATTCGTGCTGTGTTCAGCTTGTCAAGAAGAACAAACTTCCTCCCAGGCCGAAATGGATGGCTGAAATGGAGAAAGACCTTGAAGAGAAGTTTCTGCATGGCGGACGAGGACCTGGGGGCCAGAAGATCAACAAATCCAACAGTAAAGTGCAGCTGAGACATGGTCCTAGCGGTATAGTAGTGGAATGCCAGGAAACACGGTCTCGGGAAAACAACCGAAAGATAGCACGCGAGAAGCTGGCATTGCAGCTGGCCGTTTGGTCCAACGGTGGGAGCCCGATAGAGCGCCAGACGGCGCTGCACGAATGGGAGAAGCAAGGCAAGCGCAGCCGCGAGCGGAAAAGCAAGGAGAAGCACGGCAGACACGAGATAGAGAGGCAAGAAGAACGTCTGCGAGAGATGCAAGAGGAGGAGCAGTTGGTGGAGGCTCTTCTACGCAAGGAGCGGTAACTCAAAGGTCGAATCTCACATGTATACAAGCGTTAGCCCATCGAAACTGTGACAGACCAACTTTCCGGGCCTTTACGGTCGAAATCCCACCCATAAGACGAACTCCGAGCGAGAAAGGTCAGAAAACGCAGATAAAGCGAAAAAGGTCATTAGAGGTCCAAAATTAACGTCAAGACCTGCATTCAAGAGCTACAAATTGCGCAATGTATTCTAATTCTGTCTCATAACAGCTAAACCATCTGTGAGCACCCCTCAGGTCCCTCAACCGTCGCCTTATTCATTCTCAAAGTCTATCTCATCTCACCTCATCTCATCTCAAATCATCGTATTTACACCATGCTGTTATTTGATAATTTGAGATCTATCAGCTAGCTTAGCTAATCTCGAAAAATGAAAAACATAAAAAATAATGATTACGTAATAATTTTGGAAGAACTGTTCACGTGATGCAATTTTTCGTTTTAGCATTTTTGAAAATACAGCACTTGACTAAAATCCGACTTCATCGCTCTCCAGACATTCTGTTGATCCCCATCATTTGTATCCCGCTAGTGATCGACCACACAAACTTAACCGGCATGGGACGTCCGCCGAAGCTTGTTAGTCAAGAGAAAATAGAGCAGTTCCAGCTGGAGCTGGAAATGGCCAGCCAAGACCCGGAGTTGCTTCTTAAGGACAAGAAAGGACGGTCGAGATCATGTTTACTGTGTCAGCGACGGAAAAGAAGATGTGACCACAAGACTCCAAGCTGCACGGCGTGTTTGAAGGCAGGCGTGCGGTGTATACAACCCAGCAAATACGTAAGCAGTCCGTCGCCGCGAGCTACGCCGTCAGAATCGCCTTTGCAGGCCCATGCACCGAATTCCCAGCGGGGGTCTGGGTCTGTGACTTCTGCTGGAACAGCTACAACAGGCGCCAAGCCTCCCAAACAGGACGAATACACCAAGTTTCTGGAAAAGAAACTGAGATATCTGGAGAAAATGCTCGACATGCCACCTACGGGAGAACCTTTTAAAAAGAGACTTGCCAATTACAGACGAATCGCACACCTCATTGACGGTCCGGCACCGGATGAAGCGACAGAGCTGAATACAGGCACCCAGATCAACGGTGCAGGGCCTCCTACGGCACAGTTCGCCCTTCCGCCGTCCCTGGCGTCCGCTGGGTCGTCGTCGCCAATTCTACCACCGCCCAAAACTGTGAACTTTTTCCCCTTGCAGCCGGAATCTCACTCTAGAGGAGAGGCGCGCATCAACAACCGCGCAACCAGCTCATTAGCTGCGTTGACTTCAGACTCGCTGGAATCTATTGATTTCTCACGTTGCATCTTTGCCAAGTACAACCTTCGCGATTTCTTGTCCTACGATCCGGCATTCGAGTTCGAGGAGCAGTTATCTCGAGCATTCTTAGACAGCTTTTTCACGAGACTCCAGTTCAAATATCCCCTGTTGGACAAACAAGAAATTTACAACTTTCACGATGATTACATTGGTAACAATGTTCACTCTTATTCGACACAAGAATTCCATTTTGCATGTGGCAGAATGTGGCTCATTTTCAGCATAAGCGCCTGTCTTCATATGTCAGCTGGAAAATACCAGGGTCTGCCACCCAACAGATATTTCTCCACCGCCATTCGTCACATCACTAAGTGTGGTGAAAAGCTGACTTATGTTCAGCAGGTAGAAATCCTTACTTTACTTGTGTTGTACATGATACGAACGGACCGGGATTCGAGTGGTCTTTATGAGATTATCAAGGACGTGGTCTCAATATGCAGAGACAAGTTACACCTTAACAAGTGGAATGCTCAAGATCTTTTTGCAGGCAAGAAACTAAGACTATTCTGGTGCGTATATCTGTTGGAGAGGATGATCTGCGTAGCGGTCGGAAAACCTTACACGATACCAGAATGTGAGATCGACCTCCCGTTATTTGACGAAGCCAGTTTCAATAATAGTACAATGAACGACGAAAAGAGACATGAACGAGGCCTCAATTTCATCAATCAATCTCTTAAGTTGAGAAGGATTGAGTCTCAATTTGTGGAACGTCTTCAGATTATACCACAAAACTCTAATTCCACATCGGAAAACCATAAAGATACCGCGGAGCTCGCTAAACAACTTCCACATGTGAAAAGCTTTTTCCACGAGCTAGAAATATGGCGATCGAATTGTTCTACTTCCCGTGTTCCTAACTTTGAAAATGAGACGTTGAAGCTCTACTATTTCAGATCCGTGAGACTTTTGATTCAACCTTACCTAGAGCTTCTCGAGCCTGAAAATAGACTTTTCCGTGAATGCCAGGCAGCTGCTGGTCAGATTTGCCAACTCTATAAAATTTTCCATCAAAAGACGGTTTATGGTCATTCTACGCCGGCCGTGCATACAGTTTTTGTCGCGGGCGTAACTTTAATATACTGTATGTGGCTGATGAGAAACTGGGACGACGAAAGGCGAAGAAAACTGGGCGATATCTCGAAGCATACCAGACCATTGGTGAGTGCAAGTCTGTTTTCCACCATGGACGATCTTAGAGCCTGTTCGGCATGCTTATATGTCATGGCAGAAAGATCTAAGTTTGCAATAACATTCAGAGACACTTTTGATCAGCTAATGAATGCTACAATCGGGAACTTGATTGAACGATGTGGACCGGACTCATCAGAACTGATATACATCAATGAGGACAGGAGCGAAAGCGAATACTCCGCTGACGGTCGATCCGAAAACTCCGACAAATCAGGAGTTGACGTCGGTTCGCAAATTGTCGAAAGTGGTATGCCACCAGCTATCAGACGTACGTTTGGTACGGCCTCGAGCGATCTTCATGTTGGTTTCGTGGAGACAGCTCAAGTTGATCTTGAAGAACAAAAGGCGTTGAAGAAGAAACAGGGCGATTTGCAAAAGGCCACTGTACCCCAAAAACTCTCATATCTACTGGCACCGGATATCGAGGAAGAACCCATAAAAACGACTAAGTCAGGCTCTTCGAGACGCAAGTCTCGGGGTAGTTCCAAAATTCAATCTGAAAAAGACAAATATGTTGTTAAAAAGCCGGCGCATATTACCGAGTCAGATTGGCGGGCATTTCAGCAGCAAGCCTTTTTGCAGCAACACCACGCCCAGCAAACTCTTCAAGCATACTTGGACTCACTGCATGGCAAAGTTGGTGATCTTAATGTTGAAGCTTCTGTTGAATCGAAGCGTCCACTTGAAGGCACCATTGCAAGTTTACATCCAACGGGAATGCCCGAAAATCAAACCGCTGACCCGATTGTAGCGGCACCATTGGTTGCAAATAACCCGCTTTGGGGCAAGTCCGTTGGGAATGCCCTCCAAGGAAATGTCGAGGATAACACGCCAATGGGAGCTTCCGAAACCATGCGGCCTTCACTTTCGAGTCCTGCACCAGCTACAATCCATCACAGACCTATTAATGGTTATGCGAATGCGGATGCAGATTTCAGCGGACTATTTTTCAACAATGGAACTCACAATATGATCAACAATATCTCAACGTGGACGAATGATTCTGTGGTGGATCTTATGAACAACTATCAAGCAGATCAGAATTCTCTTTTCAACATAAGCTCTGCCCCCGATCCTTCCTCTCGCATGAACCCGTACTCAAACACATCCAGATTCGCTTCGCCAGGTTCGCAAATGCACCCTATACCGCCAGTGGATAAAGCGATGATGCTGTCACAACAACAAATGGGTCAGAATCCACCCGATATTGCGCAGCAGCATGAAAGAGTAATGCACCATCAGTCTCAATCTCAGCATGCTCACCAACAGCACCAGTCTCAACCACAGAATTCTCATCCGCAGCACCAGTACCAGCAGCAGCAACACCACCAGCACCAACGTCCACAGCAACCGTTTCCTTTGGGAAGGCCAAACTCGCAGCCCGTGAGAAAGCATTTACAATCAGACTTGTTGTTCGGTACACCAGTAGAGGAGTTTTGGACAGTTAACGACGATTACGGATTCTTAGCTTAGTTCATGCAAAATGATTGGCCGAGGAACCAATTGTTAGACTGGGTTGCAAAGACATTTTCGGCACGAGTATTCTAAAAAAGATTACTTGAAGTCAAGTTGATTTTCATTTGGGTTCTCGAGGTAGACTGTTTTACTTACGAAGCAGGTTTTTGAAAGCACCTAAGTGGACCTCAAATTCCTACCAGAAGTTTGGAACCTCCCGAAAACCGGGCCTGTATTTCGGCTGCCCAACAGCGTAGTGAATCGTGCCTAGCTCAGATAGAATTGAAAGACACTAAGTAGTCCTTGCCTAGGCGTGGGTTATATCACTTTGCACTATTTAGGCGTCGCCGGTGGTAAGATCCAGTGACGACAACGGTCGAGAACAAACTCGAGCAAGACTATATTCAATGACGGTACAGACAATGAGTTGTTTAAAAGCCAAATTAAAAGAATGAATAGGCTCTAGAAGTCCGAAATTTGGTCGTTGTAGAGTTTCAAGTAATGCCAAATTAATCGATCTGATTCAAATTCGACAACGAATCGCCATATCAATTTGATACTTCAAAATAGGTTCGACAAATTGTAGTTTTATTCCACGTCATGAGTCTTGTTTTATATGTTTATTGGTTCAATAACGTAGGTAACCGTTATCTGTAAGAATCAAAACGAAGAAAGGTGGGTTTACATGAAAACAGAATAATCATCAAATTCTCAAATACAATAACATTGGCATACTTTTCAAGTATAAAATAGCTTCACTTGCTTCACTCAGGCTTCCTTCAACATAGCTTTGCAACTTTATCGTGAGACACGTAGTCATCCAATTTTTCGGATCTTGACTTATATTAACACCATCTTACAAGATAGTTACCGCTCTTTTCAAACACTTGCAATCCGGGAGCTATTAAGCGCTTGGATCGGTCTGTTTGCGCTGTGCCGGACTATTCCTGGGATTGAAAGAAGTTAGTATTACAATTTTTGTCACTAGGCTACTCCTGCAAAGTATCGACGTCAAGTTATTCACTTTACTAACTTGAAAAAATACTTTATTCTGAATCAAAAATCCCAGGTCGTTTCTCCCTATTTCCATACATCTTCCTTCTAGTTTGTGGGCTAATTCGTAAGCACATCGCAAGTTCCCGCTCTGCCCTTTCATTTCAGCTTACGAGTGAAATTTTTGCTCCAGATATTGCTGATTTTAGACCCAAAGCTAAACTACTCCATCCTTGTTCATTCTGTCCATTAACACCAAACGCTATGTCATCAGAAGAAAGGCAATCGCTCAGCAAGACATCGTTTAAGTTTTTCGGACTTGGCGGAAGCAATGAAGTTGGCAGATCTTGCCATATTCTCCAATACAAGGGCAAAACAGTGATGCTTGATGCCGGAATCCATCCCGCTCACCAAGGTCTGGCGTCTTTACCCTTTTACGACGAATTCGATCTTTCTACAGTTGACGTTCTGCTCATTTCGCATTTTCATTTGGACCACGCTGCGTCCCTGCCCTACGTCATGCAACGCACAAAATTTCGAGGACGAGTCTTCATGACTCATCCTACCAAGGCCATCTATCGATGGCTTCTTAGCGACTTCGTAAAAGTTACGAGCATTGGGTCTTCTGGCTCTCCAGACAAAGACGAAAGTCTGTATTCGGACGAAGATTTAGCCGAGTCCTTCGATAGGATAGAAACTATAGACTTTCACTCTACTATCGATGTTAACGGTATCAAGTTTACGGCTTTTCATGCTGGACACGTTCTGGGTGCCGCAATGTTTCAGATAGAAATTGCAGGCCTGAAGACACTGTTCACAGGTGATTATTCTCGAGAAACCGATCGTCATCTGAACTCTGCGGAGGTCCCACCTTCATCTTCGGACATTTTGATCGTTGAATCCACATTTGGTACAGCCACCCATGAACCGAGGGTCAACAGGGAGAAGAAACTAACGCAGCTGATACACTCTACGGTCTTACGTGGAGGAAGAGTCCTTTTGCCCTTATTTGCGCTGGGGAGAGCTCAGGAAATTATGCTGATACTGGACGAGTTTTGGTCCAAGCATTCGGAGGAACTAGGCAATGGTCAGGTTCCCATTTTTTATGCCTCCAACCTTGCCAGAAAATGTATGAGCGTGTTCCAGACGTACGTGAATATGATGAATGACGATATCAGGAAGAAGTTTCGGGATTCGCAATCCAATCCGTTCATTTTTAAAAACATTTCATATCTCAAAAATCTCGACGAATTTCAAGACTTTGGACCCAGTGTTATGTTGGCATCTCCGGGTATGCTGCAAAATGGTATTTCTCGCGATTTGTTGGAGAAATGGTGCCCTGACGACAAGAATTTGGTTTTGATCACAGGCTATTCGGTGGAGGGAACAATGGCAAAATATATAATGCTGGATCCTGATACAATCCCCTCTATCAATAACCCGGAAGTCAACATTCCAAGGCGATGTCAGGTTGAGGAGATTTCTTTTGCAGCTCATGTTGACTTTCGCGAGAACCTGGAGTTCATAGAAAAGATCGGAGCGAGAAACGTTATATTGGTACACGGGGAATCTAATCCTATGGGGCGTCTCAAGTCAGCGCTCTTGTCTAATTTTGCGTCTTTGAAGGGCACTGAGGATGAAGTTCATGTCTTCAATCCCCGTAATTGCGTGGCGGTCGAATTAGAGTTTTCGGGTATAAAAGTGGCAAGGGCCATTGGAAACATTGTTGACGAGGTCATTAGCAATCTTGGAGGTCTGCAAGGCACTTTGGACCAAGGAAAACTTGCGACTCTGAACACGTTGAGTGAAGGCAAAGAAAAGGAGGATCTATTGGATAAAAAGAAGGAGAATGGCGAAGGAACAATAGTTTCAGGGATTTTGGTTTCGGATGAAAAGAATTTTGATTTGAATTTAGTATCTCTATCAGATCTAAGGGACTACCACATGGATTTATCGACAACCGTTTTGAGAGAAAGACAAACCATTCACATAGATTGCAAGAAAGAGTTAATCTACTGGCATCTATGTCAGATGTTCGGCGACATGGAGGTGGTTATTGACGATGAAGAAATCACAGGCAAGACGAAGGAGCCGGAAAAGACCAGATCTGGCACCAACGCTGGAGAACTTGAGCTTAAGATCATGGGTGACGTCAAGCTGAATATCATAAAAAACATTGCAACTTTAGAGTGGTCTCAGGGTATTATGAACGACACCGTTGCGGATAGTGTCATGGCAATACTTCTGAGTGTGGATTCTTCACCTGTAAGTGTCAAAATGAGTAGCAAAAGCTGCAACCATCACCACACCCATGGCAAGGATTCCCAATTAGATGACTTAGACCAACCCATCGTTGCCGACCACGATGACGTTTGGAAGATCAGGCAAGTTGCACGTCTGTGTACAGAGCAGTTTGGGGACTGTTTCAGTTACAAACTCGACGAAAACGACACTACTGCTGATATTATCGGCAACGTCACCATAGGGAAAACAAAAGCTTCCATAAATCTTTCGCAAATGAAGGTCGCGGAATGTGACTCAAACCCATTGAGAGGAAGAATCGAAAGCATACTCACCATCGCTAGCGACCTGATAGCACCGCTTTGTTGAAAACGGGACCGGAATGGACAAGTGATCGAAGTCATATCATAAAGTACGTTGTGTAGCATCTATAGTCAAATTTTTATATTAGGCTCATCGCATCTCATCTCATCGCATCTCATCGCAGCTCATCGGACATCCAAAGAGGTTTTTAGTTGAAACAAACCAGTCGCTTAGTCTTTGACCCTAGATCATCTAGTAAAATGAGTGAGTCACCTAGCTCCAACACATATCTGGACGATTCGGCGAACTTCGAATCGTTCCATTTGGATCCCAGACTCTTGCAGGCCATTAAACATAATGGTTTTGAAAAACCTACACTTATCCAGTCAAGCGCCATTCCACTGGCTTTGGAGCAGAAAAGAGACGTTATTGCGAAGGCTGCTACGGGATCCGGAAAAACTTTGGCTTATTTGATACCCGTTGTGCAGACTATTTTGCAGTACAAACAAACACAGACAGATAAATCAGGCCGTCCCAAGACACTTGGCATAATTCTGGTTCCCACTAGAGAACTAGCTCAACAGGTGCAAGCAGTGCTGGCAAAGCTGGTTTTATACTGTTCCAAAGATGTGCACTCCCTAAATCTATCATCCCAACTTGCCGATAATGTGCTTACCTCTCTGCTACTGGACGGACCGGAAATTCTAATTTCGACACCTTCCAGACTTTTAACAGTTCTCGAGACGAAGTCTAACGCGTTGGTTATGGACGATCTGAAATTTCTAGTTATTGACGAAGTTGACCTCGTTTTAACGTTTGGCTACCAAGACGATCTTGACCAAATCGCTCGCTTTTTACCCCTCAAAAAGAACCTGCAGACATTCCTGATGAGTGCAACTCTGAATGAAGACATCCAGCAATTGAAGGCGCAGTTCTGCCGATCTCCCGCTGTTCTGAAACTTAATGAGGATGCAATCAATAAAGATCAGAGCAAGCTGTTGCAGTACTATGTCAAGGTCAGCGAGTTTGACAAATTCTTGTTATGCTACGTCATCTTCAAGTTGGGTTTGATCAAGGGTAAAACCCTCATTTTTGTCAACAACATAGACAGAGGATACAGGCTTAAATTGGTGCTGGAACAGTTCGGCATCAGATCATGCATTTTGAATAGCGAATTGCCTGTTAATTCAAGGCAACACATCGTTGAAGAATTCAACAAAAATGTATATCAACTGCTCATTGCCACTGATGACACTGAGTACATCAAAGAAGAGGAAATAGAGGATGCTGAAGAGCAACGGGTTGAAGACGTTGAAAACACGGAACAAGCTGCCTCGAACGACGAGGGTAACAACAGTAAAAAAAATGGAACACACTTTAAAAAGGATAGAGACTATGGTGTTTCCCGGGGTGTGGATTTCCAGAACGTCGCTTGTGTTTTGAACTTTGATCTACCTACGACTGCGAAATCTTATGTTCACAGAATTGGGAGAACTGCGCGTGCAGGGAAATCGGGAGCTGCCATTTCATTCGTGGTTCCTCTCAAAGAATTTGGAAAGCACAAACCATCAATGTGCGCCACTGCGAAAAGGGACGAAAAGATTTTGTCGAGAATTGTAAAACAACAAAGCAAACTAGGTTTCGAAATTCTGCCTTATTCTTTCGACATAAATCAGGTGGAAGGTTTCCGCTACAGAATGGAGGACGGATTCCGTGCTGTGACACAAGTCGCTGTCAGAGAGGCTCGTGTTAAAGAATTAAAGCAGGAGATTCTGACAAGTGACAAGCTAAAACGGCATTTCGAAGAAAACCCACAAGACTTGCAAAGTTTGAGACATGACAAAGAGCTGCATCCGGCAAGAGTGCAACAACATCTCAAAAGGGTACCGGACTATCTTCTGCCAGAGGCTGCAAGACAAAACAAGCAGAAGATCGGTTTCGTACCTTTCCACACTGCCAAAAGCTTGAAACGCAAGGGCAAAGTGTATAAGAAGAACAACAAGCGCAACGGCAAGTCAGACCCACTCAAGAGCTTTAAATAATTAAAAATGGCTAATTTTTGCATCTATCATAAACGAATAAAGGATAACAAATCTCACTAGTCATCTTCGTGAATACAGTCAAAGTGTCAAACTTATTTTGTTTTAACATTACCCAATAATACACATTACTTACCATTCACGAGAATAATAATGCCTTGTTAGATCGGCGCCCTCAAGACAACAATGACAGAATCCCCCCTCAAAAAAAGCTTGCTTATGAAGCGTTCCCTATTGATTGTCTTTTTATTCACTTTTTCAGTCCATAGTTCTTTCACATTTTCAAGTACCATATTACAATGTCTATCAAAGGCCTTTACTCGAGCTATGATCTTGTGATTATTCCTCAGTGAAATGATCACTGGTACTTTTGATACCATCGCATCGTTTATCAGCGACATGGGCCCATGCTTAAATTCAAATTCTTCCAGTTGCTGGAGCTCATCCTGTGTTAAATCGGACCGTGGACGATCAACTAGTTCTCTATCCATTTTTTTGACCGTTAGTAAAGCTATTTCGAAACGGAAAAAACGGAAGAAATTTTCAAATTCTCAGAAAGACACATACGACATCGAATCTCGTTTCAAGGCGACGAAAACTCACCCTTTTGGCATTCAAAATGGTTCTCTTTAATCTGCCTTTGAATTCGAAGTTGTAGTGCATCTCTCAATTAATCTGGAAAATCTCGAACTTTTGAAGGTCATCATGGACGTAAACTAGAGATGAGATAGAAGCTGGGCCAAGTAGGCCTGTACCAGCACCAATGAGATCTAAGCACCGCTCCTGTATATATTTTGACCTTGATAACGCAATTGAATAGTCCCGTGGCGCTCAAGAATATAGAGAGCTCTGTCAAGTGCTGGGGCGGAATAGTTTTTCTGCTCGCAAAATTCACGACGTAGTGTCTGATAGCTCGTGGACCAGCCAACGGGCAGACGCCTCTTTAGCTCTTCTTCGATACGTCTCACATCTTGAACTTGATCGGGATTTTGGCCCAGACCTCCGATTGGGTCCTGCGAGGCCGCATCCATCGTGGATGCTTGGAATAATCGAATAGCTTCGTCCACATGTCTTTCGTGAGCGACGGGACTAAGTTCCAACTTGGCAAGTGACTCAGATATACGAATGATGGCCTCCAACTGCCGAACTGTAATTGGAATAGACGAGCGCTGCTCACTCTGAAGCTCGTTGATAAGTAACTTCTTGCGAATGCCGACAAAATGCGATGAAAGCTTTTCGGCAGCTTGCGACGACAACCTAGGCGCGCATTTCATGCGACAGTAAGTGATATATCTTTTCATCTGGTCGATCGGTATCTCCGCACCAACAAGTTCTTCTTCACCCTCTTGGACAGCTGCCCGCCCGGTATGTATATTCATAACATGATTGGCAATAGAGATATCTCTTTCTTCGTTGTGGTGGTCCTTAACGATGAAAATCATGTCGAAACGAGAGAGAATGGTGGACTGAAAGTCGATATTTTCTCCTGGAGACTTTAAGTCATCATAACGTCCGTAAATGGGGTTCGCCGCGGCCATAACACTGGTCCTCGAGTTCAAGACCGTGGTGATACCGGCCTTCGCAATGGAAATGGTCTGTTGCTCCATGGCTTCGTGAATAGCAACTCGATCTTCGTCTCTCATCTTGTCGAATTCATCGATACAGACGACCCCACCATCAGCCAAAACCATAGCACCACCTTCGAGATAGAACTCGCGAGTGGCAGGATCACGCTGAACTGATGCCGTAAGACCTGCGGCCGATGAACCTTTACCAGAAGTGTATACTGCGATGGGACTTACTTTCTCGACAAATTTCAGTAGCTGTGATTTAGCAGTACCGGGATCACCTAAAAGTAGCACGTTAATGTCACCTCTAAGACGCATTCCGTCTGGCAGAAGTTTCTTAGAACCCCCCATTAGCAAACACACAATGGACTTTTTGATGTCATCGTTACCGTAAATGCTAGGAGCGATAGACCTCGAAAAAACTTCATACAAATCGGGACGCCTGCTCAAAGCCAGGAAGCTTTCTTCTTCTTTCTCTGAAAAATGTGCTCCACTATTAGCAGAGCCCCCGTCGAGTGCTGTCTTGAGTCCCAACATTTTAATGTATGGATTTCTGATAGCCACAGCTCTCCCGCCGCTAGCAGCTGTTCCTGTACCACGGCTTTTGGCCTGGTAGATCGAGTAGACCCCAACTATGGTGGCTCTTGTGCCGGGTACTATTTTATTTGTTAGGTAACGATCAGCCGACATCAAAATGTTTCGAGGCATTTCACCTACTGGAACAAGCTCTGGAATTTCTTGCAATTTCAAAAACTGCTGGTCTACAAAACGTGAAGACTCGTGCACTACCATGTATGGATCTTGACCACATGGATTACCGCCAGCATCGCGAGAATGATCAGCCAAACATACTTTTGGAAGGCTTACGCTGCCTCCACCTAGCGATCCAAAACTATTAAGGCGTAACGTTGTGACATGTCGACAGGTTCTACACATGAGTGTGAGAAAAGTGGCCTTGGAGGACAGCACAGAAGCAGAGACGACGATTCCACTTACACGAACAAATTTGGACACATTTTCGGACCCCAGTGCTCGCAAGGATATCTCAGATGCATCTGACGTTATCATTACTTGGCATACAGGAATTTCGAAACCCGAGCCCGCTGCTTCAGAGCCATTGTTCGCAGTGTTGTCTTCAGGCATTTCTGTCGAGCCATTGGGGTCGGAGGTAATATCGCGGGACAGAAGTGCTATTCTTTTTGCGACCAGTGTCACGGCATGCTCAAACAACGGCAACACATCTGTGGGTTCGTCGCACAGTTTCTTGTAAAGATCTTCATTGTAGCCAATCAGGTGCGCTGTATCGACCGTTATGCAGTATCTTTTCAAAAGGAGGTTACTTCTCAACTGCTCTCGATACACGAAATGGGCGTCCAGACGGAACTCCAAAATGAAGTTGTGGAAGGACTTGATAATCTCAGAATTGTCGTTTTCACCAATTTCCTCGCCAGCTAAAACCGGCGCTGCGTAGACCTCCGTACGATCGTACGACATCTTTATGGGCAATCGCTGTAGATCCTGCTGCAGTTAAAGAGTCCCCAATGGTATTCCGAGACCTAAACTTCTACAGTCGAGCTCAATCGTCTAACTGGTCCCATCTCATCTCATCTCATATCATCAATCTTTAACTTTCCAAAACCAATAATTGATCATTCTGTATCATGTTGGACGAAATCGACATTTTTCCAAGCTCGAAGGACGTCACTGTGGACGATAGAGCTCCAATGTAGTGAAACTGTCATTTAATTACCTATTTCTCTGTTGCAGTGCAGGGCTTACTTTGAGGGCTCTCCTCGCAAGACATTCGTGATAATGTGAGCAGTTTTTCATGAAACTTAAGTCCTAATCTCATGTCGTATTTCACATCTCGCGCACGACTCTTAACTTTTCGCATATTATTTCTACATTCATCTCCAGTCATTCCAACGAACCTACACATGGACCTTGGTGCCTTGAGGATGTTCTCGGCCTAACCTACTACGTGGTAACTCAGATATCAGATCATCTTTTTCGCGGCATTCGGAGGAGCTCTGGCTAAAGCGTTCCAGCAATATACCACTAGCCGAAGCACTTGTATTGGATCTAAAATTTGGGTCTCGTAATGAACACTTCCACCTACATTGACTGAGGAGACTCTCGCGATAAGACTTGTGAAGACAGAGCTGACCTTTGACCTGAATGCGAATAGCCTTGAGAGAAACCCTGGCTTCCGTTGTTGGGCCATGTGTCTGAGAAGCCAAAGCTTAGGCGTGCGTTCTTCTGAGGATACAACCTCGTTCGTTTAGACACTGATCAGATGATAGAATTCTCTGAGTCTTGTTCTAGAGTTGCATATAGAAAGGTGGTGTCTATATGTATCTTAAATGGTCTTTCTAATAAGCACGTCAATTCTTATCGCATATTTTGAGATTATTTCATTCTCAATTGTTGGGGCACCCTTGGGACAGGTTGAAAGTATGTATTGTACACTTGGTGTTGTTGAATGACATCCCTCCATTCGAGGTTTCTCCCCAAGCACCTAAGAGCATCTAGACACACCTTTTCCTGTGACTATGATTGCCATAAGCATTACAATTGCGGCCACCAGATAAGTCGCGTCCTCGACAATGGCTAACGCTCCCGCACCACCATCCACAGGGACTACGCCACCGTTTGTCAAGCCTAAGAGGCTCTAAGGTGTTTGTATCAGAGGTGTGCTGAGAAGCGTATTGTACACCAAAGTTGGAGAGATGTCTAAGCCGGATAAAGCGTCTGAGTTCCCATCTGAATCGGCACCCCCGTTTGTCTCCTCGTCAATTTCATCTAATGCTAGCATTTGTGCTTCTGCTGCTTCCAACCAAGCAGTAGCGTTCTCCAATGTTGACAACAACATAGAGTCCAAAACTGTGTTGTTGGTAGCATTGATGCTGCTCACACGAATAGTAAAGTGATCGAGATCATCGGGGTGGGTGAAGTGACTAAACGCTGAGTCTGGAATTAGTTCCGACCACTGTTGAAAAGTCTGAGTACTATTATCACTGAGGATGTTTGTTATATCAAGTAGGTTTGACATGATGCGTTGCTATTCTCTATTGAGGGCAACTCGACGTGCTTATAGTCGCTCACTCCTGTTATTTATACTTTTCGGGGTGCGAAGGCGAGGTGACGCGGAGGATATTTTTAAAGCCTAATCTCGTGCCTGCAGAAGTCCGGAGGTGCAGATACAAACATCAGATCGTCATTCGCCAAGAAAGTAGCTATTCTCTAACATTTTCATATAATGGTCAACATAGCTGAGGGAACATGCCAAATTGCTCAAAGAATACTAGCAAAGGGAGGCTCGAGAAAGCTTGGGCATTGCGAGCCTGCTCGTATAGTATACTGAGCACATTAGTTAGCTAACTAATGTCAACAGCCAAAGGGAAATGGGCTCGAAAGACACCACTCAAGCACCCACGAGGGGAGTGTCAATCCCAAAAGTGCTCTGGTAGATCTCTTTGAAACAATAAAACGATTACCAAGACTCTTGAATCACTGGAGGTCCGTGATGAACCTTCCAAAATCCATCATTTCACGCTGCAATTCACCGCAAGTCCTAGTGATGCCGTGACTGGATGGGAATGAGCTTCATTTTAGACGGCATTAATTCGTGTCTTTTGCGCTCTTGTCCGAATTCCTCATACTACAAGGAGCCTGGTGATTTATTCAGTTGTACCTCGAAAGCCTTGTTGGATGTGGTACCAACCGTTAAGCTTTCTTTTTACTGGCAAGATGGGGTTTTCAAGTGTGCAAGGTTGAGAAAGGGTGTGCCAAGAGATCCTGTTACTAGAGCCAAGTTTCCCCTTTACACTTTGACTATAATTCCGCTTAACTATAGTCAGAATGCTCGTAAGTATCTGGTGTATGTGCCGGCGCATCTTGAAAAGAATCGTCCACAGCTTCATTTCATTTCTATTCCTTTGATAGAGCAGCCGTTACCGTCACCACATCAAAATGAAGAGCCTGCTGCAGAGAAACTCAGCACTATATTGAAAAGCATCTTTATGGTCGATACGTTTACTTTTGATCTGCCGTCCGACTCAAAGATACTTGAGAAATCTGATCGGGAAAGAAAGTACTACAAAGAGGAGTGTTGCAAGATTTTTCAAGAGTGTCTTATCGTCTGAGCATTACACAACAGAATTCGAGATACATGAAGCCTAGAAGTTTTCAGAGGCGCCAAAAAGCCTCTCTTGTGAGAAGGTACAAAGCAACTACTATTGACAGATACGCTGCAAAGTTTGCAATCTCGTACTTTCTACTTCTTCACGCCCATGAGCTTTCTCTTTTTGTGTATCCGTGCAAGGAGTACCTGCTGGAGAGATTGTAGCCATTATTTTTGGATGAGCCCCTCAACGACAAAAAGCTCAAGGCTATTCCCTGCTGTGTCGTGACATGCTCACCGACCGCGGCGGGCTGCCCACGCTAATTGAAACAATGGTAAAGGTAATGGCCGTTAACTTTTTGGAGCCAATTGCAAACAAGGATAAGCTGTTCAAGCCTGCGTTGCGCACCATGTGGATGGTTGCCAACGCAATGGACTCTCTCGAGTTCTTTTTGATCAACACAGCGCTGTGTTACGAATGCGAAGACGCCACAGATGTGCTCCCCTTTGACCGGGAGTGGAATAAGAGCTCGAACAACATCTGGATTTATCTGAACAATGTGATCCATAGGGTTGTTGAAGAAGGACTTGTTATTACAAATTACCGCGTCACTTTGAAAAGGCCAGACGGGGTAGCCGTTGAAAGTAAATTGGTAACTAGAGAGAAGCTCCGGAACTTCTATGCAAGCATGAGAATGCAATTTGATCAGCTGTTGTACGGACTTTGTGAGTATTTCCGACTCCCTACCATTGAAGAGCTGGCTGTTGATTTGCTGCACTGCAATGAAATAAGTTTAATGGAAAGCAGGTTCAAAGCAAAGCCGTCTTTACTAGATCTTTTCCCCACTGAGTACCTTAAGGGTCTGCTTCCAATGTTCAACAGGTACAAGAGTCTGTACGAGCATGAGCTGTGCGATGTACTACAAGCAATTGATAAGATGATTGAGCCACTCATTTGGATGGTGTTTTTGGGAAGCGGATATAGTTATCGATTTTCGGAATTAGTGGCACTAACTTTTGCTGGACGCGACCGCAGTATCTTCATTGATGAAGAAACCAGGTGTCTTTTGCTGTTTACGACTTACAGCAAAGGCGATACTTTTAAGCCATTAACAAAACGCCTGGATCCCAAAATTTTGATCTAAGCAGCAAATGTGAGACTCGAAAGTCGTCGGTTTCTCAGCACATTTCGCCGATCTACACCTTTTGTTGCCATGTTGTTTGCTTCCCGGTACACTCAATTCGCTCTCAAACCATATGGTTTTTTTGCCTCGCTGAATCGCGTCTGTAAAAGAAAAAATGACTGCGGATATCCTGATTTTCCGTTCTTCGACTCTCCAGTCTATTTCAGCCATACTACCCGCACTTCCTCCCATGACGCAATGTCAACTTCGTTTTGTCGAGTTTTCTTCGGGAACCACACCTAAAGCCCACCCACGTAGATCCTTTCTCTTTCAATTTGGTAATAATGCATGCACCTTCTTGGCAATGTGCATATTGGGTTGAGCGAAACACTTGCATGCATTTGCCTGGGAGACGAGCGAGACAATTGCTTGCAGTTGCACAGGACAATATTTTTGGTCCTTGCATCAAAGATATCGATCCTTGGAGAATGTAAATTAATCCCTCGTCTGTAGTTTTTTCAAAATACGAGGACCAACAGCGCACACGATGGCCCAACATTGCCAGACCTTCAACATTCAACATTCTTCTCAGATCTGTTCCTCATGCAGAAATCTTTGTCGTATAACGCTTACAAATCGATCTCTTCAAGGTCATGCTGCCATCCTTGAAAGGCCAGTTTGCACGCACTCTTGACGTAGGTCAGCTTTCATCTCTAAAGCCGGTCGCGACGTGAACCCAAAGGTCAGTCGATTTCAACCATTTCTTGGGCAAGCTTGCATGTAAGCAAGCACAGCAGCGTATTCTTAAATCCGAAGATACAGATCTTTGATAAAGTCTGTCCCTTGCATGTAGTCTGACTCAAGAGGCGGCATTATTCCGCTTTAATTGCCTAGCCACCCAGTTACAATCTTGGTTGATTTTCGTTCCCACGCCATATGTATGCTCTGTGAAAATCATCTTGGCCGTTACTAGTCGAAACCAATGCGGATAGTAAAGCTTTGCTAAATTCAATAATCTATTGACCTTGTCGGATTCGAAAAAAAACCAACCACTAGAGAAAGATCACAGCTCCAGTCAATGCATGATGCAGCTGCACCGGCAATCTCTTGTCGTGTGTGAAGCCCAAAAGAGGCTTCTCTCCGTGAGCCCACCACATCTTGGTAAAACAATCGCAACTGTGTAGAACTACCCTATGGAACGCCGGAAACACCTGTAAGGTGTGGAACCTAAAGAAAAAAAATGGTATAAAAGGAGGAGCTTTACTCATGGTTCTCAAGCAAGTGACTGAATTGTGGATATATTCTTATTTAGTTCAGTAAGCAACCACAGCTCCCGAACCGCATTCGAAACACTCACACAATCAAACAAAAAATGAAATTCGCCAAAGTTCTTCTAGCCACCTTTTTGTCGCTCGTTGTCGCCGACGATGCCATCCCATACAACACCAGTCTTACTGTTGAAGATTTCGTCGTCACTTACCGTAACGCCATCATTTGGCCCGAGACCGGTTATCTAACTATCAAGGACACCACCGGTAACACCTACGTTATTCCTGAAAACTCGACACTATACACAACATACCAATTAGATCCTTGGGCCACTATTGGTGAGGAAATTCAATTCTCCAGTGAATCGTACGAAATTGCTTTGAGTTAAGAACAAAATGGTAGAAAGCTCACATTGGAATGGCAGGTATTACGCCAGGTTGCGTTAAATAGATAAATACATTTCCATATATTTGTGACACCGAATAGACGTACTAAAAGTTATTTGAGGATTAGCTTGGGATCGCCTGAGAACTCGGAGGGTGCTTGGTGTGCGAGTTCTGCAGACCAAGAGAAAATAATGTGAAAGCATATTGCCTATAGGATTTCATGAAGAGGTACAGCAAGAAAGAAACATTTTTGATGTTCTGTGCAGCTTGCCGTTCGACAATGGAGCGGTCTAGATGATCTGCAGCCTGCAGGAGCGTGTCTGTATAACGCATTGAATTATAGATCGGCAATCATTGGGGTCACGTGATGTTGTGACAGTAACTTATTGAGTAACTGTGATTTTAGCCCTCGATAGTAAGAGAGGGATGTCTGCACCAATGTACTTCAGAGTTTTTTGACCTGCTGTTTTTGAGTATTGTTTTCTACGGTGTTTTTTTGTAGGACCCAGTTTTTGAAAAATTAGTACCGGTTTGAGCAGGAGTGCGCGCACGCCGAGACCAGCGCCATTGAGATTGCATTCTGGTGAATGTTTCTTCATTTGGTGGGAAATTTGATGTTTTATGGTAATACTTAACTCTGTGGATATTATGTATCACGTGACCCGGATCTTTTTGACATTAAAATGACGTCAGGTCCAAAAAAAAAAGCTGGACTCAACAGGACCCACTCAATGAGATTCTTGCAGACCTCTTTTTTTTCCCACTGCTCTAAAGATCGCGCTTTTCTGAAATGGACCCTTTGTCCTTTTGTAATGGACTTCATAATAATGAAATCTATTTTCTCGTACTTTACGATGACATTACCTGGTCACGTGACTTCTTTTTTCCTTTCCTCCCCCATGGTTTCGCACCACACCACAACACACCAATCCGTGCTTTCTCGATGCAGAAACAATCTTGGAGGGTCAATAGCATACTATACGTCTGCAAAAAAAAAAAACCCCCCACCTTTGTATGTGCTTTTCGTCTCCACCCTTTGTGACCTTTCTCTCCCGCTAACACCCTCTACTCTTCTCTTCTTCCAAGGCATTGTCCGATATAGTGTAACGGCTATCACATCACGCTTTCACCGTGGAGACCGGGGTTCGACTCCCCGTATCGGAGTCGTTTATTTTTTTCTAATTTTTTTCTCAATTTCAAATTTTTCCTCCAACCTCCCATCCCATTGTTTAGTTATACTATGCACTATAACGCACTAAAAAAGCCGATTTGTTGAATATATAGTGTGGGGGCCCACATACGCATATATGCACCCCGCAATAGTTTGTTCTAGACCCTCAGACCTCCAACACAAACCCGGAACACAGGATAAGCACACAACAAAACCACACACCACTTTGAACGACCACAACGACTGTTGAAAGATCAGCAAGTCCTTTTTCACGCGAATACCGTTATAGTTTTAGATCGCGCAAACACGCCATCAACATTTCACACTAATCGTATCATATCAACACCCAAGGCCGCTTTGTATTCACTATTCTAACAGTAACCATAAAGAGCTACTATAGTCATCCTTTCTTTGTCAAGCTCTCTCTCTCTCTCTCTCTCTCGCTAAGCCATCGGTTCTGTAGTCTCTCACACCATACGAGCCGATCCCGCTCTCCGCATCTCTTCCCATTTCATTTTAACGCCGCCCCGTTGCCGCCCCTCAACACCCAGACACCCCTCTCCGACTCTCCGACGATGGCAACGGATGCTTTAATTACCGTGTTTCCGGGGCCCCGCGCTCACAAAAACTGGTGAGAAATAAGGGGCGAGGAAAAATCCCATCAAATGACGAGAACAACAACAACAACAAAAAAAAAACAAAAAAAACCAAAAATTTAAATAATATAACGCAAAAAATGAGGAGTATATAAGGAGCCGCAGATCGAGCAATCTGTGGTGCGCAAAAGCTGTTAGACCGGAGATGAAGTCTTGGGTGTAATCTGTAGATCAGTAAGAAAGAAGAAGAAACGAAAGACCCGGGAGAAAACCCAACACGTTTGAGAAGACGTGTAGACAAGAAAGTGGCAGGGCACCAGCGGGAAATATATATACATATATATATATTCACACATATATATATATATATATTGGTTTTCTCTTTTTGAGCAGATAAGTTCGAAACGCTGGAGGGGATTTTAGGTCTCCTTTTTCTCCGATCGTAAAGGCAGAAGAAGGGTTACTAGGGGGTCTTTCAATCTCCCATTTGCATTTGCATTATTTTTTTTTTTCTCCTCTTCGTTTTTTCTCGGCACCTTGTTGCAACAACAACAACACACTTACAGTTTTGCCAACCATTCTGCATTCTGTATTGCCCTCAACTGCTGCGTACGAGCAGCTGGCATCGCCGCTTTTGCGGCCTTCGCTTAAACCGCGAGCGGCGTCTGCGACGCCGTCGCGGTCCAGCTCGTCACTCAAAAATGTGCGTTTTGCGCATCAACTAACAACCGTGAAACGTTTTGACACGCGATCGGAACCCATTTCGATCTCAACCGAGAACTCTCCGGAACCTGTTGCCGTGACAATTGACTACGGTGACAGTTTCAATAATAACACTAATGATAATAAGGATAAGAATAATGACAATTACTATAAAAGTGATAGCACCGAAGACGAGTTTTGGTTCGGTACCGCGCTGTCACGTGCCAAGCTCCAATTGCCGTTGCCGCACAAGCCTTCGTCCAGTTTCAGTCTTTTCGATCCAACGCTGTACAGCGAAAGCGACGAAGACAGCGACGATGACGGCAGCCATGGCAGCGGCGTCGATCCGCTGTTGCAACTTCCCAGCCGAACGGCCGCTCCAGGCGCAGGCGCAGGCGCTGGCGCTGGCGCCACGCTAACAACCGGCTCTTCAGCTGCATCTGCTTCTTCTTCTTCTTCTTCTTCCACCCAGCGGTTTGTGGTGGACAAATGGCGGCTTTTGTCCTCGGACATCCAGCCCGTGATCACCAGAAGGGCCCTCGACCTGCAGTCTCACATCCTCGCGCATCTCAGAGGCCACAACATCAAGCTCAACAAACTTTCGTCGTGTTTGGACTCCCACAAGATTCAGGGCCTCATTTACGTGGCTAACCTCAATTTCGAAAAATCGCTGGAAATTAAGTTCACCTTCAATTCGTGGCAAGACGTGCATTACGTACCCGCGTATTACCATCGCACCGTGACCCGCGGCATCGACGAGTTCAAATTCACTATAGACCTGGCAGGACTTTCCTTTTTCATGCAATCCAAAAACATTCTCACTTGCAACTCTCACGTCTCGGAAACATCTTGTCAAGTCAATATGGAAATGTGCTGCCGATACGACGTTAACGGAGAAACTTATTATGACAACAATAACTACAAAAACTACCATGTTGAGCTGCAGGCGTTCACGGATCCGGTCATTCAAAGAAGCTCGGTTTCCGTGCCTAACTTGACCGCATTGACGTCCTCTACTACCGAAACGCCTCGTCATTCTACCAACACATTTGCCAGCGGCATATCCACATCTTTCAAATCTGATTTTCTGGCATCTACCACGTTGTCATCCAGCGCCTCTAAAGCTGTACCTAAACAGGCAGCCGCGTCCGGTCGAAAATTCTCGGACAACACCGACTATTACAATACTTCACCTCTCAAACATTTATTTCACAACGATACAACACTGGCAAAGCCATCGCGCATCAACGAAGTCACTTTTGACTATGACACCACACCAACTTCTCCGATGCATTTACTCTTCGACCAAGGTCATGGGGGCTCCAACTATACACACACCCCACCACCTTCTCAAAATGGTGAACATGCGGCGGACCCCGCAGCACCATCCCATATAGATCATTCCAACGTTCCAGATGCATCACTTTCGAAGGAGAACACCGATTTTGCGCTTCTGAGGGACACCTCGGAGTCGTCGTCTTTGGACACTCTTCGTCGCCCAATGACAGATGCTCCTTTTTCCGCTTCGGACTCTGCCGTTGACACAGCTTTCACGACTGATAGCTCGTCTTCTTCCTCCTCGGGAAGAAAACCTCGCTCTCTCAACGGATTATTGTCTTCAAAGCTGAAACGCGACCTGTTTCTGTCATCGGCTGTTTCCGTTGAACCTAAGCCTGCTCAAGAACCTTCCGCTGCAGCGATCGACTACAACATGTTAATACAGTCCTACTGTTTTTATGACTCCAAGGAGAAGGCTACAAGTCCCAAAACTATCACACCCTCATTCTGGACAAACCAAATTTCTTCCAACACACCTCCGATTTTATCTCCCAGTGAAAGACACGACTGGATGCTTTGAAAGCTTACAATCATGCAAAAGCCTTTCTTCGTGGCGCCAACAAATGCCCTTCTTCAGGCTGATACTTTAGTTTTTCAAGATTCGCGGAAGAGCACGAATTTGTTCGCTTGTTTGTTTGCTCTTGTCCAACAGGATCTACACATTTCATTATTTTTTTGCGGGGAAGAATGTACACTGGATTTGATAACATCCCCTACACTCCCGCGACTTCTGCCTTGTTCAACAGCTGGTCTTTTGAACAGGGCACTTTTTGTTTTATTTTGGCTTCAGATAAATTTGTACATTATGTACATGTATAGTTATATATGTATCGGTTAAGAAAACACTTTGAATAGTTTCGATGCATGCCGGAGATTCGTGATCTTCAATTTGCGTCTGTCGTTAAATTGCGTAAAGTCTGTCATTCCTTATTTCATCCGTCACTGAACTTGTCGACGACGCTAAAACAAAGAAAATCGAACTATATAAACTATATCTAGGTCGGTACAATACAACTCTCCCGGCTTCGCTTTTGGTGTAATATTCAAGTCTCGATAAACTGATATATTTTGTCGGAATGTTTCCATCAACTCATTCAAGAGTAAATGCCGACCTTTTTCCTGGTGAGAAAAGTGCTAGTTCTAAACTCAGAGACTTTTTGCACAGAACCGAAGGCCATATGATATATAGCGCTGTTGATGAGGGCAAAAGCACTTCAAGATACCAGGGTAAAACTTATAAAAACAATCCTTTGGCGACATCTACAACAGATGTTCACGAAGTGAAAAACGTTAATCCTTTTGTCGAAGAATTTGTCGCAACGAGGGTTAAGCTGGAGCCAAAAACTGCCAGCACGGTAAGATTTGGATCCAATCAGACAAAAATCTTTGAAGAAGACTCAGTTCTTGGCTGTTCAAATAGGCAGGACTCAATTCAACCAAGTGAGATCGACTCCATATTGATTGTCAAGGAACAGGAAATGAATAGAAGTGATGACAGCTTTAATGCCGGATGGGATGAAACCATTGTGATTCAAAATCCTGTAGTTTTAGAAGGAATGCTTCGATGTTGGGAAGCTTGTGGTATTCCTGATACCGAGTTCGATTCCGGGGACTTGGTCATGACTGTGCAAAAACTCAGCTACGGGATCTTACAGGCATTGGCCAATCAGGGAGCGGTCAGTAAGCTGGTCAAGGAAAGAGAATTGGCAGAGGTGTCCGAAGATTTTGAAGAATGCTGGTTAGATCTTTTAGAGGCGTTGCAATCGGAAGAGCAGCTTGAAAAGTTGAGCACTGATCTATCTGAACAATTTGAGATAAACGCATCCCAGAAAAACCAAAATGCGATTTTAATGGATCGTGTGAGGTCCTTGGAGTCTCAACTGGAATGCCAATCCTCGATGAAAAGCGAAGTTGAGGCACATGTTGCGAAATTGCGTGAGTTGACAAAGCTATATGACGATCAAAGCTCGAAGTATCACGACCTGTGCACTAAAATGAGTAAAATGGAGTTGGATTTGGAGGAGAAGACGCTGAAGAATGACTCTTTGTTGAAAGAAAATTTGGAAATCAGAGAAGAGTTCTCGGTTTGTGAGATTAAATTGGCGACTAGCCAAAGTCAAGTTCGACGCTTGGAACGGATGGCGTCCCAGAATCAACGAGAAGCCGACAGGGTGCTCGAGCAGAAAAACCAGTATTGCAATCAACTCATGTTGAAATGTGAAAATGTCGAAAAGGCGTGGCAGGAGGACTACTCCCGTATCAACAACGAATGCGAGAAATTAAGCATGCAATCCCAGAATCTAAAACTTGGCTTGCAGGCATCAAAGGAAGACTTGGAGAGATACAAACTAAAGACCGCCGAATCCTTGATAATGTTACATGCGTCGCGAAAGCGTGTTCAGGAACTTGAGGGCAAATTTTCAGAATATTCCGCCAAGACAGCCACAACGTCAGCGCAAGTGGAGGAGCTATTGGAATTCAAACAGAAGGCTAAAGCTCGAATAGTTTCACTGAAAAACTCAAAAATGGAACTCAAAAAACGAAACGAACAGATGCAAACTGATGAGAAGCTGATGCGGTCTCAGCTTAACGAAATAATTGACCAATATGAATACAAAGATACTGAAAATCACAAACTTTTGATAGAGCTGGAGAAACTGAAAAAAACGTTCCAAGAGACAAAAGATTTATTCAAAGCACCTATTTCGCCGCTAGGATATAAAAGTGCGAAGAAGCATCGGCCTTTGCGTATACTTACGAATCGCGTTAACGCCTGATAGAATTGTCATCGTGTCTGTATACTGTCGTCCCAAAATAAGAACCAAAAGAACTATTCTTAATTTTTAGAACATAAATGCAGTTAAAAACTCATATTTGCAGAGATGCAAATTGAAGGAGAATTATGAGAGACTATTCCGTGGTTCAAATGGATGGTACATTTTCTATACTGAATCATAGCATTTCTTGGTAGCTAACGGTAAAGTGCAAAGTGCAAGGTAGCGTGACCTTGTGAAGTCGTCGGTTCCATTCAAAACTAATCAAATTTCATCAAATGGTTTCGTGGTCTAGTCGGTTATGGCATCTGCTTAACACGCAGAACGTCCCCAGTTCGATCCTGGGCGAAATCATTTTTTTTGCTTAATATATTTCTGATAAATTATATTGGTGTTAACCTAGTTCTTACGAATGTGACAAAAAGTGCTTAGAGAGTTTAAATCCAGTTCGCAATTGACACAACGGTGTTAACAGTCTCACCAGTGTTTCTTGCACTCGACTTGTAATCACCACTATTGGCTAACCTAGAAGCACAAACATCGAATTTGTTCTTTCACGTGTTGCGTTTGTTGAAGGTTCATTATTCACATCATTTGCATCAATAAAATAACAAACTTGATCTATTTTAGCTCATCGCCTATCCTAAAGCGTCAGCATTGGATCGATAATGCAGGAGTTTTGCCTTTCAGACTGGTTGACCAGGTTTCAAACAGGGGACAAAGACAATTTCCCCGCGGTGGAGAACTCGGCCGGCGAGCTGAACACAACAATCGATGTTCTGGCTGTATCACCGGAGCTCATTGATGACAACGAAGAGACGCTAGAGAGTCTGATTGATTTAGCACACGGTTTTCGCCACCTTCCTACCCAGCACAAAATTCAGCTGACGTATCTCATAAGCTCTTCTTTGGGCAATTATGCGCAAAACATCGAATCGAGTTTACTGGGCGGCGCGAGCAATTCCGAAGTGGTGACCAGCGTGGCTCAATGGAAACGACAGCTCGAAGAATACGGGTATCTGGTTCATGTTCTACTCTACTTTTTAGAGCAAGAAATCTCGAGTTCTGCTTCGCAGACAAACGCAGCCAGAGCTAACGGAAGGAGCCAAAAAGTATCAGAGGATAATGCCACTGCCATTAAAAAAACATCGGGACAAATCGAAAATCTGCTAGAAAGTATTTTAAAGGTCTTGGGATTGAACTTGTCGCGAATTTTTCAGACCACCCCGGAGAGAGATCTTTACGTCGGCCTGTTCACCAAACCCATTTACGTTTTGATAGAAACCGAGCAAATTCTCAAAATGCCAGCTATCAAGCTTTTCATACTAAGAATCATTGGTACAGCTGTCAAGAATCATGGCCAAAGCTCAAGCACGCAGAATGCAATCCTTACTTCCTTGACTTATTTTGCCCACCTAAACACCTTCACAGCTGAGTTGCTCCGTACCATCAACAATGATTTTGACTACCCACAGCTTACTGAAGATATTTTACGAGATATCAGCAATAAAGAGTTCAACAGTAAGGATGTCAAAGGGCCAAAAACGATAGCCACATTCTTAGTGAAACTTTCCGAGCTTATACCGCGAATAGTACTGCGCCAGATGACCTTGATCGTCAAGCTACTCAACAACAGCTCTTTTACACTTAGATGTGCTGTTGTGGAAGCTTGTGGTAATATAGTCATCGAAGTTTCGTCCAAGCGTGAAGATTTCGATCTGTACAAACAATCTGCCGAGGTTCTGATAGAGTTACTAGAGGAGAGGTTTACTGATTCAAACCCTTATGTTAGAACCAAAGCCATTCAAGGCTGTCTGAAAATTTGTGATCTTCCGATCAAGCTGAAGAGAAATCGGTCCAACATGGTTGACCTTGCCGTACGATCTCTACAAGATAGGTCTTCTCTTGTTCGAAGGAATGCGGTAAAGCTTCTTACTAAACTGATACTTACGCATCAGTTTGATGCTCTTCATGGATCACAGTTGAAACTTTCACAGTGGCAAAGTCGATACGAAAGTGCCAAAGCCGTATATGCTAACACGTTAGCTGCAGCCGAGGATAATATGGCAGGGTTGGACGAAGTCATTGAGAGAAGTATACATCAGGATGACGAGTCATCAAGCGAAGACGATGAAGCCCAAATCTCTCGGCTTGAAAGAGAAGCGGAAGGCCTACCAACCACAAACTCTAACGCGGCCTTTAAAATGAAACTGACTATTCAATACTACAAAGACGCCATAGCATTCATTAAGGGTATCCATGAGGGTATACAGAGATCCTGTCAACTTTTGTTGTCTCGAAATAGAAATGAAGTCCTAGAGGTTATGGATTTTTTGGTTTTGACGGACGCTTATGAGGTGGAGATCAGCTCTCTCGGCGTGCGCAAGATGCTTCATCTTGTGTGGATGAAAGGAACGAACGATGAAGGTACTAGTATTGTATCACATCTCATTTCGTGCTACAATCAACTCTTCCTCACCCATCCTGATGGATCCAACTTTCGAGAAAAGGCTATCTATATTGCCAAAAACCTGATCAAGTTAACAGAAAACACGTCTGCTGCTGACTTGGCCTCTCTAGAAAAGCTTCTGGGCCTCATTTACGAAGCAGAGTATATCAATCAGGATGCCGTAAACGTTCTATGGGCTATTTACAACTCAGGCGCCCAGGGTAGCAGTACTAGCGATACTAAGCAAATCCGTGGGGCAGTCATTGTTCTCGGTATGCTCTCTCTCGCCGATAATAACGTCGCATTGAAAGGCCTCGATTCACTGCTGGCAGTGGGATTGGGAGAACCCGGTAGAAAAGATATCATTCTACTAAAGTACTCTTGTGTTGCTCTTCAACGAACTGTCTCTAGAACGGCAAGCACCGTAACCGGATCTCATGTGCGGGAAACAGATGCTGTCAAGAAACTACACGCCAGAATCATAGAGTACGTGGAAGACCCGGAATACTACCCTGCTTGTGAAGAAGCTTTGAAAGCCCTTTTCGTTATATCTTTGTCGCCGGACGTTGTGGCCACTGAAATCGTCCGAGAAAAGACCATGATGACATTTGGCCGAAATGAATTTGAAGACCAGTCCAATCATACATCCTCAAGGATAGTATCTTTGTCTCAGCTTCTATTTATTGTGGGACATGTTGCAATCAATACGACGATATACGTCGAGAAATGTGAAGCTGAATTTAAGAAACGTAAGATTGAGGCAGAGAGTAAGAATTCTTCTTCAAAAGGTGCAGAGCGGCCGGATCAAGCCGCTGAACGACAACAGGAACTTGAAATGATTGGTGGTACTAACGAGGATGATTTCACAGATGCCGTAAATTTTGTCAAGGAAAGCGAGCTTTTATTCGGGGAATCTTCGCTGCTAGCAAGGTTTGGTCCCTTGGTTGAGGAGATCGTGTCAAACAACGTAAAATTCGCGGACTGTATGTTACAAAGAACAGCCGTTCTTTGCTTGGAGAAATTTATGTGCGTGTCGTCAAGGTATTGCGAAAAGAACCTGCCTCTACTAATCACTATTCTAGAGAAATCTCCAGACCCTATCATACGTTCTAACGTTATTTTGGGCCTTGGAGACATGGCAGTTTGTTTCAATAATCTAGTTGATGAAAACACCGAATTTCTTTATCGTCATTTACACGATGATGATTTGATGGTTCAAAAAACATGTTTGATGACTGTGACGTTTTTGATTCTTGCCGGTCAAGTCAAGGTCAAGGGTCAGTTGGGACAAATGGCCCGGTGCCTGGAAAATCCTGACCAGGGTGTTAGCGACATGTGCAAACTGTTCTTTACCGAGCTGGCGACTAAAGACAATGCTATTTACAATGGTTTCATTGACATATTCAGTGGCATGTCGAAGGATGAAAGTCTTGAGCGGAACTCCTTCAAGAGGATACTTAAATTTTTGCTGACCTTTATCGATAAGGAGAAGCATCAAAAGCAGCTGAGTGAAAAGCTATTAGTGCGTCTGCAGAGATCAGAAACGCAAAAACAATGGGATGACGTTGCCTTTGTGCTAAACAGTATTCCCTACAAAAGTGAAAAAGCTCTAGCTCTCTTGGCAGATGGTTTTAAACTCGTAGCGGCTCGGGAATAGAATTAAAGCTGACTCACTGTCATTTTTTCAATTATTGGCGCGAGGAGCCCTTATTGGCATGATCACCAAATACCTGTGAGGGATGTTCGAAAGTATCGTTTGACTTGCCTAGCTTGAAGTCTAGTGGTAGTTGTTTAGAGTAAAGCTCTCCCTTTTGTAGATGGTCCTTGACCAATTCAGTCAACCCCTGAATGAAAGTTTCACTGCCGTTAAGAGACTCACAGCGTTTTATTTTATCTTTATACTCAGACTCGCCGATGACCTCCAAATCTAGTTCATACAAAGTTTCGATGTGGTCTGAAGTGAATGCGATGGGAATCAAAATCAAACCCTTTTGCGAAGGAGCCAACCATTCTGTGACATCTGCAGTTTGGGCACCCAACCATGGCTTGGGTCCAACTTGTGATTGCCAGACCAATCTGTAGGGGTTGGAGAATTTCAATTCACTCATTACGCTGTAAACGGTAGCACCGACTTCGGCTGGGTAAGCATCACCGGTGTTGATAACATCCATAGGCAGAGAGTGTGCAGAAAACAGTAGGACCACATCTTTCCGTATCTCTTGTGGGAATTCCTCGAGTTTCTTTTGGATGTTTTGGGCGAAGGCTTTGACCAGACCCTTGTTGGTTGGCCACCGGTCGATTACAGACCAGGAAATGGATCTCTCAGGGTCTAGTTTTTTGATCTGTCTCCAAAGCTCGTTGATTGACGAGCCAGAAGTCGAATATGAGAATTGTGGGTATTGTGAGAAGGCCACTGCTTTTTTAACGCCGTCCCGTAGCATCTGCTCGTAAGTCTCGCCGGTGAGAGGTCTAGCGTACCGAAAGGCCACGTACGGCTTGTGTGGAGCTGATTCGGGACACGACTGGTCCAGAATCTCACAGACTTTTTTGGCTTGGTACTCAGACCATTTACGAATGGGCGAACCTCCGATTTGCTCGTATTGCTTTTCGATTTTGGGGGTGCGGAACTTGCTGATATACTTGGCTATGGTTGGTTGGTATTTCTTACTGATTGGAATAAGATCGTTATCTGCAAAGAGCTGGTACAAAAAGTCTCTAGTCTCAGGAACTGTTGCAGGTCCTCCCATATTCATGAAGACCACTCCGGTGGGGCTTTTTTGGAAAAAAACACTGGTGCTCGAGAAAAGTCGCTTGGTGACTAGCGAACTTCTGGACAACATTGTTGCGCAAATCGTGTGATGTCCTTCTTGTAGAGCTGAGCTGAGGCCTAGAAAGTTGAGATCTTTGAGTTTTCAAGATTTTAAGGTTTTTGTCATGTAAGTTTTCAACTCAAATTTCAATGACATTTTTCACATTATATATATATATATACTATTAGTATATATACTTGCTCGAACAGTGCAATTCCAGTCGAAGTTGCTATCCATTGAAGGACCGAACAATAAGCCACGATGATCGTTTATTCTTGAGATTTTGTTGAATAAGAATAGAATTGTAGTATATATAGGGCTTTTTGGCTTGTAAATCCTGATTTTCGGTTTTAAATTACTTGCTAATGTGTTAGAACGACGACGGTTAAGAAAAGAGGTTTGAAAGATACTATGAATTGCTAAAGATTAGTTGTTTTATTTGAGTGGAAAATACGAATGTCAGAAGAACAGTCTTGTTTGCCAAAGCTACTTTGATGGTTCTGGGCTCTCACAGCTTTTTGTCGAAATTACTCAATTAATTACTTTATTATAATGATAGCATATAGTAATATCTCACTATGATGGAAAAATCAAAATGGAAAGACACACACACACACACACACACACACACACACAGAGATTAAAAAGCTCCCACGTCGCTTGTAAAGCTACTCAAAAAACTGGAAATACACACTGTAAAATTCCAGATCATTTTGGCACAACAGTATCGTCATGTTCGACGAAGGGTCTTTAGTTTCTGTAAATTGATCTCATCTCGATCGTATACGTTTCTACCAAACATTCAGATCAATGTTCGAAATGTGATCCTAAAAACAACAATCTCTTGCCGCTTTATCCCGACCAATTGAGCCCTTGCAAGCCCCCCACCACATCCGCTGTTTTTCGGCACACCTGCTACACTCGTCATGGGCAACTTCATTGAGTCCAGAATCCTGGAGCTTTCCGAGAAATCTGGAGTTGACGAATTGACACTGAAATTGGCAATTTGTCTTTTTACGTCTTTCCCCTTCAATGCCCTGTTGAAACGTCTTCCGGACCATAAAACCTCTTTGAAATGCTGGTACATCGTGGGTGTCTCAGCTTTCTACTTGTTTGGAGTCCTTAACATCTTCACCGGGTTCCGTACCCTTTTTTTAAGCAGCATCTTCACATATGTGATCTCCAGATTCTACCGCTCCAAATTCATGCCTTATGTGAACTTTGTTGTTGTTATGTCTCATCTGGCCATCAATCACTTCAGTGTCCAGTTTTTCAGCACTGCTGAAGATTCTACAAAACTCGATATCACGGGTGCCCAGATGGTTCTGGTGATGAAGCTCACGGCTTTTGCGTGGTCTTACCACGATGGCATGCAGCCAGATCAATCCAAATTCTCAGATTTCCAAAAAGCGCGCGCCATCAAAAATCACCCAAGCCTATTGAGCTTCATGGCCTATACCTTTTTCTATCCTTCCCTTTTTACAGGGCCCAGTTTTGATTTCGCAGATTTCGAGTCGTGGCTCAATTGCGAGGTGTTTCGGGACTTGCCTGACACCAAAAAGCCCAGACGCCGGTGGACAACTTCAGATCGCAACCTTCGCAGACAAATACCTAAATGTGGGCTTTTGGTTCTGTGGCGTGTCGTCCAGGGTATTTTTTGGATTGTGCTATCAACAGTCTTGCCAAATTATATCTCCAAGGAGTTCATGTTTACTAAAGCGTTCGCACAAAAATCTTTTCTGTACAAGATTCACTACCTATACATTCTCAGCTTCGTGTTCAGACTCAAGTATTACGCCGCCTGGACTGTGTCAGAGGCTTCATGCATACTTTGTGGTCTTGGCTACAACGGCTATGACGCTCGTACAAAACAAATCAAATGGGATAGAGTGCGCAATATCGACATTTGGAAGTTTGAAACCGCTAGCAATACGCACGAGGGCCTTGAGGCTTGGAATATGAACACCAACAAATGGTTGAAACACTACGTATACTTGAGAATTGCTAAACCAGGATCTAAGCCTGGTTTCCGCAGCACACTATTCACTTTCCTAACGTCTGCGTTTTGGCATGGAACTAGACCCGGCTACTACCTCAGTTTTGCAACTGGTGCGCTATACCAATCTTGCGGCAAAATATTCAGACGCCATTTGCGTCCTCTGTTTCTGAATGCAGAGGGCAAAGGTCTTCCATCGAAAATACTTTACGATATTGTCTGCTTCTACGTCATGAAACTTGCTTTCGGATATTTGGTGCAGCCGTTCGTGCTCCTGGAACTACCCTCTTCTTTGGCATGCTGGAGCTCTGTCTACTTTTACTTCCACTTTGGGATTCTGGTGACTTTCTTGATATTCAAGGGACCCTATGCGGGGTCTGTGATTAAATTCCTCAAGTCCCACCAGGCCATTTCTGTTGCTAAAAAGGAACAGAAAGGAAAACTCGAAGAGGCTGGACCACTAGGCGAGATTGCCAAGGCTAAAAGGATATTTGAAGAAGCAGAGGCTTCTCGCGACATGCAACTTGGAATTCCAGATGTTGATTTTGATAAATTCAATTTTGAAGAAGCTAAACGCGATTTTTCGGAGTTCTTCGAGTCCTATGAAAAATGGAGAGCTGAGAAAGGTTTGGAAATTGAAGAGCACAACTTGCAAAGAGCCTTTGAAAATTTCAAGAGAGAACTCTCGTCAGGTCAAGAAAGAAGAACTAGCTTCAGTGTGTACTCACCTCGACCCATAAATAAGGAAGACTGAGTTTAAAAGTGACAAACACGCCCCCTTATTCGAATCGCATATAGATATCTCTAGCATTTATTGTGATTATTATTCGCCCACGTTAAAACTCCTCGGCATTGAAGAGATCGAGGTCCAGATCAATGTCGTCCTCTTGCTTCTCATCCTCGACGTTCTTGACGGCAGCTCCACTAAACTCGAAAGAAGGCCTGCGAGTGCCTGCATGGTTCTCTGCATCCGATCCTGCGGCGTGTTGTTCACCAGCGTTTTGAGCGCTTTGAGCGCTTTGTTGAATGTTCGAGTCAACCTCCGTTGTCGCCGCTTTTCCAGTTCCATTCTCCGATGCTTTTAGCGAGGCTATGGCCAGCATACCTCGTCTCATAGCGTCCTCCGCAGGCCACACAAAATTGTTTGGCCCCACGGAGCCTTTATCAAACGTTGGTGGTACATGCGTGAATTTAGCGAGTTTCATGGCGTAGTCGAGCAGCACGTCTGTATATACTTTTTCGCGCTGCTTGAGCATTGTTTTGCGTTCAAACTCCACTTGCTCGAGCATAGGTAGCGAATTTAGATCTCGATGACACTCTGTGAGCGTTTGCAAGATCCGTGCGATTTTTTCATCAGTTTTTGAGTGTTCTTCGTCAAGATGTCTTGCTCGACTGTCGATTTCATCGTATTTCTGAAGCGACGTCAATGTGTCCGAAAGCTTTCTATCCGCCTCAATTAGATCTCTAGCACTTTGAATATCCGGATGAAATTTATCTACGGATGCTACGAGACGCCCCAGCGTCTCTTCATACTCACAGATGTCTTTGTATATTTGGGCCTTTATTAGCTGGTTTTCGCTCGAATCTGGACGCTCTAATCCTGATCTTTCGGGGCCAGAGGTCTTTGGAACAGTTAAAGTACTCATCTCAGCACACAAACGTCTAAATGGCAGTAATGAACAATGGATATGATCTACTCAAAGATGGTGTTCCGTTAAGCGATGAGCTAGGTCTAGTATGTAGATTTGAGATGCACACCATTATTGTCAATTAAATGTCTGAAAAATTACCATCACGTGAATTGTTAATATATGTTCATGTGCTTACAACCCGAAAGCAACCCGATTACAGCCATCAGACTACCCGGTTATTATACTCCAAAGTATCTGAACTTACCCACTTCAAATTTCGGGTCTTTTTGGGTCTTCTGAAATTATGTTGCATCATTCATCGTATCTGGTGATATTGGCTCGTTAGCGGCTATGCATGTGACCGTAAGGGCCCATGAAAATCATTTTGTACGCATGTGTCTTATAGTCTAGATTTGGTCTCGTGACTCAATTCCAGCCTGTAGCTCGCGAACGGATCCCACGACCATCCTTGCCAGAAACCTTAGTCCTCACAGTAGTTTCTTGGCTCATTGTATCTGAATTATCAGTAGTGATCTTCTTTTACTGGTCCTGGACATTTCTGGAGTAGCTCTTCTTCTGTTGCGAACTGGGCTCCGCAATAAAAACAATAGAAAAACTCGGTTCTCATGTGTACATGCACGCCCCGAATTTGCTGTAGAGGAGTTAGCTCTTCGAACATACTTAGTTCATCGTCCCTGTCGTCTTTTTCTGGAGAGTCAACAACTTCTGTCTGCTGTTCCACATCTTCAGTTTGTTTCCTGGGCCGCAGTTTTTGTTGCAAGCCTATAACGTACCGCCTCCAAAGACAGTTGAAGTCTCGCGGATCGCTTTTGGAGCTGTAAAGGTCCACGTCACCACTTAATTCAAACGCTTTTTTCTGCATTGCATGTAGTGTGCGCATTTCAGCCGTATGCTGACCTTTTTCTTGAACCCACTTCTGGTAGCTTTCTTCATGGACATCTTCTTCTTTTCGAATCGGAGAAGGAGGTTCTTGCAATGTTTTAGTTCCAATTGGACTGGAATGTCGGGAAACCCATATAGGATCTTTTATAGCATTTTTAGTATCTCGACCAAGACCCTCACCCAGGCTGAAACCCATTTTGGTCATCATAGCAAAGCCTCTTGGAAGAATTTCAGATGCTTCCTCTTGCTTGGTGTCCACTTTTCGCAGTTTGACTCTTGGCTCTGGGGCTTCCCTTACCGAGTTCTCGTTGGGTAACACCATAGTCATATAATCTTCCTCTTCCTCTTTCTCTTGTTCACCGTCTTCGATACTCCTTGAACGTTTGGTTGTTGAACTACGGGACTCATGGGAGCCCATTGTTTCCTAACTTTCTCTATAACTGGTATGTGTCTTCAAGAGAACTTTCACAAGTCCAAACTCCGTACCCAGTTGTCTTAATCAACAAACTTAATTCCTTTACTTTACTTTTGATCATAGACATCGACCGTTACAAATTAGCTTAAAAATGCAGCTCCACGAGAAGAGTATGACTAACGAGAGTTCGCTTCTCCGTCCGCGATCATTGTTGCAGAATTCGTAGAGACAATTAGTGTAACAAAATAATGTTTTCTCGAAAAGTCTGACCTTTTTCTTCATTCATCCGCTCTGGTTTGTTTGGCTAGTTTTATTCAAGATCGTTGATGACTTTGGGCGCCTTGGGGATACCATCTTCTCTTAGCTGACGAGGAATTTCTTGTTTCATGCCACGATTCCAAAGATCGTGGTTTTCACCCAAAACGTACGTAATAGTGCGGCCCGCAAACCCATCTTCGCCCAAAAAGTTCAGTTGTTCAATAACTTCTTCCAGCAAGAATGCTTTCCCTGACGAGATCCCATCACCCAGGCCGCCATGTTTAACATTTACGATGTGAATGTGGAAATGGTAATAAGAAGGCTGGTAGTGAAGGAAAATTCGTAGCTCATCTGGGTGGATAGCATAATTGTAGCATGCGGGAATGACGGTTTTGATTTTGGTGAGCAATTCCACGAGCCAGGGTTTGTGTTCAGGCCGCAGATCTCTCAAAGAACGAATGTCATTGCGGAACACCAATGCCACTAAGTACAGCGAGTCGAGATTCACGCCATCCCACTTCATATCAGGCAAAACGAGGAAACCCTTGGGCATGTTTTCTTCAACAAAGTCTTTGTAAACCACGCGTTCTGATTCTGCACCATTGTAGAGGATATTGTGAACCCACTTCAGACGTGACTCGCTGCTCATCTCCTCAATATAGGGCTTGACAACTCTCTCATAGATCTCTGGCGTTTCACGCAGCATATGATAGTCCTGTACCTCGTATTTGCGGATGTGCACCGAGGTAGCAGGCCATATCAAGTTGATTTTCGCGGTCGGGTTGCGCTCCAGGTCTTGCTTCAAGAGCCCTGCACCCCAGTAGTAAATGTCGTTTGAGGCAATTTCCCGCATTTCTTCAATCGTTTTCAAGCAAGAGAATTCGTCTTCGCAATTGTGAAGAACGGGCGTGTTGCGTCCGTTCTCCTTTTTCAAGACATTGGTGTCGTAAACAAAATGCATCTTTTCCATGGTTACAATGGCGTCCTGCGCCTCAATTTTGCCCAGAAGCGAAATTACTTTGATTTGCGGATTTGAATTCAGAATTCGCACAAATTTGAACTTGCTGAGTAGCTCATGCAATCCAGCGGTTTGGGATGACCCATTGGATGACGAAGTGGCCGGAGTATAGTTCATTTGGTTATACGGAATGTGTCAAATTTCAAATCAATTTTTTAGGGTTCAAGCTGAAAAGAACGTCAAAAGAACCGGATTTTTTCCTGCTTAGCCGTTCTCACACAATATAGAGTAAATTCCACTAAACTCTCAACAAATGCTGTTGATTATTGGTGTTCTTCTTTCTAGTTTGTTGTGCTCATCGCTATATCAAAAGTAGAACAAGTCAAGGGAGGGATCTTGTCCCAATATATATAGGCCCTCTTTTTTTCATCAAAGGGACTCTTTCGTGAAACATGAGATTGGAACAAACGAGAATGTGTCTGACGTTCCAAGTGATGACTAACGGTCAAGAAACTCTAATTCAATCAGATGGAGGATGAGGTCAACTGAGGTTCGACTGAATGCTTTAGACGTTGCATTCAGTATAGATGGTCTTTGTTCCGAGACTTGCTTTGTCAAAAACGGAAAAAATTTAGAAAAAAAGCGGGAAAAAACAACGATTCATCTAATACATGCGAAAGTGCTAAAAAGATATAGAGAGATTCAAGGAGCATGCTTTCTCGCGTAGCTGGCTGCGCGGTGGCAGACCATTTGGAACAGTCTCGTCGGTGATAGATCATATTTTAATCACCAGCTTATCCATCAATCACTTTGTACTAGTGTGTCGCTGCATATGGCAAGTAGGACAGGAATACCTGGCCATGAGTTTAAATAGGTAACAATCGGCAGCATGTTCAATAAACGCTGCATTACCACAGGATGCGGGTCGATTAGACTTTGGCTTGTGAAATAAACCCGGACACATCGAGAGCTACAGGACTCACTCTCAAAACGACTCTTATTTCAAGAACACCCACCAGATCAAAAACACAAAAATAAACGCTACTACGGCAATTGGCGCGTACTGGCTGATAAGCAAGTCGAAGTTGATCTTCTGGGCAGACTTCCGGTACTTTTTGGAATTTTGTTTCAGCGACGCACTCAGATCGCTCATCTTGTCGAGAGAGTCCCCACGGTACAGCAGATCCTCGATATTCTTGGTCATTATCTGCTTGACACCGCTCAGATCCTGGTTGAGCTGATCGAGATTGTTCTGCACTCGCTTGTCGCTATACAGTTTTTTGGTTTTCTGCAGAAAGTTGTCGAATGTGACAAAAGCGTATGGCCGGACCGAAAGCTTGCTGTACTCGTTCCCGTACGAGTGTTCAAACTCCTGGGATATCTCTTTGAGGTACGAAAAAGCCAGATTGCGCGAGAATCCTCTGTCTGCAATGACAAAATATGCGATCGTGTTTTCACGCACATAGTGTATTTCGAAGTTCCCGCTCTCGAGTGTTGCCTCGTCGGCGCTGTTCGGCGTTAGTTTCGATACCAAAACTTTCACTTTCTTTCTCTGTTCGGAAAGAAGGGGATCGGTGTCATCGTCGACCGATGAGCACAGTGGAAGACCTGTGTTTCATTTGTTAGTGATGTTATTTCAGTTTTGCACGAACGCACGCTCGCCATCCTACACTGGATAATACTTACCATCGTCTCTGAATATCAAAGTAGACTTGATCATTGCAGCGAGCTTCCTATGGCCACGTACACGATTTCTAGTGGATATGATACTCTTTGACATCTTCCAGCTAGATGGAGTATAACTTATATTGGACTATAATATTAACGAGCTACTGTCGTGTGAAGGGCTAGCAGAGGGTGTTGTGTCTGTGTAGTCTCCACACCGTCTTTTAGACCGCCAAAGTAGTCCGAATTGACCGCGGTATGTGTAGATTCTCCGTGAGCTTTTCAGGCCTTCATTTGGCGCATAAATTCGTCAACAATTCTTGTCTGTTATGTATTTGGATTAGATCAAGATCCGAACTGAACCCAGCAAGTTGAGCTGGATATCCATGGACTTCAATCAATATTTCACTTTGCTAGACACTTTAGAATGTTATTGAGCAGAATAACGGTCAAATTGTCTGTCTTTCTATCTTTCTTGGTGAAACTATATCAGAAGCTAGCTAGCTTGGCTACCTTACCATTATAATAGTATTGCCAAGAATTGAAATATAGAATCTCTAGTAAAACTTAGATACTTACAGATATCGAAAATCTAAGTAGAGAAAACTCTCGAAGTCAAGTCCAACACTGCTTTAGCTTACGCACTTATTTCTAGATCAAAATGATATACAAACCGTTGTTGTGGCTAGTCGTTTTCTTGTAGCAGCTCTTCAACTATGCGAAAACTAAGATTCCTAAGTAAGCTTCCTACCTACAACTTAAAGAGAAATCTTTCAAAATGTAGAAACAACCACATTCAGATGATCTCATTACTACGTAGGAGTGGCTCAAATGATTATCGCACACGATCAAGATGGCAAACTGAATCTTGGCAAACCGAGTCTTGGCAAACTACACCGACTTTCTTGTGCATCAGAATAAACACCTACAACCGGTCTTTCGAAGACCCAAATCCACCCTGATTCTTGTTTAAAAGCTCTTTAAACTCAGCCTTTTGAAGAATCAGCCTCTTGTCATTGCACCCAAGTTCACAACGCCTCTTAGCGGATGGCATTAGCAAGCAGGCGTGCAACAGTCACGAGAGAGCTCAGCGATGACAGAAAGTTGCCAAACGACAAAAACCCGTTTCTCATTATAAGTAGAAGGTAAGTTGAGGAGGTTCAGGGCCGCCGCATCGCTAGTCTATCTGTGGTTTTCGATCACACTCACCATACACAACAAGCCTCTGTAAAGCTGCGATGAGATTTGCAAGTTTGGGTACGGCATTTTTGGGAGGACTTTCGTTCGCGCTGGGCCATCGAAACGATCTGGAAGATCCCGATGAGGAGTTGTCCCACTATATGGGACCTGAAGAAGCTGCTAGGGTGGCCCGAGGAATGGCAGCCTTTGAACGTACTCTTCACGCTAACACCATTGACCGTTATTCAGGCTCTCCAGTTTCGTTCATCGAATACTTTGTAGGGTCAGACGCTTGCCACGGCTTTGAGACCTCCAACAATGGCAGCATCATTTTGCTGCTTCTTAACATGAGCTCAACGTTCCAGAACTGGCAAAACGACTCCAAGTTCTCGGTGTCGATCGAGGGAACGAGACATTGGGAAATGCACAAGCCTGCAATGGCCTCACCACGGGCCAATTATTTCGGAGAACTGAAGGCTCTGGAGCCATCCAAAGCTCTAGAACACTGTTTTTTGAAACGCCATCCCGACGCCCGCTGGTGGATTCCTGGCGGGAAACATGACCAGGTCCACGACGGCCAATGGTTTGAATTCGACGTCAGCGAAGTGCACTTTATCGGCGGATTTGGGAACTCTGCGTATATCGGGCCTATCAGCGGTGAGGACTACCATGGAGCCTTCAACCATTCGGCTCCCCGTCATCCGCCACACCATCCGCCCCACAGCTCATTGGAAGAAGAACTAGAAGACAGTGGAAACCCCGAAAAGTTTGAATTTACCCACCACGGGCCTGAGGGGCGTAAAATTCTATCACCAAGCTTTCTAGATCACGATGAGGCCTACTTCCAAGCTACTGACGATACCAAGGAGCTTCCTATCAACGCAGAAGATGATCACACTGATACGTCGCGCAAGATGCACAACAGGAAGAAAACGAATCCAAGAAAGAAATGCGGCTCCATGAAAATAGCCTTGGACTTCTCGCCCTAGCCTTTCAGAGTATCTTCAAGTTCATTTCGTGGTGTAAGCCACGAAAGATTCTCTTATGCCAACCGATTTTATACTAGTTTATGTTTTTATGACTTTTAGAGACTTTCAGAGCGCTTGGAAAGCGCCTGTGAAGCCCGATTTGAATACAAAAAGCTGCTCAGCATTGAGTCACAACCTTGTAGCATCAAGAACTGTTCTCATCTTGTGAAGTAACCGATCATACTTTTACACGTAGTTGTGCAGTTCTTTAATGCCAAAGGGTATATGGCACTACTACTACTGCTACAACTACCACTTCTCAACATGAAGGTGAAATACAAAACCTATAGCAAGTAGACCCATGGCAATTCGACATTTCAGGCGAAGAGATGTTCCCGAGAAAGTAGTAAGCTCTTCAAGCGAATTAAGCGAGTCTTCGGATGATGAGCACCGCGATGAGCATGTCGATGAGCTTGTCGATGAGCATGATGATGTTGAACATGGAAATGGCTCCTGTGAGAAACCAGTGGATGAAAAGAGAACTGAAGTTGGACCAGCTTCATTCCAGTCTCAAGACAATCAAAAACCAGCGTCATCAGTTGTCCCAATCGGTTCAGGCACCAAATTTGCGGTGAGAAAAGACATTATTCCAGAGAAAACGCAAAGCCCAAAGGTCAATGCGTCTGACGACGAAGATGCGGAGGAAAGCGATGAAACTGAAGAGTCGTCATCCAGTGATGACGATTACGTGCTTCACAAGCCCGTTTTTTTGAAACGGACTTCAAAACCAATCAACAATGCATTTACAGATTCTCAAGCATCGGGCATCAACAAGGAAGCTCTCCTGACCAACATCAAGGAGGACAACAAGAGAGCCGAGAAGAACGAAGAACTGGCCTTATTGGGAAAAAATAACCAGACCTTAAATCAAGATTTACTGGCAAACATTCTGGCTCTCGATGACGATGACAGTCACGAACCAGAGAAAGAGCACATGCTATGGGAAGAAAGACAGCAACAACGAGCGCTGAGATTACGCAGACTCTTGGAAAAGAAACAGGCGGAGCTTGAGGATTACGAAAGTGCCAAAATGGCCAATGCCTCTGCTTTGAACTCTGATACTCTGGAATCGGTTAAGCAACCGACAGAACGTGCCCTAAAGACACATTCTGCTACACCCAGTGCATCCCACAGCGACATTGGCAAGCGAAAACCCGATTCCAAGCGACATACTGCCAATAAAGCACGGAAATACAATCCGCAGTCTTTGAGCAAGGCAGATACAAAGTTACAGTCAGAACAAAGTCGCACACAAGCTCAGGATGAACAGAATGAATACTCAGTGATTTGATCGATAGATCTCTCCGGCCCGCTACTGCGACGAACTGTCACTACGTCAATGACGATTTAGCTCATCGCCAACTACAGTTCTAGCTTGAAGATCTTAGAGAAGCGCACGCAAACTTGTCCACAGGCGAACAGCCTGTCTCTGAGGTATACAATGTCTTTGATACCGTTGAGGGATGATCTGGTTCCATTTTTGGGACCATACCTTCCTTCAAATGGAGAGCGGAAATCAAGCACAAAACCATATGTTACTCTAACATATGCACAATCGATGGATTCTCGAATTTCGAAGGGTAAAGGTGTTCGAACAGTGATTTCACACTTGGAAACTAAAACTATGACCCATTATTTGCGGTACCATCACGATGGGATTCTTATTGGAGTTGGTACAGCGCTGGCCGATGACCCTGGGTTGAACTGCAAATGGAGCCCAACGGACGAGACCGCTGGCCTGCATTGTTCTCCATTGCCTATTATTTTGGATCCGCATTGCAAGTGGCGGTACGAGGGTTCCAAATTGCAAGAACTAGCCCTTCAAAAACTCGGGAAAGCACCTGTTATTGTCGTAAACAAAACACCAGTCTGGGCATCTAAAGTGAAAGCTGTTAATTACGTAGAGGCACCTCTGAATGCAGAGGGAAGGTTTGACTGGCTACCATTGCTGCGGCAGCTTCAAAAAGAGTTGCAACTCAATTCAATTATGGTGGAAGGCGGGGCTGTGGTCATAAATGAACTGCTTTCTAGGCCGGACATTGTGGATACTTTGATTGTCACCATAGGAGCGAAGTACCTGGGGCAGCAAGGGGTGGAAGTAAGTCCACCAGCCGGAGAGATTGAAATGGATGAAGTAGCTTGGTGGAAGGGCACCAACGACGCAGTTGTTGCTGCAAAACTACACAGAACATAAACCTCAAATATTTTGTTTCTTACTAAGATTTGGCAGGGTGGTGTTAAAAGCTTGTTCGAAGGCAGACTCTCTTGCTTTACAACATCAACAAATTCATTTTCTTTTTTTTAGGGTGAGTTCATTCTATTTCCAGTATTTTACAAACACACTCTGTAACTCGCGTAACGTCCAGAGGTTTCACTCTTCCTGATGATCTTGACAACATCACCTCTTTTCAAACCTAAATATAATGCAACAGGATCCATCCGCTGGATTCTGGGTAATTGGGATTCCTTGAGTCTGTATCTTCTGAGCAACTCTCTCTTCTCTTCGTCGCTCAACTTTATATGCTTGGGCACCAACTCATGGTGCGTGATGTTTACCACCAAAGACGCTTCGTGAAACGTTTCGATGGTCGCTGGTGCTACCGAAGGCAGCAGCTTCATCGCACTGGGCGTCACACCGTTTTGGTAGACGAAAATACCAGTTTGGAAGTTTTTCTCGCTGATGTGGATAACAAAGTTCTTCATTGTCTTGATACCAACAGAAGCTTCGTCACAAAACTCAACCCACAGCGATCCCATGTTTGGGAATTTCTCAATCGACTCCTCCACGGGATTGGACTGGAACGACATCATCTTACGCTGTGGACGACCCATCGAGTCACAGTATTTTGTTTTGAAATCTTCCAGTGAAAGATCGATTTCTTCCTGTGTGATGAAGTACCCACGGTCTCTGACCATCTCTTTCACAGTTCTAAAAGCTCTCCAAAGTCTGGACACATTTCTCTCGTTTTCCTGATCCATTATAACCACCTTGATCGACCTCTTCAAGCCTTTTAATCCACCCTCTGGAGCCCATCTTGAACTAGAAATTTCGAGCTAAGATGGACATGTTATAATAAAAATTTTAAGAACTTGATGACCCTTCGTTCATAGTGCCATCACCAGATATCTTGGTCCACGCCAAATCCAGAGAACGTCAGTACCCAAAACAAAGCGTCCGTGAAGTTCGTAAGCTCTTGTCGTCTCTTGTCCCGTGCTCCTGAAAGAGAGACAGCTTGGTAGTAATAAAATGGTAAATCCAGCTGTTCTTGTCTTTTTTCCTGCGTTTTAAAGTACATGAATATTCCAACGTCTTGCCGACACTTCACCTGGCATGGGTGGAAGGTCTCATCGAGAAAATTTGCATAGCTTAGGCTTCGCGAGAAACTGTGGTTTTCCTGCGATATTGCAAAACTATGTCACCCTGCGATTTCCAGTAAAGAGTCTTTACGCTGCCCAGTGCCATCTCATTGTCAAGTAGCTGATTTTTGCATAACAGCTCGAGCCACTCGTGGCCAGGTGTTCGGGACCGCATTTCTGGGGTCTTAGAATCAAATCGATCAACCACGTAGTTTATTATTTTCTTCACTTTGACTACAGTGGGAGCGTGTAGTTTAGTATAAGCTTCAGCCACTTTAGGAAGCGGTTTAGGCTTTCGATCACCGTCGCGTTCGCTATGCTTGCTGCGATGGAAAGGCAGATGGTGGTGATGCTGATGTTGTGCTGATTGAGACTGTTCCGAGCCCAAAGTGGTTGTCGAGTCCTCTGCTGAGTCGGGGTCCTGCCAGGGCTCCAGCACGAAAGTCAATTTGGGATAGTTCTTGGTGGTTTTCTCATCTTGGATTAGAGCCTTACCCATCCAGTAGGGCAAATTACGTTCCAGCGACTCGAACACTTGTTGGTTACCTCCCTTGTCTGAAAGAAGCGCATTATCGTAACGTGGCGTGGGCACATAAGTCGAGAAACACACAGTGTCGCCACTGGAACCCTCTTTCCAGCAATTGACGAGAAGAAGAACACCTCCTTTGATCTCAATAATGGGCGAATCATCCTCCCTTGTAATTTTGGAATTGGGTGGTTTCCTACTCAGGATTTTGAAAGACGAAGCATTCGCATCAACTTCTTTGACATACTCGTTGCGCATTTCTGCAATAAGATCGGACATGAACTCCTGCCTCTTCGAAGGCTCAGGATGTGAGTCCTCACTGTTTTTGCTTATTTCTGTAGTATCATTATTCGCTGCTTCATGGTGCATGAAGAAATTTGGCTTGAAAATTTCGTCATCAGTATCCGTGGCAGTATTGAAGCTCCGTTGAGGTCCTTTTTCCTCTCCTGTTCCACTATCATCTACATCACTGAGATTAGATCCCGAATTGGTGTTATTGGCTGTAGAGAGCAGCCTTAATCTTTGGGCTAGAAGAGACCCTGTGCTAAGAGACCTCTTCTCCAAAGCTGGTGTCTGAAATGTATCGTTTTTCCCGCCCTTTGCGGTATGACCCTCCAAATGCGAAGTGGCTGGTGGAGGAAGAATGAATGAATCTTCTGCCATCATAGGTGAATTACCTTCTGCCAAGGGAGTGCATGGTAAAGATGCAGGAGTTGGGGATTGTCGACCCTTAGAGAGTTTTGTGAATAAAGACAGCTTTCTTTTGTCTTTTAACCCAGGCCTACTCAAGTCATTCAGTGAGGCATCTGTCGGGGCCTGTGAAGGGGACCCTGGAACAGAATTTTTTTTGGTACCAAGATCTTTGCGAAACAGTTCGTCTCTCGCAGTCGCCCAAACTATGAACTCGTTTAGAATGGAATTGAGGGCTATCCTACCGACATTGTAGCGCTCGTCAATTTCGATCTTGATATCATTAATAATTTTGTAATGCTCAAGGGCACTGCCATAAACCTCCGTGTTCAAGAACTTCGGTGATAGTTTGACAAAGAGCTTTCCAGTCTTGATCGAAACGGAGCACCAATGGGCTAAAGTTTCTTTAGTATTATTTTTGTTCACAAGGTCATCAAAACTCTCCGTTGTATCATCAAAAGTGTCCAGCAGCTCGCAAGATACAATATCCCATTTTTGAACAACGCCTTTAGTGTTTTGCGTTATGACATGTCTCCTGTTGGTCAGTAGAGAGCTTTTCAGCAAAGCGTCGCCACCCTTGAGTGTAAATACTTCGCCTGTCTTGGTATCCAGCGAGTGTAGATTTGAGTCGCCGCAGAAAGAATACCAGATGTCCTCACTGTCTAACTTGAGCATTGTCAGCACTCCCCTACTTTCTGGATCAGATCTTAGGACTGCTGTTAGTTCTGGAACCTCCCACGCGCCTTCTGTTAAACTGACTCGCGTAATTGCTCCACGCGAATCCCCCAGAAGAAACTGTTCTAGCGACGTTCCCTGGATACACCATACGGGAGAAGCCCACTTCCACGAATGAATGAGTGCGTCTGCTCCTCCATCTATTCCCAGATTCTCTAGATCCCATAGACTGATCATACCATCAGAGCTAGTGCTCAAAAGTCTTGTGCCCATCAAATGTAGTAGTTTGATATTTGTCTTGTGGGCCGCTTTGACCTGGCCTACTTTCTCACCTGTCTTGCTTGATATCAGCACTAAATTTCCATTATTATCGCCGGCCACTAGATCGAACAGCAATTCATTGCTACTGACCGATATCAGTGCGTATAGAGACCCGGTTTCTTCTGGTTGTGCATTGTCGATAGTGTGCATCAAGATGGACGTTCCGTCTTGGCGTACTTTCCAAATCTTGACCTTCATGTCCAATCCGCATGTGGCTAGCTTCCAATCGCCCAAACCGTCTTTGCCTATGACAGCCACGCATTTAACATAGTCGTCGTGATATCCAAGCATTTTACTAGTCCAATCGTCGTTTTCCGCGTTAACTGTCAGCAAACACAGAAAAAAATCATGGCTGACCGTGACAAATTTGCCTTCGTCTAGCTCAGCCACATCGCTAACCCAGTCACTGTTGGTCTGCATCCTCACGCGTCGCCACTCGCCATTTTTCTGTGTATGCCTGATCACAGTGCCATCCCTGCCACATGTGAGAATCAAGTCAGGTATACTTCGCGACTGTATGATCTTGGTAATAGGCAAGATGTGAGACTCGTGAATATTAGCACGCTGTGGTGGTATCAATCCGTATGAAACTGTGTATTTACTCATAACGACCTTTTTTGATGGGGGAAACAACTTTTATTGTATCTTTTTCCACCGTGCAAGCTGTATCGTCAGTAGATCAAGTAACCAGCCTTTCAAACAATTCAAACTAGGGCCTTTCAAGTCACAACAGCAGTCACTTGTATCTGGATACCTTTCTTTAGCTAAATCTTGAGATTCTTTCAACCCTTAGTGTAAGTGTGAAGTTAAGAAAAGTTGAGTAAATTTACCAATCTTGAATAAGAAAACAGGCTCGAGCATCTTTCAAAAGCTCGAGATGAGTGAGAAAGAGGGAAACAATGAGAACCTTCGCGATAGGTTAGTTCCTCAGCTAAAGGGTAAACTTTGGTACTGCTTGGAACAACAGGTCAAAAACGAACTTCCCGCAGGCGTGAACTATTCACCCAAATTTATCAATGCGTTGGTAGAGCTGACATTCACACAATTAGTCGACATTGGGGGAGATTTGGAAGCATTTGCGAGACACGCGGGACGCGAAACCATTGTGGTGGACGACATGATGCTTATGCTGCGAAAATCACCAGAACTGCAGTCTTTGCTGCGACAAAAATTGGAACAAGATGCCACCGGAGAGCCTGCTGTGCCAGCAAGAACGAGCAAAAGGTAGATATGATGTGCTGTGATATGGAATTTTTTTTCGAATCCTCTTAGTTTAAAGACTATGTACAAGAACCCGCGTGGAAATGCATGCCGGGGTGTGAAATGTGTGATATGTGTGCGAATGACAAGGTAAGGAAGGTCGATTGTTTGTTCGTGGCTTCGTTGTAATGCGGAAAAGCTCTGATTTTTCCGAGCCTCATCTCTTGACCCACGTAGGCATCTTTCTGGCCTTCTTCTTGCCCGGCTTCTTTCTTTCCACCTGTCTATAGTCTCTGGTGAGTACACCGGCCTTATGTAGCCTTGGTTTCAACAGGGGATTGAACACCAACAACGCCTTGGCGATCGCATGCATGGTAGCCTCGGCCTGGCCCGTGACACCGCCTCCAGAGGTGGTGACAAAAACGTTGTATTTCCCAAGACTATCGACCACCTTAAGCGGGTACGCCACGGATTCACGGTCCTTCATCTTCACAAAGTAGTCATTCAATTGTCTACCATTGACAAGAACTTCCCCAGAGCCTCTCACTATCTGCACTTTTGCAGTCGAGGTCTTTCTGCGACCCACTGCAATACTTCTACCAAACTCATCAAGAGTTTTCACAGACACCTGTGACGCCTGAAGTTTGGTCTTTTTGAAGTATTGTGATAGCTCAAATGTGATCTCATCATTGGTCAGCTCCGGCTCAATGGCTTGCAGCCTGTTCAGGAGTGTAAGCAATTGCTGGTATTGGGTGGGCTTCAGACGTGTACCACCACCGATCAAAGCGTATTCGCTGAAAGATAACCAAGACGGTCTCTCGCTTGGCGCCATTTGTACTGTTGGCAACTTGACGTATTTGCGTAAAAGAGCCTCCAATCTATCGATACGGTCTTCGTGGTGCGGATTGGCAGAGTAGAATGTGGTGAGTTTCGGAATAATTCTCGTTTGTTGCAGCGAGTAGTCTTTACTCAAATGTGAAAGAGCCGAGAAGTTTCGGAACCCGACACTGCGGCTCGAAACCGCCCTACTGGCGGTACTGCACAGCCGACTTAGCATAACAGTAGACGGTGCTAAGGGAAAGCTAGGTCAGCGAAACTGAAGTAGCCTTATACTTATGATTCGATTGATGTAGTAGGTTCTTGAAAGATATTGAAAAATTTCCCTTCGTGTATGAAGATATTGAGAATTAGAGACTTTCAATATACAATGACAGGAAGGAAAAAGTGATATGAAACCAGCAATGAAGATGTGACGTTCAGAGCAAGTTTCGGTCATGTTTGATTAAGAGGTTTTTGGTTATGCAATTGAGTTTGGAAGTCTTCAAAGCCCTCAGAAAGTTCCATTTCGTGCGATTCATGTTGATAGATGGAAATACTTCCGTGTTTCGTGATTTTGTGCGTATCACGATGCTGGCGTCAGCGACAGAATCCAGTAAAACAAGAATTGTGACGCTGCTTTAACTTTTCATTCTTATGATAGCTTATATTCAGTTAATTGTCTGGCCTGCTGTTTTGAATTGTTAAAGGACCTCAGAGCTTTATTTAATCCATCTTTTACCCGTTCTTACGATCTGCCAAGGAGAATTGACGACAAACGATTTTGGTAGGACGAAAAACATAGAGAAACGGTCATAATATGGCTGCGACACTCGCTTGAATTCAATTCGCCGACCGTCTTTGATCACCGCGTCTGCCAATTCAAACATTACACAAGATCGGTTTTTAAAAGGTCTATCATAGCATTTCTTTCATTACAAATAACGTTCTCATTATATAGAGGGAATCCGAGATGAGATTCGGTGGTTCCCGGCGAGGTACGGAACAAGCAAATTGGTAAATTATTTGCTGGTGTCGACGACGTATCTACCGACGATCTTACCTTGTTCCATCAATTCGAAAACCTCTGGAAGTTCAGACAAGCCACAGATCTTGATTGGGGACTTGACCAAACCACGGGCGAAGAAGTCCAAAGCTTCTCTGGTGTCAGCTCTGTTACCGACGTAAGAACCGACAATCTTGTAGGACTTGACGACTTGGCTGAAAACTTCAGATTTGCAGTAGGCGTTGGCTGGCAAACCGACCAAAACAACGGCACCGTTGTTTCTGACGTACTCAGTGGAGGCGCTGATGGCGGCCTCGGAAACAGACACGTTGATGACACCTTGGGCACCACCGTTGGTGATCTTGTTGACTTCAGCGACGATGTCCTTGGTGGTACGGAAGTCGATGAAGACCTCACCACCGAGTTGTCTGAAAAGCTCTTCTTTGCCTTCACCACCGTCGATACCTAGAACACGGTAACCCATGGCCTTGGCGAACTGGATGGCTAGAGAACCTAGACCACCGCAGGCACCGGAGATGGCAACCCATTGGCCGGCAGACAATTCAGCGGACTTCAAGGCCTTGTAGACGGTGACACCGGCACACAAGATTGGGGCCACTTCGGCTAGATCAGTGCCAACTGGGATTTTGGCGGCCTGCACGGCGTCGGCAGTACAGTACTGCTGGAACGAACCGTCGTGGGTGTAACCAGAAAGATCGGCCTGAGGACAGTTGGATTCGTTACCCAATTCACAGGCTTCACAGTTCATGCACGAGCCGTTTAGCCACTTGACACCGGCGAAATCGCCGACCTTCCAGTTCTTGACGTTTTCACCCATGGCGACAACGACACCGGCACCTTCGTGGCCACCGACTAGAGGCAATTTGACGTCTAGAGGCCAGTCACCCTTCCAGGCGTGCAAGTCAGTGTGGCACACACCGGAGTACTTGACGTTGATCAAAAGTTCGTTGGCCTTAGGGGTTGGCACATCGATGTCTTTGTATTCAAGAGCACCGCCGTTCTTGTAGAAAATAACACCTTTTTGGGTCTTTGGGATCTGGTAGGCAGACATTGTTTGATTTCTGGAGTTTTGTTTTTTTTTGGAAAAAGCTGTTGTAGAGTTATACTAGAGAGTATAAGCTTGCTGAATTCTGGGGAAATAAAGAAAAGATTAACAATAAAACAACAGAAGTGACAAATCTGGATGCTTATTGTTGTAATCTGCCCGCCTTATATACATCATTTTTCCCAAAAATGCTCGAGCCTGGGCGTCGGGGTCAGGAAAGCCCCGGCCCGGCGTGTTGTGTTGATTGATGGTGTGCTGCTTCTGATGCATCATCAGTTTTTCCGTTTTTCCGGGTTATTCCGGACGCGTTCATAGTGGAACAACCCAAAATAAAAATTGGCCATTTACCATAGTATTATGGGATAACACCACCACTCCACTTCCAAATCGGCCAACTGCACACCACAACATACAACATACACGCTGAGAATTTTACCTTTTCTTTTTCTTTTCAGCACTCCGGCTTGGAACGAGTAATCGTACGATTAAGAGCTGGTGGTTTGAGCTGAGTACAACTTGGTTTGAACCGGAGTCTGCTGGGGACCCATCGTCAACGGCCTCTAGCTTGGAAAACACACCACTTGGAAGACACACCACCACCCCATAATGCAAAGTGCTAGACGAGGACGCGAGACTGGAGAGAAGAAGGTGGCACTGTCCCGTGCGGGGTGATATACATCATCCGATGCAGGAGTTGGGATGAGGGTGTGTGGGTGTCGGGGTGAGGGTGTAAGGGTGTCATGGGTGTCATGGGTGTAAGGGTGTTCATGGGTGTGTGGGTTTTGATTTTACAAGTACTCACCACTTTGGTGTGGTTTTTGTGATGTGGTACTCATGATTGCATAGTGGATTGGGACATTGCAGTGGTGGGTTAATAATGGGTTTTTCAAAGCGCGCCAGCCATTGAAAACTACCAAGAGATACACCAGCTTTTAAAAACAAGTATGGGCCATCAAGTAGCACCCTCAAGTCTACCTTTACCTTCAACCACTCACTCTCTCCTGTTTATATATCTACACATCTTATAGTCTGGCGTCCCAGGTGTGGCTCACGTGACTCTTTCGGACTTGAATGGTTATGCGGGTTGTTACTAGCGGTTGCTGGTGAAAGCTGCCGGAGGGTCGTTCTGTTAAGACACCGCCAAGGTTAAGAACAGAAAAATTGTAGATTTACTTACAAACCGCGGAATATCACAGACGAGACGAGACGAGACGAGACGAGACGAGACGAAGCTATGGACACCACCACAACGTCTTCAATGGTAAACGACACGTAGAGCAGAGGCAATTGCATGCTCACATACGTGTGTACGTATCACAAAGGCATCCACACCACCAGTTTCTTTCTGTCTTTCTCTCTCTCCCTCCCCTCTCTCTCCCTCCTTACATGTCACTTTCCCCTATCGCTGTCGTCCCCTCCCCGTACACAGCGACATCTGCCGTTTTCTCACCCTCCACCCAGACACCCTCGCGACATTGTCTCCGGCTTCCCAGCTTCCTCCAGCTTCCTATCCTTTTGTACGACAGCCGTCCCTCCCCTTCCTTCCATCAGGCGCGCTTCTCTCTTTTTCCAGCTGCCGCCCAGAAAACGCGCAGTCATCCAGCGCCAGCTTCTTGTGGCTTCCTATTGTCACGCTCGAGCCGTACCCCCCCCCCCATCTACTCCGGCAGCGAGTACTCGCTGCCCAGTCCAGCGCTAGAAACAAAATTCAAAAACAGGCCGCCGCGAGTACACTACCCTGAGCTTCAAGAAGAACAAGAAGTAGAAGTAGACGAAATAGTAGTAGCAGGTCGTCAATCTGGATGTTGATGATGGTTACCAAATCTTTCAGTAAACTACGACTAGTTGCGGTTGCAATGTTGGAAAAATAACACGATCACGGTAGGTCCATGGGTGGCACCACATCTTTCGTTTCGTCTTAGCCCACGCAAAAAAGAAAAAAAACCTGAACCACGCGCGTATGACGACGACGACGTAGCAGCAACCAACCCATCACCCGAATTCGTCATACAGAAAAAGTTTCACAGCGTGGTTTGGCAATAGCTCTGAGATTTTGTATATAAAGAAGACCAACAATTGATTTAGTTGATATTTCTGATTGATTTATCTATTTCTCTTCTTTTTAATTCTCCAGAGAACATCTCCCAATAGATCTAACCATCTAAACCACACTTCCCAAAAAACTAATCAAAAATGGTCACCACTGTTTCTATCAACGGATTCGGCAGAATCGGAAGAATCGTCTTGAGAATCGCCTTGGCCAGAAAGGACTTGAAGGTTGTCGCCATCAACGACCCTTTCATCTCCGTGGACTACGCTGCTTACATGTTCAAGTACGACTCCACCCACGGTAGATACGACGGTGAAGTCTCTTTCGAAGAGAACTCTTTGATCATCTCCGGCCAGAAGATCGCTGTCTTCCAGGAGAGAGACCCAGCTCAATTGCCATGGGGTAAGCTAGGTGTCGATGTCGCCATTGACTCCACCGGTGTCTTCAAGGAATTGGACTCTGCTCAAAAGCACATTGACGCTGGTGCTAAGAAGGTTGTCATCACCGCTCCTTCCGGTACCGCCCCAATGTTCGTCATGGGTGTCAACGAGAACGAGTACAAGGGCCAGACCATCGTGTCCAACGCCTCTTGCACCACCAACTGTTTGGCTCCATTGGCCAAGGTCATCAACGACGCCTTCGGTATCGAAGAAGGTTTGATGACCACTGTCCACTCCTTGACCGCCACCCAGAAGACTGTCGACGGTCCATCCCAGAAGGACTGGAGAGGTGGTAGAACCGCTTCCGGTAACATCATCCCATCCTCCACCGGTGCCGCCAAGGCCGTCGGTAAGGTCTTGCCTGTCTTGCAGGGTAAGTTGACCGGTATGGCTTTCAGAGTCCCAACCGTGGATGTCTCCGTTGTCGACTTGACTGTCAAGTTGAACAAGGCCACCACCTACGACGAGATCAAGGCTGCCGTCAAGAAGGCTGCTGAGGGTCCATTGAAGGGTGTGTTGGGTTACACTGAAGAAGACGTTGTCTCCACCGACTTCTTGGGTGACTCTCACTCTTCCATCTTCGACGCTTCTGCCGGTATCCAATTGTCCGAGAAGTTCGTCAAGTTGGTCTCCTGGTACGACAACGAATACGGTTACTCCACCAGAGTTGTCGACTTGGTTGAACACGTCACCAAGGCTTAAGCGCGGGATGTTTTTTGATATCATCTCTTCCGTTTAGAATCTTACATACGCCTTTTTATATAACGAACTGACGATTTTGCGAGTACACTTTGAGTGAGGGGGATATGAAGCCTCTGATTTGTATGTGAGTTGCAGTTGGCTTTTGGCTAGTGCTAGTACACTTACTTGGCTGTCACTAGAGTATCTACATCCTGGACCCTTGAATACACACGAAGGAAGGCGATGAGCTAACATTATACTAATTTTTCGATTTCTATGGTATACAAGCCACTTCTTCTTCGGTATCACTATTGACGTAATGTGCTTTTTATCGTCAAAGACTGCTGCTGGTGTCACTGTTGTTGCCACCAGTGCCGTACAGTCCTTAGGATACCGCTGCAACAAGAACAAACTACAACTGACGTGCTTGTTCGGGTCTCAAACACGCTCTTTTTTCCTTCCTTCCCTCCTTTCGTGTCCGCACACTCTGTCATCTTGCGAAACCATCAAGCTAAAGAAGCAGACGGAGTCCCAAGATTAGTACGCTTCTTTATTGCTGCTAAAACACATCAACAAGTGCTTTTTGTTGGCCCTTCCCAAGCCCTAGTCGACACCCGATGTTTTGATTATTAGTAGTTTTTCATGTTTATTACATCCAGAGTAACTTTTACTACGCTGGTCTTTACAAATGTAATATAAATAGAAATTGACCTTATACTCTTGAACAGATATTTAACCTCTTAAGGCACACTCAAGCGTCACAGCTTTGCTTCAAAGACTGGAGGAGCAGATAAGTAACATCTGATCGCATAATAAATCTCTTTCTGATACTGCTTAACGTCTGGAACATATTGAAATTGTCTGACCGCAGTTTCTCCCGCAATTCTCTCAGACGTCATACAATATTGATAGTATTTCGTCAAGTTCTGCGCCCCTGGCAAAGCAAGAAAAAAGGAGGCTCTATTAGTAGTGTTTTTCGCTAAACCTTCTCCAGTAAGTTCACACTTTTCCCCTTTACCACCCACATCCATCAGCCTCATCACTTAGTCGATTTCCAGTCGTACGTCTCCAGCTCTTAACGCCGTTTTCTACCCATTCCTCTCTTCAAACCTCTAGTCGCATGCGTTCCAGAACATTGTTTATGATGACATAAGCGTGCGGCAACCCTCATGCACAGCAGCAAGAATTCAATGCATGATTCTCCGTCTGCTGCGCATTTTTCTGAGCATAGCTGGTCAAAGTGACGACACGTTCTCTACATTAGATGACGCAAGAAAGCAAAACGCCCAGAACAAGGCGTACCCAATTAGTTTCCCCCAACTTGGCTAGGGGCTCCGGGGCTGGATGAGCTAGGCATCAAATTGTAGTATAAATAGGTCCCAAATGTAAGATGCCCATCCTTCTTCTTCGCCCTTACTCCATAACCTCATCTCATTTGGATCATCCGTTCATAACACTGGTTTTCAAAATACTTCAAAAAGGTTTTTGTCCAAACAATAAGAAGTACAGCGCATTGCTTACCCTAAAAAACGCTACTAATTGCGTTTCAACAACAGCTGTTTGATTCCGTTTGCTGTGTTTTGACAAGGTGGAAAAAAAATAATCCAAAAATTGGGTAAAAACTAGTCAAGCAAGAAGAACCTCTCACGTACCGGACTGCAAACTACATTCAATTATGGCAGGAAGTAGTGAGGATGCGGCGAACTCCACGTCGGGATTCGTCACAGCGCTGATCTTGTACGGCATCCTGTTCGTGATATACATAATCCTTTTCATTCGCCTGAGACCCCGCCAGGAACGGGTGTACCAGCCACGTTCCATCAAGGACATCATCACAATTCGCGAAGAGGAACGCACGGAACCGGTCCCCAATGGCTACTTTACTTGGGTTCGCTATTTGATGTCCAAACCACACTCTTTCCTCATCCAGCACACAGGCCTCGATGGTTACCTGTTTCTGCGTTACATCGCCGTTTTTGGTTCGCTGTCACTCGTTGGATGTATCATCATTCTGCCCATTTTACTTCCGGTCAACGCGACCAACGGTTATAACTTGAAGGGATTCGAGTTGCTAGCCTTTGCGAACGTGAAAAACAACAAGCGGTTCTACGCTCATGTCTTTTTGTCATGGATTTTCTTCGGCATAGTGCTCTACACCATTTACCGTGAATTGTACTATTACGTATCACTCAGACATGCTGTTCAAACGAGTCCCTTTTACGACGGACTCGTTTCGTCCAAGACTGTGGTGCTCACAGACCTTTCTTCGGATTTGCGCAACGAATCAGAAATTCAGCGCAGGTTCGAAAACTGTTCTAGAGTTGTTTTTGTCCACGACAACACCGAGCTCCAGAAACTCGTCGCCGAACGTACTAAACTTGCTTCCAAATACGAAGGTGCCATGAACAGTGTCATCAGAAAGTCTTTGAAAATAAGAAGAAAAGCTGAGAAGAAAGGAAAACTCGATGAACTCATTGGCAGCAAACCTGAAGACGATCTACAGACCTACATTCCTCAAAACAAGAGACCAAAGTTCCGCTTGGGTAAAATTCCTTTGCCATTTATTGGTGGCCAGAAAGTGGACACTTTGGAATACTGCAGCAAGCGGATTGGAGAACTCAATGAAGAAATTGAGCAACAACAACAAGCGTGGGATACCCGCGACAAAGTTGGGGCTTGTTTTATGGAGTTCAAGGGCCAATTGGATGCTCAGCGTGCTTACCAGTCCGTGAAATACATTCTAGACAAAGGTTCTTACGACAAGTGCTTGATCGGAACATCTCCTGATGATATCACGTGGAGTACTCTTGGCATGTCCAAACACGTCAGACGCTCCAAGCGTGGTGCGGCTAATACGGTGCTGACCTTGATGATTATCTTTTGGGCCATCCCTGTGGCGTTTGTGGGTTTTGTTTCGAACATCAATTTCTTGATTAAAGCTTTGCCGTTTTTGAGGTTCATCAATAACTTGCCCAAAGTTCTCCTTGGTTTGATCACGTCGATTCTACCCACCGTGTTGCTTGCCGTCTTAATGTCCTTGGTGCCAATCTTCATAAAGAAATTAGGGTCCATCAGCGGTTGCAGCAGTATACAGGAGCAAGAGCTGTACTGTCAAGCCTGGTATTATGCTTTTCTAATCGTTCAGGTTTTCATTGTTGTTACTTTGGCTTCCTCAGCTTCTTCCACAGTCAGTGCAATTATCGATGACCCAGGCTCAGCAATGACGCTCCTGGCTCAAAACCTGCCCAAGGCCTCGAATTTTTACATTGCTTACTTCTTGCTTCAAGGTTTGGTTTTCCCCAGTGGCGCTTTGCTACAAATTGTTGGCCTCATTCTCAGCAAGGTTTTAGGAAGGATCTTGGACTCAACGCCCAGACAAAAGTGGACCAGGTACAATACTCTAGCAAAACCAAGTTGGGGCGTTGTTTTCCCTAATATCGAGTTCATGGTTTGCATTTTTATCTGTTACGCCCTTATTGCACCCATTTTGATGGTTTTCTCAACCCTGGCCCTCGGTCTATTCTACTTAGCCTACACCTACAACCTGAACTACGTCTTCGGGTTTTCGTTTGATATGAGGGGCAGATCATACGGAAGAGCCTTATTTCAGGTATTCCTCGGCCTTTACTTGTCAGAAATCTGCCTACTAGGGCTGTTTATTATGGCTAAAACCTGGGGGCCTCTTGTAATCGAGGCTGTTTTCATCGCATTCACCGTGCTGTGCCACTTGTACTTTCAAAGAAGGTTTATTCCATTGTTTGATGCTGTACCTTTGAGCGCCATCAAGTACGCGAGAGGTGAAAGCACCTACTTTTACCCCGCAAAGGATCAGGGTCTCAGCGAAATAAAGGGTACTGGTGAGGAGCTCAAGCGCAAGCTGGACGAAAGCGAAACTGGCGGTGTTATCCAGCCAGCAACGTCTGCCGATCTCAAGAAAGCTGGCATTCTCTCCGACGACGACGACGCAGAAATGGAAAAAGAACTTGATTCCGAAAGAAAGCGCCAATCGTCCAGCTCTAGTAAAGAAAATGCCAATCCAGAAGAGCCCAATTTCGTTCCTGAAGACGAAGAGTTTCACAAGTACAGTTACAAGGATGTGCAAGACCTGAATACCAACGACAAGATCAAACATGAAATTGATGCCAACGGCGCTGTCGTGACAAATGCGGACGCAGGTAACGTCTTTTCTGATGCCAATGCCGTCACAAAGGATCCTCGTGCTTTCCCACCAGACGTTCCATACCACAGAGGATGGAAAGAAAGAATCGCGTACGTTTTCCAGCCACACAAAAGCTATGAGTTTTCTACTGTGCGCAAGAGCCTGCCGTACGTGCTAAACTCAACTGTGAAGTACGACAAGGACTTTTTGGAAACCGCGTACACAGATCCTTCGGTTACAGACCCTGCGCCAAAGCTATGGATTGCGCGTGATCCTCTTGGACTTTCGACTCAGCAAATCTTACTCGCCAGAACGCACGGTGTCGAGGTCAGTGATGAGTTTACCGGTTACGATGAAAAGAGCAGGTCTACATTCTCATTCCACCCACCGGATTACGAGCCTGTGGCTAGACGCTGAATGGATGGAAAACCACAGTGCACTGCGTCTGACACTCTCAACTTTTAATTTTAACCTTCTTTGCGATTCTTTTTTGATTTTGCATACTCGCCTAATTATACTTTGTTTCTCTTCTGAAGCTTTCTCTATAACAGACCTAATTTTACCTAAATTCGAATATTCCACCGGGCGTACCAATCGGTAGCGCTCTTGTGTACTATGTGTACTATGTGTACTATGAAGTACGCATTGGCATCAGAGATGCGTTATCCCACGGGTATGGTGAAGTAAATCTTCAACATATATTATTGACTTGATTTCGAAAGGTGTTCCTCGAAAAATAGACAAAATGCACTTAGGAACGATCAAAGTTCAAGAGTCGTCTCTCGCAGAACCCAAAAACTGGCAGTCTACAATGTCAAATGGAAACCCCAAGTTTTAAGTTTAAATGCTTTCTCGCCTGAAGCGCTACGTCCACATGTTGGTGAACTGAAATTTGAATATCTTTTCAACTATATAGAACCACCACAATAAACGCAAACTAAATCAATGATTTGTCCGTACAAACGCTACACACAATTCTGCTCAAGATTCTTGTTATCGATAAACAGTAGTTGCATAGATCTAACTGTCGTCCTTATTCTGTCATCTGGCACTGTGTCAAGAACGTATGAAGTGATATGATGAAGTTGAGAAATAAGGATATAATTGAAATGTTCCCCTAGATAAGAAGATGTTACCTCCCACCTAGCTCTGACAAGTTCAGTGAACAGATCTGCTTGATTCAAGACTAATTATTTGTACTAGAGCTTTGAGGTTAAGTACAGGTCGTTTTCTACTTGGCTGAAGGTGTATCGGTTCGAAACAAGCGACTTTTTATACCATCATTCCAATCATGGAGAGCCCCGGAATCTACGGGCTCTATCCGCTGTTTTTCTTCGATAAACCTGGCGCAAATGGTGTTTGCTACAGAGTTGCCCCAGGTTCGATCTCCAAAAGTTACCTCAACGCATTGTTTGCTCCACAACTAGGACCGGAATCCGTAGATGCTGGGATTTTAAGGTTTGAGACAACCGGTCCACCCAATGAGACACACCGTGGGCTGTTGTCAAACGACGCAGAAGTGGCATGGTTCAAGTCGTGCTTTCAGTGGGCCCGAACGGCGTCGATCAGGGTGGAAAGGCCTGAAAACCTCGAAACAGGGTCCAAAAATGCGGAAAGAAGTCCTCAGGGAATGGTTTCCATTCCAGCAGAGCAGGTCGAATCATTGATCAAATCGATCCAAAAGCTCGAGGTTTCTTTGTCGGAGAAGCAAGAAAAGACTACCAACGCCGAAACTAACCATGCGGACTCCCAGTGTGACATTCTGCACGAGGAAGTGGTTTGCGATGGCTGTTTTCCTGAACCTTGGCAGGGGTCCAAGACCGCCTTCCCTTCTTGCCAGGAGTCCGGGTTCATCAAGGGCCCAAGATACAAGTGCGTGTACTGCTACAATTATGATCTGTGCTCGACATGTGTGGCTAACGGCGTCGAAAATGGAACCCACAAAAAATATCACAATATGATCAGAATCAGCAGTCCTGACGCGGACCTCAACAAGCTCTGCTCAGCATTTAATAGCAGAACCCAAACGAAATCGTGGACTGAGTCCGAAGCACGCAAGAACAGCAAGTTTTCGGTCTCTCAGACCGACAGAGACGTTGTTATTGATATTCCTGAGCAGAACGCAGCGATTTTCAATTATTTTTCCAATGTCGAGACGGAAAATGAGCTGGCAGAGCTGGTCCAGGATCATGAGAACTACCAGGAGCTCTTGAGTAAAGTGGGTGGCGACAAAAACAAGTTGAGCGAGGCCATTGACCAGTTTCTCGAACCCAAATACAGCGACGCTTCGTCCGGCTTGTTGGATGCTTCAGTAGCTACGGCTCGGGAGGACGATAATCTGATTGTGGTCGAGGTGAGCAAGCGTGAGCATGTTATCTCGTTCCGGTTGTGTAACAAAGGTCCCGACTCGGTGCCCAGTGGGTTGAAACTGGTATTCCGGTGTTTCGAGCCCCCCAGCACTGTTCCTATCAAATGCACTTTGCACATGGGCCCACATGAGTTCCAGAGGGGCCATTACAAGACGCTGAACTTCAACTGTCGCGGGATGATCGACCATTTCTTGATGCAGAACACCTATCAGGTCGACTTGGTCGATCACGAGGACCAAGTAGTCTACACGGGATGCTCGCAGGGCGAGCCCACCATTTGCTTGAGACCTTTGGTGCTGATGGGCATTCAGGAGTCCGTGTATGCCGAGGCACGCGATGACACGAGTCTAGCGCACTCTGTGCATGACGACAGTGACGACCACGATATTATCAGCAACACTGTTAGCAATGACGAGAACGCAAAGTACTACTCAGATTTGGAGGAATACGATTTTCTCAGCGACAGCGACATCTAGTTGGGCAACATGCCAAGTTACGAAATCGCCCTGGAGGCCACGACGATACTTTTAGCTCCCCAGCGTTAACGCTACATTTTTCTATCCATTTTTATTGATTTTTCAGAGCAAAGGACGTGGAAATACTTGCTCAATTCCATGGCTTGCTGATTACTACACTATGTATGCTACTGAAGTTTAGGTTTCTACTTTTTTTCCAAGTTCTGACAAGCTAAATTCTCAAATCTCTTGATATACGCAGCTCTCATAGTATTGATTGGTGTTAAAACGATCATTCTTGACTTTTTATACGCTACCAGAGTTCTTCTGTCTCATCTCATTCTCTCTCTCTATATCTCTCTCTCAGTCGTAGTCAAAGTTCCTAGAGTTTGGAAACTTTGAGGCCTTTGAGGTCACGTGTAAAATTTCTATAATATTTCGCTAGCTCATCGCTTCCAATGAAAAATTTTAATGAATTGATGTATGTTAAAATTTCGAGGTTACCAATCTGAATTCGAGAAAGTAGTCATACAACAAGTAAGAAGTCTTATTCGAGATTATCTGAGACTTGCAATAGATTCTGCCAATTTTTTAGGTCCAGAAAAGTATAGTTAGTCAAGATGGAAACAGAAGCTGAGAAGAACATTGCGATCTGGAAGGTCAAGAAACTGATCAAGTCTTTGGAAAAGGCTAGAGGAAATGGTACGTCGATGATTTCGCTGGTCATCCCACCCAAGGGCCAAATATCGATGATTCAGCGGATGCTGACAGATGAATACGGTACAGCATCGAACATCAAGTCCAGAGTGAATCGTCTATCTGTGCTGGGTGCAATCACATCGACTCAGCAAAAACTGAAACTATACACCAGAGTACCCCCCAATGGGCTTGTATTGTACTGCGGTGACATTATCACAGAAGAGGGTAAAGAAAAAAAGGTGACAATTGACATCGAACCATACAAACCTATCAACACATCTCTGTATCTGTGTGACAACAAGTTCCACACCGATGTGCTGTCAGAACTGCTAGAAGCAGACGATAAGTTCGGTTTTATCGTCATGGATGGTCAAGGCTCTTTGTTCGGTCTGCTGTCCGGTAACACCAGAACTGTCTTGCATAAATTTACGGTCGATCTACCAAAGAAACACGGAAGAGGTGGTCAGTCCGCGGTCCGTTTTGCCCGTTTAAGAGAGGAGAAAAGACACAACTACGTCAGAAAAGTAGCAGAGGTGGCGGTCCAGAATTTCATCACCAACGATAAGCCCAACGTCAAGGGTTTGATTTTGGCTGGTTCCGCCGATTTCAAGACAGACCTTGCCAAATCCGAGCTTTTCGACCAGAGATTGGCTACAAGAGTCGTTAAGATCGTTGATATTTCGTACGGTGGTGAAAACGGTTTCAACCAGGCTATTGAACAATCTGCGGAGGCCCTAGCCAACGTCAAGTTCATCCAAGAGAAGAAGTTGATCACAAGCTATTTCGATGAAATTTCTCAAGACACAGGTAAATTCTGTTACGGTATTGACGATACCCTGAAGGCTCTTGACTTGGGTGCTGTTGAGACTCTGATCATATTCGAAAACCTCGAGACAATCAGATACATCTTCCACGATTCTGAAGACAATGAAATCATAAGATTCGCCGAACCCGAGCAAGAAGACAAATCTTACAGCATTGACAAAGCCACAGGCTTGGAAATGGAAGTGGTGGAAGAGCAGCCTCTAGTTGAGTGGTTGGCAGAAAACTACAAAAACTACGGTGCTAATCTAGAATTCGTGACTGACAGATCTTCTGAAGGTGCACAATTCGTAACAGGATTTGGTGGTTTTGGTGCCATGCTTCGTTACAAGGTTAACTTTGAGCAATTGGTGGATGAGTCCGATGATGAGTACTACGAAGAGGACGAGGGATCCGACTACGACTTCATCTAATAGCATAGGGCTGGGTCATGATTCAAATTGAATCTCTAGCACTGAGGAAGTCGCTTGTTGTGGGTAAATAGTGTATACGGGATACATTTTTGTAAACTTATTAAAACTTCATCTCACACAGGCTCATCTAACTACTCTGTATGTAACACGTCGCCCCAGTAGAAGCGTGATTAGTTGGAGGTCACTTACGGTTTTTTTTGTTCTTCTTCAAGAATTCCAAGGCGTCAGTCTTCTTGTGTCCTATGATTGTCGTGTGTCCAATATTTTTGACCAAGTCATCTGCTAGGTTAGTAGAGCCACCGGTTAGATAACTTTTCCGCAAATCTTTACGAATAGATTTCTTCAACAGTTGCTTGAGTTCAAACTGTAGATTTTTGACCTCCTGTTTTCCCAATTGCTTGCCTTGCTTCTTGAATTTGTTTTTAGCCAGAATAATGTCTTTGGACTCATCCTCAGAGTCAAGTTCGATTCCTAGATCATCGGCCGCTTTTTTTAGCCAATTTTCGTCCTTGTTCAGGGATCGTGTGGCTAGCTGGTCCTCAGCAAGCTCATTCGCTACTGCACCTCTTTCGCGTAGCTGCGAAAGAATGCCGGGTTCAATTGGAAAGACGGGTACATCTTTCTGCCACTTCTTACCGTAGGTAGCATCCGACTTCGAAGAAAGAACCTTTCTCAGCTTTCTGAGCGGGCCCATTGCCTCTTGAGGAGAGCATACCATTACCGAAACACCCTCATTATCGCCACGAGCAGTTCTCCCCGACCGATGGATGTATACATCTGCACTCCTGGGCAAATGATAGTTCAAGACATGCTTGATATCTGGAATGTCCAGACCTCTAGCCGCGACGTCACTGGCTATCAAAACAGTCGGCTTACCGTGTGTTTTGTTGGAAGAGGCTTCCTGGCGGAACTTCTCAAGGTTCTTTAGACGGTTTTTCTGAGTCATGGATGAATGGATTTGGAAAGATGATATTCCCAAGAAAGTGAGGTAAGAATTGAGTTTTTTGACGGAGTCAATCGCATTGCAGAATACTAGCGTTGTTCCCGGGTAGACCGTCAAAAAGTAATATGTGTAAAGGTCTCTTTCTGTTGGTAGACATTCTATGAGCGCTTCTGAAATCTTGGAATGTACCTTGTTGTTAGGGTTGACATCAACAATGACAGGTTTCGATCTGAAATGAATCTTGGTCATCAAATGTTTTAACGCCTGTTCCATTTCATCAGTGTCTTTGCCCTTGCCCAATTTTTTCCAGTTCGTTGTCGATAGCTTGTTGAACAAATCCATCGAAAAAGTGGCCGAAAAGATCATGGTTTGCCATCCTGTTCCGGCATACTCGCTTTTGGCCTTCCTTTTCATATTTCTGGCCTTCCCCAAATGCTTGAGAATCTTTTCAAACTCATCGAAGTGTCCATCTTGCAGCAGTCTGTCGGCCTCATCAAGTACCAAACAATCTATCTGAGAGAAGCGGTCTATCAACTTTGGGTCTCTTTCAATAATTTCTAGAAATCTTCCAGGCGTAGCGATTATAATTCTGGCGCAGCCATCATATTTGAGTAACCGTTCTTGCTTATGAATGGACAAACCACCCGTTAGAGAAACAATGGCGTATGGGTTTTTTTTGTTGATCGAAAAAGCCTGTTTCTGCATATGCTGGGTGACTTGGTGAGCGAGCTCTCGTGTTGGAGTGAAAATGATCCCGATTGTTTTGTTTCCTGACTGGTCCGCAACCAGTTTTTCCAATATCGGTATCCCATACGCAAGTGTTTTACCTGAGCCGGTAGAAGCTTTACCCATTATATCATGTCCCTCTAAAGCCAATGGGATAGCGGTTGCTTGGATTTCTGTTGGCCTTACGAAATACTGCTTTGAAAGCCCTTGTAAGGTGGTCATAGACAGCTTCATTTTATTGGTCCACTCTGGGAGACTATCCAGGTCATCAACGTCAACGTCGCCATCAAATACGTTGAGTTCGAGTTCCTCGCCCTCTATCTGCTGTTTAGCTTCGCTGTCCGGTGCCTCACTCTCGAGTTGACCGGAATCTTCATCCTCGCCATTTAAGTGTGTTTCTTCACCAACAATGGCATCCTCAGGACTAGAAATGTCTTCCATGTCTTCATCCTGATCTGCCTCCTCCGATTCTTCTGATGATGAAGCATCTAGTTCACCTTCTTTTAGATCATCCATGTTTTTGAATTCTATTAGATTATTCATTGAATCGTCACCATCTTTTTCTTCTTCATCTTCTAGGCCCTCGCTCAGTTCTTCTGGCTCACCTTGATTCTTCACAGCCTTTTTTGGATCCTTAGCGATAAACTGAGCCTTTCCGTCCACTATTTTAACGTCAACACCATCTATTTCTTCGAGACCATAAAATCCACCATAATCATCCATAGTATCAGGAATTTCAACCGTTTTCCAGTTCAAATCAGAGACATCAACTGCAACGCCTTCACCATTGCCAGCCTTTGCATTTTTAGTTGCCTTTTTAGTTGGTCTGCTCTTAGATGCCTTTACAACTTTCTTTGGCCGGGCTTTTCCTGCGGTTTTTGACCCAGAGTTCTTCCTATCAAGGTTGCGACCTTTCAAGAGTCTTTGAGCAAGCTTGCTAGCCATACCGGGTTCACAATCAGTTAGCTGTCACCGCTGTTGTAGTTTGTTGATGGGATGTCTTGTGAATATCTGAAAATTTTTGGAAATTGGCGATGAGATGCGATGAGCTAAAAGATCTGGAGAACATGGAATGTGAACTTTAAACAAAGAGACTCACATAAGTCGATTGATATTGATCCAGCACCTTTGGCTAGACGAGAAATGCTTTCAAAACGGCGAAAAACTGTTACTGGCAAGTCCGTGTCGCAGCAAGCACCTAAAATCAAACCTCATCGAGCTAGACGTATTATAAGGCGATTCCATCTGCTGATCAATAAGAGACGAATCATAGCTGGTAGGCTGAAGTTCAAGCTTGCTGAAAACGATGAAATGTGCGCCGAGGAAACTGTGAACGAAACGGTCAAAAGTTTGCGACTTTTGCCTCATTATCGCGAAGGTTGGAACGCTTCTCATCCGGACGCCCAATTGGAAGAACAGATGCTCAAGGTACAGGGAATCGAAGATTTTCAAAGTCTTGCCCGTGTGCTTGGCTACATAATGTGTGAGATTCACAATCGTGGTGGCCTGCAAAACTACCAATTAGCGAGTACAATCGGACAGGACAAAAACCGCGGTGGGGACTCATCGAAGATCTTGATCAAATGGTTTCAAGAGGTGAAAGACCCACAAAATAAGTATCGAGCATTGGAAATCGGATCTTTGAGTGCACGCAATGCCATTTCCACCAGTGGGATTTTCAATCCTGTGGTCAGAATCGATTTGAACTCCAACGATCCTGCTAACATAGAACGCCAGGACTTCATGGAGAGGCCTATACCTAAAGACGACACGGGGCGTTTTGATTTGATATCGTGCTCGCTTGTGCTGAATTTTGTGCCGAGCCCTGAGCTTCGAGGAGCTATGCTCAAGAGATTCGAGAGTTTTCTGCGACGTGATGCAAAGTCAACATACATGTTTTTGGTTCTACCGCTTCCGTGCGTGAATAACTCTCGATATATGACACAGGAAATGCTTTGCGCTATGATGACCTACCTTGGATACGAAATGATTAATGACCACAAGTCGCATAAGATAATATACATGCTGTTCGAGCGGGAAAACTCAGAAGAGCGCCCAAATGTCCCTCCCTCAGCAAATTCTTTCGCCAAGAAAAAGATTCTTAAAAACCAACCAGGCATGAATAACTTCAGTGTTCTTCTGTGAGGACAGGGTGTCGCCGGTGAGCGTACAGACGGACTAAAGTATCGAATCCAGAGTGAAATTGCTGGGCTGTTTGTATCAGCTAATTCGAAGCTATCGTTCAATTGAGGAAAGTGGTGAAATTTGGAATACTAAGCATCAAGAGCCATGACGGTAAACATGGAGAACTCAATCTCGCAAGTCGTTCGAGTGCTGTGAGAATTATAAGCGCATGATAACTCGATCGCCAGCGCGCTCTCAGTTGGAACAGGCAAAGAACTCAAAAAAAAGTGATTTTCCAGATTTGATGCATTCTGACCGCACTGCGAAAAAGCCAAATGAAGTCAAAGAGGCGCCTTTAATGTAATCTCTTCCATTCCAAAATATCAAATGACTGCTGTCCTTCAATTTTCTCATAGGTCTGACACTTCTAACATACCTGTTAATTACCGTAAAGGACCTAGAATTCAAAAGTGTCATCAACAGAGTTACATTTCCAATGGTACACCTTGATCAAAAGAAGATCAAATTCTTTCTAATAGACTCCCAAATGCCCGATATATCCCAATTCAAACCGTCTGGTGTCGTTTCTATCTGACTTCCAGAATTTTCATGTTTTGAAAACCACGAAAGAACCAAAAATAAGAAGTAAGATCCAACAACCCATTGCAATAAATTAGGATACGTAACAACAACGTCTCGGCTCCTTCTCGAACCACCGTGAAGCTCAAGACTTTTGACATAAAATGTCGTCAGGGTCCGCAGGTCCCGTGACCAGCGTCTGTGCTCTCCCGGACATCAAATTTCACGCCCTTTATACGGGGTAAAATTGCTGATATATTTAAGAATAATATTCTTAACATTGAAATTCTAGTGTAGTTTTGAAGTAACAACAAGAAACCTGAACAAAGTAAGCCGTCTAAGCTCTCTCTGAGTGGACTTAAAAGTAGTTTCAGAGGCTATTCTCAAATTGCGCCACTAATTGCTTCAGCCTGCAAGCTTTTGGGAAAGAAAAATTGATGCGAAAATGACGGTGAATACAGCAAGGTTTACATATGAATTGATCTTCAATGCACTGCCGATAAAATCAGGTACCGGAGGATACGTTGAAGTGGAAAATGAACCATCGTTCGCAAGCTGCCGGCTGATACTTTTCAATCTGGCCACTACATACGGCATCGACGCAGTGCTGGAAGAGAGTATGCGGCTCATAGAGATCATCACAAAACAACAGAAAACAAGCAGTTTATCGGAAAAGGCGCTGTGCTCTCTGATAGTTTTGCTACGGCTTTTAAGCGACACCGCCGAGCTGTGCTGGAAGCACGAAGACCCGCAGCGGTCGCCCGAAACACAAGACTTCCCGGACGAAGAAGAAACAATGTCAAAAACTGACGTGGGCTTTGCAACGCAGAAATCGTGTTTTCATACCACACGTCCGAAGGCCCTGGATTCTGCAATTGCCCTGCGGCTGGTCAAAGTTCGAAGCCGGCTGAAGTATAACTCCACCACCATGCGCGCCTTGCGTAAAATATCGTCTTCGTCACACTACCTTAGTCAATCCAACCCGCCTGCTTCTAGCAGCAAATCCGACGCGGCTGGTTTTGAAGACCAAGAGATTTCACCACTTTTCAGAATCATCGATACCAACCTGGATTATTTAGGTCGGTTTGTCGCAGCAGCAAATCCTACTGAGTTTTCAGATTTTATGGACGCCTCCATCATCACACCTCTGGCAAGTACACGCAGTAGTGAGAACGATGTTGTGCCTTTTTTGGATATGTTCTCCACCTTTTATGTCACAATCACGAGCCTCCCAACTTTTCTCCAAAATGTATCTAAAGTGCTAGAGAGTTTGAAAAAAAGCTCCCATCAAGAATTGGTGCTGATGTACACATCCCAGGCCATCATGACTTGGATTCTTTCACGGCCCTCCGAGTATGTTGAAGTGATCAACGAAATTACGAATTCTTCCAAAGATGCACCCGCCCACGCGACATGCAAAATTTCATCAACTCTCTTTGATGATATCTACTCTAGCTTCAATGTCCCATATGTGCTTACAACAACGGCCTCGTCTAATGCCGCGATTTCAGAGTTCAAGAGCTCTCCTCCCTCGTCCGATGCCTCATCTCCAATAAGCTCTTCGGGAAGTGCTTCGTATTTTCAAACTGACACATCAGATCTAAGACGATCGTACACATACTCAAAATCTGATCTGGATTCGCAAATGCAGTCATTAGGCTGGGATTTTCTAACATCCTCAGTCCTGTCAGGGTCCCTTTTTCAGGTGGAAGATGTAGCCAATCTGTCCATTTTGAGATTTTCAGTGGTTATGCTCCTGTTTCAACCCAATGCTTTTGAAGAGATGAACTCAATGAGTTTCAAACATATTCCTGATGAAGGCGGCTCAAGTCCAGACGATACTCCAAAAGTCAGCCCTGACGAAGACAAGAAAAAATCCCAGAACCAGCTCGCCAAGCTCAAACCGTCAACCCATAAGAAACTACAAAGTTTCAAGTTTCCTTCCCTCACTCCAACAAGCAAAAAAGTCAAGTTTTTGACGACGCTTGTAAAAAATATCAATGGCTCACAAATAGTATCCGATACCTCACTGCTTGATACATTGAGGACCCTGGTTTTGATGTTTAGAGCATGCTCTTCAATCAAGTTTGCCGATGAAGAATCTCCTGCTGTAATGTTTTGCAAGAGGTTGCTTTTTGTTGTGGGTGATGCTTTACAATTATGCGATCCCTCTCAGGCAAAAAAAAATCCGGTTATCGCAAGATGCTTATCTCGCAATCCTACCTCTCATACGAAGCTTCAAATCGCTTTCTTTGCTCCTGCTCTAATACTTGATCCTGATACTTTCATTTCTCACTTGAGTCACTTTACTCAAAACAAGCATATAGGATACAAGCATCTGAGGACTTTGACCGGAGGGTTCAAAATATTTTTCGGCATTCCAAATGTTACGAGATCCAATTTCGAAACCGTACTCAAGTCAATTGACTTTTTAAGAGTTACGTTAGCCGAAATGTCAGACGTGGTACTTTCGGCGCTGGATCACTTTTCAGATGGCTTCTATTCAATAGTAGAGGGCATTTTAAGGGGTACCTTGAAAGACGGAACAGATTTTTCGAAGATCGGTCGATGTTTCTCGCCACCGTTCCCCCTCAAATCCACTCCAACATTATCCCCCCAACAAACGAATAGCAAGACAGAAATTTCTAGGACAGGATCTTCTTCCTCTGTGTCGTCTGGTGCGAGTTCTTACAATGAAAAAAGCACAAACGAAAGGCCAGCAATACTTGCGCCCCGGGCCAGAAGAGTTTCAGGATCGTCTCTCACAGCAGCTGGGAGGACGAACTCAAAATTCACACATCCGTTAGAGGTCGATAAATTTTCTCATGGGACGAGGTCACAATTCGAGAGTGTCAATAGGAACATGACCTCCCCTCTTAGATTTTCTCGCTCAAAGGAGTTGTCAGAGCACAATTTACCTTCGCTGCTCACGCAGCCCAGCGATCAAAGGCTCAGTAATGATGGCTCCATATTGATTTCTCAGAATTTGACGATCGCGGACCTTGCTGATGCAAGAGCAGCAATGATCAATATAATGTCAGTTTACAAAAGAACGGTGTGCGATTACTTTTTGACCGTCTCTGATCAAGGTTCAACAAGAGTCATCGATGATTACAACACATTAATAAAACCACTTTTTGTTGGATTGATTGACGAGCACCCTGTCATGCAGGCCACAGCTCGTTCCCTTTCCTCATTTATCTCTGCTTGGGTCATGAAATTGGGAGATACCGAGGAAGCGAACGAAATTCGCATAGTAATGTACAAGGGATCTGCATATTTTGTGACACTTATCTCCGCAGCTCTTTTTAACTTGGACTTAGAGGATACCAGACGGGAACAGCTGCTGGATGTCACTTTGAAATTCATGAATCTTCGCCTTGAACTCACGACTAAAATAGATGCCACCACCTTGAAGGATTTACAGAAAGATACTCATCATTTGCTCCATGGTTCTATTGGCAGGGCTCTTCTAACTTCACTTATTTCTCACGAACCAAAAATCCACAAGCTTCTGAGAGCTTGCTTTAGAGGTCTCTTGAAAGAGCTGGACTCTCACGATAAGATCTTGGGCAGCTCAGGGGAAAGTGGAAAGCTCAATACGCGTTTTTTCAGCTCAATGTGCAAGGACAATTATGTTTCCACTGGAGCGGTAGCATTTCAGCGGCGAATGAGAAGCGATATTTTGAAATTTGTCGAATATCCTGATCGAATGTTGTTCGACACATTGAAATTGATGTACAGCCAATGGCTGAATTTCACGCGCAAGACCAAACACTCTCTCACAGAAGCAAATCAATTCAGAAATATTGCAGGGTTTGTTGCGTCATCTTGTGGTGCCTTCCTCACCATCGATCAGAAAACTGTGACGGAAAATCATGTACACCCTGGTATGCAAGCTGAAGTCATCGAAATGGTCGATTATTTCATCTCGATGCAGTGTTCCTGGTTAAATGACCCGGACTTGATGACGCGCGAAAATTCGAAAGACATAATCAGCACTGAGCTGCATCCTTTGGCCTTCAGATGCCTCTTACAACACCTAAAAAAGAGAACGAATGAGCTAGAGACCTTGGATCTCGCTCAAGCGCAAAACGAACCTTCAGTTTTACTTCTAGAGCAGATTGTTCTCATTGTGCGAACTATCTTGGAACGCGACGACGCCAAAGAAGAGCTCATACTCATTTCTGTTCAGGTTTTAACACTTTCTGACCAACTCTTCAAGATAGTCGAAAATGTCAGTCACGACTCGACTAGGTATTATAAGGCAATTATTCACTTGTCCAAGATGCTCAAGTCATATGAAACCACGGAGCAAAATCTTTGTGTTTCGGGATACCTGGTGGTCAAAAATCGATGGCTGCGGTCTACTATCGCATTGTTTAAGTCCGCCATCTTTAAGGAGCTGGACCTTGAGAATTTGAGCAAACCTCACAGGGAAATGAGTTTGAAGCGTAGGGATCTCGATTACCTCTATATCGACACTTCAATTGAGTCGTCAAGAGCGCTTGCTTATATTACCAAGGACTTGATGCTTGAAGTCCCTTTGTCAATATCTGAAGGTGAACTTAAACGATCGAAAGCAGTAACATTTGGTAACTACTTCAGTATTTTGCTAAAGGGATTGGAGAAAACTTCAACGGTTGATGTGTACCCGTCAACGCTGCGCCATAAGATCGGAGTTTTGAATGATAACATCATCACTTCTTTAACAAACCTTCTAAATGCAAACGTGGATGTGGGCCTGAAATACGCACTTCCCATCGGGTATTCAAAGAATCAGAGGATAAAAGTGGCTTTTCTCAATGTTTTTGTGAAGATTATATCAAATTTTGATCCTCAAACTTCAAATCTTGCGGAAGCGAAAAATGAACTGGTGGAAGAATACGTTACGGAATCGTTATCTTGTCCTCAATTGATTCCATTTGCTGCCAGAGTATGTCCTGCTAATGACATAGACTCCTTGGCAAGCAGCATGCTATCCATATATGAGGTGAAGAATGCCTCGCATATCATAGTGGTAGAATTGATAAAGGACGAGATACAGAATGCTTCTCGTTATGCGGACGTGTTGCGCAGAAACAGCTGTGCAACAAGAACGCTCTCTATGTTCTCGAGACTCAAGGGAACATCATACCTCAGGCAGACACTCAAGCCCATCATAAATAAAATCATTGCAAACTGCGAGGATTTTGAAATTGAGAAAATCACACCTGAAAACCCCAGTGCAGAGAAAAACGTTGCTTTGTTCATCAAGTACCTTGGTATGCTAATTGACTCCATTGTCGATTCAGTGCCGTCATTTCCACCACAGTTCTTTTTAATCTGCCAGTCTATTTACTCGAGCGTCAGGGAAAAGTTTCCAGGCTACGAAACTGCAGCAGTAGGGTCTTTTGTGTTTTTGAGGTTCTTTTGCCCAGCATTGGTCAGTCCTGACTCTGAAAACCTTATTGATACCGTCACCTCCAAGCAAAAAAGAGCGTTCGTTACACTGGCGAAGGTTATTCAAAACATTGCCAATGGCTCCATCAGTTCCATGAAATGGCCTCTTCTCAATTCGAGATCAGATTTTCTCAAAAGTTGTTCGGAACGAGTTTCGGTTTATCTGACTGAACTAGCACGACCCAACCGTGTGGTATCTACTCAACTTCGAATGGAAGAAAAAGTCACACTTAATGAATTCAACTATCTCCACCGGTATATTTACCAGCATGGACTTGATATAAGAAGTGGAATAATAAGCGGTGTAAAATCTCTTAATGATTTCGAGACCTTGAAAGGTTCTGCGAGGCTCACTGATCGGCTTTTATGGACTCTAGGACAACCTCGAATGGAGTTCAGGAACGAAATACCACCTTGGATAAGGAACAATATGGATGAACAGCCTGAGCTTTACGACTTCATGTCGCGGCATTCTCTAAGAACATTCAACTTTAAGGACGACTACCCATTTATACATGAAGCGGTGTCGTCTGACGGCCTACCCATGATTGTTGTTACATTCGAATTGCTCCAGAGGCAAAGTTGTGATATCGAAGCTGTGATCTATCGCACTTTCCAGGTTTATGCGAAAATCTGGAGTTCAAAGCATTATTTTGTTGTTGACTGTACTGGCTACAATAATGATGCTGCTGTTGGGAAAAAACTCACAACGTCTTTCCTCAACCTAATACCCAGTGAAGCAGCGAAAAACTGTGCCAAATTCTTTTACCTGAATATGACGGAGGAGTTTCTGGATTGGTGGCTTCCGTTGTTTAAAGGTCATAATCCTTTCCTTCAACCGCACCAGACCCAACACCAATTTATTAACAGCGACTCAAATTCAAGTCTCATCAAAAGCCTCATGTTAAGCTCATTCTCGAACGACGTCTTTTCGGATGTTAGGGTGACCTTACGAGATGTTTCTCTTTACGATGCTCACAGAGGCCGCTTTACCCCGGTAACCATGAAAATTGGAAACAGGTACATCCAGATGATCTGCGAAACACCCTATCGTTTCAAAGTTGCTGGAATTGATGACGTCGTTGAGATCAACTTCAACAGTGTTTATGAGGTGGCCGCGGTGTCGTCAACAATAGTCTCCTTCGAAACAGGGGTACCTTCGGAGTTTACTATAAACTTCGATGATGGGACAAAATTGGTTCTTTGCAGCTCAAAGTATCTTGAGATAATCAAGATTTTTTACTATGCTCAAGCAAGGATTGAAGAAGAGTATGATGGCGGTGATTTAGAAAGTCAAAAACAAAATGAGGCTATTCATAATGATGAAAAGGAGCACAATGAAATTTTAGGCAGCCTTTTACTCGTCATTTATGCTGGTTTTTGTAGCGACGACGAGGAGGTGAAAGACATTTCTTACAATGTCTTGGCAGCAACTCAGGAAGCCTTTAGTCTAGATTTCGGGTTCAAGCTTCGCATATCTCCAGAGACGCATGTTCCCCACGATACTTCAGCGTTCTGTGAGTCCTTGTTCCAAGGCTTATCAAAAAGTGCCCCAGAGTTATCGTTGGTAGTATGGAGGCTACTTCTTGAGGGCCTGTCGAATGTATTTGATGTCGTACACGCACCTCAAGTGGTTAGCGCCCTATCTCCATGGGCTGCAAACCTGTACAAATACGTGTATCTCGCTGATGATGAAAATGGTCCCGAGAATGTTTCAGACATCCTTCGGACGTTGATTAAACTCAGCGTTAGAGATGAAAGACTGACCATGATATACAGCCAGAGTATCTGGTCAGTTTTGATTCTGGAAGCTAACCTTGTGCCTCTCATTGTTGATGAGATTGTGAATCACTCTATCGATAGGGACTCTGAAGGAGTTGATTGGAAAAATTCTGTCTCCCTTTTGACCAGAGTCTCTACCGTCGAGATGTGCAGTGAGGTAGTGAACAGAATTTTGAAGCTTTCGAGGTCATTCTTACCCTCTCTAAAAATGGAAGCCTCAACAAACAGCTGGTCTGAACTTATTATACTTGTCAACGTCACGGTAGCACTCTTCTTTGACTCGCTGCTACTCTCTCAACTGTTCCTACCCGAGGTGTTGTACATCGTATCACTTTTGATCGATGTCGGTCCTTCGGAGATGAGACTGGCTTTACACAAGCTATTGATGAACGTGTGTCAATCTCTTTCAACCAATGAGTCGTTATCTGCAGAAAAGAGAAGTAACCTGGATATGCTTAAAGAAACTTTCTCTCGTCAGAAAATGAGATTCATGTCTGGATTCAGCCAAGACAAAGGCCGCATACTACAGAGTTTTAGCGCTTCATCTTTTCTGAGCAAATTCACAGCTTTAGAGCAGTTTGTGACAAGCATTATGTCGGTGATGGAAAACGCGTCAGAAACAGATAGCGTGCAATGGAAGGCCAAGTACAACAAGTATACAATGGATGCTGTTTTCAACGTGGGTTCATTCCTTTCTGCTCGAGCAGCAATGATAATCGGAATTATTGGTCAGCATGGAATGTCTGAGTTTCTCTGCAGAAATATGCTGCTTCAAACCATCAAGACTGTCGCGGAACCGTACATTAGTGATGAACTTGTCTTCCTCATGATTTCTCACTGTTTTACGTATAGCAAAGTCGTGCTAGGCCTTCAACCGCATTCAACTTTGCTCAAGAGACTCTTCTGGCTGGCAACTACATTCATTCAATCGCCCAACACTGTATTCTACCATGGCGGTCTCCTTTTCATGGCAAACGCGGTCAAACGTATATCGAGCACCGATCGAAGTGCGGATGGAATTTCACTGAAAACCATGCTTTTCGCCAGTCGTAGGTTTGCCGAGCCACTACTAATTGAACTCGAGGCAGTGAGCGAATTGAAATGGACCGAGGAAAATTTCCCACATATCTTCCTGAACATGATAAGCAAGGGGATGATTATACCCCATGTCAAGCCCACTTCAGTGGAATGCCTGAATCTGATGCTCACCTTAGCTTACCAAGATCTGAAGTATTCAACCGGCGACAGTTATCTCTGCTATCTTTTGATCGTTTACCAAGTTTCCCGCCCCTCGAAATTGACTGCAATTCTTGCAGACCTTGAAGTTGATGATGAGTTTTACTACTTCGATGAGCATAATTTTGTGCCACAGGGTCTTTTGAATTGGGTAGAATCAGACTCGGAGAATTCTTTGATAGCCTTATACCAGGCATCTATCTACTTCGCCACTGGCTCTTCAGATGAATTAAGCAAGACACGTTACTTGCTGTTATTGCAGCACCTAGTAGACAAAAACCCCATGAAAGTCATAAAGATTTACTCTTTGATCCGCACAGAGATAAATCGCATAGCTACCTTCGATTCTCAGTCAGATTTTCCCCAGTTGGTATTTTCGATTGTCCAACAAATAATAAAAGAGAAGGAATACGCAAATTGCGACGCACATTTGGCCGAAACAAAAGCTCTTTTGAAAGCCAGGAACCTCTCTGGTATTCATCGGATTGACATGCCCTCCAGTTTGGGTGAATCTATGGGTACTATCAGAATGAACCCTTACGCGACTTACGAAAGAAAAAAGCTAACAGTTAAAATACTGTCGCGCATGATGAAATCTCTGGAGGAGACTGAGTGACGCGGCTGCTAGTTCTATCATGATACGTATCAAGAGTTATAATGTACATTTCTCTCTTTTCATCTGGCATTCAGTTTCCTCTCAATCTCAATGGAGTTTCCCTACGTGTTCGACCCAAATTTTATTTTATGAAGTCGCTCGAACTCCTTACGGTCAGCTTTGTAGATGAGCATCGTGGCTCTAGCATCTTCAATCGGCGAGTGCTCTGCGCCTTGAATGTCCACACCCAATACCTCTTTGGCCAACTTTTTTAAGCTGGGCGTTTTGCCACCTGCGTATTTCTTTCTGAACGGTATGTGCCTAGAGGTATCTCTTATCATACTACGAGGGTGTGAAAGGAATAGCGCTTGAAGATCGTGGTTGATGGCATGTCCCACCAGTATCCTATCTTGTAGGGTCTCAGCAACCTGTTTCTGAGCAACCGGAAACGGGACCGCTTTATACATATCTTGAGGCCGTATACCACTCACCCAGGTCCTCCAGTCTGTCACTTTCTCCTGTGGTTTCACAAGAACATCCAGCACAACGTGGCCAAAGAAATTAACCACTGTAGCTCTAGCAAGAACCGAATCTTTGCCTTCAGGGCCTACACCCACAAACTCGCAATCCAGAGACACATATTTGCCCACCTCTGAGGCTCTTTGAGAATTTCTGTCCTCTCCGTCAGCTTTTAATGACTGTTCCAGGTCGACGGCAAGAGCACGAGAATCCCCAGGTTTGCTAGCTTTTACTTTTTGATCTTCCAATCTGTTGATTTCCTCCGTCATGGAATTCACCATTTTCATGATATTCTGCTTGCTTCTGACGGGCACTTTAGCACCTTTTCCTTTCGTAGTGTTCTTGTTGCCTCGAGAACTCACAACGTCTGCAGATTTTGTAGATTTTGCAGGTTTCGATACTTTCTTGACATTTTGGACAGCAGCATTTGGTGAATCCTTTTTTTTCGACTTTGAAACATGTTTCGCGGGAGTACCAGAGGAAGTCTGAGCGGCTTGAAGCTTCAACCAATTTGACGACAAGACCATGATGATGACAGCTCTGTAACTTGTTGTTACTGCTAAAATCAAAAACTAGCGTGAGAAAAGATAGTCAAATCTTCGCCCCGAGACGTTCAACAATATGATACGCAACTGAAGTCTCACCGTCTTTTATACGGAGCTCTGCTTTAAGTTCAATTCAGCTCATCTCATCTCATCTCATCTCATCTCATCTCATCTCATTTCAAAGTTCTTTAATTTTCACTATCCGAATTAGCGACGTCAGTTAAACGAAAATAAAGCTTTAAAGCCTGGGACGAAAAACCAGACATCTTGACTAAGATGTAGATCAACGAACTCAATAATATAATGGCTGATTTGGTTGAATTTTTCTGATCATTATGGTGCCAAATTTGCCTTATTCCGATTAGTATTTTTTTCTTTGGAGCTTCCACATCGACCTGTTGACGTTATTTAAAAGCAGACTCCCAAAATAGTGAGACTGGATCTTCACAGGATCGATGAATTTACCAATAGTGACTGTATCGGTGTTGAATTACATGGAATGTCTAAAAGTACGGGTCTCCATTTTCTGTTTTGAAAGAAACGTCTCTTTCAAGACGTAGCAGATCGAAGAAATATCACATTAGTACAAAGTGATATTCTTGTGATCCACTAAAATCACTAAAAAAGTGATTTGCAAGAGAACCAAGAGCCATGAAAGACCTCTATGTAACGATTCTTGCCAGATGCATTCGTACTAGACTTATATCTTCTATGGATCTTCTTAGTTTACCAAATTCGATGAATATATCACCACGTACGACATACTACCTCTAATTTATTAGGCCTAAATATAAGATATATGCCATTGTCACCAACAACAACACCAACAAAAACCTCGAAAACACCACTAAAGATCGATCCTGACTCACTGCAATGACCCCGATAGTGCCATGGACACTGTGAGATCTATCAATCAATTAAGAGCGTCTTTTCTGCGCAGCTCTTCCGACCCACAACAGGCCAAACGCACAATCAAACCCTTCATATTAGACAACGAAGAGGATACCAATCAGCTGCCGCCAGACCTTCACAAACTGTACTATGGTGACAATGGGGATGATTTATTGCTGACTTTGGAGTCGCCCCCGATATCCGAAAACTATATGGCCAAAATTGAATCTCTTCAAAGGACAAGGTTCAACCAAAAAAAGCCTTCAACTAGGGACACCATTGCAACAGGACGACGTCCTTCAAACGGCAGTGAAGCTGCAGATAACCACATGGCCGAGGTCAGTTCCACGACTGATCAAAAAAAGGAACAGTTCACCAGCAGTAACAATTCGATCACATCGAAACAGTCGCACACGGTGAAGCCAACAATCGAAAAAAGCACTCATGATTCTCTCCGACGAAATGGCACTTCCCTGAGTCGCAATACACCACGGCCTACTCAAGATCCCAAAACCAAAAAAGGAGCCTTATTCTCCAGAATCTTCAAAGCTCATAACAGTAGCGATCCCGAAGAGCGCAAAACCACCTCAATCAACAGCAGCTCAAAAAGTTCACGTCACAAATCTTCCCAAGTACAGAATTCAAATTTGCGCTTTTACGACGGTGCATTCAACTATGACGAGACTCTGGATGACGACGAGGATGACGAGGATGATGACGACGATGTCGACAAGAATGATGAGTTTTTTCTTGGTGGCCTACCGAAAAGCGACGATGGAAGGAACAATAAACTCTCCAAATTGGGACATCTACCGCGCTATGGTCAGAATGCGCTTGCGACGTCTTCGGGTGGAAAGAGCAATTTGATGCTCAATATTCTAGATCGCAACGTGGATACATCGGTCGATGATGGTAACACCGTTGGTCATTCTTCCCGAAAAGACCAGGATTCGGATCTGGACTCATACATGGATGAGGACGATTTAAAAGAGCTTGACCTTGATGAAGAGAAATTGAGGACGTCTGCTGGGGACGAAAGTGATGAGAACGGACAAAACGCATCTGGTCAAATGTTCAACAAAGATGGTAGCTCGCTTTCGGGCGAAGAGAGTTTTACATCCTCCGAGCTTTCTTCCTATGGAAAATCCTTGCTTGATTCCGACATTAATGACTTAGACGATTCCAGCTTTACCCGTGCACAAATTACGGGAGGCTCACTACTGGAAGATTCAATGATAACTGATGAGTTGCTTGCTTCAAATTCCATGCCAGAGCATTCCGTTCCACGTTCTCATGCCTTCAAGTTATTGGAAGGAAGCCAGCAATCTGCTTTTATTAATGACAGCACTCCGTTGAAGCTCAATGAGTATAAAAAACCCGACAGTTCAACTGGCTCTTCTATAAGAAACTCATTTCAAAGCGTTTACGGCGACAAGAAAGGAAACCTGGCAACATCCAGTCCCTCAAGATTTCCGAAAAGTTCAACACAAGCTAACGCGCCAAACGGTGTAAATGGCTCGGTCAAAACTTGGAACAAGCATCGGAGAAGTGCCAGTGATCATCTCAAGAATGCTCGAACTCCGAAGCCCACTTTCGATCCAAGTGTGTTTGGAAAAGCCCCGCTTTCAGGCACCAGCCACAAAAGCACTTCGAAGCTGACCAGCATCCTCCGACAGAAAAAAAATAAGAATGTTGATACAATGGATTACTTCTCATTTGTCTCGGGAGACCAGGTTGCGAAATCTGATTCAACACTTCTGCATGTCTACATTCAGGATTCGTTGAAGCACCGGAAGCATCCGTTGAATCTAAAAGTCAGGAAGTCAGCGACAGTTTTCGAAGTGATCGGATTCATACTGTATCAATACTTTTCTCAAGTTAAGGCGCTTGAAGATGGTAGCATTTTCATGGAAAAAGAAAGCAGGAACCCAAACATGTTCAGGCTCAAAGTAGTGGATGAAGACGGGGAACCTTTCGAGGACAATTTTGGGACCATTGACCGGAAAAGTAAGATCTCTGGTGTTTTTGACGATGAGGTTGTACTTTGTAAGGTAAATGATGAGCGAGAGTTCAATCAGAACGAGGCAGAGACGCCTTTGCCATATGAAGACGACGACAATGGCAATAGAGAAGAAATTGACGATTCCTCCGCAACGATTCCCAACGATTCTATCAATCAATTAAGTTATTACAAACCTATCCTACAAACGAAGTACAATGACTCACAACCTCAGGAAGGTAAACTTGAAGATGTTAAAATCTTTCTTTTTCCTAATCTAAACCCTGCTTTTAACTTTACGACAATCAGGGTGCCCATCTCTACTTCTCTAAAAACGATTCTAGCACGATACTGCTCTATGAAGTCCATGGATCCCATGGATTACACTTTAAAGATTAGCGGCCGGCGAATCGTAGTTGATCTTGATGACAGTCTTGGCGAGTTGGATGGAAATTTTGATCTGGAGTTAATTTCGAGGAAAGAGGTGAAAGCGTTGGGCTTGAAAAAAATGGGCAATGCGACTTTTGGCAAACCGGCTCTGCCTACAATTCAAAGTGCCGATCTTACTCCAGTGGCAATGAACAGCAGGGATCAGTATTTGACAGCTGTCGATACGCTGAAAGCAGTTGGTGACACCGAAAAAACTAACGCGTTATCTAATAAGCCATCATCAGTACCGAGTAAGAAGGGCTCTGTGAGATCCAAGCGTGGGTTACACAGGTTGTCGCAGGCCAACGACTCTAGCGCAGGAACTGGTGGGTTTTTCAAGCTAAAAAATAGCTCGAAAAGCTCACTACGCAATGGTGTCAACACAAGTTTTCGACAATCTTACTCCGATCAAGTGGTACCCAACTTGGAAACAAGTTATAAGGACGCCTTTACTGGGGCGTACTATAAGTACAAGGTTTGGAGACGGCAACAAATCTCGTTCATAAACAAACACGAGAGAACACTTGCTATTGACGGAGATTACATCTACATCATACCTCCTGAAAATGGGTTTAACTGGCACCATGACCACGGAAAGACCAAATGCTTCCACATGAGCCAAGTTGTACTTATCAGGAAATCGAAGCGAATACCAGAGTACTTCAAAATTTTTGTCAATCGGCCCACCGGGCTGAAGCGCTATTATTTCGAAGCAGCTAATCCGGCAGAATGTGTGGAAATTGTGAGTCGAATACAGTCTCTTCTGTCAGCATATAGAATGGACCATAGGGGCAAAAGCTAGTAAATACAAGCTTCTTGAACAATTAATATTTATACCCAAGTTCATAGTCACCAGCCAACCATCTGTTTATCATTTCCAAACTATTTTCCGGTTGGTTGAAGGGTACCATATGGCCAGCGTCGAAGACTCGCAAGAAGGTAAGGGAGCCGAAAGTTTTGACTTCACCTAAACTTTCCTTGGTATGGCGCGAGATCCATGGCTTCAAAGGCAATGAAGCAAATTGGCCTTGGTGTTTCCATACTAGAGATTCGATCCAAGCCTTGTTACCAAGCCAGTTGCAAATGAAATCCTTATCTCCAGCATATATCAAAACAGGAATGTCCCTGTTGACCAGTTCGGCAACGTACTGCTGGAAGGGGCGATTAGAGTCTCCAGTCAATTCAAATGACAAGAATACCTCATCATTGCAACCTTTGAACTTCGAAACGTCTGACCCTAAGGTTGCTTGCACAGCTGGTTGATTCAAATACTCTTCGACGTAACCTATTCCTTTGTAACATGTGTCACCCTCCTCGTCCTCGCACTTACTCCGGATATCGTACACATTCAGTTTTGTTTTCCCGTATGCGGTCATTGCCATCCTCTCACAGTAGGCCGCTGCAGCAATACAGGCGAAAGTCGATCCAGTCGAATAACAGGCTTGGTTCAGCGTAGCACAGCGCGGCATATCGGTACGCATTTTTGCACATTCTTCTTCTGAAATCACAGCTTTGTGTCCACCTTCACCACAAGCCATAGGTTCATAATAATCGTATTGCACCAGAGGATCAGTGAAACCGTTTCCGATCAAAACCGATGTTAAGTTGAAAGTCTTGTGGTGCTCATTAACGACTGCGATCTCATGGGCGATTTCCGGGATGTAGTGACCGGCGTAGGACTCACCTGCAATATGGAAATCGTTGGATCTCAAGTGTGGAAACTTTTGGAAAAAAAGGTCCAAAAAGATGTAGACGTCCTTTCCTGCTGCATTTGTCGTGGTGATTTTATCATCGCCCCAAGAAAAGCCCACGCCAATTGGCTGGTCCAGGAAGATAACTGTAGCATTGTTATTCCAAGAATAAGGATTGTGAATTGGTTTGAGATCTGGGCCAATCGACGATGGACCTAGCTCGAAGAATAGGCCAGTCAGTGACGAACAGCCGGGGCCACCATTGAGCCACAGAATCACAGGATCATTTTCAGGGTCGTTTCTTGACTCGAAACTCCAATAGAAAAAATGCTTGGAACTTTGATAGTCGAGGTAGCCCGAATACTGCTTGGTAGTGTCGATTCCAAGCTTAGAAGGGTCTACTTCTGTAATTCTCATTGCATAATTGCTATCGAGGTTAGAAATATAAACGCTGAAATCCGGTTCCGTGGACCTAGGACGATCCCAGAGCTCTTGAATTTGATTCTTAGGGCCCTGAAAGGGATTGGACCCAGCAAGGGATTCCCAAAGAGAAAACCCTCGAACTGAAGCTAGAAAAATGGCCAGAAGCCAGAGCGGGGATCCCATCATGAGCTAAAACACTAGAACTGGGATCTTGAGTGGGAGATTGAACTGGATAGCAAATGGGGGGTGTCTTTCGAAAGGTAAAGTTGTGAACGAGATCCATCTCAGTTTAGTTATCGAGATTAGACTGCTAGAAAGTTTCACTCGTTTGGTACGAAATAAGGAGTTCCTGGGTTCGATTCTCAGATACGACCTCAATTCGAGAGAAAAAAGATTTGAGAACCTGGGAACTCGAGCTGATGTTGACGTCTGTTTCCATATAGCGGCGCAGTCTCTATGTGCTTTGAACTCTCACCGAGAAGATTGCTCAGACTCAAAAGACTCATCTTGTTAAGAGATCGACCAGAGTGTGCAGAACTCTGATATTTGCAGTTTTTGATGTAGAATTGTGATCCTTACAAGTTTGAGTCCCCAAAGAGCCCCAAATTATAGCCAAAGTCACATATCACATTCCCAGCGTTTTCCAGTTCGATTTGGGAAAAATTCCCCGCAAAAAAATAGAAATACTCACCACGCGACACGATATGACGCAGTCTCACATCTTGGACACAGGTCAAAGCTATCCCAATGGAACTGACACTTGTGGCTCCTTTTTTTTTACTGTCTTCCTGGCTCTTTGCCAACAACATCTCGGATAAAAAAAGAGCAGCCCTATTTTCTTAGCTCAGTGACTTGCTACTAGAATCAGAAACAACCTATTCCGCACCTTTCAAACCCGAAAAATTGCATAGTGTCAATGTCATCCCTGTAAAACCTCTGCTTCGTCCAGCATTTGCGTTCTGAAGTGTTTTGATCTCGTTTTCACCAATGAATTTGATCCTAAACGTTTCGAACTTTCTTAATTTTAGACCCTTCGTTTGAAGCGACCATGGTTTAATTATTGATATTGAAAAATCTCGAGGCCAAAAATGCCTATCCTATTATAGGATTGACACTGTTCAGAACAACAAACTGCATTAATACCAGTCAAAACCAGTTTATAACATGGGCGCTGCATACCACATTCTAGGAAGAACTGTTCTGCCACACCAGCTTGCTTTGGCCACCATTGCTGCCGTTTCTTTGGTAGCGTTGCCTAACCCTTTCGCCTCATCCGCTAAACAGGTTGACATCAAAGCTAGCTCGAAGGAAGAGGAGCAATTCATTTCCGAATACCTTGCTAAGCACTCTGTCGAGAAGAAACATTAAGATATGAGAGAGATGCTAGAATTCGCCTCTGAGCATCTAAGTAGCTTTGGCCAATGAAATGTACAGTTGTGGATCCGCAGAACGCAATGTAAAAAATGGATAACAAATATAGAAAACCAGTGAGCGCCCCAGACAAGAACACAAGCGGATTAGCTACAAAGCTAAACTAAGCTGGCCAATCTTTTTTATTTGTGATTCTATAATGTACATAGGCTAATATTCTTTTTTTATATTCCGAATGGTAAATTTGTGGGGTGACTCAGTTTTTGAAGACCACGTCGTTGGAAAGCGGGTCTGCAGCCAGTACATTTTCACGTCTGCGGATTTTGCGCTGCACAGCCGCATCGGATCTGTTACGGGCATCCTGGGCGGCCTGTTGCTTTGCCTGGGCCCTCACAACGTTGGGCGACACATACTGTCTGTTCTCGTAGATCTTGGGGCCTCCAAAGGAGCCCTCGAGTATCAAAATCACAGTCATCACGAAACGGGGTCCAATCTCAACCAAAGAGACGTCCTTTTTGGCGTCGCGGGATTCTCCTTCTTCGTATTCGTCCTGGTTTCTAGCCTTGTGGGCGATCTCGTACGTCCGGACCCAGATCTTATCGTCCACGATGCTGAACGACATGACATGGTCTATGAAAGGCTTCGATTTGCGGGCGTTGGGTGGTACCCCAAAGTTGTGAATGAACATTTCCTTGATAAGCTTGAAATGTGGACTTGTGTCGAAACGTGCGTCAAATGACAGCACCGGTCTGGAACCCTTCAGACAGTTACCTGTGAAATTGAGCTCGTCCATGGTATGCAGGTTTTGGAGGTAGAACTTGATGGTTGGTCCGTTAGGAGGCTTTGACAACCACATGTACAGGTCCTGATGCTTACGAGCCTCGAAAAACACCACGTTATTACAGTTGTACAATTCCGCGATTTCGTTAAGTTGCCCCAGGTCTTTCTTCGTGTCCAGCTTGGGTTCCTTGCGCGACTGTGGGAGCAGGCTGTGGAGGTCCTGAATCAGATGTCTATGTCTGTAAGTGACACCTCTTGACGAAATGAGCAGCGTACGCTGCTTGTTCATGAAAGCATTGTTCTCCTCTTTTGAGCTTGATTTTCCGCTCGATTTGCCAGCCAAAACTTTGTGAATCGAAGACATTTTTTCTAATCAATTCAAGCAACCTTCAAACTCACTAATACACTTCAAATCCTTGAAATAAAGCGCTGTTTGACGGTCTAAGGTCTGTCTGTTTTCAAGCTCATCGCAGCTCATCTCATCTCATCTCATCTCATCTTTCTCTATATACATACTAAAATTTTTCACTATTACCTTCGTGGACAATGATATTGATATGATTTATATGGAAGAGCGTTTAAGAAATCAAATTCCAGAAGTTTAAGAACTTAGATCGAAAATCAAGCGTTTATGAGCTGTTTTGACTTGAACAACGTTGTTGCTTTCGTGTTTTTGAAGCTTCAAGATAGCAGTTATCATGGAAGCTGCTGGAGATGAGGTTCTGAGCGCTTTAACGCGTGAAAACGGCAAATTGGCGGTGCAATTGAGTGGGAAATTGTGTGCCAAATATCCCAAAGCTAGCTATCCAAAGATCTTGGAGCAGTACGTGCGTTTTAGACTAAATGGTAATGTAGTCACTGGAAATGAATCGCTGGAGCAATTGCTGGCCAAATGTGGCGTGCCCAGCGATCTCCGCTCGTTGGAATTGATGCATCGATTTCGACTCGAATTGGCACAGCCAGACCGTGCGCTAGAGGCATACAAAGCGGCGATGCAGAAATATCCAAGCGCAGAAATAGGCTATGCGTGGTTTGGTAAGTCCATTGAAGATTCCAACTACCGAAACATGGCACAATCTGCGTTCCAGCTGCGTCGCTGGTCCCAGGACCCACGCATGATTCAGTTCTGGTATGCGCTTTCGACTGTTGCGTCTTTGAAGCTCCAGCCTGGTCAATTAAGTACAAAAGAACGCCTTCTGAACGCCACGTTGGCGTACAAATCCATCGAATCGCTCAAACCTTTTCGCTCGGATCAGGAAACTGTCATTTTTTGCCACGTTTGCGAGATCTGCGAGAACAAGTCGCAAGTAATCGTGGATGAACTGCTCCCGCGCTTCTTGAAGGGCACAGAAAAGGGATTTTCGGTTGACCTGTATCTTAAGAACTTCCTAATAACGCATCTGACAAAATTGGAGGATCATGTGAATTTGGTAGAAGTGTGCAAGCGTCTGTTGACACTACTAGACGATTTTGGGCTTTTGACGCAATTCATTGAGAGTTCGAAAATACTCAATCTACCACGCAAAGAAGTAGAGGCGATAATAAAGGCGCGCGATTCTCGAAATCACCGCTTGGCGCATGTGCGCTTGGACTCGGTTTACGATGGATCCGTTTCCAACGGTGCTCTCGATTTCTATCTTGAAAAGTTTCACGACAAGCCTTGTTGCGTTCCCGATTTAGAGCATTATAAAGAAAAGCTGCCATCGGAGTTGATTGAACAGAGTTTTAGGAAGCTCGAAAGTGGGCTCATGCACGACTGCAATTACTCTCGTCTCACTGACGTCAACGGTATAGAACTTTTCATTATTCTTTTTGCCAAATACAAAAGGACTCTGGATGAAAAGCTCAAGACTGACTACTCACCCTGCTCGTACTTCATTCTGAAGATTGTCGAGTCATTGATCAACGATACTAACTATACTTTTGAAAATGCTTTGACCAGTATTGCCATCTTGGAGCAGTATCAAACCCTCGATCCGTACAACTTCGATACTAGGGTCTGGCTGGTCGTGCTTTACAATCATTTGGGGTGTCCATCTCTGGCCTTCGGCCACTACGCCCAGCTGAAGGTCAAAAATTTACAGCTGGAAACCGTGGACTTCTTGATGACTACAAGATACGCCTCACTGTTCCCGGTCAAGGATCATCCTTTCTTTGAGCATCTTGCAGCTGGTTCCAACGTGTACGAGTCGATAGATAACCTTCCCCGATTTGTTCAGATAGCCTTCGAGCGACAAAGTTACGGAAAAATTCTAGGTATGCTCGAATTGCACGACAAACTAGCGCGCTCGACAGGGCGGTGGTCCAAGCAAGGCGAACGCTTGCTACAAGCGCGTCTGTTCAATGACAAACGCAGTGGACTCTTGAAGAACTTGCATGAGTCCTGGCGCCAGCTATCCCTTTACAACCTCAATTACGGTATCTCCCTCGAGGACTGTAAGCTAATTGAATTGAACGATAACCGCGATTTTTCAGTGTTAGGCCCCATGTTGAAAAATTGCACCACAGTCACAGCCTATTTGAAACAGGATAACGCTGCTGTGCTGGCAGCTAGCTTGCGGGAGATGATGCTTGGGACGAGCGGCGTTAACGAACTGAGCATTTCCATTGACCAAATTCTACAGCAACACGGATGTGCCTTGACGGCCCAAATGACCGCCAGCGAGGCTTGGGGGTTCGAAGTGGCGCGAATTGTCTACGAATCGCAAAGCAACAGTGCCAAAACACCAGAATTGCTTACGAAATTGCGTGCCAGACCTGGTGTCCAATTGAACGGCTGGCTATTGTGTCATGACTATCACACCCAGCTTGCTACTTTGAAGTCTCTCGACCAACTCAAGCGAATTAAAGACCCGGAACTCAAAGGCTTTATAAAATCTCAGCTCCGTCTATTGCGTGAAAAGGGCCCACTTTTGTTCGAAGACTACATTTCTACGATTTCTGCGGCTAAACCCAATATTTCAATTCTCGAGAAGCTGAGACTGGATCAGTATGATCTTGAGATTGCCAAGAATGTCCAGACAATATTCAAAGTCGCTAGGAATCTCTGAGCCCTTGTCAATCGCTCAGACCGTACCCGTCGTCTCTCTGGAAACTTTAAATCCTAGCATTTTGGTCACGTGCCATAGCTCCCGCGAAAATACCGATATTCGTTGACAATGACCTAGGATCCTTTGAACATTTTTTTTCCAGCACCATCAGGTTAGAGTTTAAGCCTATTTGAACAAGCACTGTTTATAGGCCTCACTACCTAAGAACGGACAAGCGAATCGTGTCATTGCGAAAGCTTGGAAAGGTCAACAATTCCATTCTTGCATAGCATTGGAGATTGTCCAGCGTGGCACTGTCTATCTGGAGGCTTTTGAACGGGGCGAATTGGACAAGAAACAGTAGAGTTGTCGCATTTTCTCAATTGACAAGTTATCCTCACTTTCAGAATGGTTCTACTGACGAAAAGGTTCTCCAAGGTCTTCAAGCTGACGCTGGTGGCTGCTCTGTTCTTCTTGGCTTTTGTGCTATCCAGCAGGTATGTAGACAAGGATTTGCCATCGCGCGAATACCGCCAATACTTGCAGGACTACATCGACACATACACTGGGGGTAGTGGGAGCAAAGACGTGGGACCTGAAAAGGGCAAGAACCCGGCGGCTGCAATCAAAGCCAGTAATCAGTTCCTCGGCGATGAACGTGGGGCTAAAAACGCGGGGACGTCGTTCGGTAAAGATACAAAGAATCCAGTGGCAGCAGAGTCTACAGCGGCCGATAAGCGCAAAGAGGGCATGCAGCAATTCTACAAGCAGGTGTTTCACAGTCTGCGAATGAATTCCCCCATGGGTAAATCGGCACGTCAATACGACCCACGTTGCAAGCTCAATGGGGACATTGGTGCCCGTCCCGATGACTACGAAAATTGGTCTAAATTGACGAGTAAAAACCTGGGCGAGTGCCTCATCATTTCGCCGAAGGAAAAGCAAACGCTCAAAAGCAAGCATCGCGACTACGTAGAAAGTTTGCAGAAGCTGGTTCTACCCAAGGGAACCTACAAAGGCGACGGGATCGTCACCGTGGGTGGCGGTAAGTTCTCGATGCTTGCGTTTTTGATCATCAAGACGTTGCGAAACCTAGGTACTACGCTACCGGTGGAAGTATTTATTCCTCCCAAAGACGAAGGCGAAGAAGAGTTTTGTAACGTCTTGCTGCCCAAATACAACGCCAAATGTATTTTCATCTCGGATGTTCTGCCTGACGATGTCATCGACAATTTCGACTTCAAGGGGTATCAGTTCAAGTCAATCTCGATCATTGCCTCGAGTTTCGAAAATCTGCTTCTTTTGGACGCTGACAATTTCCCTATCAAGCCTCTGGATCAGATTTTCGAAGGAGAGCCTTACACGAGCACTGGTATGGTACTATGGCCCGACTTTTGGAGACGTACAACAAATCCAGCATACTATGATATTGCGGATATTCCTATCAACTACCAGAAAAGGGTGCGGAACTGTATGGATGATATCACACCTCCGCAAGTATACACTCCTGATCTGTCTGACCTATCGGACGTCCCGCTCCACGACCTGGAGTCTACGATCCCCGATGTCTCGACCGAATCGGGCCAACTAATGATCAGCAAATCTAAACATTTACCCACTGTGTTGCTATCATTGTACTACAATGTCAATGGACCATCCTGGTACTACCCCATCTTCTCGCAGAAGGCCTCTGGAGAAGGTGACAAAGAAACTTTTATCGCTGCTGCCAATTACTACGGGCTGTCTTCATACCAAGTCAAATCTGTGACAGCTGTCGATGGGTACCATCAACCTTCAGGGTTCAGAGGTGTTGCGATGTTGCAGCACGATTTTGTGCAAGATCACCAACGCTACAAGTGGGCCTCTAGTGAAATCAATGCCAAGTATGGGGATCAGTCGGGGGCTTCTATTGCGATAGACCCCGAGTACTCACCCGAGGCCGTTTACAAGACCTATTTTGAACCCGAAGATCGCAAAGAAGTCGACATCATGTTTGTTCACTCGAATCTTCCGAAGTTTGATCCCTTCACGTTGTGGTCTGACCAGGATCTAATTGTGGACGGAAAGCATATTCGCTCCTACACGAACTTGAAACGGCTCAACGGATACGATCTCGAGCTGGAAAACTTCCGTGCTTTCAAGCAATATCTGTGCAAGCAACGCTCTCACTTCAAGTACCTGGACGACAACTTGGGCACCGACCGTAGAAAGTGGCAACAGATGTGCACATATATATCCGATAGACTACGGTTTTTGGAGAAAACTCACTTGGAGGCCACCGGTGCAAAATAATATGCGCAATGCAATTCCTCCATGTACGTATGTCCAATTTTACGATTAATAGTTCCTCTCCTGTCTTTTGAGCTTGATGGAACGACAGAAAAGATGACTAAAAAAAAAAGGACCATTGAGATCCTCGTCCATTGTGGGCAGACAAAACTGCTCAACCATGCACAACAGAACGTAAGTACCAGTGTGCTCCTAGAGACTTTGGCTCTCATCAGCAGTGCATTCTTTATTTTCGTGAAAGGTTCGAGTCGTCCGTTAAAGATGATATCATCAAATCAGTATAAATTCATTTATAAGATAGAGATCAAGTCAAGTTTGGTGATCTTTCCATTCTACAACTTTGTTTTACAAGAACAGTTGAGGTTCTCACAAGAGACTCAGAACGTTGTCTAAAGGAAGCAACTCAGTTTAGTTTACTCATGATGGCGCCAAAGAAGAATCTAAGAGTACTTCTTTTCACAGGGATCCTGTTCGTTTTGATCTACTTCATTGTTCAACACGCCAATATCACATCTATGGACATCACAAACGGTGGCAGCGTTGCAAGCGAAAAAGCTAGTAGTACGGCGAAAAGCGTGGTTACAACAACAGCGAACGGAAAAGTGGGTAAAACGAAGCCCAAAGTCGAGGAAACCAGCAAGAGTGACGCAAAAGTCGATGAAGAAATAGAAAGCATAAAGCAGGAGATCGGCATCAAAGAAAATATCTGGGATAAACTGCCCAAACCCCAGCCCAACGCGCAGGACGCAGAATTTGACCCGGCCAAGGAATACCAGATGATTTTGACGTCTTCGCCCATGATTGTGTTCTCCAAAAGCGGCTGTCCGTTCAGCAAAAACATGAAAAGTTTACTTGCCAAGGAGTTTCAGTTCACGCCGGAGTACCGTGTGGTTGAGCTGGACAAGCATGAGCACATGGCGGCGCTGCAGTCCTACATTGGCGAGCAAACCGGTCGTTTTACCGTGCCCAACGTGGTGATCAACGGCAAGTCTCGTGGCGGGTTTGACGATTTCAAAACTCTTCAGGACAAGGGCCTGCTACTGGAATCGCTCAAGGAATGGGCAGGCAAAGATTTTACGATTACCAAGAAGGAAAAACCCTCGAACAACTAGTGATATTCCTATGAATTTTTTTTTTTTTCTATTTCTTCATTTTGCGAAGCTGGCGGGGTGGGGGACCAACTTTAAACGGGGTTTTTTGGTCTTGACGGTTTTGGTTTTCTTTAATTGCTTTTGTTCTCCTGTTTTGTTAGAGTGAAATTGAGGGAAGTTCTACAGAGGTGCCATCATCAGCATCTTCGAGTCGGAGTTTTAATCGGATACAGGACTCCGCTGTTTTGGTTTTCAAAGTTTTTTTTGGGGAAGAAGTTCATTGGGTCACATCGAATGGGCGACAAACCTGTGATTTTACGGGCAACAAACCTGTCAATTGAAGATCAGTTGATACTTCTTCATGTTTGTAGTGCTAGCGTGGACGACGACGACGACGACTGTTTATACTATACTATCTATTAGCTAGTGACCCATAATGAAAAATCAGTGGACGTCATGTGACATTATACACGTGATACCTCTTATCAAATGAGTAACCGATAAGGGTATGTGGGTGCTTTATGGGTACTTTCCGGGTATATACTTATATACGAGACGGGTTACCCACAAACCTTGAATCACTGTGTATTTTTCGTGGATAAGGAGAAGGACAATACACGCGCGCCTAAACCAACGTTTCAAGATCAGATTCAAACTTCCTGGTAAGCCAAACTGGGGTCTTGTAACGCGATTGGGGGCTTCTTTACAATACCGAACGATGCTCTTGGAGTTTACCAAAGTGTACCCGGTGTTTTCGTGGTCCTGGGACATCTGTGGCGACGACAATCTGCCAAAAGAGAACGAGGGCGGTGAAGAAGACGTTTGTGGGATTTGCCGCGTCAGCTACAACGGGACGTGTCCCAGCTGTAAGTTTCCTGGCGACGAATGTCCGCTTGTTGTGGGTGAGTGTAATCACAACTTCCATGTTCATTGCATTCAGCAATGGCTTGACACGGCTACAGCCAAAGGGCTGTGTCCGATGTGCAGACAGCCGTTTTCTCTAAAACGAGGAGTGGCCATCAACGAATGTCAAATGGACCGTCTTGCGAAGCTTCTGATCCACGCTCAACCGGCAGGTTTGAGCGATGACCAGGACTTGATGATGGAACAAGAGTTTGTGGTGCGTTAAACGTAGCGATGGGAACCCAAAAAGAAAACTAAGAAACAAGAACAAGGACTGGGACTGGGACGGGGCAAATCAGACCCTTTTGCACGGAACATCCGCAAAACAAGATCTACGGAAAGGTCAAAACCGGGTTCAAATCGAGGAAAAAAGGCTTATTAGGGCTTTGCAACAAAGATAAGAATAACAGCGTGGAAAAATGAACGAAGAGGCAACAAAATTAGCAAGAACAGCGAGTTTCCGTGCATTTCTTGGCGCAGTCTACAATCTTCTATTCCCCTGCCAAGCCCCTCTGCCCACACACTTGTTGACAAACAAAGTTTCCCTCAAAGAAAAAACTAGGACCGGTCGAATTACAAATTCAAGTAGACCCTTTACTAACAAGGCTGTTGTTATGTTCCTCAGGTCTCGGGGCTCTGCTTTAGCCTTACACAATTGCTCCGTCATGCCCGAAAAAAAATTCTAAGCCTTCCCAAGGGTGGTCCCTGCATTCGAAGTCAAAGTTTCGCAAGGTTTAGTTTTCGGACACCGGGATTGGAAACGATGGGCCTGGAAAAAAAATATTAAAGAAAATGAAATGAATGAGCAACTACACCTAGAATAATTCCTTTCAACGCTCTCGAATACTCCTGCAAAGCTACTGTAACCTCTGCTTCGTTACAGCTTCTTTTCCCACCTTTTTCCCCCCGAGCTACTGAACCATAAGACATTCCATTCTGTGAGCGATGGCTGTCATACTAAACAAGAGATGTATGCATAACGAAAAATTCAGGGCCTTGACGACATTTCGGAAAAGACTACTAACAAAATCAATTTTCAATTTCAGACGTTACCTACTACGACAATAGCTACAACGGCAGCTGGGTTTGGGGCCGTTGGCTGCTGTTCATTGTGCTTGCTGTTGCTGTGGTGCTGTGGGTATTTATGATTAACGTGAGAAGACGCAGGAACGGTGTAAGTCCCATCAGAGGAACTGCTTGGCTGGCTCCGCCGTCTTACGGAGTGTCGCAGAACCAGTACAATCTTCCAACAGACCAGAACCCGGTTCCAGAGTACTCTGCTACGGCCAATGTCAACGACGCTGGCTATTTTGACCAGAACGGTAAGTTCCACCGCACTCATCCTGGACCAAACGACCCACAGCCACAGCAGGAATACGGCAACGGCTCCCAGCCTTCCCAGCCTCCTCCTGCAGTGGTTAGAGACGACGACTACTATTCAGAGGATCAACCACGCCCGGAACAAGATTTCCAGTCCCAGTTCCAGAGACCAAACGTACCGCCTCCAGCCGCAAATGTGGTAACAGATATCACAGGCTCAACAACTACAACAACCACAGCACCAACAGAGTCGCCATATCAAAGACCAGCTGGACCACCACCTGCAAAGCATGAGTGAACATCACTGCTGCTGGCACCCTCGTCGTCACGCCGATATCACGGAACTCTCACATGATAACATATTTTGCAATCAATCGCCTAATTTTCACCTTGCGGTTGGTTATCTTCAATCTCATCTTAATAATAGGGTTTGCGCGCGGGTTTGGAACTTTTATGTTAGGTTCTAAGGTCCAAACGCTGAGACGGTTTTGACCTTTAAAAGCCACAAACACATCGATAAAAACCCAAGCTGTTGATATAAAAGAGACATCTTCATTCAACTTCACACCAGGAACTTGCCAAATCATTGAGCACAGCTTTGAACCCAATAAGCTGATTACTCGAACCTTTCTCCTATCTGTCGAAATATTTGCCAAAAAATAATACTATCCAATGACATCTTTCAAACCAAAATTCAGCAACAACGAGGTGGTCAGAGATGCTGCCTATGTGAATGGCCAATGGGTCAAGAAAACCGACAAATTTTTCGAAGTGACGGACCCTGCCAGCGGAGAAGTTATCAAGAAATTGCCAGAACAAGATGTGGCTATTGTGGACGAGGCCATTGATGCTGCATACGAGGCTTTCAAAACTTTCAAAAATACCCCGGGCAGACAAAGATCCACCTGGCTCAGAAACATGTACAACTTGATGATGGAAAACGTGGAAGATCTAGGGAAACTGCTCAGCTGGGAAAACGGTAAACCTTTGGCCGAAGGAATCGGAGAGGTCAAGTACGCGGCGTCATTTTTTGAATGGTACGCCGAAGAAGCTCCCCGTTTGTACGGCACAGCAATCAACCCCGGTATCCCATCAAACAGGGCCTTCACCCGTCGTGAACCCGTTGGTGTGTGCGGTATTATCACTCCCTGGAACTTCCCCAGCGCCATGATCACCAGAAAGGCTGCTGCCGCTATCGCCGCCGGTTGCACCGTGGTGTTGAAACCAGACTCTCAAACTCCGTTGTCCGCTTTAGCACTAGCATATCTGGCCGAAAAAGCAGGCATACCAGCCGGTGTTTTCAACATCGTCCTAACCCACAATCACACTCCAGAATTCGGCTTGAGATTGTGCGAGTCGCCAAAAGTCAAAAAAGTCTCGTTCACGGGCTCTACCAATGTGGGTAAGATCTTGATGAAACAGTCTGCATCTACTCTCAAGAAGCTGTCGTTTGAGTTGGGTGGTAACGCCCCATTGATTGTTTTTGACGATGCCGATCTTGATAAGGCCGTGGACCAGGCAATCGCTTCTAAATTCAGAGGTTTGGGTCAAACATGCATTTGCGCAAACAGACTGTACGCTCACGAAAGCATTATTGATGAATTTTCGTCGAAACTAGCTTCCAAAGTGCAACAATTTGTTATCGGCCACGGGCTCAAAGAAGGTGTGACGCACGGGCCCATGATCAACCCCAAGGCAATCGAGAAAGTCGAGGCACACGTCCAGGATGCCATCAAAAAAGGTGCCAAAGTTCTTATTGAAGGTGGTCGTAAACCAGATTTGGGACCTTCCTTTTACGCTCCCACCGTTTTGACTCGGGTTCCTCAAGAGGCCAACGTCAGCTCTCAGGAAACATTTGGTCCTCTATGTGCCATAATCCCCTTCAAAAGCACAGAAGAAGTGGTCAAGTACGCCAACGATAGCGACGTCGGTTTAGCAGCTTATGTCTTTGCCAAAAACGTGGACACCATTTTCACAGTTTCAGAGGCTTTAGAGGCCGGTATGGTCTCGGTCAACACAGGGGTATTCAGTGATTGCACGGTACCCTTTGGGGGTGTCAAGGAGTCTGGGTTCGGTAGAGAGGGCTCATTACACGGTTTGGAGGACTATACTATCATCAAGACTACTATCATCGGTGGTTTGCCCAATCGTTTGTGATAAAAAAAGGCTCGACCGAAAAACATGAAGCTACTGCTCTAGGGTTGTTATCAACAATTTCGCGACGAAGCTAGCTGGAATTATCTAGTTTCTGTACGTATATGCCGAAATATCTATTCTAATGTCATTTTAAAGAAGCTCTTTCTCTTATTCAAGGTTTAAAACCAAACTTTTGAATAAGAATATCGAAAGTATCGGTCTTCAGAAGCCTGAAAGAGTCGTTCAAAGGCGGGAGAGGCTGGCCATCAAGCGTTCATGGACCTTTATGATCAACTGCCGAACAGCAAGTTGGCCTTTCTTCAAGAATATGCGGTTGTGCTGGATTGTTTGATAGAAAAACGAGTTACAGTAACTGATCTGTTAACCCGTAGGCCGACAGAACTCGCAAGGATAGTACCACGTTCAATAAACGAGATCGCGAGCTTTCAACAGGCCCTCAAAAATGAGTATGAAGAGCTTTTGTTCGGGCCAAAACGGTCTAGTCTAGCAGTGGTCCAAGATTGCATTCGAGAATTCACAACTGGAGATCGCGGGATAGACGAAGTACTAGGTGGTGGAATACGTACGCATGGAATCACTGAAGTTTTCGGTGGGAGTTCAACAGGAAAGTCCCAATTTCTTATGCAGCTGGCTTTAACAGTTCAGGTCTCAGTTGAGCATGGTGGTTTGAACGGAAAATGCGTTTTCATCACTACAGAGGGCAGTATCTCTACCAAAAGGCTTGAGGAACTCATTGCAAACAAATCAAAGCAGCTGCCGGGTTTTGAGCAGGTTTCTCAAGATAACATTTTCACCGTCAATTGCAACGATCTTGCCAATCAAGAGCACACGCTCCAGGTCCAGCTTCCTATTCTTATTGAAAGAAATCCAGATATCAAGCTTGTCGTAGTGGACTCGATTTCACATCATCTTCGAGTAGAGCTCGAGAGGAGATCGTTCAGAGATTCCCAGGATAATCGACATTACATTGATCAGATGGCTCAACATCTGCTGAAGCTGGCGAATGATTACTCTTTGGCCGTGGTGGTAGCTAACCAAGTTGGCGATAAGCCTGTTCCTGAACCATCTGCGGTCAATTCCTCCCCAAATGGCGATTTCACTAGCTATGGCTACCAAATTGGTTGGACTGTCGGCTGGAAAGACTCTACCATATATTATCGCCAAGTACAAGAGGGTCTCTTAACAGACAGTGTCAATAAAGCAAAACCTCAGCAGCGTGGCAACATTGAAAGCATTCTTTCTGAGGATGAAGATTACAGACTGGTGGCAGAAGCAGCATTTGCCAGGAAACGACCGCGGGACGAAGAAAACACCAGCAAAGAGAGCAATAGAAGTTCTTCGCCATCATTAGCCTCAGCCCGCACAGAAACTTCCACTTCACCTTTTCCGAAATTTCTGCCAATGCCGTTAAGACGCAGGCGCAAGGTGGAGACAAAGATCCCCAACTTGGGTCTATCGTGGGCTAATCACCTTTCAGTAAGAATCATGCTTTCCAAGATCTATAGGGCTAGTCCCATGATTAGAAGGGGGGAACTGGATCTCAATGAAGTGATGGATACAAATAACTTCTGGCAGGTGCATCGAACATTTCGGGTGATTTTTTCAGAATACTCCAAGAAACCAGATGTGGAATTCATCATCTCATCTAGCGGTATTGAAAGCATCACTCAAGTAAAACAGAGCAAGTAGATAAATCGAGACACGATATAGCATTAAGCATTAACATTCAATAGTACAATGACTTCTCATATGAAGTTCGGGTTTAGATATCTTACAAATTGTGGGTATAATCTAGCGTATCATCTTAAGGCACAAGGTTTGTGTCCAAAGAACCCAAGTAGCAATGAGCTATAAAGAACAATCTGCTGATTCAATCAGAGATATAAGAATTGTGATGATAAATGAGGCAGCAGCACTGCTGCTCCTAGTCTTCCATGGGCTCATCTTCTTCCTCGATAGCCACTTCATCTTGTGAGTTACATGTTAGGTCATATTCACCTTCAAAGGCGTTTGTTTCATGGTCGATCGTTAATTTCCGCCTGTGCCGCGTGCCTGTTTGTTCCTTCTCATGGTCATCCTCGTCTTCCTCGGCGACACCGGATTGTAGAAGGTTTTCGGACGATGCACTCTTCAACCTGAAAACATTTAGATAGAGGTATGCCACTCTTTTCCTCTTTTTATTGAACAAAAACCACATCAGACTCCATAAATGACCCGGTTCATCATCAAGAAAAGATTTTGAGGGTTTGTAGCGGTAGATGGCACAGTCAGAAACATCCATATGAGAATTTATGGTTTCCCATATCCATTCTTGAGGCTGCTTGCCGAAAGATATAAGAGTGTTTTCAAATTTCGAAATCAAAGACTTCATGGAACTCTTGACAAAATCTGTGGGCTCTAAAGATGCGAAATCGTGATCTGGATACGACGCATTCAAAATGGCAATCAAATACGCAAAAGTTCTTCTGCTTGCAGTTTCGTTTATAGGTCCGAATGGACCGATATTGACGCTTTCTTTGTGGGCCGAAGACCTTCTTCTCTGCAAGCTGGAGCCCAGAGCCATACTTCCAGAGCTGCTGCTACGCCTCAGGGCACCATTGGTTGCGCGGGAATGGGAGTCTGTGGACGAAGAGCTTACATAACCTGACTCGGCTGCATTGACCAGCTCTTTTAAGTTTTGGTCGTTCAGTTTATGGGTCTTGGACGATTGGCCGTTTGAGCTATTACCACCGTTGTTTTCGCTCACAGAAATACGTCTTTTCTGTTCCCAAAACGAAGTCGAAGGCGACCCAGACTCTCCGCGTGTGTTGTACAGATGTTGTGCTTGTTCCGACGGCGACGAAGACACGCTTTCCGCGTTTTCCAACGCAAGTTGCTGTTGTACAGCACTGTTGAAGCCCTCGTTTTCCACCAAGAGTGCGTCTAAGTGTCTATCGATGGTCTTATAAAGCTTTTTATCGGAAGCTACTGCTTTCGTGGTAAAAATATCGCATCCGCCATTTACACTGCAATCGCTGGTGTCAAAGTTCAACGTTTGGTTCACAAGTTCGATATCCAGCTCATCGATGAACTACACATAACACAGATTCGATCGTTAGTACTCAAAAACTGAAATGGGCTAGAAAAACCTCGAACTTTCTTCGTGTTTGTCCAAAATTATACTTTATCTTATCACTGTGACGAAACAACAAAAATGCATACTTTCATAGCTGCTAATCGCGCCGTTTTTTCGAAAGCGCCAAGGTCTCAAGTAATTCGACTATTCCAAATCAGTTCAGCTCAAAAAGGAAGCCCCAAGACACCTTAATCTTCAGTTCTATAGGTAAAATCTTCTTGATAAGTTGTTTCCCTCGTGGAGTATTTACTATTTGATATATATAATTTGTTAATTTACTGTCGCGATGCCCCGTACAAGATGCTATCACCAGATTTTATACACCAGGAATATCGAACTAGAGCTTCAAGAGCGTTAGAGGTATGGAAATTACCAGCAGTTTTAGATTTGAATTTGATTATTTTAGTTGGACTAGAACCCTTTAATTTCGGACTTTTCTTTGTTTGCAATATCGTTTTATATAAGGTTCATTAGTGAGTTTAACTGACACTTCTAATACCTCACAGCTCAATCAACGCTTTGACGAAAATCACGAAACTAGAAAAAACTCAAAATCCCAGGACTTCTTAGTTTCTATGTAGCTGTTGGATTTGATTGACCGGTGTGTGCTAGGCCGATCCCAGTTTTTTTAGTTTTCGTTTTCGTTTTCGTTTTCGTCTTGGTTTTCGGGTTACATGCAGATATTAAAAATTATTACAAACTGTCGATGCTTCGACTCTGATACTTGTCTTTGTATATCCAATCGGCGCCTATGAGATCTGCTCCTCGTCTATCAGCCAATCGGAACCACGCCGCAGCGCGGGCTTTGTTTTTGGTTTTTTTTTCGGAACTTTTGGACCACAGAGTGCCACTCAAACACATCGAATCCAGGTGACCCAAGGAAGCAGCTTTCTCGAGATACTTTATGCCTTTTATCTCGTCCACTTCTGCTACCCCGTAGCCCTTGAGATACGCCATACCGCACTCGTACAATGCAGGAGCCCTGGGTTCTGGCGGCACGTGTGGGACGTGTGCGAGCTTGAACGGATCTATGTCCAAGACAAAAATCTCGTCCTCTTCTGAGCGTATGTCGGCTGCCTTTTTGAGATAATGGAGCGACTGCGGGTAGTCTTTATCGACACCTGAACCGTACCTAAGGGCTAGTCCGTAAAGAAGAAATCCTGTTGGGTTTTGCATCTCGCACAACGCTTTCAAATGCTCCGTTGATGCTTTCAAGTTACCGCGATTCCTTAGCTCTATTACCATTCTTATTCTGGCGTCGGTATTTAGATGAAGCTCTTTTTGTGACGGCCGTATCGCCGCTTCGTGTGTCTTGGGCCGCACAAGACCAAAATGTGTGGCGTGCTCTTCATGGGGTTCGCCGCGTTTATAGCCCTCCATCTCACTTCTTCGAGAAACCAGAACGTTTGGATCTGAAGACGCCCGATTGTGATCAAAATGCAAGTGGGTCCGGGGCGGGAATTGAGGAGTCAGGTCTGACGATGCTGTCAGTGGAGGATGAGCAGCACGCGACCCTGGGGAACTAGCGGTTTCCAGTTGCGGTACCGGAAACTGAAACTTATTACTTGGCGGAGTCGACATTGGAGTCGACCCTGTAGATTTAACTTTAATCATTTCGGGTCGCGATTCGCTGACCTTGGGGGATTTGAAGAAATTTTTGAAAAAAGATGAGGGTGTTTTTTTATGTCCTTTGTGATGTTCGCTTGATCGCTTGGAAGGCGATACTGAAGTTTGTCTTGAAGCAGAAGCCGACCCTGTCTTCATCGGGGTCGAAAACTTCCATTTTGGAGCCTCGTCCACTTGTTTGGATCTCTTATCGCTTTCCCTCGATATCTCGCTGTCTATCGAAGACTGTGTGCTGCGTTTTATGAGACCCTTGGTCTCCAGCGAAGAAGAGCTGCCCGAGCCGGGTATATTAGCCAATGGGTGCGCTCCTGAGTTCATAGCTGAGTCTTTTGAAGGGAGACGGTAAGGCGTGGACGTATTTTCAGAGACAGGATCAGACTCCGACGTATGAGATACAGATTTTGTTGCCGGTAGCCTGGTCCCATTTCTCGTTCTGTAATTCTCGAAATTTATTGTGCGATTTTGGAAGTCGAAATCCCCATTTTGATCCCCATCACTTTCTTCCTCGACAAAGTATGAGTATCTGCTTCTGGGTAAATGCAATTCTACCTGTTTTTTCTTAGAAAGTGTTATTTTCTCTTTCTCTGATAACTCTTTGAGTATATTCATGAGTGGCTTGTATTCGCTACCCTCGGATTGAACGCTAGACCCGCTACTTTTCCTCAGAGACGGGAATCCTGAAGCCGGAACACAAACCGCTCGATTTTCATGTTTTTTGATGGTGAAGCCATCTAAATTGTGCGCCTGTGCTTCCTTCAAAGCTTGCTGCAGTAACGCTTCATCCTCTTCGTTCAAATCAAGACGATCCAACAACCTTTCTGTCGTTTGTACCGAATCGAAAGATGCAGTGCTATTTCCTCTTTCACGCAGAACCAAAACCTCAGATTTTTTCTCTTGGTGGTCAATCACTTGCCCTGCCTTACCCCTTAATTGATCGAGTGGCGAAACCTTTCTAGTGGAGAAACTCATTGATGTGATGAGCTCTCCACGCTTTTTTATAATGCCAGTCTTCTCAACCTGTGATTTATCTTTGAATACCACCTCTACAACAGCGTTTTCTTCGCCGAAAATTTATGGCAGCGATTTCAAAATGAAGGTTTGGTAGATCAAAGCAAACTTAAAGCGCTAGCTAACCGCAATGGCAAGTACTTATTCCTATTTTGCATACCGTCCTTTGGCTTGTATGTGAGGTTCAAGATATGTTTATAGAATATATCAAGAATTCGTCTTTCGTACAAGAATATGTTGGGAAACTGAGTCGATGACCCAGCCGTACCTAAGCATGTATAGTTCTCGAAACCCATAGGACCGTACAGTAGAGGTCAGCTTCAGTGGATGGCTGTCCGAAATTGTTAAAAGTCTGATTAAAATGCTATTTATTCTTGAAAGTCCTTGCTAGTGAACCGCTTCCATTTTGTCTCCCAAATAATCCATGTAGAGACACCCAAATACCGACCAATGGAAGTTCACCAACGTGTATAAATGACAGAAAAGGCTCTCGAACTCTTCCATGTCAACTGTAGCAAGACCGCTGGATGATCCCTGAACTGGTACAGGCTGTTGTTGCGGGTGCTGTTCTTGATGATGATGTTGTTGTTGTTGTTGTTGTTGTTGTTGCTGCTGCTGCTGAGACTGCTGAAAGGTAAACACATCTTTGAAAGCTGCAGAAGAGCTTGTTGTAGGCCGTGTCCGTGAGCTAGCAGCTGCAGACTTGGTGGACCCGTTATTTGCTGTCATAGTGCTGCAAAGATGAACGAAATTCTGTTTGATAGTACCATCCTGGGTACAGCCAGAACGCGAAAAAATGCTGTTTTCCAATTGCTGCAATACACGGGTCTCTAGCACGCCGTACACCTCGCTCAAAGGCTGCGTTTGCTTCGAGAGCCAAGATTTGGCAAAATCAATCTGCGCATTGTTCAAGCTAGGTGCCTGTACAATGGGGTGAGATTCCGTAGTAGACCGCGCCAGTGTGACGTCCTGCATCGTTCTCTGTAGCAGAAAATCCTGTCTCAAGTCGCTTATTGTTTTGCAAAAATGAATAGCAATCGCCATGGTATTCTTAGTCCACCTGCAATTGCCATGCTCGTCCGTGATAATGCTAACAATCTCATCTTTCAGCTTTCTGTTGGTGTAGGAGTTCAGTATGTGCTCCTTCATAGCCTTGTCCATGGTGGTATCATTGGTAACCAGCTGCTTGAAAAGCAGCCGGCAGACCAATAGACACACAATCTGCCGTATGTCTGCTCTAAGTAGAACAAGTCGAGCATGGTCAAAAGACAATGATGTTGGATAGTCCCGAACCATTTTCCTGCACGATAGCAGACTGATGATGCTTCTTATGCAGAACCGATACACCTCGGGCGCTTTGAAGCGCTCAGCATGTCCTGGCGTTGACTGATTATATTCAACGCATTTATCTTGAAACCATTTGAACGAGGATTTGAGGTCCACCCTGTTAGTTGTCATGAGGGATTGAAAATACTGTTTTTCGAATTCTACCGCATTGCTCAACAGTGCGGGTCTCAATATCCTAATTTGATGATTGGCAATATCGAGTTTCATGGCTTCCAGTATTTGAAAGACCAACCTCAGGCCCTCGACTAGTTTGGGGACAGACTTTTCATCTTCTGATTCTTTGAATTTGGAACTCATCTTATCCACCCATGGGTCTCTCATGGGCGCACAGTGATGTTTAAATAATTGAGCGAGCCAGTCAGCAAAACTAGACATCATTAACGAACCTTTGAGCAGCTCTTGAACGAGCAATTCTGTGTCCAAAACGTTTTCCACAGTATGCACCTCCTTTTGAGGAACTATGGTGGTCAAGACTTCCTTCAAACTGTTGAAAAGAGGAACCAGTCGCGTTTGATCCAGTTTGAAAGTTTCCGGTTTCCATTTGTAAACAAATATTTCGTTTTCAACGTCATACCAGTATTTTTCCGAAACTTGTTTTTTCTTGAGTCCTCGTTCTCCGTCAAGATTGGGTCTGAATTGTAGTAGAGGATCAAATATTATGTCATGGCGCAATTGGGGATTTTTCACAATTTCTTGAAGATCAATTTCTTTCAAACATTGCAGATTTATCGGTGGCAAGGGCATAGGTCCTGGGTAAGATCTCATGTACTTGATTCGATCTGTTATACTGATTTTATTGTTTGAGGATTGGATGCTCTGGTGCATGAGAAGAGCGTGACGTAAAGACGCCGAGTGTTTGCTTTGTCTTTTTTTCTTTATTCCTCGGTTCATGTGCATGATAGACTGTTGCGCCGGAAGCTGTGGGTGTGTGCTACTATTCTGTTCATGGCCCAGTTTCTGTTGTGATTGCACATCTTGCTGGCGGTCTTCGAGTCCATGTGCTTGCAGTTGCTGTTGCTGCTGTTGTTGCTGCTGCTGCTGCTGCTGCTGATGTTGTTGCTGTTGCAGGGTAAAGAGCCCTCCTGAAGTGGAAAGGCCCATGCTTCGCAACGATGAATGCAGGATAGAGGGCACCGAAAGCGATCTGAACTTGTTGTTTTTGCCTGCTGATGCCTTAAGGGACGCCAAAGCGGCCAAATTTGTTGCGTGGCGGGTCTCGGAAGGCATTTCGTAGTCCGAGTCTGCCGAGGCAGTCTGTGGGGCCAAAGATGCGGCCGTTACGGCCGCATCAGCCTGGTTGGGAGACCCCAGAAATCGACCTGTTTTGGCATCAAACGGCTTGAAAAGCGCAGGCGGTTGAAAATATCCCTGGCTATGCGAGTGTTGTTCTTGTTCCTGGTTGTGTTGCGGCTGGGACTGATAAGCCCCGGGATCTGAGTCGTCCATTCCTACCTGCTGGGCCGGTGTGATGGTTCCATGATCTGAGGATATTCTTACATCGCCCACATAATCGCCATCTGCCGTGCGATGTGACACTGCAGCTGTTGCTACCGTCGTCGTAGATGACGACGCCATCGGGTTTCTGTTAGTGCCTCCAACGGCAGCCGGAGGCGAGACCGTGGCGGATGACGAAGATGACGACGATGATGACTGGGACGATTCCGAAGGCTGTGCTGCTACTCCTACACCCACTCCAACCCCTGCTGCCGCTACCACGGCGGACCCACTGGCTTTCTTTGGTTCGCCTGGGCCGCGAGACCCTCGTCTGCGGTCTCCATGCAATCCCACTGCTTCTGCAGGGGGTGTGTTAGTCTGTGTGCGAGTGTGCTCCATCCTTCTTGGTAAGATCTTTCCACTGGTCCACACCGCGATTAATCTGGTTCCCTGCTTCTCTCCCTCTCAAGTCTTTCCCTTCAGTGTTCCCACTGTGTGTGTGTGATAATGATAACGATCGATGCCGATTTTATCGATCTGTTATAATAGCTGCTGAGGAAACGGAAAAAAATTATGATGAGAAGACGCTCTGTGTAAGTCTCGGGCTGGAAAACAAAGAGACGTGGAGTTCGTGTGTGTGGTGAGAGCTCTGCAAGCTTAATGGTGCTTTATATGCTTGCTAAAGAGCTGTTTGAGTAGACTTATAGGAGTGGTTTCTACGGTTAGTACGGTTTTTCTGGTGAGTTTTCTTAATATTAGTGTGAAATATATATATACTTATATATCTTTTTCGTCGGAAGTGCCAATAAAAAAGAGACTGAGAAGAAGAAATAAGGGTATTAGGTAAGCACATCACGTGATCTCGCCCGAAAGAAAAGAAAAGGGGTTGTGCAGCGTGATGTTCACGTGAAGAAAAAAGAAAAAGGCGGGGAAGTCGTGTGCATGTGACGACTGTTTCGTGGTGTGTGATACACGTTTTGGCTGTTTCTTTTTTGTTTCTTTTTTTTTTGGGAGTTTCTTTTTTCTTCGATTATGGCATCGCTTATCGCCATACACGTAGAGAAGGACGTCAAGACGCTACTAACGGTAAAGGACAGAAAATTTTATCGGTTGAGATGGCCTTGTTCTTGTTCAAACATTCATTAGCTTCTTCTAGTTTTGAGCACAGTCTTATGTACTGTAAGTCTCAATCGAGTGCGACAAAGACTAAATTGGATTTCAGATCATTATGTACGTATCTCTTTTCTTGGTTCATGAAAAACCCCGGTTCCTGGCCCTGCAGGTGAAAGATAGCACGATGTGTTGGATTAACGCTTTGTATCAGTAGATAGAGATACGAGCAAGCGCTATCGCCACAGAGCAGCAAAGTCTCATCGGCACACACATACACATTTCGAATTCATGGTCGATGAAAAAAGGGTCTCAAATTTCACAGAATTGGTCAATCAGTCGATGGGTAGAATACTTGGTAAATGAAGGATTTCAGATCCCGTCCTGTTTAATGGCGGCGGAATAACACTATGTTGCGCACTGATGACACTTGGGTCCCAGCTGGATCGGTAGTAACGGTAATGTGTCAAATCACGTGATACGATGGTAGCACGCAGTTTTCTTTTTCAATGCTTGGGCATTTCTTGACCAGTAGGCTATATGAATTATATATCCTCTCGTCACCCATTTGAAGTTGGTAAGGCCACCTGGAACGTCTGGTGCCAAATGACAGATTATACAGGGACAATGCATTATGTGCCTACTCCGTGATATCGTACGACGGTATTTGTCTTTAGGATTCAAGGTCAGGAGTTCTTTGCAATCCATTTAAGTCTCGAAACAAGTAAAAGTGGGAGCATAAAAACAAGCTGTTGTTGAACAGCAAATTGAACCTCAAATGACGGATTGGTCTCCACATAATCTAGATATTCCACATCTGATTGATCACGTGAACGGAAAATCTCAGAAACGCGTAATTTTACGCGTTTCTACGTACATAGTTATATTGAGAGTTTTTCTACGCTCACAAATGAAAGCGTCTGGGTCCATGTTTTGTATCTGGACTATGGAAGTATACAGAAGTCTACTGCTTGACCTTGTAGAACGACTCTAGTGAGCACAACAGTGTGACGAACGTTGTTCTCGCAATTCTAAGCTGGTGGAGTGATATGAACTACTACTGAAATCTCAGCGTCACGTGATCTAACGAAAAGCTATCGTTCAATCGTGGTGTCCTTGTCTCAAGCTTTTTGGCCAGCATATGTGGACTTAACCATTTTAACTATCCGATATGGAAGCGCTGGTGGTATTTAAAAACACACTAATTGGCTGTCATTTCTCTTCAGTCATCACGTACGTCAAGCGTCCTTTGACATCAACATACAGCGACCTGCCATTAGCCTCTTTCTTCCCCGGTGCATTTCCATTAATACAAGCTCCGTAAAATGTGTCTCAATTTACTATCGGTCTGCCCCAGAACGTTTTTTTAATACTCTGTCGCACTCGACTGTGTTCTCTCTATCAGCATTTATATCACTCTGTCCTTTCAATGACACCGATCTCGATAGAAGCCGAAATCCGGTCAAAAAAGTGCCACTCACATCTCTGACCCTACAACCATCCAAACACTAGACCTCGTATTCCAATGAGTTTATTATGTTCTACTTTTCCGCCTATAAGCAACGACGTCACGAAATCACAGCAAAATTTCCCAATTGATATTAACAAGTGCAATCACTTCGCTTTTTTTGGGCTGAAACCTCCAGAAATATCGTCTGCTATTATCAACCGTTCTCATCATTCTCAAATCCGCTCCCTGGCCCTCTCATTCTGCCTTTCTTGTCCCATCTTACAATGATCTTTTTTTCCAAGCTTCGCTCATCGCCTTATATCGATCATTAGATAAATTAGCTTTATAGATCTAGTAACCATACATATACCACTGCTAGTAAGAAATAAACATCTACCCGGTGTAAAAACTATACCATCTAACTCCGAAACCGAATTCTGACTACTGCAGAAATAACCGTCACAATCCCTCACTGTGTTTTTTCTCTTAAAAACCTTCATTTTCACAAGATTTTTAGTTAGAATTTCAATAAACTCTTGTATCATAAACTGCAAACATCATAAGCCAATACTTCGCGATACATATCGCAACAAACTATAATCTTTCTCCCCTTCTAAAGTCTACACTGTTGCTTCCAACCAATACCACAGCTGAAACCCCCCGGAATCAATGTTAGTCTTTGATCTTACCGATTTTTCTCAATTTGTCTATTTTTTTTTTCTTTGGACTCAACAGCACTATTAAGATCCTCAATCCAAGTGGCCCAACTAAATCCACAATTTCTCAAATTCTCGACATAGTTAATCAGCTCAAATTCAGGCTTCTCACGCCTGTTCGTCGTGAACTTTTAGATATTTTGAACACTTCGTTCGTACATGGCGATTTCCATTAAGGGAATTCAAGATATTCAATTCATAAAATTGTTGCTGAGGAGGTAACCTTTACCAACACCAAGATCGAGCCCAAAGTGAACTGAATAGTCTCCAAAGAGCTCAACACGGCAGGACACAGGCTTTATTGAACGTTGCACAATGGGTAACACTAGCTCGAAACCATCTTCAAGGAAAAAAAAGAGCGGAAATGATAGCACAACAGCCTTCACACGCACAGATACTGCACAATCAGGCAAATCGGTCAAGTCGTCACGATCGGTGAAATCGGCCAAATCGGCCAAATCCAAACGGTCACATTCGTCTTCTGCTGGTGGTGGCACAGGTGGTGCCCCGTCTTCAACCACAGCGTTCGATTCCGAAACGAATCTGGACGCAGAGCCTGAAACGCTCAAAGCTACAGCGTCTTTTTCCAGACGAAATAGCGCCATTTCAGGCTCGCAACCACCTCTCTCACATCGTGGAAGTGCCAATAGCGTCGGCAACACATACAGCAAGTTCCAGTCCCAAGTGGTGAGTGGAGACCTACCCCCGTCAATGATACAAATGGAACCAAAATCACCGATTTTGAAAAACTCAACCACACTCTCCAGTCTGGGCGGTGGAAATAGCACCACGTACCACGAATCGGCAGTCACAGACGATGAAAATGACGAAAACGACATCCACCACCATCGTCGGAAAAGTAACGATTCCAGACGATATTCTCAAAAATCGCCTTCCGCAGCAAGCAGGAGTAACAGCACCTCTTCCAGTTCCAGGCGGAAACCGGGCCCGCATCTGGAAGTGCCCGAAAATTCCTTGCCTGTACAACCGACACGTACGTCGTCGCATTCATCCGCGGGCAATCACAGCCGAAAATCGTCTTTTGGTAGTACGATGGGCAACACTGCATATAGCACACCAATGAACTCTCCCGGAGTTTTCAAAAATTCTCAAGACGAATATTTTTCCGATAAACAATCGGATACTCACATCGGCAGTCCTCAAGGATTGCGTTCAAGATCAAGGCGAAATTCGGTTGATGAATATCCGCACGACATCTCGCATAGTGTCGATATTGACGACGATACCAACACTTCCATCACCACAAAGACCACAAAACGTAAAAAATCAATAAGGCCCATCGATGTGGATGAAATTATTCAAAAGCTTTTAGATGCTGGCTATTCTGGCAAACGAACCAAGAACGTTTGTTTGAAGAATTCCGAAATCGCACAGATCTGCAATCAGGCGCGTGAGATTTTCTTGTCTCAACCTTCATTACTTGAGCTTTCGCCGCCCGTGAAGATTGTCGGAGACGTGCATGGTCAATATGCTGATCTTTTGAGGCTGTTTACGAAATGCGGCTTCCCACCAGCGGCAAATTACTTGCTACTCGGCGACTATGTTGATAGAGGTAAACAGTCCTTGGAAACCATCCTGCTTCTTCTGTGCTACAAGATCAAGTACCCCGAGAATTTCTTTCTCTTGAGAGGTAATCACGAATGCGCCAACGTTACCAGAGTCTACGGGTTTTATGACGAGTGTAAACGCCGATGCAATATAAAGACCTGGAAGATTTTCATCGACACATTCAACACTTTACCCTTGGCGGCCATTGTTGCCGGTAAGATCTTCTGTGTTCACGGTGGGTTGTCACCAGTTTTAAATTCCATGGACGAAATTCGACATGTCAGCAGGCCTACTGACGTTCCCGATTTTGGCCTGATCAATGACCTTCTGTGGTCAGACCCCACCGATTCACCGAACGAGTGGGAGGATAATGAACGTGGCGTGAGCTATTGTTACAACAAAGTTGCCATCAACAAATTTTTGAACAAATTCGGTTTCGATTTGGTGTGCAGGGCACATATGGTCGTTGAAGATGGCTACGAATTTTTCAACGATAGGAGTCTGGTAACTGTGTTTTCGGCTCCAAATTACTGTGGTGAATTCGACAACTGGGGGGCTGTCATGAGCGTAAGCGAAGGATTACTTTGCAGCTTCGAATTGCTGGATCCCTTGGATAGCGCTGCCATCAAGCAAGTCATGAAAAAAGGTCGACAAGAAAGAAAACTAGCTAATCAACAGCAGCTATCCCAAGAATGAATTGTGATTATAAAGGTCTTCATTACACCTAGGATATACAAAGTTGTCTTTATAGTTTCATTGGTGCCGCTTAACTTTTCGTGTATATGGATGATTGGTGATAATGATGATGCCTTGAACAATTTACATAGTTCTCAACTGCATATCGCATTCAAGCTCAAAAGATCGTTGGTTCTTGAAGTAAGAATCAGCGAATATGCTCGGGAGATCTCCGCAACGCGAATATCTTGGGTTCTCTCAGTTTTTCGCAGTTACATTTCTACTATGGTTTATAATAACTTGGTCCATACTACCAGACTTAAGTATATATAAAAGTGAGCAACCTTGTCTTAAAAACGATGTAATCTCATTTGTACAAGAGGTGATGGATGCTTTGCCACAACGCTACTGGATAGTCGTGATAGAATGCATTGTTTTGATGGGGATGCTTTTCACTTACTTGGGTATTTTGGCTTATAATGAAGATGTCTTAACGGTACCGCTCAACGACATCCGAACACTTACAGATGACCGCGCGAACGTCGCAGAATGTTCAACACACCAGGAGTTTATAGATCAATACGCTTATAATGAAACTGGAGGGGTGCTGGATTTGCCCTTGACAGAAGTGTGTAAGCTGCTGTACGGACGACGAGACTAAACAGAATGAAATGCTTTTTTATTTTACCATTAATGTACATACATGCGAAGCGAAAAGCTGGGAAGCGGTAAATGATGCTTCTCCTCTATTTTCCTTTGCTGTTCGAGTGTCGTTAGACGGGTGTGAAGCCGCCGCGGTTTCCACGATAGCCTCCTCTGCCACGGTCCCCACCAGAATAGCCCCGACCACCACGTCCTCTAGGCCCATTGGAATTGACGTTCTCTCTCAAAAAACCACTTGCTGGACGGAAAACTGAGTAAGGATTTCCCTCTCTGGAGCTTTGAAACTTTCCTCCTCTAGAACGATTGTCGTCATATTTGCGGCCCGAATCTCCGTCCCTTGAGTAACCCCCACGACCGCTTCCACGACCACGGTAGCTTCCTCTATCGCCACCACGATCACTACGATCACCACGACCACCACGACCTCCTCTACCAGTTCCACGACCGCCGCGCGATCCACCATAGCCTCTCGAGCCGGTGTCTTTAAACGTAAAGCTATCGAACGATTGCTGAGCCTGGTCATCGTGATTCTCATTGTCTTGAAATTCTTCGCTTGGCTTTTTTTCCTCATCAACAGTTTCGTCCACCGTTTCCTCGGGTTCAGTCTCCTCCTTAAGCGTGAGCGGTGGCAACTGAGGGCTTGGGGACTGACTTGCCGCAGCGTCTACAGATTTTTTCAGAATTGCGGAATAACTCAATGGCTTGGGGCTAACCATGGGTTCGCCGTCGTTGGAAAGTCTCCTGAGGGTCTTAGTATCTTCAACGTGGAGCTTGCTAAACTTTTCTTCAATATCGTTCGTGATCGTCTGGGTGTCTGCTGGCTTGGCACTACCAAAAGGGTTGGATTTAGTTTTATGAGGGCGAGCAGGTTCTTTTTTTGGTACAAACGGCCTTGTTGGGTCGTCTGATTCTTTCAAGCTCTTACTCTTTTCCACGTAGTTTTTGAAGTCCACACGATCAGCAGCTGTCACAATAATGTCATATATCTCTTTCAATGGCTCAGTCCAATGGTGCAAAATTTTATCCATATCTCTTGCGGAGTATAGCTCGGTGAAGGACACTTTGGAGTCGCGCGTGAAGTTAGCATCAAAAAAGTCGGAGTTTTTCAATGCAACTCCCATAGCAGGTTTTTTGTTAAGTTCCCAAAACAGCTTGAATTTGATGAATTTCGTACACTTGGTCTGGAAGAGATCTTCAATTTCGGGCCCTGTAAACTCGGAGGGAAGATGCGAAAATTTCACAATGTATGGTGGACCCATTGCCTGGGACCCTCCTGCGGCTCCCATGGGCGCACCTGAATGCTGGTGTCCAAACGGATCATCTGGTCCGCGTGTTGCCAGTCTTATGGGAGTGTGCTTCAAAACATCAATGCTTGTGGTGTTGGTGAGAGGTGACGAAATCGCCTCCAAATTGATATCTTCATCGTTCCAGACAGAGTCCCCCAACGAGCTGTCGTTGAAGAACTCCTCTAGGGACATTTTCTTCTTACTAGCGTTTCCATTTGCTGCAGAGGCTGCCACAATTTGATCAACTAAGATGTTAGCATTTTTGGTTTATAACTAGCGCTACAATGGCGCTACAAAGCGGCTTGAAATTCGCATATAGCTTTGGAATTCCTCGTACTCAACATACCCATTCTATTTCACCCAGATTGAGACGTCTATGAGCGTCAAACTGTCAAATTGTTTCTTATAGAATTGAGGATTTAGCTTTTAAGTTTGATGAACTTGGGATACCTGATATATATATTGAAAACGAGTTTCCCTTGGATCACGATGTACGACATGGATGGAACGACAGCGAATGTGAAAACGATCAAAATGTGAAAGCAAAGCTATAAATTGAGAGTTCGAACTGGTGGTGAGGTGTTGGGAAATGAAGGATTTATTATGGCCTTTTTGGATAAGAAATGGTGCATTTTATAAGAACGTGAAAAGTGTACTTTTGTACGAAGATATTCTGTAAAGTGCGAATGTGTTGGCAATTTCCACACCATTTAAATAGGAAAACGAGCTGGCGAGTGTGAAAGCCGGTATTGTGCTGGTGTAGTTAGTTTCATGCTGGCTCTAATTCTGCTGACAGAAGAAATGTGAAAATACCATGTCACGTGACTACATGTGCATGTCTCCACAGAATTTGGTTTTAAGAGATCGTTGTTTTTAATTTGATTCGGAGCTCAATTCACACTGCAAGAGCGCTGTGCCATAATTGAGAAGTTCAGCGTGAACGGAAAAACAAAAATTGTTAATCATCACATCTTTTATATCACGTTAGACGAATATTAACATGTATCGAATCTCAATATATACCGTTTTCCCATTTCCCAGTTTCTTATCAAGATTCAAATACACGGAGAATTGAGGTATTCTTCAATAAATATGCTTTGATCTCGATAGATTAATTTAAGCACAGTGTTTCTAGCTTATTATAGTTTGTTCGTATAGAGTGATCATTCCCAGTCGCACTCTAATGACCACCATTTGAATCCAAATGAAATCAAGAAAAGAGGAGCTCAAAACTACGATCTCCATATAGTCACCCCATCTACCATTTCTCTTTCTTCTCTCTATCTCTTCAAAATCTACTAATTTAATACGGACGAGTCAAAACCTTCCAACATAAATGCCATATTATATTGTGGCTTTTTCGTCGATAGTGATCATCTCGTAATGGTGATGTTTTTCACTCTGGTCAGGTAGAACTTACTGATAGATCGATACGCTACGCTTGCAAGAGCTCATCACATCAAACAAGGTTACAAGGTGCTTTGATTCCAGTCATCCAACACATTCGGATACTTTTGGGTATTTCCGAGAATATTCAAGGTTTTTTGAGGACTTTCAAGGCTTTTTTTTGAGGACTTTTGATGCCAAGTGTGATAACATAGACTTCTCGTTCTTCAAAAATTGGCGGAACTTTAAACAACTCTCGATAGACTTCAGGCGCAGAATCAGCCTCGAGACATTTGAATTTTAACGTTTGATCTCAAAATCAACTCAATCGGTGTGGTTTTTGCTTCACTTTTCACAGTCCAAGCATCCAGCACTCGAAATTTGGAATTTTTTCATTTTCGAAGTCTCCAACTCCCACTACAATACTCATACTACAAGATGGCAAGGAATGATAGCCGAAAGTGGACTTTTGGCCTGATATTCCTGGGCATTGTTGTCGTCCTGTGGATTCTCTCTTCGTTTCTCATAAATCTCATTTTTGAAGACGCATCCTACAGAAAACCGTTTTTCCTCACATACATCAATACGGCGTCGTTCGTTTTCTACCTGCTTCCTACTTTCAAAGCGGTTTGTCACAACTACTGGAGGACTGGGAAATTTCAAATACATCGTGAACTCGTCATTGAAGAAGAAGGACTGCGATCATCATCAGACGAAGAGGCTCACGTGTCCCTGCGATCGCACACAGCAACCGAGCTAACAACGTCCACGTCTCCTCTGGTTCCTAAAAACAGTGATCTTACCTCCACAGACGCATTCACAGGCGCCAAACTGTCTCTGCCAGCCACGATACAGCTCAGCGCCCAATTTTGTATTCTTTGGTTTTTGGCCAATCTAGTCACCAATGCATCTTTATCCTACACTTCTGTGGCGTCTCAAACCATTCTTTCATCCACCTCGTCTTTCTTCACCCTACTGGTGGGGTCATTGTTCCACGTCGAAAGTATCAACCGCGTCAAGATTCTGGGGTCGTTGGTTTCCTTCTTAGGAATCGTGCTCGTCACTAAGTCTGACGCTAAAGATTCGGCGAATGCCGGAGAAGTGCATTCAGCGATTCCCTTTAGATTTCACGATGGCAAGTCCGATACCAACCCGGATGCGTTTGTGACTTTTTGTGGAAACCTGTTAGCTCTCTCGGGCGCTCTCTGTTACGGTCTCTACTGTACGCTTTTGAAATGGCGTATCAAGGATGAAAGCAGGGTCAACATGAAGATCTTTTTTGGGTTTGTGGGCTTACTCACCCTGGTCTTGCTATGGCCTACCATCATTTTCTTGCACGTCATGGGATGGGAGCCTTTTGAATTGCCCAAGACTCCGAGAGTTATATTTATTGTGGTTTTCAACTGTTTAATCACATTCATCAGCGACTTCTGTTGGGCCAAGGCCATGCTATTGACATCTCCCTTGACTGTTACTGTTGGTCTAAGCACGACAATTCCCTTCGCCATGATGGGCGATTTTCTTTTCAAAGAAAGACCCATGTCACTCCTTTATCTGCTAGGTGCTGTTCTCATATGCGGCAGTTTCTTCATAGTGAACAGAGATTCAGAAGCAGAAGAGGAATTCAGTCTTGAGGCAAACTAATAGGTGGTTTCCAAGCAAACTCCACGTCATTACATTGATAGAACGAATAACAACTTAATGCATTATCTATATATATGTATATGGATATAAATTTATGTTCAGGGCATCATAATCCAAATGGATAGTCAGGCTGCTTGACTTTGAAGCATTCAACAAAGTAATAAAACCCGTACGCGCCCAATGCCAGTAGAGTTAAAGTGACCGTATTGAAAAATGCAGGTGTCAGCTTCAATCGAGGCAGCAGAATCAGGAAAACGGTACACCCGCCCAACAAAATGTACATGCCCGATACGGAAAGGATTTCGATGCCAAATTGCCAACCCATACCCCCGCTGAAAAACATTATTTGCCCTTTTTGATCTCTGGCTATCAGAGGGATATTATTCATTTGTGTGAACTTGTAGCCAGTGATGGATATCAGGATGCAAGCTAACGAAAAGCACAGCGAGAAGAACGAGGCTTTATGTGATATACGGGGCAGAATCTTTTTCTTTAAAATGTAAAATGCGGTAAGGGACGCTGCAAAATAGTACAAGAACTCGTTTGCATCGAAATCCTTGGTCATTTGAATGTAAACGCCCAGAATCTTGGCCAGAAAGTCCGCGAACAAGAGTGAGTCCTTAACGGTTTCTGGGGTGAGTTTGTACTGGAAAAACTGGCTTTTTGACCAAGAAAATTCCTCATCCTGGACATGAGGTGGAAACACCAGCATATGCGGTATCGTTTTCAAGCCTATATCTTGCACAAATTGTGTGCAATGTGAAACATCCAGTTTGAAGAAAAATGCTTCTTGGTTGATTTCTTCCGTCAATTGATCTAGCATTGCATGGGAAACCTTGCGTACGCTGGTTTCAAACTCCTGGCATAAATCACAGGCTTCGCCATTGCTATTCGTTTGCGACGTGGTGACATAAACAATTGAATAAAAAGATCTCGAGCCCTGCGAAAGTGTGTGATAATTAGCGTTGTTGACTTCTATCAGTCCATCCTGGTCTCTGAACTGGATAATGTCACTCCATTCTAAACCGTAGACCACCTGGATCAGTGACACTAGCCAGACGGCTATTGAAATCCTCATCTGCTGTCCTTATAGACGTGCGATGAACTAGATTCTTGAACAGTTCTTAGAGGCCTAAATATTCTGTAAGTATAGACAGACCCTGATGAAGTTGATCAGATCATCATCGACGCTTCACAATTTACAAAATTTGGGGCGAGTTTGGCCGTGATAATTTCACGTTAGAAAGCTTGGATATCCAGTCAGTTTTGTTGGGCTCCGAGAGAGCTTTTGGTCGGTTTTTTTGGCTACGAAATGCGCCTTAAAGTTGTCAAGAAAATGCGGTTTTTAAATTATTATGAATAATTCGAGAAAATCAGTCGTCGTCCTGGGGAAACAAGACCTACTGAAGGCCAAATGAGAATTCCATGTGTTTTGAGAGAGTAATGGAACGCGGATGGCAGTTCAAGTAGCAATTGAATATGATGTAAAATCCTCGACGATACATGTTCGTGTATAGTGATGTTAAGGAAATCGTCAAGAAATGTTACTGACAAGCAATGACTCGCCATTTCTTATATCTCTGGCAGTTTGTTATCGTGTTCTTTTGAACCTTCTTGCCGATTGTGGTTCTCCCGATTTGTTCAGGGACGCTTAATTTGATAACTGACTTCTTTCTTTATTTACGTGACGCTGGAAATTAAACTGACATTTTAATGTTTTCGAAGCTCAATAGCTCAATCAGATCAACTCTTTCCAAACAAGTTCACGATCCTGGCGTCAAGACTCAACTCGAAAGTGATTCACATGGCCACAAAGGTCAATTGATCTAAACAAAACACTTTCTTTCAAGTTCCTCACATCTCGAACCACTGCTCTGGCATTCTACCTCACAAAATGAGCACTACGTTACAGCTCCTGGCAAACTACTATGAAGCGGTCTTAGAAAGCGAAAGAATCTACTATGAACACACCAGCAGTAGTCACTCGCCCAGCGAGAAATACGGGAACCACAAAGTTGAAACTGAAAATAGAGATTCGATGCTGGTCAAAGAAACGATCAGTTTACAACGTCAAATCGCACAATCAATCCATGAATGCAACATACTTAAGCAGGAGAACGAGCGTCAAAAGCAGATACACAAGACTCAAATAGCTCTTTTGGAATCCAAGCTAGAAAATGCTCGAAAAAACTCCGCCAAATCGAAAGAAGCGGCTCCAACAGAGACAACAAGCGAGAACGCCAATAAAGTGCATCTTTTGAGTCCACTGGGTAAAGAAAAACAACAATCCCGAACTGCACCTGAACCGCACAACGTAGGTAAGGCCTTGACGCGGGCTGTCAAAAACATACCCGCGGATGCAAATGGTGGACTTCGACAAGCCATAAGCAAAAATAAAGGATCCCTCTTTGATGACGATACCAACGACATTGCGGAAAACTCACACGAAGCATCTTTTCTAACTTCCGTCAAAGACAAGTTCAAGCTAGCAGATATCGTACTCCCGAAGGAAAATCATCTTCCGGCGTCCTCAAGTGACTCGGAAGACAAAAGCAGCGCTAAAAATGTTCCTCAAGATGCTCTTCCAAGCCCCAAAAGAAAACGCCGGCTAATCAAGAAAAGAATTCAAAGTGTTGACACCGATAGCGAAAACCTCTAGAAAATTATCCCGATTGGATTGCTTAAGCTATATTTTCTTACACATTCCCGATTCACAGTTTTGATCGAAGACCATTCAATCTGTATTTGACGTCTTTCAGCAATTTAGTTTGAGGATCCCATTCTTCAAACTCTCGAAACAAATCCATAATTTGTTGGCGGCCAATGTGAGAGCCGGTCTCAAACAATAGCCCCCTCATGCACCATGGCAGATGGTATGGATTCGATCCCAATTCGTCCACACGGTAGGTTTCGTATCTTACTGCTTGATCGTCAGGAGCGTCAGAAGTCTCTAGAGCAAACTTTATTCCTAGTTCATAAACTTGGCCCTCGTTATAGATCTTGGAGTGGCCACCACCGGTCAACGTACCAGCCAGAGAAGCACTGATTTCTTTTATTATTCCATGATCATCAAAACCTAGGTTGTTTAGATGATTCGCGATCCCGACAATACGTGTAATGAAATCTGGAGTTTTGGAATCTTTGTCGATGAAAGTAGCTCTGAAAATGTTAGGATGGTGTGCAAACAGACAAGTTGATGAATAAAGAGGTACCAATTGGTCGTTGATCGAGCCCACAAATGTGATCTTGACGTTGCTTGCTATAATGATCTTTAGACTTTGAATATACTTTCTCGCCAAAAAAGAATCGAAATTTTGGAACTGGAATAGCTCCCTCAAAGAATCATTTTCGATGGTAGAATAAGCTCTCACAAACAGTGTCTGGTCAACTCCGTAGAAGGGACCATTATTTACCCCCGCCATCGCCAAAATGCTGACCACTTTTTTTTTGACTGCTCCTGTCCTTAAATCTGGCTCTGGCGATACTAGATTCGTTTGGTCCAGCTGTAAAATACCTTCCTCTATCAATTTTGCCAGCAAAATAATAGATACGGGACATCCCTGCGAGTGTGCCACGAAATAAATGAAGTCTGCTTTGTTGATCTCATCAACCCATTTCTTGATGACTTGTTGAAAAAACTCTACGCGGTCCATAACCTTTCCCTCCCGTTCGAGCGCTATTTTGCTGATCTCCACAGGTACCTTCTGGTCTCGAAACCACCGAATCACTGCCTTTTCAGCCTCGGTAATAAACTTGGTAGATGTACCTGTGGGTTCGCCTATAAGCGGTCTGATCATTTTGGTGGGGAAGAAACCGTGTATACCTATTAGAAGTACCCTGACAGGCTGGTTTTCATCCGATCTCAAATCGTAGAGGGTCGTGGCTGCCTTTCTCCGGTACAAGGATTTCTGCTTCAGAGTGTTTTCGGACAGGAAATGCCATTTGCGCCCGTATCTGCCCATACTGGAATAAACTGAAGCCATAGCTGTGTGTTGAGGTAGAATTTCAAATGCAGGTGTCAGAACATTTTGCAAATGGCCTTGTTCTTCATTTTTATTCTCTAAGTTTTGCTCGGTAGCAGTCTCGTCCGTGGCCTTTTTTTTGAACAGAATTGCGTCATCTGGACCACCACCAGTTATGAGCTCATTTATGATCGGTTTTATAACACTCACACCACCATTATTCGACGGAGACTCAATCACATCTGCTGTGGCAGTGTTATCTTCGCTTTCTGCGCTTTTCCGGTTCCAAAAAGACCAAGCTCTCCTTCTGGGCTCCGAAGAACCTGCCAATGTAGCTGGTGCCGATTCTACATTATCAGCCCTTACTGCGGCGGTTTTCGTCGTCGGGCTGCTCTCCTTAGGACCCTCTGGCTGAACGGTACTGCTGTCGCCTCTTGAAAAGGCCCGCAAAGAACTTATCGATGACTTTTTCCACCATCCGGCGTCATTATTGCTAGTCTCACCCTTCAAATCTTCTGTTTCCTTGCAATCTGAGCTATCCAAGTTCTTGTTTCCGCCACGAAAACCGCCCGCAGTCTTATTCCCCCAAATTGCCCACGCTGTCGTTGTAGAGCTGCTGGTAGGTACATTCTCCAGAGGCTTTTTATTCGCATTTTCCGAGCTATCATAGCCCTGTGAACTTAGCGGATCTTCTGGTGCAACTCTAAGATCCTTCGATTTAACGGATGAATTGGTGGACGAGTTGCCACTAGATCCTGATCCCATAGGCCGATTCTTCGTCTTATTTGTCTTAAATATCCTATTCGTCTTGATTCTTAAAGGAAATCCGTAGTCTCGCCGCGAGATACGGCAAAAGCAGTTGAACTGAGCTGCTATTAGAGGCAAAATGACAGTCTAGATAACCTACAGTGTCGCAAATGATTCTATTAAGATCATATAGACTCTGATGATCACTATCTTGAACTTGAATTGAAGATTTGGTAGATGAGATGATATCAATTCTTATAAGTTAGGTCATCTCGAAATCTATAAACCACTGCTGGAAAAGTTTCAACACGTCAAAAGAACGCCAAAGTTATCCAACTTCGTAGCTTTTTAACGTCGAAAACTTGATATAAGATTATAGATTTAGATGACAGAGACTAAACGCTCGAGGACCGACGCCATTGGTGCAATTGGCGCTCCGAAGAAACAGAAAACGTTAACGGACTTTGTACGTAGACAAAAAAGTACTGCTAAAGCTCATGATGCCACATCTCCAGATACCAAGCCATCAGCAGTGGAAGAGGAGAGTATCAAGAGTAGCGGTGAGGCTAAGGAAGAAGCGGGCGGCAAAAAAAGTGTCAAAGAACAGTTTCGTGCTAAATTGTCTGATCGCGAGGTTGAATTGTTACAACTGGAACTAGATACACTTGACGAGGCGTGGTTTGCCAAACTGGAGTCCGAATTTCGCAAGAGCTATTTTCTGAAACTCAAGGAATTCGTTTGTGAACAGCAGAGGAATTTCACTGTATTCCCACCTAGTGCGGACATTTATTCGTGGAGCAGACTTTCACCATTCGATCAAGTTCGTGTGGTAATCATAGGACAAGACCCATACCACAATCACAACCAAGCCCATGGAATGGCTTTCAGTGTGCGGTCGCCCGTCCCGGCACCGCCTTCGCTCAAAAACATCTACAAGGAACTCCGCGAGAATAACTATGCCGATTTCGTGGTTGACGGAAAAGTTGGAGATCTGACTCATTGGGCAGAGCAGGGTGTGCTTCTCCTGAATACATGTCTCACGGTCAAGGCACACAGGGGATCTCTCACTCTAAGAGAGGATGGGAACAATTCACCAAACGTGTGGTTCAACTTATAATTGAAGACCGCAAACAATCCCAGCAGCCTCTGGTATTCCTTCTCTGGGGAAACAACGCATCCAATCTCGTCAAGGGTCTGCTTGGCAACGTTCCTGATAATTTTTTGGTGCTAAGTTCGGTTCACCCGTCACCTCTTTCTGCCAGTAGAGGTTTTTTTGGTAACAAACACTTCAAAATGATAAACGACTGGCTTTACGCCAAGAACTACAACATGATAGACTGGAGTGTGGTCCTAGGAAGCTCTATCAAGGAGATTGAGAATAAGAATCTGGTTCTGGACCTGTAGGTACAGCTGTGGATGTCGCAAGCGTCAGTTAGAATAAAAATGATCTGGTAGACGTCCTGGAATAAATGATGATGATCTTGACCTTCAACATGCCTCACATCATTCAAAACATCGAGCCATTTGGTATCCCGCACCCAATTGGAAGCTCAAGCTCATAGACTTCCAACCTGATGGCTCAAGAGTTCTCGTCTGCTTCAGATTCGGTGATGTCAGAAGGATCCCGAGCGTCGACCGCTGCAACTCAAACAAAGAGTGACGATGAAAGCCAGCTAAAGAAGAAACCGAGAGCAAACAAGGGCCTGCTGAATCTGCTGGATGATGCCTTCAAATACTCGGCCTACAACGAGTTTTCGATGCCCAATGGGTTTTTGAGAAAAAGAAAACGATCAGCAGAAACCCAGACTACCAAGAGTCAAGACGACCAGGGTTCGAACGCTTCTCTGAAAGATACGGTAGTGGCCAACGGAGATCAGTTAGCGAGCTCAATGAAAGAGCACGCTGCGCAAAAAGTAGTTTCGAAAGGATCCAATGGTAATTTTGATGTTCGTAAAAGTCGAAGAAAGACCGCTACTCCACCGTCGTCTGATGACAAAGTGTACCAGCAACCAAGATCTAGAGCCGCTTCGGTAACCGTGAAGGCAAAAAATTTACCCAAAGGAGCCATTCGCAAGAGTAGAAGTCCAAGCTTGAAGCCTGCGGAAAAGTCGACGCCAGCAAGGAAAACATCTGGCAAAAAATCTGTTGGCCGTCCAAAAAAGGTGGTTCAAGTCACGGATTCATTTGTGAGTGATTGGGCGACTGAGTTCACCGCGTTGCCAGAAATTTTCGACCTACAAAAGCGGTCGCAATCAACTGCTTTCGAATCGGAACTAATACATTCGTCCCAAGTCACACTCCGAAGAGACGATCAAGATAAGATTCTCAAGTTGCGGTACATTTTGTTTCCTGAATTTGAGGAAGAATTTGTGATCAATTTCTCCTCAGATCTTTCAAGGTACAATCCAATGAGCGAGGTTGGTCGGATTGTGGAGCTCACCGATCTCGTTTATTTACCCAAGAAGTACCGATCAGTAATGAAATCTAAAATCGTAGCGCCTTTGAACAAGGCGTTTGATCAAGAGAGCGAAAGCGAGTTCATTGATGTAATAAATCGGTATAACGATTTCATCAAGAACATACCCAGGGAAGAAATTATACGGCATTTAGAATCACTCGACAAAGTCCCCACCGCGTTGCTGCATAGCCTCTTGCACATGATATATGTCAGAACGATACACCCTAACGCTGGTTCTTTGAAGAAGTATCAGGCCTTTAGTAACTACGTTTACGGTGAACTTTTACCCCGCTTCCTCACAACTGCTTACAAGCAATGCGATCTCAAGCCCGACCACATATTCATGGACTTGGGCTCTGGTGTAGGAAATTGTGTTTTCCAGGCAGCCGCAGAATTCGGGTGCAAGATGAGTTTTGGCTGTGAGCTGATGCCACATGCAAGCATGTTGACTGAGGCACAGAAGAAGGAGTTTGAAAACCGGTTTCGATTATACGGGCTGAAGGTAGGACCAACCCAATTTTCGTTGAGGAAAAGCTTCATCGACAATCCGGCCGTACAAGAACTATTGCCGCGATGCGACGTTTTGTTGGTGAACAATTTTATATTCGACGCGCAACTGAATGAACTGGTTAGAAAACTGATTCAGCCGTTAAAAGTAGGCTGTAAAATCATCACATTGAAAGATTTGAGACCTTTGGGATATACGATGGATTACACCAACACAGACAACATTTTGAACCGACTGAAAGTGGAGAAGTTTGACTTGGCAGAGGATAGCGTTTCGTGGACACATCGTGGTGGAGAATACTATGTTTCAACAGTTCTACAGGATATTGACGAGTCTATTTTTCTGATGCACTCCAAAGGCCGTGTGCGGGCTAGAACGCCGATCAAGTACACAAGGTAACGGCGCACCTTCTCTCTACGCCAAGTAGCTTGCAAAAATGACAAGTTGCAGAGGGTTTGAACAAACCTCCAAAGGTTTCTGCAAAAAGAAAATACAAAGATAATACGAGTAAATACAACAACGGAGGAATAGTCCAGATGCGAGACGTCTAAAGACGCCCTAGTGTGTGTGTGTGCGTGTATAAAATCAAAGAAGAGGAAGCGCTGTGGCCATAAAAGAAAGCAATCCGGGTGGTGGAAATAAAAAATGAACTATGATAAGTACTTTCTTCTCTTTTCCCTTACTGCAAGGCGTGCTCCTGGCCGGTCAGGAGTGTGAACACGGGCGCTTGCAGCTTTTCACGGCCCTTGAGAAAGTCGAGTTCCATGAAAAACGAAAACTCCAAGATGTTGGCTCCCAATTTCTCCACTAGCTCACCTGCAGCTAAAGCAGATCCGCCTGTCGCGATGATGTCGTCCATGATCACCACGTTGGACCCCTCGGGAATTGACTCGATTTGGATATCGAACACGTCTTCACCGTACTCCTTGGTGTAAGTTGCGTGTATACACTCACCGGGTAGTTTGCCCTGTTTTCTCACAGGTACGAATCCGGCACCGATTTCCAAAGCCACTGCAGGAGCAAACAAAAACCCGCGTGCTTCCAAAGCCACGATATAGTCGATTTTGGTGTCCTTGAACTTGGTTTCGAAGTGCTCTTTGAAGGCTTTAACCATCTTTCCAAACAACTGTGGTGACCTGAAGATGGGTAGAAAATCTTCGAAAAGAATGCCCTTGCTGGGGAAGTTCGGGTACTGGTGAAGAGCTGATCTCAGCTCCTGAGCTACAGAATCCATCGACATAGTTATGAGCGCACTGCTAGTGATCCTATGAGGTCTTATTGATGAAGTTGTTGTTGAGTTGTTGTTGATATTCCAAGTTTTTCAAAATTTTCCAGCTCATCGCTCTAATATATCTGAAAAACTCACCCAAATCAGCGATGAGCTAGCTATCTGAATTGAAAAGAAGAGAGAGCTTAGACACTTGAAAGGCTGCAATTGATAGGATCAATTTGGAGAGAAGTTTTGCTTGTGGTGGGGTGGGCTATTTGGGAAAAAAACGGCTTCAAAAGCTTCACTTTTGGGCATTTTAGGACACTTTTCAGATCGCCTTTTAAAGTGTTGATAATAGTCCGAAGTTCGATTCTTTGTGATCAACAATGACTTCTAGAGCACCATATGGGGTGGTATTGAACGAACGAAGTCGACGAGAATTCGAACTTCTGAATAGTCTGTGTGCCGTGGAAAACTATGGCCACTTGTTGTCGTATCTGGAGGCCCAGCTGCGACGAGCCTGGTTGAATAAAGCTTTCGTGGTTCCACCTGCAGACGTCCTGATAGTGATTATGACTCTAGCCGTTTTACCAGATGCCGAATTGTCGGGTTCAGAGGTCAAATTGGACCCCTGCAGCGTGATCAAGGCCTCGATCGGCTCTCGTAGCTTGAAAGTCCTGGTCCAGTTTGTCGAAATTTTGCTCAAAAAGGTGCCAGATACAAGGATCGACTACAACCTCAATTTGCTACGCTGCCAATTCTTTATCGTGCTGGACCAGCTCAATTCACCTGGATCGCAGCTTTTGTTCTCCACGAGGTACAGGGACTCTCAAAAACGAAGGAAAACCAATTCGCGAATCTCTCTAGAAGATACTCCGAATTATAGTGGGACAAATGCAGAATCTTCCGGGTTCCGCAATCCTTACGGCAGTTATGTGAGCGTTTTAGAGCACAAACCTCGAGTTCTCAAAAATATCGTTTTGACTATGCTGCTGGCGCATGGCGGAGAATTTTGGAACAGCGTGATTTGGACGATTTACTGTTCTATATCTGATGACTCGCATCTTTACGAGCGGAGCAAACGATGGACACGACTTTTGTCCTTGATTTTTGACTTGTTTGAGCTACGAAACGAATACTGTACAAAATTGGGACTGGATTCCAACGCACAAGAGTCGCCAAACTACGTCAGCCCGCTACTCAATCTGTTTTGCTCTCTCAACACGAGCGACACACTTACTGCGCTTTGTGATATTCTTTTGCTAGGATTTGACTACTCGACGGCGGGTGCCGTCAGTGTTCATGCCGTTTACGATAAGGAATTTACCAAACCTGCCACGTATGTGACGCGGACGGTCGAAGATCGGTCCCTGAGGTTCATGGAGTCAATGGCGTTCCGCCACCGTCTCCTTTTATCGTTCACTAAATTAATCGACTCACTGCCAGACCACTTGCAAAGCACTTACCAAAACCTCTCCAATGCTCGATTCAACAAAACTTTGTCAAGATTTCTCAGCCGGATTGAGAATTTGTCACAGTTAAAGCACTTTTTCTGCGTTGCAAATCTGTCGGCGTTTTTGGGAACAATGCCTCACATTGCACAGGCGACCCTCAACGAATGTCTCGTTGATTTGGAACAACAGCGCGAAGTATCTCTGGTAGATAGTTTGGGCGGCGATGATACGATGATAAATGAGCTCATAGATCTGTTTGGGTCAGGATTCCCGCTTTTGGATAGAAATGACGTCCAGCCTCGAAATACCACCTACACACTGATAGAGAAATGCGACATATGTCTGCTCGTAATTTTGAGATATTGGGAATATGTTCATCAGTCAAGTCGCATAAAAACTAGGCAATCTTACCAAGATCTTCTAGAATCCGTCCATCAAAACGATCAAAGAAGAATAACATTCGCGAGAGTCATGAATTGGGAAGAAGCTCAGTTACCTCTACTTTCACCACAATTAAATAAAATGCTATAATGATCAAATACGGGCTAGCCTTCCTCCGACACTTTGAGATGCACTACCGCGTTAAGCATCTTCTTCACCGCAAGAACATGCCAAGGAACGAAGGAATTCTCAGCATCTGAAATACCAAACCACGAGTTGAGTGACGCAAGGTTCCTGAATTCTTGCAAAATAATCTTCAACAATTTTGTGCTGTCCAAGTGGGGACAATTTAATAAGTTCACTTCAAATTTGTCGAGAGCATTGCGACCGCTACTAGCCTTAAATTTCACCAGCGCCCCGGTACGGATCCCACACCTATGCTGCGAATTGGCCAGTTGCAGGGGATTTTGAAATAGAATTCCATGGATTTCATTTTGGACATTAACAATTTCGTAATTGTCTAGGTTCGTCGTGTCGATGCTTTGAGACATTTCGTCGTTCTCAAATATTGGCTTGAAAGAAGGATATAGCCTGTCTTCGTCATACAGCGTGAGCTTTGTATCGTCTCCAACGCAAACGACTGCCAGATGAAGGTTTCTTGACGTCGAGGAAAGTCTTCGCCAATGCATTAGTTCGTCGTCTGGCAGGACACTGTCAAATCTTGAAAGGACCAAACAGACCTTCGAGTAGTTCTTGGCAACCATCTTTGAAGTGTTTTGCCACATTTGACTGCATGCTTCTTCGAATGCAGAATTCGAATTCCCGATGTACCATGTTTTCACCCCACTTTCTGAGCCGCTAGAATTTGACCACGCCGCGCATATCCAATTCCGGTCTATACTTCTAGCGTACGCTAAATGCACATAGACGTCAAAGTGTAAAATTTGTCCGTTGGATTGCTGACCTACTCGAAACTCGATTTTCTTGGGGACTTCTTCTGCTATAGCGGAAAACTTCATGTTCTTCGGGGGAATGCTGTTATACACTCCAACACAAAAAGTGTAATAATCATCAACAGAGACCAGAGGATTACTCAAAAAGTCCATTGGAATGATCTTCAACATAATATTGACGTTCGGAAGTTTGGAAGTCACCTCTCTCGCGAGAAATTCAAACTTGCGTGTCATTGTCACAACATTCGAAATGTTTCTTACTGATAAAGGCAAGAAAATCATTAGCGGCACTGGCATTGTGTTGATTGTATTTGTCGAGCAATATGAGACAATTTGTGCGGAAAGCAACAGCAGCGTGTCTTTTTCAAAGTTGATGAGGTAAATCAAGCCAGGTGTATCAGCAAATGTGAGCTTCACCAACTCGCAAAAGCCTAACTCTTCACTAGAATAGGTTTGCGACATTGTTGAAAGAAAGTCTAGACAGTCGTCTTTAAGATCTGTGGTCAAAAAGAGTGCTTTGAAATTTTTAGGACCTTTGTATGGCCTTAACCGCAAATGAGGTGAAAACCATTCTGCATCTGCCTTCATCTTGATCGATTCATCCCCCTTCTTTAGCTGCACGGCGGGTTGTGGAATATATGTTATCTCTTCGATGATTTCACCACCGTTCAATCTCTCGAATTTCGAAAAGGTGTTTTCCATGGTCCTTTTGATAATTCCATCAGAACAGCCCGCAAACTTGTCATAGGTGGCGGAGTTTGCGTTCACGTCACTCAGAAGGCCACTATCAAATATTATTTGGTCAGTGAGTAGTTCCAGCAGAGTATTGATGTTCTCTTTCATTGGAAGGACAGGATTTCTGCGAAAAAAGACGTCAGGCATTGAAAACAGAGGCATGTGTCTAAGCAGAAATGGTAAACTGTTCGAGGTTTCGGGAGCAGCAGATGACCCACTGTCAAGAATCTCGCAATTCTCCTTGTGTTCCGGCCCATCAGCGATAGTATCAGATAAGTAATTTGCAATCGGAGATTTACTAGCTTTTTCAGAAAACGGTGTCACAGTTGTCAGCTTAAGCAGGTCATCGGCATCATCATTGCTGCCACCAAATTGCCCTGCCTTTGAGCCCACCACTGATGGATGACTTCTTTGTGGGCTCAAGTTTTCGAAAGCACCGTTTTTTCTATACTTCCACGTATCGGAATTACTGGAGAGCATATCTTGTGCGTCGCTTATATCGTTTTCGGACCGCTGAAGCGCTGTCGGGTCCTTAAAAACGTCAGACTGTGAAACTTCTATTGTAGATTGGGGCTGACTTTCGACTGGGAAATTTATCATTGCAGTATTTCCCTCCGCTGCTGCTGGAGCAGCGTTGATGAGATCACCATATTCTTCAATTTCACTACCAGAGTCATCATCTTCGGAACTGGAAATGTTCGCAGTAGAAACATCGAACTTGAGAGAATCTTCAACCTTCGAGCCGTCGAGAGAGAACTTTCCCCCATTCTTGTACTTGTTGTCGACATTTGATTCAATGATTGGGTTGAAATTCAGAGGGGCGAAAACACTCCTTTTACGGTCTTTCGGGGTCTCAACCGGTAGTGGAGCCCCAGGATCCGTGTACAGTGGAGTCGTCGGTAGAGTAATCTCCTCAAGCGGTATATCCAGATATTTGCGCTTGAACGGTGATTCGCCAATGTTGAAAGGCGAGGTTCCCTTTGAATGTGCTGTTTTCTCTTTTGAATGGTCGCTATCCTCTGCTAGATCAAACATCTCATCAGTGATTTCTTTTATGTGATGTCCTGCATCAAGACCAGTTGGCAGAGAGTTGATCTCATCATTATCATCATTATAATCATCGTCATCATTACCATCTCCAAATAGTTCTGCTTCTAAATCGGCGTCGTCCTCTGATTGAGGTTGCGGAGAAGGTGACTTACTATGATTAGAGGTTTTTGGTATGCCTGGATTTTCATCATTTGGCCTAACTTCCTTATCCCATGAGCCTGTAATAAGTTTATGGGGAGAGTCGCTCATATTGGTATCATCGTTCATTGAATCAACATTTTCATTAACGTTAGGGGTGGTCAAAAAGCCGAAGCTCATGTTTTCTACCGATTGTGGAGCAGATCTTGAGTTTACCGGTGTGACATTCGTAAGCGACATATTTGGAGATTGCCGGGAAGCAGTAGCGCTATTGAAAATACCGAGCGCTGCTAGGCTTCCACTTTGAGTGTGCCTATGAGAAGTGGGATACTGATCGGGATACATTCCACCTGTGCTCAATGCATTGTTGGCTGTTACAATGCCAGATCCTGGCCCCCCTGAGGTGCTTCCCGGTGTCTTGAATGCAGACGTGAGTTTCAGCTGTATAAAGTCGTCGATTAAATCGAACGTGTGTTGCAGATTGGGCTGGGGTATGAATCTTTGCTGCGCAGCAACCGGCTCGAGACAGCTTTGGGAAAAGCATAACTCCAATGGCCATATAGCAGTTTTTGTAACCTTGGGAAGATCCAAATAGCTGGCAATACATGGCGTATACCCATTCAAATGATCGAAATTTGGTGAAATCCGGACCCATGTCAGATCCGTCCTTTTTGTGAGATCAATGCCATGAGAAATCAACAGCGTTATAAGTAACACAGACGCATTGCGCGGCGCGGGTGAAATGCAGCTTTTTACGTCTGGTGATGCCAAATAAGCTCTTATTCCCGATGGTGCCAGGTATATTGCATGTGTTTTTTGATAGGATTCGGTCATCTTGGATATATCGAGGGACTGTAGTCGCATCTCTTTACTGCACACCGAGACGCATAGATCGCCGTTTTCAAAAAGCTGAGGCTCGAAATGAACTATTTTATTCGACTCGGCCTTGCTGCTTTTGAGCAAGCACGAATTGCCAAATGGAACCAGATTTTGCCTCGATTCTGCACATAGATTAATGTGAATCATTCGTCGTAGTGCTTTCAAGAACACAGCGTATGCAGTGGGCAAATTGGGTTTGGAAAGGTCCGGAGTGAAATGACCCGTCTTCTCCGGACCTGGTCCAATTCCCAGATGGTTTAGTTCCACTAGACTAGGAATTGGGTCATCATTGATGCTAAAGCACCACAGTTCACGAGAAAATAAAGATGTCAAAACCTTGGAGTCTTGTTTCCTCAGTGCTAGCTCTGCCTGAATACTCCATTGTGCATCAGCCTTGCTAGGTATATATTGAACGTAGTTAATTTGTTCGACCTTTTCCAGCCTGTAAAGACTAGTCAAAAGCTCTTCTAATCGATAAGGTAGCTCCCTATGCTCCATTTTTTGGCCAGATCCTGGTGATGGTACCCGTTTTATACTTAATTGACCTGTTGTCAGCCTGAGTGCAGGCTAGTGTGCTCCGCTTTGACCTGCAACTCTTTTTGAGTCTTTCGATGAGTTGGTTAAGTTGACGATTATTCTAATTAAAATGGTAAATCTTACATGTATTTGTATCTTCTGGGCATCGATACAAGAATCAACTCATAAGGCTCCATGACTAAGAGCCTAGATGAAGGTTCACTACTTGTTGATGATACTCTGGGACTCGGGTTGGGAGAACTAGCGCGTTACCGGATAACGATCGACCAGGATTGTGAAGATTTGGGTAATTTGGTAGAAAACTCGCAGATCTACTTGACGTTTAAAAATACGGAAAGCGCACTTTTGAGACCTATCTACTTGACAGGACCGTACTCGTTCTACGTGGACGTCCAGCCGCATAATTACAATGAGTTTGAACCCTTTGATGAAGATATACAATTCTGCGATGATGTGAAGCCTAACGACGTTTTTAGGGCAGTGCTCAAAATTAATGAAAACTCCCGTATTGGTGACTCCAATCGATACAGCTGGCAGATCAACATATCTTCACAGCTCTCGGTGACTAAATTGCCAACTTTGGGCTTCAGAGTGTGCGTGAGCACCCAAGAATTACGCGAAATGCCGCACTCTTCAACTTCGTCCGTAAAGGGCTTTTTGTGCGAGAAATGGGACACTCACCAGATATGGAATCTACCTCCCCGCTATCCGGATCTTCCTTTGCATCTTGTTATTGTCACGCATGGTATATTCTCCAACGTGGGTTGCGATATGATCTACTTGAAGGACAGAATCGAGGAAGCTGCGAAGGGCGAAAGTCGCTCCTCATTATCCAACGTGGTTGTGAGAGGCTATAGGGGCAACCAAGGACGATCTTCAAAGGGAATCAAGGCCAACGGTATACGAATGGGGAGGTTTGTGATTGAATTAGTTGACGAATTGCGGAAACAGTATGACCTGAAGTACATTTCGTTTGTGGGTCATTCTCTGGGCGGTCCCACCCAGTCAATGGCACTCAGGTACGTGTGTTTGGAACGACCCGATATTTTTGATCCCAAAGAAGGGCTAGAACCAATGCATTTTATCACCTTGGCAAGCCCGTATCTAGGGGTTGCCGGAGAAGTGCCACCTTTTGTCACATTGGCGCTGGATTTGGGTGTTTTGGGTCAGACGGGGGCAGATCTTAACCTGAGTAGAACCTTTTTCATGTCAAAAATGGGGCTAGTGAAGAAAGGTGACAATCTCGGCAAGTATAAGTTCAGGCCTTTGCTGGAAATTATTCCTTCTGATCCTGTCATATCTTTGATACAGAGGTTCAAAAATCGTACAACGTACGCAAATGTTCTTCATGATGGCATTGTCCCGCTCAGAACTGCAGCACTTCTATACCTTGACTGGAAAGGTTTAGGTGATGTCCATGGTGTAAGAAAAGGTGGAGGCAAAGAAGATACGGGGACGCCAGAATACTCTAATAAGAATGACACAACAGGTGAAATCCCTGAAGAGAAAATGGACAAGAAGTCTGCGCTGAAGTACATTCTCCCACAAGCGGCTTTGAGAAGAGGTTACAAACGATATCAAAGAACTCAGACCCGGTACCCGCGTTCCGATGAAGACAAACAAAGCGGTTCGGACGGTGAAGAAAGAATAGCCCCACCACCTAATGCCAACCCACTTATTTCTGCTGCCAACATCATTATCGCTCCGTTGCCTACCCAGGAATATCTTCGAGATCCAAAAGAAAGAGGAGACAAAATCATTCATGACAAACTATATTATCCAGACGAGCTTCCTCCACCTCATTATCGCAAGAGAGATTTGTTCAAAAAGATTATCTACCCAAATGATCGAATTTACAGGGTGCAGGAAAGAATAGCAAGGCAATGGCAAGAGACATCTACCTGGAGAAAGGTGTTGGTAAGTTTGGAGCCGGACTCCCATAATAATATCGTCGTTCGTCGCAAATTTGTGAATGCATTTGGGTGGGTCGTAGTCGACCACCTTACAAAGAATCACTTTGGCTCTGAGAGCCATTCAAAGGGCGATAAAGACAAAAACTAGCCCAAAAAATCTTCGGTATGTGAAAGATCACAATGGAAGTTTTGCAAGATTGCTCTATAATATAATATAATATAATTACATATCGCTTTGTGCCAGTGCTTCATTTGGATGTTCACTCGCTTGCGGTAAGCTCTTTTATTCATCGCTTTCATCAAGGGGATCTATCTTGAATACCTTATCCGGATTTAGCAGCCGCTTGGGATCCAGCGCCAGTTTGAGCTTCCGCATTGCCGAGATGGTGTCCTTGCCCAGTTCTGTTTCCAAAAGAGCTCTCTTGCCACTTCCAATACCGTGCTCCCCTGAACAAGTTCCCTCGTTGGCGATGGCGAGCTTGGCCATTCTGTCAACGGCTTCCTTGCAAAGCTCATACTGGTCTGGTGTGTAGAAAATATCGTAGTGAAGGTTGGCGTCACCGTGTCCCAACACCATGTGTTGCATTGGGTATTCCTTCATCATTTCGTTGAGTTCCTCCAGGGTAGATGCCAACTTGGAGAGCGGGACCGCACAGTCGGTAATCCACATTTTGGCATCAGGGCTGATTTCATTGAAGGCATAGTCGAGCATCATATAGAGAGCGTTTTTTCTTGCTGAGAACAGTTCATCTGCTTCCTCAGAAGATTTCGCAAATTCGAACATGACGCATCTGTTGGCACGCGAGATCGCTTTGACCTCTTTGATGTACTCTCCGACAACGGTTTTGTTCAGTCCTCCGATTTTTATAAACAACGTCGGCATGTTCTCGTACTTTCGTGACACTAGGTCACTGTAGTTGACACAGCGCATCATGTCAGAGTCTAAAAGCTCCACTGCGTTGAGCGGAATGCCAGTTTTGAAAAAGGATGCCATGGATTTAGTGCAATCGTTGACTGATGGAAATTGGACCACTGCTACAGTTTCAAAGGCAGGCCTGACTTGCAGTTTCACGGTGACTTCAGTCACAATGGCGAGTGTACCCTCGCTTCCAACCAGCAGTCCTGTCAAATTGTAACCTGCGCTAGATTTTCTTGGTCTGTTTTTGGTCTTGATGATTGTTCCATCGGCCAGTACAGCCTTTATAGAGATGACATTCGAGGCCATTGATCCATACCGCGTTGCACTCACTCCGGATGCGTTGGTGCTTACCATTCCACAAATATGAGCGCCAGGACCACAGTCACAGCCCAACATCAAGTTTTGCATTTCTTCGTGGCTCGATAGGTGCTGGTTGAGATCCTGCCACCCAACTCCAGCCTGGACCACTGCATCAAGGTCATCGACATTCACTTGCATGATTTTGTTCATTCTTGAAGTGTTGAGTACGATGCCTGGCCTAGTGGAGTAAGTGTGTCCTTCCAATGCAGTTCCACCAGAATACGGTACCACTGGGATGCTGTATTTGCTCACCACCTTCATGATTTCTGATACCTGTTCCGTCGAAGTAGGATAAACCACGTATTTGGGTCTTTGATGCGGCAGTGGTTTGGAAGGGTTGAATCCATTATCGGCGTGATGGTCTAGTTCAACATCCGAGTTCCTGACTGCGTTTTCTCCTAGAGTTTCTCTGATTTCTTCAATGCACTTCGTCAAATCATCGTCATTTCCATATTGAGGTGGTGCCAGGTCCTCGAGACTAGTGACAGAAGAAAGAGGGAAGGTCTGCTTTGAGTTCTCGAAATCTTTCGTTAAGTAAAGTCCCACCGACACACCAATTGCTTGAAATAAGACGGTCAACAACCCATTGCGAACAAACTTGGTTCTGCCTTTCGATTGTGCAGATGAGCTTAAGGAACTTATTGATAAAACTTGTTTTGAAGAAAGCCGACTGGAACTCAACAAAGCTCTTGTTAGAGGTCTTGACAGCATTGTTGGTGAGAGGCTGAATGCTCAATTCCAAAAGTTCATAGACTTGGAGAGCTTTCGAGTAATTGACAACCTTTCATGTTTGCTTGACGAACTATCAGTGAAGTATTCGTTATAATCTCGACAAGAAATGAAAGCCACACTTCTTTTCGGTGCTCGACGGTGACTATAATCTGATAAACCTTATCGGCGATGTGAGATCGATGTACACGATAGCTAACGGATCCGATGTCAGGATAAGTTTTGATGATGTTAGACGGAAGAGGTGTTGAGGTCGTAATTTCTGATTGTGAAACTTGAAACTTGGAACACGATTTCACAATGTGATGCCAAGTAGTGAAGAATGAACTCAGATATGAAATCGATGCAATGTAGTCACTGCACTGCGGTACTTGATACTCTTGGTAGTCTGGAGGAACATGGTTAGGTTTTGTGATCATCTAATACGAGATTTCAATTTTTCTATGTCACGTTGTAGTATAGTGACATATAGATATATTTCATGAAAAAGCTCATTTAGTAGTTAAACCTTCCCTTTACACAACAGAGCCAAGACTACAAGAAGAATCCAAAATAACGAGTATTTTGCCGTTACGAACAGGCTTTGGTTCTTTTGATTTTGAGTTCAAATCCAAGACGAATCCGGTTGCGAAAATGGCATCGAAAATGACCGAAAACTCGTCGAGTCAAGCGGAAAAATCGGATAGCCGCCCAGCTCTGAAAGAAAAGGCTACGAATTTGCCGCTGAACACAGCAAAACCCAACCCTAAAGATACCAACCAGTCAACCAGCTTCTCTCAACAGCCCAGGACTACCACGGAGGACACAATGCTGGAGCAAGCGGAACTGCCAGATCTTTTAAACACTGACAACGAACAACGCGTAAAGATAGAGGAAGTCACTACTTTAAGCCTGAAATCGCACCCCATACCATCTGAAGCCAAAAAAATGGCAAATTCAGCAAGTCCCAACGAGTCTCCCACGGTGAAGAGGGCTAAAACAAATCTAGGCTGTAAAGAAGTTGTCATGAGTTGCAGCTCGAGCTTCTTGCCGCCAATCACTGCCGTTAGAAATGATACACCGAGTAGCTCCGACTCCAAGAATGAGAAAGACATGCAAGAACTGCGGCACGACGATTCACCTTCGAAGCCAGATGCGTACCAGCCACTTTCATTAAGGCTTTATGACTCTGACCGGGCAATTGAAAGTCAGGCTTATTACGAGGGAGTTTTCCGCGAAGTTAAAGATGAAAGTGAAAGGGCCGAATGCATTGAGTTTGCGAAAATGGACCTACGTGCCTGGACCGCCAGTGGTGATCGGCTACAGCAGGAGCAACGCGACGTCTTGGCCAGGCTGGTGGAAGCCCGCATGCTTCTGAGCGCAAAGTTTGAAGTAATAACCGACCTTGTCAATGAACGTGCCTTAGCGCTTAATGAGCAAGGCTTACTGCTAGACAGAAAGCTCAAAAAAATTCAAGATTTAGGGAAGGAGATCCTAGACATAATATGACAACCAGTTAGGGAAAAAGCGTTACTTTTGAATATGAACAACCTACTTTCTCCAGTGAAGTCTTTAACAGAGGTCCACTAGTTGTCCCCATGAATCATCGATACAGAAATATAAAGTGAATTCTTCGTATTGGTGTGACGTTATCTTAACTGTACACATTTGTTGGGGGTTTGAAAAAGAGCTATACAACGTTGAATAAAACACAAATCAGCTGACGAATGCGGAGACGGAACAAAAATAAGGACCGGTCCAGCACCGCGTTCATCGCAGTTCGATAAACGCTTAGTTTCTTCTTCTGAAACGTCTCTCTCTCTGAGCAGAAACGTTGGAGACGGACAAAGGCAACTTCAAGCCCAAGTTCTTGACCAAGTCGGCGGTTTGGTTGTCGACGTTCAAGACACCCTTAGAGTGAGACAAGTCCAAAGCGGAGACAGCTGGAACGTATTGGTCCTTTCTCTCTCTTTCTTCTTCTTGAAGCTTGAAAGAGATACCTCTCACTGGACCCTTCTCGATTCTCTTCATCAAGTGGGTGGTGTAACCAGCAATCTTGTTTCTCAATCTCTTGGACTGGATGGTGGCGATCTCGTCACACATTCTCTTGTTGGTCTGGAAGTCCATGGTCAACTTTGGATAGTAACGTTCAATCAAAGCCTTGGAGGCACGCTTGACGGTCTTGGTTCTAACTCTACCCTGTTGGAAAAAAGATTTGTTAGTATTAACGTCTCTCGAACATATGGGATGGAATACCCTACGGTAATGTCAACCTCGCGGTGCCCACACTCGATGCGATAAGTACGAGAGCTCAAACGATAAGCTTGTCACGGAGTCAAGCCCTGTCGACACACCCACGCCGAGTTCAACAAGAGCTCTTACTTCCCCGCTCCATCGCACTGTTCTTCTCTTTTGCTAACTTCCACAACCAATTATTAGCAAGCATATTGGATTCGCTATTTCCTCGGTCGTCTGGCATCGCCTAGCCACGTCTTCAATATTCCCCATGGGTTCCATCCTCATTTCCGCACACCTCAACGTACCATTTTGTCTTATTGCTGGTCTTAGCTGTCTGATGTTCGATAAAACGGCAAATTCACCAACTTCAAGGTTTTTCCAGTAATTACTGATGCCAAAAGTTCCTAGTTCGTAGCCCTGTGTGGACTGGAAACCCGTGAGCATCTCGCCAGGTGGGACCAGTCTGGACAATCCTAGGCGGAGGCCTTCCAGAGCTAGGCTCGCCTTCCTACCACGGCTGGGAGGACGGAGTAAGCAGCTAGGCAGAGAATGGCTCCAGCCCGGGTGTTGCCAGCCTAGAGATTCTGCTGGCGGGAGATGGGGTCGGAGCGCGATGAATTACGAGCCAGCTGGTTTTAACAATCTAAGCGACGCAACTTTTTTTTCAGATTTGAGAAATTTCAGAAAGTTTTTCAAATTTCAGAAAATGTACGGGTGGAAACTTGCCATGTGAGGACTGCGATCATAAAATGAGTTCTTGGCATATGCTCAAGAACCATCGTGAGAAAGAATTCCAGCAGTTGTTAGGGTACAAGACGCAAACAATGGCATGCGTATTGTGAGGGGAGAGATGGGTGTTGTGAACTAGTGGTTGAATTTCCAATATCGCGGACTAATTTGCGCCATTCTCGAAAAAGTGGAATACAAATTAAACAAGCTTTGATTTACAAGATTGCTTATGAGGCATACGACTAACTTCATTGAGAGAAATGGCTTGGGGAAACCGGGAATCGCGTCCGTAATAAAGTCTCCCACCCAAAAACTGATTGCCTTTCAGAGAGACTTATGGTGATTTACCTGTTCTCGATTGTGATCGACAACATGAAAGATCCTTCAAGGCGAACTGAGCTATTAACTTCGCAAGTCCATAAAGCTCCTGTGAACTTAACGAACTCCCAGAAGAGATTATTTGGCTTTGACACCTTCGACCTTTTGAACGATCCATTTGATAGTTCTGATCAGTGAAGTCGTGGAAAATGATGTTGTCAAACTTATACGTAAATGAAAGTTGACATACTCAAGAAGTCGAATTGTAAAGGTGAAATAACAAGAATCCGTATTTTGGTGAAGTCTTGCTGTGAGATTTGGGATTCTTTTACTGCCTCATCTTTTCAAAACGAGCGGATTGCCACTAAACGCTTTTTTGGTCCGGGTTCAGACGCCTTACTGGTGTTTTTATTACTTTTTTTTGAAGTCATCAACACTCCGGCAGTCTTGCATTAAAGCGCACTGAAATCTAGCTATTTCTCATTCCCTTATGTCCAATAAATTTCATTGCGATATATGCTCTGCTGATTGCACCAATAGGGTCAGGATATCGTGCGCGGAATGTCCAGAATACGATCTGTGTGTGCCGTGTTTCTCGCAGGGCTCGTACAGTGGTAACCATAGACCTAGCCATGACTACAAAATCATAGAAACAAACTCTTACCCAATCTTGTCCGCAGATTGGGGTGCAGACGAAGAAGTGGCGCTTATAAAGGGGTCACAGACTTTGGGACTGGGAAACTGGCAGGATGTCGCCGATCATATCGGTAGTAGGTCGAAGGAGGAAGTGGAGGAGCATTACATTAATTATTATTTGAACAGCCCGCACTACCCCATACCAGATATTGACAAGACTGTTGATATCACGCAAGAACAGTTTCTATCCAACCGTAGACAAAGGATCGAGAGATTCCGTGAGCAGCCGTTGGAGCCTCCACGCAAACCAATGGCCTCGGTGCCCAGCTGCCACGAAGTACAGGGATTCATGCCAGGTAGATTGGAGTTTGAAAGTGAATTCGAAAATGAGGCAGAGGGCCCAGTCAAGGATATGGTTTTTGAACCTGACGATCAACCTCTTGATATCGAGGTTAAACTTGTGATCCTGGACATTTACAATTCCAGACTCACGACTCGGGCTGAAAAGAAACGCCTTCTTTTCGAAAATGGGCTAATGGAGTACCGGAAACTCCAGGGTATTGATAAGAAAAGAAGCAAAGAAGCAAAAGAGCTTTACAACAACTTGAAAGCATACGCAAGCATAATGACGCCTTCAGACTTCGAAGAGTTTACTAGAGACATGTTGGAAGAACTCCGATGCCGGTCAAGGATTCACCAGCTACAGGAATGGCGCAGTAATGGTATTACTACGCTCGAGGCGGGTCTAAAGTATGAACGTGACAAGCAAGCCCGTATAATGACTTTAGAAAGATTTGGAGGTGTCCACAACACAAGTGGTAACGGTAATGGTCGTTATAGAGCTGCTTCTACTCAGCGGCCAAATACGGATTACAGTCAAAACAACAACGAACAAAGTCATCGTAAAAAGACTCTCACTATTAGTGACATTCAACATGGCGCTGATTATGGTTTACTGTCCGCAGAGGAACAACAACTTTGCATGCAACTCAAAATTCTCCCCAAGCCCTTCTTGGCGATTAAAGAAGTGATGTTTAGAGAACTACTCAGAGGAGGAGGAAATTTGACTAAGAAGACTTGCAGAGACTTACTCAACATCGATCCGGCCAAAGCTAACCGGATTCACGACTTTTTCCGTTCTCAACATTGGCTATGAGCACAAGCATGCGTTACCACGGGATATACACCGTTGGCAATAAAAACCTGACATTCAAATTCGATATTTACATTCAGCATATATCATCTACAGCTTTTTAATGATAGCATTTATGATCTTGTATCTTGGATCCTGGTCCTGGTCCAGCTTTGCCAGTATGTGTTCTTGGAGGTATTCAACGAATGATGCTCTAATCTCTTTTGCGATGTTCTCGCTAACCTTCCCCTTGTATGCAGTGTATTTGTTGACGGATAGCTGTAGCTGATCAACATCCAATTGAGACATGCTCATGAACCTTATGTTCAAGGTGATCTCCAAAACCAGGAGCTTGACGTAGATGTCTGGTAGCTCTTGAGCCAGCTCAACGTCATGTTTATTGTTTTTCCAGAATTGTATGATGTGGTTTATCAAATAATCCCGTTTGAGATCTGAGAACTCACCAAACAAATTGATGTAGCTCAAAGATTCCTTAAAAAGTTTGCTGACCATTGCGATGCTCAGATCATGGTCTGGTTTTGAATCAGTGACTGCATAGTAACCTCTATGTGTGTTCAAAAAGCTTTGTCCCAATTTCTCCATGGCGAAATCAAAAATTGTCAATGCTATATCGCCACGCAGGGCAGGGTTGGTCTCTTCAGTTCCTAACATGTCCATGTCCGCCTCTGGAAGCTCATTTAGTTTGTCCTTCATGCTGTCGCCTGTCGAAGGACCGGAGAATTCAAAGTCGTCAGGGCCCTCGTCTTGTTCGACTTCCGAGCCTTTGCCTGCTCGTTGTTCAGCTTCGTTTTGCTGACTTTGCATATCCAGCTGCTGTTCACGCTCATTGATCAGTCCCATGACTTTACGTCTGTTGATCAGTTTGGTGATGAAGTTGAGCTCGAACTTAACATACTCGTACCAAAGCGTTGCGGAATCTGGGTTGAAACGCAGCCCAGTTTGAAACACTGTTCTGCAGCTTTTGAAATTGGCATGAGTTTCGTATTCGTACTTGGCGCAGCTCACCCATATATCAATATTCGTTGGGTGTAGCCTCAGCAGCTGGCTGTAAACGCTGTGAATTTTGCGGTATGAGGTTTTATGGCCCTGGGTCTTTAGATAATTCAGGTATAATGACCAAAATTTCAGTTCTTTGGGGAACTTATTGCATCCTCTTTGAAAGATAAACTGAACTCGCTGCGGAATGGACCAATCCGATATGCTGTTGGGTTTTGATCCTTCAAGTATTCTCTCAACACGTTTTCGACGCAGTTTTTCCACGTTGAGTTCGAATTCGATGTATTTCTCGTAATCTTCGATCCGAGAGCCTCTTGAGTTAAGTCTGTGTTCGAAGTCTGTTCTTTTTTTCATGATACTGGTGACCTCCTTCTTGGTGAACAGACCCTTATCCACTAGATCATCAATTTCCGGGATAGCTTGTTCTAGGTAGTACCTAGCTTTAGAAGACATAGTGAATTCAAATTTTTCCCGTGCAGTAGCAGAGTGTGGCGAATGTCAGATGTTGGCAAGCGAGCTTGTGTCGGTGATAGACTCCTTCACACTGGATTAACTGCTGTGCGATGAGCTTCGATGAGCTGCGATGAGCTATACTCGAAAATTTTGAATAATTAATGAAATTTTCCAAATCTTCCAAGAGTCACGTGACTTAAAGATTTAAAATTAATTAATTGATTAATTTATTGATCAGAATTGTTCAAATATGGGTTATCTAGATAGAGAAAGACACTGATCTTCTTCATTAAAAGATATCAAATACAAGACCTCGACCATACTCCTGCATTTATATCATTGGAAAATTGAAGCTTTTTTGCTTTGTGAAATCTCGAAATTTTCTCAATTCTTTACGTCTGTATCACTATAGACGGTCCTCTTAACTATTATAGCCAAAAATTTTAATAATTGAAAGAGTTACCAGATCGCGAACCAGATAAACCACGACTGTGAAACTAGGGCACCATAGCTACGGGTTTAGCTCATTGTCTCAACCACTATGTTTTCATTTGGTAGCAAGAGACAGCTGTTGAGAGTATGTGTCTTTTTGTCCGGTCTGCAATTTCGAAATGGAGACCATTTCCTTTTGTATTTAATACAATACTAACGTTTTCCGACTTTTTCTCCCGCAGAGCTTTCAAAACATTAGACTGCAGTCTACGGCGGCAAGCAACAAGGATCTGGCAAATGCGGCACTTCCTCCGCTGTTTACGCTCGCAACCTTGAGATCTTTCCCCTCTCTGGAGCCTTTGACGTTCGTACCTGTACCTGCGTCAGTTTTCGATGCTCCCCTAAGAAGAGATCTTCTGTGGAAAGCCGTGGTGTACGAAAACGACAACAAACGTGTTGGTTCATCCAATCCTCCCAGCAGAAGCGAGAACGGATACTCCAGAAGAAAACTTCTGCCCCAAAAAGGTTCCGGTAAGGCCAGAGCCGGTGATGCCAATTCTCCTACCAGACACAACGGTGCCAGAGCGCTGGCCAGATCGGCCCCCAACGATTACACCACCAAGCTGCCGCAAAAAGTTTACTCACAAGCACTGCTAAACGCTTTGAGCTATCAGTACCGTCGCGGCAACGTGCACGTGATCGGAGGCACCGGCGCTCTATGCGAAACTGCGCAGCACGATCTCAACGAACTAGACGTTTTGCCCACGTCAATACAGGAAGACGACGGAGAGCTGGTTTTTGAGAAGTTCCTACATACCCACGGCATGGCCGGTGAAAATCTGTTGTTTATCATTGACGCCCCCAGACCTGGGTTGTTCCGGTACTCCGAGCCAGTCAAAGACGATATTAACATTGTGCAAAAGGAATTCGTCGACGTGAACGATATTTTAAAGGCCCGCCGCGTATTTGTAGAGCTGGAGGCTCTTGAATACCTGGCCGTAACGCACACCGTATAAAATTGCATCTACACTTGTATATAGGGAAAAGCGGTGACTCGATGTGGAGGTAGGCATTGGAGCCTTCTTCTGCTAGGCATTAAAGTTAAAAATATAGCTGTTTCGCTGAAATCTATAAACACACCATCACCACCACCACTACTACTACTTGACGACAGAAAGAAGACCAAGACTTTAAAATTCATGAAACGTGGAACTATTTTCTCGTGTGGTCTCAAAAAACATTTACTATTCATTCGTACTACTGCAATCACCATAACCATCGAACCCACAATCCACTTCCCAGTCTCCTAGCTGTCCTGTCCTGTCTTGTCTTGTCTTAGCAGTCTGTCATCGATGTCTTGTGACAGCTAATTGTCATTTGACTGCTTTTTCATTAACACCCATACATCCTTTCTAGTACTTCACGAAAAAGTTTGATTTTTTAGCGTCCGAAAACATTAGCTGACTCAACACACAATGCTGCTGGTAGTACTCCGTCTAGCCATCGTAGAACATCTTGCTACAGGCTAGGCAGGGCTCCCTCTGGAATCCTGCCTGGTCCGCCCGCACTCACTACCAGCTCCGCCTAGCTCTCCTCCCAGCTGTCCGCCTAGCTTTCCGCCTAGCGTCTCACTGTTCCCAGTTGAGGTGACGCCTCCATGGCACGAACATCGAATCTCCAGGCCTGTAGCACGGAACTGGAACTTTTTGTCAAAAGTTAAGCGGTGTTGAATCAACAGGTTCAACGATAATACAGGAATAGAATCCACGTATAGCGGTAAAGATGTCTCTAGTGATCCAAGAACAAGGTTCCTTCCAACACATTTTGCGGTATGTGAACTACGACGCGCGGTTTCGCAACACCTGAGTGCGAACAACGAGTGGAAAGAGCCGATTGAAAGAAGAAGATGGCAGTTTTTAAGGACTTATATTTCGAGAAACCAAGAGAGAAAGAGAGGGTCAGAATGAACCACATTGAGCTCTGAGATGAGTTGAGAAAGTTGACCAGATAAATTCGAATTACAGGGCGTTTTGGCTGTGAATTCCGGCCCCTCAACTTGTTAAGTTTGGCTCTCTTAAGATACGCGGATTATTTGGTTTACATGAATGTTTCAATTGCATGGTTCTTTCCACCTTGACAGCTTTTTTCGTCCCCATACTAACTATTTGTGCAGTTTGTTGAACACTAACGTTGATGGTAACATCAAGATCGTGTACGCGTTGACCACCATTCGTGGTGTCGGTCGTCGTTACGCTAACTTGGTTTGCAAGAAGGCCGATGTCAGCTTGCAAAAGAGAGCTGGTGAATTGACCCAGGAAGAATTGGAGAGAATTGTCCAGATCATGCAGAACCCTACCCAATACAAAGTCCCAGCCTGGTTCTTGAACCGTCAAAAGGACGTCAACGACGGTAAGGACTACCACAACTTGGCTAACAACTTGGAATCCAAGTTGAGAGACGATTTGGAAAGATTGAAGAAGATCAGAGCCCACCGTGGTATCAGACACTTCTGGGGTTTGCGTGTTAGAGGTCAACACACCAAGACCACCGGTAGAAAGAGAGCTTAAATCTCATCCATACATACGTTTTTTGCAAATGTGTTGAAGCCCGAATATTTGATTGTATTTTAAGAGATCAATAACTGTGTTAACCTAGTTTTTTCAAGCTAAACCCTGGGACTGGAAGTACGACTCTTGGTGTCGTTACTTTACAAGAAGAGTCTCTCGTAATCCAGAAAACATATGGCTACGTATCTTGATATCTTGAAGGCCCGCGTTTAGGGCACTGTGTCACAAGCAAAGCCCGCTTATACATGTATTTCACAACTCAATCCTGAAGAAAATACTCAAAACTCCTAGCACAAGTATGTACAACCTATTTCATTACAATACAACCTTCAATTTCTGATGGCATTTATGTCCAAACTTCGTAGGGGCGTTGTGTTGAGATTGTGTGCAAGCCCTTTGGTGCCCTTGGGCGACCTCTGATTGTGACCGTTGATCAGTTTGTTAACTCGGTTGTTTGGAGACGTCTTTATCGGTGTCATTGTCTTGTTGTCAGTCTTCAAACGGAACGTCAGCGCCTGTCCACGTTTCGTTTGTTGGCTAGTGTAAATAGACTGCTTTGTAGGAGTAGAATCTCCATGTGGAGTCACAGTGTCCAGCACTATGTTGGAAGTGTCCAAGATTGCCAGAGGAGGAGTCTTAGGGTTGCCAGTAAGTGCAGAAGATGAAGAAGTTCTAACGCTTACGGGAGTGAATGAATTGGCGATGAGTGGAGACTGAGGTTCTGCAGATTCGTCACCGTCTGTAGTGTGGCCGCTGCTGTTGGCAGCAGCACCGTTCTTCTCATGTCTCTTGACACTTTGACGCTTGTTTTGGAACCAGATCTGGATTGCCTTTTCGGACATCGAGCACGACTCCGAGAGTTGAAGACGTGTCTGTTTATCTGGGGTTGCACACCGCTCAAATTCGGATTGTAGGATGTTTAGCTCGCGCTTGGACGTCCTGCGTCTCTTGCGTCTTGCCAATGGGGCGTTATCGATGGATGGCTCCTTGGAAGGAAACGTTTCTTGAGAATGCGATATAAATGCAAACGCCTTTCGGCTATCAGGTTGTGGAGTTTTGGCTAGTGAGCTTGGTGTTGCCATGCGTTGTGGTGCTGGTGAGTTTTCAATTGATCCACAACACGATTGAGCTCTTTTAACAGTACTTACAGGTGTGGCAAGTATCTGAGGTGATGCAGACCGTTGTAATGGTGCCAATTGCAAAGGTGGAAGCGTAATAACGCCGCCTACGTTTGCTGTGAAAGATCCAGGTCTAATTGGAGCCAACGGGCGGAGCGATGGTGAGCAAGGCTCAGAAATCGACCGTTTACTATTTGGATCGTATTGTTGTAATAGTGTGTTAATACGTGGTAGCATTCTAATGAACTTTATTGGGCTAACTATCCTATTGATCGCACTACATAATACAAAGCAGATCAGTGTGTAACCACTGTTCATCGCTACGTCTACACATATATAGCTTGCTTGGCACAGTGTCAACATCAAGCGTCCCAATTGTCTGTCACCGACCAAAACACGATTTTAACGTGGTTCTTTCAAAGGAACATGCAGATAGGTCGTGGCATTGCCGTTTCTGGCCAAACACCATCGATATCAACTGAAATTTACACACTAATAGGCTATATCGCTACTAAAAAGAGCTTAACTACATAGACGAGACCCAGGGTTCCGTGGTCGCGTTGCGAGTAGAGATGTGTGTATGTTATTCTAATTTGGCAATTAATGCATGCTCGAGGAAATAGGAATTTTTCGCGTCGACGCGTTCAACAGCCGGACGCGCAGAGAATGAGAAAAAATCACGACCGAACAGGACGAGCCAGACCGTTTGGGAAACGTTGGCGTTAGGAAAGTGGTGAGAAACGGCTGTAGGAAGCCTTGGCTGAAGAGGTTTGGTGGGTGATGTTGAGTCGGGTTGGAGCACTTTGTACGGATGTGTCGCTTGAGGTATGGATATAATAGTAAACAAAACGGTTTCGTTGGCGATTTAGTGGTGATTTGCTGTGGGTCGCGTTTAGCAGGCTGGAGTTAGGAACATTGGTTTCAGGGTGGAGGTTTTGGTTAATTGTGGGTGTTAAGGAAGTCACGCTAGCTGTAAAATGGATGTAAAATTACGGATTGGGCGTGAGTTACGGATTTGGCGTGAGGTTTGATCAGAGGATGTTCTTTTTTCAATGCCAGAAAAAATTGTAGAGACATCTGTTGAACTACCCATCGTGGCAGAATAATGGAGTTTAGTTTGAATGTGTGGTGATTGTAAGCACGTGACTTTAGAGAACGACAATTTGGCACAATATAACAGCATATTACCATAAAACAAGCCACATTGGCAGCTCCACTCTGCAGCAGTATGTTTAGTAAAGAATCTTTGATTTCGTAGCATTCCCCATACAGTTCTTAACTAAAGTCATATCACTTTTATCCACGCCGTCACTGGATTTATAACTCACGCACGAACGGGTCCTCTATGATTTTGATCTCTTTCTACTAAATGACCCACTCTTTCGAATACCTATACCTTGCTCCTCATTCAAACCCGCTCAAACATTGTCATCAAAAACACTCTCCTCCATGCCGTGTCGGTGTAGTACAAAGTGATCTCGACTGCAAAAAGTATATCCTCTCTCATAACATTACAACCAAATGTGTCGTTACCATGCGAATTTCTCAAAGTATTTTCTGACCAGCTTTCTAATTTGTGACTCAAAAACCCTCCGCTGCTCCTCCGCTGCTCTTCAGAACAATTTTCAGCTCTCTCTGCAATATTGAAAAACCAATTTTTCCGGACAGAAAATAACACCCACAGATACACCTCGGGATCTCCAGAATCCCAAACTCGACACACACTAATCTAAAATCTCCATCTAGCACCCTCCACTTCTTTCCAACTTCCAAAATTATTTCAAATAGTACATCCCGACCATGTGACCTCAATAAATTATGCCCTTCCCAAATTTACTTGAATTAATGTAATATTAAATTCAAGATATCTCAACTGGCTACTTCACTCTTTTCATCCCGCATTGGACGCATCCAGTCCTTTTGTGAACCTGGACAATCACTTTTGCTCGGCAAACTGGGCTGAGATTATAGGGAGAATTTGTGGCCGCAAAAGAAACCATTCTCGAGTGTTTTCTCTTCAACTAATATGTCTGAAAAACTCACCACACATGAAAGTCTTCGACAAAAACCTCGTGGGAATCTGGCACTCAAGCTGTTGACTAGTCTTCCAGTTATACTACTACTGGTGTACGTCTTTTTTCATCACGACAACTCGCAGTCGTGGCTCACAGTTTTTGACCCCGCGTGTAAACGTACGAGTAATGGAATTTCGGTAGAAAATGCTGCTCAAACTGCTACTGTAGATCAATTGGCAGCATTGGGACTCGACACAGAATCTGAGGTCAAAATTATACGGCTTTCTGGCGGCAAAACGAAAACTCTCCATGGAAGATTTCTACACATTACCGATATCCATCCTGATCCTCTATACCACACAGGAACTTCAGCAGGAGAAGTTTGCCATAGGGGGGAGCCTAAAGATGATTCAGATACCGCAGCTCGTTTTGGAGTGGCCATGAATGGATGCGACAGCTCGATGGATCTCATGAATTACACTCTCAACTGGATAGAAAAGAATCTGCGGGACAAAATCGATTTCGTAGTATGGACAGGCGACAATATCAGACATGACAATGACCGTCGTCATCCAAGAACTGAGTCCCAGATTTTTGATCTTAACGCTAAGATGGCTTCCAGATTTGAAGACATGTTTCGCAAAAAGGATAGCATAGACCCTAGGGATTTCGACGTGAACGTCATCCCCAGTTTAGGAAACAACGACGTTTTTCCACATAACTTGTTTTCTCTGGGACCCACACTACAAACTCGGGAGGTCAACAGCATGTGGTCGAACTTTATACCGCAGGAACAACAGCGATCTTTTGATAGAAGCACGTCCTATTTCGTAGAGGTAATTCCTGGGAAATTGGCCATTTTATCGATCGAGACACTATACCTCTACAAGGCAAATCCATTAGTCGATACATGCGACTCCAAAAAAGAACCCGGCTACCAGCTTCTCCTTTGGTTGGGCTACGTTCTTGAAGAACTGCGGAGCAGAAATATGAAAGTCTGGTTGTCGGGCCATGTACCGCCCTTACCTAAAAACTACGATGGCAATTGTTTTCACAAATTCACACTTTGGACCAACGAATATCGCGACGTTATCATCGGAGGAATATACGGACACATGAATATCGACCATTTTGTACCTCTAGATGCCAAGAAATCATGGAAGGCTATTGAAAAGGCTGGTGGAAAGTCCTTTGAAGTGAATTTCGAAAATCTGGATGACGGATACGAATTTGACGACGTACTAGATGGTGCGGTCGAAGCAAGTGATGCCAGGGCCATGGGCGCTAAGCCTGTCAATAAGGTTGCATACATTGACGGCGTACGGGAAACTTACTACGAAAAGATTGCTTCAAAGGCAAGCAGTTTGTTTTCTGTCGAAAGAAAGAGAAAAAAGAATAGCAAGAAGCACAAGAATAGGGATAAGAGTAAGGACCATTACAAGGGCAAAATAGATCGCTACAGTATTGTTAATGTTGCTGGATCTGTCATACCAACGTTCAACCCTTCATTTCGGGTTTGGGAATACAACACTAGCGGATTGGGAACTGATTATTCTGTGAACGGTATGCCGACGCAAGACTGGCAAAAATTCTTTGATAACCTCGAGGTTCAAATCCAGCGTGATTTGGAAGACAAACCGAGCATATTAGATCGGGTCAACACGTTGTGGCGCAACAGCAACAGTAAAGTGGATAAAACGATTCCTTCGCGAATGCCCGCTGATTTGCCTCTAGGACCTGCATACGTGCCTCAATTGTTCACACCAACACGATTTGTTCAGTACTACGCAGATCTCGAGGCCATTGAGCACAAATACCAGAAAGAAATCTCAAAGGGAGCCAGTGAGGAAGACGCCGCGGCAGCGGCGTTCTCGTTTGAAGTGGAATACACTTCCGACGACGCTCCGTACCCGATGAAGTCACTGTTGACCAGAGATTATCTGGATCTGGCGGTGAAACTCGCTAACGACGAGAAGGTATGGTCCAAATTCAAAGAGCGTGCGTTCGTGTCAACGGGTTACGACGATTAATACAGACGGAAGGTCAGAGCAGAAACTAAGATGTGTACAATAAACTAATATCAATTCGTGTGTGTCAATTTATTTTTCTATAATCATCAAAAAAGCATACTTGATAGACCTGAGCGGACTCTCTCGCTACTACTATTTACGGGCCCTGTCAGAACATTTATTTGTTGGCGCTGCTGAAGTACTCCTTGGAAGCGTCAACTTCAGGCTTGATGGTGGCAGAGCCTGGGGTCCAGTTGCATGGCAAAACGGTACCGTTCTTGTCAGTCCATTGGAAGGCCTCGACCAATCTTAGAGCTTCCTCAACGTTTCTACCGACTGGCAAGTCGTTGATGGTGATGTGTCTCACAATACCCTTAGGGTCGATCAAGAACAAACCTCTGAGGGCAACACCGGCTTCCTCGATAAGAACACCGTAGTCCTTGGCCAAAGAGTGGTTGGTGTCGGCAACCAATGGGATATCGACTGGGCCTAGACCACCGTCCTTTCTGGCCACGTTGGTCCAGGCAAGAAGGGAGTATTCAGAGTCGGTGGAAGCGAACAAGACCTGGGCACCGATGTCCTTGAATTTCTTGGCAGCGTCAGAGAAGGCCACAATCTCGGTTGGGCACACAAAAGTGAACGCTAGAGGAATGAAAGCCAAAACGACGTACTGGCCCTTGTATTTGTCCAAAGAGACTTCGTCGAACACACCGTCAACGACGGCGGTTTTGTTGAAAGCTGGGGCTGGTTTTTGAACTTGGGCGACCATTGTGATGAGCTGTTGCTGCTTTAAAGTGCAATTGAGTTGTAGAAAGTGTTGTTTCTGGAGATATAAGCGAAACAAACTGGATTAGAGAGACACTTTTGGATATTGAAAATCCATGGCCCTTTTATACTTTTTTTCTAAGGGTTCCAATTTGAAGATCCAGATTTGAAGTATTAGTAAAACGATAAATCGGAGCACGTGAAAATTTGTTATCACGTGACTCCAAAATTGGTGAGACATTGACATTTTTTTTTCAAAATCAAAGAGTTTAAAACAGAGGGAACTAGGTTGATGCTGCTAGCTCGATTTTAATTGCAATCGGTGAAGTTTTCTGTTATGTTTTTATTCTAGTTAAGGTTCGTTACAGTGTTGGCATCACCAATGACGATGGGGGACAAAGTGATAATTTGAGGTCTGTGTGTCATTTAAGTACAAAGTGATCTTGGGATTGATAAGCTTCCAGGACAGCAGTTCTGGAACTGATGGATTGGTAAAGGTAGTTCGAGAAAACTCACTATTTGTAAGGAAATAGTATTTCCAAATATGGTCTCTGAGCGAGACGTAAATCGATTCTTTCGGTATTTGATAATATATGAATTCTAGACCAGAAATAGTGGGCAGCGAGAATGAAAACAAAAAAAATGACATAATATAGTTCATCAAATGTGGTTGGCATCAGGAACGTCAAGATAACTTGGTTGTTGAAGATCTCTACTAGAGTTCTTGTTATCTCCATACACACACACACACACACACACACACACACACACACACACACTTTCGCCTTTAAAACATTATCATTAATTATGTGACGTTGGTCACATGACCTTAAAGGTCGGTAAAAAACCATGTTAGCGCGCAGACCATCGGTAAAGAAAGGCAGGGAAAACGGTTTACTTTCACAATGTCTTTAATCTCTTTCCTAGTCCTCATTCCCGTTTATATCCCAGTCCCGTTTCCCGACGTCTTCCAAAAACAAACAACAAAAAAAAAAAAAACCGGAAACATCGTCTCATGTCGTTCTACAGCTCTCAGTCCTGATGATCTCTTGCTGTAGAGATCGTACTTGCCTCTGGTATAGCTTGCCGTTGGAACCGAGGTACCAGAACCAAAACTGAAAGCACCGTCAGTTTCAAAACATCTCCAATTGCGCGCCCCACCAATTGCCAGCCCCGCACCGGCCGTCCTGCCATGGGCACTAGTCTCCGAATCAAGCCACCGTTATAAATGTAATCCATCATGCGTGACAATAATCGGAATAAGCTCTTATGCCACGGCAAACTGGACTTTTGGTAAGCAAATTTCCGCAACTCCTTCAGAACTTGTTTACTTGCCGCATCTAGTTCTGTAGGATTTCTTGCATGCTCCACGGCATCTTTCACAAGTGGCTCAAAAAGCTCATGAAGACTCGACAGATCAACTTCATCATGTTGCGTAGAGGTACATTCTTCCAATAGCCTTGCTAAAAAGAGTATCGATGCATCAGTATGGTCCAGCTTAAAATCGTTTGCCAAGTCTAGTTTCAGCTGGTTGTTTGCACTCAACTGTCGAATCAAGACGCCTACCACGGGCCCGGTGGACGCAAATCGATGGTAGAAAGCTCTGGTCAGTTGACGATCTCTATAAGCATCAGTCACAAGCTTGAGCTCCTCCTCACTAACAGCACCCTCTTCGGCCCCTGATAAAAGCTCCCGCCACATCTCTCCAATCTCAGGCGTACTCCATATGGCCTTTCCGACAATTAGTGCCATGCTCAAAATCAAATGCCTCTTTTTCAAAACAGAAATGAACTGAAAGAGTATCACAAAGAAAAACACGGAGTTTCTCAATATCAAATAGATTGTTCTCATGATAGTTTGTATCCATTGGCGCAAACGCGCCACTCTCCCCACTTCTTCGACCTCCGCAATACCTGTCTGATTGATCTGCTCAGTAGCCTGCTCAATATGAGAAGTATGGGTGTCAAAACTGTTTGTAAAGAGTTCTTCAGCCGCCGAATATTGCACCTCAATACCAAACTTGCTGGATATTTTTGAAAGCGCATTATGTGACAATAAAATTGCTCCGCGCAATTCTACAAAGTCCTCAGGTAAGAGCTGTAGTTTTTGACCTTCGAGCTCGATAAAGGTCTGCGTAGGCTCGAAAAATCCAGATTGCACGAAGCTTTCTTGCCCTGATACCAAAACTTTCTCGAAATACTGGCCTGTTCGCTTGATTTCGGCTCCTGTTTCAGTGAAGAACTCCTGTGGTAATGAGGAAAAAGACGAAACTTCGTGAACTGGTCTAGGTTCGGAACGTTCTTGTGGTGCTGTTACTGAAGGCACCACTCGTTCGTTCCTTGCCGTCCTGGGCATAAAAGAGAACCGGTCCCTACTGCTCAAAAGTTCGTTCCAAAATCCAGGCCCAGGCTCCGTGTACTCTTGGTTGATTTCAACATGGATTTTCACATCTTCGCGCTCATGAATATAGTCCAATGCTTTTGTTGGATGGCCCGAAGAAGTGTCATCGGAAAGTAAGTGGCCCTTGTATATGAGTTTGACGTCTTCACGCGTAAGCCGTAGGGTGTGTCCATAAACTAAACAGATGAAGTCTTTTATGTCCTGAACCGTGCTATCGGCGTTGATGTTCATGCTGTCCATAGTGAGTTGGGCGTCCGAGATGAATCGTATTGCGACCTGATCCTGCGGTCCTGGCTTTTGCTGAAGCTGGAACATAAAATGGTAGCTGGTACGAGTATCAGGTGCATAATCTACACCAAGCAAGTCACCTAATTCCATGCTGCAATTTGAATTGTCGATGGCTAAAAAAGTATGCTTACTACTATCTTCTTTCGCCTCAAATCCAATCATATTTTGTATTGAAACTTGTCCATCCGTCCATATATTATTGGAAATCGAAGCCCGATGGCTCTTTAAAATGCTTTTTGTGAGTTCTTGAATCTGTGCCAACGTTGAAGTCCATGGCACCCCGCGTTCGAGGTGCGTGAAGATTTCGCCGTCTGGAAGCCCATTTACCTCCAATTTTAGGTTTGTAACCTTGAAATCTTGCGTATAGTCGTAGTCCAGGTTCAAAGCTGACCCTGTGTACTGGATACAGTGTTCCATCCTAAGCGTCAGAACATCAGAATTTTCTGGATCAATATTTCTTACCAGTTCCTCTGGGCCCAAAGTGCGGCCCTTTAACTTCAGGCAAAACCGCTGCACAGGCTCGATCTCGCCCCCGCATTTCTGATACAAAACAGAATGTGTGTATTGCAGGAGACGTGCCACTGAAGACTTGTTTGGCACCCTTATGGAGAGATTTCCTTCAGCAACGCTGAGGTCTGTTTGGAAGGCATGATCTGGGGTCTGAACATTAACCAAGATCGCAGATCCGATATATGTCATTTTGTCTAAAGAATACTGTACAATTCCAAAAGAGAAAGCGCCCCAACAGGTCTCTTAGAGCCCGTTTTCGGTTCGGTGAAGGCAGCGGAGTGGTGTTTAAAGGTAATGATTTCATCTAAGTACTACCTATATATATTTAAAGGTTCCCCAAGAGAAAGAATGATCATTATTTACGTTAGAAGGGTTCGCCCAGCAAAGACGCTAAAATCTCCATAGCTGGCGATCTTTACCGCCTTTTGGCGAGTACATATTTCGATTCTTCGCATCGTTCGGCTATGTTACAAGAATTTTAAACTCAATTGCGTTTTCCGGATCCTTTGGACATGCTGTCGAGTTCTGATTGAAGATTTTCGGCCTCCACTTCCAGAGCCTGGGCTCTGGCACGAGCCAGCTCAGCTCTCACTTTCCGCTGCTGTGTTTCCTGATCACGACGCTCCAACTCTTGAATCCACAAATTTTCTCTCAACTTGGCCTTTTCGCGCAACTGGTCCTCCTTGGACTGGCGGTCTTTCTGAGACGTCCCGTATATGAAGCTACCAGCAACCAATGCGACCAGCGTCGCCCCCTGCAAGCCGACACGCCATCTGAAGTATTTTTGAGCCTTGCGTTTGTTGCCGGATCTGACATTCTGAGCTGCCAAAATGACAGCAACAGTTGTAGCTAGCGTACCTAATGGCACAAGTGGTTGTTGTTTGCAGTGGAAAATCATCTTTTCGTAAAACGTCATGTCCTCCACATCTTGCTCAGCGCCATCGAAGCTGGATGGCAGGTGTGACATCTTTTTCTGTGAGGTTATCGGAGTTTTTTCACTTGTTTTATTTGAAGATGTATCTCTTAGGAATTAGACCAGTTAGTATATTATACATATATAAATACGATACCTGGTCTTTAGATGTGATATTTATCGGTGAGTCCATTTTAGGTCACGTGACGAGTCCATTGAAAATCAAATAGGCTCATGTCGTTGAAGTAGGAGCGTTTAAAGAGCAGGTTGTTGCAGCTGATTCGAACTACTGTTTTTGAATTAGTGGTTTAGAAAGCCCTCGAATTTTTGGTGGGGGGAAAATTAGTGGACTTTCTGTTGATCGCCCCGGGTTTTTTTTTACGCAAACCATTGATGACTATCGAAGCATGCTGTGCTGTCACTCATTCACACATACGCACATTTTTCGGCAAAAATAGTGACACTCTATCCATTGATCTTTTTGGGTTCAAATAATCCTTTCGATTCTTGTCGTTGGTCACGTGGTCTCCTTCTTCCCCAGAAGAATAGACTAAATGTAACTCTACCCCGGCTAAACACGTATCCCCGCGGATTTTTGAATTGATCTCTATGCTACTAAACACACTTCTTTTTCTAATATCGTTCGTTCGTCCCTTCGTTCGGTCTTTATTCGGCAAAAATAAAGTCCTTCATCTGCTGGTATGCATCCTCCAGCACGTCGTTGACAACGATCTTGTCGTGAGCACCGGTTTCGGCGTATTCCATCTCCGCTGTGGCCGCATCGAGTCTCTTTTGCAGCGACTCTGGGGTCTCGGTACCGCGACCTGTTAGACGTTCCCGCAAACTCTCGACAGAAGGAGGAGCCACGAACAAGAACCGCGCGTTGAGATCCGTTTTCTTCACGGCCTTAACACCCTGCATGTCGATATCCAAAATGCAGCGTTTTCCAGAGCTGGTCACTTCCTTGACCGACTCCACAGTGGTCCCGTAGTAGTTTCCTGAAAATTGTGCCCATTCGATGAACTTGCCGTCTTTGATCATTTGCTGGAAATGATCCACCGTGACAAAGTTGTAGTGCGTACCGTTCACCTCACCTTCACGTGGCTTACGCGTCGTGGAAGACACAGAAAACCCAAACGCGCTAGGAAACTCTTCGAACAGCTTCTTGAGCATTGTCGATTTTCCCGTTCCGCTGGGACCTGAAATAACGATAGGACGAGACATCATATGACTTTTTCTAGTAAACAATGCACTCTGAAGACACCCGCGACCTCTATTAACAACCAATCCTGGTATTCGACTAACAATGCCTCGACAACATGCCATCAAAATATGGTGAGGCCCGTTTAAATATGTAAATATATATATATACAGTTTCTCATCTGCTGCAAATTGATGATTTTTTTCTTTTTTTCATCATTTTTTTCCAGCACGTGAGTGAGGCCTGTGTCTCCGACGTGAAAAGCGATCTTTTTTTTCGCGAGGCTGACTGAGACGACAGCGTTATAGAAAAGCGGTGGGATCGATTGATCGGGGTTGAGTTAGAAATGAGGGCAGGAAGCAAAAAAACTTGAGGATGGAATATTTCCCAATAACCGCTTTAAATATGGAATGCTTTTCGTAGAGGAAAAAAGTACACAGTTTGAGGTATAATTGTTCTTTTATATATCCACGTGACTATGGTCATGTGGGTCTCGTACAAACGCACATGAAGCAATATTCAAAATTCAAGCTTAGACAAAAGTTTTCAAGAGTCTGAAGATAGCGGTTTGTTGTTTTCTTCTTCTACCACTAACGCCCAAGAATTCTGGATACTCCGGATCTACCATCACTTTCTTGCTTTGTTGTAATTCTAAAAAGCTAGTTCCGGTCACATTCAAATCGATGTATCACACTACACGAAGATGTATCTGCAATTAACGATCTCATCTCAATCTATGTCTATCACACCTTTAAACAGCATCGCTACACCTAAACTTCCCCCGAGTCAAACCTCAAATCCTTGTCCATTAGCGGTACTATTCAATTCCTGCTATAAAATCTCTGACTTCAACTTTTCTTGCCCTTTCCCGGATCCGTTGGCTGGAACAACCAAAAAGCACACGATCCCCGATCTTTCAAGATGTCGTTGAACACTGTGCTGCAATTAGCTGTTCCCTTGATTTACAAGGCCACTTTTTGCTGGGCAAAAGCGGGCTACACGGATGCAGACGGTGATTTGGACGATTACGTTCCAGGTCCCGGCTCCCCAGGTGACGATGGGTCTCCCATCGGCTCAGGACCCGGAGATGATGTCAATCCCGTCACTGAAGAGATCTTTTCGTCCTGGGCACTCTTTATAATGCTGTTTCTGCTCATTTCCGCACTGTGGTCGTGCTATTTTCTGGCACAGCGGCGTATCAAAGCCGTGCACGAAACAGTGCTATCGATTTTTTACGGAATGGTCGTGGGACTCATCATACGACTCTCACCAGGCCATTACATCCAGGATGCTGTGACTTTCAATTCCTCATACTTTTTCAATATTCTACTGCCTCCGATCATCTTGAACTCTGGTTACGAGCTTAACCAGGTCAATTTCTTCAGCAACATAGTTTCAATCCTCACGTTTGCAATCCCTGGAACTTTCATCTCAGCCGTTGTTTTGGGCGCAATTCTTTATATCTGGACAGCGCTGGGACTCGAAAAAGTCGACATTTCGTTTGTCGATGCCCTTTCGGTTGGGGCCACGCTTTCGGCAACGGATCCCGTAACAATTTTGTCTATCTTCAACGCCTACAAAGTCGACCCCAAACTATACACCATTATTTTTGGGGAGTCTCTTCTCAATGACGCCATTTCCATTGTTATGTTTGAAACGTGCCAGAAATTTCACGGTAAGCCTGCTAAACTATCGTCTCTGTTCGAAGGTATAGGTCTCTTTCTCATGAATTTTACCGTCTCCTTGCTTATTGGTGTTATGGTCGGAGTCTTGGTGGCGCTAATACTGAAACACACTTTGATTCGTCGCTACCCTCGAATTGAGAGCTGTCTAGTGTTGTTGATCGCTTACGAGTCGTATTTCTTTTCCAACGGCAGCCACATGTCAGGTATAGTATCATTACTGTTCTGTGGCATTACACTCAAACACTACGCATATTATAATATGTCCAGAAGAACACAGGTTACCATAAAGTATATTTTCCAGCTGCTAGCCCAGCTTTCCGAAAATTTCATCTTCATCTACCTTGGGCTGTCTCTGTTCACGGAAGTCGAGTTGGTTTATAAACCCATGTTGATTATAATCACCGCCATCTCGATTTGTGTAGCACGCTGGTGTGCTGTTTTTCCCCTGTCTAACTTTGTGAACTGGCTGTATAGAGTCAAGGCCAAACGATCAATGGGTGTTTACGGTAATGATGCAGCCATCCCAGACGAAATCCCTTACCAATACCAAATGATGACTTTCTGGGCTGGTCTTAGAGGAGCAGTGGGCGTTGCTTTGGCGATGGGTTTGCAAGGAGATTTCAAGTTCACGCTCTTAGCCACGGTATTGGTCGTCGTGGTTTTAACTGTGATTATTTTTGGAGGGACAACCGCAGGCATGCTAGAGGTATTAGGAATCAAAATGGGATGCATAGATGAAAACGACGATTCTGATGATGAGTTTGACATAGAAATGCCAAAGCCTATCAACATCGTTGCTAGCCCCATACCGACTTACTCAGATGATCCACGAGACCAAGCCGTCATAACTTCCCTACCGACAAGTAGGGGAGAACAACTACAATCAGCTGAATCCGTTCAACCGTCTTCCAGAGTTTCTTTGGAGAGGCATCACCTAAGAGAAACTTTGAGCAATATATTCTCGGCAGATTCTCAATGGTTCACAAATTTCGATGAACAGGTTCTAAAGCCTGTTTTCCTCGACAATGGTGCTGAGGGGTCGCAGCCAAGAAACAGCGATTCAAGTACGCCGAACTTTTTGGGTAGCAGAAGATAATACACGGATTTGGAGTTATTCTCGTAGGGCTTCAATATACTATAAATATTGAAGGTAAACTTATTACATGCTTCATTGAATGTTTATGATTACGTAGTATGCTTATTCGTTACAGATTTCGAGCACCCACTTGCTCAGTTTGACGACGTCATCGTCAAGATATACGTCGTTCAAAAGTTCATTGTAGTTGAGAACAACCTCCAAAAATGCATTGATCGAAAGATCGTAGAGTATTGTAACCACATCAGGAACGATAGCATCCTTGTTAATTTGAGAGTCATTCCATTCGGCAAACGCTCCTAAGGAGCCCACGGATCTCTCCAAGACTTTCAAAACCTCGCCAACGGAAGATACTACGGCGCCTTTGGGATCTTCCTTCAAAGACTTGATCAACAACGCCATCAGGGAAACAGCGCATTCCGCATGACAGACTGGCAAAGGCGCTAGTTTCTCGGCCTGCAATTTTTTGGAGATTCTCCACAATTCGAACGAGGATATTTGCGCCGAAGAATCTGAGTTTTGAACTGGAAAGAAAAAGGTGAGGAATGCCTTCTTTACGTTTTTGATGCAATCGTATACCACATTTGTAATGGTAGTCTGGTGTGTGAGTATACGATTGTTTGCCGCGTTTGAAAATTGGAAGGGACTGGAAAATTGCAAGCTATGATTTTTGGCGAAAACGTTACTGTTTTGTACCTTGATCCTATGAGTCAGCTCTGAACTATGAGGCTCTGGTGTGCCTGGTATCCTAGATTGGGAGCTTGTTGTAATCACAAAATTATTTCCGAAAAGACCATCCTGACCAAAAGCATCTTCTAAAAATTCTGTTTTCTCAGGACGCTTTGTTTTACGATAGCTTTCTTCTTGACGCTCCAAACCTTTCATGAAAGTGGCCACGCTCACATTCGTATCATTAATGGTGGCGAGACATTCTTTGAGAATGCTTGGCCATACATACACGTTCTTGTAGCGAGTATGATATATTGGTAATCTTAGTTGGATATCAGGAGAAGTAGCCCTAAATGAAAGTTCCTGAAAAGCGGTCAGTTTGGTGAAGGGCTTTTTGGAAGAAAGTCCTGTAACGAGAGTTTCCATTGGAGTTGAAGAAAGAGATGATATGGGTTTGCCCTTGTGTAAACATCCAATCGACAAATATGCGCTGAAAGCCAAGTTAGCGAAATCCCAAAGTGTAAAGCTTAGTAGTGCAAGCACCGCAATTTTCCACAAAAATAAAACGGATATCCCACTGCCCTCACGAGCCAAATATAGCGTGCAAAGCGGTAAACTAACGATGACTCCCAATGCAAGCACGAGACATTTGGTAAAGGATTTTTTCAGGCTGGACTCGATATAACGTTGTGGATGTTGATGCTGGGACCCATACTGGAACATGAGTTTGTCGAGGTCGAACGCCACATGCTGAATGGCGTACAATGCTGGGATTAGCCCCCAGACTGCAAATCGGTATGCAAACAGTTGCTGGGATCGCAGAATAGAATCGAATACGGCGTCTCTGGCCGCTGTGGCTATGCAGATATTGCTGATACAGTGGATCCCGAGATAAACGCAAAACTTTGCTGAGCACAGCTGTCCGTAGATCTGAGTGATGACGCTTGAGTAGCCCGGAGATTGGACGTGCAGGTAGTTTTTCCGGGTGATCACGACCAGCAGTACGGCCAGATAGCACATCAAGCTTTTCACGGGCCACACTGCGAGTTTGGACGCCATTGTAGCATTGGACGGAGCTCCGATCAAAGTCAGCACCAATCCCAATGCCAATGTTACGCTCAGTAGCAACCTCGTCACCAAATGGTTGAATCTTGTCTTACAAACATCGCTGAAAATCGCGTGGTAGCTGTACCGCGAGTTCAATGGCACTGCAGTGTGCATATCGGTGTTGATTCCCCACAACTAACACAGCTTCCTTACTGTTTTGAGTTGAAGTTCCAACATTTTGAGCTGAGTTCTTATTATCTCTGGTATTTATATGAATTATTTACTAGGCCATTTTTTTCGATGATTCCGTCTTTAGCGATCTTTAAATCTAATAAACGCGTTTCGAAATAAGGTAACTAAACTCATCAACAACAACAACAACAACAACAAAAGCTGAGACTATCGTGGGCATTTCTGGACCGGAAGCGTTGGTAACTCTTCATATTTATAGGCTGGCTAGTTAACGGAGCTAGTAAATCATCCAGCGCAATGGAAGTATCGAAGCTTGGGGGGCTAAACTCTGATGACATTCAAGCGAAACTGGATAAGAAATTGGGACCCGAATACATATCGAAAAGGGTAGGCTTCGGAGCAAACCGGGTGGCCTATATAGAAGGATGGAAGGCTATCAATCTGGCGAACCAGATTTTTGGGTATAATGGATGGAGTACAGAGGTCAAAAACATCACAATCGACTTTATGGACGAAAGACAGGGCAAGTTTTGCATTGGGTGCACGGCAATCATCCGAGTAACGCTTACAGATGGAACCTTCAGAGAGGACATTGGGTATGGGACGGTAGAAAATGAGCGTCGCAAGTCTTCGGCGTTTGAAAGAGCCAAAAAATCAGCAGTCACAGACGCTCTAAAACGCAGTCTGCGAGCTTTTGGAAACGCGCTAGGAAATTGTCTTTATGACAAGAGTTTCCTGGCTAAGATCGATAAAGTGAAGTTCGATCCGCCAGATTTCGACGAAGGAAACCTGTATCGGGCGGCAGACGAAGCCAACGAGCTTGTCCGGAACCATACAATCGAGCAAGAAGGAGCAGGACCGCCTTCCAAGAAGCGCAACATCATGGAAACAAGACCCAACTCATCTAATGCGACCACTACGTGGAAAGCCGAAGTCAACCACCAGCAGCAGCAGCAGCAACAGCAACAACAACAGCAACAACAACAACCACAGCCACAGCAGCAACCACAACAACAACAACAACAATCAGAACAGCCTTTGCAGGCTGATCAAGACCCTGACGAATTGCTGGACGATTCGTTCATGTTTAGCGACGAGATTCAAGACGAAGAGATTGCCGCCGCTGTTAACGACAACAAAGCATCGGGGCCCCAGAGTGAGCCGTCTCGCCCATCACACGCAAGAACTCCCTCTGTTGGTGTAAATGCTCCCGTAGCCTTTGTGACAGCCAAAGCTGCTCCAAACGTGCAGAATCAAGCCACGGTGCCTGCGGGTGGCATGTTTGACCCCAAATTCCGAGCCCAATCGATCAAACATACGGTCGATCAAACAACATCATCGCATATCAAGACTGCCGCCTTGAAAGACAAGGGGGTTCCCTTCCATCGAAGCGATATATATAATCGGTTTGCCCCAAAAGGAAAGCTTTTAGGTGATGGTGACGCAGCTACCACGGAAGCTCCGATCACAACTAATGACGTCAAGTCCATCCAAACTCACCACAGTGTCCAAGCGGCACCCTCTCATGCGGAACAAAGTTCAAATGCAAAATCAACCCACGCTGCATCAATCAATAGTGTGAGACAACTACCACCAATTGTTACGACATCGCTACCTCCTCAACCACAACATCCTAATATCCAGCCTGTCGGGAAACCAAAGTTTTCTCCGTCAACCAATCAGAACAGGGAAAACTAATGAATACTCTTTTGATACACTGCAATCCAAAGCTTTAATGCAGCTCATGAAGATTGATTCTTGTCCTAAGCTGAGCCAAACTACTCACACCGTCGCAGACGCCCGCTGTCACATTTGGTTCGCTGTGTATCACATGGTACGTAAATCGCATAATTAGAATAAATTGTTTCGAAAATACCAGGCCCTTAAAGAAAAAACTCTACAACTTAAACTAACTTCAGTGAAGCTGGTCTTTAAGAGACTTGTAGGCTTTTAGGGACGGATTATTGAGTTTATTTAACTCTCTCGCAAGCTAATTCGACTAGTTGCATTCCCAGGCTGTTCTGAAGCTTTTACTGACTGCAAGTTGGATCACTTTAAACACTAAAAAATGGTTACTTTGACTAAATTGGAAAAGATCAGAAAAGAGGAGAAGGCCAAGGAGTTTAAGCCTTTGATCGACGATCTAATTAACTGCACTGATGCGGAATTTGTGGACAAATTGACGAAAATCGTGGAGTGGGACAGATCAAGGGACGACCTGTACACATGGATTCCAGTGCTCAATAGAATGGACGACATTCTGAACCGAATTTTGGATCGCTACTCTTACCGTAGTGCCAACCGCAAGACCGAGCCAGTGAGGCTGACCATGATGAACCTAGATGACGAAAATCGCACCAAAGAATTATTGTGGTTCAGTTGTCGTCTGCTCAACAACAGTTGCAATCGATCACTATACTCCTCGCTGGACGTTATGAGCCATCTTCTTAATTGCCCAAACTATGGAGTCAAACTTGGAGCTATGAAAGTGATTGCCATCATGGGGGAGCAACAGGTTGTGTCGCGGCAAAAGATCGACAACAAAAACCTGCTGGGCAACAAAGACCTGAAAAGGAAAGCCCTCGACCTCGCCTTAGCGCTTCCATCCTCCACTACGGATGATACAATGGACCATTTTGCATTGGTGGACCTCTATTTCGATAAGAAAAAATACCCTTCGAAGTGGTCAAAACTCAATTTCAGTTATTACACGACGTCGTCCCCGTCATCCTCATCATCCAAATCACAAGCAGCTGCCAGGTTTGGCAGTGGAGCGTTGAAACAGTTTGCAATGAGCGCGGAAGAAATTTCAAGTTTATCCCTCCAACAACTCTTCGACAAAGGTATGGCTGAAATTCCCTCTGATAGATGGTTCGAATTCTCTTTGCATGCCACCATTGCCAAAGCTTTTTGCGACAACACTTTTGAAAGCCTTGATTTGAGGAACCTGATCATACAAACAAAATTCAACGCCATAGCGTACATTAACGCTGTTTATATTCCTGCTCAAGTCAGCTCTCAACTATTCGAGGTCGATCCTTACACGTTCAACACTCTGACTGACTTTATCTCGTTGTCCGAGCGGAAGCTACCGAAGAACTTGAGAATGGATGCACTTTTTTGTTTGGAATGTGTGTCACTCAAGCACATATGGTGTTCAGACATCGTCAGAAACTTAGGCGGAAATATGTCACACGGACTTCTTTTCCAAATATTAAGATACATTGCAAAAATATTGAGGGACAAGAATCATGAAGAAATAGACGAGGAATACAATGTGAGGTTCTTTTATCTCGTTTCAAACTTGGCTGACGTCAAGTCCCTGCAGGACTCTTTACTCACGGCAGGCCTTATCCCAAACCTTCTAGAGGTGATATCTATCAAGGACTCCCCATTCAAACGCACCTTGGCCTCTGCGACTCATCTCTTGGAAGTTTTCATTGATGATGCTGATGCTACCACAGAGTTTATTTCTCATAACGGTTTCAATATCCTTATCGAATGTGTCAACGAGGAAGTGTCGTTTGCGTTGGAGCACCCAGAATTTGGGAAACCACCGAAATATCCGGTTGTTTACTATTCCATTTCTTTTCGTCAGCTCGGTTATATCAGAAGTTTATTAAAACTTGTTTTGAAACTTCTCAAGACAGACTCGGGCGATAGAATAAGAAATTTGATTGACTCTCCGATACTTTTTGCCTTGAACAAGATCCTGGGCAACAGGCCGGTCTTTGGTTACACTCTTGTCACCTATGCATTAGATGTCGTTCAGACAATCATTAACACTGAGCCGACAATCTACCCCATTTTAGTGGAATCTAAGACAATTCCATATATTTTTGACCACTTCCAAGACTTTTTAGGACCATCGGGGGAACTTCTTTCGCTACTACCAGAGCTTATTTCGGCATTGTGCTTAAACGTTGATGGTCTAGGGCAAGTTAAAGAAAAAAATCTCATAGACTATCTGTTCGACATCATGAAAACTCCAGAACTTGCTAAAATAATGTCGTGGGAAGATTCAGCGATTGACCTCGGTACTTCTATCGACGAACTCGCCAGACATTACCCCGATTTAAAGCCAGCCATTGAAAGGAACTTTCAAATCACAGTAAAGGCTTTGCCTGACATAATAGAGTTCAATCAGCCTTACGTTTACAGATCCATAACAGGCGAAGGAGAATTCTATCGCTCGAAAACCGATAAAATCGTGGACAATGAACTCGATAGTTTTGAAATCGGTAGTGGGGCCGTGGAACAGCCTTTTTCGGTTTTGGACTGCTTTTCTGCTGTTTTCTACGGATTGACATTAGAGAATGTTTCTTGGGCGAGTCTCGCAGATGAAATCGACATTAAAGACATGCTGAAAGTGGTGATCCAAGAGAGACCACCATTCGACTACGTTGGATCTCAGACCTTGCTAAACTTCTCGGACATCCTCAAACTGTTCGACGACGAAAGGAGAAATTATGCCCTACCCGCGTTGATGAAGCTTCTCTCTGAAAAGCTAACGGAAGTAGAAGGTTTTCTCAACTTTCCTTTTGAAGAATCATACGTTCTATCAACGAGTTATGATGAGGTCGATGAGACTTTACGCAAGTTGTCAGTGATAAATGTTATTCTTTACGTCATCACAGACATCTACGTGAACATTGCTTCTCTTTTCCCAATCCGTGTGCTGCAGATCATGGAGTTTTTCGAGCAAAACGGCCTGGAGCTCATAAGTAAGCTGGGTTTGCTATTTCAACGAAGTGCTTTAGAGGAGATGTACATTCGCGACAGGTTACCTGATCAAGTTGCAAGCGAAACGACTGTGAGGCCCATAGGTAACACTCCGCCGCTGACACTGTATGCCAGCAAGCCAAAAAAATCAGAAAGCACCCCACCTAAAACCTCTGCAAAATTCAAGAATACCTTGCAAGAGCGACACCTTTTTGTCAAAATGCAATCTTGGGTGTCAATGCTTTTCAGGTGCTTTTTGAGAATGACTCACGCAAGGAAAATGACTATTGAAGCTTCAGATAGGGCTTTCGAGATCAAAATTTTCGATACAGCTGTGAACGAAATTGTCAGGATGATGGATTTGAAATATTTGGATTCCCATCTCGCTTATTATTTGGTGCTTTTCAACTTCAACACATTCGTTTTTACATTTCCCAATGTGACGACCTCAGTAGGAGGTACACTACAAACGATTCCAGCCTTTCTCTTTTATCAAGCAAAAGGCTATAAATTATATTTTGATGCCATCAAGCAACTCTTCGCTCGGCTTCAAACGTGTGACAATGCCGAAAGCATAGAAAAATACGACTACGTGAAAGACACCCCCGACGTTTTAACCGCTAGTGCTCTCATCAATGCTCTGTCCTTCCTCAATAAGTCCATTCAGATGGATACCATGGAAAACATTAGGAATACCAAAGAATACTATCCCTTTGATGAGGTTTATTACAATTTGACAAGCGCGCTTATTGTTCCCGTGAAAATTTTAGTACTGGGGCTTGTTGATGAGGTTACGAAGAACTACGCTGTATTCGACAACAGTTCGAACAGACTTCCGTACTCCGTGTTCAAACAACTATTGAGCGTCATTAGAAACGTTTACAACAATGCATCGGAAGGCGAGGATCACGAACTTTACGAACTGAGATGGGATCTTATGCCGCCTTCCCACAGGAAAGTGCAAATGTTGAAAGCTAGTGGAGTAGCGGAGGAAATCGCAAGAGGGTATCTTGAAGAGCAAAAGGATGATTTACCAATTCATGTGAAACCCGATGTATTTTCTGATGATGAGTGGAGAAATTACAAAAGCCTAAAAAATAGCGGTGAGTGGTATACTGACCTGAGAGTGTTGGAGCCTCAATACAAAAGTCTTTCTACCGTCACGGACTTGAATGCGTTGCGCTTGGAATTCTATTCTCGAGGATTTGAAGATCGAGTTTTGCAGTTGCTCCCTGCGTACCCAAAACTAATCAACGCTATTTCCCACATGATTCTTCAAATTCTGAAAGATGTCGATAAATCCCCCACGAGTATCGTTGCGAAGTTACTGAACATGATGCGTAGCACACAGCTCGATAATTCCTCAGTACTTGCCCCTATGATTCACCTATTTGGGATACTTCTTAATAATAAAGGGATCTATGATGACTGCAAGGAGTACACTCAGCAGTTTGTATCCTACCTAAAAGGATCACTGCGCCCAGGTTACGTGAACACCGCCTGGTTTTCGAAAGCGTTATATGTCTATGAGATTATATTTGCCAAAGCTGAGGCACCAAAAACTGATACTACCTCTCTCGCTTTCGAGGAAAAATTCAACGTTACTTGTCCTACTCTTTTCAACGGCGTTGAGATATCGGCGGACGCAAAGCTCGAAATATTCAGTTCCCTTATCCGAGTGGACGAAATAACGGACTTCTATTCGGCCCTCGCGATTTCACGCATACTTATACTATATGCCAGGGATCAACAATATGCATTCGAAGTTTCCCAGTCAGGTGTACTATCGAAGCTGCTGAAAACTATTGGTGTATTCCAGAAATCAGAGAAAATCAATTACCTCGAGTCCTCCTTTCTTCTTCTAGCGAGACGCTGTTTTGAAAATACCGAAACAGTTAGAAACTTGATTCAGTATGAACTCTCGAGAGCTTTCACGACGAGGGCGATTGGCGACTCCAAGGAAAAGCCTCGGGACCTCTCGGGATTGATTTCAGAAAAAGCCAATGTAGTCATGCGTGACTCAGAAATATTTGTCAATTGCATCTGTGAAACGGCAAGGTTTGAAGATTTTGACAGTCCTGATAGATTGCAGAATTTGAGCGTTCGGAGAAATTTGAAGGAGCGCGACGTGGAAATGTCTGACATCAATTCTCCTGCAGAAGGCAAATTAACTCTCAGCAACAGAACTGGTATTGTTCACCTCCTTCTGTCCCAATTGATGGCTGCATATAAAAAGGACTGGACGTCTGAACCCCCCAGAGAAGATAACAATGAAGATACGAAGAAGAAAGACGACATCAATGTTGGTAGAAATCCGGTATGTGCCTACATCATCTTTTTGTTGAAGGTCCTGATTGAGCTGATTGGCAGCTACAAGCAGAGCAAGTTGGAATTTTTAACCTTCAACAAGAGAAATCTTTACGTGGAAGCACCCAAGCCACGAACGACAGCTCTGAATTTCATCCTTTATCAGCTACTTGATACGGAGAGCCGCGATCAGGACAAACATTACTCTGAGAGAAAGGAGGTTGTTGGAAAGCTGGCCCGTGATCTTGTCGTGGGCTTTTTGTCTTCTGTTCAAGACCAGGAGATTCAGAAGAAGGACCCAAAGGTTACAGACCCAGACATGACCTACATCAGAAAATTTACCATCGAGTCTATCACAAAGGCCCTGAGGGCGTCCACTAGGACTCCAAAAAACTTAGAAGCTAACGTTGGTAAGTTTTATGGCTGGCTCCAACTCATAAGCTCACTGTTAGTGACAGATCGAAGCTACCTTCATTCGGTTCTGGACTCCAACAAGACTTACGTTGACAAGTATCAGATCGGGAAGTTGATGATAGACATGAATGTTCCAACAACTGTCGCTGAATGCATGGCCACTTTAGATTTGAATTATCCTTTTTCTAAACGACTTTTCAATAAGAGCGTGGAGCCTTTAAATGCCATGAACGAAATCCGGAGCAGGTTTTCTGATCTTTTCAAAATTGAGAACACTGAGGAAGACGAAGACGTTGACGACGAATCTGAAAAAGAGGAGCATTCAGATATGTTTAGAAATTCTGCATTAGGAATGTATGATGTTGAAGACATCGAGGACGACGAGGATGACGATGCCTCCTTGATTGGCGAAGACGAGGATATAGCATTTGTCGAAGGGGAAGACGGTGAGATCGAAGTCGTTTTTAGTGAAGATGAACAGGATCATCACCATCATCATCATCATCGCCATCACGAAGACGATGCATCAGACTCCCAGCATGCTGGAGAAAGTGATGGGGTAGATGATTCAGACGAAAGCATGGCTTACAACTCAGAGAGTGACGATGACCTGGATTTGGATTCGGACTCACAGTCGCCCGATGATCATGACGATAATGGAAGTGACGGATCTTCCTATTACTCTGACGAAGAAAGCCCAATGCGCCTTGTCGGTGTCCACGATGATGTTAGCGGCCAAGTTATAGATGTTGACTTAGGCAGTTCCGAACTGGACGAAAGCGATTGGGAGTCAGGGCTCTCGGAACTTTCCGGCTCTGATGAAGACAGTTCAGGTGACGACTTTAACGATGATGTCAATGACGGGGAAAGGTGGCTGGCTGACGAGGTAGATATGGAAGAGGAATCTGATGAAGAAGGTAGGGGGCTTTTCACAGGAATACAGCATGTCTTCTCCCCTGAGCCGCAGTATTTCCGCATTCATGGACATGGGCACGGCAGCCATCGTGGTCAGCATCACGGAGGCCGCCGCTCTGAGTTTTCAATGGTAGCCCCATCCATTAGTCTTTTGAATGGTAATAGACGTACGCAAAGCATTCTCATGAACCCCTTAGGTCCGTCAGGGCTTGAAGAGGTTGAGAACGGAATTCTCAATCAGTTGAATAGCGTCGGAAACAGCAGTCGACTAAGAAACGATACCGGCTACCTCTCAGACGTATTGTTCAATGGTGAGTTTTTCGATGAGAAGTCTTCTTCTGGTATTGTACTGAAATCCACAACTGCTAGGTGGAACGATATTTATGAAATGTTCTATGATTCCAAGGTTTATGTCAATAACGTCATACCCACCATCGTTGAAAGGATTTTCAAGCCCAGCTCTGACCTCTGCGTCAGGAAAAGAAATGAAAGTATCGAAAGGGATCAAGAGCAGAAGAAGAAGCGTGAGGAAGAGATTCGGCTAGCTGAAACCAAGAAACGAAAGGTGCAGGACGTTAACGAAGATGATACACAAGACGTTAATGAGTCAGGAAATGATTCAGACCACAGCCCCGAAGAATTAGAGCCCATCATGGTCGATATCGCGGGCGAGCAAGTTGATATCGCAGGAACAGACATTGACCCCGAATTTATGAACGCTCTGCCCGACGATATGAGGGCGGAGGTCTTTGCTCAGCATATCCGTGAACGTCGCGCGGAGGCTCTTGACCAGTCTGTCGCCTCAAGAGAAATTGACGCCGATTTCTTGGATACCATACCAGAAAACCTGCGTGAGGAAATTTTGGAACAAGAAGCAGCGGAGTCTAGATTCTCTCGACTCATGAACAATGCTCATGAACCGGAAGCTGATCGAGCTTCTCACGACCATCCACAAGTAGACGGTGATGAGGAGAGTCGCCCAACAAAGAAAAAGTCGGAAAGAACTTTCTTTCCACCCTTGGTAGATCGCTGTGGCATTTTGGCGCTCATGAGGTCTCTTTTCATCTCTCAGCCCTACTTGGCCCGTGAAGCGTATCATGAATTGTTTTTCCGGCTGTGTTCTAGCAAACAAAATCGGAGCGATATAATGAACATCTTGATGCTCATCCTGACTGAAGGCATCAACGATCAGAAATCTATGGAAAAGGTGTACAACCTCATTTCCAACAAAGCTTTAGGAACTCAAAAGCAAGGAAGTGGCAGGATGCTCCCTGTTGATTGCACACCCTTGACTCTGGCCAATCAAACCATCGAAGTTCTTCAGAACCTCGTAGAAACAGAAAGCAGAATGAAATTCTTCTTTATCACTGAGCATGAGAACTTACTGATCAATAAAACGCCTTTGAAAAATAGAAAGGATATTTTCACCAAGAACATGAAATGGCCTATAAACTACCTATTTGCTCTTTTTGATAAGAAGATCATTACAGATGAATCCGTCTTACTAGATCTTCTCACTCGAATCTTGCAAATCATAACAAAGCCTATTTCAACAATCGCTAAAACATCAAATGAAGGATCGCAGAAAAAGTTCAGTGTCCCTGATATTGAGAGGAAACATCTTGAGGCAGTGGTCTCTGTGATTGGCTTGGACGCTTGCAACACCAAGGTTTTTCAACAGGTTCTCAATATCATGACACATTTGTCAACCATCAAAGGGACACAGGAAATTTTTACCGCAGAATTGAGCACTTTAGCAATTCAGACTGTGAAAGTTTTGATGCCAGACTTGGATGCATTAAGGTCTGAAATCTGTGAAGTGGAGAGCGGTCTCGAGATAAATTATGAAACCATACAAAAATTTACAGTGCACAGTTCTGATCAAGCCAAGCTTTTGAAAGTGCTTACCGCAATTGATTACATCCATACGAGCAAGAAGAAGCCTGGCGAGATCAATGTCGATGCACTCATGCGCCTCTATGATGACATCAAACTGGGCGGAATTTGGACCTCTCTTGGGCATTGCCTCGAGCAGTTCGAGCAACGTCCTGCTTTGAGTTCCTCCGCAAACATTTTACTTCCACTAATTGAGTCTTTGATGGTCGTTTGTAAGCATAGCAAGGTCAGGGATTCTAAAGACACCTTGAAATACGAGGAAAGAAAATCTGACTTCAGTGAGATTGCTGCTGAAAACACTTTTTTCGCTTTCACGGATTTGCATAAGAAGCTGCTAAACCAAATGATCAGGTCCAACCCAAAACTCATGAGCGGGCCCTTTGCTCTACTTGTCAAGAATCCCAAAATACTTGACTTTGATAATAAAAGGTACTACTTTATCGCCAAGTTACGAACAAACGTTCAGGAGAAACCTAAGCTGTCTATTTCTATTCGGAGAGATCAGGTCTTCTTGGATTCTTACAGGTCGCTTTTCTTCAAGTCAAACGAGGACATCAAGAATTCGAAGCTCGAAATCACTTTTAAGGGCGAAGCTGGCGTTGACGCAGGCGGTGTGACGAGAGAATGGTATCAAGTTTTGTCTCGTCAGATGTTCAACCCTGATTACGCCCTGTTCCTACCTGTTGCTTCTGACAAGACGACCTTCCATCCTAACCGGACGTCTGGAATTAACCCTGAGCATCTATCATTCTTCAAATTTATCGGTATGATTATTGGAAAGGCTATTTGTGACCAATGCTTTTTGGACTGCCACTTCAGCAGAGAGGTTTACAAGAATATTCTCAGCAAGCCAGTGGCCCTCAAGGATATGGAATCTTTGGATCTCGATTACTACAAATCCTTGATTTGGATTTTGGAAAACGATATCACTGACATAATAGAAGAAACCTTTTCTGTGGAGACTGACGATTACGGTGAGCACACAATTGTTGACTTGATTCCAAATGGACGTGACATTCCTGTTACTGAGAAAAACAAACAGGAATACGTCAAAAAAATTGTTGAATTCAAACTTCACACTTCGGTGAAAGAACAGATGGATAATTTCTTGCTTGGATTCTATGCTATTATTCCCAAGGACCTAATTTCGGTCTTTGATGAACAGGAGCTCGAACTGCTGATAAGCGGTCTGCCCGACATAGATGTCGACGATTGGAAAAATAACACCAATTACGTCAATTACACACCAACTTGCAAGCAGATCAACTATTTCTGGAGAGCTGTCAGGTCATTCGACACTGAAGAGCGCGCCAAGTTATTGCAATTCATCACCGGAACCAGTAAAGTTCCATTGAGTGGCTTTAAAGAGCTCACGGGTGTTAACGGCATTAGCAAGTTTTCGATTCACAGAGATTACGGAGCAATTGACAGACTCCCTTCTTCGCACACCTGTTTTAACCAGCTGGATCTTCCAGCTTACGACTCTTACGAGACCTTGCGTGGTTCATTGTTACTGGCCATAAATGAAGGACACGAGGGTTTTGGAATAGCCTGACGTACATGTTAGAAGCGTTAGTTAGCTAGTTGTTAGTGCGAAATGTAGCATCCATACTTGATAACCTCGAATACATTCAGATTTATTTGTTTACTCTACTTAGTGCAGGCTACGAGACCTAGCGATGATTCAGTCATGTTAAATTCGCATTTTGAAGAACAAAACATAAATACTGTCATGAGTCAAGTTAGGTAAAGAAAGAACTCTGGTATGTACTATATGATGGCAGATGAGTATTTGCTCTATGTAAGCGTTTTCACGGCTTACTTATGGACCCCTTACGTTCAAGCTCTGCCACATGTAATTCTAGTTTCCTGACAGATCTGCTTAAATTTGACACACTGTCATCCCAATCCATTTCCTTTCTAGCCCTGTCAACAATTCTTATGGCCAAAAGTGAAGCTATAGAGATACCTACCAGAAATCCTAAAGCTCCACTCTTGAAATGTTTTGTTATCGGGCTTCTTGTTAACTTATTTAGCGATCCAGGGTCTGACATGAAGAAGACGTTTGAAGTCAGAGAAAAGACAAGTATAGGTAGCGAAATCGTAAAACCATACTTTTATGCAACCATAAAACTGCCCTTTTATACATCCGTACTTGATTCTCAAAAGTTTGCGTCAGTGGGATTAGGGGTCCTAGCGACCCTTCAGTCAGTGATGACATCTTACGACCGTTATGATATGGTTCGGTTAGTAGCGTCTAAATGGGCATCAGTGCTTTTGAGGCATCTGATAGTATCCAAATGGACTTAGTGCTCACCAAGTTCAAATTTTATTAGCGTTTATTGCGGGCTATTACGAGAACGTCATCTACATAGAACTATACTAGAGTTATTTAGGATATCTCAAATTTTAGACATCTGGTATTAGTCTTCGACTGGGCCAACCCATTCCCAGCACTTCATTATTTCACCATGCACTTCCATGAGACTGCTTCTCACGTTTGTGTTGTTGCTTTCCAACTTTTTGACAACAGAATTCCAAAAATCATTTTTCAACTTTAGGTCCACCACATCGGAAAGCAGGACGTCCCTCAACTGAACAACGCTTAAAGTGGCGGGCGAAGCAGAGTTCCGGGAGTCGGCAGCTGTTTTCTGAAGTTTGGCAACAACCTGCTGTGTCAGTCGCTCAATCTTCTCTTGTCTTCTGAAATATGCACGCAGTTGGTGTGTTACGGTTTTGATCAGGACAACTATCCCAATGACCGCCCAGATCACGTATTTGAATCTCTGATAAGTTTGATAAACTTCTCTCTCGAACTTGCATCTGAGTCCGATGTACTTCTTGGATGTCGAGCGAAAAATCCCGTTTTTTGAGCTGCCGCGTTGAAGATACTTCTCCTGTTCCGAAACGTCATCGGTTTCAGTATCGACGTCGGTATTTGCTGCAGTGTCAGATTCAAGTGAGTGTCGCTGTGTTGATGTTAGTATTGGTGAAGATTGAAAATGTGAGCTGGCGGACCGGTTTACTGGCCATCCAGGCTCTGAAAAGAAATAACTATAACTCACTTGCCTCCAGGTAATATCAGGTTCATGCTTCAGGTCTTCTACCACTTGAGACCACAGGTCTTCAAAATCCTCACTATTGATAGAAGGGGCTCGGGATTCGTAGAAGATTCGATACAGGTCATCCTCTGTTATCCCGCTTTCTAAGTCATCGGTGCTTTCGCCACATTTCACATTTCCATTCTTTGTTCTCAAAAGCTCTAGAGATTTTTGGACGACTTCTGCGATAAGTTTTTCACGTTTGGAGTCCTTCGCACAGTAATCACTGATAGGGAAAAGACCTTGTAGACTCCATTTAGACTTGGTGACAGCATAGTCAGGTTTGCACTTTATTTTCATGTAAGGATAGCAAATGGCATTTTCAGGGCATGGTAAACAAGGAGGCTTTCTCTGATCCAAAAATTCTTCCACGCGGGACATCCATGGCGCCTCATGAGCATTTTCGAAAGTCGGCAAATTGACCTCGTGTCCACAGTAGCCGATTTGAATTCTTTGTTCGCGATACCAAAGACCAAAGAGAATTGGAAGAATTATCATTATATTCAAAACAAGCTTCCACAACAAGCTCCCCAAGGTCTTGGCTCCAGATCGAGCATTTTTCCAGAACTTAGAACTTTTTCTTGTCTGTGGAGTTTGATGCTCTTTTTCCTCTGTGTGATCCTCTACTGCTGTCTCGGCCGCTTCTTTTTCCTCCTCAGACTCTTTCGCCTCTGAGTCCCTATGTAACTCGGATTCGGCTTCGGTTTCGTCAACGCGCTCCTCGAGAGTATGCAACGAAATAGACTCATCATTATCTTCGGCCTCCGAAGATGCGATAGTTTCATTTTCCGTAGATACATCGTGGTCCTCCACAGAACTCTGTGCCGACCTTTCAGGTGTTTCTTCTTTCTTACCACGCTCCGTAGAGGCGCCTCTCGACTTCTTTGTTACTTCTGAGATATCTGTGGAAACATCATGGGGTGGAGATTGGCTACCGACCGGTCCTGAATCACCTTTGATATCTTCAGAGCTCTTGGAAGGGGTTGCCTGTGCGGATGATCGTTTCTGCGCGCTAGAAAACGAGGGCAAGTCTTGAAAAGAGGTGTCTGAGAGCTCAGTCTTCACCTCTGCAGACCTATTCGTTGTAGAAGCAACACTGGGTGATCCAGAAGAAGCTTTCATCAGCTTTTCTCTAAATTCTGGGCTAATTTTTAGTTTGGAGAGATCAGGCGACGCAGTTCTGCGTTGAAGAGAAAAGTCCATTATCTCAGCATTGGACGAGGCCGGTAGCGGTGAAGAAGAAGGCGAAGACGAAGAGGACGATTCGAACTTTTCAATAACGAGAGACTTATGTGGTGAGCTTTTGATAGGACTTTTGGACTGCACTTTGTCAACCAATGGAGATCCCGTGACCGGTTTATTTCTCGATTCATCGTCTGTGACTGCTGTAGGAAGTCTACTTTTACCACGTTTTTTGGGCTTTGGAGCATCTTGAGCATCAACATCATCTGTTTCCTCCATTTTACGCTTCCTGTTCGTTTTTTTGGATTTCTTTGGCTTTTTCTGAAAGTCGTTTTCGTTAGTGAAGGGCGATTCCTCCTCCGAAACGTCTCGTGAAAAGCTAGAATCTGTTGTGGCTCGCTCTATATCATCCTTATGATCTCTACCATGATTTTGACGCAAGAGTTCCGCTCTTTTGGGCCTTATTTGTTGTTCAAATAGCTCGCAAAGCTCAGCCTTTTTCAAACCATGCGACAAAACCACATCGTTTTCCTGCAGGATACGACGCAATTGCGCCACTTTTATACCCCTGGGATCAAAGTTCTCCTCCAGATACTCTAAATCCATAACTTGAGCGCTTCGAAGGACTGTATTTGTGTCCTAGTGAAGCTGTTTTTACCTTGAAGTAGAGGTGTCCATTCGAAGTAGTGTTGATATTCGTTATAATGTTAGAATTGCGAATAGTCACCATACACGAAAGGACACTAATGTTTTAGGATGATAGTTTGATGGATTTAAAGAGAGGGAGAGCTGAAATATTAAATGACAGTGGGACTCCTTACATGATTTTTTAAACTGGCTTTTACTGAGCTCAATGATTATAAAATTCCGACTCTTTTGGCTTATTTCATTAGTTGCGCCAGAATAGTACAAAATGATATAGCACGCTTCACTACTTTTTGGATGGTTCTTCGTACAAGCTGAATGCGGTAACTTCTTTAAGAGGTTCTCGCTCTGAAATAATATGGTTTATTCTGCATGTTCCTTATATTCGACGATTTCTAGGATATTGTCAAAGTAAATAATATCTAAATTCAATCTGTCATAATTGCCGGGCTAAACAATGTTTTTGCCACACAAGAATATAGCGCCTAATCAATGATTTCATTATTCAAATATTACAACCCACAAACGACAATTAGCCTTTGCGAAATTGTATCAATAGGCTTGCTTTCCAGAAGTGAGACTGATTCTGTCACAGCGGGTCGTTGAATAAATTGAAATCAGATCACTATATACTAATTCTGTCGCCGCCTATTGTTTCTGCAAATACAACACAGAAGGCCTTCCAAACCTATTCATGAACCAATCATTAAGCTGTCTGCTGCTTAGATTTTGTCCTTTTGGCAGCCCAAGGCTAATGCACTCTTTTGACTTCTAGATCACTTTGTACATAAATGTCGTCCTGTAACATTTTGTTTGCCTAAACCTCTTGGCATTAACAACAAAACTCTACAAAGCGCAGTTTTGACTCATATGCTTCTCATTTCGAGCAGACGCCGCTTAAATCTATGTAAAATACTTCCAAACCAAGACTCTCCGCAACATTTGTCAAACCCTGTGTAAGACTCAAATTTCGAAAACAATGGTCATATTTTTGAGATTGATACGAATTAAAAACTCAAAACGCGACAAGCTCTAATCATGGAATTGAGATTGCTCTGGGTCGAAAACTCGCACCAATTATCTCTCGCCTCAATAAAATTCGAAATTAAAAGAAAATGAGTCCAAAAGTTCGAATTTTGAAAATCTTTAAAGGAGTCAGCAACCACACTAAAATACGGAAGAATTATCCAATTTTTAACGACAATCTTATAGTTTTACAATCCACTGTGTATACTCGAGCTATCTGTCTTAATACTATTTCTTTCCTAGATCGCCATTCACGAACACATAACATATTACAGTGTCCATCAAAAGATTCAGACAGGGTTTCTTTCTCTAGCCTTTCAACTGTCACCTACTTGATCGATATTCAGCGCTTGAACGACCAACTGTCGAATCTTGAACAGCTTAACAGTGTCCGAGTAGCTTTATAAAAGCACCGCCTGAAAAAATCACCTTTTTTTCACTTCTACTGATAGAGTTAGGGCTTTCCAAACGCTGTTTGCCGTTGCTCAATGTCCGATCTGGGAACTGTAAAGGAATTGTCCAACGGGGAAAACACTCCCGAGTCTTTTGATAGCCAAGAACGTCCTGGAACAGGTGCTTTGACATTAGAAAAGCTGGACTTAAGAGAGGCAACTCACGACGATGAAGATGACCATACCCAAGGTGAGCCTACCAACTTTTCATTCCACGAAAACAAGTCACTTTTCGATCAGGACAGTAAAAGAGCTGCTTTGCAACACTTGAAACAGCAATCAGCGTCGAACTCAGCTAATGTCTCTCCAACTACAGGAAGAAGGCTTTCGGTGTCAGCTCAGAGCTCTATTCCTGAGCCTCCGTCATTAAAGTTCGAGCAAGATCGCGCCCGTCATGTTTCTGCCCGCTACAAGATGGGCATGGTCTTTGATGAAGACCAACAGCTTGCAGGTGTGCCATCTGCTGAGCTCGTGGATCTCTATTCTAAGGTACAAGACTGTCGTCAACTCAGAACCAAATATCAGACGCTCTCGATGCAGCATTGCCCACAGCAGAACCCAAAAAACAAAGCCGACTGGAAAATTTACCCTCCACCCCCTAAGCCCACTTACAATGCCGAGACAAAAACTGTGAAGAAAGTAGAGAATAAACCCGACGTTGAAGTCTTTGATTTTGCAAGCATTGAAGCTCCTGGCGAAGATAAAGATTGGGATTTCAGTACTAATGATGATGACGTCTTCGTTGTGTCATCAACGCAAGATCCATCGAACTCGTTGTCTGATGTCCCCTCGTTACGCCAATATTACAAAGATTTGGATTCCTTAGTGACTATCTCCTCTGATGGGCCCGCTAAGTCTTTTGCTTTCAGAAGACTCCAATACCTCGAAGCTCGCTGGAATTTGTATTCCCTGTTGAACGAATATCAAGAAACTTCGGTCTCGAAGAAAAATCCCCACAGAGACTTTTACAATGTGCGTAAAGTTGACACTCACGTCCATCATTCAGCATGTATGAACCAGAAGCATCTGCTACGTTTCATTAAGTACAAGCTTAGACATTCAGGTGATGAGAAAGTTATTTACAGAGACGGCAAGGTCCTGACTTTGGATGAAGTGTTCGAGTCCTTAGATCTTTCTGGATACGATCTATCGATTGATACATTGGACATGCACGCCCACAAGGACACTTTCCACAGATTCGACAAGTTCAACTTGAAGTACAATCCGATTGGAGAGTCGCGTCTTAGAGAGATTTTTCTGAAGACCGACAACTATATCAAGGGGACTTACCTTGCTGATATAACTAAGCAGGTCATATCGGACCTGGAAAACTCCAAATATCAAATGTGCGAGTACAGAATTTCGATCTATGGTCGCTCTATTGAGGAATGGGATAAGTTGGCAGCTTGGGTTGTTGACAACAAAGTTATCTCTCATAACGTAAGATGGTTGGTTCAGGTCCCTAGACTCTACGATATTTACAAGAAGACTGGTCTCGTTTCAAGCTTCCACGACATTACCAAAAACCTTTTCCAGCCATTGTTTGAAGTCACAAAAAATCCTCAAAGCCATCCTAAGCTGCATGTATTTTTACAAAGGGTCATTGGATTTGATTCCGTTGATGACGAATCGAAAGTTGACCGTCGCTTCCACCAAAAGTATCCCAAACCTTCTTTATGGGATGCTCCTCAGAACCCGCCTTACTCTTACTACCTCTACTACCTCTACTCGAGCATGACATCTTTAAATCAATGGAGAGCTAAACGTGGATTCAACACTTTTGTTTTAAGACCTCACTGTGGTGAAGCTGGTGATCCAGAGCACCTGATTTCCGCCTACCTGCTGGCACAAGGTATCTCTCACGGTATTCTGCTGCGGAAAGTACCGTTCGTTCAGTATTTGTATTATCTGGATCAAGTGGGGGTCGCGATGTCGCCATTGTCGAACAACGCGCTGTTCCTGACCTATGATAAAAATCCGCTACCGTTCTACTTTAAGAGAGGACTCAATGTTTCATTGTCAACTGATGATCCACTTCAGTTCTCCTACACCAGAGAACCTCTGATTGAGGAATACTCGGTTGCAGCTCAAATTTACAAATTGTCAAACGTTGATATGTGTGAATTGGCTAGAAATTCCGTTTTGCAGAGTGGGTGGGAGTCTCAAATCAAGCGCCATTGGATCGGGAAGAACTTTGATGCGGAAGGCATTCACGGAAATGATGTTGAGAAGACTAATGTCCCAGATATCAGAATCAATTACCGCCATGAAACCTTATGTACCGAACTCGAGCTTGTTGAACACTATGCACAGTTCGAGGCAAAACGACAATAAATAGTTGCACTTTTAAAAGTAAGAATAAGAATATTTGCGGAGGAAAAGAAAGCGCGGCCACAGCTAGCTCTCTTAAAATATCCGATCATGCCGTGTCGTCGCCGAACGCTCTGAATGTTATTAAGTAGTCTCCCTGTGAGATTCTATCTTGCAACAGCTGCAACAATGAATCAGAGGGATCTTCCTTGTACGAAAGAAGAACATCTTCATACTCGAATGATTGAGGAGTATGCTTTTTGATGCCTGTACCCAGCGGAAGAAGCCATGTATACATATTTGGACCCAGAAACTCTTTCAAATTGCGAAGTGCGTTATGCTTGTTCCAGTAGTCCTGTGCGTCGAGAGCTCTGAACTCGAAAACGTAACGTAGGCCATCTGCGGGATTGAGATAGCACATCCAGTTTTTCGTAGCCTTCGACCTGCGTTTGGTAGCTATTACCTCCAGCGACGTTTTGTTGACTGCCATATAATAGATGTGGGCAGAGCCCAAAGGCCCCACCATGAGCGTTGCCATACAGCACAACGCCAAGGTAACGATAATATTAGGATTTACCCGTGGAATCTTGTCGCGCGACCTTATTATGCGTGGCAAATAGCTGGCAACAGAAGCTATCACAAATATGCAAAAGGCCCAAAAATACAATGCAAACTGCACGAATAAACGGTAGTTTTTCCTCCCTACTACAGTACCTATCCAGAAACAATAGTGATCGAATCTTGGTATGCAATAGCCCAATGATGCCGAATGATGCGTTCGATTTGCTTTGATGCTCTGACAAGCGCTGCACCACAAAGGATAGCCCTGGGGATCGCATTGGTATAGTTTAGGAGGCCGAATAGATTGCGGAGGTCTGTTTCCAGCATCGTTTTTGGCACTATCAATGCTACCATCATTTTCAGTGTCAATGGTTTCTATGTCAGGAAATAATCGAAATGGTAAAAGTTTGGGCTGGACTCCGGGTCCTACAACGACCATTTGTATCCAAAGTACTATCAAAAGCACCGTGAGCGCCACCTCACCACACATAAGTCCCACGGCAACAGATTCATGTCCAAAGTTCAAATAAATTTCATTGTAGCACAATTCATAACAATAAGCCCAGCTTGCGTATGAAAGTAATGCCAAAACAACAATTGGAGCCCATGCCCGGAACCACCAAAACCGTTCTAATCGCATCTAGAACTGGCGAACTGGGCGAACGACAGCAAGTCGACCGACTCGCTTTATGAAAGGAATAAAGTTCTCAACTTTTTGTAGATTTTGAACTTTTAGAGGAAAGTATTGTAAATTCATAAACCATTTCTCATCTCATCTCATCTCAACTTAAAGATTTAGAATCAAAGGTTAACAAAGCTGTAACATCGTTACAGTCGAGCTCTTTGACTGGGACGAGTGTCATCTAGAGCTTCTTAGCTTTCTAACGATACCTGATTTGACCTGTATCCGCTATGGTGGCAGATGATGATGAGAAGAAAGATATGTGTCCGATCTGTAAGACAGATCGGTATCTGTCGCCCGATATGAAGTTTTTGGTGAATCCAGAGTGTTATCACAAGATTTGCGAGTCCTGCGTGGACCGTATATTCAGTTTGGGGCCCGCTCAGTGTCCATATGAGGGCTGTGACAAAATTCTGAGAAAGAACAAGTTCAAGACGCAGGTTTTCGACGATGTGAACGTGGAGAAAGAGGTAGACATCAGGAAAAGGGTCTTTAACGTCTTCAACAAGACAATCGACGATTTTGACGGAGATCTGCCGGCGTACAATAAGTATCTCGAGGAGGTAGAGGACATCGTTTACAATCTGGACACCGGAATTGATGTTGCAAGCACAGAGGAGAAATTGCGCACTTACGAGGAACTGAACAAACAACTGATCATGGCGAATATCAAGCGGAACCGCCAGGATTTGGACAGTTTCGAGCAGCGACAGAAGTTCGAAAAAGAGATGAAACTGAAGAAAAGACAGTTGGAACGGCAGATTGAAGAAGAAGAGTTCGCTAACCGAGAATGGGCGCGCAAAGAAATCGTGAACCAACTTTCATCGGCAGAAGACCCGGAAGACGTGATAGCGCACGTCAAAAAGACCGTGAAGCTGAAAAAATCGTCTGCAAGACGTAAATTGGAAGAGCTCAACAAGGTGCTAAAAAGTAATCCTTACATGACAGTATCTAACGGGCTGATGAAGAAAAAAGATGTGGTACCTTTCACACCGTTCAATGGAGATAGAGATCTACACAAGCGGTACGTGCTAGCCGAGTCCCAGTACGATGATCCCTTTATCAAGTCGTTGCAAACCAAGAAAGAGTACATTGCCTCCGGATTCAGGGCAGATCTCGTGTACGATCGCATGTTGACCGAGGCTTTCATGGGGCTAGGCTGCATTATCTCCGAGGAGATGCAGCTGAGCAGTGTTTCTGGATGATCGAAAAGAATATAATTGTCCAATAGCACACAGACGTTGGGGACTGGGGGTCTTCTTTTTTTTGGTTTTGTCTGGCTTCTTTCACAGCCCGCGCAATTGAATTGCGTTGACCATTGCTTGAGAAAGCTCGCGAGGGGTGAGCTGCGAGCAGTCGCCCTTCAGTTTATAATTCTGCATTGAGTTTCGTTAGGTTAGTAAACAGGTAACTCACTTTTCATTCATAAAATCTCATAATCACATCGCCGGATATACTACTCACTTTCTTGATTGTATCCCAATTCACAGTTGTTTTCAAGTTCGCATCCGAAAGTTCTACCACGCGGCCTTGGACATGGTCTTTAAAGAAACCTTCTGGCAGCTTTTCTGATGTTTTCTCCACCACAGCCAAGCACACAATATTCTTCGTTTCTTCGTTGATGCCAAATCGTCTAAAGGCCTCTGCTATGTTTGACGTTGGCGACAACGAAAGAATACATTCAGAGTTCAGATTCTTGGTTCGTAACCGGTTGTATTTACACTCAATCAAAGCCTTGTATACCGCACAGGACAGTTGTTCTAAACTGAAGATTGTCGATGCGTCTATCATTGCAAAAGGTAAAACTGCAACTTGTTCCCGAAGCTGCTTTGTGTTTTGAACGTCTGTGAAAAGAGTAGCGTGAATCTCGAAGGAATCGAACTGCGGAACCGAATAGCTCAACATTTTGGATAGTTCTGGATTGTTTGTTTGTCAAATAATGGCAAAACAGTTGTTGTAGATGATGATGATGGTATTTAGATCTCATCTCATCTCATCTCATCTCAATCCATAAAAGTAAGACTACCAAAGATCTGAACAGGGACAGTATCAAAGGGCATGAATTATGGATGAATCGACAACAATATGGAACCGCGAAGTGAGCAAGCGAGATGACAGCAACTTTCAGCGGAAAAACGAGCCCAAGGAGAACACAATTGATGAATTTAAGATTAGCGATGAGGTTGTAGACTTGATAGATAAAGCACTTCCTGAACAGAAGAGTAGGAGTTTGAGTGCTCAAGATGAGATCACCACCACGCTTTACGAACTACTGGACACAGCGCCACATGGCAGAAAGGTTAGGAATGATCTTTTCGCAAGTTCCACAGGCAATGCAAGCATTTTCCAGCATTATCGTAAAAGCTCCATTCATCGGAATTTGGTCAAAACAATAGATAAATGGATCGTGGAGCGAGAAGAGTCCGCTGCAGATATATCCGGATCGCGCGGTGGGTCGCGAGGTGACCATTCTTCGGCAATATTTACGTGGAGCTCTGCCAATAGGGAAAGTAACAAATCGGCTTCTTCGCATGTCAAGGAAATCAGTAGTAATGCCAGCAATATTGGCAACTCCAGTGGACCAAAACAGTCTCTCAATCGAAAGCTTCAGAAGCAGGCTCAAGTGGCAAGCAGTGATTTTCTGGCGCAGCGTCGTGAACTGGAGCGGAAACGGGAAATTGAAAACCTCGCCAGCACCAGGAGCGCGCCTGTGACTCCTGGCACCTTTAAAGTTGATCCTTTACTGGTCTTAAACCCCCAGGCTCTTCCAAGACCAAGTAAGAAGAAGTCAGACACCGAAAAGCCGCGACGAAAAACTACCAAACAGAAGAACAGGTTGAGCAACCTGTTTTTTTGGAAACCTTCTTCTACAAAAGACCAACCACGCCATGAAAAAGCTGCCAAGACGCAGAATGAGACCAAATCTACATTTATTGCAGAACCCTCAGATCTCACAGGCTCCACACAGTCGGCGTCTGACATTGATCAGCCAACCTCCGAACTTTCTGCAGCTGATTCTGTTGACGACCGTGATTCTGCGTTTGGCGAATTTGAATCAGCGTCAGCGTCGGAAACAGTCAATGACAGTGCTAATTTTGAGCCATCACAGGAGGCTGGTCCTCGTGTGCCAGATAGCTTGGCCATGGAGTCGTTTGCACCGCTTCAACCCAAAAGACGAGCTTAGCGTTACTATCGTCATCATCGTCATCATCAGTCATAGTAAAATTAACATAAATTGCATAGTACATATATTTACCGATGATACACCGGATTTTGTTGTTGCTTCTGTTCTCAGTTTCTTCTGCCAAACGTCAACGGTCTGTTGCCAGGAAATGAGCCATGACCTCGACTCTTGTGAGGTTTATACTCAAATTCGAGGGCTTGATGGCCTGCGTTGTGCGAATTGGAATTGTCAATTTTGAAATTATTTGACTTCATCGCTGCTTGGTCTTGCTTGAGAACCTCCTCGTAGGAAGGTGGCTCTGTAGGTATACCAGTGTATTCCTGACCCATCTTTAAGCTATATTCGCTGTCTCTGCCTGTTCAGTTTTGTCATGTCAAGACAGTAGGAGTAGGTATCCTTTATAACATTGGGTTTTTGGTGAACTCCGAATAGCACGTCTATCACATGAATATCACATTTTTTACTCTCAAGACAGTTTCTGACGTCGCTTGCGAGACGTAAAACATTAAGCGTCATGCCAGCTTGGGTTTCGAACTGAATTCACGTAGTGATTGAACTCTTGTCGCTGCAATTGTCCGTGTGTCACCGGTTTGTTGGAATTTAGGTGGTAGAATCCAAGATGCAAATAATATTTTGAGACGAGCGGCTCAGGAGAACAATTTTAAAAGTGGCTAGAGACACGACAATTTGAATGTATGTTCAAAAAGATCTCTGGACTAGTAAGGAACTTCTGACCATTGGCGAAGGTGTCACAGTCACTCTGCCAAGTGCCAGATTAGTACAAAGTGATATCAAAATGAATTTTCAATGCGAAAGTCAGGGTCTAGCAACTAAGCACCTGGTCAAACACCCCCAAAGAGTTAAAAAACTGCTATCTCATCACGTATGGATTCTTCATTTGCCTCTCTGCCGTGTGTGGTACTCGATGTATTATCATTAAATACGAAACTATCTATAATTTATATCAAAATTTATTAACACCAGATCCATCCATCTGAGATGAACTCATTCGATTTTGACTTTATCGAGCTCCAGAACTGTCATTCAAAACCTTTCGCGATGGTTCCGAACGGACGGCCTGCCATGAAATCTCTGGGAAACCCGGTGCTACAATTTGTACGTGGTAAGAGGACGAAAAGCAAGGGAACTTTGTCTCCAGCTTTGCAGCGAGCTGTGACCCAGCTGAGTGTCATGTCGGCGGGCAGAAAGCAACCTAGGATGCTCAAACTTTCACGGGAAGATCTTGTCAAGCACCAAACGATACAGAACTGCTGGGCCTTGTACCAGAAAGAGCTACGTGAAAAACGCAACACTCAGCTAAGGCTGCAGTACAAGAGTACCGAACAAGCAATGCAGCTTCTCGAACAACTGGACCCAGAACTTTTCGAGGCCGCCAATGCGTCTGAGGCCGGCAAAAGGTTTCCGCTTGAGTTGAAGGTGCCCACAGAATTTCCTCCCAGCAAAATATGGCACTATAATTACAAGCCCAAGCAAGAATGAAAAAAAAGCGCTACAAGCACAGCACGGAATTTCCAAAATGTCCTGTAATTTGAGCAGGTGTGAACCTGAGAAACTTGCACAACAACACGGCAAAACCATGTTGACAACAAGACAAGAATCACGACAAACACTGGCCTGTAAATATCACACCTGAAAGCTCTGTCGCCGAATCCAAAACCTGCCAAGCAACTCAATCGGCCCTGAAATAAGGTAAGCATCAAAATGTCGTTACTCCTGTAAAAATTCGTATTCTCGGTGATGTTACTCATCGCTCTCGAGCGACTCCGTACACAGCGACTTGCATATAAACAAAATCAATCCCATCATTAGTGTTTACCATTAGAAGTGAACCGCATCGCCAGATGCTGCATTGAGCAGAATAGCGTCCAGGCTTTCGGATTGCACGGCTGATATGATTAGCACGCTCTTAATACTAATCGGGGGCTGGTATGCGTGTTCGATAACGCTTTCTATCTACAACAAATGGATGTTCGATCCTGATCTTGGACTGAGCGTGCCGTATCCCATTTTGGTAACGTCTCTACACCAGTGGCTGCTATGGTTAATTTCATGGGCTTATTTGAAAGCGAAAGGAATTCAACCATCCGAAAATATAAGTGCGGATGAAAGCTCGTGGAAATTCTTTTGGAAGTATATTGTCCCAACAGCGCTTGCGTCTGCAGGAGACATCGGGTTCAGTAATGTGTCTTTCAAGTTCGTGGCGCTGTCTGTTTATACAATTGTGAAATCTTCGAGTATAGCATTCGTGCTTCTATTCGGGTGTCTTTTCAAGACAGAAAAATTTCGGTGGACGTTGATGGCCATCGTCCTAGTAATGTTTATCGGCGTGGCCATGATGATATACGACCCCAACATGGGTGGCAACAGTGCTAGCAGTGACCATAAGGTGCTGGGGGTTCTATTAGTGCTTTCAAGCAGTGCTCTTTCTGGACTGCGTTGGGTTTACACGCAACTGATCTTAAGGAAAGGAGATTCGTCGTCTCCGGCTGACAATGGCAAAAAGACGCCGGTTGAGACCATTTACCGCGTTGCTCCAATCATGGGGTTGGCTCTTCTGGTCACATCTCTGGGCGTCGAGAGACCGTTTCCCGACATTTTCCATTCTCATTTGTTTTTGATAGACGAGCAAGCAAACTTTGGCTCTGTAGCACGAGGAATGCTGCTTCTTGGATTTCCGGGTGTTCTGGTTTTTCTCATGACGCTTTGCGAGTTTGGTATTCTGCAGCGTGCCCATGTTCTCACGCTTTCCGTTGCGGGTGTGGTCAAAGAGTTGCTTACGATTGCAGCCAGCATGTTAATACTGCGTGAAAAGCTAGTCGGTCTCCGCAACTGGCTTGGAATGATTATTATCCTCCTCGACGTTTTCTATTACAACGCGTTCCGCTACAATGAAAGAAGAAGCGCTGCCATACCTTTGGACGATCAGGAAGCTGATGCTTTCATACCAGAATTCGAACTGCAGCGTACAGAATAAGACAGTTCAGCATTGGAAAGAATGGTCCTGAGATTATGGGGTCGGCTCACAGAAAATTCCCTGCATTTCTGTTCTTCAAAAAAGTCAGAAAATAGTCGGCTTTTCAAAGCAAGTTTTACTACTCCAAAAATCGGTGTCTCGTTCTAAGCAAGAGAAATTTAAAGACGTGGAAACGTTGAATTCTATGAAAACAGAGACCCCAAATGTTTTCATCAAAAGGAATGAGCACAGTATGGCAAGTGACGCTTGAACATTTATTCTGACCAAGTGACACTGTCGTATACGGTGACCCATAAAATTTTCATATTCCAAAATTAGGAGAAATCTAAACTTGACTAACCTTCTCTACAATAAAACGGTCAAAACACGAATCAAAAAGTACTGTTCAAAGACCAGACAAAGTCGCTATGCCACTCGCTTCATTTTTCTACGTTACCCCTTTGCGGGTTTTGAAGAGTCTGGCTGGTAAAGTCGAGTGGGTGCTCAAAAATCTGGTCAGCTACTTAGTGGCCAGTGACATTGGGACAGATATAAAAGAAGACACTGGAAAGGAGAAAACAGTATATGAGAAACATGTTCAGAACGAAAAGGAGACTTCAAAAGGCACAAGAACGCTTTTCCCCGCGGTGAAGATAATTGATGACTCGCTGGACAGTTCAACAGGGCCTGTGCCATGTTCAATGGACTTTTCGAGACTTCAAAATCCACTTTCAATGGTCAAGACGCCCGAGGGACACTTTGAATGGCGGTTGACAGAAGGCTCGGTGGGTTTGGACGAATCCCAACACACGTCGCTCGACGACTCCGCTTCGCCGGAGAGCAGTATTACGCCGAAGTCAATGGACGGTGATAAGGGATCTGTGGCACCCACCGAATCGAGAAAGTTCGTATGTCATCTCTGTCACGCAGAGTTCCACATGAGGGGCTACCTGACTCGTCACCTCAAGAAACATGCCGTGGAAAAAGCGTACAGGTGTCCGTACCACAACAGCAACCTACCGAAGGAACAGCGTTGCCACAGACATGGAGGGTTCACCAGGAGAGACACATTCAAAACACATCTGAGATCGCGGCATTTCGTTTTTCCAAAGGGTGTCAAAAGTAAGGACAGGGTCAAAAGCTTCGGTGTTTGCTTACATTGCGATACGTTCTTTGAAAACACTGAAGACTGGATCAAAAATCATGTTGAGGCCGGTGAGTGTAAGGGACTGCCCGAGGGGTTCAAAGTCACAGAGAAAGCCGCTCGAAAGTCGGGCAAATTGAAGAAAATCACCACTGCTGATGGGCAATCGAGGTTTATATCTACCGACCAGACTTTGGTCAAACCAAAACTGGTCGACGAAAAGAAGGCTGCAGGTGCAGCAGGTGGTGCCATGGACACCTCCGGTACTCCCGACACTATGGATTCAGTTCAACCTATCAAGCTGACAGGTAATGATGAGCGCACATCAAACATCAAGTACGAGGATCTCGTCGGAGACGTCGTTATTCCTAACGGCAGAAGCAGGTACCTGGACAAAATAAGTCCTGGATTTTCCTCGGGTTCTAGCCCTCTCGTTGTGGGACAGCAGCCGAACGCTGCGTCCAGCTATGCATTCAACTTTTTCACTCCATCGAAATCCACGCCGTTGGACGAAGGCTACCTTTCTGTGGACCCTTCTCCTACCGATGATGCTGGCTTGGAAACTGTGAAGTCTTCGTCCTCGGCATCGTCCCGCGTATCCTTCAGCGAAACACAGGAAAAGACGTCTGGAATGCAGGTCAATCCGCGTGACGACAACGCTGATGCTTACTTTCAATTTCCGCTCGATTTTGACCAATGTCCGATGAGTTTTACGATCCCCGAGTCGAGGCAGACAGAGTTGAACTGTGCCCATCCAGCGCCTATCGAAACGACATCACAGCTGTGTGATCGTCTGTACAAACAGATGGAGGCTTCCGCTTTGAACGAAAAAAACCTGCGAGAAAACCAGCACTATTTGAATTTGTACAACCACACTTTCAATGCTCATCTGTGATAACGCTGCATCACGCATAATCTTTCCCCCCTCTAACAATATCGATGTTGAGGCACACCTCAACTTAATGCATAGTCTGACGGCAGACATATTTTCAATTCCCGGTTCGGTTTCCTTTATCTTTTTTTCAACATAGGTTTTATGTAATTCAATTACATGGGTGTAACAAAGGCTTACAAGACAAAGACTCGCTAGAGAAACTAGCCTTTCGGAGTCACTTTCAAACTACTGATGTTAACCACACCATCGATAACGATCGCTTGTATTCTGGCCAGTGCCATCGTTCTTTCGACCTCGTACTCGCTCATTTATGTAGAAGTACTCGCTCATAGGTCACATGACCTATGATATAGTCTATTCAAGATTAAAGTTGATGAGATGAGCTATCATGGATGTGATGAACATACAACAACAATCAGAACTTAAAGGCTCAAGACATCTGTTTTTGCCGCGCAAATCGGTTCATTCGACACAGCCTAAGTGGGAGAGCGTACCAAGTTACGTTTGATTCATGGTTCCACGATGTCCGCGGAACAGGAGGAGCTAAACTTGAGCGAGCTGGTAGGAAACTTGTTGGCAGCGCACAACGAAGATGAGCTTCCTTCACAGCTTGAACAAGATCATGCGGAGAGTATAGGAGGCATTCCAGACTTGCCGGAACACTCTCAAGCGCCAGGTGAGTTTGACGATGAAGATCTGGCCGCAGTTGTAGCACAGGCCATTGGCGGTATGGAAGGACGCGGTGCGGAGGTATCAGACGATTTGGAAGCAACAGACCGTAAAGGAAGTAATCAAGAAGATGTTGGAACAGCTGCTAGCAAGGAAGAAGAATGGGCTCAGATTCTACAGCAGGGCCTGTTACAGGAAAGTCAGCTCAACGCGCCAGAACATATCGAAGAGGAAGCAGTGGACGTGGGTGGATCTGAGCATTTGGATAATGAAGATGAAGCGCTTAGAAGAGCCATTCTCGAATCCCTGCAAGGTTTCAACGTTACAGAAAGTCAGCAGGCACCCAAACATACGCATGAACCTTCCAAGGTCGCTCACAAGAAGAAAGACAAGGAGAAAACCAGTCGAAAGGATAAGAGCAGAGACAAGAAGGCCAAAAAAGGCGAGAAAGTGGTGTCTAGCAAAAAAAAATCGGCGAAGAAGAAGAAGGAATCTTCCAAAAAAACCGCTAAAGAGCTTCCGAAACGTACTTTAACTGTGCCTCAAAAGGCCACCACAGAGGCTAGTGACGGCGACTTGCTCAATTTCGAAGATGTCATCAAAGGATTCATGGAACAAGCTGGTGACGACACAGAAGCGCAGTCGAAAATTAGCTCTCGAGAAAACACAAGCACTTCACAGGGACTTAGCGGAGTCACAGACGCCGAGACACGCTCTCTTGTCGAGAGTACTCTCCGGGCTTTCGAAAATGAACTTTTATTTGGCTCAAAGCCCGCCACAGGTAAGAAATCCACGAGTCATAGCAGGAACAAGCCGCAGGTCACCGCCGTTCCACCTGCTTCACGCAAGTCATATGAAGGAATACAACCCATTGTACAAACTCTGCCATTAAGCAAGCCTAAAAAGTCAAAACAAAGTGATCAATCGAAGAAGAAAAAAGCCTCCAAGAAGATCAATAGAGAAAGTGAGTATAACGAAGATGATTTTTCAAAAGCCTTGGCAGATATGGTCAATCAAGTCGTGAACACGACACTTTCCGACTTCCAATCACCTAAGCAAAAATCTTCGGGAACCAAGACGCTGCCGGTTCAGACTTCAGAAGTGCCAACTAAGGCGCCGACTAAAGAGCCTCCTCTTTGGCCTGCCGACCCTGTTGCCATCGAAAAACCTTCATCATCTGGTAACGATCTCGACAGGAAAGACGATGGCCAACGAGCTTTTGGAACCGATGCCTCAGCAACAGAACATGGGCCGTCAGATCAAGTAGAATATGGCTCTGACCGATTCTCCGTGCAGAAAGATGCTGGGCACACTCATGACAATACTCCCGATCTCTCGCAGCTTGTACAATCGACTCATTTAGAAGAGATTCCAGAGAACTCGCTGATGTCTTTCCCTGACGCCAAGCAGACGCCCGCGCCTAATGATATAGCGGAGCCTAATGACAACTTTGACTTGAATCAAATAATGCAGAATGCTATGGAAATGGCTTTCCATGGTCAAGTCGAGCAGCAAATAAGCCAATCTGACCTCAATGACTTCAACAAGCAGCTACAAGGCTATAACGTCCCTGCTTTCATGGACGGTGCTCGCACATCGTCAAAGGCTAAGAAAAAGTCCAAGAAAAAGAGTAGCGGAGAAAAGAAGCTCAAAAACAAGTCAGGTAAGAAGAAAAAATCATGGGATCAAAGCTTCGTGGGAGGGCTGACACCCACAGCAGGAGGAAGCGTTTTAGATTTCAAGGGTTACAGAGAAAAACCTGCTAAAGCTGAGTTGGTAAGCCCCGTTGTTCCAAAGGTGAAAAGTAAAAAAGCGAAAAGCCATCGTGAGAAGGCTTTAACAACCCATGAACTCAGCGCTGCACTTCATGCTGCATCTGGATCTCTACCTAGCTTACTTGATGATCTCCCGAAGGCGTTAGACCTAGAGGCGCCCAAGACTCTCGGTAAAATGAAGAAAACGCTCACTCCTCAGCCGATGTCTGACAAGTTCTGGAGAAAGAAGTACAAAACAGCTGTCGCGGAGGCTGCTGCAAAGGCAAGGCGACAAAGGATGGACAGAAATAAGGCGACTCGAAAGAGGTTAAAGGAGGATCGACATATGCGCCGTCAGGAAAGGCACAAGAAACGCGAGGAAGAGCGCTCAAATGAAGAGAAGGAGAGGAAGAAACTGGAGATTATCGTGGCCCGGGGGCCACCATACCCTTTGAATTTACGACTTACGAAAAAGGGAACGCCAAAGAAGCCATATCGCTGGTTGACAGCAGACGAGATGAAGTCTAGGCTCTCTACTTACTCTGAAGAGGGTGTGCGTGCTTGGAAAAGTCGGGTAAAGGGTTCTAAATATCCGAGCCGAAACTTGGCCCAGGTCACTTACCCTCGAAAGATATTCATTGCAGATAATACTCACGAGAATATAGTCCGGGGAAGTGACGAGAAAATGAAGGCCATGGGAAAGAAGTCTGCAAAGCACATTTCTAACATCAAACTTCAATCACTAGAGGATGCATTCAATTTAGAGTTTCCTCTTACCTCGGGCGAAAACATCCCAGTGAAACGCCGGGAATCTGCCAGTAAACGTGCAAAGAAAAAGGGCGACATCAAGTATGAGTCGGTTCGCAGCTCAAAAACAATCGTCCATCGAGAGAAGGTTGCTTTTCATCCCCCATGGATGATTCCAAAATACCCGCCACTTGCTTTGCCCGTAGCGCGCAGGAAAAAGAAAGTCAAAGTCAGAACCACTGGGAGTTCAAAAAGCACGAAATCCACACGTCGAGATGGTGGCAGACTTGGCGTGCCATCTTTTATTGCTGGCAATAAGATAGTTTCCTCGTCATTGTTTCCCATAATAAACACTTTGAAAGCTGCGGCGAGGGCGAAAGCAGCAGCAGGTGCCACTCCCGAAGAAGCGAGTAAGCATTTGGGTGCAATGCTGCGTAATGCAAGGCTCACAATAGCTCAGGTTCTTGCTCGAGCTAGAGGTCGTGGTTCGCGAGACTATGGCAGCATGAAGACGTTGGATGATGTGAAATCATCCCAGGGTAGACTAGACCGCAACAAAGTAAAGACTACGCCGCTTTTCAGCCTGGGCAGTATCAAGGCCATAAGGGAGCAAAGCGAGGTCGCTGCGAGGTCTGATACCAACCATAAATTGCCTGAAGCCCATCCACAAGAAGATGAAGAGCTTGTGTCTAAGGAAGCGTCATCCATCAATGTCGCTGGCGACAAAGATGGTATGAAAGTACCTTCCGCTCGAATTCTGGTGAAAGAAAATAATGAAAGCGAGAACCGAGATTTTCAGATGACTGCTCAATCCGAGGGGTCACCCATGGGACCCACCATGGAAGTCACCACGCAAGCAGCCTCATTACCGAGTGAAAACAGACCCCAGAGCCTAGGGGTCGACGAAGAAGCCGCCAGCAATCAAGTTACTACTAGTACTCATGTGAGCCGTTCTCAAGATCCTGTTATCAAGCAAGAAGCGAATGACCCGCCTTTGAAAAAACTCAAGACTTCCCAGGCTGTCAAGTTGGAAGAGAGCGACGGTGAACCCTTATTGGCTGATAAAAATGATGCTCTCTCGAAGGGCACAGCACCACCACCACCATCACCGCCACCTCCAACTGATGAATTGCCGCCGGAGGTCAAAGCAGAACTGACGCGTGCAATCAATGATATTGTCAACCCGCCTGAAAAAAACCGTAAAAAATACACTAGAAGGACTACTCCGGTGTTGAATTTGGAGGGGCTTGTCCCTCCCGCGTCTTCAATTTCAAAAATAAAGCCAGAAGGCTCGATCGAGGCATCAGAGCAGAAAGGGCCTTCCAACAGCTCGGTGACGCAGAAAATTTTGACGCCATTGGTTTCTTCGAGCACGAAAACCGAGTTCCACACCAAGACACCGGTACCTTCTAAACCGGCTTTTGAGATTAAGTACAAGTTTGACATCCCGACCAGAAACATCGATGGGCACCCGATGCCTATAATCCCCATTTTGAAAAGAGCCAAGAACTTTCTAAGCACTGAAGACTTGACGAAGCTCAAGAAAGCCATGACAAATGAGCGTAAGCGTAAGTGGCGGGAAGTAAACGCTACTAAAAACAAAGACCATGACTTACGTGCTCGGCTTAAGAAGAGGGCAAACGCATTGTTTGGTAGTTTGGACTCAACTCCAAAGACTAACTGGTTTAACCAGGAATACTCCAAGCGTTCGCTCAAACTTGAAGCGAAAACGGAGGATAGTACCATTCAGCCGGTTCAAGAGCTTTCAACGAGCATAACAGACCATGAAGTATTGAATATGATTGTTTGCTTGTTGGACAAGGAAGATGTTGCTCGTGCCATCGAAAAGCAGATCAAAATCGAGGCTAGTAAAGTAGGCATCGACCGCAAAGGACTAAAGAAAAAGATGAAAACTCCTTTAAAAGTAAGAAAAGTTGAGGCAGTTCCGTTCAATGGAACGGAATCGTCTCATCAACTTGCTGACAAGTCACCGAATGAGCCCAAAAACGACATTGAAACAAGTCAAGGCCACATATCTCGAGAGGACAACAGGAACGGAATAGCAACCGATACGGCCGAGTCCATCGATCCCGTCTTTTCGCAAATGGCCAAGAGAGCTCGGGCGGACGAGGAGATCGAAAATTTGAGCGAATCTAAACGTGCCAGAACTGATGACTTTCCGAAGAATGAACTACTGAAAAAGCCTGCTTATATAAATTTGGGCGGTACAGATTGAGCTGCTGTTGGTCTCAAAGAGTTCAATGATATCGGGTAATCTGTTGATCAGAGTGCCCTTGAACATAATAAAATCTCCAAGGTATTCGCTTAGCTGACTGGGCTCGGAAATGAACATTAATCAACACACCGAATCACTATATAAATATCTAAAGTACAAAACGAGGAATTTATTCATGTGCATGGTGTAAACTCTTGTAATCATGGGTCTTCTTTGACATATAATCAGTTTGCTGAGCTTAAACGGTCTGCTCTGCGTTTCTCTTTTCCCACACAATCTCAGCTGGCGCCAATGGCAGAGTCACCATACTTTGAAAATCAGGTTGTGGAACACCATTCATTTTCGAAGATAGCTTCCATTTCAAGGTTCTGATGTAGATGGAGAGGATAACACCAAGTTGACAGTAAGCAAAGTGCTCACCGATACATCTGTGTCTTCCACCACCGAATGGCAAGTAAGGTGACGAAACACCTTTGGAGATGGCACCGAAACCGTAGTCCACTTGCTCACTGGATCCATAAGAAGACTGGTGATCGTTATTCCAGCGGTGTGGGTCAAAGGTCTTAGCACGAGGGAAATACTTGTCCTGCAAATGACAGTAGCCAGGAGAAACAAGAACGAAATGTCCTTTTGGCACGACATATGGAGTGTTTGGAACAGATAGGTCTCTTGTAACTTTGCGGAAAAGAGAGTGCAATGGGTGGTGCAATCTTAGCGTTTCTTTGATAGTCTGGTTCAATAGTGGCATTTTTTGCAACAAATCGAAGGTCAACTCCAACTTACCATTTTCCAACACTTCCATTTGTTCTTTGTAAAGCTCTTCTTGGATTTCAGGTTCTTCGGCCAAATGCAGCAGCAACCAAGCTGACGTAGCAGCAGAGGTATGTTGACCACCCATCAAAACACCAATCAACAAATTAGCGATTTCTTGGTCGGTCATTTGCGTACCGTCTTTGTAAGTAGAGTTTTTCAACAAGGAGTCGATCAAATCTCTGTCCTGAATATCATTGTTTTCCCTTCTTTTCTTGATGAGCTTCATGTAAGTGCCACTGATGGTTCTCTGTGCATGATCACGCTTGCGGTAATGATCCAGAGGCAAATGAGAGAAAACAAAGTTGATGGGCTGGAAGCCTTTATCCAAATCCGAGTAGAGGTAGGCAAAGTCTGTGTTGAGCATTTGACGCATTTCTTCGCCCAGCAAAGAACGCGAGGCGGTGAAAATGGTCATTTCAGGCTGGGATTCCATGACGTTGACGGTTCCTGACGATTGGGAGTTCATTTGAAAGTTCTTGGAGTCCCGGAAATACTGGTAGATTTCTTCAGCTATTTTGGGCACATACGAACGGAAGGACTCGGTGCTGAGAGCTCCCTTCACGAATTTTTTCTGGTCCATCAACTTGTTGTTTGGACAGTCGTAGATTACACCTTTGCCAAAAACCGGGGTTGTGAGATGCGTGTAGGCAGCTTCGGCGGACACGTCGGCCAGTTTTGCATTGAGCACGAATTCGTGGCCCTTGGGTCCCAAATACACCGTCATGACCCGTCCCAAAAGCATAAAAGAGAAAACATCGCCATATTTCTGCTGGCACTCTGCGAAAAACTCATAAGGTCTCATACCGTAAGTGATCGCACTACCGACCCATGGAATCCAGTAGAAAACAAGCGGGACCCGATCTTTGCGCATGGAAAACCACAGCTGCCAAACAATGATATAAACGAAGGGCGCCAGGATCACAATCGATGCCTGCTGTGCTATCGAAAGTTGTAAAAACCAGCTCAGTGCGCCGTTTGAAGCCGCTAAAATTTTGGAGAATACCGCATTCACCACCGAAGAGTTCTCGGACGCCATCTTGAACTCTGTAAGTTCCCTTCTATCGTCCTTTTACCTCACAAAATGTGTTGTTTTTCAAGAAATAATGTTCGAGCATCGATAATCAGAAATTTCATGTCCTTATATAGTCGTCAAATTTAAATTTATACGATTTTAATGGGCGACAGATGAGCATACAACTAAACGATTTTGAAGAATCCGATATAAAGAGCTTAGGACTCGATTAGAATCGAACAATGTGTTAAATAGCAGATACGCGCCATTGTTGGTGAACGAGGTCAGTGGGGTTTAACGGCATGCGCGGGAGGCTTAAAAAATTCGGTTTAGAGATTTTTTTTATGGAGTGATTGTCCGAGAGAAAAAAAAAGAATTTTGGACTGAAAATGGACCGAAAATGGACTGGAAATTAGCTACGATTGTTGCTGTGGACGGTAGGAAATACGATGGGAAATTGTGGGACGGAACGAGCTTGATTTCGAGGGAAGCCGGGCTCGTTTGAGTTTTGTCGTAAATATTGGTATGCCAGGGAACGGTGACAAATTGCAGCAAAATTCAAACCATACACACACACACCCACACATACACAAATCGTAACGGTCTGAATTGCATTGAGATGTGTCTCAATTGTAGTTTTGATGGAAAAATACCGGAATCACTATCAACGGGTGTGACGTCCGGCATAACACACCAACACCACCCCGACTACTAGACAAACCGGATCTCTGGATGGTAGTATTTGTCGCAGGAAAAGTAGGATCTACGTACCTCGTCCCAATTCGGGTTCTCAGGCAGCGTAATCGTGGTGTAGTCACATTTCATGCCGTAGTTCTGTACGTCGACCTCCACCACCCGCTTGTAGACGTCGTAGCACACCTGTCTATCAGCACCCAGGCCGTTGAAAAACGAGAAAACACCGTCCGGCTTGATCAGCCCAACCACAGTGTCGTAGAGCTCAAGCATGTCGCTGTAGTGTTCGCTGAACGTGTCGTAGTATATAGCGTCGAAAAAAACGTTTCCTTCGTCCAAAAGCGCAGAGAGTGAGTCCTGCCAGCGGCCTTCCAGGACCACGACATTTGGCATTTCGTACCAGCCTTGCTCCCGCATGTGTTTCAGGACATCTGGGTGAGCTTCGCAGATGTAGTGCTTAGTTGGCTTGCGTTCCTGGATGAAATTGTCAATAATACCCATTCCAAAGCCGATGTTCAGCACTACGGCATCGGAACCGGCATTTTTGAACATGGTGTCGCGGGCCAACCGCATGATACCGGTTTCCCAGTCCATCATGACACCGTCCTTGTTGTCCTTTGTTACCAAAGCGTTCGAGGTGTATTCCAGATCAGCTTTGAGGTAGACTTCCTGGGTTTCTGCAGTGTCACCAACAGTGTTTTCAGCCTGCACAGCAGCCACAGACTGTGCATCGGTTTGCTCTTCAGCCTCCGACTCTTCACCTGCGTCTTCAGATGCGTCTTCAATAAACTCGATGTCGTCGCTCAACTTTCGCAAAAGAAGTTCCGCAGAAACACCGGCTTCAACCACTCTATCATACAATTCACGACCATTGGAAAGTCCACGCTCATACAAGATATCTCCAGGGCTCTTGTTTTGGTAGTCCAAAAAGTTCCATCCAGCACCGTACTCGAACAGAATGTCCATCATCTTAAGCACGACCTCGGTTTCCGCTGGCGTTAATTTATCGGGCAATGATCGTACCAGGACATGAAGCGGTGTGGTGTTTGAAGCTGGTGCTTCATCATCGTTATCATCGTCCTTTCCAGCTTCAAAAGCTGCTGCCTGTTCGATTGTATAAGTAGCTGGAATACCGCTTTTCAAAAGCGCTTTCAACTTGTCCACGTAGGTCTCATCGATTGGCAAGGAATCCAAAGTCAGCAATTCGTGTAGACTAGACATCTATACAGCTCGTGAAAGCGATGGCTTTTGATCGTTGTTCTTTGAATTTCGAGAAACTTGAGCTCATCTCATCTCATCTCATCTCATCTCATCATTTCGAATTTAACCACTGTTTAAGCGAACTTCAAACTATGACTTGAACAAGCCGATTATTTAGTCATAAAGCATTGATATAAGGATATGAATATATAGACGATCAAGTCGAATCTTTGACCCAAGTCGTACGTGTGTTTCGTGGATATTTGTGAATCTCAATTGGTTTAAGCATCAAATCTCTTTTCGGCCTCTTTCCAGTTAATAACGTTCCAGATGGCCTTGAAGTAGTCAGCTTTACGGTTCTGGTACTGCAAGTAGTAGGCGTGCTCCCAGGCGTCAATGGCCACCAATGGCTTCAATGGACCGGTAACGGTGTCCTGGTTGTAGGTCTGAACAACCTCGATCTGGCCACCATTTTCAGCGTTTTTGACGATGAAGGCCCAACCGGAGCCTTGGATACCAGCAAGCTTAGCGTTGGTCTGAGCAATCAACTTGTCCAAAGAGCCGAATTGGGATTCGATCTGTTTGCCCAAGGCTCCAGAAGGAGCTTCTCCACCACCTTGCGATGAAGGAGCCAAGTTTTCCCAGAACAAGCAGTGGTTGGTAAAACCACCGCCGTGGAACTTGATATTCTGCTGCAACGCCACGAGTTGCTTGACAACTGCCACGTCTTGTTTGGGGTCTCCTGTCAGTTTGTTTTCCAACTCGCCAAATTGTTCAGAAGCAGCGTTGAAGCCGTTCACATATGTTTGGTGGTGCTTAGTGTAGTGAAGTTCATTGATTTTAGCAGCAATGTGAGGCTCCAAAGCGCCGAAATCCCATTTCAAGTCTGGCAACGTAACTTTGGTTCTCTTGGCCATCAATGGGGCCATAGTTGGTGCCTTTTGAGCAAATCTTTTGGCAAACATTTTTGAGTCTTGTAGAGGGGTTATTGAAGTACTTCTAAGTCAGTTCTTTCTCAAATTACAGGTGAATAAAATCACAATTTTGGCCGCGAGAGAGAGATAGATCAATAAGAGAAGTCTTGATCGTTAAAGAGTGCTATTCTCCAGTGACTTTGCGTTCTTTATGTTACTTGTAAGTAGTAAGGTTGACTGAGTACTTATACCTTTTTTTCAGCGGAGGTAGGAGGATATTGGAAAAATGATTGGATAGTGAAAATAATCGCAATAGATAGACAATTTACGTAGAGTTTTGAATATTCGTCATTGAAAGGAGGGAAAAGGATGAGACTTGATGATTTGAAACTGACAACCAAATTGCGGTGATTTTAACAGTGTTAAAATGGTCAAAATTGGATATCTGGAAGTGTAATTAAATGGTATTAGAAGATGATAGACAGACACATAGCACATGGATGAGGAAGGAGAATGGATGAAGAAGGAGAATTAACTATGGTTTTCTGATTGAAAAAGGCGGTGGATTTCAATGAGTACTGAGGAGAATTTAAAAGCCTGGATATCGCAACAAATCCGATAATTCTACTGACACTGATGATTTTAGAATTTTTAGATGAAATATTTTTAAGCCAGGAAAAATGGCTCAACTTGGTAAAGGAGAAGCGGGGTGTTGCGGTCTTGTTGCAGATTTTTGGGAGAGACAGGCGTTCCAACGTGAATTTGACTGGAGCAACGACACTGACGTATATAGTGATATACAGTGTTTGGTTAGAAATAGTGTTTTAAAAAACGGTGGAGCCAAATTCTAACCAGAATCTCTTATAGCAGCATATAGTACTGGTGTTTGAGCTTCATCTCACGCTACTTGTCCTGGTGGAAATCTCACTAAAGCTAAACACTACGATATGTTGCACGTGATCAAAAAGCTGTGACACACTGTGTAAAAGTGATGACGGATTGTCAGACTGAACACTCAATTACATCAACTTAGCTGACAATGCACACAGGCTAAAGCTTCAAGCCATCTTTGGGTATTATTTCCATACTCCAATTCCCAATTTTTCGACTATAAAGCTCTCAACACGAGAAGTTGACGTTTTCTACCAAAACATCTTGACAAAAAATACAATCCAAACAAAAAAAAGGACTTTCATCAAGATCTGGATGAGATATTGCATTGAAATTCAAGAATATTATAAATCCACGTACTCTCACATACCACTGCCCAAAAACTAACGGAATTCGATATTTTCGAAAACAATATGAAAACTCTCTAAAGTCGCACAAATGACACACAAACGCAATAAAGGAGCACCAAAGAAGAACAAAACCACTAAGAAGCCTTAACGTAACTAAAAGACCACTTTGAAGACTATTCTAACCACCAAAATATGTCTCTCTGTTCATATTTTGAAAAAACGACACCTTAGTACAAAATGATATGGTGAAATATCTACATCTCTGTTAGCAATGTCTTCGAGAACTCACCTTCTGTTCTCGGTGAACAATCGGCGAAGGAACAGCCTTCCGAGGGGCTATGAGTGGCAAACGGACACCAGAAGACTACGTATTTCTGGAAACACTGGGTCAGGGCTCTTATTCGACGGTTTTCCGAGCTTTGGAGCGCAACAACAGTACCAAAAACTATGCTGTGAAAGTGTGCTCCAAAAGACACATCATTCAGGAAAAAAAGGTGAAGTATGTCACTATTGAAAAGGATTTGCTAAACAAGCTGGGATCTGGTGGTCATCCTGGAATTGTGCGACTGTTTTGCACATTTCACGATGCAGAAAACCTCTACTTCGTGCTAGAATATGTCAGTGGAGGAGAATTACTAGGTCTGGTACGCAAGCATGGACCATTGCCCGAAATTTGGTATAAGCATCTGTTTGCGCAGCTTGTGGACACAGTCGACTATATGCATTCTCATGGGGTCATCCATCGAGACCTGAAGCCGGAAAATGTGCTGCTATCGCACGAAGGTAGAGTTGTAATAACAGATTTTGGAGCAGCTTGCTCCATAACTACCGCAGGACGGGACCGCTCAGCTTCCTTTGTGGGGACTGCAGAATATGTTGCTCCAGAACTACTGCTCTACAGCCAATGTGGTTTATCATCCGATATTTGGGCTCTTGGCTGCATACTATATCAATTGACACAGGGCGTTCCGCCATTCAGAGGCGAAAATGAGCTGCAAACCTTTGAGCAAATTGTTCATTTGGACTATAAATGGCGTGTGCCAACCATACAACAGGTCATAACATTGGTGCGGAATATTTTAGTACTCGATCCGCTTCTGAGACCCACTACTAAACAGTTAAAGCAGGATCCATGGCTGTCGACAGTCAATTGGGGAAATAAGTCGACTCTCTGGAAGGGTATTTGGGAGTTATCCGACAAATCAAAAAATGGACACACTAATATTCAAGAACGTCCCGTCACTACAGTCAGTGCCATCAGACCAGTCAAGAAAAAACCAGCACAAACAAGAAGCACAGGTGCGATTGTGGAATGGCGACAAAAGCTGGGACTCAATTCAGTACCGTCTCCACCATCCTCAACAGGAAATGCGAGTTTCAGTTCAAACGTCCAACCGATGCAACCAGAAATTGTTCGGCAAAAACCACAGCAAGGCCGTCCTCAAGGTCCTTCCCCAACACCACCTTCTAGCACTACCACTCGAAGCAATTCTAACCCACGCATTCTTAAAAGAGACCTAATCCGCGCTCTAGAGATACCATACAATTCATCACAAGGCACTTTATCTTTCGATAGCTATTCCACCGTCGACGATTCTGCCATTACAGATTTCGCGACCCAAAGCAAAAGCGACATCTTGGAACGATCATCTATTTGTTTTATGACACTGGACGCCAAGGGTAATCTCTCATGTCAAGATCAGCATCGCAAGGTAAAGCATATGATCTCTATTTCCGATCCAGCGCTTTCCATGTATGATTTCGAGTTTGATGAAGATACAAGAACGGGCTTTTTGATTTTAGAGAAATACAAAACAAAGCTTTGGTTTCTATCCGCTGCCCCACCCAACAGCAGCTGGCACAATGATGTTCGAGCATTAAATAGCCACAAGTCTTGGGTAGATAGTTTTTTCATGGCGAGAAATCTGGCATCTACAACTGAGAACAGACGACCCAAGTCTGCTCCTAGCGCAAGCTCTCAAAGTATACCGCGTAATACTCCGCAAGTTGCTGCACCAAAAGTGAAACCTAGACCCAAGACTAATGCAAACAGCATGTCGAATATGATGGTAAGCTCGAGTCGCTACGAGGTTCTGCACGCTTTATCCAGCTCAGGAAGGAAAGGAACCGATGCTAGCAGTGGTGCTAGTGCAGCCTTTCGAAGTCTAAAGAAGAAGTAGTCTAGCTCACATATACTAGGGTAGAAGCAATTGTGGAAGATGCATAAAGAATACATGATTACTTGAGGTCATCAGATGGTCGTGGGCCTTAGGATGTGGCCTAAGCTGAAGCGCTTTTAATTATTTTGTTCGTTATTCTTTTTGGTTAACAATATTCATTCCAATACACTTGCGTCAAAATATAGTCCCGGATCCAAAGCAGAAATGTCCGCGCTAGTCGCCACACCATCCAGCAGTAGCTCACTCATGATCTTACCAGTGCCTGGTGCATTATTTATACCCCAGCAAGAATGACCAGAAGCTAGGTAAAGACCTTCAAGATTGGTTTCTCCAACCAGTGGCCCGGAGCTGGTAGGTACGTTAAGCACAGGCAAGTAGCAGGCTTGCCTTTTTAAGATATGGCCCTTGGAAAGATTAGGAGAAAGCTTGGATACGTAGTGATAAAGTTCATCGCACTTCTCACGTACAACCTCCACAGCATCACTGGTCTCTGGTAGCTCGACCAATGTATCTCCTTCTCCACAAACGTAAACTTCATCTTTCCGAGCATACATCTCTGGAGAAAAATAGTTATTTCGACCAATTTTAAGTTCCGTGAAAATAGCATACGGTGAGACGGTGCCCGTAGATGGCTTTATAGTGATGGAATGTGCTCGAAGACCTGAAATCGGGCAGTCCGGCAGGAGCTTCGACGTCCAGGGTCCCATTGCCAGCACGACTTGCTGAGCGTCCAAAATTTCTACGGCGTCTGCTTTATCTTCGATTCCTTCAGAAGTGGGGGTATACGATACACCAGAAGCACACCCCATATCGTTGTACCTTATTTCCTTCACTTTACCCAAAATCAAATCTACTGCGCCTGTTTTCATGGCCTCATGTAGAAGAAAGTACGTGAATTTGTATGGATGCACTTGTGCAGTAGAATCGGTGCCCCCTAAAGAAGACCAGTCGCGCACGAGTTGTGTTCTAATCCAATTGAGGTCTTGGGGCAGGTCAGACGGTTTGGTGCTGCTGGAGTTATTCATCCCACACGATTCTTGTATTTCATCGGAATCAGAGTCCAAGTCTACCGGGTTGCTTGGTCCAAGCTCCAACGCCTCTAGGTCACCTTGACCATCGCTCTCGTCATCGCTGTCATTGTCACTCTCGCTGCCGCTGTCGTCAGTCCTGTCGCTCCTACTCGTTTGGGCACAGCGCTTTTTCTTGTCCGGAGTAGCCGTGTTGCGGGGTTCCCGATTCTTTTTGCGGGTTGCCAGAGTGTGAGACCTGCTGTTACTGCTCTTGCTGGATGCTAGACTAGCCTTATCGATGGAGTCACTTACATTTTGGACGTCTGCCTCAATCGAAACGGTGGTCAGACGACGATAGTCCCATTGGTTTTCGCCGTCATATTCGTCACTGAGTTCTTGGTGTAACTGAAAGCTGAGGGGCACGATTTGCTGTGGAAAAGCCCAAGTCGCCAGAAGTCCGCCTGCTTTACCAGAAGCACCGCCTGCAACTCTTTTGGACTCCAAAACCGTGATGTGGTGCTTGGAAGCGTCAAACGATGGATGACGAGTCAGGTAATACGCAGTGCACACACCGATAATACCTGCACCCACGATTACAATATGGTGTTTTCCCTCAGCTTTGCCAGAAGGCTGAGACAAAAACTCCACTTGATCAATAGCCTGTGGCGAACTGCTCATAACGACAACGGTGATTTAGAAATTGGTGATTACAGTGACGAATTTATGGGGAGATCGTTGTTACCGAAGCTCGATTTTTCCCACTACTTTCTGCTGCTGTTGTATGACGTCTGGTCTTCGATCAGAGTAAGTGAGGTGATAAGTTTTACTAAATGTGACAGATTCCTTGCACAAATATGGTAACAAAAAGCTGCACTTTCACCAAAAAAGACACTAGAAATAAGACCACTTGACGAACTCTTTTTTTCCCGAACTGGCTTTTTTTTCTGGTGCGGTGTAGAAAAAAATTAGGCTTTAAGGCAGGCACTTCTGAATGGGAATGAGTATACCAGCGATAAAAGTTTCGTTTAACTTGAGAAATCGGCTTAAGAAACTCAATTATGGACTGAGCCGGGACGTTTTATTGAGAGAATAATTTGAGAAGCCTTTGATGACTCGATCCGCTTAATTGTGCAGGTCTGTCTTTCCCTCTGGAATTTTGCGTTTCTCTTCTTATTTTTAACAGTGAATTGTTCGTTCATCGTTTTTCATGGATTTTCTGCATCGTATAATAGTAGACTTCAATCGCATTGAAGTATTGTGCGCGAGTGTCTTGGGTTCGCGCGGTTGGGGGTTGTTTCCATGAGGTGGGGGGTCGGGGGTGAAAGAGTCGTGGGGTGATAATGCATTTGTGCAAGCAAGTGCTTGCGGGATGCAAAAGAGCTCCGGAGACTATAAGGAGTTTGGAAAGCTTCACGGCAATAAGGATGTTTTCATCATGTTGTAAACTCCGAAGCCGTTCTAGAAACGGATTGTTTACGGCTCCAAATGTGTCCTGTGGGTGTAGAATGGGTAAATCGTATGTGTCTTGTTGTCCACTCATGGGGAAAAAGTGGAGCCATTTCGGTTAGTTCAACGACGGCTTCCGGAATCCGTTTTTTCTTGTGATGCAACAGGATCACGATAAAACATCAAAAGCATTGTTTTTGGAACAGACGTCTTGCAAAACGGATCAAGACACGACACGACACGACCGTATCTGGCTGTAACCGCCATTCTCAAAGCTGTTTCAGCACTTCGAAAACGGTATGGTTTGCGCTTGCACTTACGGCTTATCCTTATCTTGGCGTTCGCCCTGTTAAACGGTCGAGCCATTTTCTCGCTACACTTTTGGATACATTGTATCTAAACACGCACAATCACATAACCGCAAACGCACATGCTTTGACGGCGATCAAACTTGAGCATTAAATTCTTGTAAATCTATTATCCGATGATCAGTACCGAAAAAGATCCGTTTTCCCTCAAATTTTCGAAGCTAGACACCGTTTTTGATGCACAATTCGGTCCTGGTAGTTGATCCCAACAAGCTCATCCTCTTATACAGCTCTTGGGGTTCTGTCTTCAGCTTGGCGGCTATTCTCGAACTTAATTGAGTGGTGAATAGATGACAGAGAGATATTGGATTATTCATTGTAAATGTTATGAGGATGCGTCAGTGCCGTAGAAAGTGATATTCGATTCAAGATTTAGGTCATGTGATTCTCTCTCTCTCTCTCTCTGATGTGCTTCATCCATTCTTTTGTCCCGCGTTTGACGACAGCGATATTCGCTTTCTTCCAGTTGTTCTCGTTTCTTTAATATTCCTTGCACTCCAAGCTTCTGCACCCCTTTCTCACAGCACAAACGCCAGTACCAGCAACACGATTAATGCAACGATCAACAACCCTATGCAACAATCGTTATATTTCTCCTTGTTCTTCTCATAGACCCACTCCAGCTGTCTTCTACCTCGTGAGAGTTTGCTCATCACATTGTCCATGTTCCCATCCATCTCGTCCAGCATCACACCTTGATCCTCGAGTTCTTGGCCCATCGTAGAGGCCTGTAAATGCAGATTCCGCATGCTCTGCTGGATAGTGTCCAAATGCTGGTCTTGGTCCTGCAGCATCTGCTGCTGCATGGGATTGTTCTCTTGATCGTCAGACGGTACGTCAGAAGCTTCTGCATCTAATGGGGATGACCCTGCATTGGTTGACACGCGATCTGCTGGAATTTGCAGTTTCAAGCGGGCAACGTCCCGTTTCAAGCCCTGCATGGCTTCTTCTCGCCGCATTATTATACTATCGTCCACATAACCATCTCTTTTCATAACAAGGATGCTGGAATCCAGCTCTTGCACCGTTTCTTCCAGGTCAACGAAAATGTCCCTTATTTCGGAGTCAACCTGGTGGTCTCCGTCCAAATATTGAAGCAATCGATTGGTCTGCTCGTGAGTATCATTAAGAACTTGTTCAAATGGATCATCCATCGCTATAGCTTTCTGTTTTCCTCTTGAGAATCGCCGATGTCTTCGTTAGTGAATAATTTCACAACATGATGATATATATATGTTCAGACATCAAATCATCGAGTAACCAAGTTATCAAGCAGCTCGTCGAACAATCCATGGATCTGGAACAGCAGGCCAAGCAGGAGACCCCTCAACCGCCAGACTCGGACCGCATCGACATTTCTGAGACCATTGGCGGTTCTCAAACCCGCAAATACCTTAACAAGCATGTAACGCCGGCGTTACTGCGTGGTATGCGACTCGTGGCCAAAAACCAGCCCGATGATCCACTCAAGTTTCTTGGAGACTTCCTTCTTCAAGAAAGCCAGGCGCTAAAAGGCTCTTCGAAAGACCCAGAAACCCTGCCCGATGCTGCCTAGCAAGTTGCCAGCATTGTTGTGGAAATGATGATATTCTAGTTATTTTGTATAACCAACTACTCTGCTGTGTGTGTATGATGCATATATTTAAGAAAAAAAGCGCCTTGGAGATTGTTCCCTACATTGAAGAGTTGAAAGATTAGAGGCAGGGTCAAATTTCAATTTCAAAACTTCTCTTCCTCCGTGGCCTCAAGATTCATCATCTTCAATCCGTAGCTGCAGAAAACGCTCAAGAGACCGAGTCTCCATCCGCTCCAAAGTTCATGGATGCGGTTTGTGTCCCGTAGGTTATTGTAGATTCCGCTGTACTCGCGTGGGTTGACAACCATGTTTGCCTTGGCAATCGGGAAAGGGTCCTCAGGTTTTTTCCTCAAAAGATACGCTGTTTGACAACGTCTAAGTAGCGTCTCGATCGGTAGCTTGACGAAAAGCTCAAGCATGTTGGATAAAAGCTCGAGAGTATTGTACCAAATGGTCTGTGTGAATCTGTCGATCTTGAACTGGTGATACAGAAGCACTCCCGTAAGGTTGGTGAATACAGTAGACGTCAAGGAATGACCAACATTCAAAATCACCATTTCCAGAGGAACGCCACTGGCATCGCGTTTCCACGACCATCTTTTCAAAAGATTACGCATGCTTCGGTCCTCCAACTTTACAGAAGTCACAGTTAGTCTCGTCCTGATGAGATCTAATGGTAAAAGAACCAACCCAGTGAAAACGCTGGCACAAATTGTAAGAGCAATGGATTTGCGTGTGTCTGTAGAGTGGATAATGTCGATGAAATAGGGGTCAGGGATCTGCAGCAGGGGACTGATCAAACCAGTAAACCAGGCGTCCAGCGTCACTGATAGAAAGTTGTAGATAAAAGTTGTGTTGTTGGCCCTCCACAACCCGCGGGTACCTTCTTCTTCCATGATCGAGTTCAAAACATCCATAGTATGCAAAGAGTTGGGCTGAATTTGTTTTGTCAAAGAAGGTGAGCTATGGTCGTGTTTTTCATGCATATTTGAGCTGACCGGGGCCTCTGACCAATTGGGCTCATCATCAGGGTAGGTCTGAGGGAAATACTCTATCTCTTCCTCATTGTCACCCTCTGCTTCGTCAGCGTACTCAGTGTTGTCGTCATTCTCACTCATCTCTAGCGAGATTCTCGTGTTGTCCGTACTCTTCGTGAAACGGAACTCGCCTACCTGCAACAAGAGCCTTGAAACCTCAAAAGGCTGCTGAACAAGATGCCTAAAATACTGTCGTAGAAATTGTTCCAAAAGGTTAGATCCCATACTTTTCCAGGACCTCCAGTTTAGAACATCATTCCATTCCATGTCATTAAACGACTTGTGCGTTTTCTCCACCCCATCTATGTCCTGTACTTGAGCCTTTACCCCAGCAGACAATTGCGACAAAATGCCAGGCTCCTTGAGCGACTTGGTGAGCCGTGAAGACTGGCGTTGTGACATTATATTAAGCTTGGAAGCGATGCTCCGGCCATGACTGTCCACAACGCCCTGATCTGGCTTGAAAACAGAAGTGTAGCCGGCATTGAAGGTGTCAGGGTCGTAATATGGCCTCAGCTGTTGATGCGTATTGACATCGTCCATCGCACCTTTAGGATATTGCCAGAACTGGGGAGGTGATGGAACGCGGGTCTTGCGAGCTCTGCTGGTATGTTAACTTATTAGAGATGAGCCCAAAATACAAGGGCGTCGTACTCCATGAGGAGCGATGAGGGCAGCAAGTAGAGACCAAAGGATAAAGACCATACAAGATCGCTATAAGTGAAGCATGCGGGCACTGAACATTTATTCAATGAGCTCACACGTCTGAAGTTTGCAATGGAGCGTGATGCGAGTGCAATTTTTGATCATTCACCGTCATTTTCGGCGTCGTCCTCAGAGTTGTTAGATGGCCCATCAGCACGCACGTTGTCGGCGATATTTAACGAAACCACCCTCCTTCCGTTGGGCTGGTTTTGCCGTAGCATGGACGTTATGCGATTCATTTTGGTCATTGGCAACGCACTCGATTTTGAGGTCTTTGGGGGTAGAAAAGCAGCACCAGATACCGCGAGGTTGTTTTCCACGGCTTTACACTTCTCCATCAGCGCTTGGTCGATTTGTTTGTCGAGACTTTGGTGCTCTTGTCGCAGTTTTTCAAATTCTCGTTGCGCCTCTATAAGCTTAGCCACCACAAGTTCGTATTGCGTTTGTAGGTCACTGAGGGCGGTCTGTTTTTGAGCAATCTTTGTGTTCAGGTCTGTCAGTTGCCCGTTCTGCTGCTTGTAGAGGTCCAGTTCCTGGCGCAGCCTTTGTATCTCGAAAAAGCTGTCTTTACCGTTTTCAGCCGCCGATGGCGACTTCGAGATCTCTTGCTCCTTTACTCCCTGTTTTTGTACCTCTTTCTTCGACAACAGCAGGTGCTGCAAGTGTTTGTTGTTGTTGGCACTGCGGGACACCAAACCCTCGAGATCCACCTGCGTCTGAGCAACCTTCGAGTCCATCCGTTGCACCTGTGCGTTCAGATTGTCATGTCCTGCAAGGAGACGTTTAATCCCGACCACCATCTCGCTTATGTCGTCTTCATACACCACTCTTGACCTGGGCGGCTCTTCACCTGCAGAATGTGAGTCGAAACTCTGTTTGGTATTTTTCAAGCCGCCAACAGCGACATCTGCACCGTTTTTCGACATTTTGAGCTCTATGTGTAGCTGGAAACTCACTCTTTCCAATCAGCTAGCTTTGACTCTTAGCAAAACGCATTCAATGGCTAGAATGCTGGATACAATGATATGCCGTTGGAGTTGTCAGTGGTATTACCTGTAATAAGGTACTACTATCTTGTAAATATACGTTGGGACGGTCTAGATCTGAAATCACCAGTCGATTTGACTGTGACTGTTTTTTGAGAAACACCCATACATCCTTGAAATAAATATTTGACATACATTTTTGAAAAATGTACGTCACGTTTTAAATTCAGATACAAAGAGTCGCTTGGGTCTGAGACTGAGTGGTCATTGCGACCTGCGTTACCGCGAACAGCGTAGACGGGCCGCAAAGGGACTGTCTGAGCCTAGCCTCTCAGCTTTAGGCAGAGAGGGATGTGGCTTTCCAGCCTAGGTCCTGCTGGGACAGTTTGCCCTTGGAGGAGAACCAGTGTGGTTGCTTCGCCCAGCTCCTGCCTAGGTCCTGCCTAGCCTCTGCCCAGCCTCCGAACGTGCTGGTACTGCGCTGTCCAGTCTCTGAGCTAACCCATACTGGAACAAATTTTGGAAAGATGCGATTGATATACGTACAATTGGTATTCCAGCGCTGTTGATCTTCCAGTTAACGAATAATCAGATAGTTAAACCTCCATCATCGAAAATGGTTAAGTTCTTGAAAGCTGGTAAAGTTGGTACGTATTAGCATGCATTAGTGGTAAAGGAATCCGTGGATCTGACGAAAGAGCGAGCTGCAACAACGCCCGATTGAACGGCGCCGAAGGGAACACTCAAAAGTGGCAAGATTTACGTGGGATGGAAACACACTTCATTATCAGTGACAAACATGCTGTCGCGAATTGTCATCAAAAAAACCGGTTGGTGAAGAGTGCTCTTTGGTGCTTCTGAACTCGTTTTCGCTATTCTCCTGGATGAACGCCTTTTTTTCTTCCTCCAACAATCATACTAACTAGTCATTTTTATCCGTACAGCTGTCGTTGTTCGCGGTCGTTACGCCGGTAAGAAGGTGGTGATCGTCAAGCCACACGATGAAGGCTCCAAGGCCCACCCATTCGGTCACGCCTTGGTTGCCGGTATCGAAAGATACCCATTGAAGGTCACCAAGAGACAGGGCGCCAAGAAGGTTGCCAAGAGAACCAGAATCAAGCCTTTTGTCAAGGTCATCAACTACAACCACTTGTTGCCAACCAGATACTCTTTGGACGTTGAAGGCTTCAAGTCTGTGATCTCCACCGAGACCTTCGAAGAGCCTTCCCAGCGTGAGGAAGCCAAGAAGGTTATCAAGAAGGCATTCGAGGAAAGACACCAGGCCGGTAAGAACCAGTGGTTCTTCACCAAGTTGAACTTCTAAAGCAATCAAGCATAATTCAACTTTTTGCATTTGGAATCTTCATCTCACCTCTAAATAACCGAAATTTTACTAAGGCGGATCCGTATGTAATCTACACAAACACAACCCATTAAGCTCCTCTAGTGCCTATTATCTTGCGCTACTCAATTCTGTACCATGTCTCAACAAGCACAGCCGTTTCAGGTATCGCTTCTACGTTTTTCGACTTTTATGTGAAATAGCTGGGGATGTATGTTAAATACCATCAATACTGTTATCAAAGGCTCCAAAATGAAGTGTAGATATCTGTCCACTAGTGCTGCACAGCTACTGAAAAGGGCTCAATTTGACGTCAAGCAATTTGTAAACCAGTTGCCGCAACACGCTGAGTCCATTCAGGCCCGACAGCTGACAAACGGTAATGACCTTCTCCATCAGCTTTCCCAAGTTCCATTTCAGGAACAGCATGCTAGAGCATTAGACTCCGAGATAGCCAGGATCCAAACGCAGCGCAAGGCTACGGAAAGGGAGATACGCGTAGATAGAAGCAAGCTCAAGCAATTGCAAGGTGAATTGGTGGACTTGAAATCATCATTCCAAAACGTATCTACTGAGCTAAGAAATACGCAAAACCAAATCTACGAAACATGTGCATCGCTCCCGAACTTGATACACCCTGACGTGCCCTTGACGGAACCTGAGGTCGTTAAATGGATTAATGGGCTTCCACACTACACAGCAGACCCTTCACGCGACCATCACGACATCCTGGTTAGCAAAAACCTTGTAGACTTCAAAGCAGCTGCAACGGTCTCTGGAAACTCGTGGTACTATCTTCTCAATGACGGAGCACTTTTGGAGCAAGCCCTGGTTTCATATGCTACCAAGCGCGCTCGTGAACATGGCTTTTCGATGTGCAATCCGCCCAGCATTGCTAAAAATGAAGTCATTGAGGCCTGCGGGTTCAGGCCGCGCGACATGAACAACGAGCAGCAGATTTACAATATCGAAGGCTCACACCTGGGTTTGACTGCCACCGCTGAAATAGCTCTTGCTGGAATGCAAATAGATACCGTTTTGGACCTTTCCAGCGGTACCAAGAAAATGTGCGGGGTCAGCAGAAGTTATCGAGCAGAAGCTGGTGCAAGAGGAAGAGATACAAGAGGGTTGTACCGTGTGCACGAGTTCACCAAAGTAGAGCTGTTTTGTTGGGCTTTACCAGAACGCAGCGAAGATGTACTACAGGAGCTTTTGGATTTCCAAATCAAGCTTGTATCGGAACTGGGGCTAACCGCTAAGGTTCTGAACATGCCTGCAAACGATCTCGGAGCTCCTGCGTTCCGGAAATATGATATTGAAGCTTGGATGCCCGGAAGAGGATCCTTTGGTGAAATTACCAGCACTTCCAATTGCACCGATTTTCAAAGTCGCCGTATGGGCACTAAATACAAAGACAAAGTGACAGGGAAATCAAAATATGTGCATACGTTGAATGGAACTGCAGTGGCTGTTCCCAGAGTAATCGTTGCCATTGTGGAGAATTTCTATGATCCTGACACGAATTTGATCACCGTTCCGGAGCCTTTGGTACCATACATGGACGGTAAAAGATTTATTTGAAAGACTGAAGATATAGAAGGATTTTCCTGGTGATACATTCAAAGGATAAATAGTAAGGACGCTGCTGAAACCGGGATCATGTTTGCCGGTGTCACTTAGGATTCTGGTCAGCTTCACCACCCGTGCCCAATGATGAAGAATCAACACTCATCTAAAGGGAAATGAATACTATCTCGAAGCTCTCGGGGCTTCATACGGATCACTTAGAAGCCAAGCCGGCTACAAAAGCTGTTTTTAACCATGCTCTTGTTGGCTTTGAGCGATGCACACATTCCAGAACGCGCAATAGTATGTTTGAAGATCTACGAACTTTGACCTACTGGTCAGGATCACAGCATTAACATAACGTGGTGATAGGACCTTCCGCACAAATTCAAAAAACTCATAGGTGTACCGAACAAGATAGAGCAAGTAGTTCTTTTGGGGAACTGCACGAAAAGCCTTGAGTTTTTGAAATTTGTGGAGCACATTTCGTCGAACGTAGTGGTTGTGAGAGGCGAATTCGACACCAAAAGCTTGCCCTCAACCAAAAACACACGCGAAGAGATCCCGTTAAGCACGATTATCAAGCAGGGAGACTTCACAATTGGATGCTGCAATGGATATACGGTTGTGCCCAAAAGCGATCCGCTGGCTTTGCTTACTTTGGCGCGCCAATTGGACGTAGACATTGTTCTGTGGGGCGGAAGCCACAATGTCGAGGCCTACACCTTGGAGGGCAAGTTTTTCATAAATCCCGGCACTTGCACGGGCGCTTTCAGTACCGACTGGCCACCTTTGCAGGAGCCTGAATCCGAAACTGAGAAAACTGAGAAAACTGACACGGAACCAGCAGAAGTCGCAAACGAAGCTGAAATCAACTCCGACGACAACGACGACGACGACGACGACGACGACGAAGCAGATACCCAAAGTGTGTCCAGTTTCTGTCTTCTGGACATTCAGGGCTCCACATGCACGCTCTACATCTACACACTTGTTGATGGCGAAGTGAAAGTCGATAAAATCGTCTACAATAAGAGTTGAAGGCCAGGACCGCCGTCGGGAAACTAGGAAAGCGAGGGACCAGAGCTCCTCTTTTATGGGATAGAGCAGATATCAGACATTTATCATGACTCCTGTTGGTCTTGCTCAAGGCTGACAGATCGCTGGCACACCTCTTCTTCAACGATCGTGGTAGCCCTAATAAGCTCAATCTTGATTGCTTAGCTCAGCATTTTCAAACTTTGTACCACGTGATGAACGATTGAGCTTATGTAATCTCGGTTTTTTTGTCATTTTCAATTTGGAAAAAAAATTGTATATAAGTAGCGATGAAAAACTCGCTGTTTCCTCTCAAAAGAAGAAGATTATCTACAAAATAAGCAATTGCAACCTCTAATCCAAAAACCATCCAAATGCAATCCAGAACGTTTGCCATGGAGGTTTTATGCAAGTCGTAGTGATGAAAAGAAGTGTCTTTTCGAAAAATACACTATTTTTAGGGCCGTACAGTCCAGCGGTGTATTTTTCTTTTTACCAGTGAAAACAAAGATCTAAGCATTACATTTTCTCTTACAATGATGAACACGAGTGCATTTGGCTCGAGACGTTTTTGTCGGTGTGGAAAAAACCAAGCTACCTTACTATTTTTTGTCTGACTTAGAGAAAATGCAGTGCGTAAGATTATTTATCGTAAAAAAACTAGTAGAGATAAGGAAACCGTGAATTGTTTGTAGACCTTATGGGAAGGGCTTTCGTAAGGCTTGCGAGACATGGTAAGGGTCCGAACAGGAGCTAAACCTTGATATTTTGAATGCCTTCTTGCAAAGATGACTCTGGATTGGGATCCAATAAGTCACATTCAAGGTCGTCCTGGAGCAAGCCTCGCTGGAAATTGGCCGGCTGCAGTTGTTGCGTATCAAGCACCTTTTTCATGGCGTAGGCGTCTTCACCGTCCAAATAGTAGCTTTTCTCAACGTTCAAGACTTCGAACTCTAAGGTGTCGCGGTACAAATGGAGAGCTGCGCGATTGGAGTTTCTGACGTGCAAAGAAACGAAGTTGGCCTTGTATACTTCGGACAGCGCAAATAAAGCCTGACGCATTAGTTTTTCAGCAAGCCCCATGCGACGGTAAGTACGCATGACACTGAGCGATGTGATGTGACCGTTGAGCGCGTCCGGGCTCTGAGCAGCGGCCGGATCGTCGTTCATCTTCGCCAACACGTAGCCCACAAGTTTTTCGCCCGGACGAACGTAGCATGGATCGCATTTGCACCGAGAGGCATTGGCTCCAGAGGCAAGCTCCTCGAACTCACCAGGGGTCCCCACATCATCGGTGGTAGTGGCCACAAACGACGCCTCGGGCCACGAGAGGATGTGGTACATGTAGTATTTGAACAGGTAGTTTTCCGGAAGGTTGTGCAGATTGGCGTTTTGCATGCAGAGCATGTCGTCTATCGTGGCTCTTCGAATGGTGATTGGCATTTTCCTTGTAGGGCGTGATTGTTGAGCAATTCGAAAGTACAAGCGATAGCCTCTCTCACGAGCCTTTGTCCTGGATAAGCTGTGTCAGAAAGTCTTTGGGTAGTTCTTCGAAGCTTGGGCCTTCTACAGCGTTATGATGATAATATTATATGGTAATTTTTCAGTATACAAGATGAGCTAAGGGTCACGTGAGACATTGAGATGGAAACGTCAAGGTTTAATTTACGATTTCGAAAGGGTATGGAGAGTTTGGCGTCTTTTCAGATAAATATCTGGAAGAGTTGGTAGCTTGGAGAGAAAACCTGTTGATGTGCTGGTCTCCAATTCCCTGCGGTATCTTTAAATATCAAGAAGGTGTCTTGACCCAAAAAGATATATAAATTTCGTATATAGTGATATAGTTGCACCTCTTCTGACACAGTCGTCTATAGTGATTGGTGTAAACACAGAGTAAATCCAGCTACTTAAAGAAAGTACCACCCGATAGATAAAGCTACAACACACATAGTTTTTTTATGTTCTCCTCTCTCTTTTTTATCATAAATCGTTTATTTATATATACCCGAGGTTCTTATTTGTAATTGACACTTCAGAAATCGAGCGTTGTTCGTATCACACGACAAGAAAAGAACTTCACGAACTTACCAACAAATCCCCATCCTTTTGGAGGTGTACTTCCGTTATTTACGGGGCTATTGGTTATGCGGGGATTGGAACTCTGGGAAGCACGGAAATTGGCAATGTGTTTCGTACATAGCGATACGTTTGGGCAGCAGGTATGATTTGCTAGAAACGGTTTGTCTGGAGGAAGAGAATCTCAACAGGAATTCGCGATAATTGGGCCCTCGGACGTACTTCGTTTTAAGCTCTGTAATGCTCCTCACAAAATGTGTGTTTTTTGATTATGTCACGTGACCTTAAATTGTTCTCACCTACATCTTCCTACTTACCCATTTCTACCAAATAGGATCTTTAAATCAAGAAAGCACACCGCTCTCTCACAGAAAAGACCCTCGCCTGCAATTGATTGACTCAACTCACCCTGTAGTCATTGGTCGTCTTCTTGCCCTCTCCTTCCACCAAATTCTGTTGTTTTTTGGCTTCATCTGCCCTGACTCGAGTAATCGCATATCTCAATCATCAATCTAACGCAGATTTCAACACTCTATTCAAGACATACTAGACAAACTCAGTGTTACAACACCTTTCACTACTCAATTATCCCTCGAAGTCCGGTTACCACTCTTTCATGAAGCAGAAAATCATCAATCCGTCCACCTCTGTGAACACTGCACCGCATCCCGGTTCAACCGGTTACGATTACACCATGGGTCCGCAACAAACACTACCGGATTTGCCAAATTCTTCTGGAGCCGCTGCTGTGTCTGGAGCCAATGGTGCTTCTACTGCTACTTCCGCAGCCATGTCTCTGCCGTCCGTGTACAATGGATCGCTCCATCCTCACGCCCACAATCAGCACGTATCGTTGGCCGCATACGCCTTTCTGTTCCAAGAGCTTGTTTCCCAGGCTCGCAACGCTAGCAAATCCGTCTCTGAGATCGAAATGCGACTGCACCGCAACGGCTACCACATCGGCATCAGACTGCTGGAATTGCTGAATTTTAGAAGCAGTGTATCGCCCGGATTTGGTTCTTCATCGTCTTCTTCGTCCAAGGCGTTTTTCTCCAAAAACTCCATCAACTCCTCATCCAACACCCTGGCGCTCAACGGGGGCCTCACGGCCACCCAGGACGAGCCATCCCTGGCCCAGGGTATCTCTAATATGAAACGCCGCGACTTGAAACCCGTGGAAATTCTTCAATTCATTCACAGCACTGTATGGACCTATCTTTTTGGCCGTGTCAGTGACGACCTGGTCAAATCTTCCGAACGCGACAATGAGTATATGCTGGTCGATTCAGCTCCCATGTTGTCACAATTCATAAGCTCTACCAACGTTCAGTGCGATTTTTTCGTGTGCGGTATCATAGAAGGCATCTTGGATTCTGCTAGTTTCCCTTGTAATGTTACAGTTCATTCAGTCCCAGAACCCAACTCTGAGCAAAAAGTTGTATTTGTGGTGCGATTCGAACAGCAGGTACTTGAACGAGAGGCACTGCGAGCATAGTTTGAAAAAAAGGACCCAACTCAAAATTTAAAGACCCATATTGGTGTGATTCTCGGTTCAGAAGATGGCACCTCAAATAACCCGTAAAAGGTTCAAACTGGACGATACGTCGATGGAGCAGCCTTTGAGAAGCAAGCCCGTCAACGTGGTGGCAAAGGCGGTGTCTGGTAAGAGTCCCGTTGCTCGGAAACGACGCAAAGTCGAGGATCCGTATTCAAGTGTTTTTGACCATCAACACGTCGAAATCCGGCTGGCAGACGAAAATTGGCGCGCTAGAACCGCAGACGCATCCCCAAGCGGTTCCCAGGAACGTTCAAAGTCCGTTTCCAAGCTTCAAATGAAAGATCACAAATCGGGAGCTCGGCGGCTAAAGATCAAAAACCCGCTCCAAACAGCAGACTTACCCCGGCCTTTTCTGGATGCAGACCGGTCCATCCAGCTCGACGATTTTGACCAGCCGCCGGATTCCACTTCGACGCCGATTATGGGGAGTCCAAGATCGGCCTCGCTCGAAGTTGGCCCTTATGGACGTGTTGACAGTTACCAAAACAACAGCAACGACCCCGATTTTGATCCGTGGATCGTGGACGAATCTTGGCCTATAAGCCACTCCCAACGATACCAAGAACCCTTTGCGCCAGACCTAAGCCCTGCCTGGCATCCGGGCCACGTTTATGGGATTCCTCTAGCACCCAGTTCTCGCAATCCCGACAAATCTGGCATACTGAGAGCTCAGCATACGCCTCTCAGACATAGAGGAATCGAACATTTCTCTCAAAAGTTTACGGGCGGTCCTACAGCTGAATCGTATCCGTGGTATACTGTGGGTGCCACTTACAAATCGCCAAGAAGGGCTTTGTGCGGCGGAAGACTAGACGCACGCAACTCCAGTCAGAATAGCTACAGATCCAGCGGCGGAGAGGCTACGCGCAGCTCATGAGTGCTGGACATTGCAAACAATGTTTTTAAGATAATTGAGTGTCCTTGCCGATGTGGTGAAGGCGTGTCACAAGAAATTGTAGCCATTTTACGGCACCTGTAAGACATGTGGCTAATCAAAGAATCAAGAGAGAGAGAGAGATATTTATATTTACCTGGGTACTGTTGGAAGGTCGAGAGCTGGATGTAGGAGCCTGTGAGTTTGCTTTTCCATTTTCCTCTATTGCAAAACTGCTACCGTTTGCTTTGGAACCAACAAAATTCCAAGCGTTCTTGGTGTGTCTATGTACATCTGTATTGTAAAAAGATAGTTCCGGCTTGCGGCAACATGACGACGACAAGCTTGAAGTCTTGGATCATGGTGGTTTTCTACCTTTACTCGTCAAAGTAGGATATTTCAAAAAATAACGACAACTGCAGGATTCGAACCTGCGCGGGCAGAGCCCAAAAGATTTCTAATCTTACGCCTTAACCACTCGGCCAAATTGCCTGTTATTGGAAAAAGAAGAAAAAGATCCAGGATACTCTTACTTGTAGATCACATGCACTTATTGAAAAGATCCTCCTGGAAAATCTCAAAGGAGAAATGACACTATTCTTTACCTCTTCACCACCCATTTAAGATACTTACCAGATCCCAGAGCATACGTTAGTTGGAGCCAACGTTCAAGTGCAATGACAGTGGTGTCGAATTTGCGGAGCAGGCATTCTGATGGCGACAAAAACGCCGTTCCAACGAGCTCAAACGGTGCCCATTTGGCTACAGAGGGATCGGATGCACCACAGGTTTTATTTATGGATACTAGCGATGTAAGGAACAGAACAGGCCACGTACCGTCGAGCTACTACCAAGTGGCAACCCCCAAGTCCCCGCATGAGCTTTCGCTCACGGATGATGCTGACGATGATCGCACGGGGCCGTCCCATCATCAAAACGATCACAGGGAGAGTGAAGAAAGCGAACGTTTGAAGTACGAAACTGCAAAACATGAGATCATGGAGAACCTTAACTTGCATATCATGCTCAACAATAATGAACACACAGATCTGGAGTCAGAGCTGGGCCGTATAGATGCCCAAATGCGTGTCTTAGAGTATATGCATCGAGATCCGCAGCTCATGGCGCACGTCGAGAAACACCAGGAAGAGCTTTATACGCGACACCGCGAAGATTTCACGCGACGCAAAGAGCGGGAAGCATTCAGAGCGAGTCTGAATGGCTTGGACCCTCTTTCTACTGTTGCTTCAAGTCGTCCTGGCGATGAAAGCGGTAATGGAGGGTTTTTCTACCATACACGCAGCAAATCGGCCCATAACGTCAACATCGCACCAATTTCCACTAGCAACAATAACGATCAGCAGCTGGATTCGCGGCTGCGACCGGCCAGTGGCAAATTGGAGGGCAAGGGTGTGTTAGAGGGGAAAACGCTTCGAGTACAAGACCAGCAGGCTGCTCTGGGCTCGGAACTGGATCCCGTGCTCCCATCACTACTAAACCAACATCAAAAACGTAACTACAGCAGCTCATGTCTGACCAGCAAAAGTGGCATTGTAGGATCAAACGAAAAAAATGAACCTATATTCAAAAGACCCGACGGTATTCTCGTCATAATTGCATGTTCGTTTTGCGAACGCAGTGGTTTCACGTCTGCACAGGGAATAGTCAATCACGTTCGACTCAAGCACGCAACTAGCTATCCAAGCCAGCCACTTGCTGTTCTGAAAAACCAACAAGTGTTGCCCGACAGTCGGCAGGCAGCTGAGATTATAGCACAATTCAAAAGCTTACATTTGGACCCGCAACACGACTATCTACCGCATGTCATAAACATCCAAACCAGTGTGAATCCTGTGGACCATAAATTCCGCAGAGCAAGCTCCAGAGAGCTGTCTCCGCGGGCAATTTCTCCCAAAGTCGAGACTAGATCGGATGGTCTAAGAAAATCCACCAGACACCTGAGGAAACTTTATCCAGATGAAGATTTCAAAGACATTGTCCACTACGTCAACGACGCTCAAAAGGACCTAGACTGTATTCTCAAGCAGCCCTCAGACACTGAGGACACTGGTGAGAGTGGGCTGGATGACGATGTGAAAAACGACCAGACCTCATCAAGTCTTAACACATCTAATGCTAACGGGGATTCTACAGACTCGAACAAACCGAAAAAGGAACCAGGTTTGGAAAAAAGCACAGACCGCAAACGCAGGGGGTCTCCAGAGCTGGACACTGGCAGAAAACGTTTTAGAGCGGCCGAAAAGAAGGTCAGGCCGGACGCTATTGCATTAATGAAAATTCCTGAGCGAGACAAACGTTCTTCGCACTACAACTTGAGAGCCAAATCAAAGCTCAGAGGACACAACAGATACGATTAATACACGAGTACATAGATAATCAAAAGAGTTTCATTTTGATTCTTATATTTATACTTTCTTTCCAGGCATCAATTCCAATTGTCGAATGTGTCAATTAAGTTCATCATCCTGATAGAAACCTTGAAATCAACCAAAATATCGTACCTGTCCGATCTTCAACGCCTTTTGGAGCACGAATTACATCGATTGTCATGCTCAAGAGAGTCTCTACCGTTGTGTTCAGGCGCTGTAGCAGACTAGTATCCACTAGAGCTGAAGGTTCTAATGTTTTATGGTACTATGCCACCGATGTACCCACATCTAAACCATTTGAACCAAACTATTCCATTGGAGACAAAAAACCTAGCAAGTTCATCCCATTTTCCAAGAATGACTCTTCGAGACTTGAAAGGATGTTCCAGCTTGCCAGTTCTAGGTCCGCCAACGAAACTTCCCGGTTGAACGCTGTTCCTGTGAATGAAGATTATCTATTTGAAGTGGACCTTGCTAAGAGGGAAATTCGACCTGCGTATTGGGCAGGACCCACCTATGAAGTACGACGTGGCTTGTGGTTCAACTCCGAAGGTGTTCCCATCGAGCAGGATTTAGCATCAGAACTGGAGAAACATCGTCAGGAATTTTTAGCGGATAAGAACGACCAGAAACAATGTCAGGCTTCGGAGCAACAAGAGGGTTTGAGAGACGTCTTCAAACTTTCCAAAACCCATAAGGAAGGGAATCTGGTTTTATATGCGGACGAAACGACTGCTTTCGTTCTTCCTGAGCTTTACGGCGGTAAACTTCAACTCAACTGGTTGAGAAGTCATTTGGCTCAGGCTGTACAGTTTGGAGCTTACAAAGTGGTCAGAGGTGCCGACACAAACTGTTCGTTAACGGACGCTGTCAAGAACAATGTTCAGGAAGAAATTCAAGACACTGGAAAAAGTCTGGGGAAAGTAACAGACCTCATCAATTGGCAGCTCTTGGATTTGCTTACGGGACTCAATCCACTGGCATCTTCGAAAGACTCCAACAACAAAGTCATGGAGAAAGAAGTCGAAACGGACTACTCAAGGGAGACGTCGACGGGGGGACAAACGAACTCGAATCATAGAGACGTGGATCATCTGGTATTTTGCATCCATGGAATCGGGCAGAATTTGGGTAAAAAGTATCAATACGTGAACTTCGTGCACACAGTGAATGTGCTGCGGGCGAATTTGAAGAAGATGTATTCCACCAGCGATCAGCTCAAGGATTTAAACAAGAAGAAAGGTCATGCCGACTGGGAGAACAACTGTCGCGCTCAGGTAATACCTATTACATGGAGGCACAAGATAGGCTTCAACACTGACGACGTACAAGTAAACTCTGAGGATCCAGACCTGCCTACGCTCAGTGATATCACCGCTGATGGTGTGAAGCCACTACGCAAAATTCTGGGGGATGTCGTGCTCGATCTTCTGCTATATGGTGAATCTCACTACAAGCATCGGATAATGCAAGAGGTTGCACAACAATTGAACGATTTGTACAACTTTTATCGGGCTCGGAACCCAAACTTCGAAGGTAAAGTGCATATTTTGGGCCATTCGCTCGGGGGGTTGCTCATCTTTGACATTCTGGCGAACAAGGACAGGTACCCGCTAGATTTCGAGGTGGAGAACTTCTTTTCGGTGGGATCCCCGACAGGCGTTTTCAAGCTGATTCAAAAAACGAAGTTGAGCCATCTAAAGTCGCCGTCACATACAACAAAAGTCGAAACGCCACAATGCCAAAATCTGTTCAACATCTTCCATGTCTGCGATCCTATTGCTTTCAGACTCGAGCCCTTAGTCGACAAATCTTTTGCCAAATTGCAACCTGCATATGTCCCACACTGGACAAGCAACGATTTCACCTCCAAATTAGTGGAACTTGGCGGGTCACTGATGACAAACGACTCAAAGAAAGAGGCGTCTTCCATTACAATGACTGACCGAAGCATCCAGATGTTGAACAAGTTGAACTATTCCGGCAGAGTGGATTATGCTTTTCTTCCAAATTTTTTAGAGGTCGACTTGATCTCGGCGATCAAAGCGCATGTCAGTTATTTCGAGGAAATGGACTTGGCCGCATTCATACTCAAGCAAATGCTATCCAGACGACGTAGGGTTGACACAGGTCTGCTGGCCCAGAAGCGAAGTGACCTCAGCGTCGAAAATGACTGACGAAAATTGGTTAAAGAAGCTCATCTCATCTCATCGCAGTCTTTCAGGAAGACGACGTCGACAACAACGATACCACAGACTCAGTGAGATTTCATCACAGGTTTGACAATAGTGTGTGTGTGTGTATCATTGGTCGCAGTTTTCCCGTTATGAAATATATCATCGAGCACATGGAGCAGGGCTTCAGTGATTGGGTTGCGTTGGAATATGCCCAGATTATCAGAGACGTGGGAGCTGCCAATTTGATCCTTTCGTCGTTGCCAGAAGGTACACAGGAGTCAGACATTCCAGCGGCATTGGTTCGCATGGGATTGCAATGGACGACAAAACCACTGGTGGACATACATGAGGCGTTCCCAAATTTGCCCAGATTGAGAGAGAAAAGAGTTTGTCTTTTGGATCCTCGTGGAAAGGAGGATTTGAAGCCTCAAGATGCCCATGAGTACGACTACTTCGTTTTTGGGGGGATTTTGGGTGACCATCCACCTAGAGACCGTACAAATGAGCTTTACAGGGCATACCCAGATCTTTTGGTGGGCAAGAGGCTTGGAGCCAAGCAAATGACCACAGACACGGCAATCAGAACCACTCAATTGATCGTGGAACGTCAGTTGGAATTTGAAAGCATCAAATTCATCGACTACCCAGAATTCAGGTTCAGTAAAAGCGAGGCCACGGAAATGCCGTTCAGATACGTTCTTGACGACCAAAATAGGCCCATACTACCTGAAGGAATGCTGGATCTTATCAAGAAAGACTCCGAACAAAGTCTCGACGGTCTGCTCTGAAAGGGTGTCTTTTTCGGTGTCATATGAATGGAATATTTGTACATAAGCGCAAAGTTTCGTAAATAGAGGAGGGAAGAGAAAGAGAGCATCATTTGGTAGCTCTGTTGCTTCCCAAAATTTGGCTCTAACTTTATTTCTTGTCAGCTTGTTGCAGGTAGTTATCTAGAAGTTTTTCGATGTCCATCTCGCCAGATTCCTGGGATCCAGAAGACGCGATTGCCGGACTCGAATTCGATGCAGTTTCGGGTGTCTTTGAAGAACCTGAAAGCTTGTAGGTAGCACCACCCACCGTGCCCAAAATAGTGGCCAAAGCTAGCACATGGGGTTGTACCGTTCTACCTAGAATAGTGTAAGCAGCACCCATTGGATTGATAGATGGGAGAGTAGAGGTTCGTGACGTGGGTGCTGTTGTAGTAGTACGTGCTGGTATCTTATATATTTGAGATTTGATTCGTCTTATGGTAATTTAGAAAGAGATGACCTAGTCGTGTAGTGTGATGTGTATTTTTTTGGGTGACTGGAGCTTTTAGTTGAGTCATGAAAGCATGAGTCTTTGGTAGAAGTCAAGAAATGTGCACGTATTAGGAACTGAAACTAGCAGACGTTTCTCAACTTGAGAATTGAGCAATAAAGGCTGAATATTTTTGGATGGAAGATGTATCGCTATATACGGGTTTTTGTGGACATCGCATCTTCAAAGGCTTCAAAGAAGCGTTCTATAGTCCTAAAATATCTTTTATGGTAGCATTCAAGCCATTACACGAATATGTCTTTTATTTTTTGGTTTTTTTCGAGTTTCCTTGTGTGAAATTTACTTGATTGTTTTTTTTCGTCTTAAATCTATAAACTCGCAAAGAAATACCACATTCATGACACCGAGGCTGCTTCACTTTCAACTCCAAAATTTCCTGAATCAAGCAGCAATGTCCTGAATATTCTTGGTCTCGGATAATGGTTCCGAAGCTTAGTTGAAATTTTATTGTTTTTTACTTTCACAGCGACATTAGGCTACGTACATCGCTAGTTACTTGAGCTCAATGACGTTTTCAAAGTTCCTCATAAATACACTCTTACTATGAATCATACCGTACAGAAAATGTTTACTACACTTCTAAAAGCCCATAAAAATACTCCGAGCCCAATTGCGACAGAACTTCTCTCATTTCGTCCTTCGAAGTACATTCCTTCATGAACCATCCGCGAAAATTTGTTTCCCTAAGCACGCCCTCCCATGCAAGCGCCACTTTCTCATTGCGACAATCAACAAGCTGACCTGTGTTGTCATCTGTGAAATCTTCAGTCCATTTGAGTCGCTGCAGTACCAACTTTGAGTAAAATCGACAATTTTTTTCCGTCCCAATAACAATTAGAATTCCGGGACCGTCATTACCCACCCTCAAACAAACCCCACGCATCTTGAGCTGTCGGCTGTTTGCCGCTATCTTGAATCTTATTTTAGGATTTCGCAAGCTCGAGAACCGAAACACTTTGCAATGCAGGTCTGAGCCTGTGGTTGAAGCGCTACTGCCAGAGTCAGCTTCTTTCTTGTGCTCTACGGCCTCTAAATGACGTCTTATGTTTGTCTCAACGTGTACGCGATGTCTTTCGTCAACTTGAGACCTCACGGTCTGTTCCCAGCTGGTAGGATCAGTGATATTTTCGCTGTTTTGGTAAACACTCATCATGTTGGCCAATTTGACCTTTGGTGCAGGTTTAGGCTCTAACCCAAGACGAACTTTTTCCTCATGCTCTTCTCGCAACAATTTTCGACGGTTTCGACGTATTTTTTTCTGCTCCCTCTTAGCAAGCCTGATTCTGGGCACCACAGGTTCTTGGACCCAATCGGGTGGTTGAATAGGCACAGGGTGCTGAACGTAGCGAATTGTGGGAGGTTTTGATTCTTCGCTGTCGTCATCGTCATCTTCATCGTCATCTTCGTCATCGTCTGAGTTGTTCTGCTCCCCCAGGTATTTATCATTTATGGTCCATGTTGTCGAGTCTGCCAAATAAGCTGCATCCCACCATTCGACTTGCGGTACATTCCTCAACAGGTAAAACTGCTCTCCGATTGATTTATCTGGTAGCTCTCCCGCTCGTATCTTGGCTCTTTCAATTTCTTCCTGCTTTTTCTTGAGCTCTTTCTGTCGCGCTGCCAAAGCTCTTCTTTCCTCCAATTCTTTCGTCAAAACTCCAGGCTCATGGAATTTCAGGCCCCTTCGATAACGTTTCGCTACTTTTGAGTCTTCGAAACTTCTGCCTGGCCCCTGATGGGACAAATAAGGATTATCTCCATGCTTGATTAAATTCACATTTTCTGACAAAAGTGCCCGGTGAATTTCCACGTTTAGACCGAGTCCAGGTTTCTTGTTAGTTTCCGGAGGTGGACGACTACCGAACTTCCTCATAGGCTTGTTTCTGGGCTCCATCCTGGTGCCATTATCCTTGTAGAAACTGATGATGGAGCGTTTAGTTCGGTCGATGAGCTCGCTCAATGCTTTATATTAAAAGAGCCGTAGAAGTCCCGTGATACGAAGAGATGGACAGGGTCTCTCGGACATCAAAGTTCACCAACTTGAAGTCCGGGAAGGAGCCAGGCCAAATTCGTTTTCGATTATGCATTTTCCCGATCACTATCAGCTCAGTCTGAGTTAGTGTCAACCTTTGGGCAAGTTTTATGATTGCCATAACAAGGTAATTAGATGTGCCGTTTGGTCGTAGCAAGAGCGTTCGTAACATTTGTTCTCGGCAACCATGAATGACAGCATCCTCTTCAAAGCACAGCTTGCCAGATCAGTAACAAGAAAATCAAAAGATGGCGTCTGTTGAACGGCGCTCCGTTTCCAAAATACAACAGAATACTTGTGCACCTGATTTAAGAATCTGAATCGCTCTGTACTTGCACACAACGGAGACGTTCACAACCTTTAAACGAACATCCCAAAACTTCAGTTTTACGTCTTAGAATAGCTTCCGTTTCACTTCCGCTTCACTTCCGCAAACCGAAAAAGCGCGACCTTCTCTTCTTTTTTGGCGTGTTCAACGTTAAACCTGTCACTTCACTCCCACTGCTGTTTCTCCTACTCGAAGACGGCGTGCTTGCAAGACTACCCGAGCCGCTGTTTGCACCGCTGTCAGAACCCCCAAAAAGGAAAAAAAAGCCTTTGCTCATCTTTTTGATGTCCTGTCCCATAGTGGCAGACTTGGTGGGCTTCAACACACTCGCACTACGAACTTTGCGCAAATCTGTTTCCCGGAGTGCACCCTCAATACCGTGAGAAGAGTGAGGTCTTAAGGTAGCGTCGTAGGAAAGCGTTCTTTCGATCTCATCGCGCCCGGACATGTTGCTGCCATCTTTCCCCTTGACTTCGGGCGCGAACTGGATCTGTACCTTTGGTATCGATGTATTAGCGGTGTTTGCAGCTGAGCCAGGATGGCTGGCTTGCGCCGACGGAAGCTGAAATTTGGCCTTAACCGGAGTCCTTCTCTTATGCTGGCGGGAACTTGAAGCTTTGGGTGAGTCGACAACGTCGAGCATAGATCTGTTGCTACGCGGGGTTTGATTTTTGGCCTCGCCAGTGAACACTTTCTTCAGTTCAACAAGTGATTCTGTGCTTTGATTCAAGGCATCCAGAAGATCAGCAAATTTCAGGGTCGAATTCAATATTTCGTCAAAACCGGAAACCAGCCGTTTGTCCACGGATAACGAATTATCATTCTCCAAATCCAAAATCCTCGACTTGGTTTTTCTCCGCAAGGCCACCAAGTCATCCTTCAACTGTGAATCCGCAGTTGTAGCATTGTTCTTCAGTGAGGACGATACGGAACTCACGGCAGAAACATCATTCTCTAACGGCGAGGATTCTGCTGTTTCAGAAGCCGAAGAGCCAGTGACAGAGTGGTCGGAAGTGCCTATATGATCAAGCACTCCAGGTGCTGTATTTGAATGCTGCAACGGAGGCATCTGAGCACTATTCTCGTTCGCCTTCGTCTTGATCTGCTCATCCAGATCATCTCTTACAGTACTTTCCAGATCCAAAAGCTTCTTCACGGGCACCAAAACGATGGGCACAGGAAATGTTTGACAGGCTTTGTCTATCAGACTTCTCGACTTCCACTTCACCATGCTTTCGGTTTCACCGGACCGTACAGAGCTGAGAACCATCAGATCAGGAAAGTATACGTTTATGCTATCCACAAGAATATGTTTCGTCTTGCCGATAATGATCTCCACTGTAATTTTAACGGCTCGATTTTCTGGAAGAATACACATCACATAGTCCAAGATGTTCTTCAAAACCTCCTTTATGCGACCTGCATCGTAACCCGATGCCCATTCTAGCCATTCGTCGTGTTGCTGTCTGTTTTGCTCGTCGGTGGGGCCTGCGGAAAAAGTCCTGTGCATCGTCTCGAAATTTCCAGAATGGGGCCTGGAAGGAGCTGCCGATCTGCTTCTTCTTACTGCCGAGCGGGATCTCGATCTGGATCGCGACCTATTGTTGGACATTTTTGGGATGTTAGCAATTATTACAAGATGATCAACATCTTTGGAAAACCGTTTGAGAAGCCAGTCCAGAGCAGTCCAGGTATACTTTCTGCCACTGATATGGCACACAATTGTTCGTGGTGAATTGGGAAACCCAACTTTCTTAGAGATAATAAGAGCCCGTCTCCGTTGTTCCTTTGTGAGCGGCGAATAGCCACTTGCACTAGTGATCTTGGGATTTGATTCTGCTGGCACCACAAAGTCGGGGAACACAAAATGTGCAGAAGGTGATCGCAGTCTCGAATCAATCGATGCCTTTCTTTGACGCCATAGCGTCAGCCAAGCTTTATGGGCCTTGTTTAGAACCAACGCATCGTTCACAATTGTGGGCCGGGTTGGATAATCTGTTCGTGTGATACGGCCATCTCTGCCTATATGGAATCCATCCAGCCCGTCTATCTTTGAATCTATCAAATCGTACTCGCTGAGGTAGCCCAGATGTCCATAATTATCGGTAGGTGCTTCGTTGTCGTAAAACTCGTCCTCTGTGTATTCCAGCATATGGTCATCATGGTTGTCATCTGAACATTCACAAGCAATCCCGGCAAGCAAGGGCACGGTGTCGAATGACACACTGGGAACATATTTCTCCTCTTCACTTTCCTCCAGTGCTTCCACATCTGTCTTGTTCTTCTCGGATCTCATTGTAGTCTTGGTCAAGATTTACCTTTGTAAATTCCTCGAGGATTCCTCTGAAAGCCGGATTAACACAACAACGATCGTTGTAAAACCTGTTACAATCGCCACCGTTGACCCAAGTAGTGCTAAACAGCGTTCCAAGTACCCTTGAGAGCTCTTTTTTAGATGGTGAACTCCGAGAGAGACAAGTAGTCGATAAGGTTAACTGTGAAAATTGTATCTGTTCTTGGCTTCAAAAGTAGGCCAACGTGATAGAATCGAAGGAAGAGTTTCCAGTAACAGTTTGAAGGGTACTGGTCACAATTGGACAATCCAGTCAACAACGTCTTGAATGTAGTCTCCGTTCTTGCAACTTATGGTAAAAACGGCCAGATCACGGTCGAGATAGATTTGCGAGTTTGGCAAGTGAAGAATGCCGTTCTTGAGATCCAAACCCAGCTCTTTAGACAGAATTTCAACGTTGCGGAGAACGTAAAGATTAGTCTCATCTAGCTGGTAGGTCGGTATATCATCAAACTCGTAGTTTCGCAAAAGAGGAGCCAAAAACTTCCAATTATCCAGAGTGTTTTGGTCGGGGGCGGTCTTCTTGGACAGACGACGGCCAGAAGCTGTGGAATTGGCCTCCAGTTGGGACAGTAGATCGATCTTGTTTCCCACAATCAGCATGGGAATGCTGTCGTGGTTAGTATCGCATATCACTTCCTGAAGTTTGCATTTGGTCTGCGACCAACTGCTCAGGTCTGAGAGGTCTAGAACGTAAATAACAAGGTCTGCGCGGGATAAATAGCGATGCCACAAGTGGTGGAACCGTGTTTGGCCCGCCAGATCAAATACGTGCACTGTGTTGAGCCCCAGCGTGACGCGTTCTGTTTGCACGCCAAGGGTCGGGATAGTATCGCGTTCAAACGGCTTGGAAACAAGTGCACGCGTCAAAGACGTTTTGCCTGAGTTTTGTAGCCCCACAACTACAATATTTAGCTGTTTATAGGCGTCAGTAGAGGTTGTAAACTATCGCAGTCCTGCTTCAAAACTGCTATGCTTGGTAAAACGTACCTCTTTTCGGTAGAAAAGCGACAACAAATAGCGCCAAAAGGATGTCATCCACGTTCCTATGTACTCCTCACCTAACATTACAGCACAACGGAGGTTTTGAACGAGCAATTGGAGACGCTTTTGGTGTTTTTTGACTATGATGAGCTCAACTTACTTTATGCCAGCACTTTATATACAACTTTGATGTCAATTTCAACACTAGCGACAGAAACACAGTAAGATGTCCAGTGGACTACCTCTGACGCTCTAGTTTGGCTTACAGTGCTAATTGTAGTTGCAGTTTCATTACTTAGAGTTATTCAAAGTTGAGAGTTCCTTCCCCGTTTTGTACACGGACCGACACTGCAGAATTGAAGGACTGCAATGGGCTCAGTTCCAGTCTTCATGTGTCCAGATTTCAAGGCAGGATTTTTCCGCGTTCGCTCTTCTGCATGGTCATCAATTCGTCATCGCCTAACCTTATTCTGAATGCAGCGTTCTCTCGTTTGCCAAATTGTCGAATCTTTTGACTGCAGGATAGCCCTCAAGGAATCCAAAAAAGTACCATTCGATGAGGAAATCGGTAGGGACCCGGTAGAAGTCAAGGCGTGGCTTTAAAAGGTACACACATTCGCCAACGTGTATTATGAACGCAGCAAATTGGATTCCAACAAGCAAGCGGCTGTTGTCGAAATAGGGCCCCACAAAAGGCACGTAGTTCAGCAGCGGGCGGTACAGATAGCACATAAGCGGGAGAAACACCAGTGCGATGAAGCCATACCCTGCGAGTCCGTTGGGTGGACTCAACTCGTTGATTTGAACATGCGAGTATCCACGCTTAGTGGCGGCGACTTTGGCCATGTCCACGAGTCTGGGACGTGATTCAGCCCAGTTCTGGAGAGGTGGGTTGAACAAAACCACCTTTTCGATTTCGAACTCGACGTCAAAATGATTAAACGAGAGCGTCATATGGGTCAGTTCGATCTTTTCAAGTCGCACGTTTGCAATCTGATCTGTAATCGGCACGTCTCCGTATGCATACAAGTAATCTTCAAGAGCCAGCTTGTGGGACTTGTTCATGTGGGCCACAATGCTTTCGGGAGACATGATTTTGATGTGGGTGTGTGTGTGAGCGATGAGCTGAGTGAAAGTTCCAAGGAAAGGGGAAGCCAGGGGCTTTTTTGGCTGATGAAGTGAGAACAAAAACGGGTGATGGTGAGCCAACGAAATCAAGAACAGAGAACCACCAAAGGCTTGAAGAGCTCAATGGTTGAGGAAGAAGAAGACGTTTTGTTCGGGTAGGAGCGATGACACTTATTTTTAATATTCGATCGAGAGAGGGCAGATGTGAGGTAATTACGTACGGCACTGGCGTTGAATTCGAAGAATCGTCTGTCATCAATGCTAGAATGGTTCTATGAAAGGAATCTGGCAAGCTTCAAGTGTTAATCTCTATTCGGGGTATTTAATGGTCTCGCTATTTGTCCTGAATTTGGGATTTAATCTTGACTTGGAGCCAAAAAACCGGAAAAAACACGTTTCATTTCCAAAATCAAGCCAAAAAGTTGAATTAGCACCAATCTGAGTAATGTAACACACTCCAAAAAAAACAAGGTATTTTATGGGACCCCAGAGATGAACTTCTGGTATTGTTTTCCCGCCCAAAAAATTCAAAAAAATACACTCACCATTTCATCAATTTATTTAAGCGCAATGGGCCCCAAATCTTTCGTTTGAAAAGTCATACCATACAAATTCAGCACGAAAAGCTCAAAAATTTTATCTAAACTTCCGAAATGCTGCTCCCCGGCTCGCTGTTTGCAGAATTAGCTAAATCCTTCGTGTCACTACACTCACATCACCACCCACGAAACACTGAAAGGGGCTCTAAATTCATTTTATACATCTTAACTGCTAGACACACACTCTTTCTCACCAACACATCGCAACAAAAGACATCAAAAGAAGCTCGAATCGCTCCTCAGACTGCTCAATGTCAAGTCATACAGGTGGCCATGGGCCGCACGCTAACAGCCACCACCATCATCATCACGGCTCGCACGGACAAGAACAACGTATTGGCAAATACCAAATTATCAAGACTCTGGGGGAAGGGTCTTTTGGGAAAGTGAAACTGGCATACCACGTCACAACAGGCCAGAAAGTAGCTCTGAAGATCATCAACAAAAAAGTGTTGGCCAAGAGTGACATGCAGGGCCGCATAGAGCGAGAAATTTCATACCTCCGGTTGCTAAGACACCCGCATATCATCAAGCTCTACGATGTCATCAAGTCAAAGGACGAAATTGTGATGGTTATCGAATACGCCGGTAACGAGCTGTTCGACTACATTGTGCAACGCGACAAGATGAGTGAGAACGAAGCACGTCGGTTTTTCCAGCAGATCATTAGTGCTGTAGAGTACTGTCATCGTCACAAGATCGTACACAGAGACTTGAAGCCGGAGAACTTGCTTCTGGACGAACATTTGAACGTCAAGATTGCCGATTTCGGACTGTCGAACATCATGACGGATGGTAACTTTTTGAAAACTTCGTGTGGTTCGCCCAATTATGCGGCTCCCGAAGTTATTAGTGGGAAATTATATGCGGGTCCCGAAGTCGACGTATGGTCGTCTGGGGTTATTCTGTACGTGATGTTGTGTCGTAGACTGCCGTTTGACGACGAGAGCATCCCCGTGTTGTTCAAGAACATCAGTAATGGTATCTATACGCTGCCCAAATTTTTGTCACCGGGTGCCTCCAATTTGATCAAACGGATGCTGATCGTCAACCCACTCAACAGAATCACAATCCATGAAATAATGCAGGATGAGTGGTTCCGGGTAGACATGTCCGATTACTTGTTGCCCGCTGATTTGAGATCGGAAGGCGACGTGCATAACGACGGTGACCATCATGGTCAAGGTGACGACGAAGATGTGGAAGAAGTGGACGACTCGCTAGTGACTATGCTGACGAAAACGATGGGCTACGATCGAGACGAAATTTATGAAGCATTGGAATCCGAAGAGGATAATCCGGCTCTCAAAGAAATAAGAGACGCTTACTCGTTGATCAAAGAGAATAAATCTCTGATTGACGATTTGAAAAATAACAGAGACCAAAGCAGCGAACTCGACACATTTCTGTCGCAATCGCCTCCCACATACGATCTCAAACCACAACGGTCTCCCGCGGGTTCCAACCCGTCGCATGGCTCACGAAACCACCGTCATGTGAAGAGAAGCCAACAGCGCACTTACCAATCGCCATTTGTCGACCAAGAGAAAGACGAGGACAGCACAATTGCCATTTTGCCGAGCTCGCTGCCCCAAATGCACCGCGCAAACATGCTGGCGGAAGGATCTCCTGCTGCTACCAAAATCTCTCCGCTCAGCACCAAAAAATCGAAAACCAGGTGGCATTTTGGGATCAGGTCTCGTTCTTATCCGCTGGACGTGATGGGCGAAATCTACATCGCATTGAAAAATCTGGGGGCGCAATGGGCAAAGCCGTCCGAAGACGACTTGTGGACCATTCGTGTGAGATGGAAATACGACACCAAACAGCCTGCCAACGAGAAGATCCCAGATCTCATGAAGATGGTCATCCAGCTGTTCCAGATCGAAGCCAACAACTACCTGGTGGATTTCAAATTTGATGGCTGGGAGAACAGCTACGGGGAGTCCACTCCTGCTGCTAACGAAGACGAGATGAGCACATTTTCTGCGTATCCATTTCTGCATCTCACCACCAAACTCATAATGGAGTTGGCCGTCAACAGTCAAGGTGGATAGTGTGTTTCTCCTATCACACTCTCCGATGTCCTTTGGTTCGATTTGAAGCCAGAAGCACAAACATATCGTTGTGTTGTAGGAGCTGCAATTGTCCAATTCGTTCGCTGGAAAAGAGCTCCTGGGCGAGCGTTGCAGATCCCGTATTCGGCTCAATTCCTTCCACACTATTCTCTACCAGCTCCATAACATTATAACTGATCTAGATTGAAGATTAGACTCAAATCAGAGGTTCTCTTTAGCTCAGCGTTCAACTGTATCGGTTTTTCCTCATAGAGTTAAATATCAACCTTCTAAATACATTTTGGAAAATAGGATCAAAGTAGAAGAAACTTTGAAAACTTACCAGGTTTCAAGAGATAAAGGTCTCTTGAGGACACCATTGAAGCCTAACCAGAGGCCCAATACAGGATTTCAGCCACCAGTGAAGTTTTAGCGGGATGCCAAGTTTTGTTATGAGCCAGGAATCGTTTGATGAAAAGAGTGTCCCGGTTGAGCTGAAGAAAAACGGATCCAAGTTGGAAGTTTTGCAAACGACGAAACTAAGACATTTACCACTGATAGAGGGCTGCGATTCTGATTATGTGCAATTGCAAGCCATTAACAAACAAATAAGTCGAGCTAGACGAGTTTTGGTGCTCACAGGAGCAGGCATATCGTGTAATGCTGGGATTCCGGATTTTAGATCATCCAGTGGGTTATATGAGCTGGTCAAGCGTCAGTATCCTGATGCAAGCATAAGGTCGGGCCAGGAGATGTTCGACATATCGTTGTTCCGTGAAGAAAACAAAATTCCGGTGTTTGCCAGTTTCATGGAAAAGCTCTACAGCAGTGCAAGAGTAGCACAACCAACCAAAACACACCGATTTATAGCCCATTTGAAGAACAGGGGGAAACTGCTTCGATGCTACACGCAAAATATTGATGGCTTAGAAGAGACTCTGGGTTTAGAAGTATCGTCAGAGCGCGATGACAGCTCGACAATGGCCAACCAGTGGAAAAACTTGGACGTGGTACAGCTTCACGGCGATCTTAACAAGCTCAGCTGTACTCAGTGTTTTGCGACGTGTGACTGGAATAGAATGCTGTCTAGGACGCTCCGGAGCGGTCACCTTCCCAATTGCCCACGTTGTCAAGATACTAATCATCAAAGATCGCTTCAAGGAAAGCGCAATACCGGATCCATTGGGCTTCTGAGGCCCAACATTGTTCTTTACGGTGAAAACCATCCAAGTTGTGAGTTCATAACACAAGGGCTGAACATAGACCTCGCCAGAGGGCGACCAGACCTATTTTTCATTATGGGGACGAGTCTTAAGGTCGATGGAGTGAAAAAACTGGTCAGAAATATAAGCAAGCAGGTACACGAGCGTAACGGGCTAGTTATTCTCATCAACAAGACCAAAATCGGCGATTGCAATTGGCACGGCATCATAGACTATCAGATTTTATCTGACTGCGACGATTGGGTTGATCATTTACAAGAAAGCATCCCAGACCTGTTTAAGACACAACAACAGATCGAAAAAGCCAAACAGTTGAGAAGAGAAAATAGCGAACTTCGCAAGCGCCAGAGACAAGAAAGAAAGCTAACACCACCGTCGTCACCTAGTAAGCGCAAAAAAGCTCTCTCATCAAAATCACCAGAAGGTCCTCCTAGTCCACAAAGTACCTCATCGGAGACATCGTCATCATCATCATCAGTGCATTTAAAAACAGAGGCAAGCGAAATTGTATTCAAGCTTGCTCTCGATGAGGCCAGGGCACAGCCTTGCAGCATATCCGATGTCAGCTCACTTCCGTCTTTGCAGAAAGAAGAGTTGCTATCGAACGACACAGACACCACACTTGAGGGAGAGCTCACAGAAGTTGATGATGAGGATTTGAACCCACCACTGTACTCAGACTCCAAAGAAGCACCCCTCGCAGCAGCTAGATAGAATAAACTCTGCATTCACAACCAACGTTAATCCCAAATGAATTCTCAGTTTACCGTCTATAAATAATCCTACAATGAGAACTCTACTTCAATGGCGTTACGTGCAACACCAACTTCTTCAAGTTGGAACATGTCATATTGTGTGAAGCCAACTTTCCAGAATGGAATTCCGCGATTGACGGGCGGAATGACTTCTCCGTTAGAACTACAGGCTTGTTGTTGACGTTGATCAATGAAATTTCCAATGGGAACGTGGCATCAGGCAAACAACCTGTTAGTTTAGCATGACACAAGCGATCCAATTGCTGGTACGATTGAAGCTCCGAAGCAGCACATTTAGCGACATAGCACTCTTCGTCATATACAAACTTCACCTTGATGTCTTTCACTTCTTGACCAGGAGCCTCAAATTGAAATTTAGAGAGCGCAGGTGTTGCTGGCGCAGATTGGGTTTGTCTCTGTATCGTTGACGACTCGTATGTCGACCTCCTTGCAGAGAAAGATACAGCTCTGCTTTTGATACCAATCGCCGGATCCAGGTGCTTGGCAAAGTCGTTAATCGAGCTTTGTGACTTATCAGAGACAGCTTCCCAGGACTCACTGCCCGAAATTGAGGGCGAAACTTTGAATGTTGAGCCACGCGGCGTGATGACTACATCCCCAGGTTTGGGAGATAGCCAAAGGTTTTGGATAACATCGATTTTGACGTCTTCCGGTATAGCAGATGAGCCCAGGATGTTGCCAAGGTAGCTATTGAATTCCGCGATTCGACTCTTGATTTGGCACGGAGTAATAGATCGGCAAGGGGACGGAAGTAAGGGGAAAAGTCCCTGAATAATCTCACCGTGTTCGCCCACCAACTGATTTTTGATTAGAAGTTGAAGGGAGTAGAAATCCTGATAGAATCTAGACAACACTCGATGATGGCCTGTTTTCATCACACACCTGATCTTGTACCATATTCGATTGTCCCACAGATCGATGGCCTCGACCTCGCAGCTTCTGATATCAGGTTGTTGGTGAGTTGGCGAAAAGGAAGCCGGTGAAGACGAAAAAAGCGAGGCGGCTGCTGCAGATTTGGCTACTCTACGAGTTGGTGACTGGAAGGCCTCTGGAGTTGAATCGAGCTCTGGTGACATTGAAGGCGTTAGATTGCGGTTCAAAGCTAGACATCGGGTGGGTACTAGACCTTGACCCATACCGTTGACAAGGCGCACCTGGACGAGATTATTGGGTGCAATTGCGATTAGATGAACGATATCGCCCTTGTGCACGTTCAAAAATGTATGATTGTCCCTCTTTTCTGATGCTGTGGGGTAGTTGCGCGTGTCTTCATTTTCTTGCGGGAGATAGTCCTGGACGACATCGAGAAACGTTTGAGACTGCTTAGCACTCACGGTAATGCCGCTACTCTCTAGGTATATGTGCGGTTTCGGAGCTGTTAGCTCAGAGGTATGTCGAGCTTTTCGGGTCGACAAATGAAACGTCTTCAGGACGCCTGCCAACCTTGATTTTACAGAGACCGGAATCTCTGGCGTACCGGGTATCAAATAATCAGTATCAAACAACATTTCACTTGTGGTGAACAAAGCGGGCTTATGTCAGTTCAATAACAGCAGTCTGTTGTCACTCATGTCGTTTCAATTGTATCGTGACAGGAACCCTGACCTCTCGACGAAATATATATATTTGCATTGTATGGCATTCACCAAATGCGCCCATTTCGAGATCTCAAGGGAAACGCGACGGGAGGCAGGACATGTTGTGCTAGGCCCGTTTTCATAAGTGTGTTTGGGGGATTTGCAAAATCGACAACAATAATTGTGCATGGCATATGCATGATTATGCATAATCATGCATATGCCATGCACAGTCACAAAAATCACCCAGACAACCATAGGGCAGCCATCCTCGAAGTCACATGGTCAACGCGTCATCGCTCCCGATCGGGCAGGAGCACTGTTTACCCTTACGTAAACGTCTCCTTGATACGGAAAGCATAAACAAAACCGTTTTGTTTTGTTTAAGAGACAACCGCGCTGAGGCCGTCAATGCACGACGCAGATCCTAGATTAAGAAAAAGTCTGGGCTGCTCGGCAAATGCCAGTTAACACCTAGGAGAGTCGTTGCGATGATGTATTTCAACGTTCTCTGGAGTCAAAGAAATCTCTCAAGTTCCACATCAAACTAAGGTAAACGATGGATTAAAACAATGCTTAGTGAATATGACGATATCTGGTCAAGTCATCTCCACCCACAACGCAGGTTATTCCAGCTTCTTTGTCCTGCTGCGTCACTCAACAACAATGTGCTTGGCACACGATACTCACAAAGAAGTCGGGTGTGTGAGTTTTTTTTTTGGGATCGGATAGGCTGACGTGGCGTCCTGCAAGTTCCCTGCTTGACAATCCTCGGACCTTAGTTTACGTACATTATCAAGCGCATTATTTACCACTGAAGCAGGCTTCGTATTCGTCGTGTTGAATCTACTAAATGAAAAGCGATAAGATTGCTCGAAAAAACTCGAGGAGTTACTCACGTAGATTGTCGCCCCAAAGCGAACCGGACAACTCATGGGAAAATTTTGTTATCAGTGGTCCGGATTATAAAGGGGTGCTACTTTTTTCTACTTCCAGCCATTTGCGCCAGGTACACATTGGAACATTTTGTCGCGTCCCAGCTGGTATACCGGAAGATAGTTTTAAAAATATGTTGGTGTATGAAACAAAAATCCAGGAAGAAAAAGTGGCCGCCGAAGGTCAAACTCCAAAATGTCACTAAGTTTTTCTTTTATACTTGGAATTTTTAGGTCACGTGATCAAACTCCGGGTAAGACTTAAACTAGGATTATGTCTTTTAAGGTCAAGAAGGAAAAGACAGAGAGGTGTGAGAGGGCAAGAACAGCTGCGATGAAGAGGAGGAAACATGCTTTGAAGAAGCTAGAGGTATCCATCATGTTTGTTGTAGTTCTCTTAATCGAGAGTTTCCGACTTTTAATCTCGAACTTGTGTATATGCATAACATTCGTATCTAACCTGTAGAGTGGGGGTGTTGTAAGAGCTCATGGTGCATCGGTACATTCCCAATCCGTAGGTTCGTACGCTTCTGGTTGATCCAGAAAGTCCATTTGCTCTGGTGTAAGCTCAAAGTCATACGCTTGCAGATTGCCCGTGAGTCGGGTCACAGACCGGGATTTAGGTAGCGGGACGTATCCGTGCTGCATAGACCAGCGAATCAACACCTGGCCAGAATCGTGGCCGGTTTCCTTGGCCACTTGCAAAACGTTGGGATGTTTGAGCTTGTACCCGTGCGTGAGCGGCGAAAACGCCTCTACGACCAAACCCTTGGCCTTGCAGTGGTCTGCAAGCTCCTGACGCATGATCCAAGGCGAAATCTCAATCTGGTTGACCACGGGCTTGTGCTTGAGCTCTGACCAAGCCAAAAGCTCATCAACATGGTGTGCGCCATAGTTAGACACCCCGATTGAACGCACAATACCTTGGTCGACTGCCTCCTGCATTGCCTTGTAGGTGTCTAGCCTACCCTTGGACCCACTTAGTGGTGAATGGATCAATAGCAGATCGATGTAGCCCAAAGGTTGTGCTTTGGCCAAACACTCCTGAATGGCCCTCTTGGCATTGCTGTAACCGTTTTGCGAGTTCCAAAGCTTTGTGGTGTAAAACACGTCGCCCCGCTTGTTTTTGCTAGGATCTTCTTGTAACCACCTGTGAATACCTTGGGCAACCTCTTTTTCATTCCCATATAGCACCGCAGTATCCAAATGTCTGTAACCGGCCTTCAGAGCCTGATAAACCACTTCGGTGGTCTCAGCTCTTGGGATATCATAGGTTCCCAACCCCAAAGAGGGTAGAAGGTAGCCACTGGAAAGCTTGTAAGTTCTTGGAATCGAGGGCATTTCTGTCACAATATTCTGGTCAATTGCTCTGTTGCGAACAAAAGTGAATATAGTTAAACTAGTGGCAAGCAGGTCGCTTAAGTAGACTAGCCAGGCTCCCTTATATACAATTTGCCCTCATGTCGTTAAACTGGGTTGATTGTGTCGCTTTGCTATTGTTTTAGTCATATGATGTGCTGATGATGATGGGTGGTTATTCAACAGTCTACTACTTATAACGATTGTATAAGCATTTTTCAAGGCCCACCCAAGAACTGTCAGATGAAAGTTCCACCTTAAGGGAAGACGAATCGCTAATCGGGTACCTCATTCCTTATCCAGCGGCGTGTTTAAATGGCAAGATTAGTGTCCATATATTCATCTGCCTGACTGAAAGGTGTAAAAAATGCAAAGGGTCGAGTATTTTGGTGCCATAGCTCTCACATTCGTTAACATTCGTTAACATTCGCTCACTCTCTTATGCTTTCATGCTCTCATGCTTTCGAGCTGTTTCCGGATCAATTCGTAAACGGTGAATGTCACGGCCTGTCCCGGGGCAACCCGCATCACACGCGGTGTGATGCCTTTGTACAATGCTCGAAACCCTTCTTCGTGAATCAACTGGCGTGTGATAGTAACGATTCTTGTAAAACTGGACGTTTTAGCCGTAGACTTGTCCTTCTGCAACCTTGTTTTGATGGTGTCGAGCGGTGCGTTCGAAAATGGACCCACTGCGCCAGAAATCAATCCGATAAGAGATGTTTCCCACGACGGGAGCATCTCGGTGTTATGATACTTCTGAAGACGCCGTTTGAGCGTGGAATACACGGTAAAATTGGCACCTTGGTTCGTTGCTTGGCGCGCAGCTGTTAACGACACACCGCGGTACAATGCACGTGGCCCTTCTTCCTTGACGATAAGATACGCCGCCTGGACAGCATTGCGGTACCGAGCGGTTGCCTTTATGTTAGAAGTTGCAGAATTGCCAGCTTGATATGCAACACTGGAGAAAGTGGCGGTGGAAGGTCCTGTGGCACCACCGGCGCCAGTAGCGCCTGCAACTTCTGCCACCAGCGGCACAAATTGAACGTGTTGGGCTTGGAGCCTGATTTTGACCACTTCCATAGGATTGACCACCAAAACTGCTTCTGTGATACCTGCTCCTACACCTGCAATAAAAGTATTGCCGGTAGAGACTTCGCCCGTCGCTTTGTTTGTTAGCAAACCGCGGTAGAACTCGTACGACGTGAATCGAATGGCCATTTTTGGAATGATTCCAATAACCACGGCACCTAAACCTTTGTAAAATGCCAAAAGCCCTTCGTTATGTGCAATTTCCCGGCCTGTGGCCAAAAAGCCAACCGGTCTGCCGCCGCTGGATTTCCGGGAATGAATTTGCATGCGCACTTTGATCGTGTCGAGCGGATGGCAACATAGCGCTTCAAATAGCCCTGCGGTTCCTCCTGCAATCAAGTTGATTGCCGGGTGCGAAGGCTTTGTGTTATTTCCCCGATTCGACATCTTCGGCTTTTATATAGAGAAATATGTTAAATACACTTGAAAGAAATGCCCACAACAACAAAAGAAAATGCTTTTCAGATCCAGTATAATTATTTGCCACGATTGCCGTTTGCACTTGGGAATTTTGTGGATTTGGTATTTGGAATTGATTTTGAGGTTTTAACTGAATTTGTACAACCTGTGGTTTCTTAGAGATATATGTGTCGAAACTGACGGGCGTTTCTTCTTTAGAGGTGTGAAAGTGGGAGTTTGACTTCTTGGAATTGTACTTCTCCAGGAGTATTTTCGAGGCCTTTATATACTTTGGGTTCAGCGCATTTTTGGTCCGAGATGAGTCCCCTAGGTCTAATGGAGCGGTCTTAGCGATGCTCACACGCTGACGTTAATTAGCCATTGATGCGAAGGTTTGGGGTAACGAGAAAATTGGAAAACGGCCGGACGTCGGCGCGGGCAAAAGTGATATAGGCACGTGATGCATTGATTGTGTGTAATGAAGAGTAGTCTTCTTTCAGTTACATAACAAATGAGTCCGGTTTACATTACTAGAATACCGACTGCTGCAAAAAAACAACTGATGTTGATTGAAGTTGGATCATATTATCCAACTATATTGAACACCAAAACGCTCCGTTTTGAGTATAGTGTATAGGAACCTTTCCAGTCAATCGGGTCACGTGACTTTGGAAAAACATCTATGACTGCATTTATACTCTCTCTACAAACCGAGGCAATATCAGTTTTCACAATTCAAACAGCTCTTCTCTCCCTCTCCCTTTTCCCCTTCCCCATCGTGTATTCTTTTGTATATCTTTTTTTCCAGCTCAACAACATACATGAATTTACGGAGGAATAACTCACTTAACAGACAACTTATTAGAGGAAACAAACCAAACTCCGGAGCAATTGAAAGAAAGCGGTGAACATACTGAGCACAATGATTTCAAAAAAAACGCAGCTGCTAACTCAAATCGTGATTGAAACGATGCCCCCATGGGGTTTGAGCACCGCTTAAAAAAGGAAAATAACGATAATCAGGTATATGAAGCACGTGACACACTACATTTTTACGATTTCCCGAATCATTCAGTGGTTCACTGAAGAGTTCAAAATCCTAAAAAAGACACCTGTTACCAACCCTACTCTTCACCAATTTTGCCGCTTGAATATGGCAATGTGCGTGCTTTCAGTATTCTTCTCTATGGGCAAGAGTCTGGGGAACATATCACTTTGGACGAAATCCACAGGACTTCGATCATCTCATGAATGTGTAAAGTCCTATTTCGGTTAAAAGCCCACGCATCCATTCCGGCGATGCTTTCCAATGCTAATATTTCAAAGTCATCTTGATTTCTCCATAGAGCCCATGTGAATCTCGGAAAAAATTACGTATCTGAGAAGTCAATTTGAGAGGCTAGAAAGTGAATCAAAGTGATATTTGGGCAACCTTATTCTTCAGCTATCGGCTGTTTGGGTAACATAGGCTCTCGAGTGTCGTTCTTGAGTGAATGAAAAATCTACCGGTTGTAGTGTAGATCACGTGCTTGTAAATGAGCTCGGTAATTTTCAATAGAGAAGTAGGGAGAGAGGGAGACATAGTCTTAAAAGAAGTCACCAGAAACCCCTCTCCTCGTCTGATAAATGCCGCTGAAGGAATTGATTGCTGACACTGTTCTTTAGCGTTTTTCACTTCAACAATTTACCGCGTAATCTAACGGTCCACCGTGCCACGGTCCACCATGCCACGGTCCACCATGCCAAACCCTGAGAACCACTTTACATATCTTGACTTTACAAATATCGGGCAAAGAGTTTTGTTCCGGTGGGTCTTCTTGTATGAGATAGCTCAGGATTTTCTTTGAACGGTTTTTGTCATCGAACGCTACCATATTGGCGTTCAGAATCGGTCCTTTGCAACTCACTGTGCCAAGATTCTTCGTCACTACCAACTAGATAATCCCAGGGTCGTCAAATTTGTCAAATCCATGCTAAGCATGGTCCCATGATTCAACAAGACGGAACAATCAAAGCAACGCTACCATTTCGTTCTTATATGGCTCAACGCTTTCAAGGCAAGACCAGTATCCATGGGTAGTGTGGCCCTACAATGGCAATGGAAGTAAGACCAGCTACATCACGTGGCACTGAGAGTAAAGAAGTCTTTGGCAAGCACTAAACCCATAGAGGCAGTAGAATAACGTCCTCTGAGACCGAAGACGGATTATGCAGAAAACCGTGAAATGTTAAATTGGTTAGAGCATTTCTTCTCTCTTCTTCGCAAGACCAATTAATCAGTAAGAACTCGGTATATGCTGATTGCGCAGCTCAGCAAAGCCCAGCCCAGCTCAGCCCGTCACGGTGCACTTGGCGTTACCAAGAGTAGGCCTGTAGAAGGACAGCAAAAAAAGCCATTTTCCGCACAAAAACCACCGAGACTGCAGCAGTCACTCACCGTGCGCTCGCACGTCTCGCGATCCACATCCCTGAACGTAATATGATAACTTTGATATCTAGATGCTACACATGGTACACATGTAAACCGCTTAGGCCTCAGCCATGTCTCTCAATCTTCTGATAGTAGATCTGACAGTGGCAGCGGCAGCGGTGGAGACAGTGTAAGCACCACCAGCAACGGTCTTCTTGCAGCTAGCGCAAGACCAGATACCGGCAGCACCTCTGGTGACAGTCTTCTTACCGCAGAACGAGCAGTCGTATCTGGCGTGTTGTTGGATTTCCAACTTCTTGACCTGTCTTCTCAAAGAAGAACCATAACGGACACCGTACTTACCGGTGATACCAACCTTCTTAGTTCTCTTAGCCCTGAAGATGATGTTAGTAAACTGCTGAACAGAAGAAAAAAACAAAGTATTGGGAAACCGATGGAGCAGAATGCGTGAGAAAGAAAGTGGGTGGGCAAAGCCAATCAGTGCGTTCCAGTGTGAAACATATAGTCAAACCTTTGAAAGTGCCTTAAACCTTTTTCCACCAGATCCCTTGGCCACTTCCTAGCAGTACACTGTTCAGCTGGTTTTTGCAATCCACAGTGCTCTGTTTGAGATGAAACCGGTCTCTAAAAAACCGCACTCTTTCCATTCATTTGCCACTTGAACCCCCATTCTGATTTCCAACTACTTGGATCGTAGCTATGCATACATTTTATTGTCCTTGAGTTGCTGAAGTTAGACTTTCTTCAAGTATAGCACAGTAAGTCAAACTTCTCAACTTTGATTCTATGAATTGAAAAATGCCGGGCCTTGGACAATCGAGTGGCTGCGTACGAAACGATATACTACGTAGGCCATCGCAACTTATCAAAAAGAGTCCCCGTCGAGAACGATACGAGAGACATCTTTGCAATTCAATTTTTTTTGAAATTGTGAAAAATTAAAAAAGATCAAAGAAAAATGTAAGGATGTTGAAAGGTATGGGTGTTGAGAAAGCAGTCACAATTGTTCTGGTAAATTTGCCAGATATAATCAGGTAGAGAAACTAATAGGTTAAAAGAGCAGTGTTCAGGAAAGACAGTGACGATGGGCAGTAGAATAGGAAGAGACAACCGACGTGGGCGTGACTGTTGATAATTCCTGATATTTTGACTCTTATTTCGGTCGAAGAAAGGTTGTTATTAATACTACTTATGGTTCACAACGCTGTAACCTAGCTTTTGAAATCTTTTAATATCGCGGACTGTCACTTTGCCAGATGAACGTTCAAAATTTGATACTTCAGATATCATTTCTGGTCCATTATGTCCCTGAAGCTGTTTTAGATTATGGACAGCAAACAGCGGGAGATAACGATGGTATTACTTCATTCACTTTATTCTCTGCTGTAATTACTACGAGAATTTCTGCCACTTTGACGCCTATTTTGAGATGCATCCAGCACGACTAGTACCACGAAATTGACTGCAATCACAACAATCACAAAATCCCAAGTCTTCCGAATACAGGGCAAACTCGGTATGATGGCGATATGTGTGAATTGATGAAGGCGTTATCCAAAATGGATCTACAGCTCTAAATCAAAACGGAAAGCCTCAACAAAAATGAATTGGCAGAAAGAAGATGACGACAATGGCAATGGTTTAACATTGCCCTGGTTGTATTCGCTCTTAACCCTATTGGGGCTTAACGGGGTGATATTTCGAGATACGTCACGTGACGCGGTCTCCTAGGATCGCATTCTACCTTCAGAGACGCAATACACGGCTCCAATTTACTTCTACACACTTGTTCGCCCAGTTTTAATTGATTTACCCAGTTATCACCTTCTTCTCTCCTTCGGATCTTCAACGGCTTGACGAACCGTATTTTCTTAATCTTCAGAAATACCTAATGACAGATGACGAGCAAGTACAAAGTGATCACCAGCATACCTTGAGCATCCATCTGCGGCGAACGACACCGCTCAACCTGCAGTTTCTTCAACATGTCATTCTCCCAGATCTTTTGAGGCTACTAAAAACCCACAGCTTTCCCTCGATGGACCTCAATATCGTGGCAATCAACGGTTCTCAAGGGAAGGAAAGGCAAGAAATAAGTCCGCATTTGTTCGCCCAAAATAATATTCACCCAACTTCTCTAAAAAAGCCATAAAATTCTCCATTCACGTTTGCATTACTTCCTGGCTGACTTTTGACACTTACCTTTTGCCGTTTCAACTTGTCTATTTGGCGTTATGCATGTTTTATGCAGTGTCGTCCCAGAAAGACTCGCGTTTCATGCACTCGACAATATCCCGCATATTAGCTGTGTCACAATTTTTGGAAAAATACCATAGATAAATATCTATATAAGCCCAACGCTGGGAACAAGCCCGGCATATCCTTCTCCCAACCCTTTTCAAGCATCAAATAGAGTCTGACCTTGACTGCAAGAAACCCGATACATCCTATTTCTTTGCCCTTAGCCGCCTATCTCTTGACGATATACCCGTAATATCTAAAACACTCCTGGTTTTCAGCGACGCGAAACGGTACCAAGGCAGACGCCAGATTTTCGAAAAAAAAGCGCGTCTGAATCATCGAAAGACCTCGAATTACGCGTAAAGCAACCACTTAGGCGTTAAACTCGCCTACGATTTACCTAAAAAGTCGTTTCCAGCGGATCAAATATGCCATTTGTCAAGCAAAAACGCGTAAAGACAGCTAGCAAACAGCATCGACCTTCTAAACGGCATCATCGACACCCACACAAGTCTTCACAGCGACTCAATGCCACACGAGAAACAAATTTCACGCAAATTCGCGATTCCAACCCGGAAAGACCTTTACAAGCCCCAATTAACGCGTCAGTCGATTCACCGGCACACGATGAAGCGCCATTGATGTCATCGCCAAGCTTTTTGGACAATTTTTTACATTGGGAAGAAACCGATGATATCACAGTGCCCGCTCCTTTAATCAGAGAGCCAAACAATGATGCCAATTCCAACAGTTTACTGCTCGTGCATACTCAACCCGTACATTCGATCTCCACAGCATTGCTGCACGATACCTTGGACGAGCTGGAATCACGATCCCTATCGCCAAGTTTTTCAGCTTTCTCAGATCGACTTTTAGATTCACTGCCCGAACCAACGGTCGCAGATTCATTTGATGCTTCTAAGGTGCCACGAAACCCACCGGTTTCGCTGCGTAAGCTTGCTGAAGTGACCATGCAAATGCAACCAGCAAGAAAACCATTGCAGACCATTAACGAGGCTCGACCAATGTCACCGGAGACTTCTTTTGTTCAATACCTGTCTCATAAGCTCTCACGATACTGTGGATACGTGCCCAGCGACTCACAACACTGCGACAAGATCCGTCTGCAAGAAATTTCGTATAGACTCAGCAAAACAGCTTTTGATCGCTGAAACCCCCACATCCCTGGCGTCTATTCTAGTGTCTGCAGCGTGTTTGTGTCTGTGTGTGTGTTTGAATCTTCAAGTGCTCATCGTAAGAATCAGTTGTTCTTCAAAATCTACAAAACTGCCAGAAAGTCAATATTTCAGCTATTCGGGCCAAGAACTCATCCAAAATAACTCGAAAAGCCTCCCACATTCCCCATATCTCATGAGCACTCCTCAGCTTGACGAACTCCAATGGAAATCACCGGAATGGATCCAATCGTTTGGGCTCAGAACTGACAATGTTCTCGACTATTTCGCAGAATCGCCCTTCTTCGACCGTTCGTCCAACAACCAGGTTGCCAAAATGCAGCACCAATTTGCACAACCACGCCCCGAGGGCTCAGCTCGCGAGGCCAACAACCTAGACCCGGACCCCCACCGTCAGCGCATTTTATCGACCTATATGGTGCATGCACTCTGGGATGCAGAATTACGCAAACTAAAGGGCGTTGAATACGTTCTGGCATACGTGCGAGAGCCCGATTTCTGGATCATTCGCAAGCAACTTCGAAGCACACCTACAACGGCTACTCCTCTGCAAGACTACTTCATAATTGGTGCCAACGTGTATCAATCACCATCAGTTTTCAAGATCCTACAAAGCAGACTTTTGTCCGCAAACTTCCACCTGTCACACGCATTATCTAATGTAAGACGTCTGAGTCAGTTTGAGCCTTCGCAAGGTGGCAGATTCGTCAATGTCGCTAATCAATCGTCCTCTACCGTTTCCCATCCGCACAACACTGTTCCAAGTTCCACTAGCGGTCCGAACTCCGCAGCTAACACGGGCCCAGCTACAACAAGTGTACAATCTGTGCTCACCCATTCCACCACGGTCAATGACGCTCTCATGGACAAACTACTGGGCACCAGCATGAAGTCTACTCCTGTATACCTTTAGGATCGATCCCAATGGCTTCTACGTGGATCGCGACTGACTGATGCTGTGGCCACCCGGACCACAGAGCCTTTAAAGGAAAACATAACTCATTCATGTGTGCACCACTATTCAAGATGCCAACAGTGCATTGTGAAAGCAGTCTTCTCTTAACAGGTACCAATGCTTTCCAAATTGTTGTTGGTCGTCTTGTCGACTATCTTTGCGTGTGTCCATGCTGCTACGGACGCTGTGGTGACCCATAAAGTTTTCCTGGATGTTTCTCACGGTGACAAGGCCGCTGGACGGATTGTGATTGGACTATTTGGTGAAGTGGCCCCCAAAACGGTGCAAAATTTCTACGAATTGGCCATTTCTGAGGACCCAGCAATGGGATACATCAACTCTACTTTCCACCGTGTGATTCCCAATTTCATGATCCAAGGTGGTGATTTTACCGATCATTCAGGAACCGGTGGGAAGTCGATCTACGGCTCTACTTTCGAGGACGAATCTTTCGAATTGAAGCATGACAGACCTGGACGTTTGTCGATGGCCAACAGAGGTCGCAATACCAATGGTTCCCAATTTTTCATTACTACCGTCCCCACACCATGGCTAGACGGCAAACACGTTGTGTTTGGAGAAGTTCTAGAGGGTATGGACGTGGTCACATATGTGGAAAACGTTCCAACGGGTGCTATGTCGAGGCCAAAAGTCACCGTGCGTATTGCCAGCTGTGGCGAGGTCGAAACCGTACCTGTGATAGAAAAACGCAAAGAAAGTATTCATGACGAATTGTAGATTTGACTGGTCGTGTGTCTCGAATTTGAAGCTACAGCACAGCAGTGAGTCTGCTTTCTCATAAAAGTACGTAAATTTGAACCGAAAAATAAGTACTGAAGCGTAATTCTTGGATTCATATCGAGATCCCATTTTATGTAGTCAGATAGTTTCTTGACGCTTCCCTTTTCTTATAGAAAAACTGCCTGGTTGTTGGTCTTCGTTGATGGAACGTTATAATTCGTCAAAGTTCCCAAACTTACAGTCAAAACTTGAAAAAAGTCCTTTAGAGATAGCCTAAAAGACCAAGAAAGATATAATTCACCTGTCTACCATAGGTTCAATCAATTAGAATGTTACTGTCAGCGTTCCGGTACCGGGTTTCGGGAACTCGATACCTCAACACCATCTCTAAATTCACCACTACAAAACTAGCATCTGGAGGTGGACCTTTCGCTCAACTGCCGGAATTCACACCTTTGCAAGACAGCATTATGGTGTCGATACCGTCAAACTGCTCACTGTATACACGGGTGGATCAGGTTTGTGCCTATTCGTTCGATGCCAAATCCCAACTACAACAGCCTTTAATGCTTAAAGAAAGCTCGCAATCTTCCCAGCTTCGCGAGCTATCGACCGGAGATGAACCAGTTAATGCCATGTTGGTGTCTGACACACCAATGTCAAACGTTTTGATTCTTAACCTCGATGATTATCATGAAGGATGGCATCTAACTAACCCACACAGCAGCATCTTATGCTATAGTGGATACCTGGATCTACAGCCGAACAATCATCTACTGGGGCGTGGTACCGTAGCCATTTCAGGTGAGGGACCTGTGTACCAATTGCAGCTCGGAGACAAAGAAACAGCAATTGTCAACCCGGGTGCCATACTGGGCTACAGCAACAAAGTTTCTGTCAACACAGTAGGATTTTCATCCGAAACCTGGATTCCAGAGCGCTTGAGAAACTGGACTAGGCGGTATGCTGGTCAATACCTCGAGAAATTGGATCTGCTTCGGCACAAGCTACTAAATCGAGGTAAGATGTATCACCAGGTTAAGGGCCCAGGAACTGTGCTTTTGCAAACTTCATTCGCGCCAGGCTCCAAGGCATATCATTACTCTGACCAAGAACTCTTACAGGCATTCAAGTGATGTTTACGCCAGGTGCAGACGTTATATATATATATGGTATATGCAGGTACGTGAAACTGATGAGAACGAATTTCCCATGTTACAACGACGGACTAGCCCACATTGTAGGTTTCTTGAGGATGCACCTTTTTAGTCTACACGTAAGCTCCAACGGAATAGCCAACAAACGCTCCCAAATATGCTCCTACAACCAGTGGAGTAGGCCAGTTTTGCCAATCACGATCCCAATCCAAAGGAATAACCACGCAACTAATCCAGCAACCGATGGCCACGGCTATGAAGTACTTTTTGAAAATGCCCACCTTAAAATTGCACTTGAAGATGGAATAGACCGCTGGCAAAGTCAAAATGCAGCAGTGAGCTGCCAGAACCCATGTTTCTTTCAAAAGTATCGCAATTGGCGCGCCCAAAAGTATGATGATCAGCATACAGGGCACAGTGAGCACAAGAGTTGCGGCCAAACTAATTGGCAGCAGACTCATGCGTAATTTCAAGACCTTATTGCCATAAATTGTGTTGGAATTGAACTGCAATGCCAGGTATATCAATTGCAAAGGAGTGAGCATATAAAGCAGAGTAACTGCGTCAAAACTATGCGACAGCTTGATAAAGTAGTACAAAAGCGCCAGCAAGTGCAATGGTACCGTTTGGATGGTTCTCTTAACGTAGATCGGAGGACCATCGTGGTTTACATTGCGTTTTCTGTTGCCCACTGTTCGGGCTCTAGTAAGCGTTTCCTCATCGGAAAACGACACTGTTTTCTTTGGGGTCCTTCGCGTCTTCACTGGCATCTCCGTTATTGCTCCCCCGACCCTTGGGACTCGCTTTCAGCTCAAGTTCGAGTGATACCAATGGTATGAAATTTCAGTAAACTTAAGTTCAAATATTAACCATTATTTTGAAAGTGAGAGAGCTAGCATGGGAAAAGTAAGGAAGACGATCTACGATTGTCAAAAACATGTTTGAATACTCCTCACGATTTGTGGGTGTCATTGGTCAAAAAAAGAGGCGCCTGGGACGTTTTTTTCGATCGAAAAGCTGCAGTGACGCTATAATCATGAAATATTAAGAAATCGGAATTCTTCGGCATTGAAAAGACTCAAAATTTCCTAGCTTTCACGCTATTTGCCAGCACATGAGAGCACTAGATTTAGAATAGCTCTGGTCTACTTTGCAACGTCTATCTTGTTGAGATGTCTGGGGTAAACCTGCTTGTCTTCTTGAATGTCAGTTTTTATCATAAATACATTAATTTTAGTCTAATATATGATCTCTGAGGCTCTGTCACCAAGAATCAACATTTACTGGACGTATTTTACTGACATTTGCTGAAAAGAGAGCTCCTGTCTATCCCGTTAGCTTTTCAAAACCCTCTTATCTCATTAGCATAAAGACCTTGTGGAATATTCCACGTTGATAAGGTCCCTCCATATCTCAAAGTCCGCTTGACGACCAGCTTTCGCTGCCACTTGTTTCCTTCTGTTAATGGGCAATGAGCAATAGCTTTTGATGATGGTGAAATCCAGCATTGGTCTTAATGCATGTCCCAGGGAATAGAAATCGTTTTGCAAACGCTCCATTTTGGGATTCAAACCACAGATTTGCAATTCTTTCTCTACCAAGTGTTGCTGCACCACGTATAGTCGTCTGTAGCTGCTTTCCGTCAAAGGAACAACTTTGATGATTGAACCGTCGGCCTGGGCACCAATAACTTGATATTCAGAGACCATGGATTGCGTCGCAAACTCATTGTTCTTGAGCAGCAACTTCATACATGTGTTGGTGCTATGCAAGTTGAAGCTGGTGCAATGCACCAGCTTCTGACCCGATAGCGAGTTCGGTTCATCCGGTGCGTATTTCAACACATGTAAAATGTTATTTCGATCTGACACAAGGAAGTAAACATCGCCGTTGTTCACCAAAAACTCTAGGCTCATGGTAGCAAGCCTCGAAACGCTTTTACCCAGAGGTATCATGCGATAAGGTTCGGCATCAAAGCCGACAAATTGAAACTCTTGTGCTGCGTCACCGATGATAAGCAAATTCCCATAGCTCTTAATGTCGGATACAAACACCGGAACGTCAAGAAAGGCTACTGGTACCACGGAGTTGTCTTCTTGGACATCGCGCACCAGCACTTTTTGGCCCTGACTGATGAGAAATCTACCACTCACTTCGCAAACGCTTGATACTGCACCCCGAAAGGCCTCGTGAAAAATCTCTTTCAGCTTGAAGTTAGTGTCAGGCTTTCCGGGCTCTGGAACTACTTCTGTGATATCATAGAGGTAGAAAGATCCCATGGTCCCGTAGTCTTCATCTCTCAAAAACGTATTTCCTACCACCAAGTATTCTCTTTTGCGTCTCGTCCTCGAGTTTGTTTGAATTAACATCGTTTTCATGTCATTGATGAGAGAGTTTTTCTCCAGATTGACAACATCGATAATGTTCCACGTCCGAGGGTTCAGCAACAGCAAGCCTGATTGAAAGCCGCGAGCATGGACAGCGTCCTCGTCAGAACCGACCATTTTCTGACCGTCCTCGCTAATGGCTTCATATGGTATCTCTCTGTTATAAGACACGATGTACATTCCTGTACGCTCATGGAATGCAACGTTGTTCAGGCTTCCGTAGCTGTTGAGAGCGTCTTCCACGTTAATTCTTTTCACCGCTAGCCGGTTGCCATACGAAAATGTTCGGTCCAGTGTAGCTATCCTTGCGTTTTTAATATCGTCGACACAAAGTACCGACTCCGTTCCCCAAGATGCTAAGGACACTAACGGAACGTTCCCAAACTTCAAGATTTTTGGAGTTGAGCTGTCTTCTTTAATAATGATGTAAGGGACGCGTCCGGTTATCAAAATGACCGAATATCCGTTGAAATACTTCACGTAGTGAGCAATCCGTTCTATAGAGCTCACACCCTTTGCATATGCGTTCCCTGGAGCACCCGTTATTTGCATATCGTTACAGTGCATCGCCTTGTAGAATCTTTTTCCAATTCTTTTGTAGAGGTACATTTCACCACCGAACGTTAATATCGTAAGGTATTCTTCCTTATTGTCCTTTCCCAACCGGTTGATCATAACTTGTTTAATGGATGGATCTGGGATAACTTCCTCTGGTAGCTGATATGTACTAAAATACAGCATATCATTGAGATTGTCGATACCATTCAGTTGGTAAATTTGATCATGATGATCTTTGGGGAAAAATATGATTTGATTATCCGCCGCCACAAAGGTGAATAGCAGTTGCTCTTTTTCTTTCTCAAGATCGCTCAGGTTGCGGAAAAATTCATTGCATATATTACTTTTGAGGATAACGCCCGAGGTGATGATCAATTCCTCAAGAGCCTCGGGAAGTCTGACTTTCGTGAGTTTATTTCTGTGCTTGTTGTCTAGTTCATAGATCTTGATTTCACCTTTGGAGTTCGTCAGCAATATGAAAGGATCCAAGATAGAAACATGTACGACCTCGAAATCAAAACTGATCGTCATAAGTTTCTTAAACCCTAGGTTGAAAAGAAATACTGCCTTCGTAGTGACATGAACAATGCGTTTCCCATTTCCTATCACAACAATTTCAACAGTTGTAACATTTCTTTTAAAATGCTTAGGTTTGATAGCTGTGATCTTCTGTCCTATTTCGTAAAGCTCGCTTTTTTCAGCCCCAGAGTCAGTTGTTATCAGGTACTTATCCTTTTTCCTGATCTTAAGATTCCAAATCTTGGTTACTGATGTAAATTTCAAAGCTTGTTCGACCAATGGGCGCACACTCTGTTCCATTATACTAAGCGACGTCGTATTTCCCGCGCCCGATGTCGTGACAATAGCCATTTCGTTTTTATTCGGATTTGGCAGCCCTTGGACTGTGCCTTCAATGGAAGAAACTTTACCTATTGCCATGCTTGTAATAGGACCGACATTTATAAGCTTATCCATGACCTCTACTTCCAATGGCTGTACTGTATCAACTAGTAGTTTGCTGTCTGAGGTTGGCCTCACGGGTCCTTCATCATCACCGTATAGTGATGCATAGTCTTCATCTTCGTCGGGCTGCAACTCGATTTCGCGTGTTTCCCTTGTTTCGAAAGCAGAGAGTAGGTTATTGAGCTTGACAACCAAAGCGTCTCCAGACGAAAATCCGATGAACAGTTGGCAGGACTTGAGATTCAGCCCACCTGTCAGGGGTGTGACACAGGTTGGTAAATGGTGAGATTTGAAAAGGTCATTGACGATGGGCAGTTTAACCAATGTAAAATCTAGTAGCAGTCTGCCTTCTGTTTGGAGATTTATGGAATACATCACAGCATTCTGATCCATCAGAAGCAGTATTTCGGTGTTTTTACTCACCATGGCGGAGGTCCATATAACAGGCGCGTTGAACATAACATTAAGTGACTTGTTATCAACTCGCTTCCCGCCCTGGGGAGCTGATGCAAATGAGTTTGTTTGAATGGTGGATTGAAGAGAGCCTGTATTATCAATGCTGATTATTTGATTCACCCCTACAAGCACACACGAGTTATTGAGAGGCAAAATGGAATGAATGTCGTGTGGAAGCTTCTGAACATGATAAATGGCAGTGCTCTTTTTTTCGCTCAATGTTATGGCCATGAGCTTCAAGGAACTCTTTGAAACGTATTTTTCATTTCCGCACCATGCCAGACGTGGCTGGTACAGCACTGCAACAGTAGGCTTATTGAAAGAATTCAAGAATTGGATGTCAACAACGTTCTTTATCTCTGCATTGAGCTCAGAAACGCGCATTATGATACTTTGTCCGGTCAACGGCTTTGAAATAGGCCCATTTTCTAATTTGCGTTTTTTTTCGAGCGGTTGGTACATGTCATCTGCCTCGTCATCTTCCTCATCGAGAGTTGATTTTAGCGGCAAAATCGCCAGCACATCGTTGTTGCATAGAAATATACATCGGTTTTCGGGATCTACACGCAACTTGGACTCTTGGGCAAGGTCTAGCAAGCTCCTTTTCGAAAATTGGTCCTCGTAGTAATGCAATTCTAAAGTTTCCAAGCCCATTGGCCTTAGTGGATCGAACCGAACTACCGACAGTTTGGCTCTTCCCGTGCTCACAAGCAAGCACTGCATAATGCCGTGACTCTGTGGGATCAACGCAATTCCTGTGATGCGTCCACTTAGCTTGAACTCATTGCAAAGAACCAATTTCTCGTGTTGCATCTGGTAAACCGAGAGAACATTTGTTTTGGCCAAGACCAATTGATCGACCTTTTCGGACGTAAATCGGCCTAGCACGGAGTGCGATACTTTTGTCGCGTCGAAAATCTCATCGTAAACATTCATGCTGTAAACCGTACTACAACGGCCACAAGCTAACGGTAAGCGAGTCCTGATTCTTTGTTATCTTGCTGGTCAGAATAGCATTGTTAGAAGCTTAAAGCTGGATCCACTTCCATTAATTGAAAATATCCAAACACGTGATCCATCTACTTTGATGATAATTCTACGAAAGACTGATAAAATCAAAAGCTACAAGTACCCAGAGGGCTTTTCAGAATGAGTGACGTGTGATCATTCTATCAATATCGCACCGGTGCACCAATTGCTGTTCATTCCCCAGTTTTCTGCTGGCTTGAAGGATATATCACTACACACGAGCAAGAATACTCGACTTCAAACCGGTCTCGTTTTGAAGCTGGCCTTGATTTGAATTCTACACCATTTCGATTCATTTGCTCACGCCGCTTATCACTGATACAATCGCCTTATTCTTATTCTTTCCGTCTGTTTCATTGTTCAACTTGATAGCGTTTATGACTATATAGTTAAATTGTAGATATCTTGAAATATACCTACAATGCCTACTGATCTGAAGACAGAAAGTCAGCATTTTAGCGATGTCCAAGACGTTTACTATTGTTATTAAGCTCGGGTCTTCTTCTCTGGTCGATGAGAAGACGAAAGAGCCCCAATTGTCCATAATGTCGATGGTTGTGGAGACCGTTGTAAGGCTTCGCCGTATGGGCCATCGTGTTGTTCTGGTATCGAGTGGTGGGATTGCAGTTGGTTTGAAAACTCTGAACCTGGAAAGTAGGCCAAAGCATCTGGCTCGCGTGCAAGCCATTGCGGCCGTCGGACAGGGCAGACTTATCGGACGTTGGGACTCGTTGTTTTCACAGTTTAGCCAAAGAATCGCTCAGATTTTGATCACCAGAAATGACATTACAGACTGGACACAGTACAAAAACGCTCAGAATACGATTTCTGAGCTGTTGCAAATGGGCGTTGTTCCAATTGTGAACGAAAACGATACACTCTCTGTCAGTGAAATCAAGTTTGGAGATAATGACACATTGTCCGCTATAACAGCAGCTCTTTGCGGCGCAGACTATCTGTTTTTACTCACAGACGTCGATTGTTTGTACACAGATAATCCTAGAACCAATCCTGATGCAACTCCAATCTTGGTGGTTCCTGATATGGCGCAAGGCTTGCCTGGTGTGAAAACTGACAGCGGATCGGGATCTGACGTGGGAACAGGAGGCATGGCTACAAAACTGATTGCAGCCGAGCTTGCTACTAATGCCGGTGTTAATACTATTATAATGAGGAGTTCCGAGCCCCACAACATCTCGAAAGTCGTACACTACGTTCAAAGTCTTGAAACTCCTAGCTCATCGGTCGAAGATCTGGTACAATTACAACAGCAAGAACAGCAGAAACTTCAATTGCATGGAGTTCCTTTTCACACACGATTTGTTGCGGACAAATCCGGGATGCATTTGAAAAACCGAGAGTTTTGGATGCTACACGGTTTGGTGAGTCATGGAACTGTGATCATAGACCAGGGAGCTTTTGCCGCACTCACAAGGAAAGAAAAAGCTGGTCTTTTGCCCGCTGGTGTCATCGACGTCGAAGGACATTTTCACGAACTTGAATGCGTGGATCTCAAAGTGGGCTCCAGGCTTGCCTCTGGCGAGTTAGACACTTCAGCGCCTCTTGTGAAAATTGGCCGAGCTCGTTGCAATTACACCAGTTTAGAGCTGAAAAAGATCAGAGGTCTACAAAGCGACCAGATCGAGAAAATTCTCGGTTACGCTGACAGCGAATACGTAGCGCTGCGTGCCAATTTGGCTTTTCCTCCACGCTGAGAGTCAGTCTCACAAAAAGAGAGCTTTGGTTGACAAACCAAGCAACGATTTATAGAATAGATATATCAGAGTAGTCGTGATTAATTCTTACAAGGCTCACAACAAAATCGAGAGTGTTCGATTGTCTCGATCAAATGAAGTTACCATATTTGCGGCAGAAGATTTTGTCACCGGAGGTAGTGGTATCTGCAGCTTCTGAGGCTGGTACGTGTGATGGTGAGGTGAGGTCGTTATGTTCAATGTGTTCTCTTGTGCGTCATAAGATATCTGATAATCCTGTTGCGACGTGAGCTCTGATCGCACTTGTATCCTGAGATTCGCCCGGTGGCCCGACGGTGGGGGGCCCATTCGAACATCCAGTTCGAGTGGTTGTTTAGTATGTTTGCCAGAAGTTTCCTTCTGCTTCGAAAGTGTCATTTCGCTGGGCTCTATCTCCTCTATAAGTACTTTTCTGCCCTCTGTATGAGCATTAGGGAAGAGCGGTGGAAGCTTTCCGTCAGAATCGAGATCTTCCTCGTTGTCCATAAGGTCTCTTCTCATATCCAAAAAGACTTGCGGGTCATTTTCGCTGCGGTCTTGATCCCCGTCTAGAGCACTCTTTTGTGGGTCTGCATTCAGGTCTTCGCTGAGCACTTCTAAAACCGGAATGCTATCGCCCTTACAGCGAAGTTTGGGAAAGGCCAACTTCGTGCGACTGAGTTCTATTTCTTGTCGCAGTTCACAGGACTCAAGACACCATTCGACCAGAATTTCCTTCAATTGAGGGTTGCGGCGAGCCCATTCAAGACATTCCGTATTCACACAGCAGTCGCTAACGTAGCACATCGTACCCTTCTTGTCCACATCTTGACGTGCTGCAGATGTCACGATCGGGATTTCCCAACGATTGGCCATAATGAGCGGAAACACGATACTGGGGTCAAACGGGACGTCTGGGGTCGGTACCTGGGACGCATGGCAGACGTTAATAAAATATTTCACACCATATTGCAATTCCTTGTGGGAACTGCCTTCAACGGTCGTTTTGATTGCAAAACCCGCCTGCGGTTCTACCGATAAGACCCGTTCTCTTTCCACTTGGGGATCACCTACAGCTCGAAGCATAAACGTCATTGGTTCATGTAATTGAGAAAGCCGTGTGTGATTTCTCTTTACAATGCTTGACGAAGTTATGGGTAAATGTCAAAATCTTGATGTAAAAGAGATCAAAGCCAAGATTGTAGGGCAAGACTACACCAAAACGTACAGAACTTTGGTGGAAGATCCGTACGCGAGACCGAAGGAAATTATGGAGCTCTAGTTGAAGTGCCCAGGGTAGCTTAAATGCCTTCTTTTTATCTCCAGTTTCGTCAACTTTTTGTTCGACAAGTGGCCGCGATGAGCTTGGAAATTAATTATCACCAAATACTACTGTTAACAAAAGAGCACTGCACTTCTACCACAGAAAAAGATACCAGAAGTGATCAATCAAACCTTCGATAGCAACCAAATTGAACTTTTATTGAAGGTTTATCGAGATGTCTCGAAAACGGCTTCCTTGTGCCCTTTTGATAGGACTAAATACACGACGTCACGGTATTCGTTTTTCGACCCGGTAAAGCATTGACCATTTAGTCGAGAGCGACGAAATTGAACCGCGAAAGCGATTATATATTACAAATCAGCTCATAGCTGATTATCCCAATGTGTTTCCGGTCTGTATACGGGCTCAATGCCTAAGATGACAGGTTTCGTAAAAATGCTTTCGATAGGTGATAGGTTGGGAAAAAGTGATATGGAATTGAAAACACTCAAGAACGTTGGAAGTGTCGTTTGAAAAGAAGACCAAGTCCGATCAATTTCTTCACTCAACTGTTCTAAAACAATCCTTTAAGCCCATATACACTGTGGTTGATGGCCGGCAATTTCGGACTACGTTGGCCGCTTAATTCCGTTTCGCTTGACGAGTCGAGTTCGAGAAGATCTTATATAAATTAAAGATATTTATCTATCTTATCTGAAAAATACTCATCGCATCGCTTGAAGCAGTCGAGAATTGTGTTTTAATCGATATAGAGAAGGTCTATAAGTTGATCTTATACTTGGCCAACAGTTAACTGAGCTCTCACGATTAAACACCAATTCTCGCGCTAAAAATCGAGCCACTATTGGGCTTACAGCTCCTCCTAAGCGTTAATCTAGATAAAATGGAAAGAACTCCGTTGTTGGGCTCCAAGAAACAGGATTCAGCGACCTATGGTGGGTACGTAAGTGATGGAAGATCTGTGGAATCGGATGAAATACGATCTAGCCGTTTTCGAATAATGAGTCCCGACTTGGAAGAATCAGAAGCTGCAGATCTGTCTCTTTTGAAAGATTCGACCTTTCTAAGAGCTGACACTACTTCTGTGAAATATGAGACCCAGGTGATTTTAAAGCAAGCATTGCCGCTCACATTGACATTCTTCATGGAATACTCGATGGCGGTGACGTCGCTGGTCGTAATTGGGCACTATGGCACTTCCGAAGATCTGGCATCGGCGTCACTGGCTGTCATGACGTTTAACATTACCGGACTAGCAATTATCGAAGGCATGGCCACCTCTCTGGACACGTTTTGTGCACAGGCGTTCGGTGCTCAGAAGTTTAGTAAAGTGGGGCTTTATTTTCTGCGTTGCACAGCCATGATCACAGTAGCAGCCATTCCTATAATTCTGTTTTGGTGCAGTAGCGCATTTTGGCTACGATTTGTGATTCCCGAGCACCAGCTACTTGCACAGGCCCAAAGCTTTCTGCGAATTTCATCGCTTGGCCTGCCAGGTCTCATTTTTTTCGAAACAGGTAAACGGTTCGCACAGGCACAGGGCTTCTATGACGCGGGAACGTGGGTCTTGATGATCACCGTTCCTATTAATGTAGTTTTGAGTTTCGGCCTGACTAAAAGGTTCGGCACACTTGGATCTCCCGCTGCTATGGCCATTACCGATACGCTCTCAGCGTTGGTACTTTTCATGTACTGTCGGTATTTAGAGCCTAGCATTTGTAATTGTTGGTACCCTTTTACCACCAGTTGGCATCACTTTAAGCGAGTTTTCCAGCACTGGGGACCCATGTGGAGTTTAGCATTTCCGGGCCTAGTAATGGTCGAATCCGAATATTTGTCATTCGAAATCTTAACTATTATGGCATCACATTTTGGGGTCGAAGCGATCGCTGCACAAGCTGTGGTCGCTAATGTGGGATCTTTGGCTTACCAAATCCCATTCTCTATCGGTTGCGTGGTCTCTACAAGAGTAGCAGGCTACATTGGGACAGAAAATATCAAAAATGCAAAGATAGTAGTGCGTGCTTCATATGCAGTTTCTGCTGGTATTGGTATATTTGATTGCTTAGTTCTTATTCTTGGAGGAAAACAACTTGCTCGACTTTTCACCAGAAATGAAGACGTCGTTGCAGTTGCATACAATGTTATGCCAGTCTTGGCCATCAATCAAGTTTATGACTCCATAGCCACTTTCAGCGCGGCAGTTCTGCGATCTCAAGGAAGACAAGCAATAGGTGGTCTGATGAATGTGATTGGCTACTATGTGATAGGAATCCCAATTGGCGCATGGCTGGCTTTTGGTCCTCTAGATTTAGAATTGAAAGGATTATGGTACGGCTGTGGCATGGGTATAATGACACTCGCCATTTCTTTATCATACTTCGTTTTCAAGAGCAATTGGACTAAGATCTATGAAGATTTTCTAGTTCGTGAAAGCGAAGACGCCGAGGCAGATCTATTCAGTGTTGCAACAAGCTGCACTTCCTCGACTTTATAGAGATGTAACGTGTATTTTGAAATTCAAAAGGTCTATTTATTTAGCATGCCCCATCCCGGACTTTCCTATCCAAAAATTTGGATACCTGTGGTACCCACGTCTGGTTGATCTTCAGTATCTTCCTGGGACTCGTGTTCTTCGTTGAAGTCTATGCGCTGTCCAAGCAAGCCGGCACAAAATTCATCGATTTGTTCGTCCGACCATTTAAGACCATTATTTATGGGAGCTTCGTAATTCGCAATCGGTTCTTGAATGGTGAAGTTGAGTTTTCTTCCCTTGGACGCCTTAGTATCAACATTCTTTTTGATTTTGTTATTAGACCGAGAAGTCATGGCAATAGTAACGCCACTAGACTCATTTTGTGCGCTTGCGATCTTCTTGTCGACAAGATCGTTCAGCAGTACACGATAGAAGTCCTCATCGTCGAAAACATAAGGATTGTCGGTGGTATCCATGACTTTGTTATTTCTTTTTCTTGGGTCGTAGTTCTTGGGGATGTCGAGATCTTCATCGGCAGAGTTCTCTGGTTCTGAATCTACCTGTGGTTTGAGCTCTTCAAGGTTGCCATTTTCGAGATCTTCCTCGAATCCAAGAGCTGCGATATTTCTTCTGTTAAGCCTCGTACGTTTTAAAAGTCTTGAAGTATCGGCCAGTTGGTTTTCCACTTGAACGTCGGCCGTTTGGTGAATGGCTTTGAACTTGGACGAAGACATGATGGATTTCCCTGAAGCCGATGCGACTTTTTGAGACCACTTGTGAAGAACAGCATTACGGTATTCCTTTAATTGAGCGTCGAGATTACGCGATTGATCGCATAGCTCAGCAAAGCTTCTTTTGTGACTAGTAGAAGTTTGCTTATGTCCATTCTCATTAGTAGAAATTTTCTCATTGGCTTGAAACTCACCACGAAAGTCTATAAGCTGGCCCAAAACTTTTTCCAGCAATTTCATTGTCTTCGAGATGAGCTTTTCGTTCTTGGACGATTCCTGCAAATACTTCTCATAAGACAGGTTTGTGAGTGGGAGCTCGTTGGCAGCATTGACAGCTTTTTGCAACTTGATCCGAGCATCAAGAATGTGGTCAAAAGTACGATACTGTTCCAAAATGGCGAAACCTTTGACTGCATCTTTATGGGTGGTTTCCGAAAGTTTATTGGCGGCCAAACGGGCTTCTTGTCGCACAATTTCCGCTAGTCTTTGACGTTTGAGCTCTGTATCTTCATTATCCTCAGCGATGACTTCCTGTTCTTCGTCGCTTGGATCCTCTTCGTCTTCAGAGTCGGTACGCATGGATACGCCACTATCCGATTGGTGGTCCACATCCTCTTCCTCCTCAGCTGACACATCGCTACCGGACTGCTCTTCTTCGTCCTGTTCCGAGCTGCTAAGCTCTCCGTCACTTTCCTCCTCATAGACCTTATTTCTGGACCCCTTGGCCCCTTGGTATTTCTCGTCCCGTAGCGCAATGCCCTGGTCTCTCAAATTCGATTTCCCTACGTTCACGTAGTGCGATTTGGCCAGTTTTTCGTCCTCGGACTCGGCCCCCGAGTCCTCACCGCTGTGATCCTGATGCTCGAAAACTGCACGCTCATTGTCCTCTATATCGTAGTCTTGTACCGCTGGCTTGTTGGCAAGAGCGGCAATCTGTTCGGACAACGATTTGGCCATTGTATTTACGGTCAAAAATGCGAATTTCGAAGCCGTTGAAAAAGCAAAATGATCCTTAAAATGCCCTCAAGATGTACACAGATAGCAAGGCCTCCCGTTTGAGAGTTCTTAATGTGTAATGATCAAGAATGATGTTTTTATTCAACTCATCTCATCTCATCGCTCGCAGTTCATTTGGCTCATCGCCTTGTAATTTACCAAAAATTTTTCATTTTCGGGTCTATCGACTGAAGGGATGAGTAGAGAAACGACAAGATGGCAGCAAACATGAAATACCCAAAGTGACATTACGGAAGAAGAGCCCTTTCTCAACCTTTAAAACGAATTTGGTAAACCCAGCAATGATTACCAGCTCATCAAAGACTTAGATATGATCTCAAAACTTTGAAAAACCACTCCAAATTTTGACCCGAAAAAAAGCCCATATTTCTTATAAGAAAATAACCAAGCAAATCGAACACGCGTAATTCAAACTGAAAACAATGATGTTACAATAGCCCTCAACGTCGTCCGAATAACGATCTGAAATGTAGTTTCCCACTATTCAAAAGTTGTTTCAACAACTCTTCACGTGAAAGGCACGCAATACTCACGTGACACATGTCCAATAGTAAACCGAGCATCAGAATTTCAAATACGCTGAGATTAACAAATTTATTCACTACTTTCAACAACTACAAGTGTTAAACTCTGAACCAAAACGACTCAAATAGAGAGGCCAGACGACGATTTCCAGACCGTACTCGAATCTCACTCTGCACCTATTGAAAAGGGCTTTTTTTAGTGTGTGTTAAGAACAAAACCCCATCTTTTTAGCGTTTCTCGTTACCGTTTTCCGTTTGTTGATTTCCCACATTCCGATAGAAACCAAAAATGTTCAACAGAGCTGTTTTTTCCCGTTCTCTAGCCACTGCTGCCAAATCCGTCAAACCCCCAATCCAATTGTTTGGATTGGACGGCACTTACGCCACTGCCCTTTTCACAGCTGCTGCGAAAACCACATCGGTGGAAAGTGCAGCCAAATCGCTAACCCAGTTGTCGCAAACTGTCTCCAAGGACGCCAAATTGGGCTCGATCTTGAACAACCCAGCTCTTTCTGCCCAGGACAGAGCTTTGGTCGTGGAAACTCTGTCCAAGTCGCAACCTGACTTGGACGCCTCCGTTGCCAATTTGCTCAAAGTTTTGGGCGAAAACAACAGATTGGATCTTTTCAACGACGTCAACGCCCAATTTGCCAAGCTGACCGACGCCTACAACGGTCTAGTGCAAGCCACCGTCACCACCGCACAGCCATTGGACTCTAAGCTGTTCAAGAGAGTCGAAAAAGCGCTAGGTGCTTCGAGCCTGGTTGGTCAGGGCAAAACTTTGAAACTTGAGAATGTGGTTGACCCAGAGATCCAAGGTGGTCTAGTTGTTGAGCTGGCCGACAGAACCGTGGATTTGTCCATCTCTTCCAAGATCAACAAGCTCAATCAACTTTTGAAAGAGGCTATCTAATTGCCAAGTATAGAACACGGCAAAACAAGACAGCAGCACAAGCAAGCATCGGCATAGCGCAGCCAAGAAGCACTACACCGTAAAAGAAAGACGATCTCCCCCTACAAAGAAAAAATTCAACGCACATATAATTTTTTATGTCTTTATATTCATTAACGACTTGAACCAAGAAACCTTTTTTTTACACAAGTGTTGGCAACAACTTTCTTTCCCTTCTTATTCAATTCTCCTTCTTCGTTCCCCGACCAGCCTTGACCCTGGCCTGCTTTTCAGCTTCCCTTTGACTCAAAAACTCTTTGTACTTGTCAATGGTGATACGACGCTGAGCGTGTTCATATTTTTCCAAATCGTGGAATTTTGTGCCACACACGCGGTCCCAAATGGTGAAGAAAGGTTGCGCAAAGTTTGTCTTGATGCCAAACTGCTGGTGGTGGATGTCATGGTAGACCGCATTGTTGGGGAAAATCCATTGGAATGGGTCCCAGGGAAGTGCATATCCACAGTGGTCGTCTACGGTTTTGAGCGTGGCAAACGTGTATAGCACCACTTGCTCGCGGTGTGTGAGCTGTGTGACGATCGCGGCGATACCGGTTCCCAGCGTATCAAGCAAGAAACCTTCCAAGGGCGAGTTGTACAGCGCGCCGTATGCGTAGGGCACGTACAGACGGTGGTGTCTGGAGTGGTACATCCGGTACAGAGTTTTGTTGGTGTGCATCAGACGGTGCAGCCAGTACTGCCACGAGTCGATGATGCAGAATCCGACGAAAACCTTGGCCAGAGAGACCCCGTAGGTGTACGCCAAGTAAATGGCTCTGTTGGGCACCCAGCTGGGGGCCAGCTGTCTGAGTTCCCACATCGCTTTTTGCTCGAACCCGGTGTTGGGTGCTGGGTCCATGTACAGCATTGCCAGTCCGGTGACGGACTGGATCATATGCTGAACCAGCACTTCACCCAGCACTTCTTTCCGGCTTGCCTTGTTGCGTTTCTGCACTTCTTCTGGAGGGTGGATTCGGAACCGTTCTGCCAGCTCAAACGTATCTATGACATGGAAGAACATCGAAAACGTCCAATATGCCACTACTGGCAGCACCAACGCCAGCTGTCCATCTGTAAGCCAAGGAAGCAGCGGTTTTTGTTCCCGAACCACCTCCAGAGGTGCCACAGCGGAGTCCAAGTACGAGTATGCTTGATTCGCCAACCACGTACTGTTAGCTAGCCTCATGTCTTGCAAAACTGGATGGTTTTATGCCTTTCAAGCTCACTTTTAAGCTTGGATTTCAACTTTTCTTTCAAATTTTTACCACTTTCTCACTATAAATCCGATGAGTTGAAATTTAACTCTTCAAAAGCACAGTGAAATTTGAGTTATCTTTGAGTGAATTCTGGACGTTATAGTAAGAAGTGAGTAGAGTTCTTCTAGTATCGTCTAGTCTAGTCTCGTATCGTCTCGTGTGACCGTGTATAGTTGGCTGAACAGTTCAACTAGCCGATGGTGCCAGTGGTTGAAAAGTTCCAAGTTGTGAGTGATTATCGGCCGATTTGTGGTGGTATATTGAATGTTCGCGTAGGTAGCATGGACTGGGTCAAATCGGGGAGATAGCCTTTGGTCTTGTATAGTTAGAGTTTTTTTTTCTTTCTTTCAATTTTTCGCGGTAGGATGGGATGGGGTGACAGACAGAGATGACTATGGTTTGTAAGTCGTATGACAAAAGTTCGGAAGTGATAGCGGCGGGCGGGCGAGAACCGTCGTTTGAAGTAAGCAGAAACAGAAGCATAATCGGCTGTGGAATTTCTTGGATCGTGTTGTTGATTGAAAAAAATTGAGGAATTTCTTGGAACGTCGTAGGAGAGGAGGGCCGGGTTGGCTATTTACAAGTGGAGTGAGCAGCGGGGAGTGAGTGGAGCGAGCCGGAACGGAGACCTTAGTAGTATCACAATACCGCTTTGTCGGCAGAAACACGGTCAGCAAATGCCAATTTGGCACGCTCTCCCAGAGCACGCAAAATGGCAGACTGTTCGCGAGCAATGTTGCCCGTGCGAGGCATCACGGCGTGCTTGACGTGCGGCAGAACAGGCGTCCAGTGCTTGCTCACATCGCCCATTCGCCATTCGTCTTCCCAGTGGATTTGGCCCATCGTTGTCGTGGCTGTCTTGGCCAACGCTTCCCGCAAGTCGGCCACCGCTTCCTGGCCGTACGTGGGCCGGTACTGTGCGCTGTACCACACATGTCCGTCCTCGTTTTTCTTGCGCAGATTGTCTGTTTTCTTGGTTTCCCGAACGTCTCTTAAATAACGTAGCCGACACAGATCTTGGTATAGTTGCACGCCCTGCTCGTATGTGGGCAAGTCCACCACGGCCATGCATCTCCACACGTCTCTTCTGGTCGAGGGCTTCCGATTAGACCAGTCGGGACGCTTGAAAAGCGCATCGATCTGGTGCTGTGCGAACACAGGCATTTGCGAGTAGATTACCTGGCCGCTCTCTAAATTGCGGAACAGGAAAACCTGTGGGGCAAAACCGACTTTTTGCAGCCATTGTGCAGTGCGGAAACAGGATGCGGCTACCATTGGGGTGTGTGTAATTCGGTGGGTTTAGAGATGTTTTTGAACTAGACCTGGCGGGAGTTTAGTCTTCTCATCAGCATCATCATCATTTTCAATATCACCAAGCTATTAGCACTAGGCTCCAGGTTCTCTAAAATTTTCAGTCACATGACGAGACAAGAACACGTGAAGCGAAAATCAAGGATGACGGTCATGTGATCTGGGCGGCTCACAGCTGTTTCACGTGATTACGATCTTTTAGGCATCTTTTCCGCCCAGAACTTCAACGACACTGAAATAAGGAGGGAGCTCTCACGAAGACGAGTTAGCCAATTAACATTAGAAAACAACAGTAGCTTCGTACCGCTCAGTCGATTTGCACCTACAATCGCGTTTGCCACCTCATTATGTATATGATTCTTCCGAAACCTCAAGCACGTTGTTATGTGTTAGTTGCTTACTGAATGGCTGTTACTCTCCGAATACAACATTCAGAAGTTATCTCGTGTTCCTGACGCGGCTTTAGTTCACCAAAATTGTCCCAAAACACTCTCTAAGCTGCCTGGAAAGAGATTGTTGACTCGCGGGTCTCTCGATCCGCATGGTCGGATTCCAATAGATATAACCCTTCAGATCCCACGAAAAGGATGGTCCCACCATTTTATCAGCATTTTGACCCACCCAGAATGTCTACCGACCAAAGAGAGCTTTCAAAAACCACAACTTCAATGCTTCCGGCGATCCAAAAGCCAAGCAAGTCATCATTCTCAATTTTAGGGCTAGAAAACCCATAAATGATGCGTTTTTTACCCTTTTTTCCATCAAATCAAGCGTTTCCAAAGCACATTAAATCCCTTCCATCCCACACAGAGCTCAATGGAAGGCTCAATCCCGGCATTCGAACAAACAATTGATGATCCATGATTTGTAGTTGGTATTGGTATGGGATCACTTTAGTATTTATTGACCCCATTAATTCCAATATCGATATGCTCATCGGATGACAGATCACTTTGTACTTTCGTGGAATTTCCATATACAGTTCGTGCAACAGTCATACAAAACGCTCAACCCAACCCAGAAGCTCAATGGAAATCGTCGAATAAGCGTGGTGAAATAGAACTTACTCCTATTTTACTCCTGTAACGCAGCTTGGCTGGCTATTCGTAACAGCATTTCAAAAATTAAAAAATGATTAAAATCGAGCATCAATTTGCCAAAACAAGCCACCGTACTATCGATCGAGCTCTATAAGCTTGTTTCACTCACTAATCTATCCCACATCCAAATCATCTCGCTTAGAGCTTTTGTTATGTGTTTTTTTAGTTAAATTTGAAACTTTACCAGTTTTTAATGCTTAAAAGGTACAAATCGGATTCTGACGTCAAATCAATGATACTAGCTTTAGGCTACCAACAATGCTTACTAGGGTTTGACTTTAGATCTGTAAGTATAGGCAGACGCTCGCTACCTTCGAGATCTTCGGTGACATCTTGAAATTCACCAGCACCGTCCAAGAAGATCGGTGCTAGTAATAGTTTATCAGATATCTGTTAAGCTAGCTCATCACCAAGGAACTTTATTTTACAAAACATTGCAGCTTCGGGTTTGTGAGCTGGGCTAGCTTGTTACTAGTACGTTCCAGCCTCTTTTATACAGTTTTGTGTGATCGTGGCCAAAAAAAAGGGCTCAAGAAATAGGTCAATCGCTAGCTTTACAGTGAGTTAAACCCTCTGTAGTCCAGGACAACAGCGGAAAACTGTGGATATATTGACAACTTCAAGCAATCGGCTGACTCTAGATACGTTTTTGGAACATCATGCTAGAGGCAGCGTTCACAGTGGTGCCCACCACGAGACTCGAAGCTGAACTACAAATGCCATATCTACACGAGCCTGGCCACGTAGATTTGTTGTATGAGACCGATTGCAATGTTCATGAACCTCACTTGCAGAATACATTTCAAAAATGCGTTTCGTGTGGTGCAGGAATCATGGATAAATGTGTGATGTTCCAAGATCAATGGGTGTGTGCCTTTTGCAACAAGTTCAATCCGGTCGTGGAAAAGGCACCCGCCACTCCTTACGAGGTGGAAATCACAGAGCCATCATCAGCTGCGGTGCCTTCCAATATCGATAATGTTTTGGTAATAGACCTTTTAGTCACTACACCAGACGAGTTGCAATCGATTAAAGATCTAGTGACAGCTAGAGTCAAGGCCGGCAAATCTGACGCTACGTATGGTCTAGTAAGTATTACTGATGGAGAAGTTGCTGTACACACAACTTCGTCGTGTAACACCTTTTCCATCGATGAACATGGTGTCTCAGCAAAGGCCAAAAGCATGGACTCTCAGTACTTTGTTGAAAAACTACCACCAATAGTTGATCTTTCAATGACCGCAGACCAATTGATACATTCTTTGACTAGTCTACAGCCTGCGACTCTTGACAATAAAGATCAAAGACCAAGACGGGCCACTGGTGTGGCATTTTTCCTCACAAGTATCTACTCTCAAACACAGGCAGTCGGACATCCAGTCTCGGTGACTGCATTCATCAGTGGACCTTGCACTGCAGGGCCTGGGAAAGTTTTACCAAAAAACAAGAAATATCACATAAGACAGCATTATGAGTTGGACGCACGTCGTGACAAGTATTTCAATTCCGCCAGAGGATATTATCAGCAGCTTTCCGAGAAAATCCAGGTGCGGCTTTTGATTTCTAATTTAGACCAGATTGGAGTTGTCGAGCTGGCTCCAGTGTGTTTGGAGATCGATCAGTTCGATTCATTTTTTGAGGAACGCTTTAAAAACCTAGCATTGAGATGGTGGCCCAACGACGTTAACGAAAACGAAATAACTGTATTTGCGCCCAAGAATTTGAGCATCGATGGTTGTTTTGGACTTGTGTCTAAACTCAAACCCTCACAAATAACATACAGCGACACCCCATGCGGGGTGTCGGGAACAAATAGATGGCGATCATGGTCCTCGAGACCGTCGTTGGCATTTTCTTTCCAGATAGTTACACAGGCAACGAAGGATGCGTCTATCGATGTGACGCCTGTGCATTCTGTCGTTCAAATACAACACAGCTATAAGAGGAATGCCAAAAGATACGTCAAAGTTGATGCGGTAATCATAACAACTACAAACGCCCACATGTCAGGTTCTTGGTCAGTGGCCAAGAGTCTCAATATTACAGTAGCACTAACGTGTCTTATGAAACAAATTGCATTCAGCCAACTTGTGAAGGGAAGAACACATTCTCTTCATCTTCAGGAATGGCAAACACGAATAGATAAGCTTGCCGCTCGGCATTTCAAAGCATTTTCCAAAAACTACTCTAAACTTTTGGAGTACCTGTATTATCTCAAGTGGACCGCGCTTCTTCAAAAGCGCAACACTTCGCCGGATGAAGCTGCCATATACCAGCACACTATTTTGACTCAAGACAAGGAGATAGCGAAGCTTTTATGCAAGCCCCGCGTAACTCTTTTCACAAATGACACAAAGTCCGAGATTTCAATCTTAAATGAACAGCTCATGCAACAAAACCAGGCAATGTGTGTAGATCTTGGCACCATTGTACTAATAAGGTACTCGGAGGATAGTGCCATACCCACGCAACAGGCCCAAGAAATGGCGGACGCTTTAGTGAGATCGAGGCACTTACCTACCAGGCTTGAGAAAACGCCTGTACATGGAAGTCAAGATCGCTACTTTATATCTAAGCTGGTGCCAGACGGAAACGCCAATACCGAGGCTCTTTCGTTAGGAGAGTTTAATGGACTTGTGCGGAAACTAGCCATGTGCATCTGATAATAGTCTTTGAGAAATAAACAGGGTATTTTGGGATGTGAAGAAGCGTCCAAGATCTGGGACGTAAAAAAACATGTTAATGCTGCCCCTCTGGCATTGCTTGTTTTAGAGCAGATGGTTGCTTCAACGCTCTTCTTTTGGTCTAGCATTATGAGCGATTAACCTAACCGTCACCAAAGAATTTTACACAGAGACTATCAGGATCGAAAGCAGCTATTTTTGAGCTCCTTCCGTAAACTGATGGCCCCAAAATCGCTGCAAGCCTCTGGTAAAATATTCAGTGACTATCGATTTACCTCCAATAAAAGGCAGCAAAGAAAGAAATTTGAGAAGTCAAAGATATCGAGCTGCGTTGACCCTTCCTTCTTAATCTCCGACAACTCCCAACTTATGCGAACCATTCGTTATTCGAGTGTCTCCCGAGAAGATCAGAATTCGTCTGCTTTCCAAGCCTTTCCATCACCACTGCGGATCCTTTTCGTCAGCGACGGCGAAGCAAAAGGCTTTTCTTGCGACTAACCTGAAAAGAAAAACAATACAATAGCCATAATTTCATATGGAAACATGCACAACTTACCGTCGTCACACAGAAACACTAACAAAGCTGGTCCATTATAGGATTACCTCAATTCTAAAAAATGCCAAGAATCTCAACAAATACCCAAAACCATCCCAAAACGTCCTGTACTAGACTCCAATGAAAGCACGCTGCTTCTGCATGTGCTTCACGCTGCTTCTGCATGTGCTTCACGCTGCTCACAGCTTTCCGCCTGTAGAACATGATGAGTTGTTCATAAGTCCATTTTCGAGACTTGAGCCAGAAGAATCCTCTCAGCAGCGATGGTTTATAGATTTATACAAACAATTGTCACACAATTCAATAGTAGCTATCCTAGGTGTGCTATAAAGCGTTAAGCTTCAATTCAACTTCAATATCGTCTCACAGTTGTGTGTCGCTCTCTATAACGTGATAGTTGTTAGCCATATATTAGTAGATCTCAAGATGTTTATGATGAATATGAACCGCTCGCATTAGAATAAAGCTCGAGTATAAAGTAAAGAAGCACCAAGAGACTTGTTCAAACGTTGATTCGATTGAGATTTTAACGGGCTACATATACGTAAAAAGCTGATACTTTTAACTGCAAAATTGGTTGAGTTTAGAGTAAATTCATGAGCAATACTACCAGCGGGCAAAATGCCAGTTTTTGCATTCCAGTTGGATTAACTAGTCTTCAGAAGGATCTGATTGAGATACTCATCTCAACGCATGCCAAATCGCTTTTACAGTTATGCGAAAACGGAAAATACAAGGCTCTCGAGAATGGTGAAAATGATGCGAAACTAACACTACCTGCATTATCGCCAAATCAGCTAACGTCGCTGTTATCAACAAATATTCGAGCCATTGCAAATCATCCGTGTCTTTTGGTGGAACACTACATGCCGCGGAAACTGCTGTTGATGGAGCCTGGGGAAAGACTGATAGATGCAAGTGACAAATTTCAGAAAATGGCAGCATTGCTCGACTCACTGCTATACAGGGACCGCAAAAGATTTCCAAACGCCTTGCAAATCGCAGTCATCTCACACAGTGTTAAAGAATTGGATCTCATAGAAGGATATCTTTTGGGAAAGTCCATTAGGCTCAAACGTCTTTCTGGAACGAGTTTATTTGACGAAAAACATCTTTATGGTGAGCCCAACACCGGTTCCAGCACACCGGTTATGTCTACAGGATATTCGAAAGAAGACAACGACTACAGAAGACGCAAGAACAGAGTCTCGAAAAAGGACTCTCGCGATTGGCTGTTTGTTGCTACATCCACACACTTAGCCCGAGCGCCTGATCTGCTAGATGGCTATAGCATAGATCTTGTGATAGGATTTGATCCTCTGATAGACGAGAATCTTGAGTGTTTCACAAGGATGCGAAGTGCTGGTAAAAAAGTCCCGCTCGTGAAACTGCTGGTGAAAGATTCTCCGGACCATTACTCATTAGTTCATCGTCAAGCGGGAAACGATCAAGATTTGTTTTTGGACTCACTTCTACATTTCGTGAGAAATAGACGAGCGATCACATACCAAGAGGGAACCGGCTGGTTGCGTCAATTCGCCGAGGAGCTTCTAGCAGAAAGTATCCCCAACGCAGCGTTAATTCCAACGTGCAATCTCACAAACGAATACTCACAAATGGATCTTTCAGAGTCGGTGACAAATTTTCCATCTCTTTCACCACTCTTGACTGTGAACTATAAGCTAGAGCCAGTACTTCAAGATCTGGACATCAAAACATATCAAAGCGTGCTAATGGACCGTATTGTCCAGAGACTCACTTCTTGCGATGAGGAATACTTTGCTCGTGAAAAGGAAATACTCAGCAAGAGATTGCAAGAGACCATACGTCAGAACAAGCTCGATGAGTTGACAGAAAATGCAGCAGCTGTCTTTAAGCAAAGCAGAGAAGAGGAGGGCCCTGCTCTCGAGTCGGCCAAAAAATTAGGCAAAGCACAAGCAGACGATCTGAAATTGTGTGAGCGCTTGAAATCTCTTATTGAGCAAAAGTCGTCTTTTGAAAATAAACTGGGCGACGAGACTACGCCACTTTCGTCTCAAATAAGCGCCTTATCTGCTGACTTAGAAGCTGCAAAGACTGAAAGAGATGCCCAGAAGCAAGCCAATGCCCAAAGGTCTTTGACCAACGACGACCTTCGAGTACGATACCAATTGGAGTCATCAAACGCTGCTAATATGTCTATGGTCATCAAAAAACTGCGGGAACGTCGTGACGAGCTCAAGGCGCGTGTTTCGGGTCCAGCGGTCAATCTGTTCTCGAGAAGTGCACTGGAAAACGAGGCGGCGCTAAAGGAGCAGCTAATACAAATAGTTCGACAGTCTCAGTTCACGCAAGGTTACGTTAAAAGAATACAGAAACAGTTCTTCCTCAATGGCTCTCATAACTCTGTGAAAAGTGCCAGTACGTCTCGTTCCCGGCGTCAAAGGAACTGAGATGGTCAAAGGACGTGTACGTATGACCTCTTTGGTAGACTACATCTATTCTGCACTAATTGTTCTGCTCATAGACTGAAGAAGAACTTGACAAGGACGCATTTGATTGAGAAAATGGCTAGAAACGCGCAATATGTTTGGGTTAGGGATGAGAAAACTTGCTTTAAGAAGACGCCAATGGTGTATTGTGTGTTGCTATATCTCTAATTTGTAAAGCTTCCATATAAAAGTAGCTGCAAAATAGCCGTCATTGACAGACATGAGAGAGTCCTGCTCCATTTTTTTCACTTGTGCCTCTTCTAACAGCTTTTGAGTCCGCTTTGAATGCAAAATAGAGACCACAACGTCCGTGACAAACTCTGGATGGCTCTGCAAGGTGAAAACTTTACTCTTCTTGTAAAGGCCCTGGATTGAACATTTGGACGAAGATCCTATGTTAGTATACCCGGTTGGCATATCGTAGACTATGTCATTGTGGACGTCTGCCATCTGTATGGAATCCACAGGATTCTCTCCTGGTTTTTGAAGCAGACCAAGTCTCTTCGCCTCTGGTGTTAGCTGCACGGAAACAATTCCACCTTCAAAACCCTTGACGTTCCTATCTACCCTGCATCCCAAACTTGCGGCCACGATTTGATGTCCAAAACACACACCTGCCACAGGTGGAAACCCATCTGTCGTCAAGATCGTTGAAAGCATATCTCTTAGTCGAATGATCCAGCCAATGCTGGTGTCAAACGCATCAAATTTGGACCCAGTGATATAAATGCCGTCGTAGCTTCTGAGTTGGTCAATTGATGGGAATTGGTCTTTATGAGCATTGTAAGTCACATATTCTGCTTCATCTCCAAAATCTCTTGTTTGTTCCAGCATCGTCACAGCCATATCAGCGAAGTCGCCATACTTTGCAAGGTTCTCTTGGGCAAAGTCGGCGTTGATGATGGCGATCTTCATTGCTCAATGATTTGACTAGAAAGAGCGGTATTCGTTATGGGTGCAGGTAGTACCAGCTGGTTATATTCTCTCAAGAACTTAGTCCTGTGAATTTGTCGAATTCACGACGAAAGTGAGTCAATGAACGTTGTTGATGCTCGGATTCGAGGAAACAGTCTCAACCCGAGAGTAAAGTTCAAATCGACAAGAATCTGGTCTCATTTGACTACTTGGATCATCGAAGATAGCGATATGTTACGATTCTTATGTAGAAGTGTTTATCTGGATATACAATAACGACAGAATACTGGAAAGTGATGCTATTGATAAAGTTGTTGGTGACAACGACAGTTCCTGGAGGAACCCAACTGAATGTTGACCAAATTATGATCCTGGGCGACTTGATATCAATTCAGCGCATCGGAGGGTATTCTCGCTTTTCTCTTGTGATCCGCCTTCTGGATAGTACGTAAGATGAACCAACTTTTAAGCTTTGATCAATGGTTCCCTTCGATCAGTAGTCCGCTGAACATTGATCTGACCACTTCGAGTTCGACCGACATGCGTTCTGTGGCGAGCTTTCGATTTGAACAGTTAACAAAATCCGCATACTCGGAGGAGTACCAAAAAGATCGACACAGACTGTTGAACGCCAGCCATATCGGATCCTCTTCCTTTTGGTTTGCTGCCTTTCATTAGCCACACTTTGCCGTCACTATAAATATCCGAATCCTCTCAATGGTTTGTAAGATTCCAATGCGAATTCAGCGCAACAACTTTTTGTCACTGTCGGTAGGCATTCGATCATCTCGACGCTTTTCGACAGGCTTCTCCTGCTGTGAGCTTCCATAATAGCTTTTAGCTCGAGCAAAACCAAGAATAAAGTTCGAGCTAAAACACCAAATAGCCAGTCCGGAAAGAATGACACATAGCGTTTTCCATCCCAATGGTTCCACGAACGAGTTCACAACGTCGCCTATCAGTTTTGCACTGATCGTAGTTCTAGCGCGGAAAAAAATATCATTATTTCGGGACATGCATTTGTGCCAGGAAGTACACTGTTCTTCCATCGCTTCTACTCTTGTGCTGCGATCGCAATGATTCAAATCGTAGTTTCTTTGACATTGAATTGATTCGTGGTCTAAGTCCAACTTGGCCACCTCCCACGCAGATCTCAGATCTGCTTTCAGAGATCTCATGAAGATCAATGCCAAGGAGAACAGTAATAACGCTGTCAACGCGTTCAGGAATATTTGGAGATACGACGTCAGCAAATAAGAAGTTCGCGAAGCAGGATGAGAATAGGAAGACCATGGATTCGGCAATTGAAGCGAATTGGGTTTTTCAAAGGTCGAGATATCATTCCGAGCGTACAACTCCGGCTGTGGATAGTAGTAATGATGATTGTTTATTGAGATTTGGATGGGCTGTTGGTTGGATCTGTACCGGAGTTCAGAGAGATCCTCTTGGCCGAAATTTAGGCCCTCAGAGTTTTCCGAGTATTTTACAAATGACCGGTTTTCACTAAATTCGGGTTGTTGCTGTTCTCCAGAATCGTATATCTCTTCGTTATGGTCCGATTTGCCAGGCAATTGATCCAGTTTTGTTGCAGCAGCAACGCCTAATCGAGTGGGTGACAAAAGGGCTTTTATAACAGCTTTACTACTAGGTCCTGTTGAATTTGAATTTTCATCAATGGTGGATTCTGTATCATCCAAAAGATCGTTATCGACCGGATCGGTTTCAATTTCGTCGTCCTTGTCATAGTTATTGTCTTCTTGCATAGGCTTCATCGCATCAATTTCGCCAACAGAATCCACATCCATTTCGTCACTGTAATCACTTTCTAACATGGACTGTCGCAGTGGTGATGGGCTTGACGGTACATGGGGCATGATTTTATCTCTCAACCTTTGAGATAGCTGTAGTTTATGGTTCTCGACTGCGGGTTCATTTTCGCATATTTTGAGCTCCAAGATCGCCTCCAAATCCTTCTCATGGATCAAAGATTCCTTGTCAGCTATCGTGAGGTTACTGAACTCATCCATGCCACTGATCAGAGAGAAAGAATCGTGCAAGTTTGATGTAAACTCATCGGTTTTGGTCATTGACTATTTAATTTCATTGTAGATGTGATGATGATCGATCACTTTATCTTACAGAAACACTGTCGTCAAGTTGACAAGAGCTGATGCTACAAAGCAGTTTGATCTACAAGTTACATTGATTCATCGAGTCAATTCGGTTTTAAATAATCAGCTTACTCAGAAAAGGACCTTTTGGGCAAACTAGAAATCGCGATCTGTCTTGTAGAGCGTGTCCAAGAATCCAACAAGCAATCGGTCAACAATTCCTCTGGTTTGTACGCTCCCAGCAACCCCATAGAGAGCGCTGGTTCCGTCTGAAGCGGCTCCTTCATTGGGTTCAGCACTGAGTTCTTTTACACACTCGTGTAGTGTGCGCCTGAGATCATCGATGGACAATCTCGTTAGCCAGGTTAAAGCGAAATGCAATGCTGGAGGATTTTGTAGCGCGCTCAAATGCCAGCCCTTACTGGTCAATTTGTCTGCGAGATGATGAACGTTGATCTGGGAAGACTTGACAGCAATGACGGAGCATAATGGGTCACCCACGATTTCAAGCTGCGGGATCTCGTCTTGAATATATTTCTTTAGTTCTCTGGTCGTGGCCACGATTTCCTTACACGAGTCAATATAGCCTTGTTGGCCCATGTGTATCATTGTCGCCCAACAACCCACTACTAAGGAGCCTGGTCGGCTCCCTGCAAGCGTTGGAGACCCATATAACCCTCCACACCAATCTGTTGACAAGAAGTACTGATACTTCCGTAATTCACGGTTTCTGTACATTATGACAGAGGAACCCTTAGGCGCGAACCCGTATTTGTGAGTATCGCAGGAGATGGATGTGACACCATCAACTCTAAAGTCGAAAGGCGGTAGCTCTTTGAAACCCGCTTTTTCCATGTAAGCAATGAGAAATGAGCCCAAACAGCAATCTACATGTAGAGGAATCCCGTATCTCTGTGCTAGCTTTCCTAAACCTTCAATGTCGTCGACGATCCCATGTGGGAAGTTTGGAGCAGACCCCACAAGCAGCACCGTATTCTTGTTTATGAGCCTGCGTACTCTCTTGAGATCAACTTTGAAGGTTTTGGGATCTAACGGAGCATTTCTCAAGGTCATACCAAAATAATGAGCTGCTTTGGCGAAAGCTGCATGGGCTGTAACGGGAGCTATAATTTCTGGGTTTTTGCAACCTTTGCGATGCAGGGCGTACATTTTAGCGCTCAAACAAGCCAGCAGCAGCGACTCGGTTCCGCCCGATGTGGTGGTGCCACATCCAGTGGATTTGGGAGCGTTGAACATCTCTAGAACCATAGAAACTACTTCAGATTCCATTTTTCTCACTGCAGGGAACATGTCTGGATGCAGCTGGTTGGCCACACAGTACTTTTCGAAAGCCTGGCTTTGCAAGCGTATCAGATCGTGGCCACCGTGGTACACAGCACCCGACACCTTGCCTGCTTCCCAATCTGGATGGGAGAGCACTTTTTGCGAAAGGTCCAGCTCTTCAAGCACCTGGCGGTCGTTCCAACCCTTAATGGGCAAAGTATTGAAATGCGTCAAAAGCTCATTTTGTTGCATAAGGCTATTTTCCAGACCTGCCAGCGTTTTATCGACTTCCTTGTCGATCTTGGATCTCAGCAAGAACGATCCGCTCAAATACGCAAATATTGGTCGCAGAATGTGGGTTTTCAGCATTTTGATGGACTCTTTGAATCCGAATCCGCCCACATAGTACCACACCCACGATAGTATCTTGTACACAAGTGTCACCACGACAAGAGCACCGAAAAGGCGTTGAAGATTCCATTGATAGTTCCCTTTGAACTGAACAGGAAATGAATCTTGCTCAAAAGCTATATGCAACTGCAACATGTCGAAAAGGCTTGGTCTTAAAAGTAAGATGAGGTTAGAAGTAGGGGAACTGGTTGACCAGGTATCGGTTTTCAACGGCCAGTGAGTTTTAGAAATGGAGTTTTTTCTTGAAGAAGGACAAGAAACACAGGACGTGTTACATACATCTTTAAAAGGAACAGGGTAAAGATGAGGCAAGACAGGGTAGAGAAAGAACAGGGAAAATGAATACCGATAGAAAAATTAAACCCGCGGATGGGGCCTTGTTGTGCGGAGGAAGTTTGCGACTGGGAAGCTTTTGTTTATTTGATTAGTGACACTTCTCTAGGTAGTTGAGGGCTGGTATATACGCTATGCTGGGGAAGGGTAGGTAGAGGGCAAATAACGAGATCGACAAGAGCTAAGAGGGTGTTTCCGGATGACGGTGAAACGAAGGACGAGTGTGAAAGGGTGAGTGTGGATGTGTAAAAAAGAGAATGGGTTGGGAATCGGGGAGTGATAGATTGAGTGGGTGAGTTGACTTGTGAGTCGGTTGGTAGCTGATGAGAACAGTGTGTTCATATCATATATATATATATTAGGTGTTTTCGTGCTGAGTGATCAAAGAATTAGATAATTTCAAGTTCGACAGTTGAGAATGGGTTGCGGGAGAGTCTTGGACTTGGGACTTGGGTTCTTTCATAAGACGATGCTTACGCTTTTCCAAGTACATCAACTTCACAGTTTATAGTATGGAATTTGGTAGATGTGTTGTTCCGTACGAAGCGACATCAATTCCAAGAAGTTTCCCCAAAGAATAATCCCAGCTTCAATCTCAAAGGAGCATCAGCAGAGTAAGAAAGAGAAGCACACACGCGGAGACAACCTACCCTGGCTTATTTTCCGATCGCTTTTCCAACCATTTATAAAAATGGCATGAAAATCAAGCCCGTACAAAGCGATACTCTCATCTTTTTCACTCTTTCTCCCTCCGTCTCATCAACTCAAGCAATGCAGACCCTTTTCAATTCGACTCCAAGATATCGGCATTATCCACCCGAATCCATTCACTCTCACATTCACAAAATCCACTCGTCCAAACTTTCTTCATCCTCGGACTTGGGTTTCCGATATGTCTTTTTCAATTTCGCCCTGCGGCATCACATGACCCATAATAGCCAATCTTTATCGCCCTGTCTGTCTCTTTATACACTGAAAAGAGATATTAAGATAGCGTAGAGCTAAACTATACTGATGGACAAACAACAAACCACGGGAAATAACTGAAGAGCAGCCTAGAAGCGATAAAATCCACTTCAAAAGCTGACTTCAAAAACTGAATTATCCTGTGTATATAAAGGAGAGCCTTTATCGCCATCAAATCTGGTTTGTTTAGCAACCCTTTTCTTCTTGTAGTGCTACCACATCAGCTTCTTAATTCTTTGCAGGTCGAAGAAGGTCAGATCGTACTATAGACAAAGTTCAAAAAGTGCAGTCCTATTCACGGTCAAAACCATCAAATTTGAGCTTTTCAGAAGATAAAAACGTTTGAAATTTGGTCTGTTAAAAGTCTCCCACACCACTCACACTTACTTCTAGTGCTATGTTGACTCGTTCTTTACTGTTCAGACAATCCAAACGTTGCGTTTCGCAGCTTTCACACGTCAAACCACCAAAACAAATCACAAATGAGGCCGTCAAATCGTTTGACAGCAAAGCTACACTCGACTGGGACTTGCTACGTGCCTCAGTGTCGAAATTCAACAATGCATCCTTGGATGTGCCTCTCGTAATCAACGGGAAACGCATCTTCCACAACGAGGGCAACAGAAGCTCTTACCAGCAGGTCAACCCGGCCAAACACTCCCAGGTGTTGGCCAACGTCACACAGGCGACTCAAGAAGACATCGCCGCTGCTATTGAAGCCTCCAAGACTGCCAAGGCCAAATGGATGAAAATGCCCTTCTACGACCGTGCAGCGGTGTTTCTCAAGGCCGCTGACTTGATCTCAACTAAGTATCGCTACGACATGCTGGCTGCGACCATGTTGGGCCAGGGAAAAAACGTTTATCAAGCGGAAATCGACTGTATCACCGAGTTGGCCGATTTCTTCAGATTTAACGTCAAATACGCTGCAGAATTGTACGCTCAACAGCCCTGCGAGTCCAGTCCGGGCGTTTGGAACAAAGCCGAATACAGACCCTTGGAGGGCTTTGTCTACGCTGTCACACCTTTCAACTTCACCGCCATTGCCGGAAACTTGATCGGCGCCCCAGCGTTGATGGGTAACACCGTAGTGTGGAAACCATCCCAGGCTGCTTGTCTCTCCAACTACTTGCTGCTCACGGTTCTTGAGGAAGCTGGTTTGCCTCACGGTGTGGTGAATTTCGTCCCCGGTAACCCCGTTGAGGTGACTCGCCAAGTAATGGCAGACAAAGAGTTTGCTGCGCTGCATTTCACTGGCTCCACCGCCGTGTTCAAGCAGTTGTACGGGCAAATTCAGCAAGGTGTTGTCAACGATCTTTATAGAGACTATCCCCGCATTGTGGGCGAGACTGGTGGTAAAAACTTCCATTTGGTCCATCCCAGCGCCAGCATGCCACACGCCGTTCTCAGCACTTTGAGAGGCGCCTTTGAATTCCAGGGCCAGAAGTGCTCAGCAACTTCGAGACTGTACATTCCGCAATCCAAGAGCGCCGAGTTTTTGGCCGACTTAGTGGGTTCTCTAAGTTCGGTGCGCACCGTCAACACCTCGGCCTCCAAGATCAACGGTGGAGACTTGCACGGCTTCATGGGCCCTGTGATCCACGAACAAAGTTTCGACAAGTTGGCTGGCGCCATCGATGAGGCGAAGAACGACCCAGAGCTCGAGATCATCACCGGAGGTGAGTACGATAAGACTAACGGCTTTTTCATTGAACCCACCGTTATTAAGACCACCAACCCTAACCACAAGTTCATGTCTACCGAGTTTTTCGGACCCGTGTTGACCGTTTACGAGTACCCAGACGCTGAATTCACCCAGATCTGTGAGACTATCGATAAAACCACCAGCTATGGGCTGACTGGTTCCATTTTCGCCCGTGACAGAGATGTCATCAACTCCGCGGACGAACTTTTGAAATACAGTGCTGGTAACTTCTACATCAACGACAAGTGCACAGGTGCCGTCGTTGGCCAGCAATGGTTTGGCGGTGCCAGAATGAGTGGTACTGACGACAAGGCCGGTAGTGGAAACATTTTGTCGCGCTTTGTGAGCATCCGCAACGTGAAGGAGAACTTCTACGAGTTGACTGACTTCAGATACCCTTCCAACTACGAATAAGGAAGAGATTGGACCAAGAAAGCCAGATCACGAATATTTTCAGGCATCCGATGCTTTGAGACCCTGTATAATTCTATGTACATAAGAAAGAATTGTGTTTTTTTTGGAGAGCGGTTTATCTTACCTTGCAGTAAGGCTAAAAAGTACCAAATACCATGAAAAAATCCGCCGTACAACACTGGCACTGGCTACACACGGCTATAACAAACTATACATATGGTAGCTATCCTCCTTAAAGTTTTAGTTCTTTCTACTACTGACGCTTGCTCTACTCTTTTACAATCACTGGGTCTAGATCAATAACTGGAAAATCCAGATTGTTTACATAATCACATCTTCATCACGTGCACGGATGAGACTGCCATCGCTTTCAACGGAGACCTTTTTTATGAAAAGTTGTAATTTCTAAAAAAAAGACATGTTATCCAGCACTCCTATTGAAACGACCCGAAATAATCTGTTCTGCAAAGGACACAAGGGACTTTCATCACTCATTGAGACTGAACGCTAGCTGTGGTCACAGATTTAGACTACAAAACCCAGTTCGCGGTGTTTTTTTTGAGCCCAAATTCGTCTGTGTAGAAGCGTTTTAGGTTGAACGTTGTGCGGTGTTTCCAAAAAGTGTGCACTTTTAGGGATTCAAAGGGCGAAAAATCTTGTTTTAAAGAGTTGATTGGGACTGATACAGGTCGCTTTAAAGCTAGATCATCAACAGATTAGCATATTAGGCGCGTGTATTTTATCGTGGTGCCTTGCATCGAGGTTTTTTTAACGGTTTTAGTTGTGTTTGTCTGGTGAAGAGAAATGAACCCTTCTGATAGGAGTCACAACAACACCAGTGGTGACAGATTTGTCACCACGACTGGCGGCAGAAGCATTCCGAAACAGATCCACATTGCTCACAGAAGGTCTGCCAGCGAGCTGACCAACCTTATGATAGAGCAGTTCACACTTCAAAGACAATTGGAAATTGTGCAGGCTCAGCAGCAGCAACTGATCGCACAGCAACAGCAGATGGCCCAGCAATCGGGCCAGTACCCTGGATCCGGGTTCTCGCCCGCAAATCAAGGCTCGTTGGGCGGTCCTGGCGGCCACGTGAACTCCTTTGTTCCACAGCCACCTCACCCTATGTACAGCAACACGGCCACTCCTTTGTCGTCGAACCAGAACAGCAGAAGCAGGTCGCATTCCAGAAACAACTCAGGCTACTACAACAACAACAGCAACAACAATAATAACAATCCACAGGGAAACAGTTCCAACAACGATGCAAATGCAACTTTTGGAGGTCATCGTAAGACGGGATCTCAGTCAAGCGTTTATGGCCATAACAGAAGACACTCACTAGGACTCAGCGAAGCCAAGAAAGCAGCAGCTGAAGAGCAGGCGAAAAGGGCCAGCAGTGGAATCTCCATCAAGGTTGACGACGCCGAGACTTTTGAACCCGTCAGAAACGAACGTTCAGAAACTGCAGAACAGTCCGGCTTCAAATTCCCACCATCTCCCGAAGAATCATCAAAAGGTGGGGCCACACCTCACACGCTCAGAAACACAAGCACGTCTCCTCAGAAAAATTTCGAGTTTCCCGCAACCAAGGAAAATCGGGATGACTTTACTCCTAGCGGTACTCCACTCAGATCTGCTAACAACAGGAACAAGGAAAGCTCGGGAATCAATGCTAACTGGCGCTCGCAGCAACAGACTTCTGGCACTCCTGGAAATCTAGCCTTGCAGCAACAGCCTCAACAGTTGCAACAGCAACACCCCAATTTTCCTCATAAGAAAAGTCAATCGAGAGAAGTTGCAGGGTTTGGTGCTCTGGAACCACCTGCAGTTTTCCAACCTGGCCATCGTTCCCGCAACTCGAACTTGTCGTCACACAGTTTCGGTTCCAACAATAACGGTGGTAACCAAAACGGTAGAAAATCACTATTTGCTCCTTACCTGCCACAGGCCAATATTCCTGAACTAATTGCAGAAGGCAGACTTGTTTGTGGTATACTTAGAGTCAACAAGAAAAATAGATCCGATGCGTGGGTATCTACAGACGGTGTTTTAGATGCTGACGTATACATTTGCGGCTCGAAAGACCGTAACAGAGCGTTAGAAGGAGATCTTGTTGCCGTAGAGTTATTGATGGTTGATGATGTTTGGGGCTCAAAGAAGGAGAAGGAGGAAAAGAAGAGAAGAAAAGACGCTAGCAGTCAGCAGGATATCCCGCTCAACAGCAATGACGACTATCACAACGATGCCTCTTCTCGCACAATGCCAGCGTCGTCGTCTTCCACTTCTATCAATTCCGCAGAAAAAACTGATCAGTCATCACCATCCAAATCTGGTAGCATCAAGAGAAAGGGATCTTTGAAACAACGTCCTACTCAAAAGAAAAACGATGACGTTGAAGTAGAAGGTCAATCTTTGCTGCTAGTTGAGGAGGAAGAAATCAGCGATAGCTACAAACCTCTTTACGCTGGCCATGTCGTTGCAGTGCTTGACCGTATTCCTGGTCAGCTTTTCAGCGGAACCCTTGGCCTGTTGAGGCCATCGCAACAAGCTAACAGCGATGCAAACAAGCCTAACAAACCTAAGATTGTTTGGTTTAAACCAACAGACAAGAAGGTTCCTTTGATTGCCATTCCAACGGAGCAAGCACCAAAAGACTTTGTTGAATGTGCTGATAAGTATTCCAATAAGCTGTTCGCTGCCTCGATAAAGCGCTGGCCCATTACTTCGTTACATCCATTCGGTACCCTAGTCTCACAGCTAGGAGAGATCAACGAGCCTGAGACTGAGATTGATGCCATTCTTCGCGACAACAACTTTTTATCTGATGAGTATCTGGACCCTCAGGATCGTACTAAGGAAAGAACCACCTTTCAACCTACTGCTTTGTCGGAAGAGAACATTGGCGCCCGGAAGGTCTTTAATGACGCATTTGCTGTGTACGAGACTGGTCTGTTGTCTGACCTTGCACTTCATTTGCAAACTTTCAGCGATGGATCATTCGAGGTCGGCTGTCATATTCTTGACGTTACGGCACACATCGAGGAGGGCTCGTCTCTAGACAGAAGAGCAAGAAAGCGGTCTTCAAGTGTTTTCATACCCCAAAAGGTTGTTAATTTACTACCACAAACTTTGAACGAAGCTCTCACACTAAAGACCGGGAAATCTTCAGCAACCATCTCAGTCGTTTACGGCTTTGACACGAACTTCAACATAACTTCCACATGGCTGGGTGAGAGCATAGTTACTCCAGCATCTACAATCACGTTTGAAGAGCTCAACACCCAGCTTGATTCAAGTTCACCTTCATTGTTTGCCTCCACCATTCAGAAGGTAGCATTGGCCTTCTGTCGCAAGCGCTTAAACTCACAGGCTGCGCTCTTGCGACCGGAACTCTGCTTGCTCGAAAGCCTCGACGACGAAAAGGTAAAAGCCGATATCAACATTTTCCACGCTGACATGGCAACGTCTGTCGTAACAGAGATTGAGCGCCAAGTGAATGGCACTGTTGCCCAGACAGTCTACGAGAGGCTAGGAGACCTTGCCTTTTTGAGAAGACAATCTAAGCCTATTACGACAAAGCTAGCTTCTTTCCAGAAAAAGGCTGCCAGGCTCGGATATGAAATTGACATTACCAACTCTCAGACTGTTTTGAATTCAATTATTGCGATAAAGGATGAAAATGCCAGAATTGGTGTCGAAGTCCTTCTTTACAAATGCCTAGGGCGTGCGAAATACTTTGTTGCCGGGAAAGTTGATCCTGATCAACTTGATCATTTTGCTTTGAATACGCCACTCTATACCCATTTCACTGCTCCTTTGAGAAGATATGCTGATCATGTTGTACATCGTCAACTGAAATCTATTTTAGCTGGCTTGCCATACAATGAGAATGATGATTCTCTAAAAATCACTTCGGAGTATTGCAACTTCAAAAAGGACTGTGCTCATCATGCACAAGAACAAGCAGTTCACTTGCTTCTATGCAAAACCATCAATGACATGGGGAATTCAACAGGTCAAATTTTGACCATGGCCACTGTGCTGCAGGTGTACGAATCAGCGTTTGATGTCCTAATTCCCGAATTTGGTATTGAGAAGCGGGTACATGGAGATCAATTACCGCTAATAAAGGCAGAATACGATGGCAATGAGCGTGTCCTCGAACTCTATTGGCAAGCGGGTGTTGATAGCGCCACCTTTGTTCCTGCTGACGAGAAAAATCCAAAGTCCTACCGCAACTCCATCAGAAACAAGTTCAAGTCTGCTTCTAACGAAATTGCGACGGTGCAATACCAAAAAGAGCAAGAGAAACTAGGAATGCTCACGGAAGACTTTGCCACGCAACTCAGCAAACTGCAAATTGACCCACCATCCTTGAAACTTCCTGTTAACGAACAGATCGATGAACCACTTTTGGGATATTTGTCAGAAGTCATTACCAGACAAGCCAATGATCACAATATCCAGGAGATCAGGGAACTGCACCGGGTTCCTGTTCTACTCCGGGCAGAAGTGGGAATGGCCCTGCCATGCTTAACTGTGCGTGTGCTGAATCCATTTTTATCGCGGAAAGGCTAATTAACCTAAGGCCTTCTCAATTGTCAACCAACTATCATTGTCATCAAAACCAACTTAGCATTCATTCATTATATTGACCGTTAGCTGGCCATTCTTGTGCCATCTTGTATGTAAACTAGTCAACTTTAGAGATTTCTTTAGAAGAGTTGTTCGACTTGCTCTGATGGATCACTTTCATTATAAAGTGTGATCAAATTTGAGTTAAGATCCATCTTTTTGAACTATTTCAAGAACCAACAATCATCGGGTCACAGCCCTACAGTCTGCCTATCACTAATGTTTATCGCTTGCATCAACAGAGGACCTTCCGCAAGCCGGTTTGTCCAGGTGAGATCTCTTCATTCTAGCAGTGTACTAGCTAAGAAGGTCACTAAAAAAGCTGGCAAGGGAAAGAAAGTCGAGGAAGATGAAGTTGTAGAGATTGTGGATATCAAGAGCTATATCCAACGTGCTACAACTGCTTTTGAGAAAAGTGTCGAACTTCATAAGAAAAGATTGAATGAGTTGAAAGCCGGGAATTCGAATCCTGCCATTTTTGACAAACTGAAAGTCGGAAAAGAGAACTTGAAGTTTACGGATGTGGCCACAACGTCCATGAAGGGTAGAAATAGCCTTCTTGTCACTGTTTTTGATCCAAAAGACACCAAGTCAGTTGTCAGTACCATTCTAGGAGCAGGATTGAATCTAAATCCAGAAAGAATACCTAACAATGAACAACAGCTCAAAGTTGCCCTTCCACCACCAACTACTGAAACCAGAAAGCAAAACTGCAAACTGCTGAAGGATGTATTTGAAGAGTACAAAAATTCTGCTAACAAGCACTCTTTGGGTCATATCCGTGGTGAAATACTGAAGGAATTGAAGACAATTGACAAGAAGAACGACTCTGTGAAAAAAGTCATTCAGGACCTCGAAAAAGTGCATAAAGACTACACTTCAAAGCTACAGGACAGTCTCAAACAAGCCGAGAAGAGTGTTCTTGGGTAAATTTATCTATCATCGAAAAGTATATAAAATTGTAATTAGTCCGTGGTCTCCAAGTCATCATCAGTTGGCATTTTTAGCCAAAGAGAGTAGAGATCTGATCCTCACCCAGATAGACCTTGTGTAGGATCCTGTGTTGAAGTTTTTCACAAATTTGCAGGCCGCACGGTTACTTCTAATTGGATAGTCTAAAGGCTTTGGAATTTGAGTTGAGATGAATGGCAATTTGTCGTAACAGACACTTTTGGCATTGCACAAGCCGGTTAAACCTTCTTCACCTCCAAACTTTCCGTAACCAGAACCATTGATACCGCCAAAAGGAAGTTGACAAACATAGAAAGTCGCAAAATCATTGATAGCGACATTTCCACTCTGTAGGTGGTCGGCAACATAATTGCATTCTGCATAGTCATTGCCAAATACAGAACCACCAAGGCCAAAGGGTGCTGAGTTGGCCAATCGAATGCAATCCTCGGTGTCTTGTCCACGCATCATGGTCAAAACAGGTCCAAACACTTCGTTCTGAGCAATTTCCATCTCAGGCGTTACGTCAACGAGTAAAGTGGGCTGGAAATAGTGTCCCTGTGGATAGTTGGGGTGCTTATAGCGTGTACCTCCATGTAGCAGTCGAGCACCTTGTTTGACAGCGCTTTCAATCATGTTCTCTATTTGGGTGAATCTATTATCCGAAATCATAGCCCCCATATCCACATCTTCCAAGTTGTCGATGTCTGATCCTAATCTGAGCTTGCCAACCCTCTTTTCCAATATTGATACCATCTTGTCGTAATTCTTGGCACTTACAATGACTCTCTCGATACCAATGCAATTCTGTCCGGAGGATTGGAAGGTACCGCGCATGATAATCGATGATAGTGCTTCCAAGTCTTTGACAGAATCCAAACAAATAAAGGCGTCTTTACCCCCCAGTTCAACACAGACCGGTGTGAGACTTTTGGCAGCTTCGGCGAGAACATGATGAGCGACGGGTTGGCTACCAATGAAAGTCAAGTGTTTGAGTTGCGGATGAGACGAGAAATGGTTAGCAGCATTGTCAGTTGCACTTGGTGGATTACTGTAGCATAATTGAACTAGATCTGGATTTTGACCACAGGATTCTAAGCATTTTCTGCAAATGCTGGCAAAATACTCCGAAGACCACACCACTTGCTCAGAGCACTTGACGACAATTGCGTTTCCTGCAAAAAGTGCGGCAATTATTGGACCGAGTAAGTTGTGAAAGGGATAATTCCACGATACTAAAGCTCCAACAACCCCCAAAGGCTCGTATCTGATTTCAGCTCCTTTGTACCATTTCATGAAGAAGTTGGTGGGTCCCGGGCGCTTGGAAGGTTGCAAGGCCTTTTTTCCATGTTTTATGATCCACTGAACTTTTTCCAGAGTGACTAAGATTTCGCCCATCGATGCGTCCAGCATTGTTTTACCGGAGTCTCTGCAGGCAACGCGAGCAATAGCGTCTTGGTTTTCCAAGATGTAGTCTTGCAAAGACACCAAAAACTGGATACGTTCATCGAAAGAAGTTTTACGCCATTCTTTTTGAGCTTGAGCAGCTTTTGATACCAATACGTCGATATCCTTTTCTGTCATCGAAGGAAAAGAGCCTAGAACTTGTCCAGTTGCAGGACAATGACATTGAATTCGTTGGGGATCATCCAAAGAGCCACTGGAGCCACTGGAAGAGTTCCCAGACACAGAATGCATTCTTTTACCTTTCCAGTGCTTTTGAGCTGCCTCTGGCAATGCAAGCTCAAACGTCACAGGTTTGGTAGTTTGAGTTTGCATTGCAGGAAAAAGCCAGCGATACAAAACGTAGGCAGCAACAATGGTGACAACAAAAGTAGTTGAATTGGTTTTCATCGTTGTGGGATCGGAAACCAGCTTAGTATTGTTGAAATGTAGCGTTTGAGATCGCATCCAATCGGACACATATTCTTGGACCGTGTGGTTCAGTTGCTGGAGCATGGTCGAGTTCAGGTAGATGTGAGACATCTGAATGCCAAGCAAACTCGATAAACTGCTTCCACAAACAGCTTTTGATGCGGGAAGTTGGCTAGTTTTCAAAACTGAACTTAGTTTTAGCTGTATCTTCGCTTAGAGGTTTCCCGTTTATCATTTATATACGCTGGATACACGTGTGGTAGCGAAAAGGTCCAAGATTCTCACGACAAAGCATGGAATTTGAGCTCTATGTATCGATTATATTTGGACGGCTAGCGTCGTGTGTTGTAAGATCGCTCTTGGTGTTTAGATGAAGGTTTTTGAAGACAACAGCGCTGCCGGAAAAAAAAAGCGAACATTTTTCGTCTTTTTTGGTGTGCTGTTGACTCTATTCAAGGGAATACCAGCCTTATGCGGCATTGACGTGGACTTCGGCCACTGGAGTCGTCACTGCATCGATCAAAAGCTTCACAATGGCGTCTTTCTTTTGCTTGCCGGTTTGCTCAAGGGTCTTTAGTTCGCTCTGGACCTGTTCTTCGGCCTCCTTTTCAAGTCCTCCCACACCACCGGCGTTCTTGGCCTCGTACTCCTTTAATTCCTGCTCCTTTTTCTGCTTGTAAGCGTCGATTTCCTTGGCAGCGTCGGTCTTGGCTTGCTTGAGTTTGTCCTGACGGTATTGTCTGGCCTGAGACACGATTTCGTGAGCTTCCTTTTCGGCTTTCAAAAGCGTGGCGATTCCGTTTGGTTGCGACTGCAAAACGTAAAGGTTAGTATCAAAGAACGCCTGTATAAACAAAAATCGAATCTAGAATCTTTTCGTCGAAGTGGAAAAGCAGGTAGCAGAGCTCAACAGTAGAGTTTAACAAAGCCAAAGTAACCACGTTTAATATGGTGCTCCACAAGGCAAATCACACCCCCAGGACTCTTCCCTAGAAACCTGGATCCTCAGGAGTCCTCCTAATGAGCAGATTCTTTTTTCGGTTCATGCTGAATCACTTCAACGAATTCGTCCCTATAGACGTGCTATCAAGATAGAAAGACTCAGTAACATACCATAACGTTAATTAATCCCGTTTAAGATGTTTCCAGGAAGTGTGAATGATATTTCCAGAGCTAGTGCACCGAAACTATCGTAGTTGGTTTGGTAGTTTTCTCAGATTCTGAAGGTTTCTTTCCAGATTTTGAACTCTCTTAATGTTAATATATCGTATTTGTATGTTATGTATGACGACGGTTCTGATACGAGAGAGAAGTGACTGCGAGTAGAAAAACGATTAGAGGACGCAGGTAGGAATTAACGACGATTATAAAGGGTGCTAGAACTGTATTCGGTGTTTTGAGAATTTAAGAGAGTCTTTGGGCAAATTTGGGCTTTAAATTAGGAGTTTTGTCACTTTCATCGTTTTTTCCGAAAAATTGTGTTTAGTGGTGTTAAAGAGATAAATAAGATCGCATTATGCTGAAAATAATGCTATTGGTGGAGTTAGCATAATGATGGCTTTTTTCTGGTGTCATTTGGTCAAATATTGAAATTTCTATGGATGATGGAATCGAGATTAGTTGGAAAAAGGAAATAATCAAATTTTGTTCGACAAGGGCGAAGACAAAGCTTCCTAAATACATTTAAACTAGGATATGAACTAATTAGGCTGACAGAGACACGATCAGGTCTTCTCCTTATTTACATAGTTATCGAAAAGATTTGGGCTCAAAGGATATCACTTTATCACCCTTCTGACGCGTCTTTTCCCTCGACGCATCTTCTACTCATTTATCTACTCGATAATCTAGTCACTACTTGTTATGATCACGTGCCCCACAGCGCTAAACGTAAAATTGTGCTCATCGATCAGAAGTTAAGCTCATCGCCAAACCTTTGTTCAGCTCACAACTCACAAGGCAAACGCCCCATGAACTGCTCAGTATGTCTGCTCGAGCCAGCACGATATACTTGTCCCAAATGTGGGAAAAAAACCTGCTCTTTAGCGTGTGTCAAGGCCCATAAAGCCCAAGACAACTGTTCTGGCACGGTCAGTTCAACAGCAACCTATTTGGCCCGAGAAGACCTCAAAGCCGCTGATACTTCCGACGGAAGCAACCTGCTGGTTCAAAGAGACTATAATTATCTTTTGGGCATGAACAGACAGCTGGAACTGCTGAAACGGGATGGAAAACAGAAAAACAAACGGGCCTTGGCACCTGCTCACAGCTACAACAACCAGGCACATCACAAGAGACAACAGCGATCAGAATCTCAGCCGCATGTGATAAGAAGAGGTGTCTGCTGTGCTCTGCTCCCAAAAGGAATGCAAAGAGCGGTTCAAAATAAGAGTAGATGGGACAAAAACCTCGATCTGTTTGTATGGTCTATCGAGTGGTGCGTTTTGTCCCCGCAAGGAACAATTGAGATACATCACACAAGTCACAGAAACAAGGAAACAGACCCTTTGGCAGAGTGTGTGGGCAAAGTCGTCCAAGCAAAATGTAACGAACTTTTCAGCTCATCGTCGGAGAACCAAAATTCCGGCCAAGATCCTAACCAAGAACAAGCATTACATCAAGATCATCCAGCGAATGAGGAAACAGAGTGTTCAGCTATGCCAAAGCACCAAGATGAAGAAATATCGACTGGTCTAAATACTAAAGATTCATCAGCCGAGCCACCGCACCAGGAAATCATTAAACAAGCGAAGATGGATTGGATATCGCTGCTTCGTTTGCAATTTTTCATCAAATGGTATCCTCGAGACTCTGACATTTTTGGCGACCCCAAAAAGCTCATTCCTCTGGACCCCACGAGGAGTATAGGTGAGCTCTTCAGAGATAAAGTGGTTGTAGAGTACCCTACAATCTACATTTCTCAAGAAGGATGTCCCTTGGGTAATGGATTTTCTTTGGTGAATCAAAACCCGTCAACAAAAGCTCTAGCCCAGTCTTCCAGTGAAGATTCAACAGCAAGCTCCGACTCAGATTCGAGTAGTAGTGACTCTTCCAGCGACTCTGATGAGGAGCCGCCGGAAGCATCGAGTAGAGTTGTACCTGCTCCTGGCACCAATTTTGCGCAACCTCCTACAAATGCTGCTCCAACACAGTCACATCAAGCCACCAGCAAGAGTGATAATAGCGACGATGATGATGAAGACGATTACACTCCCGGTATCTCTCTGGACTTTCTCGCTGATTAGCATTAAAAACCTTTTCTAACCCCGACATTTGCATAACGTATATAAAAGCATCAAGACAAAACAATAACTGATAAATAAATGTGCATGGAAAAATCATGCGGCCCCCGCAGCGTAATGATTTTTATTTGTGAATGTGACCTGCTGCTTATTTCTAACAATCTCGCGTCCTTTGGAGTCGCTTTTCAAATTGTTACTCTCAAGAAGGTGCTTTTCCCATACGGTTCGTTCGACACCCATCCGACTGCGCCCAAGCACCGCAATTCTCATTGTGCTGAGAAGGTTTCTAGCAGCCTGGGTATGTAAGTAAACGGCACCATTAAAAGCCTGTGTGGCATCCTTACCCACACTAGCTTCAACAAGTGCCACCCCACCAGGATGATCATTGATAAAAGGTGTCACGTCGTGGACAACATCCTCGATGGCCACAAGTGCTCGCCTTTTGGTTTCAAACTCGTGCTTTGCCAGTAATACGAATTTTTCAGGTTGAATGATTGGCAACTTGTCCAAAGGAATCCCCCACTGTAGTTTGGCTCTTTCTTCATCCAGAAGCTTTTGTTGCTGCTGTAGTAAACACTTGTCTATCTGTTCTTGAGAGGTGTAGTGGAGATTACCTGCAAAACCGAGGTAATACAAGACAAGAATGGCTAGCCTGCAAGGGTCCCACCGGAGTTTTCCTAGGCCATTTCTATAGTCACCGGGAAATTCGTGGTGGAAGTTGTGATTGGATTCACCAAAGGTGAGCAGATCTGCCAGAAAACTGAATGGCAGATTTATAGCTGTCCTGGAATCGTCAAATGGCTGTTTTGAAAGAGGAAAGTGTTTTGTGTGACAAAAAGCGCCAATGATCAACCACTGTTGCTGAATCAAGGACATTCTCACCAATCCTAGATAAAAAATCCCACTAAAATAAGGCAAGCCACAAAATTTGGATAAAATGCATGGTATGAGTATCAGAGTAAGCACTAAAATCTCACCATAGTTTTCATGCTGCCAGCGCAAAAGTGCAAAGCTTGGTGTGGTGACAAAACTCTTTCTTTTTTCGCTAGAGCTTGTGCGAGCAGATGATTCTATAGTGGCCCTACAGTCTTGCACGGCTCTGGCAGACTTTCTGTTTCCCTTGAAAAGTTTGTGTCCCCAAATAGCGAATAGCGAGCCATGCACTGCATTAGCAAGCGGATCTCTTTCAGTGTCTATGTACCGATGATGAGCGAGATGTTGACTTGAAAAATCCAGTATTGAGCCTAATCCACAGGATCCGCCTAAAATTGCGAATATGGACTGGACTCTCAGATCGCATTGAAATGATGTATGTGTGAAGAAACGATGGTAACCAGCACCTAGACTGACTTGTGAAATCAGCATATATACCGCCAGACATTTGAGTAGTGTGTTGTTGCACTCAGGTCTGCTGATGATCAGCTTGAACAACGAAAATAGTGGCAGTACGACAGAAAGTAAAGTTGTTTGAATGCTGACTTTTTTCAACAAATGAACAAATTGTGGATCCCGTTTTCGTTTCTTGATGGCGCTTCTGTTCTCCGGTGTGAAAAATGGTGCATTTGGAGTGTGTCTTTCTCTGATTTGTGAAGATTCATCATTTGATGGGTTCGAACTCTTGGCAGCGTCATTAGACTTTATAATGTCCGAAAAGTCAAATTCAGGAATGGAACCATCTTCCATTTTCAAGTATACACTTCTCGCACTGTGCACTGAATGATTCGGCGGCAAACAGTGTGTCTGTGAGTGAGTATGTGTGTGTGATGAAGGCAAGTAAGAGTTGGTTGAGTCCGGTTGGTTTTACTTGTATGGTTATTTCAAATGTCGTTCTTCGTGACGAAGATCCAATATAATCGCTTAAGTATGGTGGAGATGAACGACGACGGGTACGTAACTGGTGAGAGCCAAAGTTGCCCAGTAAGATTGAGCATATAATGAGTCAAGTGTTTTTCAATAGTGTCAATTTTCTAGGGAGATGTAACTAATTGATAGTTTGTATGGACTTTTCGTTCTATTTTCATTTCCCTCTTTTTTAGGATTCGAGACCACGGAAAAAAAATTGGTTTGAGACCATCAACTGATGTCAAATAGTCTAAAAAATGTGCTTATTTGCTGAGCATATGGATATTTTAGTGTGCTTTAAAAATAAGTTCTTTAAATTTGTTGTAATTTCGTAGAACTGTTAAAAAGTTTCGACAAATACAGATCATAGACTCGGGTCATTGCCCCCCGGAGATTTAGTTAATACAAAGACTATAAGGTATGAATATCAGGCTTTTTGAAGCTCTTTTTGTCCGAAACTAAGTGAAGTTTTGTTGTATCGTTTAGTTTTATCATTTTGTACTACAGTGTCATCAATTCAAATGTGTCACTAGATCTTGATGTAGACTACCGACAACCTACTACATAGAACAAAATCCAAGAGGGAATGTTTCTTGATCATTGCTGATTTGATGTATGTGATATTATATTTTAGAGTCTTTAATGCCGATTGTATTTAGGGTTTTGGTGTTGCCATCTTGTAATTAATGTGGTTTGGAATTGTTTGGAATAAGGAGAGATACGTTGAAGATATCTAAGGAGCTCTTTGCTAAAAGAATATCAAACTGGATAGTTCTGAACAGCTCTTCAAAGGCTTTAGAACAGTATGATAGTCGAGTTTTGTTCGTTTTAAAGAAGAGCGTTTTGGTCACGTGACAGGGTCCTTCAGTGCTATTCAGTACGATTTACACTAATGGTATTTATGCCAGTAGTTGAGCGTTCTAACCACGAACTTAACAAAACTTAAACTTGAACAATACCCTCACCATTCCATCTTTCAAAGGCAGCATCGTGTAACTTTTTGACTACTGTACTATGTCTGTATACTTTCCCGTAACAAGTGACAATTAATTTGATAATATCGTAACGTTTAAACAACTCTCACTCAGATCCACCACTCCACGATCAGAAACTTTACCAAAAACACATCCTTCCCAGCTCTTCAATCACCCATGATTGATCAATTTGTCGTATTCGCTCCTTCAGGACAGGTGTTCTACAGTTACAGTCCTCAAGGAAAGCGATTGGCCGAGATACAGGTGAATAAAGTTGTGTCAGAATTAATCGCCAATGGTGCCAGAAGAGATGAGGGCTCGCATAAATATACCATCTTGAAACTCGATCAATTTGGTGGTATGTGCAATATTGTCAAACATCCACCTCTTGTGTTCCTGTGCACCTATGCTGCCCAGGAATTGGAGCAGCTTCGTGAAGCGGAACAGATCCTAGACTTGGGAACCAACCTATGGGACTCATTGGGACTTTTAAAGGCCATGGAACGTAATATTAGTCGACAAGGCGTCCCCAAAAACCAACACAACTATACTTGGGTACTGCAAGACTGCGACGAGCAGCTTTCAAGGTTTGACGAGTATTTCAAGCTTAAGCTCGCAAGCGTAAAAACAGGCAAAACGAAGGCTAAAGAACCTCCCATTAAAGCAACTCAACAAAGTTTGAAGCCGTCGAAAAAACCAGTCTCAAATGCCAAATCCAGAAAGTGGGGGCGAGACGGAATCATGGAAGACAATGCTGCACAAGGTGATTTGTCTTCGCTAGACTTTTCCACTGAAGGTACACCGGAAACTACACCAAGTGCAGTCTCTGAGGTGAATGAAAAGTCTTTTGGAACCAGGACTGAAAACGGCGAGTTTCTCATCAAGGAAATTGACGAGCTGTTAAATAAGAACAAGAGCGATTCCGCTAAGAAGGCTACGACAACTACTGGAGCTTTCGGCTTTCTTCAAAAACATTTGCTTGGAAACAAATCAATTTCCCAAAATGATTTAACAACGGTCTTGGACAAACTGAAGCAAAAACTCATCACCAAAAATGTAGCACCTGAGGCTGCTGATCATCTCGCGTCAAGAGTATCTCAAAATCTAATCGGCACCACCACTGCTAACTGGACATCCGTAGAGACAACAGCGAAAGAGACTTTACAACAGGCTCTGACTGAACTTTTGACACCAGGCGTTTCGGTAGATTTACTACGCGAAATCCAGCAGAGAATCGGGGGTTCAGGTCAAAAGAGACCATATGTTTTCTCAATCGTCGGGGTGAACGGTGTAGGAAAATCGACAAATTTATCCAAACTCGCGTTCTGGTTGTTACAAAACAACTTCAGAGTTTTGATTGTTGCTTGCGACACTTTCAGATCTGGTGCAGTTGAGCAACTGCGAGTCCATGTTGAGAACTTGGCCCAATTGACGGATGAGACACACACTCGCGGCGTGAAAAATAGACGAGGCAAGACCGGTAATGATTTTGTGGAGCTTTTTGAAGCCGGTTACGGAGGTTCGGATTTGGTGACCAAGATTGCAAAACAAGCCATAAAGTATGCAAGCGATCAGAGCTTCGATATAGTTCTCATGGATACAGCTGGTAGGAGACATAACGATCCCACGCTCATGTCGCCATTAAAGCCTTTTGCAGACCAGGCCAAGCCGGACAAGATCATTATGGTCGGTGAAGCTTTGGTGGGTACTGATTCCGTCCAGCAGGCTCAAAATTTCAATGCCGCCTTTGGTAAAGAGAGAAATCTTGACTTTTTTATTATTTCCAAATGTGACACGGTCGGTGACATGCTGGGAGCGATGGTCAACATGGTATATGCGACAGGAATACCCATCCTATTTGTTGGTGTTGGCCAGACTTACACAGACCTGAGAACGCTGAGCGTTGGATGGGCAGTTGACACTTTGATGTCTTAGTTAATCCCCAATAGAGTAATTTAAGAGTAATGCATATTATAATTCAAGTTAATTCCATTTTTACTATTTTCCTAAATCTCCTCTTTCGTTATTTCCGGCACTGATTCCTCTTTCACCTTTACAGGACTAGCTTGCCCTTTGATGGTCCTCACATCAATGATCTGCAAATCTTGCGAGAACTTTACGTGACCCGTCGCTGGCACGATGGTTTCGATTTTGATTTCTGGCAAGTTGGGCTCCGGTCCTTCTTCAATGTCATCGATGAAGCTTGATGGTGAATGGCCCAATATGCAGTGAAGTATAATCAACGAGGCCGGTTTTGACAATACCAGACTATTCTCTTTACAGAATGCTGCAGCCACACAATCAGGGCAGCCATTATCACAGGGACACTCCTGTACCCTCTTTAAAGCGCCTTCCAAGATAACGTCGATGTGTTCAAATGCTTTTATCGAAAGTCCTGATCCATGCTTTCCACCTTTCGAGTCATAGAAAATTAAGCGTGCAGGGCGTTTCCGTTGAGTCTGACGCTCGGCAAATTCTTTTTCTGGTGCTTTACACTCTGTTTGAATTTCATCTACGCCAGCAACAATGAAAGCCGGAAGAAGACCCATTAAGGCGTGTTGGGCTGCATGAATTCCTCCGGCAATATTGAGAGTCTTTTGCTTGCATAGTTCAAGCGCAACTGGGGGGATGTCAATCCATAATCCTTTCGATTCTATTATCACAGGGGGATTGTATGTCTCAACAGCATCGATGATACGCTTGTATTTATCCATCTTAAAGAAGCCAAAAACTACAATTGTAGTCACAATCTTTCCAAAAAACACAGGAACGTCACTTTCCTTCAATGACCTCAGAAGCTCTGTCTCTTTGGGATCCACATCTGTGAAATCTCTTTGACTTGTAGTCCATTCAACGTCAACCCTTTGTACCTTTGCGTAATGTTCATCGGGGTTGAACTCTTTGACAAGATAAGGGTATCCTTGGTGAACGAAGATACCACCATCGTAAAGAGTAAAACTTGTTCTAGAGGCTTCAACTTCTTCAATGACAATATTTCTTCCATTTGTTATGTCTACCACTGCAAATTGATCTTCTTCAGATCCTCTCAAACTAACCAGCTTTGCCGGCCATGGTAAAAATCGGTTATGAGTGTGGTAGCCGTTGGTGTCCTGATGCAGCCTCTCTTCACAAGTTTTTGTCAAAATGTCTTTACCAAAATAAGCCTGGTCTCTTTCAATGATAATCGGAAGCTCGAAAGCCGCACATTGAATATGACCTTCTAGAACCAAAACGTTCTCAAAATCCAAAATAAGTTCTTGAAATGCCTCTTTGCCACCATCCTTTAGCAGCTCAGGGTGAGCGACGTAATGCTGATCAACAGGCGAGTCGCCGGCTACCACAAGAGTCAAAGAATCTCTGTTTCTTCTACCAGCTCTACCACTTTGTTGGTGAAAGTTTGCCAACGATAATGGAAAGCCACACATCAGTACTGCATCCAGCCCACCAATGTCGATACCTAGTTCTAACGCATTCGTTGATATTACCGCTCTCAAATTTCCGTGAAACATCTCCTGTTCAATCTTGCGTCTATCTGAGGGAGAGTATCCACCACGGTATGACATAACATCATTCAACAGATCCGTTCTATTCATCTCTTGAAAAATAGTTCGAACTTCCTTCATCAGTAGTTCACAAACTCGACGAACATAGCAAAATGCGATAGTTCTCACATTTTCCAAAATCAGCTGTACCAAAATTTTGGCACTTTCATGGATGAAGTTCTCCCTTCTGCGAACATGTTGTGCAAGAACAGGAGGATTCCAAACTACAAGATGTTTCTCGCCCCTGGGAGATCCATCATCCTCAATGAGTGTTACCTGTTCCATCCCGAACATTCCTCTCATATGCTCAAGAGGTCGCTTCAGGGTGGCTGAACACGATATAAATTTGACATCATGATTATCATAAAACCCATTTACCAATCTCACCAGCCGTCGTAGTACCAAGGCGACATGCGAGCCAAATAGTCCCTTGTACATGTGGAGCTCATCCACGACAACGAGTTTCAAATGCATCAAAAAATGGCGCCAGTTGGGATGATTCGGCAAGATGCTGACGTGAATCATATCGGGGTTGGTAAATATAACTCTTGCATTTTTGCGAATGTATCCACGCTTGTCCTCCTCTGTGTCTCCATCATAATTGTCTACAATTACGTGGGACAGTTGTGGTATTCTAGACAGCAAAACTTGGAAAGCTCTCTTTTGATCCTGTGCCAAAGCCTTTGTTGGAAATACGTACATGAAAGTGGATAGTGGGTCTTTGAGCAACTGGTCAATGGCCGACATTTGATAGATCAACGATTTGCCTGATGAGGTGGATGTAGTGATAATGACGTTTTCACCTGCGTGTATAGCGTTTAGGGCTTGTGCTTGATGTGAATAAAAAGTCTTGTGTTCAAATGCGTTGAGCGCTTCAGGTGCCAATTCAAAGTCCAGATCTTTGAAGCTGGCAAATCGTTGTTCCAACACCATATGGCTGACGATTTGGTTATTATAGAGTTCTGACATTTCCAATTTTTTCAAAAGTATGGGCATGGTGAGTCTTGTGGAGTTATTTTCTGCATCGACAAGAACCCGGGCTTGGTCCTGGCCGCCTCTTGCTTTGACCATGGCTTCAATGGGGTCTGCAAACTCCTTTTTTTGCGGCACCAACGTCGATGCTACAGCTTCCAGAAACAACCAAGGATCGCCGCCCTTTTCTTCAGTTTTTTGATGTCGCAGAAACTTCATCAAACTGGTCTTGAAAATAGCGTTTCTGCGAGAGATCATCTTGCGCATCGCCTCCGGTGAGAATTCCGGCATTTTCACCTGCGTCTTGAACTCTGCTCGAGACAGTTTTCGTGACATGTCTCCGTCAACAAACTCAAAAATCAAGACCTGGTCATCGGACCCATTGTCCTCGCCTTCATTGGCCGACTCTGGTTTCAGTTCGAATATATCGCTGCTCTTTTGTTGAAACCCACCATTATTGAAGTCAAATTGTTTAGTTTCCGTGTGGAATTGGTTGGCATCCACGTATTTAAACACCACATCTCTGGGCAGCAAATAAGCGATTTTCGCCAAGTCCAGAGGCTCAAGTTCCCGCTTGATGTCCTTTTCAACTGGTTTTCTCAGTGTATCGAATGTACTTATAACATGTTTGCGAGCCATTAGAAAGGTGTAGAAAGTGTTTAATCTGAAGAAGATTGTCCTTAATTCCTTAAAGCGCACGTCTTGTTCCCATTTACTCTCCACGTCGGAAGAAGCCTGGTGTTGGCCATTTTCGAGACTCATTGCTAGTCTTATAGTCTTGATCCTTTGGCCATTGGGTTCGCTATCCGAGTGTTATGCTGTTAAGTTGAAGTTTTATACAAGAAGTTAGGAAAGTTGAATAACTTGATGAACTTGACGAACTTGAAGAACTTGAACAATTTTGAACAATTTTGAACAAAACAGTTGACACAACAACTGAAAGAAGTTGGTGAAAAGCTATATAAGCTGTGCTCGATCAGACCTTTCTTTGGTTAAAAAATGAGCTTTTCAGAGGAACGATTGGTAACGAAATTGAATGGATTGGATGAGACTCAAGATTCGATTGTGGGAGCTTCGAGATGGGTACTTGGACAGCATAAAAATATCAAGGAAATAGCTAGAGCTTGGGACAGATTTGTGAGTAAACCAACAATCAACACACGCAGAAAACTGCTTGCGATATATCTGGCTAACGATGTGGTTCAGCAAGCTAAACACAAGCGTGTTAGCGAAGTGGGTACTGCGTTTGGGGAAATCATGCCTGGGACGCTGAGTCGTGTATACCCGGAACTGAGCACGGAAATGAGACAAAAAGTACGTCGTGTGGTGGATATTTGGAAACAACGACAGGTTTTCACGGATTCGGTGCTGAAAAAAGTATACGCTCAATTGAAGGACACTCCAAATCGGGCTTCGTCATCTTCAACAGTAGCACCAGAACTCCAAAAACTAGTTGAGATCTTCAACCAGCTCACCAAATCCCAAGCTGGAGTCAGCTCCAACAAAACTCGGTTTGACTCATCAGTGGAGGCTTTGGACCCCAGTAGTGCTGTGTACATGGAGAATTTCAAGACAATTCAAAAAATCGGCCAAACAGCCAAAGACGCATTGCAATTGTCGCTTGAGAGTCGGGAGAAGGCGGCAAAAGAGCTTCAAGTTCTGCTGGACTTTCAAAATGAACAATTGCAGCAAGACCAGAATATGATCAGTGAAATTGACGCCGTCCTTGCAGCCAAGGACCCACTAAGCTCACAGACTGCACCAGTGGAAGACGAGATAATGCCTGTTTATGAACCCAGTGACGGAAGCGACAGCGATACAGACAATAGCGATGTAGAAGAACAGGGCGCTAAGAAAAGAAGGCGTAAATCTTCCACGCAGTCGACAGAAGATAAAGACGAAGCGAATAGACTGAAATCAGTTGCCGTAGAGGCTCAACCCAGTTCAAATGAAGATGCAGAATCTGTTGATGCAGCTACGTACGAGCCCACGCCTGCGGAAGTCGCCGCCAACTCGCCCATGGCAGTGACGTCGAGCATCCAGGACTTACTGAGTAAGTTAGCTAGCTAATTTGTGTATTATATCATGAATAATGGAGACTGGACCTCAGAACTCTAAGACCTTGACTGAATGTCCAAAACTCCAAAAATTTTGGCTAGAGGTCAGAACTCTAATACCTTGACATACTGGAATGCCAGGTCGCACGCGTAGTTTTTCAGCAACGGGTCCATAGACTCGCCGCATATTTTATAGTCCTCTATGCCAATCTCCTTCAAATACTTTCGTATTTTCTCGACTCTTTGTTGGAAATCTGTATCCTGGACATTTTCCTCACACTCCAGTTCAATGAGCAGTCCTTTAAACCCCCCATAAGAGAAGACATTCGTAGCTCTGATGATAAGTTCAGCCGTTTGATAAGTACTTCCAAAATCACCTTTGATGCTCTGCCTTTGAGTCCACAAATTTGACAATTTTGATGTGAGAAGGTGATCAAATGGTTCACTTGAGCGCGAAGAGCATCCGTTCAGGATCTGCGATGCTGGAATATCTCCTGGATTGGTCGATGTCACAATCGCTGCTTTATTTTTGATGGTTACAGTCTTATTTCCATGGTGACTGAAGCTTATAGAATGCATGAGTCGCGGACTATCTGGAGGCAGCTTTTTCACTGTGAATCGGAATGTTTTGAACTCGAATGACCACTTTTCCTTGACTGATATCAAGTCGTTGGCAAGCACATCGTAGAAGTCTGTGATAGTCGCTGGAGCTGATCTTTCAATGAATATTACTCTGAAATGAAGATGGAAAAAAGTTGGTCAGTAGCGATTCTTGACAATTGACCTCAATTGAATTCTTATTGGTGTGAACTTACGTTGAATTCATGCTGTTGTATCTCTATATATACCTTTAGTTCACGGTGAGTGTAGTAACGACGATCATCACCTAATAAGACGGTAGCTTAAACACCAGTGTAGTAACATGACACGGTGGACGAGAAAGATCTTTTGAGTTGAGAAACCCAACCAGCTGGATACACTGCTGCCCTGCAGCATTGATAGTTTTGTCACTGGTCTTGACTATTCAACGTTGTAGATCAACAACACAGGATTTTCCCGTTTTGTTGCAATGAACAATGGCCCACTTACCACCTTTAGATGCTTCCTTAGACAAGCTATTGTAGATGCTGGTGGCGAAGCTGCGCGGGGCAGAGTTTTGGCCAGAACCGAAAACCTTGCGAAGCCATTCGTCTTTTTGAGCCAAAGAAGTCACCGAAATTACTTCGAGTGTCTCTTCCCTTATGGCGTCGACCGAAAAAATGGGCGCTGTCGACAAACTGGTGATGATTGAGCGCGAGGCACTTCTAGCAGAGTCTTCGTAGATCCATTTATCTTTCTTATTGGACTTCTTTGCACGCGTAGCCATGTTAGGAATGTAAACTACTTTTTGTTGACCATGAGCTTTCAACGAAGCATTGCTGCTTCCATCAAGACTTCCATCAGTGCTCGCAGCCTCTTCCCATTTCTTTTCGTCCAATGACGCCAGCCCCGCATCGTGTATCTGAAGGGGATCAACAGCTGTGGTTTTTGGCCCAGTCTCTTGCTGATAAAGAGATAAAAATTCGTCGAAATCGAGGTCAACATCAAGTTCCGCATCTAGCTTCTTCACCTTGAGTGGTTTGTATTTCCGCTTGTGAGCAGAGGTGGAGTACATCTGCTGTTTAATGAAAATTATCCAGTCGACACCATCTCGTTGAGCAATCGATACAACGTCATCAACCGTGTAACAGTTACGAACAAAATCTGCGCTGATATTTGCCTTCCACAATTGGTTGAGAATCTCCACCCCGATGGTGTCCAAGATATGGTTGGAAAAACTAGACACAATGACGTTACAGCGCGTAGGTTTCCAATCCAAATCTGAATCCTTCAAGAAAGAACTTCTTTTTTTGGTTTTCTTTCCAGCAGCCAGCTTGAAGTAGTTTTGAGCCACTACCAGGATAGTTTCCCAGGCTAAATTAAACCCCACGGCCCTTTGGACACTGTTAATGTTACCACCAGAAGGCCTAGCAATAATCGATATCAACTTGTCATACCTACCTCCTGCAGCAATTAGACTTCTGGTTCTTTCGTCATCATAAACTGCCTGGAACATGATGTTTCCCCTGTAGAAAGACCAATTGTAGTTGCTCAAGGGACAAAGTAATGTGTTTCTTGTTACTTTTAGCGGCTTAAAAAAGCTAAGCACCCTTGATATGTATTGCAAGGATTCGTCCACTTTTGTTAAGTATGAACTATCCACCATAATTTTGTGCATTCGCTTTTTAGCGCTCTCGAAGTCAAGTCTGAAATCGAAAAGTTCCAAGTCATTTAGTGACGTAGATGAGAGATTCAAGACAGCCTTCAATTCGTTCTTCACTTCTTTGAACGATTTTGCAAAGCCGACTTGAGAAAGCATGTGTGATACTAGCGAATGCTGTGCCTTATCTATGCCGCAGAAGCCAAAAATGCTTTCCAAAATGTCAGCGTGATTTACACTGAACACTGTGTTGATTTTACCAAATATCGGAAGTCGTTTTATGATTTCATCTACGACCTTTAAACTTTCAGCATCGTAAAACGCGGTCTCTGCCGAAGATTGAGATATTATATCAAAGTCTACCTCAACAAATCTCCGCGGTTCTGTGCTTGTGTGCGTTTGTAGTGGAGGCCGATAGACATGTTGCACGCGGTACTGCTTACTGACACAATTGGGTCCTTTGGCAACGAATCGTGCCATAGGATATGTCAGATCGTATTGCAACTGTAAAACGGACCCGCCCTTATCAAGAACTTCATAAACATTTTGGGTCGAATAGATTGGCGCTTTCGGAAAAATCACTGAGGTTTCGCTATTTTCTACTGCACCGTGTCTTTTGAATATCTTGATTATCTCCTCCATTATTTGTGACTTTAGAAGCTGATTGAAAGGAGTGGAACTTGGCTTACTGTTGTCGAAAAGGATATCGTTCGTGACACTGTAGGGCTGGGCAAAGAGACTCTCCCGAACTTGTTGTTGCCAAGGAGATGAAGGGTCTGCTAAGTTTTTCAGTGCATCCATTACGACCTCGTCTTGATGTTTTACTGGAAGCAACCCACTGCGAAGCAGTGTTTGTGCATTGGGTCGTTTTTTGGGGTCGTGGTCGAGCAATTGTCTGATGATTTTCTTCTCAACCGCCAGTTTTTGCTCGTCAAAATCAGCGGGAAATACAACTTCAGGTGTTCGCAGCATTTTTAGGACATTTACTCTTTCCATCCCGGTACTGAATGGATATATCATTTCGAAGAAAATGACACCAAGGGAGTACATATCGATCTTTTCATTGTAGTCTCCCTTACCGCTGAGAACTTCAGTTGCGACGTATAAAGCGGTTCCAACAGCAGAAGTGAGATCTTCGGTACTTCCGGCACTCATTTGTACATCAGCACGCAGGAGGTCAGCAGATTTATGAACATTCTTAGCCAAACCAAAATCGCCAATCTTAATGTTCTTCGATTCATCTATGAAAATGTTCATGGGCTTCAGGTCTCTATGAATAATGCCCATAGAGTGAATATAACCAAGCGCGTCCAATATCTCACGAAGTAGCCGCCAGTACTCTGACTTTTGAGAGCTCAGGTTTTCCGTGTGTATTAAATCGAAGAGGGTCTGATTTTCACAGTATTCCATTTGAATGTAAAGTGTACTTCTAACTTTCTTTTCTGCATTAATGCTGCCCATTTGACTTAGACGTCTTCTAGTTTTGAGACCTTCCTGTTTGCAAACGGAGTCACTAAGCCGGCTGTCCTTGATTTGATCTTCTTTCATGGACTCAATGCTATTAATATCAGAGTCATCGGTGACAGAACTTTCTGATGATGATTCCTCGACCTCCTCATCAGAGCAGTCTTCAGCTTCGCTGGACTCATTGGCAAATACGATTTCAGGATAATTTGAATTCTGGAGTGAGTTAGAAAAGAAGTCCCATCCATCATTAGCATTTGCAGATTGACTGAGTGCGTTGCTTTTGAATATGTTTGTCGACGAGCGAGGTGTGAGATTTGAGTCAGAGTCCTCCGAGTCGTCGTCTTCCTCACTTGATGTAATTACCTCTTCCACATTCGGCTCTTCTTCTAACCAGGCCGCATAATAACGAACGACATATTGATGATTTAGACTGGCCAGAAGCATGACTTCACTCAGTATCGATGATAACTTTTCTTCCGTATGCCTTATTTTCTTTATCGCATAGTATCTGCTGTCTAGAGCGTTCCGTGCTTTGACCACCTGCCCAAACGCGCCTTTGCCTAGTAAGGCAACTTCCTCGAAGTCAGTGGCGTACCTTGAGCTATATGCAGGGTTGGTGGAAAGATACCGGGACTTTACGTTAAAACTTCTTCTTCTAACTCCATCGTTGAGATACTGTAAAGATGTGCTTGATCTTGAACTCCTTCTTACATTAAAGGCGAGCGATAAGTTTGATCCTTGATTCGAGGCACCTAGTTTGTTAACAGAAGGGTCTAAATTTGTTCGAAGAAACCTGACAGGCATTAACTCAAGCGGGCCTAAACGTTTCTTGCTATCGGGCTCTAAAAGCTTCTGCAGAAAGTCTGCAAGACTGTCATCCATCTTGGTATTTTCCAAGAATTCCTGCGGAGAGGAAAAGTTCCCAACTGTGTCCATTCCGTTGATTATTTGAACAAACAAGACACCAAGCTGCCATACATCAGTCTTGCGCTGAGGTTTGCTGTTATTGAACTTGACTAGCTCGGGTGCCTTCCAGGGCTGTTCCACATAATCAAGTTTCGGACCGTTCTTATTCGGGTGACTGGATAGGAGGTTTACGAGGGTATACCCATAACCTGCGTGCATTAACTTTGGAACAGTAGTTCCAAAGTCTGCGTCCTTTGCCAAATTGATTGTCCTTGGTGAGACATATTTGTGCACCACGCCATGCTTGTGAAGACTCTCCAAGCCTTCAATAACTCGTAGTACCCAGCCGCGAGCGGTAGCTAAGTTAACAAAACCAACTGATTCAACAATTTCACCGACTAAGAACATGGTAGAGTACTCGCTCAAGATTCTAATTTTCCAAGCATAGCTGCTACTGCTTCTTCCTACCCTTTCAACAGCGAAAGCGAAAAGTCTATTGACATTATCATGTGTAACTCGCGTCAAGGAATCTAGTTCTTTCTCCAAGTTGGATATTTCGCGCTTCCCATTGCTTGTATTGAAGTAAGGATTATCTAGCGTAACCTCTGTGAGCAAGTAGAAGAAATTGACCATCATGTCAGAAGACGTCAGGGCATTGGCTAATGGCGAGTCCGGCGGAATGTAAGGCTTAACCAGGGCTTGTCGTGCAAATCCTAAAAGGTCTGCGCCCAGATCTATTTCTTTAGGATTCACAACTGCTTTAAAATTGTAAAATGAGTTGTTCGGGAGCTTCGCTCTCACGATTTTGGGGAAAATGTATGCCTCGCCAGAAGTAACCCAATCTGTTGGGGGATTGAGATCGATGGCATTTTCATGGTGAAAAGTTGAATCATCATCGTGCCTTTTCTCCATTTCTTTCCTGACGATTTCATCGATCAACTTTTGTTCCTTCATTCTCTCTACTTCTACGTCAACTTGACGTTTCATTTCTTCTTCTTCCAGTCGTTTTCGCTCCTCTTCAATTCGCTGTAGTCTGTCATCCTCAAGTGATTGCATGTTTGCCTTAGCTTGCACCTCATCCAGCTTTTCCTGAGCTAGTGATGTGATCTCAAAAATGATTTCCTCTCGGCCCTTGGAACGCTTATGTATGCTTTTAATGTCGTCTTGAAGGGCTGTCAAATAGCTACCCAGGACGTTCTTGACATTTTCAAATTTGATTATAGGAGCTTGTTGAGGATAGTTGGCTGGTAAAGTTATATTCAACGTCAGGGACGACTCGGCAGGTTGTTGATTTGTGGATCTCAGCGAAATCTGAAATTCGATGAGAGGTCTCTTATCCCAAGAAGATTTTACGGTCGTCTTGTCAACAAAATCGTCCATATAAATGCATCTGATTGCCTCCAGCTCGTTCTTTTGTATTTCATAGTCCTGATCTAAGCTCAGATTTCCACTTGGCATTGTAAAGCTTGCTTATTCTTAGCGACTTCATTAAAATCGCACGAGCAGCACACAATGCACTAAACAAAGCTCTGTAAACTCCTTGATTGACTCTACGGCGCGAAGATCGGCAAACAAATGGAATCTAACTTGTTCTGGATAGAGATGTACTCTTAAACCATAGATTTAAAAGACCCTTCGCTAGAATACGGGTAGCGTCTTACGAAACATATACGTATGGAGCTGGCATAGCATATATAAACATCATCGCTTAGGTCGCGGTAAGTGGTGCCGATTCCTCATCAGCAACCCTTTCTAGGACTGTGGATGATAGCTGAACATCGCTATCGTCCAGAAGAGGCTTGAAAGAGAGCTCGTTGGACAGTGCCGGGAAAGTAGCAAAATAGACTTTGTAGGCAATGTACAGTCCGATAGCACTACCTAAAACTACGTCAACGAAATGGTGTCTGTAGTCTTCGGTTCTTGAGATCGCGATAGTTGCAGCACCAATTGCTGGTAGCGTAGCCAGAGTTCTTCTGATATGGCTCACGCCGGGGTTTTCCACCAGCAGCTGGCCGGCAAGCCAAAGAGAGAGGTATCCGAGACCAGCAAAGCTTTCGCTTGAGTGTCCGCTTGGTGTGGAGCGGAAGCCGTCTCTCAGACGGCTCAAATTATTCGTGGTGCACACTTCAGAGGCACTCACCAACAAGTTGAGCGGAGTTCCCTCTTTGGGTACACAACGAGCCAAAAAGTCCGGACGCGGCCTTCCTATCCAGTTCTTCAAAAAGTCCGTAAGTAGATTGGTCGCTGTCCAGGACAAAACAAGTCCCAGAAGCGAGATATAGGTCAAATACGTTCTATGTTTAGGATCCCCCATTAGAAGAGAAACTGCCACGATAATGGCCGCTGGCACCACCATACTGTAAACAAACAGTGCTGTATTACCCACCCGCTGTGTTCCTGCATGTGGATGTGAAATGGTGGGATCTCCCAGATAGAATTGGCGTTCAAACGGCTTGCCATAAGCAATGGATAGATTGATCACGTAGAACACCACACAGAGTGCCAGATCTGCCACTTTCCATTTCTTCACAATGCTGTACTTGGAAGAGCGATCGAGACCCAGTGTCAAGCGGTCGATGGCCATCTTTTCTGAATGTTTTCTGCCTTCCAACTTTCTTGAATTTGTTCACTGTGTTTGACCATTTATCTATTTTTAAGGTAAATTATTAGTATTTATTAAAACTTCCTTGCTAGCCTTCACTTCTTGACCAGCAAGGTCACTAAGAAGTTGAAAACGAGCTGTAGTTTGTGATTTTGAGGGTAACAAGCTCTTTCGTTGTAGTTAGCGTTTACAGATTTATCGGTTTTTAGTTGTGTAGAATCTCAGGTATTTAGGGAGACTTTTTTTGGCCATATTACTACTAGAAACGGCGGCTAATACAATTTTTATTTTGTAAGCTGCGTACGGACTAGAAGTGTGGGGGTCTTAGCTTGAATTAGCCTTGGAATTGCTTAAGGGTTTCCATCGATGTCGAACTTCTTTCGCGACAATTCTCGTGGTTTTAAGCCGCGATCGAATATCTTCACAAAACTCCGAAATAAAGACTCTGATCTCGACAGTGATGTTAGTTCCGATAATGCAGTGTCTACTATTGATTGGAGCACGCCGGGTCCAAAACGTTCAAAGCTCGACATGCAGGATTCTCGCTTTTTAACTACTGATACCAACTTGTCCGTTCTTACCGAAAGCACACCGCTCTCAAAGAACCGGCTACAGAAAGCAGATCTTGAAACAAGAAACGTCGGAATTGCCATGGATTCAGCAAATGGCTTTACTAAAAATATCGCTGCCGGCACTAAAGGTGTAGTAATAGAAAAGGGCACAAGCCGATTCAACGCGACCTCCTCGAATGACGTTCTTTTGGAGGCATTCACCAACACGCAAAAAATTTGCTCTAGTTTGAAACTCGAACTTCAGCAGGTCAAGTCCGAGAATCAACATCAAAGCGATACCATCGGCGCATATAAAAGCGAGATTGGCAAACTTGAAGGTAAAATGGTTGAGCACAGGCAACTGCTACTTGCGCTCGAAACCAAGTCCTCTGAGCTGCGAAGCAAGAAACAGACAACCGACGAACACCTCGCTGTTTTGAAAAGTGACTATGATGACCTTGTCGAACGCGTACGTCATCAAAAAGAGGACAGCATTGCTCTCAGAACGCACTTGGACGATATTAGTCTCCAGCATAAATTGTGCGGCTCGACTTTGTCTGAAAAATCGGAAGAGCTAGAACGCTTGAAGGCCGAGGTCAATGCTGAGAAAGTCAAAAGCCAAAACCTGGAGCAAGAGCTCAAAAAAACGAGGGAGTGCTCTTCACGCATTAGTGAAGAAATACTTAAACAGATGGATACGAGTATCATCAAAGGAGTTTCTTCACTTGAACGCTCGATGAAAACGGAGTTCAATAACGTATCGCGATCGGCTCCAGATTTTCAGCATTTTTGCAAAACATTGCAGTTTTCCGTAACCCAACAACTTAAAGAGTATTATCATGAAACCCGTGAGAAAACCCTCAAAGCTTGTCTTTCTATTTCAGCGGTATGCTAACACAGTTATCACAGAGAAAGTAAAAAGATTGGTGATAAAGTCCAATCAGATTTACGAGAAGAGCTATGCTCTTTGGAGGACACATTGAAGAAACGGTTTGATGCCAATTTAGCCGAGGCCCCGCGACCAGTGGATCTAAATTCTATCGAAGACGGTCTCACTAGAATTTCCGGAGAATTGCAGGAACTCAAGAGGACCGAATCTAGAAACTGCTCTGAAGAGCTGGTTGTGATGCTTCACGATTCAGTGAAAGATGTGAAAGCTTCATTATCGGTCATTCGAAGCAAACTCCAGGAATATAGTGATAATGTGGACCATGCTGGCTCTTACGAATGTAAGATTGATAGTCTTCACGAGCGTTTGCAAGCTACTGCATTGCAAAAAAGCGAAGCGGTGTCGTTGATCAAGTCGAGAGACATAGAAATCGAAGATCTCAACAACCAGATTCTTGGAAAAAGTGACCGCATCAGTAAACTTGAAGATGAAGAGAAGCATTTGAGGGTCTCCCTCACGCAGAATGAACATCTTTTGGAGGTCAAAAACAAGCAAATGCTGATGGTAACGGAAGAACTTAGTATGAACAGGGCTGATTGCGAAAACAAGCTGGCCGCTCAAAATGAAGTTATTAGACTGATGAAAAGCCAGTGCGACAGCTTGCAAAGTGACATCGATGGATGCAACCGTGCAAGAAGTGACGTTGACCGAGAAAATTTGGAGATCAAGGCGAACGCAAAGCAAACTAATGAGCAAGTCCAGAACCTAAATGTCGAAATCATACAGCTTAAGGCCAGAGAACTTGAACTTGACGAAGAGAATAGGAACCTCAAAAATATGATCGAGCAATTCAATTTGGACGTCCGCGAGAATAGCAATCAAGTTCGTGAATATAAACGGCGTGTTGCGGAACTCGAATCCGAGAACACTTCAAGGGCCAGCGACGTGCTCGAGAATCAAGACCAGATCGCGCTTCTCGAACAGCGATTGCAAAGCGCTCGAAAAGCGGTTGACATATTAAAGAAAGAGAAGTGCGAGCTTATGCGTCCTGATGGGAAAATCATGAAAAAGGCGCCACAGAAGCAGCAGCACCGAGGCCATCATAGCGGAGCTCCTCAACGTCCCCCTGTATCATTAGTCGCTGCAGAGCTACCTGTCAATCAGCAAAAGCCCAGGCAAGACGACATGTTCGAACTTTCATCCTCCTCGAATGACGGTCTTGAAATGACTTATCCGTCACCCATTGCTACCAAGATGTCGAAACCGCGCAAAGTACTACTATCAGAGGATACAGGTTCTCCCGAACCGGGGCCTCAACGTGGCCGGAAAAAACGTAAAGTCAGAGTTTGATAATGACGACCATTACTTCAGGCTCTCAATTCTTTGCTCGACTTGCTGGACGTCGAGTCTGTGAAATATCTTGGACACAGTTTCGGGATCATTGCTGTTCTCCACGTGCAACACGGGAACGTCCATGCAGTACTTGTTCCACCAGGTTTTGTTTTGCGGCTCGTCTATGTCCACGATATGGAGCTGCAAACCCATGAATCGCTGCTTATTTTCCGCTACCTGTTTAGTGACCTCTTTGGCCTTATCGCATAGTCCACAATTGGTCTTTGAGAAGAGTGTTAGACGTATGTTTGAGTAATTGGCCAATCGTGCCGCTGAATGGAATTGCCGGATCATCTTTATATATAGTTTGAGGTGCTAGGTTCTGGATACCTTGAGCCGAGTATAGGCTTCACTAAGCGCCAAGTGCAGGAATAACATGTAGATCAATTTGGCCATTTAGCTACTTTTCTTTTGACCCGCATCTTACATTATATATGCACATTTTTCTTTAATCCTCATGCACTGGTCCTATAGTGTAGTGGTTATCACTTTCGGTTTTGATCCGGACAACCCCGGTTCGAATCCGGGTAGGACCTCATTTTTTTGAAAATCTGATAAATGTTGCACATACGACCCAAGAATCGAAAGCAATACATGTTCACTTCAAAAATCACGACCAGCTGCCAGTATTTCCATCTCTTAAGCCGTTTTGTCCAACCTTTACACGCAGCGTGTTTGGTATCACTCTCTACGAACACTCGCCAATCTTTCATTATGGGTTTTTTGCTATATAATCTTCCATATGCCTTTTGGAAAATCCAGGGTATATAAAGGTCCAACGAAACTAAGAATTTAGACAAAGGCCCTCCGATCTCCCTACATCGTAATTTTAGCTACCCATTGAGGATCGTGTCAGATTTTTTAACAAAGCAGACACTATCTATCACGACTACAGCGAGCTCGGCGTTTAATTTGAGCCACTTACCGTTTTTTTACCATATCTAAAACCTTATACTGCTAAAAACTAGCCTTTACCATAAGGACATTCATTAAAGGAACATCTAGCCAAAGATAGAAAGAATAACTAGCAGAAAGATGGCATTGACCAAAGAGCAACTCAAAGATATCGAAACCAACTTGGTGGAATTGGCTTCTAAACAAGTAGGGCCTATACTCAAGGAAAAAACCGGCACTCAATTCGAGTCGTTTGATGACAAGGCTAACCAGGTAGACCTTGTCACGGCTGTTGACAAAAAAATCGAATCTATCATCAAGGAAGCGCTCTCAACGCTGTATCCAGACTTCAGATTCATAGGGGAGGAAACGTATAAGCCAGGAGACACAGAAATCGGAGCAGAACCCACATTTATCGTCGATCCTATCGACGGAACGACCAATTTCATCCACGGGTATCCATACAGCTGCACATCGATGGGATTGGTGGAAAACGGCAAACCGGTGGTCGGGGTAGTATTCAACCCACATCTAAACCAAATGTACCACGCGTCCGCTGGAAACGGCGCGTTTTTGAACGGCAAGCCCATCAAGGTAGCAGAACGCGATCTGGAGCTGCAAAAATCCATATTAGCACTGGAGGCCGGCTCAGAGCGTTCTTCGGGCTCTTCTGGCGACGATAACTTCGACATCAAATATGCCACGTATAAAAACCTGCTGAGCGACCAGGGGGCTTACATCCACGGTAGCAGAAGCTGTGGAAGTGCAGCCATGAACATGTGCATGGTTGCCACAGGGACTCTTGACGCCTATTGGGAAGGTGGCTGCTGGGCCTGGGACGTCTGTGCGGGATGGAGCATTTTGACGGAAGCCGGTGGCATTGTTGTGGGCGGAAACCCCAACGAGTGGGAAGTGCCTGTCGATGAGAGATGCTATTTAGCTGTGAGAGGCGGGAGCACGCATCCTTCGCAAAAAGCGTTTGTGGAAGAATTCTGGTCTCATGTTGCTGGCAAACTAAAGTACCATTGGTGAGCGTATTTGGCTATTAAATCGAAACGCCAAACGGCGATCCACTCGTCGTTATGATCCTGTTCTGCCTCCAGGTTTGTAGCTCATATATTTTCAATGATGGTGAAGAAGAGGGTGTTTAAACGCAATACAAAAGAGAGAAAGAGAAGAAAAAAGTCGGTGAGGTGCTGGGATTACAGATTCGAGCCAATTGTGTCATAAGACTAAGCTGAAGGAGCCATGAAATGGGTTGTGAGAATCTTGTTGGTGATAGAGGTTTTACAAGCATGTTTTCGTACATAGTGACCTCCCATAGTGAAGCTCATCATTTAATATAAAGAGAGATTCCACACCGATGGAAAGACTGAACCGGTAACTTTTGAATCAATAGCTCAGTGTTTCGAGCTCGAGCGAGACCAGTGGCCTTTTTGATGAGCCAGGCTCTTGGGCAATTTGATCGAGACGGTGATTCGGGACTCCTGGCCGTTTCCCGTGGTGTAGTGCGCCACATATTGGCGCTGTGCGAAAGCCAATCTGATGTGATCTCTCGATCCAGACTGACTACCCTGATTCGAGAAGTCTCGAAAAAAGAGACTTCACGCAAATTCCGCTTTGCTGAGGTGTTTTGGAGCATGGACAAACTGTTACAGGACACTTTTGGGTACGAATTGGTAGGTTTGCAAGCGAAGAATGCACCTCTAAACGCTACCAAAGATAAAGCCCAAACTTTCATTCTGGTAACGACAATTCGAAATTTACCTGCTGATTTCAAGTCTCTTCTGGTTCAAGAGGGCCGCGGCATGTATGGCCCGCGTGTTGTGGGAGATCAATATGTCGGTGACGACCCTATGGTGCTGTCAGAGACGTTGGTCCGGGAATCAGTTTCTACGGACTCGGACTTGGTTTCACAGGGACTCACATTGCTGATTCTGACAATCGTTCTAGTGTCCAGAAATAATCTGTTGTTGCAGGAGCTTGTTGAGAGTCTTGAAGCGTTTGGAATCCCCAGCAACGGGCGCCAAATTCCAGCCCTCAATGTCACACTCGAGGAGTTTCTAAAACGTCTGATTAAACGAGAGTATCTTTACCGCAAGGAAGAAAATGCTCCAGATGGCGTTTCCGAAGTTGTTTCATTCAGAATAGGCCGCAAGGCTCAGGTCGAGTTTCCTCAATCTGCACTCATCGAAGCGTGTCGAGAAATCATGCATCTTCCGGACGAACAAATCGAACGATTGACCTTATCCATCGATCTCAGCGTGGGAGACGCATACGATGAGACACCGTAATTGCACAGGTGCTAAACGGATACCGAACGGATACCGAACGGATACTGAACCGTTAACAAACGGGTGCGACGCCCATTTTTCTCATCTCATCGTCGCATCATGTGATTATCACCTGACTTTGAACGGTGTCGATATTTTTCCACCCAATTTCTTATTGTTCGCTCGTATACGTCAAGTTGAGAACCCGAGTTGATTTCGAGAAACTTCATCAATTTGGTATAAAAACCATCGAAATCAACCAAAAGTTGACACTTTGAGATCACTTGCAACTGGATTCTTTGAACTTAAGCGCTGGAACTCTCGGGGCTCTCAACATCGCTCAAATTATCGAAAAAAAACGGTCAAAAACGACCAACTTTCGACTAAATTTCATTGCAAACAAGCAACCGACTTTTGCAAGCTTCAACCGCAGACTTTCCCTGTGAATTGAATTGATCTGTTACTGACAGATTGTGTTACTTGCAGTCTACGATAGCTTGATCAATTTGGAACCACCATGCCATTGGGTCTTGATACACTGGACTTTGCCGTTCTTTGTGGACTGGCTTTGGCCGTTGTGGCCTACTTCAGCAGAGAGAAGCTGAAGAGCATTCTATCTTCATCTCCAGACAGCACGCATGTAACTGGCGGGTCGCGAGATATCGTGGAAACGCTTCGCAGCAATGACAAAAACTACCTGGTTCTGTACGGGTCGCAAACCGGTACAGCAGAAGACTACGCCAAGAAATTCGCCAAAGAACTGGTTTCCAAGTTCTCGCTTCGCGTAATGTGTGCCGACGTCGAAATGTACGATTTGGAAAACTTGCACGAGCTGCCCGAAAACATCGTGGTTTCGATCTTTCTGTCCACTTACGGAGAAGGTGATTTCCCAGACGCGGCCATCCCATTCGAAGACTATTTGAGTGGATTGAGCAGTGGGGATCTCGAAAACGTGCGCTACACTATCTTTGGCCTCGGAAACTCGACCTACGAGTTTTTCAACGGTGCTGCGAAAAAGGCTCACAAGCTCCTCTCTGAGGCCGGCGCCAACCTCTTGGGCAAGTGTGGCGAAGCCGACGATGGTGCTGGCACCACCGACGAAGATTACATGGCTTGGAAAGAGGCTTTGATGGACTTGCTCAAGTCAGAACTTGCCCTTGACGAACATGAACAAAAATTCGAGCCCAATTACGAGTATTCGGTTCTTGATATCAGCAAGACGGACAATACCGTTTCTTTGGGTGAACCAACTTTGCAGTACTTGCCATCTCAACAACTTACTTACAGTCCCGAAGGAAAGCAAACTGGTCCCTTTGATGCTACACACCCATATGTTGCACCTATTGTCAGGTCAAAAGAGCTTTTCCGTTGTGGTGAACGTAACTGTATTCATGCCGAATTTGACGTTTCGGGTTCCAATCTAAAGTACTCAACGGGTGATCATTTGGCCGTGTGGCCTTCGAACTCTGACGAAAAAGTGGAACAATTTTTGAAGTGTTTCAATTTGGACCCCGAGGTGGTCTTCTCATTGAAACCGAATGATGCCACTGTCAAGAACCCGTTCCCATTGCCAACCACGATAGGAGCCGCTGTGAGACATTATTTGGAAATTACGGGCCCTATCTCCAGACAGCTTTTCAGCTCTATTATTCAATTTGCACCTAACGACATACTGAAAGAAAAGTTGAACGAGCTTTCGAAAGATAAGGACCAATTTGCCAAAGAGATTCATGTCAAATATTTGAATTTGGCAGATGCACTTTTGTATCTTTCTGATGGTGCAAAGTGGGATTCGGTCCCATGGAACTTTTTAGTGGAATCTGTTCCTCACCTACAGCCTCGTTATTATTCTATTTCGTCTTCTTCTCTGAGCGAGAAACAAACCATTTCCATTACAGCTATTGTCGAGAACATGCCCAATCCAACCTCCGAAAAAGCTCCACACGTTACCGGTGTGGCCACAAATCTACTAAGACACATTCAGTTGGCCCAGAACAATGAACCTACGTCTACCCTGCCGGTTCATTACGACTTAAGTGGACCTCGCAAGTTGTTTAGCAAATTTCAAATACCGGTTCATGTGAGACGCTCCACATTCCGCTTGCCCACAAACCCTGCTACACCTGTCATTATGGTCGGTCCAGGTACTGGTGTTGCCCCATTCCGCGGTTTTGTCAGAGATCGTACCAAGTTTGTTGAGCAGCAGCCTTCTGTCACTTTGGGAAAGCACCTTCTATTTTACGGCTCTCGCGATGAAAGAGACTTCCTGTACCAGGAGGAATGGCCTGAATATAGCAAGAAGCTTGGTGAGTCTTTTGAACTGGTTGTCGCACACTCACGTTCGCCCGGCAAGCCGCGTTGTTACGTTCAAGACAAGCTTATTGAGAGAGAAGAAGAGATTTTCAAACTCGTTGCAAATGAAGGAGCGTTCATCTATGTCTGTGGTGACGCTAAAGGCATGGCTCAAGGAGTTCATTCTGCTTTCGTAACTATCTTAAGCAGAGGCAAAAACTGTTCAGAAAAAGACGCTGCCGAGATTCTCAAGATGCTCAAGTCTAGTGGAAAATACCAAGAAGATGTTTGGTGAAGATAAACATAATCTATACACATGTAATTGAACTTGTTTCTATTCGCTTTCGAGCTTAAGTGTTCTTATAAACTCTTTCTGTTTATGTTGGTAGTGGTGGATGGTGTATTCAATTAGAATCAACTTGTAATACTGGATTCGACTCACTCGTCCAGATCATCACCATGTCCAAAACAATCGTCTCGAGTGGCATATCAAGCCTGCGATGTTCCAGACCATTTGAAACTTCAGCGCTGCTCAAACGTTGCTGGTCCTCTAGCGTTGCTGCTTTCCAATTCGACCAAACCTTTAAGAACAAGGTGCTCTATCCCAGACAGGCGAAGAGTCTTAAAACATCGTTGAACCTAGAGAAGAACTTGAGAAGAAGCTCTGGTCCTTTGAAAACAAGCTTGAGCGATTGGAAACACAAGCTTTCAGACGGAGTTTTGAGCACAAGAGAATGCACTACCACAACTACGAGTGAATACTATGATCTGGAAAAAGCTATTGCACTGCTGAGAAAACTCGGATATAACCCGACCAGCTTGGTTCCAGATGAAATTGTGACGTTCAAGTACTTATACAATGGAATAAGGTCTGATATCATGGTTCTGGGGAATTGTGGGACAGTCGTGTCGTGGGGGCTCGAAGAAACAGTGGTGATGAAGCATGTCTTGCCTTTGATTCAAGATGCTAGGATCAACGCTTTGCCGCAGGATCAGTTTGAGAGTGAGGACCTGGACTACATAGAGATTGAATCCCAACAAGATTTGGAAAAGGCCCAAAGACTTACAAAGAAGTGTTGTGAAGAAAGCTTTATAGAAGGCGATCTAATAATCGTCAACAACCTTGATCCGACCATAAGCCTTCTCGATAAAGCAGCCTTGTCAAGTGGCATGTCGCGGAGCACCAGATTGGCCGTTTTGGAAGAACTGTTAAAGACTCATATCGAAAGGTCCCGGAAGTTCACTGAACTCTTGTCAAAGGGCAAGCAGCTTAACCTCAAAGAACCGGATGTGCTCAAATCTACAGGAAGTCTATTTTTGATTAGGGGCAAGCTCAACCTTTATTCTGAGCTCATCGAAACACCAGATTTGTACTGGAGCGAGCCGCGACTTGAAAAAATCTACAAACAGATGTCCAAGAGTCTTGATATCCAACCGCGAATAAGCATTTTGAATTCCAAGCTCGATTTCGCAGTGGAAGAGTCCAGAGCATTTATGCAAGTTCTCAATGAGAAGAAAAGCACTTATCTGGAATGGATTATAATATACCTGATTACAGTCGAGGTTTGCTTTGAGCTGCACCATTACTATGAACGCTACTGGCTTGATAGACCTTCAGAAAGCTCGAATAACAAGTCTTGAAAGACCCACCACGGTCTTGACAAAAAAGCGTTTTCATCTGGACAAACGGTTTGTGATTTCCAGTTTTATGCCTGCGTCGCTCAGTTCAGCTACTCGAATCCCAGTCAAATCTGGCACCACATAGTCTGCGCCTGCTTTAAAGAGTGTTTCTTTATTGTAGGATGAAGTGATGCCTATCACGACGGCTCCGATACGTTTACCAGCCATTATACCCACTGGAGCGTCTTCAAAAACCACATTTCTCACAGTCTTGGGATCTTTGCCCCATATTTCGCTGAGTCTTTGAGACGCTAGGGCATATCCTTCTGGGTCAGGTTTGCCCTTGGCCACGTCGAATCCAGTTATAAATACAGAAGGCGGACCTACTTCTTTGAGGATGTTTTCGAACCATGTTCGAGCTAGGTAAGCTCCAGAAGTCACAATTGCCCATATGCGTTCTTTGGACTTATCTTTCTGTGAATTGTCCAAGTTCTGTAGCAGCTGAGCTGCCCCTGGTATCAAACTCGCCGATTCCGGAAAGTCTCTCCCGATCGACACTTCCATTTGTTCCACAGCACGGTCCAAATCGTCCTGCAATTGTGGGAAAAACCGTTGGATAACTTCCTGCGTTCTTGTTCCATGCGAATGCTTGAACAGTTCATCAGGATCTACGCCATGTTCAAGACACAGTTTTGTCCATGCCTTTTCTACTGCTTCGGTTGTCTTGATGATTGTTCCGTCCAAATCAAATAGACAGAAATCGACGTCTACAAACACTTTACCCTTGGAATTCATGATGATAGCTGCTCTAGCTGCTCTAGCTTCTTTATGCTTATTTTGAAGACACTATTTAGAACTTAAACAAGCTACCGGAACTCTAGCTTTTACAACTTTTAACAAGCTATGTTGATCTTTACCACAATTGGTAAACGCCGTCTGCAAAAGGGATTCATTCCGGTTCTAAAAATGGTAATCAAGACATCCATCCAATGCTGTGCGACGGCTGATGAACCTTCTTCGATGAGAATAATCACCTTTGACTTCTCGAGAGTAACAAACTCAGGAAGTCTTGACAATCTTCTGATGGTCCTATCGTTTATACAGCTTTTAATAAGATCTTAAACAACAGTTGTAGAATTGTAAGTTCGCTGGAGCTTGACGCTTCTTGTTTTTGTAATGAGAGCTGGTCGACCAAACCCGTTCGATGACACGCTCGATGCCGTAAGTAGACACAGGCTCAGACTCTTTAAGTATAATGCGGTAAGAATCAGAGAAATCTTGAATGCTAGATTCAACCAACACCCGCTTTTCGGATAATACAATGTTGAGTTCGAGTGGCTTTCTCTTCCCTCACGAAACCCTGGTGTTTTCAGAGCTCAGCATCGCAGCATACTGATTTCTTGCCTCGAAGTCCTGCTTGAGCTCCGCTGTGATTTTATCTGTCAGCGTCTCAGTGATCTTAAAAGCCTTGTGGCAGCAGTCCATCAATGTGAGAGCATCCATGGGAAGGCCACCGGCTTTCGAAACCTGCACAACCTCACGGTTCTTATTGAGAGTCACAGTCAATGTACCATCTCTCAAAAGCTCTTCCTTTAGAGTAGCATCTATCACACAGATCTCTTTGTTCGATTCTCCCTTGATGTTCTCTTCAGCATCTTCCGGATTGAAAAACGAAAACGTCACACAGATAGGGATGTGTAGCACCCCAAGAGGTACCGGCTCGCGCTCCTCCATGGAGTGGATTGTAACATGTTCACCAGAAACCGTCACATCAGGCTTTCTGAAGTGTAAAAGACCACACATCACCGCTATGCAACTGACGTCTATAAATCCACCATCACAATCTAGAAAATGCACATCTGCTCTCACGGCCCAGCATTTACTGCCAGCCACAATACACAGACCTTCCACGTCCAATGCACCAGATCTTCTCACCGCTTTCTCTATTATTCTCGAGCATAAAACTTCGTCTTCGCCCGTATTGTTCCCATTCTCGAATTGTGCACCAGCCATAGGCGAAGTTTCCGTGGAAATGTAAAAAAGTCCTTCAAAAGGACGGTCCTCGTAAGGCTGTGCAATACTGCAACTTATACGGCAATGAACCTTGGTCTTCCCCATTGTCACCGTCACATCTCCATAGTCTTTACCGAACTCGATGCCCACATCTCGAATTTCCTCGAATTTCCTCAAATCTGGACGTAATCCTTGTCTGAGAGTCTCTATCAGAAACTTGGACTCGGAGGTCGAGATCTCGATATCTTTGGCCATCTGGAATGATGTTAAAATGAATCTATGACTGGATCCAAGCTAACTTCGAAAACTTGTCAGTCGTTATGGGCATCGCTAGATGTATAGCCCATACTAAATTTTGCAGATTCCGTGAAGAGTGACATGGAAGCTAGAATCAAGAGATTCTCCAAATCAGAGTCTTCTCCCGTACTCAGAACCGGCCTTGACTATTCTTTCAATACTGGTGCCAGTCTTTTCGGTTCAGGTCGTATTCTTTTTCTTGAAAAATCCGTCAATCGCACCTTTTCCGCTTTTAATTTTATTGGTTTTGACAACTTTGGTCACTCTCTGGACGACAGGTTTCTTGGCTGATCCGCTGGTTATGCCGGCCTTCATTGCGGACTCAATAAGAAGCTCTTGTTCTTTTTTGAGTTTAAGTTCGTCTTCTTGAAATTTCTTGTACTGGCGAAAGGCTTCAGCCAGGTTTAGGTCTTGGTCCTCATATCGAATAAGCTCGTTGTAGGCTTGACGTGGCACCAAAGAAATAAGCAAATTACACGCGAAAACGGCTTTGCAATGAGTTTCAATTTCGCCGGAAACGTTTCTTGGTAAGGGCACACTTTTGGGGAAATTCTCGATTATCTTCTTTACCTTGGATGCGAGCCATTGGGTAATCTTGGTAGAGCTGATTTTGTAGTATACGTCACCAGCTTCTTCCACACAGTCGCACAAACGACTCATACAGCTTTGTAAGCATTCCAGAGGTACGTGAGACCAATTGGGGCTATGTTGGTCGACAAGACTGCCAAGAAAGTCGCGTGTCATAAGAAATCTATCTTCAATGGATGGTGTTGGAGTCTCGGATAGCTCAGGTTGCAGGTACTGGTTTTCATCTTTGCTTAAAATTCCGCGAAAGAAAGCACCACATAAGCTAAAACCCAGATCGTACTCCGTGGAAAACTCAAAAGATCCGTCACTCAGTAGCCATCCATCTTCACGTTGTGCATTGTTCACCAAGATACCAGATTTTATGGGTTCTGCGCGAGCCGTGTAGTGATAGCTTTCGTTGCTTGAGTCTCGAACCCTATTGAATTCACATCCCCGACTAAATGTCTTTTTTTTGAGCTGGTAAACCTTCCCATTACCCATAAACACCTTAATAGGACCTTTGGACTCAATATTGGACGGATTTGGCAGCTCGAAAATCTTCAACTTACCAATTGCACAGTCCTTGGGCAGTGCAACAATCCTTCGCGGTACCGGCTTATCAGCAGTCATTCTTATGGACGATTTTACCTTTCGAAGCAGACAATGAGGTTAAGTTCATGAACTTGACGCGATGAGATGATTTAATTAGAACTTCAGCTAGTGATGAAATAACTTCTGGCTGAAAACAACAGTTTTGAGAGCTCAAAGTATCTGAAAAATAGATTCAATAAGCTCTGAAGTACCTAAGGCATCTATTTGCTCGAACAATTCACTGCAGCGCTTCTACCGGTCTCAAAGAGGTCATTGTATGCCTTGATCGTTTAAACTAAGTCTGAGAGTTCAAAGAATCTAAGAAACCACAGTCTTCCTTCAAAACAACTTCCACTGTTCAAGTATCAAGTCAAAACTCCCCTCGTTAGAATGTCACTCTCAGCTTTTCAAGTGCTATTCACGGCAATAGCTTTATTGTTGGCGACCTTGCTCATCGCTATCAAGGTCATTTTGGAAACCAAAAGAGACCTTCATCCTATTGCTTTGGCTGAACAAGCCAATGTTGCTTCTACACGGAAGGAAAAGGAAACTGCTGTGTATAGGAACTTTACGGTCCCGCCAGGATTTCCCTTGACCACAGGAATGGGTCTCAGTTTGGGTTACAGACTAAGAAATGGGAATTTTGGGGACTTATGGTCCAGCATCATGGAAATGGGCGAGACCAGCTACGTTGAGCTGAATGGCTCAAAATTTTCTCTGGCTACACTGAACGGTGAAGTAAAGCAGATCCTAACATCTTTTAAACATTCGGCAACCGAACCAAAGCACATCGGCATTTGCATCCCACCAACTGAGCATGCTGGATTTGTTCTGGCAATTGCAGGGCTCATGGGCTCTCTTCAAAATGTGGTACCAGTATTCATGCCTAGCGTCCCCCGCTCCAAACAAGATTTGCAGATAATAGCGGTAGACTCGTGGGAAACTGTGCGCCAAATGGGTGATAGTTGCCAGTGGTACGAAACGGTGATTGTGTGCGACGTTGAAAAATCCGAGCCTACTAGCTCCAACCAAACCAACGTTATTACTTGGAAGCAGTTGATGCTTGGCTGTTCAGATGATAACGAATTCAAATACACGCCTCCCCAAGACAATAGTGACGATATGAAAGTGATGGCTCTGAGCAAGTCCTCGTTTGGGAGCACTACTAGCTTCACTCACATGGCTCTAGTCAGCAGTGTTGCCGCTTTCATAAAGTCGTTTCCCCTACATCATGAACTCAGCTCCCATGACCACATCAGCGTTATCTTAGACAACAAGTCAACCGTCCAAGATCCTATTCAGATTTTTCCCAAAGTGCTCGCCACATTACTTCACGGCGGATCAGCATCCATTCAGTCTCATTCTCCTTCAGAAACTCTTGAGCGGTGCCTGAACCGCGACACAACGCTTCTTCAAATAAGTGATACCAGCTCTCTGCTCGACTCACAGCTAATGCAACCTTTATCGATGGTGCAGAGGTTTAAATTTGCAGTTGCGTCCAACTTCCTCAGTGAAGGTGTGTTCACCTCTTCCGCACTGATTTCAGTAGCCTTCAAAAAGCTGAGATGTGTTTACCTCTACAGTCCGGTGAAGGACGTCAAGACCGTTTCGCTTATGACACTCGTTACATCAAAACCAGTGCATGACAGCATAAAAAAGACAAGGCCAACAAAGTTTTTGAATCGAATGCGAGCACTATTAGGTTGCAGGGTTGTTGTGGAGCTGTACTGTCCGTTCCTTGTTTTGGGACCGATCGCGGCAACCAATTACTTCGACTACAGGGTGCTTCCAGCGCAGGCTGACAGCAAAGTTACCAATTACGGGCCCATTTGCACGTCGCTCGAAGCTAAGCTAGTGGAGGACGACAGCAATCAAACCCTCAATATAACAAAGCGTCAAGGATTGCTGTGTTTAAGAGGTTTTACAATCGGCAAACCAATGGCGCTGGACTTGGCCAAGAAATTTGATGGCGGGGAAGGTTGGATGCCTTTGCCGGGGGTGATTTGCTTGTGGGGTCAAGATGGATGTCTTTATGAATACAAATAGAGCCAGAATCGATGAAATATAACGTCAGATCTATTCATGTGTATTTCATTCTTGTGCTTTATAAACTTCTATCTCATTAATTATAGTCGAGGCGACCTTCTACGCATTCCCAGAAGCCCTTGATGTACTGTTCTTGTTCTTGAGCATCTTCGCAGCCACGAACCGCGAGGTAGGTTCTGTTGTCGACTGCGACGTCCCACTCTCCCGGATTAGCACCTACAACTCTTCCGCCTGTTTCTTTGAGAATGCACCATCCAGCGCAAACGTCCCAGGCGTAGCAGCCACCATCCCAGTAGCTATCAAGGTACCCGAGACAAATGTAGGCCATTGTCATTGCACTGGAGCCCAAATTGCGGAATCCATGGACAAATCCACCATCACACGACAATAAATTCTCATATGTTCTTATTTTGGTCTTGAAATTTGGTCCTTCGCGAGCTGAGCCAGGCTGTAGGGCTACGACGGACTTAGACAGCTGTAAAGGTCCCATGGACTGTATTTTGGTCTTAAAATCGAAATCAGCTCCATCAACTCGCATGCCGTTGTTTTCCGATGCAGAAACCAAAAGATCCAGATGCGGGTTGTAGATAACGCCAACAACAGGCGTCTTGTTGATGGTTAGTCCAAGAGAAGTGCAGCTAAAGGGGAAGTCATGAACAAAATTGGTAGTTCCGTCGATCGGATCTATGATAAATGTTGGGTCGTCAGTGATTTTCGTTTCTCCTGCAACGTAGCTTTCTTCTCCCACAAACTTGAAAGTTGGATATTTCTCCTTGACAGCAGTCCAGATAAGTTTTTCAACTTGTTTGTCGATGGCTGTAACGATGTCTACAGCTCTTGATCCACTTTTAGCGTCATAAGAGTGTTGAGTTCCAGACTTCGCCTTGATGATTGGACCAACTTGGTCCCGAGCCAAAGAACATAAGAATTGCTCTATAGACAAGAGCTCTGATGAAGTGATGGTCATTGAACGGCTTTGATGGAGGTCTTGATCGAAGTTGTCCAAGTTTCTTGTAGAAATCATTAATTCAAGTTCAATTAGAATAAGCTGTTATACATTTCAAGATGGCCTAAGAAACTTGGAAGACGAACAACAACAACAAACCGAGTAGATCTTAGACGATAGAGCTTGTGAGATAAACGTTTTACAAGTGAAAACATTGATTACAGTAAGGCTATTTAGTTTTTTTCTTGGTTCTGAGGAACTTTTTAATATGCTGTCATGCTGACCGCGATTACGCAGACTTTTGGTAACCATTGTCTTTCAAATACTTCGAGACGTGGTCGCGATCTCTTTTAACCCATTGAGCCTTAGAGGTGACGGTGTCCATGGATTGTGCTAGACTTTGGTCGAAACCCTTGGTGGACTTAGTGCTGAAAAACTTCTTAACTTCGTCAATGGACTCGAAAGACGTGAAGCCAGAGCTTCCAAGAGCAACAACGGAGCCCAGCATCGTGAGTCCAGGTGGGAGTTTCTTGATGAGTTCGTCCCAGTTTTCGGTGATCCAAGTCCATAGAGCTTTGATACCAGCCGCATGCATACGCAGACCTTGCATTGGGATGTAAATGTCCTGCAGCAGAACGGTACCATCGAACAAATAGCCCAGGGTTCTTTGAATGAGCTTTGCGTCTTCAAATCTTCCCAAACTCCGCAGAGCTGCAAGCTTCTCATCGGTGTTGAAAGGATTTTGGTAGATAGAGAACAGCTTGTTGTAGTAATCTTCACCGCCCTTCTTGGCCGCTGTGCTGAAAACGGATGGCTTTAGCTGTGCTGGGATGGCACTCTTGTCGCCGGCAACAAACTTGTCGAACATTTCCAAGGATGCAGACACCACGGATGGTATCTTTGCCGCACTGGCAGTTGAAAACATCTCGACCTTCATACGCTGAATGGCGTAAGAGTCCGATTTATTGATTGACCAGCCTAGCTTCTTGACCTTATCGGAGACTAGCTGTCTGGTGAACTCGTCCAAGGCCTCGTTCACTTCCTTAGGTTCAAATAGCCATGAAGCTCTCAAAGAGTATAGACTGTTGATCATCTGCTCCCATACAACAAAAGAATCTTCGCTTCTCCAGTGGGAAACAAGCTCCAAGAAGTTAGTGGTCGAAGTGTAACCAGACGTCGAAAGAGCCTTGGCATCAGCGACAAGACCAGTTCTGTCTTCTACCGTTAGTTGATCTGCCTGTTGAGCTAACTTGGCCCATCTGTCATCTGAATACGAGGTGATGAAAATCCCGGCTTGATCGGCATTCACTTTGAAAAAGTCAGCGTCTTTCAAAGTCACAGTTTTGGATCTTTCATTGAGAACCAAGGAATGGTCAATTTCTTTGTTGTTTCTTAGAGCCAGGAATACGGGGTACAAGGTTTCATCCTCTTCAGGTTTGACGTCCTTGGTGGTCAAGTATCTGTTTTGAGTGAACGTAATTTTGTTACCATCTTCTTCCACGGAGACGACAGGGAAACCGACTTTTTTCGTCCAAATCTCCATGACCTTGCGCACGTCCTTACCAGAAGCCTTCGATAGAGCATCCCACAAATCTTCCGTTTTAGCGTTGCCGTATTTGAACTTGGTCAAGTAATTGGAGACACCTTTGATGAAGACGTCCTCTCCCAACCAAACAGAAATCATTCTCAACAATGAAGAGCCTTTAGAGTACGAAATGGCATCGAAGATTTGATTGATTTCGTCGGCTCTCTTGACAGGAACCTCGATAGGGTGAGAAGACCTCAGAGCGTCCAACGCCAATGCCGACTGCAAACTGTCGGAGACGTACTGTTCCCAGACTTTCCATTCTGGCTCGAACTCGTTGCACGAGTACCACGACATCCAAGTGGCGAACCCTTCGTTCAACCAAAGACCTTCCCACCAGTCCATGGTGACCAAGTTTCCAAACCACTGGTGGGCAAGCTCATGTTGAACAACCTCTGCGACTCTTTGAACTCGCTGCAAAGTTGAGTTTTCGCGGTCCAAAAGTACGTCCACGACTCTGTAAGTCACCAATCCCCAATTTTCCATAGCACCCGCGCTAAACTCATGTACTGCAACGTTATCGAGTTTAGGGAGTGGATATTCAATGCCAAAAGTGCGCTCAAAAAACGCCAATGTCTTGGCCGTAAGGTCAGCTGCGAATTGCCCATCGTGCTCGTCGCCTGGAGTGGCATATACACGAACTGGAATACGGAAATTTTTGCTTTCCACGTATTTTAGTTCAGCCACAATAAACGCAACCAGGTAAGTGGACATCTTGGGGGTAGTGTTGAAGGTAGTGTATTTTTTGTTGCCTTTCAAACATTCGGATTTGACGTCCATATTGGACAAATGTGTCAAGTGCTGGTCGGAGATCAAAGTGATTGCAAAAGTGGCCTTGAGGTTGGGTTCGTCGAAACAGGGGAACGCTCTTCTGGCATCGGTGGCCTCCATCTGCGTGGTGGCCATGTACTTGGTTGCACCGGTCTTCTTGTCGATGTATTTAGCACGGTAGAAACCGGCCATGTTGTCGTTAAGGGTACCTGTGAAAGTCAATTCCAGAGTAACAGTTTTTTGATTTTTGAAGAAACCTTGGGGGAACTCGAACGTGGCGACCTGGGCTTCGGTGTCGATATCCCATTTCAGAGCCTTTTGGTTTCCAATTGCTGCGGAATGGATATCGATCTCCAGCGTGTTCAGTTGGATGGTGTCTTTGCTAGGATCGTTGACTTGCAAATCAATTTTGACGCTTCCGTCGAACTTGAACGTGTCGAAGTCGGGCTCCACACTCAAATCGTAGTGCAGCGGCCTCACATTTGTGGGCAAAACTTCGCGGTCGGGAGTTTCACTGGACATATCCCAGTTTTCGGTTAGTATAAGTCGCAGTTTGGCCAATTAAAAGCTGAAAAAGACGTGAGGTTCGTTTTTTTTGGGTTTTGTAGCCAGCAATGCCTTTCAGAAAACTATTGATGGGTGACAGTTATGGGAACTAGAACGCCTCTCTTTTTATACTTTGTTGAGTTTTGTGAATCCAAGCCGTTTATCTATCGTGAATGGAAGCTAAAGGGTCATAAAGAAAACGCCTTATATAGGCGAGGCAAAATCTCATATAGTCACAACGTACTTGACGATAAGACTCTGGTTAAGACTCTGATCAAGACGATCACGTATTTCAACGCGGCTTTGGTGTGTTTTCTGGGCATTCAGTCGTGAAAGAAAGATGGGCTTCAGTTTGCTGTCATTTTAAGAGTTTTCCGGGCTTTTTTGCGACTTTTTTGGGCTTCAGGACGGACTTTTTGGTGATACATACGTTTTGGAAGCCAGATGGGACTTTATGCGCTCGCATTTGGAACATGGCGGTCTTGTAGCGGTGATGAGGTTTCTGGAAAGTTTAAAGATGGAGCCCTTTTGTTGTGTGATGATGCGAAATTGGCTGGGCCGTAGGGAATTGGCAGCTGTTCTTCCAAGAGGCAAAATAGCTTTGGAAAGAGGCCTCAGCAGAAGCATTGTATGTGCCAAAATACGGATAGTCTATAGAGGTTGTAAACAGCGAATTCTTGGCTGTTGTGTGACAATTTTGAAGTGTGTGTGTGTGTTGGGAGTTTGTTTTTACGTTGAGATCGCGTTTTGTTCGGGTCTTTAGAGGTTTTACTCGATGAGCTTGGTTCTCTATCTCTGTCTCTCTCTCTGTCTCTCTATCTCTGGCTTATATAATAAGTAGGAAAAGTGGGTCTCTATGGTCACGTGCGCACCAAAAGTAGATCGACGGTGACGAGTTAGCGGACGGAGAGAACGACACTTGAGTCTAGTATTGTAATTCTCAGGCGATTCTAGTTGGCGGCTGTCAACCCAAGGCCCGAAAATTTGACCCTTTATATTAAAACATCCGCCTGGAGATGATATCGTCGTGCAAAGTGATGATCTGGAATCCAAAGGTAAGGAAAACCCCCGGATGTTCACTTCAGGAGCCACCCCCTCCATGTTCAGCAGATTGAATCTAACCTATTTTCAGTTCCGTCTCTCTCGTGAAGTACCATACTCGTTCGTATGTTCTACTTTATCGTCCATATCGCTGTCGTCGGTGCTGTCTTTTTAATATATATTATTCTTATTACACTCAGAGATGACAGCTCCATACAAAAAAACCAAACAAACCAAACAAACATAAGCAATTTAATCCAATAAGCTCGCTCTGCTCGCTCTGCTCGCTCTGCCCCTCATCTCCCACATCTTGGTGCCACTCTATCAGTTTTGTTCTCGTTATTTTCCATCTTCTCACAGAATCTTGACAAATCTGTCCCAGCTTTTCTCTGACAAATGTAATTATTCATCATTTCAGACTTCTAACACCAGAAAACAGCTAAAGATCTTGACAAATAACCTTTGCTCAATATGCCTCTCTTTCCGTAACTCATTTGTCGTCATTCCCGTCGCTATTCCAACTCTTTGTTTGTTTCCGCGTTCTTCGGCCGACTATCACCGCACTCTCTCGCGATGAGATGATGAGCTTGACTCAGCGACAAAAGCTTTCGGAACTAGCACTGGACACAACGGAATAAGAACCCATCACAAGATATCACAACACATACGCTTATCCATGGCTAGCAAGATCACAGAAGTTTATAAAATCAGCTTGAATTGAGGACTCTCCCGGTTCCTTTCCCTCTCCTCCAGCTGGTAGCCATTGTAATTGCAACACTAGGACAGCCTTGAGCTTTTTGAATTGGGTCAACACTGGATATTCTATAAAAGATCAGAATCAAAAAATTATCGTTTCTTGGTTCGAAATGAGCTCCACAGATCTGGAAAACTCAACACCAACGTTTTCGCAAGATGCTGGTGCTGCTGCCGATGCTACAATCACAGAGGAAGGTAGCGGCTCAGAAAAAACCAAGTCTTTCGAAGTGACGCTCGAAGAAGACGACCCGGAAAACGTTCAATCCCAAATGTCGCTGCAACGTAAATGGTTCGTCGCTCTGTTGGTGACTTTCACCGCAGCAGACATCACAATGACGTCCAGTTGCTGGTCTTTGGCGCAGGCCGATATCCGGCGCAGATTCAACATGTCCCAAGAAGTGTCGATTCTGGGACTATCGCTGTATCTGCTAGGCATGGGATGTGGACCGTTGCTGCTGAGTCCGCTCAGCGAGCTTTACGGCCGCAAACCAACGTTTATCGGGTCCTTGTCCATCAGCATGTGTTTTTTGTTCCTCACAACCTGGGGACGCAACATCCCGGCTTTGCTCATAGGACGATTCTTGTCTGGGTTTTTTGGCAGCTCGTTTTTGAGTGTTGCAGGCGGTGTCATCAGTGACATCTTCTCGAAACAACAAATCGGCGTGCCCATGACTATCTACACCACAGCCACGTTTTTGGGCCCGGCGTTGGGGCCTTTGATAAGTGGTGCGCTCTCGCATGTTTCTTACAGATGGACTTTTGTTGTCATGATCATCGAGTCTGGTGTCTACGTGCTCTTGCTTCTGTTGACGTTCAAAGAAACGTACACCCCTGTACTGCTGGTGGCCAAGGCTCGTCGATTGCGCGAGCAGACCGGCGACGACCGCTATTATGCGCCGCTGGAAGTGATTCGTCGCGAGTTCTCGCTTTTGCAAGCCATCGGGTTGTCCGTGGGACGGCCCTTTGGTTTGCTTACCCGCGATCCAATGATGGGCGTACTGTGTTTCTACACTGGACTTATTTTGGCAATCGTTTACATGTTCTTTGTAGCGTTTCCCTACGTTTTCACAAAGCTCTACCATTTCACCAGCGCTGAAGTTGGTGTAACGTATATGGGTCTACTGGTGGGAATCTTACTAGTGGCGCCCACAAGTGTGATTTTCCAAAGAAAGTACGAACGAAAAGTTTCGAGCAACAACGGCGTGCGTGTGCCTGAGTTCAGGTTCGAGCCTCTATTTTACGGAGCCTTTCTGGCCCCCATGGGTCTTATGATCTTTGCCTGGACCAGCTACAGCCATGTGCATTGGATAGCGCCCATTATTGGCACTAGCGTTTTTGGAGCTGGCGTTTTCTTCATTTTCACAGGAATCTTTGGCTACACTGTGGATGCGTTCCGCTTATACACTGCTTCTGCAATGGCTTGCAATTCGTTTGTGAGGTCCATGATGGGTGGGACCTTCCCGCTTTTCACTCTACAGATGTATCGTCGCCTGGGTGTAAACTGGGCCAGTTTCCTCTTGGCCATGATTTCGCTGGCAATGGTACCGGTACCGTTTTTGTTTACGAGATATGGCGCATATTTGAGATCCAAGAGTCCCTATGCATGGGATTGAAGTAAAATTTCGCAAAGAAGCTTCCAAGGCGAGAGAACCTGAAAAAAGCAGGACAAAGTTGACCAAACCAAAGATAAAAACAGCATTTAGAAACGACCTGGTCAAAGGATCAATTGCAAAGACAAAACCAATATCAAGTCAGAGAAAGGCATATTGATCAATCCTAAAAGAGGCTTATGATCCAAATATAAGGCCTAGAGAGTGATTCGCATTGCCAGCATTTAAGACAAAAACCTATGGTAAGCTCAGTTCGTGGTTCAGCCAAGTCTGGCGGGTATGGTAAGTAAAGAAGGTACTCGACCAGTGTACTCATGGATCTGAATCTGGATCTGGATCTGCTAGGCAACGCCGCTCGGTGTTAAGAACCAAGCACATGAAAAATACGTCACAGTATACAGTTGATATATAAAGCTTCAACATAGCAGTAAAGAAGTTACTTGAAAGCCGTTTACTTTAGCTGATCAAGACAAGTCCAAAGCCTTCCAATAAGATATTCAAACTTCAAATATGTCTGCGCCTAAGCTGTTGTTTTTACATGGTTTCTTTCAGAATGCCAAAGTGTTCTCTGAAAAGTCATCTGGTATTAGAAAACTGCTGAAAAAAGCCAATGTGCAATGCGACTACCTGGAGGGACCTACGGTTTTGGAGAGAAAAGACCTGCCTTTTGAGCTCGACGACGAAAAATGGCAGGCTGCCCTCGACGCCCAAGTCAACAAATCGTGGTTTTACCACTCCGATATCTCTAAAGATCTAGACTTGAGCGAGGCCATTAAAGCTGTTTCGGAGAAAATCAAGGCTGACGGTCCTTACGACGGTATTGTGGGGTTCTCCCAGGGAGCTGCTGTGGCTGCCATTGTTACCAACAAGATAACAGAGCTAGTTCCTGACCATCCCCCATTTAAAGTGAGTCTTGTGTTTTCGGGCTACTCGTTCACAGAACCAGATCCGCAAAACGAAGGTCAGCTTCGCATCACAGAAAAGTTCCAGGACAGCTTCACGCCAAACCCAAAAAATAACACCAAGATGTTGTTCGTGTGGGGAGCCAGCGACATGGCCGTTCCATGCACGAGATCCAAGTACATCCGCGACCTCTACACTGGAGGTGCCGAGACCACCGACCTTGTGAAGTTCTACGAACACCCAGGTGGACACATGGTGCCAAACAAAAAAGACATCTTGAGACCCATCGTGGACGAAATCTGCTCCGCTGTCGAGTCAAAATAAATACCTATAGAAGAGATAGAAGATAGAAGATAGTCAAGAGAAAGTCGTGAACCACTGTCACCGATCACAGGGTCGGACTTAATAGCTTTTTGAGTCACTTTTGTGTGCCAGTCAGCAGTTCGATAAGGTTTGGAGCCCAAGCCATTTGTTGTTTTATGGTGTTACTATGTAAGCACCACGAAAATTATTGCAAGAAGCACAACTATAGCTTTGAAGATAATCACTAAGTAGCTGTGGAGTCACTTTTCTAGCTAACAGCATCTTGACAGAATGTCACTGTTTGATTAATAGCATTTTAATTTCGTGTCGTTACTCCATAATGACTCTCATAACTAGTTAATGAGAATATATAGGGAAAGAGAACTTATTCCTGGTTGATTCGACTAGGTTTTCTAGTCACAATTGGACAATTCATGTCTGAGCAGTAGATTTCGTTATTTGAAAATACCACCATGAGGAAATATTGAGATATTTCTTGATCAACAGGATGGGCCTGAATTTGAGTTTGCAATACTTGATTTAATGAGTATTCGAGCTCAATTTGAATCGTGCGGTCCAGAATATCGTCGATATAGTCGGTGCTCGACCAATCCGGCTTCAGTGCAGATACTAATAGGTGGTTCTTCTCAAATTTCATGTCATTTACTTCAAATGACACTTTCACTGGAAAAATCAGCAAAGGTGTTCCTCAAGACAAAAAAGAATACCATGTAAAGCTTTCCATTCAATTCCTTCCAGTACTCTAAATTGAACAGTCTGCGAGGCTGAAAGATACGTCTGTTCTTCAAACATCTTCTATCGATATGAAAAATGCTAAATACAGCAAATCATAGCTACAAACCTACTTCATTTTCGAGTTTGAAACTAACCGTGAAGCATCTATTGAAAGACAAACAACCCTAATCTCTAAGCTGAGCTCCTGTTTGCCACATGTCGCATCTTGATCGCTTGCACGCTTAAGATTACTATCACGTTGAACGGGAGTGTCATCAAGTAGATGAGTTAACACTTCGGCTAATTCACTTCATCTTCAACTCTTGTAACTATGTTGTGAACAGTACCACAGGCCTAACAATGGCTTCCGAATCATGGAAGAAGAAGCCTGCACCTGTTCAAGTGCTGGAGAAAGATTTGCCGTCTTCGATACCTCCCCAGACTGGACTCACATTCAATGTGTGGTATAACAAATGGTCACAAGGAAACAGCGGTGGAAATCGATTTGTGAGTCCCTTCAAGCTGAATGCTGACTCGGACCAGGGCTACACGAAAGGAGACAAGTCGAAAAGGACCTTTTTCTGCCTCTATTTCACCAAGGGAATGTGTTGTTTGGGCAAAAAATGCGAGTATTTGCATCATGTCCCAACCGCAGACGATGTCGTCAGACTCTCACTGCAATCAGACGTGATCGATTGTTTTGGGCGTGAAAAACACGGCAGCTACAGGGAAGACATGGGTGGAGTAGGATCATTTCGCAAAAGAAACAAGACACTGTACATTGGAGGTCTATCTGGCGCCTTGAATGATCTAAGTCTCAAAGCAGGACAGGTCGAAAACCGTATACGGTTTTCGTTCGGCAAATTGGGTCCTCTGGAGAGAATACGATTTGTAGAGACGAAAAATTGTGCATTTGTGAAATATAAACACGAAACCCATGCCGAGTTCGCTAAAGAAGCTATGAGCAACCAAACTTTGCTGATTCCGTCCGATAAGGAATGGGCAAATCGTCGCGAAGGCACGGGGCTCTTGGTAAAATGGGCAACCGATGATCCCAGTCCCGAGGCGCAACGGCGTGAAAAGCAACAGCAAGATGAGGAATCCCTCAAGGTTATGCTGAATATACTCAAAAAACACGATACTACTGAGTCTACAGCGAACAAAATAGAAGCCGAAACTGAAATAACTCCGAACAAGCGACTTTTAGAGAGCGCTGATGCAGATACACAGTCATTTGAAAGCTCCATATTTGGTAGTCTTTCCCAAAATAACCTGAATAGGCTGAAGAAACTGAAAGTGGAAAAGCCAGCCGAGAAGGTCATTGAGCACTCTCTTCCGACAAAACTGGTTGATTATCCGTCATCGGATGATGACTAGGAATTGCATTAATTTTTGTGTTGCGCACTGCATATCAATTGAATTAAAAAAGAATGGGCTTCAAATGGTTGTCACTAAAGTTGAACTTTTTTCGCACAGAAGATTTCAGGTCATTGACGTTATTGACATTGGTATCTTTGACATGATTCCAAAGCTCCTCAACTATTTTGGGGTCATCGCCGTCACCGAGAAATGTTATAGAGCAGCCACTTTTTCCCGCTCTACCCGTTCTACCTATGCGGTGGATGTAATTCTCAAAACTCTTGGACATTTGAAAATTCACAACCAGCGACACATTTGGGATGTCGATACCTCTTCCTGCTACATCAGTCGCTATCATGATATCAGCCTTCCCACTTCGAAGCAAGCTCAAAGAATGTTCTCTTTGATCTTGAGATTTTGAGCCGTGTAATGTTGTTACTCTATATTTGGTTTCGGAAGCGAACTTGTTTGCCAGCCAATCGGCAGTTCGTTTGTAATTGATGAAGATCATGATAGGTGCCTCGAACGCGGGAAGAATCTCTTTTGAGAGCTTGATGAACCGTTGCTCTTCACTGGGAATAAAATCTACCACCTGCTTAACAATCCCGCTTGCTTCTTGGGCTCCGACGCGTACATGAGCTGGTTTGTCCAAATACCCACTGGCTATTCGCTCTATCGAATTTGACATGGTTGCTGTAAACATCATAGTCTGTCTTCGTCTACCTCCAGAGTCTGCCCTCGAAAGGATGGTCGTCACTTGATCTTCAAGGCCTAGATCAATCATACGATCTGCTTCATCGAGAACGAGCGTTTGTACGTTGTTCAAAACCAACATATGAGACTCCAAACAGTCGATCAAACGACCTGGAGTGGCCACTAGGATATCGCAGCCATTTTGCAAAGAGTAGGATATTTCTTCTATGGAATGACCTCCAACGATGCTCGCTACACTAGTTTGACGAGTCCAATGCTTCACAATCTTTTGAGCCTCTGCCTCAATCTGCTGAGCAAGTTCTCGGGTGGGCGCTAAAATCAATACAGAGGGACCGTCAAGTTTCGTGATATCATTGAGCGGAGGCGTGTTGCTGAGTTGGCACAGCGAAGGAATCAAAAAAGCCAAGGTTTTACCGGAACCAGTAACAGCTACACCCAAAAAATCACGTCTGTCTATTGCGTTCGGAATGGTGATTCTCTGGATTGGCGTGGGTTCCACGTAATTGAGCTTGCTCTCTATAATTTGCAACAAGTCTGACGGGATGATGCCAGTCTCACTCCAATTTCTAAGTGGGTGTCTTATCGACCCCCCTTTTGTCTCAATATGAAAGTCCTCCCGCAAAATACGCCAGTCTCGATCGGTCATGTCCTGTAGCGATTTTTGCGTCCAATGCTTGCCCATATACACATCTTCTATCGCAGCAGGCCTTGATTTCAAAAGTTTGGATGCTTTCAAATTGACCAGAGGATCAGAACCCAGCGTTGTGTCGTCTTCCGGCCTCCAGTCGAAATTGAATTTTCTCCGAGATTCTCGTTCTCTTTCATTTTTTTGGCCATCCGATAGACCAACATTGATCGGCCCTTTTGATTCCTCCATAGAATGGGTCCCATTCTTACGCCAGCTGAGCCGCTTGACGTCCTCAGACTCTTGATTTGTGCTTGCATTACGGCTTCCTTCTGCTGCTGCTTCAGCTCGTCTTTTTTTGGTCAAAAACATGGGTTTTTCCCCGTTTGAAGCGGGTCCACGATCGGCCTTCACTCCAAGCAATTCATTGATGTCAACTGGACGTTTCATCTCTCCCTATTTCCATCGCTGATCCTGTTTTCTTGGGTCTTTCTTAACACATCTCATCGACCTGTCGATGAGTTCTAATATGGCTTTTACGTTTAATTGATACCACGTGACCTCAAAGCTCAAACGTTTAAAGAATTTGAGATAATAAGCATAGATCCCATCCACCAGATAAAATGTTTGTCTAACGTCCCGATCTTCAGTGGTTAAAACCAAGACCGCCGCTGTATTTCTACCCAAGTGTTTTACCGGTATTTCTTCGCAACCCACTAAGGAAGACAATCTCAATTTCGAGAAAATTAAAAAGACGCTCCAAGCTCGAAAGCATAGATTATTTTTTGGAAACTGGTCATTGCACAACTCGCCCATGGCCCTTTCCTATACCCTTTTCTTCTTTCGCCGGCGACCCTTCTTTTTTCAGAGGAACATTAAGTGACACTTTACCCTTCAGCGACAAAGAAGTGTAAAGTGACTTGTGAGAACAGGCAGGTTCAAGAGAATTCTACTTTCTAGTATACACACACACACTCACTACGCTCACCACCCATTTGGAAAGTATTTTGCATTTCTTTGGTCGAAAGCATCAAAACCGTTGGAGTTGGTATTGGTCTTGGAAACGGACAATGTCGGAGTTGACAAACACTTGTTTTCAGCTCGCACGCAGCAACTACACGAAAGTGATTGCAACCGATGCTGATTGCACCCAATGCAAGGACCATAGATCTTAGGGCTTGCCTTGACTTTCATATTCTGATGAAATAGACCCTATCTCCGCCTTTCGGATATAGACGTTTAAGTCCTACCAAATCCGAAGAAGAACTACCCAGAGCTAAGGTCAAAAAAACCATCAAGAACGAACTTTAATGTGACCCACTAAAAGTCTATAAATGCCTTCGGCATCACTTGCTTCAATCTGGTATGCCGAATTCAAAGCCAAAGTCTAATGTGACTGCCTATCGTCAATGTCAATTATGTCTGCGTCGAGTGTGATAGTCTACGATTCTTCGAACGGAGAAGAAAAAGAAGCGGCTCGGTCAGTTCAACAGTCCCAAAATCCCGAGGTTCCAGATGGAGGGTTTGGCTGGTTTGTGGTAGCGGCATGCTTCATCTATAATTTTTCGAGCTGGGGCGCCAATTCGAGTTACGCCGTTTTCATAGAGCATTACATCAACAATGGCACGTTCAAGGGCGGAAGCAATTTGAATTTTGCAGCGATAGGTGGGCTAACCTTTGGTACTGGATTTCTGTTTGCCCCCATTATTACATGGCTTTACAGACGTTTTGGACCCCGGCTCGTAATAGGCATGGGCGTTATATTTCAAGCCGCTGCTTTTATGCTGGCCGCATATTCAAAATACCTGTGGCAATTGTACCTTACCCAAGGTGTTCTCCTCTCGTTCGGATTGGCATCAATTTTCATACCAAGCATAACGTTGCTTCCGTTTTGGTTTCTTCGCAAGCGAGCACTTGCAATGGGTCTTGCCAGCAGTGGAAGCGGGATTGGTGGTATTATCTTCAATTTGGCCACCGAAAAAATCATTGAGGTTCGAAGTGTCAAATGGGCTTTGATTATTCAGTTTATTATATGCTTGGTTCTCAATACGATTGCATTGTTGTTCACCAGAACCAGAGAAAGTGCGGGCTCCAAAAATTCAACCAATGTCATCAGACTGTTTGACAAGCAACTGTTTTCTACCGTCGGATACTGGCTTTTGCTAGGATGGATTTCGTTCACGATGTTCGGTTATGTGATTGTTCTTTTCTCCCTCTCTGATTTTACTGTGAGCCTTGGATACTCTTCCAAACAAGGCTCTTATGTGACCTGCATGATAAGTGTAGGATGGACAGTCGGAAGACCAATCATCGGGTTCTTATCCGACAAGTTTGGTGCCATTACTGTTGGATTTTTAGTACATCTGACATTGGCCATATTATGTTGGGCGATGTGGATTCCTTGTCGTAATTTAGCCACTGCAATTGCATTTGCACTACTTCAAGGCTTACTGATGGGTACCGTGTGGACTACGTTAGGCTCTGTTACCGCCAGGGTTGTGGGTCTCAAGAAGATGAGTGCCGCTTTTGCAACCCTATGGATTGTTATGGCTGCTTTCGGGATATCCGCGCCAATCATTGGTCTTGAACTAGCCAATTCTAATAGTTCTCGAGGACCAAACTATACAAACACAGCGATATTCGCTGGGTTTGGATACTTTGGAGCGGCCCTGTGTCAATGGATACTTCGTGGCTACATTATGGCACGTGACCAGATCTCTAATTCTTCGAAACAAGATGCTAATGAACTGGATTACCAAACAGAACCCATGAAGGTGCTGGTTGGAATGTTTAAGTTCCAGAATATACCCAAAAAGATCTGAAAGATTGTACATTATATAAAACTAGATCCTGTATCAAAATACCAACTTTTCCGGTCGTCTTCAACATTTGTATCATCACACACGAAATTACACTATTTTACAAGGTATAGTTTCGATGAGCTTCAATTGAGTAAAGTAACTCGCACCAGGATAGCTTTGTTGAACCCTAAGAGTCTCTCGAAACTGTGCTTGGAAATGGCTTCATGAATTATTCTGAACTGTTTCCAACGGCGAACGCTAAGTACAACGCTGTTCGGGAACGGAACGTCTCAGCAGAAGGCATTTTCGTGTATGCCGTCAAAACTACAGGCGTGGTATGTAGACCAACATGTTCTGCCAGACTAGCTCTTTTCAAACATGTAGTTTTCTTCGAAAATACACAGCAGGCTGTGACTGCTGGTTTCCGACCATGTCTCAGGTGCAAGCCGGAAATTCAACTGCATTGGAACAAACATCGGAAACTGGTTATATCCTTAATAGCCCTTTTCCGTGAATCACAACGTGCTGGGAAGACAGCGGGCGATCTCAGACTTGCAGATATTGCTGAAAAGTTGCAAATTTCAAAATGGCAGCTTATCAAGGTTTTCAAAAGATATACTGGAACCACTCCCATGAAGTACTACGAGGGGCTTCAGCAGGGAAAAAGTGTTATCTGCGAACAAGATGTTCCGATGGCTGTAACGAGGAAACGCAAGATGAAGAAAGAGGAGCAGAAACAGGGTTCAATGGGCGAAATTGAGTGTAACATCGGTTTTTCGACTGAAGCCGAACCTTCTGCAGATTTCTTGGCACCTTTAGTTGGGATTATCAACGATGACTGGATTAGCGAGTTTTTGGACTCCTGAGCGAGACATCGAGCGTTTTATCAAGATGAAGAACGACTGTGACTCCACAAGGACGTTTTTAAAGGAATACTTTATTAATGGATGAGCAATTCGAAAAATGAAAGCATCAGTTCGAAACAACTCTCTTCTGATATTCTGCTGTGCTACTACATGTCAGCTGCATCTATTTCGTGTCAATTGAAGCCCAAAATTGTTCCTCTCCTTTGAACTGCTGAAGTTGCCGAAACTATTCCCATCCTCAAGAAATCTTGAGCGAAAGCCATGCTTGAATCCACTAAGCTGTCATATTCAACTCGCAAGACCAGATTTCACAGCTAAGCTTCTGATCAGAGCTTCTGATCAGTCGCAGTGACTGTCTTAGAGAAATCATGTATAATCACTACTCCGGCACGAATTGGAATTAGAAATTACATATAAAATGTCTAGAACGTCTAAACTCTCTTCAACACACTCAACAGTGAGAAGTAAACACCTTGTAGACGAATACCACATCGAACATGAGTGCTGATTGCTCTACCGGCAGCAATCCCTTAGCTAACCTAACAAAACATGCCCAACAAGACCGAAGTTTGCATCATAATGGTTATCTTGGCATGAATCAAGGCCATCAAAACCAGTTCAAAAGACAAGAAAGCAACATGAGTGAGGCCAGTAAGATGCATATGGACGCATTTGCTGGCAGGGACAGAATGGACACCAACATGCTGCTTAGAAAAGGACAACCTTTGTTGCCTCCAACGCTTTCAGAAGGGACTTTGGAGCGCCATTCTCCGCAACATCAGTTTCGAGGTCCGTCTCCTAACGGATGGAGCCAGCAGTTCCAACGTGGCTCTACAGAGTTCAGAGCAGACGAAAATCTTGTTTCTGAGTCAAGATCCGCACAATTAGGTCCCAAACAGCAAGCTTCATCGCATGATAGAATGCATATGATGACAACCCCTGCAACAATGGGCACTGTTGGCCCACGGCTGGCATCTGGTATGTTCAGTCCTATGGCAAGAAACATGCAGTTGCAACAAGCTCCCTCGAAGGAACAAGCTCTACAAGGAATGGACCAGGAAAACTGGGATGAGCAGTTCAGGGAGCTGGAAAAAGAAGTAGCAGAAAAGCTGGCTCTTCGGGAGGAAGAAGTGGCCAAAAATGGAGTTGAAACCGTCGAGGGTAAAGAGTCTCTGGTCAACGACAAGTACCAGGCAGAATTCCAAGAAGTTTGGGACAGTCTGCATGAAGAGGCGATGGAGGACACTGCGTCGAATTGGAAAAAAGACTATGAGCAATATATGTCCGGAAGACCAGCCACCAGCATACCATACAAGTTTGAGACCGAAAACCAGTATATGCATAACTCAAACGCATATGAAATTGGTTGTATTTTGATGGAGAATGGGGCCAAACTGAGCGAAGCCGCTTTGGCGTTTGAAGCGGCGGTCCAAGAGGACCCGCAACATGTGGACGCGTGGTTGAAACTGGGGATGGTGCATACGCAAAACGAAATGGAGATCAGCGGTATCAGTGCTTTGGAAGAGTGCTTGCGGCTAGACCCAAACAACCTGGACGGGATGGTCACATTAGCAATTAGCTATATCAATGAGGGTTACGATGTCAGTGCATTCAAGATGCTCAGCAAATGGCTGGAAACCAAATATCAGGATCTGGTGACGCCGGACAATGCTATCTCTTCTGGTGGCGATCGTTACAGCATGAGCCAAGCTTTGACCCTTCGATTTTTGCAGGTCGTTAACAAGCTTCCCGAAGTAGATGCAAGTCTGCAGCTTGGGCTCGGCATACTTTTTTACTCGAATGACGACTACGACAAGACGGTGGATTGTTTCAAAGCTGCTCTGGCAGTAGCGCCCAATGACGAGCTCATGTGGAACCGACTGGGAGCGTCCCTCGCGAATTCGAATCGTTCTGAAGAAGCGGTTCAGGCTTATCGAAAGGCCCTACAACTAAAGCCTACATTTGTGAGGGCCCGTTGTAATCTGGCTGTATCATGCATGAATATGGGATGCTGCAAAGAGGCTGCTGAATACTTGCTCACAGCTTTGTCCATGCACGAAGTTGAAGGGATTCTGCCCTCGGAGGCAGCCGCAAGTCAAAACCTCTTGGAAACGCTAAAACGGGCGTTCATTGGCATGGAAAGGCGCGATTTGTTGGAAAAAGTGCGTCCCAACATGGATTTGAATGCCTTTAGATCAGAATTCAATTTTTGATCCAAAAGAAAGGTTTAACCATGCTTCAAGATCAAAGACCATCATTATTTTTAGCATAATGACAGCATAACAATCACAACATTACAGTCGTTCACCCGAAACTTCCTGTATTGCGTATTTTCTTCTTTTTTTTTGAAAAATTCCAAGACTCTCCGGGAATCACGGCGTGCGTACAGCAGCATTAATTGCACAAAATTAGCAAAGCTGACTGTACAAGTAACAAATATCAACTGCTGCATCGACCACTGTCGTCCATCACTGTCGTCTGGCACCAACCTTTTTTATCACTTTTCACTATAACGACCCTGAGCCGTACAGGGTAACATGCAAATCTGAAAAATCAGGATAATGAATTCATCAACATACTCGAACATGATCCACGCTACCACCAAAATCGTAACCAAGCGATCGATCCAATGAGCTATAGCACGCCATACAATGCTGTTTATGAGGACGAGAAGAAAAGGCAGCTGGACTACAAGCGTCGGTCGCCGCTGGACCGGCTTGGATCGGCAATTGCCCGGCATAGAAAAATAGCTTTGGGCGTGTTTTGCACGCTGTTCGTGATGTTTTGGTTTGGCCTTACAAAGTTTACGCTATTCGCACGGAGCCCCAAAATCGTGCTCATATTGGCCGTGAATGACGGAGGCGGTGTGCACAAGTGGAAGGGCGAACAAGACTGGGCAATTGAACGGATATCGATTCAGAACAAGCGTGGATACGCGAAACGACACGGATATGGACTGACCATTAAAGATATGCGCACAGCAAAACGTTATTCTCACGAGTATCGTGAAGGGTGGCAGAAAGTTGAAGTTTTGCGCCAAACAATGCGGGAGTTCCCGGAAGCAGAGTGGTTTTGGTGGCTGGACCCAGAAACGCTAATAATGGAACCACAGTTGTCGTTGGAAGAACACTTGTTTAAGCGTATGGACACATTGTCGTACCGTGTTCTGGACGAGCTCAATCCGTTGCAACTACCGTCAGATATCCCGTACGTGGATTACTCACAGCAGCCCGAGCTGTTCATCACACAGGATTGTGGAGGGTTTAATCTGGGTTCGTTTTTGATAAAAAACTCGGAATGGAGCAAATTGCTGTTAGACGTGTGGTGGGACCCAGTGTGCTACGAACAGAAACACATGATGTGGGAGCATCGCGAACAAGACGCACTGGAAGCACTGTATGCACGCGAGCCGTGGATTCGCGAGAAAACAGCTTTTTTGCCCTTGCGGAGCATCAATGCGTTCCCACCAGGCGCATGCTCTGAGTTTTCCGACGATACCCGTTATTTCTACAGCGACAAGGAACGTGATTTTGTGGTGAACATGGCTGGATGCAGTTTTGGTCGTGATTGTTGGGCTGAGATGCAACGTTACGGAACTCTTTTGGAGACACACAACCGCAAATGGTGGCGTCGTGTATTTTGAAATAAAGAGGTAGTCCCTTGTGAACAGTGAAATGTTGCAAAGATGTGGTCGTTAGAGAGCGCCAGCGACCGAATCTTTTTTGAAATGTGAGGTATCCAAGTCAACCCAATATTCAAGAAGCCAATAGCCTCCCAGACGCGATATTCGTCGGTTGAATAGGTTTTAATGACGAGAACGTTTCTAATATGGGTCACGTGCCACTCTCCAAACTGAATTACTACTTTTTTTTCCTCTCACTCTACTTCTACGTCTTATGAATACCGGAATCGTTTTGTGATGATTGACCGAGCCTGTCTACCGATCCTTCCACCTGTCTTTTGTCTTCAGAGGTGAAACTGGTGTCAATCGTCCAATACGTATACCACAGCGTTCAAAGAGACTCTGAGAGACAACCAGGCATTGTGAAATCAACCAAATAAAACCGTAGCACAAACCCAGAGAGCCTGATTTGCATATTGAACCAAACATATCAATCTGTCAATGCCATAGCTCTAAAACAAAGCTTTCGAGAAATATCAGGTGACCTGAATCTCAGCATCCTAGTTATCGTCGGTGGTGATCAATAAACTGGCTTTTAAATTCTAGTACATAATTCAAATATCAACAAGTATATCCATCGTCTCAAGACTACGATCAAAAGATATTTAAACGCCCAGGAATAAGACCTTAGCGGTCGATAAGACACCGAAAAATGGACCCTCAGTTTGGCGGGAACAATGGGAACTCAGAACAGAACGAATTTCTCAGTTTCATCGATTCTAGGCCGCTGCAGGAGGCTCCAAGTGCTGCAATAACCCCACAGGCTATTTTGGCGCGGTCTAGCATGCAAACGTCGAACAGCAACCTACAATCGGTGTCTCCTGCATCAGTGATGTCACCAATGGTACAAACTCAGGGCTTGCCTTCAGTCACTACCCCACAGCAGGTTTTAACGCAGTCAATTATGCCACAGCAGCAACAGCAGCAGCAGCAACAACCAATTGTACAACAGCATGGCCCCACTCATAGCCAAACGCCTGCAACGAGCTCTTCACAGGTACCTTCTAGAGCACCTTCACAGGCTCCCACACAAGCTCCCACTCCCCAGGCGATCTTGAGCAACACAAATGGCTTACAAGATCCACAATCACAAAACTCAAGTGCAAGAAACTCTTCCGGCTTCACAGATAGAGCAGCAATGTTTGCTGCGTTACAGCAGCGACAGAAACTCCAAATGATGCAACAATCTGCGTCAGTATCGGGCTCTCCTCAGGAAGCAGTTCATGCAAGACCATCCATGGAGCCACAATCACAAGCTTCTTCCACTGGACAGGTCCCACAAACCCAACCCGCGCTTACAGCCAGTAATAATGCATCCCCAGCACAACAGCGACAAGCCATACAAAACCTGGATCCCGAGGTCCAGAGACGCGTAAGTACGGAATTGAACAATAAGCAATTCGAGCTTTTCATGAAATCACTTGTGGAGAGTTGTAAACGGCGTAATGCGCCACTTCATTCTTTCCCCGAAATCCATGGCCGGAGAATAAACCTTTTTGTCCTATATTCGATGGTACAAAAGCTAGGAGGCAGCGACAGTGTAACCCGTCTGCAACAATGGACGATGCTTGCTCAAAAGCTTCAACTGCCCGAGGATGCTGCGCGACAACTGGCTGCCCTTTACTATCACCTTCTGGTTCCATATGAGCAGTATCTAGCTTCCCCGGAGGGATTAAAAGAAACGCAGTCTAAAAGGCTGTTTTTACAACAGTTTCTTCAGGAGTTACTGAAGAAATTTATGGGGCCATATCCAAGCGCGCCCTCTAATGAGACAGGGATTGGGGGTGGCTTCACTCCCGACGCCAGGAATGAAGCTCTGAACGCGGCAAAGGTTAAGAAACCGCGGAAACCTAAGGCCACAACCAAAAAGAAGTCAAAAAAGGATCTCGAAAAGGAAATGAGATATCAACAAGAACAACTTCAAAAACGGCATGAACTTCAACAAGAACAACAAAGCAAGCTTTTGCAAGAACAAAGGGCTAAGCAGCAACAGGAACAGATGCGACTGCGACAACAGATGGCCGTTCAACAGAGCATTGAATACCAAAAACTGCCGAAGGTTTACAAGCGTTCATTCGCAAGGAACTACGTGCCATCTAGCAGGGCTATTGAAACCTCCAATGGTTATGACATGAGAGCTGTTTCGCAAATCGGCGAAAAGATTGATGCCAACAAACCTGTTTTTCTATTTGCACCCGAGCTTGGTACTATCAATTTACATGCTCTGTCATTGTCGCTCTTATCTGATTGTGATTCAGAGGTAAATGTGGCCTTGAATACTTTATTAGTTACCAGTGCGGATTCAATTCTAGATATACCTTTGAATCGCTCCCAAAGTTTGATAGACTCACTGAGTATTTTGGGATGTCAGCTTTTGAGCAAACTTTGTATATCAGAGACACCCTTGCAGCAAACAAAAGGTGATTATTTGGATGAAGTTGATGTCAAGAGCGCACTCGACGAAAATTCAAGATATTCCCGGGCAACTTGCATGCTAGACGAAGTTTTCAATTCTAACAGCAAGGAGTCTTCCGACGAAAAAGTGGTGATCAAAGTCGATTCCTTAACAGGTGTAGACTTGCGACAGGCCGTTCCTACACCCGAGAATACTCCCGTGAACGCATATGAGACTGAAGACGATGAGAGGGGTGTTGCAAACAAGAAAAACACTTATGAAAAAGACTGGCACTATCTTCCAGAGGCGCTTTGGCATGCAGATAAAACTGAAAACTGTAAACTAAATCTCCCGTGCTACCTTGAGTCCTTAAGAAATGTACGCGATGAGGTTGACAGTCTTTTTACAAAAGCCAATACCCGAGGGGCTGAGAACTATCAACTGATGATGGTAGATCAGCTGTCTACGATTTCAATGATTATACGAAACCTTTCCTTCGACGAATCTAACACCACTCCCATTGCGACGAATATTTCTTTCAAGCGATTTCTCAGCGATCTTCTTTGGGCTCTTTTTCTCCGAAGTGATAGATTTCTCTTCTCTCGCAAAACTCTGAATTTCAAAAAGGACCTGATAATCATACTAACGAATGTGTCCCACCTATTGGAGATCGATGATCATGTTACGGCGTGTTTGCTCGTGTTCCTGGTCCTCAGCTTCTCTGAAAGAAGAGCTTCAACAGATGGAATGCAATTTCTCGAGCTTTCTGAGTATTCAGTCAAATTGAGCAATTATCAGAACTATGGAGCGGACGTGCTTGCCAAATTACTATCATTAGGATACCCTAATCGACTGTTATTAAGGGCTACCTTCCTGCAGCAATTTGACACTGATCCCCAATCACAAGACGTGATGACTTGCAAAAAGCTGTTAACACTCTACGAGTCGTCTTGTACCACTCGCAAATATCAAGGTTTTTCACTCTTACATGATACTTTCACCTCTCTACTATCGGTAATTCCATTTCAACAGCTTAATACCACCCCGAACCTAATTGAAGAAGTTGGACCTACCATTTCGCAAAGTCTTACAGCTCTTCTTTCAATGGTGCGGTTTTGTCGAAAAGAATCCGCATCAAAAAATGCCCCGAATATGCCGTTAGTGTGGTTGACAATCGATGAGAATATAGGTTGCAGCTTGCGTCGTTTGAGCGAAGCTTTATCCAGTCTCGGTATCCACACTAATCAAACACTTGTGCACTTAAAACACCTCTTCCATTCAATTAGTGCCAAAAGCCTTCAATTGCTTACTTTGTTAATTGAGCGGGCACTGGATATAGCGGATGAACGTGGTTCAGGAAGTGAAGACAAGTACCAAGATGCGATTGAGAGTTTGAACGCTACACCCAATCTTCTTCCATCAGAGCAAAGCTCGATCACTTTTTTGACCAATCCAATGGCTGATTATAATGTCGCAAGAGAGATGTGTGAGCTACATCGGTTGAGAAGCCGAATCATGGCGGATAGCGAGAAGCCCACTCCCACGAGAATTGAAGCTGCAGCTTTGATCGAGGCAGATGCTAATAGTTGAAATATATACAGTTTTTGCGAGGCCCCATTATGTAATTATATGTTTTCAGTTGGTGACTAGCGGTGTTTTATCAAATTCTACCTTTGGCTTTCAGGATCTTCCTCGACCTCCATTGCTATATAGTCAAGGATTCTATCTGCCAGGTCCCCATCATTTACCAAGTCAGTGAGCTGTACTTTGTTGAGCTTTTTAAGTGCCTTGAAACTTTTGACACGTTTTGTGACGTTATAGTAGTCGATGTTCGAAAATCCCGGAATTCCCAAAAGCTCCTTGAGCCCACGGCTCGAGTCTTCATTACTTCCAGCTTTGTTTGCTTTGGTCTTCAAACCAACGTTAACTGCAGTTGTTGGGTCAGGCTGTTCTCTACCTTGCTTCAAATCCAAGACGAGATTCACCGTCTGAAGTGGAGAAGAGGACCACAGTATTCTCAGGGAAGGAAATTTCAGCACAAGTTGAGCCAGTTGCATTTCAATCTCGTCTTGCATCAATTTACCTCCAATTGGATGAGCGTTCGAAGAGACAGACCCGTATCTTCTTTCGCTGAAAGGCTCTAGCGAAAAAGAGTCAATATCGTCAAATTCTATGAGTAGGGTAGGATACTCGTAATGTTTGGACATATTTTTGCACTGTTCGTCAAGTCGACCATTTTTAAAACTCCCAATCAAATCAGGAACGGATTTTCGCTCCACGCAAATTTGTGGCGATAGAATGTAATCACCTACCGTCAACATACAGGGAATTACACGTACACCATAGCGGTATAGTAAGCCTGGGAGTGGTGCCCGAAACTCTCGCATGTCGACAATGACGACATCATTAGTTAAAGCCTCGAAGGCTTTTTGCCCGCCTGCTACCCTCGAGCTTCGAAGCTGTTGCGTTAAAAGAAGTTTCCGCTGAGTCAAGTTTTTGTATCTCGAAAGATCTTCGTCGACTTCAAAGTGCTCCGCCAAGTTTGTATGCTCTCTAATCATTTTGGTGAAAGCATCCTTTTCCTTCTTGATCGCAGCCAAATGGCTCTGTTCCTCAACACTGTCGCCGTAATACATGAAGTAGATTTTCAAAGGCAGGTCCTTGTGCAAAGCTTTGAACATTTCAACTCTCCGAATGAAAGACAAGTCGGGCTCATACATCACAATGTGCGAAGGCATTATTTCTTGCAAAAGAAGATCATTTGTTCTGTTATAGAACTTTTCGATAACAATCTGCTCACTCCTTTCAATATACTCAAAAAATGCGTCGTCTTTAGCCCAAACACTTTCACTCTGGGCCATTCCGGGAAATCGAGAAGACAAAACATCATCCGATTCTTCTTTTGATAAATGTTCCTGAAGGTCTCCATCTTCCAGATCGATAGCTTCCTCGAGGTCGATGCTTTCCGTCAACTGATCGTCCGTACCGTCAACCAGCTGGGTTAAATGCTCTTCAATTTCCCCGATGGTCATTATGTTGTCAATTTCTTCACCTCTACCGGCTGATGCTGTTTTCATGCGTGTAACAGCAGCTACGGCAGCCGCACCTCTTGCCCTCCGGCGATTTGAGTTGACCTCTTCTTTTGCAAAAGTCTTTGACACAGCCAGCTGTCCAGGGTCCCCTTCTTTTTGAGAGTACTCGCTAGCGTCCTTTGCTGTCTTTTTCAAAGCATCTCGCCGATCCATATAACCTCGCAGCTTCCTAAGTAAATATTTTCGCGAGCCCTCCTTTCGATCAGAATAACTTATGATTTTTCTCAGCTGGCGACAAGTCCGATCTTCAGAGCAAATAATCAAAGTTGGCCCAGTAGGTGCAGACGTACTAGCCTGTTCAATGTCAATGTCTTCCAATATGGCGGTAAGTTGCTCCCATTTGGGCAATTCCTCCAGCTCGTAGTTACCTTCCTGAAAGACGCGTTTTTTGGCATAGGAAATCACAGCTTGAGATTCCTCGGCCATGAGCCAAGGTGATTCAGAATACTTTCTCGTAACCGAAGGTTTATTGGCGTCCAAAATCATTTGAATGATTTCGTAAAAGTCAACAGCATCATAGCTTATCAGGGCATGTAGCAGTTTTTTCAAAGTTCCTATATCTTTCACGAGCTGTTTTGATTCAAAAGAAATACGATGCCAATTAGGCGATAAAACTGCGTGAATTGATCTGAGGAAATTTGGATTTAAGCAGTTGTCCGCATTCCATGATTCCAAAGCTAAGCTTGAGTTCTTTCTATTCAGTTCATCAATGCATTTCTTGAGACATTCAAAAAGCCCAAATTGAATTTGAGACATTGAGTTGGTAAGGGACACCTTTACCTCTATAACTTTGTTGTCCTTTTTCAAGTTCAAGCTGGAGGAAATGTCGACGTGAAATCGAGGCCAAAGTAAAGTTCTTTTCAAGTGCAAATCTCTCAGTTTCCGTTTCAGTGGAGAAAATTCAGTCATGAAAGATTCTGGTTGATCGGAAACCGCTTTGATAAACCCCCATTTGTTGGTCGCCCTGTACATATCGGTGATGAAAGACTCATTTGAGAAGTTATCAAGGTTCTCGACATGTAGAATAACAAGACCTGTTATGTTATTGGGGTGTATTACACCAGACAGCAGATCAACAATCAAAATACGAGAGGTGACGGACACAATTCCACCGCGCAAATAGAGTCGGCGTCTTCTTTCCACCGTTAAAGTCTCTGCTGTGACGACGCTGAACGGTCGTTGACCATTTTTAAGTCTCGTATGTTCTGTGTCCAAGCCTTCATTATTGGTTTCTGCATTTTCTGTCACTTCTTCATCTTCTACTGACCATGACAGTTCCAAGAGCTCTTCTTGAATTTTGTCATTATCCTCTTCGCTGGCATTTAGCACAAGAACCAACGACCGTTTATTTTGGCCATCAATGACCGTTGGTGTGGCCAAAATGTGCAGCAGGTTGGCCACAATTGGCTCGAGACCAAGTCCCTGACCTAGAATTAGCAAACAGTCCTCTGAAACAAGCAAATCTTCAACGATTCGGTGCTGAAAGGGCAATGGAAGTAATAATTGCAAATCCACGGGTCTTATTTCCTCGATATTTGGTTTCATGTTATCATAATTGTCGTTCAAGATCAGAGGATACAATGTGTCTTCCTGGTGTTGAATTGTGTTCCCATTTTCGTCTGTAAAAGGTCTTTCTTGATCCTGTTTTGACAGCTCCAAAACCAAGTCATCTTCATCCGATTCATCTCGAATAAAGAGTGACATGGTCAATGCCTAGGCATATCTCTCGATATTGTTCAAGTTGTTGGTAAAACTTGTATTCCAGGATCTGATCGTATTGCTGGTAAATTTAAACCTGACGCCTTAGCCATTTGTAGCAGGATCATGTTATACGCAACAGGATAAGGTCTTTTTGGCTGGTAAAAGCCGTCCATTAATGAAGCTAAATCAAGCCAGAATTTAGTTTCAAAGAGATTTCGGGTGCTGCTACGTGAACTGGTGTTTAATTCGACACTTAAGACTCGGGTAAAGTTAGATTTAATGAGAAATGCGAATTTTTGTCGAATGCAGCAACATAGCGAATGTGGGATTGAAGGTGAGGGACGATAATAGTTCGTTGCCATTAAAGAAATAGTAGGCATCTGAATCCAGTGCTGGCCGGATTTTTGGGATGCCAATCTTGTTGCTCATCGTAAATGGTGTCACATTAGTACATAGTGATAAGTATGAGTGCTGTCGTTGCAGATAATGAGAGCATGAGAACGTTCAAAGGACGTACTCAGCGTTTCACCCAGCCTCTGACGGTTGAAGCTAGACAAGATTTGGCTTCTTGAAAGGTGTCACGATTTGAGGTTAACATCTTGGTGCTTTAGAAATTTTCAAGGTCTCAGAGTCAGAAAGCACATGTTTGGAGAGCCATAATAAAACGTCCTATCGGAAAGTGACGCTATATATACCGAATGTGCAGCTGAGAGGGTCAACTCCTGTCAACAACCACTACTTTTCATGTTCTTGTTTGAAGATGACAGTTCTTTCAATAAATTGTATAAATGAGGTGTCAGCGACGTGTTGCAATATAGTGATAAAAAACGACTACCAGAAAGAAGAGATCCGTAAATATCCCGCCACAGTTGCAGTACCGTTCCCAGCAGTTTGAAATTGCTGTGATCCATACGTTTTCTGCCTCAAAGTTAATAACGACAACGAGTCAGACATTTCATCGAATTGCACCACACTGTCAAAACACAGTATTCCAACAATTTATGATTTGACATCGTGTTAGCATGACGAATAGAAGCCCCACTAGAACAAAAATAGTATCGCAAGCTTGACTTGTATCTTTTTCAAAGTTGAGCATTGGTGTCAAGGTTGTTTTTTGCGAAATTCCATGCGATAGAAATCGTGCTGAAGAAATGTGGAGGCTTGCTGTCGACTAAAAATGCTTCTCATTTTGCAAAAACGTGTCCCTCAAATATCGAGTGCGAAACGAATTCTTCACAACCTGATATCGAAGTTCATCAGAAGAGCCTTGATGGGAAATTTCGACTTTCTAAATAAAATCAAATGAACCTCGGTTTTCGATGCGTGACAACCTCTCTATTCCAGTCAAAGATATACACAGACCACTGAAAATGAACTCGGATGACTCAAAAGAGAAGCAGACGCACTTTCTTCCTCAATCAAAAGCTTCTCTGTAATCCGATCAACATTTTGTAGTCTGAATATTCAACTTCAAAACGTCAAAAAAACACGGGTTTTTTGAGCAGTCAAAAAACCCTGGAACTGTCTCCATATTTCGACTACCTTGCCAGTACCCAGCAATGGCCTCTACCAGAGTTCGGGCTTTGACTCTTCAGCTTCTTCTTCAGTGCTAACGTGCTCGTACCATATGACGTTCATCATTAATTCCATCGACACCATGACTAGAGACATCTAGAAGACAACTCTCAAGAACACTTCGAACCACCTCTGCAGCAGGACCAATCAGCGTTACTCCGTCATTACAATGTCCACAATCAAGGAACGATATGAGAGTTCGCCAGGACCTTTCGTTTCGTTGGAGTTTTTCCCTCCGAAAACGCAGTCAGGAAAACAAAATTTGATGGCACGTATGGGACGGATGACAGCGTTGAACCCGCTTTTCCTAACCGTGACCTGGGGTGCAGGCGGTACTACAGCCAAAAAAACATTAGAGCTGGCAGCTTTGGCTCAAAGAGAGCTAAACATACCGGTGTGCATGCATTTAACATGCACTAATACTAGTAAGGAGGTCATAGACAATGCTTTGAAAGAAGCTCACAAGGCAGATATCCGTAATATTCTAGCACTAAGAGGCGACCCGCCTGTGGGTGAAGATTGGGATCAAGGAGACGCTCCATCTGACTTTCAACACGCTGTCGATCTTGTAAGGTACATCAAAAAAGAGTACAACAACGATTTTTGCATTGGTGTGGCTGCTTATCCAGAAGGCCATTGTGAAGGTGAAGCCGATGTTATGGACCATAGCCCACTGAGGGACTTGCCGTTTTTGAAGGAGAAAGTAGACGCTGGCGCAGATTTCGTTATCACACAGCTATTCTACGATGTTGAAAAGTTCTTGGCCTTTGAAAGTTTATTCCGTGAGCAAATATCCAACACAATTCCCCTATTACCAGGGCTCATGCCAATCAACTCTTACCAACTGTTCAATAGAGCATCGAAACTATCGCACGCTTCGATTCCGGCGTCTATCCTCGACCGATTCCCCGCCGAATTCCGTGGTGACGACAACAAAGTCCGTTCCATCGGTGTCGACATTATTTCTGAAATAGTGGAAACCATATATGAAAGGACCAAGGGAAGGGTTAAGGGGTTTCATTTTTACACTTTGAATCTGGAGAAAGCTGTAGCACAGATTGTGACCACTTCACCGTGCCTTGCAAAGATATTTGAAGAAGAAAAGGACGATGATCTGGTGGATGGAATTGAGGACATAGCTTTAGAGGATGCTGATATCTGCGACAGCGCAAATGTGAAGAAAAGAAGACGCCAATCATCCACAAATAATCCTGATAGGACTTCTAATCGGGTTCTAATTGACGACGAGAATAAAAATATAGTCAAGGGAAGAGAGCCGTCTGGGGCACCATCCAGAAAAGTTGTTCTGTCAATATCTCAAGGATCTGGTAGTCTCGGTAGAGATGCCACATGGGATGAGTTTACCAATGGTCGATTTGGTGACTCCCGTTCGCCAGCTTTTGGTGAAATTGATGGGTACGGCCCTTCATTGAAAGTGAGTAACCAGAAAGCGTATAAAATCTGGGGACAACCACAGGGGTTCAAGGATTTACAAGCCTTGTTCATAAGGTATCTGGAGGGAGCTCTGGAAGCATTGCCATGGTCTGATCTCGGACTATCACCTGAAACAGCATTGATCCAAGAAGAGTTGATTCAGCTCAACGAACGCGGATATCTTACATTAGCATCTCAACCAGCGACTAATTCTACTTCAAGCACGGACAAGATTTTCGGATGGGGCCCCCGAGGTGGCTATATTTATCAAAAATCGTTTGTGGAAATGTTCGTGCATAAGGAACAATGGAACAATGTCTTGAAGCCTAAACTTGAGCCTTTGTCTCCAAATGTGAGTTTTTACGTTGGGGATTCCGAAGATGCTTTTTATTCAAGTCTGGAAACCAACGGATCTAGTGTAGTGACGTGGGGTGTGTTCCCAAATTCCGAGATTCTGCAAACTACCATAGTAGAAGAAGAATCATTCAAAGCTTGGAGAGATGAAGCTTTCAGTATATGGCTAGAGTGGAGCAAGCTTTTCCCCCGTGGATCCGCCACTAACTCGCTTTTGAGACAAGTGCGTAAAGACTACTATCTCGTGTCGATTGTACATCACGACTTTAGTCAGTGTGATGCGCTGTGGGATTTGCTGCTGACTTAATTTGGCACGATCAAAGTAGATAGGTCCCCTAACGCAATGTATATTAGTACAGTTTACAGCTGGTGCGTAGCCGTTTCTACTTTAGGTGTCTCCTTAAGTGGCCGGGTTCTTTCGCTTTCTTGAAGGGCCCGTTTCGACGCGATCGCTTGCCTCTAAATGTGCCTCCAGATAAGCACACATCTTTTGATCGCGGCCACGGTTCCAGGTTTGAATCATTCCGCCCATAAACGTTACGGTACTATCTCGCAGAAGGAAAACTCCACGACTAAAGATAGTACCAGGTAAAACCACCAATTTCGAGCCCAACACGCATGAACTGCCATCGTTTTTTAGAAAATTCAATGGTGACATGTTGATTGCGAAGTACATGGCTCCTGTTTTGTCTTGCAAAGTAAGTTTGAACGTCGATCTGCCAGTCCCTTGTGATTGCAGATCGACGGGTGCATCTGTATCGACGTCCACTGCTGTGACGAGATGCCTGTCCGTCGATGTACTGACACGATCCACTCGCTGCGTTCTAGGATCAATTCTCGAGCGTAAGACGTCCAATTGACCTGCCTTTGGGCGTCCAATGTTCTCTATCATGCATACTTGGAACAGCAGTGGTTGCTGGACCGTGACTAACCGTTGTTCCTCTATGCACTGCGATGACCAGGCGTCACTGGACAACGCATCGTTTATAAGTCGTGTTCGCTCATTCTGAGCCGCATTTGGAGCAACTGGAAAAGGCCCTTGGGTAATATCTGCCGTAAGAATGCCGCTCGACATATCCACAGGACGTCAAATGGCTTGGCTACTGCGTTTTGAGGTTGTTTTGTCCAAATTTATATAAAACTAGTCAGTGTCTCACGAACTTGACGAATTACGCTTCACATCATCAAAACAGGACAAATACCAAAAAAGTCCTATTCGAAAACCTGTACAATGGCAATCCAGACTATTTTGGTAATCAATAAGTCTGGCGGGCTGGTTTACCAGCGAGATTTTGTTCCCAATGCTCCACGATTGTCTAGTAACGAGTACTTGATCTTAGCAGGAACGCTACAAGGAATTGTAGCGATTGCTAGTCAAATAACCCCAAAATCCTTGCAACTTGCTGGCAAAAGCAGTGCCAAAGGAGGTAATGAGCCGATGGGTAGCAATTCCGCACCTCTGGTGCCATATATGGGAACTCTTGGAGCTACAACTGCCAGCGGTGCACCTTTGGGCAGCTTTTTGGGTCCAGACTACTTCAACGATGCATTTGCAAGCTGGAATGGCAGAGGGCTTAAACACGTTACTACAGAGCAGAACTCACTGTTCGTATACCACACACTTACCGGTATCAAGTTTGTAGCGGTAAGCACTCAACCCACAACCAATGCGATGGCGGTGGCAGTGGCAGAAAATCTGTTGCGTAAGACGTATTGTCTGTATGCGGACTACGTTATGAAAAATCCATTCTACGAAGCGGAAATGCCCATCAAATGCGAGCTATTTGATCAACATTTGGGCGCATTGGTTGGCCAGCTGTAAGAAAGGAATGTGATATGTTAGCGAGGTCCATACAGCTGAACAACGGAACAAGAAACAACCCTGTATCAAAAGAGCAGTGCAAACGCTGTGTTGAATAGATTTAATTGTGTTGTTCGCGGTATTCCGGGTTCTAACGAAAGCTAGCCTTATCGTTGGTTATCATCGAAGGACTCGACTTATCTTGTGAACAATTTTTTTCACTCGAGACTCTCGATAAGTGAAGGTGCTAGATGCAGCTGCATCTTCAAATCTTCTTTTCCCAGAGCTGCAAGATTTGAGTTTCCTAGGTTTTCTTAGCTCCATTCATATGTCGATGTTTACATCTGCACCAAACAGGAAAAACGTCGAGCACTGGAAAGTCGACGCTACAGGGTATAAAATGCAGAAGATAGCGGCTACAATTTGAACTTCGATGAGCAAACTTCCCTAACCAAGTCCCCGATTCCTATGAAATTTGACATACTTTTGAGCGCACTTTGTGCTTCTACTGCCCTGGTGGCTGCTAACCCACTTCTGCGTAGGGCTTCATCATCCAATGTATCGACATCCACAAACTACACACAGACCGCAACCATAACGGACGCTGCCTCCGCCACTGACAGTGTGTTGACGGTGACACAGGGTCGGTTTGGTGCGTTGTTCAAACCCAAGGTGATGGTTATTAACATGTTCACACCTGAAGAAAGCGCATGGGTGAAGAACCTGGACCTTAAATATAACATCTCTGTGCCTATGCTTTCGCCTGAATACCCTTTTGTGCACTCGAACGCAAACTACACAATCATGTCTCTAACCACTGGTGAAGGTGAGATCAACGCTGCTAGTACCATCACCGCTCTTTCCCTTTCGCCTTTGTTTGATTTGACCGAAACTTATTTTGTTGTGTCCGGGATTGCTGGTGGCTCTCCAGACTTGACGACCATTGGTTCCGTGACGTACCCCAAGTATGGTGTTCAAGTCGGCATGCAGTACGAGATAGACTCCCGTGAAATTCCTGCCAACTGGTCCTATGGGTATGTTAACTTCAAAACAAATCAAACCAATATGTACCCAGGTACAATTTATGGTACTGAGATTTTCGAACTCAACGAAGTCTTGAGAGACAGAGCCATGCATGTGGCCTCCAACGTCACCTTGAACAACGGTACGAGCGGCAATGTGGCTTTCCGTCAAAGGTATAATTCCTCTTTGGCTGCTTATAACGCTCCAAAACTTGTTGCCTGCGACACTGCCACTTCCGATGTGTACTGGTCCGGAGCGATCTTGGAGAAGGCATTTAGTGATTTTGTGACTACCGTCTCGAACAGCTCGGCAACGTACTGCTCTACTCAGCAAGAGGACAACGCTTCGTTGGAAGCGTTTTTGCGTGCTGCAAAGCACGGTTTGGTCGACTACTCGCGTATCGTGGTGATGCGTGGTATCTCCGATTTCGATAGAGCTCCTCAAGGCTTGAACGCAACCGATTTCTTCTTTTCCAAGAGTCTACAAGGTGGCAGTAGTAGTGCTTTTGCCAACTTGTACGCGGCTGGTCTTCCATTTGTTGAAGATATTGTGGCCAATTGGGATACTTTGTACGCTGAAAACAAATTCACGCCAAAGAACTACATTGGAGACTACTTCGGCACCCTGGGAGGTGTTCGTAACTTTGGTTTGTGAAAAATCAAAGTGTATTTCTATGTACATGAGATAGATGAGATAGAATTCGAAGATACCTGGGCCGCATGGCCGTTGTAACAGTGGCAGTTTGATACGCAAAAAGTTTAGAGTTTTCTCAATCCTGAGCGGTTGAAAAGAAAGAGCACCGGTGGCTCGTTTTTGGATTGCATAGGATAGGTGACCGTGGCCGTTCTGTAGCGGGAAGTTCTTGTCACTTGAAGCGATGAGTACTCGTGAGTACATATATGTACTTGCAAATGTCGACAATCACCACAACTAAAACGAACTTGTCAAACTACAACACAGTCAAATAACGTTGTAAACTCACCTAACCACTTAACAAGACCCTTCGCAACATATCGCAATGCTACTTTCCTCTTCTAGAGTGTAGCCGGGCTTTTACTTCTGATACTGTGGTTGTTGCTGCTACTGCGAGATGTGAAAATACGTTCGAACTGAATTTGAAGTGAACCTGTGAAGACAACCATCGTGTGAGTCTTTTGGATATTTCTGGATACTTCATAGCGAATGCCCATGTCCCAGGCTCCGTAATGATATTTTCATTGTCGATTTTGGTCGCTTTTTCGCAAAGTTTGCCTAGGAATAGCTGGGCGGCTAATTTGTAAGGGGTTCTTTGAAAAGCGATTCTACCATTTATGAGTAGAATCGAATCCAAACAAGATAGAAGTTGATTATTGACGTTATTTTGAGACGATAGAACTTTTTGATACCACTTGTCTCTTCACTTTACCTATGTCTGATGTGGTTTTGTGAACTTTGGTGGGTTCGGCCAAGTAGTAGGGCTCAATGTAAAAAAAGTGTGGGCCAAGAGCTCACTACATGAACTGAGCATCATTGCTACCTGTGGCGTCCGCTCTGAAAACAGCGACGCATTAGCGCTACATGCATTGCTAGTTTTGCGATTCCTACAAAACTGTTAATGTTTTTGACGGTTTTCATGCGAATACTAGCCATTCAGGGTTATATTCCTGCTCAAGAAATCGACGGTATCATCAAGGGACCCAGTTCTTCATTTGTGCCCCATTGTTCATTCTTTCACTCCCTCACGAGGAGACTTCAAGACACAGACCAGCGATTCCTGCTGCCAAATACTACAGTTTGACGCTTTAAAAAGTGCCCTATTACCATGCCTTGTTGATCTTCCGACTACTAACAACCAGCTCGCTTTCTGTTTGTTGCAAGACACTGTTTCCACAACCACGGGTGAAAATTGTTATGAAATTTCTGATTAATGGAGGAGCGTATGATTCTAGTGGTTCTTCATTCCTGTCGCTACGGCAAGGGCACGACGAATTCCTCTCCACGTTATCCGAGCATCGAGCTCCTTTTTTCATGCCTTTACGTCACAAGAACCTAAATCACGACTAATTGTCCACTGTCATAGTCAATTTTGCATAATCTCAGCTCATACAAAGCTCTCTTTGCAAGAAAGTTTCAATCTACATCCAGAACACTCGCTGTCAAGAATCAAAATCGTCGCCTAATGTACTTTCTCAAAGTACTTCCAAAAGATGACGCATTGGCCCATGAGGAAAGCTTGTTATCAAGCACTTACAGTCTTTGAGAACGGGCAAATCAATGAATTTGATTATGCTCCGTTCCACTTCCTCAGTAACTGTATCCAAGTGCAGCATCGAAAGGCCATTGATCCCACCTGAAACGAATCTACTCATCGATAACTGCACCGTGCATCTTCTTCGTTCATCCTGATCAGTTCGCCCCCATCACCTCCTACCTTACCAAAAGCTATATTCGAGTTCCTTTCAACTCCCTAACACCGCTCCTGTTAAATGCTCGCCGTCTCTTGCTCATGTGCTGAACCAGAAAACAGCGCAGGATGGCATATTTCTTAGCACCATTGTCGCTTCGGGCTTCACTACCTACTGCCCACGTCATTGTCAACAAGCACGCCCAGTCCCGTCATCACAGCGTTCAAAGTCATTAGGCTCTTAACACCGTCACACCACATCCTATGCATCCTATGCATTCGACCATCTGGTGATCTTCTCTCAGGAGGCGTTCGAGAAAAAAAACAAAAGAAAAACTAGAGTTGCTACGGCGACCTTTGAGAGAAGGTGGTCTCATTTGGGTGGTTCGAGATGGGCTGATTATGGCCATATTGCTTGATTATGGGCGATTACATTCTCGCGAACAGTCTATGGGCTATTTTGGACATTCAGTGGTGCGTGCAGGCGAGAAAAATCTGATTAGAGTGGGTAATGTCTCGCAGCGATGGTTACGTTGGATAGGGGAATGTCAGCACATTTTAGAATGGCGTGGATTCGGTGTTATTGATAAAACGTTGAGGTACTCGGAGTATTGGTCGGTAAACTTGCACCCATCGAGATGATATGGTATAAGTATACATAAGTGAGACCCAAAAAATTTTAACAGGCGAAGGGGATTAGAGGGTTTCGACAAATTTCGAACCAAGCTCAGGGGATATGCTCACGAACTGTCAAATTAACAATTTCAAACTAACCCGTCAAATCGGGTCGGGTGCTTATGGGCTTGTATTCCATGCAATAGATTTAATTACTGAAAACGAATATGCTATCAAAGCTGTGGTAAAGGATGGAGCATCGCGCGAGATAAAGCAGGCCACAATGTTACAAACCCAGTTGTACTACTACTTCAAATCGTTCCAAAATCGCTTGTATTTACCTGCAATCGCATTGGACTCGATAAGCACATTAAGCGAAGAACAGCTGCAACGCGCACCTCATTACCGCGAGATTGCCTTGCATTTGCAAGTACACGCTCATCCCAACGTGGTAACGGTGCACCAGGTCTTAGAGTCGCCTTTGGCCACGTTTCTAGTACTAGATTACTGCGAGCGCGATCTCTTCACAAGTATTGTGGACCACCAACATTTTGCCAACGATGGTGCACTTGTCAAGCAAGTATTTTTGCAGCTCTGTTCGGTGTTGCAGCACTGCCATGCCCGTGGCGTATATCACTGCGACATCAAGCCAGAAAACATTCTTCTAGACGCACATGATAACATGTACCTGTGCGATTTTGGACTCAGTACAACTGCTAAACAGCTACCTGCTAACGTATCGCTTGGGTCTAGTTACTACATGGCTCCAGAGCGTTTGTCTTGCCCGTCGTCTTTGCAACTCGATGGTAACGCTCCTGGCACGATTCTATTTCCAACATGGGCCGGTGATGTATGGTCTCTGGGGATTATTTTGATAAACCTAACGTGTATCCGTAACCCGTGGCTAAAAGCACATCAGCTCGAAGATAACACTTTCAGCTATTTCGTACGCGACCCCAAGGTACTACACAAGATTCTGCCAATTTCAGATCAGCTGTTTGATATTCTGAAAGATATACTGCAACTCAATCCCATCGCGAGGGCAACTCTGCCGAACATCATGGATCGTGTCTCTCTCTGTACATCTTTCACCACATCGGGTCCATTGAGCCACGTCGTCCCGCTTAGTGATCCCGAAATCCACACCTATCTTACCAACCATAGAGGACTTACCATTCAACAAATGTTGCACAATTACCACTCCGACGAGGAACTCAGCCGCTCCGACAACGACACCGAGCCCACAAGCGAAGAAGACTGCTCCTATCACCAACGCTTTGGGACTGCAAGAGCTAATGATAGCAAACGTCTTGGAGAACAGCAAAGCCATCCAAGCTCCAACGACTACGATCAGCACAACACATTCACCTCCAAGTCCCCTAATACAAGCTTGTCTACCGACCTACCCACCGACTTTGGATTGAACGTGTTGACCAAAAACATGTCTGTTGTCACTAACTATTCGACTCACAGCCGTTGGCTGCCGCAATACTAATGGACAAACTGCAACGACGAAACGATAATTTACGAGAAATGAACCAGCTATTAGCACCAATGTATAGATTTTGCTGGATCCTATATTCGCATCCGTAACAAATAATAAACAACGGTATACAAAGGATCAAGAAAGACAGAGAAACAGGCTGCCTTGACTTATGGGGGGTATGAAATTTAAGTTACTTATCCAGCAGCTTGAAAGTTGTAGCACTTTGTCAAAGCTCGGATTTCTTGCTGTAATAAAGTCAACAAGACACCGCAATTTTACGTTCATGTCCCGGATTGTATCCCGAAGTGTATCCCGTAATCTAACATGATCTCTTACTCGCTGCGTGTTTTGTAACGAAAACGCACAAACTTCTTTTAGTTCTTCGTTTCGGTAACAAAAGTCTTCAAATCTGCATGACACTCTTGCAAAACTTGCTCAACAGATTTGCCGTCCACGTCAACTTTCGAGGCCAAATTTTCATCCGATTCTGGAAGCATCAAGTCACTAAACTGCGAGTTGATCATGTTGGCTTTCATAAAATGACCCTCTCTTTTAGTAAGACGATCTAGGATCAACAATCTATCGGCAAATAAAAACAGAAAGTAAAAGTCCGTTTCTGGCCTGTGCGAACGCATAAGATCTCGATACTTTCTCTTGAGACTTGAGCATGTCACAATCCACAATCCTGAGTGGTCCTGGGCACTCTGGGCTGATAATTCGCTCACTTTTAGAAGCCAACCCCACCTGTCTTCGTCCGTTAGGGGAATCCCATGGCTCATTTTCTCGATATTTTTTGGTGGATGCACCGTATCGCCTTCCAAGAACCCCAGCCCCGGGTACGAAGTTTGGTACAGCTCAGCCAGCTTCGCTGCAATAGTTGATTTCCCGGTACCTGCTGTTCCAGCCAAGACAATGACCTTAGATCTTGAATTTCCCGATGTCATATTTAAACCCCCAAATTGACGCTAAGAGACTCAATTTTGTCCCAAAAAAACCCTGTTCCTTCTTTACACGCCCGGGAACCACTAGTCCCTTCTAGAGTCCTAAAAAATGGTCTAAAATTGTGGTTTGTAGAAGTCAAAAGGCTTTGGAAAGTGTTGAAAAGCGTACTTTAGAATACTAGGACCTCTTGTATTAATTCATCTGGGGTAGCACACAGCTAGTACATAGTGATATACACCTTTCGAGGATAGAAAGAGCTCCTGAGCCAGCTAGTAAGCCAATGCATTGTAGTTTACCACAGCTAAGTGGTGTTGGGTTTGCTCAGCTAACGAATCCACAAATAACGTGAGTCTCGCCTTCCAATTTGAAGCATTTTTGGTGATCTTGACCTTTTTAGCCTTTTAAATAGTTTCAATGATGATAGAGGAAGCTCCACCACCACCATTGCAAATGGCAGCCGCACCAATTTTTCCGTGTTCTTGGTTAAGCACAGATAGTAGGGTCACGACAATTCTGGCTCCCGAACAACCGAGAGGATGACCGATAGCAACAGCACCACCGTAGGCATTGACCTTTTCGAGTGGGATGTTGAGATTCTGTGGGTTCGCAAGTCCCACGACAGAGAAGGCTTCATTGAACTCGAAGAAGTCTACTTGGGAAATGTCGAGTCCCGAGTGCTTTAGAGCCTTGGGGACAGCCAAACTTGGAGCCCATGTGAAATCAGCAGGCTCGTGAGCAGCCTCACCCCAGCCTTTGATGACGGCTAGTGGCTTTAGACCTAGTTCTTGCAATTTGCGTTCGGAAACCAGCACAACAGCAGCACCTCCATCGTTTAGAGGTGAAGCGTTAGGAGCGGTGACTGTTCCGTTTTCCTTTTGGAACACGGTACGCGCAGATCTGAGTTTTTCAACGTTGAGCTTAGCGGGCTCTTCGTCACAGCTCACCTGGGTGTCAGGTTTGCCCCGGAAACCCTTGATGGTCACAGGCACAATTTCTTGGTCGAATTTACCCTCGGCTTGGGCTTTCTGGGCCTTTTGGTAAGATGCAATGGCATAATCGTCCTGTTGTTGACGTGTGATATTGTGGTCACGGGCGCATTTCTCAGCATGCACTCCCATTGCTTGGTTATCGTAGGCGTCGTTGATCCCGTCACGCTGGATACCGTCCACAAGTGTTGTGCTTCCAAATTTGGCACCTGCACGAGCTGCAGGCATGTAATATGGCGTGTTTGACATTGATTCTGCGCCACCTGCGACCACCACGTCTGCATTTCCGCACATAATCGTCTGGGCACCGCAAATAATCGATTTCATACCAGATGCACACACTTTGTTGACCGTAGTGGCCACGATTGTTTTGCTCAGCCCAGCAGATAGTGCAACTTGTCTGGCAGGTGCCTGACCCACATTTCCGCTCAAAACGTTTCCGAAAAAGATCTCCTCCACTTGTTCAGACTTTAATTCTGGTACCTGTGCCAAAGCACCGGAAACAGCAGCAGCACCTAGCTCAACAGCGGTCTTCGAAGCCAAACATCCTTGGAAACATCCAATTGGTGTTCTAGCGGCAGCAACAATGTAAACTTTCCCGGACATGGCGTAAAGATAAAGGATGGGGGGTTTTCAATGCCTAGGAGTTGATTGCAATGGTCAAAAAAGCTCAATTGCAATGATTTTGGCCGGTTTTTTGAAGAAGTGGTGAACAGTTGGATAAGTAGATTCATGGATCTCGGGATTTTTTTCATTTCAACTGTACGACCAATTTTTGAAATAAACGATCTGCGACACCTCCGTATGTGATGATTTACATCTAGCGACTCATACGTGTGTGGTGATTGTCTCTCGACCGTGTTTTGAGTAGGAGTAGAACTTCAGATTCTTCTCTTCAGGTGATGCCATAAGACCTCGGCGAATCTATCACTCAGATTATCTTATTCTTTCTGCTGCGAGTGGATTTGGAACGTATGCCCAATTTTTTGATGTACGGATTGCGTTTCAAACGGTCGAGTTTCTCGAAAATGATCATCTCACAAATGTTTTTAAGCTCATGTGCACTTTGCTGATCAATGAAATAGCTTGGGTAGCGATTGCTTAGCCAGAAGTATAGCATGATGATGTTGTGTAGTGACTCGTAGTGCTCCAAAGAGAGTTTGTCGTTGTCGATATTCCGCGGGTCCAAAATATCGAAGGAAAAAGGATAACTGGTCAAGGACCGCGTCTGGCGCTGCTCTATCGTGGTGCAGAAGTTCACAAAGGCTCGCTTGACCAGCGGAAAGTCCTTGACTGGCGCATTGCTGAGTCGCATTTTCTCGAAAAATGGGATTCCATCCATGTGCTCAAACATGGCAATATTATTTAGCCTGTTTTTCAAATCGCTCAAGGTGAATAGTTTAGCGGATCTTTTCTCCACTTCGGCTGCTAGAGTCTCTAAAAGCGTCGACACTCGCGACCCAGCCGGTAGATGTGTCATCAATTTACCGCAAATCTCATCTGTCGGCCACACAATTGCTGACTGCAAATACTCTATGGGAGACGTCATCCCGGCCTTCACTGCGCTCGAAACCACAGGGTCCACGCCCGTTACGAAACCAACCGCAGCTTTTTTCTTCTCATCAACTCCACTGCCGGCAGACACATTGGCAACCTTAAACCGCCCTGCACGCCCGCCAATCTGTTTAACGTTAGAAGAAGTCAACTCCACCATTTCCTGACCGTTGAATTTCATGTGGGTGGTGAAAATTACTCTCTCAATGGAAAGATTCAAGCCCATTCCCACGGCATCTGACGCAACAAGTACGTCATATTCGCCGCAATTGAACTTATTCGCTTGTTGTATCCTCGTTTCTGGAGGTAAGGACCCGTAAATTACAGCTACCTTGAGGTCCGTGACTTTCTCTATCTTGAGCTTTAAATCCAAGATTTTTTTTTTGGAAAACGCAACCACACAATCACCCTTACGCAGTCCCTTCAAACCGCCTTCAAGAGCATTCTCCTCGATTCTTAGCTCGCCTAATCTTTCATACTCATTAACTATGAGCTCATCTCCAGTCATCTTTACGATTTTTTCAACTAGCGGGAGAGCACTTTTCTCTCCACATAAATGGACCTCGCGGGCAATGCACCCAAGCAAAGCGTTCGTCCAAGCCCAGCCTCGATCTGAGTCACCCATCATTTGAATTTCGTCCAGGACCACCACGTCGAATTTTTGTGATAATGGCACCATCTCAACAGTTCCTGAAGTCAAACCAGCCGGGTTCCCCATATCATCAATTTCTTCTATAACTTCTTCTCCAGTGAGTAAGTTGCATCGAATGTTTTCGTTCTTGAATCTTTCGTAAACTTCTCTTGCGAGAAGTCTTAAAGGGCCGGCATAATAACCTCGATCGCATTGCTTCAATCTCTGAAGCGCACGGTATGTTTTTCCTGAGTTGGTCGAACCTATGTGCATTATGATGCGTCTCCTCAGTTTTCGAGCTTCCGGAAACCACTCCGAGGGATTCGAAATATCGATGTCCTCGGCACTATTTGTGCTTGATCTAATCGGAGATACCAATGGCAACATCTCTTGCTCGAAAATGTAATCAAAAACGCTTCCTATAATATGGTTGAACTTTTGCTGGACGGATATATTGTTTTCGGAATCCAAAATCTTACCCCAGCTGTCGTCTGATATTTCATTACAGTGCAGTAACTGGCAAACCAATGTGTTTGGATTTGATGGTCGGATAAATTCAGTCACTGTTGGAGCATACTCTTTCGCCTCTTTCTCCAGTTGTGTGTTTCGAAGTTGCACATACAAGTACTCTCTAATTCTCAGCCAGGCATACTTCTTAGCTTCCTTTTCCAGCAAAGTAAAAGCCGTCAATTTTGAATTGAAAATGAAACCCAAAGAGTTGTCAACAAGAGCCTTGAATGCCTGATCTCTAACGTACACGTTGTCAGATTTTTTGGCGAAGTTTAAAGCCAAGATGTTCGAGTTCTTACGCTCATCTGGTGGAAGATGATTGAATGACGGCTTTCCCCAGGGCCATTCGGTGAATTTTTGTGCGTTTCCAGAGTTTAGCAGATGCAGGTGTCGTACGAATCTGCTAGGAGCAAACGAGAACGCTCGACCGAGGCCACGATAGACATGCCTGTGGATCATTATCGTATTGTTACGAGCATCTGTAGCTAAAAACTGCGCGATGAGCTTAATCTGTAGTGAAAATACTAATATCATTATGTACGCGTGGAGACGCTCACACACGCTGAGCGCACTGTCACCAACACACTCACTTGAACAACACCGATCCTTAACCTCACTAAATTCGTGTAAATATCAACACCTCTCTTTTTCAGATTTATCAGTGACCTCTCGGAGATTTTTTTGCCAGGGCCATTGTGTTTTCAACCCAGCCATCGGCGCCTCCACCTTCTAAAATCGTATCGTAAACTTCTTGAGTAGGCCATTGGTCTAGAAGGGGGTTTTTAGTGCCCACTATCGCGGCATTCCTGGTGCTGGGAATCCTGAGCATCTCTTTTTCTACGATCCACCCAACGCGTGTAGCTAAAGCTTCTACCCGGTCAACCAACCCAGCATATGTGCTGTTTCCGCTTTTCATTGAGCTTTTTTTTACGCCATAGCGAGCCCTTTGGCCAGAGAATCCATGCGAGCAGCATGGTATCACCACAAAGGGATATCCTAGGAGTGGAATCCAACAAGTGAGCTCGTCGGAGTGGTTGCCAATTAAAAATGTGTCGCGAGGAAACTCGGTAACATTGACGCTAGAAGAATTTAAGAGATCCTCACTCGAGTAGACCACAGTGGCAGGTGCTATTTTATCTTGTATCTTTATGGGAAAGTATCTGCCGTTGTGATATAGCTCTGGTGCCCGTTTTTTGATTTCTGGATGGGGTCGCAGTAATATGGACGGTATTATGACCTGCTCTTGTAGATTTTTCTGAACCTCCTTGGGATAAATTTTCCACGATTTGCGTTGACGAGCATCAATCCCAATGCCCTGGATGCCCTCTTGTAGCAGCAGATAGCATAGAACACCGTTGCCACAGCCAAGATCTCTAAACTGCATCTTGGTGGCAAACATGGGTCCATACATTCGGATCCAGAGCTCTATCAAAAACGCAGCGATGGCTATGTCCTCGAAAACGTGTTTCTTGGGATCTGTGCTCTCGGCCCAGTTGTCCACCAAAAATCTTGAGTGTTTTTTCTTTAGTGCAATGTACCGGTCCTGGAACAGCACTTTATCGACAACCACGTCATGTGTAACTTTCTTTTCGTAACCTGCTTTAACACCGGTTGAATGTTTCAGCGCTGTTTGCAGTAAACGACGCGCCGTTCTCACAACACGTTCGCCCTCGCTGCTGAATTCTTGTGCACCCTGTGGTGTGAATGGCACATAATGCACGGACAGTCTTTGATCATGAAGCAAAATTGCTACTGCTTTTACGTGCGGAATGTAAAACGGGCATTGATCTTTATCCTGCAAATGAGGGGTGTATGTGATCAAGGAAGTCTCTGCAAAAGTCCGAGAGTTGAGCAGCAAGCATGTCTGGTTGATGATAGCATCCTTATAAGGGTTTCGAGGAATAATTCGCCGTACCATTGCCGTTTTCTGCGCTAGTTGCAGATCAGGATTGGTCTCGATCCCACGCACTTGCATGTCATCCACATTTACAACCTGAGCTTCGGAATCTGCGACTGTATGTTTTTCTTCCTCAAACGAAATTTCTGCGCCAGTTTCCACGTCAAACTCCCATTCCTTCAGCATATCTGCCCGCAAAATGACCGTCGAGTTGATATTGGGATGCCGAACTACGTTCATCATTGCCGTTTCAAAATGCTTTTTCTCAAATCCAACGCGCTCCTCCGTCCTGTACATACAGAACCAATCTGGTCCCAGCTCACTAGGCTCATCGAAGCCGTATTTAACAGACATCGGAGCACCTTTTAGATAGTTTTTCAAGTTAAACGTTTTGGTGGTTCAGGCTCTTCTCGAAGCGCTAGAACATCGATTTTTATTGAAAATTGAACATAAACAGCCTGGTCCGTACATGGTGATGACGTCTTAATTTAAAGTTGAATCTAAAAACTGATAATTTGAACAGGGTACGCGTCATAACATTACAAGATTAAGTGACATAAAAAGTTACATTTCAACAGTCTTGGGCAACTTAGCTTGTTTTGCGATTCTAATATGGCATCTTCATCTCAGTATGTGAAAATTGGGGCCTGTATTTTGTACGGTGCGCGAAAAAACTCTCAAAATTGATGCAATTTGACATTTTTTGGGGGTGATAAGGCAGAAGGATGTAAGGCATGGTGATATCATTTCCAAGTGTCTCTAGGTTTTGTGCTTTTCTCATTGTTTAGGATAGGCCGACCTTTTTTCGGTCGTTTTTCTGGACTGAATACAAAACACATCTTCTGTACCTTTAAACGCACAACCGCTTGGCTAAGATTTCTATGACTTCTCTATCTTCACGCGGACTAACACTCTCTTTAAAGATTCAAACAGCTCGAAAAACTGGGGAACGGTACGTATGCTACAGTGTACAAAGGTCTGAACAAAACGACAGGCGTGTATGTGGCACTCAAAGAGGTCAAACTCGACTCTGAGGAAGGTACACCTTCGACTGCAGTGCGTGAAATCTCGCTGATGAAAGAGCTGAAGCATGAAAACATCGTAAGACTATACGATGTGATTCACACGGAAAACAAACTGACGTTGGTTTTCGAGTTTATGGACAACGATCTTAAAAAATACATGGACTCACGCATAGTGGGCAACACGCCGTATGGCTTCGAAATGAGTCTTGTAAAATACTTTGAGTGGCAATTGCTACAAGGCGTGGCTTTCTGTCACGAAAACCGGATTATGCATCGCGATTTGAAACCACAGAACCTACTCATCAACAACAAGGGCCAGCTAAAGCTCGGGGATTTTGGATTGGCAAGAGCATTTGGAATCCCGGTCAATACATTTTCTAGTGAGGTCGTAACGCTATGGTATCGTGCACCTGACGTGCTTATGGGGTCTCGCACTTATTCCACATCGATCGACATCTGGTCTTGTGGGTGCATTCTGGCGGAAATGATTACCGGCAGACCGCTTTTCCCTGGTACGAACGATGAGGAGCAATTGAAGTTGATTTTCGAAACTATGGGTACTCCTTCCGAGCGCACTTGGCCAGGAATTTCCAACCTGCCCAAATATAACGCCCAGCAGCCCCAGCATTTGCCCAAAGATTTGGGCGCGCTCTTGCAAAGTCAAACGCGTGAAAAAATGGATTTGACTTTAATTGATCTGCTGTATGGTCTGTTACAGTTGAATCCCGACCGTAGACTCAGTGCTAAACAGGCATTGAATCACCCCTGGTTCGCGGAGTACTACCAATAGCGGTGAATGGACGTTAAAAAGTGTTTATTACATTATGTAAAATAGAATAAGTCAAGATCGGGTTCAAATCTCTATGTATCACTTCACCACATTAAAACCAGGCTTGCCGCCAAATCCAGACACTCTTTCAACCAGGGTATGGTCCTTAACCTCGTTGAGCTTGATCCAGAGATCGTCTTCGCATAATAGACTCAAGTCATGGCTATAAAATTTGCGGATGAATTTTCCAACGATTTTCGCTTTGCGAGCACTTATCAAATGCTGATCTTGCAGTTTTTCGCATAGTAACAACGGCAGCAAGCGTGGCGTAACCGAAATGTACAAAAAGTCGATAAAGTGTATCAATGGATGAACGTCCTCGAAGCTGCGTTTGTTCTGAACAGATAGATGCGTTATCAGATTCAGGGCAAAGAAGAGGCAATTGATGTCCAATTGCAGTGTCACACTTGCCGTATCAATGAAAAACCACTGCATAACGGATTCGGCAGTCAATGACGGGCTCTGGATCGCATATTCTGAGTGAAGGCGCAGCAGAAGCTGGTTGTACACGACTGGTTTTGTAAAAATATCATTTTGAAAAAAGAGAGCAGGCCATTTGTAAACAGTTGCCGGAAAATCTCGCAGCGATTTCTCTGTAGTTGGATTTAACTCGGGAGTGTTTAATGGAGTTTCCAGGTTGGGCAATGTTTTATCGTTGAACTGCTCGAACCTGAGCTGCTGTGTGGCCTCGACATCTTCGAGAACAGCGATCTCATCGATGAAATCCAAAAAAGAAGGCGATGCATTCAGAAATCTCAATATCAGGGGAACTTCGAGCGCACAATCGGCCAGTACCCACCAGGGGCGATAAGACGAGCTCATCGAGGGTTTTAGTGCTGCATTGACGTCAAAGACAAAGTTCACCCTCAGATACTGTTCTATCAAATACTGTGAGGGTTTCAAACACTTGAAAAAATGCCAATTCAGCAGCGGCAACGGACTATTGCGTCCTGAAAATACAAAAATACGTTCCAAAACGTCGCGAGATAAATCTTGAAGTCGCAAACGGCTCCTCTCAGAACCCTGTCGATTACGGTTCGACTTGGTTTCTCGATTTCGAAGCTTTGCTATGTGCTCATAATACAATTTCTCGGTCACTTTTTTCGCGCGCTTGTTTGGCCGCGAGGCATAACCGCTCTTCACATAACCCATAAATAGCCAGTAGACCTTTACTCCGGCCAGTATGTGCTTACGCTTATATACTGGTATCTAGGAATCTGAATCGAAATTTTGAGATGAGATGCATTGATAGGATCGATGAGATGAAGATGGTATCACTTTTGCACGAAAATGACACCTAGTGGTGATACACAGCAGTGACACACGTATCGAAAAGGTGTGATATCAAGCTAAAATAATATTGTGGAATGAAGCTAGTGGTATTTATCAAAGCTGTTATTTGAACTTGGTCTCATTTCGATGCGGATAATTATCAGCTTTTTTTTTCGGATTTTTAATATTCGGACAGCGGCCATGACATTAGGCTCATTTACAACTAAATGGTTTTTTGCAGTTTATGTTGTAAGGTCTTGGACATTCAGCATTTGACTATATTCTACACTCTACAATTTCCTTATTAGCTGCGTAAACAAAGAGGCTAGGTCAGAATCTCCAAGGCAGCAAATGTGCTCTTGGTTTGGCTTTTTTAACTGAATTGAACTCTTTCACCTCTTCTTTCTTATGTCACGTGCCTCAACCTTTTCTAGTCAAAAAAGCGCTTGTCTGTCGAAACGGTGTCAAAAAGTTGGCAGCAGCAGCAGCAGCATATCAAGAGACACCATTTACCTCATAATACTTGGGTAAAGGCTTCTTTATCACTGATGTATGCCGCTCATGTTGTGTTTGACCGCATTTAATTCTTGTGTAATAGCATAATTGCATCACGTGACGTGCACTCTACACTTAAATTGTTCAGCATTCTTGCTAAGCTCGGCTCGAAAGACACCAAATATATGCTTATGATGAATGCCTGCTACATCTCTCATCAACGGCTTATCGATTGTTACCTTGGAATTGCAGCCTAAAACCCGTGGGGTGAAAACAACTATGTCACGTAACACGAGAAAAGTAGCCGCCGACCCCTCGAAAATTTACTATATAAAGGAAAGAAGGTTTTGAAACCCTCCTTTGCTCAAGAACTTCACAAAGACACACAGTAGAAACACACGAAAAGACGAGGAGAAGCAAGCGTCTGCTACTCATGACAATGTCTAGAGATGCTAAATGAGAAGAAAGGACGGACAGAAGTTATTGAATTACCAAGCTAAATGTGCCACTCCTGAAGGCAGAAACTCCGGCAGCCAGGCGATGAAGTATTTAGAAACGCACACCAAAAGGCTCATGAAGGGAAGCGCAAGTTCCGAGCAGAAACTTACTTAATTCTGTGACGCCCAAGAAAAGTTTGACGTGAAATTTCGGAGTTCAGACGTAGTCCGTGAATCGTGCTTTTCTGCGCTCGAGTTAAACGCATACAATGTCGTAGATTACAAACTCCCTGATTCAAGCCATGTCCCCTTCCTCGAATTCACAAATGCTTTTCTGCTTTTGTGCGCTAAACACAAGCGATTCCAAAGACTCCCTCCTTATTCACTCTCTTCACAGCAGCCACCAAAAACCAGCTTCCAATTCTACCCCGTGCTCGCTATCCGGAAGCTTTCGGGTCATGTGGTTCCGACTATTAGCGGATTTACCACGGAAAGCCCAATTTGCGCGAATTCTTCTTGGCTTAACATTTTCCGTTTCAAAGCAGCATAGCCGTGGCTATACTGTCATTTTAAAAGACGTCCCCCGCGGAACCGCCTGAAGAATACATTACGAAAAGTAAACCAGGTTTTTTTTTTAGAACGGGAGTAAGCGTAGTCACATGGGAATGCAGCAAACCGAAGGGTTTTAGGCCGGTTAGTGGCATTTTTATGAAAGCTCAAAGTTTTTCTTCGGCATTTGTCCCTTTCACGCTACAAAAGTTCGCGATAAACCCAGTCCGCGTCCATCTTCCAAGTGGCTGCAAGAATCTCATCCAGAAGAAATTCACCTTTTTCTTGGATCACTTGCTTGGCTGTCTATTTTTCGCTCAAACTCGGAATTTCGGCTTTCTTAATATTTTCGTTGTTTTTGCAAATTTCGAAAAACGAAAAAGTTGACCTTCGAAAAACAAGCCTTCTCAGCGTCTTCCCGCGCATCTTATTTGATAAAGAGGAAGAGTTGAGCTTCAGGTGATTTCAAGGCCCATCTACTACGTTTCAATCACAGGAGCCAAGACATTTTTTTGGGCCGTGAAATCATGTCATCTTTGCGTGTTTTGGTTGTGGGCGAAAATCCCAATGTTCTGCTATACGCGTGGCGAATTCAGCAGTCAAAAAGTGTGAGTTTGACATTTCTCAGCAGCTCGAAGTCTGCCGAGTTTAGCGTGCGAACGGCTCAGTATGGCAGCGACAGGTTTCGGTTCGAGCAGCACTTCGAAAATGTGGAACAGATGCTGGCCAGCGCGGACGGCAATTCCCGAGTTTTTGATCTCATTATTCTCAGCGCAAAGTCGTTGCAAGAAATGTCTAGTCTAGCTGCAAAACTAAACCCAGTTTTGAATCTAAACACCAAAATTTTGGTCGAAAGTTCGGGATTCGTGCACCTTGAGCCCTTTGTCAAGATGTCTATTGAGTTCGGGCAGCTCAAAGTATTTTCTGTCATGTGCGACTTTGACTTTCGCCAGATCTCTTCGTCCCAGTTTGCACAGGCCTCGCACCAATTGGCACCATGTAACATCTTTCTCGGGGAGGCCGGTGTGAAGGGCGGTGTCAAATACTCAAGCGATAATGTGGCTCTCCTGGAAACTTTCAAAAGACTATTCGTGAAGCTCTTTCCCCAGGACAATGTTCATGTTTGCAACTTTGCATATGCGGAATTTTTATCACAGCAGTGGAAACTGGCACTTCCTCGCATTTGTTTTGATCCTTTGTACATTCTTCTTGAGAACTCGCGGCCCGAAGAATTGAACGAGCAGATTTTAGCTAAGCCGTTGATATCAGGGCTAGTGACAGAAATAATTACTGTGACTAAGACCATGGGCGCTAAGCTTCCTGTGGGTTTTGACAATGAAAAAGATCTGTTGCAGCAATGGCTCAAGACGACTAACAATGAGCAGCCCCAATTGGCATATCATTTTCTGCAAAAGACTGCACCTTTGAATGTTGATATGCTTCTTTTGCAGCCTATATTACTTGCTGACGATTACGGAATAAAAACTCCATATTTAGAGTTCCTTTATTCTATGATGTGCCAGTACCAGAAGATAAATGATGGGGATTCCATATTATTTACCAGGGCCAGCTCACAGTCGAAGCTCACGGAGGAATTAAGAAGACTCGATCTTGAGCAAAACAGCTTGAAATCTCAGCTCCAGTCCGCTCAATCTACTTTGGCAACCACCAACCAAACTCACTTGGCGCAAATAAAGGCCAAGGAGAACCAAGAACAAGGGCATAAAAACGAAATTGCATATCTAAAGGGTCAGATCACAAAGATTAACAGTGAATTGTTAAATGAGCAGCGTAAAGTCAGTATCCTAGAGGCAAATCAAAGGAAACAAATAGAGCAACAGCAGCAGCGTCAGTTACACCAAAAAGCACAACAGAACGTACCACAGCCACAGCCTCAGCAGCAGCAGCAGCAGCAGCAGCAACCTTATCAACAGAGGTCCCTCCAGGAAGGTGTAAGCCCCACGGACCCGGTCAGCAACAGCTCGTCCGCTGGCACTCCTAATCTTCGTGAACTAGAGGATATTGCAGTTTATGGAGTCCATTATGGCATGTCTCCGACGCAAGAACGCCAAGTAGATGTGAAAGACTCAGAATCAGATATTCAGACTGCGCCTGTTAACGTAAATGGAACGCATTCTGCTGGAGCCCCTGGTACTGTCTCCACTGTTGAAGGTGGGGATTCCATTCTGCGTGAACGCGAGCTCGAATTACGCAGGCGCGAACTGGAATTGCAAGAAAAAGAGCAAGAACTCCAAAGGAGAGCAGCCGCTAGACCAAGACCCGCAAAATATCAGAGCGCCCCCATGATACAACCTGGCCCTATACCTAATGGTCATGGTTCAAGAAAACCTTCTTACTCGCATGCGAGCACGAGAAACAATAGGCAAATGCACGGTGCTTCTCAAAGCATTATTACGCAAATGGCTGATCCAATAACTATGCAAATAAGCACAGGGCAGCCCTCCCCTCTGCCTGGGCAACTTGGACCTGCTATTGGAAGTCCTTTGGGCGGTCCGCCTGGTTCTCAAGGTCATCATGCGCACCAATTCAAGACTACCAGTCGTAAGAACAGGCGTAGCAACATGCCCAATCTGCGCCATGCTTCTAGCGTAGACGTTTTGTCTATGGCTGGCACGGGCGCCGCACCACAAGGTGCACACCAGCCCTCAGCTGCTAACAGTTCGGGCACACGATTAAACTCGATGATGGGCAATGGTCCTCCACCCGCCATCGTGCTAAACAAACCGCAGAGTGGGAGCAATTTGCAATTGAACAATGTACCAAATCAATCTTCTCACGGCTTCAGGGTGGGGCCTCCTTACTCTAATGGGTCCGGATCGTCACTGCCACCGCAGCAACAGCAGCAACAACAACAAAGACAGATAAGCTCTAGTACCGTGCTTGCTGAGGATCCTGTCCAGGCAAACATCTCCTCTCACACAGTGGTCCATAACCCTGTTACGCAACAAGCTTTGAACGGCCATTCCAGTGGGTCTTCAATGTCTGCAGAGTCACCGTCAGCAATGTCACCTAGCGACAACTTGAATGTCAGTGAACCCTCTCCCATCTCAGTTTCGGAAGCTCATGGCCAAGAGAACAATTTACAATCTACTCGAGATTCGAGCACGATGCTTGACTCGGGCTTTGAATTGAATCCAAAAGAAGCAAAAAAGAAGAAGTCTAAGTTTGGTTTGTTCGGCAAGAAACGGAACAAGCATTGATCAATGCAACATTGAAGGCGTAAAAGTCAGGAACCGAAGCACCTTACATATTAATCAGTATAAAGATATGATCATAGAATGAGGACGATAATTTGATGCTTAAAGACTATTAGATTATTTGATTTAATGATTACTACTACCTTGATGAAAGCCCAACAGAGAAAAAAAAATAATTTCAAAAAGAATGGTCTCTAGCGGGATCGAACCGCTGATCCCCGCGTTATTAGCACGGTGCCTTAACCAACTGGGCCAAGAGACCTTTGTTGTATGATGAGAAAATATTCAGTATACATATCAATAGGAAAAGCGCGGATGACAGAATTTTTGAAATTTCGGTAGTGTGTAACAGCAGCTGGTTTCGACACATAGAAATTCCATTGAGGAATAACGCGGTTCTTTTGTTCTTTCTAAACCAGCGTCATAAAACACAAGTAACAAATTAGATAAACCCTAGAAACAAGCCTCCGTGAGCCTTGGTGATTTGTTCGATTCAGGGTCGGTTTTATCGTTTTCGAAAATGGTCACGTGCTAGAGTCTCTCACTTGTATTCCTGACTACTCGATTGAGCTGGCATTTTAGGATGTTCAGCCGGAATGAGTCAAAATCCGCTAGCACTACTTGCATCATCTAATCTTCCACTCGTTCTCAACTTTCGCCTATCGTGTGTTTTGCTGACGGAAGCCAATTCTTTTCACTGCTGATGCTGCAATGTCAATTTGGTATGAAATGATATGGCGTTAAAGTGACTTCTAACAGGAATTCGCACCAGTTCGCCGCCAGTCACATTGATTCCAACCATTTTAAGACTATGCTTTGTACCATAGAAGGCCTGAACCAGCTACCTTCTTTCTAGTGATAATCGATGCGAATTCGTATTTCGTGACTGGAAAGTCGTACTAGAATTATACGCATCATACAACAAAGTTTCACACAGACACACACACACACATACAAAACAGAAGAGAAATACCACGAACATACACTCTAAAGCTGTGAAATGTTGCATCTTGTCACGTGCCATACAAAGATCTTCGTCATACATGATCCTCAAAATCAATCACTATTTCCCAAACTGACGCAGTCCGGTGAAAAATTTTTAAGAATTGTAATTACTCGAATCTCAAATATTTCAAAGGATCTGGAAGAAAGTAGCATTACATTCATTCTACAAGTCAAATCGCCTCATTGAATCACTGGAAAATATGCCAATTGACCAAGAAAAACTAGCCAAGCTACAAAAACTCTCTGCTGCCAACAAAGTTGGCGGTACCCGCAGAAAGTTTGCCAAAAAGACTGGTTCTTCTGCTGGTGGTAACAAGGATGACACCAAGTTGCAAGCGCAATTGGCCAAGTTGCGTGCTGTGACGATCGACCAGGTGGAAGAAGCCAACTTCTTCAAAGAGGACGGCAAAGTGCTGCACTTCAACAAGGTTGGTGTGCAAAACGCTCCTCAGCACAACACTTCGGTTTTCTACGGTATTCCACAGGAGAAGACCTTGAACGAGCTATTCCCATCGATCATTCCTCAGCTGGGCGAGGACTCTATCAATGCTTTGACCCAATTGGCTTCGCAAATGCAGGGCAACCAAGCCGCCCAAGAGGCCGCTGCTGGTGCCGGTTCTGACGACAAGTCCGATGCTGACATCCCAGAACTAACCGGTCAAAAATTCGACACTGACGTCGAGTAGATGCATCCACATCAGTAAATCGGGCTTGTAAATTGAGATAAGAAAAAAGCACCGGGGCATCGCATCCAGGCCAGTTCTTTGTTGAGCAGACTCGTATTAGTCCGCAAGCAAGAAGAAAGAAAAACCAAAAGATCACGAATTAGTTTCTAGCCGTTTTAATACACAAGTTTTACAAAAGAATTTTAACAATTACAGTGTCCCTGTTGTTACAGAGCGCGCTGCGAAAATATATACATATATATATATATATATATATGGTACATCGCTCACAGACATAGGGAGACCAGCCCGTCTATGATCTGTTCGACTCTCGCGAGACTGGCAAAATGAGTAAAATATGAGAGATAGATGTGTTTCTCATCATACTTTGGCCCCATTGAGTCTTGCCTTTTCCAAAATCTCGTTTATGTCCCCACCTATACTTAGAAGCTTTTCTCGGTTTCTTTTGCATGTCATAGTGTCGAAGTGTCTTTTCAGTGCGTCCTTACGCGCAAATCCTTTCCCACAGAGTGAACAGATATTGGGCAAAATTGGCAAATGTGCTCTTTCGTGTCTCCTAAGATCACTGGACCGTCTAAACACTAGCTCACATTTAGCGCATGGGAATTTCTTGGCCTCATCGTCAGCAGATCCAGTGCTACTGGTATTGAGAGTCCTGTTATTATTATTATTGTTATTATTGGTATTGCTGAAGTTGTTTTCCTTTGAGTCGTCCCTGCGCATGGATTCGGCCGTTTCTGACTTTTTCCGCTTCTTGTTCCCTGGATATTCGGACGAAGCATGTAAAAGCTCATCTGCAGATGAAGAGGCAATATCAGCGTTACTGAGAAGCTGGTCGAAATAGTTGAGAACATTTTTATTTTCGAGAGGAATGACCTGTTGAGGCTCTCGTGTGACGGTTTTTTGCGAGTCTACGTATTTCAAACGACTGAGCAACTCCTTAATAGTGGGATCCACATTTGAACTGTTTAGACTGATGGCTATCAAAGCTTCAGCAGCTTGTCGGAAAAAAGCTGTTGTTTCGGTCATCCTAGGTCAAATTGCGCCGTTTTTGTGACAAAAAAGTCAGTTCAAATTCCGTAATTCTATAAAGCAAACCGTTGGTACAGGAAAGCGTTTGAGAATGGCTTGTTTATCACTTGAAAGCTTGTGATGTCAAAGAAATAGTCATCTCATCTCTAGTCAAGTTGTCAATTAATCACGAAATTTGGATGACTTCATGTACCTGCATACGAGCCCATAAAAGCCAGAAAAACACACGCAAAAGCCTGTCATCTAGGAACAGACCAGGAGCTTTCGCAATGACGATTTGTCAAATACTTGTCTCATGTCATCGGTATTTTCTTGAATCAATGGTACGATCTCAAAACGAGCTCTCTCGAAACGTCAATTTTTGATGCTTATCAATGACAAAATTCACATCCGAGTTCAAACAAGATGCAATGAACACCGTTATTTTCGTGATTGTAGCAACCGAAGGCTGTCTGAATTTTGGTCTCTTTAACGCTCTCAATTGATTAAAGTGTCTTTATAAAAGTGACGATGACACAATTTATTGAAAACACACTCTAAAGCTTAATGTGAACGGTATTTCCTGACACGCATCAGTGCAACACAAACTTTTGGACGGCAAAATGAGTAGAAATAATCTCTGAATATCATCTTCTGCCAGCAACAACTCATCGCTATCAACTATCTTTCAGATTCGCTTTAATCGCATGCTAATATTGTCAAGTTTTACTGACATTATTACATCGGCTTTCATAAATACTGAAAATAATAAGAAATGTCTTAGTTCAAATTCACTCCGAAAGTCATAAACTAGCTTGAGAATCGATCCTTTGACGGTATATATGGTGTCACCATCTGTGCGGCTAGGTTCGCGACACACGTACCAAAAAACTCTTTGTTTGCCAAAGACCAAGTTTCCCAACCGATCAAATTTGCAAAAAACGGTCGATGTGTTGATCCCACAATCATCCCAAAACTTGTACAACCACCAGTTTAACGAATTTCTGCGACGTGCAACAGCCCTGGGTCAACAAGAAAGGCTGAAGTTCGTGCAGGAAAAACTGTTTGTTTTGCACGATGGCCCACCTTATGCAAATGGCGATTTACATCTGGGCCATGCCCTGAACAAAATACTAAAAGACTTCATTAACAGATTTCAGCTTTTGAGAGGCAAATTTGTATACTATAGATCCGGATGGGACTGTCACGGGCTGCCAATTGAGTTGAAGGCATTGCAAAAGCTTAATTCCAATACCAACAAGCTTTCTGCGACGAAGGTGCGATCTCTGGCCGCTGAACATGCCAAGAAAACCATCAAAAGCCAGCGAAGTCAATTCGAGAAATTTGCCATAGCCACCAACTGGGATGACCACTACGAAACTATGCAAAAGCCATTTGAGCTTCGACAACTAGATAACTTGAAAAAGATGATTCATCGGGGTCTAATCAAAAGGCAAAATAAGCCAGTGTACTGGGGAACGGAAACCAAAACTGCTTTGGCAGAAAGTGAACTAGAATACAAAGAAGACCATATTTCAACTTCCGCCTATGTCAAGTTCCCGCTGAGCAGCGACTCAGAAGCATTTCTGCAAAAACAATTCTCTTTGGACACTGAAAAGGGAATCGACGTTGTTATCTGGACAACAACTCCATGGACGTTATTTGCCAATCAAGCTATCTGCTTCAACAAAAATTTGGAGTACGGCATTTACGAGTTTGGCAACAGGTACCTATTACTTCAAAGCGAATTTGATATTGGGAAGTTTGAAAGCAATGGAGCTGCCCGTCACATCGCCTCATTGACGGGCGAACAACTTTCCACACTAAAATATGTGAATCCGATTATGGACAAACTTGATGAAAAACCTTTTCTCCATGGTGAACATGTAAGCAAGACAGCAGGCACAGGATTAGTCCATACCGCCCCGGGTCATGGATTCGACGATTACGCGATCGGCATAAAACATGGGCTCGAAATTTTCTCACCAGTGGACAATGAGGGCCGCTATAAACTCGATGCATTCCCTGACCCCATTCAAGCTATACTGAAAGATTCAGACGATGGAATTGGACGTAAAGTAATGAAGGAGGACACCACAGATATAGTCGTCGAGCTTTTACGTCAGAGCAAGATGCTTCTAAAAACAGAGACATATTCCCATTCTTATCCCTACGATTGGCGATCCAAGAAACCTGTGATCATAAGAGCGACACCTCAATGGTTTGCAGACCTCACCGACGTCAAAAGCTTGGCGCTTGAAAGTTTGGAGAAAGTTAAATTCTTTCCTGAAAGAGGGCACGTAAGACTGGCATCATTTATAAAATCTAGAAATGAGTGGTGTATTTCTCGTCAACGATCCTGGGGAGTGCCAATACCAGCCTTTCATAAACGTGATAACTCTGAAGAGGTCATCATGAGTGAGGCTACCGTGGACCATGTTATATCAGTGATTGAACGGAAAGGAATTAACGCGTGGTTCGAAGACGGATGCGAGGATATGAAAGAGTGGCTGCTACCAGAATATCACGATGTCGCCCACTTGTATTGCCGAGGGAAAGATACCGTAGACGTCTGGTTTGACAGTGGCAGTACATGGAAGGAACTGGAATCTTTTTACTCACATCAGCTGGGCTTGGACACAATACCTTTCCCACTGGCGGATGTCTATCTAGAAGGCTCAGATCAGCACCGAGGCTGGTTTCAGAGTTCCCTGCTGACAAAGGTAGCCACTACAAATGTACCCGAAGCACCATATGGAACGCTGATTACTCACGGATTCACACTGGACGAACATGGAATCAAAATGTCTAAATCCATTGGTAACATTGTTTTGCCGGAGAGCGTTTTTAAAGGAGATGAAAAACAAGGCATTCCTGCACTTGGTGTGGACGGACTACGACTATTAATTGCACAGGCGGACTTCACCACCGATGTGGCCATTGGACCTACAATTACGCAGCGCGTCGCAGATGCTTTGAAAAAGCTCCGACTGACTTTCAAGTTTCTCCTGGGAAATTTGCAGCAATCTGAGTCCGAATACAAGCTTCTGGAGTTTGAAAAGTTGAGGCCAATTGACCAGCATACATTGATCAAATTGAGCGAGCTGAACACGGAAACTTTGAAGCACTACGAGTCTTTCAATTTTTCTAAAGTTTTGAATGCTGTCATGTACCATATGAACAACCATCTGTCGGCCTTCTACTTTGACATCATCAAAGACTCACTCTACGCCGATTCTGTCGGTGGCTTAAAGAGACAGCAAGTGCAAACTACCTTGTTTCACATCCTCGACACATACAGAAGCATTCTGGGTCCCATCATACCCGTGATGGTTCAAGAGGCTTGGAATTATCTCCCTCCAGGTTGGTATAAAGCTGAAGGCGCTTCATCAGACACGAATGTCTTGCTGTCTCCTTTAATGCGTCCCTGGGCCGTCCCCCCGGTTTTCTCGTCGTCGGATCGTCAGATCCACGATTTTGAACAAAATGAATTGAAGATCCTGCGAGCGTTCAACAGTGAATTCAAAAAACTGGCGTCTGTCACCAAACCCGCTCAAACTCAAGCCAAAATAGCCGTTCTTGGAAGTAGCGGCTTGCATATCTGTACCGAATCTTTGGCAGATTTACTACAGGTCGGTCATTTGCAAATTGTGGACGCACCACTACCAGACGGTGTTCGATTGAGTTTGGGTGATGGGGAAACTTTGATAGATCTTCTAGTTGAGCCCAGCGAGCTCCATGAATGTCCTAGATGCTGGAAACACAACTCACATACGCCAAATTCCCTGTGCAAACGGTGCGACGCCGTTGTTAACGTGACCTAGGCTAAGAGAGTAATCCTGTCAAGATTTCAAATTGAAAGGCACTACCCATCAAGAAAGTAACCAAGCGTACACACACACAAACGCACTGTTCCAAAGACAATTAGAACCACAGAATGATTCTAGGAGTGTTAAAACTCGGCATCCATTCATCTGTCAAGAGTTTTCCGTCAGGAAATCCAAGTCGTTTGGTTTACTCTGGCATTCTCAGCAAAATAAGGCATCTGCGATGCTATTCGAGTTCCGATCAAAGCAAGACTCCAGAGGTCCCAAAACCACCCAACAATTTAGATAGAGTGCACAAGGTCATAGCCAAGTCGCGGTTTTTGCGGAAACTCAATGAAAAACCAAGATTTAAGGCCTATTTCGACAAATTGGGCCAGACTAGTCCCGTCAGCACTATCACCTCATTTTTGATTTTGCATGAAATAACGGCAATCGTGCCGCTATTTGCATTGTGGTGGGTATTGTACAAGCTCAACTTGGAGGAACAGTATAATCTGCCAGTATATTTCAAGGACTTGTTGAACCAGTGCGGGGACTCAATTCAAAAGTTGGTTGACAATTACGACGAAGGTTTTGACCGCAACCGTCTCGTCTTGTCAGGTGCGATCTCGTACGCCGTAGTGAAAATACTCTATCCTATAAGGGTGCTAATAAGTCTCTGGGCTGCTCCTTTCTTCTTCAAGTGGATCATAGCTCCATTTCAAAAAGTTGGCAAGCTTTTCAAAAAGCCTCCAACCAAGACTTCTGATTCGTAAAACGTATATAGACATCGATTCAGATGCGTCACTAGAATTTGAGTTGGTAACGTAGATTGCTGATTCTAGCATCACTCATTCGTCGCTTTTTCATCAACAAGTCGTTTTTTGGAAGATTTCCCATCAGATACAGTTAACGTAACCAACCCATCATCACACCTAAGGGCTCTCTGATCTCTCAAAAAGATACACAATTGCAGGAATTCAGGAATGTATAAAGCGCTGAACCAAGCTCCTAAGCTTGGTCAAGAGTCTCAACAAGCTTCGCAAAATGCATGGCCCCAGCAAATATCTGATATCAAAGCAGGCAGTTCCAGCGGTGCCAAACCCATGCTGATGGCCAGTAGTAACGTCTTTTCAATAGGACCTTACAGAAGCCGCAAAGATGCCAATAGAATCTCGGTGGTGGAGAAATACGAGATTATAGGTTACATTGCAGCAGGTACTTATGGTAAAGTTTACAAAGCTCGCAAGAAGGCATCTGTGAAAAACGGTTCAGCCTCTTCACCATCCGATAGCGAAACGTCTTTGCCAACGACGTCGGGCTTCCCATTAGGCAACCAAGAGACTCTGGATGTAAACTCGATCAACAAATCAACCAGAGTTCAAGATTCTAGCACATCTCTGCCGTTTTTGAACCAGACCCAAGAACCACATTCAGATCAAAAGTTAGAGAACACACAAGTGGCAACTGTACCGGCAAACCGGGTGATCATTGCATCGCCCACAAAGAAGTCTCCTATGCTATTTGCCATTAAAAAGTTCAAGACCGAACGAGAAGGAGTGGAACAGCTACACTATACTGGGATTTCACAGAGTGCTTGCAGAGAGATGTCCTTGTGTCGAGAACTCCGAAATAAGCATCTCACAAACTTGGTTGAAATCTTCCTAGAACACAAAAGCATCTATATGGTCTCTGAATTTGCAGAGCACGATCTTCTACAGATAATCCACTTCCATTCACATCCAGAAAAGCGTTTAATCCCGCCTCGAATGCTCAAGTCAATCATTTGGCAAATACTGGATGGCGTGTCGTACTTGCATCAAAACTGGATTCTACATCGGGACCTGAAGCCTGCCAACATAATGGTGACAGTTGATGGCTGCGTCAAAATCGGTGACCTGGGTCTGGCAAGGAAATTTCATAACATGGTTCAGACGCTTTATACAGGTGATAAAGTTGTCGTAACCATCTGGTACAGAGCGCCCGAATTACTCTTAGGTGCGCGTCACTATACTCCAGCAATTGACTTATGGGCCGTCGGTTGTATTTTCGCTGAACTCATAGGACTGCGACCCATCTTCAAGGGTGAGGAGGCCAAGATGGACTCCAAGAAAAGCGTTCCATTCCAAGCAAATCAGTTGCAGCGAATCTTGGAAGTTCTCGGTTCCCCCAACGATAAATCCTGGCCTGACATTTACAAGTACCCGGAATACGAGCAGCTTTCTAACTTTCCAAGGTATAGAGACAACTTGCCCGTGTGGTACCATTCCGCTGGAGGCCGCAACAAAGAAGCTCTGGATCTGCTTTACCTTTTACTCCAGTATGACCCCATCTCGAGAATCGACGCAGTTGATGCGCTTGAACATCCTTACTTTACTAGCGAAGAACCCGCTGTATGCGAAAACGTCTTTGAAGGACTGAAGTACAAGTACCCTCCTAGACGAATCCATACCAATGATAGCGACATTATGAACATTTCGAACTCAAAGGCGAAATCAACCGCTGTTAATCCACAAGCGGTGGCTTCCAAAGGTGCTACAAATGCTTCGCTAGGGGGATTAGGTGTTAATCGAAGAATTTTAGCAGCAGCAGCTGCTGCCGCTGCCGCCGTATCAGGTACCAATTCCTCGTCGCGACCAGCGTCTTCAGCTAGCCTCAGTGGTCCCGCACGTAAGAAAAGGAGGTGATAGAGAGCATCGGACGATAAAACTTTCAGTGTTACTGGATAAGTGAAAAAATCGTGGTTTATGTATGGTACAAGTATTTAATGCAAATCTTTTGTTAGGTAAAGTAACACCCGCCCAATGAAACTGGGTGCGTAACATTATGCTGGAGGTATTTTAGCTATCAAGCTTATTTTCTGCTCTGCTTTCTCTTACGTTTGAAGCCAATCAATCTCTTGATGTTCTCGTCAACGCCTGATTTATCAGACTGGCTCTTGGTTTTCTTTTCAGATTTTTTGTCATCAGTCTTTCTGGATTTAGTACGAGGGGCATCGTTCTCCTTAGCGTCCTCAGTTGCGGGTTGCTCGCGCTTTCTCTTGGCGGACTCTCTGCCACCTTGTTGAGCCTCTTTTCTTCTCTTCACGACATTAGCGTTTTCAATTGCGAACTCGACACACAACCGACGACGTGAAAGACCTTCGACATCCACTTCCTTCTTCTCTTCATCGGTAAGGCCTTCGAGAAGTTCTGCTCTTTTGACTTCATGTGCATTGAGCCATCTCAGTCCCATGAGAGCGGCTTTGTGATCTCTGAACTCAACAAAACCATAACCACGACTTCTACCACTGGAGGAGCCCTTGACTTCCATGATTACTTTTGCTTGTCTCACAACACCTTGCTTTTTGTCTTTCTTCTTCCTCGATGCTATCTCTTCCTCAGTCATAAACTTGTACTTTTCCTTGGTGGACCTTTGAATTTCTTCCTTGCTGAGCGGATGTCTTTTCTTCAAATTGACTTCTGTAGCAAACTCAACAATAGCCTTACGCGCAAGAGCCTTCAGAGCCTTATCCGTCATCGCCCTTGGGAGATTTCTGACGGCCAATCTGGTCAGAGAGAGATGCAAGCTCGGATTTTTCTTGAGCTGTTCCACTCTCAGCTTGTAAGATGCGTCTCTGATTTCCATATCCTTAGCACTCAAAAGTTCTGCAAGCTTCGAGCCCTCTGTGATTCTACCTTCGTTCAGCAGGTACAGATTACGTTTGTCCTTCGCAGTGGGAGCCTTGCCAAAAGTTTCTTTACGCAACGAGGCATTATGCTCCGCATTCCTTCCAGCAGATTCTCTATCAAGCGAGGGAGTAACGGACAAAATCCGACCTTCGTAAACGTACTTGTAAGGAACATCGTCACTAATCAGTAAAGAAGTAGTACCAGACGCTGGTGCATTCTTAACACAGTCCTCAAAAGTGTCTTGCTGCTTGAAGGCTACAAAAGCCGATCCCTTAGCGAGACCAGTCTCTTTGTCTATAACAGGAAGCGCGTATTTGACGGGACCAAACTTACTAAAGTGCTCTTCCAAGGATTCTTGCGTAGCATCGTAGGGAACATTACGAACGAAAATGGACCATTGTTCTTGTTTGTTTTTCTTGGGACGCTCCATCTCATCTTCCTCCTCCAAGCTCGCATCACCCTCTGCGTCGCTTTCTTCATTTTCCGCGTCACTCTCACTTTCTTCAGAAGCCTCGTCTTGGTCGTCCACGTCTTCTTCGCTTTCTTCTTCACTTGAAGAGCCCTCCTGTTCAACAGTTGGTGCCACTGGTGCTGTCTGGTTGTGCTGTTCCCATTTGCTCTTCTGAACTGCAAAATCAACCGCAACCTGCCTTCCGTCAATTTTTAAATCTTTAGACTCCTCGATTGCCTTTTTACACGCTGCCAATTTCTTCATGGTCACGAATGCAAACCCACACAGCTTTCCGTCTGGTTTTTTGGGAATTTTGGCCTCCACCACAGTTCCAAATCTCGCAAACACCTTCTTGAGTTGGTCTGGATTACGCACGCTCCAGGGCATGTTTCTGATGATAAGCTTTGGTTTTCCTCCCAACAATTCCTGTTCTCTGGCCTCGGGGCTACGTGCATTTTGATCCGTCTCCTGTCTGTTATTACCAGCTCTATCTCTTCTCTTGGCAACATCCACTCTAAGCAGTCTGCCCTTGAACTTGGTCTTCCTCGCTTTCTCTAGCGCTTCTTTTGTATCGTCTTCAACAGCGAAACTAACGAACCCAAAACCCCTGGAGTTCTTCTGCTCATCCTTAACAATCACAGCATGCTTAATCGGAGCCAAATCTGCGAAAAATGTCGCCAACTCTTCATCTGACGCATCGAACGGAATCGAGCGGACGAAAAGGGTTTTCATATCCAAAAAGTCTCGTTTTTTCGAGTCCTCATTCTGCACAGAGTTGGTACCATGGTTGTTCGACGTCATGGCGGCCTAAAGAGCTCAAATACAGCTATAAATTGCTAGGTCTATTCTTGGATGTATATGCGATGAGCTTTAAATCGAGATGCGATGAGATGCTTTAACCAAAAATTTTCAAAAGTGATGATGTCATATTTCACGGACATCTAAAGTAAACATAATTATAAATTGATGTTATTTTCCATACCTTGGCCGCCGAAGTAACTGTAAACAAAGCATCTTTGGCTCTGTTCAAGGTCGATAAGAGAGCCCAAAACAGAATTTATACAGTGAATTAAATACAGAAAAGCCTGTTATTGTAGGGGTTTATATAGCTATTGTCTAGTTGTGTCCCCTTTGGCGCTTATGATTCTATCCGATGACTTTAAGTACAACTTGAGTGACAACGTTGTGCATAAAAAGCTTTTGAGATTGTCATCTAATTCCAGGTACAAATGGGTCCGAGAATGGCTTCAAAATCTCAGCGGCAGCCAGAGACGTGTTATAGCTAAAATTCTGGGTAGAAAGCCTGCCGTGGACGACAGGAGAGCAGAAATAAAGCTATGTAGGTATCTCGCTTCCAGAATTTGCGCCCAAGGTATCAGCTTGGGACAAATAGCTCAAATGGACTGCCTGGATCTTTTTGAAAATGGTGACCAGTACCGATGGAATGCATTGACCGCTGTGGACTCGGCGGGCAAAGACCAGCGGTTGACGTTGCGCATCGCGCCCGAAAAAGTCGTGGATGCCCTTTCGCGCGATCTGGACGGTTTGTTCCGCACACACACCTATTTCACGGTGCATCCACGACTACCGCTCGTCATATTAAGAGTTCAACTCTTTGACCTCGAAGATTCGTCCAGAACATCCAAAATGGCAAATAGAAGCCCCTTCTACGTTGCTTTGCCCCACAACTCGCCCACACTCATCTTTTCAGCGGCCACTGACACGTATGCCAAACTAATAACCAACAGTGTAGTGAGGTGTGCGTGTCATAAGGATGGGATTATATTTCAAAATGCTAGGAAAAGTGCTACACGGAACCTTGACACAGTCGCAGTTTTCTGCAATTTGACTCGAGATGCAAATTCTATGGGGCCTTGGCACGCGTACGCGAACAACACGGCGGAGTCGTCGCCGCTGCATGAACGGGTCTCTGATGACAAACGACAAAACATCTTAAAACAACAGTTGAGCGTGAAAGAGCAGTCTCACTTGAGGTTCAAAGGCCCTGGTACACTGAAAGTCGAAGAGAATCACCAAAATTGGTCGGAATACAGTTCTTCGCTTGCGGTTCCCCGGGTTGATTACACCGTCCAGAATAAATCTACCGATACCCCCAACATTTCCTTTAAAATGAAGCTATTTGGTACAGACATATTTGCAGGCTTCCATGAACTTTGTGACAAGGCTTTTATTGATCTCAATATTTTGCCAGGTTGGTTATCCGGGGAGAATGGACCTCGTTGCGGAGTAATACTTAACGGAAGTTTTAAAGAGGAACCAAACTGAGTACACTGTAACATCGAAATTTCCTAGAGTTTATTCATGGTATCTGTTATGAAAGCTCTGAGCTGAGGTTCATTTGCTGGCACTAGCCTATAAATGTCTTTCAAGCTCGAAACATCTTTCTCCTTTGAAGCCAATTGAATTGCATCCTGAAAAGCTGAACAATTCAAATACATTTCTAGCCTTTTTTCGTAGGGTATCCCTGTTACCATGCGAACGTAAACCACGGCCTCTTTTTTCTTTCTTTGCTGCAGGCAGCATTTATAGAAAGGCAGATATCCTATGGGTGACTTTCGCTCCTGTGAAAATTTATAGAGATCCTCAAACCTCTGCTCCTTAGCCAGAACACCGCACTTAATATGATAGTACTTTTGATCGGGTACCTTGAATTTCTTCAGCACAGTGGCAAGTGGTCGATCCAGTCGATGTCTTATCAATGTCTTAATGGTATCGTCCAAGCTTGTATCGACGATGCTGACGTTGTGAAGTTGCTCTAACTGTTTTTGAAAATCGATTAACTGAATCTGACGCTCTAGAACGTCTCGATCAAGTTTGATCAGAGGATCTTGGACGATTCGGCCATAGAGATCTCTCACCTGGGGCAAAAATTCACTTGGCGTATTATTGTTTTTGCCTTGTGCCCATAATTGAAATGCAAGTTCATCTGTTTGATCTGATTGTCGATAGTAGTCTATCAGAAATGACTTGTCATTCCTGCAGTAGTAGGCAAAAAGTTGATCACTGCGCATAATTAATAATATGAGTTTCATGAATTGGGCTGTTGTTAGCTGCTCACGCAGTTTGAGCAGTACAGATAGTGTCATTTCCGGATTGCCGTAATCTTTCGCTTTCTTTAAGGCAAGTTCGTGCTCGTCGAGATCGAATAATGCAGAAAATTCGATTTCAGGCAAAGCTTCTCTGAGCACTAGGTCTTTGGCTAGTGAGGGTCGTCCTTCTCTGAAAGCTGTCAATCCAACCTCTGCCATCGGTAGCTTGACGGGTAGACTTTCAGCTAATTTTAAGATAGAATCGAAAATGACTCTGTCCTCCAAGTCAGAGGATGAGAGAATTTTGGCTTTGCCCCAGGAGACGAAGACCTTTGAGAGTTTGTTCCTGAGCTTGAGAAAGTGGCAAACAGAAACGCACCCATAGAAATCTCCAGTCTTTATAAGTAACTTCAACAAAGTATCGATGCCAAGTGACTCAAGCCGATTTAACGTGAGTATGATGCCGCTTTCCGTAAGCATGTTGAGTACCCTCAGTTTATCGCATGTGTCCACAAATTGATCTGACTTTTGAGCTTCTTGTGTTAAAGAGCTTTTACCGAAAACAGCTGCTGATAGAAGTTTCTTTTGCCAATAAGGCTCGAGCTCATCTCTGGCGGCATCCAGACATTCTGCAACACCTTGATCCAAGTTTATTATTTTTAAATTCTCCACTGCCCGTGGTGCTTGCGTAGATAGAAGACTGACAGAGTCTAGAAGGATTGAACCCGGCTCTGTCGAGCCCATAAGAAAAACATTTGCAGTTTGATGTGTTACTTTTGAAATAAACCTCACCCGTTCCTTAGTGATTACTCTCAAGCCTTCTGTATCGGTTTGAATCGTGAAGACTTCTTCTGGGTACCAAAAGGCAATGCTTGAAGAGTCTGGCCCATATAACTTTACCTCCTCTTCTGTGAAACAGCAAGCTATAGTGTCATCGCCACACCATGCGATAAGGTTTGGATGAGAGTCCAATTTGAATTCCATCAGTCGGACTGTGTTGTGCTTGTATATTTTGATTTCGTAAGACTTGGCATTATAAAGGCACACAAAATTCTGTGGAGATATTACCACGGAATGCCACGACTCATTGCTTGCTTCCTTTACAAGCTCTCTTGAGCTCAAGTTGAAATGGTAGATATCGTCCACGTCAAGCAGCACTACCAGTTCTTTGTTTGAATGCCAGTGGTTTTTGGTCAATAGCGTATAATGCTCTTTGTTCTCGCATACTCTGACCAATTGGATGCCATCAAAGTGGTACAGATCCTGAGTCGACAGCAAAACTGCACATCGGCTCTTATAATCCCATATCGTATCCTCAACATCATCGGGCAAAAAGAAGTCTTGGAATTGTAGAGGAATCCAGTTATGGTATACCCTTATCCGATCTGTCATAGCGATCACTAAAGAGCCCTCGTCTTCAAAATCAAACTCATATTGCACAATTTCACTGGGAAGTGACTTGAAGTCGATCTTGGCAATGTATTGGCCCGTATAGAGGTAAACTCCAATGCTATCACCCGTTGTGACAGCTACTAAAGCTGTAGAAAACACAGCTTTAGTATCAGATTCTACTGGAAATTTCAGCGGGCACAGATCTCTGTCTCTATAAAACACATCCTGAAGTTTTTCCCAGCCCAAACTTGGGTTCTTGACAGGCATTGATGGCTTTGGCCTATCCTTTTGAATTAGTAGGTCAAAGTTCACTTTCTTAAGTACAACTTATAACTTGAAATATATCATGAACTTGAACTAAATCTGATCTTGAACGCAGAACAGAGGAACAAGGCGTCCATTAACTAACTGACAGTCAAGGATCTTCAATGTCTGAGGTCACATTAGTGTCAAAGAACAATGTTGAGGTTACCATATCTCGAGAAGCTGCTTCTGTATCTCCAGTACTGCGAAGTATGTTGTCTAGTCCATTCATAGAGCAACAAGAAAACAAAATCGAGCTAAAGGACATAGATTCAAACGTGCTTCAAAAGGTTGTCGAATATTTGGAGTACCATCAGAAATATATTACGGTTTCGGAGAATGAAGACATCCCTGAGTTCGAAGTTCCGACTGAAATGTCGTTGGAGCTTCTGTTGGTAGCAGACTACCTCAACATTTGATAAAGACATCTATGAAGTAGCAAGTACAGAATACGGCTATAGAATCACGAAATTGACTTTGGTAGTCTTGGAGCGTGATGCAGTGACTGGACAGTAGGGACACTTGAAATTGCAGGTTCCATTTTTGCTGAGTTTGTCCAGACTGAACTTTGAAATGATGTGATGACAGGGAAGTGCAAAGGGCGGGTTTTCTGTCGTGGTCTCTTCTTTGAGAACAGGGCAAATGAAAACGGGATGGAAGCTCGTCAAGAAATCCGGCAGTTTGACATTGAAAGGTAGTTCGTTCTCGGTGCTCCAATCAACATGGCGAGCTGCCTGCAGCGTTCTGTACTTGATGAAAAATTGGAAAGAGATGATACCGCTCATGACCACCAGGAAAAGAGACGAATTAAACGGGAGGCTGTTGCGGGCGCAGTACTCATGCGTGAATAAGTCCACGCATTTATTCCGCTGGTCGTCTAAGCTGACCCCGGCTTTTGGCGTTGCGACCACCTGAGCCAGTAGTGGTGCCACTCGGTGTCGCAGGGACGGTTTCTGCGTCTTTGTGAGGAATCCAGGTATATACTTGAGCAAATACTGGTAGGTGGCGAGTTTGTCGCCGCTTTGCAATAAAAACATGGCCCTGAGCAGATGGAGCTCGAACTCGAGGTCTGAACCCGGCGAGCACCACGCCATACATGGCTCTAGGTTATCTTGGCGCAGTTCACGCAAGATTTGTCCCATTTCCACGAAGTTAGTAGATACCGCAGGATCCACTCCGTAAACGTGTTCGAGATACTCTACCATGGCTCCAGAGTCCCGTTCGGGCACGTCGCACACGTTGTATCGCGAAATGTGCAGTCCTATAGCCTGTTCGACGTATTTGCGTGCACTGGATGGGAACTGGTTTGTGTAGACATTATCGAGGTCGATGTCGTATAACTTGTTCAGGGCACTTTTTTGAAAGCGGGATTGTTGTTGCGTGGCAAGCTTGATACTCTTTTTGACTCCGCTGTCCCAATTATTGTGCAATTTGTTGAGTTTGTCAATTGCAACCTGTCGTTTTTTCACAAGTTTAGCTGAGTTGTGTGCATCCTGCTGGCCCTCTTCCTGAATTTGTTTCGCTAGATAACCTTTCAGTTTTTTGACGTTTATCTTAAACTCATGGGTGTCTTCCAAACACTTTTTCAAATGGGTTTGACCTTCTGCGGCCCCATCGTTGAGCTTCTGGTACTCTGTTCCCAAAGTTTTCAGCAGTTCAGACATTTGGTGAATTAAGATAGCTTTGAAAGCCAAAAACAACGTTAGAGGCTGTAAAAAAAAAGCCCACTAGAAAAACTTTTCTTTCCTTCAACAATCTAGTGTTTTCAGAAATCTTACAGCTGTGCGTAAGTAACGTTTTGAGGCGTGTAAGAGAAGTATTGTTGATATTATCCCTGAAGGACTTAAGGTGGGATTTCCTTATTCTTGAATCAAATCATGAATGAGATGAGGTCGCTCTGAACGGAAGACCGTCCTTGCTGAAAGCGAAGAGAGCAGAAGCTGCCACCAAGCGCTCCAGTTTATAGTTCCTTCTAATCTTGGTAGAACAATGCTCTCATCAATCTCAGTCCTCGATTAATCTGCTTTACTTTCAGGTTCTCCTCCCACGCGTCAAGCACCGTTCAACGTGTGCTGCGAACCGGTTTGCTGAGACCTCTCTATTGCAATTATCACAATGGAAATAAATGGAACTGTCCAGCTGCTTAGGCATGCCGTGAATATCAAGATTACCTGACTTGTCGTAATGGTAGGGTTTCGGATCAATTCCATATCTAAATCTTAAGGCGTGTGCTTGCGTTGTGGTTCTTGCTACAATATCCTGGATCATTGACGATATCAGGTTGTCAAAAATAGAATGTGACGTGCTCTGTATGGTGGGATGCGACATGATTCGAGAATCGATTTTCTTGCTCAAGTCAAGCGACTAAATAATGTGTTTAGATCAAATGTATCGCTTTGTTGAATGGTTACTTCGAGTAAGTTATTTTCTAACAATTATATATACCTTTTAATATTTCTAAATCTAGATGGATACGATTGGAATCATAAGAAGCCAAGAAAATCAGTTCAAAACTAATGAAAATAAATATAAAGTAAAAAACTATCGACAAATGCTAGCCATGCTGAATTCCGAGCTTAGAAGAATTCGCAAATAAATACGTCTCTTGCGTCTGACCTTTTCCTTCTTTCTCTCTCTCTCTCTCTCTCTCTCATTTTGCTCTTTAACAAAACAGTCATCATGTGTTACCTCAGAGTTTGGCTTGAGGATTGGTAGAACGACGTGGCGCTAGAGATAGTGCTTCACGCTTGATGTTGTCGCCCAAGGTTTTGTCGACACGCGAAAACATCGAGAACACCCGATCCTGGATTTCCGGACATGCATGCGCAACATGAACCGCAACGTTGTGTGCCAAGGCCTGCTGCTGGCCAGGCGTGCGACCAAGAACATTGTAGAGACCCCGTGCCTGCACATAGTCCCCATCACCCGGAGACGTGGCCCAGTGGAAGGGCATTGCTGGGCCGGTCCATACCTCTTGATGCTGCTGAATAGGCTTGGACGCCTGGATATAGCTGTAGCTCTTGGTAGAAGATAAATAATTGGGCTCGGAACCGAGGTTCCCGTCCACGTTCATAGGGCCATCTCTAATGGCAGGATTGAACACCTTGGAAGCATAGGGACAATTGACCGGAATCTGGTGATAATTCGCACCCAACCGATGTCTGTGTGCGTCAGGGTAGGCAAACAAACGAGATTGCAAAACTGGATCGGCACTGGCTTCCTGGTAAGGCACGGTGTGGCTGGGAGAGAACGCCACCTGCTCTACTTGGGCAAAGTAGTTTTGAGGGTTCTCGTTCAATACCATTTTACCAATGCGACGAAGTGGAAACTGTTTGTGAGGCCAGATTTTGGTTAAATCAAACACCGAGAAACTCTGTTGTTTGGCTTGCTCCTCCGTCATTGTCTGGATGTAAACGGTCCAAGAAGGAAATTTGCCCTCCTTGATGTTTTTGAAAAGATCTTGGCCGCAGTAATCTGGACTCTCACCTGAAAGCTTCACGGCCTCTTCATTGCTGAGATTCTTGATGCCTTGATCTGTCTTTATGTGCACCTGAACGTAAAACCATTCACCCTTTTTGTTGGACCACTTGTAGGTGTGGCCCGAGTAGCCATTCATGTTACGGTAAGACGCTGGCGTGCCGCGGTCGCTAAACAGAATCATCACCTGGTGAATGGCAACTTGGTTTTCTGGAGTGGTTAAAAAGTCCCAGAACATATCTGCATCTTTCAAATTGGTTTGTGGGTTACGTTTTTGGGTGTGGATGAAATGTGGAAACTTGGAGGGGTCCCGAATGAAGAATACGGGAGTGTTGTTGTAGACCCAATCCAAATTTCCTTCCTCGGTGTAAAACTTGGTCGAAAACCCTCTGGGGTCTCTGGCAGTGTCTGCGGAGCCCTTTTCGCCGCCAACAGTGGAAAACCTAACCATACAGCGGGTCCGTTTGCCGATTTCGTTGAACATGGCCGAGCCACACACGTCCGAGATGTCATCTGTCACTTCAAAGTAACCAAATGCACCAGAACCGTGCGCGTGAGGGTTTCTTTCAGGAATCCGTTCGCGGTTGAAATGAGCCAATGAGTCCAGCAGGGTGAAATCTTGCAGAAGCAGAGGACCATGCTGTCCTACACGCTGTGTGGCAAAAGGTTCGTTGATGGGATTACCTTGTGAATTGGTCACAACGCGGTCCTTCCGAACGTTGGAGGCATTTGTAGGGTCGTCTTTGGCCATGATGCTGGACTTTTCGATTATTCTTCTCGAAGCGCTCTAAATGTCAAGTTGAAACGACTGTTGTTGCACTTGTATCACGCTAAATGCAATACTGGCACCACTTACTCTCGTAAAAATCGTTAAATGTGGTCACCTAACTCACAGATCAAATAACAGTGGTGCTTAAAATGTAAGATTGAGTTAGGGGAATTCTGTCAAACTGTCCTCTTTATATAGTCGTCGGAAACTGCTAAATTTTAAGGTCATCCATATCTTTCCCGCCCGCTTATCTAAACGCGGAGATTTACTCCAATTTTTTTCATTAGCCGATTGTAGACACGCCGGAGATGTCGGGCGTTACCGCAACGACACGAAATTCAAAAACGATATGGATATGGTAGCCAAGCCCTTGAAAAGTTAGGAATCGAAGAATCAGACATACTCCATGAATACCACGCTGCGTAATCTGATTTGAATGTAGTCAGATGGATACCCCCATTCAAAATGGTTTGATACGGTTATATAGTAGTCACTATGTACGAAAATATATTTGACCTATAAGTCCATAATTATTGAGCTCATCGCTGTCTAACAAGTGTTAAGTATAGTGGGGAGCATCACTGTGCTACCAAAAACAAATTGATCATAGCTGAAAAGGCGCTCTATTTTTCTTTAAGTTTCTAATATTATGTGATTGCAGTTGTCTTAAAAACCACATCGTGTAAAGCGATTAAGAGGACCTTTTAACAGCGTTGATAAATGGGTTGATCCGAACGGATCACGAATGGGTAGTCCCTTTATTGACACCAGGTTTTCAAACAGGTAGTAGCGCTGTACGGCAAAAGATATTTGGGTCTTCCTGAAAGAACGGTGTCATTTTTAGAGAACCGCGTCGCCATTGGTTATATACCTGGCTTTGTACATGTTGACTGCAATGAATTCGCTGCCCTTTCCAGACCATTAGTAAACCAGCATCGTAGTTTAATGCGTGATAGTACGATGTTAGAGTATCGATAGAAAACTTTCTGTTCGCAGAAGTTGCGCTGGATGATACTAACACACGTGGAAACTTTTCAGAGTGCTCATAGTCTTCAAACAGGTACGTACGGGCACCCGCCCGTTATCTTATATCACTTGTCAAACCAAAACTGCGATTTTTGTTCAATACTACCGCCGCCAAATTGTAGCTCTGAAAACATAAAGATTCAGTGGGTCTATCTGGCCATGCGGTACTAATTCAGACAGTTCAGGAATTCAATATGCGCTGGTAAAGGCTCTCATCAAAATTCTATTAGGTTCGCCCATAGCGTGTGTAATTCTTTCCTCAAATTATTGACAAAACGTAGTAGATGTAGACTGAATTACAAAATCTGAGACCTGTTCCCCGCGCACAAACTCTTCGACCACATTTAATAAGATCAGAGTTTACTTAACCATTTGCCGGATATGTCTAGGTCGTCATCGTAATCCAAAACTCCATGATTTGTTCAACAGGATGACCAATGGTAACTGTTGAATTGCCGGCAAATGATTAAATCGGTACGTGCGGCTTTGAGAAAACAGGTGACAAATTTAACGTACTATTGGTACTATCAAGCAGGTCAATCAAATAATCGTATTTTGGGAAACAGTTACAACGAGTAGCTAGTCGAAAAAAACTTCTTATACTTCAGAGCCCATACATCGTACTGTTCTTTAAGCGAATAAGTGTTTCAATAACGAGAAAAAACGTTTATTTAAGGGCTCTCAACACCCTTGAACAACATAACTGACTACAAAATTTGTTATTACAAACATCTGTAACCGCTCATTTCAAGACCTTACCATCGGCAATCTCTCTTTCCCTACCGTCAACGATAACAGGCTTATCCCAAGCCCACATGTTGCCAATAAAGTCCTTGTCTTCTGGCTTGGAAGGGTCCAACTTGGTGTACGAGTACGATTCCCAGTCTGGTGCGACGTTAAAAGCAGGCACAAAGTCCTGGCCTCTAACCAAAACAGCACCAGTAATACCATTATCGTTGTTCTCGCCGTAGACGACAAGACAGCCAAACATGTACTTGATCGAGCCACTGAGTCTGTTGAAAAACCCACCAACCTGGTTATTGGACATGAAGGTCAAAGTCAACTCATCGTTGTACTTGAAATCCACCTTCCAGAGAGAGTACTCATCCGGGTTGTAATTCTCCCAAAACCAAGGCAATGCGCCGGTTCTGGTGTCCTCGTTGGAGTACTTACGTTTCCAGTCATCAAGAGGAAAGGTGGCTTTGCCAAGTGTTTCCAGAGGATGTTTTGGCTTTTTTGGCTCAGTTGGCGCTTCTGTTGCAGCGGGTGCTTTCTGAGCTGGAGCGGAAGGTTTGGTTTCCTTCTTGACCTCTTTCTTGGACTCCTTTTTCTTGTTACTCTGAGGCACTGGCAATGGTTCAGCACAAAGCTTAATGTTGCTGCAGCGTTCTTTCAAGTAGGAGGCATTCTTAACGGTGTTGAACCAACGCAGAATAGCTGGGTGTGCCGCACGCCATTTGGCACCAAAAATGTTTTCAAAGCATCTGCAGAAAACACAGACAGCAAATAGATCAGCCAAAGAGATTTCCTCAGAAGCCAAGTACGTATGTGTGGAGAGTCTTTCTTCGTACAATGCTGCCACGCTTTCAATCCTTGCTGCAAACTGGTCTGCCTGGGGCTTGATGTAAGGGGCAAGGCCATTGAGTGGTTTAACTATGTTCGCAAACAGAACTAGCAACTCTGTATTGGTCAGCGACAACCATCTCATGATTTGGGCTCTTTCCTTGATATCAGAGCCAGTCAGTTGGTCCTTGACCTGCTGGTTAGAAGAGAGTCCGACTAGATAGTAAAAGATTGCCAATGCCTCGGTCAATTTGGTACCATCGGGTAAAACCATACCTGGCACTTTTTTGAGCGGGAAGTCGCGAGCAAACTCGACTGATTGATCTTCTGGGTCAACAACTTTGATATCGAGTTTGAGATGCTCAACAAGAGCCTTGGGAACCCAAGTTCTGACGCGCATGTTGCAGTATAAAAGACCCTGAGACATGTTGATATGCTTTGAAGAGTTGGATCAGATATGTTTAATGTAGCTGGAGAGCACACCTAATCGACAATGGTAGTTTTTCTACTGTTCAGCAATGTGCTTGATTTGAGTTGATATATATCCTAATATATGTATATCTAGGAACCTTAATTATAACGTGACGCCAACGCCGTATCAAGGAGTATGACGAACAGAGATTCCGATTCTTTCAAAAAAGCCCATTTATTTGCGCTTGAAACCTTTGTTTTGATGGTGAGCTAACAATGCTAATGGTTTATGGTAAGAATACTTTTCAAAGTCTAAAGGAGCCAAGTCAGAAGCAGGATTTGTAACTGAAAACGCTTGATGACTGTAAAGTCACGTGATGGAAACTGCGACGCAATGGGTCTGCTGCAGTCGTCAGCAGTCAAACATTCATCTGAAAGACTCTTGCTAGCTTTGCCGAAGCCAATCAGAAGTCACTTTCTTTTTCCGTCCTTGTGAGAAATACAGTGAAACTCGTACATGAATTGGCCTTCTCGTCAGTAAAGTACAGAGTGATCACCAGCAATAATGACTGGCAATGAAGACGATATTTGAATGGAGCAACCCGAGCTATTTTACCACCCAAGAGCTTTTAATTCGACCAGGAAGCTATGGAAATAGTATTTTAAGCATCAATTTCTTACATTTTGACTAGCTACGCACAAAGCGCGACCCGTAGTTTAAGACAAGAATATAAAAGCTTGCGCCTCGCAAAAACCCAACAGAATCGATTGGAATGCCAGAAGAGTTTTGAGCTTGACAATTGTTAAATCTCTGGTCATTTATCGAACGCTACTGTCGCTTTTATTTGGAAGCGCATAGAAATCTGGTCTAACTGGCCGTTCGAAATGAGTTTCTGTATTGATAAATCTCAAGACAATACCAAACTGATCAAGATCTCTGTAACAAAACATCTCTCGGAGTCAACTTTACTCACTGATATTCATCAATTGCCTTCTGTGCTGTAACCTGAATAGCCTTACAAAGCAACGAAAGTCACTGACCTCGTTCCAACTTTGTTCTTGGGCTTAAATAGCGTCGGTTACTCCCTGGTTCCAGTTTTGAGGTTGCACCGTCCAAGGTCCTACACTATTGCACTATTTGTCCCATATTGTTACTTATACTCTGACCAGGTTCTGAGATCTCTCTAAAATCATTATGGGCTCGAAAGCTGACTCTACAAAGGATTCTCAGCCTGAACAACAAAAAGAGGATGAAAACCGTGAAAGACTTAAACGGCTTGGAATGCAATGCGTGTCGCCCGGTTTTGGCAAAATGGACAACCGAATGCTTTCAACAATTCAGCTGTCCCGCGACATAGCTAAGGACCAGAAAGAAGCGATCCATAAATTGAGCACTCGTCAAACAGAAACCTTCAAAAACAACGATTCCGATGACGAAGTGGTACCTAAACAAGTCGAGCAAACAAACCAAGATGTACAGCCATCGAGCCTAGACTCCACCGAGCAGGAAAATCACAAAAGAACTCAAAAGTCTCTTAAAAGAGGCCGGGTTCCTCCACCATTAAACATAGGGTCTTCCGGAGCCAATGGCGACGACACACGGGCAAGAGCGGCGCATTTTCATGGAAGTCAGTTTTTGGGCGCTAAAAGTGCGCCTGCCCACATCACACGGTATCCCAGAGGCAAATCGAGAGTCCAATATTTGGGGCGCACGACGTCAAAAACTGACGCAAGAATACGAAAAAAACCAAGGGCCAACTCATCCTGGCCATTCATGATGAACCCACCTTTCACGCCGTACGGCTACTACCAGATGCCACAAACCGCAGCTGTTCCGTATCATATGGGATACGGCTCGTTCCAAAACGCCTATCAGGCTCCCTATATGATGACTTCATTCCCCTATGCCATGATGCAAACGCCATTTGCAGATCCGTCCTCTGCTCCTACCAGAACGCTTCAGCAGGACTTTGACAATTACAGAAGCCAGAACCCGGGTGTTGGTACTCGCGATTTGTTTGGCAATAACGAAAGTCGGTGGGCTCCAATCCAGGCCCAACCTCAAAGTGCCAGAAATGAGTTTTTTGGGTCAAGAACTATGCCCAATACAAGCTTTAAGACAGAAAACACTGAGACACAAGCAAGGCCGGACAATATTTCTAATGGTGATGAAAGTGACAACGAGGATGCTGACTTGGCCATAGAAGAGGGTGCAGAACCTAACACGGCGGAAATGGCCCAATCTGGGGACGGCTTGGCTGGTGTCGAAACCTTGCACGGCGAGCTTCGACTTCATAATGATAACTTTGGCTTTTCATTTGCCCTTTTGGAAGCTGCCACGGATAAAAAGATGTTCATGTCAATATGTGACAAAGTCTGGGACGATTTTCAGGCTCTTGCAAGACGGGAATAGTGATAGATGGGGGAAACATACGTATGGATGAGATAAAGTTGCCGCGTTTGGAAGAAATCGCTGAACTGAAATACATCAAGTTTTGAAACGAGCAACGTTTCAATGGATCAGTTTTTCTTTGAAGATAATCCTTTTATTCATGAAACGAATCGAACTACTGACCATCATTGCCAGGAATCGCATTGAATCGACAAAACTTAAACTAACGCATTTAACACAATCCAGTAGAGGTCTGAATCTCAAATACAGCGACAAACCTCTGGTCCTCCTCACTATTACAAATAGTCTAGTATCAACATTCAAGCCTCACCAACCACTTCCTCTTGTCCATAGAAGCAGACGTTTAAATGGATAGCTCTACGCTCATCGAGATTAGATCACTTTAGACGAAGGGCTCGAAGTTAGTCAAATTTCAAAATTCAAAGATGGTTATATTATACATAGAAATTATCATTATAGCTGTTCGACAGCTCATAACAACAGCAAACAAGAAGACCTCAAAGCTTGTTTTTAGGCGAGTATCTTTGGGTCAATTGAAGCTTGAACTTTTGCGGGGAGGTCTGGTTATCTAACAGTGCGCTTTGAGGTTATTCTGGGCGATCATTGAATACCAAAATTTCGTTTTTCTGGTGAAAAAATGACACTCGCTATGTGGACTTACAGATTGCGCAAGACGCCGGTTTTGGCCTTGGTTCTTCCATTGGGAATCCTTGCTACGCTATTTTGGGTCCTCTTCAGTCAAGATGAGTCGGTACTGGGGCTCGAAGGGTCGTCTATTGCTAATCACAAGTGGGCACACGAAAACGAGAAGACATTTTATTTCCCATATTCGCGCAAGTACAAGAGTGCCAAATATTCCTACAACAAGAAGGCAAACTGGCTTTTCAGTGATATGGTAGAAGACAAAATTCCTGCCGGTCATATCACGCATTTCGACTTAAACAAGCTTGAATCCACAGCTAACGCAGCTGTCAACAAAGAACAGGTTTTGATCTTGACTCCAATGCAAACATTTCATGATCAGTATTGGGATAACTTGCTACAGTTGACGTATCCTCGGGAACTGCTGGAACTAGGCTTTATCATTCCACGCACGAATACTGGTGACGCAGCTCTTCGCAAGCTCGAAGCAGCCGTGAGAAAAGTGCAACTGGGTAAAAAAGAACAAAGATTCGCTAAAATAACAATCTTGAGACAGGATTCGCCAAGCTTCGAATCTCTTTCGGAAAAGGAAAGACATGCCCTGAAAGTACAGAAGCAGAGACGTTCTGCCATGGCGCTGGCTCGTAACGAACTACTGTTTTCGACAATTGGTCCTCACACCGCCTGGATCCTTTGGATGGACGCAGACATCGTGGAAACTCTTCCAACTGTGATTCAGGATATGACCGCGCATGACAAAGCGGTCCTATCGGCCAACGTTTATCAAAGGTATAAAGACGACAAATCTGGCGAGATGCAGATCAGAGCATATGATTTCAATAATTGGGCAGAGAGTGATACCGCCCTAGAAATGGCCGCCAATATGGCAGAAGATGAGGTCATTTTCGAAGGCTATGCTGAGATGGGCACATACAGACTATTAATGGCATATCAATATGAAAGCGACGGATCTCAAGACACGGAAACCGCGCTTGATGGTGTGGGTGGAGGTTGCACGCTTGTTAAAGCTGATGTACACAGAGACGGTGCCATGTTCCCTAGTTTTCCCTTCTACCATTTGATCGAGACGGAGGGCTTCGCAAAGATGGCGAAGAGACTTGGTTACGAAGTGTATGGTTTGCCAAACTACCTGGTATATCATATCGAAGAGTTCAATTAAGTTTTTGAAAGGTTGACCTTCAAGCTTAGTAGCAAAAGGATGGGGGCTTTTTGCACTCACACAAAAATCGTATTAGAATTGTACATTATATATTGTTTACCTTTATTTGAGACAATAATGAGCGTAAGCCCGAGTGAGATATTACTCAGTCGTACATACCCCTGTGGTAATCGTCGGTTTCGTAATTGATCGAACCAGCAGCATAAACGTTGGGAGAGTGTTTCGTTTTTCTGATCAGATCAGTTACTTTTTGCAGATCCAAATTCATATAGTCCACCATGAATTGACCAATATCAGTGTTTTCGTGATTTCCCCGCAGCTCATTCAGTAAGTTGAACCAAGTTTTTTGGCGGTTTGCGTACGCATAAATATTAACATCCACAGCACTATGACCATGTGTGGTCCAACCGATTTGGGCGCGTGTGGATATCATTCCATTCAGTTTATCATTCAATTCCTCCATAGAAGTAAGCTTTAGCAGTTCATCCGTATCGTCTTTACTGTAATCAAAAATACCCATATGTTCTTCAAAAATGGTTTTTTCAATGAACTCAGCTTTGCTCTTTCCGTCGTAACGCAAGAGCTTCTTGCTCAAATATTCACCGGAGTGTTGAGATTCACTCAAAACTTTTGGATACCACGCATATTCGGGGTAAGCCTTGGATATTTGCTTGGCAGTAACTAATCCACCGGTTTCATGGTCTGATGTTGATATCAAGATGGTTTCCACATTGCTCTCTGCTGCGTACTTTAAAACTGCTTCAAAAGCTTTATCAAAAGCCAAAACTTCTCTGACTTGTGCGGCTGGATCGTTTTGATGACCCGCATGATCGATTCTGGATCCTTCAACGAGAAGGAAAAAGCCCTTATCGGAATCTTTAGTAGCTTCAGTGAGAGCATTTACGGCTGTCATGGCTTGCTCTTCTAAAGATGGATACTCGGCATCATCACGGTCTACCTCGAATGGAATATCGTAATCTGCCATCAGTGCAAGTAAGGGTAGACTAACATTATAGCCATTCTCCAATGAATCAAACTCTTTGCGATTACCGACATAGCTCCAACCGTCTTCAATTGCTTCTTTGATAAGATTGCGTCCATCACCACGGCTTCCGCGGGATCCATAGACAGCGTCTTCTGCTGAGTAAAAATGTGTTCTACCACCACCTATAATGAGATCAACCATGCGGCCCAGTGGGTAATCTCCCAGTTGATGTTGTGCAATAAGGTCCTCTTGAAACCTATAATCGACGTGAGAGCTAAAAGCCGCAGGAGTGGCATCAGTTATTCTGGTAGTTACTACCAAGCCGGTGTGATATCCTTCCAATTTGGCCGCTTCCAAAATAGTACCACAGGGTTGTTTTGATGGATCAACGCCAATGGCCCCATTGTAGCTTTTCAGGGCACATGAGAAGGCAGTAGCTCCGGCAGCCGAGTCGGTGATAAGAGAGCTTGACGACATGGTTCTTGAGGACCCGACCAAATGATGATCCAAAACCAAAACGTCGTCTCTGGTCAAATTCTGAGTAAACTGTCTGAACGATCTAGTCATCGACAAAGATGCAGGGCCCATGCCATCGGTAACGAAGAAAATGACATTTTTCTTCGAGGGCTTTTGCCACCACCGTCTACTCCAATAGTCTTGAAAGGTCTCAGAAGAAGTGATGAAAAAGCTGAGCAGCACAAACGCCAGCAAGAAATGGCCAATTTTACGTGGTGCACGTCTAGAGGCCTTAGCCCCAGGCTGGAACCCACATTTTTCCATGCTCGATAATGTCCGTGAGCAATTGCGTTGAGCTCAGGTGCGTACTAGTAGCGAAACTACTAACAGTTCTTGTCAGAACGAGAGAGAAAACTAGGTTTCTGGGTCTATCTTGGATAACACTTTCCAATCTTGTAAAGATAAAGACATCACTTTTTACTTCTCCTGTCGTATTCTGTTGATAACTGGTACACAGCGGTTAAGGACTCGAAATATAAAGTCAACTGGCCGTGGCCAAGCTTTGGCAAATTTGAGTTCACTTCTCTGGTCAAAGTTTTTCTTGAGCCCAAGTGGGCATGGTTTCGAGCTTATACGTTACTATCTCATCGGTAGTAACATCCGAATTCTATACAACAAATATACCGGTAGATATATACTGTGCTGACTGAGATGAGGTTCGGTTTATGGTGAGAGCAAAGGTTGTGACCTAATGTGCGTTGCTATCGATTTTTGGGTCTTTAGCTTTTTGGGCCCATAATGTTCGCTGTTTTGAGGAAACATGCCTAAAGCAACGTTCAAGAGAGTTTCGGACGCTCATCTTTGGTAAACTTTGCGTATACTCAACACACGCGATTTCATACCTCTAGAGAGTCCAGACAGTATCAATTGAGTGATGTCAGTAGCACTGGGATGCTTTATTGGCCTGCCTTTGACATCCCGGAACTTGTTTAAGTGCCCAGGATTGAACCTCGAAACTGGTATGTTGAGACACTCAAAGGTGAAGGAGGCCTAGCCTAGCGGTCAAGACGGAAGCGATATAGCAAGCTGGTCAAAATGGGATGAGAAAAGGAGATTGCAGCTTCGATATAACTTCCGTAAGAGAGGAACTAACGGGATTACCGGTATTCCGGTGGCTTGTTGGTCTTATTCCGTTTCAGCCGCACCAAAATCCACTCTGCAGCCTCTTTCACACCTTCCTGGGTCAATGCACTTATCGGCAGAACACGGCTATCGCGGGCCCCCAAATGCTCAGCTAGTTTGTTGAAAACCTCTTTTATGTCCTGGACTTCCATGCGATCTTCTCTGTCTTGCTTGTTAGCCAGCATGAGTACAGGAATGCCCTCGACTTCCTCGTTCATTACCACAGTTCTTAATGCTTGACAGCACTCTTCCAATCGTTCTCGATCAGCGCTGTCGATGACAAAAATGATTCCATGCGCTTGACTGTAGTACTCGGACCATAAAGCCCTCAAAGATTCTTGTCCTCCCACATCCCAAAACTTCAATATGCTGGATTCTATTGGGATAGTTGCTACATTCTGACCGACAGTCGGCGCTATTTTGTTCGGCGCTTTCGAACTCTTGGAGTGTTCTTTCTTTAGCATTTCTAAGAATGTAGTCTTGCCGGCATTATCGAGTCCCAGGATTAGTATGGAGTACTGTTCCTTGCGGTTCAAGTTCGCGTATAAACCCCTGGCCAAATGAAACATGGTATACCAAATGAGATCAAGCCGACGCGAAGTTCTGGTAGCTGCAATGTCTATTTTCTTAAAGATATGTTAAAGTCAACCAAATTTGTTATTTCATCAATTGAAGGCATACATATACATAGCGTAAAGTTTATTCCAACACAGAACGAGCCAGTAGCGATTACGTGAAGATCCTTTCGGGAGGCTGGCCTTTTGATTTTAAATAACTTTTCTCAGTTTTTCTTGATCTTATAAGAGCTTAAGGCTCAAGGGAAAGTAAATGTCGCCAAATATTGAAAGCTAGCTCATTCACTCTCGATGTGATCGATATAGCTGGTTAGAGGCTGAGCTTACTCAAGTTAAGCAAATACTTCCTGTTTTATCCAGGTCGAACAGGTCTTTTGTACAACTTTTAAAAGTTCCCAAAACTCTGTGGAAACCGCTAATCGGGAGCTTCTCAACTGTAAGTGTGAGATGAGACAAATACGTATACGCATTATCATCCGGTTAATGTTGTGTGAAATACCGAAAAAAGAGATGTCAAGCGTCGAGTATGAGGGTTTACTTTTCTGCATCGCGTGTATCTTCTGAGGTCCTTTTGCTTCTAGAAATGTAAGCATTTCGCAGCTTTTCGTCTTCCTGCTCTTGTTCCCAGCTTTTGAGTACCATCTGTCTATATTTCTCACATTTGGCTTCGATGGTAGCGTCATCCATCGCAGCGTCTTCTTCCAGTTTATCTCGATATTCGGAGACTCGTAGTTCTACTTCTCGCCTACTCACATGCTTAAGAATAGTGTCATCTTTCTTGTGGTGTCGAGCCTTGGCATCCTTGAGTCGTTCTTGAGACTTTTTCACTCTACTCAAGTAGTTCTTATCGTGCTTTCGGTCATCGTTAGACGCAAGTGATCGCTGTATATGACCGGAAGTCGACGAGCCCTTCGCACTTTTGAGTCCGATTCCGTTGAAGGACATGAGAACGTACAAGCGAAAGTACAGCTATTCAAGGTGTCGACAACGTCTTGTGACGATTCCTTTGGCATCTCAATGATCAAATGCTAGCATTTGCCAATAAACGCTATTAAACAAGTAGTAGGTAAACATGTGATAAACACACAGCTTACCATTCTGTTCCAGATCGAAAACAGATCTGAATGCGGTGAGCACCCAAGTCCAGCATTGATGCTGCTGAATGAGAATTGCGCTTATACTTTCGAACGCCGGATATGTATTTATCGTCCGTCCTATATGTAGGATATTCCAAAATGCAGATGTGCCATATACAGCTGTCTTCGAAAGTGGATGAAGCCTCTGAATATGATGAATGTGTGGCCAAGTTTAAAAACGGCACTTTATGAAAGCTAGCTGTAGCACATAAATCATGAACGATTTCACTAGCATAGTTGCAATGCTAAAACCATGATCTCATCTCTTTTTGGCTTGGCCTTCAACACTCGAACTCCACGATGATAAACTTCTCATCAGAAAACATGGCGCATTCCACTGGTGTCAAATATTCTGTGGCTTTAAGTCGGTCCTCGTTGGCCACAACTCTTCCACCCAGCCAGTTTAGATTTCGAAGAAGATCCTTGATTCCTCCCACGTCTCTCAAAACGTGTATGCGGAGCCAGGCAAGGTCCAAAACGGCAGCGTATTCCAATAGTGCTATAAGTAGTGGCTTGATTTCACGTCTAATGTCTTTTGCCAAGACTACCTGGAGTCTGGTAGTGTTATTTTTGCACCAAACCGGACTTTCGGACCAGCCGGGGAAATACAGCAAAGAATACGCCAGACCAATATTTCGCCACAGACTTTTGCCAGGCCAGCTGGACTGTACTTTGAGTCCCCGATCGTGAATGGTAAGCGTCTTTCCGACCTCCTGTACCACGTATTTCTGGAAGCTAGCGTAATCGCCGTAATTGAGATCCAGGAAGCCACGCTCAGTAAGCAAAATTGAGTCCCAATACAGCTCCGTAAGCTGTGCGGTATTCTGGACTAGATCTAGAGCGGTGTCACGGACACCACTCTTCACAGCCCTCCACCATAGTGTAATAGTAAAAATTGGGATTTATGGTCGCCCTTCGCTTAATTAGATCAGATATGTTAAACTTGACTGCAACACACTGCGTTTGTGGGAGCTCCAAAAGCTCACGTACGCGTTTTGTTGCCAGCAGATCAAATAGTCGCGTTTCTTTCTTGTGTAAACTACGCATGAGGTCTGATTTTGAGAATTTGGTTTCGATTCAGACTTGGAAATCAACGTTGAATCGGAAGGTGTTCTTGCGTGGCAGGGTGGTAAAAATACGAAAGCCCAAGACTGTTTTAGGGTTGAAAAAGAGCGCAGTTCGTGGTTTGAACGGAGCTTGATGGCCTGTATTGACTTAAGTCTTCTTTTGGTCTCTCTTCTGGCAGCTGATGAGTCTTTCCCAGAGCCTTTTTATATATATTTGAATATGATGATGTGTATGTTACTTACTTTCTCGGAGTCGTTGAATAAGTCTTTGAACAGTGAGAGAAGTTTTGTAGAGCGGGTGAGGTGTGTGAATCGAGAAACAAGAGTGAGTGGGGGGCCACCAATTGAAAAGTGTCAAGTTTACATGTTCTTTCAAAGAGAATAAGAGCTTAAAGCTTGTAGAAAGTGGTTAAATGAGGGTTCAAAAAAAAGTGTCTTAATAGTATAAAGTGATTTTCCGCAATCTCAAAATGCACATAATCTTCAATATCGAGCAATCTGAAAGAGAAGAGGTAAACAGTTTCAACACTACGGTATTGCAAGATTTCCAATAGCTGTTTGATAGGTATACATATCTGGTCAATAATTCGGATTTCTAACTTCTATCATTATCCCCGGCTGTGTCGTCTGAGCACGTAACCTTTCGGGATCTGGATCTGAAAAGTTACACTCTAGCAGGCATTTGCAGCTGTATGGAGCCCTATTTAATGGCCTATTTAGTATCCGTATCAGTTCTGACAAAAGTCTCTCAGACAGCCTCGACCTGAACCCATTTAGTTTTTCCTCCAGGTGGAAGAAATAGACAATCGCTAAATTCCAGTATTCGCCATAATTCTTACTCCGAAATCTGCCAATTATTCAACTCCGCTACTCACACGAGCTCTCTATTCTTAAACCCGACGCCAGAGCCTAGGCCAAAGTTTTTTTTCGCGATTGGAAGAATAATTCCTTTATCGTCGAGAACCGTAATTTTTCATAGAAATTTGACTTGATCACTTAAAACACCAACTAGAATAACTAAATCCAGTTATTTCGACTCGTTGGCCCTCAGTAAACACTGACTTAGCCTATTCTCACATTAACACTACATTATGGCGTTGAGGGTAAGTAAAAGGCTACTAAGAGTGGTTTTTTTGGTCATTTCAGCCTTGGGTATCATTGGCCTAGTGCTTCATAGCACCAATAATGAAACAGCACTCTTTTACGTGAACAAGGCAAAAGATGCGGTTGCTCAAAAGACTGCTTGGAACTCGGAAGCAGCTAAACAGGAGGAAGAACAGAGAAAAAAGGCCGAAGAAGAGTCCCAAAAGGGTAAACATCTGGAAGACGTCGAAATGGACAGCAATGCCAAAACCCTTTTGGAAGATGCTGCAGCAGCACCACCAGAAGTTGTGGGCGAAGGAGTGAAAGAGGGTAAAACACAGAAAACCGGTGGAGACAACAAAGTCAGAGCGGCGTTTGTATCGCTGGTCAGAAACCAGGACTTACCTGAAATTTTGGAAACTGTGCAGAACTTGGAAGACCGTTACAACTCCAAGTTTCACTATCCATACGTGTTTTTGAACAACGAGCCATTCACTGCGGAGTTTCAAAATGCCATGAGGAACGTTGTGTCATCCAACGTGACATTTGGGCTCATTCCTGAACCGCACTGGTCGTATCCAGACTGGATTGATCAAGACAAAGCTGCTGAAGTGAGACAGACTGCAAAATACATCTACGGTGACAGTGAAAGTTACAGACATATGTGTCGTTATGAATCTGGATTCTTTTGGAGACACGAACTATTGGACGATTACGACTGGTACTGGCGTGTCGAGCCCAGTACCAAACTGCACTGCAATGTCGACTACGACGTGTTCAAATGGATGCAGGACAACAACAAAATGTATGGGTTCACAGTGTCCATCAAGGAATTCGTGGACACGATCAAGACGCTGTGGTCGGAAACCAAAGAATTTATCCATAAAAATCCGCAATACGTTGCTGAGGATAACATGATGGGATTCATCTCGAACGACAAGGGCAAAACTTACAATTTGTGCCATTTCTGGTCAAATTTTGAAGTGGCAAATTTGAATTTTTGGAGATCTGAAGCCTACAGGGACTACTTCGATCATTTGGACCATGCTGGGGGATTTTTCTACGAACGCTGGGGTGATGCTCCGGTTCACTCTATCGCAGCGTCTTTGTTTTTGTCAAGTGACCAGGTCCATTACTTCCCAGATATCGGTTATTATCACGCTCCTTACAACAATTGTCCTTTGGACCAAAGCATCTGGCAGAGCGGAAAGTGTTCGTGTGAGCCACTCCACGATTTTTCTTTCCAACCTTACTCTTGTACGAACGAATATTACGATTTCAAGAAATTAGAGAAGCCAGATGGGTGGAAGAAGTTTAGAAACGATTAGTGAAAATCGGATATTGCTACGCTAATCAGGCAGCTAGTTCAACTACGCATGGAGCTAAAAATTAGAGGTGGAAATAAAGATGTGGTCAAGATACTTGATTATTCTATATCCAAAATGCGTCTATGAACGATACGGTTGGACTCGTATTCAAGATGTAGTTGTGCTATATGATAATCGCCATGGCGGAAATTCACTTATGGCAGGCTAGACCTTATCTTGTGTTGAAGTGCGTCATGTTTTTCAGCACCATACAGACCATTAGTGAACTTATCAATACACCAGAGAAATATGTTGTTGTTTGGCTGCGCGAATAGAAACTCACAATTCACTTCAGAATACAAAGCCATTGGATCCTCATTGCAGATTCTTGGGACCACGGTTCAGCGCCAGCCTTCACTCACAGAGGGACGACTGACGCAATGCATCACTTTTTACGTAGCTGTCATTGCTTCGACGCTCGTTCCACATAGCAACAAAATCTCCTTATATAACGAGTGAAAACCCATCCAAACTACGGGTGCTCTGATAAATGCAACATTGTGCCAAAATCTGCTGGGAAAAGATACCAATTTTCGGCTTCTTTATGAAGTTTTGTTTCGGTCACGTGACTTCGAGTTCTTCCATACATCAGCAACTTTTCGATGGTGTTTTAGCTCTCATCAATTGACTTGTACGTCTTTAATGGTACCAGGTCTTCCCTCAAGTCCGTTTCTCATATTTAAACTCTTTCTGTCCTTACTTTTACATCTTTCTGTGAAGTATCAATCGATTCTATAATATTACCTTCACGCTAGAGATGAGAAGTCATCATAAATTTCAATATGCTTTTTCATCATCGAAAGAGCATCGGTAACGTCTGTAGAAACTAAAGAGTTTTGATCTCGAGTGGCTGTGACTTGTTCTGTTGGCTTACATGTATCAAAAACCCAAGCGATATGTCCCCGGTCCTGGGGAACCAGCTTTGCCCCCTCAGCTTTCAGAATTTCAAAATAAGACAACTGATGAGGTGCTCGAAGAGCTAAATCGCATGCCATTTTTCATGAAAACACTTGACGAAACGGACGGTGAAGGTGGCGAGAATACCGAGCTAGAAGCTCTGAAAGCTCTCGCTTATGAAGGAGAGCCGCAAGAAATTGCAGAGAATTTTAAGAAGCAAGGCAATGAGCTTTATAAGGCCAAAAGATATAACGAGGCAAGAGAAATTTATAACAAGGCTCTCGATGTGGGCGATATTCAAGAACTCAGGGAAAGCCTTCTTTCAAATCGCGCTGCTTGTGAGTTAGAGCTAAAAAATTATAGAAGATGCATCAATGACTGTAAGTCTGTTCTGGACATTAATCCAAAAAACGTCAAATGCTACTATCGCGTAGCCAAAGCTTTTCAAGGCCTCGATAGAACAGACGAAGCAAAACAGACAATCCATTTTGCTTTACAGTTAGATCCTGAAAATCAAGCTCTTTTGTCACTACTTGAAAGAATCACCACCAGAGAGAAAGAAGTACAGGCCTACGAAGCCCAGAAACAGAAAGTGAAAGATGAGAAAGAACGTTTGCAAACTTTGCTGGATGCATCGCTTATCCTTCGTGGCTATAAAAACATCGATACTACGAATCCTCCTGAACTTCTAGAAAAAGCAAATTGCTACCTGGAGGACGGCAACGATGTGCAATCTCAGTTGATTTTCCCAGCTATGATCTTCTACCCCACCAGTGATGAATTTGATTTTATGGGAGCTGTGGGTGAATTGAGCACATCTGAGGACCTATTGAATGTAGTTCTTCAGAGACCACAAGAATGGTTCGACGATCCCATTCATGAGAACTTTACGTCCAAAAAACTTTTGGGCTTTATGGAGACCGAAAGTGGTGGTTTAGTCAAGATTGGCAAAAAAGTCACTTTCCATGATGTATTGAAAATGCAAAAACCCATTATCCCTCTTTTTGATCGGTCTTTGAGAATATATTTTGTTCCAAAAAGCTTGAGTGAAGAATGGCTTTCTAAATGGGATAAGTCTGATGCCTTGAACAAACGTAAATAGCCCGGTTGATGGCACTCCCTTTCGATTAATAGCAACTTTTATTTTCATAGACAATTTGGGTTTCTAATCAAACACCAGTGTTGTGTCGAGAAATGGATTGCCGGGTCTTTAGTTTGGACAGCCTGGAATTTTGGAAAACTTCATCCGTATGCAAAGGGGGTATAGGACCGAATATCAATTGAGGATCCCAATCTTGTTGGGCTAGCAATTGTTTTTGAAGGTATGGCGAGTTTGCCCATGGTGCTAAAATGGACCTGTCTTCGGCATCTGAATCTGAATCGATTTCTGGGAGCGTGGTGTCTCCAGCATTTGCTTCCGTGTTTGTCGCATCCATATTTCCGTTAATTAGCTGTCTATGATCTGTAGTGTTCAGATCATAGAGCATCGTATTTCGTGGTCTGTTATGTGGGTCGTCAGTCCCTTCTGCTCCAGCACAAAAGCTCTTCGCTCCTCTATAAGGATCTGTGTCCTGGAAGATGCGTGATTTTCGTTGCTTGACATCTTCCTCTATGTTAGACTTTCTCTTCAACTTTTCTTGGCTTCTCTTATTTTGTTCTTTCTGACTGCGGATAACCTCTGATAATCTCTTGTCAAGCTTCTTCTTAACATCTTGCCTTTCAGATCCATTGAGTGGTAGAAGTTGAAACTTAGTCAAGCGATCTTGAGCCTGCTTTGATGTGTTTTCCTTAGTCTCCCGGGTTTCTTTATGCTCTCGAGGCAGAATTTTCCCCAGGGGTTTTTCTGATTTACTCAAAAGCTTCTCTGGGTGATATTCTGACGGCCTTTTATTTTCTCGTTGGGATGGCACACTTCCGAGACTATCCATTGTCAGAGTTTCACGTCTAGAGTCTCGCTTTCGATTTGTGCTGAGCTCACGAAAAAGTCCCAATACTGTAGAGTTCCGCTCCTGTAATTTTTCGACTATAGGAGCGCGTCCTCGTCCTCGACCCGAATGAAAAGTTGGCGATGTTTCTAAGCCATTTTTATAGAAACCAACAGATGTGTGTCCTGAATTGGAAGTAACAGTACCGGGGGAAACAGCTGTCCTTCCGCTCAGCTTCGGTATAAGTGATGTTCTTTTTACAGTATCTGAGCTGCTTGCTAACCCGTGGCCGTTAGGATTGTTGGCATTTTTCATTTGTCCCAACATTGGTATCTGAGAATCAAATATGTTCTTGAGAGTTTCTTGTATACTTCGATTAGTATGGTCAACCCTAGGAGACCTTTTTTCTTTCGGCGACCCTGTGGATTCCTTGTAAGCTAATCCAATGAGCTTCTGCCTTTTCAATTCTCTTGTAGGGCTTCTGCTTGAAGCCTTTTTGTCGAATGAAGCTGTCGAAGTAGAAGTAAGCCGGTCAAAAACGTTGGTGTAAGAGGGCTTGGCTGTCTTAGCGGGCGGTCGATCGTGTTGGCTAGTTACATTAGAGCCAGTAGATTTTGTTGCAATATCATGCCCATTACTTGCGGAGTTACTCTGATCTTTACCTGTCACTTGAGAATTGACCGACGAACGGATTATCAAAGGGTCCTTATCCGGTAATGGAATGAACATATCAGTTCGGCGCTTCGAACGATCTCGTAATGGCAAGCGTTCGGTCTTGCCTGTACTAAGAGAGTTTACTCTCTCTGAAGCGTCTCTTCCGAGTACGCTGTTTCTCCTCTTGGTCAATGGCGAAGGCGCAGTTTGTGCTTCGTTAGCCGATGGCGAATTTGATCCAGTTGGAGATTGATCTTTCTTTGTTTCATGGGTTTCCTCAGCGCTGGGGTTATTCTGAACGTTGGAACCAAAATTGCCTGCAATTTTGGAGGACGTTTGTGGCGGAACGTAATCCGGTGCGAACGTTGTTCTTTCGGACTTATACGGTGACCACGGCGACGATTTTAGACTACGACTGTATGCTTTGGAGCTTGTATCGACATCGCCAATAACCTCATTATCCTTATGCTTTCTTTCAAACTCATTATCTCCCTTCTCAGGCTGTGGGAGCCCTTGCGCTTCAATTTTATGAGACGTGTTTCCTGGCGTTGCTTGCCAGCTTTCATGGGGATGTGATTTTTGCGGCGTGGACTCTTCCAGTGCCACTTTGTTGCCTTCCGTAATCTCTTTTCCTGTCTCCGAAATAGCCCCAGGCCTTGAGGTGAGCCCAATCTTCGATAACTCGTCATCGAGCCACTTACTGCTAGCAAGGCATGCTTGGCTGATCGCGTCCTGTCCTTCTGTCAATACCTCATTGAAGCGGTTTAATGATTCCACAATCGATCTGGAGCCACCTTGAATAAATCTGGTTTTCTTTCTGGCAGATTTGACTGCCCAATCCATGCCAATTGAGGGACAAGTGGTGCTTGTAGCTGTCATCTCTTCTATATCGGTCCTTGAAAGTGAAATATACACTATAACACGAAAAAAAGTGATGATGTCACTTTGTACTAAGGACCTCTAGGATAAGGAACTTTATTCCAAAATAAAGGATCCTGGATACTACTTAGAGCCAGAAACTAGCACCTAAAATATTATCAATAGCACGGAGAGATAATGGTCGAGAGGGGTTCAAGAAACAAGTTAATCGGTTAAATCTATACTTTACCTGAACGCTTTCATCTTTTGAATGATTGCGCTCAAAATATCAATTGTCGTTGATTTTTTGTGAAGGATAAACGCTGTTTTATTTCAGCTATCCCAATAAAGAGACGAGCAACTCAAATTAAAAAAGTACAAACTTGGAACAGTGGAATTGAGCAATTCTTTCTAATCTTAAGTTGTTTCCAAAAGCCATAGGCCATCTCCAACGGGGAAAAAATGCAGATGCACTTGAAAAAGACACTTTTGGTTGTGAGCTTCGATGCGAATCAATAATTGTCGATTCAGACAGTACTAGTGCTGCTCCATCTTATGAGAGCATAGCTCTGGAAAGTTTGCAGGTACTTTTTTTTCAAAAGGATAGAGAACTATATGGTTGCGCAGCAGGGTGCGTCCGTAACATTGGCTGCGCGCGACAGAAGCGATATTACGTAGCCAAGTGATATTTTTTAAATCAAACGGCTAAGCGGGTCTTTACGCTTGCAAAGTATTGACTGAAGACTATGTTTTGTCGTAATAGGTCGTGATGGGCTAGGAAGTGTTTGACATTGACATATACTACGGGAGAATTCATCTGGCACTGGAGCAGTGCCCATGTAACATCTTGCGCTACAAAAAATAGTGCTTAACACACTTTCATTGTCAATTAATGCTGTCAGCGCTCGATATAGTCTTGTCGCTGGCGCTGACACTCAACAATGTCTTTCGAATCTCATTTTTCCAAAGCTTCAAAAAAGTTTATCGCATGCTCTCTAGCACTCCTCAATTCTTAGCATTATACCTGAGACGTGGAAAGGACCTTTGACTTCAACTTCAAAGAATTGAGCATACGAATGGTGGTCATTATAAAGGGAGCTAGTTCAAGTTACTACGTAAGAATGAAGAGACGCTATCGGGAACTTTTTGTGAAGCCGTTGCTCATGTATAACATTTAAACTTAGTTGTAAATAATAAGAATCTATTGAGTGCTTTCCAGGAACTCTTTCAATGACAGAAGTTCATTGTCATCTTTCTTCGGGAGTTCATCATCTTCATGCGAGCATAAATCTGAAAATTCGATGGGAGGTAAGAGACTTTGAAAGTTTTGACCCTCCTTTGGTGTTGATCTCTGCAAATTCGACTGTTCTGTGAAGCTGAATGGCTCAAAAAAGTCATAACTTATGGTGGGGTGAGAGGCCTTGGTGGTTTCCGACATATTTGCGTGAGCCTGAGCTGAACTGTAATTAGCACACCGAGATTGTTCAAAGTCGGTTAAAAAGTGAGGTTCTGAGCTTCTTCTAAGTTGTTCCGAAGATGGAGTGATGATTTTAAACGCCTCTGAGAAGGAAGAGCCACTTCTTCGATGTGGCACATTGGTGGTTCTATCTGATCTCCATTCCAATGGTCTGCTGGGATTTTTGAAAATACCAGATCTCCTGATACAGTCTTTGTCTAAAGAAATGGCGCTGCTGCGTCTGTGTGTCGGTTTATGAGTTGTGGGAGAAGAATGATCGCTTTTGCTGCTTTCCGTCATTACTGAAAACAAGCTATTGGCTCGACTTGACATCACCGCGGGACTTTGAGCGACAGCATCCGATGACTGTTGTAAGTGATGGGCGAAGCCTTTCTTGAATTGAGCGCTTGTAGTGAGAACGCTCGGTTTTTTTGAAAAACGTTGTTGATGCTGCCACCAAGACATTTCAGATTTATCATGGGGCTGGTCAACAGGAGTCCAAAGGGGATCGCTATCATTTTGGTAAACTGCATTCTCTTGATTTTCCAATGTGTTAGAGAGTGCAGACTCTGAGTGAAGAGACCATTTTTGCTGCGAAAGAGCATCTGTATACGCTGGAAACCTATATTCGCGGAGGATCGCGTCTAATGTTGTGGCCAGTGGTGGCGAACCCGGTTTGAATTCACTATCATCTCGTTGAATATCTTTCATTGTACTATGGTATTTGAAGTCAACGATTCCTATGTGTGTGTGTGTGATTCACTTGTGTGACAGTGACGTGGTACTGACGTCACAGCGGGCTTGAATTTCGAGCAGTGGAGGACTGTCAAAATAAATTCAAATATATATCGTCCCGGCTCAGAAGTGAATTATTGGCGTTATCTAATACCTCGGCTCTTACATGTATCTTGGCACATTTCAGGGTTTGCCACGTTCACAAGAGTAGTTGGCGATGCGGAGTTAACAACAAAAAAACGTCAAACTATTCTTTACACCCTGGCGCGTCTACTTTGAAATTCACCAGTGCGATTTTGATTATCACCACCAGTACTAGAAGACACTATCTTATCATCGAACCATCAAAGACGCACTCCTCGTTCCTTTATTTCGATCGCGCCAGGGTGTTTCTCTATTGTTGCTCTTCAGCGACTGAACAATTCACTATGCAAGGTCTAGACAAAAAAATTCTTTTTACCGAAATTTTGCAAATCACACGATAAGTACTTGTCCTAGCTACCTTCCAAGCTGTATTTGCGAGACTGGCAACTTTGTCCTCTCATCCTAGAATTACTTTAACGCTGGTGTGCACAACATCTGGGAGCAGCCTCGGAAGTGACATATCTGTTGCCAAAAAGTGACAATAGCTGCGTACAAATATGTCCAGAATTAAGCGGACATTGTCAAAACTTGTTCCCGTTTCTAAAGTGCGGGTTTGAATTACAGGTTGTTGGTAACCCGTCGCTGTTGGCTTCTTTGCAGCCTTTATTCTTCATCAGAAACAGTATGTATGTATGCCTTTAATTGAAATTGAATGTTAATAAACCTAACTAACCTATCCACTATAAACCTGAAATATAAACCTAAAAATTTTGAGCGTTTTGTAGACTGGATGGAGACACTATTTGCGTCGGATTCACAAATCAGTCTCTTGCTACTTCCTTTCCTTGTCGATCTCTCTTTTTTTTGTTTTGTTTTGTTTCGTTTTTGCTGAACAGTTCAGCCTCTGTATCCGACAACCGGAGAACGACCGAACATCCCCAGTGAAATTGAAAAAGTTCACACATATTTTATTAAACACCATAGCCATAGCCATTCTGCAACGCCTTTTTGTTGTTTTTGTCCCGTCCTGTTATGTGTAAAAAGACCCTTTACTCCCTGATTTTTGCTCAAGTGTAAATTATACTCTTCTCACCGCTCATTCAAATCTGTTGGTGCAGATCGCCCAAGTAAAACTGATGAAAGCTCTGTCCGTTTGCCAACGATAAATTTGCAGCTGAATCCTTATCCTCCAAGTCATCTTGTATTCTTACCCCTGACATCTGCAGACTGAGCCGGTCTACATTGGCATAAGACAACTGAGTCTGCTCTTTGGCCCACACAGATCTGGCCTGGCGTTGATCATGTAGATAAGTGTAGTCAAAAGATTGAGCCGCGAGTCCAAAAGCCGTAGAGCCACTTGCTGGCGGTGAGTATTCCATTGAAGTCGCAGATGATATACCCGAAAACGAGTTTGCTGCAGAAGCTAATTCGCCCTGATTAGAAGGATCAGACCCAAGCAGTGTGCTGGAAGCAGATGGAAACACGGATGAATGATCCGTCCAGCTTAGCTTGCGTGTGAGCGAAGACCTGGAATTGCGTCTTTCGAGCTCCTTAGGCGTTAGCAGGTCTGACAACTCTCCTGGTATAAAGTCTTCTCCATCAAAATCCGGACCAGCATATTCGTCTTCTGCCAAAGCAAATTCACTGGCCGGTTGTTGGTGATGGTGATATTGGTACTGCTGTTGTTGCTGTGGTGTGAATGGAACGAAATACGTGGTTTGCGAGCTCATCGCGGAACGTTGATGTAAGTTTGGGGTGGATGCTAGCGCTGCCGCAGATCTGAAATCAGAGTTCGACACGGGTTGCAGCTGGGAAGACCCCGATTGAAACATCTTGGGCTTCGCAAACTGAGATAGATCGACTGTCCGCATCGGAATCGGCACCGGTCCAGAAGCTTCCGAATGACTGTTCCTGGTGCCTTGGCCTTGATTGAACTGTCTGGGAGGGTTTAAACGCGTTCCATCTGGCAGTATGTGTGCGTTAGCACACTTTGTTCCAAATCTGCAATGGCCTCTTTCAAAATACTTGCAGGGGGTAGCGTCCGCAGCATTAGAGTTCAGAGAGTGTGAGAAGGGACACGAGTCACCAGCCTGACAGGTTCCCTGGCGGAAAAAACGGCAAGGAACGTGAGAGTAGTTCTTCTGTGCACCCGAATTCTTTGTTATTAGCCGATGCTCAAAGATCGCTTTTTGGTGGTTCAGGGAAAACGGGTGCTGGTGGTAGCTTTCGAGGGGAGATTTGGGCGAGTTTGAGCTTTCAGAGCCTTCTGATAACAATGACTTTTCATCCACCGAGTTTTTTGTTGTCGTGGTTAAATTCGAGGTAGAAGAACCTTCTTGCTTAGAGCTTGAGCCAGTAGCAGTAACTTTTGGACCTGTAGTTCGATGATGATTATGATGATGATGATGATTATGATGATGATGGGTCGTCTTGGGCTTTCCATTTGTTCCCATGGCACAGGATCTGCTGGTGCCGTTACTGTTGGACCTGGTTTTCGGAGTCCTCTGGGCCATTCGGGCTGAAATTGTATGTGGATAATTGAACGGCAGAAAGAGGCCGCACTATCCTATTTTGCAGCAATGCGATGTGTCTTGATGGGCTCTGTCTTTTCTCACAGATCAAGCTTTGGTCTTGTTAGCCTTGTTTCCCTTTAATTGGCTATATGAGCCGTTGTGGTATTACGTTTGAGAAATCCAGGGTGTATATTATATTCCTGGGTTTCTCGATCTTCAAGCTTCAGCTCTCTTCTTCTTCTGTCGGGGCTGTCAATTACTGAACCAAGTACTCACTCAATGTTTCCAAAGCTACGGGTTTTGGACAGGTTCTTTCTCTCCTTTACTTGAGAAGATCTCTCCTTGTTCGTTCTTATCTCGCAGGTTCGCCAGCTTGTGGTTTGGCCATGCCAGAAACAGGGTATCTACTCTTTTACTGTATGATTTCGAATATCGATTTGGTCTCCCTTATCCACTGACTCACCAACGACAATCTGCAGCCAACAAATCAGCTCCTTGAGACGTTCGTTCGAGACACGCTGATCCTATTGATGATAAGCATCCCACCACCCCCTCTACAGTGTTAAGGGATGGCCTGGACATCGTCACGAGAGTCATTGTAAGGAGAACCCAGAGTCCACCAAAATCTCGCACATACATATACGATTCACACGTACACATGGACAAACACGCACTAGCTTCAGAAACCTTTTTCGTCGTTCAAAGCACTACAAATCTCTCTCTATGTGACGAAGACATTTATCTCATAGATTTAACGATCCATCTGTAACTATTACTTTTACGATAAAGAGTGTTATACCTCGCCGATAGCAAGCTCAATTGCCGAATCGTATTTGCTAGCAATATATAATTTCAAACCAAGAGCCAAACGGTACATTCGAGCCATTACGAGCGTAACGAGCGGCCTGCAGGTTTTACTGATTGCCGTTCATTCCTTTATTTTTATAGCTTCTCGAGATGGCTGGTGATTATTATGATTGATAATTTTTCAACGCTATCTAAACCAAGAACCAGCAAAAGCGTACCAAACCAAACTAAACTACTACAAGCCAGCGTCAAAGACTCACAGCCAGCGCAGCTCGTGAGGTGTTTGTTGTTTTGAGACAGTGCCTTTAATGGCTCGGCGCGGTTCTTAGGACAAACCCGGGGAAATAGGTCCAAAAGCTGAGAAAATTAGGCAAAAATCAAGAAATATCCTATGCTGGTTAGATAGTCAGTAAAGGGTCACAGAACAGTTTTTCGCAGGATAGAGAGAAGAAGCGTTAGTTGCGGTATGCAAGCTTGGTTTTGCGGACTACACTAGGGTCTAGTATGTAAAGTTGATGTTTTTGTTTTTTTGCTGGTCACTGCATTAGCTGCGTTTCCATGCAGAACCGTGCATTACCAACGGTCGATGGCGTAGAACTGAACCTCAAAGGGTTGGTGAAAAGGCACTGAACGGTGCAAAAAAGCATGGATTCCGTACTGAGAGCGAAAAATAGGAATGCAGAGACGGCGGGAAATTCGAAAGCTTGTGCTAGTTGCAGTTGCGAAAGATAAACAACGAGGCATGGGATTGGGCTTGAGGACGCATTTCAATGGTGTTTTTTTTTCTCTTTTCTAAACACAGGTCTGAGTTTGAGTCTTGGTGCCGATTTGTGTGGTATGCTTGGATCTCAGTGTGCGGACGTTGAGATTTCGAGCGGACATTCCGGTTTTGGCCAACTGAGGCCGGTTTTTTCTTTTCAGATATGACCAGCGTCGCATACACAACACACGTTGGCACAATGCTCCTTCAACAACAGGAATGCGATTCTATCTCTCCAGGGAGGAAAAAAATAAAATGCCAGGATCTTTATATATTGCAACTCCTTTCATGGCCCCGATGATAGAACGCTTACCGCCTGGTCGATTGTGTCACTCTTTGAATACCAATTATCGTTTGTTCAGGAAGGAAGCAGTTTTGTTCTTGTTGATTTGATGTTCTAGAGCAGTAGGGAAAATTATAGAGCAACCACCCCATCCCAACCTTTTTTCTTCCTTTCCGTCATTTCAACTGTGTCTGTCTCCTCAACTTCTCATATGCCTCCATCTGACACTACTACTTTAGGTTCTTTCAAACGATCAAGGGAAATCTCGGACTCTCTCTGGACATGCAAACCGCCCTCCAAGAAATCATCTGGCATTCCCACTGCACAAACGGAGGATACATATGGTCTGTCCAGATCTCAACCTGGTTGTGACTACTCCAGCACTTCCTTAAAAAATCTCACGCCTCTGGCAACACCTACCAAAAAGGCCCTTTCCTCGCAGGGAAAAGATGGCTTCAGCGACTGCCAAAATAACTCAAACCTCGAGACTCATTTCTCCGGTCTCAAATTGTGCTTGCCCAAAAACAATTCCAAAGTTTTTGACAAAGATGTCAAGATAGGGAATTGTGAAAATGCTATCACTACCACAGACCATCATATATTCCGCACACCTGAAATCGTGGACCAAATACTCAGATATGTCGACTCTGATGCTACAATACCGCGAGAGAAAGTCCGGCATCGACGCAAACCTCAAGCTTACACTCATGCCCTGCTGCTATGCGACGGCGACGAGACAAAGGCTAAAAAAATGTGGGATGAGTGCACCCGGCCCAGCGCTCAATTGGCAGTAAGCAAACGCCCAAGGCTGCATAGCTGCTCCCAAGTCAATAAGCTGTGGCACAGAATTGCACTTAGCATCATAGCCGAAAATCTTTATTTTACGGACTCCAAAAAGGTGCGCAAGCTCGCGGCCAATGTGTCCAAGCTTCGTAATCGGTTGTCAAAACCATCTGCATTTGTTTTGCATAAGCTCAGTAAGCTCGAGCAAAACGAACTGAATGCCTTGATCCCCATCGTGTCATCGGAACGGTTGAAATGGCTTGAATTTTACATTTGTCCCAAAATCATCCCGCCCGTCCCATTATTCCATCACTCTCAAAATCTGGAAAAGCTAGTTCTGCCCGGAAATCAGTTTGTAGATGATGAATTCCTGATGAAAATAGCGCCTTTTTTGACAAAGCTCAAGACTCTCGATTTGCGGGCTTGTGACAAAATAAGCGATGGCGGAGTCTTGTCCATCGCTGCCAATTGTCCGGATCTCAATGTCTGCAACTTGGGCAGACACAGAAATGGGAAAGCAATCACCAGCGTTTCGATGGTGGCCTTGGCGCGGAATACTAAAGTTGATACGGTTGGGGTGGCAGGATGTCACATCACAGACGCTGGCGTCTGGGAGCTTGCTCTTCATCTTGGTCCACGCATCAGAAGATTGTCGCTGAACAATTGCCAATTGCTAACAGACAACTCCTTGCCCACTTTACTTGCCCTCAGCTATTTCCCGCATCTTTCTGTTCTTGAAATTCGCAACTTGGACCGGCTCACGAACGTGCTTCCAATTGTGAATTTCGTACGCTCCAAAAGATCCCAGGGCATACCTTTATTGGTGGAAGGAGGCGAAAGAATTGACTCAATGATGAAAGACGCCGAGCGTCGATTGAACCAGCAGGAGTCTGCTCACATTCTCGCCGCTTTCACCAACTGGGTCAACGAAGACGACATGCTGTAAGTGAGGAGCGTGGTCATATAGTTGCCAGCGGCTCCACCAACAGCACTTCAAGAATAGAAAAGACGCAAATAATGAAAAATGACCTTATAGCCGAAGGGTTCCTTGCGTTTCGCACCCGCAGTTTATATATTCTCGAGCCAGCTGTCGTATTTTTTCTTGGACCCTGGAGCTAACGTCGATGAACGGTCGATTATTTTTCGAGCTGCTGTGCATACTTCAGGCAATCAGTCTCTTTTGGATTATATAATCACGTCAGGTGCAGATTTAAATCACGTGCCTATGTTTTTTAATTTTTAATTTTTAAATTTGTTCCATCACGTGTGAAAATATTCTATATCTCATCTCATTTACGAGCTTCAAGGCATCGCTAGACTCACCTTTCCTCTGATAAAATCGCACATAATTCCAAACCGCTACAGAACCAATGAGTTACCCAGGGGATAAGTATGTTAAGTCGATTTTGTTTCATGCTCTTTCATCTTAAATGGACAGAGTGTAGTTCGCCCTTTCTCCCCACCCCCATCAAGCATTTTACTAACCTCAATGCGCTTTCAATCTAGCACAGGAAGTAGACCTTACTACAACAGCAGAGGCTCCTCGTACCGTGGAAGGGCTTACCGAGGAAGCCGCGGGGGAGGACATGGCCCTGCAAGATACCAATATAACGGACACAGCTACGCCGACAATAATTCAGAGCGCTATGGAACAGGTTCCAATCCGTATCGTGGCAACTACCGTAACGATATCTACGATTCGCCTCGCACGAGCCATGGCAGCCCGGGAAATGGAACAGGCTATGTAGAGTCATTCCAGCGGTTTGAAAAAAGGCCCTCCTCGTCGTCTTCCAGCCACGAATCGTGGTCGTCACCAAAGCAACCGCAGCAGGAAACTCGCCCACAGGAGCCTCAAGTATCGGAGAACACGACCAAGGTTTCCCAGCCGATAAAATCACATCTCACTGACTCTCCAATGTACCATCTTACGGGGCTAGATGAATACACAATTGATGAACCAGAGAGGTCTAGAATACGGTCAGTGCTGCGAGAAGATGGTGAGATCGATCTAAAGTTGGAAGAACAAAAGCTACAGCTGTGCAAGAGCGAGTTGGAGCTGGGACTTTTGAGTACCCAGTCCGAAAAAGATGCTCTAAATGTGCAATTGACGCAAGAAACGCTAGATGCCATTCTACTGATGCAATAGCACTTCCAAAAGTCGGTTTGAAACGAATGGAAGCAGGCTTTGGCAGTATTTACACAACACAGGGTGATGCGCCAGTGTATCGACACATCTGGGCTTCTCTTTTGTTTACATATGTTCTGTAATATCTCTAGTTGATCTAGCTCTGTTACTGAACTGTGTGGTATAATCTGGATGTTTAATTTGACAAAAAAAGTGAAGCATTTCAATAAGCACGAACTTCGTCAAAATCAAAGACTCAAGAGTCAATAGCTAGACCAGTCAGGATGTCTTTCAATACTCAATTCGCGGCGTTAGGATCCCAGCATAAACTGGTAGATGCTGTTCTGTGGGCTGTTTTTGCCGTTGGTGTCTTGAAAGCTACCATTTTCCTTCTAAGTTTCTCGTCCTTATTGCTGGACTTGTTTGTTTTACCAGGTGTCAATTACCGTAAGTATGGTGCTAAAAGTGGCAAATACTGTGTGGTTACCGGTGCCAGTGATGGTATTGGCAAGGAATACGCCCATCAACTGGCCAAACGCGGTTTCAATCTAGTACTCATCTCGCGTACCCTTTCGAAACTGGAAGATTTGAAATCGGTTCTTGAAAAGACCTACAAAATCGAGGTTCGCATTTGTGCAATTGACGTTTCTGAAGACTCGTCTGATAACTATACTAAGGTCAAGGAGATCTGCTCTGGAATTCCTATCACCGTGCTAATCAACAACGTCGGTCAGAGCCATAGCATCCCGGTTCCGTTCCTGGAGACTGGGGAAGACGAGCTTCGCAATATCATCACGATCAACACCACAGCTACTTTGAAAATCACGCAACTCGTTGCACCTTTGATTGTGAAATCTGCCAAAGAAGCACGATGCAAAGGCTTGATTTTGACCATGGGTTCCTTCGGCGGTCTTCTCCCAACACCCTTGCTGGCCACATATTCAGGGTCCAAGGCATTTCTGCAGGCCTGGTCCGCTGCTTTGGCTGGCGAACTCAAGTCTCAAAATGTAGACGTTGAAATTGTTCTGTCTTACCTGGTCACTAGCGCAATGTCGAAAATTCGCAAAACCTCTATGATGATCCCAAACCCAGCCCAATTCGTTGCAGCCACATTGAAGAGTGTTGGAAGACGTTCTGGAGCTCAGGAACGCTACGCTACTATGACACCTTTCTGGTCTCATGCAATTTATGAATTTGTCATTGAAAACACCGTTGGTGTATATTCCAAGCTCGCGAACACCATCAACTACAAGATGCACAAGAGCATTAGGACAAGAGCTTTACGCAAAGCCGCAAGACATGCTAAACAACAGTAGAATAGCCTGTTCTTACCCTGTTGTTCGTTCGTACACCGTGTTTTAGCTATTTTTACAGTATATATAGCGATTTGACCTAGTTCAGTGTTGAATACACGTCAAGAACATAAAAGATCTTGAGCGCCGATTCAAGTGTAACGAGGCCCATTCTTCACACTATCAGCATCATGACTGAATTGGCCAATTACAAAAGGCTCGAGAAAGTGGGTGAAGGTACATACGGTGTCGTGTACAAGGCATTGGATTTGAGACACGGTCAGAGGGTAGTTGCATTGAAAAAGATAAGACTTGAAAGTGAAGACGAAGGCGTTCCTAGTACTGCGATCCGCGAAATTTCCCTGTTGAAAGAGCTCAAGGACGACAATATCGTTCGGCTGTACGATATTGTACATTCAGATGCACACAAATTGTATTTGGTTTTCGAGTTCTTGGATCTGGACTTGAAAAGATACATGGAGTCGATTCCAAAGGAACAACCACTGGGTGACAACATTATAAAGAAGTTTATGATGCAATTATGCAAGGGTATCGCGTATTGCCATTCGCATCGTATTTTGCATCGCGATTTGAAACCGCAGAATTTGTTGATCAACCGCGATGGCAACATGAAACTGGCTGATTTTGGTCTAGCGCGTGCTTTTGGTGTTCCATTGAGAGCTTACACACACGAAATTGTCACTTTGTGGTATCGCGCTCCCGAAGTGCTTCTCGGTGGTAAACAGTACTCCACTGGTGTCGACATATGGTCCATAGGGTGCATCTTTGCCGAGATGTGTAACCGCAAGCCAATCTTTAGCGGTGACAGTGAAATTGATCAGATCTTCAAAATATTCCGTACTTTGGGAACCCCAAGCGAGTCTGTCTGGCCCGATATTGTATACTTGCCCGATTTCAAACCAAAGTTTCCCAAATGGCACCCAAAAGATTTGGCACAAGTGGTGCCGTCCCTGGATGCACACGGTATTGATCTTTTGCAGAACTTGCTAACCTATGATCCAATCAATCGTATCAGTGCCAAAAGAGCAGTTATGCATCCATATTTCCAAGGTCAGTCGGTGGATTAGACGGTGAATAAAAGGTAGCACGAAACCAATTTGCATGATGCCTGAAGGAATAAGAACTCGAGCTAGCAAGTGAGAATTTTTTTCTGGCGTTCATGGTCTCATAAATGGTCAATAACGCTAAAAGAACAGCATTCCGTGATGTAGTGGAACATCTTTGATGCAACGAGCTTATTTTGGTCGGCTTCCATGTTGCTGCGATGTTCGTACTAGCCGTGATCGAGTAAGAGGTTGGAACAAGTTTCCTTACTGAAAAGAACCAAAGGTCTTGCTTGGAGTAAAATTGAGCTGGAATGGATGTATTTTGAAACCGACATTGTGATGGCTATTTCGCTACCCAATTACCTGGATTGGTGTCAGTGGCTACTATAAACTACTGTCTATATTCCGTGTAAGAGTCGTTCTGATACTGTAAAGTGGCATACGTGATAACAATCACTCACCATTCATATTTTGTTTATTTGCTGTTGAATGGGTGCAAACCATCAATGTGATCGTCTCGTAGTTGAATGAATCCTAACGTCGGGTGCGTGTGACTAGATCTGTGTAAACCTTTTACATCCGTAATGACACTCTGTTTGAGTTATCTTAGAAGGACGCACATGGGACAAACTGTATTCTACAAATACTCAAGTATTATTCGATAGCCGCGCTAATAGTCTTTTCGCGGGTCTTCGCCCAAGTTAAGTATAAGACCATTGTAGGCGTACTTTTATTTCTTACCTGTTAGTTGTATTATACCAAAAGACCAATAGTTTGAGTCAAACGACACCAATTGGCTAAGCGCGCGCTTGAAAGACGCAGTTCGAAGCCTTTGAGAGACCAACAGATTATGTTTGGCACCAGGTAGTTGCTTTCATCAGTGATATTCATTTGAAAACTGCCCGACCCCACAATCGTGCTCGACACCAGCACGGCGATGCCTATAACGCTGTCTATAGTGATCCTTGAGAACCGTTTCGTGATACTACGCAGAACATCAACTGGTCTCATTTCCACATTATGAAAGCTAGACACGTCTTGTCAAACAAAAGACGGCTCAAAAAGGGAGGATCCATTGCTCCAACCTTGCTCAAAACTTGTTGCGCTTTAACCAATGCAATTACTGAAAACTCGGAAGCCAAACGTAGGCTTTCGATATCAAAATCATCATTTTACAGGTAGCGTAAATATTCTAAATGGCCCCTCTGCGGTAGGTTGATATTTGATCGCCTGAGTGCCTGCCGCTCAAGTCAACCAATAATGCTCTGGAGATGCTAATTCCGCCCAGCCTAACCAATTTTGGCACCTCTTGGCTGTTGCACTTGAGAGCGCTGGCGACATTCGATTCATCCATCAAGGACCAGTACTCTGGAATTGCTGCACGCCAGAGCAATTACTGAAAATTCTTGTGCTCTGAAGCCGTAAATTCTACAAGTTTGGTGGTAGCAGTCAACATCAGTTAGTGAGAGTGACCGCTTATAGATTCTTGTTGAAAGTAAATTCGAAACTGAATGCGCACACTAGTTGCCAGACAAAGCTCGAGCCTTGAACGTAAGAGACCCGTTCCATATGCTGGGCAATGTGCTTGATTGAGAGCACGTCGATATTACTATGACAGATAGCTTGTAGGTTAAGCTCTTTGCACCAATTGAAGTGAGCAGATGATGGTTTTTGATGTCCGTAAAACCATTTCCTCCTCCGCTCTATTTTGGGAGCCGTTCCACGATCGATAGAACAGAAAAGTTTTTACTTACACGGGTGCATTGTAATGGTACCAAGTTATGACACTCGCTTTCCCATCGAATCATGGGCGCTAGGGAACCTGAGATCCAGTGCTTGGAATTGGGTGTCTATCAATTCTGACGCTGTCGCGTATCGCGCGCGAGAGAGCGCTATATCGTGAACCTGACGTTAGATGTAAGAGTATAATCCGACGATGCTCCAGTGTGCGAGACTTGAGTCGATGTGATCAATGCGGCGTTGTCAACATAGGCTACCATTCGTCTTTTGTGCCACTTTTGTTTAGCTCTTTACACAAAGCACGCTCGAGGCATATCCCCCGAACTTTAGGTGCACTTAGTGCACCGTGTCAAAATGCCAGCTCTCTCGTTGTCAATTGAGGTTGTCATCGAAACTGTTTAAAAGTGTGGTTTTCTCGAAGCACGACGTAGTAAATTTGAAGTGAGATACTTGGAGTCTTGGGAACTTTCTATGCGACGTTGAAATCAGCACCGCAAACCCTCATTTCACAAGTAGTGCGCAAATTTCTTACCTTTGACAGTTGGAAAGTCAAAAAAAGGTCGAAGGGACGATTAAAGATTCAGCCAATGACTTTAGGTGACTCTGTTGAGCTTTTCGAGGTTTCATGAGGCGGTGAACTATCAACGGACGTACTTCCTGCCTGAGAAGATTTTGAATGAAAAATACAACGAGTGACATATGGAGACTGTGATTCCATTCTGAAGGTTGCAGGTGGTTGGCGGTGAATGATACAACGGGTGCCATCCATAGACTGTGATTCCATTCTGGAAGTTGCAGTTGGCAGTGTAACAGTCCGGCTGGATGAAGCTTTTTGGAAGCTGCCCAAATCAAACAAACGCGTAGGAATAGATCGAAATCTTTACCAAAGAGGCAATAAAACCTATGAGGCCGTACATTGTTGGCTGCTCATGTGGTTACTGTGCGTATAGAGTGCATTCGACTCCTAAACATACTCTAGTATGGACAACATGCACGACATCTTAGCCTTTTTCGTGTTCTGTAGTTGACAAACATCTTCCGTTGTAGTCTAGTTTAGAGAAGATTAGCAGTCTGAGTAGGGTGGACTGTAATGGTTGGATTGATAGTTGACATTTTGCATGATTATATTTTGTTTAGTGTGTCCTAACCAATAACCGCTGTTATTTCTGAACACCGAATAACTTTATCCAATGATGAGATGGGCGATTCATTTAGATGGGTTTCACTTCGATTAAAAAACCTCTTTAACAACTGTACATTAACTACCTTGTGTTTTCTCGGATGATTAGGCATTTCCAGTTCGTACGCATTGTTATCGATGACTTTCTTCACTTGATAGGGACCTCCATACATTTTTTGATATTTTGCATGATTTCTCAACGTGAATATAGAATCTTCATGTAGCAATACCCATTCTCCGACTTTGAACACGACTTCTCTCCTCCCTTGGTTTTTTGTTGATTGCATACCAATTTGATTTTCGGTTGGAAACTCTTTAGTTGTTAACGTAATGGCATGTAACTGTTCGATGAGTTGTTGTCGGTCGCTATTTCTGGCGTTGGTCTTTTCATCGTGATCAAGGAGTGGTTCGTTTGGGCAGTATCCTAAGTCAACTTCAATGGGAGATGAACGAATAGCGGTATTATAAGTGGAGTTGTAAGCAAATTCCAGTTGTGGCAACCACTTGTCCCACGCGTTTTGTGCGTTTTGGGTGTAGCTTCTTAGAAGCCGAGTTAGTCTTTGATGCACCTTTCGGTTTGACCATCCGTTTGTGGATGATTGCGAGTAGACACAGGCAATTCAATACCTAACCGAGCCATGGCATCTCGGTATATTTGATTTTCGAATCGGATGTCTCTGTCGCTCACAATCGAATTTGGACACCCATGTTGAGGAAAGGCATAGCGGAAGAGAAGCTCGGCTACTTCAAGTCCCGTTATGTTCTTGCTGCATGGTAAAAAGTGTGATCGCTTAGAAAAACGATCGACTACGACCAAGATCGTATCACGTCCGGTCCTAGTCTCGGGTGATTGCGTTACAAAGTCCATAGATAAGTTTCTCCACCGACCTTTTGCTATGGTAATGGCAATAGTAATCCCTGAGATTTCGGTCGATGGGATTTCATCAATTGGCATTGTAAGCAACTCCTGACATGTTGATTCGCACAATGATATTGCCTTGGCCAGTAGTATTTTTCAGCTATCTTTGCATACGCGACATTTGTACCGAAATGTCCTCCGAACAACGTATGCACATGACAAGTCTGCAAAATTTCCTTTTTCCTCTCTTTGGGCACAACGGCCCTATCGTCGTACTACAACTTGTTGTCATGAAGACTGAACTTCCTAATTCTTCCGAATATTTGAACTTCTTGTGGTACTTCTCGTATGCACTAAAATCTGCATTGGTGACACCTGCGTTGTCACCACATTCCAGAAACACTAAGGCTGCAGCTCCTAGTGGATCCGACTTCATCTCTTCTTGCCAGTTTGCTGGATCTATCACCGTGATATTGTTTAGAATCATCACCTCCGGATGGTCCGTTCTGGATATTGCACCTGCTACCACGTTGTTTTTTCCTGTCAGATACTCAAGTTTGAACTCATACTCACTTAGTTCTTCTAACCACGTAGCAGTACGTCTACTGGGTTCTTTTTGGTTCTGACAGGACAACAAACTGATGTGGTCTGTTCGCAGTACAAACTCTTTTCCGTGTAGGAGGTACTTGATATGTCTCAAGGCTTCAATTATTCCAAGCTGTTCCAGCTCGCCTGCAGGGCGATTTCCTTGGGCGCCCTGTAGTGATTTGGAAAAATAGCCTACTACACCTTTTTTACCTTGGCCTGCTCGACCTCTTCAGAGACGGCTCCTATCCCGGTCTTTGAAGCATCTGTTGTTAATCTGTAGATTCCCTCTACTTTAAAAGGAATTAGTAAGGGTTCCTTCATCAAACACTGTTTGAGATTTTCGAATGGTTCCTCTTGGTCTTGGTTCCAGGAACACTCTTTCATAATAAACTTAATTATAGGTCGGCTCCTTTGTAAACAACGTGGAATGAACTTACGATAGTAGTTTACTGTACCCAAGAACCTTTGGGTATCTTCAACCGTTTTGGGCCGGGTGGAAGCTTGCTGTAGCTTTGCATTTTTCTTTGGTCTTTTTGATGAAGTTGTGACCTTTTTCATAGCCGAGAAACTCTACCTGGGGCATTGATTAACCCGAATGGCAGTACGCGGTATTCATACTTACCTGTGGGTGTAACAAATGCTGTTTTGTATTGGTCAGACTCTTTCACCTGAAACTGATGATAGCCGCTATGCAAGTCAATAGTTGTAAACCATTGAGCTTCGCCTATCCTGCCCAACAGGTTTTCGATGCGCGGCAATGGGAATGGGTCTTTGATGGTTGCTCTGTTTAGACGTCCATAGTCCACACACATCCGGTAAGATCCGTCTTTCTTCTTGACTAATACAATAGGTGAGCTACAGGGAAATTTCGACGGGGTAATGAACCTCTTGTCCAGAAGTTCCTGAACTAGCTCCTGGGCTAAGGCTACATTCTTTGGTGTCATCCTGTAAGGCTGGATCCGAGGTAATGGAATACCTTCCTTGAGGTCTATCTCGTGTTCCACAGATCTTGGTCCTCTCTCCCTGACCGGTAAATCGTTGCTCACCGTTTCTTTGTATTTTTCGCGTAGATTAGCTGGGAGTCTTGAGAATGATTCCCCTTTTTGCTCTCCAGATTTTGTAACGATGACAGTGTGTAGTTCGACATCTATGTCGTATTGATCTTTCAATCGCTCCCTTTTCTAGGTGATCGATCTCGATTTCTGCGGAAGGGCCTATGATGGCTTGTCGAGCCCATTGCAAAAGCTCTGGATATTCATCCAAAACTGGGTTGCCAATGATTAGTTGCGCAGTTATATCTTCTGTAACATAACAGTCGATTTTGAGACTACCCTCGAATTGAAATAACGGTACCGAATGAGTTTAAATCTCAACCTCTTTACAACCTCTGAATGGATAAACGCTGTGGGCGACCCTGTGTCTATGACTGCCAACACGCTGTTAGTTTTGTTGACTCTCAATTCAATCTCGCTACGTTCCCCAACCTTCGGTTTGACTTGTAATGCTTGCTGTACCTTGTTGGCGCTTAAGCTCTGGTTCTCCCCCTTCTTCAATTTTGCGCCTGAGCTTATAAGCATCACCCCGTTGTTGGGGTTACCTTTGTCAGGACAAGATCGACTAAAATGCCCTGGTCGGTTACACGTAAAGCACACGGCTTTGTATTGTGGCAAGTTGCGATTATTGGAATTACTGTAGTTCCCTCGCTTTGTGGTTCTCTTGGATTTCCATTTCCCTAAATTATTCTCAGTGCCATATTCTTTGGTGAGCCTCTTAAAAAGGTTCTTAAGGCCTCATCGTAGGTTTTTCCTTTCAACCCTGGGTTCTCCTCTATGAGGATCGTTTTCCAGTCGATGCTGACGCTGTCTCGAGCCCTCCTCAACAGCGCGTTGATTTTGTGGGTATCATTTTCACTTTGCTCGAGGGCGAACCAGTAATGCAAGTCTTTCGTAAGAGCGGCGCTATCAAATGTCGTGAGTAATTATCACGAACTACTAGGAACTATAACTGATCTCATAACTAGAATTTTCTGGTTTTTGTAATTTCTAGATTCTAGCTATCCTCCTTAACAAAGCCATGTCTACTTTCTTGATCTCAGACCCTCTTTTATATGTCAATCTGACATCCTTTTTGTGTCATCTTAAATGTAAACACAGCTTTTGTGATAGAACACAAAAGCTAATCACTTACAGCCAGTCATGTTCAACGGGTCGATCGGAATCCACTATACAGGTCTGCTTTCAGCCTTATGTAATAGCAACGTATATAGTGATATGTGCTTTTGGTTCAAATTGCGAAGCCCCTCTCCGTGTTCCGTATAAGATGACACGATACGCTCAAGAAGTCTCGATGAAATGTGCTTGGATATGCCTAGTTGTGTGAAAGCATTCGCGTTAGGATGGACAAGCGAAAATACCGATCTTGGGTCTTCATGCACGTGACGTGACGTGTAAGATGTTAGATGACGAGTGCAGTGAATACGAATTATGACTACGTTTACAATGATTGATCCTATTGTTTATGAGCGAATTCATGTTCGTATTTGACGATGTGGTTTGCGGAAAAAGCTGGACTCCGTGGGATTACTTGTCATTATATACGTCCCTCTTGCAGTGGGTACTATAACCTCTCTCTCTCTCCTGGTGCAAGAACTCTCGTAATGTGTGAGTAAGGTTGACAATCAAGCCAGTGGACTGACTGACTGATTGACTGACTGACTGGCTGGCTGTCAACCTTTTGAAGTATCTTTGACTCTTGGCTCGGGAAACACTCTAGGGCCAAACTCTTGGCTTACGTAACACTCTTGGAGACCCAGCTTACGTAACACTCTAGGGCCAAACTCTTGGCTTACGTAACACTCTCCCCTCCTCCGCGTATCCGCGTTCAAGTTCCGTTTTGGGCCATACACTACGCTCATACTCATACGCCACGGTACTTTTACCACTACGCTTACGTACTAATGATGAAAACACCTTTTCACACCATGGTCGTGGTCGTGGTCGTGGCCCGTGGCCCGTGGCCCGTGGCCCGTAGTGGTAGTGGTGTTACTGTTATGCGGCGAAAGAGAAAGAGAAAACGGGTTTAAGCCCTGACGAGGCGTAGCTTATTATAGAAAGTGAAGTTTAGTGTGGTGTGTGGTGTATTGTAGTGTAGTGTAGTGTAGTAGTACTCACTCACTAGTTGATAAACTGAACAGTATCTATATCGTCAACAAGCTGGAAACGGAGACAATTGGAAATCTGTACTAAATCAGAGTAAAGCAGAGTAAAGCAGAGTGAAACAAAGCACAGCAAAGCACAGCGAAACGAGACTTTTCTAACTCCAAGTGCTTAAAGAAACAGTTTTGCCCAAAATTAAAGTGAAACTAAGAAAGCTAAGAAAGCTAAGAAAGCTAAGAAGAAAGCTACATTAGCATTAGAGAATCCACTGCGAAACTTCTGCGAAACTTCTGCGAAACCACTGTGAAACTACTCCTTCGCCCTCAATTCAACACTCTCATCACCTCGTGTTCTCATAACCTTGTTCACCACCATCTTCATCGCCTAGTCGTGTGTCGTGTTGTTAAGTTTGTTGTTGTGTGTGGAAAGAATTGAAAAAAAAGGCTCCGTCAAGTTTAGCAGATTCAAATTGAATTTCGTCTTCAAAGCCTACACCGGGACAAGATAGACAAAAAACAAACAGAAAAACCAAACAAAAAGGCAAGACTACAAACCACAGACAATCACCCTACAGACTCTGATCATCAGATATACTCTCTCCCAACAGACACTCATAAGTTCATCTTTTCCCCTCCTTTTACTGTTCTCTTCTCTTCTCTTCTCTACTCTACTCTACTCTCCCCCCCCACCCACCATGCGACAAGAACTCAAATATATGATCTATTCGCATCTCGCAATCGTCGTCGTCCTCCTATATCTCACGTTCGACCTCCTCACACTAGCCATAGACGACGCCTTCCAAGACGCACTCCTCGACGTGGACCTCAACCCGCCCCCAACGGCCGCAGACTCAAAACCACAACTCATCCCGAAAATCATCCACCAGACCTACAAAACCGCAGACGTCCCGCAGCACTGGCGCGAGGGCCAGCAGCGCTGCATTGACCTGCATCCGGACTACGACTACAAGCTCTGGACCGACGAAACCGCCCGCCAGTTCATCAAAGAGGAGTACGGCTGGTTCCTCGACACCTACGACGGCTACCGCTACCCGATCGAGCGTGCCGACGCCCTGCGCTACTTCCTGCTCGCCCATTTCGGCGGCGTGTACATCGACCTCGACGACGGCTGCAGACGCAAGCTCGACCCGCTGCTCACCGTCCCGGCCTTTGCCCGCAAAACCAGCCCCACCGGCATCTCCAACGACGTCATGGGCTCTGTGCCCAGACATCCATTCTTCCTCAAAGTTATCGCTTCGCTAAAGAAATACGACCGCAACTGGCTCGTCCCTTACATCACCATCATGTTTTCCACAGGCCCGCTTTTCGTATCTGTCATTTGGAAACAGTACAAAAGATGGGGCGTCCCACCCAACGGCGTCGTGCGCATCCTACAACCTGCAGACTACAAAAAACACACCTACTCTTTCTTCTCCATTTCTCAAGGTTCCTCCTGGCATCTTGACGATGCCAATTTTATCAAATCCCTTGCACATCATATTTTGGCATGTGTGATCTTGGGTTTCATCGTGGCTTTCCTAGTGCTTTACGCTGAGTACTGCTTCTACTGCTGGCTCGGATCTGGCGGTGGTGCGCGTCGTATTGTCAAAACCTGCAAAAAGGGTTTGGCTTGGTTGGGTATCTTGTCCGAAAACACCAAACCCGCAGACTCCATCGAAATGAGATCCAAATACAGACGCTTGCGCAAGGACTCCAATCTCCCCGTGCAACTGATTTTCCCAGATCTCGAGGAAAACAACAGCTCTGATCAGTATGCCGATTTGAGCGACGATTAACCCTCAGAAATTTCAAAACCCATTTTTTTCTCACAATCCCTGACATGGTGCAGAAGCATGGTCTTGAGTGCGAGCATATCGCAACTGAACTCAACTCCCTATTACCAAGAAGAAAGGAAAAAAGAATACGACATTACCAATACCCCCACTATTATCTTTGTCCTTTTATTTTTTATTGTATCTGTTTTTTGTTGTAACCACCATCAGGTTATCTCGGAGGAACGCGACTTAGCACCTCTTTCAAAGCTCAAAATCTCATTTTCCTTGAGCAAAGCATTAGAGCAACTTCATGGTCTTCAGGAGGACACTACAGTCATACCAATAGACAATTGTTCAACACTAAGTGGTTCCTATTTTATTTTACCCGAGCATGTACTATGATTTACTATCTGTCTTTTAAAGTTTCTACAATCAAGTTCTTGGTGTTGTGCATCGTACTACGTTCAGCAACCCATTCCTTACAACTCGGCTCAACTCATTTCGACTCTGAATTGGCGAAACACGCTTATTCTCGTCAAACTCTTCAAAACTAAAGGCCATTTACATTTATACAACCAAGGTTAAGTGAGAACTAAGAAAATATCCAAATTATAATAATACACTGCCAGCGGCAAGATAGAAAGGTGTGATCGAATTTTTAACAAAAGGGTGCTGTTGCACTGTTGGGGACATTAAGCTTAAGCCAAGTTAGCGACCGAAGCGCTTTGGTCCAACCATTTTTGAACGGTGCTGGCACTCAAGCTCGAGCCGAAGTCGCCATCAACTTGAACAACGTGCAAACTCTTGTCTGCACCGTTGAAAATAACTGCTGCCTTCAAACTGTTGGAAGTTGGTCTAGCAAAGTAGTCCTGAGTACCGCCACCGCCTTGGCTGTTACCGTTGTTGCCCTGTCCGTCGTGCAAATGAGTGATCAACTTTTCACTGCCAGCAGACAAAATCTCGAAAAGATCAAGCTCACCACATCCAGAACCCCAGCACGAGCATTCGGATTTACCATATTGAAGAGTACGTGGGATCTTAGCGTTTAGCATCCAGATGGCAGGCATGTCTTGGTTGTAGGAAGAAGAAGAGTCATGAGGCATCTTGAATTCAAACACAAACATTTTGGTGTCACCAGCAAAACCGTGGTAGGCAGGAATGCCCTCACGGTAAACACCACAAGATCCGGAAGAAGTGTCGGAGCAGTCAACACCAGAGAAGATCATGTACTCTTTGTTAGAAGCCAAAGTCACTTGGTTCAAAGCTTGTGGAGAAGCGGCACCGGACACACCGTCAGCAGCACAGTATGAGATCGAGTTACCGAAACACGCGGACCAGGTACCAGAGCCGGCTGTACCACCTTGGTGGTTCATGAAAGTCAAGTTACTTGCAGAGCCTGGGGTGTAGTACGATACTCTCTTCCACCCAGAGCCTGAGTTAGACCCAGAAGAAGAAGATGGAGCTTTCGACGAGGAAGAAGAGGAAGATGATTGGCCTTGAGTCGAAGAAGAAGACGAAAGGGGAGCAGCAGATGAAGAGCTTGATGCTGCAGAGGAATGGAAAGTAGGAGCAGCGGCCGAAGAAGATGAAGATGAAGAGGAAGTGGTCGCGACTGGAGCCAAAGATGAAGAAGTGGCGTAAACAGCAGTGGCAGATGGGTTGGTGGCAGCAACAGGATTGCCATTGCCGTCGACGTACATGGTAGAGGTGACGTGAACAACCGCAACGGCAGCATCACGCTTGTGGTCGTGATGACGAGTAGCAACGTCGCAATCTTCTCTCTTCTTCAAAGAGCCAGAAGATGGGTAGTAAACACCAAATTGCAATAACTCTAGTGGACCTCTGAAGTGAACAGAGAGCTCTTCATCGAGCGGAGACAAAGAGCCCTCGAAGGAGACGGACTCCTGTTCGCACGAACAAGAGCTCTCGTCAATATTAGTGACATCCATGTAAGAGCCCGAGTAACCGACGTTTTGATAAACAACGGCATCAGTTTTGGAGCAGTAGTAGTTACCACCGACAAAATCACAAGAAGCAGCGACAAGTGGTGCCAATGATAGCGCTGTGGCAAGAGCGGAGTGTAAAAGCTTCATATCGAAAGGTGGGTTGCTTCTGCAAAAAGGAGTGACAACGAAGGATTTTCAAATGAATGTAAAATAGTTGTAAGGAGTGGACAGCTGAACTAGCTTCTGATGTTGAGGGAATGAAACAACTGAAGGTCAGACAAATCTTGTGAAGTACTTTTGCAGTTTTACTTCTTGGAATTCACCAACGTTAAAAGAATGTAAATCGCAGTATTAAAGGAGTGTGGGAGTTTAGGAGACCAGAGTAAACTAGGAGAGATTTTCCAGAGTACCTAAAACAAGTTCGCGATGGCTGAGATGAATACCTGAAGTGGTTTTTGGTGGTTTTAATAAGTAGATCTTTGAGATGGCTGGTTTTCCAAGAGTGAAGGAAAGTGTTTAAACTCCAAAACTTTTCCCGTTCTCCTAGTCTTTTGGACGTTCAACCTTCAAAACATTCCCGTTCGAGGCATCAAACTGGCCAACTCCAAAGCGGTATCTTTCAGCTACGCTACGCCATTTGCGCTACTCAGTAAGTCACGTACTCAACCAACCGTAAAGCTTTTCTTGCAACTCTGGCAACAACCTAGACCGCGTAGCTGGTCATTTGAGTGGCGTGTACGTGTCATTGGTAACTACCGTTTCAAATCTGTATGAATAGATCCGTCGTGGTCGAGCTGTTTCGTGGTATCGTGGTAGTTTTCCTCAGTTTGACTCGTAGCGCAATATCGCGCCTTTCATCTGTTGACGCACTACCGAATATAGTAATCAGCCTTCGCTGGTGCTAAGGCTGGCACCGAATTATCACTAATTTTTCACGGCAAGCCATCCAAATTTTTTCTTCTCAGCTGAAACTTTTTCGCGATATGCAACGCTCGAGAAAAGATCAGCACGGGCAGCACCTAACAACGACAAAAACTCTTGCAAATTATCTGTGAAATATCGGCGTAGAGTTGGCGACGCAGGGTTTCCAGCATGGACAATCAGTTGATGTGCCTGTTAGCGCTGAAAAGAAATGGGAACAATGGCAAACGGCAAGTCTCGAGAAAACCGTTGGTGACCGGGAGAAGCGATGTAAGAATCTCTTCGCGTACAGCTGAAGCTCACAATCGCGTCGGTAAACATTCTAGAACACTTTTGACAGAAAATAAGCAGAAGGCGCCAAAATTTTGGCAGTTCAGAAGAGTTCGAAGAATGGAGCTGACGTTGGCGTGTTAGGGACGAATGCACAGCTCTGGCGGTCTTAGAAACGACGACATTCACTTGCATTTGTTCCATATCTTTTGGTTTTGAAAAGCTGAAGTATTTGCCGCACAGACCACTTGCATGGTAAGTAGAACCTCCAAGCTGACGATTTTCACTTTGTGTGAGCAGTTATAGCTGGCTCGTCTCATTGTGGACGTCTTGACACAACACTGCCTATTGTATTTCTTGTTTCAGCCAACAGTGTAGGGCAATAGGTGCTATATTCGGTTTGATCCAAAATGCCCTAAATGGTCTCAGTTGTTCACGCACTGAAGGGTGCCGTTTTATGTGTACCAAAGTTTCTAATTGCATGAGAGTCAGCTTATTGAAACATGGGGCTGAAATAATCGTCGGAAAATGTTTGCCTTCTGGTGTTTGGCTACATGATGAGGTTCAAGATAGAAAGTGAAATACCCGCCCAGCATTTTAATTCTCTGAGAATCTAAATGTCACAAAATACGGATTATTCGCAGGTTCTTGTTGATCACGTGCTTATGTTGACTCCGCTGGAACTCACCTTTGCAGACTATTCGGGTATTCATACGTACATACATAGGAAGCCTGTGGAAGCCGCTCAATCTACCTAGTCGGCATGCTGTGATTGCCTTTAAGCGCTGTTCTCATTTGATGATAGTTATAAAATAGTCACGTGCCAGGCCCTAAGGCTCGAACATCTTGCTATTTTCTGGAACTGAATCTTTTAATCAAGTCACCTTGGTTAGTTTATTCTAAATTCAATACCCGATCATCGCTCAAAAAGGTCAACCTTTGTTAACATTGCAGCAACGTTCCGTATAAGCAATATCATATATCAAATCGGTCACGTTTTCTTTTTCAATCGAAAGCTCCGGTGTTCGTCTAAGGGGACTTCGATCTTGAAAATAACACGAAGCGTTTATAAGTAAGGTTCACCACTTCCTTTACCTCACCGAGCATTCCGATAGAGCATTGATCTCGACTGCAAAGCTCTCAAATCTGCGCGCAATGGCAGTTCAAACTCCCAAACAACGGATAGCCAACCAAAAATTCGCCAAGCGAAACGAGAAGAAACTGGGCAAAGCCAGAAAGACGGAGTCCAAATCTTCGTTGGCTCTACCTAAATACTGGGTAATTGGGCTTCTCTTTCTGCTGATAGGAGGTGGTATACTCGAACTTATCAGCCTCTTTTTGTAAAGACAAGGGATCTAGATTTGTAGTATAATCAAAGTTATTCGTTAGAACACGACAGTCTGTACATACAACGCAATGCCGAAGCCGGTTTCAGTAGAGAAGACCAAGGCTAACTCAAAATTAAGCGTCGCTTAGTGTGAGGCTTTGGTTTTTTTGACTTTCAAAAGGTACTCCGTGCTTTCGGCGATGTCCAGTTTTTAATATTAATGACATGAGGAGCTACCTTGGGTTTAGATAATTGTCAAGGTTGAGAAAGTTTTCAAGTATTACAGAGGCGAAGCGAATGAAGAGTCTTTCGAGCACAAGCTACCCGCAATGACAACTAAACGCCTTCTTGTCTATGAAAGCGCGTCAGGGCTCTTTTTGTTTTGGTATGAGTTTCTCGAATTTTTGACATTCTAATTTCCATCTCATTTCGCTTCAGATCATTACAGCTGCGTTGCTGATTCAGTGATGAAAAAAATGAGCCAACTTAGCATGCCAGCATTATGCGGATCGGCCTCAACATCTTTCGCAGGAACGTTTATTCATCCAAGGTCTTCAAGGTAGCAAATTCTGAAGCCTTGGGCGCATCCTTGAGCCCTTCTGAGGAAGAAGTCCGTATAATCGATGACCTACCGTTCTTTCGAAAATGTTCTTTGAGACCAGAAAGCGGTGGAACTAAAAGCCGCAAAGCATATCTGGACCGCAAACTCCCCAAAGTTCGCAAATTGTTTCGAAACGAGCAAAATCCTGCTTTTCTATCTTATGATCTCCCCAAGGAGCTGCCGAATCCTTATTTAGATGCACAGGCACGAGCTAAGATTAACCCTGTAAATGGCACAACAGAATATGCTGGTACGGCTAGATTGTCAGTAACAAAGCTATTGACCAAGAGATGGTGTGAACTTCGAGAGGCCTACGACATTTATTCACAGGTTCCCATCTATGAGCACGGCCAAGTAAGTGTCGGTCGTCGTGAACACCAAAGGCTCGAAGATGAGGCGCACGTTACTCCATCAAACGCCGAAATACTAAAAGAAGAATTGACTGCAGAAATACCACAGGACGCGGTACACACGCTGGCAGAAAATTGGTTTCAAACCATTATCAGACTTCTTGCCCTATTTCAGACTGGCCAAGCAAGGGAAATTTTGTGTCATGGCTATTTGAGCTCAAAGGACTGTGCTTTAGACGGCAATGTTGCTGAAGAAGATGCAGTTTTAGTCAGCGGAATCATTGATCATCTGCTGCTAAAGCGGCGAAACACAGCAGAGCTTAAACCAACGTCACTCTTGGCCGGAAACTGTTCCGAGCATGATCTACAACGCATAGTGCATGATTTGAACGCTGCAGTCCGAAACTCAAATGAGGAATTGGAGATAATTGTCAGCGATGTCAAGACTAGGTCTTCAAGGACAATTCCTCAACAGACTTCCGTTGTGAAAGCCTCCAAGATTCAGGTGATGTACTACAGGTACTTTTTAGAAGAGCTGAGCAAGGATGTAGCTCAGACATATGAAAGACTTCTCATGAATGCTCGAAAAAGAGGGATCGATTTGGATGCACCTATCAATGCAGCCAAGTTGGTTGTGTTGATGGAAACAAGTCCAGTGATAGCGCGTGATATGCAGCGGCTGCAAAAAGGCTTTCCAATTGGGTTTGCTCCTTTTGATGATTTCCACGAAAGCTCAATGACATCGAGGTGTGAGTATGATCTGGAAAGTTTTCAAGGCGTAATAGAGAACGCGGACACACATGAGCGCTACTATGAATATTTTACCAAATGGAAAACTCCGCTGACGCTCCGATATTTTGCTGCACGTCTCGCACAGATGTATAATCATGTTGGCCCACTTCTTTCCAAGAACTTGATGATAGAGTATTATTCGGGCAGTACCAATTTTCACAGCATATCATTCGAATACGATCCAGAGGACATTAAACATCATAGCACTCAAAGCGCTTTGTTCTGGTTTGGTAAGCGCAAGATCGAACCTATAAAACCCACCGTGAGAAACATGCTTACATATTGCAAGTACTGTGACTACGAACAAATCTGCTTGTGGCGAAAACAAGGCTCCGATATGTGCAAGGGTCTCGGAAAGGAGCTCCAGGCTCTTCATCCAAATGAGTCTGTAGTGCAGACCAACTGACAATTCCACGAGAGCCATAGTGATTTCGTTAGGAAAGACCTCATGAAAGTTTGGCGAAAATTTATTAAACTATAAATTTGAGGAAAACCCTTACCGCCTCGAATTCGTTGACTTCAGGGCCCACTTCAGTTATGCTTGCATCGGCTGGCACCCTTTGCTTGTAGCGCGTCTCGAAATCTTGTGTTGCAGTCAATACCTTGCAACCTACAAGTATGGATCCATTGAGGTTCGATCGTGATGCCCATCAATAAAGGGCTCCACTGTTGATGCGTGTTGGTGTGTGTCAGTGCCACATGCTTTGAAAGCGCGACATCCTTATGAAGGGTGCTTCAGCTATTGCCAAACCTTCAACATAACTAGCTTTGAAGAAACCTCTCAGATCGCCAAACCTAATACACTAAAAAAACCGAGAATACGTGCAATGCTGTTCATCGGTCCAGTCTTCAGCTTCAACGGCATTGCGTATTCAAGTATGAGTCGCAAGCAGTGGAGAAAGCTCAAAAATTTAGGAAACTTCGCGTAGCCGTCAACTCCGTTCTCTTCTGAGAGCTGAACTGCAAGCACTTTGCCATTCCTCCAAGAAAGCTGCCTGTCGTCATGAGTCAACGGAAAAACAAAACCCCGGTGGGGACCCATAGTTCTCGCTTCACCTAAGAGCGGAGTTTGTAATCAAAGATTAATTATTTACAAGTCTAAAGGCACGAGAACACATTTTGGTTGAATAGATAATAGACGATTAGGAGAAGGTACCCTTACTCCTCGTCTTCCTCCGGCACCAAGGCCTTGGCCTCCTCCAAAAGCTTAGTTAGCTCACCGGTCTGGGCCATATTCATGACGATATCGCATCCGCCTACGAATTCCTCGTTTACATATAGTTGTGGAATAGTGGGCCATTCGCTGATTTCCTTGATACCTTCCCGCAATTCTGGGTCTTCCAGGACGTTGTAGGCGGCAAATTTCATTGGGTCAACGCCTTGCTGCCCGAGCATGCCGATCGTAGCTTTAGAAAATCCACATTGTGGAAACTCTGGCGTACCTTTCATAAATAGCACAACGGGCGCGGATTTGATTGCCGATGTGATGGCCTGTCTGGTCTCTGTGCTCATAAGTCTAGCCCATGATGTGGGTGCTCTTGCGAAAGTGTGCGTGGCAAGTCTAGCAAACATTTTTTGGGTAGCGAAGGAGGTTCCGGCTTCGAGGGTAGACGATGTGCGATCAGGTTATTCAAACTTTGTTTGACAAATGAATGAATAAATGAATTAACGAATAATTCTGTGTCCACGTGACCCCAGATCAGATGACGTGTTATCCTGCTATTAGGCCACAACGGTCACGTGCAGAGTGAGGAATACCGTTTGAGTGTCTTTGAGCGCGCAAAAATTTGATTATTTGGTCGAGAAAGCACTAGCGGACAACATCCCATGGCGAACGCTACTTTATCGTGAGTTATTTCAGACTGCTTCGACTTATTTCCTTCTCTAGGCTCAGAAATAAAACCTGTTCGGGCTTCTGCGAAACACTTCTCTTTTTATAGTACGTCACGTTAGTACAAAGTGATCAGTGCTAATCGTGGTATTTTATATTGTTTTCCATGACCATTTCGCATATGTCCGACTCTTCGCTGCTATTCCAATTCTGAACAATCCAGATCTTACTGTCTCCACCAGCTGCGGCTAATCTTTCCCCCGCAGCTCACATAGCAGGTGACTGATACCGATCATTGTTCCTAAACGCTAAGCTCTTCGAAGTAGTGATCACCTATCAGCATCATCCTGAACGGAGATAATGTTTCTGTTTGTTCAAATTTGCGCTTATGTCATCGTAATGTGATTCGGCTCACTCCGCAAATTTGCGCTCTACCCTAATCTGATAGTTATCATGTAAACGTATCTCGGGGAAATCAGATCGGGGTATATATAAAGGGCGGCTGTCTTGGAATTTAAGTCCAATCTTGGGATTTGCACTACCTTAAAACAGCAAACTCTCCAAACTTAATAAACATTGATATACAAACTTCCATCATGTCCACCCTAGACACTCAAGGATGGTGTGTTGAAGAATGGCGCACTTTCCATGCCCGCTCCACGCCGCAAAAGGGTTTAGACCAGCTTCTAGCCTTGCTAAATTCGCAGAAAGTGGCGCCTGAGGATCCAGCCTGGATTTCGGTGGTCTCACCAGAGCAGCTGACCCATCAATGGCGGGTTTTACAGAGTAAACGTGATAAGCAGCTTCTGCCGCTGTACGGTGTCCCTGTCGCCGTCAAAGATAACATTGACGTTGCTGGATCGTTTACGACGGCAGCGTGTCCGAGCTTTTCGTACGAGCCCACTAGAGATGCTACGACAGTTTCGCTGTTGAGAGACGCTGGAGCTATCATAGTGGGTAAGACCAATCTGGACCAATTCGCCACGGGTTTGGTGGGCACCAGGTCGCCCTACGGGAAAACTCCATGCGTTTTTAGCGACAAACACGTTTCTGGAGGTTCCTCAGCAGGCTCCTCGTCGGTCGTGGCGCGCGGGATCGTGCCCCTGGCGCTGGGGACCGATACAGCCGGTTCAGGACGTGTTCCGGCGGCATTGAATAATCTTGTGGGGCTAAAACCCTCCAAGGGTGTCTTTTCGTGCTCAGGTGTTGTACCTGCATGCAAATCGCTAGATTGCGTTTCCGTTTTTGCCTTAAACTTGCGTGACGCCCAAATTGCATTCCAAGTAATGGCCCATTCAGATGGTGCGAACGACGAGTACTCGCGTGCCATGCCAGCTAACCCACTCCAGCATTACCGCAAGGATTGTATTGTGGCTATACCACAATCGGTGCCTTGGTTCACAGAAGAAGGACAAGAAACCCCTCGTTTATACCAACAAGCAGTCGCCAATTTGAAAGCCACAGGTGCTCAAATTGTAGAGGTCGATTTCCAGCCATTATTGGATTTGGCCCGGTGCTTGTACGAGGGTGCTTGGGTCGCAGAACGCTATGAAGCTACTCGCGACTTCTTGAAGACCAACCCAGATCCTACCACTTTGGACCCTACTGTAACGACCATTATCAAAACCGGAGCCAACTTTGACGCCGCCGATGCTTTCAGATATGAGTACAAGCGTCAAGGAATTCTACAGAAAGTAACCACGTTACTCGCGGATATCGATGTTCTATGCGTTCCAACCTGCCCTCTAAACCCAACATTCGACGAAGTGGCTGCGGAACCAATCAAAGTCAACTCTCAGCAAGGAACCTGGACTAATTTTGTTAATCTTGCAGACATGGCTGCTCTTGCAGTCCCCGCCGGTTTTCGTAGTGACGGTCTGCCCGTAGGCATCACATTGATCGGCAAGGCTTTCACAGACTACGCTTTACTAGGCCTTGCCTACCGCTATTTCAAAAAAGCTTTCCCTAATAATTCGAGAACTTACGGCCGATTCACAGACCGTTCAGTCACCACACAAGATGAGCTGCAAGCTATTCCGTATAGCACAGAAGATTCTATCAAACTAGCGGTCGTGGGTGCTCATCTGAAAAACTTGCCGCTACATTGGCAACTAGAAAAGGTTAATGCTTCCTACCTAGGAAGTCCCAAGACCTCCCCCAATTACAGACTTTATGCTCTACCAAAGACTGGTCCTGTATTAAAGCCTGGCCTGAGAAGAGTAACTGACGACGGTAAAGGCGCCCAGATTCAACTTGAGGTTTATAGCGTCCCCAAAGACCAATTCGGCACATTTATTGCCATGGTTCCAGAACCTTTAGGAATCGGCTCAGTTGAGCTCGAGTCAGGAGAGTGGGTCAAGTCGTTCATCTGCGAAGAATTTGGATATCAACAAAAGGGCACCGTAGATATCACCAAGTATGGTGGGTTCAAGGCTTATGTCGAGGAACAGTCTTTGGAAGCCGCCAAAGCCATTAAACCTTTTGAGACTGTCTTGGTTGCTAACAGAGGTGAAATTGCCGTGCGCATTATCAAGACTTTAAAAAAGCTCAAGATTAAATCGGTCGCAGTTTATTCCGACCTAGACAAGTTTTCCCAGCACGTCACTGATGCCGACGTTGCTATCAACTTGAAAGGTCATACCGCTGCTGAGACGTACCTAGACATTGATAAAATTATCAACGCCGCCCATCAAACAGGTGCACAAGCCATCATCCCAGGCTATGGATTTCTATCCGAAAATGCCGACTTTTCGGATAGATGTGCAAATGAGGGTATCAACTTCGTCGGTCCTGCAGGTGACGCAATTAGAAAACTGGGCCTGAAGCACTCCGCCAGAGAGATCGCAAAAGAAGCCGGCGTACCATTAGTTCCTGGATCAGGACTGGTAAGCACATCACAGGAAGCAAAGAAAATTGCTGCAGAGCTAGAGTACCCCATAATGGTAAAATCCACTGCCGGTGGCGGTGGAATTGGTCTACAAAAGGTTGACTCTGAAAAGGACATTGAAAGGGTCTTCGAGACCGTACAGCACCAGGGAAAGGCCTACTTTGGCGACTCCGGCGTATTCCTGGAGAGATTTGTTGAGAATGCTAGACATGTTGAGATTCAAATGATGGGTGATGGTAAGGGTAAAGCAATCGCTATTGGCGAACGTGACTGTTCTCTGCAGCGTAGAAACCAGAAGGTTATCGAAGAAACTCCTGCTCCAAATTTGAGCGAAAAGACTAGACAAAGGATGCGCACAGCATCTGAAAAGCTAGGAGCTTTATTGAAATACAAGTGTGCTGGTACTGTTGAGTTTATCTATGATGAAGCGAGAGACGAATTTTACTTTCTAGAGGTCAATGCCAGACTACAAGTTGAGCATCCAATTACCGAAATGGTCACTGGTTTAGACCTTGTTGAGTGGATGTTATTGATTGCTGCAGGCACCCCCCCTGACTTCGAAAATACAAATATTACTGTCCAGGGCGCTTCTATTGAAGCTCGCCTCTACGCAGAAAACCCTGTCAAAGATTTTAGACCCTCTCCAGGTCAATTGACGGACGTCAAATTTCCAGACTGGGCTAGAGTCGACACATGGGTATCTAAGGGTACAACTGTCTCAGCCGAATACGACCCGACTTTGGCAAAAATCATTGTTCATGGTAAGGATCGCGATGATGCAATTCAGAAATTGAACCAAGCGTTGAATGAAACCGCCATTTATGGATGTATCACCAATATTGATTACCTGAGATCGATTGCTTCTTCTGAAATGTTTAAAACTGCGAAAGTTGCAACAAAGGTTTTAGATTCTTATGATTACAGACCCTCTGCCTTCGAAATGCTTACACCAGGTGCATATACCACTGTACAGGATTATCCAGGTAGAGTTGGCCACTGGAGAATCGGTGTTCCACCATCTGGTCCTATGGACTCCTATTCCTTTAGACTCGCTAATCGAATTGTAGGAAACCACTACAAAACTCCAGGTATTGAAATTACTCTAAACGGGCCCAAGATAGTTTTTCACACAGATGTGGTCATTGCACTTACTGGTGGCACAGCTCCTTGCACTGTCAACGACCAGCCCATTGAGCAAAATATACCCATTTACATCAAGAGAGGTGATCAACTAGCTGTCGGTAAGTTGACTAAAGGGTGCCGTATGTATTTGGCTATCAGGGGTGGTATCGATGTCCCCGAATATCTTGGATCAAGATCCACTTTTGCATTGGGAAATATGGGAGGCTATAATGGAAGAGTCTTGAAGTTAGGAGATGTCCTATTTTTGAATCAACCCGAGCTTCCTTCCTCCTCAATGCCCGCACCCGAATACGAACCAAGCAACGCGCCCACTGATATGATTCCAGTTATAAGCGAAACGAAAATATGGCAGATCGGTGTCACCTGCGGGCCCCATGGCTCTCCTGACTTTTTCAAGCCCGAGTCCATCGAGGACTTTTTTAGTGAGAAATGGAAGGTTCATTACAACTCTAACAGATTTGGTGTTAGACTCATCGGTCCAAAGCCAAAGTGGGCTAGAACTGACGGTGGTGAAGGAGGGCTCCATCCATCTAACGCTCACGATTACGTGTACTCTATGGGTGCTATCAATTTCACTGGTGATGAACCCGTCATCATCACATCTGATGGTCCATCCTTAGGTGGCTTTGTTTGCCAAGCTGTTGTTCCTGAGGGCGAGCTGTGGAAGGTCGGCCAAGTGAAGCCTGGCGACTCTATTCAATTTGTTCCTATCTCTTATGACTCCGCTAGGTTTTTAAAGGAGTCTCAAGATAAGGCAATTCTCGCTTTTGAGAATGGTATTTTGAAGACGTTGGTTTCTGATCTTATCTTGCCGACCTACGAAAATCCCATCTTGGCGCAGGTAGAGAAAAAGTCGGACTTCTCGCCAAAGGTGACTTTCCGTCAGGCTGGCGACCGTTATATTTTGATCGAGTACGGTGCGAATCAAATGGATTTGAATCTTTCATACCGTGTTAACAGATTGATAAGCCTAGTCGAGAAAAATAAGACAGTTGGAATCGTTGAAATGTCTCAGGGTGTGCGTTCGGTTTTGGTAGAATTTAATGGCTACGAGGTGACTCAAAAGAAATTATTGGAAGCTCTACTTGCCTACGAGAAGGAGATAAAGTTTGACAATCATTGGTCGATCAAATCGAAAGTGTTCAAGTTACCGCTTGCTTTTGAAGACTCTGAGACGTTAGGTTGTGTGACGCGTTACCAAGAAACCATTCGTGCCAAAGCCCCTTGGCTGCCTAACAACGTGGATTTCATCGCAGACATCAATGGCATTACTCACAAAGCTGTTGAAGACATGTTGTATAGTGCTAGGTTCCTGGTTTTGGGTTTGGGTGACGTTTTTCTCGGCGCCCCATGTGCCGTTCCCTTAGACCCCCGTCACAGACTACTTGGGTCAAAGTACAATCCTTCTAGAACATACACAAAGAACGGAACTGTCGGTATTGGTGGGATGTACATGTGTATCTACGCAATGGACTCTCCTGGCGGCTACCAACTGGTGGGTCGAACCATACCAATTTGGGATAAATTAAAACTTGGAGCTCACTCCTCTGAGCACCCATGGATGCTCACTCCGTTCGACCAAGTTGAATTCTACCCTGTGAGTGAAGAGGAGCTGAATAAATTTACCGAAGAGTGTGAAAATGGTCAATTCCCTGTACAGGTTGAGGACAGCATCTTCGACCATAAGCGTTATTTGCAGTGGATTTCAGAAAATAGTGAGTCAATTGAGGGATTCCAGAGATCTATTGGTGGAGAGAAGGCGGAGGAGTTTTCGAGACTAATGCAAAAGTCCAACGAGGAACTTGAAAGCTCCATTTCAACTGTGGCTGTTGAAGAGGAAGAGTTCCCAGAAGACGCAGAGATGGTGTATTCCGAATATTCAGGTAGATTCTGGAAGTCACTGGTTTCTGTGGGGGATTCAGTCAAGGCGGGTGACTCTCTGATTGTCGTTGAGGCTATGAAAACTGAAATGGTTGTTTCAGCGCCAAAGGATGGAAAGATCTTTAAGATCAAACACAAGAACGGTGACATGGTTGATGCGGGTGATATCGTTGTAATTATTCAATGAAAAGAAGTTTTTGTATGATAGTGTAGATTATATCTCATGTTTAAGATATTCGAGTTTGATTTGACGTGTGAATTAGTTTTTTCCTGAGCTAAGGCGAAGATACTTTGCCTATAGCATTACCTATAGAATCCTGAATAAGTGGTGTAGAGCTTGTTTGACTATCTTTGGACCTTCTTCCTTGGAGAGAGCTCGAAATGATTGGTGACGCGGAGGCGGCCTGTGAAATATGCTGAAGCTCCATTGCCTTTTTCGATGCCTCCAATCTTTTCTCAATACGGCGTCGCTGTACCTTTAGAGGTAAAAATGGAATGTAGCCCATTTTTTCCTCGATTAGTAAAGTCTTGATGGCACCGATGATTACGAGCCAGTATGCGTTGTAGGCTATCACCGAACTGAAAGTTGCACTGTTGGTCCAGCCAAAAATTGCCGTAAAAAGCATCCAAAAGCCATCAGTTTCCCCGTTGCAGCAGTTGACATGCCATATAGAGCGGCTGATATCGTAAGATCCTGGTCCACTGCCGACTTCACTCATGTCTTGTCCGTTACACAAATTGACGTAGCGTTGAACTTCAAATTGCCAAACACCTTTCGAAAATAGCCCTGCAGCGATCAAGTACAGAAAACACGTTGTTACAACCAAACTGATTTGCAACGAGAAGGACTTCGAGGATTTGAAAAAAAAGTATCCGAAAATGGAGCTGAAAAATACCGCTGACAACATGGACAGCGGGATGGACGATAGTGGCTGATCTATTCCGACTCCCCCGACAAAAACTACGGCTTCCAGTCCCTCCCTAAGTGCAGTTACAAAAGGCAAAATGAACAGGGCGTATTTTTCTGTGAACTTGACCGCTTTTTGACCATTGTCTTGCAAAAGTTTGGCACGATCAGAATAGATGATTGTGGCAAGCTTGACTCTGAATTTTTCTCTCAGTTTGCCCATTCGTAGGAAAAAAAGGCCCATCACCGAAATGATCACCGATGCAATGGTACTCAACACTCCCTCGTAATAGTGTTCACTTGCGGACCACAAATCTGTTCCAATGATATAAAATGCGACAATAAACGCCCCACCGATCAAAAAGCAGCACAGAAGGCCCAAGCCTCCACCTGACAGAATTTGGATCTTCAGTTTTTTGTATAGTTGCTGATTGTTAATTTCCACACTGGGGCCCGACATTTCTGAGTTACAACCATCCAGCATTTCCTCTTCTTCTATAGTCAATCTCGCACTTTCGTCGACATCATCCGCGCTGCCTCCAGGACGAGCACTGCCGGTGGATTCATCATTCGACAGTAAAGCTTGTTTGATCACTGTCAGCAAGATGGACACAATTACAATGATTTCCAGCGATTCTCGCAGAAATATGAAAAAGATCTGGAATGAAAACAACCTCTCAAGTTCAATCATCTTTGATCGAAATTAGAAGTGATCGTCGGCCTCTCAATACGGTTTTGAAGCTTCGACTTGAGGCCTTCAATCTTGTAAAGTTCAACGAGTCCTGGACTGTCTCTTCTATAATAAAATGAAGCCAGTTGTAGAATGGGTGCAATCGCTTGGTACGCAGAGTCCATTGGATGAGTACATTTCTCTGCCCGATTATCGAACCAATCCTCTACTCGAACGCACCGATGTCGAGTGGAAGTCCCGTTCAGATTTAGCTTGGCTTTGACCAAAAGCGAGCATTGTACAGCCTCTAGCTTCGCAATAGACCTTGAACTTCAAAGTTCGGTGCAGCTCCAAGCACTGCAGCATTTTTGCTAATTGCGAACTCGAACGAGACAAAATCATTCACTGACGCAAGTTGGACAATCGATACAGCATTTATACGTGATGCTTGCTGCTTTCAGTGAGTGTCATTTTCTGTAGCTTGTGGAGTTGTCTTATACTATAGCCGAAAATGATGCCCATCGATACAAAACCAACAGCAGTGACCACTAAAAACCCGTAATTCGTTTCCTCAATGTAGTTTTCCAGGTTCATTCCATACAGGGACGCAACGTAGATCGCACAGCCCATCGAAAGGAGTCCTATGCTGAAACGTAGACCCAGAAGCATAAGCTGGTTGCGATTGGCGTCCAGGATGATGTTTATAATCTCTTCCGTTGTTCGCACATCGGATATCGTATTCCCCACAGTCTGTACGACTTCATCAACATGAGCATAGTAGGTTTCTAAGAGCATTTCAATCTCTGTGTGGTCCTTTTCGTCCCGAAACTTCCCAGCTTTCTTGCTCGACAGGTACATATCGGACAAAACGTCGTCTTGGTCGAGCAAATCGTCTATCATTTCGCCCATAAGCGAAGCTTTTTTGTAAAACTGACTCAGTCGCTTGTTCTGAATCAGCAGAAACCGTAGTTTGTCCCGCGTGATGCTGTATTCCAGATCTTGTAAGATGCCACGCGTCAAGGTCAAATGCACTTTCATCTCTGCGGACATGTTGGAAAGCGCTGAGACAAAGATGGATTCGATTGCACGAAACTCGTATGGCAGAGGGTCTTTATATATGCCGTTCATGTCCTGATTTCGTAGTCTCATGCTCAAATCATTGAGAAAAGTCCGGTGAGCACTCGACTCCAAGGATAGGCCCACGGAATCAAACAGTATAACTTGATCGCTCTTCACTAGAGCTCGAATGGTCAGTAAGCTGATAAAAATACTGTTTTCACGCACCAAAAGAATGGGAACAAGATCCTTTTTGCGAGATTTTTCAATCTTCCGCAAGTCTCGAGGTAAAAGACCATGCATCGAGATCAAATCCTCGCGTTTTACCTCTAAGGATGGGATACCAATGTTTCCTTGAGAGTCCAAGATCGTGCAGCGCAAAGTGTCATTGCCATAGTTGAAAAGCGAATGGTTTCTTTGAGCCAGGTTTTTCTGGAGTAGCACTGCAGTGTTAAATGAAGTCGATGATTGAAAACGTAGGAAACCTCTCCCAAATGGCGTTGAAGCTCGAGGCGGGCGCCTGAAACAAGCTGAAATGTTTACAAAAGCATTTCCAAGCCGCATAAACGCAGCTAAATGGGAACCAAGATTGTCTTTTTGACTGGTTGCTACTTGGGCTACGAATTTAACGACATTTTTTAAGAATATTGACCTACATAGTTAAATAGCCAAATTACTATAGAATCGAAAAATGCAGTTCAGAATTTGTTTACAACAAGATAGACAGGTTATTGATTGAAGAATGTCATTTTGTCGTTTGTACTATTCTTATGCGATGCGATTGTGTCTCGCCTGTTCAAATTTCTTTCACGCCTGGTGGAAGTGACAACTTCTGAGCATCGAAATACTTTCTGGTGCACACGAAATAGTCCATCCAAGTAGTGTCATCAGAAGGGTCGCAGGCACATTGGTTTTGAACCCTTATGTTTTCTTCTGCAGGACAGGAAGTGAAGCCTGGGTGATTGTAACCAATGCCGTCAAAAAAGTGAAGCTCGCTTTTGTCAAGAAACAGTGCAGCGGCAATGGAATGAATAGGAGCGTCGCCCCAGCGTTCATAGAAAAACCCACCTTCTTTGTCGAGATGCTTGAAATAGTCCTGGTAAGCCTCCGACCGCCAAAAGTCTAGAGATCCAATTTCGAAATTGGACCAAAAATGACACCCATTGTAGTTGTCTCCGTTGTCATCCGAAATGAACTCCATGAGATTATTCTTGGCAATATGCTGGGGGTGCTCTTTCATGAACTGTTTGGTGGTCTTCCAAAGTGTGGGGATTGTTTCTTCGTACTCGGTCAGCGACAAGATAAACCCGTACTTTTTCTTGTTGAGTTTCATGAACTTGAACACGTCGTAATGGATGTCACAGAAGAAGCTAATTTCAGGTTCCACACGCCAGTAATACTCGTAGTCTTTCATCAGCTCGTGTTGGAAGAAAAAGCCGGATTCAAATCTGCACATATGGCGGTAAGGAACCGATTCGCCATAAATGACTTTTTTGGCTACCATATCTTCGCGCGCCACTCTAGCTTTTTCCTCGTCAATCCAGTCTGGAACAGACCAATGCTCTTTGGGAATGATCCCGTATTTTGTCGTTCCCGAAACAAGCGCCGAAGTAACGCGTATGAATTCTTCATCGAACGGTTTATCATTCAAAAACACCCAATCGTAATGGAATCTTCGATTGAATCTGTCTTCTACGTGCCTTATGGAGGACACAAGATCCCACAGATCCGAATTTCTTGCTAGAGTAACAAACGCAGCTTTTTCGCGTGTTCCGTCATTGTCCGGATACCTCACCTTCTGAACTTTGTCTGCATGCGGTTTAGCCAAAGTTTGTGGGTCGATGGGAACCAAGTTATTTGATACCCGTGTGAAATCGTTGCCCGTCTTTTGAATGTGCTGCGGTGGTGTATGAAGAAGGAAAACGATGCATAGCAACGTCACAAAACTGATGAACCCAAACCGAATTGGCCGTTGGTATTTTTTCACCAAAATCGCTGATTTTGGCATCAGCTTTTTTCGAGCTGCAAGAGCCATTGTTTCGAGCTTTCAAAACTTAGTTCTATAGCCAAACCCACCAAAATTCTTAGCTGACTTTCGTCGTGATGGTATTCGAGATTAACCGTTCGAAAACCGCTGGCTATTTGACTTAGTTCCTGACGTCTAAAGTGTAGTAGTTACTCTCTTTAAAAGAAGTGAATTCCCAAATCACAAGATGCGATTTCGAGAGTGCTACAGGCGTCGAAGAAGACTAGACCAGTCAACAAGGTAAAAGAGAATGGCTAGTTTCTGATTGAATGCCCACGATCAGTCAAGTTGGATTTTACGTTGACTATTTTGATTGTTTAGGTTTTTTTAGTTCATTAACCGATCAACTTTTGATCATTAATCGTCGCAGTGACGTTAAACAGAAATGGAATAAGAAGTCAACGCTGTTGATCTATAACAAGCTTGTCCATAATTCCCATAACCAATAGTCAAATGATAGTTTCTGCTGCTAGAGATCCAATCGTTTTTACCAGCTTTTCTTATCGTCGAAACGAAATAAAACCACGTTCATGGAAATCTTATTCAAAAATGAACTTGAACAAGTCTTGCTAGGCATGTAAACATCTAGCTCCGAAAACCAGCCCCCAATTGCTATTCAGCGAAGGTGTGGCCATACTAGTTGGTCATAATGCCTCGCGGAATGATACGCTACGGTTCTTGGTTATTTTGTCTTTTAGTGACACTTGCTAGCTGGAGTAGTAGTACTAGTAGTACTAGTATGTCTTAACGAAAAGGTGTCAGTGAGTACTATTAACGAAGTGGGTATCAACCTCGTTTGTCTATATATGTACATGCGTGAAATGTTGCGGTTTCAAGTTTGGGTGCTAGTCCAGGTTCAAAGTTCTGGTCCTAAAAACTTAATGGTTTCTTCCAAACACCGTGCGTTGCCTTCAGATGCCCGTAAATCGAACATCATAGTGTCACAATGCACGCCTCGTGGCTGAGAAACGAGCTCAATACGATCAGAGTCAATGTTCCGTAGCTTTTGTGCAAACCTTATGATTTCCGGATACAGAATTTCGTCTTCACCACAAAGTATAAGTAATTTGGTTGACGCAAGAACATTAGTCCAAGCTTCGACATCGAAATTCGTCTCTAGGTTCAAGTGCGGATCTGTGTAGTTGCCATTGGGTGCGTATACGTTCTTGAACATGGCCAGCTGGTTCCACGTCAAAAAATCAACGCTGGTGGTCCGAGACACGAACGATTCCGTTTTCGTTACATTCAACCAGGGACTTATCGCCACGCATTTTTCCGGTAAGACACTTTCTTCCACTACGCACCTCTGCAGCACGTTCAAACACAAATTTCCGCCGGCTGAATCGCCAAGCAGCCAAACACGATGTCCCTGCGAAACCAATTTCTGATATTCGTTCCATACTTCCTCGATAGCCTTGGGGTAACGCTCACATAAGGAATAATCCACGTACGCTATCGACAGACAACCGACCTCTTTCTTCAGATGCCTCAAATACACCAAACTACAAGGAATCATGTCCAGACACATTCCTCCTCCATGAACGTACATCAACACTGGTGCATTTGGTTCTTGAAATATCCATCGTATCAGACCATACGTCTGTCCTGCACCTAGCCACCAAAATCCAATCCGATTGGCTATGCTAAGCAGAGGGTTCACCAGCCACTTCAACGTCCACGGATCGAGACTATTTGCACACTCCATCACAAACACAATCGTCAACGTCTTCCATATATCGAAATCTTGATACTTCCCACTGAGCCAGCTTTTTCCCAAAGCATACGGCAGTCGGAACGCGAGCTTACTGAAGAAAATAAGCGGTTCCAGCATACAGGTTCACCTTCAAAGCCCTACTTAGTCTTGATTTTTGACTTGCAAGTTGTAGAAAGAGAGGGCATCGCGCTACGTAAATCTTAATTTATCTTCGAAAAGATTCAAGATAGCCAAACTTATCGAAAACAAGCCTTATTTGGTCGGTGATGGACCGAAATCAACTCATAGGAGATGCCAGTAAGGCTTTGGTACCTACATCTGGCCTTTCAACGGACGAGATAGTGCAGAAATACGTCAACTTGGGCGATCTGAACCGCCAAATTTTGAAGAATGCTCGAGATTTTAACAACGAATTTTGGGTCAGATACGAGAGCTACATTGATCTCAAGGAAGTCAAGCTTCGGGTATGCCAGAACCTTTCAGAACAGCATGGAAGTGGTCCTATTTACCTTTTTGTTCACGGTTTAGGTGGAAATATGACACAATTTGAGCCATTGCTTAGAATTTTGGCAGAGCTGAATGAGGGATTTGTAGGGCTGGATTTGCCAGGATTTGGATACAGCAGTGAATTGGATCAATATGATATGGTTCATGTTGTTGGAATAGTGGAAGAATTGCTACAATTGCTCACGCAGCGCAGGAAATTAGTCTTGGTCGGCCATTCTTTGGGATGCCATGTTGTGATGCATTTCATTTCCGAGTTTTCCTTCAAATATGATATAAGGGAAGCGCTTTTCCTTTCACCTGCAGCCCCCGATCTGCCCCAGTTGAAAGCACCTCTCACAAAATTGGGACTTGCTGTGCTTTCTAGGGTACCAGCACTGTTCGACTGGTACCGAATCTATCTCGATCAAAATAAGGGCCTCGAAAGCTCTGGCATCAAACAATTTCACCACCAAGCTGATATTTATCGTAAACTGTGGCAATTCTTTTACAATGTGCAGATCAAAAGCAAATCGATCATTCAATATCTTCGGGGCTGGACCCCAATAAACTGGTCTAGTGAAGCAGTGACAAGTTTACCAAGTGCTGTGGTAATAACGGGGAAGCTGGACACGATCACTCCGCTCTCTACTGCAACTTCATTCTATGAAGCACTCGCACCAGTCAAACGAAGGAACTTGATAGTGGTGGAGGACTGTTCGCATAATATCTGCTTCGATAGACCAGACGAGATTTCTAAGCTTTTCTTAGATGTCGTTGAGCGACATGGCTAACCGATAGCCGATAGCGAATTGTGTACTTTACGCTAGTGTATATGAAAAGGTTACAAAAGGCTAAAACGTATTTGTATATGCAGTGGAGAATTATGGAATATTCACTCGAGCTTTATTCTGACGGCTTTGACCGATGTGTATGCTTCAAAGGCTTCAACACCCATTTCCCTGCCGTAACCCGATTGCTTCACACCACCGAATGGGACTGCAGAGTGGAAGTCGTTGTAGGTGTTGATCCACACAGTTCCGGCCTTCAACATCTTGGAGACCTTCAAAGCTGTGGTAACGTTTTGGGTCTGGATACCTGATCCTAGACCAAATTCAGAGTCATTAGCCATGGCCACACCATCTTCAATGGTCTTGAATTTGGATATGGTAACCACAGGGCCAAAAATCTCTTCCTTGACAACTCTCATGTCTTCATTAACATCGTAAAAGATGGTTGGCTTGACGAAGTAACCGTCTTGGCCAACGCTTTCGCCACCGGTTAGGACCTTAGCACCTTCTTCTTTGCCGATTGCGATGTACTTCATGATGGTGTCGAACTGCATCTTATTGTTGATGGCACCTTGGAACTTTGATTCGTCGAAAGGAGAACCAACTGTGACGTTTTCTTCAACGTATTTCTTGAAAGCTGGAAGTAGTCTGTCGTAAATGCCTTCTTGAACGTAGATTCTGGAACCCGACGAGCAAATTTGACCAGCGTTCAAGAAAATACCGTTTACCAAGTTTGGCAAGGTCTTGTCCAAGTCAGCGTCATCAAAAACCAAGTGAGCTGATTTGCCTCCCAATTCCAAAGTGACCTTCTTCAAGTTGGACTCTGCGGCTTTGACGGCAATACCTTTACCAGTACCGGTGGATCCTGTGAAAGCAATCTTTCTGATCTTAGGGTGAGTGGTCAAAGTTTCACCGACACCTCTACCCGGTCCAGGAATGATGTTCACCACACCGGCAGGGATACCGGCTTCTTTGCAAAGAGAAGCGAAAAACAGGGCGTTCAAAGGTGTTGGGGAGGCGGGCTTCATGACAAGGGTGTTACCAGCAGCCAAAGCAGGAGCGATTTTCCAAGACAACATCATTAGTGGGAAGTTCCATGGGATAATCTGGCCACAAACACCGACAGGCTCTCTGATTGTGTAGTTGACGTAGCCGTCGCCTGTGTTTATGCTTCTGCCATCCAACTTGTCTGCCAAGCCGGCAGAGGAGCGAATGAAGTCGATCGAGATCTGCACGTCTCCCTTGGCCAGTCTGAGGGCCTTACCGTTGTCCATGGACTCGATCGAAGCAATGAGGTCTTTTTTCTGCTCCATGAGATCGGCCAGCTTGAACATGACACGAGCTCTTTCCTTGGGATCTTGCGTAGACCACGAAGACTTGAAAGCTTTGTCTGCGCAGTCCACGGCGTAGTTGGTGTCTTCCTTGGTGCCTGATTGTACGTCAACGAGTTTTTTGCCGGTTGCAGGGTCTTCGACAGAGATCGTTTCTCCGTTTTCCGATTTGATAAACTCATTGTTGATGAATAGTCCTGTAGGTTGTTGGTATGTAAAACCGTTAGGTGTGGTCAATTTGACGAAGTCGGCCTTCACTTTAGTCGACATGCATCTGAAGCCAGTGGTAAAATTGCGGGCATTTCTTGCCACGCCTCGTAGGCAAAATCCACCGTTCATCGTTTGAATGATAGTGGATATAGGTTTTGTTGTGATTTTAGCAACAAAGCCAAGTCCTATCGTGCTGACGTCTGCTTCCAAAAAGCTCTAGTATTCACAAATTTCACTTCTTTAATAAAATTGTGAATAACTGTTGCGACGCCGATGTGCTGAATAACTCACATACGTCGGCTATTTTTTTTCCTTTTCTTTCTTTTGCTCTTTTTTCACCCGCTTCGACGTCCTCCGGTCCCAACAATCGCTCTCGAGCACGCACACATCATCCAGCTGCGGGCACTCTTGCACCGCTTATTTTCCTACTGCGAAGCACTTGGATGACTCGAAAAATCGCCAATTCCACGACAAATTCATGTGCCCCGCACCTGCAACCCGCCGGAATTAGATTTACCGTCCAGCAGTTTCTTGTAGCTCAAGATTTCGTATGACGCTCTACTCGTGGAGGCAGTCGAGATAGGCTTAAGTCCAGTACTATGGGTATGGCTGAAAAATTTTGAAGATTGAAAACGCCGGTACCGGCCTTTCTGACCAATACGTATATTTTTCATTTTTTCACCCTCTAGTAAGACGAAAGCTGTCACGAGGAAAGCCAGCCTTCTTGACACACGTGAAAACAGTTGCGGGTCCCAACACTGGCATGGCTGAGCAGTTCTAGCGATTTCGATATGCTGTGGTCGACTCCTCTTGCGGCTCCATCCTTTGGTACGCAACAGTACGTAGCTAGTGGGGCAGTGATTTGTAAAACAAAAAGGTCTGAGGAGCGGGAATGAGGAAGAGTTCACGTCTGAGCTGAATCTTGGAAATACCTTCCGTGCTACCGCCGTTCTAATTCCATGACGAATAGTTTTCCGCGGCACGGGAAGGATCGCTGTAGTTCCTCGTTTCTGTTCGGCTTCTTGTCCTGTCAAATGTAACGTTGCAGCTGTCGTCCAACATTTTTCCTGCTAATGCATCGTGTACTGGTTTTCACCAATGTGTCTGCGTAGTTCAGCCGTACGCAGATTCTCTAGTCGTTCAACGAGCTGGTGCGCCAGCTGCTCAAGTCGAAAAAGGCCTTCGTCACTGGACTGAGCGCGCTCGGGACCCAATGACATATCGCACATCACGGTGCTGTCCGGCTCAACCCGGGTTTCCAGTCTCGAGTGTGGACCGCGGCGCACTTGCAGTCTGCAGGCCACGGTTTTCTGGCTGTAAGTGCTCACCAGAACCTTGTTAGAACATCCCAGCATCGTGCAGTCGTATTCGGCGTTGCAGTTGTAGCGTTCGGTGCAAACGTTGAACAAATCCTCCAAGTACAGATCGTCATGGTCAAGAATCTCGCCTAAAAGAAGAGTGGCCACAAATTGGCATACGCGACCGCTAGAGGCCCATGAGAGGTTTCTCCCCATCCCGGCATGCGAGAAAAACACTTCAAGCAACGGATTCTGCTCCAGCGAGGAAAACACGAATTCCTTAACATCGGACTGATTACACCACACCACATTGTCCATATGCAATGTGTTCAAGTATGGTAATTTGTCATGCATGAGCTGGAACAGATGGCGAACCTCTAATTTTGTGAGACTGTAATCGTGCTGTCTTTGACTACGGTTCCTCTGGCCTCGAATCTTGGTGCGTTCGTTGATAGGCGGCGGGTAATGTGACGAGATCCAAGCCTCACCCGCCATGGCATACGGCGACACAAAGTGTAATTCCTCTAATTCCTTAGACTTCACGCTGTAGGGGCTGGCATAGTGACCGTGACCCTTGGCTGAATCCGTGAAATATTGAGGTTCCAGGTCCCTGCCCCAAGGTGTATCGTCCCCACTGACCATCACCTGTGCATCCTGTATGAGAGACGTTGCATGACTTCTTTTCTGGCTGTTTCGGGCGTGCAATTGAAAATCTGTGGATATTTTCAGGTCGGCAAGATTCATGCTATCCATGTTCGGACAATGGTTAACGATGTGGAACAAATAACCTAACGGAATGTCCTTTGACAAAGCATATTTCAGAAAAAATTTGTTAGTCATAGGATGTCGATCATGAAATGGCTGGTCCTTGAGGTTTGTTTCCACGGAAAACTTCACTGATGCTCCTTTTGTATCTTCCCGAACAGCATCAGTACTAGATGCGCTACGGTTCTTGAAATTAGCCTCCACGTACTTCTCATACCGCTCTTTAGGACTCTTCTTCGTGCTAAACAGTTTGTTAAACCACTTCACCGAATCGTTGCCACTATTGCTGTCATAGGACGGGTTGAGACTGAGAGATGACAGTGAGGGGGAATTGTAGAATGGTGACATTATACTTGTTGTGAAAGAAGTCACAGAACTATTCGATCTGTGTGACCTTCTTGTAGCCGATGCACCACCTGTGCTGTTAGCTCCAGTAGAATTGATGGATGAAGGCCTTGATGACACCTTCCGCAGCACGTTGTGACAACTTAGCAGCTGGTTACCGTATAGGGGATCGAATCTAAACCTCCAATCTCGCCATCCAGCCAGCGCGATGTCAGGAAGGTCCTCGTCTAAGAGTGTGTCTGATCTCTCGATTCCTGTTCCACCGGGATCTGTATCACTATCGTGGTCTTCATCCGCCTCTTCCAACACATCCCTAGCAGAGGATCTCCTGCGTGTAGGAACTCGCTCTTCCACAGAGTTACGGCTCTGCTCAAAGTGACCATTTTGACCATCCAACAAGCCATTTTTCAACGTGGAGAGATCCAAATGTCTCACATGCAAGCCGTTTTCAGGATGAACCCTCAAAGACGTGACAAACTGTGCTACACGATAAGTTGACGTAAATGTGGGGCTTTTGTAAAGCTCTATTTTGCTTGCAACACAGAATTTTTTGCTGACATAAAGACATCGCACGAGCGTCTTGTAGTCTTCAAAGCATGCTCCCTGAGTGAACTGTTCAACAATGACCCTCAGAATTTCTACCGGGAGACTGTTTATATCGTCAAAGGGGCGAGAATATTCCGATATTACCTCGCGCTGTCCACCCACTGAAGATATAGCTGTTCTTGACTGCGAGGTGGGTAGGTTTCTGTTTGAATACGAGCTCCTTAGCGAAAATATTGAAAAGGAGTCATTTGAGTTGTGATCGTGAAACTTGCCGATGAATTTCTTGGCGCGCGAAGACGGATTTCCACCGTAGTTCTGCAACAGTGATTTGTACTTACGCTTGATTTTTGACTTGGTATTGTCACCGTCTATCCCACCATCAATCTTCGCATTCCTGTCCTTGTTTGACACATTTTCCAAGCCCTGGGCTGAATAAGTACTACATGTCTCATCACAATCACTGTAAAGCGTTTGGTAGACAGATGTTCCGTACCGCGAGTAGTTTGAGCTCAAAATATTAATCGACAGGTTGCCAGGCATTCTGGTTTCTCTTCCTTATTCTGATCCAGGACCTAGATAACAATAACGTTACTGATATCTTGAAATCGAAATCCCGCTTAAGGTTTGGTGTTAACAGCACTAAAATAACCACGGTTTATGTGTTAGAAGCCTCTTTCACTTGAAACTCGGGGTCCTAAATCTGTGAAAGAGTGCACTCGGGCTTCTTTTCGGGCTCAAACCGTGTGTTTGATGGTCAGTATTTAAATGATGTGGGGGGGGGCTCAAATGGAACAGTGTATATTTTGAAAAATAACTGACAATTATATATCATTATGTGACGCCGTTAAATAAAACAAGTAAGATAGAGGAACATGAACTCATGTTGGGCGATAGTTGTATGTAAAAGGGCCTCTGTATGATATGGCAATGTAAAAGAGTAGTTTATGTACAGCTGTTTAGAAAAATTTGGGTCATTTCAAGTCGTGGCAAGTATTATAAAGGAGCAGGAGGACGGAATCCTATCTAACCTTGGACAGGGTTCAAAAAAATTCAACATTGTTCTTTTCTTATTTGTTCTGAGCAGCTGCCTTGTTTTGTTCGTATTGGGTCTCAAACTCCTTTTGTTTCTGAAGCTGGATTTGCATCTGCTCCTCAGGCGATGGCAAATTACCCTCGACATAGTCCTTTAGCGTAAAAGTCTGACCACCCATCTGTTCTTGCTGGATTCGGATCTTTTCTTTCTCTTCCTCAATTAGCTGCATGAAACGAACGTAGTTCTTTTCACCTTCTTCTCTGAGCAAATCTAGCGGAAACTTGGCCTTTGTGGAGCCCAGAGCACCGGCACCAAGCGCCTTCAACGCCCAGTTGCCGTTGGCCTTCGCCTCTTGCTCCTTGTAGAACTTTTCCTTGAGTACAGCCACACGACGCTCAAATTCTTCGGGAATCTGGTACTTGTCGTTGTAGCTGTTCAACACAGGTCTAACGTCATTCATTTGCTGGGTGGCCAGGTACTCCAAAAATGGTATTAGCTTCAACAATCCGTCGTCAGCCTGACCTTCCCAAGGCTTCAAGGGCACCGCGTTCTCAGGTTGTAGTTTGTACGAGTTGGGGTCGCAATCGACAATAATGACTTTTCCAATGTCACGGTTCAATTTGGAAAGATCTTTGATGTGCACACCGTCCTTGTATAGACAGTGCTCTTTGAACAAATTGTAGGTAATGAAAGCGTGAATGGGGTCCAATTTCTCAGCGACTTTGTCTGCATACATCATGTAGTTGGAGGCAAACAATACGATTTCGTAGTATTGAGACAAATAGCCCAGAAAGTAGTCCACTCCGGGTCTTTTGGCCGTTCTCCAGCCGTGTTCTTTGGTCCATTCCGAGTGAACCAACACGTCTTCCAGACTCAAAACGAGCGTCAAAGGCCTCTGGTATGGAGGAGGGGGTGGTGGAGGCAAGAGGTCAGGAAAGGGAGGTTCTTGGAAGTACGAAAAGATGGAATTGAAGCGCAACTTCATCCGTGTGTACATCAGTTCTGGGGTGTAACCGCTAGCGGCCTGTTTTTTCAGTTCCTCGGCCTCGTCGTCTTCCCAGTCGCGGGCCAAATACCCGGCAGCACCCGAAAGCGCTGCAAAAGAGCCGATGTAGAACCAGTTGGCATAACGTTCCCGTTTCACGTCTGTTGACGTTTGTCTCTTTCTTCTACGTTTTCCGGAGCCATCGCGACCAATAGGCTCTTCAACATCCTCATTTTTCGACCCTTCTGCCTTCTCACCTTGGGGTTTTCCTTCTTCCACATCTACACCCGCTTTGGCCAGAAGATCTTCAGTCAGGATGGAACTTGGCTTCTGTGCATTTTTCTTTTCATTAAGCAATAGTTTAGCGCCACTGAAAGCTCTGAAGTTCGCGTTTTTTGGTGCGCTTACCTTCCGCAATGAAGCTCTACTTGTAGATCGAACAGTACGACTTATCAAGCCCAGCATGATTAGATTTCTCCTCCTTTATCTGTAGTTTTAGAAGCTTTCAAGTCTTTATTCTGTTCTGGTTTTAATAACCTTCAAATTTCATATACCAATAATTGAAAAATTTTCGAATATCTCAGGTTTACCCGCCTGCGATGAGCATCAGTGGATGAGTACCAGCAAGAGCGATGTCAAGTAGTTTGGAACCCCGAACTAGTGCCAAGTGCACTATCTGGACATCTCAGGGCCCGCTCAAGGTTGAGTTGTGGGCCAAGCAGTGCCCGAAAGTAGCTTTGAGATTTTTGAAAAATTGTGTCAATGACAGATATAATGGTGTCAGTTTCGAACGAAAAGTGTATGATGCAGCTGTGCAAACATCAGAGATCGATAATGAGCCATGGGGAGTATTGGAGAGTGATTCGAGAATTAAAATGAACCGAAGAGGTCTTTTGGCCATCAATTTAGAGTCTAAAGGCGATTTTTTCATCACACTTCGAGAAACACCTGAATTGGATGGCCAAGTGACAGTGCTTGGCCAATTGGTCGACAACACATTTTACACGCTGCTAGACATTGCGGGAAAGGAGCTGGACTCTGAAAAAAAGGATGGCAGGTTTCTGTACCCTGCTATTGTGGACCGGATTGAAGTGGAAGAGCAGTTCTTCACAGAAGACATGAAAATGGAAACGAAAAAAAGGGAGACTTCTGTTACTTCACAAGGGTCCCGCAAACGTGCCAGGAAAAGCGCTAAAGTACGGCTCGATTACGATGACGAAGATGAACACAACGAAACAGTCAACGTCAAAATCACATCAGCTCATGACCTTTTGGTCCCAAAGGGTCTGATGCGCTCAGCAAAAAATGCCCAGGGCGATGTTAAGCATGAGGTTCAGCAGGCGAAAGAAATTCGGGACGGTCCCGATATCAACAACGACGATCCTTCGGAGAAGGCCAGGAAACATCATGAAAACAAACGTGTGGATCAAAATGTAACAAAGACCAATACATCGTCAAAATCTGCAAGAACTCATAACCAGCAAACTGAGGGATCACCGAATCCTACCAGTGAGCCTGAGAGGCGGGAAATGGAAACGATGGAACTTCTCGCGAAATTCAAACAAAAGCTGGCCAAAGCTAGCGCCCTCAATTCCCACGAACTCAATTTCGGCGATAAGAAACCTTGAATATCCCGCTACTCTAGAAGCGTGTAAAAACTTTTGTAGGCCGCGTCAAGACTAAAAAGCAGTTCGCGGGCGTCTTCTTCGGACATTTTTTCACTGGCCTTCATTTTGTTAATTTTCACAATCCATTGAACCAAGTTTTTTCGCTGCTCGAAATCCTGCGAGCTTACTCTATTGATGCTTAGCAGCAATGCAGACATTAGAGGATGGAGCTGATCCTTGGCGCGATAATTCAGTTTCAGAGCGTCCATTGTCGTAATAAAGTTACCGGTTGCTTCTGCCACCGCTTTCCCCCCGAATTTGGAGTTACCGACAGATGCTGGGTCCTTGTTGTCTCCGCTTTGGATCGCGTGCTCCACTGTAACAGGAATTCCACGCTCGATTCTTGTTATAGCATTGGAGGCATTGATGCTGTATTTTTCTTTAAAGTCCTGTAAATCCCCAAATTCCTTTGCAACCTGTTCATTTGAGAGGTATACCTTGTACTGTGCCAATAGCTTGTTGGCGATCACTGTATAGTCTTCACCTGAAAGGCTGTCTCTGAGATAAGCCTTTTCGACATGATCCAACGCGATTATAAGCGAATATATATCAGCCAGTGTTTCCGCAGTTTCACGTTGCTCTGCGGTGGTAAAGTGATCGAATAAAGGTGTTTCGTCTTGTAGATTTCCCACTATAACTTCGGTATCCTCCAATCCCATCGTTCCAGCACCGCTCAAACCCAATGAGCTCTTCAAAGCTCAGAATGAGCTTTCTGATGGCTTACACGGTGAACTTTATCTACTCGACAACTTAAACATCAATATCATCAAGGTGAGGATATCATCACACGTGATAGTATGTAAGCCTGGTTATACAATCCAGAATAACTCGATGAACAGAAGACAGCCATTCTCCTTCTTCTTGACTCTTTTGTTGGTATTGAATCTCTTAATGTTGCTATCCAGTGGCTTGAGCAGACATTTTGAATGTCACCCGCTATCCTTTCCAGACCGTACTTATTCAATCATGAGCACTCTATTGGCGGTTTTGAATGTTGGATCATAGTTGATCCCTAGGCTTTTCAGAGTCTGAGTATCAGAAGAATAAACGATAGGTGGTAAGGGTGGATATTCGAGCTCTGCTGTGCTTTTGCGTCTCTTTATTCCCCCAAAAGAATCGTAAAACACTTTAGCATTGGAAGCAACACCCGTTTCCCTGACAATTGCATTTTCGATGTATTTCATCTGGGTCCTGACCCACGGAGAAATATCAATTGGTTGGTTGATTTCGAAGTCTTTGGCGTTTCCAATCTTGAACTTTATTGTGACACCGTGTGTTATTGAAAAAAGCCGGCCACGAGTAGTAATTGAACTATGGTAATTGAATGGCTCCAAGTCCTTTTTACTCTTCAGAAGTACAGTCTCTGGTGGCGACTCGTTCAACGCAGGCGGGTGCTCGGGTAGGCGGAACAACACAGCAGGCTCGTTAAGAGATAATTCGTATTGTCTAAACTGCAGGTTTTTGGTCAGAACCCGGACATCTGCCTCGAATTGAATTCCAGATTTTGGTATTACTTCGTTGAAGGGTCTGACCATGGTGTAGATGATGTTTTCTCTCGAATCGTGATGAGAGTCGAAGGTTTCGAGGTATTCTTTGATCTCAAACGTGACAGATTTCAATTTCATCTTTTTGCTGAAATGTCGCGGGCTAGCCTTGATAGTGCTTGAAGACAGATTCGGTACTATGTCAATTTTCAAATGTAGCAAATCATCAGTGGACACGCAAGGGTTTTGAACTTCGTATTTGACCTGTAATTTTTTATCCGGGGAGTGATAGAGGCGGTTCAGTGGCTGGTAATGGTTTGGAGAGGCTATGAGGTCGTACCGATCTACATTTACCACCGTCGTGAAGGTTTCCAGTAAGACGTTGCTGGCGTCAGTAAAATAGCTCGCTCGGCATTCAAAGGTTGTGAAGCAGTGTCCAAAACGAGAGTTGTAGTTAGTTTCTTTGATATCGTCTGGAACAGCAATGGTAAGTGGTATATCAATCCCAATAAGTTTCTTGTCAGAAACTTTAATGCTCTTTTTATAGTGTAGAACAGATTTCTCGAGCTTGGGTCTTGTCGTGAAACTATGGCCAGAGTTATGTAAAGTTTCAGTGGTTTTTAAAAGAACCTCAATGCCCTCGATACAGAAGTCTTTGCCATCACTCGATCGTATTCTTAACTCGCATTCTAATCTGGGCTTTACACGGAATCAAGGTTAGTTTGTCGGCTCCAGCGGATTCGAACAATTTCATGGCTTCAACATACCAAAGTTTCGGGGAGGCCAGGACAGCCTCTTATGATCGAATTGTAGCTAGGCTTCAAAGATATAATAGGACGTGTCATGGATACGCTTGGGACCTTTTGTAAAGCATTGATGTAGCTTCCTGGAGCAGGTTATGGTTCAAGTAAATTAAGGTTCTACAATCGTTGATGGCGACCATCAAGCGTAAAGAGCTTACCAGGACCCAGCACCATCAGCTAAACCTACCGATCACAATTGATCTGTGATTGTAATGCTATCAAATTATTATTACAACGTGTAAAGACTGCTGCTGAATTATATACAACAATTGCCCCCGAGGCAATTGTAATTGTAGAATGACATCCACGTCCATATCAAACCGCAAGCCAGCTTCGGAAGTGGGACGATTGGCTTCTTTCAACTAACTTTCAAGCATCGCTCATCACTGCATCGTCACTTGGAGGAAAAGATGCGGATGGGGCGGCTTCATGTGGACCATTATCATTGGAGCTTTCAACACCTTGGTTCAAGAAGTGTAGAGTGGCTCCTTCATTGACCAGATTCCAGATACCAAGGTAGGCGTATTCTTCGATACAATTGTTGAGCTGAAGCATCGTGAATCCCCGCGATCTTGCCGCCTTCACTATCAAACTGAAAGGTAAGCTCTGTTGCAGCTGAGACCCATCTCTTGCCAAATTCTTGATAATTGTGAAAATCTTCGTAGTTGGATTTTCCTCCTCCGCACTTTTGCGACTGTCCTGGTACAGTGATTCTTTTGACACTTGAATGAGTCTAAGAGCTTCTTCGATGTCATCTAATTCTACAGTGTCACTAAACCGGAGCTTCGCCAAAGCTTGTGATAATCTGATGATAGCCAAAAGAGTTCTTGGTGTGGCTTGTCCAAAGGAAAATCTGGAGTCCATAGCCTTCTTAGAGTCCTGTCTCATTCTAATGTACGATTGAATCACGTATTCATTGACCTCACGGCTCATTGTAGGCCTCTTCGTTTTAGCATAAGCAATGAACTCGCGCATTTCACTTTGTTCCAGTGGAACAAACCCAAGATCAGGCTGTTTATTGTGCATGTGAACGTAAGCTACATGCTCTGCGAGTTTTTCATCGTCTTCACGATTAGGCAGATCCAGCAACAAGAATAAGATGTCGAATCTGGTCAGAAGAGCTGCCGGGAAATTGATATTTTCCAGCGGTGATAATCTTGGGTTGTATCTGCCGTAGAGGGGATTAGCGGCAGCTAAAATAGATGTACGGGCGTTCAAAGTTGTGTTAATACCTGCCTTAGAGATGGAAATGGTTTGCTGTTCCATAACTTCATGAATAGCTGTTCTATCGCTTTCATCCATTTTGTCGAATTCGTCGATGCAGCATATGCCGTTATCGGACAAGACTAGGGCACCACCTTCTAAAACCATTTCATCCGTTACTGGATCCTTCATAACCGCGGCTGTCAGACCAACACCTGAGGAACCTTTACCAGTTGTGTAGACACCTCTGGGAGAAATTTTGCAGATAGATTTCAGTAATTGAGACTTGGCAACACCGGGGTCACCCATCAGACAAACGTTAATATCTCCTCTAATTTTCATTCCGTCGCCAACTTTTTTGTCCACACCACCGACAAGGAGCAACAACAGCGCTTTTTTCACGTCTAGATTACCGTAAATTTCGGGCGCGATAGACTGCGCAAGTCTGTTGTAAACATCACCTTGGGATGCAATAGCCATGACCCGGGATTCAGTAGCAGGTGTTATTTCAAAGGACGCGAATTTTTTTTTATGCTGGAAGACGTATTGGGCTTCCAAATAAGTTTCTGTCAAAAGACCAGCTTTCAAAGCTTTAAAACCTGTGAATGGGGAAGGCATGTAAATTCCGGTCACATCTACCACATCCCCGGGGCTTAAACTTCGAACCAGTGCACCGTTGACATGTATAGTGAGGCTTCGTGGAATGTGGCCTATAGGAACTTGTTCAGACATTTCTTGTATCTTACACTCTTGGAAAGCACTAAACTTGGACGCTCTTGTGCTCATGAAAAGCTGGCCCTTAGTTTGATTCTGGGAGCATTGTTCGGAAGTGCAGTCTACGAGCGGAGTGAACGTACGTGAGTTCACTTCCTGAAATACTTCATAGCCGCATTGGTCGCATGTATAAGCGTTGACCAGCACAGAAGGCTTGACGTCCGAGACTCTGGTGACAATACCACGCGCGGTGATAAGCTGGCCCAAACAGTCACCTTTGATTTCACGGACCGGGAGCGGAGGTTGCCATTTGTGTCCCTGTGCACCGGTAAGAGGTTTGAAATATAAGTTGTAGCGTCTTATGAGCTTTGCAGGGAATAAATCAGACTCCTGTTCTGCGATTTCCCGCATAAGGGTTTCATCTTGAAACTCGCCAGGTGCCTCTGCAGCCAGTTCAGTACGACGGTCTGACAATAATCTGTCATTGCGGAGCTTACGCTGGTATAAAATCACGTCCAAGACGTCGTCTTTGTAGTCAATTTCTTTGGTGGGCGGAGGCAGCAGCTTGTCGACAGCACGACTGAACAGCTCGACGAAATGGTAGCAATTACGGCTCACAGTTCGCACAAGATCTGTGGATGTCACGAGAGTTTCGGTTTCGTACCGTAGTAGGTCGTCGAGTTCGATCTCGACGGTTTGGAGTTCCCGATTCGCGACTTGCTGCAGGATTGCCATGTATTTAGGACCTTCGCCCACGTCCGTCGTAGCATCGTCTTGCAGGGTCGATGCGGTGCTGTTTTTGAAATGAAGTAAAAAATCCTCGACCGTTGTTTGGATTTGAGCGTAGTCCACGGGAATCTGCAAGGACGGTAGTGCGGCACTCATAGTGTAGGGAGAGTTAGGGTAGGGCTCCTCTTTCTTGTGCAGTTGAACATATGTTTTGGATATCGATGACTTTTTCGAACTTTCTACATGGGTTTGTTGATTATGGGATCTCGAGAGCGATCGCTTTGGACGGAGTGATTGGGGCAAGTAGAAGAAAAAGAATGAAATGACACGTGATCTCTGGGTGTCGCGTGCTTCTGTCGTGTACGACGAGATGCTTGTCTGTCTATCTGTCTTTCGCGTGTATGTCACGTGACCATTTTTTGAAAATATATAGGGTTTTTTTTTTTTTCAGTCTGTTAGCTACCCTGTATGGGTTGAAAGAAGCCTTGAGTCAGATGTACCAGTGTAGCACACGATAAATGCTTTTACGCTACTGAAAGCAAAAATTGTCGATATGAGCGACTACAGTATTCAAGAATTTTAACCCGATGTTTCCTTGCCGAGATTTATGTTAGGGTTCTTGTAGCTTCTTGGCGAGACGCTATTAGTTATCACCGAGCGAGATGAGCCGAGGGTGTGTGGGTGGGGTGTGTGGGTGATTAGGTGGCTGGGTTACTGGGTGTATGGGTGATTAGGTGGCTGGGTGACTGGGTGTATGGGTGGTTAGGTGACTGGGTAGCTGGGTGTGTGGGTGGTTAGGTGACTGGGTGACTGGGTGTATGGGTGGGGTGTTGATTGGGTAGTTGGGTGTATGGGTGGTCAGGTGGCTAGGTGGCTGGGTGTCTGTCACGTGCACTCCTTTTTTCCCTCCCATTCGTCCCGATTTCTTCCTTCGTGTTGAGGAGGGTCTCACATCAAACAGAGATAGGGTCACGTGACCCGCCCGCCCACCAATTACATACTTACAGACCACAACACTTCTCTCCTCTTTCTCTCTCCTCCTTCTCTACTCCTTCTCTCTCCCTTCCCCTGCCCTCTACCTCCTACAAACCTTCTTTCCAACCCAAAAAGAAAACCTCTACGGTGTTTCTACAAAACTTTTCCTCCATTACTACGAGAATCTCTACATGGTATGATTTCTCCCTCGTACACACGCACACACACACAAACACACACACACTCAAAATCTCAAACTGGGGTGATCTCGTAGCCATGGCACATCTTAAATCGCTTTAGTGCATAATTACTTGAGAACCGGTAGTGAATGGTCTCGAACATATAAGAAGCAGCCTAACAAATGTCCATAAAGAAGACAAACACACACACACACACACAATACGAGATTTTTACTGGAAAAGATACAAAAAGGACAGTTTATAAACAAGGAAAAGACGTTTGACGCTTTATTTTGAGAATTGGATTCTGGAATAGCTCAAAAGTAAGAAAGAGTGTTTACGCCAGCCAGCAAGCAAGCAAGCAAGCAAGCAAGCCATTGATAAATCTGTTATACACGCCTGTTATTCATACAATACAGGTAGAGACTACTACTAATACTCCTGCCAGCTTTAGTGACTCCCATTTCATCTCATCCCATTTCATCTCATCTCATCTCAAAATAATCCAAAATATGACCACAATAACTAAAATGACCATGCGCTTATGTAATCGGAGATGGTGTTCCGCGTCACGTGCCATGTCATCTTCCACGTCCACAACGCGATGTCCGTTAAACACATCGTCAAAAGTTTACATGTTTTACCTCACATTAGGATTTGTAGCGCCATTTTTGGCGTCCTGGTGGCAATCCAATAGGGTGCTCGAGCCCGAACTCAAGGGCCGGCACAACCCACGAACCGTTTTCCAACGGCTCATTTAGAACTCGGACGGCACAACAAACGGTTTTCAACACCAGTTTTCAACACCATTTGTTGTATATGTGTGTGTGTGTATATATAAGTTTTCTCCATATATATATATATATATATACGCACACATAGTATTTATTTGGCAGATATATAGATAGATATGTAGTAGCGTATAATTTATGAAGGGACCGGATCCCCATTCTATAGCTTCTCGGTCTTCTCCCACGTCTTACTGCAATGCTTTCGTGGCCTGAAATCACCCAGCTGGTGCGGTCCGGCGATCTGCAGCTGTTGCTGCGATCGCCTGCCGTCACCACCAGCTATCACCGCTACAAACAGGCCTTGGAAGACCGCCACACCACCGTTGCCGACGTGGTGGTGCACGAGAAATTGCACTGGACCAGCAAAATGCTGATCCAGTGTGCTCAGAAATGGCCCACCGCAAATTTGCAGTTCCAAGCAATGCTCAGCGATCCCCAGCTCTTCGCACTGCGCACAAATGACTTTCCCTACGACTTCCCAGACCATGTGCATCATTTGGTGCTGTGGAGCAAAATACAGATCCCGCTGTATGTGAGCGATTCTCGTGAAAAAGTGGCCATCGTGGAAACCAAGATTCAGCAGTTTTTGAAAGCCAATCTGGCCCGCTACAATATCCAGGATTTCGTATGGTTCATCAATTACCCTTCTCTCCAAAGCGTCAAAGCAGTGTCGCACATACACGTCTTGATCAACTCCGGTGAGTCCGAGAAGATCGACCACATTCTAGCGAACGGGTTCGAATCAATCGGGTTCGAGCCAATCTAACGAAGTCGACGTTTTCACGCCCTCTCCTAATGTTTATGCTATATACACAATTATAGAAATCGTGCTAAAGCCACTGCCTGACTTCTGAAGTTACAATAAATCGTTTGTTCCGTGAGAAACCTTGACCGCGATTCCATAGTTTCGAGGCTCTTAATAGACATTTCGCGACACAAGCTCTAAACAGCATACGAGCTCGCGTTTCAGGCCAACTTCATTGTCCTTGTCCTTATCCTCAACACCATCAGTAAACTGGAGTGGGTCCCGATCACTGTTGTCATTTCGAACGGCTCATCGCCTACCAGGGCTTTAAGTATACTTTTTTTTCCAACGTCTAGCTTTACCAACAGATGTGCTCATGAAAACTCGTAAAAAGAGTGTCTGCCCACCGATTCTCCTCCTCTTTTCCTGTTTCTGTCGCTTCTGAACGGATGCGTCGTGAGTTATGGAATTAAGACGCTCTACCAGACGCAAAACTGCAGTCAAATGTCAAGTTATTGAACCGCCAGCACCAGCGCACACGACAATCACTCGCAGGTCGAGAAGGGTCAAGGAAGTGGTGAGACCACAGGTAAGAAAAAGAGGACCCGCAATAAGACTATGCAGACCACAATTCCGCGGTCCTGAGCGGCAACATGAGCCCGTGCAGAAAAAAAGCACAAACACCTCCGCAAACTATCTTGTGGATCGTGAAACTGTGCGTTCCTGTCTCGACACGTTCGAACGCATGGCGGAGCAAACCGATATAAATGATGAAAGGCAAAGTGTCAGTGGGCTGTCTCAGCAATTGCGTAACTTTATCGAAGCGATAGAAGAGTTTGCTGTCAAAGAAAAGTCAGACAACGCTTCACTGCTAGATCGCATAAAAAGCGAGGCCAAAATGCCAAAAGTGACTTCTCCAGCTTCCAAAGCTGATCTGCTACTCACAAAAATCCTTGTTGATAAAAGAGTCACGGACCCTGAAGGCCTGGCCGTGGTAGCAAAATGGCACGGTATCGATACGCAGGACGTTGCCGATATCACTTTCAATCGCGAAAAGGGAAGACCCAAGCTCGATCACAACGCACAATACAGATTTGATCAGCAATGTGTTAATAAGAGAGTCAACAGGTTACTCTTGCTGGAGCGCAATAGCTCTCTGGGGTGGCCCGAAAGGAAAAGAAAAATTCCCTCCACTGTTCCAGCGTCAGGCGTGGGCGAAAGCTATTCCGAGGTCGCCTTGATGTCTTGAGCTTACACATCAATACTCGGCCATAGCTGGCCATCTATAACTCGCAAGAGGAACTTCAAGTTGTTTTTTTTTGGGGCGATACTTAGCACACATCTTCCAACACGTCTCATTTTTTTATTCCTGTAATTGTTCATTTCCGTTTTCGTTTTCGTTTTCTCCTTCAACTGTAGACCGTTGAACGGATCGCTGGAGCCACTGGTTGGGAGGCTGGCACAGCTCAACGCCATACACCTTGCTCACGATCTGCTCAAAAAAAAAATACAATTGGGCTGGCAAATATGTCATCATAATGCCACAAAGACTGTTTGCAGATGAGAGTGCCATGACGTCCAATAAGAGCCGTACCATCAACGGAGACATCACTCCGCGAAATCTGTCTTCTGCGCCAGACTGGATGTCTATCCGCATTTTGTAATAGAGCAGATTTTTGTGTACAACATGCGCTAACGATTCGTGTGGTTGGATCCATTTGCTCATTGCGATTATCATCCCGCTCAGGACAAAAATCATCCATAGGTATTGGCTACGTTTTTGGACCGTTTTTTCCACATCCGCCAATTGTGACAACATGATCATCACTCCAAACAAAAACCAGTGATTCAGCTCCCCATAGTCAAATAACGAGTACAGAACTCGCAGATATTGGCCCTTTTTGAATGCAAGGTCGAAATTATACAGCGTACTGCTCGGTTGCACTATAGTTGTACTTGTCAACACGGACATCACAACGATCCCGGCGGTCCAGGCCTTTGTTACCACGGGAACATCGCCTGCAATGTTGAAGATTATGGCATCCATTATCGAAGTGAATTCAAAGGTCGCTGAGCCTTTGGTTTCGATTTCTTAGGGTACACAGGTTTAACTTTTACATGTTGTAGCTGATATCATATATATCTTGACTTAATTTGTAGATTCGTCGATGATGAGTTATGTGTCAAAATTTCCAGCTCACGACGACGTGGTATTGAACCGGTCCTAGATCCTAACAATTGGGACGCTCTAAAATTGTCAGCATCGCTTTTTTACAAATGCTGAAAGCTGGCTTTTCCTCTCACGGTTTTTGGCGAGGATTATACTCGCTGCTCCTGATGTGTCACAATATATCATTTCGTACTTATATGACACTTTGATCTCACACTTTTCCACGTACGTTGTGGCAAAGCTTGGAAGCCATCACTGTGTTTTACGTGGCTGTGAAAAATGCTGAATAGCAACACCAAGAGCTCAAAAGTTTAGAAATCGAGAACAATAAGAATGAACAATTTCGACAAATTCCGAATTTTTCCTATTCGTTTGGATATGCCAAAAGAGGACGAATATTCTCTCATTAAGCCTCCTTTCGCAAAGCTTGACTTCTTGCAGCCGCCATCCGGAAGAATTGTCAGATCGACAATGTCTCGCACGTACGTTTAGTAAGAAGTGATATACTTACGACACGGAATTATTATTCTAGATTATAAGACTATGACGCTTTACCGTCTCATAGCCATCGCATTGAACATTTCGACCAGAAAGATAGCTGATTCATGAGATAGAGCATTGATATTCTCTTACAGCTCGCTTTGTGTAAAGAATTGCTCATTTTCGATCAAAACCACCCTCAACAGCATGAAAGAGGATTGTTTGATTGCTTGATGCTTCCCAACAGACTACGCTGGTCCACATTTCATTCGTGGACACAGACTTGTCAAAAATGAACAGAAGATAGTCTAATGGTATACAAAATTGGGCCCCGAATTCAGACACTCGCTCCAGGAATCTAAACCACTCTATTCACAACATCTGCCATTGTCGATTTTCAGTTAATACACAATCAAGCGAAAATACATGCAAAACTTTGCCAGAAAAGACTGGACTCTTTTCACACACGTTATGAGACCCGACTAGGTCAGAAAGATCTAGGAATGCTGTGCAAGCTCTTACACATTCGTTTTGATGAAACTAAACTATAGAAAATTGGAGCACGTGACCTCGTTAAGCTATATTTCATCGCTTAAATGAAATTGGGCTAGTGGTGTCAGTTAAAGAAACAAACTTGTCAAAACAACCCAATACATTGTTGACCTACTACAGCTTGATTTCAACGTTGCATTATTCCTTATGGATGTTGCTCAGATCGAAAAGTTGGCCCACGCTTCTCCGGCTTGGGACGACCAACAAGAACAAACTCTTCGAGGCCCATTCGATTACCTAGCATCAAGTCCTGGAAAGAATTTCAGATCGGAGCTCATCCACATCTTCAATGCTTTTTATGGGCTACCATCAGCTCAAATCACGGTGATTTCGAAACTGGTGGAAATTCTGCATACCTCCAGTTTGTTAGTGGACGACATTGAAGATAGTTCGGAATGGAGACGAGGACTAAAAGCGTCACATCTTGTATTCGGAATCCCCATGACTATTAACACCGCAAACTACATGTATTTCTACGCAATGGAATGTCTGCAAGAACTAGCTCGAGACTCAGAAGCTGGATTGCTTAATCAGCTTCTTTTAATCTTTAATCAAGAAATGCTAAACCTGCATCGTGGCCAGGGTCTAGATATTTACTGGAGGGATGAACTCGTAGTCCCAGATGAAAACCAGTATCTCAATATGGTCATGAACAAGACAGGTGGACTCTTCAGGCTCACCGTCCGGCTCATGGAGGTTTTTTCCGCAGACTTTCAAGGCAATGACTCGCTGGTCCCTCTTTGTAACCTTCTTGGCATCTTGTATCAGATAAGAGACGACTATTTGAATCTGCAAGATGCAACGATGATCAAAAACAAGGGATTTGCGGAAGATGTATCAGAGGGCAAGCTTTCTTTCCCAATTATTCACGGCATAATGCATGGGCAATCGCAGGGCGATACAGTTGTACTAGATGTACTGAAGACTCGCACACAAGACGTCGAGCTTAAGCGGAAGGTGGTTGACTACTTGCAAACCCGCAGTGGGTCCATGGATTACACTCGTGAGAAGATTATGAAACTTGGCACGCTCCTAGAAAGACAGTTTTTACCCTCGATTCGAGAACGTGGGTATGATACAACCGCGCTTTCGGCTGCTATATCCCATTTAAGCTATGTGTGATGAGTGCGTAAAGCAGCATCATACATGAAATCCTGCATAACTTGTCTGCTAGTCAGCACTTCTCGCTTGTTGTTTTGTAGTCATTATCGTCATTAAAGGTGAATAAAGATATCTTACGTACCGCTAGCTATCTAATGCATCCAAAAGCTTTTTATAGTTTTCGAAAATTTCTTTGAGTTCACCCATTTTCAGGTCTTCGAAATTTCGATTTCCCAGTTGTCGCCATGAGTCTGGAGCTGAGAAGGGTTTTTTAACCGAATCATCTATCGATAGTGCTGAGCGATTTGAGATTCCATTCGATGTCTTATCGGGCGTGATGGTTGATACCGAAGGACCTGAGGGAGGTGTGTAAGACCGGATTTTGCCAAAGATGTTGCGCAGTGATGAGTCAAAGGCTGTTCTGATGCCCTCAAATTCTTTGTATGAGTTTGACCGGGGAAGAGTAGAGTAATTTGGAGTTACGCTCACAGCCGCGGATTGCGTCTCGGGTAAGATGACTTTTTCACAAATGGGAACCTGTAAACAAGCCTCCTCTGCTTCATTCAATTGGCACTGGGTTTCGGAGGGGAGTGACGAGATTGTTAGACTCTGCAAGAAAGTCAATGCCGCGTCCAAATTGGTAAGCGCATACAAATCCTTTTCCACTAATTTCTTATTGTAACGAAATAGTTTGATGAATTGCAAGTTAATGAACATATGCTTGACTGGAAACTGGATGAGCAAATATATTAGCGTCGAAAGAAAATCGTCGTTACTCATATGATTCAGAGAACTTGACATTTCGTCATGCAGCTCTATAACGTTTAGTAGCTTTTCGTAAGGCGCTAATGGACCGTAAACCATCCTATCCAAGTGTTCTGCCAGCTTGTCCTCGTCTAGTGGTCCCTTTGGTACCGATAAAAACTCCATTAGATTCAGTTTTCCACATTTAGCCATATTCGATAACAGCAACATCTTTTCCCACATCATTCTATCAAATTCCATGAACTCGGGACTGTTTTTGAACAGATTTGTAGCTTTCAAATTACGCAATGGCTTGTCCGGTTTCAAAGAGCTGGTGCTGGGCACTGAGGTCCCCATTTCCAGTATTTTTTGGAAGACATCATGTTCGCATAACTCCAGTAATTTTTCGACCTTTCGATTATTCAGCTCGGTAGTGCGAAGATGCTTATTGATCTCCTCTGGTGTTAATAACGGTTGAACTCCACCTGTGGAGTCCGTGCTAAAAAGTGAAGACGATCTTTTGCGTGCTGTGTCGCTACTGCTTCTGCTGCGATTGAAAATCCCACTGATGCCGCTGCTCAAAGTCTCTCGCGCACTTAGAAATCCATTATTACTGAGTGCCTCTGGCGCCCTGGTCAGATATTGGAACGCAGCTTTATCGAATTTTGTGTAGAAACTCTGAAAAAGGCCTGATAATTGCATCACACTCAATGGCTTCAAATATTTCGGTTGTTTCAAGCCATCCACAAAATTGTCTTCCAAACGAGCCAGCTCAAGTGGTACTTCCACTATCTGGTCCAATTCCAGCGCTATTTCTTCCTTTGTAAGTGATCCGGCACCATTGCTGGAAGAAATAGATAGCTCAGGGGAAGACCCATCAACTTGGCTCTGGTAAGATTCCCTGATAGTTTGACCTCCATCAAAATTTGGATCGTTGATTGGAGGAGTGTGAAACATCGTCAAGAGCCTTAGATCTTGTGAATGATTCTTTCTCGAGTAGTTCGTGGCTCATGAAATCGAGCTTTTAGTTAAATATCGAATTAGTATATGATGATATGAAATATTGACATTAATAGCTTTGAATAATTCAAGCCAAGCTATATAAAGCTGATCTTCTAGACAGTTTCTAAAACCTCAGAAGGTGGTTATCATCAGCTCAATTGCTGAATAGACCTCGGGGTTGGAAAAGAGTTGAAAATTGCGCTTCTTTTGAGCCCATTCTTAGGCCATTTTTATTCAAAAAGCTGTCATTTTGGCCATTATATAGAAATAGATCTTAAGTTGTCCCCCAACTGTCGCGCGCCAGAAGCGTGAATGGTTCGATGAGAGGCAGAGATGACGACGGTTCCCAAAAAGAGATCTCGTAGCCCAGATTTGGCGGGAATTTCGAATTACAAAAGACTAAGGCTCATCGAGGATTTGCAGAGTTTGAGCCTTTCTGATAATGCTAGTAGCACTTCGAAGAGAGTTACGACAAAGGTGGTAGCGGACGAAGCATGGAAGAATAATCAACAAGTCTGGAAAGTGGTTAGCGGACAAGATAACGTGAATAAAGATATATATGGCACCATTTGGGACAGTATTCGAAGCAGCAACTTGCAGGTCATCAAGTGGTATGACGGCGCACTGTTGGTGTATACAAGCTGGCTGGTATGGTTCCAGTCTCAAAACGGAGCATCGGGAAGCAGAGAGATGGAAGTTGACTCAGCGGAGGATGCAGCGACGTATCACGAATACAATGGGTATGGATACGAACCTATGTTACTGGATGATTAACATGAGGCACGATAGAGGTTAGAATTCTGAACACAGGGACAGGAAATAACACATTATGATAGAATCACGAACGTAACGATTATGAAGCGTCTCATTAGATAGTAGTTTTGGGTATTATTATTATTACTTTCACACATCTTCAACTAGAATTTTCAGCTTCCCTCGTATCACTTCGGAGACCTGATAATCTCCCGCGACTTCGTCACCCACGGAGTTGTCGTGTTTCACAAATAGTTTAAAAGAAGGACTCTCGATTCGAGGCGCGATTTTGGTGCGCAACTCATTGTACGTGATGTTGGAATCGAGCAACAGCGCGAAAATATCATCCTTGTAATAAAACTTTATTTTCGTAGGCTTCATCTGTGGTGGTGATACGCTCGGAGGTCGTGAGTGTGGCTTGGAGTTTTTCAGAGACAGTCCGTTCATCATTTCGTAGACTTTCAGCTCATCGCCCGTTAAAGTCGAATCGTCCGCTGGACTCTTATTGTCGGCAATGATGTTTCCCGATCTTTCCGCCTGTGAGAAATTAGTCATTGTAGGCTCCTGCGTGAACTCTTGATCAAATCCGTTATTCCTTATATTGAAGAGCGATCGGACTGTATCACATTGTGATATGTGAACTGGAAGTCCTATCAGCTCGCGCACATATTTGTTGAGATCGTCTTTCCTCTTCTTTGTGATGGAGTCCGTGACGTATGGAACTGGGCCTGGTATGTAAGGCATTATGCGCTTCGTCCACTGCCCTCGTACGTCTCTCAGTTTACCTGCTTCAGCAGGAAAGGCGTCCAGAAGCTTCACCTGTAAATCATAAAAGTCCTCGTAATATCTTTTTAAAGTTCGTGCTCTTCCATCAGACATTTCGCAAACGACATTGAACCAAAACTTATCGCCTTCCAGCGAGAAGGAATCCACCGAGGCGTGAGCGATAGTCGAGCTGAAATAAGAATCATGCGACGGTATGGCGTTGTTTGTGGTTGATGAATATGAGCTCATACGCTGCTGTCGTTTCACTTCGGGCGAGCTTAAAGAAATGTTGCTGGCTTTATACTTTGCAACGTTTGTCTTCCATTCTTGAACGGTGGGCAAATTGGCAGACTGTATATCGTCGTCGATACTATTTCCTGTGGCGTAACCTGTGTCGATGTCGATAATGCTGACATACCCAACTGGAACAAGACCAGGGCCGCCAAGACGACCGATCGGCTTGGCAATAAACCATTCAAAGTTGTGATGGGCGCATATAAACAAGTTTTCACCTGCATAGGTCGTCAGTTCGTCGGATTTTTCAGCACGGAAGTCGTAGAGAACTATGGCATATAACGAGCCGGCTCTTTGACTCATATGCCTACCAAATTCGCGACTTTGTTGTTCGCCTTTCATTGGGGTTGAGCCCTGGCCAGTGACATTACTATGAGATCCAGAACGTCCTCTGGAAAAAGTCTCAAAATAACTTTTGGGAACCATTCCTCTGCGCTGATCGTTGGGGCTAGCTGCGTCGTACCATTCCTTGTCCTCAGCCTGCACCAAAAAGAATTCGCCCTTCACAAATGACAGTTCACGCGGAGATTGGGCTTGATAGTTGTAAAGAGCCTTGATGACCTTTTCTGCATCGGCTGGCACTTTCGCTCCCGCACGATCGACGGAATGCGACGATGCAGATGACCCGGAACGAATCGGTATGGTTTTCATGTGTTTCACTACATTGGTGTGATCTGCTGTGGGTGAAGATATGTCTGCAGAAGTGATTCTGCTCTTATTACTACCATCTTTACCAGTTTTTTTGAAGCCCTAAGGAAAGACAATTGTATTGACCGTTAGTAATTCACCTTCTGAGTACTTGATATGATTCAATGCTTTCTCCAGGCTTTCATCTGCACGAAAGTTCAGGATGTTCGACAGCTTTGTCTAGTTCAACGCTTGACAGTCAAAAGGACACCAAATAGTCGAAAAATACACCTTTTTGAGCCCTGAAAATCTCGTCCATCGGAACAAGCACCACCGGTACATACTTTGAGCATTGCGCATCAGACGATAACTTCGTTAACCTCTGCTTTATTGTTTATGTATATGACAGCTTGTTCGGACAACTTATTTATAGGAATATGAAACTTTATTAAATGCTACACACACACTTACTACGAAGTCAAAAAACATCTTGAACCAGTGGAAAGTGTATAGTGAAGAGTCCGAACAGCGTAGTGGTTGACTTTATGGTATCGATATCGATGGAATTCACCTTGAAGTTTCATATCAAGTCTTTTTCGGCTCGTCAACACGGTCATAGTATAGCATGTAAACACACTTTGTATCTCCGAGGACTTCATCGGTCCTGGCTTCACGCACAGCGGCATCAGAGATTTTCCAGAACGGATAGTTGACAACGCTTTTTATTTTCTTGAGTTTTCTTTTGATTGTAGTTGCAACAGCCTCATCACGCTCACTGGCACTTGTATCGGTAGTCATATCAGCGCCCGAGGTTTCTGAAGAGAGACCTACGTTGGAGGAGCCGACAGAAGAGGCAATACTGTTTCCTCTCGTACGTCTGAATCCGGAAAACCCCTCGGACCCTGCATTAGATCCCGTGTCTCCATTTTGGTCGTCACTAGCGCCCGATGCAATAGAGGGTCTTCTCGACAAGAAGCCTGTGAGCTTTTTCAACTTAGATGGCTTTCGGCTTGGCATGCCAGAAGAGCCAGAGTTTCCTTGCCCAACGATGTAATCATCATCGTCTACAATGGGCGATGATAGAGGCATACCAGGTGCTGCTTCGGGAAACACAGAGCGAAAGGGTGCAGATGATTCGGACTCCTGAGATGAAACGGAAGCAAGATCTGTGTTGCTCGCATTTGCGCTCTGGTTCCAAGCAGCCACTGCGTCTCTGTTCGAATCCAGTCCGAAATCGATCGTGGGCGACCTGTTGACCACTTGGTTGGACAAAACATCTTTGATAAGATCGGGCTTGTGCCTGTAGCATTCGTAATGCCCTTGAGAATGAGTGCCTTGATGCTTGACCATGGCCTTGAGTCTATATTTCACCGGTTTGACACCGACGGATCTGTTGTTCTTGATTTCCTGCTCTTGCGTGTGCAGCTCCTCATCGAAGTTCACGTAACATGCATTTCGAGAATAGGTGGTACCGTTGAAAACCGACCGGGAGAGATGCAGAATGAGGATATCAGGCGATCCGGTAACCACTGTTTTCTTGATAATTCTTGATTTGATCGCGCTCGTATCACAGCTTCCCTTTTTGTAGTTGTTGATGTAGTTCATCAAATCCTCCGACAGATCGTCATTGATAAATATATCTGGAATGATCTTTGACAAGGTCGCCAATATGACATTCTCCCCGTCCGATTTTTGGTCATTTTTATACTGCTCTTCATTCTCCAAGATGGCTTTTATTTTGCAGGAAAGACATGCATATCCGTCAATGGTCTCAGTTTGGTTATCGGCAATCATTGCCGAAAGATTGGCAGACGTTTCTTGAGGCACTGGCAAAGGATACATCGAGAAAGGATGTGTAACGACTTTCGAAGAGCCTTGGCAATTGAGACAAATCAAATGATCAGCAAGAGAACCCTTAACAGGAAAGTCTGGGATTATTACATTCAAGGAATGATCTTTGACGAATTTTTTGAGTTTGACGTTCTCTTTTTCAAGAGACTCCAAAATGACTTGTGTTAGCTCATGGGCGTCATTCTGGCCAGACGAGATTCTAGCATCGAAAATCAGCTCCAGAACATGCAAAAACGGCCACACCGAAACGTACTTGCTTGTGTCGACGATCTGCTGTAACTGATACATCATCTGAGCAAGACCTTCATGCAGTGGGACCTCGGGAATTTCCTCGCTGGAAGCAGTTGAAATCCCATTTTCTTTTGAAACTGAACTTTCTGATACGCTTTGAGCTGCACTCTGGGCTGCAGATGTATCGCCCGTGTTCAAGCCGTCTAGATAACCATGGCCATGGGCCGCACGGTCTTCTTCGAGAGTAGACATCGTCGTAATCGTAGCAGTAGAATTGAACGCTTGAAGGTTCGAGTGAGGACGAAGCGCGTGCATCGCAGGCCGTGACGCTCCGGGTGCAAGTGAGTTTTCAAAAGAGTTTGAACGTCCCTCGAAGGACTCGCCATTATCCTGCTGCGAATCTGCTGGCTCGTATTCTTTGGTAGCATCCCCGGTCTTGGGATGGGAAGAATGCTGGTTCTCTCCACGGTCGAGCAGCGTCCTCAGGAACAGAACCTGTTTGAGCAAGTCATTCATGTAGTTAGTCAACTTGGGGAGTGCCGAAAGGGCTTGTACCGACGAGTTTGCAAAACAATCGTTCCGATTGTTAATGAGACCCGTCGTGTACTTATCGCTTCGTCTGGATCTTGAAAACATCTCGCTATCTCCTTTTCTTAGTAAACTTGGCGAAAGAACGTATAAGGATAGTGTTGTTAATAATGCAAGCCCAAAGTAACGAAACTGCTTCGAGTTTTTTTCCAATAGTATGTCAATCCAGTCAAAGTTCACTGTTCTGTAAAGGTTGGGATTGGAATATAGAACGACGGACATTCGCTTCTCGAAGACTTCCAACTCTTGTATACGTTTCCTTCTTCAGTAAAATCCTAGATGACATGGGATTTTACTACAGTTCATCAACAATGACGTCAAAGCCATGTGATTGACGGCTGTTAGATCTTCCGCCGCCATTGGCCATGGAAACGGTCCTTCGAGAGTGAAATAGCGATACCAGGAGCAGAAGATGGGCCTCTGTGGTTGAAACGTTCTTGAGACGATCAAACGCGCTGGAAACACTTATGTGTTTTGGAAAACCTGGATACGTGAAAATGGCGGGCCTTTTTTGGTGAAATTTGAACGGTTTTCAAATGTGCTGTTGAAATAACTGCCGACAGTTCCTGGTTGTGAATTGGGTCTTCCGAATCATGACCATTCGTTGTTTAAAATAAGCAAATCGATGCAATTATGAGACTTTTTTTGTGTTAGTTCTTGACATACCTTTTTTTTCGAGTTTTTGGGTAAAAGTGTTTGGTTCTCAAATGTCTAATACTGCACTCTTGCACACTCACGAGTAGCGTTCTGCTGGTGTAGAAATTGAATTCTCAAAGGTTTGGAGAGCTCCAAGCAAATCTTGTTCAAGTTTCCCTGTAATTACACCAAAACACTCAACAACAACAAAAAGCAAGCGAGAAACTATGTTCGCTCTTCTTTTCGCGTGAAGACGGTGTATCCTTGTCTGTCCATCTATATTCCAGTGGTTGAACCGTCTTCTGTACGTCTGTTTTTGTTGATAGTTCAGCCTAGCTAGTTCACTTCAATGACACATTAATAGCCGCTCAAAAAAGCCTGTTCAAAGCTGTTCAGCGACCTAAAGCAAACCCCAGGTATCATGTTTCGTAGGATAGATATCATCCGTCAAATTGACTTCTCCAGAAGCTTAGCTAGTGTCTAAGTATGTGTTTCTAACTGTCTGTAGCTGGAAGATTCTTTAATTTTAAGATTTCCACCCTACGTGAATAAATTAACGATTGTGCCAACAATCAGATTTCAACCAATGGTAAGTTCCAGCTCACTACAATTCAGTATATCTACTCTATCCTGTGACTCTATGTCATCAAGCACCGTGGCTTCCAAAACTCCGGGCCCAGTCATCAAACTTTGACAAGGACTCCGGCGACACACTTTTCTTGACTGTCAGTAAGGCGTTCTGGAAGTCCTGTAAATTAATGCCTCTAATCTTGGTGAAATCAACTTCTATCAGTTTGTCCCCTAGTTCGCGAATAGGCTCCATTGCCGCGTCCTTGGCAAGGGCCGTCATGTCAGATCCCGAATACCCTTCTGTGAGCTTGCCGATTGTTTGGAAGTCTTGTTCAGTAAGCGTATTTTTTTGGTGGGCGAGAAGCCTCTTCAAATGTGCAATTCTGGTTTCAAATTCTGGTAAGGGTATGTGTAGTCTTCTGGTGAAACGTCTGCGTGCTGCCTCGTCAATGGCCCAAGGCAGATTCGTTGCAGCCAATACAAGCACGCGACCGCTTTCTAAATGTCCTTCTTCCCGTTCTCTTGCAGTTGCATTGGGCAGCGAAGACCATTGAATCAAAACCTCTGTTTTGATTCTTCTAGAGGACTCATTCTCGTTTTCAGATCGCGATGTCAGTAGAGAGTCAATTTCATCTATGAATATGATCGATGGGGAAAGTCTTTTCGCCAAGTAAAATAAAGCCCGCACCAGTTTTTCAGACTCTCCTAAGTACTTCGAAAGTAGCGATGAAGCGCTTATACTAAAAAACGTGGATCTTGATTCTGTAGCAACTGCCTTCGCAATCATGCTCTTGCCTGTTCCTGGAGGCCCGAACAATAGCATACCAGAAACAGGTTCTCTGAGTCCTCTGAACAGATCGGGTCTCAGAAAAGGATATACGACTGTCTCCTTCAAAGAATTCTTCGCGTTGTTGAGACCTACAATATCATCCCAGTAAACTTTTTCCCCATATACGAGAATCTCGTTTGTGATGTGTTGGCAGGCCTCTTCGTCAACTCCTTCCAATGTCTGCATAACCTCGACAACTCGTTTTTCCTGCGGTGACAGTTCGACTTCTGGAGTCATTGACTTTGGCGACTTGACGTCGGGCGAAAAGGAGCGGGAATGCGCGGGGACTGGAGACTTTGGCGAACGAACTCTAGTTTCTCTTTCATTGGCACCACTAGGTTTGCGGTGAAAGGCATTTTTCCCCGGTACTTTAATCGTGGGCCTTTTAATGGTCGGCTTTACGTACTCATACCTGGGCTTAGGAGACATGGGCTGACCCTTATCCGATATAATGAGTGGTTTGGCGACTTGCTCCTGAGCGGTATTCATCTGAGACCATGCAAGTTGGGCAGCGCGGTTGACACCACCAGAGTACGAAAGGTTAGTTTCTGACGCCTGGCGACTATGTGCTACAAAGGCGGCATTTTTGGCTCTGGCACCTCCGTCGAGACTGCGTCTTCGTAGTTCGTCTGCCGAGCGGCGTGGAGACCTTCTCACCTCCAGTGACGTACGCTCATAAGGTAACTTGGGCTTTTCAAACGCCGCCGACTGAGCTTTTCTCTCCTTCTGAACAGCCGCAGTTTGTTGTTCACGACTTGCTCTGTTTGCCATTTCTCGTTCCACTTGGCGCTTCACAGTCTGTTCCAGCATTCGCGCTTGTTCTTCCTCCAGCATTTTGTCCCGTGCTTCTTTTTCCCGACACAACCGTTCTTGTTCCTCTTTCTTCAATTTTTTCAGTTCCTCGACTTCCTTGGCCTTTCGAAGCTCCTGATTCTTTCTCATCTCTTCTTTCTTGCTTGATATTTTGGTCTTTTTCAGCAGACCTGAAAGCGAAAAATGGCTATTGGAATGAGCAGAAGGAGACTCTGATCGACCGCCGGTGCTCTCTGACTCAACCTGCTTCTCCATCGAAGTGCGGGTCTTCTTTATGTCATGTTCCAGGATTCGCAGATCACGGATGATGTCTCCCACGTCAGGGTCTTTCAAGTAAAGAACATCTTTCACTTTATAGCTGTTTTCCACCTGAACTAGACCGTCCCCTAGATAGGACAGAACGTGAGAAAGCGCTTTAGGTAGTTTTCCGAGTAGCGTCTTGTCATTTCCTGCCGATTGAATGTTCTCTTGGCAATTCTCGAATTGACTTTTAACGATTGAATACAGCAAAGTGAGTGTTTGCCGAAGCGTTAAATTCGCGGGCACCACGAACTTAGCATGTGCCATACCGTTACCTTTTAGGTTTCAGTTCAAACGCCTTGGATGTTTCTCTCGAAGCAAGCTTGTCGAAGTGTTCTGAGTAGTCCATTGATGGTGAACGATGCCCTGTTTGCTTCTTTCAAGTTATAGAAGCTGTTGATCAATCAGTAACAAAACTTCACCAGTCACGTGTAGGCTCACTTGATAATTATAAGACTAAAAGATCTGTATATCTATGAACTCAAGGCTTTTCCAGTAGTCTCTCAGGCGTGTCAAGGGAACGCCAACTAGTAATTTTCATTCTGATGCTCTGTATTTGTTTCAGATGAAGTAACGAATGACCCTTTTTACCACTTTCTTTTCTCAAAAAATGTTTACTGCGAATACATCGGTGAGTTTAAATCGCTGGCATAGCCCGGTCTTTCTTGGTAAACTGCCAACTCTCGGGCCTTCTATTTTTGATGTACGCGAGATTTTCACAATCCAGGTGGACAAATTATCAACTGGAATTGTGTCGTCTTTTGCAATACTTGTTCTTTTCGTCTTCGTCTATATGCAGGACTTCCCAATTCTCGAAATCCTCATATATGCAAATCTCGGTGTTCTTGCGCGTCAAGTTCCTGAAATACATCGAGATGCTGTTCAAGGTAAGCCCATTGGTTACTCGAAACTTTTCGAGATCATCGGTGATGATCTTCCGCATGCTTTCGCGGTCCGTGTTCAGGAACCTGCCCGCACGGACGCCGCGGTCAACCTCGCGCTCGATGTAATCAATGATGATTCGGCGCGTTGGGAAAAAATGTGAGTCGTCGCCGACTTTCCAACGCCTCCAGCCGTATGTATCGATCAGATACTTGATAGACGGATCGCCGTTGAGACCCACGTACCATTCGTTGTAAAGATCCCAAATAGTCTTGTTCTCGCGTGATAGCTTGTATTTGAGCACGTCGTGCGAGGTGTGGGCAGCGGGGGACGCACCTAAAGAAGGTCTCTTGTTCAAAAGCTGCGACGATAACTGGGAACTGGCGTACTGGGGTGAAAGTTGTGATGTCATAGGTGCGCTGGTGAGTGATGATATTCCCAGCCTGGGGCTCCCCGTGTTGCGCAGAATGATGGAATCCAACGGTGCGCTGATTTGAGTGGGCTGGGTATGAGGTTGCAGCTGCTGTTGTAGCTGCTGTTGCAGTTGTTGTTGTTGTAAAACTTGCTGTTGCGTGGGAGTTCCAGCCTTCGGATCGTCAAACCGGAAACGCTTGAAAGGCGACTCGATGGTCGGGGGTGAAAATCCGGATTGATTTGGCAACGGGAGTTTTCTCTTCTGAGTTTCCTGAACAGCTGAACCGCTCAGCGAATGAAACATGTTTATAGGCGCGAGAGAGGGTGTTCTTTGGGCCTGTTCATCGCTTGTGGGGCCCACACTGTTGAAGAAATTTGATGAAAGCCCATTTTTATCCGCGCCATTGGCGCCTGCACCTACAGAGTTTGTGAATGCTGAACTGTTGGGTGCACTATTGGTCGCAAGCATGCGTTGGGCATTTGCAGTTTCTGTGAGAAGCTGTTTCATGGACTTGAGCTCGTGTCGCAGAGATCTGAGCTCCTCCTGAAGAAACTGATTATGTAGCGCGAAACGCCGGGAAATGTCTATGTACCCTTCCTCAACTTTCAACAGAACCTGGTCGTTCCAACTGATGGATTTGGATTGAGATATGACCATTCGTTGCATCTCACTCCTAAATTGCTTGAATGTGAAGTTCTTTTGCAGCCGGGGCACGTATCCCATCACGTTAGAGAGCAAGTACGGCAGCTCATTCGTACAGCTAAGATATGCAATGTCCTGTATAAGCACGCGGGCTAGATACTCAAACAGCTCGCACAGCGTGTGTAGGTTGTAGTTCGTGCGGTCTTTGGTCTCCAAATCCCTTTGCAGCTGGTCGAGCCAAGGGAAAACCTCGTTTCGCAGTTCATCCGGTGGTTCCATTATTCGTACAATTTTGCCCTGTGAGCTTGATGGAATCCCGCTAACCGGTTCAGACTCCGATGACGGCGAAACCCCGGCTGCTCGGCTTGCCGCCAATGCCTCGAAGCTGCTGGTATCTGCCAACAGCCGCATGTTCTGAAAATCTTCGAACCGGATTGGGATGCCGCCCGCATGGCCTCCCCACCGGCTTGCAGCATACAATGCGACGCAAAACACCGGACAGTTGGATACCTGTCTGCTGCGTGACACCGTGTTGAAGTACCGATACTGCTTATTTGAGAACGTATCGTTGAGTTGTCGGAGCGTTAAAGATTCTGAGTACGTCTGTTCCACAACCAGGTCCACCACTCGCAGCGACGGTGCCAATTGTGAGTCTTGCATCTCGAAGAATCGTTGCAACACATAATTCATCGCCACATTGATGTCCAGCTGTGCACAGGTAAACAGTTGCGGCAGGAGACTGCTTTTACCATTGGACGAAAACCCGTCTGCTTCACTAATGTGTGAAGACGTGCTAGATTGTGGCGACGGTGTTTGTTGCCTTCGACTTCCCACCATAGGAGAATTAACGCCGCTTCTGGGTCTCGATGAGCTGTTGTTCATCGTTTGCACAGATCGATCACTTGGTACTAATCAAGCCGTCCACTGACAATACTATCTCGACAATAGCGACCAAGTGTAACGCTTGAGGTCTCGAAAACCTCGACAAGTTGGAATTCAACCGTTATGCTGCGATGTCCCGGTTACACGCCAATATCTCTCACCATATAAGTGAGGATCCAAACACACACACAAACAAACACAACTTCGGGCCTTGCTTCGCTTACTGGGGTATGTTATTTCCACACCTGGTGATCAAATTGGATGTATATTGACGCTGTTGTTGGTCAAGTTTTTCTTCTAGTAGCAACAAGAAGCCGGCATATTGACAAGATGCCAGCTTCTCAAATGAAGCAGGGGCTTGCAGGTGAGGGCGTATGATGACGAGGGAGGTACCTGAACTGAGCGATGAGCCAGTAAAGTGATAGGAATTAGGGTAGTCGCTGTTTTGAGCTTGAAATGGGGGTGGGAATCAGTATTTCTCAGTGTGCAGTAGTTGTAGTAGTCTGCGGGATACGACGGAAGTGACGACTGCGATGTGTAGGGATTGTTCTTGGGGTTGGAGCGGTAGTATTGTAGGAAAGGCCGGGAAGATCGACAAATCTTGTAAGGAAAGTATGGCAGAAGCCGAGAGAAGGGATGGTAAGGCCGAGAGAAACAGAGGGAAGGTTTGGGAGAAAGTCTTGGAACGGCCCAGACAGACTGTGACAACAAGTGCTGCCAAGAGCTAAATCCATGGAAGCCCTTCTTGACCATGGAGAAACATTTTTCGGGAGGTGCATGGGATGTAGCAGGGCCAAGTCTTCGAAATATAATAGGGAAAAGGGTTTTTGGCTTCGGAGTTTCTGGAGGAGTCTGGATATCATGGAGAGGAAAGAAAATATGGTGATGGTTGCTGTGCGCCAGCAAAAAAAAGAGGCCCTTCTTGCCTTGGGTTGTTAGATTTTAATGCCAAACAAAAAAGCGATTGCAGACAGACACCTGGTTTTGAAACAGAGTGTAACTGGTGTTTGGAAAAAAGGGACGTTTTTTTCGCATTACAGGGACGTTTTCCCTGGCTGATGGGGCCCATTCAGGATTTTCCCGTAGGATAATGTAGTACCAATGTCTCAGACATAGAGTTACAAGCTCTTTTATAGATAGCCAATTGGACCTTGTGTCAGTGTAGGATCTTATTCTAATGGTTAACACACACACCGTGGCGTGTACTAATTGTTTTCTTGCATAAAAGTGCGCTCCCGCGTCTTTCTCACAGGTTGTGTTTATTTACACTGTTTGGCTTACGCGTTTCGAATTTCATGTTTTGAGCTCCAAAACTAGCTTTCCGAGAATCCAGTAATCCAATCAACCATCAATATGCGTTTATTCACTCGACAGACTCCACTAGCGTTTACAAAGGCCGCATTTCCTCTGTTTGAATCGCACTCGAATCTGGCCTTGTTTGATGAGCATAAGCCAGATTTTACTGCTTGAGCGGCTAAAAAACCTATCTACATATCTTTATACGTTTTCCGCATCTTACCAAATGCATGAACACACACTACTTAAGACCAGGGCGATCGCCTGTTGTTTCAGTTTCCGTTTACCACTCCTCTCTCTTATTTTGTCGAGAATTACAAGTTATATAGATGTGTTCAACTTCTTTAACTCTACTAGTTTAAAACTAGAAATCTCGAGATGAAGAAAACCGGTATAAATGTGCACTTTTTCGTAGACACAGGTGGCTTATGTCGCGTTGGATAGGTTTATTGTCCTAGCTCCATCCGACTGAGCTATCAAAAAGGCATTTTATAAACCCTGGGCGGCTTGTCCCCGATGTTGTAAAACCGTTCCGTTATTTTCGGGTTTCGTGTGAGAAATTGTGACAATAGTCATTTGATAGCCCAGGAAAATCGCTAGGGAAGTCATTACCGGGTATATTAAGACGTTTGTTGCTCAATCGAGCACCTTTTGAGCAGTTCTACGACAACCCCCAGATCGACGAAATGGTACCGTTGGAAGGACAAATAATTTCAGATCGGGACAAGATTTGCACATACAGGCTCAATTGAAGAAAAACCTCGAAATCACCTCGTTGAAACCCGCAATCGTCAACGCTATAGGAGCTGAATTGTTGATGTTGAAACCAACGCCATACGTCTAACTTTTGAGCACGTGACAGTCGAAAGGCTATAATGCCGTGCAAGATTATCACATCCATCATCTATATTCAAATTGATCGAGTTTACATGGCGCATTCACCAAGAACACCATTTCAACGGGCAAAAAGGGCTTGAAAGATGTCTCAAAAGGGCCAGAAACAGCCTCCCAAAACAACGCCGTCTAGCACGGTACGACCCCAGACGACCAATGGCAATGCCAAGACGCCTCCCACCGCGGCGAACTCGAGACCAGGTTCGTTTTCCGCGGCGGATTTGAACCGCATCGTGCTGGAATATTTGAACAAGAAGGGCTACCACAGAACAGAACAGATGCTCAGGGTCGAAAGCTCTCGTACCTTGACGCCCCAGAACAAATCATCGCCAGGGGACACCGCCAGCGGCTCGTTCCCTGAACCAGGACAGGAACCAACGTCACAAGGTGCCAGACCTGTATCCAATCCTACCAATATCAAAAGAGACTCCGATGGAAATCTCGTTTCCCAGCAAGCCAACAGCTCACCGCGGCATTACTTTTTAGCGTACTCGATGCTGAAAAATTGGACCGAGTCTTCGCTAGACATGTACAAACCAGAACTCACGCGAATAATCTATCCAATTTTCATTTACGTCTTCCTCACGCTGGTGGTGAAGGACGCCATTCAGGCTCGTCGCTTTTTCGATAGATTCTCGGTAGACTTTAGAGCATTCCACGCATCGGAGGTCAACAAGCTTTTCTCTGTCAATTCCGCAGACCATATCAAAGAAAACGAGTTGGCACAGGGATTTCAGTCGAACAAGTACCGAGTCACAATATCCCGCACAACACTCAACCTGCTTCTATATTTCTTGAACGAGAATGAAAGTGTTGGTGGATCATTACTCATTAGTATTATCAACCAGAATCTAGATCCAAATATCGTGGAAACTATCACGTCGCAAGAAACTTTGACAGACGGCATAAAGGATGTTTCTGCAGGTGCGGTTGATGTGGACACTCACAACTCTGTCCCGGTTAAATTGGGCAAATTTCCTGTTGACGAGGAATTCGTAAGAGAAGTGGAAACAGAACTCCAAAGAAAGGATGAGAATGCGGCATCGGGCGAAGGCCAAGATAATTCCAAAGGTCTCATCGAGGAATACAGAGACATGAATAGTCTTCCAAAAGATGACAAAAGCACTAAGGATGATGAGAAAAATGAGGGTGGAGCCGCCCTTGCAGACACCGACAAAAAAGATGATCGCAAGCAAGATCCAAACATGGAATCGCCTCCAAAAGATGTTCTTCCACTTCCTTCAAAAACTGCGCTGGATCTAAAACTCGAAATTCAAAAAGTAAGGGAATCGCGAGATGCTATACGGCTGGATAATCTACAAACATCTGCGCCCAGTGTCTGTATGTACACCTTTCACAATACAAACTCGGAAATGACATCGATAGAATTCAGCGACGATGTAAGATTGGCGGCTGCCGGTTTCCAAGACAGCATAATCAAAATCTGGTCTTTAGATGGCAACCCTCTACAAAGCAAGCTACCATCCAAGCAAAATGACCGTTCCAACAATGCCACTCTTGTGGGCCATAGCGGGACTGTCTATTCTACGTCCTTCAGTCCTGATAATGGATATCTTCTGTCAGCGTCAGAAGATAAAACAGCTAGACTGTGGTCGATGGATACCTTCACATCTTTGGTCAGCTACAAGGGACACGATCACCCTATATGGGATGTATCTTTTTCACCACTTGGACATTATTTCGCAACTGCCTCGCATGATCAGACTGCAAGACTGTGGTCATGCGACCACATATACCCACTAAGAATCTTTGCGGGTCACTTAAATGATGTCGATACGGTGTCTTTCCATCCCAACGGAACTTATGTCTTCACTGGGTCTAGTGATAAAACTTGCCGTATGTGGGACATCGGGACGGGTGACTCTGTGCGGCTTTTCCTCGGCCATACCGCACCTGTAATATCGACAGCGGTTTCGCCTGACGGTAGATGGCTTTCGACTGGTAGCGAGGACGGCATCATCAATGTTTGGGATATTGGCACTGGTAAGAGATTGAAACAAATGAGAGGCCATGGGAAAAATGCAGTTTACTCACTATCATATAACAAAGAAGGTAACGTTCTCCTGTCAGGTGGTGCTGACCATTCTGTTAGGGTGTGGGACGTTAAAAAAACAACAACGGAACCCGGTGCAGAGCCCGAACAACCGTTTACAAGTTATTCTGGTGACGTGACCACATCGGTGAATCTAGATGTCAAGGAATATGGTCGTAGAAGAACCGTTGTTCCAACAAGTGATTTGGTAGCCTCGTTCTACGCAAAGAAAACACCAATTTACAAGGTGAAATTCACGAGAAGCAACCTGGTGCTTGCTGGAGGCCCATTCCGGGAATGAAAATGCAATTGTAATGTTAAAAGGGGTAAATATCTACATGTATATCTAGGTCTCATTTGGATGCCCCAAAAGAAGTTGACGTTTTATGCGCGCTCAGTAGTTAGTCCAAAACAGGCCGCTTCGCATCCCATCTTGACAGCAGCGGGTCATTCTGACAATAATGGTCTTGCCAGTACACGAAGTAACGCGGAAGACCAAAGACAAACATTATAGAACTGAAGGCGAACACAGTGGTATAAATCCAGCCCAGGCACAGCGTGACGAAGTAGTAGACTACTGCGCTGTTGATAACAAAAGCAGCACCATAACTAATGAAAAGCCGTCTTTCCAACAACGAGCGTTCGAAGTAAGGCAGGAGAACGTTTAGTTCAATGCAAATGAGAAGGAAACAGAATACATCCGTCGTCGAGTTCAGACGCGACCCCAGAACAGCCACGTTAGCGACCAAAAGGTTTGTAGAGACAATAGACTGCGATCGCACCGAGACCGAGGTCACGTAGAAAAGCGTAAGCCAGCCTGATATGGTCCATATGGAATCTGAAGACGACGTTCTGGAAAGTGATTTCAAAACAGGTGACAGCACCAGCATGCTGAAGATAATGATGAGCGGTGATTTCAACGACATTCGAGCATAATGAAAGAGCGTTGCAGCCAAAAACGACAAACACGTCAATGAGCCTGTAAAATACATGGGATCACACCGGTAGTAGTACAATAACGTGAAAGTAACGTACATAAGACCAGTGTTCAGCACACGGTGGTAGAATAGAAGAAAATCGATCACTACCTGGCCATATGATGTATAGCTACTACTGGTGTGATTTTGGATCTTTTGTAGATCGGAAACTTCCCGCAAGAAGTTTGGATCTGTGTGATTATCCGGGTACTCCTGTTTTAGCCAAAGCAGCCTTTGCCATCGTTGTTCCATGGGCTTTTTCACCGCGATGAGCTACAACAAGATGGTATTTATTCAAATTTAGAGATGACTTGTAGAGTATTCATATAAGAAGCATTTGGGACACATTTCTTGAACAAACGCTGAAAGAAGGGATCGAGAGACTCTCAAAGGTATTTAAACAGAATGAATTCTGCTTCTGGGTCTCACCTTTCAAGTGCATCTTTGCAAGATAAAAAAACGGGCGATGCTACTGCGAATGGTGTGCCATCAGGGCCTCTAGTTCGAACATTACCGCGACAAACCGACCAGATCGAAGCTACACCGAACGTAGACTATCAGGACAGGTTATGGACGCAGATCGATGTTTTGGACGATGTGCGAAGGATGGCTCGCGAAAAGGACACTTCAGATGGGTTTCCGGCGGGGTTCGAGCCGCAGCTTAAACAGCTGAGAGAAGCTCACGTCAAATTGTTGAACACGATGAAGACACGACGGGACAAACAGGAACTACGCGAGGATGGCGAACAAAATGGTGATGAGAAAGAGGATTACGAGGAGCAAATGAAGCTTGTGTCAGATGTTACGCGTTGTGTGCGCGGTTTGAGGGACTAAAAGGTGAATGTAAGGGATGAGCGCTTGACGGGGCATGGAACAGTGCTGAGGGCCAAGCAATTGTGCTACTTGAGATCGACTCTGGAACGTGCGTTATCTAGTGAAAATCGGGCTTTTGTCAAGAATTGATGTTCTGCTTGAAACTAGGTAATTGTGCTGCCCCAGACCACGCATTCATCAATTATGGACGTTCTGCTAAAGCCAAGCATTTTCCAGATACTTTTCAACATTCAACTGCTGTCAAAATGAATTCATTGTAAACAACGCATATGCCACTAAGACCAGACAGTGATGTTCTTTAGGACTATACGAGTGCTCTACTAGAAGCCAAGCAATTGTGGGCCATGGACCTTCTGCTGAAATCAAGCAATAGTCAAAATACTTGTCAACAATAAAACTTCTACCAAAAGTCAAAACCAAGCCATTGTGGACAGTGGTTCTTCTACCGAGACCTGGTAATGATGCTGCTCATTACCGAAAAAGTGTTCAACTAATAGGCAAGCAATCATGCTGCTGAAGACCACGCCAATTTTGAACCATTGAGACTCTGCATGAACCAAGAATATTTCAGGCACTTGTCATCAACTAAACTGCTGCCAAAAACCAAGCATTGTGGACAATGGACCTGCTACCGAGATCATGCAATGATGCTGCTCAATATCAAGAAAGTGTTCTGGTAAGCCCAGCAACTTTACTGTCGAAGACCGCCCAATCACGCTGCTGAAGACCACGCCAATTTTGAACCATTGAGACTCTCCACAAAGCAAGCAACGTTCAGTCACTGATCATCATTGAAACTACTACTCAAATCCAATAGTGCAGCAATATTCCACCCACACGCAAGCAAAGCGATCGTTGACTAAACTATATCACCCGCGGTGAATCTCGAACCCATTATCACCAAACTCTCTGTCAGCACGCTCCGCTCACATGGCTGGCACATAACCCGACTACCAAAAACTTTCACCTCTTCTCTCATCGCTCAGACCACTTATCCACAGTGGTTCAGTTGCTGTGGATTGGGCAATCGGTACCCGTTGTCGTTGTCCTACGAGTACTGTTTTCGACCCGTTTCTCTAGTACTCTTGCACATTTTGAGCTTCTTGTCGTCAAGGCGATCCGAGCGAGGCACCAGGTGATGGAACCCATAGTGGAAGTTGACCATCGTGACATCAAATTAATTGCGTCCATGGAAGTTCGGGTAAAGGCTTCCAGTTGTTTAAATATCAAGGTTGGGTCAAACTGTTCATCAAGTTGTTTTCAACAAAACGTACAAAGGAAGAAAGATTAGTTTCCGATTGACTATCTGTTCAGATTTTTGTCTTCAAGTGTAGCTGGGACCTTTTTCCAAGACACCTACTGACAAGCTATAAAACCAATAATCATGGCTTCTACAAACACCTTTTCCGACTTCAAGTTGGCTTCTGAGCTACCAGCTTGGTCTAAACTACAGCAGATTTACGACAACAAGAGCAAGACCTTGAACGTCAAAGAAGAATTTGCCAAGGACAGTAAAAGATTTGCTAAATGGTCCAAAACCTTCAAGAACTACGATGGATCTGAAATTTTGTTCGATTTTTCCAAGAACTTGGTTGACGACGAAATTCTGGCTGCTTTGTTGGAATTGGCCCAACAGGCCAAGGTGACTGAATTGAGAGATGCCATGTTCAAAGGTGAACACATCAACTTCACCGAAGACCGTGCTGTTTACCACGTTGCCTTGAGAAACAGAGCCAACAAGCCCATGTACGTGGACGGCACCAATGTGGCCCCAGAAGTGGACTCTGTTTTGCAGCACATGAAAGAATTCTCCGAACAAGTGCGTTCTGGAGCCTGGAAGGGTTACACCGGAAAGAAAATCACAGACGTGGTCAACATCGGTATCGGTGGCTCGGACCTAGGTCCTGTGATGGTCACTGAGGCTTTGAAGCACTACGCTGGCGACATCAAGGCCCACTTCGTGTCTAACATTGACGGTACCCACATCGCCGAGACTTTGAAGCTCTGCAACCCTGAAACAACCTTGTTTTTGATCGCTTCCAAGACTTTCACCACTGCCGAAACCATCACCAACGCCACCAGTGCCAAAAACTGGTTTTTGGAAAAAACCGGAGGCGACAAAGCCAACATCGCTAAGCACTTTGCCGCGTTGTCGACCAACGCTCCTGAAGTGGCCAAATTCGGTATCGACACCAAAAACATGTTTGGCTTCGACAGCTGGGTCGGTGGCCGTTACTCTGTGTGGTCTGCCATCGGTCTCTCCGTGGCTTTGTACATTGGTTTCGACAACTTTGACGCTTTCTTGAAGGGTGCCGAGGCCGTTGACAAGCACTTTGTCGAGACTCCACTTGAAGAAAACATTCCACTATTGGGTGGTTTGTTGTCGGTATGGTACAACAACTTCTACGGTGCCCAAACCCATTTGGTGTCTCCCTTCGACCAATACTTGCACAGATTCCCTGCCTACTTGCAGCAATTGTCGATGGAATCCAACGGTAAGAGCGTTACTCGCGGAAACGTCTTTTCCAACTACTCCACGGGCTCCATTCTTTTCGGTGAGCCAGCCACTAACGCCCAGCACTCGTTCTTCCAACTAGTCCACCAAGGTACCAAGATCATCCCATCTGACTTCATCTTGGCTGCTCAGTCTCACAACCCTATCGAGAACAACTTGCACCAAAAAATGTTGGCTTCCAACTTTTTCGCCCAGGCCGAAGCCCTAATGGTCGGTAAGGACGAAGCCCAGGTCGAATCCGAAGGTGCCAAGGGTGGTCTCGTTCCACACAAGGTCTTTTCTGGTAACAGACCAACCACTTCTATCTTGGCTCAGAAGATCACTCCTGCTGCTTTGGGTGCTTTGATTGCTTACTACGAGCACTTGACATTCACTGAAGGTGCTATCTGGAACATCAACTCCTTCGACCAGTGGGGTGTTGAGCTAGGTAAGGTCTTGGCCAAGGTCATCGGTAAGGAACTTGAGGGTTCTGAAAAGATTAACGACCATGATGCCTCCACCAACGGTCTAATCAACCAATTCAAGGCCTGGTTGTAAGGCTGTTGTTTATGTCTATAACACTTACATACTCACTACGCACACGATATAAATGAGCTCAGATGACGATTCACCACACTTTCCAGAACAATAAAGGCTGTTACGAGTTGCTGAAATGACGATCAGAGAGCACTAATTCAGCATCTGATTTTAAGACTGAAGCATTGATACAAGAGTTGTGTTAAAAGACTGAACTCTCTACAGACCGTAGTGCTTGATCAAAGAAACAATTGCAGAATCAATGGATCAAGAGTATGTTGAAGTTGACGTTCCAACTATCAAAGAGCACGCTAGAGACTTGGAAATCGTGGAAACCGAAGAAAACCATAGCACGAACATCGATGACGAAAGACAGAAACGTTATACCCACTGGAAGAAGAATGCTAAACTCTTATATGAGTTTTTGAACACGAACAACACCAAATGGCCATCACTAACGTGCCAATTGTTCCCGGATGTGGATGTCGCGGGCGATACACATCGAATCTTATTGTCATCGTTTACATCGTCACAGTTGCCTCAGGACGAGTCCCTCTATGTTGGTAAACTGTCATCTATGAAGCATCTCAGCTGGAGCTCACTCAATAACTTCGACATGGAGGAGAGAGAATTCAAGATTGACAACTCGCTGAAACTACCGTCCAAAAACTTGGTGGAGGATCTACGTATCAAGTTTCCAACCGGTGGCGACTGCAACAAGGCCCGATTTAGCCCTGCAAACCCGGATATTATAGCCGCAGCCTCTTCCAACGGATCCGTATACGTATTTGACCGAACAAAACATGGATCGGCCCGTCAAAAGTTGCTATCTGGGTCATCGAACGAGCCTGAGTACCAGATCCATTGCCAGCTACCGACTTCAGCGGAATTGGAGCCCAACGAGGCTCTCAGTTTGGCATGGAATTGGCAGCGACCAGGCTCTTTGGCCACTACCTATGCTCAAGGCCAGCTTTGCGTATGGGATTTACAAAAATTCGTCAAAACCTCTGCAACGCTAGTAGACCCGGCTTTTGCGGTTGAAATTGATCCACAAGGTACTAATGATGCCTCCTGGATGGTAAATCACGACTCCCTGCTGGCATGTTGTGGCGAGGGCAATGTTTTGCGACTTGTGGACACCAGAACCGACCAAAAAGCCCAAAGTGTCGCAGAAACGAATCCCAATCACACAGGAGGCATTAACGTTTGCCAATTCAACTACCACAAGGATCTTTTGCTTGCTTCTGCAGACTCGACGGGCAAAGTCAACCTATGGGACGTACGAAACTTCCAAGAGCCCCTACAGGCGTGGCAGCACGGCGATGCAGTCTCTGCGATTCAGTGGAGTCCTCATAACGGCGCCGTGCTTGCCACGGCCAGTCAAAACGACGGGCTTGTCAAGATTTGGGACTTATCGCAGCCGGACCAGGACGACCAGCTGATCTTCACCCACGGCGGACATATGTTTGGCGTGAACGATATCTCTTGGGATCTCCACGATCCCTGGATGATGTGCAGTGTGTCGAATGACAACTCATTCCAGCTATGGAAGCCTGCCGGCCACCTTTTGGCGGCTAAATAGCCGCCCAGCCCAAGGGAGCCCACAAAAGTCATGCGATAATCACATGACTGAAATCCAATCACAAATTAGGATCGAGATCATGTTCTACGTACGTTTTCCACGCATCATATACGAACGTTTTGAAAAATTTTGGAAAATAATCGTAATTATCACCAATCCTGCTTGAGAAGTGCTAAACACCTAGAAAACATAGAAATTCCAGCGGTGTGCTTCTAAAGCAGGTCTTCACGAATTCAACCGGGTTTTCTTTAATCGTATACTAGCCATTGAATACCGCAGAATGAGTTTGCGTACATCGATGTTGCGGGCTTCGTCCCGGTCTTTGGCGTCCTTTGGCGTCCGTCAAGCTCCGTATGTGCTCGATTTTTGAAAGTGGAAATTCCACATTTGTTTTCATTTTTGGGGGGGGAAACGGGACCTTTTCGAGGCGATTTAAGGTGGTTTCAAGCTGCCAATGCCACTCCCGAGCATTTGGCGATTCATTTGGTACCAGAAAAATCGAAAAACGGGCAAATTTGGCCTACTCTAGGGGTCAATAATCAGATTTACGTGGGATCGGTTAAAAATGGGGTGTGTTGATTCTTTGATTTCATAAACACTCGTCTTCGTGCATCTTTCACCCCTTGTATTGCCTGCACTCCGTGTCATTGGTCTTCCTTCTTTTCCCCTGCTTACTTTCTTCCAACAGGTTTACTAACTCATCATATTGTACAGAATTGGTGCTCGTTACATGTCGACTCCAGCTCATCAGGACCCCAAGGAAAAGGCCTCTTCGATCTTGAGCGCCCTACCAGGCAACAGTGCATTGTCCAAAACTGGTATTTTGGCCACTTCCACCGCTGCTGCCATCTACGCTATCTCTAACGAGCTATACGTGATCAACGACGAAACCATCCTATTGGGTACTTTCACCGGTTTCGCCGCCATTGCCATCAAGTTCTTGGCCCCAGCTTACAAGGACTATGCTGACGCCAGAATGAAACAGGTTTCCGACGTTTTGAATGCCTCTAGAACCAAGCACGTTGACGCTGTCAAACAAAGAATCGAATCTGTTTCCGAATTGCAAAACGTTTCCGAAACCACCAAAGTTCTATTCGACGTTTCCAAAGAAACTGTCGAATTGGAGGCCAAGTCTTTTGAATTGAAACAGCAAGTCGATTTGGCTGCCGAAGCCAAGTCTGTCTTGGACTCGTGGGTCAGATACGAGGCTTCGGTCCGTCAGCAACAGCAACAGCAGCTTGCCGAGTCCGTTATCAGCAAGGTCACTTCCGAGCTTGCAAACCCAAAGTTTCAGGACAAGGTTTTGCAACAATCCGTTGCTGATGTCGAAAAGTTGTTTGCCAGCTTGAAGTAAATCTTGCGGCGCACGGAAATGAAACCCTTTTTAAATGAACTTTAGCACCAGCAGGACGAAAGCCTACGCTTGAGTCTCGACGAATTAGATATTCCATTATAATCTACCAAAACACATTGATAATTAGATAGCTGTCTGGCATTGATTTATCAATGGCGCATATAAACAAACATTCTCAGATATCGGGACTTTGAATCCTTAAATCATAACATCAACGATACCTTTGTAAAACATTGAGAGTCTGGGATCACCGTTTGCCCTAAGATCGGTGTCCAAATTTGAATTTTGAAGTAAATGTTAGGATGTATTTGACTTAAGTCTATTAGTTTCAATTGTTGAAAGTCATCTCGAAAAAACTCATTCAACTCAACAATGTCCGATAGGCCTGGTTCAAACCCTGCAATCACTGCTAACTCGCAAGAAGAGTTCAATTTCCAACATGTGCCAGCGCAAGCGTTAGATGCCGTGAGAATGCGTTTAGCTCAACTTACACATTCCTTGGCCAAATTAAAGGATGAGATGTCCAAAGCAGAACTTCCTCAATGGTATTCCTTACAGATGCAGGTCAGCCTCATTCTGACGCAATTGCAGTCCTTAACCACAACTTTGCATCATTTTGAGGAGTTATTAGATTCCACAATAGTCTATCCTTTGGGAACTTTTCCTACAACAGCTCATGAGGGTCTGTTAACAACTCTGCTAAGAAAAAAAAATATCCCAGAGGCGGAATCATGGATTCATGATGCCAAGGAGACGGCCGGTGTGGACTTGAATACGATGTCGCCGGAAGATGTCAAAAAATGTCTGAAAAATGATGAAGATGTGACGAAATGGGCCATTGGCTTTTTAAAGCAGGAGCACAGCAATTATGCCTTCCGTGGATTGCACACTAGTCAGGAAATCTCCGAGAATCCTTCACTGGGAGCTTATGACGAATACCAGCCTTCCGTTGGGCATAACATTCCTAAACAACCTTTCGACGTGGACAGTATACTGAAAATAATACATCAAGGCGCTTCGTAAACGCGTTTTGAAGACAAGTTCTATATGCTTTAAATATATACAGGAATAAATGCATTGGTTTTTCAGGGTAGTTTGCAGTCCTAAAGTTGAACCATAACTTAGCTGCCAATCAGACGTTTGACAGCAGCTTTATAACCAATTCCCAGGTACCAAACATGATGATACTATTGGGAACCGTTCGAAGAAGATGAGGTGTAAGCCCGCCATACATTGAGGCTAAACCCTCTTCTTTTATGATCACCCGGAACGTTTGAATAAGGCCAGTGTATTTGGGTTTTCCGTCTTGCAGTGGTGCCTGTCTCAATCTCGTTCGCACCACTTCGTGCGGGTAGGTGACAATGCTTGCCAGAAACTTGGCAAGGCCAGCACTGCCTGACCTCTGACACCATTCTTTGAATTGCTCAGTACCACTTTTCTCACCCTCGCTTATGTTTCCGAATTTTTCGATGGAACGCATCTTAATAACATGCTTCATCTGTTCGTACAACAACCATTGTAAAATACCTTCCACAGATCCCAAGTAAGACGCACTTAGCCCTTTATAGAGACCAAGGAAGCCCTCGTGGCGCAAAATATGTTTGAGGCAATCCCAGGAGCTCTGATATTGCTTGGTTTTGCCTGCCTTGTCTAGCTGAAGTCGGGTTTTGATAAGCCATATGGGGTTTGTAGCCGTGGAAGTAGCCCATCCAGCAGTTGCAGCAGAAATGAGGTGAATCCAGGGTGCCTCTTGGCCATCATTGAAGGCCTTGGAATATATCTGTTTTGTAGTTCCATAGGTGAAGAAATTGATGCTTCTTGCGGGGATGACTCCCACAAGGTTGGGTCCCAGTCCCTTGAAGAGACTTCGAAAGCCTTCTAGCTTGTAGACATCTGAAAGGATTCCGAACGTTTCTTTAAAGTGTCTAGCCCCGGTTTTAATATAGTTCGAGGCTCCGTTCGCATCACCAGTAGCGGAAGACTTATAGGCACTTTGGAAAACGTCACTTTGCAGTCTAGTTTTGACCACGTCGAAGGGACATGTTACAATGGCACCAGCCATCCCTCCCGCGCCGCCAGCAACGAAGTGAACCCAGGGCTTGACCTCCGGCTGTGAGTCTATTGTGGATAAAGAAGATGCATCTTTCATAGTAGAAGAATCCTCATCACTCCCCAAATAAGGGGCTGACTCTAAGGCGTCTTTTCGGATATGATCTAATCGCTTGTTTCCCATGATTGAAGCCTAGACGTTAGTGACCAAGTTAAATTTCGAGCATGTAAGTCCGGTCTTTAGCCGGTCTAAAATCAAAGTTTTTTTGAAGATACTTGGCTGTGTGATTAGCCCTAGCTCTGGCTCATCCAAATGCAAACTTGGGCCAAGTCTTAAACTCCGGATTGCCGAGTTATCCTTTCGTTTTTCTTGTCATTCTTGATTTTAGCTCATCGTTTGTAGAAGTGAAATATGCCCAAATTTTTCGGACCAGTCATAGAAAGAGACAATATCGTCAAGGACGAGCATAGTTTCACATAAAGGCTTCAAACCTAAGCTTCCATCGGATATCGAGGCTGTATCAACGCATTTCGTTGATCTTCTTTTCGCCCCACTGCTTGTAGCATACCTTGTTTGTTCTAAGCGTATTAAACCTGATTTGTCCTCCGCCGATATTTCAAATTGTTTCGGGCACGTTGGCCTCAACGGGCCAGTTAGCCGCGGAGCGACGTTCGAGCTCATTTCCTGTAACAGTCAGTGCCAAAAAATGGCCTCCCATTATTGACGTGCATCTTTTTTTTTTGGCAGACGCCCACCGGCTTTTTACCTTGTGAAGCTCGATAAAAGCTGAAGCAAATTGCAAAAGAAAGCCTTTTCTGCAGCAAGCACTCTAAATGTGACGCTTGAAGGTCAATCGGAGGTTTGTGGAACGCGTCTTTGAGATATTCCAGCATACGAGTCTCTATGGGATTGCACATTAGCTCAGAGGATCAAATCAGATCATTAATGAAGCCTTCATGGCGAGAAATGTACCATTGAAACGGTAAATTTCTTCACATCTAGAAAAACAGTTTCCAGACGGCTAACAAAACCATTTCAGCACCTTTTTCCTGGCCTTTTTAACATATAATGCCATCAAATAGTGTTGTTGATAAGTTTGATTAGTTTGATTAGATGCAATAGGTAGACAAGTAATATATAATTTAGCACTTTTTCAGCCGATCAGGCGAATAGCCAAGTTCATCATGAGAGAAGGGCCAGCTCACAATGTTCAAACCTTCGTAGTGTTGTAAATAGCCAGGGTCAATTCATATAAAGCCCTCCTTTTGTTACGGGTACGTGTACAATTGATTTTACATTAGACACAGTATATAACGCTAGAAACCAAAAAGGCTAGTGTTCCAACGTGAAAGAAGTCGCATGCCAAAGAAGAAACAGAATGGATTAAATGAAAGTCTCGTATGGGACTGGGGCCAAAGTCTTTGGGATGTTACCTTCGGTAGAAACAACACGGGCAGCTCTTGGCTGAGCTGGTTGTCTCTTCAACTGGACGGCGACACCTTGAGCCTTGGCTTCGTGACGCTTGGCGGCGTTGGACTTAACTCTGTCCAAAAACTCCTGTCTGCACTTGGAGTGCTTGATGTGTTCGACTCTCAAGTTGACTCTCTTTTCCATGTATCTGTTACCAACAACCTTGTTGATGATGACACCGACGGCAGACTTGGTGACGTTGTAAACAACACCGGTCTTACCCTGGTAGACCTTGTGAGGCATACCCTTTTGGATAGCACCGTTGGCCTTGATGTCAACAATGTCGCCAACTTTGTAGATCTTCAAGTAAGTAGACAACGATGGAGCACCGTGCTTTCTGAAGTCACGTTGGAACATGTAACGAGTACGACATCTGTAACCGTGACTGTGAGGTTGTTAGTAAACCAGTTCTCAAATTGAGCGCAGGAAAAAAGGCTGGCGATGTGAAAAGTCGCTGAGTGTAGCTGTCAGACAGCCTGTGTGACCGACCCGTGTGTTCTTGGACTTTGCTAGATCCGTTTGACAGTGAATAACCAATCAACTTCAAAAGCCGTGAAATACTAAACTCTGGTTTTTATCATCAATGTTCTTTGGCTGGAATTGCAATGCAAAGCCATGTCCCATCATATGTTGTTGAAAGTCTTCATCCATGACTTGGTTACACATTTTTGAATGGCTATCTCATCGCACACTTACACCCATTACGCAACCCAGTAATACTTCGAACTGCTCATTCATCCTCTCCGCATTCTAACGCTGTTCCACATACGATTTACCCATTTTTGCTTATAGACCTTGCTGTTGACACTGATCTAATGATTAACTGTCGTTACGCAGGCTCAAACTTTTGTTAAACTTTTCAATTCCGACAATGCTGGCCAGCAACCACCTCCGGAGGTTCACACTCAGCACACTACCAGGCCTTCCCAGCCTGAGCCCTAACAAGAATTCTGGAACGGCGCTAGGCAGAGGGTCCCTCTAGGATCCAGAGCCTCCTGGGCAAGGTCCCCCTACGCTAGGCAGAGAGCACAGGAGCCGAGCTGCCTGGAGGAACCATCGCTCCCCCCTACGGTGGCGCTGGGCAGCAGGCTAACGAGGTCAAAACATGAAGAGGTTTGCGTGGGTTTGGAATATACCCACTCGCAAGTTACAGGATTTCATCATTTAAAAGTTTCATTAATTTTTCAAATTCAATAATGAATTTTCAATCAAGAAAATGTATGGGTGTTTGTCATTGGACTGCTCGAAAACCGATATCGATTGGGTACTGTTAGAAAGTCAATGAAATGGGCTTGCAGTCGAAAGCCACGCTAGTAGCCCAAACTAAGCAATCTCTCTACATACACGCCGAGTAAACAGGCCGCGTTCTTTACACCTTAAAGATTTATTTTTACTGATCATTTATTACCGTAATGAACCTAATTCATATCTATTATACACATTCGTGAGCACCACGCTTGTTTCGTGGCTGGCTAGTAGTACATCGCCCTTCGTTGCACTTTAGTTGAAACCAAAAATATAGCTTACAATTACAGTTTAGCACGCGTGCCTCTGGATCTACATAGCTTAGACAATGTGGAGAGCACGCGATGCAAGTAAGTGTGAGATTGGCGAAAGTAAACTTATAAGCGATCTGTTTACTCTTCGTCACCCTCCTCGGCAGCAGCGTTACCAGCAGCTTCGGCCTTTCTGGCAGCGTTCTTTCTGGCAACTCTACCTGGTCTTCCACCACCGAATGGAGAGGTTCTGGCGAAGTCGACGTGCTTCTCAGATTCCAATCTAACCATGAAGGATGGGACGTTGACCAACTGCTTACCGACAGCAATGTGTCTCTGAGTGATCAAGACTCTGGCGTGGTGGACAGACTTGGCCAAACCAAGCTTGTAGACTTGGGTTTGTAGTCTTCTCTCCAAGAAATCTTCGATCTTCAAGGCCAAGACGTAATCGAGCTTCTTCTTGTCCTCGGACAAGACACCAACTCTCACAAGTCTTCTGATCATGGCGTTACCCTCGAACAATCTTCTTGGGTCCTTTTCATCTCTGGTCAACAAGTCTCTGGCGGCACGACGGATCTTGGACAACTGGAAGGAAATTCTGTAAATTTCCTTCTTGTTCTTCAAACCGTATTCACCGGCCAACTTCAACTCGGCGTCCAAACGAGCGGACTCGTAAGGTCTCTTTGGAGTAGAGTAGGTCTTGGAGTGAGTCTTAGGAATTCCTGAAAGAAAATGTTAGTGATGGGAGTCCAAAAAAGAGGGTACTACGAGGTTGTTTATCTACGGGTCTACTCATGAATACAATAACGTTCGTTCACAATATGCTTGGCAAGAACCTGACTTGGCAGTACGGGCAGCCCAGAAGCATCAGAGCACAAAAAATATTTTGGCTCAAATATGACCACGAGTTTCCAAACCAACATGAAGTCGTCACTTTCAAATGAGCAAACTTCGCCAGCGTTCCAAATTTAACTGAAGTGTCGGGTGTTCAGTGTAAACGTTAAGGAGCTGGTTGGTTTGGAGTGGTCGAATGTAAATTGTCGAACAAATAAAAAGTATTCATGAGGACCCGAACCTCGAAGAGACAAAAACTGTAACTCCTTTTTGGGAATCACGAATTTGATCTCCGACATCTTAGCTTCTTCAACGGGCAAAGAAGCTAGGATATCTAGTTAAAATCATTATGACACGTACTGGAAGGCATGATGAGACTGACTTGCTGATGATTCTAGAAGAATCCTAATATGGAGAGGATGAAGTTAGTTGAAACTTTCTTGTGCATTAAATAGAACCCATCAGGAAGGTTTCGCGATGTGAAAGGAATTGATTGGTATTTTGCGTGGGTCGACGAGCAGCATGTCAGATTTTTTAAATTTTATAGATTTTTCTAAAATATATACATGACCAAAGATGTGTGGGTGTTTGTTCTTGGATTGTGACTGCGTTTGATTAGACTTTGAAGGTCAAATGAAGTCTACGAGATAGACATGAAGCAGTTCGTTACCACGACAAGTCAGCGCGTAAGATTAGATGTTTGCGAACAGTAAAGCTAAATACCAAAGCCTTTGAAATTTCTTGCAGCATGGTACGAGCTAGGAACTATGCAAAAAATCGTAGCCAGTTATGTAGTCGTTTTACACTTACACACTAGCGTAACGCTGAGTAACATTGATAATCTTGAACTGTGACCTAAGAAATATACAAGTTTGCCGGAAAGATCGCAGTTTTGAGCTGTGAATTGCCGCCATTTAATAAATGAAAAGAGAATGTTGATTTTTGAGGATTTTGCATAAATGAGTGACTCACCACCTTATTGAAGATCTGAGTGGAACTCCTTGATGATGCTGTCGACGTCATCGATACCCAATTGTCTGACATCGCCGATTTTTTTAATTTTCAAAGTCACCTCTTTGATCTGGTCGTCCGTTAGCTGCAAGTTCAGCTGTTCGACTCTAGACTTGATAGCGTTCCATCCAGTCAATCTGTTGGCAAAATGGATGTAACGTTTCATACCAAAATCGTGGGGGTCCAAAATCTCGTATGTGGATGGATTGGCCAAGATGGCTTTGGCGTGAATACCGGCCTTGTGGGTGAAGGCGCAAAAACCGGTAATTGGGTTGTTGAAAGGAACGTTGACCTCCACGGCTTCTGCGACCAGGTTTTCCAAGTCTCTGAGTTTGTGTAGCTTGTACTTGGACTTGACGTAGTCTGGAGCGGCCACGATCATACGGGCCATGAACCCACCCAGAGGTGTAATACCATTTCTTTCACCGATCCCGAGCACAGAGGTATCTATGAGACGAGCACCACCTTCCAGGGCGGAGTACGCGTTGCCAATGGCACACCCGGTGTCGTCGTGGAAATGACACTCTATGTCGCACGACACCACACTTCTTAGCGTTCTTACCAGGTCGTAAACTTGTCTGGGGTTGGCACAGCCCACGGTGTCTGCAATACCTACACGATTGACGCCAATGGCGCTGACGGTCTTGTATATGTTCAGAAGGTCCACGATGTCGGATCTGAACGAGTCTTCGGACGAAAAACGGATTTCAAGGCCCTTGGATTTGACAAACTCGATCACTTCAACTGCACTTTTGGAGATGTAGTTCATGTCTTTGCCGTGCGAGAACTGTCTGAGGAACTGGGACGTGCCGATGACCACGTCCACGCCATCCACACCGGTTTCCACTGCCACTTTGGCGTCGTCCATGTGGCACCGGATGTGGGTCAGAATCTTGGCCTTGAGCCCCAATTTGCATATCGTCTCGCAGTCAGTGCGGCTTTGTTCGGACGCCACGGGCGACGTCAATTCGATGTAGTCGACTCCGAAATCGTCCAGAGCCTTGGCGATTTCGATTTTTTTCTCGGTGCTGAAAAATGCATTGGCGAATTGTTCACCTTCTCTAAGCGTGGACTCGATCAATTGGAAATTGCCAACGTTGGACACCAGGTCCAATGGGCTAGGAGCGTAGGGATTTGAAGCCACTGACATTATTAGGTGTGAAAACTTCGACTTGACGACCGTGAATAGAATAGAAACACCAGTGTTTCAATTCCTCTGGATGAGTGAGTGAGTCTGATTACAGGTAGTGCTAGCAAAATTGTTATATGCCCAGCAGCAGTAGGAGGAGTAAAGTTCCACAGCCAAGATATATATGTTAAAGATAAAAAAGGCACGTGCCAGTAACATGACTCACTGTCACGTGAATCTTTTCCTCTTTTCCTTTCTTTCTTTCTCCCTTTAAACGCATACCTAACGCTTCCCCGTAAATGCATAGGGGAAAACACCAGGTACTCATGAGTACCGTTGCGTAGCCAGTGATATGTAGTGGGTCACGTGGCCTTGTTCATTTCATACGACATATACACATACATATCATGTCAAGATCAACGAAACTCTACTTCACCTATCTTTCTGTCTACCTACCCACTTACCTACCTTACCCACCTTCCTACCTACAGTTTACGTTTTCCATTATCATCACCTTCCACGAGTCGAGAGTCACGCGGAAATGCGACGCGTCGCGTACCATCTTTTTTTCTGTGTGAGGAGGTTGTTGTCGTCTTTGTCCTCCTTCTCCTCCTTCTCCTCCTCCTCAAAAACCCAAAAAAAAATTAGCCAGTCACTACTAAATCTCATAAAAAAAAATTTAGCGATATAATAGTAGTAATCGTGGATCATTCTATATATAAAGGACAAAGAAACATGCGAACAGATAGAAATAGGGATTATGAGAATGAATAATCGTTGTTAACGGGAAAGAACCAATAAAAAAGAAAGAAAAAAAAAGGGGTTTTTTATTTTGTCCTAAAATTAGTTTCTTTTTTTAAAACGTTTCTTTTTGATTATTTTTTTACCTTTCGAATCAGCAGTTAGATGCTCTTGTACGGAACTCGTGAAGAGTGAGAACGAATCTGGAAAAAAAGAATCAACCACCCAGACACCCGGGGGATCCGTTACGTAATCAGGGACTTTTAACTACCCCAACCGATTAGCAAAAAAAACCAAAACAAAAACAAAGATTAAGAGGGGTTAGCCGCTGAGCATATAAATAGGGCAAAGGATCAGAGAAAATCGATCTTTAAGCTCGTAGCATCTTCACCACCACTTTTTTTTTCGGTTGTTTTTGTTTTTGTTGTTGTTGTTACGCCACTTTTTGAAACGATGACAGCGCAGATCTCTCGTCTGGACCGCCAGGTCGTTCTTCTCGAAACAGGGTCGACCCAGGTGGTGCGGAACATGGCAGCAGACCAGCTGGGAGACCTTGCAAAACAGCATCCGGAAGATACGCTATCGCTGCTGTCAAGGGTGTATCCATTTCTGATGGCCCGCAAATGGGAAACACGGACCACCACGGCTCGCGCCGTGGGTGGCATCGTGTCCCATTCGCCAGCATGGGACCCCAACGAAGACGACAGCGACCACGACAGCGATCAAGACCACGACAACGACAATAAAGGTGACAACGAAGCAGTCGGGGAGTCAGCCAAAGTCAAGCTGGAACACGAAATCCGGCTCAAGCTCGAAGAAGTGGACAACACCCAAGAGTGGAAATCACTCGAAGACGATAGCAAGCTGCTGTCTCTTGCCGACTGGAATTTGCACGAAGTTCTCAAATGTGGGAAACCGCTGCTGGCGTCCAGTATAGACGAGTTCCCAGGCGCTGGGGCCCCTACAGCAGCAGATTTGGTGGGCTCCAAAATGCCAAAACTCGAACACGCTTCCGCTTCCGACGATTATCTGCCGACAATGTCGCAGGATCAGATAGCAGATCTTGCGAAAAAAGAGCCCGACGGTGGATCGTTGGAATCCTCCAAGAAAAGCGCGCGGATGATGGCCATGGCCAAACGTAAGCGCAAGATTCAGGCCAAAACCACCACCAAGAAACCCGTGGATATATCGCAAAGCTCGATTTCAAGAACACTCATGGCCCAGGATGACTCTAGTCAGAGCCCTACTCCGTCGCCCACGATGCTGAACAACCCTAAGTTAGAAATCACAGAACAAACAGATTCAAAACGAATAATGGTCGAGTCCATGGTCATCCCAATCATGGAAAAGCATGACAATGTGGCAGGGCTTGTTTGGCAGTTCCAGGGCATTTACGAGTTACTTTTGGAAAATCTAATCAGCGATGCTTGGGAAACGCGTCACGCAGCAGCTTTGGGACTTCGAGAAATAATCAAGAAGCACGCGAAAAGCGTTGCGCGTATAAAGGGAAAATCAAAGCGCGAAAATGATCGCCGCAATCGTAGAGCTTTAGAAGACTTGGCAACCAGGCTTCTAACCGTTTTTGCTCTCGATAGATTCGGAGATTTCGTCTACGATACCGTGGTTGCACCAGTGCGAGAATCCGTGGCACAGACCATGGCTGCATTATTATTGCATCTCGACGATGATTTGTGTATTCAAATTTTCGGTGCTTTAGAACAACTCGTCCTCCAAGATCCAAAAATCATCAGCTTACCGCACAAGATATGGGAAGCCACGCACGGAGGGCTTCTTGGCATACGCTACTTTGTAGGAATCAAGACCGAATTTCTTTTCCAAAACGATTTGCTCGATAATGTGGTAAACATTGTACTCTACGGATTGAAAGAGCACAACGATGATGTTCAAAGTGTGGCCGCAGCTATACTGGCCCCTATCGCCGTTGAGTTTGTCAAATTGGAAACAAATACCATAGACCTTGTGCTAAGCACTATCTGGAATCTCTTAACGCACTTGGAGGACGATTTGTCGTCAAGCGTTGGATCTGTGATGGACCTTCTAGCCAAGTTATGTGAACAGCGGGAGGTTCTAGACGTTCTCAGGTCAAAGGCTTTGGAGTTTCCACAAGAGTGGTCTTTCAAAAGTCTGGTGCCCAAGCTATATCCGTTCTTACGCCATTCTATCACCAATGTGAGAAAAGCAGTTTTGAATCTATTGAAGGCATTCTTATCCATAGAAGATGATTTTGTCAAACATTGGATTAACGGTAAGATCTTCCGTCTTATTTTCCAAAATATACTTCTCGAGCAAAACCCGCAAGTCTTGGAACTTTCATTCGATGTGTATACCACAATGTTGAAGGAGTACACAACGAAAAATCCGGATAAAACTTTAGACCACTTGTTCGGTCGCCATTTGGCGCCCATCTTACATTTGCTCATCACCCCAATCGGTGAGCATGGTAAGAGTTATAACATGGAGCTTCAGTATATTCTAAAGCCATCTCCACATTACCAGTTGATCTCAGAACGCAAGAGGAACACGCATTCGGACGTAAAGTCAGACATCCCACCCCCTGTGAATAGCGAGCGCGTAAACATCGACGCGCCAATGATTGCTGGTGATGTCACGCTTTTGGGAACAGAAGTGATATTCAATACCAGGGTGACGGGAGCCAAGGCACTCGGAATCACACTTTCAATGTTCCAAGAATCCACTTTGAAATCCTTTTTCTCAAATGTTCTATTGGACTGTCTGAAACTTCCATATGCCACACCACGTATGCTTGTGGCAATAATAATAGCCGAATTGTGCTCTAAATTAAACGAACAGCCAGAACACCCTGATCGAGACGACCTCATGAAGTTTATATCAGAAAATTTTGGGCCCATTTTCATCGGCAATTTAACAGATGCATCGACCTTGCCAGTTTTTAGAGAACTTGTTCCCAGTCTAAAGGCTTTGAGAACGCAGTGCCAGAGCTTGCTCACTACTTTTGCCGACGTGGGTATGCTATCGCCTCAAAGGCTTCCACAACTCGCCATAATAGTCCAAGGCGAGTCGGAAGCTGGATCAGAAGCTTTCGGTATCGAAACGGCAGAAAAGACATATGGTGAAACCAGTGACAAGCTCTTCCGTCATTTGAGTAACTCTCATAAGATCTTGGCAAAAAAGCCAATTGAAGACGCTAAATATCGTGTCCTGCAAGCAATAGAAACGGCAAAGGAGGCAAAGCGATCAAGAATTTGCAATGTTTTGGCCAATTATGCTTCAGCTACTTTGCTATTCAGTGGTTTACCTACCAAATTGAATCCATTTATCAGGTCACTAATGGACAGTATCAAAGAGGAGAATTACGAAATTCTACAAAGGAGGTCGGGTGATGCTATTTTGAACTTGGTCGTTGAGCTGGTCAAGCAAAATAAAGGCAATGTAGCCAATAAAATCGTCAAGAACCTTTGCGGCTTTTTGTGTGTTGATACTTCAGAAGTACCGGAGTTCGCCTTGAACTCTAATTACGGAGATCATATCCTTACGTTGGTGCGCGAACAGAGTGCATTGGCCTTTCAAGACGATGCTAATGCTAAGCGAATGGCCCACGAGGCACATATCAAACGACAAGGTGCTCTTTACACACTCAGTGAGTTTTTACTACGGCTCGGTTCTAGAGTTTTGGAACTTGTTCCACAAGTAAAACATATCATTTTTGATCCACTCGAACGCTTGACGGATGAAAATGAACTAAAATCGCCTGATTTCAAGAGTGGTCAGGAAATTGTTGATGCAATGGGTGTCCTAAGAGCACTCGTCGTGTACATGAGCAAAGACGTGCAAAACAACGAGGTTCTTCCTCGCTTACCTTACCTTGTCAAATTCCTGAGGTCTGATCTCCCAGTATTCAGGTACTCGGCGGCAAGAGCCTTAGCCGATCTGGCAAACACGCTTCCCATCCAGGTACTTCCATTCATTATACAGAAAGCGTTGCCCTTGATGAATAACCCTTCTTCGGTGACAGATAGACAAGGCGCCACTGAGCTGGTTTATCACCTGGCAATGTGTATGGGCAGCAATATTCTACCATACGTCATTTTCCTCATTGTTCCTCTGCTTGGTCGCATGAGTGACTCGGATCAGGATATAAGAACTTTGGCGACATCCACATTTGCATCCATCATCAAACTTGTTCCTCTTGAAGCTGGTATTCCAGATCCTGAAGGGTTGCCACAGGAGCTAATGGAAGGTCGTGAAAAGGAAAGAGACTTTATACAGCAAATGATGGATCCTTCAAAAGCTAAACCATTCCATTGTCCAGTCGCCATCAAAGCAACCCTTAGAAAGTATCAACAAGATGGTGTCAATTGGCTGGCATTCTTAAACCAATACCATCTTCATGGTATTCTTTGCGATGATATGGGTTTGGGTAAAACACTGCAGACAATCTGCATCATTGCAAGTGACCAGTATCTAAGGAACCAGGAATATGAGAAGACCAAGGCCACAGAGAGTAGACCACTCCCTTCACTGATTGTCTGTCCACCTTCGCTTACTGGTCACTGGGAGCAGGAGTTCGAGCAATACTCACCCTTTCTGAAAGTGGTTGTATTTGCCGGTGGACCTTCCACGAGATATCCTTTGAGAGACAAGCTTGGAGAAGCAGACATCGTTGTAACATCATATGATGTTGCCAGAAATGACATTGATATTGTCACACAGTATGACTACAATTACTGTGTTCTTGATGAAGGCCACATAATAAAAAATGCACAATCGAAACTTGCGAAGGCGGTGAAAATGGTTAGAGCAAACCATAGACTAATATTGACTGGTACTCCGATCCAGAACAACGTCGTGGAACTTTGGTCTTTGTTTGATTTCCTGATGCCTGGATTCCTTGGGACAGAAAAAATGTTCCACGAAAGATTCGCAAAGCCCGTTGCTGCTTCTAGAAACAGTAAAACATCTTCAAAAGAGCAGGAAGCGGGGGCTTTGGCCCTGGAGGCTCTACACAAGCAAGTTCTTCCATTCATGCTACGGAGATTGAAGGAAGAGGTTTTATCTGATTTGCCTCCAAAAATTATCCAGGACTACTATTGTGAGTTGAGCGATCTACAAAAGCAGTTGTACAAAGATTTTGCAAAGAAGCAGAAGACAAGTGTCGAGCAGGACATCGAGAACGTTGCAGAAGTGGATAACAAACAGCACATTTTCCAAGCTCTTCAATATATGAGGAAATTGTGCAATCATCCTTCCCTTGTGGTCTCCAAAAATCATCCGCAATGGCTTCAAGTTCAGAGTTATCTGAAGCAGACAGGACTCAGCCTAAACGACGTTGCACATGCTCCCAAACTGGGCGCGCTTCGCAATTTGCTGCTTGAATGTGGCATAGGTAATCAAGACGCCGATAAAGGCTCCAAGCTTTCTTTGCCTTCCACTGATAGCGTTATCAGTCAGCATCGTGCTCTGATTTTTTGTCAGCTGAAGGATATGCTTGATATGGTGGAAAACGATCTATTCAAAAAGCATATGCCGTCTGTCACGTACATGAGGTTGGACGGTGGCATTGAATCTCGCGATCGGCAAGCAGTGGTGCGCAAGTTCAATGAAGATCCTTCAATCGATTGTTTACTACTCACAACGAAGGTTGGTGGTCTGGGACTCAATCTCACAGGCGCCGACACAGTCATTTTCATCGAGCACGACTGGAACCCAATGAATGATTTGCAAGCGATGGATAGAGCCCATCGTCTGGGCCAGAAAAAAGTCGTGAACGTGTATAGAATCATCACCAGGGGCACGCTGGAGGAGAAAATTATGGGTCTGCAAAAGTTCAAGATGAATATAGCATCCACTGTGATCAATCAGCAAAATTCGGGACTCGCCTCGATGGACACGCATCAACTACTAGACCTTTTCGATACAGATAATGTTCCCTCTCAAGAAAAGGAAAACAAAGAGAACAAGATTGATGAAATCGTTAACGAATCTGGGCTGTCTGGCAAGGCCAAGGAAGCTGTTGGTGAACTCACAGAATTATGGGATACTAAACAGTATGATGAAGAATACAACTTGGACAACTTCATCAAGACCTTGCGTTGACAAGCTTCACTGCATTGCATATAGATACATAGGGATTGATTGTAATATTACTCGATTTTTCGTAACATTAATGATAATTACCAGGACTCCGGTCTTCACCACCCATTGATAGTGCTTAAAAGAGATGAACATAAATTCGCTTCACGAAAAGCTAAGGCTGGACATCCTTGGTTGACCTTCTAGTTTACTCTTTTACTGCAGAACAGGTTCTCAGGGCCGATACAACCTTAAGTTCTTTGTATCAAGAGCTTTGCCTTTCATGGCATCCATCAATGAACTACTCGAAGAGAGAAAGAAGAGGCTAAATGCTTTAGCTCGCAAAACTCAAGAACAAGATTTCGGACTGAATGAAACGGGAGTTGGTGAGTTAAGTCCTGGAAGCGAGGAGCATAAAACTAAGAAAGCAAAACCCGACACCCAACTTTCTAGCTCGTCTTCCTCACTTGAGAATAAGCAGCCTGTAGCAGACGACAATGACGATACTGACGACAATGACGATACTGACGATACTGCCGATACTGCTGCACCTGAACAGTCTCCTATAAGAAAACCCACCAGCGATCTTGAAGAAAAGCTACGCCCGGATCTTGACGAATTAGAAAAACGAACCGATCAAGCCATACAGCGACTAGTACGACAGAGATATTTTGGTATAAGTCAAAACAATAACGGTCAGGACGAAAAGGCCTAATGCTCTGGGAACGGATACACACACCGTGTTGGTGCTTTATAAATAAATGACAAAACTATCTAGTAAGGGTTAACGAAAGCCTCCCAGATGTACAGAAGGGCGAATATGAAAAATGAAAAAGCACCGCCCAGCGTAACGGTCCGCATGCTTATTTTCGAAGCAAGCATTTTGCCTCCCACAACGGCTATTCCGGTACAAATTGCATGTCCCACGATGGCACCGAAAATAACGAACCAGTAGTCACTCCCGGAAGCCATGGCAATCGTACTGATTTGGGAGCGATCGCCAAACTCACCTAAAAATACCATACCGAAAATCTGAATCCAAATTGGGCTGAGAACACTACTAATGGTACCAACCACTTGATTGTAGACACTGTTGACCGCTGGATACTTCTGTAACACGGTTTTGGAACTCGTCGAAGAAGACTGTACACCACCGCTCTCAACATGACTCATGTTTTTATTGAAGTCCTTAACTGCAATTTCTTCTTCTACCTCAGCGAGCTCTTCTTCGACTCCCATGTCTTTGGGCATGGCAAGACCCTCAAGAGTGAGCTTATAGCCAAATACCAGAAACAACAGTCCGGCCATAAACTGCGTATAGCGCTGAGGGACTAGTGACGTGAAGGTCCGGCCAACAATGCCCGAAAGAATTGTCATGATAAACAATGCGCTAGCAGAAGCGCTAAAAACAAGCATTCTTTGGTAGCGCATCGCCATCAAGGCAGCGATCAAAAAGGTTTTGTCGCCTATCTCAGAGACACCAATCATGGAAATTGACATCAAAAATGATCTCAACGGGCCGTCGGTTTCGACAGCAGCATCTTCTGGCTCACCGGCAGCCAAAACAAATGGAGTGGAAAGGCATAACAGCAGAGCAGCCACCTGATATTTCGGAAGTCCCATTATTATTCTCAAGGTAGCGTTTTATCGTGAAAGCCTGCTCCAAATCCAGAGTTATTGGTCAAAGATGTTGGAACTGTGTCCGCCGACTAGTCGAGTTTGCTTTGGCTTCGAAAATATAGAAGATAGGCTTACCAACGGCCTTAAAGCTAGCTTTATTTGATGAATTTCAATCTCTTCACATTTTTTTCTTTTCGAGCCCACCTGTAAATACGATCAATCATTTAAATGACTTTTAAGAACGCACACGAGGTACCACGGCATTCCTGTTATTATACCAGATGAAAGGATTCTGATTGAAATTTAAACCTCATATCGGTTCTTGATTGGGCAACGTAGAGATTCGTCGCACAGTAAGCGCCAAGGCTAACAAAAAATCTCTGATTGGCACGGGTAAAGAAGACAGATGCTCTGATAAACATATTAATGGTAGTTTTCGAAGTGTTCTGCCGCTGACTCCAGATGTCTTTGCCGGAAAACAGTCAAAGTGTTAGTAAAAGAATCGGACAAAATGCTTCAACGAATAGTCTTGAGTTCATACCACACATTGCCGCGCGATCTGGTGAATCGATGATCGTATTTCTTCTGCAGAATTCAATGCGGCTGTATCGGACAGGTTACTGATTACGACCCTGTTCTTGACAAGCTCACGTATAGTCGAGTACAGAATTTTGCTTGTACCAATCTCTGATGGTTTCCCCACGTAAAAGACACCATCGGCGCGGTCCAAAAATGCTGGGTCCAATGCAGTCACCAAGTTTGACGTCGCCAGTATGAGCAGATTATTGTACTGTTTGAGGCCATCCAATCGTGTGAGCAAAGTGTTGACCACTCGCACACAATCGGTTGTCTCATTTTTGTTCATCGACGACGATCTGGACGACGCCAAGGTCTCGACTTCGTCGATGAGTAAGCACACAAAGCGATCTTCGTTTGATCTATTCATCAAGATGTTCTCAACGTCCTGAAAAATTCTGTCTAGGTTTTTAGCAGACTCTCCAAACCATCTGGAAAACACTCTGGAACAAGATAGCTCGATGAATATCGCTTGGCTTTCACTGGCTTCGAAAATGTTTTGAGTTACTCCGCTGTGACGAATCGCCAGTTTCTGGCAAAGTGCTTTGCACACTGTCGTTTTACCCGTTCCCGGAGGGCCATGGACCAGCAAAAGCTTATTGTTTGACACTAGAGTGTCGGAGAGTTTTCTTTGAGAAAAGTGGGATAGCTTGAGGGATATTGTAGCGTATCCTAGGAGGTTCTGCTTGAGTTTACTGTCCTCAAAGTGTAAGGATTCCCAAAGTCCCTCAAACTCTGACGAGGGCAAAAGCTGAACTCTGGTTTGCGTCATTGTTTCCGCTGAAATGGACACGTTGGGCAACATTGGGTGAATACATACCAGTGTGCTCTCGTCGTCGCTATTCACTGTGGAAGGCTCTTGGATATCGATCTTATCGAAATCTTCAGCAATCTGGCGGGATTCCAACCCCAGCTCTCCACATTTTACACAGCGATAGCATTTTATGTAGTAATCACGCCTTACCTCTTCACTATCCTGTAGACCGTCTGAACTTGAAGGGTTGAAAATTTGCGCTACCTCCTCTTCGATAGTCATTTGTGATTTGCGGAAAACAGTGTCCGGAATGCTCACCTCCACCTGTAAACTTTCCACACACAGTGATACCAGCAAGTTTTCTTGGCCCTCGGTGAGTATGTGAATGCCGTTGTCCATTTGATGAAGAACAACTTTCATTAGGGAGCGAACGATGCTTTTTTGAGCCTGCGTTGGTGTAGCATTGATCTCAATCGATCCCTGACCTTCCAAAACGAGATCTTCGGATGTCACATAAATCTCACTGCTGCCGGCGTGGTCTAGGGTCATCTTACGGAGCTTGTTCTCAATTGCACGCGTCAACAACGTCGACACCGTAGGGTGACAGCTTCCACCACAATGTCTGACAAGCTCTTGTGAAGCCTCTCTCATTATCTCGAACATCGACGACTTTAATCGAACGTCAACTATGTACATTCTACCGCTAGCTATATAAGAGAAAGATCCGATGCAATCAGCATATAAATCAATACATACATATATGTGTATATATGTATATGTGTACGTATGTACAACAGCACTAAAGAGTATCGCTTTTGTCAACTGCTTTTTGCGTCCTTTTTTGCTGCTCGAAAGTGAAATCCACAAGACTAAGACCTAGCCGCCGAGGTCAAGATTTATATACCAATAAAGTAATCGCTATGTACGTACTATCTAAGCCCATTTTTTCCGTATTGGGTATATGTAGCCGCTTATCGGAAGGGGAGGATTTCTCACCGGGAATTTCACATATAAATAGGCTGTAAAGCTGGCAAAAGTAGCTCTTCAATCATCGCCACTTCCAGCAGAATCGCGCTGAAAACACAGAACCGATCGGGAAAGTACCGCTCAGCATACAAACGGAAAAAAGATGCCTTGCTGTTCGTCCTCCACATCCAATTCCAAAGTGAAAACCCCACAACAAACTTCATCTGATAATCCAGCCAAATTAGGCTCGGTGAGACCCTCAGACAAGAGTCCGCAATGTTGTGCATCTTCGAGCTCTAACGAACGCTGTAAATGTGGAAGTGCCTGCGCTTGCGAAGGCTGCAACTCTACTAAACTTTAGTTTGCAGAAGAGGAAGGGCCCAGACTTTTTTGGTTGAAAACTTCAAAAAAGAATAACATCGAAACGGCTAGCATTGTGTAGATGCTAGTCTTGCGAATCGGAGCTCGTACGATCGTTGTTGATTCTTTAGATCTGCTGATTGTTGTTGTGCCGTGCCGTGCCGCGTGACTTTTCTTCCTGGACTTTAAATGGGTATATATATGATAAATTATGAAGTGATTGTATTAATAGCTGTGATGGTGGAAGCTAGCTCATCGGACTACAGGCTTGAACAACACAATTCTGTAGTTACTTGTCTGTCCGAGTTTCACCAGCAGGGTTTTGAAAATGACTTTCGAAAGGGTGGTGGAAAAGGACGAAGAATCCAGTATCATCCCAAATGTGCAAGATTCGGACGATGAAGACGATGAGCTGTTCAAAGACTGGTCGAATATCGCAAAATTGTCCAAAAGTCAAGCTGTGGTACCCAAAAGAGGTGATAAGGATTACGAACCGGATGGAACAAATGCCCAAGAGCTTCTTCTTTACAGGGCGAAAAAAGCGATGTTCGATTCGATCTCAGACGCAGTGCGCGGCACAGTGGTGAAAAATCAGATCAAAGCGTATTACGTACCTCAGTGTCATCTTGCGTTCATTTCAAATCCAAAAGGTAATTTCATGCACACCATGGGCAAAGTCGACCGAAATGGGACTTGCTGGTTAACTTTTTATGAATTTGTCTATCTTGCTGAGCGAGGGACTATAACGCCGTATTTCAAGCGTAGCGATCGTGAAAGCCATGAACTTGATCCTTTACTTAGTATCCAAGACCTATATTTACTATTCAGAAGAGCTCAAGAGTCTGATGAATTTGCGGTCTTTGCGCACCTCAAAAGGCTTGGGTTTGTCGTCTTCCCATCGAGGCTCACGCCAAAGAGCGAGCAGATAAGCCACACACGCACAGTTTCGTGTAAGGGTTTTCCCCAGAGCATTTTTAATCTCGGCAAAGCGATTTTCACTTTTTTCTCAGTGCCGACTTACCATCCTCTCCAGTATCATCTTACAAGATACACTACGTCCAGTCAAATCTATGAAAGCTTGAAAAAGTTGGTACCACACTATGTTGCACCAAAAACGTTGTCCGATCTGGAGGAAGATAGATTTGAACCGACACGCGACGGAGATGGCCCTGAGTTTACCTTTGATATATGGAAGCCGCGCGGCACTTTCAAGAAAAAGGACCCGGGACCACCAGATTTCCAGGTTTTGGTCTTCAACAAAAATAGTGGTAGTTCTGCATTTCCCACCTATCCAAGAATAAGGCAGCTTTTTCGAAGTGTTCGCTCTACATATGAGGGCAGTTTTACACCAGGTCAAAATGCTACGGCTTCGGGCAGCAAAAAAGTGAGTGAGGTGCCTAAAAGACCACTTCCGCACGTAGAACAACAAAGGCGCTTAAAGAAGGGGTACAGGAGCTTTATTTTGGCAGTAATGGATGACGGGCTAATAAGTTTTGTAAAGCTGACAGAATCTGATTTTGGCTCGGAAGACGTTTGGTTCAAGAGCAATGGCCAGGGCAACAAAAAAAGATTCGGCGCAGGTCAGCCGAAGCAGCGCAACGCGAAAAAGCCGTTAAATAAAGGATTTGTTCAAAACTCTGCTCCGCCCAACAGCTCACCCGCCGAAACGTGAATAGAGGCTCTCGTCAAATACCGATGGGTTATCATAAAACGACGTTGGATCCTGGTCGGTTTTATTAGATGGTGTTCCAAAGTTTTGCAAACCGCTGATACCTGATGGTGGCTGTTTGGGCGGAATAGATGGGGAAATCGGATACTGGTCAGGAACCCCGTATGTTCGTGGGGGCACAAGAGGTGGATTTGCAGTGTGGTTGCTTTCCTTTCTATCGGTATTCGCCCCGATGTTTAGCCGCTGAAAGCTTTGATTTAGCTGATCTGGCAATTCCGGAGCGACCCCTGTTGTCGCCGCTTTTCTATTAGGATCAACAGATGGGAGATTTTGAGCCATTTTGAGTAGAGACTCATAAAACTTGAGCCCCTTCGGCAGATCGTTAGAGAAAACAGAAAAGTTTGTGAAGGCTTGGCTTAGTCTGTTGTAAAAGTCATTTCTCTTTGCCAGATTAGGGTCCTTCTTAGACATATCATCATCTAACCCAGTGAGCTTGAAAATTTCATCCAAGCTGATCTTTATGGTGTTTATAAGATTGCGCTGTTTGAAAATTGTTGCCTCTATCCGGGTACTGAGTGGCTTGAACTTATCGAGTTCTTTACCGAATAGTTCTCGTAATTCGTTATCTGTCATATCGCGGTTCATAAGAACGACCCTTGTTATATCATCGTCATTAACTGCTTTTTTGAGGTCTTGCACTATGCTAGATCGCTCATCCTTGAGAACCTTTAAATCATCATTCTGACCTCCCACGTTCTTAATTTTCTGCCTTATTTCTTCATTCTTGTTGTCGTCGATGTCCAGCAAATCAGGCTGTTCGTGTTGCGAGGAATCCAATGCACTCCACTGATGTTGCAAAGCAGCAGGGTTCTTGAGTAATTGAATCTCTTTTAAGTTCGATTGGACAAAGGAAAAGAGCTTGTCGTCCGATTTGGATGCGGCCAAGAGAGATGATTTTAGCTTTACAGCGTTTTCCTGTTGCTCGTCTGGAATTGAACCCAAAAGTCCCAAGATCTGCTTTCTAAGCGCAACGATAGATTGCATCTGAAGCTCAACATTATTGTATGGAGATCTCAACACCGATTTAGACCAGGAATCTAGTTTCTCTTTCATGATAGCCGATTGAGAATTATCTGTTCTGCTTGAGTTTGTGCTGTTTGTATATCTGCTTTCCAGGTCCTTTACAATTTTTGGCAGTGTTGTAAATTCAACAAACGACGAATATTCCCAATCAGCCGTGTCGGCAACTTCCAGTTCCCTCCTCAAGAGGTCCGCTTTCAGTTCTGAATAAATGCTCTCCTTCTCATAGACTTCGAGTGGTACTATTCCTTTGAACAGTATGTCAGAGGACTCTGCTACTTTATCCATGTAGGACTCTAATTGTTTGGCCAATGGCGGTGGCTTTACGGCATCCATACCTTTTATATTTTCCATGGATGCGTCAGAAGGTATAGTATCGTGGTAAATAAAATCATTGTCTTTGACCAGGCTCTTGTGCTTGGCCTGAACGAGGTTTTTGAATGACTCGAGATCCATAGTATCTTTGACGTATAGTTTGTGGACCAGAGCGGACAAAATAGCATTCTCGGCAAGCTGCATGAAAGCTATGGCCTCCCCAAACTTGTTTTGTTGCTCGAGGGCAATTCCATAATTATACGCTGACACGCTTTTGTAAAAGCTTACTTTACAGGAAAGAATGCTTTTCCACTTGCTGTCCCCATACGGAACTTCAGATGGCGTTGTTTTAGAATCTGTCTCATAAAAGCTAACGGCCTTCTCGTATAATGAAGAAGCCATTGATGCCAGTTTTGCAATAAGCGATGCATGCTTAGCGGTGTCTGGGCCATTGATGATTCTTAATAAAAAAAGCTCTTGCGCTTCTGCATGGCAAACGTTAGCTAGAAACTTGGAAACTTCTGCTTGCAAATCCACAGAAGGAGAATTGAGGAAATTTTCACTTAGATATTCGAAACATGCAAACGCTCGCGACATGTAGCCAATTGCGATTTTTATGTCGTTATCTAGTTGTTCTTTCGCAGCTAAAGTCATGACAACAGCCAAGTTGTAAAGTACGCTTGACTTTTCGAAAGCTACCGTCCTCTGCGTATACTTTTGGGACCCACTTGTCGACGTGTATGCCGCATCGTACCATGTGTAATCGATGTTCAATTGGCCAGAGTTCGCACCTAGCCTCATGTACAGCTGCTCTAAAAACGCGTAGTAAAGAAGGTTTTGTTCTAGAAGTGCCTCAGGAGCCAGACTCCCATTAGCATTATTGCGCAAACGATCCAAATTCTCGGCCTGCTTCACGTCGAAAAACTGACTCCATGTGGAAGATCCATACGATCTTTTGAGATACGAAGCTAAGGCCTTAGACCAATTGATGCTCTCGGTATCTTTGATTTTGTAGGTTAATAGAAGTGCCTTCATTGTGAATAGGTCCAGGTTAGCTGTGGAGTTGTTGAACGCCAGACACGAGCAGTACAGTGAGCTGAGATAGTCGTCAAGTTGGTATTCGATGACATTGTAGATAGAGATGGTAATTCCCCTTTTGACAATATATATATATATCAGACATGATCAGCGGGTCGCAATTTTGTACGAAATACCAAAAGTACCGATCACTATGTACTAAATAGACCCGTTGGGTATGAGCCGTATACAGTGAATTAACCCAGAGATACCCATCGTATACAGTGATAATACTTCGAAGTACTCAGCACACTGTACGAACATGTTTGTGGCTGCTCTTTTATATGACCACTAATGATGTTTTTCGACTCCAAAACTTGAAAATGGCTATGGTGTCCTACGTAATAGTAGACGGAAACCCAAGGCTGGCTCACTCGTACATAACTACATTACCCAACTCAGCTCATCACACGAGACGATGGGTGGGTTTATTTCATATTTGGTGGGTAGAGCCAAAACCCGGTAGAAGACTAAACCTACCCGGTGTACTCAGTGATCATGTATGATATATATATATATGTCATTTTATACTAACGTGTCGATTCAAGGTTTTGCAAGCTTAAGTCGCGCATTTAAGCTCCAGTTGATACATTTACAAACCCAAGAGCTTTCGGCTCTCTGAGATTTTCCTTATAGCCGTTTTTCCTCTGCGATTGTTAGAGTTTCGGTGAACATATCTTAGCTGACAGATGATTTGAACAAAATCAAAAAAGGTTAAAAGGCCGTTGTTAAGAGACAATGAAGTCTATTTGTTTGAAGTTGGTTTTGCTGGAATCTAGGAGTACTTGCGCCCGATGATCGGCACTCCAAACCCAACGTCAGTCATCTCCAGTTTAGTGAGAAGTGTAGTCACGTGACCGGCGACAGCGACACAGTGGATAGTTTTGGGAAGGCGGGAGAAAAGTGTAGCTATCATATCTGACACAGCACTACACGAGCAATTCATTTTCTCCAATAGCAGCGGCTTCCTTTTTTTACTAGAAATGTAGCTTAAATTGCTTAATTTCTCATATCACTTTGGACTACATTGACACCTCAATGGGCAAGATTTTACTCTGTTCAATCAGTCAGCCTGAAATAACATACATCTATATCTTTAGCTGCAAAAAAAGTCTTACAAGCCCTCACAACTCTCGTTCAATGGCCCCATCTCCCAAAAAGTCTCAAAAACTATAGATCTACGTCACGTCACGTGATACAAGCTTTCTCAACTTGGCTCTACAAACCTGTCCCACAATTCCACTTCTACTAGCCGCGACAACCTGCAGCCACTTTTGGACAGTTTCATTTATTTTGTGATGACTTATTTCACCATCAAAGTGAGAATTGAACTTTGAATTGGCAATGACGAATTCAAAACCTAGCGAGAACGTTCGAGTTTTGAAGAAGAAATACCAACGCTTTTTTATGGAAATACTTCGATTCTCTCAATAACGCAATCCAAAACCTCTAACAGCCATGACAAACCTCAACATTTTGTTGTTAGTCTACTTCATATCCATCTCTGGTAATACTGTCAGTTTCCCACTTTAATCAAGAATCTTGAAAAACTTCCAGATACGCTCTTGAACATCAACTATAGCCATAGGACTTCTCCAGCTAAAACGGCGATTTGGAAACGCTGAAGTGGTTTACCGGTAGCAAGATGCTTCCCAATGGATTGAATAAAGTTATTTTCCGGACGCCGAAAAGGGCGTTACTTCCAGTAAGACATTTGTCTAGCACTGCTCTGCTTCGACAACAGAGCTCAAGCTCGACCACTGGAAAAAATACTGGGAATAAAAAAGACTCGAAATTGACAAATTTCAACCCAAGACACCTGGGAATATCTGCAGAAGTTTACATTCCTCCCTCTTATCAGAATTTGCCAAGTTTTTTCAAACATCCCATCGTCTTTGGCAATGCCCTCATTAGACGCATTTACACGTTTGGACTGAATACTGTTCAAGTGGCATTATTCCGTTACCAATCGGGCTTGAAGCCTAACTTTCTACTGTGGAAAAATAACGCAATCGAGAGTTACGTTGAAGTGAATAAAGCATTTGCTGCAAGAAACTTGTCTTCCATAAGGCCTTTGGTGTCATTATGGGTTGACGAAGCTCTGACTGCAAGAGCAAAGCAATTGCCAAAAAACTTTGAGCTGGATTGGCAGCTGCTCAAGTTCAAAAGCGTTCCCAAACTTGCTTCTGTGCAAGTTATGATGGTTCCTGGACACCCTCTCGAGCATATTCAACTGATTTACAAATTTGACACTAAGCAACGGTTGATCAAAATGAACAAAACCACACTCGAAACTGAAACGACTGACCGTGACGTTGTTGACTACGTGGCTTTTCTGTGCGACGCCTCGAGTGATGAACTTATCATGATGGGTTCGGTGTTTGAAAGTCAACCGGACGCCAAGCTTCCAAAAAATTTCGAAGACGACATGAAAATCGCCATTCAGCGCATGAAAACCAGCGGTGATATCTTTCGTGTGAACAGCAAATAGATCAATAACGCAAATAACTCTCTAACCGTGTACATACTATTCTATTTTTCAAGACTTGAGATTATTTTTTTGTTTAGTACGTCTAGCTTAACATTGAGTAAAGTTGCCCTCTGAGACCATCTCGTATCGCAATGTAACAATTCTGCTTGAAAACTGTTAAACTTTTATATGACCGGCGCAATTACATATTGTTCATTACATTGACGTAGCCTCTGCCTGCCTTCTTTTTTCTCCGGGTTCCACCTTGGTTACCTGCGGTGCCCGCCAACGACATCAAATCATCAATGTTGTTAGCTTTCTTTCCAGAAAGACTTACGGTTGGGCTCATGGATGGTGATGCGCTCCTAGAAGCGCCTGGATTCTCAGTGGATGATGCCGCAGATTCTTTGAAAGGGTTTGTCGGTGGTACTAGGGCAGCAGTCCGAGCAGCAGCTCCACCGGCAACCGAGCCTGAGCGAGGCTTCACTTTCGGAGAACCCTCTTCTTTCTTTTTGATGATAGGAGGAGGTGGAGGAGGAGCAGATATCTGCTGTTTTTCTTCCTCAGTTGCATTCTTGTTAACCCATCTCTGAAGCTTATCATCATAATAAAAGGTGTTTTGATGTCCCAACTTTGCCTTCACAGGTTTTTTCTCATTTGCATCTTTACGCAGCCAACCGAACCAAGAAGCACCATCCTTGTCAGTTTTTGTCTCTGACCTCTTTTTTTTAGCTTTCTCCTTTGCTTCCCGCTCTTTAGCTTCAGCTTCTTTCTTTTCAGCCTCCAACCGCAGCTTTTCGTTTTCATTCTCATCCTCGTCATCAGATTCGTTTTCTATAATGTCCTCATAATACTCTTCAGCTCCCGGAGTCGAAGCGGGAGTGAATGGTTTGAAACTAGGGTTTGACGAAGGTCTAATAACAGGAGCACTGTTACTTGTGAATAATTCATCTCCGTCATCGGCCATCAAGTTTAGTTTTTTGTTTAGGGGCGGCTCCAACCGAACTCGAGGTCCTGCATTTGTTTCTATTTCCGCTGGTTCTGTAACTCTTGACCGATTGATGTCTTCAGGTTGTGCGCCCTCTATTCCTGGAGACTCATTTGTCACAGTAACATCTGTGTGGGCTTTCTGCTCGTCTTGAGTATTAGTCGATACTGCACTTGCTACATTGTAGCCTCCATATGAAAACATATCGATCTGCTCGTCGGGAACCCCTTCACCCAAACCGTTTGCAGCGTCAGAATTTCCATCAACTTGCACCGGAAGTTGCGAAGTGGAGGGTGAGTAGCGATTGTAAATTGCTCTGCTATTACCTTCTTTAGCTGGAGCGTACGCGCTTTTTGCTCGACTGAGACTTGCTTCCAACTTGCCCGAAGCTTGAGGTGCGGCATGAGAAGTTTCTTGGTCTGTGACATACTTCATGCTGTCTGCTCTTGATGAGGATTTCTCTTTGAAATTTTCGACCATTTCGAAACGCTTATTATGCTCATCATCGGGTCTTGCAGTAATTTGTGCCTTAGGCTCCTCAACATCTAGGTCTTTTACCTTCAAGCTGTCTTTTTCGGTCTCGAACAGTGCGCCTCCCTCACTTTTGAGAGCTTCAAATGACAAGTGACCGTCATCAGGATGATCATCTATGCGATTCTCTGTATACCTTTTTCTGTCTTCAGGTTTTAGCGTTTCTCCGGATTGACTCACCAAATCGTCTCCATCTCCATGATCAGCTCCAAAATGACCATCTTGTGATGGCTCAACAAAAGACGCCCGATCGTAAACAGCTGATGGCAATGTACCAGAGTTTTCGACATCAATGTTATGACTTGGGGCTGTGGACGCAGCGAGCATTGGCGCCTGTTTTGAAGGCGGCACATCAGATGACTTTGACAGAAGGCTGCTTCTGGACTGGACAGAACTCCGCCTGCTGCTGTAGCTACTGATGCCTCCGGATATTGGTGGAGGAGGGGCTTGCAGGTCAGCAAGTAAAGCAGCGTCCACTGGACGCTCACTCCTGTAAGCTCTTTTAAGCTTATGTTGGCCGTGCGACTGCGGGCCATTATCAGCTTCGACCCTCGTCACTACATCATCAACAGCACCCCCATCCACAGCACCCCCACCAACCGGGTTCGCCCTTCTAGCAACGTATTTTTTAGAAGACGTGGAAGAAAACAATGGGGGCGGTGTTGCCGCACCCATTAGCTGGTCTTTTGACCTTGCAGGTGACTTGTGATAGAAGGGCTGAATAGGAGACTCAAAGGCAGATGTTGAGGTTTCGCTCAACATCTTTTGGTTGGGAGTGGTAGACCATTGGCTATGAGAAGGATCGTATTTGGATTCTGCCACGGAAGAGCTCTTGCGTCCCTTCAACAAACCACCAGATGAGACATTGGTGTGCATGTGGGGTCTTTGCAGCGGAGTGAAAGCTGGAGTTATTGTGGAATTGAGAGACTCGACAGGGTTGTACGGTAATGGCTCCTTGCTTAGGTCTAGTAACGACGCGTTTCTAGAGTTGCTCGGTGTGAAGTTCTCAAATATTTTGTTTGAATCCTCATTTGATTGCTCTTCGGTATCACCACCAATGAATTTGTTGAAAGACTTGTCCAACTGACCCCAAACTTGACTCAACTTTGGCTTTCCCAACCAGCCTGCGTTTGTTCCAATAAGCCTTGAAGACACGAAATTCAATCTTATCTCTACAGCACATGCAAGCGTACTGTTCTTCCGTAAGGCCTTCATACTCTGAGTGACGGCATCGACATATTTAGAGGCCTCAGCAGCCATGCCACATTCAATGAGAGCCAAAGCGTGTGAGAGTTTCTCGAGGAGAGAATAGCCCGATCCGGGGTACTTGGCGTCTCTGACAGTAAGGTAGTATTCATAAACTTCGCTCAAAAGCAACCCTTCCCACGATTTTTCAGCGCCTAAAGAGCAAAACTTGAAGTCCGAGCCCGGAACTAGTTCGCGGTCCAGAAATGGGAGATCTGCGGCCACAAAACATGCCATACTGCCTAAGTGAGATCCTTCTTGACGTAGGAATAGACCGAACTCAATCAAGAACTCTGTTGTGGCAGGAGGCAACTGGGAAATATCTGGAAGATGCTTCACCGATTGATGACTCGTATTACTGAGGACCGCCGCGACAATCATATTCCAATTAGTTATAGCCCAGTTTGCTTTAAAACGGTCTGCCGCCAATTCCTCAAAGATCCGTTTGCTGTTGCCAACTGATACCCGGAAAAGCAAGGTTAGTAAACTAGAGGAAAAATCAGTCATATCGTTGCCCGTAGTTGAAAAAGCTTCTTCAAGGTAGATCTCAACGACTTCTGCCCATTTGTCCTTGCCAACAAGACTTCCTATCATTAGTGCTAGTGCATAATCACTTTCGGCGAGCGCTAACTCTAATGCATGGTCATGATTGCCTGTCTGAAGAGCTGCCAAAACCTTCAGTTGCTCATTTCCGCTTACTCTAGAAGCATTGAGGGTAGGTTTCCTCTTCAATGGTGCCTGTGATAGGAACGGCAATAAGTCATCCGAGTCGTACAAAGCCTTGGCAACGTCCACCACCGTACTCTCCTGCGAAATTTTTGCATTCAAGATTCTGTACAAGACCAAATCTTTCAAAGGCTCATCCCTACTGTAGGTTGAACAAGTATCTGAAATCCACTTCTGCACATCCTTGACTTTCGTCCGGTTTTTGAGCAATGGACCGGGGAAGCTCTTGAAAACGCCATCTGCTTTGACTATCGTCTCATAGTTGGAAATCTGGATGTTGAGGCCTGACTCGGCTGCTGTGAAAAAACCATTGGCAGCGCTAGTTCCGGGCAGAGCATAGACAACTTTGGATGAGCTTCCCCAACTGAATAAAGGAAACTGTCGATGAAACGCAATATTCGGATCTACCGGTGGGGAACGGGTCGGTTTGTGAATGGCGGATGGAAGATCGGCTCTTTGTAGTGCTGCATTGGCCCCAATCGAACGTCCTTGATTTGGATTCATGGCATAGCCTAAATCAGCATTATCTTGTGAAGGCAGGTGAAATTGGGGCTGAACGGTGGGCGCATACTTGGAAGAATAGGCTGGTGCATAAACGCTGGAGTTAGAACGGGCGTGACTTCTCTTTTGAGCATTGGGTGATAGGGCCTGAGTTCCAGTAGTTGGGAGCCCAATCGTTTTCAGAGCAGGGACCAGAGGTGCTTGCGCTTCCGGACGGGGATACTGGTCGCCGCCCAAAACCTTGTTCATGCCTTGTTTATTGAACTGCGACGCCAAGGGGATGTGACCAGCGCCATTCGAACTACCGAATGAACCTGCACTTCCATTTGATACATTGCTAAAAGCTCTCGCGCGGGCAGTCTGGGGTGCATATGGACTAATGACGTTTGCTCGCTTAGGAGGTTCAGCATTTGCTGATGAAGGTGCATACCTGCTTGAAGATGACTGTAGCGGGACGCTAGCGCTGTTATTTGCCATCAACGGCATGTATGGACCCTTTTGAGGCTGTTCAACAGGGCTTACTCTGGACGCTTCTGCAGGGCGCGGATAAGGCCCTGATGGAATCGCAGCACGCATTGGAGGCGCCGATTGCCCCTGATTTTTACCTGGTATAGCTGCGTTATGATTGACTGGAAAAGAAGGCCCAATACCGACGTTGGAGGCTCCACTGTTCAATACAGCACTTGATACTTTTGGAGATGCAATGGAAGAAGTACTCGAAGATACTACAGAAGTCACAGAGCCAAAGGGCTTCGGCTGTCTAATCTTATTAGGCTTGCGACTAGTAAGGTCCAAAGGAAAATCGTACGCATCTGACTTCTTTTTCTCTTCGTCTAGCTTCTTGTTGATGTTTTGAGCGGGTTGGAACTCGGGTAATGGCGGACGTATCGAGGATACCGATGGATGTATTTGCGGAGTAACTGAGATGGAAGGTATTTGAGAAACAGGAGCCACATCGATCTTTGTCGAAGGCCCGTATTTTGTGGTTTTCTTCTCACTCATCGTTGATGTCTTAGCGCCAGTAACAATATGAGCTGCGGGGGAGCCACTAACAACTTTCGATTGTACAGGTGGCAAATCGTTTATGGGAGATTGCTTATCAATCCCATACTGAGGTAAATAAGAATTACCAGTAGAGACAGCAGATTGCTGTGTGTCACTTTCAAGAGTGGTTGCATTAACTGTGAGCTCTTCATCAGAATCTAGAAAGCTGTCATCATCATCCAAAAGATCATCATCGTTGTCCAAAAATGAAAAGTTTTTGGGAGCATTGTCAGGGCTCAAAGAGTTCCGGATCACGGACACATCCTCAACCTCCTCATTACCACCTTCCCATGGAAGTAAGTCCTCACTTTTATCTTGTTCTTGAGACAGCCACTTGGGAGTTTCATCGAGGGGAGTAGGCTCTGCAGCATCGGCAGCACCCGACAAATTCGTCGATTCACTTTGACCAATGTGGCTCAAGAAATCATCTCCCTCTTCTTCCCATGGAAATGCTGCACTGTCTTGTTTTACTTCGCTTGCAAAGAGTTCATCACTGTGTTTGAGGTTCTGCTGATCTAAATCATTCCCCTCAACAGCAGAATGTCCTCTACCAGGAGATGGATGCCCATCAGAGGTAATGAGGTCATCATCAATCGCACACGATTCGCCCACCGAATGCGATTCAGATCCTTGTTCCTCAGGCGAAGTGCTGAAATTCGCTTTCGATGAAGTTTTGTCGTTGTCGTCTTGCTCTGGACCACTAGTACCTTCGCTGTTCTCATTAACATAAGTGCTGGAGTTGCTGTGCTGAGGATTCATCAAATCGGCCTGCTCGTGGAAATCTTCGCTGGGAGATGTACTGTGATCGACATTCGGTTTGAAATATGGATCGCTCGTGTGCTCAATTGAGTCATGGGTCCTATCGGTTGAGAAAGTTCTGTCAACGAGGTCCTCATCTTGATTCGAATTCTCCTTGGCTTCCGAATCGAATACCGGAGAGTGTGACGATTCAGCGGCACTAGGTTGAATCTCCCCAGCGTCCAAATTACCTTCAGTCTGCTCAAGAACAGAGGGCGGCGCAGGAAGAGAACCTGGGCCTCGGCTCTCCTTATCATCGGAGTCTGAAACAACTTCAACGTCGCCTTTGACTGTGGTTTGAAAACCATCAGAGTCCATAGAGGCACCGAGCTTTGTAATTATGTTCCCAGTACTAGGAGTTCCAAGTTCTGTCTCAAATTGATCGCGCAGCGATTTCTCGGAAACGTCGAACTGAATCTCTGGCACATCTGATCTTTGGCTCAATTGTGAAGCTGGGTCGGGGACAGCATCATTTCCAGAGTCTGAAAGAGGCACTGGTTCTATGTCATACCTTGAAGTGTTCTCCCCATCCTGCTTCTTTTCATCGGGTCCTGCCTCCTGTCCTGCTGCGCCGTTGTCCTCTTGATGAGTTTCGATATTATCGTCACTTCTAATTCCTTCAGTACTATCTTGACCATATTGCGCTTCTTGCGTAGGTGCCGTATGGATGGTTAAGTCCTGCACAAAGTCTGTTTCGACCACACCCGTTTCATCCGTCTGATCTTGACCAGTTTCATCGTCAAGCTCCGCACCCTGATTTTGTGTTGGTTGGTCTGTAAGCGAGCTTTGTGATGAATTTTCGGCATTCTCCGATGTCTTTTGAGGCATTGTATCGATTACTGCGTTTTCAGTTGCTGCTTTCTCAGGATAAGTGATGTCATTGTCTGTATCTGCTGGTTCTTCAGCTTGAGGGTTTCGTAGCGCATTATTTTCCGAACCGACCGGTTCGACGATTTCATTTGGTGAAGGCGCCGAGGAACTCAGATTATCCTCATCAGACGCCTCTAGATCGTTGCCTGCGAATTCTTGTTCGCCCAAAACGGTATCGGCTGATTCAGAGGGTGGTTTTTGTGGCCCTTCAGCTTGACCCGCTGGATCAACGATTTCAGAAATCCGGGCTTCCAACTGCGATTCTTCAGTTTCAACGTCACCTTTGATATCAGCACTACTCTGTTCGGCAATGGGAGTTTGGGAAGGATCCTCTTCTATCACTGGAGGGTTTTCTTCATGCTGGGTGGATGCTTTCTTCTGCTTCTGTTTCTGCTTCTTCTTTTGATTCTTCTTCTTCCTGGCCTCGGGACCCATTGTTGAACGGCAATTGGGAAAACTCTTGATCGTCCACTCGTGTAAAGTCTCAAATGATGCTGTATGGGGTTGCTACAGGATTTGATTGGCCCTGCCTAGTTACTGTGGGGTCAAAGTGGTGTTAGTTGGCATTTAGGATCAGCCTAGTTCATCAACTTTTCTGTGTTATTAACGGGGTCACGTGTTGATATGTCACATTTGTATATATGGTAGGAGGCTCTAACAAACCCGAGAAATTCTGTTTAAAAAAAGAAGAAGTGGGATAAAAGTATAAGTTTTTAACCAGGCAAGAAAGAAGCTGGCATTAAAACGGTTTACACTTTACAAAATTCAAATCTCACTGTTCCGAAAGAGAGAAAATTTGACTTTTCGTTAGTGTCACGTGCTTTTATTGACTGGCCATGAAAGATCTAGTCATTTCGGGATAGAAGGCGTCAAAGAATCGCGGAAAAAGTTTCAATGACCAAAGACAAAACAACAGCTATAACAAGAGACGTTCGGATTTCGAGATTATGGTAAAACACTCATTGACACAAACACAGTTTAAACGAGAACGAGTTTAGGGCACTTGAAACATGGTTTTTGCATATTTTGAAGTCAGGTCACATGACCGTCAATTCTACTTTCAATAGCATAAAGCACCTATATGAGTCGTATACGATCTAGTTCTATAACATGTTATCAAAACTTGTCGCATCAGTAAAATTGTTAAGAAAAGACAAGAAAAATGACCGCGGCAGAGCATTCGGGAGGTTTGAAATAGTGGAATTGGCTGTTCCTCATTGTGCTCGAAACTTCGGCAGAAAAAAAAATCTTTCGTTTTGATATGGGTATCTCAATAGTAAACACAGGAGCCCAAAATTCGCTGGAATATAATCGCAACCCACCTAGAAAGTAAGAAAAGATGGGCGAGATGTCTGTAAACTCCATATTTCAACAACAAAAACCTCGCGTCAGCAAAGACAACGCTGACGTTGGTCACGTGACTTATATGCTGCGCTCTTTCTATCGCATCTAAAACTTCTCACATAGGATCTCAAGGTTTTTAAAAATGGGTTTTCAACTCTTGAAATGAACAGGTAAATCCTAAGCTAATCATCAATCCTATTTCCCTATCTCAAACTTACCAAATCTCTTCTAAATCTGTATGCTTTAGCTGAAAAAGTGGTTTTTATGAAGGTCAATTTCGTATTGTAAGACAGCCTGATAAAAAAGTTTACAGATCTACGATGAGATGAGCGATGAGCTAACAACGAAAAGCTGTTCCATCAGGTAGTGCTTGAGGGTGTTTGAGACCTTGTGAAATCAATCATAAAGCGATGGCCAGACGTGGAAACGGCCCCAAGAATAACAAACAAAAGTTAGCCCCCGAGAAGGAGCGTTTTATCCAATGTTGTTCGGACATCACACTTGAGCTGACAAGCTCATTGACGTCTGGAACATCGCGCGAAATCAACCTGAATGGGCTCATCACCAAATATTCCAAGAAGTACAAGCTGAAGCAACAACCTCGTTTGACAGATGTGATCAACTCGATCCCAGACCAGCACAAAAAATATTTGCTGCCGAAATTGAAGGCGAAGCCCGTGAGAACTGCGTCTGGTATCGCCGTTGTGGCAGTAATGTGTAAACCTCATCGTTGTCCGCATATTGCTTATACCGGTAACATTTGTGTCTATTGTCCCGGTGGGCCAGATTCCGATTTTGAATATTCGACACAATCCTACACAGGTTACGAACCAACATCCATGCGTGCCATCAGAGCACGTTACGACCCTTATGAACAAGCCCGAGGCCGTGTGGAGCAGCTGAAACAACTAGGTCACTCCATCGACAAAGTTGAATATATCATTATGGGAGGCACATTCATGTCCTTACCTAAGGACTACCGTGAAGACTTTATTGTGAAGCTGCATAATGCCCTCTCAGGCTTCAACGGGAATGACATTGATGAAGCCATCCAATACTCTCAGCAGAGTTTAACGAAATGTGTCGGTATCACAATTGAGACAAGACCGGACTATTGCACACGGACTCATTTAGACGACATGTTAAAGTACGGATGCACCAGGTTGGAAATCGGTGTTCAGTCGCTATATGAGGATGTAGCTCGTGACACTAACCGTGGTCATACTGTTCGGTCTGTGGCAGAAACTTTTTGCGTGGCCAAGGACGCCGGCTATAAGATAGTCTCGCATATGATGCCAGACCTGCCCAATGTCGGAATGGAAAGAGACATTGAGCAATTCAAGGAGTACTTCGAGAATCCCGCGTTCCGTACCGATGGTCTAAAAATATACCCAACTTTAGTCATTAGAGGAACAGGTCTTTATGAACTTTGGAAAACAGGTCGTTATAAGTCATACAACGCCAATGCTCTGGTAGATTTAGTGGCCCGAATTATGGCTCTTGTGCCACCTTGGACAAGAATTTACCGTGTGCAGAGAGATATCCCGATGCCTTTGGTCACATCTGGTGTAGACAATGGTAATCTAAGAGAACTCGCATTGGCCAGAATGAAGGATTTTGGTACCACTTGTCGTGATGTTCGTACTAGAGAAGTCGGTATCCAGGAAGTTCACCACAAGGTGCAGCCGGACCAAGTTGAGCTCATCAGAAGGGACTATGCTGCTAACGGCGGCTGGGAAACTTTCCTGTCTTATGAAGATCCAAAGCAAGATATTTTGATTGGCTTGTTGAGACTGAGGAAAGCATCTAAAAAATACACTTACAGGGATGAGTTCAAGTCGCAGAGAACCTCCATTGTTAGAGAATTACATGTGTACGGTTCTGTTGTACCGCTGCACTCAAGGGACCCACGTAAGTTTCAACATCAAGGGTTTGGTACCTTGCTAATGGAGGAGGCTGCTAGAATAGCTAAAGAAGAGCATGGATCAGAGAAGATCTCAGTCATTTCAGGAGTTGGTGTCAGAAACTACTACGCTAAATTAGGCTACGAACTTGACGGACCATATATGTCCAAAAAACTATAATTCAATATATTCTCGCAGATCTTTCGTCTGGTTTATATTCGTGTTTTTGGTAATAGATCGCAATGTCGATAAAGGTCTTCTTCAAAGCATTCAAGCTTTCACTGTCAATGTTTTGGAAATGAAAGGCAAGCCTGCCATCAAACAATTTGACGTCATTTTTCTCGCCTATTTCTAGAAGCTTGGCAAGATTGATGCGCGACTTGGCCAAGTCGACAAAAATGAAGTTGGTTTCAACAGGATGAGCCAGGTGGAGCTCCAGACCGTAATCTGCCTTCATCGTGCTGTACAGCTCGATCCAAAACGCTTCGGTTGCTTTAGAAACGTCTTGTATGATTTTCGGGAAGTTTGTGCTCAGACAATGATTGGCTATGCGAGCGATGAATCCTGCCTGTCTTATCCCCCCGCCCTGCTGTTTTTGCAAATGACGAGCCCTTTTTCTGAATGCAGTACCGCCAACAAGCATCGATCCTATGGGCGCTCCTATTGACTTTGAAAAGCAAAGAGACATTGAATCGACCAGTTTTGAGATATCTTTGAGATAGGTTTCTGGATCAGTGTGGCTAGGTGCACACGCAGCATTCCAAATTCGTGCTCCATCCAGATGTAACTTAATTCCCTCTTCATGACACCATTCACTAATGCGTTTGAGCTCATTATATGGGAAACTCATACCATGCAAAGTGTTCTCCAAACAGATTAGTCGGGTTGGAGCCAAATGAATGTCGTCAATGTCAGGAACATATTTTCGCTGGACATCTTCCAGAGTTAAAAAACGGTCGTTGGATGCCTGCACGGGCACCACCAAAGCTTGAGAAAGTACGGCTATACCGGCACACTCATCGACGTAAACGTGTGCTCTGTCATCGCAGAGAACGCTATAGGGTGGAGCGAAATTGAGATGAGCCCGAATAGCGAGCTGATTTGACATTGTCGTTGACATGCAAAACAACCCTCGAGATTCTTCATTGCCAAACATTCGGCCACCTAAGAGCTCCTCTGCTACCCGCTCTTCGAGCATAAACGTGTCTCTGTCTTCTTCGTAAATGGTATCGCCTACAGACGCCGCTGCTACTGTTTTCCAAACTTCAGGCGTGGGAATGGTAAACGTATCGGAGCGGTAGTCCTTCGAGGATGAAGTATAAACTGGGGCTATAGACATCTTACTTAAATTCAATTGTTGCTTTGGAAAAGCGTTTGGTGTTTGGAAACTAACTACTTTGGTCCTTGATTCGACTGAATCTTAAGAATCTTGTTCAAACGTTGACCTATTATTTATATATATTACTGGAATCTAGACAGATAAGTCAAATACAGATAAAGTTCAGAAACGTTTGACAACAGTAATCTTGATATATCCAAGTTTTGGCCAGATTGGATCTAGCGTAATAGTGCGAGAATGTATGATTTAAATGTTTATTTAGTGTATATATGCAGGAACAGGCTTGGTTTTCGAGTAATTCAATGACTACTCACTCTTAGCCCGGTTTGGATCGTGGTAAGGTCCCAAAAATTCCAGAGAGTATCTGGTATTGACAGTATGGGAGCGATGAATCACTTCTGGAAACACTTTCCATCTCCAACATAGGGTGTAATCGTCAGCGTGGCCGTGGGTCAAAACCCGAAGGTATTCTAGATGCACAATGTAGAAATAGACCCCGGAACCTGTAAGAAGATGCCACCAAGAGTGCAGCTCCAGAAACATGCCGAATGGCAAGTGCAGAAAGGTTCTGCGCACGAAAATCCAGAACGAGCAGAAATGCACGTCCAATTGCCAGAGGAAATAGCCCAGTAGGAAAATGGAGATGCTGAGGGCCATGGTGTTGCGCAGGTTGCGTTTGGCCAAGGGATCGTGCACGTATTTGGCAGCCATTCCACCTGCGGAGAACACCACAATGACGTTCAAAATCGCATATGCGGTTTGGTGGATGGTAGGGTCCCGGTATAGCAAGTACACGACGGTTAAAATTGCGGCTGCTCCAAACACAAGGACTCCGATGACGCCTTGCATGAACAAAGACGAGGTCGTGAGCGGACCGTTGTTGAGAGGATGCCGTTTTTCTGAGAAAATGCTCCATGCGGGGATACAGGTGGCATAAATCATGGGCAACTCGTCCAAAAGCTGGTATTCGTAGCGGAGCGTCATGTGGAACAGCCAGGACCCGACTCCGACGGTTCCCAACCCGAGCCCGATCAACACAAATCTTTTTTCCAGCCTTTGGTAAAATGCAGACCATGTAACATATAGTGCTAGTGCTACAAACGCACTATTGGTAAGCGTGTTTGACCATTCTGCTATGAACGATGAAACCACATAATTCTCCTCGCACCAGTCGATCGTCGAGGTCGGTTTCCCCCAGTAGCCCAATTCTGCCGGTTCTGGGTACTTTCTAAAGATAGATCCTAGCATCATGGGTAGTTAAGTCGATTTGAGATATCGCGGAAAAGGTACTTGAAGTGGATCAGATAAAGAGGATGAATACTTGGTTTAAATAAAAGTGTATACACTGAGAGCACTGCCACTTATTGTAGTTGCTGACTTATATAAACGACGACGGACAGCACGGAGTAGCTTGCGATTTTATTCTTAGAGAGGGATTTATATTATTGCCAAGAGTCCAGGATGTCAGCGTCACAGGGTAAGAAAGTGATGTTTGAGGAAGCTATGAGGAAAGGCTTTAGTAGAGGGTGGAGGATGAGATTATGGGAGTCTGTGGCCGTGGCATAGTGGTTGTTGAATTTGGGTTAGTTTTTGAGTTTCCTTTCTGCATTTAGTTATGGGATAGTTTTGGAAAGTTTTGGAAAGTTTGAATATCAAGATTTTCTTCAAAACAACGTCTGGTGTCGACGAAAAACTGGGGGTGGACAAATCGTGGGAAAGAGAAGAGACTGGTTAAATGGGGGGCTTTATTTCTAACACTTTGAATCGTTGAACGCTTTGAGGGCACAGTCGTGAATTTCGTGAATTTCGTGACATTGGATATGTTGAAAAAAATCACCTTTATTGGTTTCCATTCGCTCAAAATGAGTGAACTCGTCTTCCCAGTGAGTTCTCCTCTTCGTCCTTCACAATGTGTTTTGGAAGAAGAACCGCTTTTGAGCGCTGTTCCATGTCTTTACCATACCTGTTATCCACTCCATGTCACTTTGTACTAAACCGTTACTGCTCATTTCTAACGTTTTCGACCAAAAATATCATTACCACTGCTCAGTAGATAGATAAAAAGGCCATCCATCAATGGGACAGACGTGATCTTAAAAGACAGGTCAGTAGTATAGTACCATCGACAAACGCATTTGCACAATGAAAGTTTATCGTAGCCAGTCGGACTTCACTTTCAATTTCTTGTTCGCTCAATCTTGCTTGCTCCATCTCACATTTCATCTATGTGAACCATGCTTATTCTGAATTTACTCATCACACTCTCAATCACCAATTTCTTCCCTGTTTCCCCTACCAAATGCGCAAATCCTAGTGTCCCCGCAACAAATTCCTTTCACTGGCACCCAATCTGCACATTCTCGGCCCGGATGCAGAAAACAGCGAAAAAAAATCTGCGATTCCAGCTCGCTGCACAACAAACTTTAAATAAATCTGAAAAGACCATAAAAAACCTGGCGGAGAAGAATCAATCTTCCAAATATTTAAGGAATTATTGCTTGCGTAGCCGATGTTAAAACCTTGCTGCTTCGATTTGGTCAAGTTCGTCAAGTTCGTCACGTTTTACCCTTCCGCGCTGTCACCGGGCTCATCGCATCACCTAATCAATTTCAAAATTAATTAATGATATTTTTAGATTCAACATACAATCATCACACAGACAATGCAAAAGCCAGACTCTCTCTACATGATCGGTAAAAGCAGCTATGGGACGTAGAAAAATTGCCATTGAACCCATCCTCGACGAACGGAATCGTACAGTGTATGTTGACGTGGAATTTTTTTGTAAGAAAATAGAGCCATTAACGCTCAAGATAGAGCGAATTTAAGACTAACATCAGATAACTTTTGTACAGAACGTTTATCAAACGTAAAGCCGGACTGTTCAAGAAAGCACACGAGCTAGCGGTTCTGTGCCAAGTGGACATAGCGGTGATCATCCTGGGCTCAAACAATACGTTTTATGAATTTTCGTCCGTAGACACAGATGACCTTATTGAACACTATCAAAACCCAAAACTGCAGCACGATGCAAAGGACCCGTCAAACTACGGAAATTACAGGAAAAAAGAGCGGGTTGTGATCCGGGACCGTTCCAAAAGACGTTTCGACCGTGTGTCGCCGCCCAGTACAAACGGGCTGGCAAACGATGATGTTATTGTCAACGGTGCAGCAAACTCCGGTCTCACGACGAACAAGATCCGCAGCGGGCGTAGTCAAAAGGGAACCACTGATCATCTGGTCGCCGCCGATGATGGGGACGACGACGATGACGACGAAGACGATGACGAAAACGACGACGAGGAGGAAAACAATGTTGATAAACGCGGCGGCGACAACAACGACAACGACAACGACAACGACGACGACGATGAGCTCAACAACAGTAACGGCGAGGAAAACGACCTTGGAAACAACTCCGTATCACAAACTACAGCTGCCGACCAACGCACAGCCCGCACAAATAGTAGAAAACGGCGGAAAAAAGCAGTTGCAGCACCTTCATTCTCAAAAGTAGCGGCCCCAAATTCCACCCAAAACCCGCCCTTCAATTCCCTTCAGCAGCAGGTGCAACGTCAATTTCACAACTTGTATGCAGTGGCATCGAACCCAGAAGCTGCACCCTCGACCAATTTCGCACATTTTGGTACTCAGCCCAACTCCTCATTTTCAAGGTCCAGCATGCCCAACACTTATACCGGTATGCCTCAAACGATGGGTCCAGTGTTCAATCCAGCAAATCGAACCACTGTTTCGGAACGTAATTACGCAAGTGCAAACGCTAAAAACGGAGGACTCCTTTCCACACCAGTCATGATGGATGTCACTGGCGAAAGCGCTCAAACAGCACCCGGTTCGGCTGCACAAGCAGGTGCACCAGCAGGTAATGCCCAAACGCTCCAAACGGAAGCAATGCCTTCGAGATCCCAAACGCGGTCGACGCCCCAGTCCATCCCTAGCAATAGCGGGGTCAGCTCCAGACCGACTTTGCGTGTACAAATCCCCTCCAGTTCCGGAACCGCTATAAAAAGTGAACCCTCCTCCGCTGTCTCTCCCAGTCGTTCAAGTGCCAATGGCACTTCGCAGTTTTCTCGCGGAAATGCTGGCCATATCGAACTGCCGCGCCCCACACAATCCAGAACCGGTACACCCCAGTCTGCTCATATCCAAACTTTGAGCCCTGGCTTAGAACGAAGTGACAAAATTCACAGTTTCATGCCCTCATCAGGAGCAATTGGGGCGAGTGGCAGCGGCAACCCTGCCAATGGATTTTTGTTCAATGGTCTGCCGTCTGCATTAAACGCTTCTCCGTCCATACAACAATATTTTGCAACTCCGGTTCAAGCGAGTGCAACAGGAACAGGCCCAAACGCGTCTGGGCCAACCGTACCGTCTGTATCTCATCCTCATGGTTATCTGATGCAGAAACACATGCAAATGGCCCAGCATGAGCAACAACAACGCGTTCAAAATGCACCTACCTCGGAAGCCGGTTTGGGCTCTTCAGCCGGGTCACTGCCGTCCAAATTTGCGAACGATTTGATGGTAGCGTCCCCGGGTACCTCAATGTCCATGTTTCAAGACTGGGGGTATGCTCGAGCGGGCAATGGCAATCAGAACTCTGCAAATCAGACTAGTGAGCCCAACCCAACCGCGACTTCCAACGTTGCAAATAATAACGGTAGTAGCGGATTGACGCCCTACATGAATGTCACCAACCACACCCCTCTGCTCACCAAGTATTTCACGTTCGGCGATCCCAGCGACGACAAGAATAAGAGAAGCTGAAAGAATCGGAATAATTCTGGAACGATAGCGCATATTATTGGTATGCAGGTTACGATGCCTGCTGTGTGAACCGATGTACTATGCACACACTCACACACCGGAGTCTGACTCGAAGTGCGGCTCGGACTGTTGGACGCTTCTAAAAACGATGCGACAATAAGCGTCTACTTGGCAGGCTCGAGGGAATCTCATCCCATAACTATCGTCAGTGTCAGCGTCAGTGTCAGAAAATGAATATGACCTGATTTATGTAAAGATAGCACCTACTACATTTTTATCCCACTGGAGTCGTGAAAAAACCCATGATCAATGGTTCTGATTTCATGGTGGCACTAATTCATATTGGTCTCTCAACGCTACAGGCGCCTTCCTCTGCAAGCTCGAGTAGCATTCTCACAGCACTGACACACCTTACTTACTGTTCAGAATAGAGTCTCTACCATAAACATCAATCTTGATGTTGGGATTGGACTGTTTTCTATAACACCCACACACCATTTTATCTTTTACAATTTTTTGTATTATTTTTAAAAATTCCAGAAAGTCACTTTTACTAGAAATTGAGTCGCTTGGGTCTGAGTTCAGTCTGTCCAGCGCAGGACAGGCTAGACAGACAGGCTGCTGCCACTAAGGTGCTCACTTGACTGTGGAGCCCGCGTAGCGGGCTCCCACTAATGCGCTAGTGGGAGTGTCTGCTCTAGCCTCCAGAGGGAGTACTCAGCCTGCCGAGCCTGGAATCTCTCATCGTCCAGCCTGTGCTAGTTACTCCGTCTACGCTCGCTAGGCTGGCGTACTCTGCCTAGCCTGCGTCAGCGTCCAGTGGGAAAAATTATTCACCGATGAGTGGAAAATCACCAATTAACAGTGAATAATATCAAAACGATTCACAGTTTTGGAAACTCATCAGAAGAGTAGAGGACAAGTAAGCCAAGATGAAGGTATGTTAAGGGCAAGACTATGCATTTTGAGAGTGCAATTAATGGAGAGAGCAGACCAGAAAACCCTAGGATCGTGGCGGCCCCGCTCGTTGGATTGAGCTACCCGTGTGATACATAATGTTCATGGGATTCAGCGATGGCAGTAGGCCATTCAAATTGAGCTCAACAACGTCCATGGCGGTTCAAAGCACAATGCAGTGCTACCAGTGAAAAGCCTCGGGCCAAAAAATACGCGGACCTCTGTTTTTTCCTCTCCTTCGCTCCATTTCGACCCAAACCTGTCCACCATACTAACGTCACGAATTTCTGCAGTTGAACATTTCTTACCCAATCAACGGTACCCAAAAGTGCATCGACATCGATGACGAACACCGCGTTCGTGTCTTTTACGACAAGCGTATTGGCCAAGAAGTCGACGGTGAATCTGTCGGTGACGAGTTCAAAGGCTACGTCTTCAAGATTTCCGGTGGTAACGACAAGCAAGGTTTCCCAATGAAGCAGGGTGTCTTGTTGCCAACCAGAGTCAAGTTGTTGTTGGCCAAGGGTCACTCTTGCTACAGACCTAGACGTACCGGTGAAAGAAAGAGAAAGTCCGTCAGAGGTGCCATCGTTGGCCCAGATTTGGCTGTCTTGTCCTTGGTCATCACCAAGAAGGGTGAACAGGAACTAGAGGGTGTCACCAACGACTCCGTTCCAAAGAGATTGGGTCCAAAGAGAGCCAACCACATCAGAAAATTCTTCGGTTTGACCAAGGAAGACGACGTCCGTGACTTTGTCATCAGAAGAGAAGTCTCCAAGAACGACAGGACCTACACCAAGGCTCCAAAGATCCAAAGACTTGTCACTCCTCAGAGATTGCAAAGAAAGAGACAACAGAGATCCTTGAAGGTCAAGAACGCTCAAGCTCAAAGAGAAGCTGCCGCCGAGTACGCTCAGTTGTTGGCCAAGAGATTGTCTGAAAGAAAGGCCGAGAAGGCTGAGGTCAGAAAGAGAAGAGCTTCTTCTTTGAAGGCTTAAATCCTGATTTAATCTAATTAAAGCTACCCATTCTCCTCGCTATTGCGAGCTCAAATCATTATCTCGAAACCGACCAAAATGAAAGATGTACTTATCTCGGAAAGGTGTGTATATTTCTTGATAGTTTAAAAACACTGTGAACTTATAAGACAAAAGAAACCGCGCAGATGTAGCTCGCACCTAAAGCTGGTCGTGATCAGCTCATGTTGAAGAGGATAAATCAAAAGTAAGCATTAAAGTATACAACGAGTGTTTGTGAAGGCGTTCTCTATCTGAAAGTTGCGTCAATACGCATTTCGGGATTTATCTCAAAGTCACCAATTCTTCTGCGCTGGTAGGGTGAATTGCAACACAAGAGTCGAAGTCAGCCTTAGTAGCACCCATTTTAATGGCGACCCCGAAACCTTGCAAAATTTCAGCTGAGGAGTCTCCCACGATGTGTAAACCAACGACTTTTTCGTCTTCACCTGCACATACCAATTTGTATGACGTAGGCGATTTATGTTCTAGCATGGCGTAGTACATGGCAGTGAATTTACTCTTGTAGACTTTAATGTTCTCCTTGCCGTACTTGTCAATGGCTTCCTTCTCAGTCAAACCAATGGAACCGGCTTCAGGATGGGAGAAAATCACACTTGGCACATTTTCGTAGTCTTGCTTTTGGTTGGCAAACTCCTTGGGACCGAAAATTCTATTGGACAGCTTTCTGCCCGCGGCAATGGCCACTGGAGTCAGTTCAACCTTACCTACAACGTCACCTAATGAGTAAATGTTAGATGCAGTTGTATTCTGATATTCATCCACGATGACCTGCTGTCTGTCGTTGAGTTCGACACCAACGTGTTCGCAGCCGAAACCCAATTGGGTTTTACGACCAATAGTCCACAAAACCTCATCGACATCTTTAATGGTGTCTCCATTGTCTAGGAAAGCTGTCAATTTACCGGATTTGTCGTCTTTTTCCAATTTGCAGATCTTGGCGCTTTTATGAATGTTGATACCTTCGCTAACGTAATGGTCAGTGATCGTATTTTGAATAGTGTCGTCAAACTTACGCAACAAGGTCTCTCCTCTGATAACCATGTGTGTTTCGGTGCCCAGACCGTGGAATACACCGGCTAGCTCAACACCGATGTAGCCTGCACCGGAAACCACCACTTTTTTGGGCTGTTTTTCAAGTTTGAAGAAGTCGTCAGAGTCAATTCCTAGCTCATAACCTTCAATGCCATCTGGCTTGATAGGTGTACCACCCGTGGCGATCAGAACCCGATCTGCTGTGTACACTTGCTTACTACTGTCGTGCATAGTGACCTCGACGTTACCGTCTTTGTTGAATTTTGCCCAGCCGTAGACGTAGTCTACGCCTTCTTTGGCCAAGTTCCGTTCGTATATGCCGTTCAAACGCTTGATATAGGCGTCTCTTTTCTCTTTGAATTGAGCCCAATTGAATGTCAGTTTCTCACGAGTTAGCTCGTTTTCTTGAAAAAGGCCGTACTCGTTAGCTTGCGTCAAGCGAGTAGCCAAATCCGAAGCGTACCACATAACCTTCTTGGGCACACACCCCACGTTCACACACGTCCCTCCCATGGCTTTTGCCTCGACTAAAAGTGTTTTCGCTCCGTACGAAGCTGCTCTTCTGCTAGACGCAACACCGCCAGAGCCACCACCAATGACCAAATAGTCGTAATGTTTCGTTATAGGAGCCATAGATTTTGTTGAAAGTAGTCGATAAACTTGTTTGCCCAAAGGCATGCGATCAATTTGAAGTGGTTATCAGGAAGATGGATGGTGAAAGGGTTTCGATTTTAGTCTAGATATATATATATCCAAATTGAAAGTGTGGATTTGTCAAGCATCGAGCAATTTTCGATATTGATTTCGAGTTAGTTTTGAGGTCGATCGAATAGATAATCAAGTAGAAGATTTTCGAGCGTCACGAAAATAAAAGACTTGACATAGACGACAGTGAGTTGTGAAGATGCTTGAGTCACTTAAATAGGCCAAGTTCGAACCGTTCTTGTTATTGTTATTGTTATTGTTGTTATTGTTGTATTTTGAATGTGTGGTAGTTGATGCGTAAATGTGATTTCCGGACTTGGTTTTTGATTGAAAGCAGCGAAATGCCTGTATTTCGTTGAAAAATAAAGTCAGTTGCAACAGATTATTTGGGCGTCTCCTGGAATATGATTGTTTTGGTGGGTTCACTATGCTGCGTTTGGTGACACACCACCACGCATATCTGCGTCTTGCGATGATTTCAGGTTGAGCTCAGAGGTGCGGGTCGAAGGAAAGGGTTGCAAGCCTCTGTTTGGCAGTACATTGGGCTCAAAACGTGCTCTAGCATAGCACGAAACGGAGCCTATAAGACAGCCCAAAGTGGATCCAACACATAGCACAGAAAAAATCGCGCTCAACACGCGGAATGCAGAAATAGGCACATAAGGAGCGTACTGTACGTAGAGCTCTTTTGTTCCTAAAGCCATTGTTCCCATAGGAAAGGTCATAGCCCACCATCCCTTGTGGAAGGTGGTAATTCTTGGCCCCGTATGCGAAGCTCGTAGTGTGTAAGAGTAAGAAGCGATCCCAGCAAATGCTACAAACGTGAAAAAAATCCCGTTTGCAACTAGTAATAGCGCAAGCACAATACCGCAAACCTTAAATGCCCACTTAACAGCCATACTCGCGAAATAAGCTTCACCGTCTGCAACCGAGAACGGATAGTAGAGCTCAATATAGCGTTTAATGTTATCGGTGAACAGTAAAATTCCATATGCGCCCTGTCCCATGGGTCCCACGACCAAGAACATGGAAAAAATGATCTCCATTGCCGGAATTTTGTTAACATACAGGCTCCAGATATACGTGCTCAAAACCAAGACAACTAGCAGCAAAGCGTTGAACCAAATTAATGCAGTAACGCCAAGTGTGAGTAATTGTACATTCCGGCTGGTGCTTTCCACAAACTGATGCGACATTGTAAATATGCCGCTGCTGGAAGCAACAACGACCAAAGTTACGATGGGTAGCAGCAGAGTGCTTTGTAGCCGACGTTGCATATTTTTGTAGTGGGGCATGGGATCCGGATCATCCCAATACCGACTATTTTTGCGCCAAATGCAAAAGGAGATACCCCAGGCACATCCCACGGATAGTATCGCAGTTATCCACCAGTGCACGTAGACGAAGATAACAAGTCCATTGGCCACTGATTTTCTGTTCTTCAGTTCGTTTTCTACCAAAAGGAAAATATAGTTGTTGAGGGTGATGTATCCCATCACCAAGGTACCCCATGTTACACTTGTAGCCTCGTCAAAGAAATATAGTTTTGCAAGGCTCCGCAGACTGCCTTTTCGCGTACGCACAACGATCACGCTTGCAAGTATGGCCAGAAGCGATAGAAATAAGAGGCTGGCCACGCAAAACATGATATAAGAGCAAATCCGTAGCCATCTTGCACTGTAAGGGAACGAGTGGAGAATGTTGGATGAAATTCCAGTGCCCATCACTGTGACAAACCAGACGGGACTGAAGTCATCGAGCAGCTGTCGTCCCGCAGAAGAGCGCATTCAACAATCTGCAAGGCGAGCTGCTATGTATAAGACGTATGCCGAAGTATGTGCACCATCTACCACTTCCAGAAGAGCCAGACTAGTTAAGTTATGTGCTTATATATGCCTGTGTTGGTTGTTGAGTAAAGTAAGTGCTCATCGCGATGAGTCTTTTCATCGCGGTGAATCTTAATATTCGTAAATATTAATACAGTTTAAGAAACCGTAGAAACAGAAAGTTTCAAACTACTTGTATAAGAAGGATCGGCATGTATATATCCGAGGTCTCTAGCACTGATTTTAAGCTGTCATGAAAAGCTGCTTACTCGGAAATACCAAATAAAAAAGAGAGTGTTGTGCTAGCGTTCTTGCTACCAAATCGGACATATATTCAAATTCGAAGAATTAATCTGTCATCGCTTCTGAAGCTATGAGAAAACAAGATTCTGACTTGCCAAGCCCCATTTGCGGGTGAAAACGGCTGCTGGAATTTTTATGGATGTCGTCATAGGGATCGAACAGTCAAATCTAGAATGTCGTATAGGCCCTTCCTCAAACGAATCGAGGATCGACATTACCAAAGCAGAAACGAAGAAGAATTCTGAGTTGAATATTCCGGATTTTGCCGTCTTTCAACAACTCCATTTTTCGAAGATAAAGATCTATGAACTACTACAGAGTGGTGTCGCTTCAACACTGACGCTTGGCCTGGAAAAGGTACACTATGATATGCAACGACACGGGCGTTTACAGTGACAACGAAACTTGAGCAGAGATCAGAGATCGACAACATCTCTTCCTCTCTAGTGGTTCACAGAATTCACACCGAACTTTCAATTTATCGCCTCAAAGTCCACAAACCTGTTCATAGGGTTTTAGGATTTGCCATAAAACATGTTTAATCAGTTTTTACTTATAATTCAATTTCAACTCTTCTATCAAGACAGATGACAGTTTAGTTTAAACTGTCAACGCCGCGCATTAATCATTAAAAGTATCAAAGGCTTTTTGAAATGATAATGGACAAATAGTGCTCAATAAAGGTCCCTCGCCGATCTCTTTTCTTTCTCTTTGTTAAGTGCTCTAATTGATCAGGCTCGCTGCACATCACGGCTTTAATCCAACAACATATATTCGATTTTAAGCTTTTTGAAGTTGACAAGAAGCGAAGAGTCCATATGTTCAGGCTCACAGGATTCATTGATTTTGCTGCCAATTAAAACCGCTGGTGATGAGATATACAATTCCTGCCATGGAAGCAACGTCACAAAATGCAAGTCCGGTAAAACACCATCCCACACCCATCTCATCGCACAATTTCATAATAATGACAGAACTTACACCAGCGGCCAGATTTCGAAAGAAACTACCCACGGCAACGGTCCCTGCCGCTCTTTTGGGAATGCACTCGGTCAAATACGTCATGCTGGTGTTGGAACACCAGGTCATTCCAAATGCAGTGAAAAACGAGAACACCAAAACGACGGCCAGATGATGATGAAATTGAATGCTCCATCCGTATCCAACGCATCCGCAAATATTTAGCAACAGTCCCCACAGTTGCAAAACCAGTCGTTTTTCGCCGGGAAATGTCTGATTTGGATGACGCTTTATCCAAAGTAGTCTAAAATAATCGGAAAGGTGTCCTCCTGAAACAGATCCAAGAAGGAGAGCTATGCCGGGACACACGTAGCAGGCTCCAATTTGAAGGTTGGACAAAGAGTACTTTTCCCGAAGAAAATGCGAAAACGTCACGCTAAAAGCATAGTACGCTGCGAATAGAATGGCAGTGGTCAACGAGCATATGAGTACTGGGGGAAATGTGATTAAATTCCAATACACTGATAAACTCGGCTTGGGCGGTCTTGGATACAATTGCTGGAATTCTGGAGATTCTGACACAGGCTTCAAAATTCCAATGTCACTGCACAATAATATTTTCGCACCCATTAGGCCTCTCACTCCAGGTTTTTCGTTTCTCACCTTGGGGTCAATCCAACGGGTGTCACCATTTCCAACGATACAACGAAGCGTCTCTGGAAGGAAAACTATAACCATTAACAACCCTACCCCGGACATAATACTTGTGAAGCCAAATAACCATCTCCAATACGACCCATGCATTAGTATCAGTCCAGCAATTATTGGGGCAACAATTGGACCCATATTAGGGCCTAGCATGAAGTATGCGATGCCTTTTCCTCTTTCTTTCGGTGCACAAATATCGCTTACTGTTCCAGCTCCAAGTGCCATCACTGAACTCGAAGAAAACGCTTGCATGATACGTAAGAAAAATAAAGCCCCAGTATTGACTGGTACAGCCGCGAGCAAAACATTGATGATGACCGTCAGTGCTAACGATATCATGTACAAAATCTTACGACCTCCGAAATCAGCAAAACTAGCCCAGAATAAAGGACCCACCGCGAAAACTGCCATAAACACAGAGACAGTAGCATTGATCGCGGTGGCAGAGAGATTGAAAATAGTTTGTAATATTGGCAGCGCTGGGATGTAAATGTTACCTGACAATGGGCCCAAAAACCCAATGTAGACAATGACGGCGAAGATAATAAATTTCTGAAGACTGGAAAAAGAAGTGTATTGCTGTGGTTTGATCTCCTCGGCAATGTTCTGTTTCACACAAGATTCATTTTTCACCTCTTTTTCCGGTGTTGAATCTTTGTTTGTACCTTCCGATGCTTTCTGTTCCTTATTGTCGTCTCCAGGATTTTGGCGGTCTCTCTCGATAAGGCAGCCATCATTAGATTCTGGTTGCAATTCAATACTGGTTTCGGAATTGAGCAAGTCGGAATTCATCATCTCCCAATCCGTGATTCCTTCCGCGCCAGGATTCGGATTTTGCATGCGTCAACCTTTAAATATAGTCAATTACCGACAACAAACTTAAATAGCGATTTAGTGAGCAATCTTATTGTTTCTGAACTATGTCCGTCCGTCGATGGCGCTACTAGCTATAACCTTGCTGATTGTGTTTGGCCTAGTTGTTGGCTTCTTTTCCTGACGCCTTTGTAAATACTGTGACACCAGGCCGTCAGAACTCACAAAAAAAGAGGACAGTGCTGTCGTGTGATAACGTCGAGTTGTTACAACCTGTAGTTTCTATAGGCCGGAAATAATATACATATTTTGAACTAATGCCACCTTTGATTTGCCCACCGAAGTAAATGGAAAGAAAAATCCCAGACAATGGAGTGCTTAACGGAAATCTGTCTTTCCGACACCACGTTTACCACTGTACAAATGCTTGGCCAAAGCGGCAGTAGAGTGTCTGTCCGACTCACCTTGTCTGGCGTCTCTGTTTCTGTCTCTTCTTTGCAACTTGGCCAATCTGTCAGCCTTAGATCTCATAGATCCGTCAGCAACACCATCCAGTAGTCTATCAGATTGTCTGAGCTTACCACCGTTGGAAGAAGTGGTCGAGGACTCGACGCCTCCAAAGACAACGTCGGCACCAGTTTCCACGTATCTGTTCTTGTCGGCAGCAACTCTCTGCTTGTCTTGCAGAGCAGACATGTCGTGTCCCAAGGAAGACATGTGCTTTTCCATGTCGCCAAATGATTTTGAAAGTTTGGAACGAGGCATGATTGCACGGTTCTTGAGAGCCTTACGGTTTCTGGCAGTCAAAATCATCTTCTTTTGTCTATCTCTGATCCAGGCGGCCTTGTCTTTGATGTCGGACACTTCTTCAGAAGTCAGACCGTCATGAGTTTCCTCCTCATCTTCGTCAGAGTTGTAGAACCCTTCAGCTTCCAGCTTTTCCTCTTCTTCTTCCAAAGCTTGCAATTTAGCGGCAATCTCAGGATCCATGAAATCGTACACATTCTTACCGTCCAGAACTTCTGGCATAACATCGTTCTTCCATTCGTCATCTTCCAATAGATATTTGTCCTTGAGATTAATGTTGAAAACACCAGCACCACCATTTTCAGCCTCGATATCTCTGGCCAGCTTCATTCTGTCAGGGTCCTCTGCATCATACTTGACCTTATTCTTGATACCTTCAGGGATGTAAGGTGATCTATCAATACCGTCGTCTCTTGCTTGTGGCTTCGCGACATGAATCTTGTTCAAGACATTGTTGATTCTGGCCGTGGACTTGAGCTTGTTTTCAATTCTCGAGGCCAAAAGCTTTTCACAAGCCTTGTTTCTCACGGCCATGACGTTGTCTTCTTCTGTACAAGATGCGGCCATGAGCTCGACACCAGGCATTTCAGAAACAGTTTGCAACATGGCGGCACGCTCTTCGTCCAAGTCCTCGGGTCTGATAATATCGGTTTTGTTCATAACGACCATGACCGACTTGTTGGCAAACAAAGGCTTGATAGAGTGGAACAATTTGACCTGCGCTTCAATGGTGAAGCCACACTGCTCGGACAAGTCCATAAAATATAGAACGCAAGAACGCAAATGTGCAATGGCATAGATGGATTGCATTTCAATGTTGTTCATTTCTTCTGTAGGTCTGTCAAGAATACCCGGAGTATCAATGGCTTGGAATCTCAGGTACTTGTAATCGAAATGACCCACATACAAGGATTTCGTGGTGAAAGCGTATGGTTGGACCTCGACGTCCGCTTTGGTGATACAGCGCAAAAACGACGATTTACCAACGTTAGGATAACCACAGATCAGCAAAGTTCTGGTGTTAGGGTCGATCGATGGCAATCTGCCCAAATGCTGACGCACCTGCTCCAAATACACTAGGGGATCTTTCAATTTCTTGACGATGGTGGCCATTCTACCCAGAGCGGCTCTCTTAAGTTGCTTACACTGGAACAACGACTGACCAAATTTAAGCAGACGCAAGTAATCTCTCGACACTTGCTCGATCAATGTCTTGGCACGCGAAACGGCAGCCAACGAGACCTTGTAATGATTCTTTTCATACAGGGTATCCATCAGATCTCTGTGAAAAGGGTGGACATCGTTGATGTTAGGGAATCCTTTCAATAGGTCTTCGAACTTCTCTTCAAATCCCTCTGCGGTGTATTTGACCTTACGCATGTAAAATGCACGGATTCTGGTGATTTTGAAACCGGGTCTGATCACCGTGGGGGTTTTTCTTTGCGTTCTATTCAGCACGACATCCAACAGATCGTTGGCGGTCGAGACCGTGGGAATATCTTTCCAGGACAGTTGCATGGTGATTCTCAGTAGTTTGTAGTCTGGTCTTGTTGTAGCTTAGCAGAAAAAGGTCGGTTTGAGCTCGTTTCAATTGCTCAGAAATTGTATGATCTATGACCGGATTAAAAAGAACAAGATTCCACAATTACAACTACTTTTCACCAACAGGTTGTCGTGTTTTAGAATTGTGAAGTCTAAAAGTCTAAGCTCATCGCATCTTCTCATCGCTAGGATTCTTAACTCATCGCTAATAAAAATTTTTCAATAGATGAAAATAAGAGAAAAGAAAAAACAGAGACTGAGATGAGATGAGCTTGATCACTTTGTATAATTCTGTCATTGGGGAGAGAGTACTCGCCAGAATAGGAATGAGTACTCAAATTCGGTAAGATCTAAGGAGCAGGGAAGTGCACACACGAAAAGTTTTGTGATGATGAGTCGGAGTGATATCTTGATTGTAAAATTGCATTTTGATGGCATTTAAGGGTTCACGTACGTATTGTCGGATTAGTTCTCTACGGTCTAACGTCAGTCTTATAGAAAAAGAACATATGTCACGTGATCCTATGGTAGCGTCAGCGTTGGTGAACATTCAGCTTTGAGTATCAGATTTCTAGCTTCCTAGGGTCTATGATGCAGGGAGAAACGGGATCTACTATCTAGCTCGATCAAGCCACTTTAAAACGGTCTGGTCAATATTTATACCACGCCAATGCCAGTGACATCTTTTCGCTTTCATCGAGGCTGAAAAGAACCCTAAAGATGTATGCCAAACACACTATAACAAACCCACAAGACCATCTTTCACTGAACACCTAAAACAGTACGATGAAATGACCAAATCGGCCACATTTTATAAGATTAGTAACTCAATCTCAACGCGATCCACATTTGGGAGGGATTATGGTACCATGACACTCCAAAAAGGCAGCAACAGTTTCAAAACGAGTGTATAAACGAATATGTTGATCCGTTGCGGCTCTCCAAATGCTGGATATGGAGAGCTCAACCGTCTGAGTCACTCAGTAAGAAGATATTATATCACTTTGTCCCAGTCTAACGTTTGATTCGATATATATTAGGTAGTCAATTAACAGGATCACTGCTCATAAATTCTGACACTTGAAGACATAATAATATGAGTGATGGACAGAAGACACCGGCGAAAAGTTGTACTGTGAAAGCAAACCCCCACGAAAAACCCTGTAATAGGACGCATTTGGAGTACAGATGGTCCTAGCCTCGGATGGATTTCAGTTTATTGTTGTCATCAGTGGTGTTCGTTCATAGCGATGCAACGCCAAAAACTCATCAGCACTACAACGATTTTGACTCGTGGAGTCATTAAATAACTTGTGATCTTTAGATCTGCTCTCTCATTGCTCCATACATGAGGGTGCTGAGCGTGCTGGATATCAGCCACATCCCATTTTCACCGCCCATCGTTTTTTCGCGGACTTCTTGAGCGTTGAAAGGGAGAAAGCAGAAAGCAGAAATTAAGCTTGTGTTAATCGCAGCTGGCATAAACGCATAAAATCAAATCACAAGCTCTACAGCAATTGCTCAAAACGAGTTCGATAGCATAGCATTTGATAAAGTTAAATGACATACACGTACGAAACGATAATTGCCACAATTTAATCAAGTGTTACAAAGCCCTATAACAGACCGATACTTCTAACTTCAACAAACTTGAATTCGAAACAGGAAAAAGTCTCCAGAGAGACCATCACATTTCTACTGAAGGCTTCAAAATTCGCAATGTCTAACCCCCAGGGTCCCTTGGCCGTAGCCTCACTTTTGCGCCGGAATAAGCTTCTAAAACAGAGACAAGGTTTGTCTCAAGGTAGACATGTCGATTTTTTCCGCTATAAGCGGTTCATTCGCGCCCTTCAATCACCAGAGTACAAGGCAAAATCCAGAAACCAGCCCGATTTATATCCTCCAGTCGGCAATGACGAGGAGGCCAGAAACGTGTTCGTCGAGCTGATTAAGACCCAATTGGTGGTACCGTGCCAAAAACTGCACAGCGCAGAGTGCAAAGATCACGGCTTGAAACCCAACAAGGAATATCCAAACCTGCTGTTGTCTGATAAAGCGCTACTACAGCCCGACGAGTACTACACTTGGAATTACAACCCAAAAACGGTCACCGATTATTTGCTCGTATTGGGTGTCGTAGTCGGCATTCTCGCCTTTATAGGATATCCTCTGTGGCCGAACTCCCTGAGAAGAGTGGTTTACTATGTGTCCCTGGCACTTTTGGCCCTGATCGGGCTTTTCTTCGTGATTGCCATTATCCGGTTTATCGTTTATTTGCTGTCATTGGCCGTCTGCAGCGAAAAAGGCGGGTTTTGGCTATTTCCCAATTTGTTTGAAGACTGCGGCGTGCTAGAAAGTTTCAGGCCTTTTTACGGCTTTGGCGAAACAGAGTGCTACAGCTTCATCAAGAAAATGAAGAGGAGAAAGCGGAAGACTGAGAAAAAGGATCAATAAACCGAAAAATAATCCTGTCTTGCATTCGTCAGTTTCCACCCGCCAGCACTGCCCAAATTAGAAAAAAAGATCAAGGAACTAGGGATAAAGGACTACAGATGTACCAAAGTACAGTGTCTTGTTACCTGATCGCTTGGTGCAACGTTAAAGATCGGTCTTCTCCGGTGTGCCCTTTGACTCTTTGAATTGATGGAAACTGCCCATCCATCGCTGTCATCGCTATCGACGGTAGTGTATACCAAGTACGTTAAATAATACCAATGTGATGATGATGATGATGATAATAATGATCTTGACGATGAGCTTTCTCACCCATCGCACAACACTCCATCAGCAAGCGTGAGTTGGCATGTCTCAAAAGCAGCAACAACAACAAAACAAAACATCAGGCGATAATGATGCCGATTATCAGGACGATTACCTTTCACAGCTGATCAATGATGACGCTTCAACCGTTGTTCCCTCCCAGCCAGAACAGGTCATGTACTCTAGATCTGAGCACAGTTTTATCAATGACGATGCCACAACGGTAGAAGGCGACGTGTCACACCTGGCGGCCCACGACTCGAGCCATAAACGTCGTCAATCGAACGATAGAATGCTTTCGTTGCATTTAAGCCAATGGAATTACAATAATAACAGGGTAGGGCTCAGTCGCGGTATTCAAAGCGCGGGAGAACTTATCCAACTGATAACAGACGAAAATGAAACAAGACCGATTAACGTACCTATAGGCTCCACTGAGTACCCCCTGCATATATTAGAAATCGACTTCAAGTTCAGAGGAAACAAAGATAATAACGTGAATTTGGACAAAAATGCAATTGCAAATTTATTTGCGGTTCGTGCCAAGACTGCATTGGGCCATCTCGAGTCCTTACAGAAACGGGTTGATGATACGTCTTCAAAGGTGTTCATTACAGGTGACTTGAATGCCGGCAAATCCACTTTCTGCAATGCCCTATTAAGACGCAGGATCATGCCTGTGGACCAACTTCCATGCACGAACGTTTTCTGCGAAATCTTGGAGGCACGGGAGTACACAGAGATCGAAGAGGTGCACGCAGTTCCCTTGGCGGTGGCCCCCACTGTGAAGGAAGCCACGACAGCCTACAATATACGAGATAAGTCCACATACAGAGTTTATCCAATTGACCAGCTATCAGATCTGGTTTATCGCTCAGATCTCTATTCTTTACTCAAGGTCTATATCAAAGATGATAAAAGACCGGCGGAACTCAGTCTATTGAGAAACGGAACCGTCGACATATCCTTGATAGACTCTCCGGGTCTCAATATGGACTCTATCCAAACTACCGAAGTTCTTTCGCGACAGGAGGAAATAGACATGGTTATTTTTGTCGTCAACTCCGAAAACCAACTTACGCTATCAGGACAAGAATTTATTCAGGTTGCGAGCAGGGAAAAGAAGCTGATGTTCTTTGTTGTAAATAAGTTCGATCAGATCAGGGACAAAGGCCGTTGTAAACAGTTGATCCTTGATCAGATCAAGAAGATGTCACCGGAAACTCATAAGCAATCCAATGAATTTGTCCACTTTGTCTCCAGCGGTTCAAGGCCCGGGTTTCCCGGAGACGACGGTCCTGACGGCAACGACGATGATAATGAATTTGATGCGTCTGATCCCGACTTTGACAAGCTGGAAACCTCATTGCGCAATTTTGTTCTCAAAAAACGGTCTCTTTCAAAGTTACTACCTGCCAAAACATACCTGACTAAGCTCTTGAAAGACATCTCAGCTATTGCGAAATGGAATCAAGAAAGAAACGATCAGGAGAATAAGGACTTCAATGCCCATTTGCAGGCAATGAAACCCGAGTTAAGATCAACAAGCGCTCAGTCACAGAGGCTGACCGACCGCGTAGACAAGATTGTCGAGTCGGCTGTTGGCGATGCATACGATTTCACCAAACACCAGATAACCATGGCTTTGGAACTTTCCATAAAAGATTTCCCAGACTATGAGGGGTTATCGGGGATTTATGATTATGTGTTGCGTTCAAGGCAATATATTTTGGACCAGATCAGGGACAGTGTTGGGACTAGCGAATTCCACGCCAAGAACGAAACGTCTATCAAGGTAAAAGAAATTCACACTTTGGGCAAATCTGAGCTTGGGGATGAGTTCATGTCAGATCGAAAATTCCAAAGCGATTTGATGTTCACCAAAAAGAAGCATATGTCGCTGAAAGCGCTGGATGTTCCTTTCGATGTTCTGGATTTAGTGTCACCAACGTGGAATGGATTCTTAGGGTATTTGAGTTGGGGCGTTTTCGGCGACGATAGTGTGACTGACAAAGAAAGCGATTTTGGTGAAGCCACTTGGCATTCCACTCTTGGATTGGGTAATTACTCAGTAACCAAATACTGGACTAATCCTTCGCTTCTGCTAACATCCAAAATTCCTGCTCTTGCTGTGTACTCATGGGGTGGTACGCGAGTGTTTACCACAATTTTGGTTTACGGATCGAAGTTTTTCTCGTGGCATGCTTTTAGTCGCCTCTCATCATCGGTTTTAGTCTTGGGGTCTGTATTGGGAATCGCGTACTTGGTGCATGACCTGCCTCGGGCTTTACCGCTGAATCTTTCGCAAAAGTATCGCTCAAAGTTACAGGAAGTTGATTATGCACACCGGAACTCCAAGCGAATTTCCGATGAAGTACGCGATGTGCTCAAATTTCCGTCTCGTGAAGTCGTCAAGTCCTGCGAGGCCATACTCGGTAAGAAACAAGCAGCAAGACGGGAGATTGAGACCAAGCTGCACAACAATATGCTGTCCTTGAAGTTTTTCAAGGCGCTGGGCCATCGTGCGGATACTCAACTTCAAGTGATCGAACAGATCAATCTTGATGTTGACTAAATATTTCGACTGATCAACAATGTTGAGGTGGTACTGTTCTGGAGAGAAATGAGGAAGAGCGCACGCAATGCCAACAGTTGTCGTTGTGGGCCTACGATGTCAGGAAAAGGAGATGGTGATTTTATCGTGACGGGTAAATTTTAAAGTGACCCCGGTGTTAATACGCCCTCGAGCGACTTAACTTAAAAATTACCATAAATCGGATGCCTCGACGGGAACTAAGGTTAACCACGGATCAAACTCTTCGATTATACCCAAACGTGTTACAGCGGTCAAGCATTGATCTTCCGTTTTGATTCCACTATAAAAGGCACGAGGACTTTCCCAACAAGAAGGATTTCCGATCTGCCAATTGACAACCATCGATAAACACTTTTTGCCCGATAACTGCATAATGCCCATACCTTTGCTCAATCCTTTCCACTGGGGCTATCACGGCACATTGGAACAAGTTTCAAACCCACAAGGAACTGTTTCGCTGAAGGTGAAGGACCAGAAAGACTCCATCGAATTGAGCCAGTTTATAGCTGAAGAAGTGCCGGGACTAAGGGACCAGACCAAGTTCGAATTGCACCCCGCATTGTTTACAGGGTACCTTCAGACTTTGTATCTCGGAGCCGCGGATTTTTCAAAGAGCTTTCCGGTTTTCTACGGTCGAGAAATCGTCAATTTTTCAGATGGCGGTGTTTGTACTGCTGATTGGGTGATGAAGGACTGGGAATCGAAGTATGGATTGAAACTGAGTCCAAAAGGGTCGACATTTGACTCAAAGAAATTCAAAGCCGATGAGATGGCTACTCATCCCGAGAGCTGGCCTCGTTTGCACCCAAGAACACGGTTTTTAGAAGAGCAGGAAAAATCAAAAATCCATCAAAGTGAGAAACCACTTGTTGTGGTCATTCACGGACTAGCTGGTGGCTCTCACGAACCCATCATTCGGTCTTTGACCCGGGACCTTTCCGGCGCCCAGAATGAAAAGTTCGACGTGGTGGTGTTGAACTGTAGAGGCTGTGCCCGGTCTAAAATCACTACTCGTAAACTATTTTACGCTACATTCACAAATGATATCAGAGAGTTCTTGAAGCGCGAAAAGGAGCGGCACCCAATGAGAAAGCTATATGCTGTTGGATTTTCTTTTGGTGGCACATTATTGGGCAATTATCTGGGCGAAGAAGGTGAAAACACCCCCATTGAAGCTGCCGCATTTTTAAGCACTCCATGGGATCTCTATCAAGCATCTTTGAAGATGAACGGTGACTGGTGGTCACGCACATTGTTTTCCAAGAGCATTGCTCAATTTTTGACCAGATTAGTCAAGGTGAATATTAAAGAACTCGAATTCAAAGAGGGCGAGGAAAAACCAACTGTGCCACCAACTTCTAAAAACCCGTCTTTCTTTGTCTTTACGAAAGAAAATCTCAAAAAGGCACATGGTTTCAACTCCACCTTAGAATTTGACAACATGTTCACAGCTCCCTGTCTCGGCTTCCAGAATGCGCATGACTACTACAAGGCATGTGGGTCTATTCACGAACTGCCCAACGTCAAGGTTCCTACTTTGATTATTAATTCCAAAGACGATCCAGTTGTGGGCGAAGACTCCATACCTTACTCTGCAGTTAGGGAGAATCCAAACCTGATTCTTTGCGTTTCAGATCTGGGTGGCCACCTGGCTTATCTGAACAAAAACTACGAGTCTTGGGCTACTGCCCAGATTACCGACTTTTTGGCCAAGTTTGAAGAACTCGTCCAATGAAACTATGAATAGACATCATGTCCCCATCCCATTTTACGTACATACACATTTTGAAAAGAGAAAAAAAACTCATGATTTATCCATCTTCGCCTCGAGACTTTTTCCAAGCTGTTGAACCACTTTGCCGACCTTCAGGCGTAGAAATGGTTCTCGTAGCTTTGCAATTATCGGATGTGGTGCCGCAAGCTTCTTGCTCATCGCGACATGCAAGTCTATAGATTTCATCATCACTCAATGTAGAGCGCAGGCGTTTAGTAATGGTGTTCAGCAAGAACGATAGATCGTCTTCTGCAATCAAGTCTCGGGGAAGTTGATTTTGAACAATGTATTTGTTGCTGACGTCGATGGCAGTTGTGCTACCGAATGCAATGACATAACTCATTTTTTTGTTCCAGTTGACTGAGTAAATATGAGGTTCGTCAAAGCTCTGTTCACAGGAGTCAACGTGTACCCATTTTTTCAAGTTTTCAGAATAAAACTCGCACCAGACATGGTCTTCACGATTCCAAATATACCTGGACTCAATGCCGAAGGATTTCAGAAAGAGCATGAAAAGATTGCACCATTCACCGCAACGTCCGGTGCGTGTTTGCAAGAGCTTCATCGGGTCATTATAACGTGGGAATCTGGTTCTTTGGCCGCATTGGGGACATCCATAAATTTCCACTCCGCCGCAGTCAAACTGACGTTCTTGAAAATTGGGTGATTCGTTGCCAACCGGGTTCATTTGGTCCCCTGGACACCCACAATGATCACAATCAGGCCTATTGCACCATTTGAAGAAATCGTTTTTGAAATATCGTAGAAGTTCCTTGACCAATCTATCCACATAATCGTCTTCTGAGCCCTCCATTGAATCAACATTCTTGTAAATCGTCTCTAAATCCACGGTATCCAAAACTTGAGCTTGCCATTGATCAACATCGTACCTTCTACACAAACTTTGGCTAAGACTGCTGAGAGTTCGAGCAAATTCATTTTTCTGTAGTAATGCCTGAAATCTTCCAGAATTGGATGCTTGCTTGAACTTATGGATAACATTTCGCCTGTAAAGGCTCAAAAACTTGGAAGCTAGCTCCTCGAACATCTTCTTGTCGTCCATTAGAGCTAAGAATACCAAAACATGAACTCAAAGTTGTGGTTGATTGTGTTCAAAAGTATTCTTGGTTTTTCATTCTCGAAGCTATAAGAGATGAGATGCCTTGAAATTACAACGTTATAGCTGGTGTTACTTCTCTATACCAAAAACGTTGATATTTAAAGGTCAATGAAGCCTGAAAAGGCGTATTTGGCACTCACTTTAGTAGCTTATGTATACATAGCAGTTGCTTTGGTCAGCTTGTGGAAGCTCTGGTCAAATCCGTCAAGTTTGTATTACTGGAGCGCTATTCTACTCACACCGGTGTCATTTTGGCTATGGTGCATTATATCATGGACCGGAGCCGAAATCTTCGCCCACGCAAAGCGAGAATGAGAATAGGAATCTGTGGTAGCGGGTTCGATGGTTTGACGCTGGCATTGAAATTCAGTTTCGTTAATTCTTTTCCATGTATATACAATTCTATAGGTCTGCTTGACACTATCACCTCTACTTTACTTCAATGACATAGCATTTCTGTTTACCTGTTCTCAAAATAAGAACCTTGCCGTCAATGTAGAACGGGTCGAGATCGTGGATGTTCTCTAATATTTTCTTTCTCTCAGGACCCACGTAAATACTGCCCTGAGCTAACTTGCGTCGTGCTTCGGATTTGGAGCAACCAGTCACCTGTGAAATTAAGTCTTCGAGCGACATGCCGCTAGGACAGGTTTTTAAGATCCGTGCGTCTCGAGAAGCTCTTAAAATGTCAGAGGCTCCAAGTTCCAGTTTTCGGGTCCCGAAAAGAACTTCAGAAACGGTTTCTGCATCCTGGCCTTTGCCCATCCCGTGAATCAAATCGACTACTTCTTTCGCAAGCATTTTTTGAGCTACACGTTCCTTTGGGTTCGCTTTCCCCGCGGAAATCTTTTCTTCGATGGTTTCAATGGGTAAAAGAGTGAAAATCTGCAAAAGCTTACGAACATCGTCATCGGTGGTGCGCATGAAATACTGATACATCTCAAATGGCGTGGTGATCTCGGGGTCTATAAAGACAGCATTGCCAGCGGATTTGCCAAATTTCTCGCCCGTTGATGTGGTTAACAAAGGAATGGTCAGACCAAAGGACGGTTCTTGACTTTTCCCCTTTGTTCCAACTCTTTTGATCAAATCGATTCCCGCAGTGATATTGCCCCATTGGTCATTACCACCAACTTGTATGCTAACACCGTGCGTCTTGTTCAAATGATAAAAATCGTAGGCCTGCAGAATTTGGTACGTAAATTCATTGAACCCAATACCATCCTGGTCACCAAGTCTGGAAGACACTGAATCTCGAGAAAGCATCGCTTGCACTCTGATGTGTCTGCCATAAATGGCCAAAAAGTCGAGCATTTTTATGTCGTTCCACCATTCGATATTGTTCATGTGCATAGCACGGCCGGTCTTAGTAGACTTGCCCTTTTGCTTATAATACTGCAGTCCCAAGTCGAAGAACGATTGCAGCTGTTTTTGAATCCTGGAAACATTATCCAGCCTTTTATGATCTTCCATCGAAGTTCTTTCAGTGCTGCGGCCACTGGGATCACCTACTTTACCCGTGGCACCGCCAACAACAGTATAAACGTCATGTCCTGCAATGTAGAAATGCAGTAGCACCATCAATGGCAGTAAATTGCCCAAATGCAGAGACTCCGCTGTTGGGTCTGCACCACAATACAGCCCGAATTTTTCTCCGTTGGATAGTTTTTGTTCTAGTAACGACACAGGCTCAGAAACCTGAGCCAGAAGTCCTCTTTGTCGTAGAGTTTGCAAGACATTTATGTTCCCAATGCCTCTTTGAACTGATCTAGAAGCATTGGTCGAAATCAGCCAAGGTTTTGGGAAAGGAACTTTCACAGCAGCAAGTTTGAACATTTCATGGGCGCTAAAAAGTGAGCTTTAATAGCTTGAAGAACGGAGTCTTGATGGTTAAAACAAGTCGATTTGATGTGGTCAAGAAGATGGGCATCGCGGATCTTGTCTTTGATTCTAAATTCAATATGTAAATAGAGTGGATGACACAGCCGTACGAAGTGATGACAAACAGACAGACGATGACCATCATGTTTTGCAAGTCAGAAAGCGATTATTTCGAGATCTACCGCTTCTGTGTCAATTGATGTTGAGTTTCAGAAGGTGTAACCATGTGGCGTTGATGATTCTTCAATTTTTCAATGGAAAATTCTATCAAACGAACTCTGGCGCGAAGACCTGAAATATCCCCAGGGCACCTGTTTTCCATCCATAAGACTAAAATCGGGTCCATTCAAACTACTTATGGAACTAGGTTTCCAAATTTTTCTCATTTTCGGATTTCAGCTTACCTACCCAAATATGATGCATGATAGTTGATAATCAACTCACAACAGTGGTAACCAGCTGATAATGATCCCAAAGAGTTCAAGTTTTAGATAAAACAACTCTTCAATACTACCAAATCTCACTATGCACACGAAAACTAATGTGTCAGTAAAATATTCCCAAATACACATTTTCTATTTTAGCTCTCCATTAAGTGGGGCTAGAAGCTCCTGAAAAAGCGCGTTGTGATCTTCCAAAAACGCGGAATTTGAATATGGTATTTTTGAGCCGTCGAATGGCTCATTTCCTTCCCCTTTTGACATATTCCTCGCTACTTTCTATCAAATCATCAACCTATTAGAAATTTTTCAATTTAAGCTATGCCTGTCATTTCATTCAAGAAATCCTAACCAAGAAAGAAAGTAGATACCACTCGATTTCTTTGGTCAAAACCACCTCAAAACCAATCAGTACCGCCCCATGCCTCCAGTCAAACAAGTATATAGCCAACAACAACAGCCCTCTAACTGGGACAAGTTCAAAATGGGTCTTATGATGGGTACTTCTGTGGGTGTGTGTACCGGTATTTTGTTTGGTGGGTTTGCCATTCTTACGCAAGGGCCTGGTCCAAACGGTTACATAAGAACTCTTGGGCAGTATATAGCCGGTTCAGCGGCCACTTTCGGTCTATTTATGAGCATTGGCTCCATTATTCGCAGTGAACAACAATCTTCACCACGCATGAACACATCCACCACGCTTTCGTTGCAGCAGAGAGCATCACTCCAAGCGTGGAAAGCAAGAGAAACTTACGGATTATACAGAAACGAATTGAGAAAACTCTGAAAAGGGCTGTCCCAGACCTTCCCAGTATCGTCACTGGCATGTACATACAATTGCATCTACTTTTCAATATCTTTTCTAAAATATTTGACATGAGCTAGCTCTATCCAGTTGTTGTTCACTCACTCCAGCAAGAAAGACTCAAGAACAACCGTTACATAAACTTTGGAAAGACGATGCTCACGACTCGAGCATGGTGCGTTAAGGCACTTCGATTCCAACCTCGCTATTTAAACACCTACGTTACCAATGTTAAGTCGTTGGAAGACCTTGCAAAACTCGATTCGCTAGACAACGTTGACCCAGAACTGGTAAGAAGACTGATAAATGAAAGAACCAACCAGTTGAATACGCAAAATGAGCTTGAGATGCTCAAGCAGATCCAATCGGATGAAAAACAGCAGCAGCAAGTGGCTCTTAAGAAATTCGTTCGCCCAATGTGGATTTTTCTACTGTTGAGCTCGTTCTTCTACTTGGGAGGACACTATGTATGGTGGAAGCTGGAGTACGATGAACGCGAAATTGAGCTTCACAAGCAAGTCGAAGCTCTACGACAGGAGCTGGATGAAACTATCAAACAGAAACAAAATCCGAAACCTGTTGGAAATTCATTGTCGTCCGCTTCATCTCACAAGAACTCGGATGGAAACAGAAAATGGTATTACGGGTGGCTCTGGTAGCTGCTTTCTAAAACATCGGCGACTGCTCATACTAGAAAAATCGAAGCTGTTTATGAATATACGTTATGTACTTAGAAGCATAATTTGTGATACTGTCACAACTAACCCAGAAGATGTTAAAATTTACTATTCTTGAGCAATATGCATTCCCCATGCTTTGTCGGCAATTCGTAGATCTGTAAAACGCCGTCGTCCCCAGCTAAGTACACCTGATTTGGAAACTCTTCTGGAAAACCAATGCAGTGCCCGACATCAACAGGAACTTTCATATATGCGAAATCTCGGGCGACTGTTTGGCTTGGAATCCGAGAGATGACTTGCCTGGATAAGAAACTCGCCAGCTGTCTTGGATGGTCTTTTGACAAACGTGACTCTACCCATGGATCTCGGCCCTCATAGCCTATTGAATTGTCAAGCTCTGTGCCTAATGTAAGCTTGAAAATATGTACCGTATCAGTGTCACCTACGCATGCCAATAAAGTGGCTTCAGGGTTGAACTTCATCTCATGAATGGTAGTGGGTCGCGTACCGCGTCGAAACTCACGGAAAAGTTGGTCGTTGGTATCAAACTCAGATTCCGCGCCTGTTTGGAAGACTCTTACGATAGTTCCTCGTTCAGATGCTGACGCTACCAGTCTGCCGTTATGTGAAATTGCCAAGCAGCTTACACTGCTCTTGTGTACGGAATTCAGATAGTTGACGGGTGTGATGTTGAGAGCATCAAATACCACAATATCGTTGAAAATTCCGCTCTCTTTCGATGTCTGCGAAAAAGTGCTGTAGCAGAGAATGCTACTATTGTCGCTACTCAAAGCCATTTGTACATTAGACTTAGGCTCTGACAGGTTTGTGCCTGACGATCTTTCCGTTGGATTTCGCAAATCCAAATTGCTTGCAAGCACATCGATGGTTTGCAGGAGCTTCATGCATGAAATGTCGTAGATAAAAATTTGATCACTTGCCAACAGAACACACATACGCTTGCGGTTCATAACAACATTTTCAATTTCATGTGAAAAGGTTAGTTCGCATATTGTTGATTTCCGCTTGGTATTAACGATTTTCAGTTTTCGGCTCTTCTGTCGTCCTTGGCTTTTATCCACCACTACAATGAGACTGGTGGAGAACAACATCTCCACAATGAATTCGTATTCGTGGCCAGTCTGCAAACTAGCCAGTTCATCCCTGCTGCTACTCCTACTGCCATTTTCAAGCTCAAAGCATTTACCGAAAGGGTCGCAGTTGTAAATGCATAGGGATCCCGGTACCATCGACACAGAGCAGCATGTGGCGTCTTGATTGAATCGCAGGGCCCGCATCTAGACGATCAAGGCTAAATGACAGCCTTGAAAAGCCTATGAGTTCCTCTTTGTTCAGGTTTTCTTGGTCAAAATGGGTTAATCATTCATAGATGAACCTACTCATTAAAGTCCGATATAACGAACAACGAGTAACAAACACGATTTTGACGATATTATCCCACAAAGTAGCCATCAAAAGTCGAGGTTCATTTTAGTTTGGTGATGGTGATGTTCCGGTGTTTCAGCCGTATTTTTAGAGTCCTGAACCTCCGAATCATCAACTGGTATGCCCCAAGGTTCGATCTCGAACTTCTTCTTGCCGTTCTTGAAAGCGAATTCGGATCTCTGAATATGCATTTCACCTCTGTCACTCAAGAGAGGCAGCTTGAGCACATGTAGTAGTCCATGTTGTATCTTGTTGGGTTGGGACTTGTAAACTCGCTCCAAATATTGGGCCATCTCTTGCGGGAAAGGTTCAAGGTTAATCGTAGAGTCAAAAAGGTTTTCTATCATGGTGAGTACGCCATTGCCGGTGTTCGAGTAGAGATCAGAAGAAACAGAGGCTAATAGAACAGCACGGTCCGCGTTCTGTTTGACCACAGATCTGATTCCATGCAGAAGAGGCACAAGTTCCGATAATCTTGAGTATTTGGGGGGATAGACAACCGGATGCAAAAGGTTTGGCATCAAAATCCGCACCTGCTTATTTTGGTGCTTCTTAAAGACGGCTTGGAGCTGCGCTAGGATCGCAGGAAGAGGCTGTATGGGTGATATTAAAGTCAGTTCGGCAGATGTGGGCGCCGGCACAAGTCGCGATGTGATGTCGAATGTGTGTGAGTAGTCTGGATACGTTTCGAGGTCGATCTCATTATTTTTGGCGAGGTTTTTGTTCTGATCACCGTCGTTCAAACCATATCTCCATGCAATTTTCAGATCTTTCGTAGGAGTTGTAACTGACTTGCCCACCGTGCTCCCTGACCCCAGCAAATTTTGAACTGTAACCTCAGATTCAGCGCTTGAGACTTTGGAGCGCTTAACGTCTCTTTTTGAGCCTTGATAAATGCCTGGAAGTTCTTTGGCGAAAAATGGATTCAGCGTCAAAACCACCAGATGTGTGTTGCCCTTTTCCACCGAATTGGGACCCTCTGTGCGATTGTGAACAATTCCCTGAGCTGCAAAAGTCTTCACCAAAACAGATGAAAAATCGGTAGCACTCTGTTCTTCGATCAAAAGCGATTGTCCCAGAGGCAGTCCCATATGGCCAAGAACCTTATCTAGATCTTGACAGCCCGTTGCAGTTGACGGTTGCGAAGTTGCCGGCGAGGGTCTGACACCCGGATGGCGGGAATCAAGCTGAGGCGCTTTGATGTTAGATGCAACAGCCCTGGGACTTGACACATCTTGGATGGATAAATTGTTCATTCTGCCAGTCAACTGCGCACCGCCACTAATTCCAGGAAGCCGCTGAGACACTGGGGAGTTGATTGGCAGTCTTCTGGCGTCAGGAGTTCTCAAGACCTCCCCTCTTTTCTTGAAAGACATGTTAAAACTTGCCAGTTAAGTAGTCTGCTTGAACTTGAGGTTTTTGGTGGGCCAGTAAGCGCTTGATAACACTTTTCAGTGGCCAAAAAAATAGGAAAAGGCTGATGCAAATGACTTTGAATCCAATCACAATAGTTTTTGACGTCTTGGAGTGTCTTCGAGTCAAAATCTGGAAGTGTTTTCAGTTGAGTATTTCAAGCGATGAGATTAGAAGATGATGGATTTTGCAAGCTATATTGGCCTTACATCAAATAATCCAGAAAAGGCCTCGAACTTCAGTCAGAGGCTCGACAAGAAGCTATTAAGGCGTACATTCCTTGGTAGTAGGCTCTTCAGCTATTTTGTGAATTTTTTAGCTAGGTTTTTCGGCTTCTGTGGGGCAGTTGAAGCTAACTCTGGGTTGACCAGACATTGGTAGCTGAAAGATATGAAAGGAGCTCTATATGGTATGAGAATGGCGCATTGTGGGCCTGGGATAACATCCGGGCCGAAGTGGAGGCTTACAGCTCGAACTTTGATGCAAAAACAGTATTTGGGCAAGTCACCAGCCAAAAATGGGAGAAATGAGGAAAGTAATGGGAGCAGTAGTTCGTCTGAAAATGGCGGTGGATATGTTAGAAAGGCATTGCTTACAATACTAGTTCCATACACTGGATATGCTTTGTATGTCATAGGACAGGCCAATGCCGAAATCACAAAACGAGAACAGGAAGTTAAGCAACATGATGATGACAAGCATTTTGATACCACTCTAATAAAATACTCACCATTGGAAGTTCTTGGTCGTTTTGCAAACCCATTCAAGGAATATAGAGTTCTCACCGCCTTTGAATTTTCGCTCAATCGAGTGTTGGAACTTTTCCAGCGAAATCGTGGTGGTATTCCTACCAGCCCGCATTCCATGGATGAGCTAATGCCCGTCCATACCCCTACGTGGACGAGTAATAACGCCATAGAGCAGAAAGATTCCTCTCCTATTAGCATTAAGATTGTCGGAAAAAATGACCCCGTTGATCCCCAGCCATTTGACAACAATGAAAGGGACCTTCCGGTGCATACAACTTGGCTAGGTCAATCATGCAATTTCGTGGTGTACAATGGGTTCAAGATTTTGACAGATCCGTTATTTACTGACTACTTAATCCATGAAACACTTGGGCCCAAGCGAATCACGAAAATGCCCGCGCAAATAGAAAAAGTTCCCACCCCCGATGTCATATTGGTATCACACAACCATCCGGATCACCTGGATTTCAAGAGTATGGAATTTTGGGGATCCAATGGGAAGGCGCATCCAATATGGATAGTTCCCAAGGGTATGGCTCAATTCATGAAAGACCACGATGTGACAAACGTCGTGGAGCTGTCGTGGTGGGAGACAGCTCGAATTACCAAAGGAGACAACGCTTACGATATCTCTTGCACACCAGCGATGCACTGGTCCGGAAGGTCCCTCGTGGATACAAACCGCTCGCTCTGGTGCTCATTTTTGTTTTCGCATCGTAGCAAGCCAATACTATTCCATGCTGGGGATACGGGATATGTCTGGGATTTGTTCAAGAGAATTAGCAACCGGTATGGGAAGGGCGTAAAACTGGCCCTCTTACCATGTGGCCAGTACTGTCCGTCGTGGCATCAAAAACCAAGACACATCAATCCCGAAGAGGTCTTGAGAATCAAAAATGATCTTCAAGCTCAAAATGTGCTTGGCGTTCATTGGGGTACTTTCGTGTTGAGCGGAGAGTATTTTCGCGAGCCAAAGGAGAGGCTGGAAATGCTAGCGGAATGGGAAGGGGTGAAAGACAAATGCTTTTGTCCTGAGTTGGGCAGGACAATAACTCTCAAATGAAGTCGTTGGATAAACCTCTTATAGCTGAATGCAAAGATAAACGCCGAATTATTGTAAGTTATTTCATGGGGACTGCGTTGACACGCTCAAGGAACTCTGCCCATATCTCGTCCTTGATCTTGAAGCCGTTTCTGCTGTTGTCAGGGAATTGATGGTTGGTAACGTCGTCCACGTAATGCTTAATTGAGCTGATACTCTCAGAATTCAGATCTCCGTACTTGTGAGCGAGTTTTGGCACTGCCTGCGGCGTCATCCCCAAGATATCGGACTGTACCAAGACTTGTCCACTCACACCAAGACCCGCGCCAATGCCGATTGTTGGCACGCTCAGTTTCTGAGTAATATACGACGAAACCTTATGCGGGACGCATTCCAGAAGAACAGAAAAACAGCCGATGTTTTGCAATTGCTGGGCTGTATGATAGATTGCAACAGCCTCTTTGGCCGATTTGCTGCCCTGCACTTTGAAGCCACTCAATGAATGTGCACGCTGAGGTGTTAATCCTATATGGCCAATAACTGGAATTCCTCGAGAACAAAGTTCCGCAGCCAGTTGCAAAGAATAGTCATCTTTCTGGGATGCTCCAACGGGACTTCCAACCTCAATTTTGACTGCTCCCACGCGTACTGAGCTTTTCATGAACCCAATTGCCGTCTCAATGCCCTGCTGGATGCTGGATTCGAAGCTTCCAAACGGCATGTCCACGAGTACGAACGCCGGTCCGGGTGCTCTACAAACTGCTTGAACGTGGTACCGAAACTCGTCCAGTCCTATCTGATTCGTCGAATCATAGCCCAATGCACTTGTGGCCAATGAATCACCTACCAGAACAGCATCACATCCAGCGTTTTGAGCCCAGCTAGCAGTGACGAAGTCGTACGCAGTGACCATCGTTATTGGCTGTTGAGCGTTATATTTGGCATACAGATCGGCTATTGTCTTGGACTTGACATTTCCAGTATTGGAAGGGTAGCTGGAGTACCTTCTGGCCAAGATCTTAGACCAATGTCGTAGCATTGAGTTGCAATACGGAGGTTTTTGTCGCTTAAAGAGCCAACAGCGATGCTTTCAAGTCTTATTTTCAACCTAATGATCTAATATACATATAAAAAATTATAAACCTTGACCATATAAGACAAAAGTGTTGATCGGAACCAGACAACTTGGTAAAAGAGAGGACAATTGGCGTTGAAATTGGGTATACATATGGATTAGACTGAATTTGACTATTTTTCTAGCATTTTACCAAGCTGACGAAATTTTTGGGCGTCGATTTCATATGGCAACGGTATAAACCGACATGACACCAATTAGCCTCAAATTTTTCAAACAAAGCACTCCAGAAAACCTGAATAACATGGCACATGTCCTGCACTTGTGAATTTACGCGAAAGGCTTGAGAATTTGGCATTGAAATTTGGTGACATATGTCTTTCTAGTATAAAGTGATGTATATTCTCATAAAGAGCTGTCACGACGACGGACTCGTACGAAATTGGACTTGACCACTGACGCTCAAGATCAAAGAGAAGACCACCCACGAATCAAGTTGGACTACGCTTTCTGACTTTCTTTGGAGGGCTCAAAAACTGGATACAATACTTGCGAGTATTTTGCCTTACCTTTGCCCTCGACTTCCTCGAGTTCGGGATTGATGTGGAACGCAGGACTTTTGTAGTCGATGTGGCCGCAGAACGGCTCACTGACATGCAATCCCATCAGCGTCAAAGCTTTCAAAGACATGTCTCGGAAAGACTCTGGCTTCTGGTCAATATGGTAATTTTCCTCTTGCCTTAAGTAGCTTTTGTTCATGAAAAAAAAGGCTGCAATACGCTCGCTGTCGCTGCTGTTGGCACTTGCAGCGTGGTACACACTGCCGAGCATAAACATGACGTCACCCTCATCCATTTCCAAGTGGATTTCCAGGTTTTCGTCAAAATCTCCAGGACCGTCAAGTGGCCCCCACAGATGTGATCCAACTATGGCCCTGGTGGCCCCATTTTTTTTGTTCATTTTGGTCAATGCAACAGCCATGCCTAAATGTGTGTCATCGCCGTAGTGGTATGCGTCTCTTCTTGGATGCACATTGTGATGAACCATGTCTTCGCGGTGATACATCTGGTTACCAGCACCCGGTCCCACTCGATAGGCAATCCCGGAGTTCAGCTGAAAGCCGGCTTGGCCGCGACGCAAGCCTTCACCAATCCACAAAAGGTTTGATTCACTGATGAAATGGTGAGAAAGCTCGGAGTACAAATTGTCACACACAATTTTGTCGCGACAAGATTCAGAGATCAAAGCACATCTGGGAGCCACTGTCGTCTGTTTTGGGAATGGTGAGCCGTTCCAAGATTCGTCGCGCATGTAATATGGTTCCAGTTCTTTTTTAATCTGTTCGCATTCTTCCACAGAGTAATAGTTTTTGACAACACACATACCATAGGTTTCCAGTTTTGTCACAATATCCTGTAAGTCGGATCGACCGGTAGCCGTCAACTTTTTCAAGTCAAATGGTCCTTCAGACCTGATGTCTTTTTTTGGTATTCTGGCAAAGCATTTACCGTCGCTTTCAAAGGTTGAAACTTGATCAAGGTTTTTAGTTGATTTACACATATCAATTGGCTTAACTGATGGCTGAGAATCAAGAGCCAAGCATAATTTGTCTCGGTGGATCTCCTTTTGGTCGGTCTTTTATACGTCAAATTTCGAACTTCTACCTGCCTGACTCGTAGTCATCCAACGACATGAAGCGTATGCAGCTCGAAGCTCGGCGTTTAAGCGATAGTCTTCCTGATAAAATTCGGTTGGGTAAGATTATTTTGTTGTGTAGCATCAACCCTACTACTAAGAGCGTCTGTGACCATTCTTGAGTCATCTTATGTCGTTGCCTTGTTCAAACATTCGTTGGAGTTATCTTCGTGATTTTACGAAACCTAGCACGTCTCTATAGGCTGCTGATATTAGCACTGACTTCTTGAATGAGTTCTGTCTATTTGAAGTGCCTAGATAAATCAGAAAATCCTGATCTTACAAAAATCTTATCTATTATAGGTCGTCCAAGACTGATGCGATCGCGTTAATCAGCACTCTCAATTCATCGGAAGTCGTGGTGTAAATGGGGTACACATAGATCCACTTGTTAAATGGCCTAATCCATGCGCCTGCTTCAATAAATCGTTTTTGTAGCTCTTCCACTCTGACAGGAAATTTATTGACTTCCACAATTCCTATAGCACCCAAAATTCTCACTTCTGCAACATTAGGGTGTTTTGCGAGCGGAGCTAGCTCTTCAAAAAATTGTTTTTCGATTCTGCTGACTTGTGTTTTCCACGTTCCCTCTGCCAAAATGGCCAAATTCTCATTTGCCACTGCACACGCTAACGGATTTCCCATGAACGTCTGACCATGCATTAGTCTACCTGCCGGGCCTTCACAGATTTTTTCGCTAACAATTCTGGTGCTAACTGTCGCGGAAAGAGTCAAATAGCCCCCAGTAAGGGCCTTACCTAGACAGATGATATCAGGTACTATATTAGCGTGTTCGAAAGCAAATAGTTTGCCTGTTCTCCCCAATCCGGTAGCAATCTCATCTAGGATAAGTAGAACGTCGTACTCGTCACATAATTCTCTGACACGCTTCAAAAAGTGTGGATGATAAATGCGCAATCCACCTGCACCTTGAACCATTGATTCCATCACAACCCCAGCCAGTGACTCATGATTTTCTTTGATCAATTTAGCAAAGGGGGCGACGTCAAGCTCCTCGACCAGCTGCTCAACGTTGGGATCCTTGTTATGGAAGTAAACCTCCGGAGCTTTACTAAACAAGTTCTGAGGAACAAATCCACCGTATAGCTTGTGCATTGAGTTGTTAGGATCACAAACAGACAGTGCGCCAAAAGCATCGCCGTGAAATCCCCGTTCAATGGTCAAAAATTTGTGCTTGGAGGGCTTTCCTATGGCATTGTAGTACTGAAGAGCCATTTTCATCCCAACATCGATGGAAATGGAACCAGAGTCTGCCAAGACAACACACTCCAAAGAATCGGGAAGCATGTTTACCAGTGACTTGCACAGGTCGACGGCAGGCTTGTGCACAATACCACCAAACATGACGTGGGATACTAATCCCAATTGCTTTGTAGCAGCTTCATTCAGTCTCGGATTGTTGTAGCCATGTTGTACGCACCACCAGCTGGCCATACCATCTACGATTTTGCGGCCATCTTGCAAATGAAGATAAACTCCGTCCGCGCTGGTGACAGGATAAACCTTCAATGGGTTTGTAAGGGAGCTGTAAGGGTGCCAGATATGCTTCCGATCAAACTCCAAGTCTTGGGATGTTATTTCAATGCTCATTTTGGTGGGTTTCACTGGTGAGAGCTACTCAAAGTTTCGGACGGTGAGCCGTTCAACGGCGTTTAAATACCTTTTTTCTGGCACCAATGAGGCTGCCAAAGAATTCCAACAGAAAGGCATTTGTGATTAAAGAATGCTCTCCCAACGATGGAGTACCACAGCCAGCAGCGGAGTTTTTCACTTGTTTGAGTTTTTGGTATGAGAAGTCATCTTGAGATGACTAGTATGTCCGCTGGTATAGTCATGGCCAGCCCCATGTGACTACTTTTTGCTTCTTCGCTAAGGAAATACGGCGATTGTGGTGAACACTTGAGTAGGTTGAATCATGATCTCTCATGATGTTGAACAGAAGTCAGGGTGGTAGGGAATCGATGTGTTTTGAGCTCAGATAGCGTTCCAGGTACTAAATTTTCCATGTGCGAATCTTTTTCTCAACGAAAGTTGATTGGCGCACTCGTGGAATACCGTGGTTTTTAGAAGAGGGTTTGTGGACTGTACAGCGTCAAAAACAAGCCTCTTGACCGTGGCCCAACGAAGCACTAGGCTCTAATTGAGATTGTTGTGAGTTACAACCGATCCCTCGCTCAGAGTCAATTGTCATTACCGCGAAGTAGAGGCTGGTGTCGATACACACATACTTACAAAGTTGAGTGTTTGATAGAGATCATTGGGCGGGCTGAGCATGTACTTCTCTTGTAGATCTAGAAGTCTTGATCAAAGGACTCGTTGAATCATCGAGCATTATTGTATAATCCAATTTCAATTACTAGTAGTCGTCTCGTACGAGCAAGTATAACGAGACATCCCGCCATTACAGTCAAATTAAGAGCAGAAAACTTGGAAGTTGTAACGTAAGAATAGCAAGATTGATATTAAACGTCCATCTTTCGAACTTAACGTCTGGGTAGATTTTGTTGGCTCACTAGTTATGAATTGTTGTTGTTACTTATAGTAGTCACGTGATCATTGCACTTTAAAAAGTGTATGGTGAAAGATTACCGTGTAAAGTGAGACAATCGACACAGTTTAATGGCGAGCGGAAGAGAATGGTAGCTATTGGGTGTCGATGACATTCAAATAGAATGGCGTTTGGCAGGGTTGCGGCTGAGGAAAACTTCTATGTTTGCACTACTGATGTTGTTTAGTCGTGTAACATTCAATACTTGATGATTTAGCGCGGTCACTGCAATTCGTACAGAGCGACCTTCTCATTTCGAGTGATCTCTGAATTGGACAGCTCCCACGAGTTTCTCCTACATTGCCAATGTGATTTAAAATGACTTTTACGTGACTGCGGGTATTTGCTTGCTATTTCTTCAGTCATAGGTCACGTGTGTGACGATGACTACTTTGTTTACAAGATGACTCATTTTCTCACTAAACGCAACAGGGACGTGCCAATGGCTCAGTGATCCATGACCGGTATGTCACACACACACACACACACACACACACACACACACACACACACAATCCGTACCACATCCAACACTCTAGTCTCAAATTTTTCAAAATCCTGAAGTTATGCTGAAACTATACTCGCGCTTTAAGATACTCCGAATCAATCAGCCAAGAAACATTGTACCACAGATTAGGTAATACTCACCGCCTTTCTGCACACGTGACTGAATATCAAATGAAGTAACGGGGGACCCCTCCCCTAAAAACTAGGATTAGGTAATGCCCTCGTCCTTTACACCGAACTTACGTAAACATGCATAGATCCCTTAACTTCTCTTTTTTTNTTTTTTTTTTTTCTTCCCGTTCGCTTTCGCCCGGCCAAATGCGGACCAACGTGACTCAAAAAGCGCTCGGCCAAATGCGAATATCCCTAAAATTTCTCAAAATTTCCCCTACCGGCCTTTGATACGAACAGCCTGCATCACGCTTCAACCGGGAACTAGTTTATCTCTTCATATACATACACAAGTGTGAGAACTTATATATATATATGTGTGTGTATGTGTGTGCTCAAGGATCATAGATAGTTATTGAAGACTATTCTCCATCAAAACCTACCGGCAACTCACCATTCTTTCTACATCCTCAATTAAGCCTCCAGCCTCCATGTCAACATTCATCAACCCTCCTCGAGTCCAGGTACTCGCGGACATCGATTCCGATCCTCAATTCGCTCCCTCATCCACTACCGTTAGCGATATTTTGACGCCCGATGCTTTACAATTCGTGGCACTTTTGCACCACACTTTTGACGAGCGCCGTAGGAAATGCCTGGAAAATCGCCAATCCGTCCAGAGTGATATAGACTCGGTCGGAGCCGAGATCGCTAAAAACGGCAACTCCGGCTCGGTCGAGCTTTTCCGGTTGCCACCGGAAACGCAGCGCGTGCGCGATGACGTAAGCTGGCAGGGTGCTATTCCAGCGCCGGGTTTGGCCGAACGGCATTCGGAGATTACAGGTCCACCTCTGCGTAATATGTTGGTGAATGCATTGAACGCACCGGTGTCCACATACATGGTCGATTTTGAGGACTCGGCGGCCCCCACTTGGGCCAATTGTGTGTATGGTCAAGTGAATTTGTTTGACGCAATCCGTGACCAGATCGACTTCCGCACGCCTCGTAAGGAATACCGGTTGCGCGCACCATTTGCATCACTTCCCACGATACTAGTGCGTCCACGTGGATGGCACATGCTCGAGAAGCACGTGACTGTGGACGGAACTCCAGTGTCAGCGTCACTATTTGATTTCGGACTATTTTTCTTCCACAACGCGCGTGCGCTGATCGAACTGGGCAAAGGTCCATATTTCTACTTGCCCAAGATGGAGCACTATCTCGAGGCAAGACTATGGAATGACGTTTTCAATGTAGCACAGGATGTGCTAGGAATTCCACGTGGCGCTGTTCGTGCCACCGTCTTGATTGAAACATTGCCTGCCGCATTCCAGATGGAAGAGATTTTGTTTGAACTGCGTGCCCATTCTGCTGGCTTGAACTGCGGTCGTTGGGACTACATTTTCAGTACCATAAAACGGTTGCGCAACGTCCCAGGCCACGTTCTCCCAGACCGTCAGCACGTCACTATGAAAGCTCCATTTATGGATGCCTACGTACAGAGACTCATCGAAGTATGTCATAGACGTGGTGTTCACGCCATGGGAGGCATGGCTGCTTATATCCCCATCAAAAATGATGAGCGTGCCAATTCTGCTGCATTGGCACAAGTGCGTGCCGATAAAGAACGCGAGCTGCACAAGGGCCACGATGGGTCATGGGTAGCGCACCCAGCGCTGGCTCCAATTTGCAACGAAGTATTCCATAGCATGGGAACCCCCAACCAAATTCATTATAGGCCCCAATGCGCCGTACAAGCTACCGACTTGCTAAACACTCGAATCTCGCAAGGCGGCGTCACCGTAGAGGGAATCCGCCAGAACTTGTCTATCGGCCTTCAGTACATGGAGGCTTGGTTGCGTGGGTCTGGTTGCGTTCCAATCAACAACTTGATGGAGGATGCGGCCACTGCAGAAGTGTCTAGGTGCCAGCTTTACCAATGGGTTACACACCGTGTGAAATTGTCCGATACGGGTGAAGTGGTCACTCCCGATTTGACGCAGCGCATCTTAGAAGAACAGGTTAAGGAACTGTCGGCCAAAAGCACACTGGGCAAGAACAACAAATTTGAGCTGGCAGCTAAATACTTCCTTCCTGAAATCCGCGGAGAGAAATTCAGCGAATTTTTGACTACTCTATTGTATGACGAAATTTTGACGTTGAAGACACCACGTTTGTAAGATGAAGAGTAGCATCAAGTGTTGCATTGCACTCATAAACCCCCCACTTGCAGGTCAGAGAATTGTATCCTACCGATCAATATTCTATATGTACACTGAGTTTCAGCATAGTTTTTCAACAGTTTCCAAAGCATTATATGTACCATGCGTAATCGCGGTTTGAATAATTCCTTACGTCGGGCCATTGGTGCCAGCAGTCCACTCATGCCACACGATTGACAGAAGATGACATTTCGGAAAACTCGTTTGGACTTGACATATTGTTCTGCTCGAAAAAGTTGGTAGTGACGCCTGGATAGAATTCTAAAACTCGCACAGCGTACATGCCTTGATCATTATTCGGTCCGCTATGGTAACCCATTTTGACAGTGCATGTAATTTCGAGGATATAAACCTGAATTTTCTTCGCGGGAGCACACACGGGCGTCAATGCCTTTTTCCCAAGGCACATATATCAAAACTTTCCATCATGGCGTGTCATCACTATGTACTAAATTCAAATTCTCAATTTCATCAAATGAAACAAGACTTACACTACTATAAAGCCATTTTTTCAAATAGCAACTCTAGCTATTCAGCTGCCAAAAAAGCTTTCGCACAGTCTACTTTCACTTTCCTTTTCAAAAACGTCAAATCCATAAGTTTCCAAACTTCATAGCTTTCTCAACCAAACTGAACGAAAAATACTAATTAAACAACTTCACCAACCCACGTTTCGTATAACATGCTATTTATTCTTATTCTCCGTTTTTCATAATTCACCACAAAATTCGACATATATTAATTTGAAAATTTACCTCCGATGATCACCACATTCGAGGTAAAATCGAACCAAAGCACGAACCACCAATATTTGGCAGTCTGATCCGGCCAAGTAGACGACACTTGCTTCGCTGAAGTTCTACGCTTTTGATATACCTTATTTTGTGGTTTTCTAGGGCTTTTTTCAGAGCTTTTTTTGGTCATTTTTGAGTAACTTTAGGCTCACTCACGGTTGACCTTTTGTTCGAACATTTTTTCTGGTTCCAAAGCAACTGCTATAGCTTTTATCGGCGTGTTCGTTTGGGAAACGGCGAACCGCGCTTGAGATTGAGCCCACTTTTCTACCAGGCAGCTTCTTTCTTGCCTTTTACACATACTGTACAACATACAACGTTCCCCTACAATCTAAAATGGTGGTAAACGTATCTCCTAGGAGTAGCATGAGCTCTAGAAGCAGACGTGGCTCAACTATCAATAACTTACTCAACTCGATGGGCATTAGACAGGGTTCCAATCCCGGTGTACATGGCGGGACCGTGCCTTTGGACACCATTCCAGCTGGGACGCCAATAGGACCTGCTACCAACGGGGTCGCTCGAGAGCAGTTTCAAATTGGCAATCCAGCTCAAGTCAACAATAGTCATAATGGTACTTCCAACAGCTTGGAAGCGGTAAATTCAAACCCAGGGCAGGTCTTCAGCTCGGAGGATGAAGACGATCGGGTTGTTGGTGAAGGTGAAAATATACGTCTCAACGGTTTAAATGGGCTGCACGATAATGATGACGATGACGATATTGATGATGATAATAATAACAACGACAACGAAAACGGCGTAGCAGCTTCTGCAAACATGCTGGGGACCACCCCGTTTGATCAAGGTCTTCAGAATAGTTTGGTACCAGACCTACGACAGGATCTCCCCATAACACTCACCCTGGGTCAAAACGATATCCCCCCAGGTCCCGGCCATCAACCCAGTACTCTTACACCGGGAGAAGCGCAACTGGTCCCCAAAGCCGTGCGTCACTTTGTCTATGGAAGTAGCCCTCCCGAAAGCGCAGTTGAACTGCTGGGTTTGGATAGACCCCAGAATGCAGCTCCAATTGAACCTTTAAGCCCAGATTCGGTACAGTCACGCAAAGACAAGAATGGACTATTCAGTCTAAGGTTAACACCGTTTTTGGACCAATCTGCTACCAGCAACCCCGGCTTATATTTTGATCCAATTGTGAGGACGGCTGGTCCTTGCTCTCAATTGGTCATTGGAAGATACACAGAACGCGTCAGGGAGTCTATCACACGAATTCCGGAACATTTTCACCCTGTAGTGTTCAAAAGCAAGGTCGTTTCAAGAACACATGGCTGCTTCAAAGTAGATCAACAGGGAAATTGGTACATTCGAGACGTCAAGTCGTCGTCTGGTACGTTCTTGAACCACCACAGGCTGGCACCTGCGTCGACAATGTCTAAAGATACACTACTACAAGATGGAGACCTTTTGCAATTAGGATTGGATTTCAGAGGAGGAACAGAAGAAATATATCGGAGCGTCAAGATGAGAATTGAATTAAACAAATCCTGGAAAAGGCGGGCAATGAGGTTTAACCGCGAGGCTTTGCAGAGATTAAAAAATTTACAGAAAATGACATCTGGCCTAGAGGAAGAAGATTGCTCGATCTGTTTGTCCAAGATCAAACCATGTCAAGCAATTTTTATTTCGCCATGTTCTCACAGTTGGCATTATCAGTGTGTGAGACGGCTCGTTGTCTCGACATACCCCCAATTTGTGTGCCCAAATTGTAGGTCCAGTTGCGATTTAGAAGCGTCTTTAGACAGTGATCTTGACAGCGATGAGAATGATTTTGATGTTATTTCCGACGACGTCAAAGATATGGATATGCAGCAAGATAGCGATTAGATTCTAGAGTATTCAGTTTTGATTGAGATTACCCTTCAGTTTTTTTGAGCTAGACCTTTTCTGTCATTATTACAACCATATTTTCAAGTTAAATGTCGTACCTACGTACGCCTCAGCGATTATACCTTTGGACTGACTTTAACACGTCTGTCTTGCTTTCAATACCGATCTTTGTCACCTAACAGGCGCAACAAAACATCTTGTAGCTCTTTTGTAGCGGCGCCGTATTTATAGACTTCGTGGCCACCGTTCAAAATTTTCCACTCTTGGGTCTTGGCTGATATTTTTGTAATGTCGCGTTGCCAATTTCCCCACTGTGGAGACTTTTTGATCAACTGATCTGAGCTTGCTACGCTAAGCTTCAAATCGCGCAGTTTCTCTTTTGCATTCAAAACGTCTTTGTAGCTCAACAGAGAGCTAGTGACACTCTCAAGGAATTTAGATCTGATGAATTTCCCTTGGTACTGTAAATCACGACCATAAATTCTCTCCTTTGAGCCATGATGGGCCAAGAGCCACGAAGTTTGAAGCTTGATGCCTAAAGTAGACCATATACCTTGCCACCATAGTTTGAAGCCATTGTGCCTCCGAATTTCTGCAGGCAGTTTACTGATATCATCAGGGTCTCTGCTGTCATCGTCTGGGGGCAGAAGCCTTTGAAGATAGTTTTTCAAGAGAATATCCTCATGCCAAGATTCCACGAGAAGCATGGACTCAACTTTGTCCAAGTTTTTGGCGGCAAACACCTGAGAGTATAAACCTCCAATATCATACCCAACCAAGGTGAATGGTCCAGCGATTTTGGCGTCCTCAACAAGTGCGTAGCTCAGTGCGTCAGCTACCATCGCAATTGAGATTGGGGCTGGGGCAGAATCCGAAAGTCCATAACCTGGCCTGTCGTAAGTGCAATAACGCTCGACCCTGTTGAGATGATATAATTCCTGAATCCAAATGGCCGACAAGAACCCTGTCTCAAGACTTCCATGATCAAATAGCACTATGGGTTGCTGATCATCCGCCTGAGATGATATATCGCCGTAACATGTAATGTGCAATTGGTAGGTATGAGCTTTGTCGACCCAATGAAACGCATCATAAGAAGCAGATGCTTCTGTGCTAACATTTTTAACATCGCGGGTGAGACGCCCAACGTCAATCGTGTAAAGAAGCGTGTTCAAGGTGAAGAAAATATAGAACACGAATATCAGGCATTTGGTGGCATTCCTCACACCAATCGATACCCATTCACTGATTGTGTGTCTTGAGTTGCCCTCTGCGCCATCATCATCGTCAAAGTCGCCACTAGATTCGTGAAACTCTTTGAAGTAGTAATACAGGTACCAGTCCAAAACTGCACCGGCGAAAAATGTTAAGGCGGCCCAAAAATACGTGAAAGCACCAATAAACCCTATTCTTCTCCTTGTGTAGCCGACTATAAGCCTCAAAAAGAGATTGAATAGGGTCAATGAGAAGAGTATAACGTTCAGGCTCTGGTCCAATCTGGAATATAGCCCCACTCTATTGGACCACAAGTTCAAAGAGTTGGCCACAATAGAGATGAAAATCAAGCACAAATCATTGAAACTGACGAGCCTATTGTTGAAGTGGAACATGGCAATGTTGAAAAAAAAATCCATAACAAACGTTGTGACAAGCCAAATCAAGTTGATGGCGATAAGGAGGTTCAGAATTATTCTAGAGTCCTTCACAAACAGGCGATATTTTTGCCGTGTGCTGTACAGCCTTCCTTGAGTGGCCTCTGTCTCATTTGGTAGACCATCGTTCGAGGCGTTTTGACCTATCGAGCGATGCGATGCTCGTGCATGCTCTCCGTTGAGCAGAGGCTCATTTTCATTGCTATTTGTCTGGTTATAAGTGCCAGGCCGATTAAGTTCACCACTCTCAATCGGTTTTGGGCTCTGAAGGTCACTAACCCCTGCTGGACTTTCTACTCCGTTCATTTGTTGCCTCCTTCTTCACTTGACAAACCGAGACCTCTCGACCTCTCCTTGCGTACCGAATTTGACAAAATAGTCCTCGAAATTTCTGTTACTTCCGAAGCTTGGCCTGATAACCTCGTAACTTATCTACTCGACAGTTAGATAGAGATTCCAATAGGTCTCAGGGCTGTGAAATGTGGTCTTTAGGATGTTAAAGATGACCTTTGAAGATTGAACCCTTAAACATTGCTAAAGTTGAAGCTTTCGTCGGATGTGACCAGAAACACTTGACCAGTGCTGTCCAACGGGTTGCAAAACTGGCCGGGTAAAAAAAATTCATAAAATTTGAGGACCCATCTGCTAAATAGCTAGGTACCTGAAAGAACCCGCTTCGGGCAAATCATAACCTGTCGTACAACCCGCTTAGAATTGAACTGCAACCTGAGAGGAACCTGGACGCGTTTTTTCTAAAATGTAACGCGTCTTTTTTAAAATGCAACGCGTAAACTTTTGAAGATATAAAAGGTGACAAAATTCAGAATTCATTACTTCACATTCAGGAACATGGCTCAGGCCACAGTTTCTACCAACAATGGAAGCCCCTCTTATGATTGCACCACATGAACTAGCGCCGAGTCCCAGTACTGATCTTGAAGGGGATACGGTTCTAAGTGATCCTGAGAACCACCTAGGTGACTTGCCCCACCACCAATAACAAAAAGGCTCTAGCGCGTGGAAAATCACAATGGATGCAAAGGTCC